CTTTCTCGGCCTTTCGGCTCTTTCTCGGCCTTTCGGCTCTTTCTCGGCCTTTCGGCTTTCTCGGTTTCGCGGGCCCTCGCTTTCCTGATTCTCGTTGATCGACACACTGTGGCGACATAACCTGCCGACTTGTAGTTCTAGTTTGTGCAGCATGATGATGATCAATATGACATTAGTTGTAGTTCATTATACAGCGAATGAAAATCATACGCAAGAACAACAGGAAAAAGAAAGACAGCATAAAAAGAAGACAAGAGATGTAGATGAAGTGACATAACAGATAGCTTTCCCCCGCTGCTTTTTCTTGCCTCGGCTGCACGGTCATCCTAGATTGTGGATCCTAGTTCTTCAAGTCCATGAGATGAAAGCACAACTCCCCCTCGTCCCCCTCATTTGTCTACATGCAAGAAAAGACGAAAGAAATGCGCTTCCTTATCGTTGGCTATTGCCCTAAAGAACTTCCTGTCTGACAAATTTGAAATTTCGTAGCGCCATGCCCAAGCAGTTTTTCACTTGCAGTTATCTGTGCGTGCGGGTTTTGTCGTGCGAAGGCTGCATTTGTGACCTCTCTTCTGTTGCTGCTCATGCCTTTAAACGAAACTAAAACTCCGGGGGAGATGAGGGAAAGTATATGCACTCTCATAAAACCGAAATCAAGAGAAGCAGGCGTGGCTGAAGGTACTCGATATACTCTTGCGTGACATCGTCCAAAACAGCGCCACACTCCTCCATCGTCGGCCCCCGGTGCCAAGTGCCGCTCCCGTTTCTACTCTCGCCCTTATATGCAAGTGGACAACTGCTGGCCGTCCCCCTGATTCGCAAGGCATATACAGCAGCAGACACTCCAGTTTCAAAACTTCTGCAGGCTCTACCACAAAAAGAACGACTCCTCGCACAGCAGCTCAGACTGACTCTCTTACAACTGTTTGAGCCATTATAAGCTACTTGTCGGTCCGCAAACACTGACAGATAGGATTTGGCAAAATATCAGAGAAAAGGAAAACAAGAACAGCGGTCAAGGTATTGTCCACTTGCATATTATCCGGACCGCGTGAAATACCAGGGCCTCGAGAGGTGATTCAGGAGCTATGATACGGTCCGCCCAAAGTTTCTCGCGCTCTTTGATGTAATCATGATTTCTACATGCCGGGGCTATGCTGCTCATCACAGCTTTCGTAGGTGCGCCGAACAATGGAATAGAAATCCTGGCCGACACAAAATCGCTAGGGCCGTCGATATGCCATTCGATCTCGGAATTTATATTCTTTAGTAGTCGCAGCGAGAACTCCATACGTGGCTCAAAACCTTCTTCTTCCGTCCGATCAGCCGCATTGTAGCGAGCACTTTCCCATCCCCAGCGCGTTTTGTTTTCGCTTAAAAACTGGGCGGCGTTGCGCAAAGCTTTCAGTACCACCGGCCACAGTTTTTTGAATAAGGGGAGGCTCATCATCGTATCATCCTCGTTCGCGGTCCAGTCTTTCTCAGAACGACGATGTACTTTTTCTGCAGTCTGCGAGAAGACGACATCAGACTCAGAGTCGCCCAACAAATCAGCGATCTTGAAGTCCTTCTTGCTGTTTATCGTGCACGCCTGTTTCATTGCGTCAAAACGTGGATCTTGGAAAAACCAGTCCGGGAGTTTCTGATCCTGTTCAGTAGCATCTTCAGGAGTCCTTCTCGCTTCTTCTTCAACCTCTTGCAGTACCTTGAGCTCATCTTCCTCGTACGTTAGTCCGGACGGGATGATCTTCGCAACCATATCTGCCTCCGAGACGCCCGTTTCGGTCGCGAGTTGCTGCGTGCGTCGCTCGAGGTCAGCAGCGAGTTGCTCCACCTCCATTAGCTTGGTTTGCAGCTTTGGTGCCCGGGATGCTGGGGCTGGGGATGCAGACCGTTTAATATGAGCATAGTCAACATGCGAAGATGTAGTTGCCGAACTGCTTCTGTCGCGTCGAACAGGAGACGTTTCCGACGCTCGTTCCCGGCTTCCCCTTGCCCTTCGCCTTCCGCCGGATTGGCCCCGAACCCCAGTTGACACGCTAGGTTGCTCACGGGCTAGCCGCGGGGGAGCTGCGGCCGACGAAACTACTGCCGCAGCGGAAGTCGTTGTTCTTTGTTCGAGAAGTGCATCTTCCGCTTGACGAGCTGCGGGACGGCAGCGTGGTAATATCAACGCACAAAATTCCCGGCAACAATTTCGAACTTCTACTACAGGCGTGTTATTCGTAGCAGGGGTTGATGCAGCAGGGGCTGACGATGTTGTAGCAGCTTCCACGAGAAGAAGTTGACTTCTGGGCAGCCAGCCATGCATCCAGACCAGAAAGACAAAGGAAACGAGCATGCTCGACATGTTTAACCGCTGGTCGAAACATAATAGAGAACAAAACCTTGTTGTGCGCGGGCAGATATAAGTACCTCGGCTCTTGTTGAATGCCAGGTAGTAGAAGGACAGATTACGACTCGTACTACCACCAGGTAAAGGTATTTTGTATTTTTCACGGGCTAATTGTAATTTGTGAAGTAATCGGGAGCAAAGAAACAAGTTGTATTGTTTTGATGTGTATGTGACTAGGTACTTGAAAGTCAGCAAACATGCATGTACTGACTCCCTCTAATTCTAAAGTTAGCTTCACACGAAATTGTACAAGGAAATCGAAGAGTCGAAAGTCACAAGCTCTGAGAAAGCTCTCGAGTTGTTCATCTAGTTTGTAGTTTCGGAATGGCTGTCGAGGACGTCGAGAGCGAGAGAGTAGAGAATGAAGGATTTTTAGACATGATACGATAAGCGTGGAGCTTCTCTAAAAAGGCAAGTAGAAAATTGTATTTTTCGACCACGGGGGCTATTTCTACTTGTACAAGAACAGCTACGTCGATTTATTTGTGTTCGTACATCAAGATCAACTCTGGAACATGCTGGATCTTCATTTAACTAAGTATTTTTCTTGTTGCTTCACCACAGAACAATCAGATCAGTGAGGTTTCTGGACCGATCTTCGATCGTTTGCCTTTTTTTGGTGCGTGAAGCAATTTGAAAAAAAACTTGTTTTACGTTCCAAGTCAATCCTGATCACGTTCCGACGACATCTGGAAGACGAGCTTGCTACACCGAGAGAGTGGGCACTACACTTGCAGAGAGAAGTAAGTGCCGCATATGCAAAGAGCAGTAGCTTCGTTACTGCGATCCGACGAAGAACGCGCTACCACAAAAAAGGACTCCCTAGCGCGGCTCCAAACGCCGAAAGCTTTACCTTTGTTTTCCTGAAACGTCTTCCTTATGTCAGTAAATCTTCTTGGAAACGAAAACCCACATACTGCAGTTCTTAGAATCGTACACCATCTGAATCTGTATTCTCATGTGAATCGCTCGTAGTCTTGCAGCGTTAATATTGCGGCCCTTAAAAGGTTGGGTTGGCTCGTACGCATCTCTTTCTTTGTTGGTTTGACCTTATGATTTTTCTCGTGTTAGTTTCGTATACCTGAGAGGAAAAATCGACTGGACGTTGATATATGCCGTGACTTTGGCTGCTGGACGAGTTGTACATGTGCATTTGATTTCAAAAAAAAATTCCTCCTCGAATTGACAAGTCACTTCAGGTGCATGCTAAAGATCTCTTTATTACCTGAATCTGGAAACAGGTAAGCAACAATCTTCCCTCCTGCAACCGTAGATCGGGTCGCACTTCTTGCCCGCGATGGTCGCTTCCTTCGCACAGAAACCCATGGCCGGCGCTACTTCGGAGCAAAGCATATCTGAAATTTGCTTTAATATTTTGCCGAAGCTACTACAGTTCTTCCCGCCACCAACACAAGCGACACGACTAAGCCTCGACGTTATCCTGGTTTCATGCTGTGTACTTATGAATTGCACCATCTTAATTTTTGCGCATCCAGCAAAAAAACACGAATGATAGATATACCTGCCACCGTGCTCCGTTCCGTCATCAGCTTTTTTACCTTCGGCTGCAAATTCCAGGGCGGAATCCACCGCAGGACCTTCCCGTCCGAAAAGCAGCCGAAATGGTCCACCTGCTCCATGTCCCCCGTTGCCTGCTCCATGGTCAACCCGGTCAAGCCGCCCACTTTCACCGAACCGCACCGGCAGACTTCGTCGGTTTCCAGGGGGCGGTACACGCTTAGCTCGGTTTTCTGCGCCGCTTTTTCTTCGCCCTTGTCCACCGCGACAGGAAGCCAGATCGCGCTGGCGCTTGCGAGACAACCTGCACGTATGTTGCACGATTTGAATTTGCATTTCATTTCCTTGCCGCATCATGACAGCACGGATTAAGATTATGTTGGAACCATGGAGGGCGCAACTTTGTCACCAACACCATGTCATCCTCCATCCAAGCTGCTCATTACAAAATCTTCATTCTTGCAACCTCCAATGCAGACAAAAATAAGTAAGAACCGCAGCAATCATAATTCGGTGCAGTTCCTAATCCTATACTTGCCGTCGTGTATTTCTCCGGATCTTCTTTGAAGACGGGCTTGGCTGGTTTCGGCGCGGGCGCGGTCAGCATCCTTCTAATCCGGTCGATGATCGTCGACGTGCTCCGGATTTGCTGTCGTGTCACGTCCATCTTCTTCTCGTGCACGTCCATCTTCTCGTTCAATCCGTCCTGCACGTTCTCCATCTTGTTCAGGTACGTCAGCAGATCGATCGACGGCACCGGGGTCACCGCCGGCGGGGTGTCCTTGTAAACCCCGAGTTCGGACAGGGGAATCACGTCCGACGCCGGCACCACCTTCGGGATCAACAGGTCGTCGTTCCCGGTCTTCTCGTTCGCGCTCCCTGTCGCGCCCGTGTACTCGTCGCAAGCCGCGCAGGGGGCCTGCATCGCCCGGACCGCCTTCGCCCGCTCCTCCTGCATTTTCTTTTGCTGCGCCATCCGGGATTCCACTGTGTAGGTCACGGGCGTGACCGCGATGGCGTAGACCGGGTCGATTTCCCCGGTCTCCAAGTTCGGCTCCGTGTAGAGAGGCTGGACTTGCGCGACCATGTGCGTCTTCTGGTTTTCCGTGATGGCGTTCTGGATCGCCATGTGGGCGAGCCACTTCGGCGTGTCGTCGGGCTCCGTGGCGACGGAGTAGGGCATCGTTGGTTTGGGAATCTTCGCCTTTTCCGCGGCTGCTGGTGCAGTAGTTGCAGCAGTTGTAGAAGCCGCGGGTGTAGTTGCGGCAGTCGCTGGCGTAGCAGGCGTTTTTGTTGGAGCTTGCGCTAGTTGGTGCCGGAGATTCATCGTCCCTTTGTAGTTGCTGGTGCTCGACGCAATCGTCCGGCCACGGTAGGCAAGTCCCTGTTGCCCATTCTGCTCTCTCGTGGTCAAGCTCCGGCGAAGAGAAGTCGACTTGGACGCTTCACGATCGATATTTTGTTTTGTTTCCGTTGAAGTTGTCGTGCGAAGGCTAGTTTGCTGTGAAGCAAGTGAGGTTTCGCTCTTCTGTAGTTCTTCTGCAGCAGTAGAAGTGGCTGCTTTCTTTTTCTGGGCCAACCGCTGCAGCTCTTGCCGTTGCTGAGTTAGCGTAGTGGTTTTAGCTCGCAGCGAATGCAGCTTTGCCCCTGTCGCAGCGGACGCAGAAGTCGCCGCTTGGGCTTTCTTCAAAGTAGCCTTTTCTGCCACAGACGAAGACGACGACGCACTCTTTGCAGTGGTCTGGCTATTCGACGAGGAAGTCCCCGTTTCTGTTTTCGACTTTGATAATTCTCTGCTGCGCAACTGCTCCTGTCGCTTTTGATTCTGCATGTTTGAGGCAGCAGCGGTTTCGCTACTTGTCGTCGAAGACAATGAGGAAGTAGTAGAAGCTGTTTTTGCACTGCTACCCAAACCAGATTTCCCACTGCTAGAAATAGCTTCCGTCGATAATTTCATCGCCGCCGCGGATGCGGATGAGATCGCTTTCCTTCCTGTGCTCAGCATACTGATCCCGACATCTTCTACCGCCGGAGTGGCCGCAAGAGCGACCTTCGTTTGTAGTTCTGACGCAGCAGCAGGAGACTTCGGCGCGGCCGCCGCCTTCGGCGCTGTTGATGGCGACATCAACTGCTTCGCGATCGTTTCCGTGCTGGGGATGCTTTTTTTCTTTTCCGCAATCGCCTTCGCGAGGGTTTGCTGCATTTCCAACTTCTTGGACTTCGGGTAGTAGTGCTTCCCGTTCTTGTCCACATTCTTCCGCCATTCCTCCTCCTGTCGTCGCAATTTCTCGAAAAATTCCGCGCGTCTCCGCTTTGGCGGCTCCGGGGGGATTTCCCGCTGGTCTTCAAGCAATTGCACCTGCTTCACCTCCGCTTGCCGCTTCGCCGCCTTGTAGAGCGGCTTGGGGCGGGAAAAGCGGTGGGGAAATTTGTACTGCTTCGCAACTTTATGGCGGTGGCTGGGAGGAGGCGGCGGGCTCGGGTTCTGGCTCTTATTTTGTTGGTTTTGATTCTTTTCCTTTTGGTTTTCCCTGTTCTTCTGCGACGCGCTTTTGCTGTGTGCTCGGGCTTTCGCGCGTATCAAACTGGCGGCGGAGGAAGAGTTTTTTGTTTTCGTCCGGGCAACAACTTCATGCTGCATAAGGAACGAGAACGCCACACAGGCCGCCAGGGCGAAAGACGAGCCGCGTCCAGGCAGAACGAGCATTCCTTTGCTGGCCGCAAAGCAATGTTTTCTATTCCGGGAACAATTCCGCGGCCGGAGAAGATCGCGCTGTTCCCTCGCCTGGCCGCGGCCAGGCGAGGGCGAAGGCCCCATCTCAGTCATAACACGCCTCGCGCCTCACATTTTTCGACTGCTTCTGCTGTGATGCTAGCAGGCCTAAATCTACGGTCTTACCGTCCCTATGTTGATGCATCTTCATCTTGTATATCCAGTTAGTACCGTGTCCATAGATACTGTTCGTGCAGCAGCTTCGCTCCAACCTATACAAGGCGTCATATGAAACTGGTCCAGGTCCACTTGCTATTGAAGGCGAAATGCAAATCCAGCGGCCAAGAGGTTCAAGACAGTATTTGTCTTTCAATCCTCGTCGACGACCGCAAATAAACGCGAACGCCCCAAACTCGGCTGGTACTGCGGCGTAGATTGGTGCTTGCGAAAGATTGCGAACACCTGCGTCGCTGAGCTACATCCTTGCACGCCAAGAGGGACAAAACGGCCGCGCGCACGCCGACGCGACACATCGACCCACTTTCGGAAATGCGCTATCGGCTAGCGCGGCCCTGCTCAAGGAGGCAACGCGGACCGCATCGGTAGCCTATGTGCCTCTTCTGTCACTCCATGACCGTTCTGCAATTGCAACTCAACGCCACTCATCAAGATCCACGTCGGTCGCGCACTGGCATACTTTTTTTTTTGTTGCACTTCGAGCTTGTAGTTTCCTCTCATTTCTGCACATGAGCCACAACACCACTGCCGTTGCCAGACGCGAAAGATTGTTCTTGATGCCCAGTACTAGTTTATTTCTGAATCAAAATCATACACCTTTCATCTGGCATAGTTCCGTGCCCCGATGAAAAAAAGTCTTGGCATTCGTCACATTTCAGCAGCATCCTTGTCAGTCATCGCTAGGTGTTGCAGCTCGGTAAATATTTGATATTCGTTTGTGGATGCTTTATGGTTATTCGAAACTATGTATCGCACTCTTGAGATTCCACCAAGAATGCTCTCGCTAGATTTGAGAGCTTTCGTGAAGTCTTGACTTACTTTTGACGAATTTGTATTTCGGTTGAATTGAATAGAATAGTTAAGAGGGTTGCATAGATGTTGAATCACATGATGTTTTCCTGATGTTGATAGCGTGAGACTCAATGCGACACTTGATGTCCCGAGTTCAAAAAAAAATTCAAAATTGACGCTTCCGCACTTTTCGTTAGATTTCCTCCTTCTTGTCAATCTAATCTAAAAGAAGATCCTGCCTCTCGAGGACCCCGTTGCCCTTATTTCTCCGCTCCACTACACCTGCCCTCGCTGGAAACTGCTTCTCCACCGTCTTTTCATCTTGTCCGTATTGCTTACATCGGATAGATGATTCCCTGTGGTTGCTGCTGCACAATTGGCACCTGTTGCATCATCACTTGCCCGGGCTGCAGCTGCTGCTGCTGCTGCTGCTGCATGATCATCATCTGCGAGGGTTCTTGTTCAAATGTTTGCATCATCTCCTGCCCCTGCCCTACGAACTGTTCTTGCGTCGTCAGTCGACCATCAGGAGCGGCCTGCTGTACTAGTTGTTCCGAAGGGCGCTGAAATGCTGCTGTTTGTTCTGTGGACCCGAAAAATGATGACCCGTCTTGACTACCAGCTCCCGGCGGCGCGGATCCCGTGAAGGACGTGGCCTGTTGCAGTTCTTGCCCTGGTGCGGCCACAACTCCGCCCTGGAGTAGTTGTCCTTGTTGTGGATTTTCCAAAAGACCCTGCTGTTGCTGATCCTGCATTTGCAGCATCTGCATGTTCTGATTGGCGGTTGATCTGGGATCGATTTGTTCATCGCGATACAGGGCGTTGGAAGTGGAACCAGCAGGATTTGATGTCATCTGGTACAAATCATTGCTGTAGGCCTGGTTTATTTGTCCGCCATTCATCTTCCTGCCGTTCAAATCTTCGCTACTCCGCGGAGTGTTGAACCTTGACAGGTCACTACTCTTCCTCCTGTCCTCGTTGTTGACGCACACCGGGCCGCCGTGCATCTGCATCATGGGGTGCGATTCTTTCGCTGTGACCTCCAACTCCTGCGCGTCCGGGTTGAAATCGTTCCAAAACACGATCGGGCCGTGCTTTTTGCTAGATTTCGACCGGAACCAGTTACACCCGTGCGGCGCTGTCGATAGTCGGACCTCCTTCCGCAGCGTGTGGGCGTCGAACATCACGTCCTCCAAACAGGTGGCCCGGTTGTCCACCGGAATGTCGCACTGTTCCTTGCTGATCACCGAGGACTTCTCGACAAGCGTGTACTTCCCCGCGGTGCGCATCATCGCGGACGCCTGTTGGAGGAACATCTGCTCGTTGGTATTGTCGTAGGTGAGACCTTCCCGGGCAGACTGCAGAGCAGAAGTAGAGGTCATCATCTCCGCTCTGCTCTTTTCCACTAAACTCATACTGGTTAGCTTCGAGGGAGATGATACTGACGTTGTTGACATGGGTGCTCGTGTTCTACTTGTTGCGCCCTGCTGCAGTTCCACATTTTGTCGGTGCAACTCCTCGACCGCGTTTTGGGCTTCCGCCAGCTCACGCTTCTGCTCGTTTTGAATCCGCTGACTTTCCTCCCTTTCCGCCTCCAAAGAGTGCATCTGCTCCTCTAGCTGGTGCTCCTTCGCGCGCGCCTCGGCCTTCAGTCTTTCAATGGCGCCGGAGGTTTGCTCGGCGTCATCCTTCTCTGCGCTTTTTGTTGATGCATCTTGCTTTGCTTCTTGGCGGTGGAGGTGACTCGGGAATAGGGTCGGGTGGGCACCTGTGGTCGGTAAGAACATGTTTGCGTTTTCTTTTATTCTCCAATCTCGGTCAAACTCTACTTCATTCTTGTCCAATAAAACTGCTAGCACGAACAAAATTCTGCAAAACAAGCGAACAACTGCTGCATGTATACTGGGGCTTCATGTATGCATAGTACCCGCCAGAAAGTCGCCCTGCATGCTTGGGTAATAGTCCGTTCGTTGTGGCATCGGCTCAATTGGTCGATCCAACATGGCGGCTGCCGCTTCCGCAGGGGAGAGCAGGTCCTCGCCGGTTTGAAGGACATTCAGCGTGGGGCGGACGACCTGATCAAGATGTATGTGCATTTGACTCTTTCATATTGTTCTGAAGGATCATGACAAATGGCGGTAACTACGAATGCATGCCATGCGTTTGCGGTGTTGCGTCACGAGCTTGGGAATCCAACTTCAGTACTATCAACGTACAAAATTTCCATCTCAAACTACCGGATACTCTCGACCAAGAAGGGTGTCTTCCCAGGTAGCATCAAAGAAAAATTGCGCGGAATTTCTGCTCTTCGGAATTCCAATTCTGCCTCTACTGCATGACAGAAATGCTCTGTCATGCACTTGCAATTGCAGAGCAGCAGCGTTACGAAAATTCCTTTCGCTATCATTTTCGCATTCCATAGCGATTCCATAATACCGGGTGAGGTTTTTTCTTTTTCTTCGCTGCCTGTTCTTTTTGCTTCTTGGCGTTCAATTTCAAGTCATCCTTCTTTTTTCTCCCTTTCCCCGCATTTGCTGCTTTTGTCTTTTTCACACCTTTTCTACTTTCCTGCTTCTTTTCGCTTGCTACAGCAGCTTTTTTCTCGTCGATCTTGCAGTTCCCGTTGATTTTCCTGGTGCAGCTCACTTGCTTGTCCAGCGACCGGTTTCCCCGCACCAAGCCCGTTTTGTACAGGCAGCAGACTGCAGATTCGGCGGAATGATCGAGGGCTTTACACCCGGTGGTCTTGTCGCAGAGCTTTTTGCAGTCCTGCACGGTATCGCTGTAGCTGCACCGGGCGAAGTCAGGGCTCACCATGGCCTGCTGAAACTCCTCCTGTGCAGTCTTTTTGCTTTTATGTTTTTGTTGAGATGAGGCGGATTGTTGGGACAACGAAAATTGGTTCTCGTCGAATCCGAGTTCCTGCTCGCGGCAGTACCCGACTTCCGCTTCTTCGTATTCGCAGGACGACGCTGTTTGCTGCGAGGACGATTCTGTTGACGTAGTTTGGTCAGCCACTGTGGACTCACTTGCCGCTCCTTCGGTGCTGGCTTCTGACTCAGCGTCTGCTCCTTGTCCTTCTTCTGCCGCATTTTGGTCTCGTTGGTGCTCGAGAAAATCTTCGGAGTAGTCGGATTCAGTAGTTGTACTATCTTCGTCCGGCCCGGACCAGTCCTGTTCCTCCGCATCTAGCGAGGGCGCGACGCCGAAAGGATTCTTTTTGTAGTTTTTCTGCAAATTGTTCTCGTGACTGTCGTTCTTCTTCTTCTTCTTTCTCATGCTCATTTGTCCGTCAGTCATTCTCCTGCCTGTCTCCGACAAACTCAGCTCAATCCCAGGCGACGCAGCCTCGTCGCGTCTGTGCTGCACCAGTGCGGCGTTGCCGGTCGACGGTGCAGTAGCTCCCCCCGTTGCGGCCGCGGCTTTGGCGGAAGCTGCCGGTTTGTATTTTTGTAAAGGTTCTTGTGCAGGTTAGAAGTGAGTGACCAAACTCAAAGTAAAACTTCAGACGGATACTAGACGTGTTGCGCAGACGTCAGAGAACTACATGTCATGTCATACATGTATCTCAAATCCGTATAGTACCCGCGTCCAGTGGCGTCATCCCACTCGGCAGGGGCGGTGGCGGTGTTTGCTGCTGCGGGGTCGGGAAGGTTTGCGCTGCGGCGGGGTTCAACGCGGTCGCGTCCTCCACCGTTTTTTCCTCGCAGTCCACCATTTCCTTCAGGGATTTGGTCATATCCGCCAGGGCCTTGTCCGTCGAGGCCTTTTGCGCCACCATCTTCTGATACTGCGCCATTACGCCCGCGGTTGCTTTCTTGATAGCCTGTAATTACTCAGGACAAATCGTCGTGATCTTTATCTTTTGATGCAGTAAATGCTTCAGCTTCTCATGTTGATGCGACGTGTGCAGGTCAAATAAACGTCGTGCGTCACAGTTGTAAAGAAACCACAGAAATTCTAGAATTCTACATACCGAAGTGAACCCTCCGATGTCGGCCGTTCCGTTTCCCCCGCTGGTCCCCAATGACCGCGCGAGCAGCTTCTCGTTTGCCTCCGCCGCTTTTTTCACGTTGTCGGGATTACTCAAGGGCCCCGCCGAGTTTACGGCGGCAAAGTACATCAAATTGCCGGTGTCATCCATCTTCGGCTGCGACAGCGTCGCCACCAAATCCTCCGTCCCCTTCTGCGCCAGGACCTGCTGCTCCGGCCGACTCGGTGGCGGCTGCGGCACCGATCCGGCCGGGAGCCCGGCGGTCAACTGCGGGTAGATGTCGGGCGGGGTGATGGGCGGCTGCGGGCCGCCCACGGGCATGGTTGCCCCGCCGGCGTACGCCCCGTAGGTCGTCGCAACATTGCCCGCGGGGGTGCTGCCACCGGGGAACTGGAACTGACGACCATGCTGGTCTCGACTCGCTGCTCTTGTAGTTCCCTGCTGTTGCTGCTGCTGTTGAAAGGCGTGCTGGTGCAGGGTTATCGTGTGGGAGTTCTGGTTTTGCAGGCCCTGCTGCACGAGCACTCCGTGCACACCGGCTATCGCCACGCCGATGTGCACCACAGGTTGCTTCATCCTGGTATCCACATTTTGCAGTGGGAGAGGTGAAATAGGGAACAATTGTGAAGAGCGCTTGGCAGGCCTAGTTGAAATGGGCTAAGTAATTTTGTTGGAAAAAGTGTCAGCCGTGGAGGAAAAAATCCTTCACTCTCTACCTTGTTCTCTGTTCTACCCCCTCTCCCTCTCAGACTTAGTACTGATGTCGTGTTGCGCCCTCGCGCCGCTCAAACACAACACAGAGCAAGTAAAGCAGACAAAGAACTACACTGAGACTGGAGGTGCCTCATTGACTTTGTTTTTGTCATGCGGTTTGAGATGAAACCAAAAATTTCCCCCGCACACAAACGCATTGTCGAACAAAACGAACAAGGGAGAGTGTTGAAACGGACGGACTATCCGATCATCTAGCTCGGAGTGGAGAAAAATCCACAACGTTGACCTTTTTGCTGCGCTCGATCAATAAACTTCGAAACGAAAAATTGTAATGCGAAACAGAAACATTTTTCTGTAGAGCGTCTTCAAAAAATCCATCTGGAAGTGCCTTCTATCAGCCCGTGATGAAGTCCAGGTAGTCATTTGGGTCCGGCCCCTCCTGTGCGTCGGGCTTGGCACCTCCGCCCTTCGCTTTCCCCGCCTTCGCTTTTTTGCCCGGGGATTCCTTCTTATCTTTCTTCCCCGCCTTCTTCTTCCCGCCCCCCTCCGCCTTTTGGTTCCTTTCCTCGAAGTAGGCCGCGCGCTGGTCGAGAAATTCGTTCGCTTCGCCCACGTACTTTTCGCCCAACCGAAAATCCTGCTTCCGGAACGTCCAAAACCGCCACTGTCGCAGCGGGTCCTTCTCAAAGGTCGCGAGCAACGAGGCTTGCTTCTCGCACTCCTCCTGCACCATGTTCAGTGTGTACTTCGGCGGTTCGTCCCAGACCATGCCCGCCCCGATGTTCTGGTCCCACAGCGATCTCGTCCCGTACCACAAATAGTCCTCGCAGTAGCTCTCTTTCGGCAAATGCGGCGTGTCGATCCAACTCCGGGCGAACTCGATCAGCTTCTGCTTCCGGGAGAAAAACACCTTTTCCGGAAAGATCAATTCCCGCGGGTTCCGGGCCGGTTGCTTGTGATGTTGACCATGATGCGTGTGGAAGTGGTCGGAGTTTGTCGTGCTGTTGCTGTTTCGGGATTGCGCGGAGCTCGGGCGGTTCGAACCCCGATAGTCCGAGCTGATGCCCATGGAGGACAGCAAACTCGTCCTCCGGGAGGATTTGGTGCCAAACATGGACTGTTCCCCGTCGAAGCAGCTGCCGTATAGAATCTTCCCCCACAGCGTCCCCGCGCTGTAGTTGCGCAGGGGCTCGAAGGTCTGGTAGCACGCAACGTCCCCCGGGTTCAGTTGCGGCGTCTCCCGGCTGTCCATCGTGAATAAGGTGGATAAATACACACAGTACTTGTCCGGGAGAACCAAACAGAGGGTTTTACAGGGGAGTTTCTCCTTCTCTTCCGGGAGTTCGAAGAGAGATTTGTGCTTGTCGTCCTCCTCCTCATCCAGTAGCGACCCGGAGTTGTTGTTGTTCCCATTTCCGTTTCCGTTCGCGCCGGAATCGCCACTGTGCTTGCGCTTTTTCGGGTTGTACAAATCCGGGTCAAACTCCTCTGTGGTGCGCCACTCCATGTCGTCCGCAATGCCTTTCGCGAGTTTGTACACCCGCGCGTAGCTGCAGACGCCGTCGCAGAGCAGATCGACTAGCGACTCGTCAATCACAATGCGTCTTTTCGGGTTCAAACCCTGGGCGGCCTGCTCACCGGACAGGGAGGCCACGTGATAGACGTAGTCCTGAGAAAAGAGTTTTGGAAAATTGGTAGAGATGGTGGGATCAAGCGTGACTTCTGCGGGTGCTGGGTCATCCTTAGCAGCGTAGCACGACCAGGTTTCCGCACTAAACCTAAAGGGCATGATCACCACGCAAACGCAATACACAAAGCATTCAATCATACATAGAATAAACGCAAAAGGTAGAAATACCGGTCTCCACCCCTGCTCCTCCAAGCATTTCCCACAGTGAAAGGCCTCGTGAACATCCTCCAACCCTGCGTCTCTTAAATCTCTTTTGTCGTGTCCGTCGCGCTCCTTCATGATTTTCAGGAATTCCGTCTCATGCTTCCCGCGAAATCCCAATTTCGAGTGCTTCATCTGCAGCGACCGCTTCACCCCGTTCATCAAAGTACTGCCATCCGCTTCTTCCGCCCCGAAATTCTGGAATTTCGCGGTCAGGCCGTGGTGCGCGGCCCGCTCCGCTTCCCAGGCTTTCTTCGCTTTCTCGTACAGCGTGTAGTTGATGTGGGGCTGCGTCCAGGCCGGGTCGGGCCGGCAGCCCTTCTTCCAGTTTTTCTTCCGTTTCACGTATTCGAGTAACGTGTTTGCCCCATCCACGTCCTTCCGCGCGGCGCGCCGTTCCAACTTCGTCTTTCTGGACCTCACCTTCACCTCAATCTCGCCGATCTTCTCGTACTCGGACTCGCTGTCGCCCTCGGAGTCCGACGGAGAATACAGGATGGATTGGTCCCGTTTCGGCAACCGGTACAGCAGCAGTTTCACGTGGGTCTTCGGCGCGGTCTCGACGTTGCGCGTCATCCAAACCCGAAATAAAGTGCGGAACATCTTCACGGAAAGCTCCTCCTCCTCCCAGAGCCCAAACACGCACTGGAAGTCGTACTGCTGCTTTTTGTGTTCGGGCGCGACGGAGAGCACCTCGAACGCCTCGTCGCCGTCCTCGAAGGCTCTTTTCCCCTTCTGGTGCACGTGGTCCCGGAAAAGCGCCTCGCACAGCGGGTACACCCGCCGGTACAGCCGCGTGATCTTCGCGCGGGTCAGCCACATAAAAATTTTGGCCGCCATGTAATTCTTGTACTCCTCCGAGTTCTTCGCCGCCTTGCTCCAAACGGGCGGGACCGGGGCAGACATCTTGTCGCGGGAATTATGGGGATAGAAGAAGCTAAAGGATAGGGATGTTGAAATTACTTGAAAAAAAATTCTTGAAAAAAAATCCAACGAAAGAACCCGGTCGGAAACCTCCGACCACACCCCACCTAGGAGGTTTGCTGGGCCAGTTGCAATAAAGGCAAATACAAACTTCTACTTGATGACAGAAAACTTTTTTATTTTTTGTTCTTGCTTTTGAAACTTTACAGCTTTGAAATGGGGGTACAAAACGGATCAAAAAGAGGCCCTGGCGATCGTTATTCAGAACTTTGTTCCAAAGGATCTTCAAAAGTTGATGAGGCTACAGCCGCACATGTAGTGTGGTAGGTGAACGGAAACTACCCTTCATGCTTACAGTTGCACGATACGAGCTCGCGATGGCGGACCTCAGAAACAGTACGATGAGATGGAAAAACCACGCATTCCTTTACTAGTAAGTAAGTAGCACACAGATAAGTAGCGGCCGCGCCGACCTTTAGTTTAGATATATGAAGAGCCAGCATCAATGTCTCTTGCAAAATATGAGCACCAACGCGTACGCGACCGGTGGTGCATTGAGCGATGTGAAGGACGAAAAAAAGGTCTGCACGATCGTCACGAAAAAAAGTGCATCGAAAAAAAGAAGGCACTGGAGCCATAGGCCTTGAACGAGGCTACGTGCGGAAAACTCAAAAACATAAAGCACGAGAACTGTATACCAGGTTGAATACTGGTCTGGCCAGCCGACGAGCAACACATGACACATTGTGACACAGAGTACGCATAGCTAAATCTGCCCGCATCAAGCACAATCCGAATTGATAAATGGAAAGGGCGCTCCAGATTAGGCACGGCTGCAAAGTGGCGCGGGCCGCAACCCTCTTTGCCGGCGCGGCAACATTGCGGCCAACAACAAGGAAGGAAACTAATACCGGCGCCGGAGGCGAAAAGGCGCACCTGACTGCGCGCCCCCCCCCCCGCCAGGGAACTAGTCGACCCGCTGCCGGGGTCGATGCGAAATGAGGAAACTTCGCCTGCGCGCGGGGTGCGCGGGAGCTGGCGCACCCCCTCCAGCCCCTGCCTTCCCCTTTGGGGCGGCCCGCCTGAACATGCCCCCGGGCTTGGGGCATCCGGGCAACCAAGCAACGCCACGCGGGCGGGCCAGGGGGCCCGCGGGCGCCGGCCGCAGGCTTCTTGTAGGTATGTCGTACTCTTCTGCGCGTCGGTCAAGATGTCCTTCTGGTGGAACCAGTTGCGCTCGTCGCGCGCTTCATTCTCCCAAGGTTGCAGCCAGTCGCCGGATACTATGGCCACCAGCCTGATTGCGAAAGCCCGAAGTTTGGAACACCGTCCAAATGTTCTCGAATCACCAGAAAACTCTTCCGAATCAGATCCGCCGCATTGGTCTTGTTGCGACCGGCCCGCCCGTCTTTCCGCTTCGGGGCGCCGCCGGCCGAATTCGGAGCCGGGCGCCTCACACGTGGCCACGTCCGTCGCCGCGTCTGCGTGCCAGCAATAGCAAAAAGCTGGCGCGCGTTTTTCATCGTATGCTCCCCGCCTTCCGGTGCCCCCATGACTGACCGAGCCGCGAACCGAAGGCCGCGCGCTGCAGGATGTATGACGCCTTCCTCGTAGGCACTGCCCCCAGGCGGAGGGACGGAGGGTCTTTTGGGCGGCGTAATCGTTGCACATCCATCGGCTCGCGGCATGGGCTACGCGGCCGCCCGGCGCCCATTTGCGCAGAGCAGGCAGGCGGGCCAGGGGTCTCGTAGCCGGGCGCCGGCCTGCCTGGCGGAGGCATCTTCGGAAGCCTCGCCGCCTAGCTAGCCCGCCGCGCCCCGCCATAGACGGCCGGGCCAGGGGCCGGCCCCGGGCGCGAAAGATCGCGCCGCCCAACGCTGCACGCATGGCATAAAAGCAACACTGGCTGGGGCAACCGCGCAGGGGCGCTGGTAGCAGCGCGGCCAAACTTCTCCGCGCCGCTAGGCTGCGGCGCGCATGATTCAAAACCTCCGGGCGGGCGACCTATGCAGCGAGCGCCGTGGCCACAATCAACAGAGCGCGATGACGGTTCCTGTGCCCTTCATGGGCCCTGCGCCCTTGCCGGTATTCTCCATGTTCGCCAGTTTCGCCAACACTTCGCCCATGGTCCCAACCCGGGAAGCGGTCCCGGTTCCACCCGATGGCAGACCCACCCACAAGCGCCACCATGTTCAGGTAGAAAACCCCTGGGGCCACGGCGCTCGCCAAATCACGCCCGGCGGCGGCGCGCCTAATCCATGGCAACGAGCTACCTACGAGATGCCCTCGAGCGATCGTCCCTCGTCGGCCGAGTGTCGGCCGGGCCCGTCGCTTAATAGATCGCCGGGCCGCCTGCCCGTGAGCCTCACAAGCGGGGGGCGAAAAAATGAATGGGGCGCGTGCTCCCTCCGGGGAGCGCGCAGGCAGGTGAATCACCCGAGCCCCGGGGGGCCACTGGGCGGACGAATAGGACAGCGAGCGTCTGAAGCGACTGGGCAAGCGAGCCAAGTCGAGCAAAAGGCTGCCAACTGCACAAGCAAAACCGCCGCGAACCTCCTGCAAGTTGGACCAACACACGCCCCAGATCCTCCGCGTTTGTTGGATCTCGGTGGGGGAACCACGCCAGCCCTGCGGGGGATTCGTGCCGAGGAGGGGCCCACGATTGTAAAACGCCGGGGCTTCTCCGCTTAATTTCAGAAAGTCGCCGCGCTCCCCTTTCGCCCGGGATGTCGGGCCGACGTTCCCGGTGATGTCCAACGGATTCGCGATCGTGCTGAAGACGTATGCGCGCGCTGCTTTGGTAATAAAGGCGCGCCAAGTAATCGCCCAAGCGGGGGCGGCCGGCGGCGCAGCTGCTGGGGCCAAAAGATGCAGGCGCAACACGGCCCAGCCGGCGCGACCCCTCGACGTAAACGCTGCCCCTCAGCCTTTTGAATTCTCTATAGTCGCACGCGGACGCGCGCACTCGCACTCGCTGCAGAAGCAGACTGATATCATTCTTACTTTTTACAGCATGTGTCAAAAATGAACAACCACAACGTCGGCGTCGAGCATGCCATGGACTTCTTTTATGCTTTCTTTCTATGGTATATTGAAGCTCGCCGGTACTGTATTAGCACTAGGCATAAGCGTTTCGGAGCTATGTTCTACCGAAACATCATCAAGATGACCATGATGTAAATCATTTTGCACGGCCCATCATGGTCAAATAGGACTTGGCGTTCCCTTGCAGCCGTCCTCAGCTTCCAGGTATACAATCTCTCGCGTTTCCGGTCTTTTTTTCGGGTAATCCCCAAATTTCTCAAACACCTTGCCCTCCGTTAGCGCCTTTTTCCACTCTGCTTCTGTATCATACAACCGCAATACAAACCTGTGTGCCTTGGAGTAAGCATTTGAGCCAAAATCTCGGTACAAACCTGGGTAAGGACGCGTAGTGGGACAAGTACCAGACGACTCACTTGGTGTCGCAGTCGCTCCTGAAATGCCCTCTCCTCGCCAATGCCGATGCTTGCGATCCGACAAAACTTTCACGACAGCGACGTTGGGCGCTAAAGGGGAGGCCGGGGCGCAATCCGGGTCGAAACCCTGTTGCTCCACGGCTGTTCCGAAGAGCTGATTTTCTTCGATTTCTTCCGCGGTCCAGGCAGCGGGCTCTTGCTCTAGATAGGCTTTCAGTCCGTCTGTGCTTTCTTGCTGAATCTCCGTCTCGTACGTCGGAGCTAAAACAAGCTGTATGACCAACCCCGTACTCGACGACGCCTCCAGATCTGGGTTGCAAACCTGCCGCACCTCACGTCCGAGAAACACGAGACGGTTGTCCGCGGCGGCAACGCGATTGGTCGAAGCTGAAGGTGGTGCATCTCCGCTGGAACCTCGAGTCCAAGTGGGAAAGCCCTGAATGGCTTCGGTCATGACAGCTTCCTCGGCGCCAGCCGTAGGAGGCGAACTCGTCGTCGCACTACCTTTACCTCCTCCAGACCCGCCGATGTCAACGTGATTCCCAAAATACGCTGCCTTTCCAAAGTCGAAGCCCCCATCGGAGCCCGTCCATGAGGTGTCAGAAGAAAACAGCACCGGTTGCTTTGAGTCCCGTCCTTTCCCAGGCGTTTTGCTTACCTCCTGCAAATGCTTCCTCAACGCGTCCGAAAGAACGAGCTGAAACAGCTGCCCGGCGCCAAAGTAGTGAAGAAACACATCTGGGTTGCGATCGAGGGAAAGGAGGTACTGGGCTGTGTTGTTGGGATTCAGCACGGGGAGGGTATTCGTGGCCATTTTCCAATTCGGAAGACGATTATATGCGCACAAACTCTTTTTCACGATCACGGCCGCGGGTCGGTGTGACCATAGAAATTGCAAAGAGAGAGACCTCGGCAACATCGCGCTACTTGATGTAGTACCTACTGCTCCTGAACACGACTGATTCTTTTTCGGGTTTTGTTGATCCCGATGATGTCCATGTTTAGTTCCTTTTTACTGGGCGGAAGTGTCACCAAACTACACAAATGCTGCACAAATTTTACCAAAATCAGTCGAGTACACACATTTTAATTTCGTCATCAATGTAGTCCTCCAGGGTCGAAATCGTACAGAAGTAGAGCCAACGTGGTTTTGCATTCTTGCTACTATTACACTCCTGGTCCTAACAAATCTATTTTACATGTCCTGTAGCATGACAGAATAGTGGTGAATGCACGTCACAAAAAAGCCGTGTAGTTATTAGCTATGGCGAAGATCATTCGGAAACCAAAAGCGTCAAGAAAACCAACCATCAAGCTCAAGATAAAAAAAGATGATAGAACGAGAAACTGTCTATGCCTACATTTTATGAATCAAATTCAGGTGTACTATTACATCACAGCTCTTCACTCCGCGCACTGTTTCCCCCAACACTCCGTCTCCGCAGCGGCGTATTCTGCGGCAAAGCGCTATTGATCCGCTCCGGCGAAGACCGCTGTGGTGAGTGCTGGTTCCCGCAATTTGTAGTGCAGCAGCCGAAGAGAAGGTAATCAGGAAGGAGATTGGACAAAGGACCTGAACAAGATGGAACGAGTACATTCGTAATTTCACGGAAATGCATGCGCAGAAAATGGAATTCTGATAGTTCTGATCCGGAAAGCTCAAGCTACATTCTGAATCTCGTTCAAATCCAGCAAAACAAAGTGCAAAACCTCATAGGGAAAACGAAAAGTTTAAGTTGTAGAAATAGAATACCTCTTTCCTCCTTCCTCGCGTCGTCAAAGTAGTTGTCCAAACTGGACACACCGTTCCTGTTCCTGATCACACTCCCGGGGTTCCTCGCCAAAACGACGTCATCCGGTTTCCTTGCTGACAATTGTTCCCTTATTTCTTCGTCGCTGTCCTCATCCCGCCAGCCGTCGAAGGTTACCTGGTCCGCAATGTGGTACGAAACCCTTGGCGTCGGCGAGAGACTGCTGCGGATGCCGATGGAGCAGGAGCTTTCCTCGTCTTCGGTAAAGCTCCCAAAGTCCTCCTCCTCCGAGAGTAGAGAGGGTGAATACTGCTGCTCGAGCAACTCTTCCTGGAGTTTTTTGTCCACAAACGGACGAGGCGCTTTTTCCTCCGTGAGCGCACGCGGGAGCTGGATCACGGAGGGCTGCACGAGGTTCGGGTGGGAAGCACCGAGGGAAGGAGCGCCGTCTGAGTCAAGTAGACGGAATTCAATCGTTGACTTCGAGAATGTAAGAGTGCAGAAGTTGCGTCAATCCAAGCACTAGAAGCCAACTGGAACAACAAGGAACAACAACCTCGAAAGGTACAATCCTACGTACTTACTTAGTCCTTCTCCCAGAGAGGACACCAGATACCACAAAAGAAAAGTATGAATGTAATACCACTGGGCGTGGGCACACCGGTCGAGGCAGGCGAAAACTCGGGGTAGTGATCTTTCACTTCGTACCTTTTCGCAGCAGAAGTTGTTGTACTGGAGGATGATAAATTCATCTGGTGTTTCGGAGACCTCGGCGCGTTGCTCCTGCCACCTTTCGTGGACAATAAACTGCCAGCTGCATTTTTCGGACTCGTCGCGCATAAACGCGATGGGCTCGAGGAAGCTGCTGAGCCGGAGCGGCGTCGCTCTTTCGCCGGCGCGGCTACTGGCGTTACCGCGTCATAAGACTGGGCGTCGACGTCCTGCATTTTTACTTTCTTTTTCGGCGAGGAAGCTGACACTAACCTCCTGGTGATGATGATCATACTTATCTGCACATATGGCCGAGAAAATCATGCGTTGTGCCAACGTAGCACAAGGAAGCACAAGCGAGTAGTTTAAATGTACATACTCATACTCTGTAATATCACAACATGCATCTTCATCATGCCGTCGCATCTATATTTCGTAGAGCAACAGAAAAAAATGTGTAGCAGATCAAAACTCATGTATCGCCACAATACAATACAATACAATAATTGTTCACAAAAAACGTTTTTTGTGTGCAGGTCCCAAAAAGGGGGGGGCAAAGGCCTAAATTTGCGTCTCACCTCGCATGGGAAGATGCGGTTCCCAGGTACCTCGTCAGCCTCACGTAGATCATGGGAAGATGCGTCTCGAGCCTCACGTAGAGACGAGTGTAGTATGTTCGGAAGAGATCGCTGCGAGAACTTGGAAGAGGAACTTTTCAGACTCGCTTTGATAGCACGAGCATCAATGCAGACTTACGTATTCGCTTCAGCAATGCGTCGCGGACCGACGTTCGCTAAAGGCCAAGATCATCCTGCATACGCCTACGAATCTTCTACGTCTTGTTCTTCAGGTACCAAATCAATCTCGCCGTTGTTCACCAACTGAATTAGACATGCACATGCTTCCACTTTGCGTTTTGGTTTTGCGTCGTTGAACAGGCATCTTTTCATCTCGAACATGAACAGAAGGAAGAGCAGTTGAAAACCAACTGAAATAGAGCACTTAGGCTCATCAAGAGACTTGCTAAGTCACAGTCGGGAAAAAGTAGTGTGCTGTCATTGTTCGACATGTTTCTATCGTTTTGTACAAAGAAGTGGCACTCCACCCTTTCAGTTTCATGATCATACACGATGGCGAAATGGTTTCTAGGAAATTGATATTCACGAGGGAGTAGTTGTTAGTAGTTGAGTATTTTTTTACAAAAAAGAGCATATAATTTTTTGTTTGGCTGGTTGCGTGGGGTCGCAAAAGCAGTACGCCTGTTCTCCTGGGCCCCGAAATAAAGAACAAAATTTCATCTACACATACTGCATCCTGGCCATTTTCCGTTGGGCAACTTTCGTGACTACAGGAACATTCTTCACTGGCCTCTGCATTTCCGTCCCGCGCCCAGAGTTGCCACCTCCGCCCGCACCGCTTGGCTTATTTTTCTGCTGCATGCTGCCGGCGTTCATCACAGCTGCACCACTAGCACCCCGTATTTCTCCGCTCGTCCCGGAGGTCCCGCTGTCCACGATTGGTATGCTGATCTTCAGGGGTTGATCGCGGAGAAAGTAGTCCCGCACGTCCTGTTCTTTCTGCAACACATCTCGTCTCAGCTGGTCCACCAACGAGGCCAGGTTCCAAGTGTGCAACCGCCACTCTTCCTTCTCGAGGTGCAAGTGCTTCAAAGACTTCGCGTCCGACCGTGGTCGCTTGCTCACCGTGGCGCCACTGGTGGTTGTTGCGGCGGAGGAAAACTCGTTCGGGTTTTTGTTTTTGTCGCCTACATTTGATGTTCCGCCTGCCACGCCGCCGGTGGAGAGTTCGAGGCCGTGGCTGGCCAGCTCCGCCCTCGCGATGGAAAGTTGGTGTGCGGTCTCTTGAAAACCCTCCCTAAGCACGTCGGTCCAGGAGGGGCCGAGGTTGGGCTCGAGGAGGGACTGGATATGCGCGTCGGAGAGACCCAGACCGGCGCAGACTTTGATCTGAAGAAGATCATGTGGGGTTGAAACGACCATCTCCACAGCTTCTAGAAAGACTGTTGATCTTGATTTCCAGTTTCGATATTAATGCCCAGGAGGCCACTCGAGAAAATAAACAGCGAGGCTTTCTTCTAAGTGGAACAATGAAGCAAAAATGAAAAACTCGTCACCAGCTGCACACCAACAATACCATTGAATCATGATTATACTTTCGGTGTGTTTGTCTTGAAGCGGCCCCGCTGCAGTGACAAATTGTGCATCACCGACGGATCCAGGCCAGCGTTTGGTGGGAGCAGGTCTAGCCAAACGCCCTTCAACCAGCGCCCGGGGTCTTGCAGAATTGCACGTAAGCTCACGTACCTTTTGATTTTTTGGATCGATCTCCTACTGCGTGCTGCACACATGCTTCATTTTTGTGATGCCGCGATGGCATGATCTCTATACTAACTTTCATCCTACAGTACATCCGAATCGAGGAACGAGCGGGCGCAATGAAAAACATTGATACGTTTCAAACGTCTGCCTTGGGAGAAATTTGTTTTGAATCTGGATCTTGACGTAGGAAAACACCCCGGCTTGCGCCAGCAAATCTTTCCGGCAGTCGTCACGGAGTCGCATCTTGGTCTTCAAAAAGTTGTCTATCACGGAATCCTCTGGTAAATCCGTGTCCAGTTCCTCCATGAACGTCCAGTCTTCGTCCCGCGGCAACGCCTCCACCGGACAACTCCCGCCCACGTCGGGGGCTAAGGGGTTGAAGTGCGCACCCTGCCCGACTCCGCTGTTGACGTCGGTGATTTTCGGAAACGAAGACGGGTCGAGGAGGAAGTGTTTGTCAAAATCCCGCACGTGGAAGTCGCGGATCTGCTCCGCTTTGGGTGCCTTCGCCCCGTAGTATTCGAACACGTGCACGTTGGAGCTGAAAAAATCCTCGTTGACGAAATTGTCCGCTTCGAAAACGCGTCGGCTGTCATGATCTCTTTCCACGATCACCTGCGTCATGATGCATCTGGTTGCACGGAACAACCGTTCCTCCGGCCGGAGGGGGTGCAGCCCGTCGAGAATGGCGAACCAGAAAGGGTTCGAACCCGGCTGGAGCTGGATCTCCACCTGCTTGTTCATTCTTTTCAACCTTGATTTATTTCCGAGAAGTAGCAGTAGCAGCTACTATTTCGAAACCTTTTGAAAGATGCGCACCAAATCTTTTAGGTAGACGATGCCCGAAACATCCGAATTGACGAGAGCGGCTGCTCGTGGAGGCACGCTAGACCTTGGAGTTGTGGTTGTCCTAGGCCTAGCTGTAAAGTCGACCATTACTTAGAAAAAAAAAACCTAGACGGACTGCTACAACTCGTCCCGGCGATGAAGGCTTCGTATTGGTATATATGTGCGTTGTCACAAAAAATGAAATGATAATGATGATTTTAACAGAGGACGACTATGAGCTCAGAAATATCCCCCCCAGGCCCTTGAATTCCGAGAAGCGAAGAGTCCCTTTTTGTTCACGACTGAAATTGACCTTGAACTTTGCATTGAACGATGGACAAGTGAAATTATCGATGAGGATGAACTTTCCACCGAGATGGATCAACATCAAACCTCACAAAGGTGGACCACGAGCGACGACCCCGCACAAAATGAAAACGTGAAGGCGGACCAAACAAGGCGCCAACATCAAGAGAGGAAGAGCCAACCACATGCAGTTCCTGATGTGCTTTGCGAAATACGTTTCGGCGGTTCAGGTTTTCTTTGCGGCCGCATAGGCTTTTTCTTTTGGCCATCGTGTTCGTGTTAAATCCATTTGTACAAGTACAACATCTTCAACGAGATAATTTCTTCACCTATTCTTCTTCGTGGTGCTATTGTTTGAAACTTGGCAAACCTCCGAGACTACATTCAGCGTAGGCACAATGCTAGTCCTACTGTTCTTCTTTTGCGTTCATCAATTCTACATTTAGCTTCTACGACCTCAGGCTGCTGTCGAGCGCTCGTAGTTCGATCTTGCTCTCCTTCGCAATTGGATCATTTTTGACAGCAGCTTGTTTGTGTTTCGTTTCGATGCATCCTAGTAGTATCTATAACGTTAGCATTTGATTTGAATTTGCTTCGGACCGTAGGGGTAGTGCGTGTTGAAAATTACGAAAAGCCTCGCTTAATTACTCAAGCATAGCTCTCCCCGGGCTTCCACAAAACCGACGGCAAATCGTTCGGCGTCGGCATCCCCGGACTGCAGATCTCTTCATCGTTCGGCGAAATGCGTATCCTTTCTGCCTGTGACACATTCTGCAACAGGTTCTGCTCATCGACCACTTTCTGGGCGAGGAACGACGCGAATTCGCGCCCTGGGAGGTCTTTAACCCAAGTCGGCAGTTTCTTGTCCGGCCCGCCGGCGCCGCGACCTGGTGTTGTAGTTGCACAATGAATGTTGATGTTGAATACAGAGTCGTCTCAAAGCAAAAAAGTTCTGCTTCCTCTTCGGGCGGAAAATTTGTGAAATGAATCGATTCTACGAAGGGAAGAACTACAGTACCTCTCCTGGTCCCCTTGCTCGCAGCATTTGGTGGGTCGGCGAGGCGATTTATATGCGCCTTCGCGTCCGCGAATTGCTGATAGTTCATTTTATTAGCAGCACCAGCAGCCGCTGCACTGTTACTCTTGTCTCCAGCAGCAGAACCCGCACCAGTGCTCACATTCACGCTGCTTGGCACGACAAACGTCTGCATCTTCTCCGTCCCGCCGTGCTGCTCCGCCATTTCGCGCTTTTTCTTTTTCGCGCCCGGCTGCTTCTTCTTCTTTTTCCGCTCGACTCGCTTCTCGCCCCGGGCCAGGATCCGGGCCAAGCGCGCCCGCATGTCGCTCCACACAGTGGCGGAGCCGTTGGCCAGGGGACCGGGGAGCCCCTGAATGGACTGGAATTTCCGCGTTTTCTCCACCACTTGCTCCTCCTGTCCCTTGACCCAGTAAAGGATATCGTCCGCTTTCGTTGCGAGCCAAGGTTTCAGCTGGTTCGAATAAACCTGATAGATTTGGGTGGGGTACAACGCATTTCTGGGATGCATAGCATAAGCATTATACGAACCAAAATCTATGCAAAACAAAACGGAATATTTTGACAAAACACGCTGCCAAAATTCTCCCACTCACCTCTGGTATCCTTATTGGCAGATCGTAAGTCGGCAACGGCTCTTCCACCTGTCCTTGCTCTCGCAAATACACTTCAAACCTGGCCACGAAGTCCCGCACCGTTTCTGCCTCTTTTGTGGGCGACATCACTGCAGGTAAAAGTTTGTCGGCGGAGGATGCGTGTAGTTTCGCAGCAGGGGCAAGCGCAGCAGTAGAAGCGTTGACCTTAGAAGTTGTACTTGATAGAGCAGCTGCTTCACCTGCACTCCCGCTCGTGGGATTTTGGCGTTGAACTTGAAACCCGACGCTGCTGCTGAGTTTTGGTGGACTGTGACTCCTGGGCCGGTTCCACTGCTCCACGTCATCCTGCGAGGGGAAACGCAGGAACTCCGGCGCCCCGAACCGCTGCGGCACGCCGAGGGGCAGTTCATTTTGCGTGGTGGAAAACCCGGATCGCCACCCGTGGCCGGTCTCGACCAGCATGGTCCGTTTCCCCTTGCTATCGGCGACCGTGCTGCTCATCTCCTGCCCGGAGTGCAAGCTGGACAACTTCGTTTTCCCCGGACTTGATGCAGCAGTCCCATGATGTAATGATGACCCCCCGGCCTTCGGTTGTTGATGAAACATGTTGACGTTGCCAGCCGCACCGCTCGCCCTTCGCCGCCGGAAGTCCTCGACTTTCCCCACCACCAAGTACTTGTCCGGCCGTCTCTTCGCCTGGGAAAAGTACATGCCAGCCGCCTCCGTTTGGGTCTGGTAGAAGGGGTGCGGGTCTTTGTCCTGTGGCATTCGGCCGCCCCCGGGGCGAAGGGATTTCGGAATCAGGCTGAAATCTTGATGTTTCTTGCCAGGACTCGCAGGTGATGTTGCGACTGGTTGATGATGTTTTCCCGGGCTAGTGGAAGGGGAAGACATGGACTGTTTCATCGCCGCCGCCCGCTCTACCCGGTTGTACGGACCGACGCTGGTGAGAAGCGCCGAAGCCTTGACCTGAAAGGACGGAATGATCATCAAGCAGCAGCTACCGTTCCGACAACTCCCACTTCTAGTTCCAATGCATGGTCATGTTGGGTCATTCAACATATTCTAAATAAAATGCGCCGTGCTCATGACCATGAGCATGCTTCTTCATACGAGGAGTCCCTTCACGCTCACTCTCAGTCTCACAAATTATCATTCCAAATCAATATACCGGCGCAATTTTCTCCAAATCCATTTGCAGCCTCTTTGCTGCGTCCAAGAGCTCCAGTATCCGTGCGCGGTTCGTCAGCTTGTTGTTCTTACCGCCGGATGGTCCGGGGAAGAGAAAAACCGCTCGGATATCCCTGGTCACTTCGAACATCTGCCGTTGCACGAACAATAACGTTTCGTCCTCGTATGGATTGCAAAAATGTCTGGGTCTGGAAACTCGTAATGCTGCGTTGGGTATAATGAATGCTCTGTAATGCACAGCCAAGCATGAGAAATATCTGCGCTTCTTTGTGTTGCGTTTTTCTTTTTCGCATGACAAACTGCGTTTTTGCATGACAGGCAAAAGAGTCTCTTCTTGGATACGCATCGCAAACTTTTTGGTCATGCCAGACAAGCATGACAAATCTCGCAATCTTCCAGACCCACGCATTTTCGTATTTGATACCTCGGTCTGGAAGTTCATCTGGTACCATTTCTCAAACTGCTTCGCCTCGTCTTGCTCGTCGTGGAGCAGTTGTTCTTCCTGTAGCTGCTGCTCTACCTGCTTCCGGGAGGTGTGCTGTTGTTGTTGACTAGTTGTTCCCGCCCCGAAGACCTCGGTGGTTGAAACTGCCGCAGAAAACAAGTTCTGCTGTGAAAAAGTCCCCGCGTCAGCTGCTGTTGTAGTTCCTTGTCCTTCTAAAAACGCACGACTGTTCGCCAGCGAGCTGGGTAAGTGTGGCGCTGCGGCGATTGTCATGGACTTGTTCGACTGTCTGGGCGAGCTAAGAGATGTGGACGACGAAGCCCCGCCTTTGCCGACTAGAATCCCGCCAATGCCAGTGTGCAGTTGCTCCGTAGTAGACTGGGACGGCTCAAAGAACCCGGCGTGAGGACTATCGGCGTGTTGATCTACACCTACCACTTTGCTGGAGGAGATGGTCGGAAATTCAAAGTCATCCGCCGCCATCTGGAAAAATTGCTGCGGCAAGGGCTGGACTTTTTTCACGTCCTCCAATTTGAATTCGACCGTCTCCAAGTGGTCCGCGCTGGTCGTGTGAAGGAAGAGGGTGCCGAGGAAGAAGAGGAAGGAACTGTAGCTCAAGTGACACCAGATCACGGTCAGGTCAAACAGAAAAAGCGCAAATTGGTCGATCGTCATCCGCCGTTCGTCGATGGGACCTTTAAGGCGTACTTTATTGATTTCAATTTCAGCCGTGCCAGTACTTGATGCAGTAGAACGATTGGCGGATTCTGTCGAATGTTGAAGATTGATAGAAAACAATGCAGGACAGCTTGCATCAAAAAATCATCTCGGAGGTATGCAAGCGTACAAAACTCCTAAATTACGTTGGTCTTCCATGCTCGACTGATGCGATTGGGAATCGTCCGACGTCAAAGTAGTGTTATCCGCGGCTACGATGGTAGTCGACTCCAGCCAGTCTGTAACCGCAGATGCGCGGGCCGTACTTAAGTCGAGTTCTTGCTCTTGGAGGAGAACGCGCTGGAGCAAGATATTGAACTGGAGGAAGGTATCTGTTGAATTCATTTGTAGCATAATCGCGACTGATTTTGCTTGATCTTGGTGTGAAGAACAGGATACACGACAACCACGACGTCAAGAACAGACCTCACAAAGAAATTACCCATCCCAATCGTGCTCGACTCCACCACTGGAGTAGCAGCCCTTCCCGACTGCTTTGCCTCCCTATCCCTCTCCCTCTGTTCCTTACTCGCTGCGGTTTTCAGAAGCGTGCGCCAGAACTTGAGCAGCGTTTGCTGTATGGCCGGGGTTTGAAACAGGCACAGTTTGCGCTCGACATTCAAACCGTGTTCCTCTTCACTATCGGCGTTCGAACCAGCGTCGTTCCCCTGTAGTTTTGAAGAAGGTAGTTTGTACTACAACATCTTCGTGTGACGATAGAAGCAGCGAGATCAGTACTTAGAGCATTCGTGGAGAAAGATGAACATGAATCTGCATGTTTAAGTTTATGCGCTTCATACATGAGGTCAAGGTCATGGTCATGAGTTCTCCTGCATATAAAAATGCAAAACTAGCAGGCAAGTAAGTAGCTGCTTCTAACCAGATTCAAGGCTGCGTCTTCGTCCGCGCTTTGTAGATGCACCGCCTCCGCCGCTTCATCCCGCTGCTGCACGTATTTCGACAGAAATTGCTCGTCAAACCCCGATATGGATTGCAAATACGTCTGGGTCTGGAAACTTGTAATGCTAAAAGTGAACGATAGACACACTGCAATACGCAGCGACGCATGACAATTTTTTGGCTGCCATGTGTTACGTATTCCGCATGGCAAACTGCGTTTTTGCATGACAGATAAGAGGACCTTTTCGTGCCTATGCAACACAGATCCTCGAGGCATGCCAGACAAGCATGACAACCTTGCTTTCTTCCAGACCCAGACATTTTTACATTTGATACCCGACTCCTTGTTTGGCGACGAAGATTGACCGATCGCCAGCGAGCTGCCGCTCGCCCCATGGTCCAGACTGGCGGAAATCATCTTGACGACGAAACAGAGCTGTCAGCGCCGGGCGGGAAGCAGCAGCTGTGGAGGAGCGAAACCGAACGGAAATGTTCAGTAATTGCTCGAGCAGTGGAATCTGTTTCAGTAGTTTCTTCTGAGGGCCTTCTTTATCACTTCATTTTTGTCTTGGACAACTTGGACAGCAGTTACATCGCTCTCCAACTATGTTTTGTTCAGAGTGAGTCTTCTAAGCTACAACTTTTCAACAATGTGATAGATACATACTCATTATCACAGCGACGGGAGCAGAAAATGAAGCGAAAAGAATTACTAGCCGCAGCAACTCCACGAGCTCTCACATCTTATTGCCTCCTCGTCAATAAAGCACCAACGAAGACCGCACGACCTTCAGTCACATCGACGCGCTGCTCGCCTTGCCAAAAAGCGACAGCGAGCGACTGTCGAATCTTGACCGCGAACGAAATGGATGCACCAGCCAGTAGATCTGTTGTCACGAGGCGAAAGTCAAAATCACAGCTACGATGAAAACCGAGAACCGATCAGGAATATCCCGTGTAATTACGAATAAATCGAAGCGGAGCAAGACGACGAAGGATCGGTGAGACGATATTGCGATAGCAGCATCCATGGTAGAAAAGCAACACAAATAAAACTGGAGCATTTACAGCTGCATAGCCACCTGTGAACTGACAAAGTCTAAGGCAGCGTAAATCACTTTCCGAAAACAGAAAGCTTGTTCGTGGTTTGTTGCTGCGACTGTATTTTTCATGTGATTGGACCCTGGACCTTGTCGATGATTCATCAAGTGGAGGTTCCACCGTGGACAATTATTTCCTGCAGACATTCTTTTTTCTCTTTATCTGTTTCGACTGATTTCGATGTTACTCAGGAACTCCACACAGAATCTCGGCCGCATGGAGCCATACATTTTCCTGTATCACTTTACTGTGCTTCGACTACAAAATACGCTGATGATTTCCAAAAAATCTGGTTGCTTCGGATATTCACCTTCGGTTTCGGTCGCTTCGGTTAATATTTGTGAAATAGAAACAAGCTCTGCGGTCAAATCTGGCGTTCGAGTTCGACCGGGAAGTGTTATTTCGGTTTGTTACAAGTATTAAGGTTACGAGAAAAAGCTCGAGATGTAGTGTACGATCGAAAATTGTTTGTACTGCTGCGACTTTTACAAGCACTTTCCCCTGCGCGGCGCACCATCAATCCACTCACTTGTTGGGTCCGGCCGCACCCCCGGTCGCGCCACTGCTGCTCGACGCGGCGGCACCCGCGGTACCACCACTCCCTGCTGCCGCTCCTGTCTTACTTCCGGCCGGTGTGCCCCGCTTGGCCGTTGACTGCGAGTGGTGCACGGAGTTCACTTGCGCGGCGAATCTCAAGCTGTTGATCGATTCCGACAAGTATTTGTCCAACGGGGAGATGTTCGCAAACATCAAGGTCTTGCTGTCCCCCCCGAGACTGTCTTTCAGCATCTGGGTGAGCTTGCTGTCCCGGTAGGGGATGTGCGACGACTTGTTATCCGATAGCGCCGTGATCACGCCTGCTAAAGCGGACAAAGACTTATTGATGTGCTGGGCCTCTTTCATCCGATCCCCGGTCGCTTTTGATTTCTCCACCCGCTCGGAGCCGGCTAAATCCACCAAAGACAGCAGCCCCTTCAAGGTCGTGTTCCGGGGCCCCTTCCCGTGGAGGTTCAGCTGGAACACCGTGTGCGACCGCGAGGACCGGTCGTTGATCGCGGTACTGGCGTAGGACCGGAGCGAGTGCGCTCGTTGCAAGGCGTCGCGGACGTCCTCCTCCCGCTCCACCTTGAACGTGCTGGCGTTCGTGGTGCTCTCGTGGTCGGGGGCCATGATGACGCTGACGTCCTTGCCCTTGTTCAGCAAGTCCCGGATGTTCTCGTTGTAGATCTCCATGAAGCTGATCGAGCACTCAAACTGCCACCCGCTCGTGTTCCGCATGTGCTGAAACACGTGCTTTACCGCCCGGGGGATCATGCCCGCGTTGCGCTCGAAATTCTTTTCCGTGATCGCCTGCTGAGGGGGGCCCTCCATCGTGTAAGTCTTGCCGCTGCCTGTGATGGACATTTGCCGCTCAGTTGCTGATGCTTATGCATGGTTTCAGTTAAGAAGTGCAGTACGGAACGACCGCAAAACAAAACAAATGCGATCTCGAGAACAAAAATCCACATTACCTGTCTGCCCATAGGCGAATATCGCGACCTTGTACCCGTCCAGCGCCGATTTGACCAGCTGCGAGATTTCCTCAAACACGATCTTCTGGCTTGCGTCCGTGTTGAAGACCCGGTCGTAGTGAAACGTCCACTTGTTCGTCTGTTTCTCGCACCCGCTCACGTTTAAAAACGATGCGCTTTCCAGTTCCATGTTCCCGCTGCGCTCGTCAATCTTCATCTGCGCCGCCTTCTCCTTGTTGGATTCCTCCGCTGGCGTCATCGGGCGGATCCGGACGAAAACCCGGATGTTCCCCTTCACCTCAATGTACTCGTTGAACTGTTTATGAACTGCAAAAGTATCTTATTCGTATAAATGCATGACAAATTTCCTCAGCATGAGAAATAAAATTTGTATATGCAGATTTGCCTTGGAAACAAGATTTGTAATGCAAGACTTGCATTTGTACGAGTACGATACTTTTGCACAGGATACCGTTCCTTCGTTTTCAACACCAACAGCGACCTTTTCTGCTGGATCTTCTGCTTGTACAGTTGCGCTTCCTCGATGCGCGCCTTCCAGGACTCGATCTCCTTCAACTTCGCCATCTCCTCCTTGTGTCGCAGTTTGAACTCCTCTTCAATGCACTTTTTCCGGTTGTTGTGCTTCGCGATCTCCTCGAGTTCCAGCTGCTTCGTCCGCTGCAGCGTATCAAACCGCTCCGTGGCGTAGCGGAGCTCTTTCCGGCTAATCTCCACCTTCCGCTCCATCTCGTCCTTCTGCTTTTTCTTCGCCTGGATCTTCGCCTGCCACGTTTCGCGGGCGGACTTGAGTCTCTCGATGAACTCGTCGCGTTGCATCACTGCTTCCTCCTCTTTAATCGTTAGTTCTGCTTCCTCGCGTTGCAGCTCCTGCACCGTCTTCTCCGCCTTTTTCCGCCGCTCCGAGAGCTCCTGGATCTCCAGGTTGAGTTTGTTCCTCTCCTCCTCAAGCTCCTTCGTTTCCGCGGTAATCGCCGTACTCGCGGCCAACTTCGCGGTCCACCCGCCCACGCGCTTTCCCTGTTGTTCCGGGTTGTTCGCGGAAGCCGGTTGTTGGCCCTGGGAAGAAGGAAGAGGTGGAGTTTTTGACGAGTCATCGGCATGTGGAAATTGTGCATTCCAGATAGTAGAGACTAAAAAGGCATGACATTTCAGAGGAATGGGGATCCGTGCACAGTTGAACAGTATACCAATTCAGGTTACACCAAACATCAAGATGAAAATCTCTACCAATCTCGGAGAGGGCGGTCTTCCCGCCTTTGCAACCGAGCCCAGCCCAACCAAGGTCATATCCCCGGTGGCGCTCCGCGGCGTTCCCGCCCTTGCTTTCGCGCCGATCGGCGGTCCGTACCCGCTGCTTTGTGCGTTCGCGTACAAGCCATGTCGCGCTGGGGGTCCCTGCCGTGGCGGGGTGTTGCGCCGCAACGGCGGGTTGTACTTGTGAAACGAGGAGGAGGCCGAGGAGCCGCCAATCTGTTCGCTCGCACCGGGCAAGAGGAGGCCGCTGCTCGAAGCCGACGTATTGTTCCCGATGGCTGCGGCGCCCACGGCAGCCGAGGAGTTGAGTAGCGAGCTGTTGGCGCCGGAGAGACTGAGTAACGACAAGTCCTGCTGCTGCAAGCGTTGCGGCGCTACAGCGCGGACCTGAGAAGACGATTTTAGGATTTTAGGTCGTTCAGAAGCGCGGGTAGTAAATTTTCTTGATGCTGTAATATTTGGAGCTGCTTCTTATCTCTATGATCTCTGTCTTCTGTATGGGCACTGCAACTCCAACTGCTGTGGCTCACGCTTTGTGCAACAATTTCCGTCGAAGTAGTGGCATCATCTCGGACTACCTTCACAGAGGGAAGGCGCAGAAGACTGGCCCTCAGGGATTGAGAGGGTCGCGCCCGGGAGGTGGGCTTGCTTTCATCTGGGTCGTCTGGCACTTGATTTTTTGCGTTCGATTCAGTTTCGATCGATATCGAGGTCGAAGGTGCTCGCTCGTTATGCTCTCTCATTTCCGCTCGCCTGCTTACACTTATCCTAGGTTGATGTAAACAGGTCGGACCGCCGGAACCCTTCATAGTTGAACCGTTCTTTTCGCTGCCCATTTGTGTCCGCTGCAAGTGTAAGTTGTCGTCATGTCCTCGCGCCGAAGGTTTGTCCACACTCTGTCTCTGAGACTGAGCTTTCCAGCTGTCATAATCCCGATTTCGCACAGTGACGCTCCTCCTGCTGCAACTCCTGCGGCTGATGTGCAATAGCGATGCCAAGTCTTGATTTTCTGCTGGTAAGGATAAGCGCAAAGGGTAGGGGGACCTAGCTAGTGGTATTGGTGGCGCAGCGGCTTGTGGCAGTCCTCGAGGCTGCGGTATTCTCGAGGGCAGGACCCTTGCCACCAACCTGGAAGTGGACGATGATCCAGTGGCTGCCTCTGCGAGACCGCCTCGCTGCACTCTCGACGGGGACGGCGGCGGGTAGGAAGCGGACAGGGCCTTAGGCTGATCCAGCTTCACTTTGCTCGCAGAAGCGGACGGTGGGCGTCGGAGTGGCGAGCTACTGTATCTGTTTCTGTAAGGCCGTCGAGATGCATTACCACAAAAATTGTCCACGTCTCGTCCCGAAGTTGTAAAGAGATCCATCTTGTTCCCTGCACTTCGCCGCGTAGTAGTTGCAGACGGTTCGCGGCTGTTTCTCAGACTATGCGACGCTGTCAGACTTGAGCTCTGGAGGCGCCGTGGTCCAGGGGTCCTCGCGGCCCTCGCACTTCTTTGCCCTCCCACTGCAGATGATGAAGTGCCTGCCTTTACAGTCCGACGCTCCTGCGGCCGTCTCGGGCTCTCATCCAGAAATCCATCCGGGCCCCACTCTCCCCCGCGATGCGGAAATGCATCAGCTTCTCTTGTTCCCGTGTCAGAACTATACGCTGTGTCTGGCAGGTAGTAGTGCAGTTCCAGAGTCGTGCTGCCCTCATCGTGGGAGCAGGATGCGGTTGAGGAATAAAACGGACTTGAGGCAGTCGTGGAGAAGGAAGCAGAAAGCGGGCATCTATCGTGATGCGTTCGACTCTGATGCGGACAAGGCTTAACGTTGGTCGTCTCCGAGGTTATTGGCGGCCCGAAAAACAACGCGGTATTTAGCAAATGCGCTGAGGAATCGAGATTATCAGCGTGCTCTTCCGCTTGTGCCTCCTCCGCAAGGTCGCGAACTTGCCGAGCCGACGACGATCCTTGCTGCCCCAGCCCCGTGTCAGCGTCATTGTTCCGGCCGCTCCTGTGGTTCTTCCGCGTGAGTCCTCCGTCGATGTAGCTCCAGGGGTCCTGCATTCGTCTGGTAATCATGATGGTCTTTCCATCGACGCCATGGCTCCTGGCTTCATCTCCAGCAACGCACTCTTCAAACCACCTGCTCCTCCTTGGCTCAAAAGTCTTCGCCTGCCCTGCTGCCGCTTCGCCTTCCAACGAGTCTAGCTGCAGAGGTGACAGTGGCAAAACTTCCTTCCCAGGAGTAGGAGATCGGGTCTGCTTGTTTTCGTCCCCAGTTATTTCGATTGGTTCATCAATCTCACTAGCGTTCTCTCGCTCGCTATCGATATCGTCATCTCTCCACGACACTAGAGGGGAAAAGGGTAGCAAGTCTTGTTCACTTTTCTTCGCATTTTCAGCTCCGGGCTGGTGCGAAGGACTGAGCAGGTCGAGGTAGTTCATCTTCCCCCGAGTACTAAAACTGTGCTTATGCCGGTCCTTACCCTTAGTGCAGCTGCCATGTGGAAAATCGAAATCTGGCGGCAACGAACGAAGCTCTGCTGCGTCGAAAAAAGACTCCTGCTTAGGCGGATCCTCTTCCGCATTCTGGTCCAGGACCACCACCTCTGGCACAGGCAGTACTTCTTCCTCTCCGTCAGGACAAGAGGAATGAGGAACATCATCATAATTATTCTCCTGGTATGCTCTTGTACAAGAATCCTCATGAAGATTTTGATTTTCACTATTATCCAAAAACAGCATTACCCCGCCTTGCTCGTCCGCCACCTTTGCCCGCTTGCTGGAAGAGAAGGAGTCGAACCCCAACCCGCTGCAGTCCACCATGATCTTGTCCAGCGTGCGGTTCAGCTCCGGGTCGCTAACCCGCTCCAACCGCCGCTTGTTCCGGTTGCTGGCCGCACTGGCGTCCAACTCCGCCGCGTCGACGGATTGGAGGTCTTTGCTCCGCGCGTTTGCGATCGACGCGTACGAGAAACGACCACTGGCCCGCCCGATGGGGTTAGAAGTACCACCTCCATCTTGGGTGGCAGAGGGTGCTCCTCCTCCTGCTCCGGTGGATGATGTCAACTGCTGGATCCCGCTTTCCTCGGCCGGTCGCAGCGGAGCCGCACTCGAAGAGGACACAGCTGCACCTGGTGCACCGCCTGTCATCGGTAGGTGTACTTGTGACGCAAGTTCGATGTAGCTCCGTGCGCTCCGCGGATGAAACGGAAGGTTGTCGAGCTACAAGGACCGCGGCTGTAGGACTTTGCTGTTGCGAGACTGGTTCTCCATGTAATACATGTGATTCAGATTTTGAATTTCAGGAAGAAAGCTAAAATGCCAGATTTTCGTCGTAATTGTATGCTGTCGACGGGAAATCATCAAGTTTTCCTTCTAACTAGCAATACCACTGTGACACATTTTTATTTAGATCGAAAGGTTTTGGCAACATCAACAAGAAAGATTCATGGTTCATTCTCGAGCCGATTTTCGATTTCGGTTCTGCAGCAACAACGCAAAACTCGCCGTTATGTCAGTAGCCTATCACAACTCATCTCGTTCTTCGAGAGATCGATACGAAAACACGCACGCGCTGCTGTAAACACGACGAGAGCGCCGCACTAGCACTTAATATAGCACGTCGGAACACGAATATTAAAGCGGCCAGTAAAACAGCATTTCATTACAGGTCTTGAGGAAAGTCCTCGACCTGGTACCAAACGAAACGTAGAGTTTACTTTTTTCGAACGCGATTCGCTTACGCTTTGATTGTCAATCGCTTTCACTTTGCAGCATCGAGGAGTCGTGTCCGTTCATTACTTGATGATGAAACTTTTGAAACTGTCATCTCTTGTGCAATAGTGCTAGATCATTCTGTGTGCATTTTTCTGGTTTTTTTTCTTGGCTACTTTACGCTCTTGATGAAACTGAAACTGTATGGAAACAGGACTCATGCTGGTCACAATGAACGAAGTCTCGCTTTTTAGAGAACTCAGTGAGACTCCACTTCAAGGCTGGATGTATGTTGACGCAACACTTCAATACACAACGAATGTTCTCTACTGCTGAATCATGCATTTTCTTCATTCCCCTCCCCAGCCGCCCACGTAACGGTCGGCGTTGCAGTACTGGCGGCCCTTCCGGCAGTGCTTGGCCGCCCTCCAGCGGTGCTCGGTCGTCTCGCCGTACCCGGTCGGGTTGCGACAGTCGTTATCAAATGTAAAAATGTCTGGGTCTGGAAGAGTCCATGTTTGTCATGCGTGTCTGGCATGACTCTCAAATCTGTCATGCACGTTACCAAAGAGCGCCACTTTTCTGTCATGCAGAAACGCAGTTTGTCATGCAGAATTTTTTTTTTTTTGCTAGGCAATTCGTACGCCGGTCGGTTTTCGCTGATTTCTTTTTTCTTTTCTTTTTATTTTTTCTTTTTTTTTTTTGTTGCGTCCTCTTTCTTTTCTTTTTTTCTTTTTTTTTTTTATTCCGACACAGCTGACGCAAAAAAAGCGGTGGGCGATTCACGAAGAAGTGCGCGGGTGTGCTCGGCGTTCCCGAGGCCTTAGGCCGTACCTTTTTGATAAAATCCGGGCTGCGTCCTGGCTCCCGCGTTGCCGCCACCCTTCTATTCCATCTTCCCCTCCGCGTGCATGCATGTGCGCGGCTACGCCAGTCCATTTTGTGCTTATGTTTTTGACTAAGACAGAGAGGCGAGGTGCAGCCACTGAGGAACTTCGGAAAACGCTATGGGCTAAGTATTTTGGTGCTGTGTGCTACTGCTATCAGACTCTGCGCCCTATGACTTTGCAACAATGTCACTAGCCCCGGCCTTGATCTTACCCCGCCAGCCACTGCTGGAAAAAAAAGGAAGCAAGTCCCTGCAGTTTTGGAAAAAGGCGCAACGAGTGGGGGGGGACCACAGGAGTCACCCCCCCGCAAGCTGCGCACGCGTTGAAGTATCTGCTGCTTATTTCTACATGAGCTATCTGCTTCATCACGTAGCGACTCCAACAAACGAAGTGCTTTTACGAAGCGCGACGCTTTCAAAATACGAAGTGCTTGCTTCTTTCTTTCTTTACGAAGTTCTTTCTTTACGAAGTTCTTTCTTTATGAGTTTGTCATGCAGAATAGGCAACACCTAGAAGCTCAGAAACTTCTCATGCTGAGCCAGCAGTTGTGGCTTCCTCATGATATGCCACCCAGCATCACAAGTTTCCAGACCCAGACATTTTTACATTTGGTAGTCGTTGCGGCGGTACTTGGCCGTGAGGTTAGGTCCAATTCGTCTGAGGGGTCGTAGTTGAAAACGGTGCCGGAGAGGACCGTTCCACCACTAAGAAAAATTGTTCCGGTGGCATCGGGCGCGACCGTACTTGTTAAGTCTTCACTAGTGAAAAAGTCCCCACCTCCAAACCCGTCCGATGATCGACCCTCAAGAACTACTGCTCCCGGTTTAGCAGCGGACGATGCACGCCCTGTGTAAGTCGTCCGCGCTGAGTCAGGGCCCGCTTCGCAGCTTGGTTGCTGTGTTGATCCAAATTCAAAATCGTCGGGATGCTGATTTGTCAAAACAAGACTGCCCGGAGGACCTGCCGGTCGGCGGTCGTGCAGATGTGCGCCACCCGCTCCTCCCCCACGCGGTAGAGGTTCACGAGTCTCGTTTCCGCTTCGGTTAATACCCCCCAAACTGCCCCCCGGTATCACGCCTGTGGTCAAGCTCGGAATGGTACACGCCGATGAGCTTGACGTTGCCCACGCTCCTGGACCATCGCCGAATATTTGTTGCGTACTATTGTCGAAGAAACAGCACGCCTCCGCCACCGTTCGTGCTTGCGCCAATATCCCACAGAAAAAAGCTGGCAGGGCATATTTGTAATGCAAAAATAAATACACAGAAAAATCTGTCATGGGCGACCTCGTAGCATGCTATTTCGGGTATGCTATACAAGTTTTCTTGTCTATTTATTTTTGCATTACAAATATGACCTGCCAGTTTTTTTCTGTGTGATAGCCAAAATCTGTCGGTTTATTTCCAACAGACCTAATCTTGTGTACTGATTCTGCCGCCACTTCACCGGGCTCGGCTTGTAGTGCAGACACGCCATTTTGAAGCCCTGCAGAATTTGTGTCGATTGCCCGCTGCAGGCCAGGCAGCGAGGATCGAGGGAGATCACGGGGGGTGACGGTTTGTTTTGCAAGTTGTGGTGTTTCTGCTGCATTTTTCGCGTGGAACAAGAACTGCTACTGCTTTTCGGCCTCTGTTGCGCGTTGGTGACGAGGTGCATCTTCCGCGGACTTGGTGAATTGCTCGAATTTATTGCAGCTGCAGTTGCCCTTGGAAAAGTGGAACTGTCGGCCGTATTGTGAAACCCACTGTAATTCGGTTTCCTGGGACTGTAACTTGACGAAGATGTCGACTTCATCGGTGATGAACTTCCAGAAACCTCGCCCCCACGTAGCGCACCGCTACCATCATTCGGATTATTTTTATCGCGAAAGCCGACTAAGCTTAACCCCTCCTTATCCGTCTCATCTTGGACCAACAGCTGAGACAAGCAGTCCGCGGCATCGAAAACCAGCTCCAACGCACGGGAAATACGGTCCTGGTTTTCTTGCAGCAAACCGCTTGCCGACATAGCCTTTGTCACGGCCTTGCCGAGGTGGGTGCGCTCGATCTGTTTCAGTGTTTGTTTGGTGAAATCATGCGGAACATGACGTAACAAGACAGAGGACCAGTGCAGCTTCCTTGTGCTATTCTCAACATTGCAGTCACTGCCCAGCAAACAACCATTATTTCCAAAACAACCAACAGACCCTCGCATCCGCCAAGTCCCTCTTCCACCGCCGGTCACGTGCGATCAAATCCTCGCGTACCACTTCCACTTCGCGGTCGATGTCCGCGCGCAGCTCGGCCACCTTGCGGTCGATGTCCATCTCCTCCAATTTTTCCACGGCGTCCACAATGTTTTTCTGCGCATCCTTGTTCTCTGACAATTTCCGGGAAAACTCCTCCCTCGCGTCCTTGATACTCGCGTTCGTGTTCACCGCAATCACGTTGGACGCCGTCTCGAAGTGTTTTTTCAGATTTTCCGAAGTATCCGTGATCAATCGCTGCACCTCCGCGGTGTCGGCGCGGGCTGATAGAATTAAAAGTTGGGATGTTTTATGCGTTCTCTTCATCTTCCCGTTCGCATCATGGGCTGCTTTATTTCTTCTACATGCATACAAGCAAAACACATTATTTGATACTATAGGTTAAGGTTTATTTTGTTTTTTATTCAACAAGCTCCTGCGCCAAGTAGTTTATTTCTATACCTTCGTCAATTCTTTTCTGCATGACGCTGAGCTTCTTCTCGACTTCGAGTCTGAAAACCGCTTTTTCGCCCAGCTCTGCCAACTTCCCACTCAAGCTTTTGGAATAATTTTCCTCCTTCTCCAGGCGAAACAACAATTTTCCCAACTGCCGCTCCTGCTCAAACACCTGGTCCACCGTTTTCGCAATCGAGTATTCGCTTCTCGCGAACTTCAATTCGATGTCCGCTTTTGTGTCCGTGATTTCCTTCCCCTTCTGCACCAGTTCGTTGGTCAATTGCGCTTTCAACAGTTCAAATCTTCCCTGCAAGTCCTTCACCGACTCCTCGATGGCTTCGGTCCGTCTCTGGAGCTGTTGAATTAACGAGTTTTGTTGCTCACACTGGATTTTGTTGTTCCTGACCTTGTCGTCGATCAGCCGAATATTCCCTCGCATAAACTCCTGGTGCTCTCTCCGCTCCTTCTCCGCCTGGACCAATTCTTCCCGAAACTGGTCGATCGCGTAACACTTCTGCGTGGATTGCTTCGTCTCGTCGCGGAGGGAGAGAATTTCTTCCTTCTGCGATATTTGCTGCTTTTTCAGATTGACTATCTCCTGCTCGTAGGACTTGTTCTTCGCGACAGTCGGCTGCAAAACTTCCAGAACCATCTTCCGCACCTTCACTTCCAACTCCGCAAAAGCAACCTCGTCCAGGTGAGGAACTACGGCGGGGTGGTCGTTTGCATGCTGCATCATCCGGCTTCGCGGCGAAGACGAGGACGAGCTAGAAGATGCCGGGCGTTGTCCTGCGGGGCTGGCCATGGTTTTCGATGCTCTACGTTGAAACTTTGTTTATCCGGGCCACGACTCACAACTGTCAATACGATCTTCATCTTGCTTGTTCCTCGTTCTGTCGCAAATGTTATTTCTACATCTCTCGCCGCGAGGAAATGTCCTAATCCTCGGGCTCGTCGGGGGGCACTCCAAAAGCAAAAGTTTAGCACACGTTTATGAATGACGGACTCATTCGAAGATTCGCCTATCTTCTTTCGTCGAAGACGAAGTATCTATGAATCCATTGCTCGTCCACGTCCTTCAAACAAAAAGAAAACGATGCTGCTCCATAAAAATTTCTCCATACTAGGTACAGGTCACCTTCACTTCCACCACTCATCTTGATGGCCAACAAAACAAACTCAAATATTTTATGCAAGAATCTTAATTTATGCTACTTTTCCAACTATTTGTATTTCACGAGGATAGATACAGTTACAGCAGGCCATCGTGAAAAATCCGCATATTTTTTTGCTAGTTCAAAAAAGATGAATCTTGCAGTAAGCTCAAAAATGAAATTGAAAATCCGTACAGAAAAAACTACACCTCCGCGTACTCCCAAAGCACAAAATCATAGGTGCGCTGCATTGTTCGTAACACGGGCTCTGGAAGCGTTAGCTTACAGAACAGTTCCATCTCTATGATGAAAGTATATTATAAGTAAATGCTCTAGTCGGTCGAACAAAGAAAACCATGACCCACCCGCTCCGGCTCCTCAGTTTTCGATCAGTTGCGTGTCCACCGTGTGGGAGAGCGAGTCACTCAGGGCCGTCCGCAGATCCGCACACACGTTGATTTTCTCGCTCGTTTTTCGGTGCAACCCGGTGAGCTCCTGTATGGCGTTCTCAAACGTTACACTCTCAGCTGTCCCATGAATTTGTCATGTTGGAAGGCTAAGGGCAGGGCGTCTCCATGTAAATTATTTCGACAAACAGTAGCCGCATACCCGGTAAACTCTAGCGGAATTTATTGGGCAGTGCGATTTCTACCGAAGAGCCTCCACAGCAACTACTGGGACGGCTGCGACGGAAGTTGTGTGGGTGTCCCATGAATTTGTCATGCAAAAGCACCTTCAGCCGGCAGATCCAGATGATCGAGCTGCTTCGCATGACAAATTTCGGAAGGGCTAAACAGCATCTAAATCTGCGCCAAACTTGTAATGCAAAAGGCGCAATCTTCCTCCTTTCACTTTTGCCAGTCTTGCATTACAAATTTATGTAACAGTTGAGAATGTATCATTTGAGAGCTCCATATCCTGGTTCGCGGTTTCCAAGGTCGCGAGCAACGCCGCGGACTTCTGCTTCAGCTATCGTGTGTAAAAACGTCCCCACACTAGAGTTGTCATGCTAATGTGCAATGACAGGAACATTTGTAATGCGCATCTCCTTGAGAGGCATTTCCAGTCGTGTTTTGGAATTTGTAATGCTGCAAACAGCATGAGTAAATGGCTTTCTCATGCGGCTGTCCTTGCTGTCCAGCACTACACTGCAGATGGAAACTTGTCATGTCGAACTCCCAAAAATTGGCGATTTGTGTTGCAGATTTCCCATCTTGACTATGGGGTGGGGACGTTTTTACATAGGATATCAGCTCCGTGTGCTTCATACTTTCTAATTGCAGCTGTTCCAGCGCCGTAGCCTTGTCCGCCCGTTCCGAAGCGAGAAGTCGGCGGTAGGACTGCTCTTTGCTGTCAAACTCCTGTTCGAGGGCTTCGTTCCGTTTAATTTGCTGCTCCAGCTCCTCCTTCAGCTGCTTATTTTCCTGCAGGGCTTCCTCTAATTTCCGCTGCTTCTTCGCGCCCATCTCGATTAACGCCTTTTTCTCTTCCTTGTTAGTCGCAAGCTCGGAAATGTGGGCTGTAGTTTGGACGAGGTTCGGGCAGTGATAATTTGTCCCCTGCAAAACCTGACACAGACAAAGCACGTAAAAAACGAATACAACAGTCTACAACAAAACAAACTTATACCTTTAAACCCGGTTTCTATCGCATCGACGACCGCAGGCAAGCCCGGCGCGTGCTCCTCCGCAATCATACTCCGTGCCGGCCCGTCCAGCAAAGCCGCCAGCCGATCCCTCGCCGCCAGCGTCTCCCGCGCTTCTTCAGCTGCTTGCCGCAAAACGAGCTTCGCTTTCTGCTGCTTGTTCTGTGCCGTGTAGAAGTCGTCTGGATTGCTGTTGTTGCTGTTTTGATTCTCGATTGTTTTCTCCAATTGTTTCGCGTCAACTAGCAAGTTGGATTTCTTCGAGCTCAGTAGCCCGCTGTGCAACACCAAGCGCTCCATTTCCACCCCCTGGTCCGCTTTCTGCTTCAGCATCGGCAGCACCGTTTTGGACAACACGGAAAAATCCCCGTTCGCCAACAGCTCCCGGTCGATGGGACTGACGAACTCGTCGGGGAGTTCTCCAGCCAGATCCCGCGCGACGTCAAAATGGGTTCTCTGCAAGTAGGCGTTCAGGAACTGCGCGGTCAACTGGATCGACACGTGCTTCGCGTCTTTCAAGGCTACGGTTCCCGTTTTCTGCAGTTCCGCCAACTCCCACGGGGATAGCAGAATCGCGTTTCGGTCGAAGGGGGGCAAATGCGTGAACAGCTTCCGCTTTTCGCGATCCGGCAAAATATCGTAGATCGCTTGGTGACTGTTGTTGATCGTGTTGTTTAACTCGTGCAGAACCTCAACCACGTCAAACAGTTGCGTTTGGAGCACGGACAACTTGTCCGGTTGCGAAACGATATCGACGTCCACGTGACTCCCGGTCGTTTTTACCACCGGCGCGTTCTTCTGCCTCCACCGACTTTCCAACTCGGCCTGCCGTTTCGGGTGCGTGGAGGCTAGAATCTGCAACAAGTGCTTCTGCAGCGTGTTCGCCTGCTTCTGGAACTCGTCGACCAAGTAGAGATTCCGGCTTTGCAAGTTCTTCACAAACTTCAACAGTTTTTGGAAATCCAGCCTTTCCGTGATGGAAGTGGATAACCTGTTGTTACTCGTGGTCAGTTCGTTGGTTTGGAGTAGAATGGATTCGAGATCGGGGGAAATTTTCCGCAATTCCTTGCTGAAATCACTCAGCGCGAGGTTCTGCTCCGCTTGCCGAAGCAATAACAGCGCTCTTTCGTCCAGCATCTGGCACTCCTTCGTGTTCTTGTTCTGGCTGTTCTGCGGATTCTGCGTTTCGAACTGATCTTCACTCCCGCTGCTTTCCGTGGGGTTCATATCCCCACCCAACCCGCCCTGCGAGGGATGGAGCAGCGAAAGTCGGAGTTTCACGGAGGAGGAAAGCGAGCGAAGTTCTTCGGACAGGGAATAAAGGGTCACGTGCCGCGGAGGCAGGGGAGGAGGCAGTTCACCTGAAGATGGGGTGTTTCAGTTTCAGTCTTATACACCACGGGCAGCATTTTTGATGCACGACAAAGAAGAACAGCGATCATCTAGGCAAGCGAAACCAAACAATAAGCGGATTTGAACGTCAACATGCATACGAAAGTAGACAAACCAGTACCGACAGCCATCGCGTCCTCCCGCGTGGGCAGGTCAATCCTGGGTTTTGACGAAACTGTCGACTTTGGCACCCGCGGCCGGGAGAACGCGGTCGAGAGCATCACCTCGCTCGGACTCATGCCGAGATTCGAAGACGAACCTCCCCCCGCAGATCCCGCACCAGTCCAGATCCTTTCGATTTCCTCCTGCTTTGTCGGGGAACCCGGCTTAATAGACGCCGACGAGGACCCAGTGGATACAACTGCTGCACCACCAGCAGAATTCGTACTATCTGCGTTGTGGAACTGCGGATACCTTTTGTTCATTTGAATACTCCGAATCGGGCTGCCCGAAACGGCTTGCGCCGTCAAATTCTGACTCATCTGTTGGTTGATATCCGTGGTCAGCGGCGAGGACCCCGTGAAGCGGAACTCCTGCTCGACCTCGTTCGCCGGAAAGCTAACCCGTTTCGGATTTGGATTTCTACCCTTCATTGTCTTCTGGTCAGCCAAGTACTCTTCAAGGGAGCTACCGCCGCCGTCCACCATGCCGCCCGGCGGAAGCCTTGAAGTTGTAGATGTTGCACTACTACTAGAAGAGGGTGCAAATAAGTCGGCATTTTTGTTACCCCCCGCCATGGCGGAATTCAGCCGGGGGACTTTGAATGTTACTTCGTCCCGCGGTTTCGGCTTCAATTCCCGCTCGTACATGTCGGTTTCGGCGAGCTTAAGGCTGGAATTCTTCATGATAGAGGTTGTTGAAGATGCCTTTGTCATTTTCGAATTTTCTTGCACATGATTTTCTTCGCCAGAAGACGAGCTACTAGAGGAGGAGGTAACTGGGCCACTGCTAGAAGACGATGAGCCTCCAGATGACGAGGTTCCGCTCGCGGTGGTAAGTTGCTCTGCTGTTCCCTGGTGCTCCTGCTCCATTTTCATCATCGCACTTGATGTTCCAGCACTACTAGTTCCCCCCTTTTTCAGTAGCGTTTCGCGGAAAAAGTTCAGGTTTTCGTTTTGCTCCGGCAACCTCACCGGCTCCAACGTCATCTGCGGTAAAACCTTCTGCCCTCTTGCGTGGTTCGCATGCTGGGGCAGCTGGCCGAGGCGGTCCGCTGGACCGGGCGCTGCTACGGTGTGCTCCCCATCCACCCGGTAAACGAGGACTGACTTGTTGTAAGGGATTAAGTCATTCCACGCCTGCTTCAAGTCCTTCTCGTTCGTCGTTTTCTGGTTATGTACGAGCACAATTATGTCGCCCTGATGAAACAGCTCATCCGTCTTTTGCACCGTGGTTTGGCGAACGGGGGGCAGTGGCGTGTTTGCCGGTACGCGAAGCTCACGCTTCACGTACTCAATCTGCTGCTGCTGCTGGGCCATTTTGGTGAGTTCGTTCTACTTAACTAAATATACGAATCTTTCAAGAAAAAAAACACGTGTAAACAGGAGACCATCGCCCCCTCTGGCCGCACAGCTAGCAAAGGTGAGTAGAGAGTATACATGCTTGTCGCTATGCTTGTCGCTTTTTATTTCATGTGAATAAGACATTTCGCGATGACCTCGACCGACACAGCTAGGTTGGTAGTTACGACAACGACGGAGAGCCACGATGACGATAGAGCCGGAGCAGACGACATTTACATTACGATTCGTATGTGCGACGAAGTATGCATAGGTTACGCGAGTTTTTCTTTTTTGCTTCCCGAATCGCAACAGTGCCAGCAATTGAAGATTGATTCCACGAGGGATAAAATGTGGACCTGGTAAAATACGACCGATAAAGGCAGATCAGTACGACCCGGATACGGATTTCGCTTTCGCTGCAAGAGCAAGTGTACAAGATCGCTCGCATAATTCTTGCTTTTCGTTCCGGTTCTTCCTCACTGACCATGCATAACGACACGAAACATCATAAGTACAACTAGATGAGACGCGGTTTCATTTTCCATCGTACGTCCAACAGCTTCAGCTTTAGCATAGTTCCACCTTACAAGAATCTCAGAAGAAGTTATTTGGTCTTTTCTTCAAAAAGGATCCTTCCCGCTCCGCTCCGTTCGAGCGGGACGAGGACGAACAGGCTACATTCACCGACCGCCCATCAAATTTCATGTTTCGCACTCTCTGATAAAGCTGCTGCACCACGGCGGTAACCGCTAAAACCGGCTCGGAAAAGGCGCTGCAGTCGGCGTCCGGAGGCGGTTCGGTGCCGGCAGAACTGGTTTTTTTCACGACATAGCACAGCATCGGCGTCGTGAACTCCTCCGGGGTGAGATTGCTCAGCGTCTGAGCGTTTATCGAATCGCCGCCCATTTTGAAAAGAAGAATCAACAGGTACTTTTTTGTTGTACACTCTAGTTGCAATTATCCTGTGGATTCCGTCGGGTGTCGTGTTCTTCCGATAGGTAAAATTGAAATCCACGAATCACCGAAAACTGAAAAGCTGCGATTGCGAAAGTTGCAATACGAGGTGAGTCTTCTTTTACAGAGAGAATCAACATCGACTCGGTGTAGTACTCTTTCAACGAACTTCGATTTCGATATCGATTCAAATACAAATACGACTTTAAATCCACCCCTCACTTCTGGTCGACTTCGGGTCAATGCCCTGTAACGATAAGGAAACGATGTTTTTATCCAATGTAACCACGACCTCAAACCACGAACACGAAAGGCAAAACTATCGTACACGTTTCAGAACCTGTGGCTGCGATCGACAGGCTTTATTGGTGCTTGGTTGTGTTTTTCGTGAAAGAGTGCAACATGTTTCGAGGAAATCAAGATCAACTTGAAAAAAAATCACGATCCGCCGCTGGCGCCCGCACATACTGACCTGATATTCTAGATCGAGCAGCTGGGCTGCGACTGCTCTTGCGGCGCTTTGTGCTATTGCTAACGGTACTACAGTTCTTTTCATCCCCCTTGACGAGCACACTGTCAACAACCTCAAACATCCCACTCCTCTTGTTTCGCGCCTCCGTCATCCGCTCGCCCGGTCCGGCGTGCCTGGAGCCAATTGCGCTTTCCCGCAACCCCAGAGTGCTCCAGTCGTTGTCGATCCGGGAGAGAAATCCCGTGTCGGCCTGCTCGTACTCGATGTTGGGTCGAACGACCACGTGAGAACTGGTTGTCTCTCTGCTTCTCTTGTCGTCACGCAGCAGCGCTGTCGGAGCAGGGAGAAGGTCGCGTGGCTCGGGATCGGAGAGGTATTGCGCCTCGTCTTCGAAATAATGGTCCACCTCCTGTGTGGGCAAATTCTCGCAACCTACAGATGAGCAGGGTATCATGGTTTGGCAGGACTCGCAGATTTCCTCAGACCATTCTCCTTCGGTGTCGCAGTCGTCCGGATTGTTCTTTCTTTGCCCGTACAGATCTACTAGAACGACTTGGTCCCGTTCTTCGGTTGGACCAGCATAAGTTGCAAAAATATCGCCGCGAAGAGGACCATCATGAGGTCCTCCTCGTGAAGACATCTTCACTACTGCAGAAGTTGTACTAGAACTCGACGAGCGGGTGAAATTGCTACTGCAACTCCGATCCGATTCGGGTTCCGTCATGAACAGTTGCACACTCTTTGCCGACGATGGCACGGCACTCTTGGCCGAAGAAGGTCTAGAAACGGAAGGAGGACCCGGTCCATTCTTGGCGGCTGGCGTTTTGGAGTTCGCGGCTTGTTTTGCTGCTGCAGAGCTAGTCGCCAGCTTCCCAGAAGCGGAGGTGCCTGAAGCTGCAGCTGTCTTGGCCGCAGAGGTAGCTGACTTGCTCGGTGCAGAGGCTGCTTTCGACGAACGATCCGCAGTCACAGAGGTCGCCTTCGCGGAAGTCGCAGCACCGACCGGCGCACTAGGTGGTCTTGAAGTTGCTGACGCCGATGGAGGTTTCGCCGTAGTCTCAGGCTTTATTGACTTGGCAGGAGTAACTGATGCTTGTGCCGCAGTTTGAGACGTAGTGGGTAGCTGCACTGCTGGCGCTTTACTCCCGATGCCGCTAGTACTTGTTTTTCCTGCAGTTCCAGCCACAGGAGTCATAGCCGCCTTTGACAGCACGGTCGCGCTTGAGGTCGCGGCTTTCATTTTGACGCCGACAGATGGAGACTGTGCAGGTGCCGCTACTGAAGACGAGGTTCTGCCTGCTGTTGCTGTCTTAGCAGCTGGCAGCTTAGGGTTGCTTGCCTTATCCGTAACCGCTGCACGTCCAGAAGCGGCGGAGGAGGCGACGCTCGACCTACCACCAGCGGAGACACTTTGCATTGGCTTTGCCTGCTGTGCTGCGGTCGTGCTGGGGGCTTTGTTCAGGAGCTTCATCTGGACAGCAGGCGTACTAATTGTGGACGTGGATGCACCAGCAGAGGAAGATCCTCTTCCAACAATGCTGCTGCGCACAACGGTATCGCGCTTAGCTTTTTCTACCGCAGCGAAATGATGTTTCTGCTCGAATTCGTGCAGGTTTTTGTTTACGTCCGTTTCCCCACCGACGTGGACAACTTTTCGCTTCAATATTTTGTCTACCTCTTCCAGGTCCGCTTCTGAGTAGGGTTTTATTTTCGTCCGGGGCGTTCCACTAATATCGGAAGGAGGGGTGGGAGTGGTGGCAGCAGCTCTTTTCTGTTTTGCGTGCTTTTCACCCTGCGGCGTGTCGACGGATCTGTCCAACAAGGGCTGGCCTTGCGTCGTTGTAGAAGGAGCTTTGTTCTTTCCGTAGTTTGTGCGCATGTCACCCAGCGGAAGTGGCGGCACGCCATTACCGTTAATGCCGTGCGCGTGTACTGCTCTGCCTGGTGCCGCACTGCCCTTTCTCGCCAGCTCCTTCGAGCTCTCGCCTTTTGATTGCTGCAATGGCCTGGAGGCAGTAGAAGTGCCATTAATTTTATCCGAAATCGCAGCGGGTTTGGGAGTTGCAGCAGCAGCTGTCACCGCGGTCGCGTTTTGCTTCACGACATCAATCGGGGTAGTTGAGCTGGTTCTGGTATAATTCGGGCTCTCCTTACTGCTTTGCGATGTTGTACTGCGCTTTGGAGGTGCTGGCACTTCCTTTGCGATCTTCGAACTAGAAGTTTTACTCGCAGCTTTCTTGTTCCCACTGTGACTGTCTCTTCCGGATGAAGACGCGCGCCCGCTGCGCTGGCCGCTTCCCGAGAGCGCACCGTGGCTATCGTGACTGTGGTCCAACAAACTTCGCTCGACTGCCGTAGTGTGCACCAGATGCGAGGGCACCGTTCGGTGTGCTTCGTAATGGGTAGGTGATGACGATATGACCGCGGTTGTATGACCTCGTTCGTGTTGAGTGCCAGCGCTCGACTTCGAGCTTGACTGATCTTTGCTGCTCGGAAAATCATTCCCCTTGCTCGATAAAGCCGTGGTATGGTTTTGATTTCTGTTTGACCCGCCCACCAAAGCAAGTCGTTTCTCTGCCTCAGATGTGTAGTCAAAAACATCTCCATTTTTACTCGGAACGTGACTGACCGTCGGCTGTTGGCTTGTTGTGTGCTCAAGACTGGAAGCGCGACTGTGGGAGAGTGTGGTGTGCGTGTGGTCAGGTCGCTCGTGCCCATGTTGCTCCGTCGGAATAGAGCGGTGATGCTGGTGTTCTTCAGAACCAGTGTAGTCGTGGTGCGCCCCCTCTACAATTTCGTGGTCGTCCTGATGATCCTCTCCTGCCGCCTCCAATTCTGAATCTGCGGTGCTGCGGCTGTGACGTAGTTGTACTAAACGTCGATAATTTCTTGCCCGCGAAGCAGGCATTTTGGTAGTTCCGCCGTTTCTTCCATTTTCCCCTTGATCACCCTCCTCGTCATCCTCCGCGAAATCTAATTGCTCCCAGATCATGGACAGCGACCCGACCGACCCGGCGCTGCTGTGGTGGAATGTGTTCAGGCGCTTGATGGTCTTTTCCTCAAAGTTCACCAGCGAACCCAAGTGCTCGATTTTGCGATGCATGTCCGCGAGAATCTGGCTCGTGCGCCGGGGGTCTCGGTCGAGATCGTCAAGCTGGTTGTGCTGGTCCTCCAAAGCGCTCTCATCGTCCTCCAAAACCGGAATTTGGATCGTGGAGGGTAGCGGCTGCAGCTGGACTAGTGGTGGTCTGAAAAAGGTGCTCTTATTTACTTCGGTAGTTGAGTGTTTTGCTAGCGCGAGGCTTGCCTGCGAAGCTAACTCGTTATGCGTGTCGAACTTCTTGGACAGAAAGCGACTGCGCTTGTGTGGTGCGGAAAACGTGTTTTGACGCGAATTCAGTCGTGAGGGATGCCGGGTCGGGGACTTCTTTTTGTTCTCGTCGTGCTCAACCTGCTCTAGGTCGTGTGTTTTCCCCCGCGATTCCTGGGCGCTTCTCTTTCGTTCGCCTGCATAAACTGCTTCTTTGCGAAAGGTTCCAGGCTCGAGGACATGTTGAGTTCTTGTGTCCTCTTGCTCCCGCCCCGAGGGAAACAGCATGTCCGACGGCTCCGAATACAGATCGTCCGAAGGCGGATAGTTCCCGTCCAAATATCTGATCTCCACGACGTCCCTGTCCTGCGGCAGGTGCAGAGACAGCTTAGCCGGAACGACGGTTTCGCTCTGCCTCGGTTTCGTGCTGAAGGGTGGCGAGGTACTATATTGTGTGGTCAACTTCGCACGGTCGACTAGCGGTTCTTGTGTTAAGTCCGCCTTGGACATAGAGTTATTGTTATTCACTGTTTGTTCACTATCTCTTCTAGTACTGCTGTGCCGTTCCGCTGCCAGGATACTTTCACGGCTGGTGCTGTGCATGTTTCTCGTGGTTCTTGTGTTTGCCTCAACCAGGGTTGATGTTCCGGCGCTTCGACCCATGCGTAGTTCTTCCTCGTGTTGCAGCTTCAGCACCTGACCGAAACCATCGTGGTCAGAAAGAGCAAGAGGAGTTGAACTTCTCTGTTCGGCAGCAGAGGCCGACTCTCTATCAACAGCATGATCCGCAGAGTCCTTATTTCTTGCGGCGGCTGACAGTCTAGGAACCCTCTGCCACGACCACGGCCTCGTGTTTTCGGCCTTCGAAAGCTGTGCGAAAGCTCCTAGATCCGTTGCACTGCTATTCTGTCTTGTTTTTGATGACGTCCGCATTTTTGCGTACTGGTCAATCAAATGATCGCGCAGAGAACCGTCGTAGTTTTGCACACGGCCCGAAGAATTATACTCTCCTTTGTGCGAGGACTTCTGCGAGGATGGACACACAGACGTGGAGAGCTTGCCCGTAGAAACTCTATGGTTTTGCACCCCAAATCTGGAGTTCCACCGATGCGGTGTCTTCAAGACCCGGGAGATTTTCGGCGAAACAACCGTCATGTCCGCCGTGAGCCTCTCGTCCCTTGACGCACGCGAAGGCGAGTGGTAGTAATCCTTCGCAAGATCATCATGACTTGAAGTCTGCTCCTCGGGTGAGCTACTTCTGCTTTTTCTCCTCGTGTTCATGGAGGCCCTTTGCTCATCCCCGTCTCTTGCTGCACGATAAGTGGTGCGTTCCCGCTGTTTTGGTCTTCTACTTACGTCTTCAACCACGCTCCTGGAATTCTCGTTGCTCATTTTTTTCTGCCGCTCCAACCGCTCCACAACGCCAGGCCTCCTTGACGAAGATGTCGCTCTTCTTGAAAACAACTCGCGCGAGGACAACAAATTCCTGGTCGCTATTGTTCGAGAATCGCTCTGTAGGTGGTCCTCCGCCTCCACCTTCTTTTGCTTAACCTTCGCGCGTGTTCTTTCCATCATCACCCGTCGCATCACGGTTTTCAGGAGTTTTTCCTCCAGTTCTCGCTTCTCGCGGTACAGGTCCTGTGTGCGCTTTTCGGTCAAATTGGAGAAGGTCCGCTTCTTCGGAAAGTAAAACATCCTCGAAGAAAAAGTGCTTTCTTTCGAACCCGCTGCTCCAGCGGTCGTACTATTTGCGAGAACCAATTCGTCCAAATCTACTTCTGTGTCTCCTGGCTGCAGGTCTACTACTGGCACTCCAGAGGAGCTGTCACCAGCACCTGCTGGTGTCGAGCCCGCTTTAATACTAGTTGTTTCGCCTGCTGCGTATGCGTTTTTAATCTCCTGAACGTACTCCGACAAAACTTGGACGAGGTCTTCGTCCACTTGGCTGTAGTTCGCACCGCCGCCGTCCGACGTGGTCGTTTTCGACGCCGTGAAGGACCGCGGCAGGTTTTTCTGCATCTGCGCCACGTTCTTACTCAGGTTCCATTCTCGGATACTGTCATTGATATTCCGGTAGTCGTCCGGAACAACTGTCCTGAAGCTTTTCCCTTGCAGGAGCGAGGAGGAAAAAGCCACTCCAGTTGACTTCGACAGTACTGCTGTGGACTGCTCCTCGCCAGCGGCACGGCCAATTATCGTGCTGGAGGTAGTACCTCCAGTGTTTAGGTCCTGTTTCCTGGTGAACCGAAGGCCGAAACCTAGATGCTGTGGGTAGTTCTCCGGTAGAAGAGGAACATCTGGTGCTTCATGACCTTGCAGGGCTCTTGAAGCACTTCTTTCATCTCGCCATTCCTTACTTGTTCTGTCTCGCTTTGTTGGAGGAGCACTTCTTGTCGATGCTGATCGTGCTTGTTGCGAAATTCTACTGGGGGTCACTACAGCAGTTTCCTGTGACTTCACCAGAGACGAGGTGGCCTTGCTGCCAACATTCATTTCAGAGGTCATCGTCGGAGCAGCCTGGACGAACTGTGTCTGCGGTCGCGGCGCGATCGTCGTGCGAGTCATCAACGACGCTAGTGCAGGTTTTTCCGTTTTCGTGGCAGTGCTGCCAGTGCTGGTCAAAACTTCACCTCTCGTAGGAGCAGACTCGCTCACAGACCCGGGACGTTGTGCTTCTTTCGACAACTCTTCTGCAGTCGATCCCTTCTTTGCAACATCTCCCGCTCGACTTTTGGTTGCAGTACTGGCCTTCAGGGTCCGCTCTATCGCACCAGTCTTACCTTGGCGCTGGCTCGGGTCGAACTTTTGCATCACCGATGGCATCATGGCCCGCGGCGACGGAGTTGGCGACGTCGCTGCAGATCGGACGTGCGCGTGCGGCACGTGGGGAGCTTGAAACAACGGCTGAGCGGGAGGTTTGGTTTGAAGATTCAGTACCGAACCTCCACCTACCCTCGTGTCAAATTCCGGTTCCACCACTGGCGCAGGCTGCATTTTTCGCTGCAAGTATTGCTGTTCGACCTCCTGGTAGGAGGGAATGGCGTTTTTCTCTTCCTCGTCTTCGTCAAGACTCGCTTTCGCATTCCGTAAAAGTTCTTGTCTTCCTGGCTGCGCTCCAGGCCCACTGTGCATTTTCCTACTACCTCCGAGATTCGTGGTGGTCTGCGCGCGACCTTTTGTTGCAGGAGTCGAAGCTTTTCTTGTCGTTCTGCTAATAAGTGCGTTATAACGATTCTTACCAGGAATCATGATAGTGGACGACGTAAAAATGCCATCGTTAACTGCTGCGGGTGTGGATGAAGGAGATGAGACTCTGGTCAAAGCCCGAACCAGGTCGTCCTCTTTCATGACAACGTACACACTTTTGTCGCTAGTGTCGCCGGGAAGAGGGACGATGCTTTCAGTGGTCATTGTGCCAGCACTTCTACCCTCCTTGACACTTTTCGAGTCGGCCTCATCGGGGGATACTGGATTTTCATTCCCCGCGAAAGTAGCTGGTGTTGAAGGTTTCTCGTTCTTGGACGGGGACGTCTGCGCAACAAGACTATCATTGGCATTGTTTTGTCCATCAGCATTGCCAAGGTTGTTCCGTCGTTCCTTTTGAAGATGCGAGGCACCTGCTGCTGCTCCCCTTCCCTCGGAACGACTGGATATGGAATTTGCTTTTGCAGCTGCCGGAGCGGGTAAAAAACCATAGGGTAGCTGCTCTTGCGATGTTGCTCCTTGCTGGCTCTGCAGCGAAGTTTTCCTCTCAATGGTTAAGTTCCCGCTGGTTCGGTGCGCCGTCCCGGGGACGTTTTGCGACGGCCCTTGTTGTTCTCGATCTCCAGTGTGCGCTTTTTCGTTTTCCGGAAGAGCTGCAGGCTGATCCTTCTGGTCGCGTTGTGATGTACCCACGACCCCAGGCGCAGGCGAAGCGTTCCCTTGATTGGAAGATCTTGCGCCAACTTCTTTCCTGTGTGCAACTCGCGGGACTGGTGATCTAGATTTTGTTCTGCCAGCACCGTCCGATTTTGTTCCTTGTTCTCGCAACATTCCCGCAGTGGCTTGCACGAGCATCTCCTCCGTTGCCCTGTTCCCTGTTTTCGCCATGGGCGAATCGCTCCTGCCGCGCGGGCTGAAAACTCGCAAGCCGAGGCTCCCATACCCAGCGTAATCCTCGTCGTTGCTGATAAGGATCTTATCTTCCTCCGATGGTAAAAATCCACCGCGCTTCTTGTTTTTTCCCGCTGGTGTTCCTGCGACGTCCATGTGCTGCCTGATTCTCAACCCGTGCTCCGGATGCTGTAGAAGCTGGTCCCGCTCCGTTGCTGGCAATTCCATGAAAGCACGGACGACATCGTCGGAATTGTAAACAAAAGCCTGCTCCAGGAGGATCGAAGAGGTCGAGAAAGTAGAACTCATGCGGTCTACTTGAACCCCGTTGGAAGAAGTTCTTCCGCGTCCTTGGTCCCTGCTTCGCACCGGCGACAGAACTGACGCAGCTCTTCTATCTGAGGAGGTCTCGTCGTTGGCACTCATCTTATACTTATTCATCTTCTCGCTTTTGATTTTGTTGCTTCTGTTTCTTGTCGTGCTGGTCGGCCCTCTAACAATATAACCTCCTGGATCCGCGTCAACGTCCTCCTGCGCTGTGTCATAGGCCGTACTGGAAGTCGCGTTACCATCGTTTTGGTCCGAACTGCTTCCACTTTGACTTTCCCCCTGCTCAGGTAGCTTCTGCATCATGACAGGGGCTTTAGTTAGGCTCGTCTGTGGAAGATCCGTTGCTGGGTGGTGGTTCCTGCTCGGCCCGCTGCGCCGACCTTGTTCCTCTTGTACTGCTGACACAACTTCCGGCTGACCTTGCGCCGGAAGTAGCAAATTTGGGTACAGCAAGCTCAACGCTAGATTTGACAAATACGGCTGCTGTTCTTGAAGATCTGGAGTCGATTGCGTTTGCGTTTGCCATGCTGCGTTATTTTGAAAAGAATTCCTGTCCGTGGTGGCCCGTGTTCGCTGAGCCTGCCTGCGGTCATTGGCCCTGTCCGCTCGGCCCTTTCGCCGGGAGGAGGCTAACATCCTGTCACAAAAATCTTCAGACTTGATTAGGGGACCACAGCTTCAGATTTTATCGGTGCTTGTGCTGGTGAACAACTAAAACGTGGGTACGAAAGAGTACTAGTACGGTACTCATGCATATGCATGCCGCTGCACGACTCGTTAAGCTTAATACATTCATAAACATAAAACATGGTGATAATGTAGCATTGCAGGGAAGTTTTTCCGTGTTTCCAAGCTCCTGGCTGTGATGGATTTGGGGAATCACATACTTACTTTTACCGTGTTCTTGAGAACTAAAACTCACTGGCGATCGCACAATACGCAGCGAGCACTGTGAGTAAGAGAACGTAGCGTGACAAACGATGCACGAAGAAAGAACGAAGCGTGACAAAAGATGCACGAAGGAAGCTTCCGGATGCAAAGTCCTCCTGAACGACAATGGAACGATGGAATTTTGATCTTTTCTACAAACATACGCTCCTGAGGCTGAGTGGCACGACAATACGATTTGAATGGCAACGATTGCAGAGAATAGTGCACCAAAAAGACGCTGGCTATCACGTGGACGGAGAAAGAGTAAGAGAAACCGCAGAATACAAGGAAGGACGCAATCATATGTCCGACCAAGGATCCCGAGCTGGTCCTGGTACCGTGGCCTCGAGTCATGACAGGTCAGATGTTGTCACGTACATATAATTCTTCTGCCCCGTTTCCAGTCTTTCCTGTTGTCTCAACTTGTACCAAGCGCAATCGTACTGGTCAACAGAGCAACATGCAGGCTGATCGCGCTAGTAGCTCAGTGTAAAAGGTAGAACACAATCTTCGTCCTTTTCTTCTGTGGCTGCGGTTTCGCGTCCTTAACTTTCCCAGTGTTGTCTCGCGTTTTTCTCGGTGTGGGGCTGCCACTTTTTTCGCGCAGTCGGGTAGTGCTTTGGCTTTTTGTTTTTCAAGTAGTTGTCAAAGTCAAGCATACTAGGCGGGGGGTCGGATTGATTTTCGAGGGGGATTGAAGATATTGCTCTTGCTTCTTTTCTGTAGCGCAGTCGCAGTCTGTCGGTGTCGGGTGGGCGGCGCGTAACGAAAAAGAAAATGTGAAACTTCCACTCGACGAAATAACATGCGGATTGTGGTTTTATTCGTACTTGTAGTTGTACTCGAGATTTTTGTGTATTGGATTTACAGTGCTTTTAATAGATTCGATCGGATTTCGTACTGTATATTGGTCTTGTTCGTGGATCGGATGAATGCTTTGAAATCGAAACATTGACATTCTCATTCATACTTTAATAAGGAAGGATTTGTAGTGGTTTTGACATCGAATAATTATTCGAAGACGTGCTGCAGATGCGTACTGTCATGCGGTTTTCTTTTGCGATTTAATAATGCGCAGGCATTTTTTTGCTCAAGGATAAATCTGCTTTCAAAACTATAAACAGTTCGGGTCTCGCTCTTGGTCTTGAAGGCTCATAAAAACTGTTTTGCACAAAGGCTCGGGATCGGCCTAGAAGCACATGAAAGTCTACCCCACAGGGAGCGACAACTCCCTGTGGTGTGAAGGTATTCAGCTCTTCACACAAGCAGCACAGCTTTGTGATTCTTCGTGTCCACCAGCTCCTCCTGCTGCGTAGATGTACTGGTGCTGGCGCCATCATTTTCATCGCGAGCGTCGGTTTTTTGCTCACGACCGTCGTTTTGGTCCGGCGTCGGTCCGGGGGCAGGTAGCCCGGCATCGTCGCGCTGCAGGAAGGAGGAGCTGGCCCCAGACAGCTTACTGCAATCCCAGTAGACTCCGTCGTTCAAGGGATACGTAATTTTGCGCCCGGTGTACGTGTACGAGGTATAATCGAACTCCAAGCAGTCCCAGTAGTTAAGGCAGCCTGCCCAGTTGTCGTCCCGTTTGAAACAAAATAGTTGCCCGTCCGGGGCGTCCTTGCTGCAGCGAGCCGCGGCGCCTGGGCAGTCGCACCTGTCCTGGCGTTGCAGCTGGCCCTCCTTGCAGTAAGAAACGGCGGTGGAGCCGTTCTCATCGGCCACGGGTTGCGGAGTCCGGTTGCCGCAGTTGTAGGAACTGATCCGAACTGCTCCTGCCTCTTGGGCCTCAGTCGACTCCCAAACGAGGCGCAAGAGGTCCCCGGCATTGCCTTTCCAAAATTCTTCGAGTCCGTCGGGGCCAAATCCCAATTTTTGAGATAACATGTTGTCAGGCGGGCGCCACTCCGACACAGAGTAGTCCTTGTCGGGGTCAGTGAGTTTGCCAGTCTTGGTATTTATCTGATTGCAGGCCATTTGGAAGAAGGCATTTGTCGTGTCGCCTGCGCTCCAACCCAGGTCTGTTTTCCAATACGAGAAGTCGGCTCTCTCTGTTTCATAGCCGCCGGGCTTCGCGAGAAGTATGACCTGGTTGTCTTCGTCCCATCCGTGCTGACTAGATCCGTCTGAATCTTCACTGGGTGCCTTCCTGAACTTGAGCGTTGCCACGTGCTTTTCTGTCAACGAACCTATCTGAAGTAGGTCGCCCTTGCAGCGATGGATGTAATCCACTTCTTTCACTGGTGTACAGTGGAACGTATCCCCTCGGTGGAACACAGACGTTCGCCTTGCGCCCGGGATGTAGCTTACATTCTCCGTAAGGAAGATCTACATCTTCAGTGTTAAAGTAATAATCGCCGGTCCCTCGATAAACATCGATCGACTCCGGTATCGACAGCGTTCCTGCTCCACTCTCTCCACCTCCACCCAAGAGGGGGGCCCCAGAAAATTCGCCTCCTTCAGGCCCTGTCTCCTCCTTTAGATCCTGCTCCGTCCCGCAAGCGTCACCGCAGCCTGCGCTGGCTTCATCGCCCTCCTCGGTCGTCGCACCCATAGAAGCCTCGCGCTCCTTTCCGAGTGGCACGAAGTAGGATTCTTGGATGGGAACGGGCTCTGCTGGAAAACCACCTCCGTGCTGGTCCGTCCCTTGCTGCACGACGTGCGCCGCAAAGGAAAAGCCCGGATTCTTGCTCGAGCTGCAGAACCAGCAGCAGAGCTGGCAAAGAGTCGAGCCCTTCAGCAGCAACGGCGGTGGAGCAGAGAAGCTGTTCCGAGTTGTCATGTCGGCGCGGGAATCGCCCTTGGAAATGTACCTCGGCCGCCCCGGAAAGCGAAAACTTGGATTGCCCAAGGTTCGTCCTTCCATCCTTGTTGTGAGACCGGGAGTTCTTCTGAAATGATGTTCGATGAGTCGGGAAATAAGAGGAAATAAAGTGCAAAAAGTACTACGAAAGTGGGGCTGGTAGTGAATCGATAGCGAGAAAATCAAAAACGGGAGCTGGATTCCGAGGACTGTGTCAAACGTAAAAAGTGACTGCAGGCTGTACGTGAAACATACTTATCCGATTGGAGGTGGAACTCCACACGTGTAATACTCATATCTTATGGTCGCTACAATTATGAGTGGTCTCATTTTTGAAATCCAGCGGACTGCACAGGTCAGAAGACGCACGGAGAGGGAAGGAGACCCATCATACAACGATAACAACAATATTTGACACTTCTCCTGCACAAGATAAACTTCTACGACCGATCTTTCGCTGAAAAGCGCACGGCTTTCGTTGGACGAATACGAAAACGAGATTGAAGCGAAAGTCTTACCATTTTACGAAAGGTGAACGAGTTCTGCTAAACGGGTGAACGAACGCAAAACTTTTGGCGAAGACAATCATTCATTTTTAAAGTGCACGACACTGACAAGATCTAAGATGAAGATCGCCCGGCAGAGAATCCCGGGCTGGTGCCGTCGCCTCGACTCCTAACAGGTCACAGGGGTAGTGGCGTACACATTCCTGGGTCCTGTTTCCAGTCTTTCACTTTGCACAATGGTCAGAGCAACAACAGGTCTTCTTAGGTTTATCTTACTTTAGAACGCCTACAAACTCGTCTTCATCCAGAAATTTCAAATCAGGACTACCTATATCTGCTTCTGGTTCTGCAAACTGAATTCTACAACTACACTAGTTCTAGTACGAACGGCACTTGTGCATAAATAATTGCTCTTACGTTTACAAACAAAGTTTTTATTGCACTCTGAGATTGTTACTATATTTTCTTCAAAAATACACGTAGTAGTAAGCTGACATCTTCAACACCAGTACCTCACATCCAAATGATCCCTCCAAACTCCTTCCCGCAAAGTCTTCATGACATTTCAGGCACTACAACGCCCACCAGGAGCGGTTCCGGGTCGGAGACGGCACGTGCGTAACACGACGAAGATCACCACCCTCGTCTTCTCCTCCCTTTTCCTGCGGTACCTCTTTACCGGAGGAAGCAGAAGCACCACGACCGCCGCCATTGCTGCTGACCTGCTCGTTGCCGTGCTCGTCGTGAGTCGAGGACGTCTCAAACAATTTTTTCGCCGGGAGAACCTGTCTAAACAACTCCCCTGCCTGCAGCTGTTCCTCGACCTCGCCATCACCGTCCTGCTTTCCGACAAGCCCCAGACCGCCACCCATTTGACCCGCTGTTGATCCCGTTTCTCCACCCCCTTGATGTTCCTCTTGTTCCGTCTTTTTCCCGCCGCCAGATTCGAATTTCACTACCGGGTCATCAACATCTCTTTTCGGTTTCACAGGCGAAATCTCGATTTCTTCTTCCTCCTTGTTCGTGTCTGGGTTTTTCTGACACTGCTCACAGCCCAGCGCAGCCCCCTTGAACGGCGCCATGACAAAGTCCCCCGCGGCCCGGAAAAACGAAGTAAAAACCGGGTTCAACATGATCTCCGCTTTTTCCACCTTCGGGTTTTCGTCGAAGAGCCGGTCTGCAAAGAGCATCCCCGCCACCACGTGCTTTTTGTTCCAGCCCCAACTCTGCTCGGCCAGTTGCTTCTTCCGAAATTCCGGAGTCAGCGTGCAGCCGATTCCGAGGGAGCCGGTTTCGTGGAAGTAGGACAGCAACCCTAGCAAAACCGTCCGGATCGTCCAAATCGACTTCCAGGTTTCCGGATGGTAGGAACTCATGGTGGTGCAGATCTTCGTGTTCACCTCGAACCGCCCGTTCGGCGTTAGCATGTACAGTTCGGGGGGCTTGAACGGGTACTCCTCCGGGAGCACGACCTTCCCGAGGTACTGGCCGCGGGAATAGGGCTCTTCTTCCGGCTCGAACAAAAAGTACCAGACGAACAAGTTGTCCGGGCTGGGCTCGGCGTAGATTCCGTTCATATCCTCCTTGTTCTTCGCCATCTCCTGCATCTGCTTGTACTCCTTCAGCAGCCGTTTCTGCCCGAGCGCGCCGCGCCCGAAGGACGGGGTGGGCCGGGAGACGACGGTGGCCATTTCCTCCTGATAATCTTTCTACTTATTTCACCTAGCTGCGCGCCTGCGACTACCCGTTCGTTGTACAATGAGTATGTCCTGGTCTATGTTGTAGTAGGCGAATTTATTGTTCCGTGATCCCGTACCTACTGCATCGAAAGAACGCGAGGGAAACAATTATCTTCTGGAAATGGAATAGACGATGAGGATGACGAACGCAAACATGACGACGACGACAGAATTGCGATTCACTCGGAGCGATAAGAGAGTTTGTTTCAAGACGAACCAATTGCGATCGAAAGAAGGCACGACCAGGCACCGTCACAACGACAACGAGGCCACGAAGCAAGAAATGCAAAGCCGCAACACAACTCCAAGTCGACAACGCATGACATTCGTAGCCGTGTGAAGAAAGGTGGCAAGTCAATCTTTTGGATTTTCATGTACATTCAGATTCAATTTACTGAATTCAGCTTTAGCCGTCTACTAGCGACTTGATTTTTGTAAACAGGCAGGTGTTTTGCAATTCCTTCATACCAACGGGATACTAGGTACGCGTCTTCGAAATCGAAAATTATACAGTAATAGTAAAAGGAAGTGGACATCAATCAGGAGCATGTCCTTGAAATTCAGAAATAAAGTCGTAATCTTGGAGCTACATCTTACTTTGACTTGTTTGTGTTAGTAATTTACAAAAACCGATAGCGTTCAACTAATTGCTTTTGCTGGTGATCATACATAACATTCCTCTACTTAGAAAGTCAGCGACTTTTTACCCGCAATAATTCCAACTTCATTAAAGCACCTCACTCGTCCCCGCATCTTTTGTTCTTCCCCGCTCAACCTCAATCCTTCTTCGGACTTTTATTCCGCTCCCGCGTCGGTGACGGCACTTGTTTCACGCACTCGTCCTCTTGCCCTTCATCCTCGGGACTACTTCCCGCACAGTGCTGCTGCACGTGTGCCTGGAGGTCGGCCTGCGGGAAGTAGCCGGTGTAGTAGCGGTTTTCGCCCGGGGTGACGCGGAATTCCGTTTCAGACTCGTGGTACTGACGAAACATCTGCAGCCCGCGCTCCACTGTGTCCTCGATGTGCTTCTCCCGCAGCTGCTCGTCCACCATAATCTCGTGCGCAGTTTTTTGCAGTTGCGTTTTCGGAGGATAGAAAATCACACCTCCCGGAGTAAGCGGAGTGGCAGCCTTGTTTCCGGGGAAACGCGAAGCCGCTCCAGGTTCCTGTTGCGCGGACCTGGGGGGTGCTGCACCATTCCCAGCAATTGATGTCGTTGTTCCAGCGCCGGGTGCTGCGCCGGACGAGGACCGGTGCCCTCCATTGCCACTCCCACCGCCCGATGGGCAGGTCGGCGTACAACACATGAGGCAACAAGTCAGGAGGTCTTTGCACACGTGCCCACAGCAGGTGCACGCCCCGTGCGCCACCTTGCAGCAACAAGCGGAGGCGCTCTTGCCGCAAAGAAGACAGGGCAAACCCGCCGGGTGAGGCATCTTCTTTGCTTCCTTTACTTTTTGATTTTCTACTTCCTGTGCGGGTAGCTAGTACGACCACATCACGGATCAGTGAAAATTGTTCGAGTGCTCTCGCATTTCGTCGTACAAGGTTCATCCGAAGCCGGCGAACAACCTCTCAACGACTCCGCAAACGTCGAGGCCTGCGAAAAGACGAATCGACCTAAACGAATTCTTGACGATCGAGCTGAATGTTTCTCCTTTCTCGTCGTCGTCTGTCGAAGCGGACGGACGAGACGAAAAACACAGTCCGTCATATCCGGTCCTTCTGTTGGAAACGGTAACGGAGTGCATAGTGTGCATAATGATCTAGGCCTCGTAAAGAGACGATCCAATCTAACAAACTTCTACTTCATCTTGATATAATATACAGTTTTCTGCTTGCATTCTGCCCATATCACGCTTCGGAAACCAATAGACGTAAACTGCAATTGAAACTCTAAAAATCATGTGGACATTGAAATTGTAAACTGAGCATGGAAGAAATACGAATATCTTCCGAGCACTAAAATTAATTTTACAAAAACGCATCAACAATCTGTGTAAGTACGTCAAATTTCTCCTCCTGCTACTATTTATCATTCCAAACTCAAACCATTGCCATTACCTTTCTAACTCAAAGTGGTCATAACTCAACTGTATCAAATTACCGTTACCGATACCGAATTTTACAAAAACGCATCATAGATCCTCGTCGCGTACGTCGATATTCTCCTGCTACCAACGTGTTCTTTCCATCTACTATCATTCCAAATCCAAAACATTGTATCAATTCACTGAACAGAAATGCCCATGCTAACTTTCTAGCGATCCTAGCTGTGCTACGTTAGTCGTTTGCTTCTATGCTCGGTTAGATGTTTTGGTTTTCTGCTTGCCGAAGAATAAAGCTAGTATTTCGACTGAAACTAGAGGCAGAAGCGAACGCAACTACTTAAGTACTGCACGACCTTCGCTCTACTTCAATCATTCAAACAGCGACCTGAGCGAGAGCCCGCCAAACGGCCCCACTTGCGACCTTCGCACAGTCCCCACCGTTGGTGTTGTCGCCTGCTTCGACCGCTCCTGCTCATGTTTCTTCGCCCGGGGTTCTTGCGGAAACAGGTCAAACCGCGGAGGACGGATCGACGTGGTAGAGTTGTTTGCCGCAAATTTCTTCGTGGAGGGACTGGGAGACACGATGTTCGGAGACCGGAAGGTCACTTTTTTCTGGTCTTGTTTCGGTGTACAAGTCGGCAGAAACGAGTCTGGCACCGGCGTGTAGGCCGTATGACGGTCCTCGACCTGCAGGTCGATCTCCTGCTCATCGATAAACGGTGGTTTAAAGATTTCTGCACATTTTTTGAAGAAACCAGAGTCCTGCGCAGAAGTGATCGCAGGTTTGCTCCTCCAGCATGTGCGACACCCAGTGCACAGAAGTTGTACCATTTGTACCTGTTTTAAGATTTTGATCCAAAATTCCTCGTTTTCATCGTAGTGACAGCTTCACTTTGTACCAGTTTCAATTTCATCAATAAACATCATCTGCTGTCGTGTGGGACTTACTTGGCTGTACATGGCCGTGCGGAGTTCGACTTAGTTTTCAACAAGATGTAGCTTCGAGCTTCGACGAGGACGAATCCAGCAGATACAAAAAATATTTGTCGGGTCGTAAAAAATACGTACTCGTCTCGCCGCAGGGCCTAAAACCTCCCCAGGATTGGCAGTAAAGCTGACTCAGCTTCCAAAAAAAACGTTAACGTACGAAGTGTCGCGTTTCGCGCAACAAACTAGATGATATGCAAGTGGTGCGTGTTGTCCAAAATCACTGAGACGTTTGACGACTTCTTGCTGCTCATGTGCGTATACTGCATATCGATTTCTCTAGTAGCGCCAAGAACGCGACATGACCACGATGGATAGTCACGATCAATGCGAGTCAAAGTGAACATGTCGACGATATAGTGGACAACGAAAGTAGAAGAACCGCGCCACGACAAAAGACGATCACGACAAAACCGAGGAGTGCAAACGATGAACGAAGCCCATCACATTGCTGAGATGGTGGACTGCTCGCACTCTCCAATATTTCTATCTCAGGATAAGTATCTCGCCTCACACTACGGACCAGGGCGATTGCGATGGTGGCCGCTAACGCGGCGAAAAGAGTCCGAGAAAACTACGATAGCTGCGAACTTGGAATCTACAATCTTCGAGGGAGCTACGAAGAGGAAAGTTTTCTCGTTGTTCCGTGAAAAACATATATGCATGCATAGAAACATGCGCAGCAGCAGCTACACTGCAATCAGGTGCTCTTGTGAGGATGAGGAAGAAACTTTTTCGTCAAGCATAAAAAATTTCCGGTCGTCTTTCGCTTTCCCTTTTTCGTACTACTCAAACATACTTTTAAATTTTCTTCGCTTTTTTCGGTCGCTTTGTTATTGTTTCCGTGCAAATTCCATCAAATAAAGTAGAGATCTTTTGGTAGATTCATTCGGAAACAGAGCCACGCTAAATTTTTACACTGAATGACTTTTCGTTTTGTGGCACTTACATCAACATCTTGATCTTTGTCTTTCTTCCTGTCGTGCATTATCGAGGACGTGATATTAACTACTGGAATTGCAGGTACTTTCGTCGGCAACAACACTTGCACTGTTGATCTTGAACTACTTTCTTTCCCCTCCGACCCCAAGCCGTGGAAGATTCCCAGTTCACTCCTTAACAACGGCCCTTGCAGGAAGTTTGTCGGCGTCAACAAGCAAAACGGCTTGTTCAAGGTTACCATGGCGCGCAGAATCCGTTTCTTCATTTTCAACGTCGTCCAGGGAGGGTTGTCGAGGATTAAGTCCACGCTTTTTTCTATCCACGACGCAGCTGTCGAACAAACTTCGAAGAAATCCTTTTCTCTGTCGTGAAACACCGTTTGAAAGCCAAGTCTCTCCAGGTGGCTCTTGCACTCGCCGTCCGAGTAAAAGGGTTGCCAAACGCGAACGCTCTTCCTCTGCTCCTTACCCGGGTACAGTGCGTCCACGAGAGGCTGAAACGCCTCGAACGCGGTCTGCCAACGGTCCTGCTGCTCCGAAACGAGTTGGAGACAACTTTCAAAGTGCCGCTCGTAGAACACGCCGAAGGGACTGGCTGTGTGGAGCTGCTGGCGGTCGCGTGGAGATGATATTCTTCGTCTTGCGCTAGTGCCATCATCTCCTCCTGCGCTAGAATCGAGGGTAGTCGCCATCGTGACATCATCCGGATCCGTTTCATCGGACTTCCCCTCTCGCAGAAGATCGCGATAATCTGCTTTCAGGTCTAGCTGGAGCAACGACGCAGACGCTTCGGCATCCGCTCTGCCGGCAAAGTGACTTGAAGCCAGAAATTTCTCGAACAGCAAGTCAAACCCGCGGTACCGTTGTTCCAGAAAAACCCCGTCGCCAACGACCTTACGCGGACAGTCGTATTGGATGAAAAAGTAGTCTGGGACGGTAAGGTATCCCCTCAACAAGCACGCCTTGAGTAAGCAGTCAATCTGCGCGGACCGGCGGTCCTTTGCCTTCTCATCCTGCTGGTTCGTGAAGACAGCGATGGAAGGAAAAGCGGTTGGGGGCGAAGTAGTGGGAAATTCAAATTGTTGAAACGATTCACGATCCTGTTTTTCTTCAGATTCTGTTCCTACAGACGTTTTTGCGTCGCTACTGTAGTTTTCAACCAGATCTACTTCTGCCCCAGAACGCCAATTGCCGTCTGCGCGCACTGCGTCCAAATCTACTTCTTTCAGGAAGAAAGGGCCGAAAAGGCTTTCAAGTTGATTTTTTTGCCTGTGGAAATGAAGATCAATGCGGTGTTTCTGCGACTGCTGATGGTCCTGCTTCTGCACTCCATTATTCAGCGAGAGTGGCTGGTGTGCATCATTAATGGAGGATGAAACAGTGGTGCTCATGTTGAAGCCAAATCGGCTGTTCCGGTGCCTGAAAGGAAAAAGGACGTGTCGTCGAGGAGACTACGTAGAGAGACTGTAACTTACGAATGGAAATGGGCTTGACTTCTAAACATAAAGCAACGGAGCGAATAAGGTCGAGCTTAACGTAAGTCGAAGTCGTCAGTAGCAGTACAAATCTACACAATAAATATCTCGCAACAACCGCCAACGCCCGCCCCTGGGACGAAAGAGTAAGTACGATTTCATCTCCAACATCAATACAATTTTTAGACCCTACTTTGTTTCAGCACGACCACAAACACGACGCCTCCAACTGCTGAATCATGCTCAAGATCTTCACATTTCAGTTTCAGCTTAGCTACCTGCAACTTACGCGACGTGAGACCTGCGCCGTAGCATAGGAACTCGAGATTTTGCTGGATCTTTGCATTCGAGATCGAGTACTAGACCTTCATCTTTTACTTATATCGATCTACAGCCGTGCTCATTCGCCTGCTTCTCGTCGATATTTATTCGCGTGAAAAACCTATCATTTTAGTGACAGCAGAACCATGTCGACGACATAACCATCGGCATTCCTCAGAACCGATTCATCTTCGCGGCGAACCAACAAATTTTCCTCCCGGGTTCTGCGCTTTTCTATTTTCATGTACTTTTTGGACTTTGGAGTTGCAACCCTGAGGTCGATGTAGATCTAGATCTTACGGAAGATGAAGGCACACGTAAAAAAAAATCTCGCTTCGCCTGCGGCGCGCTTGCAAACAACCGATGGTGTCCTGTTCTGTTTTTAGCAAGGAAAGAAAACGCATACACCACCGCACAAACGACAATCTTGGAGCGGATCGCCTTCGTCCCTGGTGTTGATCACGACTACCAGATCACTTTCATCTACCTCTTGCACTACTGTAGGAGCCTGGTTCCATTTTTTCTTTGTGGTCATGATTACTTATCAATGTGATGTCAGTTTACACGCACATTGCTACCATTCTTCCCTTGCCGATCCAGTTTCTTCTTGATCAGCCCGGATCTGCTGCCCCGCGAGCTGGTCTATTACAATGAAAAATGCCCCCACCCCCGACTTTCTTGCAAAAGTTTGTCATGCAATGTTTCCAAATGAAAGCTTTTTGTCTTGCATGAAAGGATTGCGAGCCTTTCTGATGTACAATCTAGGTGCGCAAGGTGCCTTGTGCATAACAGATCCGGCTGCTGTTGGGCCCCTTCGCAACACAAATTCGAGCTATTCAGCATGGAAAATTTGTGATGCTGAGATATGCAAGACGGCAAATGTTTCATCTATTGGAAAGGTTTGCAATACAAATGCTGCCAAGTGTGAGGTGGGGGCATTTTTCATTGCAATATGGTCGTGCTGGAATTTGTGGGCGAGTCGGGTTGCACGGACACCATTTCCCGGCCAACCAGGGCGTCGTCCCCGGTGAGGTTCACCGGCGGCGCGTTCGCCGCCCTCCTCTGTTGCCGCCGCCGGTCCCGCCGGGCGAGCTCCTCCTCCAGTGTGCCGAGGGTGAAGCGGTCCAAGATCAGCTTGGCCGGATTGTACTTCGGGTGGCGCCAGAGTGTGACAAACACCACGACCAGGAAGACAAAGACTGCGAAATCGAAAAGGAGATCCATAGTTGTTTTGGTTTTTTTTCACTTCGACGTCCGTGCTTTGCGTATCGTGCTGGTCGTGTGGGGATTGATTCAAGGTGCGGAGGAGTACGATAGATAAGTACACAAATTCAAAAAAAAAACTGTCGCGTTTCCGTCTGTGAGGGAGGGTCTTGTTTCAGAAGGAAATTGTTCATAAACCTGAAGCAAAAACAGCGTTGTTGGTGTGCTTTTTGCTTCGCCTTCGCAACGAAATTTGCATTTCGATCGAGCACGACCTTGTTATCATGACGGTAAATGGTATAATATGCACAAAGAGTTACAGGGAGGACACACGACATAAACGACAGACGATCAGTCAAACCTGTGTTCTTGTAGACGACGCATTCGTAACGTGATAGGGCCATCGATTTCTTCTTGTTTTGGTTTGACTGTAGTAATACGGTATGGTAAAATCACGTCCGACTCTTAAGCCCCTGGCAGACCACGACGTATACAACTACTTTCACGAATGACATTGGGAAAGGGATCAAACCAGAAAAGTACATAATTCACGACCTCGCTACCATCCACAAGGTCAAGCAACGTATCATCTATACTTTTGGCCGCAGCGCAACACGAATAGTCTTCTGACTGATAGCTGTCGACGAAGGATCTGCATCTGGAGTTGTTCAGCTAGAACCTGACAACGCAAGAAGGGTGGACATGAGAATCATCTGCTGAATTCTTGCGAAGAACTACGCCGTGCTAACCGTAAGAGCTTTTTAAAACTTCCACGTCCACCTTACTTCATCAACCCGGCGTGAGGAAATTTTTTTCGCAGATGTCCGCCACGGTTTCCGAGGAAGGTTGGTGGAGGCTTGTTTTGACAATTTCCGCGAACAAGGACCCACTCTGTAGACTTTCCGCGCATTTCGTCTTCTGGAACGCCTCCGGCGCTCCCTGACTGGCAAACATGTGGTACGCGGTGCGACAACGAGCGTGTTGTGAACGATTTGCGCTGTCTTTCTCTTTCACTTTCTCGTCCGCCCCGTCTGCAATATCGCTCGATTCGGCCGCTAGCACCTCGGAAGAACTGGACCCTAACGATGCCAAGCTTTCTTCAAGTTGAAAGCAGACCACGACATTGGATGACGTAGGCGTGGTGCTGGTGGTCTCCCTTCCGTCATGGTCCACGACTCCAGCAGTCGTTGTTGCACTAGCACCATCTTCATGCGCGGTTCTGCTTACGAGATACTGCGTCATGCTGGCTGCGTGTACGGGCTCCGTTGTGCATTCCTCAGGTTCATCTCCTGCAGTCGAAGGCGAGTGCGAGACTTGATGGCTAGTATTTTCTGACGAAACGCTAACAGCTTCTTCTAACTGCAGTGGGTCCACCGACTGCTCAGCATCCGCGAGGGGCGAGAGGCTGACCGTGTGTGCTATCCCTTCTCCCAGCGCGGCAAACGCGATGTGGCACTTTTTGGTCGAATCCAGTCCACAGCAGACAGGCTCCTCCTCTAATCGATCCGGGCCCAACGTGTCGGACACCGGTTTGGGAACAAGAGCCTGCTTCTGCTGCTCCTATTGAGAGGAAAAATCCCCCCTCCCATATTGAAAAGGCATGTCTCCGAAAATTTGTGTTGCTGATTTGAAGTCACAAATCACAGCTGTCTTGCAAGAAGACAAGGGCAGAAGCTTTCGCCATATTATGGAAGCGATTTGTCATGCTGTTGGATCTAAAGAGGAGCCGCTTGCCATGCTGAACAACTAGACGCATACGCCCCTACCTAGCCTGGGGACCTGACTGCAATGCTTTCCTGCAATACAAAGCTGATTTGTGTACTCAAATCCAGCATGAGAAATTTCGTTTTGATATGGGGAGGGGGAATTTTTCCTTTTGATAGCTCCCACACACGCTTCATGTAGCCGCTCCCCTTGGTCGCACCAAGAAAATTCGAGGAAAACGACGGGAGAGCGGTTTCATGATTCATCTGCGACTCGTTCTCAGATGGAAGAACAACTAGCCCGCTGATCATCTTCAGTGCTGGCCTGCCCGGAAGATGCTTCGCCGCGCTCCCTATCAAGTGTAAAAATGTCTGGGTCTGGAAGGCTGGCACTTGTGATGCTAGCTCTGGACTCTAAAAAAATCTGTATTGCATGGCCAACAATAGGAGCCCAGTTTGTGCTACGCGGGGAGGGCATTTGTCATGCGGGATAAGCATCATGAAGGCCTGTAAAAATATGTGATGCCAGATTGTGCATTACATACATCCTGAGTCATCGTCATGTAAAATATGCATGACAAACCTGGTAACCTTCCAGACCCAGACATTTTTACATTTGATACTCCCTGTGCTCCTGGGCACCATGGGCCACGTCCCTTTCGCGACCTCCTCTTCCAGTATCGCCTCCTCCAAGTCATCCGCGCCTGCAGCTGCATGAGACATTTCTCCGAGTGGCTGCGCTATGACTTCATAGCGTTCGCGGATCATGCGCTCCGCGAGGTCTCTGTACGTTTCGTCCGGTTTTTTGCGGCCCTGCACGTTGCGCTTCTTTGGTGCGAGCTGTAGTTGGTATTGAGTTAGGGAAATTCAATCGAAGAAGGGGCGCGGCGAATGAACATGAGGGAGCGGGTTGTCTACGCTTGATAGATCATCTACTGTAATGCAAAAACAAAATGAAAATAGAAGCTTTTGCAGATCGCCAGCTACTTCCTAAAGCAAAAACTTCTGTACAGTGCGAACACCGCCGGACCCGTAAGAGTGGCGCTCGTGGTGCCGCATCGTTTCGGCTGCTCGCTCCATCCGCTACTTCCGCACTTCCGCATGTAATATTTGCACTTCTACGAAAGGGCTCGAAGGTAGACAAAGCCGCAGCGGTGGCTTCTTGGTCGCAAAGATATGTACGCAGAAAAATCAAACAAAATAGGAACTGCCCGTCGACCGGATCTCTTTCTACTTGCAGACGACCGCCCGCACGCTTTGCGTGAAAACAAAACAATTTCAAAAAGGTGATCCTCGGGTGTCATATGCTGATCGATTTGCTCGGACATCTTGAAAATTCTGAGCACTTTGTGAAGCGCGACAACAGAGAAAGGGCAAGGATCGTGAAGGTGTGCGTTGCTAGTCTAGACCGCTGAGGCTAAGTCAATGCGCGATCAGACTGGCCGTCACCACATCCGGCCACTCCTGGCGCGTCGTCTCTTGCTCACTAATTTTCAGTACCAAATATAGCCGCCGGGGCGGGGGTAGTGAGGTCGCGCGGGGTCTTTTTGACTGGACGACGCCGGGTCTTTTTGCTCTTTTCAGAGGAGAAACGCTTTCCCGCACGCTGTGGCCCCACAAGGGCCTCCGCCAGGGTCGGCCCTGTGGGCCCCCCAAATCGGGCCCATAGCATGCGGGTTGGCTTGCTGCTTTTGGCGGGATTTGCGTCCTTTGGCTTTTTTTGTTGAAAAGCCGCGCCCCTGCCGCCTCCTGAATCGAAACGCTTTCCCGCATGCTATAGCCACCCCAGGGCCTCCACCAAGCCCGGCCCCATGGGCCCCCAAAATCGGGCCCATAGCATGCGGGTTAGCTTTTAGCTTTTGGCGAGCTTTCCGCTTTTTGTTTTTTTTTATAACAAGTCGCAACTTTTGCCCTGCTCCCCCCCTTACAAATGCCCGATTTTGGTGGCCGGCTTTGCAGCTTTCAAAAGTTGGCCAAAATGGGGCCCATACCATGCGGATTCAGGGTTTTTGTCAGCTTGGCATTTTTTGGGCGCCCCTTTTTGGGCGCCCCAAATCGCCAGAAATCAAGGCGGCGGGCGCCTCAGAAGGGCGCCCCTTTTGCCGGCTCCCCTGCGTCGTTTTATCCAGTGCGAATCGATAGTTTTCGACCGGGCTTGTTTGATATCAAAGCCCCGGCCGCTTGATAATTGGAAATTTTTTATGTCAAAAAAGCCTTCCGGCCGCTTGAAAACTGCCGGTCGTTTTGCATGAGACATGTCAAAAAGATCGCTAGATTAGAACGTTCGTGACCTCACTACATACAATTGTGGCACTTACCTCCTGTATCTTTCTTAGACCTATCCTTGCAGAACCGTAAAAGTGCCGATGTGGGAGCAAGGAGTCTCTACTTCCATTATTCGAAAAGCCGCAGACCCACTATTCGAAAACCCATACACGCGTCTTAATTTTCAAAGACCAAAATACCTGCGGGAGACGACGCCAATTTGCACCGCTACGCGTTCGGAATCATGTCAAACTCGTCCGGAGAACAAGTGCGCTTCCTCAAAGTCGGGGTCTGGAGCTGTCGAAACCGCCTCTGCATTTTTCCAAAAGCACCCGTGAGCGACGTGCGAAACGAAAATGAGCGACTTTTGAGCTCTGCACCCTTGACAATCTGTGCCTTCTTATGGAAGAACCACGGTTTCATGATTCATCTGCGACTCGTTCTCAGAAGTTGTATCTAGCACGGGCGGTCGCTCCGCGACCGCCGGAGAGGTATGGAGTAGACAAGAAAGCGATGGGCCCGATTTCCTACTAGGAAGGTTGCATTCCTCGCGGGGAAGGGGCAGGAGGCGATACGCGTACCCCAAGCGGGTTTGTCCCTGGGCGCCGGCGACCACTAGAGCCTCACGCCCGACGCCCCCTGGCCCACCTCGATGGAGGGGGGGCGACGAGCCTTCTGGCCGGTTTGCACTTTGCGAGTACCCCCCAAGGTGGGCGAGCTACTATGTGCATTTTGCTGGACACCCACGGGAAAGTGGCCGCGGCATAAGAGACCCTACTTACGCGAAGGGACGGGCCAGCCATGCGCAGCGGCCCACCCACCGCGGCGGGAGTGGGAGCCCGCGATGCGCATGAAAGGCGAGCGGGGTTAGAGAAAAGGGGCGGCCTGCCCTTCCGAAAGGCAGGAATACCCGCACCCGGGTGGGGGCCGGCCCCGCGGGGCAAAGGAAGGCAACACCAGGCGCAGCACCATCCCTTGCTGCAGTCGCGCAGCCAATATTACTCTGGCCCCCTGCCCCTGCGCCTCCGTTGGCAGCGCCAAGGGCCGCGCACGCAATTGCAATAACCCGCGCCGCGCCCCCACTGCCCCAAGGGCCAACATTCGCCTCTCCCGGACCTCCCTCCCTTCTGCAAAGCGCCCCACACCGTCCCCCGCACCCCGCACCGCCACCCACCCGAGAGCACGGCGGCGGCCTGCCCGCTGCGAGTTTCTTCGCAAGGGGCAAGGGAAGCCGGCAACACGCACAAGCGGCGCGCCGCAGGCTCGCAGCGAGGCTTTTTTGCGGGACAACGCGCGATCTGGGTGCGCTTGTTTCAGACCACCTCGGCGCCCGCAGAGGCCTCGGCGTTCGCGCTTTGGGTTTTGCCCAGATTTCTACTAGTACGCGCTCTACTAGTAGCCCGTCCCCGTTCTACTAGTAGAATTTTTGCTTTCCTGTCCCGTTAAATTTACTAGTAACACTTCTTACTAGTAAAAGTTTTCAGCTTTTCTTTACTAGTAAGATTTTTACTAGTAGAAATCAAGCGATACGCCAAACGCATTTCTTGCCGTATAGTATATAGGGTTTCATGATTCATCTGCGACTCGTTCTCAGTTACCCGCACCCCCGGAGGCCGTAGCCGCTCATGCCTCCTATGTACGAAAACACCCCGAACCGCGCAGACAAGATGACAAAGACCCTGCTTGACCAAATAGACCAGCCGCAAAAACGCCACTGCCGAGCCGAAAACCTCAGACGAGTAAAGTCTCGGAGACCAGAAAAACTGCCCAGACTCCCTACCCTAGCGCTGCCTCTGGCGCTAAGTCGGTGTCACGCTGGGTCGTACCTGGTGCCCCCCGATAATAAATAGCGGAAGGAGCTGCTCCCGCTCCCGTCCTGTAGCCCTCCCTGTCACCACCAACTTGCTCCCGAACCGCTCCAAAGTGAGAGAGCCAAGGGAAAAATGCAAGCAGAGCGGCCTTGACGCGCATTGCTAGCAGCCGGTGAAAGAAGCAACCCATCCTCAAGCTCGCAAGCATGAGATCCCAGCAACCCAAGGTCCGGAAGGAAGGCGTCTACGATACAGAAAAAGTCCATGCCGGAAGCTGTGCGCCGGAGCGCATCCTCGAAAGAATCGAAAGGAATAGGACGTAGCCCAAAACTGGAATCCATACCAACCAGGCCGCCGCCCAGGCCAGCGCGAAACGAGCGCATACCTCCACAGTGGCGGCAATAGAAAAAAACGCAATCCTTCCGCCCGGAGTCGGTTTGCCCTCTATACCAGAGCCCGCCAGGTAACTTCGCAGTCCGAGACAGAGTAGTAGAAGTAGTAGTGGAAGTACGAAAATCCACGCACGGACGTCTAATACGCGCAGCGATTGCGGAAGCCAAGCAATTGCCCATCCCACCCCAGGGCCCCAATCCTGCTACCTACAGCTACCTGCGCTATCCATCGCGCCGGACAGAGCTAGGTCCGACCCGTCCAATACCAAAGATGCCTAGCCCGCCCGAGAATCGTTCGGGGCGCCAAAAAGGTAATGCGAAAGAGAGATACACTGGGGAGCCCCGCAGCCAACGCCGCTGCTGCGCAAAACAGAGTGGGTGGCGAAACATCGAATAGGAGACTGTGCTGGCCAATTGACGATACACAACGGTTTCATGATTCATCTGCGACTCGTTCTCAGAAGTTGTAGTTGAAGATGCTCCACCCCGGCAGTTCTGCCTGTCATTCTCGTACGAAAATAGCTCAATGCTGGGAATATGTTCAGTACTGTTCTTCACATCTGTCGCACCACGATCTTCACCATCAGCATTGTTCGCCCTTCTTTCCTCTTCGGCTGAGGAGCCCCCGCGCGCAAGCGACCGCAAAATGTTCGGATGCACGTCGCGCTGAAAGACGAAATCCGTGCCAAGGTAGATCCCCCCGTGGGTGTAGAGCAGGCCATAGCGAATCAGGTCGGACTTGCTGTGCGGGTCCGGAAGCCGGTCGAATTCCGCGGGCATGTCGGGGAGAAACGAGCGGACGTTTTCATCCGTCACCAGTGTCAAACGGGGCTCGATATTGATTACAGTGTTCTTTCCAATAAAGGTCGTAGATGATGTTGCACGGAAATGAACCAACCAGGTTTCCACGAGGAGCGGAAACACAGGCAAGAGGCGCGACGTCTGGTCAGTTTCCTTCGGGTTCGCAATGTAGTAAAACACGTTGACAAATAGAGTACTACGCAGCTTCAGCTTCGCGGCCTGCAGAAAATTGGAGGTCCTCGAGACGGCCGGAGGCAGAGGATCTAGCGGCACCTGCCGCATGTTCTTGGGGTTGTTCTGTGGAGAAGATGACCGCTCGTCGTCGTCCTGTAGTACACCTACAAAAATTGGCTGCTGCTGCGGTTGGTTATAATTTGCGCTGGTGTCCTCGTGCGGCAGAACCCGAAGATTTCCGCGCGTCTTCATCCACCGCGGACGCAGAGAAAAGCGATCGTGCTGCTGTCGAGTACTTTTCGAACTCGCCATGTTTTCCTGAAGATCATCCTGCTTATTCTGAGTCGGCACCAACGCCTTCGCTCGGCGTACCATCACATGATGCAGCTCGGAAACCATTAGTAAACCCTTGAGGAGGAGAGAAAAGACGACTTTGAAGGACCTTGCTATGCTCCCGGTGCTGCACGAACGGCTCTTCCTCAAGCCCTTTCCTGCTGCGAATTCCATCGTCGTCATGTTCTCGGTGCAGCAGCTCTGGAAAAAAACAATAGATTCTGACTTCCGCCAGGTAGTGACACAATCACGGTGAACGTTTTATGCTGTTGGACTGAATGTGAAGTGAGATGACTCCTCCGGGTCCCCCGTCTCCTTTTAATAGATAGAAATGTTTGCTCGCCTCGTTTAGATAGAAATCAAAAAAAAAATAACTGTGAGAAAGAGCGCTGCAGCGATGGTACGCTGACGAGAAAACTCACAACTTCAGATAGAAATCCATTCCTGCTTCCGCACGACACGAAATACGACAGCGACAGTTTTGACACTTGACAGGCTTTGGATTCCTTCGCATAGTCAACAACACACACACACACACACAAAACATACATAGACGAAAAGACGTGCCACGAAATTCTACGACCCATTCAACTCACTTGCTAGAAGATTCTACTTTACTTACAATTACATTGATTACCCAACGAAAACGATAACGATTCGTGGTAACCACGACACAAAATAAACGGAACTTAAGTATAGTAAAACTAGCAGCGCTCTCTTCTTTGAGATTTAAAAACCTCATAACATATTCATATTCTGCAAGTGTACCGAAGTGCATTAGAATTCTAGTCGCTTGGTGGAATAGAGTGCGCGAGACCTGACAGACTTACGATTTGGCACCTCGCCGGATGCCTAACATCAGAAAAGAACAAAACATGTCTTTTCATTGTCTTCCGACCCTCGAGGGGATACGCACCTCCGCACGATACGAACAGGGCCAACACAAGAAACGCACATTATTCAGATAAAGACTTAAGTAACTCCGTTTCCTCCGGTGGTCCTTGCATTTCAATTTCTTTCTTCGCGAAGGTTCGCTGTATGCTGCAGTTTTTGTTTTTCTTCATCGTCTCGAGACAGCCACACCCTGGAAACTCGACGAACTTCTGAGGAGTGCCGGGGCGATGTATTTCGTCCGGTCGAGACCGTCCGATAGATACCCGAAGGCCCATTATCTTCAAAAGTCCGAAGACTGGCACTAGCTAAGGAGGAGACAGGCTAGCGTCTAGCTTCCGAGGAAGCATAATCGAATAGGCTCCGAGGAGGAAGAATAGGTTTTTGAGTAGGAGTGCTGAGAACCTTACAACAATAGTCTCCGAGGAGCTCTGTATAAATCCGCAATATACTCCGAGGAGTCGCGAGAGAAAAGATCTGCTTCCGGGATGGATCCTTTTTGATCGCGCTGATCTGTTTTTTTTTCGTGAGATCGGTTGCTACTGCCCGGTTGAAGCGATGTTGAGGGACCTTAGATGATCGGAAAGGCCTGACTTTCCTCGGGATGACCTCGCGCTGAAGATGTACCTTTTGCCAGAAGTGCAAATAGGTACTTCGTCCGGTCGAGGCCGTCCGATAGTCACCCGAGGGCCCATTATTTTCTAAAGTCCGAAGACTAGCACTATATAAGGGATCGGCTAGCGTCTAGCTTCCGAGGAAGCACATTCGATTAGTCTCCGAAGAGGATTGAATACAAGCGTTTTAAGGATGAATCTTGTGCCAGCACTAAAGTAGCCTCCGAAGAGTGCAGAGATTGACTTGATTCGTGGTCTTTTTTGCCTGTGGGTATCAACAAGTCTTAGCTCGCTACATTCAAATCAAAACGAACATTAATATATCTGAGTGGTAATATTTCTAATCCAACAAATCTTGATCAATTCGTCCGGCCGAGGCCGTCCGATAATCACCCGAAGGCCCATTAATTTCTAAAGTCCGAAGACTAGCACTATATAACGGTTTTGCTAGCGTCTAGCTTCCGAGGAAGCATAATCGGTTAGGCTCCGAAGAGGATTGAGCGCAAGCGTTTAGCTCCACTCCAAAAAGTACAAACTAGTCCCATTCTCGGTTTGGTTCCAGCCCGGAATCCATTGGCATGCTGACGGGTCCCTCCATGTGTGCGTGCCCCAACTGGTCGCGCACTGCCGGTCTAGCCAGCCGTACGCTAAGCCGGCTCCCCTCTCCTCACCTTCGTCCCCCGTCCAGAAATTGTCATAAAAGAGCCGCAGACTTGGCCCGCTGCCGATCAGGACTTTATGGGATTCTCAAATGTTACATTCTCAACTGTTACATGAATTTGTCATGCAAGAACAGCAAAAGTGAACGCGGGAAGATTGCGCGCTTTGCATATACAAATTTGGAGCAGATCCAGGTGGTGTTTAGCCCTTCGAAAATTTGCCATGCGAAACACCTTGATCGTGTGGCGGCTTATGGTCATTTTGCATGACAAACCATGTAACAGTTGAGGATGTAACGTTTGAGAACCCCATAGACTTGCTGAAAATCTTCGGGAACGTGCCCGTGCGGTAGGGCAAAGAGAAAGGACAGGCTGTACATCACGGAAAAGAACGGCAAGCAGAGAACGCACATTATTGCTGCAACTTCCAGTGAATAGGCAATCTTCGGCAACAAAAGGCTGGCACTTCCGTCGTACGGCAGGAAGAACGGAGGGGATGTTGCCGAGGGGATTGGGGTTCTTCGGTCGTGATTGTGTCGCTGAGAAGGCCGATGATCTTCGGGCGAAAAAACAGCTTTGACGCACCAGAGAGCGACGACAAATCCAGTACAGAAGATCCACGAAAACAGCAGGAACAGATCGCGAAATCGGAAAACCGTTGGTGCCCACTGCACACGCAAGTACTGCTCCATGGGCGTGCAGCCGTTTGCACCGAGATTCTGATAACGAGCCCACACGAGCAGCCGCTCCTCATCGACGACGAAGCGCTCGTCGATCGTTCCAAAAATTGCCACCGTCAACGAGATTCCTTCGCCAATAGCAAGCGAGTAGGTCTCAAAAACTACTTAACAACACTGCCATCGCCAGAGGGGCACACACCACGTGTATGATTCTTTGCCATCGCGCGTTTCGCACACGATAGCATTGCATCGCGTCATCGGATACGGATTCTTGTACGCGAGGAAGATCCGTTTCGCGCATTTTATTAACATCTCCTTCGGTAGAACAAGGCATAACTTGTCCGTCTTGTTCGGTGTTTTCCTGTTGCGTTGCCCGAAGCAGGGCGTCGTCGCTTGTGCTGGGCACAGCTGCAGTGAGCATGAGGCCGACCACGCACGGAAGCACCAACCAGAGGACGCGAAACAACATCTCCCCAGCTGGCATCCCGCTTAAACTGAGGAGAGTAGTGGACGACCAAGCCTCATCTTTCGCAGCCCACGACGGGTTCGAACACCAAGACGGATAGAGACCGGCAACCATCGTGTACCGAGAGAGGAGCGCACACACCGCGTAGACGATGAGGCAAGAGGTCCAGATCTTGCCCGCGCTGCTGTCTTGAAACTGGCAGACGCTCGACAGAGTGTCTTGCGTTGCGAACGAGCGCGGCAACAGCATGAACTTTCGTACCGGTCGTTGGCGCTGCTCGCGGAGCGCGTCCACTGCTCCTGCGTCCGCTGTTTGTTGTTCACTGCGGTCAACATGATCTTCAACAGGGTCCTCGTCCGGTGCCGGGAGGTAAAGTACGGGCGGAAAAAACACAAGCTTTGTGGGTAAGGCCAAGCCTATCAGCACAGCCACATAGCCAATAACGAGAAGCACGAGCATGACGACGAAGTCCTTGCGCATGTTCGCAAGCGACCACGCGATGTGGTTTTGCTCGATGATCTCGTTGACTGCGCCCGCACTCCCGATGCGAGCTGCGGTCGTGTTCTGGAAAACTTGCTGGGTTGCTAGCTCTTTCCGCAGGTGCCGAATCGTCTCTCCCTGTTCCCGCACGACGTCCCCTAGCTGGCTTACCACGTCCTCCAGTCGCTGCACCTTTTGCTGCCATGCGAGGCCACTACCAGTTTCAGTGCCGGCCCCCGACGAGGTAGGTGCTGAGTTTGCATGTTCTACTTTCTGGGTGTGGCTGCTGCCCAGCGCAAAATCAATATCTTGTTCTAGGTGCTGTTCTTGTCCGCCCTCTACCGCACCCAGACGTTCTCCGAGCCTCGCTTCCAGAAATTGAAATGCAGGTCCAGGCGATCCGGGTTCTTCATCTGGACTTTTGGTTGTAAAAATCGTAGAATACACAGCGCCGGTCGTCCTCTCTTCTTCCCCTTGCGGTTGTTGTGGCAAGACGCGCAACTCGGTTCCACCGTCAGCATGGTCTCCCCCGGTTCGCCTCGTTCTTTTGTCAGTCTCGGTCTGCTCCCACCGCGCCGCGCTGGTAATCCCCTCATGATCTTGCTTGATTTGCGCAAGCACACTGGCAGCTTCTCCTTCTGCTTCGCTTGCCCCTCTCCGAAAATTCGCTGCTTGGTTCTGCTTGTTCGCGGCCACACGACGACGACCGTTCTCGGAGACTTGCGCATTCTTGGCCGAAAACACGCGGGTCAGGCGCGTAGCTAGAAGTCGGTACTGCTTCTCGTGCCGTTCGTCTTGTTCTTCCCGGGTACTTTTCCCTCGGACTGGATCAGTAGCTGATCCTGTTCTACTTCTACTACTTTTCGCAGCTGCTAATATAACAGCATGCTCAATCAACGTTGCAAAGCATGCAGCGAAGATCACAAGGAGCGAAACGCAGCGCAAGCGAGAGAAGACGAGATGACACCGCAGCAAATGTCGACGACCGCCCTTGTTTATCATGATTCCGTGATCTATGTATTGTTCTCTGCCCAAATTGTTGCCCTCTGTCGGACTTTGTCAATCTGTGAGATCTGTCTGTGATATTGACAATCACATCTGAATTGTCTACAGGCAGAGGTATTTGGAAGAATAAGAAAGCGAAACAACATCTCGTCCCTTCATGTCTATGCCTTGGTGGACAACTATTGTCTCAAACTCTCAAGTGACATAGGAAACCTGTCACTGGTGTGGTCACACCTGGAACAAGGTGCCCTAGCCCTGAAAGTTCTTAGTGTACCATCCAAGTAGAAACGCAAGAGATAATGCAAACGAGAGCTACTTTTTCGCGATGGTGATAGATTCCACGAGTTGAATATCAATTTCGAAAGTCAGTCTTAATTTCTCTATTTAAGTATATACGACAAAAACGACAACGACAATCTTAACAGGCTTGTATCACACAAAACGGATGCCCCGAAAACGAATGCCACGAACTTCTACGACCCCCTTTGCACATCGAGAGAGGCAGATTAGCAGAAACTACAGCACGATCACGACGAACACGATGTCAATTGTTTATGCCTCGGTTGCAATCATAGTTGCGGTTGAAAGTACCTACCACAGTGTTTGTGTAGAAGAGTGGTACATACACAGATCAAACACATTCACATCAAAGACAGACAACGCATGGAGTTCGACACCGAGGCGAGACGACGACAAGAAATTGAAATCTTCCTGCTTGTTCTTGAGATCTTTGTGCTAGTTGCAGAGCGCAACGAGCGTAGCCACCGTGGACATCGTGAGACGAGATACAAATGATCTTCCACGTCCACTGCAGCCTTGTCGCTGAACTTGGTGACCCCCGAAGACCTCCTTACAACACTTAAAGAAAGAACTAAAAGTAAAATCTGGAGCGTCCTCGAGAACAATGAAGACAAAAAAATTGAAGTCATAAGACGCTCCTTATCTTATGATTCTCCTCTAGGATAAAGCCACTGATATGCTTCAGTAGTTCGTGTCAGTAAAAAAACCCACGCAGCCCCCCGGCTATCTGCACCGACGGCGACCTGCTTGCGGCGGAGGGACTACCTCCTCCGGGTGACACACTCCGGTCGGGCTGCCGGCCCCGAGTTCTTCTGACTTCGAGCCTCCTCTGTGTGCGGACGTGCGGGTCCAGCGTCACGGGCAGGGTGTCCAAGGGTCGGGATTTTGGCTTCACCAACGTCCTCGAATTATTCGTGAACAAAAATTCCCGGCCGTCGGCCGAGACGTCGATCTTGGCGTAGGTCAACGCCGCCGCGCCGAGGGATGTGGAGGGAGAAGTGTTTCTCTGGTGCTGATGTCGTAAACCAAAATAGTTGGTTTTCGTTGATAGCTGCGGATCATTAGCATTCACCTCGACGTCGTGTGCGCTTTGGTTAATATTTTCCATTTCTTGTTCCACCTCAACTGTTCTTCTACTTCCCTGAAGTTGTTGTGCAACTACATGATCGCGACTCAGGCCGAGACTGTCAACCGAGGCGGACAATTGTCCGTGGATTTTAACTCCTGCGGATCCTGTGTGCGCAATTCCCGTGGGGAGCGTGAAGTCGCCCCAACGCTCGAGAGGGAAAATCTGGGACACCACGTCGGGAAGCACTGTGATTGTATATTGTTTCAGGGAGTTTATTTTGTGCGGTCAACTTGCCTATGCTGTATCTCTATCAAACAAAGTGTAGGTAGTTGACAGGAAGAAAACATAGCATCTAGCAGAGTCTACTCAGAAGTATTGCCCGAAAACTACAGACAAAAAATCATGAGAAGTTTCCAGAAAAAGTACCCGGCACGTTGAACTTCTGTCCCGGAATGCCCAGCACGTTTCTCGCGTGGAAAACCGGTCCCGCTGATTGATCCGTGTCTACAATCCTCGCATGATCTTCGCCTGCGTCGAAAATCTCCCCTCCAAAAATTTCTTCGTCATTTGCATTTCCAACAACTCCTTGCTCGTGGTGCACACCCAGTAGTGGACGACCGTCTACAATTGCAGAACAAGCATCCTGTGTCGCTACCGCTGCCGATCCGGTGCCCGTGCCGCCCCTGTCGCCTACTACTTCGAAAGTGGCTGCGGCTGAAGACAAAGCCGACGAGCCGGAGGGAGCTGCAATTGGAAAAGTTGCAGCATGAAAATTGTTCCCTGATTGTTTATTTCCTATCTCCGACCTATCAGTAGCAAACCGCAATGCACTAATGTTCATCCGCTGACGGCTGCGGCCGCGCTGCACCACTGTCTCACGACCGTGGGTCGCGCTGCCCTCGCCACCGCTCCGGCCGAGCAGCGGGCTGTGGGCGTCGAACGCCGAGTCGCGCAAATCGGGCAAGAACTCCCGGCGCCACTCGGACACTTGCTCCAGCCTGCCGGATTCCGTAGACACCCGCCAATTACTGCTGTATCTGGAAGGCGGCGCGGGGAGTTCCGCCTTGTGACTCTTCAACAACGCCAGCCGCTCGGTCGAACGGACCCGATTTTTGTAGAAGCTCTGGTGTGCTGTAGCGGTAATTATATTCTTGTGCATTTCATCGAGATCACGACCGTCTCTGGAGCTCGTCCGAAGGAAGGACGCGGAGGGACTATGCGCCGCCGGTCCTGGAGTTGTGACGAGGCCACTCTTGTCATCCAAAAATCCACTTCCGGTGGTATGGAAAATAGATGCGGTGCTGCTCCGGTCAGGCAATGGGCGGTACATGTAGTCTTGGAAGAGTTGCTGTGGAAAAATGTCTGCAGCAAAAAAAATCAAAATTTTTGCATCCTACTTTTTCGGGCACCTTCTTGTGTGTTTATTTTTTTCCACAATGAAACGAAAGCAAGGAAATGGGCAGGCCAGGTATTCCGGCAAGGCCTCGGCGGACGAAGCAGAGGAGACAGCTCAGCCACCAGGGGACTCTGTGCTTCGGTATCGGTGGACGTCGTCCACCCGGGTTCGCAGTTGTAGTTCTTCAAGTTCCCACACTCCCTCCTGATTCCTGACGATTTGCCTAGTGCGTGTCTTGTTTGGGAATGAGCTGAATCTGCTGAAGCAGCGGCTCGCTTTTGGTTCGAACCTCGCGGCCTCGGAGGAGGTCGTTTCGGGGATGAGCTCAAATTGCAGGCTTCTGCCTGCAAATTGAGCTCGATTCAGGTCGGGGCAATGCGAAAAGGGCGGCCAAAATTTGTCGCCCCGGAGGTCCGCGACTCGGGAGGGCTCCGAAGAGGTGTCCGAGGACACCTCATCTGGAGGCCAATTTCGGAGGTGCAGACTTTTTTCGCGGCGCAGACAAACACGAGCTATCTGCCCCACTTGTCCCCCCCCGCGCGAAAAACGTCTGCACCTCCACTTGGGGACCTCATTGCCGAGGTGCAGACTTTTTTCGCGGAGCCACGTTTTGCATCATAAATCTGAACCCTCACAGCACGGCATTCTGCTGATCCAGGGGCTCAGATTTGTGACCTGGCCCGGAGAGCGAGCCCAAGACGGGTCATAAAAGAAGGCCATTTGTAATGCGAAACGCGCATTACAAATTGCCACTTTTGGGGGAAGGGGCTCTGCGCCCAAGCACCTCTCGGAGGCTCGCGTCATGTTGTTATCTTAGGTGCGAAACTTACCCGAAAAATGGCAGTCGGAGGCCCCTACCTGTTGCCGCATTTCCGTGTGGAGGTAGCAAATCAAGCTCGTGCGGGACCTTCGAGCAAATGACGCAGGAATGGAGCGCAACACGTCGGCCAAGTTCCCCAGCACGGAGTCCGCAGCGCTCGCAAGCGGGCTGCAGTCCGGGCGAGAAGAGAAGAACACGAACTGCACTACCAAAAATTTTGATTTTTTTAGCTGCAGACAAATTTCAAGTTAGTAAGGCAATGGGCGGTACATGTAGTCTTGGAAGAGTTGCTGTGATGTTGTCGCAGCTGCTTGTTCCAAAGTGCTGTTATTCACACAAGTGGGAAGCATTACCATGTTGATGTTGTTGAACAATCCCGGATCTTCTGGCTTCGCCCCCACCGGCAAGGCCAGTCCCGACATAATTCTGTCCGCTACCTCCGCCCCCACGCCCACGTCTGTGTCGTGATCCTGCTTGATCTTCTCCTCTATCGGCGTGAAATGATGCTCATTCACCTTTCTCCCCTCCAAAAACTGCGCCAGAGCCGGCGACGGCGGCTGCGGCGCGGGGCTTGCGGACGCCGGCCGACGGACCTGCTGTAGGTGATGTTGTTCCTGGCCAGCAACTATATGCGGCAGAAGTTGTGAAGATGATGTTGTAACACTGAGTTGCAAACTGCGCTCGTCCTGAAAGGTCGCCTTGTTATTTCGAGGTGCCGGGGACGGAGAGAGCGACAGCGGCGGTATTTTCTCACTCAACACCGAGCCGCGGGAACGGGACCGAGAGGCGGGCACAACTTGGTTCTTGGCGTCAGTATCATTTCCCTTGATGGGACTACTCCTGTGCGAAAAGTCCCCCGTCGCGGTGTTGTGCCCACTCTGCAGTTTCGCCTGCAGTTGTTCGGGCTGGACGGTAGTAGCTCCCACGTCAAAATCTTTCTCTTCTTTGATTTCTGGTGGCGTGACGGGTTCGACTTCGAGTTCGATCGGCGGTTTCTTGGCACAGTCCATCTCGGCCTCGTTCGCCGTCACCACGCTTTCTCCCTTACTCGGAGCCGGGCTGCGGTCGTGGTCTTCCTGGATCATATTGATATTGCTAGCGTTCAGTTTCCACTGTTTCGATGCAGATACAGTGTTCAAGATTTTCCCGTCCCTCCCTTCGTCGAAAATCTTCCAGGGATCTAAGTCCTCGGCCGCCGGCCTCCCAATCTTCGCACTCCCAGCTTCACTTTTTTCCCGCAAGAGATCAGCCTGCGCCTTCGCAGCCAGCCCCGCGCTGGTGACCAGTAGACGAGTCCCGGGAATGGGCGACATCGAAATCGAGGGCGATACGGAATAAACCGACAAAGCGCTATTAGAGTCTCTGGTATAATTCGCAGTATTTTTGCAGTTGCTTATGCTTCCGCCGCCGCCGACAAACATGGTTGATGTCGATAGCACCCTCCCTGGGCCAATGGTCGTGGCATATGTACTAGGGCCTCCACTTCTTCCACCAGCAGAAATTGTAGTTGTGCCATTCATCTCCACTGCCAGGAAGCCTGCGATGCTGGTGCTGACCTGATTCTTCCGGTTCTTCTCTTCCTCATTCAACACTGCTATGTTTTTGTGATTCACCACCCGTACAGGCGAAGCCGAGTACGAGGTGCGGTTCTGTTGCAGTAGCATCCTCGGGTCCCGAGATCCAAGACGGGAACTGGACCGCGGTCTATTCGTACTGCTTGAACAACTTCGGGTGCTCTGGAATAACAAACTGCCCGTACTGACGTTTGTTCGGCCGCGAAAAGAACTACTTAGCGGGTTCTTCGACGACCCGGACGGCGAGGGCGACGCATCCGGATCCATGACCTTCAAATTGTTCAAATTGAGATCCATCATCAGCGCCCCCTTATTGTTCATCATCGCAGATGAAGTACTTCTAGTGTCCTTGTAGCTCTTTTTGTCCTCATTCAACAAAGAACCTAGAGCACTTGACGTGCTCTTCGCCGAGAAGAATTGTCTAGAGGAGGCGTTGCTCTGCATCGTCCGACGCGTGTCGTCGCGCTGCACCTGTTGTACTTCGTGGCCGGGCGGAATGCCTCGTCGTGGTGGTCCCCGTGTTTGTTGATCATGCTGCTCCGATGCAGTACTAGAAATAAACCGCACATTTGTAGTCGCCGCATCGACCGTGCTGCTCCGTAGAGCGGCTGATTTGACCGCGGGGAGCGGCGTGCCTGCGTGGTGAAAAAGGGAGGAAGAGGATGATCTGTCGCGACCCTGGATCTGATCCCGCGCGGACTCCCGGAATGACTGAGGGCGGGCCGATACTAAACCTTGTTCATCTTGGGCGTCGTGCACGACGATGCTATGTTTAATTTCATCATGGTGCTGGGACATTCGTCTGCCCCTGGTTGTCGGCCGCTCGCGCGCCGCCACCGCCGGGGACCATGCGTGCTGCGAAGCTCTTTTATCCAGAACCGTGCCGTGCTGGTCGTTCAGATCGTCGTTGGTGTTCGCCTTCTCGTTCAAGTTTCTTGAAGGGGATGCAGCATTTTTTTGTCTTTCTTCCTCTAGTACACTTCCGGTTTTTTTGCTGCTCGGCAGGAAAAAGTCCCGGTTTTGCGACTGCCTGGTGATGCTACTGGGTCTGCTCCTCGTGGTCGCGTTTTGAATTTGATTCCTATCCCGGTTGTAGTACTTTGAAACGTCTCCGGACACGCTGGCAGGGCGTGGCTGGACAAAGAACTTCTGGTTCTTAAAGTTCTCGAACCGTTCGCGCAACGCGGCCACGCCGATGGGAGGCTGGTGCTGGGGTAGTTCTTGCATTTTGCCAAAAGTTGCTCCTGGTGCGAGCGAGGCGGGGCGGGGGAACGTAAAGGGCACCGGGGTGGAAGTGGTCATGATGAAAACGACACTCGTGGGAGACGTTATGTGTTAGTATTGGAAATCGGGTTGGTTATTATGGGGATTAGACAGTATTTCGCTTGTTCAATACCTTGTTGTGCTCACGATTCGTTTTGGAAAATCAAAATGAAAAAATACTCGTTGTAAACGACTGTCGGACTACTAGTAAAAAGTCTTTTGGTGCAAGAAGGTGATAACGACTCGATATCAGTACTTCGCAATAAATCCGTAAAAAAATATGCAAAAGAGAGCAAAAACTAGTAAGTTGTGATACATATTGTTGCAGGGGTAGAAAGCGCGCGGCATAAAAAGATACTAGGTGTAGGTGGGTTTAGCAACTCTGAAGAAAATGCAAAAAGCCTCGGTTCGTATGCTGTGTCGTATATTTTTTTCTCGTCTACTTCTGCGCCCATACTACGTTTAATGAAAACTTAAGAAGCACGATGAAGATGAACGCGATTACTTTCGTACGATAGTTTCTTCAAGTACGAGTTGATGAGGGACACGACAAAGCAACATGCTGTTCTGTTCCTTCAAACCGAAACGATTATGCACGGACGAAAAGGAAAATTACGAATTGCTGCAGGGAAGAATTTTCTGAACGGTTTCGAGTACGAGGTTTATGAAGCGGACGCGGTTCATCAACTGAACATGTGAGTGTGGTCCTCTCCCAAAGTATGTGGTGCATGAAGGGAAGCAAAAACGACGCAGAAACGCAAGCTGGTATGCTATTTCTAATGCCATGCTTTTCAGGACGTAGCCCTCACAAATTTTTTTAGAGTAGGCTCTGCGCTTTTGTTCACGCGGCCAACACGTGAGCCGGGACCCGCACGGCTGCATGTTTTTTTATCCTTTACATTGTACAAGTTATTTGCTGTGATCATCTTTCTCACATTGTACATGAAGTGAAACATTAAGTCCGATGTAGTTTCCGTATCGTCCTCGCTGGTTGATTTGCAACACGAGTCTGAAGAGATCTTCCACACTCCACTTCGACTTCACGAATACGGTGCATGAAGCTGCTGGCTTCTCTCTCGTCCGTCGTGAAGGTAAGTAAAGCTGTAGTTCATGCCTGTCCGGGGTACATTTGGTTAAAAATAGCTTCGGCTTAATCTGACTATTTCCAACTAAATTTCGGTACAATCGTACAAGAAATCTACAAACCAGACTTCGAGTTCAAATTTTTCAACCTTGAGCTTTACTAGAGGGCATGAGCATGCCTTCATCTTCATGCCGCTAGCGCTACCCAGCTTCTTGAGTCAAAACACAATAATTAATTCGGCCACTGATGAGAATCAGTTTTTTGCTTGATTCAGAACGTAAATTAGAATTTTCGGATACGAACGTCGGACTGCTCATCACACCTCCTGTGACTGCGAGCCCTCTGTCTGCTTGAATTCGAGTTTAAACGAAGTTAAAAGTATATATTTCTGGATGTTATTTCTGCATATTCTTCGATATACGTTTTGACGAAGTTCTTGCTGCAGTTCGTTGCAGTTTTGGAGAGTGAAGAGTTGAAACTTTCAAACTTCAACTTCTTCATCATGATGCATTTTACATAGTAGATGCAGCACTGCTTCATCTAGTGTCGCTGCGTGCATTTCTGTTGTTGTTTCTCAACTCAGCCCCCACAGCACCAGAATCGGATCTGCTACACCTTACGCATTGTAGCCCATGTTCCGTGTGACGACGTGTCCGGGGGCGCAGGGATTGTCATCTGCGGGGACGTACATGTCTCGGACCTCCTTTTCCGCGTCCCAGTGAAAGCCTTTTGCGATTTTTGACTTCGACGCCTGCTTTCTCCTGGTCGTCGTGGGAAGCAGCTGCGTCAGCGACGCCGCTTGGTGGTCTCCTTTTTTCAGGCTGGACACATGCCGGTGGGCGAAGTTGTACCTGCATTTTTATTCGGAAAATATTCAAGCACTACATTTTCAAACTCTTTACCTAGTTCAGTTGTCCAATACGCTTTGGTTACCAGATCACCAGCGGACTTTAGAGTAAGTATCTCGTGCTCGCCGCTCGTGCCAGCTCCTGCTTCTGTTGTACTACTTACTTTAACTTTACTTTGTGCATCGCTACAACAGTATACCCCGTGCTCCACAGCCACTCCATGTAGGGTCCGCTCCAACTGGTCCTCATCAGCGGCCCGCCGCCGGGTGGCACGCGGTTGTTCAGGAACCTACTGGTGTACGGAATCATCGACTGCGTTACGTGCGTTTTCAGATTCTTCACGTTGCCCGCCGACTTGGCGCGCTGTATCCTCATGGCTGCGGCCGGGACGTGCTTGTACGCTGCGGACGGGCCGTCGGACCGGAACCACTGCATCAGGGTCGGCTTGCACGACTGGTAGTAGGACTTCGCCCGCACATCAATACCCTCGGCGAGAATGTCCTAATAAATAGACGTAGACGAATTAGTTGCATTATTAAAGCTCGGTCATGCACAGCAGCCATTTCACTTTTATTTTCTGACGTCGTGAAGCAGCTAACATTGTAAATTTTAGAACCACAGGTGGCACATCCATGTATCTTTCTATCATGTTCATGTATGATCATACCCTGAATGAATCGTGCTTGAATCTGGTCCACTGCATGTCGTTCATGTGATTTTCTTGTATCACGGAGGTTGACGGGATCCAGCTGAGCCTGTCCATGTGGAAAACTTTGTCAAACCCCTCCCCGCGGAGAAAGAGGGAGAAGGCTTCGCGGGGGCAAGTCACGTACACCGTTTCCTCTCGCGTTATTACGGTGACCGGGCATATTGGCGGCGGTTTCGGCTTGGCTTGGACCTATGGGATTTAGTTTTAATTTAGCTTTTGGTTTGTTCACGTCATCAATGCAAATCCAAGGTACTCAAGTACTAACTTTCATCACGCAATGATACAGAAGCAAGCATGCCCGTGTTGCACCTCTGGGTCTCCCGTGTTGCAATGAAACCTTGATCTTCCACGACTATGTTTCCCTACTAGAAGCAAATACCTCGTCCTCCGTTTTCCTGACGTTTCTCCTTCTCCTTTTCCCGGTATCCTTCGGACTTTCCAGCTCTTGGGTCATCATCGCAATTTCGGTCGCCGTGAACTGCCTTTTATTCGATCCTCCGCCCGCTTCGTCTTCGTCTACCACCATCCCGAACCAGATGCCCGATCCCGCGCGGACAAACACGTTGCTGCTGTGCTTGCAGACGGTGAGACTTTGTTCCTTGATGTAGTTATTGAATGGCCGCTGGTCGGACTGTTGCTGGTCGAATTCGAGAAACACATCCACAGTCCCCCCGACAATCGCGAGCACTTGCTGCCAGTCCTGGCCCTGGCGGAGGAGTTCGGTGTTTTTGTCCGCGTACTTTATCGTAAACATCGCGGTCAGCATGGACTTCCGGGCGTCTTCCAAATTCCGAAACTGTTCGTGCGCGGACTCCAGAAACTTCTCCACGGAAAGCTGCCCGTTGCGCTGCCGGTACAGGTCCGTCTTGCTACTGTAAAAATCATAAAGCGGAAGTTAGTTGTTTCGTCTCTTTGGTTTTGGAAGATCTCGATCTATATCTATGGCCTATTTCCTTTGATGGAACTGGAAGATGATCTTCAAAGTAAAAAAAAGCCGAAAAAAATGAAATAACGAACTGCATTTTCTTGCGCCTATTTTTATCGAAAATACTTTTCCATTCTCGGGTTTTTCTTCTCGAAGGCCTTCTTCGTGTTGTCGTTTGCTTTTTCTAACATTCTGCCGAACTCCTTCGCCCTTTCCGGGTCCGGCTTCTCGAACACCTCCGTTGTGTCTTCGAAGCTGCTTTCCGTTATCCTCTTCGTGCTCCGCTGGTGCGTCACGGACTTGCTCGGCGACGAACCTCCCCCGAAATTGCCCCCGAGCGATAAATTGTGGCCGAAGCTATTCGGCGGACTGGACGTCGAGTGACGCATGGTCGACGGTTGATGACCAACGGCAGAACTGTTGTTGTGCCCGCCGAAATTTCGGACCGAGGGTGTATGGGTGTGACTGGCGTTTCGGACCGACGGCGTGTGGCCGAAACCACCACCGCCGTTGTGAAGATTGTGGGCTCCTGCGGAACTAGACCCACCACCGTTCATGTTCTCCGTCCGGATGGAGAGCGTGTGCCGGTGCCCGAACCCGCCACGCGTGCTCGTCGCGCTGTGTCGGACATTGTGGCTGCCGTGCGGCGTCGCGGCGGAGGAACTCATCATGCCGTGGGCCGGCGTCATGGACTGGTGGTGGAAGTCGCCGTGGTGCGTGGCGGAAGGATTCTTTGTCGTCGCTGATTTCCGCACGGAGCTGTCTTCGATCTTCAGCAACGGTTCCGATTTGGTCGAAGGCAGCATATCCGACGCGCCGGGATTCGTTTGTGCGAGGTACCTGGAGCAAAGTCGTGCTATATTCGAGTAGGAATGCTCTTGCACGACGTGTACAACTCGGTCCAAATGAAGAATAAAGTCTATCATACAAAACGCCTGCGCCGCAATTGCATGTGCATCGAGGCCCAGATAGATCAAATCATTCAGTCAAAGCGAACGCCGACTACTTACCTTCTCCAGAACTCCCTCAATTTGAGGTGCGTTGCTTGCGCGGGCTGCAGGTACTGGGCTTCCCTTGGTATCACGTCGTTGTTTGCGTAGTCTAAAAATTCCCGCATGAAAACCTCCTCGTCGGCGTGGTCGGGGAACAAATTTTCCACGTCTCGGTTCTGGAACTCACGGTCCCCGTCCCGGAAGGTTTCGACCACGGACTTCAGCATGCACTTCCGCCCGTTGTTGATTAAGGAGCGATCCACCTCGTTACTGGCGATGCTCAATCGGTTTTTCAATTTTTTGTAGTGCTTGATCACGTTCCGGACCCGGGACTCGGAGGCCACAGGCTTGAATTCGGCGGACTTCTCCTTGGACACAAACTCGTGCTCCTCCTCGGAGTCCGATCCGGTGCCGATGATTTCCAGGTCCGGATCGTACTCCGCCTGCTGTTTCGGACTCCGCTGCTCCGAGAGGAAAACGGACAGGGGTTGCGAAGTGGTGCCGGGGGACATGTGCTCGATCAGGTACCTGGGGTATTTTTCAGATGGTGGGGGTTCGTAGTGGTGCTGCTGATGAATTTAAACACTGATAATATTGCTTGCACCTGAGCGCAGAGAAAAATCATCTTCTGTAGAAACTATTCAATGTGGGCTATAGGAGGCAGATCAACCGATCATCTTCGAATTCCGATTGCAGAAATCCAGCATATGAATCCCAATACTCGCAGTCTTCGTCTTCGTATCTGGGACCGTGCGACAGTTTCTTGCCGTCCTCGTGCTCGTCTTCCCCTTCGTCGTCCTTCGCGAACAATTTGTCCTGCCGAAGCCGCACCTTTTTCTTCTTCAGCGCCAAGGCTCGGAGTGCCGTTTGGTATTTCAGGTCGGCGGACACGCGGGCAAAGATCGCGGTTTCGTCCGACATCACCACGATGTCTTCGGTTGGCCGCCCGGTGGCCTCATTGGTGAAGACGACCGAGTCTACTAAGGGGCGTATGACGCGGTACCCCGGCTTGCCGTGCTTCTGCACCGTGGAGAACAGCCGCGTTAGACTTTGGTCCACCAGCACTTCCACACCCGCTTCGACACCAATGCATTTTCCAGCAAGGAGGATGTAGTGGTCGTTCTCTATTCGGTTGTCCTTCCGGATCAAACCTGTGGTATGGTTGGTTTTGCTTGGATCTTCATGCTTCATGGGTGCTTCGCCATGACGAGATAACATGGCGCAACGGCATTCAAAAATTTAGTTCAACACGCATTCATTTTCATACTGCTCACGATGCCGAAAACTAATGCAGATCAACCTGGGTCGTTGTAAAAAGTACATGACAACGTCGGCACGCTTATCAGAGACACTCGGACCGCGAGCTCCTCTAACTCCTCTTTCGTACAGTGATGGTACCGTGGAACCTTTGCGAGTAGTAGCTTCAAAACACCGCGGAGCTGCAATGCCGTCGACACCTCCGCGTTGACCTGGGGGTGGCCGTAGGCATTGCTGTCATCGACGACCAAAGACCTCCGGAGAATCTGCTCCAGGGATAGCAGCCGACGGGCAAGTTCGCCACGCATAGCGTTGCAGTCTCGTGGAAAAATTTGCAGGAGGATATTAGAGCAGTACTTGTGCTCCAGCACTAGCCGCACTGGTGCTGGAGGCCTCTTCTACGTTCGTCGTAGCAATGCGTCAGGTCCTTTACCAGCTTTTGCTGTTTTGCTTTGTATACAACGCTCCTAAGGTGAATCAACCTTTCACGACGTCACCGCGGGCGGATCATTCTGGGGCTGGACGTGGCAACCTGTTGTGCGGCTGTTATCACTATCCGTTCCTCACCTCCTGGATCGACACCCTTCATTCTATTTTTCGGAGCAAGTGCCTCCCAGCTGCGGCATCTATCACGCGCCAAAGATTTTCCCGCTACCACTGCTGTTCCGAAGACGATACGTTGATATGAAGTGGGAAATCATCGAAAAACGACACGAAAAGATTGATTCTCAGTGTCGAAATAGAAGATGACAACGAAATGCAGCGAAATAGAGATTAAGTATACTTTACGAATTTAAACATCGATCAACATTGCTCTCGATAAGGAAAAGGAAGAAGATGACAATAAGAATAAAGACAAATTGAAACTTTTCGATTTCCTGCGAAGTAGTACCAGTTCCTGTCCCTCGCAAACTACTGGCTCGCCAGAAGCGATTTCTTCTATCAGACGAGCGATTTAGCCAACCGAAAAACACAACGACGCAAGCGAAAATGAGTAGGCACAAGGGCGTGAGCCGAAATGCAATACTCGAACGTACTCCCGAACAAAAGCGACAGCTTTGATGTGTGGGATTGATTTTTCACGGAGGAAACCAGATCAGTTTTGTTCCTATCGATGGTAGCCATGATGTATTCTGAAGCTTTTCGGGAGCAACTCCGCATATTCTGTTTCTATTCAGAATCTTTGCTCGCGTTGTCAAGGTTTCTCGTGTGCCACCTTGGTACTCGTTTTTTCAAGAAAAACCTGCGCAAAAACGTTCAAGTTGATGCATCAAGATCAACATTCTACTAGTAAGATAACTTTTCTCGTCGTACTCCAAGTACAAGTGGGTTTCATTCTCGAAGGTAGCAATTCTAAAGAGTCGCTATTTTCATCGTCAGGTTCCGGTCACTGTCGCCGGGAACAATAGAGCTTTTGATTCTTTCTCTTTCTTACACGGGTGCAAGGAGGTAAGTACTTACAGTATCAGCGAAGAACTGCGAGATCATGAGAGAAATTATGCTTATTCTCAGCAAGAACTTGCTCAGTGAAACTTGGGCATGTTGAGCACGCGCACGCAGCCGTCTGCGGATCCGATCACGAACGCGTTGCACTTGGAGTTGAAATCCACAGTGAACACCGGCTTAGGTGTCGACACGACGCCCAAGCAGTTGTAGGTCTTGGCGTCAAACACCTTTGCCTCGTTGTTTTGCGACCCACCCGCGACGATGTACCTGTCGTTCGGTGAGACATGTCAAAGCCAGAAGCTGTTGCAAGCTCGGCAAGAGAGATGCCATAAAATGCAATAAGAAATTCTGTACACCCAAGAAACAACGTTAGATATTAGAGGTCTGATACCTTGAGTCCGGCTGCGAGTATTGCGCTGCGAACGCCATGCACTCGGCGCTACTCAGATGGCCTGGTGGTCGCCACGGAATGGTCTGCTTCAAGCTACCCGTGCCGAAGTCCCACACTTGAAGCGTATCCTGAGGTTGTTGGAGTAAACTTTGTTCCGTGATGCAGCAAAGCAGATGCAGTACAGGTGATGTGCGCTACAGATGCTAGATACAGTAGACTTTTACTGGTCTTTCTTGTTTTCCATGGTCACTGTAAACCACTGCACTATGATGTCGTGTGTTCTTCGACCTGCAAAGAAAACCGAAAGACTAGAACGAAAAAACTTCTCTGTACCGTTGTTCTGTAGGAAGCCGTCAAAATTTCCGACCCGTCGTGATTCAAATCCACAGCGTCCCCGCAAATGTAGGCCCCGTAGATACTCCGAATACTTTGCCCTTTCCGCGTGTCCCAGACTTGGACCTTTATTTTAGTTGTGTGGAGATCTTGAACTGAAACGCCAACTGATGCAAATTCGAATCTGATAACTCATCACGCAAGTACAAGATGGATCTCCATGCATCCATGGGTCAAGCGTGGTGCAAATCAAGCCCCAAACTGTTTGCATACCGTGTTGTCCCATCCCGCTGACACGATGAGATTTGGGTTTGACGGATGGAACTTTACACTGAAGACTCGATTTGAGTGTCCGGCGGTTTTCTGGAAATCTCCGCCCTCCAGCGTGGTCGTTAGCCGCTTCGTGGCCTCGTCGTACACGCGAACCTTGTAGTCCCTTCCAGCGGTGGCGAAAAGCGCGCCCGTGTGATAGTAGTCCAGGCAGAAGATTTGGTTATCTGGTGTGGACAGTCGTTTGCGATCATGATACGGATCTTTCTTTATTTGAAAACGTAGCATCATGCAGATATGCTATTCGAAAAGATCCTGTTGATCGAGATTTTCTATATTCGTACTGTGCGAAACAAGTATTTTGAAAGTTTTTCTACCCTTCTCTTCGATTGTGTGCAGGCACTTTCCGCTCTTTATGTGCCAGTGCTGCACTTCGCCGTCGTTTTCTGCGTTCACCGAGATCAACACATTTTTCGTTCGACTTTCCGACCCGGATGGCCGCCATCGCACTTGGGTGGTTGGGAAGCATGGGGGCTTCATCCTGATAGTGATTTTTGAGAAATAGTAGACTTTGTCCCATACTATGGAGATCATGTTCATGCTTATACTTTTTCCTCATGACATTCATTTTTTCGTGCACACAGCAATGCGACGGTACACAGGTCGACGAGGAGCAACAATGATGCAATTTTAGAAAGTACGCCCGTATAAGCGCGTCATCCTCCCCCTCGCCGCCGTCTTCGCTCGCGAATTCTTCCTCTTTCCGGTTGTTCAGCGTGAATTCCTCACTGCCCGTTTCCGCGTTGAAAACCCGGATGGTGCCATCGGCGTAGGACACCGCCAGGTTCTGGTCGTCCGGGGAAAATTTGCAGCAAAACACCTCGGCTGGCTCGACGTCTTTCGCCGGCTTAATCACGTACTTGGGGCTGATCTTCACGGGAGCCTCCTCAGTCGCCATCTTGTTGTTTATTTCTGGAGCGCGAGAGGAAACTGTGATGGATTCGAAAGAAGGACGAAAAGCAGTACAGTAAAGTTTCTGTTTGGGGTGGGTATATCGGTTGCACAACTTGCTTTCGGATGGGTGCTGAATGTTAAATCGTTCGCCCGTTTGGAGCGAGACTGTCTTCAACAACTAGACTGTCTCCGAAATTATGCGACCCTTCATTCAGCTCGACATCCACTGTGTGTCCCCCATTTTCACTACAACACAGCGTCTCTCCGGGTGAATCATAGTTGTGTTTCTAAGTATACGACATGACTCGTATGACTATGACAGCTCTCGCACACTCGATATTCTGGTTCTTCAGTGCACCGGAACCGGAAGTGGAAGACGCGCCGGCGTCAATAAAAGTCCTGCCACCTCCGCTGAACCAGATGGCATAGCACGTGCTGCTTCTGCTTCTCTCGCCAACCCGCGGGGTATTTCAATATTCTTTTCCCAGAAAAGCTCGTTCATATTTTTCATGCTCAACGCGAGAAGAAAGCTCGTCAGCGCTCCACTTCATTTACGTGTCGTTGTGAAGATGGAACTCAACCACGACAAAATTTTACGTCGGTTTCTTCAATACCGCAAACCACTTCCTTCTTCGTCGCGAAATTCCCAAAATTTTCAAATCATCACCCTCGCTTGCAGATGAAGCAATGCAAAACATACTTACCCGTGCACACGAGCATTCGTATCACAGATTCACTTCATTTCCCCTCATCTTTCGGTTTTTCCGGCGGCGCAGCGGGTGTCGAACCGGATCCGCTGTCGCTTCCTTTTTCTTCCATTTTCCCCTCCACTTCTTCCTGGACCATCTGGTTGTCATGTACCGAGGGCGCCGACGTGACGTCCTTTTTCTGGTTCAGTTTCGGGACCCCGATCACGCTGGGTTCGTTCTCCGCGCTGGCGGCGGTGGTGGAATTCTCTTCGATATCAATTTCCTCGACGGTAAACCGGCTGTTCGTCGCCGTATCCAAGTCCGCCGCGATTTGCATCGCCCGCAATCCGATTTCCCTGGCGGAAAGCGCCACGCCCGCTTCCATCAGCGCACGAGCCGCGGCCGTGGCGAAGGCACCGCCGGAGCCGATCTGGGAGGGGAGGGGCAATGGTTTTGCTTTTCAACAACTTCACGTCGATTCAATTTATTGCAACAAATATCTTCGCCTGAAAGAACATCAACCCTTTGCTCGCGTCTTATGGCGCACGAGTTACTGTCTGACATATACAGCTAATGAATCCTGAAAGAACATCAAACTCATCTCTTTCCGATTTGTCACACAAGTTTCAAAACTACTCCTTCTTACCCCTAAAACCCCATCGTGAGGCTCGAAGCAATCTCCGTTGCCCGTCAGCTCCAGAGTCGCTTCCGCGTTTGCGACAACGACCGTCGCGTTGAGTTGCCGCAGCATCTTGTCCAGTCGCCACGCCTTTGCAAGCTCGACGCTGGCTCTTACCTGGGTTGTTGAGCGAAAGGTGAGTTTGAAATGCGTGATCGGTGGAAAAATTCTTGTAAGTACATGATCATCCGCATGCGTACGGAATCTTTGCGGAGGTTGTAGAGAATCGAAACACAAAACACTTTTGTACCAACTGCCCCGGGTATTCCTCGAGTTTCATTTCGAGCCGTTCCAACAAAGCCAGGCAATCCGCAGTGCCACCCGCGAAACCGGTGATACAGAGGTTCTTACCTTGCATGTTCCACCGAATAAACCGGAAAGAAATGCACAATCAAACATAAATCTCTGTGTACCGATAGATAAACACGCACGACAGGACAGTAACGAAAGCTCATTCATTCAATCTGCCCCTTCAAGATCTAGTCGGCGTCGCGCAGTGCATCAACATCCACATTGCACTACGAAAACCAAAACGCCAGCTGCTTTTTCCCAAACAAAGCAATATGCGAATTTACCTTTCCCGACCGTCCTCACTTTGAGCGCGTTTGGCTTCACCTTGTAGTGCCCGGCGGTGACCAGTCCGTCGCCGCACATTACCACCTTGTTGTCCTTTCTGACGCACAAAATCGTCGTGGTCCGTAGCTGCTGGAAGTTGGACCTCGAGGCCGCGCATCTCCGTGAGGAGCTGCTGGACGTGGAGGCGGTCAGCTGGTCCCTCTGTAAATGAAAGACCTCCCCCGGTCGAACGAAATCACGTCTGCCGGCAAAAGCTGCCGACGACGTCGTGCTGTGCAACAAATAGCCTGAGCTAGCCACCGTTGCGCCTCTAGCCGTAGTGCTAGAGCAGAAGTGAGACAAACAAGCACGTTGCATCTTGTCGTGCGAAGTTTTTTACATTTACTGTGGTTTTTTTAATACTTTATTTTTTCTACTTGTGCGTCTGAAGCTGCTCTCGTGCTCTTTCATCTACTTTAGTAGGTTACTCAGGGCTGGTGAATGGCCACTGCAAGAACAGCACATTATGAGCAAAGAGAACAATTCGCACAGCACACCGAGATGCTGATGCATAATGCACGGTCGCATCCCGAGCAGCCAAAGGAGTAGTTGTTTCTTTCATCATCGTGGCAACATTATTGAGCCACTAGCTACAAACAACGAATGAACGACGACACGCTTCCACGGTCACCCCAAATGTTCAGAATCAGAAGCCCGCCTATATTCTCAAACATCAGAACGCCTCGGAGATTCTCCTGCAAACATTGCCTAAAATACCTGAAAAAGAAAAACGGTGGCGCAGCACTTTTTACAAGGGATGTAAATCAAAGAAAGTCGCATGGATTTTCTCCTTTGTCGGGTCCACCGGGTAACCCGTTTCGTACCGATTCACACGGTCAATCACCTTATGCAATACAAAAGCATCGCATTAGAGCACTGCATGCAAATTTTTGCACCTTCAATCATGCCAGGCCACGCACGTGTGCAAATGAGGTGTGTCACACAAGTGTTGCAGTACTATATGCAATTTGTACTACTGCGATGCTTTTCCACCGGATATGTCGCGTGATTTGGCAGGTCGTTCCGCCGAAAATCCAGATACATCGGCCGCAAGCAGAAGCTCTCGCCCAGCTTCTCCTGCACGATTGCGTTGGCCTCGCACACGAACTTTTCCATCCACTCAGACTTTCTTTCTCGCGGAAAATGGAGAAGGATGGGCTGGGGGGGTTGCTGCGATGCTGAAGCCAGTGAAGATGCAACGCCATCTGTTTCATCTATTGCACGACCACTATCGTCCGCGTTCACCATCGTTGCGTCTGTGCTATCGTTGTCGTCTTCGGAGCTGTTATCCCAGGCGCGTTGCGTCAGCCACCTGTCTGCCAGTTCCACCGCAGCCTTTTTGAAATCCTCTGGCCTGGGGCAGAAGACACGACACTTGTCTACGTCATAGTCAAATCGCGCATTCTCGACCCGCACAAGCTCCCAAAACATTTGGGGCTCCGCGTCCTGGTTCATCGTTCAATCATTGGATTTTCGTGTAGTTTCTGATCATACAATTCACGACCTGAATCAAACACAAACTTTTCAATTTCATCTTCACAAATCACGTACAAAATCGCAACCGCGCTAGCATCAACCCAGTAGTACTTTCATGTTCGCTGCCTGTTTCCGCGTTTTGGTCAAGGGTATGGGGCGGAACCCGATTTGGCTTTCCGGCACCAGTGACTCAAAGCACAAATTCACCTGCATCGCGTGCGGCCATGCGCGGAGTTTCTGCTTCAAAATTTTCGCACGATCCGCCCACGAGGTGCTCGCCGGGATCGGCCCCTTGATCCAGCGAATCGCCATTTCCCGATCCGGGGAAAGTTCTTGCGGAGGTTTGGACGCACGTTGGTCCCCTGTTTCATGGCCGAGGTATTCTTCTGCGGCTGTGGTCGGAGGGGCAGCGTCGGCATCTGATGTAGGTGTTTCATCAGGGAATGTGGAGGACGTAGGACACAGTATTGAAGCACCTTTGACTTCATTTTCATCGACATCGAGCAAAGTGATCCATAAAAAGTAAATACTTACCACCAGAGGTGTTCATCTTACAAAGTACCGGCTTCAGCAGTATCCTGCTTGACAGAAACAGCGGTCCTGGGTTCACTTTCGGTCACAGATGACGCAGCACCAGGAATTTTTGCCTCATCTGCCGCATCATCGATTTTCTTGTCTTTGTCGCCCTCGCTGGTGCTTATGCCACCAGGGGCACCACCTGATTGTGATGCAGAGGACGGCTCCGATTGTTCCTTTGACGATACACTGTCCACGCTGCACGAATTCATCTTCGCATCCGCGTTCTCACCATTATGCCCCCCGGCTGCTTCTGTTTGCTGCTTAGGACGACCTTCCTCACTGTCATTCTTCTTCTCAGCGTCAAATTGGAACCTCGCTGGCGTCATGCTCTCGTCCTTGAGCCATTCCTTTGTCGGCGGCCGCTGCCGCATGCGCTCCACCTTGACCGCTGCGTCCGCGAGTGTGATGTCCAACAACCGACAGCCGGCCCGGGCGAAGCGCTCGGCCACCTTGAAATCCCCGCCGGTGTGCCGTTCAAACCACTTCCAGAGTTTGTGGCGGAACCGCGGAGCAGACATCGGGTGGATCGGGGTAAAAACGGTTAAATCGTCTTCTTCCGAGGAGGGTTCATCCGCGGAAGTTGTACAGATGCTGCTGCTCGAGGTGGTTCCGAGATAGGGATCTCGATCCTGTTCTTCCCGGTCTTGCTTCATTTGCTGGCTGCAGCTCTCCTCCGGCACGATATTCGTCGAAGTTTTTTCTTCAACATCCATAGACGCCGCCCCTGGTTCCGAAATCCCGCCGTACCCGGTTTGCGCCGACTTCTGTCCGAGGTGGTTCAAGCGGTACCCGAGCAAATGCTGCTGCAGCGGGCTGCGCATCAGATCCGTCGGGATTTTCGGGGCTGGCTTCTTTTCCTGCATTGCGTTCTGCCCGTAGGGGAGCAGCCAGTATACTTTTCGCAGTTTGTGGTTGGCCCGAACCAGCACCGCGGCGGCTTGCCGTTGGCTGACGTCCGTCGTCCAGGGCATGTTGCGGACCCCGTCGATTCCCAGCACCGTGGGCCACTCTTTGTGTGTGCGGAACACCAAAGTGTGCGCCAAACGCTCGATGGCGGCCGGGAGCACGTTGCCTTCGATGTGAAACAACACATCCTCTTCGCCACGGCCGGGCTCCGATTGGAAGCCGAACTGCTGTGGCTTTTTCTTTTTAGTTGACTGTGACGTGGTTGTCGAAGCAGATGATGTTTCAGTTTCAACCCTGCTCTCAGAACGATCTGCGATTGTTTCGCCTAATGTGGCAGTTGAGGCCCCACTCGAGGTCATGGTCGCTGCGGCTGCTGCAGACGCGGGCTTTATTGCGACAGCAACTGCAGCCGCAGTACTCCCTGTGCTAGTTCCGGCTTGCGCCTGTGCCGCGATGCTGGCGAAAGAATTTCGACGACGGTGCAACACCCACGAGGACGCATCAGCATACAATAGAACGTGGTCACCCGGGCTCCTTTTGGCCGAGAGAGGACCTCCGCCATTGTGCACCAGTGCCTGCGGCCTAGCGCATGGCTTTGACGCGGCAGACGACAGAGCCTTCATGGTTGATCAGTGTCAAAAATTTAGCAGTTGCTTGTGTTTCTTCATATTTGATCTCCCTCGTATACCAGGTGTTGTTGTTGATTCTTTGAGAATGACAGTTGCTGATGGTTGACTAAGCAGAATCAAAGCAGCACATCTTCTTGTTCGAACGAGACGGCTGCGATAACGATAAGTGCAAACTGTGGCAGTGGCACCGCATGCGACGCAGCTTTTCTTTTTAAGGATCCGAACAAGAAACCCAAACATTGATCGTCGCACTGACTAGAAGTGAAGCAGAGGAAATTCTCGTCTTGCTTTCGTTTCTTCGTCGTGTGAACCACTTGCGGCACCAGCGCCACGCCTCCAAAAATCACCGTATTAATTACAGGCAGCACCAAGGCAATAATATAAACTCAAATTGCGTACAAGTCAAAGAAAATGCCGTGTAGTTTCCACTTTGTCGGATCTTTTTCGGCCGGGAACGTCGTTCGCGTTCGCTGCATCCGCTCCACAGTCACCCCCTTTTTGTCCTTCAGCAGCTCCGGCGGAAAGTCGAGGTAGACCGGGCGAAGGCAAAACATCTCTCCGGTCTCCTCCTGCACGATGTTGTTCGCCAGGACCACAAAGTGCTGCAGCCACTCCGCTTTTCGGCCATGGGGGAAGTGGAGTAGAATTTTCTTCTGCCGTGGTAGTACCTGCGGTTGGCGTATCTTGCCGTCGTTGTGGGTCTCTTTATCGTGGTGGTGTGCAGCTACTGCGTTCGCCGTTTTCAAATGCTGAATCCAGGCGTCCGCAAGCTCCGCAGCGGCCGCGTCGAGCTCTTCTGGATTGGGCGCGAATACCTCATCGACGGCCGGATCTATCTGAAAATCCGGCTCGCTCACCTCAACGATCTCCCAAAACATACGATAATTTGCGTCTTCCTGAAGACCACGGTCTCTTCTAAGGACCTCCTGGTTCTGATTCTGTTTCAAGCTTGCAGAAGTAGTTGTCGTGCGATCACCGGCGTTCTTTTCCTTTTTACGACCAGCGTTCCTGGTGTTTTTACTTGTGTCACTGCTGGTGCCCTCTTCGCCCGCGCACATCAGAGGCCGAAACGCGATTTGCGTTCCGCCGCTCGCCGGCTCGAAGCAGACGTTTAGCCGCGTCGGCTCTTCGTGGTGGTTTCCAAAAGTTTTCGGCTTGGGATTCGTACTTTCGTTCATGGCGAAGAAGGCGTTGACTTTCTCATGCAGGATCTGTGCACGGTCCGCTTGCGTCGTGGAAGCCGCAATGGGCGTGCCCAGCCACTCCCGCATCAGCTGCCGGGCGTGAAACGCGGGCGCTTTTAGGTCTTCTTCTGGGATTTTGACTCCATCGTCCCCCTGTTGCTGCAGATGGTGGTTATCACGTTCGCCTTGATTTTTTCCAGACCACACGACCCCCTTCCCCCGCACCGTCCCGGCCTTTTCCAAGGTCACGTCCACCAGCCGGGCCCCACTTTCCAGGAATTTGGCCCGCGCCGGCTGCGGCGCCCACTGCAACCCGTGAAACACCTGCGCGCTGCAGTCTGTGAGCAGCCGGAGGGCGCGCAACTTCTGCTTCTTTTCGTTCACGTCTCGCTGCGCTGCTGATGTGGCAGAGGACGTGTCTGTGACGTCATCTGCTGTAGTTGATGAGCCCGGCTCGGACATGGCAGGATCTACCCACGATTCCTCCGCGAGCGGGAGACCACTGCTTTTGGGTCTGTTCTTCGCGGGGGGCGGCGGAATCGTCACTGCAGTGACGTCGAATAGACTGCCCTCGTTTTTCTTTTGTGTTCGTCTCGTGATGTTTCCTTCGATAATTGCTTTTGCTTCTCCCTCCCTCTCGCTGTACATCTTTCCCAACAGGCTGCACATCGCCGACGTGTTCACCTGATACTCCCCGTTTCTGGCGCGCATCGTCGGCGTCACCCAAAACCCGTCGCGCAGTCGCTGATTAACGTACAGAAGCGCCTGGCACGCTTCCCGGATACTCTCCTCCGACACCGCCCACGTGTTGCGCACCACGCGGCGAACGTTGGTTTTGTTCTTGCTCTGCGGGTCTTGATCTCTCCCTGTCCCTCCACTGTCTTCCAGCATCACAATGCCCCCTTGTAGCCCCAGGACCGTGGGCCACTGGTTTCGCACGCGGTGCAGCAGCTTCGGCGGCAAATTCGGGTCATTTTGCTGTCCCCGTCCGCGGAGGGGTAGTGTCAGTATCATGTCCGCCTGGTTAGTTTTATTACTTGCGCTGGACGACGGTTTATTGCCACCGCGGTACGGCGGGCTTTTTGTAGCTTGGTTTCTGGCATGATTCTTTGCCTTATGTTGGAAGAGTGACGCATTTGCATCTTTCTCGTGGACGGCAGTGGTAGTGGACAGTGCTCGTCGCGGCAGTACCCGCACCACACGAGGTGGAGGTTGTCGCAAATGTTGATCTTCTGCATAGCCGCAGCACGGCGCAGAAACGAAGCAAGGAGGCCGAGTGGATCGCACTCTTCCGGCATGCGACGCCCCGCTATGAGGGAAAATACGGCTCGCAGAAGGTCTTATCATGACTACACACAACTTGATCTTGATCGTATAGTTGCTTTTTCAGATGCTCACATTGCGCTGAGAAGAAAGATATTTCCCGCCCAGCCTCACCGACGAACAACCAAGCAAGAGAGCAGATGCAGATTTCATGATCAGAGCTGATTTTATACAACTTTCACGATCGGGCTTGCGAAAGACAACGAAAAACTTGTTCCAGACGATCGCACCTGGATCTACAAGAGAATCCGATTCAGAAATCATAGGAAATTGAAATCCCACTAAGGAAAGATGATCCGAATTAACATCACCGATCGATAATTTTGTCTGTATGGCGTAACAAAATCACTGTGGCTGCTGTCCATTGCTCCATCGTCCTCTTTCGGTGGATTTCCTGTTTCACAACAGTCTCGGAGTCGTCTACTGCACTAATGTACACAACATGAAAGTTCTTGTACCACTTCGGGCTACAATTTCTGGTCTCCTGGATGCTGTCATCAACTGCTGCATCCATCACACTAGCAGCAAGACACGTAACACACACCCTAGTGACTCGGCGGGTCCATGAGTTCGGCAAAACTGGAGTTCCGGCTGAGCTCAATGTCGTCCTTGCCGGCCGTGGCCGTGAGCATCTTGGGTGTGCTGCTGTCGCCGATCTCCCAGGTGGCCACCGACACCGCCGTCGGGCTGCTGCTGCCCCCGGAGACCGGTACCTGCGGTCCGCCGCTCGTGAGAATGGACGGCGTAGCACCGGTAGAAGACGCTGTTTTCTTCAAAACGGTGACCGCAGAATCCCGTGTATGATCCGAGCTGGCGCTCATGGTGCGCGCGATGTAGATGCTGTGGTCGCGCGCGGCGGTGGCCGTCAAGAGCTGAAAGCGTCGCTCCGAGCAGCTGTAGGTGTCGGGCCGCAGTTCGATCACCGTGTTCAGCGGAATAGATACAGACGCGGCCTGCTCGCGCGACAGCCCCTTCCAGTAGGCGTACAGCACCCGGAGCACGCCCTGGTGCCCGATGATCAGAAGCCGCTCCCGGCACCGCTCCATGTCCAGGATGCAGGGGTGGACACGCTGAATCACGTCCATGTAGGACTCGCCCCTTGGGTAGCGGTAGGTCAACTTGTTTGTTTGCCGCTCCTGGAACTCGTCCGGGAAGGCGTTCTCGATCTCCGCGTACGTCATGCCGTCGAACTTGCCCGCGTACAGCTCGTCCAGCGCGCGCCACTCCTTGCGCTTGAACTGGTGCCACAGCGCGCCCGACTTGGGGTGCTTCAGCACCACCTCGGGGATTGTAGCTGCGGTGTCGATCGTGCGCCGCAAACTGCTGGTCCACAGCCGACTGGGCCGGGGCTTGTGCACGGTGATGGACTCCTTCGTCTTTTTGTCGACACTGGTCACCGTGTCCATCGCGATGGTGTTCATCGCAAATTCCGCGAGAGCGTGCGAATACTCCACCCCGAGGGTCGACAGGCCGCTGTCGCCGCCGATTTTCCCGAGTTCGTTGTACTCGGACTGCCCGTGCCGGGTCAGGAAAAACACGCGGTCCCGGGTCTGGTCGATGTTCAGGTGCATCAGAAACTGCACCATTTGGTTGGGGATGAAGCCCTTCACGTTGTTCACCACGTACCGACTCAGGTTCACCACCTTCACCCACATGGCTTTGCCCTCCTCCGTCGTGTTGCTTTCGTCCAGACTCTCGTACACCTCCGCGTAGAGCCGAATCCGCTCGCGAAACTCCCGGGTCGCGGTTTTCCCGTATCAAATGCAAAAGTGTCTGGGTGGTCTGGAAGAATGCAAGACTTGTCATGCATATTTCTCATGACCCATGATGCCTGTAATGCATGCCCTAGCATCGCAGACTTTTAGAGGGCTTCCTGATGCACCTTCCGCATGAGAAATGCCCTGTCCGTGTAGCACAAATTAGACCCCTCTCGCTGGCCACGCAATACAAATTTTTTTAGAGTCCAAAAACAGCATGACAAATTGCAATCTTGCATACCCAGACATTTTTACATTTGATATCTCGTCCAGATTGACAAAATCCGGACAGCCGAGTTTGACCGCCCGGATGTTGTTGTCCACAATGGTTTCGTCTGTGACTAAAGACTCGACAAACATAATCTTCACGGCGGAGATGTGTCGCCGCGCCTGTAGTTGGGCATTTTTGCAGCGATCTCTGAGTGGTCTGGACAAGTGGCACTCGCACTGCGACGTGTCGTGCTCTTGCATTTTCTTGCATAAGAATAACCTCCACCTCAGACGCGAAAACAGAATCAACGCAACTACAGACACAGAATCTAACTCCATCAAATAATTCCTATGTATAGTACCTGCTGCATGACCCACTCGCGGCGTTCCCGACTGCTATTGGTTGCGTCGAAGAAGGCCACGCGGCCGGAAATCTTATCGTCCTCCTGCTCGCTGATCCAGTGCACCAAGTCCAGCATTGCCGCCTCGCACGCGGCCTGCCGCTTCTTGACATTCTCATGCAGTTTGTGATCGAAAAAGGAGGGTGCTAAATGGTTGCCGCACATCGTGCGGCGGTAGTCGCCCACATTGAAAATCTTGGTGCGCACGTTGTGGAAAAAGTCCAGGTACCGTGCCAGCCGCCGGCACAGGTAGGTTTTGCCGCGGGCGGGCAGACCGACCATAATTACCACGTAACGGTCGCGAAACACGTGGTCCGCGCCCGGGTGCGCGAGCGGGACGGGTTGCGGAATGGGATTTTTTCGTGGGCGCACCGCCGCGCCGAGCGTCGTCCACATCGCCGACAGGTAGGCCTCGCACTTCGCGTTCCGCTTGTTTCGCGCGTCGAGGATCGGGCCGCCCACGCTGCTCAGCCGGCTGGGCACCCGCTGGAAAGGGCCGGTGGGATCGTTGTCAAGTGCCCGGCTTTGGCTGGTTTCGCTCGAGTTGTTGCTGCGGCTCCGGGCCGCGGCTGTGGCGCTATTTTCAACACCCTCAGCGAGTCCGGCAGCAGCTGGGTCAGTGTCCGCGTCGTCCAGGACAATGTCGGCCTCCCGAGTGTAGAAGTGGCGGAGAAATCGCACATCGTCGACGCTGAAAAACCTGGCGCGCGCCACATTCTCAATGGCGCGCACATCGTCGCGGGTCATGCACCACAGCGAATACAGCACGTAACCGTGCAGCTGGTAGTTGTCACCCAGACTCTGCAGCGACCCGGGCTCCGTAGCGGACGTGGACAGCCGCGTACGTGATATAGTACCCGGCTTCGGTGTCGCTGCATTGCTTATCTGTGCTGGTCCCTTCTGCTCTTCGGTAGATGTCCGCGACATTGGCATACCACTTCCTCCGGCATCGGAGTCCTTGTCCGGACTTGTACTTCCGCTGATTTCTGGCTCCAGCAAACCACTGCTCGTTGCTTTGTTCGGCATGGTTGTGATTAGACTGCTGCGGCTTTTCTGCATAATGTTACCAAACTCGTTGGATCCGTTATTTCCCCCCCCGTCGCTGTTGTTCGCGAACTCAATTGACGCAGACCGGGACTCATCGATGTCCGCCAGCACGTCCTCGGCAATCGAGCGTATCCGCTGCACCAACCCTTCGTCCTGCTCAAAAAGCTCCACCAGCTGTACCACCTGAGTTTGCGCGAACCGCAGCATCTCGCCCTCATACGGGGCCACATTGATCACTTTGTTGTTCGCACTAGTGGTCTTCGAACCTCCGCCCGAAGACGACGCCACGGACGCGCCACCCGTGGGCGTCTGCTGCGCTGATGTTGCGGGGCCTGGAGCACCGCCCGAGCCCGTCGTGATCTCGAAGGCATTCAGGTCCACGTCGTCCCCCGCGGTGCTTCCAGGCGTAGAGCTCCCGGCCGGAACGTTTGCGGACCCCTTGGAGCCTGTGGCATTCATCTTGGAGCCTTCAGAAGGTGCTGGTATCGCAGAATCGTTCGTAGGGGTTGACGACGCCACTTTCGTTGTGGTCCACGCCGGCGTGGTTACGCCTGCCTTCTGACTGTTCAAGAACTGCGCACCTCCTGCACCGGTTATTTGCGCAACTCCCGCCTTCGCCGGAAGCAGGGGAGAGCTGGCGCCTTCTGTAGCGGCAGGAGCTGCTCCCTGCGTAGTTCTAACTGTGTGCCACTGATCCGGGTCTTCCGTCATGGTTGTGGCAGGACTTTGCTAGTGCAGGTGAAAGCGGAGGAGAAAAAGCTGACCGGCTACAACACTTTCATTCTGCGTGGTTCGCACTCGCACTCACTTCTCATCTGCGAGCTTAGCATGGAACAAAGAAAATTGAAAGAACTCTTCAGCGTCGCAAACCACAGGAAGGTCTGGCGGACATTCAAGCACAAGCGAGAAGAGAAATTGTTTCTTGTTTTAGTCCAAAAAGAACAGAAGAAAACGGATCCTCATGTGCACATTGAAAGGTCATAATAAGTTGGTGTTATGACCTTCATGATGCTGACGGACCGCGAATAAAACAGACGAACAAGTGCATCATGACCCCAAGAGTTGAAATCCACACCCATCTCGTGGTGTAGGGTCAACTTCGTCGGACTTTTTCTTTTTTTATTACCTTCTGTTGCCCTTCCCGACAATCATCTCGAACCCAGACCTCTCCCTGATTCCGCAGTTGTGCCCTTCGTATCCATACTTATCATGAAAGAATATAATAAAGACAGCTCGACGCGACATTTCATTCATTCTTTGTAGCCTACAGCATTTGACGCATACTACCAAGTCAGCCATTCATCTTTTCTTGTAAGAAGTTGTAGATTTTTTCCTCGCGTAGTTTCTTCGAGTTAGATTTTGCTGTACAGCAACTTGAAACAGGTTGGGAAACATTGCATTTTTTTTCTATTCATCGCGACGACCATAAGGCTGTCGCCCCCCTGTGCAGAAGGGAGTACTACCCTTCTAGTACTTAAGTACACTTTTCATCTTTCGAAACCAGTTGTAAGTAAAAGTTAGAGCGATGGATATATAAGAAGAATTTTTTTTCAGCCTGCTAGTTTCCAAAAACGTCGAGACAAGAGTTTTTCTACCGCGCGTCTGCCGCTGTCGCACTGCCGGTTCATTTCTGGATAGATGTTGTTGTACTACTTGGCTGTATAGCAAGTACACACCTTGCTCTTTTATTTCCTTCGCCCCTGGAGCTTGCAATAAATCCATACTATTTCTTTTTTCCCTGATATTTCTTTTCGGTACGATTTCTTGCATGCGATTCCGCTGCGCAAGTGACATTCTTGCAACGAAGAATCGGGCCTGCAACTGTCAACTTTTTTTCTACACTGATTTATTTCTTCTCCATTGAAACTTGAAACGTGTACTGTTAAAAACTGTTCGAAACTTGAAACGCCTACATGGCAACATGCTGGTATTGTCAGTTTAATATTTAGTCCATCTTTTTCCTTCCTTGGCTACAAGAAGTATCGCATTCTATAGACCATGCTGAATGAATGCCCACGATTCAAAACTTTTCTTTTCTCCCGCTCTACCGCATTTTTCCCGTAGGAGAAAGCCCAATCCCAACGCGTCGCCTTCGCGATCGTAGCGTGGAATCAGGTAGACGAAAAGTAGAGCTGTACTACGAAAAGCCTGATCGTGGTTAAAATGTCAAAGAAAGTTATAGTTTGGTCCGTGATCACGGAACTAGATTTTTTCTTGAGATAAATGAAGACTACAGATATCATTCCAACTTGACTGTATTTTGCTATTTACTTTTTACGAAGTTTGTCCGGAAAAACTACCTGTTGGTCAGCAGGTACTGCAAGTGTTTCTTGTTCATCTTGTCTAGTAGTTTTCCTTGCGTCCGAAGGTGAGAGGGTCGTCGTCCTTCCGTGGCAATAACAAACAGTAGGTACGCCAGGGCTGCGGGTTCTTTAGTGTACTGAAATAAAAGATCATTAGCATTAACAAAGCATGGGTGGTAGAGCGATACTCTATCTATTTTCTTATCAACACGTATAAAAATCTCAGCTTACAAACGTCGAGTAGCCCACCGCTGGAGACCACGACTGCGCGATGAAGTGTCTTATTTTCAACAGTCCGTTCTACTTCAGGTGCTCGGGGTCGAAAAAAATCGCAGGACAGGGTGCTGATGTCCTCGTTTGCTTTGGTCCCCACAGAGCCACCGCTTGTTGTACTTGATGGTCTTGTCTTCTCCAATTCCAGCGGGTGAACGAAGTAGTAAGGAGTTCTGAGGATTTCTATAAAAGTAGCCAACAACTCTCAACATAAATTTGGAAGTCAAACAATCACTAATGTAACACGAGTTATATCATATCCGATCGTCAATCACGTTAATCTTCGGTCATCTCCGAAAAGAAGCCGTATCCAACGGAGGTGGTAAAAAGAAGTACTAAAAACGAGGCACACAGATTCCTATCATTCCGAGGCCGTCCATTTAAAACACTTGATGTCGTGAGCAGATCGTTGTGTCTTCAAACATTCATATTACAATAAGAACTGAACAAAGCTAGAATAGAGTCCTGTCTCCACCTCCCACCCAGTCTGATTTTTTTTTTTGAAACCTAGTAGCATCACAAGTTGTCTAAAATCTAGTATAAAGAAAAGCGTTTATAAAGCAGACAAAAACCGCACACGGGGTGCGGTTCTTGTGGCTGCTTGAAAAGCTGCAAGTAAAGTTGTAAAAGGATAGTAATCGTAAATTCTGAATAAATGCGGAAAAAGTTCACGTGGTTTATTTTGGACCGATGCTGCCGCAAGCAACATCATAAAGTCCGGGTAAAGTGTAGTATTAACCTGCTAAACAAAAGATCAAGAAAGCTAAGTATAAACACTCGATTAAACCTACTGCTCCTCTGTTCATCGGGACAGATCTTTCGCATCCACGCGACCACGCAGCGGTCTTGTGAGTGCGCACTGTTGCTGTATTCTTTGGACTAGTTCAGTATTGGAGAACAAGCGCAGCTTAATTTTGTATTCATACTATCGCTACTGGTATAAGAATTTTTTTTGAACCGTCAAACCTGATTCTATCGAAGCGCTAATTTTGACACAACTTCCACAACTGTTGAAACAATTCGTACGTGGTAATTCCCGTTTTCGCCAACAATCGAAATGAAAAATTTTGAAACCAACTTTTGATATACTTGTTTTTTACTGTGACTGAACGAAACAAGAACCGCTTGTCCATCTTGCAAGACGACTACCATCAACTACAAAAGTGAGCTCACTAGATTTTTTCTGTATTTGTATTCTCATCGATTTTTCAAAACTAGTCCGTTGCAGTGACTTTTTCACTGGTACTGCTGATTGTAGCCCATCTGGTAGGCCTGCGATTCGTCCGTCTGGTCATACCCAAGCATCTTCTGCGGCGCGGATCCCCACGAAATGCGGTTCATGTTGGTGGAGTTCTGAGAAGGTGATATTGGTGTTTTTGATTCTTTAATCTTAATTTCTTAATTTTGGTGCAACACAGAAATCGTTGAAAAAGTGAATTTCCATTTGGAACAATAATTCGTCTTTAAAACTTAAAGTACTACCTGCAAGGGCTGCATCATGTTCTGCTGCGTTTGTCCCGCCCAGCTGGCCGCTGTGGAGCCCGAGCCGGTAACGTTTTCCTTGTTGCCATACCTGGGATAGAAATAGGTGGCATATCAACAAGTACTACTTCGAGACCACTTATATATCAATCGGAATCGCTATGCCAGGCCATCAGGAAGGGGATTCTTTCTCCTTCCTCAGATCAAAGCAGTATAGCGAATCAACGGCGCCGGTCCGGTCTGCTTTCCTTCGTGCTGTATACTGCATTACAAAGCAGTATTCAATCGTACCAGTCCGCTGGTGATCCTCCGGGGTGGTAGGCGTCACTGGGCGACGATGCAGCGGACACCGCAGCTGCGGTGGCTGAGGCGACAGCGACATTGTAGGCCGCCTGCGCTTGCTGCTGGATCAGGTAATTCTTGTAACCGAAAATAGGATGGAGCAGGAAAAGTTTTCAGACCATAATGCACAGTTCAACTCAAATCAAATATTTCTCAGTGGAAATAGTTCATCGGCATCACAAGTTCTCGGTCGAGCTTCTTTCAGCATGGGCCGAAAATCGATGTTCCTATCCCATAATCGCCAAAAAGACCGTCCATCGGGGAGCCGAACAACGGAGAAGCAGCCATTCCCATCGGAGACGCGTAGGCACCTTTGCGGTTGTTTCAAGTCGTTATCACATTTGATTGATTCGATTCCTTTGCATGACAAAGGACTTCTATGCTGTACGAAACTCAGCAGGACAACCTATTTTCGATTTTGCTTGGTACTTACCTGGGTACATTTGCGACGGGTCCCAGTTATTGTGGGTGAAACTCCGTTTGGGGCGCATGGGTTCCCGCTTCTCAACCGGAGCATCCAAATCCAGCGGAATCGCGGTTCCGTTGTGGTCGAAGAGCAGCGGGACCTTTATTTCGAAATGCAGATCATGCAACATCACAAATTGCTTGTGTTATCCGATAGTGAAAGCCTGTCAAAGTCTATCTGGTATCACATTCAGAAGTTGTGCGTGCTGTGCGTGTGCGAATACTGCAAAAGAACTCTAGTCTTTTGGTATTGGTGTCCCCCGCAACATCGATTTGTATCTTCTTTCGCAAAAAATACCCAGTCCGGGTGGTCCTTCAGGCGCTGCATCAGCATGCTCATCTGACGGATGCGACGGATGTTCTCTTTCCGATATGCAATAGAAATTCTTCCCTCGTACCACGAAAGATTCGATGCCATGCATGGCCCATTGAGACTGACAAGATGCAACAAGAAACAGCGTTAATGGCATTTCTGCCGTGCTCCATGCGCTTGCTCTGAAGGCAGCTGGTACTTTTTGCCACGCTGGCATAGGCTTTCGTACGAAGTACATCTTCATTTCACGTCCATACAGCTCCCTGCACTTTCGCCTTGTTCACCTCGCAGACTTGTTTCAGCACCTGACAAGGTTAAGGTAGGACGATTATTATAGCATGCTCATGCATGACGAACGAAAACTGCTTTAAAATCTTTTCACCACAAAGATAAATGAACCAAAACAGACCAGCCTCTTGTTCGTGTCTATGCATCAAAAATTTCTTATACCTTCTTGCTGTTGAACCCGGGGAGGACCTCCTTTACCTTCTGGTTGTGAAAGTGACGGTAAAACCGTGCGCGGATGTCCGCGGAGCGCAGGTTGATGAAGGCATACCTTTTCATTTCATCACTACATCTCATTCTCATCTCAACGTCCTGGCATGTGTTATGCATAACCTTCGGACTACTCTGTCCGATCATTCTCGGGTCTTATGCAAAAAATGCACGGCAAACAACACGAACTCCAGCCTTAGTACCCGACGTTGCAGTGGTTAACGAAGTCCACGGGCAAGTAGACGTAGTCGTACTGCTTTGCAGCGTATTGAAAGCAAGAATTTCTCATGCTGAGATTGCGTGACAAGTCCTTTTCTTGTATTCGCTATGCAGAGCATTTCTACGTACTCACATCAGAGCAGCTAAAAGAACCGAAATTGAAAATACACCGAAAGTGGAAGAAGACAAACTGTCACGCGACAGCAGCATGAGAAATTTTCCGAAGCGTAAGAACCGTCGGTCCAGGACCGCCAGCAACATTTTCGTCGTGTACTTGTTCGGAATGTTTCTGTTTTGTTTCCATGTAGATATTTGTGATGCACATTCACGCATGAAAGTTACGCATTGTGTTGCAAAAAAGGCTAGTTGCGCCGCTTGATCTAATTTCACCACGTTACAGGAGGACCATAACCAGCCAATAGATACCGCAACATAACCGTGGTAAAGTTCGGATCCACGGAGAGCCCCGGGTCATCCACACTGTAGGCCGCAGCGGCGGCCGCTTGCTGATGCATCGACCACAAGGGATTGAACATCTTCTTCGCCCCCGATTCGGATGAAGATAGAAAACGAAGCCTCACAAACTGCTAAACCGCCTCTTCTTCGAACCCGTCGAAAAATGTGCTGCCTTCTTCTTGTTTTCCGGTGTGTTTGTTCGACGCAAGTTGAGCAAGTTCTACTAGCACTGTTGGTCGGATGTCAAAACCGTTCGCCGTTTTCCGATGGTTGTTCGAAGTGTAGTGTGTCAAAATCAGCTGTGACGATAGATGTTGACGAAGGAATGATAGTGGTTTGACGATTAGTTCCCACAAAATGATTGTATTCACGAATTATCTTCCACAAAATTAGGTTTTGCTCAAAGTTTATTTTTAGTACGGGCTTGTTGGAGTTTTTCTTTTCTTGACAATCAAGGCCCTCTACCTCCTTCTTTCCTACTTCCTATCAGGTCTGTCGTGCTAGACAAGGAAACTACAGTTTTGTTGGGATAATTTTCTTTTGAAACACACACAATTGGAAGCGCAAAAAGAACCAAGACAAAAGTTTGCTGGCAGATGCAACACGTCGTTCGCACTTTTCGTAAAATCTACTTACTTCATCGTTTTGCTTTTGCCATTTGGAGGTTTTCATGGGTGGGATTAGCGTTTGTGGGTGGGGGTAGGAATTCGAATTGGCATACGGATACGGTTACGGAAGACGGAAAATACAATAAGTTAGTATCAACATCAATAGGGGAAAATAATGTTACAAACAAACGCAGAAACGCCAAGAGTGTGGTCGGAGTCAACGTCACAAATTTGCAAACCGCTTTTTTTACACTGTTGACTTCTTTTGGTATTAATGCCTTTTCCACCTCACTCTCGCTCAGCGTTGTAACACCAACATCTGCTATCCAACAAAACTCCATCAGAACTGATATCTTACAGTTACATCAAAACTCTTGACAGGCACGGGTAATTACAATTAGCGACAACGAAGCGAAATAATAAAGCGAAGAGAAGATATTTGATGAGAATAGATTGATAGCACTTGGAACCAGATCATGAAGATCTCAAGTACAAGTTATGCCTAAGCTACTATTCGAAATTCAAGAGCTGCAGTGTGGGGTGGTCTTTCACTCTCTCTCAAGCTCAACTAAATTTTCTCATTCGTTTCGGTATTTAGGGTGGAGTTTCAAGATCTGGTTGTCGAACGAACGAGCTGACAGTGGAACGCAACTGGACCTGAAAAAGAATCCTTCTGATCGTCGCCAACGAAGGCCCATCGTTGCAACAGAGAATTCTTATTGCTGTCAATTTCCGCCGTGTGTATAAATTCTCGAGTTGTTTTTGCGCACCACTCATCAGCTACAAAGTACATTTTCTGGTTGGGCCAAATGAATTGCCACTCTCAGCGAAACGGTGGAAGAAAAATCACACGCGACGCCGGGGGTTTTAGCTATCTCGTCATGGGCGATGCGAGAAGCATAAAATCTGTGGAGCAACTTGTGACAACAGAGAGGACTGCAATCTATTCATCTTCATCAACTTTGCTACATTGATTGCTACAGCTGTGTGCACAGCAACAACTGGGGATCAGGCCAAATAAGCAGCTGCAGACCGTGATATGCCATTTTTCCTAAATGAAGTTGCATGGTCCTCAGAATAGATAGAAAAGAGACCCGAGGTCGCTTCCGAAATGCGAAACGCGAAAAGCGAAGACGGGAGCAGGACGAACCTAATACCCGAGTGCATATATAAGATAGAGAAAAGGCCCCGAACTCGTTCCGGAAATGCGAAACGCGAAAAGCGACGCAAGAGGGAAGCAGGGCAAGAAGACTCTCCTTCTTCCCCGAAGTGCTTACATACATGAATAGAAAAAGCCCGAGGCCCTCTCCGGAAATGCGAAACGCGAAAAGCGAAAAAGGGAGCAGGAGAAAGCCAGCGCGCCCTGAAGTCGCTCAGTATGTGTATAAGACAAAAGCCCCGGGGCGGGCCCTTCCCGAATTCCGAAAAATGGAAGACAGCCGCGGGCGGAGTCAGACGAGAATATGCCAGGCGCGCCCCGGTGTGAGCGCACTATAGAGGAGGGAACCGGCGGGCGCCCGCCCCCGAATGGCGAATGAAACGCGAAAGGCCGGCAAAGGCAGAGGGGGCAAGAAAGCAGAAGCCGGGCGCCAGGCGGGCGCAACCTACGAAGCCCGGAGAAGGCCCGAAGGGCCGCAGCGCGCAAGCAGCCGCCGGCCTGGCGGCGAGCGACAACCCGCGCCCCCTGCCCGTAAGCCACGCAAACAAAAACGCCCGCCCGCGGAATTTTGGAAAACCCCCGCAGCGGGGAGGCCAAAATATACAAGAGAGTCGCCCTCACACCACGACGGCCCGGCGGCCGACGAAATCCAAGAGGCATATTGGGGGCGCCGCGGGGGGTTCTACGGAGGCGGAACCCCGAAGGCAGGCAGGAAGCCGACAGGACCCTCCCTCGGCGTCCCCTTCTCCGGAACGGAAACAGACCAGCCACATCGCGCCCCCCCCCCCCCCCCCCCCCCCCCCCCTGCCGAGCCCGCTGGCTTGACGGGGGGGCCCTGGCCGAAAATGCAGCAGGCCCGCCTGATGCGTGGCGCCCCCTCGCCCATTTTTTTTGTTTGATATGGCGCCGCGCCGCCGGCCCGGTCGGGTCGGTTCGTTTGGCCGGCTGCGACGCCCCGGGGCATAGAATACCGCCCGGAAGGGGGAGCGATGAAGGCGGGCGCAGTTGTCGGGGTGGGCCTCGAGGTTTGTCGTAGATAGTCGGCCGGCAGGCTTCACGGAAACAAGGCGAGCCGCCTCTGCAAAAGCGCCGCGCCTACCCTTTTTCAGGGGCACAAGCGCCACGAGCTAGGCAGCGTCACTATTGGCGCCCCAGCCCTTTTTTTTTTTTGCGCAGCGGCTACACGGCCTGGGTCGGACTACTTCCCTCGGCGCGTCCTTTTGTTCCCTTCACTTCTCTGTGCTTGCTTTATTTTTGAGAAGCCCAGACGAGGCACCGGAGCAGCCTCGCCGCGCCACCTGTGAGCCAACAGAAGCTAGCATGCAGCGCACCACCAGCAAGCCCGCACCGGCGTCGCCAAATTGTTTGCAAACAGCCTCCATGCTAGATTGCGCAAGAAATTGCACGAAGCCGCGCGCATTTTCTGGCATGTGGGCTGACTGTGTGGGCGCTTGGGCTTCTTCGGCTTGGCCTGCCTGCCCGCTGGCAGGCCGGTTTGCCCCGGGGCGTCAAGGCGTAGTATCCAGCGGGCCCCGGCGCGTTGGGGCGGGTGTGTCTGGAAAGTCGTGCCACCTCCTCCCTGTGCCAATCTATCTCCCGGGTTGGCAGCTTCTTCGCGTGGGCTTCCCCATTAGTTGGCCCGAGCAACAGCGGGAGTTGCCTCTGCAGCTCAAGACTGACGGAAACCAAAGCCATAGAAGAAAGGAACACACCGGAAGGCCCACGCGTGGCGCGTGTGCGACCGCCAGCCACCCCGCCAGGCCGGGCAGCTTCAGCGCGAAAAGGCACACCATAAAAAGGCAAAACCTCGCTGCGGCTTTTCGCTTCTCGCGGCTCGCGCTTATGGGCCTGGCTCCGGCTTTTTTTCACTACGCAATATATTGAAAAACCGGGCAGCATGCTGGTGCGGCTTTTCGCTTTTCGATCGCGATCCGCACGGGCCTGCTTGCTTTACTCTCATTTCTGACTTTCCCAACGTATTAGATGCGGCAGCCAGTCGCGCTCTTCTTTTCGCTTTTCGCGACTCACATCCACCGACCGGACTGCTTCCGCTTTCTCTATTGGCCTTCCTCTCTTAGGTATTTGCTAAATTCGGCAGCCGTTGCGCCTTTTTTTTCGCTTTTCGCGATTCGCATCGGCCGGACTGCTTCCGCTTCCTCTACTACTGCTGTCCGCCTTTCTTAGCATATTAAATCTGGCAGCCGTTGACATTTTTTCGCTTTTCGCTTTTCGCGACTCACATCGACCGGACTGCTTCCGCTTTCTCTACTAGTCTCCCACTCTTGGCGTCTTAAATCCTGCAGCCCTTGCTCCTGTTATTTTTTTTTCGTTTTTCGCTTTTCGCGATTCGCATCGGCCGGACTGCTTCCGCTTCCTCTACTACTGTTGTCCGCCTTTCTTACCATATTGTTTAAATTTGGCAGCCGTTGGCATTTTTCCGCTTTTCGCCTTTCGCGATTCGCATCGATCGGACTGCTTCCGCTCCCTCTACTACTATCTTCTTTCTCTGGCGTGTTAGATTTTTCGGCGCCGGACATTGCTTTTCTTTTTTTCGCTTTTCGCTTTTCGCGATTCGCATTGATCGGACTGCTTCCGCTTTCCCCACTCTTACTATTTTAGGAATTACGCATCTCATGCTGTCGCTTTCGTCTATTTCCTGTGTCAGGGCTACAGCTATCTACTCTTCGGATCAGGATGCTGATCCAACTCCTTGCACTTGTTGCAGGCGGAAAAATGGTAGGTGTTTCGCCTTTAATTCTGCTTATTTGGCCTCATCCGAACTACTGTTGCTATTACTACGTTGTTTTTCTAGCGACTTTTTTGTCTTTCTTTGGTACAAAGGTTCCATTGCTAATTCCGACTCCACGTATTTTTTTTTGAAATCACAGCGGCTAAGCTTAAGCAGCTTGAAGACTTTGCTTATTGCAACTATGGAATGAAAGTTTGTGAAAGTTATTCAGTTGCGCTGCTTCGATCTGAGAGGAAGTTGATACATTCTTGATTTGCGTCACGATACATATCTCGCGTCGACGAATTTTTGCATCAATCCTAAGGGGGGGCTGTATTCTCAATTTTTAAGTTATACACGTTCTGTTCATCGATTCTTAGTTTCGTGTACAAGGGAATCTGATGTTCTTTCTGACGAGGGGGTAAGAAAAAATCACACGCACTCTGGTCATCAAATCTTAAAAATGGGGAACAAAAAATCTTTATCTTCCGATGCACTTCGTCATGCGCAAAGAAAGACGCGACCTTGAAATTCTTCATGCGGGTCGTGCACGAAAAAATCGAATGGGCCACTGCCTACGACTCCATGCACTCTTGGTAGGCGGCGAATTGCGGCATCCAATCGAGGTTTTCGTAGTTTTTCTTAGCCGCTTGGTAGGCCGCGACGGTTTTCTTCTTGTCCAGCTCCATGTTCAGATCATGGTAGAGCACCACTTGCTTCCGCATCGTTTTTTCCTTCACCAGAAAATCGTCCCAGGCCGCGCGCACCTCCTCGAGTTTCAGCGACTGCACCACTTCCCGCTTCACTTTCTGCATTTGGAAGATGCACTCCGTGGGCTCCCCGTACGGGACGTCTAATGCGCCCGCGAAGTGTCCGTACTCGGAACCGAAGGAATCCGCCTTGGAGTTCAGCTTGGACAGGATGGACTTCTTCCGCGTCTCGAACTCCTTCTCGGTGACTTCCTTCGTCAGAAAGTCCTTGAAATCGGTGTAGATGTGCTTCTCGATCTCCTGTTTCACCTCCTCGAGGTTCTCCTTGTTGGTCTGCACGAGGACGTCAACGTCAAAACTCGTACCGGCATTCGAACCGACGGAGCCAAATACGATGTACCGCTGCTTGCCCTGCTTCTCCAAAACTAGCGTGCGCAGCCTGATAAGATCACGGAAGTAGTGAGTGAAGAAACGCTGCCAGAGCAGAAATCCAAGAACTCTTGGCTCTTGGTCTTGTAATTGCATTTGCTTGCAATATTAAAATCATGTTAATGATCAGCCTTTATTTTCTTTGTAAGTATATATGCATCATCATTGTAAGTACCTGCTGAACGTGAAGGAGGAGAACATGACGCCTAGCATTTTGTGAATGAAGATCTCGTGCATGCTGCTGATGGCGGTGCCGTCCGGGCCGGTGAACTGGGCCTTTTTACTGGGCTTCGTGATCCGCACGAAAGTAACGTCGTTCGTGTCGTCCAGCCGCTTGTTGTGCATCTGCAGGTCCACCGGCTTGTTCAAAATCCGCGTGGACTTTTTAAACGGGATCGGATTCTCCTTCGAGTTCCACTTGATGGTCAGTTTCGTCGTGTCCCGCTTCTCGTTGATCTTGTTGATGATCAAATCCCGCAGGCGGCGCGCGTCCTCCTTGGTGATCCCCCCGAACGCCATGCCCTCGGCGTGGAGATTTTCGTCGTACAGGATGCGGGCGACCAGCTCGTCCACTTTGGCGATCGAGTCGGTCTTCGTGTATCCTGAGTAAAAACGTACCCACACCATAGTCAAGATGAGGAATCGGCTAGACAAATCCACAAGCTTTGGCTGTTTTGCATGACAAATTTGGATTCGTAGTGTAGTGCTGTTTGAGCTAGCTCAGCAGCATCACAGATCTAGCATACCATGCTGATTGGAGCATAACAAATTGCAAAACACGATTAGAAAATGCTTCTCATGGGGCTCCGCATGAGAAACATTTTCAGCATGCAGATTTGCATTACAACTCTGGTGTGGGTACGTTTTGACTCAGGATATCGTGGGGTCGATGTTCAGACTCTTCGAGTTCGGCACCAGTTGCATGTTCTCCGCGGCGGTCAGCGGCCGCTTGGGCATGTGGTCCGGTAGCGGTTGGTCTTTCGCGGGGAGGTAGTCCTCAACCTTCAGCAACCCGTTCGCCTCCGGGAGGGGCTCCCGCTTCATTTCCGCCAGCTTCTGGTCCCGGAGGGCCTTCACCGTGCTCGCCAGCGACTCCGTTGTGATGTCTGCGGCGGGCAGGTTTTTGGATAAGTAGCATCTCACTTCCAAAACAGAGGAGATTGATCGACGAGAAGAACCATTGCGCATCAACATCACGTATGTGTGCCTCATAGTAGTTATCCAGCACCGCATAAAATGGAAGTTTAGGTTTCAAGAGCTTGATGCAAGCAAACATTTCACAATTACAGAGCACATTCAACATTATTTATGTATACCATTCTCGCCCTCCACCGTGCCTAACCCCCCCAGCGCGAAGTTGTAGGGCATTTTCGAGGTGTGGTCCGTCAAATCCAAGTACAGTGCCTCGACCATGCGACTCACGTTTTCCGTGCCGCGGACGGAGTTCTGCACCGTGCCGCTGGGGTCCCGCAGGTTCATCAGCGTGTCCAGCACCTTCATCAGAATCTCGTCGCACGCGGCCGAGTAGAACCCGCCCAAACGGATCGTGACGCCCATCAGGTTTTTGTACCTCGCGTCCTTGTCCACGACGCAGGAACAGGACTCCGCCTGCTCCAGGATGGGCCCGAGCTTTCGCGCAAGCAACCGGGACCACATCAGGCGAAACACGGCGTGCTTCTCGAAGTCATCGTCCAGCAGAAAATCCCGGTCGATGCGAGCGTACAAGCGGATAAAGAATTTGAAATTCGGCTCCTTGGTCGTGCTGCCCCAACGGTACCAGATGGTGCCGTCGAGCTTTTCGGGACTGGGCCCGAAGGGCAGCTCCTTGGTGAAGGGGTGGTAAAAGTCCTCGGGCGTGTGGTCAATCACGGGGGGCGGTTTCAGCGCGGGGGGTAGCGTGTACTCCACGAAGTCCTTCTGCTGTGCCTGTGCCACGGACTCCGCGTCCGTGCCGGCGAGAATGTCCTTCAGATACTGCACGCGCCACAGGCCCTCGGTGTAGGGCACGTTGTAGTAGGGCAGTTGCTTGACCCCCCACCCCTCCGCCGCGCTCCCGTCGGGCGCGCCGCTCTTCTCCGTGATCAGCACGGACATGCGCTCCGGAATGATCATGTTGATCATTTTCCGCAGAAACTCCGTGTCCATCTTCATCATCCCGGACATCAGCAGGTCCTCCGGCGGGTGGTTCTCCACGAGCAGCTCGGCGTACGCCGTCGCCAGGTCCGCGCGGTCCCCGTCGTCCTTGCGCCAGTCCCAATAGAAGTTGTCCAATTTTTGCAGCGATTCGTACACGTCCAAGTGGATCTCCTTCTTCACAATTCGCAGGTACCGGTAGAACTCGTTCACCACATTCTCCGCGAACTGGGGGTGCCGCAAGCTCGCGCTGAAGGAAATGGTCGTCAGGTAACTGCTGCCGCCGATGTCAAAACCGGACCCGAAAATCCACCCCTTGTCCAGCAGTTCCGCTTGCAACCCCTGCTTCTTCTTCATGGACTCGTAGTTCAGCAGGTGGCCCAGGTAGGCACCCACGCCCGACCGATAGTAGGGCGTGATGTCCATCTCGACGGGAAAGTTCAGGATTAGGCGCGGAGTCGGCGAGTTCTCGTCAAACATGTGCACATACCTCGGTTTGTTTTGCCAACAATGAAAATGAATGTAGAATGTATGTGGTTGTGCGATGTGTGCGAATGCGAATTCGCATGACAAACAGACACACTTTATTGCGTAGTAAACCCTGTCAGTACCTTCCATACACCGGCTGGACGACATACGGCCGGGGGTCCACGAAGGGGTTCGATGGCGCGGGTTGCCTGCCGAAGTACTTGGCCGCGCGCTCCAGTTGCTTCTCCAAGGAATCCGGCGAAATGGTCACCATGGTCATGTCCGCGGGGTAGTAGTAGCGCTGGTGGAACACCTTCATGTCTTCGACGATGGAGTCCCGTTTCAAGGTCTGCAGGTTCCCGGTCCCGAACCGGCCCAGTCCCTTCGGGTCGAACACGTAGTTCTTCAGCTCCTGGATCCGCCACCCGGGGGACTGGATGTTTTTCTGGTGCTCCGCTTCCACCGCGTTCATTTCCGTGGCGGCGCCGAAGGTGGGGTTAAACATGAAGTCGGACACGCGGTCCATACACTCCTCCAGCCCGTCGTTGACCAACCCGATGTAGTAGACCGTGCGGTCCTCCCCGGTGAAGGCGTTGCTGTCCCCCAGGTACTTCTCCTGAAAGTCGTCCCACTCCGTCTTCCCGGGGTACTTTTTACTCCCGATCAGCACCGTGTGCTCGATCAGGTGCGCGAGGCCCGGGATGCCGTTCACTGTCTCCCCGGCGGCGCCGGTGATGGCGGTTTTGCCCTTGGTGGGGTTGATCGTGTTCGTCATGGAATACAGACTCTCGTCCGGGTCCCGCAAGCTCCCGGCGTTGACGAGCACCGCCATGCCGGCTTTTTTCGATTCTTTGTCCTGGATCCCCACAAACCGCAGCCCGTTGGAAAACATCTTGTACGCATATTTTCGCTCGTCGACCTTCGGTTGGCGATGGGGCTCCACGACGTAGTCCCATTGCTCCTTGCCGCTGCGGAGGCAGTAGTAGGCGAACAGAAAAGCCAGCAGGACAACCCCGAAAATCGCACCCGTCCATCTGAAATTGTTTTTGGATGAGAATTTGCTTTATGTACCTTTAAACGTGCGTCATTCATCGCGAAGAATGCTGCGCATGTAAAACCTTTTTTCTCCTTTAAGACGATGCTGCAAAGAAAGTACAGACACCCCAGGAGGGCAGCTCGTCCCGGTGTGGATCGGGCGCTTCTACTTCGACCGATTTGGTTTTCTATGTGATCACAGTAGCTGCCTATCAATCTTAGTAGGTACTACTTGCCCGACTAACACTGCCTGTGAAAGCATAAGCATTGTACGAGTTTGATGTTCTTAGAGGTAAAGAACTTCAAATAGAAATCTTCTTCTCAGCACCGTGCGCGAAAGCTAAGCGGCTTTTCCGCGGCATAAACACCCCCCAACCCTAGATCCTCGTAGGGTACATTTTGTGGCGAGCTGGCATCTGCAGTCTCGCCCACAGCCGTAGCCCGCGCGACGGCCTGCTCTGTCACCATGGTCGTGATTCCAGTCTCTGCCTCGGTTTTGCCGACCGGAAGGTATGAGCTCCCTCCGGAAGACGACTTCCGGCGAGAGGAGGGGTTCGGAGGAGATGATGCTGCCAAAGCACTACTGCTAGTCGCGCCACGAGTTGCTGCACCAATCAGGTTCGGGGACATGGCAGCTTGTTTCTCAGCTAGGTTGTTGCCGGGCGCGGAGGGGTCTTTCTTGGGGGAAAAATTCTTCGAAATGGATTCGACGCTCGTCATCTACTAGGTGAGACGAGGTGCAGTTCCTTGATGCGCTGTGCGCCAGGGCGGAACGAAGCATAACTCGCAGGATCGTGGGGGGATTGGCTATGACCGGTACCAGTAAGGAAATTGCGCCTTGGCAGTGGTGCTCTGGTACACCGGCAGCCGCTGGAGGGGGACGAATGTCGTGATTTAGTCGTCCAGAGCTGCCGCGGTGTAACGTCGTCCAGCGTACAGTGTGTCGCACAGGTTGTGGTTGTGATATTTCTAACGGCGGAAAAATTAGGTGGGCGCATCTTCGTTCGCTACGGCGCACCTGGCCGAGCTGTTCGATACTAGCGCATCAACATTTACCGGCTAGTAAATCAACATTTGCCGGCCCGTGCCAGTGCCTACTAGTACTTGTTTCACAAATCGGTGGTCCCAAAGTAAGCGCTCTACATCAGCAAAAATTTGCCCGGCTTTCTGTCATTTGGTCTGAATAATCGCACCGTTCGCGACCACTTACGCCATCGGAAACCAAAAAGAAACTTATTTTGCAACACGAGAGGAATGTGATCTTGTTCAGAAACTATGTGAATGCGCATGGATGATCATGTAGTCCTTTTCTTCTGAAACTTGCGGCTTTTGATCATACTGCTACTTCTTGTCCCTGAAAAAAGCAAGACCAAGCAAGCGTGAAAACCGAAGAAAAAGAACTGTACTCTCTGGACTCCTTGAGTATGGTCCGGAGGTCTCTTTTCTTCTTTTTGATCGGTGACTTTTCGATGAGATGGTCATTCTCGTTGACCAGGTCCGCGTCGAGTTCCCGCTTCATTGGCGTGCCCCCGCCGACCGCCGATAGCGTCATTTAGTACTTCGTAATCAGGTTAGCAAATGCTTGTTGCTTTTCGTTTCTTGGAAAGGCTTTCTTCCGGGTAGATCTCTTTCTCCGTGACTACAGAAGACAAGGTCGAACCGTCAAGATCAACCTTGACGAACGAAAAAAGACCAGGCGTTCAAAGACATCATATGAACAATCTGAGCCTCTCTGGGGGCGTTGGCAACGATCAACGATGAAAACGATAAGGATCACGAACACGACCAAATTCGTTCGCGCAAAAAATGAGGAAGAGGAGCACGAATGAAATAATAGTCGATTATAGGCGACGAGAAGCTGCGACAGAAGACGAAAACGATCCTAGAAGACAACGATGAAACGACCTCTCAGTCTACAATTCACTATAAAAAGACCACAGGAGGCAACTGACCAACTTCAACTCCGCTCTAAAGATGGTTCGACCTCGGGCCCGACGAGGACGACGAGTTTCTGAAAATGACGATGGATTGAAACTACAAAAAGTACCCGGCGAAAGAATGAGGAGCAGTTCTTGGATGTTCCAAGACGAAAGCAGTTCGCGTCGGCGCAGGAGTGGTCTGCAAAAGATCTTGCTCTGGCACAGATCTTGGTTTTTCCGAACAAAAATTAAACGTCGAGACCACAAGTTGTTCCGGAAGAAATTTTTATCCAGGAACGCTGCGCGCCTGCGCGCCGATTTTTTTCGCTTTGCTGGGGCATAAGTACAATAAACTCGAGTTCTCGGTTCATACAGACAAGATAACACGATTGGGTTTCCTGTTGGGTTTCTTATTGTTCGATAGCAGATAAGATAACAAGCTTGGATAAAAAATCAAAGAGTTCTGAGAAAGATAGAGACTGTCGTGGTACTAGTAAAAGTACAGTTCTACTTAGTCGTCAAAAACAAAAGAGGAGTAGATTCTGATTCTAGGGGTTTGATACAGCTCATCTCAAGAGTCGTGAAGATGCCTTTATCGCTGCTTTTGTTCCATCAAACACTCTGCTCGTCCGGCAAAAAGCTCTGCGCAGTTCGTTCGACTCGACTGCTCATGTATTGATGCATGAGCAAAACCAAAAGACTTCAGCTCTTAGTAGTTGCTACTTGATATCGATAACCAATTTCTGGCTAATATTTCAACCGTTACCTTAGCCCCCCTTGGTTCTCTGGTCTTAGCAGAGCGCCAACAGGCGGCAATACCTTGTATCACTATCAGTATCATGTCTTGTTCTCCAATATAAAATTGGCTTTCGATTTCGTCTCGCGAGTTGTTTCCTACTTCTCCCATACCCCTACAGAAAAGCAAAAATCTCAGCCGTACTTCTTTATTTCAGGGAAACAGCTAGACCTTTGCGATTCTATTACAGCAACATCGTTGCTGCTGACAGGTCACGGTGCATAAGTCTAGTTAGTATTTTCGTGGTGGAGATGCGAAACATCGAAGAAGGTCAGTGTCGGCAAAGAGGAAGTAGCAGGTCTTTTCGTACGCACGTTCTGTGCTAGTGCAGGTGCTGGATATCAAGTAGTGGTAAGGTTGGCCGCCGCGGAAAATTTTCGTATAGGATAATAGCTTGTACTATCGAAAAGCCTTGTTATTTCGTCTCCTGCTGTTGAAAAATTGAGGAAAATTTTAGCTCGTCCTTGGCTATGTGCTCAGCAGTTCACACGACAACGTACTCGGAGCGGTTGGTGATACAAAAAGAATCATTGGACACCGCCGTCGCGTGTTGCAAGTACATTCATTTCCTCGGGGCATTTATTTGACGCTAGCAGTTGCATTTTCTGCCACGGTGCATTTTCTCTTACCATTTTTATAGCAGCTGGTCCGTGCGCCGCGTACTTAGTAGTTCAATAGCAAAGAATAAGGATAATAAAGCTGCTTTTTGTCAGCAGATCTTTCTTAGCAACATTTCACCAGACTTCACAAAAAATGAAAGACGAACCTGATAGAAACCAGCTCTAGAAAATGAAAAAGCAAGACAGTCAAAAAGGGGGCGTAAAAAGACGCAGAGAGTTCAAAAAGAAAACAATCTATTCGGGTGGAGCGTTTGCATCGGGATTCTTTGCCGGGATAAGTACCTTCTTCAGTAGCAAGGCCGTCGCAACTCTACAAATGGATACAACACTGTACTTTTTGGGGTAACAAGAGTGAAGCTGTCGCTTGTTCATCGGAGGTTCCATATCACAACCTGGTGTACTAAACAAGACCTGTGGAAGTAGAATGAGCTCCCAAAATGCCGCATCGAGGATATCGACATTCTGGTTTTCAAATTCCAGTACATAATCGGGTATTTCTTTTTGTGTTGTAGAAACACTAAACCTCACTGCGTCGTAGACAAACTTCACTGCGCCATCCCGGCACCACCGCCGTTACCCCCTTCGTTGTTCTCGCCCCCGCCTGCTGCTGGTGCGGGTTTTTCGTTTGCCTGTGATCAGAATTTTTTTCATGTGATGGGCAGACGATATGCATATATAATTTCTAAGGAAATCAATAGGAAAACTTTTCGCGCATAACACAAGACAATATCCAGCTGCAAAAAATGTACGTAAGTCCTATTCTCTTACCCTCTGCCCGTTTGCTGACTGCAGGTACATCCAGGCCCAGATCATGGCGAGAAAAAGCATGAAGAGGTGCATCGGGCTGGCGGTGATCATGTTTGGCGACTGCGGGACGGCTAGTGTGTCGCTGGGCCCGAGGTCGGAAATTGTGTCCTGGTTGCCCAGACCCTGCAGCACGCCGGCCAGGTTCTCGGACTGCGCCCGGAAGAACTGGCACACACACTCGAACCACTCCGAACCCATTTTTCCTTCTCCTTTCTGATCTTGCTGCGAGGGAATTCAGTGTTTATCTTGTTCCTACTAGTACGTTGGTACAGCGGAGAATTTTACTCGTCGAGACAACGGTTTTATATTTCCTATACTTTCACACCCTTTCGTACAACTTACACTTCTCCGATCTTCTTCTTCTTGTAGCAGAAATTTTTCTCGCTCCTACTTCTTAGCGGTTGGTGCTTGTGCTTTACTGTTGTTGTTCCTTATCTTACAAAAGGGAAAACTGCGAAACAAAAACCAGTTAGTACTTGTTTTCGCGGGAAAAATTTTGATTGTTAAGGGTTGTTGAGTTGAGGGAGGACGCTGTTGTGCTGCCATGGAAGACAAAAAGTTCAACCTAACTACGAAGCTGCCAATTACATGGTGTGGAAGTGGAACGTAAACAGTATCGTTGAAAAATAATTTCCATGTTGCAGACAAAAGTGAGTATGAGCAGGAGCTATTGATGCATAAAAGCAGTCGAACGAGGCGACCGAGAAAGCGTTTGCGTTTTTTGTCGCTCATTATCATTTACCGATCACAATTAACCTATGTGTGTTCTCGCGAATTCCAATTAAATTGGATTTGTTCTTCGCCATCGAACTTTATTAAAGTACTTACATGCAGATGCACGTCGACATTTGCTTATTTGTGGCGTGCTTTGGATGTGAACGAAACCGAAATTTGTCGCATTTTTCGATTTTATCTTTCGTGGTCGTATGTCCAAGAACGATTTCAAATACGAACTTCCATGTTTGCCACAATCTCTCGGGCTACAGTCAGCGTTTGCACGATTTGACGCTTATTTTGCACGACAAGTTAAAACGAGCCTTGTCGTCTAGCAGGTTCAATGTGTCGCCCTCACTACTACGTACTACAGTTTGACATTTAATCGTTCTTGCGCTGTGATACAAGTTCGCTTCAAGTTCAGCTCGCCGTTTCCTATTCACACACACGTTGCGATTTGTACTCTTTGGTAGACGATTTACAACTCCATGACCGGTTTATTTCATTTTGAAGAAGAGAACGATTCAATTCTCTCTCTCATCTTCGTCCATGAATCGTAAGCCAGCGTCACAGACCGTCCTAAATCGATCATGCGGATTCGAGCTTCAGGTTCAGCGAGGGTATCCTGGAGTGGTGCGCGTTTGAGAACGTCGCCTTGAGCTTGTCGCCTTCCCGCCGGCCCTTCAACTTCGTGGCAACCAGGGAATTCGCCAGAATCACTCGGTCTAGAGGCTCGAGATGGGAGGGCAGGCCCGCCGTCTTGGCTGTGGTGAGATTTTCGTTCACATAAACATTTACTTTCAGCATTGACTGTACTTTCCAGTGACTCAATATCGAATCTATGTAGTACACTTTGAGATACTTCCAGTATTAAGCACCTGCTGCACCAGCACCTGCCGATAGCATCAGCAACATTGATTTGAAGATCATAAAAACCAAGCAAGTTATTTACCCGCCTGGAAGAGTTGCTTGGCCTCCAAGAAAAATTCTGTGAGGCTGAGCATCAGCTCCTGGTCAAAGTTTGCGGAGAGTTTGTCGACGCTGGCTACCATTTGCCAGTATTCCTTGAAGGGGGGCGGGCCACCCGACTGCGGAAATGCGCCCGTGCTGCTGACCATCCGGAGTCGATACCAGTATCGGTTCCAGGAGGCAGAAAAGTTGTCCCTCTTCGTGATTTGCTTCACGGCGAGGAAGTACACCAGACGAAAAAGAGCCTTCAGAAGCAGCCCCTCGGCGGCGTGGTACAGCAAAATTCCGTCAATCTGCGGCGGGGTCGTCGGGGTAGTTTCTGTTGCCGCGACAAGCTGCGAATTATTTTCTCCCCCTACTTCTGCGCCTGGTTTCTTCTTTTTTTTCTTTTTCTTGCTGTTGTTGCTCGTCGCTCCTGCTTGCAGTTCCTGGGTCGTTTGATGTTCCTCGCTAGTAAGGTCCTTCCCTTCCTCGCAGCTCTCCCCCAAGGCGGCTTGCTCTCGACACGCCGCCACTAAGTCCTTGTTTGAGCAAATCAGCTGCCTTTCCTTCCGCACGCGGAGTACCTGGCCGCGGCACTCACAGACAAAGTCGAGGAACCAGAAAATGATCAGCAGGTCCTCGTTGTCGTAACACTCCAGCGGGAAACCGAGCAGCATGTGCTGGATTATCGCCTGGTACCCGAGCTCCGTCACGAAATACTGGATCGGGGCGGTCAATCGGAGGCTGTTCCCGTAGCAAATCCGGAACCCAAAGTCGGCCACCTGTGCGAACTCCTCCTGAAAGTGACCCAGTTCCTGCGGATTTGGATTTGTTCGCTATCAAAGAAATCTAAGCATCCATGTACGAGCCGCATCTGCGAAGCTGTGCCGCTATCATGATCGTACGAGACGACGACGCAAATAAACGACACATAGAATCATGCAAAGCGCGGAAAAAAAGAGACCGGCAATCATGAAGCAATGTTTCAGTGCATAATACCCCCCACAAATGCACGAACTGGCGGTGCCTTTTCGCGGTAGTTTGGTGCAGAATCCGGACGTTCCACCTGCAGATTTCGTCGAGCCGCCAGATCATTTCGTCGTACGTTGTTTCCAGCTGAAAATTTTCCGGAATCCGCAGCTTCGTCACGGATTCACAGCTGGACAACTCTATATTTTCCCCTGCGTTCAGCTTCCGGCGGATGTCGCTCGCGGCGCCGTAGCCCTGCTGGATGCAGAAGTGATGGAGAAAAGTGCGGAGCGAGACTAGAACTACTTTCTGCAAATCGGTTTTCGGGTCCAACTTGAAGGTCTTTTTAGTGGATGAACCATTTTGCGCGGCGAGAATTGCACTTTTCATCTCCGCCGCCTCGGCGTTCGCCAGGTTGCGGTTCTTCATGCTGGGCACTCGCTCCACGGGTGGCTGGTTCGCGATTTTCTCCATTTCGTTCTCCCCGTTTTTGTCCAGCATCTTTTCGTCCCACCTCTCCGGGTCAAACGACGCCCAGAACCGGTAGTCCGTGCGGGCCTGGAAGTAGCACCACGCGAGGGAGCGAGCGATCACGTCCGCGTGGTTGGGGATCAGCGGTATTATGTGTTTCGCTTCGGCAGTTGAGCTCTTTGGCACGGAGCTACTGGACGAAGACGTGGTCGAAGCTGCCGCCGCTGCGAGTAAGGGCGATGCGGCTGAAGAATTACTGCCGGTCTTCCCCAATAAAGAACCGGTGTCCAACACGGTTTCCATTTGCATGAAAAACCGGAGGATCGGAACGATAATGGAAGCGCTGTACTCCTGCCCCTTCACGTTAAAGGTTTGGAACAACAAATCGTGGTACTTGGTGTACACAACGAGCATGGATTTCAGATGCTGCTCCCACACCGCCCAGCTCTCCGCCATCGTCCGAACGCAGGCCTTCCGCGGCGGGCCAACCCGCATCGCGCGGTGGTGGTAATCTTGCAGCATCCAACGGGCGGACGATATCGTAGGGAAAAGAGTGGATGCGGATCCTTCCCCGCCCGTTGGAGATGAACAAGAAGCAGTTCCGGATCCAGAACTAAGCTTGTCGGTCACTAAAGCCAACAACTCGTTCGTGATTTCCATGAATTCCGTCCGTCTCCTGTCCATCTCCGCGGCGATCGGAAACTTTTTTGGGTCCGGCTTTTCGTCCGGGGAAGACGAATAACCTCCCTGCGCTTTTTCCAAGAACTCTTTCGTCGGGGAGAAGGTCTGTTCCTGCTTCAGTAGCTGTTTCTTCTTCCGCTTGTTGCGGTTCTTCTTCGCCGCTGCTGATAACTGCTCTTCGGGCTCTTGACTTATTTCTCCAGTTTCCTCAGGAGCGGGGTCGGTACTTTCTATTGCACCTCCCGTCGTTGTTGACGCACTGGTCAATTGCAGCTCGCCGCTTTGCAGGTTTTCATCCGCGTTCATAATTTTATTGTCCTTAGATTCATCGTTTCTTCTGCTTTCTACCAACTTGACCGCGTCTTTCACGCCCACGTGCACACGCAGGTTCAGCAGCTTACGGTACTGCTTGAGAAATCGCAGTCGGTCGGTGTAAGCGGATTTGGCTTCTTCGGTCGAACTAGCGGCGGCGATCCAGGGAGTGATGCGGTCTGTGGATGAAAGTTTCATTTTATTTATGGATAATGCGCTAATCATGTTGAACACGCAGAGCGGCAGAACATAAGTAAACACTTCAAATTCGTCATGAAAAGCAGACTCGACTAGGTATTTCATCAGACCACTCCTACCTTCCTCGACACTGGCAAACCCTGACGGCTCTCCCGGAAATCTTTCGTATAGCCTCGATGAAGAGGTGGCGCTCTCCGCCGGATTTCTTGCTTCCGGTATTTTTGCAGCGAACAGCGGCCTCCTCGCCCGCGCAATACATTCGAGAATCAGCGGCTCTTCCAGCAAAACCATCTCCTCCTCCCCGTCATAAAGCTCCCCAGTCTTAATCACATTCTGCACTGCCAAACAACTGGAAAGCAACTCGTACACGAAGTTGGCGAAAAGTTGCGCGCAGTATTTGGCTTCCGTCGTTGGGAACAAAGAGGAAGTACTAGACCCCCTTGCAGAAGTTGATGCTTCTTTTAATTCCTCGAAAAACTCGTTGTCAAACAACAACACACAGGTTCCGATCGTCTGCAGCCACAGCCGGCCGCCGCCCGCCCAGATCAGGAATTCGTTCAGCAGGGCATCGAGGGTCTGATTCAGCTCTTCCAGAGTGTTGAAAAAGGATTTTTTGTTTTTTCCTTCTCCTAGGAAAAATTTCCTTGCCTTCTGCAGGGTGTTGACTTCTTCTTTCGTCCGAAACCCGCTGTCCATTTTCGGGTCCATAGAAACTACCGCGGACATACCGTCGACCAGGCAGAAGTCTTTAGAATACACCATGTCGCCCGTCTTGAGCGTTTTCGCAACCTCGTCGGTGAGGAAGTCGGTAAAATCTACCCACGGCTCGGAGTCGCCCTGGCTCATGGGCGGCGCCTTCCGGCGCACCGGGGCTCCTAAGGGCTGCTGCTGCTGCGACGGGTCGTCGTTTTCGTTCTGTGTAGCATTCAGGTCGGCTTGTTCTCTAGACGCCCCATTGCTCCTTTCCTCTTCCGGAATGCCGATTTCTTCCAGAATTTCTGACAGAGGGGAAATTTTTTCCGCTGGCGCTGGTTTATTTTCTCGTTTGGGTGGGGAAAAGCTTGTTCCTCCGTTCCGGCTGCTTGACGCTGGCGGGGACGTCGTCATTTTGCCCAGCGAGCCTGCGGGTGGGTCCTGGGCGGGGCAGGCGGCAGCTTCTTGCGCGAGGTGTTTATCTTTCTCGGGCGGTGAAGCGGGCATTGTGGCTCTGGCTCGACCGGGCTGTCAGAGTGGTCATGACTCCTTGGAGGAGAAGGTGAAATTGGAATGCGGCATCCTTTTGAACTAGATCTAGAACGTACTCTCGAGGTAACGTGTAAAGAAATAAAAACGAACGCGCGATCTACAGTGTGACTATGTGGGTCACATCAAGGGTTGTAGGAGCTTTTCTATCAATCTCTTCATCGTAGTCGCTTGTCGCCAAAATGTCGCTGTCGCGGAAAAGAAAAAATTGAACTACTTCTGCAAGAAACTGTTTTCTTTTTGTTGCACTGAACGAGGAACGTCGCCTTTGGGATCATTCCAAAAGAAGCGGTCTTTTTGGATCCCGTTTTTACCAATTAGGATCCAAAACGGCACACTTGAACTTGAGTACTATGTGCGAAACGAGCAATCAACTTTCATTCGTCAAGGCACACGATACACATGAGTCAGGAGAGATATGCCTGACCCAGTAAATTCATGAAACATGACTCAGCGGTGCTCATTATACCGAAAACAAAAAATGCGTGTGCAAAATGATTCCATTTTGATTTTGTGCAGTTTACTTCGTACATATCATATCAGAACTCGTCCTCAGCTCGTCCTCAGCAGAAAAACACGCCGTTCTGCTTCCCCTGGATCGCTACGCAGCACTTTCTTAGGCTGTGCAGAAACGACAGGTAGGTCTGCTGTCCGGTGACCGCCCCAACTTTCGCTGGGTTTACCCGTGTGCACTCCACAAAAAACCCGTCTGGCCCGTCCACTCGTATGTCGATCACGTGCTCCGTCGTTAGATTGTAGTCCGCGACTAATCTCGCCTCGGTCTTGTCGAAGCCCAGATTACTGCCCGCGATGGCCGCACAGGCCATTGTGTTCACGTTGTTCGGCGCTAGGGGACAGAGTTCCCGGACCGACCCATGGAAAATTACGTGCTCGCCGGGTTTCAGCTTGATAGAGGAACTCGCCGGTTCTACTACACCATTTGCAGTAGCCACCTCCGGATCCGTGCTTGTTGGGGACGCGGTGGTGGATTTCTCGTCTGCACCGACTCCGGATGATGAACATGCGGGAGCGCTGGAACTTGTTGTATCCCCCTGTGCGATGATGTTTTCTAGTTTTTCCGCAAGCTCGGTGCCTGGGGTTAGCTTCAACGATTTCGGGTGCTTCTTCATCGTCACACACAGGCGCTTCAGTGTGCCAAGCTCTGCCATGCGCTGCAAGTCGCTGGCGCACCACAAAGCGCCGACGGGGAGGTATCTGAAGTTTTTGTCTCGGTATTCGATCGGGTTTTGAATGATACCATTACCGTGATCTTAGGCACACTTTATTTGGTCGTCCCAGTGCATGTGCTTTAAATGGGCACGCAACTGCATCTATTTCGAACATCAACACGATCCTGGGGGCGTCTGAGAAGTATTTTCTTTACAATGATCCCTTCACTGCCTCGCTTTTCGCTGCCGTTTGCAATTTTTCGTACAACTCGGCGTTTGCCATTGCGGTCGGGGACCCCATGTAGTAATCCGCGAACTGCAGAAACCGCACGGCGTACTGGTTCGATAGGTCCGGGTGCGCAACTTCCACAATCAGATCCACTGCGACCGCTTTGGCGGCCTCCTCGTCGCCACCTTTATTTCCGTTTTCCAGCAGAGAAAAGTAGTCGGCTTCCAGATCCTGCAACACTTTCACCGTTTGCGGCAGTCCCACGACTTTGCTAGCCGTTCTGTTCCATACCCAGACGATGTCGATTTCGGAGGCGGCCGTTCCTTCTTCCAAAACTTTTTCACACAGAAACTGGCCCAGCGAGCCGTAACCCACAATACCAACGCGCATGGTTGATATTTCAAATTTTTGAATTTATTGAAGATGGGAACTCGAAACAAGAATCGCTCGTCGAACTCAAAAATTATAACGAAAACGAATACAAAATCTTAGCTACTCCTTGAGCGTTCGTGACTTTGCGGCAGTTGCAGCTGTATGAACTACAGCTGACGTATGATCTTCAGATAGTCGACGAAAGAAGATCAAGACAAAAAAAACAGATCGTCCGTAGGAATAGATATAGAAAGTTGCAATTGCAAAACAAAAACTTCAGAAAACGCAGAGCGACAGTTTCGGAAAGCTGCACTTTGATCTGCGGATATGATAGACCTCTTCACCTGACAGACAGTGTACAGTTTACAGCAAAGACGAGACGAACGAAGCAAGCTTCTGTGGTACCCGTTGTACCGCTGAGGCAGCAAGTCACCCGGATGAATGGGCACATCTCTTGACTTAGCTGCTCGCTTTGCAAGTTCAAGGAAGTGTAGTGCTGGTCGACTACATCACAATTGGCGTAGAGAAAAGTTGTAAAGAGTTCAGGGGCTTTGATGTTTCTGTACATGATCAAAGATGCAAAATTGCTTTATCAGCAAAGTTCTGTGTATTCAACGTTCGCATCAGCATCTGTGTGTGAGCTACAATTCGCGACCTGGATGCTCTAGTACGTTTTTACAAAATTGAAGAGTTCGCTTCTGGTGCCAGGATTAGGTTAAGGCGGAAATCAACCTGTACGACTACGAAACAACAGCAAATACAATAGTTCGGCAGGAACCTCTCGAGTTTTTTGATTTTTACGGGAATGGGTCGCGATATTTTCGTTAGGTCAGCATACAACAAGATACGTTGTTCGAAACAGACATAAGAAACATCTTCAGGTACAACTAAGTACTTAACTCCATACCCGAACTTACAGCTCATTTTCATCAGGAACTTGAGCTTCAGATCAAACAATACGCTTCGTTTTAGGTATTGTTCCAGTTGCTGAGGTTCGAGTTTCTATTAATTTTACAGGAATTTCAAAATGTGTTCCCGCCAGAGCTCCGGCGGAATCTGGTGAATGTCGCATTTCCTCCCTGCCAACATCGTTTCCAACTGCAGAATACCCGGAAACGCCCCGGAGCTTCTGGTACTAGCTGCGGAGCTCGGTAGAGCTGTAGACGCGGTGGAAGAGGAGCTGGCACGCGGTTCTTTACTCGATGCTGTTGCTGTTATACCAACAATCGTAGAAGTCTTTGTGCGATGTATTGCTTCGGCATCGGGATCGTGTAGTTGTAGTTTATTCCCGTCGCCCTGTTCTTCTTGCTGATCTACTCCAGGCACTACATCGTCGCTGTCCTGTTGCTCAATATTTTCCGCATCAGCTACTGGGATTGTTTCTTCCGAAGAAATAGAGTGCGTGGCTTGTTCAGCGGCCGTTCCTGGGTGTGCGGCTTCCGGCTCCTGCTCCGCTTCCGCTCCTCGCAGGTGAGTACTGTGCTCCAGTCTACTGCTCAAGGCGGAATTGAAGGACGGATTCGAGAGGACGAACAGTTTCCGCCTCTGCCACCGGTCCTCACGTTCGAAAAGTACGAATATTTGCTCGAAGAGGGTGTCGGTGATAGTGATGGTCATTGTGAGGGGTTCTTGGGTGAGCTTCGTCGGGGGAAGGAACAGGGCATGAATCTCCAGCTCTGCTCCTCGGAACTTCTCGAGGATGACCGCATGCCGTTCCCTCAGCCATTCGGAAAGCGCCAGGTTCCCAAACGTCTGCAACCCTCCATCTGTTGGACCATAAAGCGTACACATCAAAAACGGCAGGGAGACGTTCAGTAGGGGACCAGCCTGCTCTGCCGTACACCTGTCTTCTAACTCCAAAACAAAACGAGCCATCAGGCGGCAGAAGGGGACGGGCACGTTGGCAACTGCGCGCCTTTCGTCAGCCGTGAAGCGCTGGAAACAGTTTGGATCTAGTGATTTCAACTGCGAGGCTTTGATGCTAACATTGCTGCTCAGCAGCTCCTGGAGTCGATCCTCGCAGAACTCGGCTTTCTCGACTGCAGGAGAGGGTTCCGAAGCCATTTTGTGCTACTACGCAGGAATGTTGTTGCAACTAAAACAGTGTTCAAATAATGGTGCTAATGTCGAAATAGAAATTCCTCATCCACTTCGAAAGATGGTGGCGTTTGCCAAATCTTCAAAAAAGCCTCTTTTAGAAGCAGAGTTCCTATTTTTTCACGTCGTAAATTTACACCGTCTCTCCTCGTGATCGATCTTCCCGAGGCTGAATATCTAATGGGACACCTTCAACACCGGACGATAAAAGGTAAACGATGTACATTCAAAAGTATGTGTCGAAGAAACAAGCCCCTAAGACACTATCTCTTCCCTCGCACTCCTCTCAGTACTGCACCACCGAGCCAAACCCGACATCTCCCCGACGACCACGAAGAAGAAGCGCTAATCGAATACGATTTCTTTTCCCACCCGGAGGGACAACGACAAAAAGGAAACGAAAATAATCAAACGAAAAACTTATTGAGGAGTCGCTTCTTCGTAGTGAACAAACGATGAAGATCATCACCTAGAACAAAAACCAGGGAAATAATTCTAATCATGTGCAATCGATGTGATACTGCGTCGCTAGATTGTGAAATGAACGAAATCGAAAACTGGGTGGCTTGTTTCGAAGGAATGTTTTTGTTTTTTGTCGCTGCTAGAATGGCATGGAAACTGTCATCGAGTCGCTCCTCCCGTGGCCAAGGCATACATGCGAATCAGTGAACTCGTGTCTGCTACCAACAGGCGGTTTGAATCCAGAAATTTCAAATTGTTGACGCGGTTTGACAGCGTCATCTCCGATTGCATACTCCACACTTCTTCAGAACCCGTGCCGGTGTTCTTCCCGTCCTTCCGCACAGTACTAGCCCACACCCGCACGACATTCTTATGCGCCGTGGCGATCAGGTTCGAACCGAAACATGCGAGCGCTGCGATTCCAGCGCCGTGGGCTTCGAACGCGTTTTCTACTTGCAGCGGAGCCTTGCAAAAATTGCGAGCAGAGGAAGAAGTTCTGGTCGCAAATTTGGAACAAGCGGGGTCACTCGAACCAGCTCCCGCCCCGGGGCTCAGCACCAGCACACTTCCGTCGCCCAGACCGGCTAAGAGACGGTAGGTCTTCTTTTCTGGTTTCGCGTTGGCAGCGCAGCTGTGGTCTTGATGCTGTGTCAAGGCACTAAAGCACCAAGAGGAGGATGACTCCCCCACATGATGATCTGCCCCCTTCTCGTTCTTGTTGCGATTCAAAATCCGCCTTCTACCTTGCTGCTTTCTTCCCAAGTCCGATTTCTGACTTTGCGGTGCCGCTGTTGAACAAGCTTTAGCAGCGATAGCGTCCTCCGGGTCTTGCTCCAGTAGGCAAAAATGCGTCACATAGGGAGGATTCACCATCATATTCTGCGCCGGGGCTTCTTCCATCTCATCTTGCTTTTTCCTCGCGGCCGTGCGATTTCTCCTCTGCAGCTCTTTATCCCTGAAAGCGCGCAGGTCCGTGACTGAGACCGCGTTGTGTTTGTCGGCAGATGAAAATTCTACCTGCCCACTAGCGCAGGGGTCTTTGTCACTGCCAATAAAATTCCTCTTCACTTTCTGCAACGAAAACGCTTGGTCATAGCCGCCGGAGACTAACACAAGTTGGCTCGAAACAGGGTGGGTCTTCGCGGCAACTTCTTTGTCCTTCGCAGCAGCTGTTGGCGGTAAATTTCTTGTCGTGTTGTTGTTCTTGGAATGATCTTCGTCCTGTTCCATCTTTGTCAAGCTTAGTGGCACTACGTCGCTGCAGATGTTTTCGTGAACGACTTTTGTGCAGTTATTTTCGAAGATCTCCGCTTCTCCAACTTGACCGACCGTGACTGACCCGTCGTCACAGGCGATTGCGAGGGCGCGTGATCTTTGCTCAAAAGGCAACTGAAAGCATCGCAAACTCGCGATCGCGTCGGGTAGCGCGAATGAGCTGTGGAGTGCGGGCTTGAACAAGAAAGGTTCAGACTCGGTTTCGGCTTCGTCATCGACCTCAGAAATAGCAGCTGATCCCTGGTCAGGGGCGGCTTCTTCTGCAGCAGAGAGATCATCTCCGTCGGCTGCGCCGCTAGTACTTTCTACTTCGGTTGCACTACCAATATCTCTGGGTAAGAGCTGCTCGAGCGGAATCTCATAGCCTAGCACCATGCTCCATTTTTGCTCCTCTGCTTCATCCTGGCGGGTGGCAATGCCTACTTGCTCAGTACATGCTTCCTTCTCCGCTCCAGCTCCTCCGTGCCCCGCATCACACGCATTTTCTAGGCTTTGCTCCACCTTTTCCTCGACAACTACTTCAGAAGTCGCTGCTCCTGTCGCTTCACCCCCATAATTTCTGCGCAATTTCAACACCTTCGCCTCAATTTTGTCACAGTCGGCCTGCAAGAGATCGGAAACACCGACGAAAATCTGCAACACTTTCGAAGAAGCACTTGAGTGGTCCCCATTTGCTGGCTTCAACGAAACAACAGCGTCCAGAGCTGTCACTGTACACCGCTCGTCCTCCTCTTCTTCCCTGCTGCTCTCGGAGGCCTTTGTCTTCTCGTCCTCGTCTAGAAAAGGGGCTTCAACATCGGTGTCACTAGCAGGGCTTGTCATAGCTGCTTTTTTTGCAGCTGCTATACGACCAGCATCTTCCTCAGCGGAGGCACATACGAAATCTTTCACGTCAATGACCGCGACACACGTTTTGCTGGTATCCGGACCGGCAGAACAGCTACCCTTGATGTTCTCGTACAAATTCCAGACCCGTAGGGTACCGTCTTCTGCCGAGGCGGACACGAGAAGTTGCTCCTTTTCCAGCACGGCTAAAAGCTCCACATCGCCCCGATGCCCGGGTAAAGCGCGAATCAGCTCCATGGTTGGGTGCGTTACGTCAATGGTCGGGCGTCAATCTCAATCAGGTGGATTTCTATAGCGTCCAGCGCATGTGCTCTAGTACTTCTGAACATCAAACATTTTCAATTTTACGCTCTCTGTGAGTGTACCTGGTAGAGTAATGATGTAGAAAGTCGCAATCGGGCACAGATCACGTCCAGCTACATGCTCGAAACAACAGATGACTTTGACTATAAGATTGAGGGAAAACAGAAACAAAAATTTTGCAAAAAAATGAACCATGATCTCGAAAACAGTGTAAGTTTGCAAAGGAAGTGGATCCAAAGGCAAGTATGAGATCCGGCTAGGTAAAAAGGTGAGTACGGCATGATGTTCGACATACTCATTTGCAAATCGACGCGCATATCGTTTGCTTCTCAGAACATAGGACATTTCAAATCCACTTCTGTTGACCAAAACATTGATTTTTTGATATGGCAATTTTGAAAGAAGCAACGAAATGGTCCAGGTCAGTGCACTTTTGTGAACGATATCCTCTTTCTGCAACAGTTCTTCCTCGATTCATCTCGTTTTCGAAACATAATTCATCGTACAGACACAGAGGTCCTCTCACAAGCTCTTCCAAGTGAAACGATGAAGATGCCTATGTCAAAACCAACGAAACGTCGCGAACCAATGCCCAAGTGCCTACAACTTTCCCTTTCCCGCCCCGCCGACATTCGCCGTTTTGAGCGAGTCCGGCCCTCCGAAGGCATCTACCGCCTCCTGCCGCAAACACGCCAAAAACATTCTCTCCCGCACCGGATTGGTGAAATCGCTGACGCCACAGCTCCCGGTCAGCGCCCCAAGTCCAGAAGTACTCCCCGAAGACAGCTCTTGCTGTTTCAGCAGCGGCGGCGGAACCGAAGCGAGTCTCGAGGTGATTGTGCTATCGGTAGAAACTTTGAGAAAGTTGCAGGCACGTCGGTACAGGACTTCCGCACACGAAAGCTCGAGGCCGGCCTGGGGTGGTAAAGGTGGATTTTGCGACAGATCTTTCACTCAGATGTTGTCTTTATTAACTCTCTCACCATGCAAAAGCAATTTGAAAGCTCGAGAAAACTTGAAAAATCATATCGAATTTACCGCAGCTGTGGTGTAAGTACTTACCTTGTATTCGTAAATGACGACGACGAGTTTTTGTTCCGGCTTTGCTTTCTTCCACGCTGTTATCCATCTGTTCCGCTCGACAAGCGTCTCTTGCTTCTTGTTCACGAGTCCCCCACCAGCCTCCAGTAGCACGTCCTCCGGCGACGCTGCGGCAAAGGTGTCTCGACGCCGTTGGTTGTGGTTCGAAGCACTAGCAGTGGCACTGCCAAAATTTTCGGCCTGCGCGGCCGCAACCCCAAGCTCCCGCATGGCTTCCTTCAGATACCTCCGACATTCGCGGATGGCGGAGCGGTAGGCTTTCCTTTCGTAGTCCACGTACGTGAAGGAGTTCTTCAGACCTGCGTGCAGCACCGCCTCGGGAAACACGTAGATCCACGCGTTCCGGTGTTTTTCCGCCTTTTCGGCGATCTCCGAATGCCGCTCAAAAAGCTTCGCCGGCGGGAGGTGAAACAGCATTTGCAAAGTCGGTTCCGCAAACATCCTCTCCGGCTCGGAGTTCCACACCGTGTCGGCGTAAGTAACGGAAAAGCGTTTGGCGCGCGGGGAGTTAAAAAGGTGGGCGTCATTTTCGTTCTCTTCATTGTCAGAGTTGTCATACCGTTCGATTTCCGTGTCGTATTCCGTCCGGATTGTTTCCGGCACCGAGCGCGCGGATTCCAGGGCCGGGGAAGCCGCGGGCGCTGCTGGGGAAGCAGGCGGTAAGGGGGAAACGCCACTGTCTCTGCCACCAGCAACGCCTGGCAGTTCCTTCTGTTGAAACGGATCGAGCAACGCGGCGTCCTCGAGCAGCTTCCTTGATTTCTGCAACGACCGCAGACAAAAGTCGATTTCGCTCAATGCCGTGATGGAATTTGCAGTTGCTGTAGTTCCCCCGCTGCTGTTCATAAACATCTCTGTGTAGTTGTACCCGAGCAGAAAGGGAAGAATATGAATTGCAAAAGTGTCAGGGTGTGGAAGATTGCAACTTGTCATGGTGAATCTGAAGCATGCAAAAATCTGTGTTGCATGAGTGCCAAAAGCGGTACACTTTTGACCAAGTTTGAAGGAAGTTTCTCATGCAGGATAGGCATGGCAGAGACCTCGCAAAGTCTGTCGTGCTAAGTCCCGCATTCCAGACCTCATGGGTCATGGAAAATCTGCATGACAAGTCTACACTTTTCCAGACCTAGACATTTTTGCATTTGATAAAGAAACGACGACCTCAACTCCGCCGCCGCGTAGGCGTCCTGCCAGCGCGCGCTGTGGTTGAAGAGCTATCCTGAGTAAAAACGTCCCCACGCCAGAGTCAAGATGGGAAATCTGCTAGACAAATCGGCAAGCTTTGGGAGTTGTGCATGACAAGTTTCCGTCTGTAGTATAGTGGTGCATAGCAAGGCAAGCCGCATGAGAAAGCCAACTTCTCATCCTGTTTACAGCATTACAAATGCCAAATCACGATTGGAAATACCTCTCATGGGGATGCGCATTACAAATGTTCCTGTCATTGCGCATTTCCATTTGCATTACAACTCTGGGGTGGGGACGTTTTTACAAAGGATAAGAGCAGCTTCTTGCTGACCTTCTGGCTTTTCGCGTTCAGAATCAGGGCCTTGAACACCCCGACGATGTAATCGTATTCCAGCTGCGAACAGGCGATCAGGTTGAGGATTTGGAACCGTTGCAGGGTTTCTGGCAGAAGGGTGTCAGAGGTTTTCGTGAAGACGAGAGAGAAGGAAAACGCTTCGCAGTGGAACAAATCGTCATGGAAATCGAACCCGGAGTGGTTCTGCTGGCCGAGCAGCAGCGAACAGTGGTCGAACTCAATTTGCTCTCCCTCGCTGTCTTGCAGCGGATTCTCGTGCAGAAAGCACTTCAGGCTGTAGTCCCCGGCCTTGTTGCCAACGACTTGGAAGTAGCGCAGCAGGGGCTCCCGAGCCAGGCGGGTGACCCAGTAAAGCTTGAAGCCGATCTGCATCTTGTGGCGAAGCAGCAATTCGATCTCCGTGTGCTGCAAAGGGTCAACGAAGGTCTGTGGGTGGATCGATATCGATTGATTTCACTTAACGAGGTTCACGTTGCGTTATGCGTTCTTGCTTGCTGATACATACTTACACCAGCAGCGGCTTGCTGCACTTCATGATCTGCAAAAATGCTTTCGACGCTGACGCTGACCCCAAAGAGGTGGCAACACAAACACTATACCGTCGCCCTCCTTTCCGCGTACGCGTGTATGGTTTCGCAGACCAAGCTGCTGCTGGTGTGGAGCACGGCGGGGAGAAACTGGAACTGCTGCTCATCGATCTCCTGCTCGGTGCAGTCCTTCGCGAGCCGCGGCAAATCGTCCTCGTAATAGTGAAAACCCGTAGTGCCGTCCCGCACGATAAAACCGTGCGGCTCGTCTTCGTCCTCTAGCTCGAGTGCTTTCAGCAGAAAGTCACTGCACTGCCGCCCCGTGAAATTTGCCCAGTTGCCCGGGAGTAAGAGCGTTTTGTGCTCGGAAAACTTGTGCTGGTGATGCTGCGGCTTCGCCGGAGGTGCGTTACTCGTGTCACCAGGGCCGGCGCTTTTTTGTGGCGGCTCCCTGAATGGGTGTGCTGTAGCAGTCGTGCTCCCACTCTGTTCACCGGAGGCATCCTTTTCCTTGCTGGCCACTGCTGCTGTTGTACCATCCCCCGCCCGATCCGACGTCGTGCCACCGGTCTTGTTCTCATTATGTCCGTTCGCGAGTCGCTGCGCCACCCGGATGGAAAGCTTGATCGGGGGTTTTTGTGTGGAACTGGAAGCTGGATCGGTCGAGGGGTTATGCAGCGGCGGCACGACGCCTTGTTGCTTTGCCCGTAGTTCTTCGGAGGAAGAGGTGGAGAAAACGGAGAAATCCTCGATTTTTTCGCCGCGGTCCTTACGCTTTATCACGTGGATATCGGCGGAAGCGCCGAAAATCAGCGAGTGCTTCCGGCTAGACCTCCTGGAGTCCGACCGCCGGGACGATCTTCGGGCGGTGCTGTGCTCGTCTCCACCGCAACAACAACAACACAAAACCATGGGAGGAGGCAGCTGGGGGTGGGCAGTGATACGTTAGAATCAAGTAGCTTCCTTCGGCGTGTTAGCGATGCATGGCATTTGACGACATGGGCTTCGGGAGATCGAAATGAGGCCAGACTAGACACGAGGACGAGCACGCCAAATTGAAGTCATTTTTTGAAAAGGAACGAAGTCCCAGAGCAAAAAGGCGCAGGGCAGGGGCTTCAGCTAAGCCACGGCAGCACCCGACCACCTTCTTTCACTCTCTCAATGCAAACCTAATATTACACGACGCGCCAACCCATCCATCCTCAAAGCATTCATTGCTGCAACAAGTCTTGGTCCTCGGAAAAGTCTTCTCGCAACGCGCGCAGAGGAGTGTGCACATCTGAACACGAACAGCCAGGCGTCACAACTGCTTGCAATGCGGGACGGAGCTCATCTGGCTGGTAAGAAAGCTGCTTTTGGAGCCGCGCACGCGGACGCGCTGCGTCGTCACTATAATCAATCGAGAGACCCACGCATTGATAGCACCGGTACCGGACGGCGCTAGCCACTCTGGGTCTGGCCACAAAAACGCCGAAGCGAAGTAAGAGACGAGAGGCCGCCGCGGGATGTGGGTCCGCGCGCGTGCTGGCGCCCCCTCCTTGTGCAGGGGCTGCGGCCCCGTTCCCCGGCGCCTTCAGCACCCAGCCAATGCGTGGGCCAGCGCACACCGGGCGCCTGATCGCGCGCAGGCAATCTGAAAAACACAGACGGCCGCGGCCGGAAGGATCGGGCGCGGCGAGGGCGCCGGTACCAAGCCGCGCGCTGCCTGCCCGCCCCAAGGCGGGGCGGCGGCGTGGCCGCAAGGCCTTGCTTGCGCCGGTACCCGGCCGCGCGCTGCCCGCTTCCAGGCGGGGCGGCGGCGTGGCCGCAAGGCCCTGCCTGCGCCGGCCCCGGGGCGCATAAAGCGGGCGCTGGGTGATGCGCCTGCGGACGCCCGGGCGAAGGTCCCCGGCTTCATATCCTCCGACTCTCGGCAATGGCCCGCGGGCCGCAATTTCCGTCGTCGCGCACCACAATGACCCGAAAGCCCTCGGCCTGCAGCTTTGCCTCGGGGCGCCTTTCGCCCGCTAGTCGGCCCCCGCACTGTTTTCGCGGCGGGGAAGTTTTCGCAGGCCCTTACCTATTCGGCCGGGTGCCGACTCCGCTACTATGTATGAGAAGGCAACGGCTTGGCGCTGTCAAGTCCCGGCCCAATGCGTCAGCCAGAAGCGAAGCCCGCCGAAATGCATCCCGGAGGCGGCCCCGACTAGGCCCCGGGCTCCGTGGCTTCCGTTCCATGCTACCGCCGCCCTTCTCCTACCGCTGTACGCCAATCCCCCTGCGGCGCTCTGGCCTGCGCTCCCGGCTGCCAACGCGCCGAAGGTGCCGCGCGGGGCCATTCTTCGCCCAACTAAAGACCAAGCGCGGCCGCCTGCACAGGTGGCCGGGCACCCGCTTCATGGCCCCCTGCAACCGAGCCGCCCCAAGCTGTTCTTTTCGAGGTGCACCGCCACCGGGCGGCTCTTCCAGAACGGCGACCACCCTGCCGGGCGGCCAGCTGGCGCCAAGCTCTGCGGAGCCCTGGCGCCCGGATGGTGCAACGCGCCGCGGCACGTTCCGGGCCCGGCCATTAGATGGGGCGCCGCGGGGTCGAGCGAAACGCAGCGAATGGGGCGCGGCGCAGGCCGTTCGGTTTGAGGGCGGGGGCTTTCGCCGCTTTCCGCGTCTGAACTGATAAGAGCACGCGACGTGCTCGCACTCACTGCCACCGCCTTGCAACCTTGCGCAGAATCGTAGAAAAGAACACAAGACAGTCGCAGACTTAGCTTGCGTTTACGCATCTTCAAAGCATTCTTGCTTATGGACGCACGTAATGTCGAAGCAACTCCGGGTTCAGAATTCTTCAATTGTCTTGCGTTCAAACTCGCCACAGCGGAAAAGGCGCGCAGAAATAAGGAGAAGCATTTTACAAGTTCATTGGGGAATTCGTACACGTCATTTCGCGTTGCCTCAACGAACGCAAAACTCAGAAACATCAGAAACGTACAAGTATTTCATTCTTCTCGCCAGGCAGCAGTACGAATCAGCCAAAAAAACTCAACTGATTGTCTCTGGCCGCTTGTACTTTAAAGTAAGATTTTTTGGCTCGATTAGATTGGTAAGGTAAAGGTAACACCAAGCGCGCAGCTCGTTTAGAAACAGAACCAGGAAAGCACCACTAGGTACAGAAACAAGAAAGAATATCACACCAGACAGCAGTTGTGATCTGGATATGAAAGATCACGGCGACGCTTCCTCAAACTCATCGCCCTCATAAAGCTCTTCTTCCTGCTGCTTCTGCAATTCCTCCTGCTCCTTCTGCAAAAGTCGTTTTGTCCGCTGCTGTTCATCATACACCTGTTTGTGACTTGTAATGCAGGCCGGCTCCTTGCTCTTCCTCGGTTTGTGTTCTCTTGGCGTCATCAGTTGCTCCAGACCGGGGTCAAGGGGCTGTAGTTGTTTCGATGTTGATCAAAAAATTCCTTCGCTCATTTCATGTGTGCTCAAAGAGGCCGCAACCTTGCCAAACAAAGACATGAAATGTCGTTCAACATCAACGCAAATAAAGCCAACTGTGGACGATAGAACATTGTACTACTTCTACCTCTCCCGTTCTATTGGCAAAAAACCGCCCTGCAGTGCCGCCTTGCTGGAGCGCGGCTAAGCTATGGTCCAGTATCTTCGTTATCTGGTGGCCGTCTCCTAAATACGTTCTTGCCCACTTCGCGCCCTCAGTGTACCTTGCAGTTTGTTTCGTCGAAATCGATCCGCGCTTATGGATATGCACCACAGGATGATCAAGCAACATGATGACAGCAAAAAATTTTTAAGTAATCAAATAATCCGTAAAAAATACGATGCTATTGCCTCCGGAAGCACCTTGAGGTGTTCGTGCTCGACTCCCTTGTTGAAGTACGCAATACAGAGCACGGACACCCTCTCCCTTACGGCGGTGCTCGGCTCCTCTTTGGGCTCCTGCTGGACCAATAGCGGGCAAAGGAACTGGTAAACCTGCACATGTATCGCATTGAAAAAATGTGCTACTTCCCTGTTGCTGCATACTGATATTTCATGGTTTATCAAAGCGCGTCGCGGTAAAATGGAGAGAGTTGTGAGAGTTCCCTATGATGCATTGCAGCTACCCATACTTAGCAAGATCATGCTCATGGTTAGATGTAGATGAAAATGAATCAACTTTATACGTTCGCCATTACCTTTATGACCGCCGTCTGGGCGTGGTGCAGCGCCTGTTCGTGTCGACCGAGCTGGCTCAAGGTCGCGCACAGGTTTAAGTGCGTTTGTGACACGTCTGCATTCGGAAAACTGCTCTCGAGCTGGTACCTGTAATGGGTGATGACGATAGCAAACTTACTGTATCGTTTTAAACCAACGCGGAAATGACAATTTAAAGTTGTGTTATGTGCTTGTTGTGGAAGTGGAACTTCATGCATTTGCATCATACAGCAACAGCACGAAATCAAGTTTAAGTGGAATTATCAATACGCTTTCTCCAGATAGGTGAGTGCTATTCTAAGCTTCCCAACTCGGCGGTAGTAGCAAGCGAGGTTGTTAAAAGTGATCGCCTTCTGGATGTTGCTCAAATGATTTACATCCAGCGCGCGCTTTAGTAGGTCGAAGACAACCTGTGTTTGCAAGTATCGTGGTTTTGGCAAATTTTGACATTTTTTCGATGCAGCGCATAGCGGCCTCTCCTGCATCACCATGAGAAAAACTATAGCAAATGCGGATACGGTGCGCAACATGCGGATTTATTATCTTCAGCAAGACAACCTTTTAAGTAAGTACCTGTGTGTTGTTCAATTGCAACATTGCGGTTGCCACGTAGTTGCATGCCTCCACCAGCGAGCAGATTGCATCGTGGACCTCCGGTGAGTTGGGCGCGAAGATTTTTTTCCTCAAGAAGAGTGACTTCTCGTTGAACTCCAGCAGTTTCTGCAGATCTTTCCTCTCCTGGGCCTTTTCTATCGCCTTGTCGCAAAGTAAAATCTCCTCTTCGAGGGACTCTACCTCTTCCGGAGGTAGCTGCTTCATTTTATCTGCCGGTCCTTTTCAAGAATATATATCCTGAAGTTGTTTTCTAGTAAGCTAGTAAGTACTTGTCGCTGTAGTCGCTGTCAGCGTAGCCTCCTGTCGCGATGCAGCACAATATGCATTTCATCAGCATTTATGAAGCACGTAATTGCCAATTCGTACACTACACGCAAATCAAGAATCGACGAGCAGCGATCTTCGTCGAGGGCCATCTCGAATTCTGCCGCAACGACTTTACGAGACGCACGAGCACGACAACTTCAAAGCCGACGAAAATAGAGTTCATTCGAGCACTCGCAATCGCATGACCCTTTTGCACGACAAGTTGTACTTCTGTGCATTTCTGATGCCGACTTCTTCACTCCTGCTGAGACCATTTCGCAATCGACAGTGAAAGAGTTGTAAGACCTGTTCTCGGTTACTCAGAACAGAGCCGACTTCTGCAACCTGAGGAATAGCACGGCCTCCATCGGAGACCTGGATCGCCAGATCCAAGTCGCGATGGCGGAGCGTACTAGTTTCAGTACTGCTCCTAGCGGAACAGAGAAGTTGTGTAGAACAAGAAGCCCGATATTTCACTTCTATATTATTTATGTACAAATGTAGTTCCAGCGCAGGGGGAAAAAATTGTGTAGTGCATGTCAGGAGGAGATTCAACGACAAGCCGGACCAGCGTCTACTTCCGGATCTGCTCACGCCTTCCATCACCGCATTTTGTGCATCGCTCGTGGAAGCAGGCGTTCTTGCATGCGGAAGAAGAAACGGATCAGCGACTCCCGACACCGAAACGCAACGAAACAGGTCCCGAGCATTCCTAGGCAGACGAGCAGGATACACAGCAGAATGACGGTCTGAAATTTTTTCGCAAATGAAGTAGTTGAGATCGTACTGGTGCAAACTTCAAATTATCACAAACGCTGTACTACGAACAAGACGAGTGTTTGTGCATGTCCCATCACGATCTCCACCATAATGACATAAGTAATTAGCGACTTCACTTTACGCCTGTATACCACCACAATGCTCCGTTTTGTGCAGACGGACCACTGGACCCCGCCGTCGGCGTTCCGGTCCTCGTCGCGCACTGCAACGACGGTCATGAAGGCCGCGACCACCCAGCGTTTATCCTCAGTGGTTAAACCTACGCTTCGTCCGCTCCCCGCGGCAGTGGCCGTCTCAAAAGCGATGTACCATTTCTTCTCGTACGCAGGGCAGGCCTGGTTGGGATATTCAATATGACGTTCATCAAGCTCAAGATTTCATTGGTGATAAGCAGTAACTAAGCATTGCATTGCTTCCCTTCACGTTCACGTGCCAGTCATTGAAATCAAAAATTAACGACCTGAAAGGTAAGACCGGAATCAAAAACCTGGAAGTATCACATACCGTCGAAGGTGACCACGCGCCGTTTTTCCCCAGAGTCGCAATGGTCTTCCCGGTGCTAGGGTCCAACAACTTGAACGACTCGGCGAAGAGTGGCACGTACGGCGTCACCGCGACGACGGTTCCGCCCTTTGCGATAATTTCGTACTTCATGTACACCGTGTTTGCATTTTCGCTGTTGGCGTTCAGCTTGTAGACCATTTCGTGGATCGTGTACACCGTGTTGCCGTTGCAGTCTGTCAAATCCACGATGTTCGTGTACCCGGTGGGTCTGGTCCATGCTTGCGTGATCAGGGCGTTGGTCCGTTTGTCGGTGATGACAAGATTCGGCGCGTTCAGCTGGTAGCACTGCTCGGTCCACGTCTGGAGGGGCTGTGTACGTGGTGGTTATAGCATTTTCTATTTTTTTCGCCAAAATCTAATAAATCATTCAGCATATAACAAGACAGGGTCTCGTCGACAAGACGAAGAATAAACGTATGTCAATCAGTTTCTCTACGTCTCCCGTCGGCGTCTCAATTTGCTGGGATCTCCCGGCCGACGTACATCCGGTTGGCGCCCCGACCACCACCGTTTTTGGCAGAAACACCGCGGCGCAGCCGTAGGCCAGGTCGAGGGAATCTTGCGTCGGCAAGACCGTTTTGACGGGTTCCTCCACGAATTTCTTCGCAATGGACAAGCCAAACGCGACGTCGAGAGGCAGAATGTCGCGTCGGCGGTCCAACACCAGGGCTGGTGTCGTCGTTTCCGCGTTCATGGTCTGCGTGTAGTCCGGAACCAGCTGAATTCCCTCGGCGGTGGCCGCGGCCTTGTGCTGGGCCGCGGAGACTTCGGATTTTGACGTCGCTGCACTAGATGAACCAGTGCCAGCTTTCGCATTTTGCGCAAGAGAAACTTTGGTCGCAGACGAAGTGGAGGTTCTCGGGGCCAACTTGCTGGTCTGCGAGTGGAGAAGCGCGGTGGCAAAGAGTGATGAGGATGTTCCCCTGTGGTGGATGAAAGAACTACATATTGACCAAATCCCAATATCAGGCAGCAGCGAACCCGCAGTGGCCGCCCACGGAATCAGCAGTTGCGCCAGCCTGAAGCGCAGCCGCTGGCGAAAGGCACTCATGCTGCTGGCGGAATGCGACGTTAGGTCGTTTTGTTCCCTCTTCTGAGGAGAAGATGCGTGTGTGTTTCTACATGGCTTGCTGGACCGCACCACCTGACGTGCGCGCGACGGTCAGGCGGTCGTCGCGCAGGAGGGTCAAACGAGAACCACAGGGTGCATCTTTCAAAATGGATAAAGTAAGCTACTTGTGGTTCTGGTTAAATCGCATAATTACGCAGGGTCGTGCAAGGTAGTCAACATAGAAGTCGTGGTCAGGAGTTGCATGGCAGAAATATTCCATTTCAAGGTGAAGATGAACGCACTCTTCTTACACTCGCAGCGGACAATGACCACTCTTTGGCAGATAAGAAAAACCTCGCTCACCGTTTTCACCTTGTGCGCAACCTGCTTTTGATCTGAACACCGGATCACTGCAATATGCGAGGAAGCACTTTCGACAATCCTGTTGTATTACCGTGCGTGGTGTTGTAACGGTACATTGGGAGGATCTGCATCGTACAGGCACCTTTTCAACAAGCACAAGCTCAATCGGCCAAGCAAAGTCGTACAATTTGAATTTGTTGCCGCGAGTGCAACTATAGCCAAAACAAGAAGTACTGTGAAACATGACGACGGTCAGGTGGGCAAGAACGGCGACGGCCACAAGCTTACTATACGAGCTCTAAATCATACAAAGGAAGATTTTTTTTACATTCAGAAGTGCGCATCATTTCAATTTCGCAAAGCAATGGCCACAGGAGAAGCTGCGGCGCCCCGCCTTGTCTACAAGGTGATGTCTCCCTCCATCAAATACCGGATGTCTAACGGCGGCGCTTTCAACGCCCACCTGTCCGATATTGCGTTTAAGTCGCCCTGGAACCGCGCCGCCACTCGCTTGGCCTGCTCTTCGCGCTTGGAGAGCAGACTTTGGAGTCGGGACTCGAACTGCGAGCTGTTTTTGATGTATTCCTGCTTCTCGTCTAAATTTTTGAAACTGGATCCCTGCAGCAGGTACCGCCGTTCCTTCTCGGGAATTTCCTCTGCCGTGGTGGGCTCGATTGTGTCCAGCGTTTCTGTTTTACAATATCCATTTTTGTTCCACGAAGAACATGATGAAAAGCAACTCCTAAGCGATACCATGATAAAAATGGCCAAGTAAATTAACAATCGCACTGCTCAACACAAGGGAGTCAACTATTACGTGCCAGCTCCATGGTAGTCTCGGACTTCAGCAATTTTGGTTTCCCCCCGCCGCCCTCCCCCTCCTTCTTGGCAGCTTCCTGCTGTTTCGCTGTTTTTGACGACACCTTACCATATTTCGGTTCGCTGCGCTTCAACGGAAGAATATCGTCCCGGAGAATTACCTGCCGGCCAGGATTTGGCTTCACATACCAAAGCGGTTTCCTTGCCATTATGGGAACGAAGCTGCCGTCTGTATCCAACGAACTATCACGGAAACCGACGGAGGACCTGCGATATGGAACACGAATTTATTCAAAGCTTTTACAAAGGTTGCAGCGCGTTCTTACGCAATTTCATGCACCATCCCGTTCCCGTCTGCAAAAAAAATGCAACACAGGAGAGAAGAAATCATGATTCGTACTTCTCGCTTTTCCTCGACGCCCATGAACGCTGTGTTGGCCGCTTCTCCTCCTCAAGCGACGGCTCCTGAGGTCATTTTGGCATGCAAAACTTCTCCTTCGTTTCAAGCAACAGTGAAAACAGCTCTATGCAAGAAGTGCCATCCGTGCTTATTCTTATTGCATCAACATGACAAAAACCCGATACCTATCTCGGTGCACAGTTTCAATCTCCACTTCATCATAAAATTCAAATCACCTGACTGCACCTGCAGCCATGCAACAACTCCGCTAGTACCTGTATTCGCACGTGCGCCCCAGGAGTCGGTCCTCCCGCCTGACCGGGCGGACAACGAAACGCGGCTTCCGCGGTACCGCCGCTCCGCGCGTCGCCGCTGACGCCCCGCAAACTTTGCTGGTCGACGTCGTCCAGTGCGAGCAGCTGCTCGGTCTTTTTCTGCTCCTTGGCCAGGTACCGGTCCGCCTCCCGCCAGGACAAGCCGTAGGGCGGGGGTGGGCGGGGTTTTCGGTTTTTGATGATCTCATTGTACCGATCGATGCGAACTACATCCCCCGGCGTTCGCTGTTCGAACCGCTTGCTCGTGGTAGAGGTCGAGGTCGTGGTGGTGAAGGGCATGGTTGCGAAAGTTGTGGGTAAGTACGGAAGGAACAATGCGTACACTCGTTCCTTACTCTTACGCAACGACCTTGCGGAAGTGCACCAGAAGTCGTGTGACAACCGATTTTTGCGCTTGCCCTTGCTCTCACATAGAGAAATGGAAATCTAAATATGAAAAAATATACTAACGGCTAGTTGCCCCAACTCTTAACAGATCAGGAAGTTGGGAGGAGAAACGTGGCAGTGGCAGAACAAGGTGAACAGAACAACTCTGACGTTTAACAGATCAACAAGGCACCAGGACATTGAGACTCGTTCCGCATGTGACGTCCAGGCCACGAGACACACTAACTTCTTTTTCAGTGCGTCAGAAAGTCGTGTTTGCTCACCTCAAAACACAAAACGCCAAGCTACGCTCCACGGCTTGTAATAATACTTATTGCACGGAACAAACAACGGAATGAAACAACGCTCGCGTAGCAAGCAGCTGCACCAGGTAGAGCCGAAGTATTTCTATTTTCACGGCATCACAGCCTCAACATAAAATCGTACAAGTGGGGTGATTGGTTTTGGTACATGTGCAACTCGTCACGTTCATTTGCAAATTATACAGCAATAACCGCTTTCGCAGGATGGCATTCTGCTTCTTCGAAGTGTGTGTTTATTAATTTCAGCACGATAAAGCATTTGCTTTGTTAATAGAAATTCTTCACCTAAAAAAAGCAAAGATCGACGCAGATTTTTTGATCTTTTAGGGAAAAAATCATCACGCTGGTAAAATTTCTCCACGAGATCTGGTCCATTTTTCCGCCCATTGACCTAGTAAATGTTTAGCGCCGGTAGCTTTTCCCGCATGGGCAGAAAGTACGTCAAAATCCGGAGCTCTTCGAGGAACCGCGAGCACCGCAGCGCCTGCGCCGCCGATTCGGTGTTCGAGCAGGCGATGATGAGCTCCTCGACGATGAGCGTTTCGTACAAGTTTTTGGTGAAATTCATGGTCATCTCCAGAAACTCCCCGGACGCTTTGTTTTTGTCCAGCCCCTGGTTTTTGCCCAGGTTCGCGTACAGTTCCCGCGTGTGCAGCGGGTGCGCGTCCAGGTAGTCGGTACCGGACGCGAATCCCATACTCGGTACCCGCCCCGCCGCGAAGTCCGACCGCGGGATGGCCGGGATCTTCTCGCCATCGAGCAGGAATCTCTTCTGCGGCTCGGCCTTGGCACTTACCCCACTTTGGTTGTTGCCGCCCACCTTGGTTCCGCTCGCGAAGTGGATGGCCGCCTGCCCCTCGGCGTTCTTCTTTCTCCGCAAAGCGGTGCGGTTCAGGACTCGCACGGTGGAGCCGTGGATTTGTAGGTTCCCCACGTCCACTTTCAGCAGAATGTTCATGTTGGTCAGATCCCGGACGATCAGCAGACACCGAAACTGGTCTGCGCAGGGAACCACCGTGGTGTACAGGTGGCAGGATTTGAACGTTTTCCCCTCCAGCAGCCGGCTGAACGTCACCTGCACACCCAGCACCTCCGTGGTCGGCTCGTCCGAATCCCGCTGCTCAAACTCGTCGTCGTCCTGTTCCGTGTCGTTTTTGTTCGCTGCCTGCGCGACGAAAAAGTGCTTCCCGACCTCGTAATGCCGCCGCAGGTCCTCCACGTAGATCGCCTGGAGCCTGATTTTGGGTTTTTGAAGAACGATAAAGACTCTCGATTTCATTTGTACAGATAGGGCACAACTAAATCTAAACCCGCACAACGCAGAAACTGAAAAAATAAAACTGTCTTGTCACTGAAGGAAGAAAAATTGCACATCGCAAAAGCTAGTAGGGAACGCGAAAATCACTTGACGTAGTACCAAATATAGCCGCCGGGGCGGAGGTAATGAGGTCGTGGGCGTTTTCTTGCCGGCCGTCGCCTTGGCCGCGGCTTTGCTTTTTCTGGGCTCGCCATACCGCCGTGAGTAACGTTAGGCCGCACGGTAAGGCGGCCGCTTGATAGACGTCACAAATTTTGGCAGATTTCCAATATTCCTTTCCGAAAGCCAGCCTCCATGCTATGGGGCCGATCCGGGTGCCACGGGGGGCGCCCAAAAAGCGAAGAAAAATCGGGCCCATAGCATGCGGATTGGCTTTGCACGTCTGGCACGCTTTTGCTTTTTTGCGTTTTTATTTTTCTAGCCGGCGCTTTTTGCAGAGCTTCCCAGGCTCTGAAACCGGCGAAAATGCGGCCGCTTTCGCGGCCGCCCAAAATGCTCCGAAATCGCAGCCGTGCCATGCTGTTTCGCTGTTCTGATTTTCGGCGCGTTTTTTTCGCACTGCTTTTTGGGCGCCCCAAACCGCCAGAAACCAAGGCGGCGGGCGCCTCAGAATGGCGCTCCTTTTGCTGGCTCCTCTGCGTCGTTTTTTCAAGCGGCGACCGATAGAATCCGCTGGCGATTCGGTGCCAGGTCAGCCAGGGCCGCTTGATAATTGGAAATTTTTTTTGTTAAAAAACGCTTCCGGCCGCTTGAAAACTGCCGGTCGTTTTTCAGGGTATATGTCAAGAAAACTCCCTGGTTAGAACCGTTCGGTGACCTCACTACATACTAGTACTGTTTAATGTGCAAATGAAAACTCTAGAACTACTGTCTTCTTGTCGGCATTGGGATGTCCTTCGGGAATGGTTGTCCCGCTGTCAGTCCCGTGTCCACCTTCCACTCCGCTTCCCGGTCTCGGTGCTCGCGAAAGTGCTCCAGACACGCGACGAACTCGGCCACGTTGACCCAGTCGTCCGGGCAGTTGGCGTTCATGACGGTCAGGACGTCCTCTTTGCTCAACCCGAACTGCTCCCTGAGCGCGCGAACCAGCGCTGTCATCCCCATAGCTTCCCGCAGTTCCTCGCGTCGGCAGGACTCTCCAAGGAACCGAAACATATCCCGGAAAAAAAAATGTGTGTCAATGCAACTACCTTGGCGCACCAAAGAAAAGCCTGTCATGCTCTGCCAGTTAGTGGAAACGCGAATTGTGTCTGGCATGACAAGGGTAACTGTGTTTCTGCATTTCTGCAGAGTTACACTTAAGTGCACACTTTTTTTCTTGGATAGAATAGTGCGGAGATGGAGTAGTAGTGGAAATCCGCTTCTGCGCGTTGGACTTCCTGTGCATTTAGTTTTGGTCAAGTCTCTTGTTTGATCATCTGCATGAAAATTCACCTTTCTCATGCTCGCCTCGCATGACAAAGGATGTGATATTCTTATCCGTCTTTGTATGTATTTTCTATACCCTGGACCTGGCCGTGAAAGCCAGTTTGTTGTCTGGCTGCGAGTCCGTCATTAAGTTTCGCAGCATGGTGCTCTCGTTTTTTCGGTCGTTTGCGTCGTCAAGATAAAGCTTCACCCCATCGCGAAATTGGATGCCCCCGTATCAAACAGAAAAGCTGCATTGGCGTTAGCGATTAATTTCAGACATCGCACTCGTCTTGCGAGACAAACTGCTACGAACTAAATGCGATCACTTAACCTTTGGTTGTGCTACGCCAGACAGCATGACAAGTTATCGCACTCTACGCCAACGCTTTTTGATGCTATACCTCGCCCCGGGCGATTATCCTTGGAGCGTAGTGCCGGTATTTGTCGATAGACTGTGATAGATTTTTTGCAGCAATAGTTAGATGAGGAGCAGCTAGTATCGGGTTGCCGCGCATCAAGGTCGACGCGTTGCTCGCATCAAGATCAAACGCGCGCCATCTTCTATATTGGAACCTAGCAACCTAGGTAATGGTAAGCTAAAAGAGAAATCGATATAAAACATCGCAACTGACCTCCTGCGCCAACAGGTTCAGCTGCAGAATGAGTGTTTCCGGGCACGGCAACGGCGGACGACACCACTCCACCGGGCTTTTCAGCAAAAGCGGCATGTTTGGCAGGCACTTGCGCAGGAAGTACAGCACTAGGCGGTAGTTGAAGAGGAACTGTTGTTGCGTCTGCGGCCGCCCGTACATCTTCGGCAGCAGCTCCGACTCGGTGACGAAATCCAGCGACGTCAGCACTATCGCCACGTTGATCCCGTCGGCGAAATCCGGGGCCAACATGTTGTCCAGGTCGTATTTTCGGTTCTGTTGCTGCGCAGCTGCGTTTGTATTTGAATTTGTTCCGTCGTCGTCATAGTTGTTGTATGCCGCCTCCTCGTCGGTCCGGGGGAGAAAATCCCGGTTGTACCGGCCACAAAACGTGTTTATGTCCTGCAACGTGCGGTTGATCATCATGCGGTTCTTTTTGAACACCCAGACCTCCATCATCTCGAGCAGACAAGGCAGCACCTTCGACGCCTCACCGTGGTAAAAATCTAACGGCGTGCACATGTTGGACGCGCGAGCGCACTGGCCCCAAATGTACCTGGAATTGGTGTTGGAGTTTTCTTCAAATCTGGTTTCCCCTCGTTTCCGCGGAAAAGGTGGGATTCGTAATTGGTGTCATCTCTAGATCATGCACTGTGGAGAGACAAAATCGTATGAATTCTCTATACTTTTTCAACCGCACTAGGCAAGATGAATCTGAAATCGTCGCGATCAGATGAAGCGATTCTACTTATCGTACCTCAGTGCAATTTCCAAGTTTTTCAGCATGATTGGTTTTGTCACCGGTTTCTTGTTTACTCCCCGAATCAACGTTTTCCCGCCGCTCGCGTCGTCTCCCACGCCCGTCCCGCCCCCGCTCGTGGCCTCGTGTATTTCGATTAAGAGCAGGCCGTTTTGCAGTGCTTCAAACAAATTGTAGTTCGTCAGCCGCGGGCGCTCGTCCTGGGACTTCATGCGCAACACCACGTTCTCGAAGGGGAGACTCAGGTGGTTGATCCATCGCACGATAAAGGGGATCGACGCTTGCAACCGCCGTTTGTAATCCAGCCGCTGGGCCGCCTCGTTGGAGATGCGTAAGCTCCCCTGCTTCGCAAAATCGAATTTCGGAGGACTGGAATCGCCAAACCGGCGCTCGTCGTCGTTGAACTTACGAGCGGCCATCTTCTCAGGTGATGAAAAGTAATTAAAAGTTCGGAATCTATATTCCTGTGTCGTCGTTGTAGAGCCCACCGGCACTACCCGTAATTGCGCAGCAGCTCAGTATTAGACTAAGACCATGTTCGTACCGCGATTTTTATACCCCGCAACCAGATCTTGTTTGTTAATGCGAAATTGTTCACATGCTGCATGCTATTGATTGAAGGGTTTCGACCTGTGAAAAAATTTCTTCGAATTTTGATTTTCAATTCTTCTGCGACTGACAAAAGAAACCCCCCCTTTTGACAGAAGACGCAAGCACATCAACCCTGAAGCCCCACGACGACGGACGGATGCAATGGAGAAGATGCTAACGACGAAAGTACTGCTGACCGACTGTTGTCCTCTTTAATCGGTCAAAGGTATGGTGAAGCTAAAAACGTAAACGACATGCGTATCAACCTTTCATACGCCATATGAAAGGAATGATCTTCATCACCGTGCTTTGAAACGAAGCCTTGACTGAGGCAATTTGGACAATGCCATGACGGATGCTTTTTTTTGTAAAACACGCGACTGCAGGTTTATCGCGTACCGAAGGATCATTTGTTAAAACCAGAAAAAGGGTGACCACATGCTACTGGTGGTCGTCTACGTTGATAACAAGCTTTATTTTCGGGAGCACGAGCAGGTGCTAGCTAGTACGAACTCCCTGCGCCGGCAGCACAACGAGGCGCACTTCAGGGACTCTCGTCTGAGTATCCTGTTTATGTGTGGACCACAACTACTTATTTCCGATCGTATTTCTATGTGGATCTATCATGTCCGCGCTCTTTTGACTTTGCAAAAAACAGTTTCAGAATTCCTCAAAATCATCACATCTCTTTCTAGTCCCGTGCCCGGAAATTTTTGTATTTTCCGTCGTTGTCTTTGCCTATCACGTCTCTAGTACCAAGGAATCTTCCTATTTCCAGTACTACCACCGATTCCTCTAAGGGTCATATCTTGTCTACGTACAATCTATTTTCAAATCTCCTGTATTTTTTGTATCCTTTCGCGCACAAGTCCTACAAACACCACCAAGAGGTCCTGTGTATATGACAACGTGCGCGCCTGCAACAGGGGTGACAAGAGATACTCTTCTTTCATCAAAAGTATCCAGCAGAGCCTGGTGAATAAAACAACGTAAAATATTAGGGACAAAAAAAGTACAAGTGTGCTTTCAGTATCAACTTCTTCTATCGATTCTCTATTTTTCGTGATCAAAGACTTCTGCGGCAATCAAAACTGGGCTCAATTTGATGCGGAGAAGCACGTCCTTCACCCTACGCCGCTCTGTGCCCCTTGTCCATGCGAGCGTCGGTGCTGAGAGGCGCGGTGGTAGATATGGCTCACGTCCGACACCGTGCCGCAGCTACCACATCTTACGTAGTGCGTACCCCATGGAGCTGTTGATAATGTTTATTGTGACAGGTAGTGTACTGAATCATGTTGCACGATGACAAGTTTATTTAAGTATCACGACCGAACGTCTTCATGATAGTCGCAAGGGGGAGTTTATATTGCCTTTCTTTTTGCCACGGACAACTAGCAAGACAGATAAAAACTTACCCAGATTCGATGTTCCGCAAACCGCACAGAGCATGTTGATTGTCCTTCCTCCGATCGGGTACTCTTCTCCCTCTGCGGTTGCTTCTGTAGTGACGACTGCATTCATGGCAGAACAGACAAAGCACTGCACGTAGGAGCCTGTTGTTAGTTTTACGTACATTTTTGCCACACAGAGGGGGTGCCCTTGTTGACATGCAAGTTTACATCCCAGTCCTGGTCCTGGAATCGCAATCGTTTTCCATAAATCATTCGAGTAATGCGGTAGCATGCGGGTGTAGTGAGGCCGCTGTGCTCCAATAGAAAATAGAGTCATCAAGTATTTTTTTTAAGTCAGTACTTCCATCGGGGTACTCCAGTAGCGTCCTGCAATGGTGGCAGGTTATCCTAGGGTTCGCGGGTGGTGGCTCGATGGCGTCCGCTCCGGCGATGGTGGACACCTGTCCATTCGGATTCTGCACGAAGAACGTTTCGCAAGACATGGATCTTGCTCCACAATTCCTTCGCGTTCTGGTCGCCTCGAGGATGTGATCTTCCCACAGCACCTTCGCAAGAACCCTCAAACGTCGCTATGATCCACCACCAAGGCTTACCGACAAAGCATGAGTACAACCGGTGCGATTCTACGCGGGCCGAAAGTCATGGAAGATAAACTTCTTCCTACAACATCTTTCTTTGCACGTGGTTGCTCTATCACTTCTCTCTGATAGATAGATAAACGCTGCTGCGACACAGGTTTCGGACCGACTTGAAGCAGCAAGTCTCACCGAATCATCCTTGTTCGTCGTCCGCGGTTCGTGCCTGGGTAGGTTAGGTAAATTATACTGCGCCCTTCGAACCTAACTCATGTCATCGATATTTCTAAATTCAAATCATTGGTGGGGTCCTGTGCTCAGTGGAGTAAATAGAAACTTCCTTGCAACATCCTGATTCGCTCCAGATGATCAGGATCCGGCTCTTTCACCTTCACAACTATTGTCCCAATGCCTCTCTCTTTTTGTTTAAAATTAACTGCTCAACAGTTGAATCTGACTCTTCACGCATGTTGGTTGTACTACTATGTGATGTAGCCGATATTGAAAGAGAAATTTTGGGGTAGCGCAAAAGAACACAGAACACTGGATGGGATACATCTGGTGTAGGCACAGGTCTGACTACCGAGAAATTTCATCGCGACTTGATGCAGAGCATCGTTTTTTGGCACTTCTATTCTTGCCGTTCGACTTGCGCGTCTTTATTTTTTCGAGCGAAAAGTGTCTACGTACGAATGTCAGAAGCAAAGCCCGTGAAGTTCTGCGTGTTTCAAGAACCTCGGTTGTGTGATTTACAATGTCGTGGTCAACAGCACTGGTTGATTTTGAAAAATGTTGAAAGTCAAAGCTCACTAACTATCGAGGCAGCCTTTTCTCAGCTCCCGCTGTGGGAGACCGAGACGACGTCGTTCCCGATTTTTCACATAGGATACTGATGGTAATGCCATGAAAAGTCCCCGGACCAGGCGAGGTGTCGTGGAGGTGGAACGCGCTCTATTCCAACCTCGCACGACCAAATTTCCTCAATTTTGTTTTTGCCGGATTAAAATCTTCGTTTCAGCTCCTTGCGTTGCTGTGACTGCCGTTAGTCGCACTCCCGCCCGTTCTTCCCGTGGATGACGCGCGACTGGCGGCAATCAACGACGCAGTGCCCGAGATCGAGGATGACAACACGCGCAGGGACGGCGCCTGGATGGGCCGCAACTTCGGGTGCGAAATGCTCAGTTGCCGGCTTGCCGCGCCTTGCTTGAAAGGCCCCGCGGGTTTGGCGGTGGCTGTGGCTGCGCCTTCTCGACCTTGCTGCCTCGTCGCGTTATCGTGTTCACGGTCCGCACAAGCCGTGGACGAGGAGCTTGTAGCCTTCCTCCCGCCGAGACTCCCTTTCACAAGAACCACCTTGTCTTTACTGAACGAGGCTCCTACTGTTGCGCGGTCAGGTTTCGGGGTCGCGTCTTCGACTACAGTGGCACCTTGAAGAGCAGCGTCTGCGCTGGTACGATCCTGGGAAGGGGGAGATACTACCGAAGTAGACTTCGCTGCCGGTGCTGACATGACTCCGTTGTAGGAATAAACGGTGGTGAAAGACTGCAGATTATTAGTGGACGAAGCTACGACTTCTGGTTCTTCTTTTACAAATTGTCGACCTCGTCCTGCTAAGTCGCGATTTTTATCTTCAGACTTTTCGTCCACCACATCCTCTACTTCCAACGAGTGCAAGTCTTTCACCACACTTCCCTGTGGCACCACATCGAACTCCGTTGGGGAAGCGCAATAAACGCCCTTCGGCTTTCGGGAGGAGAGGTTGCAGCTGCTGGTTTGGTCCGGATTCAGGCTTTTCTCGTTATTCTTGATCCTTCCCCGACGTTCGCCGTCAGTGTCATCTTCATCATCCTCTGCGATTGTCAATGAAGACGTGTTCGGCAGCAGTTTCTGGCTTGAGAAACTGACCTCTTCCACGACCTGTGGCACTGCTTGTTGTTCAGAAGTCGCGGAATAGAAGTACATCACGTTCTTCTGGTTGATTTTCGACGTTGAAGATGCTTCGAGTTTTCCAGGTGGACGTGCCCCGGTAGTGGAAGAAGTAGCGACAGAAGTTGCCCCCGTCGTGATATCACGCGCTGCAGTTCCAGAAGATGCTCCTCGATTTGCTCTTTCTGTAGCACTCGAAGAAGCACCTCCTACTTCACCACGCCTTTGGTGCCCGGCGGTTTCACCCCTTGTAGTACTACCTCTCATCGGCGACAAAGTCAAGTTTGCCTCCGACGCGACAGAGACATCCGGCGATATCGTCCTGTTCGAGACACTACCCCACGACACCGATGGCACCACAGCTCCGCCCGGGCCTGCAGAGGGGAGGAGCAAGCTTGTTTTCGGTGGCGGCGAGGGCGTGTTTGGTGTGCTGCCTGTCGGTCCTGCTCGTGGAGAATTTTTACTCAGTGACGGCGTTCTTGACGTCAATTTCGCTGCAGTTTTTGTACCACCACCAGCAGCTTCTCTAGTAGAACTCGGAGAATTCGACCTTTGTCTTTCCAACGTTTCGATCAAATCTCTCGAAGAGTCCGGGATCGCGAAGGTTCGGACGTGTTTCGAAGAAGAGGTGGTGGGTGCAGCCCCTGCTGATCCCTGTTGTTGTTTAGCTCTACTTTCTCTTTCTTGCGAAATGACTTTCCTTTCCGGACTTCGCGCCTTCTTCGCGGATTCCACCGCGTGGGGAAAGACCTCCCACGGGTCCCGGCGGGAGGACGAAGGGGACGTCGCAACCGCGCCCGTTGTCGCAAAAACCCCACCGGGAGCGAAGTTGGCCGGGTTGGTCAGCAGGTCACTCACGTACTGTTTCGCAGCGACGGCACTGTACTTGTCCGCATGTCGTGAAGAGCTTGCGGGAGAGGAAGGGCCGGCGCTGTTCGAACTTTTATGGCCCTTACTTCCGCGGGAATCAAGAACAGACGGGTGTCGGTTCCACGCGACCGGCTCCGCTTCCTCCGGGTCTTGCAATCCGTTTTTCGATATCCCGAACTGGGGGTCGCGCAAAGCTTTCTGCTCTAACAAGTGGATCTCTTTTGCCAGCTGCTCGATCCTGGAAGACTGCTTACTCACGTCCCGGCTGAAATTTTCCAAATTCTTCGACACGCTGCCGGTTTTTGTCACCGTATTCGGAAAAATCGCGGCGCAGTGCTCCTCCGACGGGGCGTGGAGGAGGATTCGGCTCGATTCCGGGGAGAAAGCCAGATCCTCTTTCGTTCGCCCTCTCGACGAGGAGCTTGACAAGACCGCAGCGCCAGCATTCTCCTGAATGGGTACGATTTTCATTTCCGAAGCCGCCGAGCTGAAGACCGAGGAGACGTTGCTTTGTTTCGTGGAGGAGCGATATTCGCTGGTGTCTTTCGCTGGTACAGACATGCTGCTGAGCTTCCAATCGGCGACGTCTCCACCCGGTGCTGTGATCACTCTGTCCCTTGATTTCTTTCTTGTTTCCTTCGAAGAACTGTTGGTGTTGTATTCTGCTGGAATGTAAGGCGACAGGTCCTCGGCGTTCTCCCGGGGCGCGGGCTCGAAGTAGTGCTGCACTTCCTTCCCCGACGGATTCTTTCCGTCACTCACCATGTGAATGCTCTTGGCTTTCGAGCTGGTGCGACTCTGAAGTGATAACTCAACGGGAGGTGCAGCGGATATGCCTTGTTGGTCTTTTGTCGTCAATGTGCGCAACATCTTCCTCTCGCTTTGCTTACTACTCGCTTGCTCTATTTCGTTCTTCACTTCTTTCGAAAAATGCGACCGCGGCGGTGAGCGCGATGTTGGTCTCGGAAGAATGCGTCGTGGGCTCGTGTCCGGTCCTTGTAGCTGCGTACTTGATACGCTACTAGTTCCCATGACAAGTTCTCTCCTCGACGTGCTGCTGCTGCTCCCTCCCTGCTGAAAGTTTTTCAAGAGTCTTGTACCTGTGCTTGGTTGTGCTTTCGCGTCCGACACAAACCAATCACAACCATACTCCCGCATGGCGCGCCCGTCGCTAGATTTTGGCGAAATGCTGCGACTGGGCTCACGATGCTGATCCACTACATTTGGGTTGCTGTGCAATAAAGCCTGCGGCTTTGCTTGACCGACGTTGTTCGAGCCAGGACTCGACCCGTACCGGAAGTAGTCAATGACGGCCGAAGTTTTTTTCCCCTCGGTAGTTGTACTTTCCCTCCTTGGTGATTTGAGGGTTCTGGTACTGAAAACGCCGCCTTCAACATTTTCTCCGAGCTGTCCTTGCCCTTCGAGGGCACTCTCGTCCCGCAAGTCTGAGAAGTTCACGCCGATCGGCTGGAGCGCCTTCACAGGCCCAAATAGCGCCTGCTCTACCGGGTTCTGCTTCTGCGCGCTCGGCGGCGGATGCTCCAGGGGCGGCCTGCGGGGCGGGGACATGACGAGGTCTTCTTCTCCTTTGGGAGCGAGAGTTGTTGCTATTCTTTCATTTTTATTATCGGCGTCGTAATTTCTACTCCGCGCTGTACAACTTCGCATCCGACTCGCAGTGTTGCCGTAATTCCCGGCTACGCTTGCGGTCCTCGAGTGCGCTCGTTTCATAGTAGATGAAGCTCCTCCTGCGCTACTCTGTCTCGGGCCAGCTGTTACGCCGAAGCCGTTCCCCTCCGGCACCCCCCGCCTCTCTTTCCCCTTTGACAGTGCTCGGTTGTGGCAGCTATCCGAAAAAGCGCCACCCAGCGCCTTCGTGGATTTCGTCGGAACAACGAAAATCCGACTGGACGACGAGCCGCCCGCGACGTTGGATCCCTTCGAGGAGTAACGAGAAAGAGTTTCGCTCTTATTCTCCGCCGCAAGCCGCGCAGGAGAGAGGTGTGGCGACAACGATTTGCTGCGAGAATGGCCGCGGCTGGGCAACTTGTTCTGCTTCGTGTTTAGTATCACGTCGTAATTATCCTTCCGATGTTGCAAAAAGGCCGTCGCGATGTGGCCGAGCGGGCCGTTCGATGATGTACTGGCGATTTTTGAAGAAGGGGACGCGATCATTTGATCCGACTGCAGCTCAACAGCATCTCCGTCGGCCACAGAAAGCGGCAGTTTGTTCCCAGGTGGACTTTTCATCGCGGTCGCAGTAGATTTGTGCACGAGCAGACTGCTTGAATTTGCGAAGTTTGAGACCCGGTAGGCGTTTCGGTTCACGAGCTGCTGTTTCAGAGACAGGGATGGTTTAGTGTAGTTCCTCGGCGTAGAACAGGCAGAATAAGCTCCGCCTGTCGCGGCCCCAAAACTTCCAGCAGCCACGACTGAACTCAGCAAACTGGCGTTGCCGCCGTTCAGAGAGCTTCCACTTACAACACCACGCTCTTTGGAACTGCAGTAGGAAAAAACGTAGGAGAAATCCCGCACGTTCCTCCGCCGATTCAGCAGATCGATGCGGTCCTGGTTCTTCAAAGCCACCGAGCTCCACAACTGCAGCACCCGCACGCCGTACTTGAGCCGGTATTGCCTCCTGGCCAGAAACAACCGCTTCCACTGCTTCATGCAGAACTCGCAGATGTTGTAGTAGAAACTCGGCCTGGACTCCCGCTCCCGTTGCCGGATTTTCCGCTTCAACGCCACGACGCGGAGATTTTCGTTCGTCTTCTCCATGAGCTTCTTCCAAATCGTGAAGTATTCCCAGAGTCGGGCCTTTAAAAATCCGGCCAGCTTTGACAACCGCCACAGTTCACGGCGCTTCTGCTGAATGGTGATCTGGAAGAACGCCCGCCGGGTCACCAGCTGTTCGCGGTACCGGGTCAGGTAAATGGACTCGTGCCTGGAGTGGGTTGTGGAATTACACAGTAAAGAGAAGGGGGGCGAAGGCACCGCATGTGACATCAAACATAAGTTTCACATGCGCCTCAACGTCAAAAAGAAAAAAGTTTTCCATCTTATACCATCCAGCCAGCACCCAGTGCAGTCTTCTTCTCCCTTGCACCCTGCGACAGAGTTTCACTTTTTCCCGTCGCGGCTTCTTCCAGGCCCATCTTCGCACGAACACCCCCTGAAACAGTTCGGACATCAGCGTTCGCGTGCGCAATCTCGCGGCCGCTATGAACTTCCAGAGCAAAAACGGCTGCTTCAGGGTCAACAGCCGAGATTTGTGGCAGCCTTTGCAAAACGCCAGGTAGAAAAGCTTCAGTCTCCACTTGTCCTTCTTTCTTTCCCGCAGCTTCTCTCTGATTTTCTCCTTGGTCAGGAAAATCCAGGGTCGGATCAACTCCTTCTGGCGTTTCTGCCGAATCTTCCTCGCGGCTTGGTTGGTTCGCTTCCGCTGCTTGGTCAAAATGTGCCAAGACCGGAAGGGGCGGAGACACTGAGGTAGTTTGGGTTTTGAAAATCGATGCAGATCTGATCTTCCCAAAAGAAATCTTGAGCTAGGCGAAAAAGCGTTCAAACCCTGGTGCTATCTGCCAAAAATAAACTACCAACCTAGAGTACAGTACCAGCGACTTCGCCGCGTTGTCTCCGCAGAACCTGGTGACAATCAGCAACACGTGCCACTTGTGTAAAAGCCGGCTCTTTTTCGCTCTCATGATCTGCTTCAGTTTGTACTCCAGCTTGCGCTTCCCCTTTCGCTGCGAGATGGCCTCGGTGTTCCACGCGCGCAGCACGAGTCTCTTCAACGAGACCTCGGATTTGGCGGTCAAATGTCCGCTGAGCTGCTCTAGCGTTTTCTCCGCAATCGTGATCATCTTCCAGGCGTCGAAAGCTCCTTTGCGGCTGGTGTAGAAAAGACGCCGAAGGAGCTGAGAAGAAATAGTTTCAAATGTGTAGTGATAGTGCTTGATATCCTGATGAATTCAGCAACAGTGATGCGCCAACAGACGCTCCTGTTGCTGGACTAGTAAAAGCCTGCTTTATCTCGTGCAAAACATAAAGAGACCTGAGAAAATAGCGCAACAAAAGTTTTGTTGCGAAACAAGTACGTCGTTTTGCTTGAATTTCAGAGTCATTCTGTAATCGTGGTCCCGCTGCCACGATAGGAAGGCTGCGCGCTTCAACTTCTTTCCCGTTCTGCCAAAGACCTGTATGTCCATGTGTTCTTCGAACTTTCTTATGCAGAGAAAAAGTCGCGCGTAAACTACTAACTATTGATTTACCTCGTGTAGTGGTCAAATCCAAAGCCACAAATAAAGTCTGCATTTTCTCTATTTTATACCATTTCCCCCGCCCAGCGTATTCTCCTGGCTCGTTCCAAATACTTCCGCCAGGCCAACCAGCCGAGCCTCTGCAGTCCCTCGCTGGTCCTCGAGAGCATCACCCGGTTGATCCGGTTCAAGACAGCGGACACGTGTGTGTTTTGCTTCCACCGCGTGAAGAGGCGGGTAACAAACGACTGCTCCGCCAATTTCCGGCGCGCGTACTTCTTATTTTTCCGTTCGTAGTACGCCACCCAGGCGGAAAACATCCGCCTCGCGAGGGTAAAAACCAAGTGCTGCAGGCACCTCGCGGCATTCCGCCGCTCCTTTTTTTCCTGGTGCGCGTTCACGTGCCACTCCTTGAAGACCACCTTTTTCCGGCTCATGTCGCTGTCATTCAGGAAGCTCTCCATCATGCGCTCCGCCTTGCGTTCCTTTCGCGCGCCGAGCCGCAGACCGTGGAAGGTTTTGGACAGGGTTGTGGTGAGAAAATGCACATTCGCCAGCTCGAGCAGGTACTGCATCCGCTCCCGCTCCGCGTTCTCCGTCATTACGAATAACCGCCAGGTCTTCCAGATCCCCTGGATGGTCGGGAGGGTGTGGTGCTGGAGCACGATTTTCTCGTGCTGTCGCTCCCGTTCCTGCTCCTTGCAGAACCTTTTCCAGTCCTTGAACGCTTGCAGCAAACAGTAGCCCGCGTTGTTCTCTGCCAGGAACTTCGCGCCAAACGCCAACCGCTTCGCCTGCTCCACCGCCAGTCTCCAGGGGCGGAAGCCCCACCACTCCACCCGGAAGGTGCCCGCTTTCGTGTACTTCTTCCGGTGGTTTTCCGACAGTTCCCGGTTCTTCTCCCACTTCCTGATCGTGTGCAGCAGCACAAAGTACCGGTGGTGGTTTTCGTGGAACTCGAAGAATTTCGCTTTCAGTTTTAAACGCAGCAAAAACGACTCTTTCCAAAGCCGGAAAAGTTTCCAACAGAACAGTTTCTGCACCAGCATCTCCCCCTTCCCGACGTTCTCCATGTCCTGCTTCTTCAGCTTCACCCCCTTGCATGAGAGTGCACAACCCCCCTCCCCCTCATTTGCATGGCATGAACAGCAACACAAACATCCGCACACGTGGAACCTATGCATGACAAATTCATGCTTCTCGTGTAGAGTACTGTTTGGGCTTCGAAAATTTGTCGTGCAAACAGTGCCACAAGGCCGCCATTGGATTTGGGATTTTGCATGGCAAATGAGGGGGAGGGGGGGTTGTGCATTCCCATACCTTGCGCCAGGCGTCGAAGAATTTCTGCTGCAGACCGGCGCCGAACTGCGCGATCAGGCCGGAGCAGAGGTGCTTCAATTTCTTGTCGTTTTTGATCGTCTCCACGAAGATCTCGAAGTACTTCTGCACGACAAACCGCTTCTGGTACTCCTTCGCGACTTCTTCCTGGTGCCGCTCTTGAATCTGGTCCTCTGCGTACTTTCGCCACTCGAGCAGGTGCAGCTTCAACAACGTCTCGCGGTTGCCGGAGGCGATCAGGCGGGCTGTTGTAATGTGAACTTCTTTGTAAGTAGTACAGTTGGACATCGAATTGGAATTCATGCGGTTTCAAGATGAAAAACAGAAAGAAAACGACTAGTAGAATAACCACAATACAGAATTGCAGGACTTTCTTCTGGGCTCTCAAGTTTTCTTCCCACGTGTAAAACGCCCGCTTCCCGTACCCCCTCCGTATCGCGAAGTTCTGCCACATCTCCCGGTGCACCCGCACTCTCTTCTCCACGACCACGTTCGTCCTCCAAGTGGTAAAGTTTAGCCGCAACGTTGTGCCCTCGGAGAATTCGGATGCGAGTAGTGCGAAGTGCTTGCCGAGTCGTTCCTCCCGGGTGAACTTCCGCCACGCCTCCAACGTCGGTAAAACGAAAAACCGCGTTTCCACCCGCCGCAGGATCTTCAGCAACTCGCGCTCGTGCTTCAGCTCCTCCACTGCCCGCACCCAGTTTTCAAAGGTGAATTGTAGTCTGTCCTCGTTGGACTTCTCGCCTAAGAGAAACGCGTTGTCCCTTGCAGATTGCACGAATTTCAGCAGCTTGCCCCACTCCTTCAAGCATTTCTTCCCCACCGTTTTGAACACGACAAGGTTGTGATGCGCTGCCGCCTTCTGCCGCTGCTGCGCGAAGAACTGGAACTGCTCGTGGTACTGGATCCACCGGTATGCATTGCAAAAATGTCTGGGTCTGGAAGATTGCAACTTCTCATGCTAAATCCGAATCATGCAAAAATCTGTGTTGCATGAGTGCCAAAAGCTTTCCACTTTTGACCTAATCGAGAGGCAATTTCTCATGCAGGATAGGCATGATAGAGGTCGCACAGAATCTGTCATGCTAGGTCGTGTATGACAGACCTCGCGCATCATGGACAACCTGCATGACAAGTCTTGCAACCTTTCAGACCCAGACATTTTTACATTTGATAACCGGTTGAAAGCGTTGCGCATCACGGTCGAGGAGGAAAACACCGAGGCTAACTTCGTGAACCTCCGCGTCTGTCTCGCGATCCACGCCGAGGTTTGCCACGCCTTCACAATCTCCCGCTTCTGTCGTTTCGTGAAGTGGATGCGCGCCCGGTTTCTTTTATCCAGGATTCCGTTCCAGAGGAACTCCAAGAAGTTGCTGAAGTAGTTGAAGTAAGACCACCGTTCTTGAAACGACTTCACGATCTTGGAGTCCCGGACCGTTTCCTTCCGCCAGAGCGAAAGCGTCAGTTTTTGCAGCAAAAACAAGTTCACCCGCAGGGTCCGGTGGTAGCCGAATTCCAGCCACCAGATGCGCACGCGGGACTGGTTTACCCGGATATTTGTCAGTTTCTCCGCCCTTTCCAGGTGTTTCTTTTTTTTCACGTACTCCGTCCAGTAGAGAAGGACATTCTTCCGCGACTGGAACAGGTTCACGAAGGAGAGCTCCGGCCGCTTCAGAAATTTTTCCGCGATCGCTTGCTTCAGCCACTCGTCGAGGCAGAGTTGAAGCAGGGCAATCGATTTCTCGCAATAGGAAACTTCCACGGCGAGGAGCTGCGTCGTCGGGAGCTCGCACGCGGCGAATTTCCAGCTCAAAATCGCCTTTTTCAGTACGCGGACGTTGTAGAGGGAGGTCGCCAGCTTCTGCTTCGCCTTGCTGTACCGCGACTGTGAGTACGCAAATCGCCACTGCTGCCACTTCTCCCGGCAAAACCGCTGTCTTGCGCGTTTGGCGACCAGATCCTGCACGGTCCGGGCTCGGGTTGCAACGACGAGGCCCGGCGGAGACGGCGGAGGGGAATTTTGGTCGACAACTGCGGTTGTTTTTGATACAATGGCCCCCGCAGAAGCTGCGGCAAAGAACAACCCTGTTTGCCTATTTCCGGGTTTCGGTGAGGAGAGCAAAAAAGCGCTACTGGAAGTAGAGGACGAGGAGCCACCAGCGGTAGCTCCGGAATTCTTTATTTGCGGTAAATCGGTTATCGTAGGGAAAATTTCGTCAATTAGCAACTGCGCCCGGACCCGCTGGCCATTCCCCTCGGGCGGCTCGTAGGTAATGAGAGAGTAAGCGTGGAGGCGGTCGGGCGTCGGTAAAATCGTCCGCGAGGGACTCCCCTCGAGGGGGAGGATCGGCGATTCCATGGCGATAATTCACAGGTTGTCTTCTTCCTGAGTTTCAGTTAACTGGAAGTTATAGGACTCAGCCACGTCAGCGGGCGAGCACTGAAGTAATAAAGCGGTGGGCTGGCGGCCCTGTCATTTTTTCCTTGCGGGTTAACAAGGACGCAGGACCAGAGGCAGCAGGTCGCATCAGAAAAATTAAGTAATTGATGTTATGTTGTGAAGCTTACTAGAACCAAAAGCAAACTTTCTTGTTCTACTACTTCGAAAACCCGCCAGCATCCTCTATGTATAATTTCTCGAAGACTTTATTCGAATGGCCGGCGACTGGGAAAGACGAATGCGACAAGTTCTTTCGGTTGTCTACAGACCACCAGGCGAACACGCGCACTTCACGAAAAGAATACGACGATCGGAGGTAGATCAAACTTGCGCTCAATACGTCGACGAAGCAGATCTTGTATGGTAGAAAGAAAAACCGTTATCTCACTCGCAACGAAGAGAAAAACAAACGAAAGCAATTATTGAAGAATAGACAAGAGACTCTGCTGGTGCAACCACGTCGTCCCTCAGCTCGCTCACAAATGTCGTGGTGCATGGAAACAAAGTGGAAACAACGACAGCGACAGAAGAGAGCAGTTTTTACCCACTTCATAGTGGTTCCAAATGGCTTCACTTGGTCCAACAACATTCTTGCGGAATGCTTTGGTTTTTCTATGTTGCTTCCGTCGTTTCGACAGTTCAGTTTGTTCCCAGCCACAAAGAAGCTGCTGCTGAGCATGTGTGTTCAAATGATCTGTGCTGCGAATGACAAAGCAACACCAAAATATTAACCAATGTGGAGCTTGAAGTAGTTGTGCAAGAACCCAGAAGGCCAGTCCCTCCCGCCCTCACGTGGCGTCCGGGAATTGGTCTTCGATGTCCTTCTTGCAGCGTTGCAAGTACAACCGCAGCCTGGCGTTCTCTTTCTTCTCGTTTTCGAGTTCCACTTGGGACATGTAGTTTTGCTCTTGCAGCCCGGCGCAGGCGGTGCGGGCGGACCTGATCACCGTGTCCATGGACTTCATCTTGTCCGTCATCTTCCGTTGCACGAAATTCCGCTTGTGCTCGAGTTCCGAAATCTCCGCCGACAGTTCGTTAGTCGACTCGAGATATTTCTGCAGTTCGCCGCCCGTGTCCTCCTTGTCGACCGTGAATTGCACGAGTTGCTCCTCAAGTTGCAGGATCTCTTTCAGGAACCTTGGAGTTTTTCAGGTTATTCGAACAAAATGCGGAAAGCGGAAGGGAAACTCAAATGTAGATCACTGAGACTGCTATTATCATTTCGTCCTGTATTTTGTCCATATGCAACACCTTGTCCTCGTTGTCCCAACATGACCTCTTCATCTCTATACCCCGCTTCCCTCTCCATGCCGGCGTGATTCAGGACTTTTTCCTTGTCTTCCCCTTCTAACTTTGCCATTTTCGCCTGCATGGTTCCCAGCTGCAGCATCTCCAGATAGATGCAGATGTGCTGCAAGGGAAACCCGAGCATGCGGACCTTCTTCACGCACGGGTCCTCCACGATTTTCGCCCGTTCCGCGGCGGAGGAGACGTCTTTGGCTTTCACGATCATCTCTCCCGTGTGGGGATCGACGGTCACGACCGAGTCACGGTTTTTCTGCACTCGACCGTCCACCTTTTCCAGCATCGGGTCGGACAACTTGCAGTAGGCCATCTCCACGTGCTGGACCGTAAAGTTGTTCTTCAGCGCGTCGAGGATCATCCGCGCGCCCTTGTCGGTGATCTCGTTGTTGAACGAGATCAAAAGGGTGAGCAAGTGCCGATTCGTGCTCAAAATTCGCTTCACGCTCCCCATGTGCTCGTCTGCGAGGCGGTTATACCTGCAGTAGTTAGTACCCGCCGTACAACCTAGGAACGCTTTATGTTTGATGAAGCGTTTTTTATGCGGGAAAACTCTGCAACGAGGAAACAACTCAAATCTAAAAAATCACTATGATCACCTCAAGTCCAGGTATTGCAGCTTTGTGTTCTCTGACAACGCGTCCGCTAATGCCTCCGTTCCGCGCAAGTTTTTGTCCTGGCCGACGTGATTCAGTTTCAATCCCAGCTTTCGTATCCCAAGCCGATCGTGGTGCAGCGCGTGCGCAAGAATCACGAGAGCTGTGTGGAGATGGGAATAAATAATCTTGAGCAATTCCAATTTTTCGAATACTTGTTTTTTCCAGCACCCACGAAATAGTGAACGCTTTACCGGTAATAGATCTGGGTGCAATTATCTTTACAATCAATAGGGGAATTTGTACTGCTTGTCCTTTGTCCAAAACAAAGAGCTCGCCCAACAATATTCCCTACCATCTGCTCCTATCGCGTTACACCTCAGGTCCACCTCCTGCACTTGGTGTAAGCGCATATGCTTGACCACCACGCCCATGGTTTCGGTGCCGAGGGAGCAGTACCCGAGCTGCAGCACCTTTTTCGACATGGCGTTTCGTGCGGATTTGGCGAGTTTAGTGGTGATGATGATCTCCTTCGGATTCATGTTTTGCTTCAGTGTGGTCTTCTTCGGGTTCGGCCCGCTCGACGGGCCGCTGCTTGAGGACGCCATGGCTGCTCGTGGCGTCTGCCGAAGCAGCGGTGGTCGACCTAGCGGTTGTACCTACGCTGGCTACTAGCGCCAAGGAAGTGGACGGCGACGAGAGACGATCGACCAGGTAGCTGCTGGCTGGTGCAGCGCAAGATACGTTTTATTAATCTCGTCTGTAGCAGGATGGCGCCGGTGGTGCACGTTGCGCACAAATGGTAGTGGGACTACGGTTTTATGTTTTTTCGACTCCTGCACCACGTTGAGAGCAGAAGATGCCGTGAGCACTCTGTGCTTGAACGGGCGAGCTTCGGTCAGTGCTTCTGTCGTCCTCACGTTCTAATTCGACGTCGATACTGACGCCGGCCGCTGGTCGAGGATTCGCAAGATTTGCAGTAGCTCGTACTGCCCGCTAATTGGAGCGGAAGTTGTAGAATGCCCGCGCTGGAGGCCGCGTGTCCGACCCCGACCTGCGCTGGAAGCTGCGCTGGAGACCACGTCTTGTAGAATTACCTGCTCAGTGCGTTATTTTCGACCCCGAATATGTTCCTTGGCTTGCCGCGAGAAGACTAAAACAGCATCCAGACCGGCGGAGAGAAACACACCCAACCCGATTTTTTCCTGCTGCTGCTCTTCAAATTTTGACAATGTTGTTACGAAATGACAAAGCGTTAGGCCAGAACTTTTGCAACTTCTCAAAAAGTAGAAGCTCCTCTTTTGCCCTTAAACCTTTTTGTCAACAAGAAGCAGAAACGTAAGTAGAACCAACTTTGGTGAGAGAGTATCAAAATCAAGTCGGTACTAAAGCCGGAATAGATGGTGTAAATAGTACATCTAGGTAGTCGGACTCTTCCACATTCACGGCAGACCAGAGAGAAGTGGGTCTTTCCACATGTTTTCCTGTCATACAACTAAGCTGGACGACACGACATCGACCGACATTTACTTCCGCAGAGGCCGCTATTTTCCTTTACCGCGGTTCGCCGTCACCGCTAGCCTGCTGAGTCACACCGAGCATCGATCCCTGCCTCGCAACGGCCTCGCGCTTCTTTTCCTTCCTAGGTTGCACAAATCCTGATGTCAAAGCGACCTTATTCATTCTGTTGGATTTTTCATTCTCATATTTTTCCAAGTGTACAGTTCAATAAGCCTGTTTTGTCATTCCGAAGCTTGTTCCGATATTAAAGCTACACTTCATTCGCAGTACCCGTTTCTGCAAAGAACCAGGACCAGGTAACGTCAAACTCTGAAACAAATTTGTATCAAACGGATAAACGTATCCACGACGAGAGATATTCTGTATCTGTAAACTCTATTGCGTAAAAAACTTCTTTCAGTAGCTTCGAGACACTACTTTTTCTGCGTATTAAACTGGTGATAAGCAAATTAGGTTTTAGTTCTTCCGATGCTGACATGCTAAAAATTTGATTTCGCTTTCCCTGCTACCGGTTGCATTTCTGCGGCTGCGTAGCATTAGCAAATTTCTCTAGTATAAAACTCCGAGTCATCTGACAGAGTATTTCTAAGACAACTGTGCTGCACCGAAGATAGGCCAGGACGAGGTGAGCAGCAGAAAAAAAATCCTCGAGAAGTTGTACTACATGACGAGAACCTCTCCTGCTGCGAATCCCTAAATCCCCTCCCGTTTCCGGTACTCCTTGAGTTCCTTGATCAATGGGATGACGTTCTTGCCATCCTCCGCGTATTCGCGGATCATTGCTTCCGCGTACTTGTAGTACTCTAGCGAATATCAGCTGCAAATATGTCTAGGTCTGGAAGATTGCCACGTTTGTCATGCATATTTTGCGTGGCCCAGAATGCCTGTAATGCATCACCTAGCATCAAAGATTTTTAGAGGGCTTCCTGATGCCGATTCCGCATGAGAAATGCCCTCCCCGCGTAACACAAACTGGACTCCTCCTCCTGCTGCTGCTCATGCAATACAAATCTTTTTAGAATTTACACACAGCATCACAAGTTGCAACCTTCCAGACCCAGACATCTTTTCATTCGATAGCGAATCCATCTCGATGGCTTGCTGCGCCTTCTCCACCACCAACAGCTCCGTTTCCCGGTCGTGGTTCCGTTTGGTTTTGTTCTGGGCCATTTGTTTTCGGTGCTCCGCCTGCAGCTTCTTCGCGGCCTCGAACTTCAGCCCCTCCTCTTGCCGCTCTTCGTTTTCTGTTAAATAGAAGCAGTGTCAAAAAATGTCGTTTTTTATGTAAACATGGCGGTTGAAGGTGTTTGCAGAAAGACGCATGACAAAAACCACAAGACGGGGCCTGCGATTTCATTCCATAATGAAAATGATGCGGTCTGATGCACGGCAAGTTCGTATACAAGCACCGAGGCAGCTAGTTGTCGTAAAACATATACCTAAGTGCTTGCACCACTGCGACCAGAACTGTGTCATCTCAACCTCCTCTTTCTTTTCCGTCTGTCTCTGCAGCACCTTGCGCTTAATCTGCTGCTGCCGACTCTTGTCTACCTGAAATACGCAAAAATCAGAATGATTTTAAAAGTAATTCATCTAAGTGAGCTTAGGTTCATCTGCTAATTTCGTGATAGATTTACACAGTGAAGCTGCATTTCCTATCGCTTACGCTTCTACACTGCGAGTATCTTTCAATCAAAAAACATCTTTACGTCATCTGCCATTTGCTGTAATCTGGCTTCCTTCGCTAGCCTCTTTTTCTCGTCCGCGAGCTGCTTCTGCAGTACTTCGCCCTCGATTCTCGCGTCCTCGGCATTCGCTGCGGCTTTCAACTGCGCAGCTTGCCTCTCGATCAGCCGGTTCTGAATCTCCATCTTGTTGTCGTGGATTTCTTTCAGCCGGGCCTTGCGGAGCTGCATCTGCCGCTCTTTGTCCGCAGCGTATTCGTTGATTTTGCGCTCTGAGGTTTTGTAAAATAAAATCATATGCGGCGTTTGATGAAATGCAGGAAGCCCTCAACATGTGCGGCAAGCTATGATAATTGAAATTGGCATGCGGGCACAGCTACAGCAGTATCGAAAAATCAAAAATACGTTCCCTATCTTTCCTCTTGTCGTCCTCTTCCCGGCAAGATTTCAGGTACGCGTTTGCCTTCTGCGTCTCCACTAGTGCCAAAGTGGCCTCGGCTCGTCTCTTCAAAATGTTCTTACGCTCCTGCTCCGCGTCCTCTGCGGCTTTCTTGCGGAGGAGCTCACCTGAAGAAATTTTCGTTTGGCCACTTTTTCTCAGACGAAAAAACTTTTATTCTGTCACCATGCAGCGCCATCTGTCGTCGTTCTGAGGTCAAACGTCTTCCCCTGCTCTTTTCCTTTTTTCAATTTCATGCATTCGCCAAGTGCGAAGAAGATGATTGTGCCATCATAAGTGGTACCCTCCAAGATGTCCTCCTCGATAAACGCGAGTCGCTTTGTTTTTGCCTCCAACAGTTGCTGCTTTTGGACCACCGTTGCTTTGCCGAGTTTGTCTTCATATTCCATCTTCTCGCGCAGTTCACGCTCCAGCATTTTTCGGTAGTTGTGCTTCTCGATATCCAGAAATCGCTCCTCCCGAATCTGCTCTAACCTGTGAATCATGTAAGTGGTTGTTCGGCTCAAAGAAATTCAACACAAGCTTGAGATTGTGTTTCAGATGCAAATTCTGTCACACTTGTACTGGCCTGCCGAGGTAAGGACGTTTACACGAAATCCAATTCAGTTACTGTTTGTCCTTATTAATTTGTACTGCGTGCACCAGAAAGTCATCAGATTACCTGCTCAGCTCATCCTTCAACTGCACCTGAGCTTCTCGCTCCGCTAGACAGTCCGAGTACTGCATTTTTGAGTGGAAGGACTTCATTCTATCGGACTCGTCGTACAGCAATCTGTTTGCCCTCGCGATTATTCTTCTACGGTTCTCTAATTGGATGGCGGCCTCCTGCTCATCCAGCTTCTGACGCTCTGTTTTAATGTTGGTTTTCGATTATAGCATTGAACTTCTATTGCTGGTGCCTGTTTCAGAAACAGGCGTCTTTCACATTGTAGAGGAAGAAGACCTATGATCGAAGGTGGTTTATCATTCTTATCATGATCCACAACAAGTGTACTCCGTACCTGCCTCCTCCGCATCTAGCCTAAGCTGTCTTGCGGCTATGTTTGCTTTTCTTGACCCTTCTAGTGTGTTGGTCCACGTGCCCGCGCGCTTTTTGCTGTTCTCGTGCAGTTTCAGAGCCCTTTTCCTACCCAAATCCTCTACCTGCTCTGCCGGGAGAATGCGGTGCTGGATCGCCTGCAGCTCGGAGAGCGGCAGGACAAATGCAGACTTAGACTCGTCTGGCATTGTGTATTTCTTGTTTCTGCAGAGATGTCGAAATGCCAAACACGACGACTCACTTTTATTGGGATTCTCCTTTTTTAATTTCGCATCCTTTACGCGATTTCTGGTGGTACATTCGAGGATAAAAAAAGCGGCCGACTAATGGAAACTTGAATGTGGGACCCATTACAACTCACGATGACAGACGCGTAGTTTTCAACCACTCAACGTGACCCTCGACTACAATATCATCGTTGCGCTAGTAAAATTTCGACAGTATTGATTTCGATTCCCCCCGAAAATGCTTGAGTACGTTTTGAGTTTTGCGACGAGACACGATACGAGAAAGTGCGAGAAGTGAACGCAGATACATGAATCAGGCCCCACGTGCAAATCTCTCAACGACCCTCATTCAAGCTCTTCGTCTTCACTCTTATATTTTATACGACTTACGTGTCTGCAGACCAGAGGAGGTCGCAGTAGTAGAAGTTGCATTTTGATAAAAGCGATTTTGCAGTAAAATGATGCCAACATACAACAGTCTTTCTTACAACACATTAGATAGTCTGAACCGCGAAGCTGGGCATCATCGCGGTAGAGACCTAGCGTTTGGTCTGCGATCTTCATGTCGTGTGGGCTCGTCGGGAAGGTACATACACTATGTATCAATCTACCGTCATCTTTTCAGCAGTCTGTGCTTGACATTGATAAAGGAAGCGGGGTCACGGAGTTTCTGGTTTGGTTTTCTGGAAGGAATGGCCCGCCACTCCGACCGGTAGAACCATCCCTGAAGGTGCTGCGGAGGGTAGCAAGAGGAAGTACTTGTCCTGGTGCTCTCATCTTCAGATCGCGAGTCAGAAATAACATCACGAGACTGTTCATTTGCGGTCATTACTTTTTTGTCTGCTGCACTCGCTACAGCACCGCCACCCGCAGATGAAGCTTCTGTCGTCTTTACCAAAGAACCATCTTGTTCTACTGCACTTTGTTCGACAACATGTTGCCCGTTTATTCCCTCGTTCTCGAGCTCGTCTGACATCACGACCGCCGGACCAGCATGACCCTCCTTCCTGCGCCAGTATCCGCTCATGGGTTTCCCCCTTCTGCAGGGCGTCGTCGCAATGAACTCTTCGTCTTGCACGACGTCCTCGACTCGCGCGTTAAACCGCACCCGGTCCCCGGTCTTCTTCTCCCGGTGGGCCGGAGCCTGCAAAAACGGATCGAAAACACGTTCGCAGAAGAGCGCGACAAGAAATTCGTCGTCGGCTTTGGACACATCTTTCGTTTTCAACAAACTCTCGGCTAATTTCTGGTCCTTTCGGCATTTTTGCGACACCGTGAGACACTCGAACTTCACGTTTAAAGAGCTGGTTTTGCAGCTTCCGTGTTTGTCCGTGCCTTGAGTTCGTGTCGCCCCATGATCGGGATACGCCGCGCCCGCTGCGCCCTGCATCAAATTTCTCACCGTGGAATTCTTCAGCAGCACCTCCCGCAGAGCGGCCGCCGCGCTTTCTTTGTTCTCAAACGTGAAGCTGATCGTGCCATTCGGTTTCAACACGTGAAACAGTGCTGGCAGACAGTCCTCGAGCTCGAATTCGTCCACGAAGTGCAGATGAGCTTTTTTCACTATTTGCTTTGGGAGAAAACGGTGCGCAAGCCAAGGCCAGGTGAAGACGAACCGAAGGTTTTCGAAAAATTGGTGCTCCTGCTGGTCCAGCATATCTTCGGCAGAAGAAGCACCACTCAACAGACTGAGCAAGCCCGACCGGTTGCCCTCGAAGGCTTGAAAGGCACGGCACACTATCAGAGTGAAAAATCCCCCCTCCCCATATCGAAAACGGAAGATGCGCGAATTTGTGATGCTGTATTTGAGTACACAAATCGACTTGTATTGCTAGAAGGCCAAGAGACGAAGCTGCGGCCTAAATTGCAGGTGGTCTGTCATGCTGTTTCCCACTTCCAGCTGCCTCCTGTCATCCTGGAGCTGCAAGGCTTTTCCACGCTAGACAGCACTACAGTCCGCATCTTTTGCATTCTAGCATCACAAAGCTGATTTGTGGCCACAAATCTGCATCACAGATTTTCGTTTTGATATGGGGAGGGGGCATTTTTCCTTTTGATATACACGGAGACAAACAATTTTGCGTCGTTCGACTCAAACTGCACGAAATTTTCCAGTGGCGTGTTTTTAGCAGTGGCCACAGCCCAGGTGCCGCCGCCAATCACCAAGTTTACCGGGATATTGGTTTTGGTGCCGCTCGATATAATTTTTTCGTTCATCAATGCATGACCACCTCTGTCGAAAGCAACTTCCGCTCGCTGAAAGATAGAGGTTTTCTCCTTGGCATTTCCATTTGCATTTTCATGCGATCTAGAATAATGAAAGCGCGACGAGGAGGCAGGTGCTGTGGGGACCACATTCTGCTCAGGAAGGGGTTTTCGATAGTTGTCCCGCAGTTCAACATCTTGCGCCTCCTGTGTGTGCTGCGGCCGCTCTCGATGCTGCTCAGGCATTTCAATTTTGCTCGATCGTTCTCGTGAACTAGCTTCCTCGTCCGTTCCGAGTGCGTTACTCGCCGCGTATCCACTATCTTCAGCATTGTCAACACCCGCGTCAGGATTATTGCCTTCCCCATCTTCGCTATAGTCAAAAGCAGGTATATCAGAAGATGAAGAACAACTTTCCTGTTGTCCCTGCTCGGCAGTGGAAACAACTACTCCAAGCCCAGTCGCTGGTCTCCGGTGAAACTGATACTCCATGTCCGCGTCTTCGGCGAAGTCCCAGCAGCGAGAAGCGGGGGCTTCGTCCCCATCGTGATCCTCGTCCTGTTGTCCTTCCCGCGCGGAATCTTGAAACCACCACTTTTCCAGGGGCGGGACCTGCTGCGGCCCGGGATCATAGTGATACTTCCACAATTTCGCAAACACCACCCCCGGGGGGCACCACAGCTGGTACTTCGTGCCCTGCTTCCGCTGCCAGTACCAGGACCGGAGCTCGTTGCGGTAAAAGTGCTGCGTCGTCGCGTACTCGGAAAGCCTGGGCTGCAGTTGCCCTCGGTTCTTCGGGTAATCAGAAATTATGGGATGAAGTACAGGCTTCTGCAACGAGGAAGCAGTCGCGGCCGCACTGGGTAAAGTTGTAGTTGGGCGAGTGCTGGATAACAACTCATCTGGTGCAGAACCCTGTCTTCTATCGGCGAGCAAAGCCACTTTTCCTGCCTCTGCATTTGTTTCAGCTGCTGACACTTGGATCCCTTTCTGTTGCTCCGGTTCATCCCCACTCGCTGCTAATCTTGCGGAGCACACATCAGAAGATGTGAGTTCTTTGGCGTCTCCGCAACCGTTTATTCTGTCCCCACTCCCGGAAAAAAATTCCGGATACACCTGACTCCGAGGGACCCACTGGGGCCCGCTCTCGTGGAACTGCAAGACCACCTCGTGCGGGGCTTCCGGCTGGTTCTCGAAGGAGCCCGGATAGGTTCCATCTTTCTGCGCCTTTATCTGGAACTCCGTCAGGGGTGTCGGCAGGTCGGGATCCGCAGTCTGACTCTCACGCTCTCTGCGCAGCGGCTCCAGGTGTGCGAATGCCGTAGCTGGGGTCGTCGCATCTCCTCGCCCAACTTTGACGACTGCGCCGGCTGAAGATGTTTCATCCGGTGCGAGTAGCGATGGCGCTGCTTGTTCCGGTGGATGACCTCCCATGGCACACTCTTCTTGGTGGCACGAGCCCCCGATTCTGCTGGCGTCATCCTGTTCCACTGACCTCTTCGTGCGTGCGACACTGACAAGAAATCGCTGGTGCTTCCCAACAAGTCGGCTAGGGCGAATGAAGAGAGACAACATCTTTGACGTGCCGGCGATGGCGAAAGTAGAAGTGCATTTCTCTCGAAGAGGATCTCCTCACTGCTCGACCGGAAAAATCTGTCGATAATGTTCACTGCTCACCCATCTTCAACTCGGACGAGTTGCAGCAACGCATAGGACGAGCTCTATCCAGGTGGCACGTATCAAGGGGTTCTCGTTACACGGTGATCAACGGCATGGGCAAACGCCTGTCTTTTCACCTCGCTGACTGAACATACTTGCTTAAGAAAAAACAAGCGTAAATTTTTTGCTAGATTAAAATTCCATCGATGTAAACTGAAACACGGGCGGGACAGGAAGGCTTTCCCCCTCCTCGACTTTCGCCGGAGAGGTACAAGACTTGCGTTTTCAAACGTACTTAATCCTGACAACCGGCCAGTTGTCACACTCACATTGAAACGAGCGCATTCTCATGCTTCACAACGCGCTCGTCAACATTGGTTCATTTTCAAACGGAAACCAAAAGCAAAACCACATGCGCTACTGCCTCAAGGTTCATGTTCGTGGCGTCATTCTTGAAAAAAGAGCCACTCAACATTCGTTTCAAATCACCAAGTTCCTATCGCTTTTATTTAATGATCCGAGTCTCGCGACAGTGCGCGCCCCCTGACGACCAACAGAGGCTCCCCGCGAGAAGTAGAAGACTGTGATGTTGGAGCTGTACTATCAACAGGGTTCTCCAGCTCCGCAGGCTCCGATGGGAGTAGCGTGCCTGCAGCTCCACTACCTGCTTCGGTACTTGCTGCAGTGCCGCTGCCACTAGAATCTTTCTTTGCCTTCCTTGGAACGAGAAACAGAAGTGGGGAATAGATCAGGGTCCCGACCAGATAGATGAAGCCGGTGTAGCGGAACGTTTGCCTGGGTTTTGGTAAAACGAAGTCATTCTTGATAGCATGCGATAGCATTCTGGTCTATTTGTGAAAACGAACAACACACAGCCAGAACTTGTGCGAAAAAGTCCTGTAAAAAGGAAAGCATAGAAGTAGCACTTTACCGATAGTCCTGCACGTCGGCAATGTAGCCTCCCAAAAAGGCAGACCCGCTCCAGGTGATGCTCGTGAAGCTCTCCACGGCGTTCCACTTTCCCCTCTGACTCGACGGCGTGTAGTCCATCAGAATGGACCGGTCGAGCGGCGCGACGCCGTTTGCCATGCCGCCCCGAATCAGGAAGATTGCCAGCAAAACGCGCACGTCCTGCAGCTGAGCCAGGAGGATCATGCACAGCGCGTTCAGGGAGAAGGCGACTGGGAAGTGGATTTTCATTTTTATCTTTTTGTTTAACATAATGTGCTCCGCTGTTATCAGTTCAGTCCGTACAGGAAAAATTTCAAACTCCAAAGCCTACGAAACATCACCCCTTTACGAAACAACAGCACGTATTAACGATCTCCGAGTAAAAGTGAGAAGTACATGCGCTCGTCTGCGCCCGGCCGCAGTACTTCGCGATTTTGCCGAGTAGTATCGTGAAAACCGCGATGGTCAGTGGGTAGGCGGTCTGCAGCAGGGATATCTGCCACGGCTGAAAGTGGTAGTCCTGAATAAAGAAGAGGTTGAAGAACTTCACCGTCATTCCGGCCCCGATCGACACGACAAAGTCGCTCAGGCCGCACAGGTACGGAATCCACTTCTCGCCGCGGGTCAGGTTCGTCGTAAACACTTCGTCCTCGGTTTTCTTCTGGTTCCCCTCGACATCCTGCTCCTGGATCAGGTCCCGATACCCGTAGAGAAAGCAGTACAACGGGGCGAACAGAACGACGCCGGAGAGCAGAATGAAGTGCATCCACGATAAGGTCCAAGTGCTGGAGGAGAAGTTATCGCTGAAGAACGAAGGTGAAGGATTACCAGCGACCATCGTTGTAGTGCTCGACTCCTCAGATGGTGTCGATGGAAGAGTCTTCAATGCCCCCGCGCCAGCAGCGTCTCCTATCGCTCGCTGGACACCAAGAACACCGCTTCCCAGAAGCATCTCACCGGCGCCAGCAAGCGTTGTGCTAGTATCGCTGTTGCGTTCTAGTAAAGACCGGGAAGAGGCTGAAACAGAAGCAGTTTCTATTTTTCCCGCTATAATCGCACCTGCTGGACGTGGTGACCTTATCTCTTCTGTACCGCCGGATGAGGCCGCAGCTGCACTCATTCGTAAAGCTGGTCCTGGAAGCTGATATCTGGAAAATAACGGATTGAACATGTGCCACGACGATGAACTACCGGTTGGAGCTACCGCAAACGGGCCCGATATTGGTGTGGAACCATCATCGAAATGATGAACGTTTCCCCCGGCTGTGCTGATGTCCCACCTGTGGTCAGTAGGCCACGACTCGTCCGCATAATTCATCGGATTGTCATAAGACAAACCTCCGTGGGCAAGAAGATGATTTTTGTTATCCGCAAATGCCAAGAGCAAGGTGATCAGCGGGCCCACGCCGGCGGCGATGGTGATGTAGACCTGCTTCTTTACGTACCAGCCCGCCCGGTCCCCGGTGACACCCGCCGAGTCCGCAAACAGCGCCTCGGTGGCGGAGGAAAAGAGTTCGTAGAACACGCCGTTCAGAAACAACGCCGGGAAGAGCAGGTAGAAGGAATCAAACAGAATGGCAAACACTAACACCACCACGCCGACGGAGAGTAAGTTCGCGCTGTTGCGAACCAGGCGCGCGCGGTCCTGGGGGCCGTACACGTGGTCGACCAGGTAGGCCACCGGCACGAACACCAGTAACGAGGTCATCCCCGAGGCGGACTCCACGACGCCGACCACCCAATTCTTGTCGGAAAGTTGAAGGATGTACTTGTCAAACACCGGTCCAAACGTGATCGTGGACCCGATCACGAGGATATCCCACGAAAAAACTGCTTCACTGTGATGATTTTGCAAGATCTGCATCACAAGTTTGTTACACATGACAAAGAAAACTGGGCATGCGCGCTTCTCAAGGGAAAACACAGCTAAAAATCCAATGTCTTGCATGTGTAGCAAGACAAACACATTTGCATTCCGTTCTATGCATCACAAGTTGACAGTGAAACAGTTTTTTCTTGCGATAGAGGAAAATGTTGCACCACAGCGTGCGGAAAATGTTGTTTTTCCCGATGGTCTTGTTCACTTCCCGGTCGGAAATGAAATCTTCCAGCTGCGGAGACTCCGCCCGCACAGGAGGAGTCGCGGCCGCGGGCGGTGGGGTTGGCGGCTGCGACGACATTGTTAGTGTTGAACTTGAAGGTTTTGATTTTACAAGAATGGTCTCGAGGAAAAGAACGGGACTACGCAGACGCACGAACTTAGAATAATTGTAAATGACTTGTACTTACTAGAAGAGCTGCTCCCACAGGTAGGGTACTTTTTATGTGACAAAAAAGGAGTCGCGTGATGCCCTCTCAATACCTTTTCTATCTGGAATCAAACGAAGAGAAACGAAGAATGCAGGATGAAATTGCGGACGACGGACCTAAAAGCTCTAAACGCAGAGATCAGAAGCAGCATCTGCAGGGCCAGAACGTCCAAAATAGCATACCGAATTTTTTCCGACGCGCGTAAATCACAGGCGGCACAGTGATGTGTCACTTTGCACTCACTGTTCCCATACTTTCACTTCGCGTGTAGTTCTTCTTTATCTTTAAAGTACTGCAAGAAATAATTCTAGTCCAAGTGACAGATCGACATCGTGAAAGCAAGTACATTTGCTTGTCTGCTCCCTTTTCTACGTACATGCCCCCTGGTTCCCTGCGTTTATGCTGCGGTGGTTTTGGTGAAGTACTGCTCAACGATATGGACATCAAAAATTGCCTGCCCGCACACATGGAGGAGGTGAAACAGACTTTATTCAGCCTTCTATTGGAGAAGAATCTCAAGGGCGGGGTGAACGTGCTGCCTTCACACTTGGGCTGCAATGTAGAACACCACCATCATTCTTCAACCGCGGAGGTAAAAACAACCGAAAAAGGAACCAATTCGTCGTGTTGTCGGAAGTAAGAAAGTACGCGTACCCGCAAAGAAGTATACATATGTGTCGCGGGTCGGCGAAAAGAACAGTACGCCAACTCCTCAACACATGGTGATCATGCAGCATCTTGATCTTCATCATTTTTGCAAAACACAACTCTTCTAGCTCAACTGGTTCCGGTCGCGCCTGAAATTCCAATTCGGCAAGAGAAACTCTACTACAAATAATTAGTCGTGTACAATAAGTCGTGTTGTAGATGACGGGGAGCCTGTCGCTGGGACCTTTTCAAAAAGAGGTAACAAAACAACTAACACACGAGAGGTTGAAAAGGGCAATTCGCATTTCTTTGAAGATTTGATAGTGAATAAACGTATCATTTATGTATCGCTATTTTGTTCCACAACTGCGACGCTGTCATTGTTTCCCGTGCTTGTTCGCGTCGCGTGGTCCTCGTCACCCGCTGGCTTCAACCTAGTACTAGTAGCACAGCTCAGCAAGAGAAAAAATGGAAAATAAAATAAACTAACAAGAACTATCCGCTTCTCGTTCTTTCCCCGGATTAGAAGTGATAATGAGCAGGCGACGAGATTTATGAGCAGAAAAAAACTGTAATGAAAAAAATCACTTCACTTCGCTGCACTTCATTTTCATTTGTCCGCCTATCTCTTCTTCAAGTCGCACAACTTTTTCATTGCGATGATCCCTAACTGGCGGCAGAGTGTCCCTCACATGCCGAATGACGACGAAGGCAGGTCTTCTGCAATACCGTTTATTCCGCCGTTTTTTTCGGTTTCTTTAGCTGTGCAGCGCAACGCCTGCACCGACGTGGCCTCCTCTGTCCACCACGTGCAGCCCCCCTTCCAGCAAGCGGACACAAGTGTTGTGGACGAGCCGCTCCGACAGATTTGCCTTCTTGGTCACGCGCAGCTTGCTCACGCCGAAAGGAACATACTCCAGTTTCACCGAGGCCAGGAGCCGGTTCTTGGCGCGGTCGCGTTTCTTTTTCTCGATTATGGCGGTGAACGGGTTATAGCTCCGGCGCTTGCTGCACCGCCCGCCCGCGGTCGTGGCCGCCTTCGGGGTAGACAACACTGGTTCATCGTCAGCCGCAGTTGCTTCTTCAGCATCCGCAACACCAGTTCGCCGCCCTCTAGGAGTGGTCGTGCTGTCTTTGTTCTCTACTTTAGTCTTGTTGATGTTCTTGTTGTCCAAGAAATTCTTATCCAGAATCGTCCTTGCACCATTCAGATCAACGTCCGAAAGACGACTCTCTCGCCCTCCGCAGAAGTTCTCATCTTCCCGGTCGCAGCTGCCTTCTTGCTCTGGCCCCGGCGGGGAAGAAATGGAACCACTCCTGTTGTCGATACTGGCGTCCAAGTCGGGAAAACAACCGGCAGAAACCTCCGTCTGCTTGTTCTTGCCCTGGACAGAAGTTGTAACTGGCTCCTCTGGCCGCGGATTGGTCCTCGCATCTGTGCGCGTAGAGGTTGCCGTCCTCGTTGTACCCTGCGGAAATGACTTCGAACTCTGCTTACTACTCGTCGCTGCGCTGACCGTGACGGGAATCACGCCGAGGCGCTCGAGTTCCATCCGCACCACTGCCCACTCATCCACTTCCTCATTCTCGTCGACAGGAACATTTTTCCCCAGCTCAGTATTTCCAACTTGTTGCCCGCTTGACACGATCAAATCCGGATGATCCACGTCGTCGAGGGGTGAAAAGGAGAGCCGCCCGCTCCCCCTGCTAGTTTCTGTCGTCGACGAAGCCCCCGCGGTCGGTCCAACACTCACTTCGCGGTCAACCTCCCCAGAGAGGCCGGGAACAAAAAACTGTAACTGGTGCGGGACCGGTAGTACATGAGAGGAGGAAGATGTTGATGCATGCAGTGCCGGCGTCACCGGGGTAGTTGAAGACGGTGACATCTTCAATTGCGTCGGGTGGTCTTGCTTGATGGCCGCTGCAGCAGCTCCTACGGCCTTGCTCGTCTTCTTAGTGGTTGCTTCCCCGAGGACGTCCACCCCACTAGTTTTGTTCCGACCATCTTCTTCCACCTCCGAACTGTTGGTAAAAAGTTCTGTCCCGCGGCCAAGGACTGCTGCTGCTGCTGCGCCGCGGTTGCCCTTCTTGAGCCAGGTGTTGTTGCGCAGAACGCACTTCGGCCCGAAGTGACAGAGCAGCATCTTCCGGTGCCGGTGCGGTTTGGCGTAGCAGACCGACTCTACCTCCACGTCCGGAAATCCGTACTTGGCCGCGAGTTCCGCGATTTCGCGAAGATCCTGGTGGCGGGGCAGGAACAGGACGATGTTTGGCGCCAGGCTAGTGGCGTAGTGAAACAGGTTGCGGATCAGGTCGTCCCCGATTTGCTCGTCCGCGAAACTGAACCGAAAGATCTCTTCCTCCAAGTGCGCCGGCCCGCCCCAGGGAGGCGAGAGAAACACCGCGTCAAAGGGGAATCGGTACTGGCCGGGCGCGTTGGGCCGCCGCGGGGCATAGGTGCTCAACAGGGACGCGGGAGCAGCAATTGTGGTACCTCGGGCAGGCAGCGGTTCGGCAAAAGCTTTGCCGTCGTCGTTCTCGTCGTGGTTGTCGATCTCGTCGTCTTCAAAGGGGGCCTGGTCTTCACTTGATGCGTGAAGATGCTCCACAACATCGTCTCTTCCTTTTGCCGTTGCCACCACACGACCTTGAGAAGATGCACAGTTGAATGTCTTCATCCCGGGTGTTGAACCCTTGCTGTTCATCGAGAACATCAGTTTGTGTTTGTTTTTGTCATAATCCCCCTGCTCCTGCTGTTTCAAACTCCTCATGATCTTGTTCTCGTACGAGAAGAGCGGGTAGTTCCACAGCAGCGCCAGCTGCTCCGCCACCACCTCGAAGCGGCCCGGCGCGACCACGACCGAGGGCTTATCCACGGTGCCGAATTTTTCCGCCTCAAACAGGGCCCGCGAAAATTCCGTGCGGTCGGCCACGTCGGACACGTGCACCGTGCCGGGGAACTCGTAGATCTTCAAATTGTGCACCGCGTCCAGCAGTTTGGTGGGCACCAGGTCCACGCCCAGAACCAGCCGGGTTCTCTTCTGGTTCGCAAACTGCGCCTGCATCTCCGGGTCGTCCAGTCGCACGTTCCGGCAGAACGTCGCCAGCTGCACCAGGTTGCCGCCGCACCCCGCAGTCCCGTCCACGATCTTTTCGCAGTGCGAGAGTCGTTGCGCCACGTACGCCGCGACGCTCTCCGGCGTGACCTCGTAGAACCCGCTGGTGTCCATGCGCACCCCGAGGTCGTACCGGCTCCAAAAGTAGAACCGCCGGTTCCAATCCTTGTCCGACACGCCCGCGGGACGCCGCTGGGAATCGTTTGCACCCTTCCGCTTATTTCTACTTTTGTTCTTCCCTTGATATGCTTTGTTGTTGTTCCCCTTGCCTTGCATCTTAAAATCGTTTATCATGTCGCCATCGTAATTCAACATCTTCTTCCCTTTGCTTTTGTTACCACTCGCGGCCTTCACACCAGTTGTCATATTGCTATCGCCGGTTGAAGATTTTGTCCAAGAACCGTCTTTGTCGTGATTTTTTCCTTCACTACCGGTACAACAAGAAGATCCTTTGAACGGGTTGATGTCTAATTCGACGGTGGTCAGGTGCATGCGGATGGACCGCCGCTCCGCCGCACTCTCCTCGCTGTTGCAACAGTTTCCGCGCGCCACGTCGAAACTCGTCAACAAGACGGAGCACTTTGACGGATCGGGGCTTGGACACAACACGTTCTCCACATCGCCGACAGTGAAAGACTGCTTCAAATAAGGAAGCCGGCCTTTCGGTCTTGTGCTTGTTCTTGTTCCGGTTGAATTTTTACTGCTGGTAGTGCCGGCCACAGCCTGGCGCTCAGAGGAAGAAGCTGTAGACTTCTGGAGTAGTTCATTTGCAATAGCACCGAACTCATTTTCACCCGCATCGGTTCCTTCCTCTTTCCCGTCAGTAGTACTATCGTGAACATCGTGAAGATGATCCAACTCATGGGTGGACGAGGTACAACTGTCGGACCTGCGAGTATCACGAGCCTCTTTTTGATTTCCCGATGGTGGTACTGCTACCTGCGCACATGGGGTTGCCTCCGCCGATCTCAGCGGCCTTTTCCTCTCTCGGTTCTTGTAAAATTCTTCTAGTTCCTCGGGGGTAGAAGATTCAAACACTTGTTCATCTTTGCGTTCACGCAGCACGTGCTGGCCCGCCTCCCGTGTCCCCGCCGCCGTCGACACTTCATCGCTCTTACCCGGAGTTTTTGCATTTTCCCCGTTGCCGCGCCGATCTGCGCCGGTGGTAAAACTGGCCGCAGGTTCGGCATCTTCGGAATCACTCGTCAGGTCCGCCAGGATGTCTTGACAAAAAGCCAACATGTCGTTGCCACGGTGGACTGGTTCTTGCCTCGCAAATACCACCTGTTCCGCTCAATGCCCCAAGTTTTGGTGGTCCACCAGCTGTAGCTGAGAGGTCGTGAAAGTTTTTGATTTGTATACTAAGTCACAAGAGATATTACAGAAGACGCCACAGGTAGCACACAAAGAAATTCAAATTAACATACCGAGCACTGTCTGCGCTGGTCACAAAAAAAAACAAAGTATCGATGTCGCTTGCTCGTAAAAGTAGGGGATTCGTTCTTGCGTCAGATTGAAACTACATTCAGATTGAAACTACACGTCTTCAATTTCTTTCGTTGCTTCTCAAGTAAACACACAAGTAGTGTTACAGTAGAAGATTCTAATCGCGCAGCAGCGCTGACAAAACAGCTAGATTTCGGTCATCCCGGTCCGACTACACATTTAGTGGCCTCTTTTCTTTGAAAGCAAAGTTACTGCGAAAAATGACTTCAGTATCGCTTCCGACACATCAATAGAACAGGCTTGTATATGTTTCGTTTCTGTTTCTATGAAATAAAAAACTGTAAAAAATAACTAGGGGCCACGCTTATTTCAAACAATCTTGTTCTCTTCGTCTTCATCTAGGATTCGGATTCAATTCTACTTCTACATTTCCGTCGGTCCAAATCTCACCTCTCTCTTTCCTAGTAAGTTCCAGTTCGTTCGCCTGTGAGAATTTTTTTGATGATGAAAAAAAATAGATGGTGATCATGGAAACCGCCAAAAGAGAGTGTGAAACGCTGTGGGATTTCATCGAATACGGCTAGGCGGAAGGTCATGAGGAAAAACTCGCCACGTCGCTTTCATTCAAATGCGTGGGGATCATTTTCGATGAACGTACCCAGAGTAAAAAAATTTTTTAGGTTACAGTATTCTGATCTCGCGGTCCCCCAATTCGGGGTTGATCGCAGCAGCGGTGCTCAAAAAAGAAACAAAATTTTGACAACACCACACCAGCGGAAGATCATCGAGCTTCTAGCGATCACACTGCTACTGCTTCTCGTATTTTTTATACTTTTTTTATCACCCTTCTGGATAAAACAACGGAACAACCCCATGCGCGGTGCGCCAACATCAGAGAATTTCGTTTCGGGGTGCAGCTACAAGCGCACATCTGGACGTATCGATCTACTTTACTTTTGTCTACGTACGATCTATTCGATTGAAAGCACTATATGTTGAAAAGCTTCACTCGTACGTACTTATTTTGTCTGACGCGAGTAGCAACATCTTGGTCGTAAATTCGTCCCGCATCAAGAAAAGCATCCCCGCTGCTCGAGGCATAACTTCCCATCCTCACCCGAACAGGCCCCCAAACAGCCCCTTCTTCTTTTTCTTCTTCTTGTCCACCTTGGCCGCGACCTCCTCGTAGGCCTGCTCCATGTCGGACTTCCCAAAAACCTCCTCGAACATACCGAACACGCCGCCCTCCTTCTTCGTTTTCTTCCGGTTCCCGTCCTCATCGAACGCGTGGTCATCCTCGGTCGTGCCCGGCGCCAGCCCGTACTTGGCAGCAACGTGGTTGAAGGCCTTCTGCATGTCACTGGTCAGGTCTTCCTCCTCCACCCCCATCGCGTTCAGCTGGAGCGCCAGCGCCTTCTCCATGTCGGATTTGCCCTTCAGCTTCTTGCTCAGTTCGTCCTCGCCGAGCAGCGCCCCCATCACGCCCCCGTCGTCCGCCGGGCGCAGTCCCATGTCCACCTGCAGCTCGCGGAAGGCCTTCTGCATGTCCGACATGTGGCCCGGGAGGTTGACCTCCTCCATCTCGCGGGTCATCTGAAACGCCTTCTCCATGTCCGTCAAGGACCTGATTGATGATTTTTATTCGAACAGTACGTTTTCTTGTTAAGTTTTTCTTTTTGCATTGCGGACGGTTTTGAGCAAATGAAATTTCTATATGCGGCCTATTATAAATACCTGTCTTTCAAAATGGCTTTTTCCCGCTCGCTGAGCTCCATGTGCTCCTCGTAGTCGCCTTTCATTATCAAAAACGCCTTCTCCATATCGGTCAAGTCGGTCCGCTCAAGGATATCCCGATCGCGGAACGAAAACCGCACCTTCTCCGTGACGGTATGGAGATTGCAAATACGCCTTGGTCCGGAACAAACTTGTCCTGCTGATACGAGAATCACGAGGATTGATACCTCAATTAACAGCGAAGCATGACAAGAAGTCTTCGAGGTGCTAGGTGTTGACATTGAGTGTTGCTCTGACTGGCAACAAACTGCGTAAGTAGATCCTGCATGACAGAAAAGTAGTTCGTTTGGGTGGTGTGCAGAGACACGACACTTGAGCGTCATGCTAACCGAACATGACAAGCCTTGCATGCTTCCAAAGAGCACAGACATATTTGCAATGCTTAAACGGAATCCGGCAACAACCTGACCCCGGTGGCCTGCTCGATCATCGCGTTCGCCAGCTTCACCGGGGCGCCGAACAGATTCATGAAGAAATCGCCCGCGCTCATGCCCTCCTCGTCCGACGACTCGTCGTCGTCGTCAACCCACATGTCCACCCGCTTGATTTCCCCGTCGTCGTCCATCAACTGCGCCCGCTTCCTGACCTGCCGTCCCCGAATCCAGAAGGCGAGGTAGCCGCCCAAGGATATTCCCGCAAAAAAGATGAACACCAGGCGGCTGTACCATAACGCTTTCGACACCACCGGATCCTTGCTGTGGTGGGGCACGTTCGGGCACTCAATCGCCTGCGACCCCACGTTGCTCCCCAAGGCCGTCTGGCACCCCTCGCACGCACAGGTGGGGCAGCTTTCGCCCTCTCGCAGCGCGTCTTCCGGCGTGAAGAACGTGCGCCGCGTGTGAAAGGAGCCGTGGGTGGGGAAGTTGAGGAACTGTCGCTGGTGGGAGGAGGAGGATGAGAAGGGAAACTGCAGGGTTGTTCCATCTCCTCCTGTGTCACTTGGTGCGGCAGGAGGATGAAACGTTGCTGCGTAGAAGGATGAAGGATTATTATGCGTGGCGGCCGAATTGCGTTGTAAGTGGTTCTCAACAACAAAGCTCGTGGTTACATTCCCGTTGTATAACCCAACTCTTCGCGCTGCGGCCACGGATTGCTTCGGCTGCTGCTGTATCGTAAGCGCAGAAAACGCATCTTCCAGATGGTCCTGCAACGGTGGAATTTGTGACAGGATTCCCATCGCTTAAGTCGATGCCAATAGTCGGGGCGCAATGTTGATTGTACTGTCCTATTTGAGCGATAAAGTCGTGATTGTTGCAAAAAGGAAACAGTCCACTTGCGCCCAACTTTTCTTCCCGTGAGACGCCACGAGCTCCTAGACACTGACAAAAAAATGGTTTCCACGTAAAATTTGACTTCCCGCCGATGGCGCGAGTGGGGGAGACGACAACGACGATGCGCAGCCACGATTCCACTGCACGACACGACACCGTCGACGAGTCGAAAAATGTACCATTCCGAACGCGATAACGTTGTCGAATCGACGAAGTGCAGCACTTCTTACGGGCCGACCGAGCAATACTCTGTAATCCCGTTACGTCGATGAACAACTCGAGGGGAGTGTACTTGCTTTATCAGAATCCTCCATTTCTCGCATTTTCTGTTCGAAAAGGTACATGTCGATACGATAGGGGACGTAGAAACAGATCCCTGCGAAACCGAGTTGTAAACACAGAAGAACGCCCTTTATGATTCTCGTCGCGCTACTGTTTGCTGTTCCACCGGTTCTGGCAGATACCGTGCTGATCCCACCAGTTGCTGACATCAGCTCCCGTCTGCGGTCGAGAATGCTCCTTTGGTCACGGGGAGCCCAGCTTCTCTCGATGAGTTGCTCCTCGTCCGCGTTGCTGCACGGAGGTGAGAGCAGGTCTCGATCCCTCCTAGCGTCTGGAAGTACAAGTGGACAGGGCAGAGCCTCGGCGCATTCGCTTTCAACTATGTCAAAGCCCCTCTGCTCTCCGCTTGATGTTGCATTCGTGTTTGCCGCTTCCTCTGGGGTTGCCCCACTAGATTTTTTAACACATGGTCCCGGCCGGGCCCTACCCAAAATCTCCTTTGTCAGCTGCGGTAGAATACCTCTGTTTTCTGGGTTTTTCCAGAACGCGTGGCTATAGAAACTACGGTCCTCGTCGTCCCCAATGGCTCGACTCCCGAAAAACCTCTCCAGATAGGTCGTGATGCCCGAAATGTGCGAGGCGCCGCACAGTACGCCAAAACGGATCTCAACAGCGCGGCTATTTCTGCCTAAAGTGTCCTTGTCTACTTCGGCTTCCAACACTTTGATGTCGTCCGATTGTCCTTGAAACTCCTGCTGTCGCTGTTGCAGCAGAAAGTGCTCGATGGGAAGGCCACATTTGCGCGCTCGCGCATCTTCGGTCATAAACTTTCGCGTTTCATTAGCCACTGGTACCGCAGCCGCATTGCCATTCGGCTGCACGTCGACAGGATTATACGCTTGTAAGCTTGCAGTTCTCTTGCACAGCAGATCCTCCGCTGCGAGAACCAAGTTTAGCGCCATCAGCTCCTCCCTCTCCGCCTGAAGAATCCGAAAACACATTTCGCAATCGTTTTGAAACCGCTGCCTCCAGGAAAGCAGTGCCTGTTGCCAATCAGCATGACGATCAGTGACTTGTTTTCCACCTTGCTTGAAGATTTCTGCGCAGCCCCTGTGCCGCCGCGACCGTAGGAGCTCAAGTGGCAGCACGTTGGCAGAGATCCGCTTTTGCGTGTCTTTCGCGGCGCGGTCCAGACAGTAGAGGTGGATTTTCGGAAGTTGTCGGGAGTGGTTGCCATTTTCGTGATTCTTCTGCGTTCCACTTTTGCTTGTAGTTCCACCCAGATGAACCATATCCATTCTCGCAAGTTCCGTCACAACTTTGTTGATTGAAGGCGTCGCCTCCCAACATTTCTGTTCCGACGCATGGCTTTCGATGCCGAAGCCGTGACAGACATCAACAGCAGACCTTGTTTCACCGTCGCCGAGGACCCCTGGTGAAAGCACAGCTGCGCGAGTAGCGGCGCCAGCACTCGGCTTGTTCATCGCCTTCACAATGTCGAATTTTTCCGCGGACGACGAAATGCCGGCACTGTGTGCCTCTCCGAAAAAAAACACGCGTAGACGGAGTCGATGGCTAATGGGGAAAAGACGCTCCGCGCGGAAGCAGGACATGTTTCTTTCTTCGACAGCCGCATAAACGAAGCAATCGTGGTAGCACTGGGTAATGGAAGTTGTACGAGGTGCGACTTCTATCTAAGAGGATTACGAGAACCTGAAAAGGTTAGAAAAAAAAGTGTCCCAGATTGTAGTGCTGTATTGGGGATTTTCATGCAGAAAACAAAGTACTTCTCTTCAAAAAAAAAAAGCTGAGGCAGCAGCAGGTAGTGAACATTCAGAGCAAAAGTTCGATGGTCAAACGTCCTTTACTCACTCGCATGAGTACTTGGACTGCACCTTGCAGAAAAATGAAGCTCTTGACCAGGTGACAAAGTGCAAACCAAAGATTGACAAAGACAAACCCAGTTCAATTTTCGGAAAAGAAAAATCAGAAAGGCCGCACCAAAGCCAAAACTTTTTGCATGGATTCCAACCGCTCACCTAAACCCCTGCGGCGGGTAGGGATCGTTGACGATGGGAATCTTCCGGACAAACCTCTCGTACACCACGGGCCACCGGTCTTCGAAAATCGACCGGTACCCGGTACTGGCGAAGTAACTATCCTCTGCAGTGGCGCTCTCCTGCTGGTCGCCGTTGTCCTGCTGCCACTGCTTTTCCCGCACGAGCTTCTGAATGCCGTATTGGTGCGCGCCGAAGGGGGCCACCCGGGCGTCAAAGCGGTGGTCGCCGAGGATCTTCGTGGGCATCACCACGTGCCAGCGATCGTCTTTGTCCAGAGCTTCGTAGAACACGCCGGTGATCACCTTGGTTTCGTTTCATCCTGATTCTGAACCGATCTGCGGTTCAATCAACAACCCCTGGAAAGCGAGTTAGTAGCATCTAGTAGTTCTTAATGTTGAAGCGCATTGATTTATGTATACATGTCAAACGTCGACTGAGCAGTGCATAGAAGATTCTTCTACCTCCCCGATCGCATCTGGGTTTTCCGGCTCCAGCGGCGGCACGCTTTCCACCTTCACGAGCGGGGGCTTTGCAGACTCCGCGATCGCCCCGGGCGGTCCCGGGACCCCGGCCATAGGCGTTGCGTCCGGGTCATCCAAAAAGGGGATCGTGTTCAGACGCACGGCATCGGCTTGCGTCGTGAGCTGGGTCACTGCGCCACAGAAAACACAAGCAGCCGAGAGAACGGCTCGTGCTCGGCGCATTTTGCTTCGCCGCTGCGCCTCTCGACAACCTGTGGCTAAAGCAGTAGTAAAACCGGCGCCGCCATGTTGGGACTCGGGGGTATGGGTCTACTTCGTTTCACATCTTTTTCCTGGAGGTGGCTCACGGTCTACAAAATGACGCTGCGCATTCCTGAAATGAAATTTCTGATTGAATTCGAGGCCTCTCATTTCTGCTGCTCGCGAGCTTCTGAATCTGAGTCTGACAAATTATAAACAATTGGATTAGGAAATACTTAACAAGATGCTAGAATATAAAATCCGCCCTCAACATCTTGCCGGCCGACATGATGTGCTAGTGTCCCTGCCGCTGCCCCTGCTCTCTTCTTATTCGTCATGTCGATTTCAAAAGCAGAATGGGTAAAAACTTGCTGTTCCTACAGCGCGCATGGCCTGTGGTAGGATGACTTATTTTCCATCCTGCGTTTCCTCTTCAACGTGGGTCTTCGTTGATCGGAATTCTTCCGTGTTGAAACAGCCCAGCATCCGAGGTTGTTCTTTGAACTTTTGAAGTTGTCCCAAACCACTGCTCACAAGTGTAAACTCAAGATATTATTAACCGCGTGTGGGCTCTTCGAAGCGCCTAGAAATTTTCACACATGTATCTTTTATTTCAATTTTCAAAAACTAATTTTTTCTCGTTCACAAGCGTATCGCGAACGGAGGCTCCCAGGAGCCATAACAACTCGCTTGTCGCTATCTCGGCGGTGCCCCAGCTCCCCCTGGTATGATTGGTGCCGCACCCGCCCCGGCTGCGACGTCGAATGACTTCTTGTCGATGAACAAGGGCGTCACCACCATCGTCACGGTGGACACGAGTTTGATAAACACGTGTACCGACGGGCCCGCGGTGTCCTTGCACGGGTCCCCGACGGTATCGCCGCATACTGCAGCCTTGTGCGCGTCGCTGTTCTTCCCACCGTGCGCCCCGGTTTCCACGTACTTTTTCGCATTGTCCCACGCCCCGCCCGCGTTGTTCAGGAACAGCGCCATCAAAATCCCGGTTGCGGTCGAGAACATCATGAAGCTGGCGACCGCCTCCGCGCCTAGCAGTGGCTGCCCGCGCTGCTGGCCCACGTGGCGGAAGACGAAGCCGACGAGAATGGGGGCGAGCACCGCGAGCAAAGCCGGCTTCACCATCTCCCGCAGGGCGGTGTTACTGACGATGTTGACGCACGTGCGGTAGTCCGGCTTCTGCCTGAACTCTAAAATCCCGGGGATTTCCCGGAACTGCCGCCGGACCTCCTGCACCACGCGCTGCGCCGCCTTCCCGACCGCGGTCATCGCGTAGGAGGCGAAAAGGAACACACACATCGACCCGATCAGCCCGCCCACGAAGACCTCCGGTATGGCGAGGTCAACCTTCTCAAACTTGTGCCCAGAGTACAGTGACACCTCGTCGAGGAACGCGGAAAAAAGGAGAAAGCAGGCCAGAGCCGCGGACCCGACCGAATACCCCTTGGTGTTGGCCTTCGTCACGTTGCCCACCGCGTCTAGCCTGTCGGTGATGGCGCGCACGTTCTCCGGCTGCTGCGACATCTCAACGATCCCGCCCGCGTTGTCGGCAATCGGGCCGAAGGAGGACATCGCGAGCACGAACACCGCGGTGGAAAGCATGCCCATCGTTGCCACGGCAGTGCCAAACAGGCCGGCGATATTCCCATTGGTACTTGTGATGCCCGATTTCATACCGAAGTTGTAGGAGAGGCACTAGAAGATTTTTAAGTATTTTCCCATTGTTTCTTCCGTTTCGCATTCCCAAAAGCAGCACAGAAAAAGCCGCTTCATCTCCTGTCACGACGGAACAGGAACTCAGCTTAAAACACGATCTAAAAAATAGTTCTTCCTCATACCAATGATCCGGCGATGACCAGCGTCGCCGCCCCCGTTGATTCCAATCCGACCGCCATTCCGGCGATGACGTTGGTCGCTGGACCGGAAAGCGACGCCTCCGCGATGCCGCGAACTTTGGAGAATTCGTAGTCCGTGTAGTACTGGGTGATTATGACGAACAGGTACGCCGCGACCAGTCCGACAACCCCGCACGCGCAAAACCATTTCCAGGCGTCCGGCGCGACCGGGGAGTAGAGGAGTAGTCGGCACAAGAGAAAAAAGCCGCCGACACCGAGCAGCAGCGAGACGAGGTAGGCTCTTTAATATCATTTGATGACGGGGATTTTTTTTCATCGTTTTGGCTCGTGCTTATTTTTGAAGCTCCTCCTCTAGGCTCATCGTGTAAGTGTCCATAGCGCCATGCAAGATTTACATTTAGCATCAAATCACATTCACACGACCTTTTGTTTTGCATCAAAACCGAAGACATCGGCCAACCTTTTCATGATCGCCAGCGCGTCCTCGGGTGCGGCGCCGTGATCGGGCAGTCCTCTTCTTGTCCGGACCAGCATCACACCAACGGAAGAGATCACGATGTCCATGGAATGCACTGCGAGCGGAAACACCACAAAGCCCACGCCAAAATTGGCCGGCAGCTTCGCTTCCTCGGCCAGGGCGCCACCCAGAATCATGGCCGCCATTATCTCGGCGGCAATTGACTCAAACGTGTCCGCACACTGGCCCGCGCAATCACCAACATTGTCGCCCACCAAGTCGGCGATGACGGCCGGGTTCCGCGGGTCATCCTCCGGAATCCCGGCTTCTACCTTCCCGACCAAGTCCGCACCGACGTCGGCGCCCTTTGTGTAAATACCGCCGCCGAGCTGCGAGAACATGGCCACGAGGGACGAGCCAAAGCCGTAGCCGACCTGAAGTTGTGATCTTGATGGGTCACAATTTCTATTTCATGAACTGTGCAAAAAATGCAATAACTTGTGAGGCATTTTCGCAATTACATTATTTTTAGGCTGCGACAATCACTTGCATGCCCACCCTGGACAAAAACACGACCACTGCTAAACCCTCCTAGTACTTACCAGCAAGAGCGGCATCTGCGCGAACGCCAGTTCCGGTATGAAAAACTGGAAGAAGAGCATCATGACACAGATCCCAAAGACAACCAAGCTGACGTTAATCACCGCGGTAAAGCCGCCACCGCGAAAGCAAAGCTGTAAAGCATCGTTGTAACAGCGTCTCGCGGCGGAGGCAACCCGGATGTTGGCCCGGACAGAAACCCACATACCCGCGTATCCGGAAAGCGCGGAACACCCGGCGCCGACGAGGAAGGTGAGGGACGTAACCAAAGCCATCACCCATGGGCCTACAGGGCCCGTGCCTGTGGTAGAAAGAATGAATGTGTTGGTTTGAAGAAACTTATTGAGACCTGTATCATGTGGTTCCGCAAAACAACGACGTGGTCGAGAGAGCCAAAAAACAAGAGCTCGGTCTACCACCACCGAGATCCGTCATCTCCTCACTTCTATCATGCTGGTGGTTCGTCTTGTTGCATGATCCCCGCGTTAGAAAATAAAAATGATACAGCATATAAACGACCCAACTTGCTACATTACCTCCTTCCCTCCCCAAAAACAGCAGGAAGAGTAAGACCGAGAACAACAGCGTCACGTTTCTTATCGTTTTGTACTGCATGGCGAAGTAGCCCTCCGCGCCCTCTGAGATCGCGTCGGAGATCACCTGCATGGCCTCCGTGCCCTCGTCAAAGCGGTACATCCACACTAGGAGCCAGAAGGAAAAGCACATCCCCACGATGGAGACGAACAGCGCCCACAGTGTGGCCTTCAGCCCCACGTTGTCGGAAAACATCTGTACCCCGACACAGAGTGTGAAGCAGACCCCGAGTAGGGGAACCAAGGGCGACACGGTCCCGTTCATCGCCAGTTGCTCGATCAAGGACAGTTTCCTCTTGGGATGGTAAAAATTGTTGTTCTGACTGTTCAAGCCGTTCGTGTCCGCGAACCCGTTGTTGGGGTAGTAGCCCGGATGATTCATGCTCTGGCCCATCGACGAACTGCTGTTCCCATAGTACCCACCGGCCTGCCCGCCTTCGATGTCGTTGTACATGCTGCTACTCGTCGCTACAGCTGCAGCGGCTCCAGGGTTGTTGTAGTTCATTTGATGGCTACTGCTGGTGTTCTGTGGTGGCGGCGTGGGGCTGTACGTCGGGTAGTTCTTGTTGACGCTATACTGATAATCCACCGTCATTGTCATCCGGCCTGACGCTACGAGAAACGATGAACGGTTGCTGCTTACCAAATCCGCACGGTCGTCGAGGGATCGGTGCAGCTTGTATGATACGACCGGGAGATGAAGCAACCGCGCGGAAAGAAATCCACTTTGGTACACCACAAACGATGCGCCTGCACGGCGGTGCGACTACAAGAACCAAGTATCACTTATCATCCGCGGGCATCATCCGTTGCTACGTGCTGGTTTCCTCTCGATCGCAAAGAGGTGAGGACGAGGATGATCATACTTACAGCAGTTAGAGCCACCTTCTATTCTCGAGGGGGGGGCGAAAAATGCAACATGTTGTACAGATGGAAATCTCAATCTCAGGCCCAACACAACATATTATCAAGATTGGAATGCAAAGGAACGCATCGCAGACACAACCATATTGAGAAGACGAATTCTAAACTTTAATTTTTTTGAAAGAGGAACTGAAACTGATGTTTTTTTTGTATTTCCTTGCAGTGGTCCACTACACGATGGTTGCGAGAAGAACGTTGTAAAAGAAACTCACAAATGCAGAGGGAACCAAGCAATACAGTTTTTGAACACTCAACCAGGAAGGCCGGATGATGTGCTGAAATCAACACATTTAATATCGCAATGCAGCAAATTCGTCTTTGGGCTCTTGTCTTTTTGCGTTTCTTTCTAAACATCAAAATGGACGGGTCCGCCCCAGTGTTGTAGGTATCAAAATCAGTAGTGAGTCAAGCTCATGTTAAATGTCATCTAACGCTGTTTTCTTGTGAACTCCTTTCTCACCGCCAAACGATAGCTCGAAGATCATACACGAAGATCGCTTTCCTGTATTGAAACAAGTTGCGTGCTACGCGATGTAACTTTCGTGTCCCTACCTACGGAGTCCTGTTCGTGTGACACCAGCTGCAGGGAAGTACTATTAGTAGCCGGCTCACCTGTCATCGCCCCCTGTGAACTATCCCCTCTCTCGACTGCCGTTGCAGCTGTAAGTTTATCGGGAGACGAGCCTTCTCTACTTTTAGAAGCGGCGAGATGTTTAGCAGGATTATGTCCTTGAGCTAACGGCGTTGTACAATTTCTACTATTGCTGTCGTCCGCTTCATCTTTTACCTTTGTCAGGTTGGCTTTGCTATTCACATCTGGCTCCACCACCTCCTGATCGACTTGAAACACCGCGTGCCGGGCAAACTCTAAAAAGCGGTTTCCGTACGTGGCCGGGGGTTGGCAGCTGATGTTTCTGCAGGTCCCGCAAAAGAGGCAGGTCTCCGCCCGCTTCCGCAGGCCGTAGGTCGTCAAGATGTCGACGATGCCGATGTAAGACAGCAGTTTGTCATTCTCCACCACCTGCACGCCGAAAGGCACATAGTCCTCCCGCCCGTACAGAATGTTGCTCATACTCCCCGCCGTCCCCTTGGCGTTCAAAGCGGCCTTCGGCTTGAAGTGCAACCCAACGAGGAGGGAGTAATCCAGCAAGTTGTTGCGCTGCAGAAAAGCGACGTCTCGCTCCAGCGAATCCACGATTTGCAGGCACTTCTTCGCGTTCCGGACGGTTTTCAACTGCCGCAATTTTGTCGAGGAAGCTTGGTCGTCGATCCAATCCAGATCCTTCAAAACCAGCTGCTCCTCCTCATGCTCATGGGTCTCGCTTGTTGCGCCGTGCTGGTGCTGCGCGTGAGGAAAAGCACTAGAAGTAATCGCCCCGCTGGTACTAGGATCTACTGTTATACCTACACCATCTTGCTGGTGTTGCCCTCCTGAAGGTGGTGGTGCACGAGCAGGCCCTGGAGCATGACCCCCTTTTCGCGCCTTTCTGCCGACCGTGGATCCTTTCAGGTCGTACTTGCAGTTGATCTTGTACATGCCGCAGAAAATGTTCGCCATGCAGACGAACGTGAAGTGCTCCTTTTCGAATTTCTTCCCGGAAGAAGTACTAGATGGGTTCTCGTCGATGAACTCGATTTTGTACAACCCGAAGTACTGGGGCAGCAAACTCGTTGCGGGAGTCGTGAACGTCGTTCCGGGCGACCGGACCGGAAGAGCCAATCCAGGCCCCCTTTTGGAAGTAGCTCCTGGACCACCCCCGGCTCCCGCAGAGGTAGAAGTCTGCCCGAATTCGTCCCCATCTGAGACGTTGTTCGAAACGATGGAACCTAGGGACAGTGATTCGTCTCCTCTGCTGCCGCGACCTGCCGCGCCTGTTGTACTTCTATCAGTTATTTCGGGCGTCGCAGCACTCATGTTTGACAAATCGGTCCTGTTTGTTTGATGATGTTCCGTCGATGTTTGCCCGACAACACTGGCGGCGGTGTGGAAAGAGTTTTGCGAAGGCAGCTGGAGCTGCGGGTCCGCGGTTTTCTCTTTCGTGGTTTCCGCAGGAGCGGTGTTAGTGGCACCGCGTAGTTGCTGGCTCCGCTTGTTCGCCCCTGTAGTCGGCTCTCGTCGGTCGTAACTGTTTCCGGCCTCCAAGCCTGGAGGTCCGGCCACTCCTGTTGTCCTCCCGCCACAGCTTTGTTCCACGTGCTCGGCGTAATCGGGCAGAATCTCGAGCATCAGCTTCTCCTCCCGCGCCGTGCAACTCTTCAGGATGAACCGCTGGTCGGTCGTGAGCAGGAAGAACGCAGGAGACCGCCCCGCGGCCATCTCCGTGGAAATGCAATAGAACTCCTTGCCGTGCAGGAACGAGTCTTTGTACTCGTCCTCGGGGATGTGGAAGGCTTTCTGCACTTTCGCAAACTTCGCCGGCTGGTAGCTCCGAATGCGAAACTTTACGGTGTGTGTGGTCTGCGTTTCATCTCCTCGGGAAGCCGAACTAGGCAGGGTAGTTGTACTATTAGGCGCTCTAAGATGATGTTGTTGAACATTGCTGGTGGTCGTCCCCCCTGGTGGTGGAGCAGGAGCAGGTGGAGCATTTTTCATGTGCACCTCCCCCTCTGGAGATTTATTGGAGGTATCCGAGCCCTTTCCCGCGTCGGACCTGGAGATTGACTGAGTGCGGTCCCGAACCAACGCCTCCAGCTGCATCTGGTCCCCCGGGGTGTTCCCCACGTGCTGCAAGAGCTCCGCCTCGGCGTCTTTGAACTCCACATCGTCAGCGTCGTCAGGAGACGGTTCTTGCATCTCTACACCAGCTGCACCAGCTGCGTCAGAAGTCGCGCCGCCCATCACCTCCAGGATGCCTTGCCGCAACGCCGCCGCCACGGTCGCGACCTGCTCCTGCTGCACGGCGTGCACCTCCACGCCGACCCGATTGGGGCACGGCGTCTTCTTCAGCGCCTTCGCAAATCGCGAGCCCTTGTGAAATTTGTTCTCTGATGGTTCCTTATGGAGATGACGGTGGAGCTCTCGTCCGCCGTCGGAGGAACTCCCCGGCCCCCCATCGCTGACTCCGGGCTTCTTCTTCTTCCGCCGGGAAAACAGCCGGGCGGTCTTGGCCTTCAGGTACGACCGGGCCCCGTGGTGGCGGTGCAGCATGGATTGTTGCAAGTGGTTCCAGTTTGCCTCCCGTGCGTCCAGGATGTGGTCCACGGAGGCCCGCGTGGCTTCGAAGTCGCTCGTGCCAGAAACGGGGAAATCCTCGTAGTCTTCCAAGTTGTCTTCTCGTCCACTTGTCCCGTTAATAGAACCCACACTCCCCGGCACACGGAGGATGTTGTAGTCCTTCTCGTCCTTGTCCACTGCATAAACCCCCGTTCTTTCCGCGCTAGAACCGGCCGCCGCGGGCGCGGTGCTGGGAATGCTGATTGTGTTCTTCGTACCCTGTCTGGTACTCTCTACTCCGGCTCCTGGTGTAGTAGTGGTGCCACTTGGAGGTGCACCAGGAGCAGATGAAGCAGCTCCTGCAACATTCCCGATCCCCGCGGTGGGGTGGTTTCGCTTGTTTTGGGTCGCACGCTGGTGCTCGAGGACGGCGGTGGGCCGCTTGAAGCACTGTTCCGCAATCTTCCGCTCATCGTCCAATCTACGACGGTGGATCACGTGTGCGACGGCGGACTGGAAGAGCTTCGCCGTCTTCGGGTGAGAACCAGCAGCTTCTAGTACGCTGCCCTGCTTGCTGAGTGACGGCTCAAAAGCGACGGCTTGCTCGCCTTCCGCCCCGAAAGTTGGCGACCGCTGCGGCACCTGCGTTGCAGGAGCAGAAGATGACATTTGGTCCTTAGGGGGGTGAGAAGATCATGTCTAGAGGCATAGTTGTGCTTGTGTCATTAGCACAGTAAAGACACATAGCTGCAATTTAAGTTTAACGAAAATGGCTCGCTGGGGGTACATATGTTGTGAATCAAAGTAAATTCGTCCGAGGTCGCGCAGGGGTTGGGAATGTAAAACTGCATGAAACAAAGAAGGAGCAAATTGCCGTATTTTGGGACTCCATTTAGTCAAACGCAAAAGCTACAGAAAGCGTTTGAATTGGTCTCACGAGAAGGACAGTGAACAACCGCACGAAGAGAGTAGCGCTGTACCACGATGCTGAGGAGAAACAGAACGTCTTCACAAATGAATGTACGACCGGTAGTGAAGAACTACGTGTTGATGCACGATAATTATACAGACAACGACGCGACCGACAACTGGCACGGGAAGAACCGACAATTGTTCATCTTCCGGAACGAATCTTTTTAACAACACGAACCGACAAAAAACTATTGGACGGAGGCACTGTTCTTATCGCACGAGGACGGAGGCGCACCAGATTGTAAGGTCCATTGAAATCATGACCTTTTCACGACAAAACAACCGAGTATTTGGGGAAAAATCACGTTGAAAACAGTACCGAAAGAAAATCGACAAAACATCATCCTCGTGAACAAGGCGTACTAATTTTTGTCGCAAACATGCGTTGCAAGCTACACCGCACAAAATTTTGGATTTTATTTCTCAACGGAGGGAAAGATAACATTGCGTAAATGAATGGGTTGCAGAAATATGTTCTTGTTCCTTGGGCGGATCAGAAGTACTGCTTTACTCTGTTGATGCTGACGTGTCTATGCTACAGCAAGATATCTTTACCTCTCTCCAAAAAAATCTTTATGCAACTGAGTCAAGAAACTACCGTAGACCCGGCCAAGAGTAGATAAGACAATGCACCTGTGCAGTTGTGCGAAAAAAATTCCGCATGAAATATTTTCCTCTGTTTCGGAGTTTTGTGCAAAGAATCATCTTCTGCATCAGTGCAATCTTTGTCATTGTGTTAGTTTTCCTTTCTGAAAGAATCTTGCGAAGACAACGCTACTTCTAGCTGTCCAAAGAAATAAACTTCTGCTGCACTCTTCCCATTCTTCAGGGGTAAATTTATGGGGATGGATTGATAAATGTAATGACTGCTTGTGTGTTGCTCTGAATTTCATGCAGTCTACTACTGATGCTCATCTATGATGTTGCAATGCGTTTCACCTGATAAATTCTCTGGTGATTGGTCGACGCATGTAAACGCGCCGCTTTTTATCCTTTTTCACTTCAAACATTCCTGTTATCTTTACTCCATGGGAACGCAAATGGAGAAATTCAGTTCCAATGGGTAACATTTTTTCCTTGTGCCATCGTCTGCTTTCGCGGACTGTTTCGTACCCGCAGTTCCGCCTTGCACCTTCGATTGAAGCTCTCCACTCCTACCTTCTGCTCCCTTTTCTTTTTCGGGGCAGCAAACTTCTTCATCCGAGAAGTCTCCTTCGGAAAAACTTCCTTCAAATTCATCTTCACTGTCGTGAAAAGAGCACTCCGATTTTATGGTACTATGATTCTCGCCGTCTCTTTTTTCCAAACACTCCACCAATTTCATTTTCTCCAATTCTTCCAGGGTTTTGCTCTCAAACCCGGTCCAGGGGAGCAGTCTCAACTTCTCCCAGCTCCCCATCATGGCGAAATTCTCCCTGAATTCCGCATCTATTTCCTCCAATTTTTCCGCAATATTCGGCACTGGTCCGCTAGTTTTCTGTGATGTTGTAGTCCTCCCGTGCTGACAAGTGGACGAAAAAAATACCTCGCTTGCCAGCCTGTTCTTGCTGTTGCTCTCATCCTGCTGGTTCTGCTTCTGACGTCCAGCCCACACACACTCCTCCACCTGTCGCAAGGCTTCCGCAAACCCGACGTTTCTGGAGTTCGACAACTTCTTCCCGAGGTTCAGCAGCTTTGCGCAGAGCTCGAAATCTGCGTCCTTTTCAAACTCCAACTCCGCGAAGGAGTCGAGCAGTTTGAAAACGAGCCGATTCTTCTCTTTCCCCAGTTCGAACTCCGTCTGGTCGCACATCAGGTACCAGGTCCACACCAGATGCTCGAAATTACTGGGAATCACGTCCCACTCGTCCTCTTCTTCTTCATCGTAAAATCCTGGATCCTCCCCGTCCGAAACAGGTCCTGCAGTCGACGGGGTGTAGTACTGTTCCGAAGAAGGAGGTTCTTCTGCTTCATCAGAAGTTGAGGACGTTACAGCAGCGACAGTGGTACTAGTAGTACCACAACTACCAGCCCGGACAGAAGTTTCGGCATTTGTACAACGACCACCGCACGACTCGATGTCGGCGCGACCAGTACTACTAGTCTTGTCCGCGTACAAGCTGACGGCGAAGTTGAGAAATTTCGGGCCGGTGGAGGACACCTGCTCGACCCCGTACTCCGCCGTTTCCGGACCATGAAGAAAAAAAGCAGTTTGTTGCTCCGCTCTTCGCCTTTCCTCCTCATAGTTCAAGTAGTCAAAGGGATCGCAGTCCGTCAGCCAGAATTTCAGGAAGAACTTTCGCTTCTTATTTTCCCGGCGCGCGGTTTTCTTCTTCTTCGTTGCCATTCCAGCTCCTCCCTGCGCATCATTCGGAGATTCGTCAATCAGCTGACAGCACTTCGCCGCCTTTGTCAGAAAAACATTGTCCAATTTCAACAAGCAGACGCACTCCAAATCCAGGGAAAAATCTTCCGCCCGGAGCGGGTTTTCTCGTTGCTGCTGGCCATTGCGGAGGGGGGGAGGTTCTACTTGCTCATCATCATCTTCACCACCCGGTGCACCAGCAAGGCGGTCTTCTTCTTCTTGTTCCTGGATATTATCGTGCTGCACCGCGGAATAGAAAAAGCTGTTGACTCGGTGCTCCTCCGTGGGGTTCTCCGTCCCGATCACGTCCGTTTCCGGGAACGCCTGCTGCAGGCAGTGTTTCCGCTCCGCCAAGTGCAGCGTTTTGTTCGCATACAAGCAGTTCCGCACGTGGCGGCACAGGTCCTTCACCGTGTTTTTCTGCAGGTTCACGTAGTTCTTCGGCTTGATCGAAGTTGGGGCGGTTTCAGCTGCGTTATCCTTTTGCGCGGTCGTTCCTGGATCAGGCTGCCTCGACATCTTGATCTTTTCAATTGTACCCGTTGGAGCCGGGGCTAATAAACAAGCAGCGCCCGCCGAAGACGACACGTCTTGTGACATCAAATTGTCTTCCTCAATAATCTCCTCGTCTACTTCGACGCTACTTTCGGTGCGCAACGCGGGGCTACCGTCTTCTTCCTCCTCTGGCAACACCACTTCGACCTCCGAGTCTGATCCGCCAGACGTGGAAGAAAGACTGCAAGAGGTGGTCGATAAGGAAGCACATGAAGTGGTAGTAGATCCTCGTTGATTTTTACCCTCTACTCCCGAGGCTTTCCACAGCGTGGAGTCCGAGGAACAGGTCGACGCGGTTTCGCAGTCGGAGGTGTCGTCGAAGAAATTCGAGGTTGTTGTAGTCTCCGCGCCCGACAATCCGGATTTCAGTGTGCTTTTCGTCCTCATGCCGGACAAGTCGGAAGATTTCGCTTTGGACGAAGACAAGGTCTTGTCCAACTTCTCATACCAAGACGTGAACAGCCGGCCGGACGGGGTGTAGATGTTCACGGCCACGAGATTTTGGTGCTCCTGTTCGAGGTTCATCTTCGTGGAGGGTGTAACAGTGAACGGGCCTGTTGTCGTAACAGCTGCGGCGTTTCGCTTGTTCGTGGATTGCTCTGCTTCTTCGCATGATGAGAGAAAATTTTCTTGCATAGTTGCGGTTTCATCCACAGCAGCGGCGGTCGTGTTTTCGACGAAGGCGCTTGCAATCTTACTTGCGGGACTTCCTTTGGGTCCTTCTTCCATTGTCTTGCTTTAGAAGTATGCGTCGAAAATATTGGTTTACGGGTGTGCGACAAGCAAGCAAATGAAATCCGACACTCACGGGTTATCAATGATTGCGTAATTGGGTATGGATGATCGGCCAAACTTGTTTTTCAAGTTCGTAGCTTCCGTGGTTTGTTTACCGATCCAATTACAGTGAGGGATGTTCTTGAATAAGCGTGCTACATCTTGTGAATTTTTTCACATAATTAAAAACGTGTTGGTGTTGGTTGCGCAAAGATATATGATAGATTCTTTTCAATAACTTCTGGTGCAAAAACTGTTATGTGGTATCACAAGCTTGCTGCAGCGAATACCAATTTCAGCGAATACCAATTCGACTTCGAGCCAGGAATAAAAATCGGTTCGATCAGCATCGAAAGAGGCCAAGACGATCGTGGAAATTGCTGATTCTGCATTTCGATTTCGAACATAGTATGATCTTTCTCTTCAGAGTGACATTTTGTGGTCGATCTGCGAGGACAACGGTTGATCACGTTTGCTTCATAACCAACCGAAACAGAATTTTCTTCCGATTCTCTCCAGACTTTCACATTCTTCACTCGGAAAGAACGTTGCATGCGATAGAAATCTGAACTGATTTCATTTGAGTTCCTAATTCATTTTGTTCTTGCTGTTGCGGCACTCCGCTTCAAATGCGAACAACAAGATTTCGCCCATATCAAGTCAGCCGCACTGCAAGACACTTTTTGCGCTTGCCCTGTGGTGTCGAGTGACTAATGCCGGGCATTGTTGAGATCTCAATTTTTGGAAACTTCTCATATACATGATCACCTTTTGATCTTTGATACCAATATCTGCGAGCATAAGAATTCTTGCCTCCCGCAAGTTCTTGTTGCTGTTCTCGCCCTTCTCGGCGTCGTCAGCTTATTTTCACACTACAGAGGTAAAGAAAAAAAGATTCCTACTTTTATTCTTTTTTCGAGGCGGCATCACTTTTCGGTTCAGAAATCTTGCTCGGTGTGAAATTTTCGTATCATTCTCAGTGGTAATTTATAATGTAATTTGACGTAGTACGACGAAATGGAAAATGTGGGAAATCATACCACGAGCCTTTTAAATCCCCATAGAGATCTTTGCTCTTTCGGATGCGAGCGCCCTGCTAGTTACCAGAAACAACATAAAGCTTTTCTACGAGGAGCATAGGCAGCTACGACCCAAATAAGCAGAACAGCAGCAACTCTATCATTTTGACAAATGGATACGGTTGCCACATATCTGCGGGTCAGAGGAAATTTTGGGTTCGGCTTTCTAAACGAGTTTCGTGTTTGCACACGGCCTATCTAAGTAGTATAGGCAGATCGAGTAAGAGTATTAAAAAGTCTGAAGTTTAACTGGGAAGTCTGTTGCTGTAGTAAAAAGTCAAAACCGAATGCGAGTAGGCTGTTATAATTTGAACGTGCTGACGGTCTAAAGTTTAAAGATGGTGTCTATTGCTAGTTAAATTTTGTTTCTGGGTGATACAAAGTATCCCTCCCCGGAAAAAGTTTTCACTCAGCGTAACCGCATTTTCATCATCCATCTTCGACAGTAAAAGGTACTGCAGCTGCTGTTTCATGGTCATCTGTTACATACATATTTTTATTTTCAATGCAAATCTTGTGGACAACATACGGGTAAAGGTAAACCTATACCAAGATGCTCCGATCGTAGTTTCTGTGTACAACTACAAACACAACAGCGGAAGACGCGGAAAGTAGAAAAATAAAAATATCGATAGAGCCGGCATATTATTTGCGCACCATTTACAAACCTCGTATTAATTAATCTTCCAATACGGAACAGCGGCAGTGATTTTCACTACTGCAAACCGTATGTGGTTCCCTACCCCTAGCGAGCAGCACGACTTTGCGAAATAAAAATTCTCTTCTCTCGCATTCGCTGGTACAGGATGTGCGACTTCTTCATGCGAAAAACGCTGCATCGCATTATATGTTAATAACGGTCACAGGACTTCTTGCACACAAACAAGAAAGCTTTTAGGTACGGGCTGGAACGCTGCTGCTCTGGACTTAAGACTGGAGCGGTTGTAACTCAACTGTGAAAGATGCAGCTCAGTCTTACAGTCCAGTACTCAGAGAAATACAACATAAAAGGCATAGAAAAGTAATAACCTAAATCATGCAAAATCAAAAACTATAAAAATGGTTCATTCTCCCGAATACCCGTCACTTTGGGGGCCTCCTCTGTTCAGTGCTCGATCTCGCTTTCCTCGTTGTCGTGGAGGCGGTGGTAATACTGCAACGCCAAGTCTGCAGCGGAGATGATGCGCGCGGCATAGGCATCGACGTGGCTCGCCTGGCTCCCCCGGTCATCGGCCCAACGGCTACGGCGGAGCGGCTCAGCACGTTCAAGTAAAGCCTCCACGAAGTCAAAGTCCTCCAGCTCCCACCGGTAGCTCTCGTTTGCGAGCTTTCTGACGTGGTTCTGAATCTCTTCTATGGTTGCGGTACTCGCGTCCGGGGCTCGCTTCTCCTGGTGTTCCACCATCTTCTCCTTCCCGGTTTTCACGACTGTTTCCTTCTCCAAGACAGACATCTGTTTGTGGTTACGTTGGTTCTTATACGTCGTTGTTTACTTCTTTCTCCACATCAACGTCGAGAAGGTCATGCTCATACAACACAAGACGAAGCAACCAACAAACAGTATCTAGTTCCAATACCGAGCCATCCGCATGCACCACATCGCTCAACGGAATGCCAGTTTGCTCGTCCTCATCCTCGGGGGGGGGGGGGGGATGTTCTGCGTACCACGCAAGTTCTCGTACGCATTGACGCACCACGCTGATTTTTTTTCAGTTTGGTAACATTCATGATATTTGGAACATGTATAATGTATTTCCGAAATATTGCACGCTTCCTCCATTGGAATCATTCAACTCGGCACTTCCATAGATAGCCAGGAACTGCATCCTCAAAAACAAAAACATCGCATGACGTCTGAAAAAATACTTACTCAGATGATCTTCCCCCGGCGCGGTCAGCGGCAAGGCCAGCAACTGCGCCGACACGTTCAAGCGCTTCCCGCACTTCGATTTGATACGCGTCATCTCTCTTATTTCGGCTTGCTCGACTACGTTGCAGCGAGCAGCACAGAAACAGATAGTTTTCCGGTACGAAAAAAAAAACTGATTTGGAGAAATTGTTCGCAAGTTAACATTTGAACGATTTCTAGTGCTGCAGTCTCAAAACAGTTTCTGTCCAGAGTCAGACAGCTCGCATTTGCTTTCCGTGACTTTCGCAGTTGCAACGTATAGACGCAGAGCTGACGGACTAACGCATACCGGTTTCAATTTTTCGACGAGGGTATTTCACGTCACTAGCCACGATCCGGCACTTTGGGGACATGTATTGAAGACGACCCCCTTCTCTCTGTTGTTCCAGATCAAAAATGTGCTTTGTCTACGAGGTAGACTATTCAATGTTGCACAACTTCTATCAACCACGTAGTTTATGTTTATATTTATTCTTCACCTATGTATAGTTTGTAGCAGTATTTTCTGTGTCCTCTCTGACGAAAGCACCGCGCCCGGTAAAAGAATACGAATGTCTTTTTTCACGAACAGCGACGTGTGAGGCAAACCAGAAGCAGAAGAGCAGAGGCCTACTTCGAAAACATGGCCATACAAGAATAGAGACTGAGTGCAGAGAGTTGCCCTCAATAAAACAATGTGGCTATGATACAGGACAACTCTCCAAAGCTGTATCCTAAAATTCCCGCCTCAGCGCGTACACGGCCTCAACGAGAGAGACGCCTGCAGTAAAAATAGCTCGAGCTGAATTACGAACGGATAGCCGGGAAAGGCATTGCCGGATAGCAGCACACAACACGGACGTGCATTCGCCGGAAGCAAGCAAGCGAAAACCCGCATGTTGACCGCGCACAGAAGGCACGCAGTGAGCCGAGAATCGCCGGGCCAGGCTGGGCAGCTGCCACGGCCAAGTTTTGAAAAATCAAGCATGCCGCCCTCCCGTATACTATTTCCGCTGGCGCTCGCCGTCTCCAGTATTTCTTTTTCTTTACACAGGAAAGCAAATTGATTCTTCTTGGAAAACACTTCCAAGCAGTACGAATTGATCCACATTTTCGCTTTCATTTCAAATTTCAAAATTTGTTGTGCGACTCAACACTGCAGCTTTTTGTCCAACTTTATTTTCTACGTGAGAAATAAGCGCTTTGGCTCTCATTATCCTCAGCGTCTCCCACCAAAACCCGCTGTGTTCTTGTTCAAATAGCGATACTCGGTCAGTTCTTCGGAGAACCCGTCCACTAACTTCGTCAGTTTGTCCATTAACTGCAGGGAGTCGCAGGTCGTGCTTCTCGTCTCGGTGCCGTCCTGCATTTCCACGTCGGTGTTCATGTCTGCTTCATCCGTCAGTCGTTGTACACCCCCATCTGGCGCCCGCCCTGGCACGACTTTGCCAAGATTTCTTCGCTCCTCTTTGCAGAAAGAATCCGTGCTCGACGAGGTGAACGCAGCTAGAGCAGGAGAGCCACGGCTATAGAGTAAAATCCGACCGAACCCTTCTCGGAGCCTCCTTTCCCTGCACACCCGGATTCTATCGGTGAGAAGAAGCAGCGCGAGGCTGGCGTTCTCCCGCCTCGCGCGGTCTAGCTTCTGAAAAAGCACCTCCGCGAGCTTCTGGACATTTTTCGATGGGTGCGGTTGCGGTTGCCGTTGTGTCACTCCTGGCGCAGGATAAGATTGCTGGTCGTCAACTAGAACCTGGCCAGCACCGGAAGCAGTTACAGCAGGTACTTCTGGAAGACTGCGACTATACCTCTCGTCCGACACCGCATTCTGCTGGAGGATGTCAGGGGGGCGAGTATCGATATGTTGGCTCTCAGCAGATGCGCGGACGGCAGCGGTTCCGAAACTGGGTGCAAGCGGGGAGTTGTCCGCTGCGAAAAGTTCGTCGTCGCTAGGGAACGTGGTGAGTGCGGGCTCTGAGACGGGAAGCGGGGACATTTAGTTGATACTTCTCGTAGACGAAATGTGCTTGAACTGTTTCAGTCGCAGTAAGAGCTGCGCGGACTGCGGCTTAGTGTAGTAGAGACGCCGAGTATTTCAAGTGTACTCTTCAGAGAGCGCTAAAAAACCTTGCCTTCCAGATTGGTAAGTACAAACGAACATCCCGCTTGACCGCTAACGAAAGCAGACGGCGTATGCTGTCAGGCTGCGAACTGAAAAAGGACACGCCCCGCCGGTCCGCCCGAGATGCGCCTCGTCGCCCCGGCGACGGCGGGCGTTCGCGTTACCACCAGATGCCGGGGCAGCCGCGTCCTGGGCTCGCGCGCAGCGCCGCAGGAGGTCCCTTACCGCAGTGAATTTGAACAGCAGATGAACAATATAGCATTGTGTACTGAAAAAGCTGCAAATACTCCGCAGAGATCCAGGATATCGGGTAAACATCAAGCACGAGTAGGAACACAGAGCAAGAACTCCTCAGTGAAAACTGCTGTAGAAATCACAGCTGGCGACGCATTGCTTCTGATAAATCGCGTAGTTTTTCCAACAACATTCACTGTTCCGTAATACAGAACTGCAGTCGTCTGATACTGATGTGCGGAGCAGAGGACTATCTACACAGGAACGAAATGGCACCGGGTCTTCGTCTTCATCGTCGAAAACCAAATAAGCCACTCCGCGCCAAGAACTGCTTGCCTGCCGACCACCACCAAACGCGGCCTCATCTGTCCTGCAGCGGCTCCGGCCTGTGGTAGGCGAACTTTTCCTTTTTTGGTTTGTCGCTGGGCCGGGTAAAGTCGCCCTTGCCGATGACCGCGATGTTCCGGAAGCCCTGCGCCTCCTCCCGGAGCGGCAGGTTGAACTTGATGTAGGCCTTCAGCGTTTGCTGGAAGTCGAAGTCGTTCAGCTTTCCTTTGGCCTTTTCCGTCAGGAAAATGGGCGCGAGGGAGTGGAACAACTGCTCGTCCTTCAGCCCGAACAGGGCGTACACCGACACAATGTCCGCCAAATGCTTCAAACTGATGGAGTCCTTGCTCATCTGGATCTTCTCGGAGATCTTGTTGAACACCTGCTCCTCCACCGGTTCCCGGTGCGCAATCCCCAGCCCGGCGGCGGCGGACAGATCGTTCTTGCTGGCCAGCGTTTGTGTGTACAGCTGATTAAACTTCGCCACGGCATAGGCCAGCTCGCACACCTGCGCAGATTCCATGTCTGCAATCTGCTGCCCGCGGACGACGTCGTGGTACAAGGTTCTGTTGGTTTCAGATTGAAATAATGAACACTGTATGAAATAAATAACAAACGGACAACATGAAGCTGCTTCTGCAACGAGCAATTGCAATTATGTGCAATGGGACGAAAAACACAACGGATCAACATAGGAAGATCGAAAGGCAAGCAGTAACATTGAGGTACTATATACCTTATCAGTCCCTTGTCCAGAGCCAATTTCTGCAACGCGCCGACATTTGAGATGAAATTCGGGTTCGCGATCAGACTGTTGCTGTACAGCAACATGCAGATCACCTTGGCACTCAGGGTTTTCAGCTCGTCGCCATTTGCCGCGGTTTTGCTTTTCAGCATCTCTTGGAGCTTCAGCATGCAGTTCTTCTCGCCGCTGGTTGGCTCGAAGGTCGCTCGATTTTGAAACGGCACATCCAGAAGGTGGACCTGAAATTCAATTTGTGCAAGGAAGAACTTTTACTTATCTAAATCATGCATGCGAGGACCGAATGAATTCGCAACATACTAGCCCAGCCTGTGCTGGCCTCTTCGCATGACACGATGCAAAAACGCAATAAAATCATCAACCCTATCAGTACCTTCACCACCGCGTAGAGTGCTTTGATCAAGTCGGCCGTGGTTTTTTCTTTCAAATTCTGCGTCAACCCGATCTCAATGGGCTTCATGAGGTGCATGACGTCGATCCACTCCGGCACATTGGGGATAAACTTGTCCGGTGGTCGGTTTCTTATCTTCATCACGCTGGTGGGCCGTGCCCGGTCTTGCACGAGTCGCTTCGGAATGACCCGAAACCGGTCGTTTTTCTCCTGGTCGCCGCCCGCCTTGTCGATGTGAACGATGAGGTCCTGCGTCAGGGGTTTGGTGAACAGGATGGAGTAGAGCTGGATCTGTTCCTTGTAGGGGATGTGCCGGTGCCGGTGGATCCAGATCTTCTCGATAATCTTCATGCCGTGCTTGAAATTGGTCGCGGATTCCATCTTGCGCAGTTGCGCCTGAAACCCGGTGGTAAGCCACTCCTCCACCGCGGTCCCGTTCCCGTCCACCACGGGCACGATCGCGTTCCCGGTGACCGCCTTCTCGCCGTACCTGGCCAGCGCGTCGTACTGGCTGTGGATCATGTCGTCGTCGGTGGGGAGCTATCAAATGCAAAAATGTCTGGGTCTGGAAGAATGCAACTTGTCATGCTAAATCTGAATTATGTAAAGATCTGTGTTGCATGATTGCCAAAAGCTGTCAACTTCTGACCTAGTCGAGAGGCAGTTTCTCATGCAGGATAGGCATGATAGAACTCTCGCAGAATCTGTCATGCTCTGTCCTACACACCAGACCTCATCGGTCATGGAAAACCTGCATGACACGTCTGGCACTCTTCCAGACCCAGACATTTTTACAGTTGATAGGAGCTTCTTGCCCTGCGCCCGCTCCTCCTCCGTCAAATGCGGCAGGCCGGCGGCCAGCGGTACGCTCGCGATGGCCGGGTGCACCCCGCCGGGCCAGGCGGTCGGGTGCTTTTTTACCGGCTCGGGCGGGTTTTGCCCGTAGCCCGTCGCTGACTTGAACCTTTTGGCGTTGGCCTCCAACACCGCGGGGTCCTCGCCCTCCATCTCGCGCTTCTTCTGCAAAATGGTGAACATGGCGGTCTGCTGGGTCTCCTGGGCCTTTTGCCGCTTCGCCCGGATCGCAGCCAGCTCGTCGTCCAGTTCAGTCATGATTTTTTTTCGGATGGGGAAAAGTCGCTGAAAGTCGTCGTCCTGGGAAAGAACGAGGGGGAGAGGGTAGTGAAATACAAGTAACGCCACTGCTCGAAAAATAAGTAAAACGAGCGCGGCTTCTACACAGGAGGGCTGAAAAACGTCCAGGTGGACATGCTGGAACTGAATAAAACCGCTCCGTAAAACATGACTTGTTCTTGGCGCTTCAAATGTTGTTTCACTCCTGTGGGTTGTTTGGGTCTAATTCAGGCGAGAGCGTAAAATTGATCCAGCAAATGGGTCCTTGTAACATCAAATAATTCGGTTGCTTGTAGTGATGCACAAAAAAAAAATCAAAATTCAGCTGCGTTTTTGATCCAGAAAGCTGTGCCTTTTGCAAATTTTTGGGATGGCCTTCTTTTGATCCATAGCAGCACGGTTGTTATTTCGAGCTGTCTTCAGAATTCCCAGAAACACGCTGTTGACACGATTTGTCGACAAACACGGACACGGAGATCAAATGGCTATTAAATTCTTTGAATTTTCGTTCTGCAATCTTATTTTCGATTGGGGCAATAGAGATTCTGTTCAGGTGTGGTGCGCCGGCGTAGAAGGGTCTGTTTGTTCTTTTGGAGTAAATTGTACAGGTTAAGGTATTTTTGAATAGAGGAGCGCAATTCGAGTGTGTAAGATAGTTGTTTGTTTATAGGTAGCCGCAAAGGACAAGGACAGGTACAATTTCGAGAATCGGCACGACATTGATTCTCGCTTAGAGTCAACGCTACGGTACAAATCCTCAAACTTTAATTTCATCTAGCAAAGACGTCGAAGCAGACACATTCTTCTCAACGATGTCAACTTGTATCTACATTGCAAGTGCAATCTTGCTGGTCGTGTGCTGGTGTCATATTTTTGTACAGCCTCAACAAATTCTTGGAAGTTAGTAATACGAGCAAAAGTTGATACTTTTTTAAAAGAAGTTTCATACAATGCGTCAACGATATACAGCTTCGTGGAGCAGGAGCGGAAAACTGATTTACAGATTTCCATTTCTCTGCAAGCGAAATTTGATACAATAACGTTTTTTCAATTTTACGTATAGGTTTTCAAATAGCACAACCTCGAGCAAAGTGCTATAACAAATGTAAATCTTTATTTTATTGTACAGAACTTCTGGCGAATCTTCTTTCTTCTTTTTTGGTGCAAATACACCATTTTTCCGCAATGAATATCTTCACTTGATTTTCTGAATCAACTGCGACCAGGCGTCCGACCCGATCCTCCTTCTCCTGTCCGCCCGGCTTTCGTGCACCAACGCCGCGATGTCGATCACCTTCGGGATCAGTTTGCCGCCCCGGGTCGTGTATCAACTGTAAAAATGTCTGGGTCTGGACGGTTGGAACTTGTGATGCTAAGTAGTGCGTCAGGAGTGCGTTTGTCATGCGAAGTAGGCATCAGGAAGCCCTCTAAAAATCTGTGATGCTAGGTCGTGCATTACAGACATCCTGGGTCATGCAAAACATGCATGACAAGTCTCAGAATCTTCCAGACCCAGACATTTTTGCATTTGATATCGTGATTTCCTGGACTCTCCGCACCCCCTTTTTCTGGCCCGGACCCCCGGCCGAGGGTCGGCCCGCAGCGCTCACACCGGACACCCGGCCCGGTCCGCCGCCGGCGCCGACCGAGAACCGGCTGCGCCGCCCCGTCGTGGATTTTCGGGTCGGCATATGAAAGTGCACAGCTTCCCCTCCCCCTCATTTGAAAAGCATGAGCAGCAATACAAACACCATCACCAGCACACGTGGAGCCTGTGCATGGCAAATTCATACTGTTTGGCCTTCCAGAATCTGTCATGCAGCGAGTGCGACAGGGCAGCAGTACAGTTGGATTTGGGGTTTTGCATGACAAATGAGGGGGACGAGGTGGAGTTGTGCACTCTCATACGGAAGCGGGCCGAGTTGCCGCAGCTGCATGATCTCCTCCGTCATCAACTCCTCCAAGGGAGATTCCAGCTGGAGGACCTCCCGAAAGCCCTGGTTCTGCCGGATGTCGAACAAGATCGGCAAAAAGGTCTTCACCGGCTCGTCGTAGCGCAGGTAGGAAGTTTGCTTCCCATCTTCGTCCAACACCGGCTCGCACATGGCAAGCAACCTGGGGTACGTAGGGGTTGCGATTTACTCATAAACAGTGTTGGCACGATGAGAAACCTAGCTCGGATTCGATTTTCTTCATCGATCGTGCACAAAAACCGAAACCGAGGAAAAATAAAGCTAAAAAAACTGGTTGTTCACAACTACAAGCAAATTATACCCCGCCTTCTCACTGTCTAGCAACCCGCCATCTTCGATGTACACGTCCCAATCACCCAACAGCAACGCCGCCACCTCGTCCTGTCGCATCATGCCCTTCCGTTCCGAATCCGCTACCGAAAACTGCGCCATCAGGGCTCGTTCCACCACTTCCAGGTTGTCGCGCAATTCCAGCGGCACAAACTTCTCCTTGCGGTTCGCCTCCTCGTTACTCGCTTTTGGGCTCGCACCGGAAAACTGCTGCAGTTCCTCCATTTCCTTCCGCTTCCGCTCCGCTTCCAGCTCCAGCGCCATGGTGACCCCCTTTTGGTAGACCGCATCCTTGTATCAACTGTAAAAATGTCTGGGTCTGGAAGAATTCATGTTTGTCATGCTTGTCTGGCATGACTTTTAAATCTGTCATGCACGTTACCCAAGAGCTCCGTTTTTCTGTGATGCAGAAGCGCACTTTGTCATGCAGAATAGGCAACACCTAGGAGCTCAGAAACTTGTCATGCTGAGCCAGCATTTGTAGCCTCATCATGAGACGCCACCCAGCATCACAAGTTTCCAGACCCAGACATTTTTACATTTGATAACTTGTCGTGCCACTGCTGCACGAGACAGAAGAGGATGTCGAACGCCTCTATGGATTGTAAAAATGTCTGGGTCTGGAAGGATGTGAGCTTGTGATGCGCATTTCACAACACAGACAAATCTCTCATGCATAGGCAGCAAAAGGTGTCCATTTCCTGTCACCAAAGTGGGGGATTTGTAATGCCGATTAAGCAATGCGGAAGCTTCTCGAAATCTGTGATGCTAGGGCTTCCAGGACAGACATCCTGTGTCATGCAAAAACAGCATGACTCTTCCAGACCCAGACATTTTTGCATTTGATAGCCTCCTCAATGTCCGTGAAGCCGCACTCCAGCCCGGCATCCTTGGTGACCGGGGTCATGCAGCCGATCACGAACAGCTCCGCGGCGGACAGCCACACCAGCTTCTGCTGCATCAACGGCCCCAGCACCTGCGCGCGGTAGGTCCAGATCGGAATCCGCGCTTTGAACGACCGCACGATCTCGATCAGGGAGTGGCGGACCTGCGCCAGGTTGTCCGGCCAGTAGAAGGTCCGCGCGGCGCGCAGGTAGGCCAGATTGTCGTGGAACTCCGTGAAGTTGATGAAGGTGACCGGCCGCTTCTTGTTCGGCTTCGCGGTCGCCATCGGACTGTCCAGGGACCCGTTCAGAAACGTGTTGTCCGCCTTGGACTTCGGTGACATGTTATCAAAAGGAAAAATCCCCCCTCCCCATATCAAAACGAAGTTTCTGATGCTGGATTTGCGTACACAAATCAGATCTGTCTTGCTAGAGACGACTGCAGGCATATGCCAAGCCTCAGTCGGGAGGTGTTGGCGTAGGCGCCTAGCATGGCAAACGCGTATGCTCTAAGCCCAACAGCATCACAAACCGCCTGCAGGATGCGGAGCGCTTTCTGGACTTGCCTTCTGGCAAGACAGACAGGATTTGAGGTCCCAAATGCGCATCACAAATTTTCAGACGGGTACGTTTCCGATATGGGGAGGGGGGACTTTTCCTTACGATACATGTCGAAGGAAATCTTGTTGTTTTTCTTCTTGTCCGCGGGGACCGGGCTGTCCTCCTCCGGGGACCGGAACAACACCCGCATGGGCATGATTTGCAGCAGTAAAGACTTCTCCGGCTCCGAGATCCGGGTGTTCAGCTGGTCCAAGACGAATTTCAACCGGTGTCGTTGCAGCAACTCCGGGTGCGCGGAGTCCGCCAGAGGTTCGCACTTCTTCTGAATCAGCTCGTGCAACAGGGTCAGCTCGTGGCCTTGCAGCAACGCCACCATCTGCTGCACTTGATCCGCGGTGATGATCACTTGGTCCACTTCTTCATTGTTCGTGTGGTCTACAACCTGCTGCTGCTGCTGGTGTGCCGCCGCCGCCGCCGCTGCGATCTGTTTTTGTTTCAACGAAACCGACTCGTTGTACACGCGCCGGAGCGGCGGCACAATCTTCGTGACCAGCTTTGCGGACCGGATGATGCCGTCGGACCGCAGCTCCGACTCCATCTGGGCCAGCAAAACCCGGATGTCCCACTGCGTCAACGGGCCGGACTTGCAGAACACCGCTTCCAGCATGCGCAACACGTCGCGGAGCGGCAAACTCCCCTCGCTGTCCTCGTCCGCGGCGGCCAGCACCTTGTAGATCGTCTCTTCGACGGTAGTGTCGGTACAAGATTCCAAATCCCGGACCGGCGCGATCGGGTCTGTAGAGGCGACGGTACTCGGACTAGAAAGGGCGAATTGGTGCTCATGGTTGTGTTGAGAAGCGGCCTGTTGGTGAAGAGCAAAAGAACTACCCTGCGTTCCGGCTTTCGGGGACCCCGGTGGCGAAGCGGATTTAAAGGTCCCCGACATGCTGCCGAAAGGGGACCGGGAGTGCAGCAACTTCGACTTGGACGCGCTGGACAAGAACGTGCCGTCCTCTTCGAACTTGCTCGGAATGTTCAGGTTGTAACTCTCGTCGTAACTGTTCTCCGGGACCAACTTCCCCTCCTCCTTCGCCGCTGCCAAGACCTTCTGCTTCACGGCTAACGCCAACTTCGCGTTGAGCGAGAGAATCTTCATCAACCTGTTTAAATCCGCGCCGGCCTGCTTGATCGCGCGATCGTCCATGGTGAACCGGATTTGGTCCAGGTCCGTGTCGAAGTAGATGGTCGCGCGGGTCTGGGGCAGAGACACGGGGGAGGATTCCGTGGGAGCCGTGGAAAAAACCACGCGAAACTCCCCCTTCTCCAGCGTTTCCATCACGCAGGCAGAAAGCCCGTTGGCGCCCGCGGTCCGCTCGAGGACGGAAGTCAGCTCCTCGAGAGACGGCAACATAGTCTGGTAGCAAAGGTCTTTTGCTACTCCAGAACACTGTGACTTACGTTTTCGTCTTTTTTTACCGCAAAAAACTACAACAGATCCGAGTCTGCCTTAACTTTATTGTTGAAAAGTCTTCCTCTTGATGGAGCATGAACCTCCATTTTCTCATTCTTAGCGAACACTTTTTTCGATTTGTTTCAAACGACAGCGATTAACCACGGCCCCTCTCGCGATTTACCACGATTGATTACCAGCGAATGCACGATAGATACAGATCTTTCTCCTAAAACGACGAGAGCGAAAAGGCGACGACAATCTACTTCATTCTTGCTAACCCGGTGGACACGAGCATCATGTTTAATTATCCGAATAAATCGGGGGGTAAAGTAACTAGCAGTGTTAGTAGAGGACCTGTTGACTCAACATTCATAGAATTTCACAAAATTTCGCGTAGTGAGTGAGAACATTCAAGATTGGCGCTTCACGCAGATTAAACCATGCATTGAGACCGACAGTCCACATCGCATCTCTGTTCCTGTTGCGGAACCTATCACAAGCGCTGCTGCGAGCCAATATGCTTTGTAGCTCGCTAGCCCTTGGTACGCGCGGCGCAACGAGGACCCCCGTGTAAGCAAGTAAGCAGTCTCTCTTGTCTACCAGACGAACCCGGGAACCAGCCATGTTGGCGTTGCATTGAAGTCTTTCATCAGCTTGGAGACTAGCCCTTTCTTCTCCTCCGACCGGAAAAGACTACAAAAACCACTTCCACCCTCGCCATCCTCCTGCGGTCCGACGGTTGTCAGCCCCAATTCCTCGTAGTGCACGCCGCCGACCAGCCAAATGGAATCTATCCCGGCGTTGTTGGCCCCGGTTACGTCGTGCAGGAGAGAATCCCCGACCATCGCGATCTTCGCTTTTTTCGTGATTCCGAACTGTTTCTCCAAAACGTTCTTCAAGGCGAAATTGTACATGTTATCGTGCGGCTTCCCGAAGTACAACACCGTGCCCCCGAATTTTTTCTCGTACCGCCGTGCGAGAAACCCGCCGACCAAGTCAAAGGTTTTGTCCTTCCTCGGTGCGGAAATCAAATCTGGGTTCACGCACACGAGCGGAAGATTTCTCTCCTTCGCTTGCTGCAAGATTCCGTTTACCATTCCGATTTCTTCTCTGACTGTACTACTAGTGGTGCTTCTACCTGATATGGACGGGGACCTTTCATCTTCTTGTTCTAGCAGCAGACTCTCCATCTTTTTATCCAGACTTTCCAGACTCGCGTCGCCGCTATGGTTGAAGGGAAAAGTGAGCTTTTGCTTCACTTCATAAGTCGTGCTTGATGTAGCTGGTGTTGTAGTGGCAGCAGCTTCTTGTTGTTGTTCACCATCACTGATTTTTCTTTCCGCCGTGGTGGTTTTCGTTTTTTTACTCTCCACGTGCACCCCTCCGAGTCCGATCACCAGCACGAAGTCTGCGTCTTCTACTTTTTCCACAAATTCCAATTTTCCTTCCAGGCCCTTCATGAACTCCGGCAAATACCCGTCCGCCACGTCAAAAACAATCGCCTTTTTCCACTCCGGCTTCACTTGGTCGTGAAAAAAATGCCAGCATAGTTCTCCCGAGGTCACCATGTCGTGAAACTTGTCACTGTCGATTTCCGGCATCTTCTTCTGCAGACGCGCTTTCGTGGCTGCGGTCCGTTTGGTCGAGTTAGACAACAGAACTAGCTTCGTCTCGGGGGTGGAGGTGGACCCCCTCCTCAGCTGTTCCAAGCAGTTGGCGACCCCGGGAAAAATCGTTTTCCCGTCGTGCAAAACGCCGAATTGGTCGATCAGCAAGGCGTCGTAGCGGCCCGGGACTATTGCAGACAGGCCGGCAGCGGGGGTCGGGAGCACAGAGGGAGATGCTGGTGCAGCTGCAGTTGTATGATGCAAATTTTCAACATCTTCGTTCTGCATGTTTTTGCGGCTAAAAGCTCCTGCTGCCTGCGACAAGGACAAAGTTGTAGATGAACCTGCGTTATTGCAACTGCTCTCCGGACCGGCACCATCGAGAATTTCAACCATTTTCGAACTCTATTTTTCGTCTTCTAGCAGCCGTAAAGCGGTGCCCACTGCCGCTGCTCCTGTGTGGCAGTACTAAATCACTTCACAACTACAATCAATGCTCACTACACATCACCACAAAGTTGCAAATTACCCAAGAATGTGAGTAGTGCCACTGCCAACATGGAAAAGGCTTTATTCTTAAGCAGCTTTTTCAGAAGCTGCTCTCCACTTCTGCATCCCTCAATTCATGCGTCAAGGACCAGCACTCAACGCAGAAATCGTCACTCTCGCAAACTGAGTCTGCACGCTGCAGCAGTATTGCTACGTTTGCTATCCGGCTCATACTGAACAGGCATGGAGGACCTCGTTCCCGCTGGAGTCACGTACTTATTCCCGCCGCGTGACAGCTTTTATTTCCGGCGGACCAGTACAATGCAATTTCGTTACAGAAATAAGAGAAGTTATCGAAACTCAAACTTTATTCTTAAGTGGAAGATCATCTCTAGATACGTGGCAAACTCAAAGGAAAAGCAAAAGCAATAGGCACTACACAAATGAATATTTTTCGGCCAAGAAACCACGAAGAAAACGTCGACGGCAACGTCGACGTACTACGCCTAGTGGAAACGGTCCTGCTAGTAACAGCAAAAAAAAAAAAGTGAACGTATCCGTGGGACTGCACAGTGCATGAGAGGTATCGTGGTTACTGCTAAGCTCTGATAGATACTCGATCTGCATTATCAGCCACACGGCGCTCCGGCGTATCCCATGGCAGGTGGACTGCAGACGATGTACACCACCTTCGTTCGTCCTCGCAGCTCCTCTACACAAGAAGCTTTTTTCCTGTCAGGCATTCGTATTTCTGACACGGAGCAGCACACCTACTTATTCCTGAATTCTTCTAGTGAAGACGATCGCATCCAAGGGCGGTTTGAAAATTTAGGAACACAGCGGTAGCGCAGCCGGCTCCTGATAAGCTGCCCCGCCCCCGTAGTAAATCTTCCGGTCGAGCAAAAAATCTTGGATTACGCCGAAAAACTCGTTCTCAGACTTGCTGCTGTTCGCGGTATCGATCAGCATGTCGACCACAGCGGTCGCCTTTCCCGGCGCCCGCATGCCCGGAAACCTGGTCAGCCAAGAAGCCACTTTCGGGCGGAAGGATCGTAGCGCGTCGTTGTCTCGGTCTTGGTTTTTCCAGGTGATTTGTCGGAGAAACTTCCGGACAAACTTGACCTGAAACAGCAGCCCGCCCCCATGCTCGCCGTCCGTGAGCACCTGGAGCACGGCTTCGAACAGTTCCCAGTAGTGGCGTCAAAAGAAAAAATCCCCCCTCCCCATATCAAAACGAAATTTCAGATGCTGGATTTGGAAACACAAATCAGATTTGTGCTGCAGTAGAGGAATGCACGCAGGTCCTGAGCCAAGGCGGGGGCCTCTTGGTGCAGGCGCCTAGCATCGTAGACGGCTCATCTGTAAGTAGGCCTTAAAGCATTACAAATCGCGTGCATAGCGTGGCGGACAGACTGAGTGTGCCTTCTTGGAAGACAGATTTGTGATCACAAATCTGCATCATGAATTTTCAGACGGATGCGCTTTCAATATGGGGAGGGGGAATTTTTTCTTGCAATAAGTGCTTTGACTCCTTCAGTTGCTGTTGCCAAGTTGGGGTCGAAGCGGACGCTGCAGCGCATGAGGAAGAAGAGGAAGCAGCGCTCCCCGCACAAAAACGACCGCTGTTTTGATCAGCACTTGTCGTACTACTTTCTTCGACACAAGAAGTCATCCCGACACCGTCCAGAACCTCCTCCAGCAGTTCGAACAGCTGCTTTTGCAACTCGCCGGACCGCTCGACCACAACGGCGTCCTTCACAAAGATCAGCACCGCGGAAATGACGTCGTACGCTTGGGCCGGGGTCAGAAACTTGCTAGTATTTTGATGCTCCAAAGAGGGGGCGGTTGTTCCTGGGGTTCTTGCGCCGTTGATGTTGTTCGTCCGCCCATGATTTTCTCCATAAACCGAAGAGGATTTCAACTTCTGGTGCTCGACGTTTACCACCTATGACGGTGCACAACTCCCCCTCCCCCTCCAAATCCAGTTGCTGAGCTACCTTGTGGCACCGCGTGCATAACAAATTCCGGAAATCCAAACAGTACTACACCAGGCGCATGAATTTGTCCCGCATACCCGACTGCGCCACTTCAAAAACCTTTGCACCGTCGCCGCAAGCAGCTTCGGACGCATGAATTTGTCATGCACAGGCTCCACGTGATGTGCTGGTGTTTGTATTGCTGGTGTTCATGCAATACAAATGAGGGGAAGGGGGAGTTGTTCATTGTCATACCACCAATGGACTGCTGGCCGCGGAGGAGGTGTAGAGTAACTTTTTCCCGCAGGAACGGTGCAAAGACTTCACAAAGTCGATCAGGGAGTCACCGCGGAACATGCCCTTGGTCGCCTGGTACAAGGACACCGTCGGGACGGCAACTTTCTGCACGAGTAAGGTGAACCACTCCGCTTGGCAGAACTGGTCGGAAGAAGCCGCGAACAGAAGGAGAATTCTCTCCTGCAGCTCACTCCCAATCTTTCGCTCGCTGTCTTCCGTGGCTTCAAACAGGTAGTTGTTGGTTTTCTTCTCGTCCGTCTGAATTCCGCGATACTGCAGTAACCCGGAGGGAGATTGGTAAGCTCCTTGGGGGTCCTGCGTTTTATATCAATTGTCATGCGGCGGTTGTGGTCGACCCACAAAAGAACTTCTTAATGTTTATTTACGAAGAATTCAATATGTCGAATGTTGACGAAGAACAACATTTTACCTCTAAACAAAGTACCCGGAAATAATGAACTACAAACCGAAACCTCTCCTATAGTACCGGAACCCCCAGCCGGGCTGCTTCGCGTTTCAACATGCTTTCGTACTCCCCAATTACCCCCTGCAACACCTCCACTAAAGGATTGGCTTCCAGCACGCACCCGTGCAGACCGTCGTCGGGGCTCGAAAACCCGGCATACTGGCTTTGCGGAGCGGAAAAGTCCACCGCGCTGCCGTTGCTAAAGTAAGCTCGCAAACTGCTCGCCGCGGTAAGGAGTTCTAGCTCTTGCAGTGGGAAGAGCGATATCGCCGGCTGGTAGAAGTTCAGTAGCGCGACTCGTAGTTTGTGATAAGCCCCACTGAACAATTCCGACGCAACGTCGTGCGAAAAGTGGTGCAGAAAAAACAGCCCGGGTGCCTCCTGTGTGTCGCTGGTGCTGTCCACCTGCTGCTCTTGCTGCATCATATTACCACCGAAGAGATCCGATGATGGCCTAGGCTCATCTTCAGGCAGCAACACCATCGACTCGCGGCTACTTCTACCCCCCTTCCGTATCCCGACTCCACTGGCCCTCGGCCGAAAGGCCCACTTGTTTCCCAGCCCAGCTTTCGCGATAGTGATGCGAAGGTAATCGCGGATCACATTGCTCACGAACGTGTTGCTTTTGAAAGCGGAAGAGGCAGCTGCACCAGCTGTCGTCTCGTCCTGCTGCTGTGGAGGAGGAGACCACCCTGTTGTTCCACCACCACCACCATCTCCGGATAGAGAGGAAAAGGACGGTGCTGTCTGCGGATAAAAATTCCTTCCACCTCGACTGTTCGACTCACTGCCCCAAGTAGAGTGGACATCAGAAGAAGTATTCGTTTCCTCATTGGAAATTATCGCCAACGCGGGCTGGATCAAGCCTTTCTGCAGAATCTGCAACAACATCGGGATCCGGGTTTGGAGCAGAAAACGAACTTTCTGGCGGGTCACCGGAGCAGCAGCGGCGTTGCCACTCCTTGTCCTTCCATGATGCCGGTCACTGAAATGACCATGACCACCCCCATGACCTCCGCGAGTAGACATCATCATTTTGTCGTTGAAGTAGCGGTACACAGTGTTCGCAGCATCCACCAACTCCTCCGTTACCGGGTCGTACACCTTTTTCAGTGCATTTCTGAAGAACTCCGCGCCCGAGTTGTGCGCGTGGACGTGGTTGTCGTCCAGCACCTCACCGGTCGTCATATTGATTCTACTTCCCAAGTTGTTCATAGGCAGCTGGTCTTGATGTAGTAGTCCTCGCGGTCCACCGCCTGGCGTTCGACTCAACCCGCCATTGAGCAGGGTCAATTCCCGCGCAGTGCGGATGATGAACTGCGTGCAAAACTCGAAGTAGTACAGGGTCGGTGCGCAGTTTCTGGTTGATGTACTGCTCCCGGAGGAAGAGTCTGTGGTTCTGGAAGTAGTGGTTCTGGCACAGCAAGAACCAGATGTAGTCGTGGTCTTATTGTTCATCGTCCCGGTCTGTAGCATTTCGTCTCCTGCGTCATGGTCGTGGTCGAGAGAAGTGCTGTAAAACGGGTCCTGGTCTTCCATCTGCACCCGTTTGTTGTTTTGGTTGCGCAGCGTCTCCATCGTGGACCACCGGCCCTCGTCTTCTTGTTCCGGGGGGTCCAGGAGTCCTCCCTGCTCCTCGGCCAATTCATCAACCTCCTCCATGTCGCCGAGCGAGGCGTCAACGTCCTCCATCCCCGACATTGCAGATCCGACCGACCGAGTCCGACCCAGCCCAAAAAACCTGGACGAGCTTGCGGTTGCTCCTGCCAACATCATTCCGGTTGTACTAGCACCGAACCCCCCGCCGGGACCAGGTTGTTGTACTGCTACCCGCGGGGGTCCACCAGGATAGGAAAAGAATCCCAGTGCGGACAAGAATTGAAAATGCGGGTTGTCAGGGCCAGAATCTACTTCCCGGGGATGTAAAGAAGATGGTCCGACTGGGTGGTGGTCGTGGAAAGTAGCAGTAGAGCTGCATCCCGGAAGTAGTTCAACAGTTTCGTCTACGGAGAGTATGGGGTAGAAGTAGCGGAGAAATCCGAACACCAGTGGAGATTCTTGGTTCGTAACCGCCGCCACGTTTAGGTGGGGTGCCAAAGCCGCCATCGTGCGGAACGGCTGTACCAGAACTACCCCCGGCTTTGCGGAGGGTAGTTCTTGTGCGGACGCAACTCCTACTGCAGAGGCCGTGGTTTCCTGCGATTTCGCTTTTTCAGCACTCGCCTTCGCCAAGTCCATCACCTTCTGCATGGCCGCCGGGACCGTGTGCGTGGTCCCGTAGTCCTCGTTTCCCAGTTCGGTTGCGAACGACTCGAGCAGGTGCATGAGACAAGCATTGGCCATCAGTGCGTACTGCTCGAGCAGCTGCAACTGCTTCTGCTGCTGCGCCTTCTGCGTCTGCGTGGCGCCCGGCGTGGTCCTCGTAGAAGACGCGGCCAGGCCGGCCGCCAAAGTGGCGCGGTTCCGGATGTTCGCCGCCGCTTGCGCAGTAAACACCTGCATCTTCGCGGCGATGTCTAAAACCGGCTGCATGGCGCTCACGAGCACCGTCCTCGCGATCCGATCCTCCTCGTGCGATCGGTGGGTCAGCCGGGCCGCACTTCTTGCTCGACTGCCCGACCGGGGAGGGGGGATCTGCGTGGTTGTTCTTGGATTTCCGCCGGTCGGTGCTGACGCAGCTCCACCTCCCGCACGAGGAGGCCAAGAACCGGAACCCGTATTATTGTTACAACTACCTGCAGCAGCAGCGGAAGCAGAGGCTCCCGAGCCTCCGTCTTCTACACCGCCTGCGCCGGCGGAAAAATCGGAGGACAGAGATGTCGCCGTCTCCGTCCGGGTGACGAATTGCGTTCTCTCCTGTGCGGAGGTTTCGTCATCAACATCTCCCGTTGCAGTAGCCCTAGTCCCTTGATGTCGTCGTTCGACTTGCACCCCAGTCATATCCGCGAAGTCTCTCGCATTCCAACTGTTCCGGCGCGGGAAACCGGTCCGATGCTTCTGGCCGAGCGTGCCGACACAGGCGATCACGCGCTGCAGCTTCTTCAATAGGTTGAACAGATTCGAGCCCCCCCTTTTGCTGTCGATGAGTTCATCCGCCTCCCCGCCGCCGAAACTGGCGCTGCTATCCCCGCTCGCCTGGCGCGAAAACGTCTGCATTTCTTCCTCGATGCCCCTTTGGAGAAGCGCCAACTCCTCCGCGATAATAACGCTGGCGAGCCACGGGGCTCCGACGGCTCCGGTGCTCGTCGCGTCCCGCACGGTCAGCAATTCGTACAGCAGCGCCTGCATCATTTTCGCTTGCGCGTTGTTGGTCTGCAGCGGCCAGGTTTGCAGCATCAAGGACAACAACTGTTTCGCGCGGGACAAGTGCTTCACCAGGGGCCCCCGCGACCGCTCCACCGAGGTCAGGCTGGTGCCGTACTCCACGAAAAACTGGATCGCGAGTTCTAGCAAGTAGTCGATCTCTTCCACCGTTCGCGCACTCGGGCTATCGTCCGCGTCGTCGTGCTCGGACGGAGAGGAGGCCCCCGACGCCGGGGCTGCACAGCTAGAGTCGTTGAACCGCATCTGGTCGAAAGTCTGTAACAAATTGTCGTCCGTCGAGGCAATCAAGCTCGATCGGGAGTCGATCGAGGTGGAGGTCGCCGCTTCGGCGAGGTTGCGGTACATCGCCAGCATGAACACAATCCCCGAAGACCCCAGGTCGTACGGCAGGGACCGGCGGAGACGACGGTTCCGAAACACCATGCGCTGCTGCGTCCTGGCGTCCGGCGCGGGAGGAGGCGCAGAAGTGCCAGGCCCGCCAGCCGCGGGGGCTCCAGTAGTTGTACCCGCATGCGAAGGCGCTGTCGCGAAACCTGGCGCCGCAGCGGTCGCAAAAGCGGATGCCCCCGCGGAAGATGCATTGGGGTAGAAGTTGTGGCATGCGGCATTTGAAGATGTAGTTGCTGGCCGTGTAGAAGTAGTTCTACTGCCAGAACCACTTCCCGCGAACCGGAACCCTGGCGGCGGTTGCAGACACGCTCCACCATTTTCTCCGCTGTTGCAGGGGGAAGTCGCATTCCCCATGCTCGCATCAGCATCACCAGACGCTTGTTGAGAAAAGGGCGGAAAGAACACGCCGGCTCGCGTCCTTGTTGCCGGAGTGGCAGGCGGAGCAGCCGCCTGGTAGCTTGTTGCGCCGCGCTGTGGTGTTGTAGAAGTGGCTGCTGGTGCTGCACTGTGCGCGACTACTACTGGACTTGCGTCCATTTCCGTGTCAGCCATATCGCCGTCTTCAGGTTGCCTACTGCTCCTCTGCTGCTGGTGTTGTTGTTGTTCGCTTTGCCCTCTACTACTTGGAGTTCCAGCCGTACTAGCACCCCCGCCACCGCCTCGATTGGAGTGAAACCTGTCGGCGTCGGCGACCGGGACTTGGTAGGCGTTTGAGAAGAACATTTGCGAAACCAGCTCCATCTTTACCAACAACAGCTGTTTCGCCAAGTCGCTCGTCAATCGGTCCCACTTGCGGTGCATTTTCGGCCTCGGCCCGTGGGCGACCTTGTCCTCCTCTCCGTTGGTGTCGAACAAAGCCACAATTTCCCTTTCGGTTCGTCGCCCTAAATCATGACTATGCACTAGAAAGCCGTCCTCGTGTGCCGCAGACGTAACGAAAAAGTTCATCTGCATAGAAGTAGATCTATGCATTGGAGTGATATGAACTACACCAACAACAAAGATTTAAACACAAACGAGACTTTGTGCTGTAGCTCTAGTAGGTGGTCCTAAAAGCAGGCTGCTGTAGTACAAAATTTTGTTCGTTTCTCGCTTTGTGCGCCTGCGAACAAACTCGGATCTACTTATGCATCGGGATATTCGTACCCAGTAACCAGCTCTTGGATGAGCATTTTCTGAAAGAGTTGATCCCGCACCGCGTTGAGCAGTTTTCCCTCCCGTTCCGCCTGTTTGCGCACCCGTTTCGACCGAAAAATTGTTCGCCGCCGATACAGCAGCGCGGGCGTATTTACTTGCGTGAACACTTTTTCGGACACCGCTAAAAGGATGATATCCAGTGCAAACGTATCGTAGTCGTACCAATTGCAGTTATGCAGTACAAATCTAGTGGCTGTAGGTAAATTCGCATTATACAAATTTACATTTGTGTTTCTGCGCCAGTTTGTATTGCAATTCATACTAGTACGACACTTTTGCAGTTCATAAATGAACAAAGACTGCAACCGGAGCTCGGAGTCCTCGGCCCAAAGCGCCGGACGATGCAAAATCGGCAGGAGTTGCTGGACGAGCAACAGCACCTCCGCGTTCTTCGTCAGCGGCAAGTCCGGCCCAGTGTCATCCGGATCCACGTCTTCCGGTTCATTATCCTGAGTAAAGACGTCCTCGCAACATAGTGGTCAAGATGGGCAATCTGCTATACAAATTAGCCAGCTTTGGCTGTTGTGCATGACATAAACAGACTGCGCCATGACAAGTTTGGCCTCGTAGTGTGATCCTATTTAGCTGGTTCAGAAGCATCACAGATGTAGCATATCATGCTTATTGGAGCATGACAAATTCTGAAATACGACTAGAAAAGGTTTCTCATTGGGCTCCGCATGAGAAATATCATCAGCATGCAGCTTTGCATTACAACCATGCTGGGGTGGGGACGTTTTTAAACATGATACTCATATTCCTCTTGTTCCGGAGAAACATTTGATATTGAGTCTTCGCCATTATTTTCCGGCACAGAGGCTGTTGAAACAGGATCCTCGTTCATCGCAGTAGAGTTGTTCTTGGATGAAGTTGTATTTCGTTCGCGTGCTTTTTTACTTGCCATCTTCATTTGCTCCTCGGGCGTGAAATAACCGGGGTCAACGACTGAATTTTCCTCCTGCTCAATGTCAAAAACCGAGATCAGCAGCAGGATGCCCTGCGTCGCGGGGAACACCAATTTCCGGATCAACGCGCGCTGCAGCTGGTTCTCCGTGTACTGTTGCAGAATCCCCGTCAACAGCTGCCACATCTGTAACCCGTTTCGCGTCACCAAGTGCTTTAGGTTGGCCGCGTGAACCGACAGCGTTCGTCTCGCGGCGAAGGCGACGGCAGCGTCCTTCGATTTGTTTTTGTTCAGAAAGCTGCTACTGCTTGTTCCGGAATACATCTGCCGGGTGTTCACCTCATCCAATTCGAGGGCGTTCATGGTTTCTTCGAGGAAATTAATCAAAAAGTTGATGTTCGCCTCGCAAAGGTTCAAATCATAGTCCATGATCTGCTGCCCCGAATTCTCGCCCCCCGATGCGGGGGGTGGAGAAGGAGAAGGAGAAGACAAACCACCAGAATTGTAAATCGGCACCCGGCAAGAGTCTAGGGTCGCGAAGTGCCGCAAGACGTGGTCGCCAACGGTGAGAAGAGGAGAGCCAGAGCCTGCAGCCCCGGAGCTGCCTGCTCCTGTCGCGGCCGCTGCTTTAATCTTGTTCATGTGGCTGTAGTTATTGCCGTCCAGCCGCACAATCTCCATCAGCACCTGTGCGTTCAGCCGGGTCAGGGCCCGTCTTTCGGGTTCCGACAATGGCGCCCAGGGGTTCTTGCGTCCGAGCGTGATGTCTTTCGACCATTCCAACGTTTTCTCCACAATCCGCGGGTGATCCAGCACATCGTGGGAGGAGTCGCCGTTCCGGCTCGGAAAAAACGACGCGCCCAGGGTATTCTGTATAAACATGTCCCCACCTCCCCAGAGTAATCATGCAGATTTGCGATCACAGGAACACTTGCAATGCGCACGCCCAAGAGAGGCATTTCCAGTCGTGTTTTGGTATTTGTAATGCTGCAAACAGAATAGACAGACGGATTTGTGATGCAGTTGCCGTTGCTTACCTGCACTACTACACTACGGACTGCAAGAATTTTATTTGTCATACGTGTCTCCCAAAACTTACTTCTGGATTTGTGTTGCTAAGTTCCCAACTTGACTATGGGGTCGTGGGGACGCTTCTACATATGATAGAGGACGCTTCCGTCGGTCCCAGCAACGGGGACGACCGCGCCGACCGGGAGCTGCAGTGGGATTTTCTTGAAGAGCCAGCGGGTGGCGACGCAGTGCTTCCACAGCGTGTCGAGCGCGAACATGCGGGACACGAAGGTGAAGGCAATGTCGGCGTGGAAAAATTCCACCATGTCCACCACGTAGTTGCAAATGTGCGGCAAGGTCCGCCACTCCGAGAGCAGCTGGTCGATCCTTTTCAGCAACACTTTCTGCGTCGCTGCGTCGGAATCCGAGGAGGAGGAAGAGCCTAATGCTCCTGGGAGTAGATGTTGAGTAAGGCCAGGCGGGGAGGGAAGGCGGAGGCCGCCCGTGGTTAGGGTCGGCCCAGATGTAGCTCTATTAATATGCTGCTCCTCTGCTGTTGTAATTGGAGGAACGCGCCACTTGTATTCCGCCATCTTTTTCCCGAGCACCCGCGTTTCCTCCAGCTCCTCCCGCTTGCGCAACAACGTGTTCACCCTGATTTGCTGCTCCGAAGTCAAATTTTTCTTATTCGGGCCCTTCAAATGGTGCGGCTGCGCGAACCCGATCCCCGGGATGAGTTCCAGTTCCTCGACTTTCAATTGCAAAATGTCGAATTTCTGTTGCAGGACGTTGGCGGCAATCCGCACCAAGTCGTCGATTTCTGCGTTGGTCAGCTTCTGTTCGTGCACGATGGTGCGCAGCTTGTTCACGAGGTAGACTTTCTGCTTGAAGTTCCGGTCTTTTTGCTCGGTTTTCTGCTGTTCCGTCAGGGGTGTTTGTTTGTTCGTTTCTTTGTTCTTCTCAACGGGGTAGGTCGCCTCCGGGTTCGACCCGAGTTCGAGCTGCAACCCGAACAGCATCACACCCAGCGGTCCGCTCTCGACCTCTTCCTCCACCTGCTGCATGCTCCGCCGGTCCGTCCGCTGCCTCTTCGCGGGTGGGGGCTGCATAATTATAGGCGCGTTTAGCAGGAGGCTGTTGCCTTCGTCCTGTCGTCCCGTAGTACCAGTTTCTTGCTGCGGCTGCAGCAGTGGCGAGGGTGTCTTCACTCCCGGCTGGTGCATGAAGGGGACTGCGCAGCTGGGAAAGCTCCTGTCCAAACTGAGGTCGCGCAGCCCTGTGTTAGACACACCAGATTGTTGCCTCCCCCAGGCCGACACCCCGGCGCTGGACAGGGCGTCTAAATTTGCAGCTAAAATATGATCCCCCTCCGGTTGCAAGCTGTCCACCGTGGCTCGACGCGAGGGAATGGGGAGGTGCGAGGAACTTGGCGAGCGCGACATCAGCGTGGCATTGGGCGGGAAACTGTAACTGTTGTGGTAGGTCGTGGTCGCATTATTTCCCAACTCTTCCGCCTCCGCCCGCCAGAAGCAGGGCACCAGACTGCGGGAGGCGGACGAACTGGCCGACCGCGCTCTTGCCGTCGTCGAATCCGGCCCGAGGAGAAACCCCGACCCGAAGTTCCGTCGCATCCCGACGCTGCTGGTGTCCATGTTGTCGGCACTCGAGGAACAGGATGCTGCTGCGAGGTTGGCGCCCAGCGAGGAGCCCCGGGTCAGGCCCCCCAACGGATTTCCGCGCGCGGCGGCCGACGACAAGTGGTGCATCACGTGGGTGTTCAGCCGCCCCCGGGTGGCCGCGGGCGGGAGTGGCAGCACAATGTCGTCCTTCTCTTCTCCCCGGAAAAAACTGTTCTCCGAGTCCGGACTGTCCAACCGACTTTCCCGCGACAGCCGCCCGTTCATCTCGAATGACGTCCGCACCGCCGCCGGGTCCGAGGCCCGCCGGGGCGGCAACCCGCTGCGGGGGCTGGCGCTGTTCCGCGGGGAGCCCTCGGGGGACTCGCTCGCCGCTCGGTTCGTGGCGGCCCAGGACACCGTCTTGCGGACCCCGGGCCGGGGCGACCCGGGCTCGCTGTGCGTCTCCTCCACGGCGCTAGCACGCCGGTGGATGCTCGGCGACTTCGCGCGGCCCCGCATATGCACAAACCCGAACGGCGCGGCCGGCATGCTGGGTCGACGTCGGGGGGAAGAAATTGAAGCTGCTGCAGTGGACGGCTTCGGCGAAGTCGGATCGATGTTCATGTTGATGTCCGAGGGCATTCTATTTTCAACGTCTACGAGTGTTGTACCATTACTTGGGTCGTGCAGCTTTTCGACCGCCCCGACCGGGACGTTTTGAATCTGGATCTGGCCCTGCAGTCTGGCGGATCGGTTTCTCATCAGTGCGGACCGACGAGCCTGTGCGGCCAGGGAAGAGGGTGAAGAAGATGTTCTTTTTGCGCCGGTGAAACCACCTCCCGGCGTTGCCGTGAACGGCCGATTGCCATTTTCAACATAATGTTCCTCGTCTTCCGACTGCTCCGAATCCAAAGACCGCTGCCGCACGAAAGTGACCGTCCCACTTGGCACAAAACCGATACTCTGGTCCACCCGACTGGCCGCCGAGGAAGTTGCAAGCTCCTCTCGGCTGCGATTACTCGTCTGACCTACTTCCAGGCCCTGCTGGTGCTTCCGGGCCTCTTCTTGTTGCCGTTGAACCTGCATCGCCTGGTCGTGCATGAACTCCTGAAACTGAAGCACTCTCCGTGGCCCCGAGGAAGAAGCGGACACTTCCTGCGCACCAGCACGACAAGAACTACTTCTCTGTTCACGCCTCTGCTGCTGCTGCTGCCCCTCCTGTCCGTTCGGTGTGATGCCCCCTCCGTCAGACTCCATCAGCATCGGATATTGCTCCAGACCAGGTTCCTCGAGAGCAGGACGTGGACTACTACTTCCGGGTCCCTCGCGTTCGAGCACCTGCTCTCGTTCACCACCCCCGCTTTCCGAAAAGAACGCGGGTGGCAGCATGCTGTGCTCGCTTCCTCCAGCGCCTGTAGTTGCACCAGGCGCGAAAGACACCGGCGGGCCCTTCGGGACTGCTGGTATAGCGAGCTGTGGCTCCCGTTTAGGGCCGATTGGTAACATTGGTGGAGGGCTTGGGGTTGGGGTCGTCGCCGCGTTCGACGGACTAGTAGCACTGCCGGGAAAAAAAGCATCGTGCTGGAACAATGGCGCCGTTTTGGAATCACCACTCTGGTGTTGAAAGTTCGCAGATTCGGGTCGTCCGATGACTGCGCCATCACGCGCACCATTGGTGAAGAACGCAGAAGCTGTTCCTGGGAACGAGGCAGATGCAGAACCTCCTGGGGGGGCCCCTACGTCCTCCATAGTGGCAGAAGTTCGTTTTATCTGAGCGGGACGAGATGCACCATTTTCATTATCCTGTTGTTCGGCAACAGCTCCGTCCTCGTCCTCGTCGTCATCGTCGGAACTATCCCCCCGGGCGACCTCCCGCCCGAAGAACTTCGACACGTCCACGCCGCTGCGGCCGTTGCGCCGCATGCTCACGGGGCTGCGGGTTCGGGGCGAAAGCGCGTCCATGTCCTGATCTTGCTGCGACGTCACCGAAGCACCAGGATCACGAATCACGGAGCTGCCAGGGTTGTCTACAACTTCCGAGCTGCGCCGTCGGATCATGAGTTCGTTTATCCGAAAATTCCGCTGCTGCTCCTCTTCAAGCCGCTCGGGAGAGACTTCGTCCTCCTGGGCAAATGCCGCCGCGCCAGATCCCGTGAAGATGGTATTGCTCCCCCCCGCCGGTGTCGAGGCTGTTGCCGCTGCTGTGTACAGCGGTGGGGCGGGGACACCACCTCCACTGAGCCCCTGCTGTTGTGGTGGCTGCGCGTGGTGCAGCCCTGGAAGCTGCCCGGTGAAACAGCTGCCAGCCCTCCCTCTGCCTCGCACCGGAGTCTGCACCGCACCAAACTGCTGTGCGCTATTCGCCGGGGAGTTGTCGCCGTGCGAGGTGCGAGAGCGCTGCGAGAAGCAGAAGCCCCGGAGCTTCTGCGGCTGAAACTGCGGTGGTTCGACGTCCTGTTGTCGGCCCTGTCGCGACACACCTCCCGAGGTCATGCGCCGCATCACGTGCCGCGTCGTCTCCGGCGACAAAGACCTTAAATTCCGGCTCGACCGACCCTGCCAGAGGTCGCGGTTCCGCGGAGCGGGAGGGGGCGAATGGATTACCGAACGCGTCCTGCTGGTAGATCTCTGCACGTTGAACTCGTGCTCGCGTCCTGACGTGGCAGCAGCACCCATGGCACCTCCAAAACCTCCTCCTGGGTCGTTTTCCACCTTGGCACTGTCTGCATTGTTTGTCCATACGTCACCTCCGCCCGTCGGCCCAGTTCCCACGTTCTTCGGCGTCCGGGATGCTTCCGGGGTGTCTCGGTCCTTGAGGAAAGTCAGCCGCGGCGGCCGCTGCTGCGTGAACCGGTGGAAAGAGGGCTTGCGCGTCAAACCCGAAGATACCGTTGAACTAGTACCGGTCGGAAAATTATTGATCCCCGAGGCGGACGAAGAACCGACTGGCTGCGCCGCTTGTACAAAAGACAGCGCTGATGTGCTACTACTACTCCCAGGTGCGGTGCCGAGCCCTGCAAACTGGTTAGGACCTGTTATGCCGCCCCCCAACACTTGTTGCGCACCCCCCTGCGGCTGCGAAGTAGGGGTGGCGTAGTTCATCTGCATCGAGTTAAGCGGCGTCTCCGAGGCTGCACACGCCGGAGGTGGCACTCGTTGTGGAAAACCAGTACTAAACGATGGAAACGTAACCCCCCCAAACACAGAAGCGCGTGGCAACCCGGCCGGACTGTCCGGGCGACGGCCTCGAGCGGATGAACTACCGCTCGCGTGTGTCGTCGATGTTGAAGCGAAGGCAGTGGCGGAGGGGCCGACAGTCGGGAGCGGAAAGACAGCGTCTGTTGCGGCAGCAGGAGCTACAGGTGTTTGCTGCTGCAGCGGAATTTGGTTGAGCTGGTGCTGTTGAAAGGGAAACGCTTGTCCGTTTCCGACAAGAGTCGGTGCTGGAGCTGGCCCGCCAAAAACAAGCTGCTGCTGATTATATCCTGGCTCTTGCCCGACTCCAAACCCCGGAAATAGGTTGGCAAACGAATTGATGGGCGTCCCGCCAGCTGCGCCACCGTGACCATGATCACGGGCAGCTGCAACATTCTCCGCCGTTGCCTGTACCCGTCCCTGTGCAAGAAGAAAATGATTTTTGGTACACAGACACTGAAACAAAACGAGAAGCTGCAGAAGCAATGGCATCGTCCCGAGCAGGGGAAGCGTTTTCATGTTACCGGAAGAGCTTTTACAGCCGCAAATAAACGTGGTTCTTGACATCTTTCTTTGGATGTCAGTCTTCCATCGAGAGGCTTTGAAAAAATCTTACGAAGCCGTTGCTCAGACTTCTTCTATTCATACTCTTGAAAAAATCTAAAGTAACTACCTGTTCTACTTATGACGAGCTGTTTGATTGTCGTTTTGATTACACAGATTTTGATTACACAGTCAGTCGCAGTCCACGACTTACGTACCGCCGTTCCTTCAGCTCTGGCTCAAAAAGGCAAAAGGTCATCGATCTGTGAAACAAACTTCAAAAGCTGAAACATACAACAAAAGTGGAACTTGTGTCAGGAAGAATGTGCAAAAGTTGAAGTTTCCGACTCACGTCAAAGGAAAAAAATCGTAAACAAAAGAAGTTGATCCAATTTTTGAGCAACCAAAGAACGTACTTATCGCAGGATATGGTGTTCGCAATATTGACGTCGCGACGCGGACGCAGCACGACGCTGACGCAGACCATTATGCACAAATGAAAATTCAATGACCACGCGACCATGCGCGAAGCTTGGAATTCTTTGAAGCACGTTTGTTCTGCCGCCATCGAGCGTCAACCTGTGCAACTGCACTTTAGGCCGACCAATGAATTGGTCACTTAAGTACGCACCTTTATTTTTTCGACGTATGAATGATGTTGATAAAATGAAAAAAGCGTTCGTTTAGAAGATGTCCACCAGATCTTCTCAAGAATCCACCTGACAGATCCAGTCGTGTCCGTGACACTCGTTGATCATTTTTTCCATCAAAGGTTCGCACTTTAGCGTCGGCACCGACCCGATCAGAATCAACTTGCACTGCGCCCGCGTCAGTAAGACGTTCATGCGGCGCCAGTCGGTCAGTAGCTGCCCGACGGACCGGTCCGTGTTGGACTTCACCAAACTGACCAAAATGCACTTCTTGTCCTTCCCCTGCGCCTCGTCCACGGTCAACACTTCCACGCCCTCTTCCGTCAGGTGCGCGTTCTGAAACACCTCCTTCACCAAAGCAAGCTGCCTCCTGTAGGGGGACAACACCCCGATGTCCCTCCCCGGCACGTTCAGAGCGACTAACTTTTCGACCAGAGAGCGGCACAAGTTTGCCTCTCCGAAGTTCTCCTGCTTCGACACCGGATCCTCCGCGAACGTGTCCCCCGTGTCCAGAAAGGTGACCCCGGTGTCCGGATTCAGTGCCTTTCTTTCCCACAGTTTGATCTCTTTGAACAGAGAAAAAAGTCTCGGGTTTTTCTCCTCGTTCGCGATAACATTTGTGGCCAAATCTTGAATTTGCTCGTTGGTGTAAAACTCCCGCATGGACCGCGTGGACACCTGTGCGTTCCCGCACTTCAGCTTGCCGTCGTAGATCAGTTTGTTCGGCAATTTCTGGATGTCCTCGTTCATTCGGTACTGGTAGGTGAGCTCCGCGACGCACACTGGGTGGAGTTTCGCAAGTCGCTCCATCAAGGTGTCCTATGTAAAAACGTCCCCACCCCATAGTCAAGATGGGATATTTTTTATTTTTTTTTTGCCCGGCCCCCTCTAAAATTTTCAGTTCAGTTTCAGTGGAGCGCCCCACCGGGCGGAATACTTCTGGTGGTAAACGTGGCCCAGGGATTTGCGGCTTCGCGCCGCGACGACTTGATGGGGGTCCCGCACCCCCCCTCCGTTTCCAAAAATGCAGTTTGTGCGTGAATGCTGCAAAACCTCCGACACCGCGGCACAAAAAGGAGCAAGCTCCTATTCACCATACACAAACCCAAAGAAGGAAATCATCGGGAAAGGATATTGTCGACCGCAATCAATGACGCCAGTGGCAACTACAACCCGAAGCAGGGGAGGGGTAGCTACTCCCGCACAACGCGCGAAATTCGTTTTCTACGTGTCGAGCCGGTAGCAGCGGCACACGTCCGATCCAGTTTTTTCCACGATGGCGAAGAACTTTTTTTTTCTGAATCGGAAAACCCTAAACACCTAAACCCTTCTATTTACTGCGGGAGGAAGCAGCCCCGGACTTTTTGACGAAGTTCGTAAAACGGTCAAAAATTTATTGTAGTGGTTACGCTAGTGACTGTGTGCGCGCTTCAGAGAACTTAAGCCCTCACAGGTCCGCATTTAGCTACCGCCCGCCCTGAATGAGGCACGTCCTAACCCCGGTTGCAGCGAGGCAGATAATGTTTTTTCAAAAATACGCCGGGCGTTTGCAGGATAGCAGTAGCCGCAGATGCAAACCTGCGGCTGGTAAAACGGTTGTAAAGAAAACTACGGCGCTTGGTTTTGCGACTAGAATACTTTTTGTTTTTTCAAGCGAAGCACTACGGACGAACGAACGAACGCCGGTCGGTTTTCGCGTTTTTTTTTTTTTTCTTTTCTTTTCTTTTCTTTTCTTTTCTTTTCTTTTCTTTTCTTTTCTTTTCTTTTCTTTTCTTTTCTTTTCTTTTCTTTTCTTTTCTTTTCTTTTCTTTTCTTTTCTTTTCTTTTCTTTTCTTTTCTTTTCTTTTCTTTTCTTTTCTTTTCTTTTCTTTTTTTCATCATTCGGATCACGAAGCTATTGGGGGCGGTGGGCGTTTCCTGGAATGCGAAAGACCCCTTCCGCTGTCCACGCCATTCACATTCCAGCAATTGCGCGGATCAAAGGCTTTTTCATCTTGTTTTGATATTCTTACTTTCCGCTCTTGTCCGCTGCTCCAGCAAGTTGGTTCTCGATCCACTTTCGTCTTGCGCCCCTTGCTCTCGTTTCGGTCCCGTTTCCTCCCTCCTCACCCGCGTGCGCATTCTCCACGCCCTAGTCTTCCTCATACTGTAGCGGCAGCGGCACGCGCAGATCTTGCAACCCCCATCCACCCTCCATGCGCTTCCGTTGAGCTTGGGGTCGTTTTCAATGTTTCCGACTCCGCGTTCGCGTTCCATTTTCCGTGGTGATTTCTATTACTTGCAAAATCAATGAAGTGACGCGAAAGCTGTCCAAAGAGTGAGAAAAGCCAAAGAAAATCAAAATGTAAACGTCACAAGATAAGCTATAGAAATAGAATCGCAGTGCCAACGTCATATAATTTGCATTTCAAATCCCCGGCAATGCCCTACTTCCCACAGCCAGCCTCTGCTGGAAAAAAAAAGAAAACTCCCTGGCGTGTTTTATTTAGAGGCGCAGCGGGTGGGGGGGACCACAATGGTCCCCCCCGCACGCTGCTAGTGTGTTGAAGTATCTGCTGTGCGTCTTTACATGAGCTACAATGGCTACGCTTTCTTTTTACGAAGTGCTTTGCTTTACGAAGTGCTTTGCTTAGTCAAGATGGGATATCAGCTAGACAAATCCACAAGCTCTGGCTGTTTTGCATGACAAATTTGGACTCGTAGCGTAGTGCTGTTTGAGCTAGCTCAGTAGCATCACAGATCTAGTGTATCACGCTGCTTGGAGCATGACAAATTCCAAAAGACGACTAGAGAATGCTTCTCATGGAATTCCGCATGAGAAACATTTTCACCATGCAGATTTGCATTACAACTATGGTATGGGGACATTTTTAAATACGATACAAGGACACCTGCAGCCCGAACTGCTTCGCCTTCGGGTGCTTCACCAAGGGCTGGAGCTGGTTCGTGTCCCCGAACAGAACGAACTTTTTCGTCTTGAACAAGGCGCACCACGTGGCGGGCTCCGTGGCTTGACTGGCTTCGTCCACCACCACCAAATCGAAATCGAGGTGCTGCACCAACGCGTCGTGGCACCCGAGCAGGGTACAGGCGACCAGTTGGATATTCCCCACCAAATGGTCCACGTGTGCGGTGGTGGTCAAATGATCTCGGTTCTTATCCAAGAAAAAAAACTGTGTTAGTGTAACTTTTCTTGGCTGACAGCATCACAAATTTGCTCTGCATGACAGCGAAAACCTGTCATGCGTGGCTAAAACACACATGAAAAGAGGATTTCATGGTTGCCTGGCATGACAGGTGTAACTGTAACTCTGTTGCATGTTCTGCATTACAAAGTTACACTTACACTAACACAGTTTTTTTCTTGCATAGTTCTTCAACAGGTACGGCTTAATCAAAGTGTGCACCTTCGTCTCCGCGCCGAGGCGGAGGATGGACAAAGGCTCTTTCTGGTTGTTGTTTTCCTGGTTTCTCAGCAACCGCAGCAAACCGTTGTCCACGGCCGCGTTGGTGTAGGCGCAGAAGAGGACGCGCTTTCCGGATCTCAGATACAGCTCCAGCAAATTCGCCAAGACCTCTGTTTTTCCGGTCCCCGGGTAGCCCTGCACCACGCAGTAGTCCTCCGCCTTGAAGCACTTTTCCACTACGGCCTTCTGCGTGTCGTTCATTCGGTTCCATTGCTCCAGGCATCCCTTGTGTGGCGCGATGTCGGTGGGGAGGAGTTTGGCGCGGTAGGAAACTGTGTTGTGCGTAGCTACTTGATTTATGATTGGAGCTTATTCCTTTAGTCCGATTTACGTAGTACATTGAGATTGATATGATTCATCGCCAATGCTACTATAATCTTCAAACGAAAATCTTCTATCGCAACCAAAAAAGTAAAAGCTCCTTCTCACCCGGCACTTGCTGCCCGGGCACTACCATTCTTTGCGCGTCCACATCGATTTCCTGATCCGAAAACTCCGGCGGTTCGAGGAAAATCAACTTCCGTTTTATCTTCCCCACGAAGGGGTTATCGAGCTCCGAAACGCAAACCAGTTGCATCAAATCCCCGCGGATCTTCTGAAAGCCCCCACCGTATTCGTCCTTGTCCATGCGGTAGAAGTCGTTTCCCGACAAGGCCGTGTTGCCGATTTTCTCGATCTCCATGGCTGCATCAGCCGATACTTTTAGGTTGGGGGCATTCTCTACTTCCTTGTTCGTCATCTGCGACGGCGCCTTTTGCAGATCTTCGATGTCCGCCAGCTGCGTCGCGCACATCTGCGCCCCGGTCTTGGTTTTCAGCTGCGCCGCGATTTCCTATCCTGAGTAAAAATGTCCCCACACCATAGTCAAGATGGGGAATCGGCTAGACAAATCCACAAGTTTTGGCTGTTTTGCATCACAAATTTGGACTCGTAGTGTAGTGCTGTTTGAGCTAGCTCAGCAGCATCACAGACCTAGCACACCATGCTGATTGGAGCATGACAAATTTCAAAAAACGACTAGAAACTGCTTCTCATGGGGCTCCGCATGAGAAACATTTTCAGCATGTAGATTTGCATTACAACTATGGGGTGGGGACGTTTCTAAATAGGATATTTCCATGCGCGGCTTCACAACAATTCTCCGGGTTTTCAGATCCATCTCCACCACCTCCGCGGAAAACAAGGCGTAAGGCCTATTACAGTGAAAAATGCCCCCACCCCCAAAGTCGCAAAAATTTGTGATGCGAAGTTTCCAAATGCAAACTTTTTGTCATGCATGAAAGAAGTACGAATCTTTCTGATGCAGAGTCTAGGCGTGTATCGCATCGCTTGCATGACAAGCGCCACTCTTGCTGGGGTCTTTTGCAATACAAATTTTTGCTATTCACGATTGAAAATCTGTGATGCTGATAGATGCAAGAGGGCGAATGTTTCATTTGGAAAGGTTTGCAATACAAATGCTCCCAAGTTCGGGGTTGGGGGCATTTTTCACCTTGATAAGGCCCCTCCGGCTCGCGGGAAATGGTCACCTGCTCGCCGATATGGATTGCAAATATGTCTGCTGGGTGTGGAAACTTGTAATGCTAAAAGTGAATGATAGACGCACTGCAATACGCAGCTATGCATGACAAATTTTTTGGCTGCTATGTCTTACGTATTCCGCATGGCAAACTGCGTCTTTGCATGACAGGTAAGAGAGCTTTTTCGTGCCTATGCAACACAGATTCTCGAGTCATGCCAGACAAGCATGACAAACTTGCATTCTTCCAGACCCAGACATTTTTGCATTTGATAGCCGACGGTGAAGGGCAGCGTGAGAAGATCCTCGACCAGTTTCTTGGTATTCTCGTCCGGGGGCTTTAGATTTGCTTTTTTTGTTGTAGTAGTTCCATCCGCCGCGATGCCGTAGTCTTCGAGATCGATCTGACTCCCACGTGGGGGGCCGGGGGAGGCGATCGGGAAGGAGGAAGTTGTGCCAGCAGCATGTTGAAGATGACCTCGTCCGGAAATAGAATTCTGAAGACCAGCACCTTCTTCAGCGGTTGCAGTAGTTCCAACGGACGATGGCTGCAGTGCTTTCAACTTCGCCTCCGCTTCCGACTCTGGCACGGTGAAGACCCAGTGACAAATCTGCTCCTGATTTGCCATGGCGGCGTTGTCCTGGAAGAAATGGTCGCTACTATGCGCGTCCACGAGTCTCGCGGTTTCAAACTGCAAATACCGGAGCCCACACCCGCGGTCATCATCTTTATTCGTGCCCGCCGGCGGGATATGCTCTTGATTCTTGCTCGAGGAAGAGCTTGTAGTCGCACCGTTTGAAGCTGTTGATGTTCCGCTATCCGGTTTCCCGAACTGCAATTTTTTGATTACGTCGTCCTGTGCGGCAGATCCTTTAATGTTGTTCTTCCCACCGTTATTGTCTCGACCCAAACTCGTGTTCGTCCGCCAAGATCGTTCCTTGGCTTTCGCACTCAACACCTCCTCTGCGTCGATCACCATGAGCCAATTCTGGATGTACTTCGCCACCCGGGGATCCATATCGGGCTTCAACTCCTTCTTCTGCTCGCAGCTCGCCGCCAATGTGTAGCAGTGGCTCTGGCGGAAGCACCGGCGACACTCCGACGGTTCTTCCCCGTTCTCCCGGTCAATCATCGGAGGCCAGATCGGCCCGCGAAGTTTCCCCTCCTCCAGCGTTTGCCGCCTCCGTTGCTGCGTCGACGCCAGCATGTTCCGGATCTGCATGATCGCGCGGATGTCGAACCGGGAGATCTTTTTCGCATCATACGTGAACTGGTCCTTATCAAATGTAAAAATGTCTGGGTCTGGAAGAATGCAACTTGTCATGCTAAATCTGCAGCATGCAAAAATCTGTGTTGCATGATTACCAAAAGTCGTCCAGTTTTGACCAAGTCGGGAGGCAGCTTCTCATGCAGGATAGGCATGAGAAAGATCGCACAGAATCTGTCATGCTAGGTCCTGCATTCCACACCTCATGGGTCATGGAAAAGCTGCATGACAAATCGCGCATTCTTCCAGACCCAGACATTTTTACATTTGATAGTCTTTGTGCGGATACAACAGCAGCCCCTCGTCGGAACAGGCCTGCAACTCCTTCTCCAGCTGTTGGTTCACGAGGTCGCAGAGAAGAAGGTAATAGACCGTGATCTGCCCGACGTGCTCGGTTTTGATTTTTCCCGTTTTTATCTCCAGAGCGGAGGTCTTGTTGGAATCCGTCTTCACCAGCCCGTCTAATTTCCCCTTCAAACCAAACCTGTGCGAGCACACGTTCTGCTCGTTCCCGATCAAGTGCGCGATCTTCGGCTTATCCCGGCCGCCCGCTTTCGCGACCACTTTCACGCTGTCCAGCGGCAAGTAGTACTGCTGGGCCCAGTATCAAATGCAACTGTGTCTGGGTCTGGAAAGGTGGAACTTGTACTGCTAGTCTTACTTCCCTGGGTGGATATCTGTACTGCATAACCAACAAAAGTCGCAGCTTCTTTTGTCATCGTGCAGAAACACAGTTTCTCATGCGGGGTGCCTATGAGAAGGCGTTCTAGAAAGTTGTCATGCTGGGCTGTACTCGGAGGTGTTCCCGTCATCCACATTGTAGCATCAGAAGTTTCCAGACCCAGATCTATTTGCATTTGATACCCAGTCCGTCGCGTTCCGCAACCGCTGTCGGCAGTCCTTGAACATCTCGTCGGTCGAGATCTTCAACCGCCACAGATCGACGTATTACAGTGACAAATGCCCCCACCCCAGAACTTGTCAGCATTTGTACTGCAAACCTTTCCAATGGAAACATTCCCCGCCTTGCATATATCAGCATCACAAATTCTCCATGCTGAATAGCTCAAATCTGTGTTGCAAAGGAGCACATGAGTAGCCGGATCTGTTATGCAGAAGATACATTGCGCCCCTAGATTCCGGATCAGAAAGGCTCGTAGTCCTTTCACGCAAGACAAAAAGCTTTCATTTGGAAACTTTGCATGAGAACCTTTTCCAAATTCCGGGGTGGGGGCATTTTTCATTCCAATACGACGAGGTTTTTGTCGATCTCCTCGCGCAACGTGTTGTCAATAAACACGTCCTATCAAATGTAAAAATGTCTGGGTCTGGAAGATGTAATGCTAGCTTTGGACTCTAGAAACATCTGTATTGCATGACCAGCAAGAGGAGTCTAGTTTGTGCTACGCGGGGAGGGCGTTTGTCATGCTGAGTAGGAATCAGGAAGCCCGCTCAAAATCTGTGATGCGCGGTCGTGCATTACAGACATCCTGGGTCATGCAAAACATGCATGACAAATCTCAGAATCTTCCAGACCCAGACATTTTTACATTTGATACGTCCGTGAAATCCTGACAGGCCATGGCGTATTGGAGAGCCGCGTGCACGATGTTTCCGACCACCAAAGCCCGCGACCCCGCGGACGTGGAGGCCATGTTCTCCCCGATTTCGTACGCAATCAACGCGTACCTCCTGCAGGAGAGCGCGTTGGAGACCGCAGTACCGGTGAGCAGAATATCTGGATGGAAGCACAGCATCCGGTACTGGTGCTCCGCCCGATCGGAGATTTCGCAGTGCTTGTGCTTCTCGATCAACTTGTACATGGGCGGGTCGCCGATCAAATGCACGATGTCCCCCTTTTCGAGCGTCCACTTTGCGTTTTTCCACTCTTCCGCCCAACTGTCAAGCAAGGTCACGTGGAAGTGCTTGCCGTCTTCGCCGAGAAGCTGGAAGCCGACCGCATCCGCGTTACGTGGATTCGGAAGTCCGGCCTTTACCACTTTCGCGCGGGTGCAGCTGTGGATTTTTTGTGCTTAAGTTCGTAGTTTACGCGATAATGAAAATGGTGGGTGGAACAAAAATGACAATCACAATAGACAAAAAAGATACAAAAAAACATCATTTTTAACATTTCTGATCTGAACAATAAATCTTTCTACTTCGCACAACTTTCGCTATACCGGTAGAGGTCGTTTTTATGCTTTTCCGCCAGCATTTTCATCCGCGTCGCGATCTCTTCGCCCACATCCACATCTTGCGTTCCGGGCGGCCTTATCAAATGTAAAACTGTCTGGGTCTGGAAGACTGGAACTTGTGATGCTGCATTTGGATTGCAAAAAAATCTGTATTGCATGAGCAGCCAAGGGAATGTGATTTTTGCTACGCGGAGATGGCATTTGTAATGCGGAATAGGCATCAAGAAGGCCTCAAAAAATCTGTGATGCTAGGGCACGCATCACAGACATCAAGACTCATGCAAAACCTGCATGACAAGTCTAGAAATCTTCCAGACCCAGACATTTTTACAGTTGATAGGCCTTGCCGCCGAGCTACTGGTTGCCGCAGAGGTGCCGGAAAGCACCGCTCGCGCCGGACTGGGAACCGCCCCTGGCTGCTCAGCCACACCGGTTGACTATGGATCGTAAAAGTGTCTGGGTCTGGAAAGTTGGAACTTGTAATGCGGGTCTTGCATTGCTGTGAAATCTGTATTGCATGACCAAGAACAGTGGTAGCCTCTTCTGTCATACAAAAACGCAGTTTCTCATGCGGAGTTCGTATGAGAAAGCGTGCTGCAACCTTGTCATGCTTTCCGGCATAAGCAAGTGACCTCCTCTTGCACATTTTAGCATCACAAATTTCCAGACCCAGACATTTTTACAGTTGATATCGACGGGCCCGCTGCAAGAACCTGGTTCGCCGGATCGAGTTTTCTTCTGGGGCCGCCATTGCCTCTCCCGTCGGTCGTTGTAACTTGCTGGTTTAATACCCCGTCCTGCGGCTGTCCGGTCGGCAGCACCGTCGGGAAAGTATTGTCCTGCTCGCGGGTGCGTTTCATCGTGCTGGATGGAGGGAACACGGCGCCAACAAAATTCTGAAATGTTGCACAGACTCGGACAAACGGCGCGGGAACTGCAGAATTTGAATCAAACGGTACGAATTTTACTTGTCGACCTAATTCCTTGAGCAGCGCTGGTCCGACGTCAAGAGCAGAAGGAGGGCCGCTCTTGGTTCCCTTGGGCAGAAACGCAGTCAGTACTTTCCTAGTGAAGACTGAGGAAAGCCGGTGCGTCCGACCAAAAGTCATCCAACATTTTTCTGTGCAATAAAGGCGACCATTTTTTGTGTTCCGTTCGCGGTTCGACTGGGACTGCTGGGACAGAGTGTTAGTTTAACACAAAAGTCAAAATTTCTAATGATCTACCTTAGGAAACAGCAGCTACAGGAAGCGTGACAGATTGAAATACAGGAATACGATAGCTGCATGATCACCAAGAACCGTAGACAGAAGCTACACAGTCTTCACAACGACAACGTACGGGCAATTCAAACCCATCAAAATCACAGCTTCACAACACAACGAAATGAATTCCTTCCGAAAAGAATTCCTGTGGTAAAAAGTCGTGTCACCGCCGAATCCATCACCCAGCTTGCTTCATCATCACATCACCTTCACGAGGCAGAGAGAGCCACAGCATCACGAAATCAAGGGCGGGAAGGACGATACTCATCCAGGACTGGAGACCATCTAAGGAAAGGACGTGTTGACATAACATTCGAACCTCTGAAGTATTTCTGATTCCTTGACGCGTCGGCCTCGGCGTGATTATTTTTCCCTACTTATTTTTCGTCAGATTAAGCACCAAGCGACTTCATCACTCGCAACACAGGAAAAACACTTCTTCAGAAAGAACACGCGCCGCACGGTGCACGCTGCAATCAATCTCCGTCGCAGCTGGTGCCACTAAACGACGGAGAGGACAACATCGATTGCTGTCGGCCTTTAATATTTTTCACAAACTAAGCTATGGAAATCACAGAATGAAGCTCAAAGTCTGAATATCTTCGCACATAGCCGCAAAATGCGCCTGAGATCATGATGTGCGAACTATTCATATTAGTCAAGGTCAGAAACAAGCAACAAAAATTCATTCGTATCATTTCTGTTCGTAACGAATCAAACCAAATCTTCCGAAGATAATTTTTGATTTAATTTCGGCGTGCATTTTCGGTGTTCTAGCAATAGCAAATCATCTACCACATTGGCGCTGGAACAACAGTGCCGCAGCTACCAACCTTTCGTTTCGAAGATAAAAGATAAGAGGGTTCTAGATTGTGTCTCAGAGTAAATCATTGCGAAAGAAATGCGTCTATCTAGTTCTCAAATCGAGACGAGAAATTCTGCATAAAGTTCAAAGCAAGCAACCTTATTGTAATCTTTGGGCCTTCACTACTGGTGCCCTGTTGTTAATGGATGTTAAGCAAGTAATATTTCGAATGTTTTTGCATCAAATCTTCATCTGTATTTTCAGCATCAAGTAAACGACTATTCAGAAATCGGTTTAAAATGAGTTTATTCCGAGGACAAGAACACTACCTACGCCTACCACACCACGGGCACGGATCTTCCATTATGCCGTCGCTAGCAACATGGCCGTCCCGCGCTTGATCCAGAAGCCTGGGTCATACGCGCCAGATTTCAACTCGACGTAGATCTGGAAGGACGCACGCGTGGGGGACCCGACGCGGTTCGGGTACGCGTAGAGCGGGCACTGGTACATGTCGTTCCCGGCCGCCTTCTTCTTCACGATGGGCTTGAACATGATAATTGGCATTAAAGAGTAGAGCATCATCGGCTCTGCGTCGGCAAGCGCCATCGTTTCATAGTCCCAGCGGCCACCCTCGATGATCAACCCCCGCACGTACGCGCCCTCCTTGGGCGCAGCCGTGATTTGCGCTTCGTCGGGTGTCGGTTGGACCAAAAAGTCAAACGCAAGTTGATCAACCGCAATGGTGTTCTTCCGCGCGGAAAACTGGAGACACGCGGTCAGAAAACCTGGAGTTTATTTTCAAGATGCGTCTGCTCAGCCTCAGCCCCAAAAAATAATGAAGTCAAACAGTAACTGCGTCTTTATGCACGACTGTCCCACAAAAGCAAAAGAAGTATGGTAAATCAAGCACACATGAATCCTAACAATACCGGTTGGGTAGGTGAAGCTGGCGAGCCAAAAGACGATTGGCATCTCTTCCAAGCCCCACTTGACGAAGCACTGGATCCTGAGAACCAGATCCGGCATCCAGCTGGAGAGCGGCTTCATACTGGGGTAGGCAAACATCCAGCTGTCCGGTATTCTACCCTCGAATAAGGCGTTGAACACCAGTTCCTGTTCCTCCGAAATGACCACTAGCCCCTGGATCCCCTTCTGCAGCTCCTTCAAGTTCGCCCGCACCTTGACGAGAAGCAAGTTGTAGCGTTCTATCTCCTGTAGAAGCACCACCTTATACGGCGAGTTGTCCCGCTCGTTGAACTTCGCCACCTCGTCCCAGTCAATGTTGTCCGGTAGGGTATCGAGCAGCATTCTCGTCTGGTCAAACACTAGCTCGTCCATCGACTTCCCCTTCCCGCCGCCTCCGCCGCCGCCCTGCATCCCGGTCAGGATCAGCAGCGTGTCCTGTGACTCGGCCAGCGCCGAACTGATCTCCGCGTTGACGTGCTGTCCGAAGGCTTCCGGCTGTTCCGCCAGGGGCCATTCCTTTATCAAGGTCGCGTAGGCTTGCAAAGTGTTGTCCTCCGGGATGTAATACGTTGGCAACGGCGAGAAGTAGAACTTGTTGTTCTGAATCGCCGCCGGACAGAAAAAGTCGTTCACGTACGCGCGGAGCACCCGGTTATCTGGCGCCTGCGTCACCCGACCGCCGTAGTTGGCCTCCGCGATAAGGTATTTGATCGCCTCCCACTGGACTTCGTGTGGGTACTCGTCAAGATACATGCCGAGAATATTCTCGCAGATGTCGAAATCGCTATCGTTGAAGTCGTAGGGGTTGTTCCATCCGAGCGAGCGGAACTTTTTTCTCTCGAGTAAGATTGCGTGGAACCAGACGAGCGAGAAGAACAATCTCCTGTATTTGAACGTTTCTTTCACCCTGTTGTACAACGCCGGGTCCATGTTTGCCACCAACCGGTTGCAGTTCGCCTTCAGTCCCTTTGGCGGCTCCGTGACCATCTTGATGCACTTCTGCAGTAACGCGATGGGGAAGACTCGAGTCGGACTGGAGGAGAGCCAGAGTCGGAAGTCCGGGTGCGGTTTCTCGTTCGCGATCTTCTCGAACAACTTCTCCAGTTCTGGCAGCCAGGAGGCGGACAAGTGGCAGTTCGCCAACAGCGCCCAGCTGCCGTTCTTCGCCGCGTCTACTGTCAGTTTCGTCGCTTTCGGTGCCTGGCCCTGTCCGAGCGAAATCGTGGACCACTGCAGATTCCGCTGCGCAGCGAGGGCGGCGAGCATCGGGGTGGGATCCACGCCCGGGGTCAGGATGAACAGCAGGGGCACGTCCGCTTGTGACTCGTCGAAGACCGCGCCCAGGTCGAAGGGCGGGGGCTCGACGAACTTCGCATCCAGCTTGGAAGACACGAACACTGAGATCGCCGGGAGAGCGCGGTCGAGACGGAGACACCTGAGGAGGAATTGGGGTCGTTTGGTCGTTTTTCTTTTTGTTCTGACCTCGATTTTCGCGGTTGCTGACAAAAGAATGGGCGGTGGCCTGGAAGAGTACTTAATGGCACGACAGAAAAAGAATCCAAATAACACTAACACGACAAACTGAAAACCACTTAATACCTGACCACCACCATTTTCTGCAGCGGCCCTAACTTCGCGTCCCACTCCCCGGGCAGAGGCTCTTTCTCCGGCTCCCCCAACGCAAACCACTTCTTCCAGTCCCGCAGGGTCTGCTCCAGCGATCGCTGAAACCCGCGAAAGGCCTCCACGTTCGCGTCTAGCTCCGTGATGTTGTCCCACATCTGCTGGGTGATCCACTCCGGCGCCGGGTTCGAGGCCTGGATGGACCGGTCGAGCACCTGACCGCCACGCAGGAAAAACGTGTACTCCTCGTCATTCCAGTCGTCCATCGAGCGGAGAATTTTGTTCGCGATGTGGATCGAGAGCATCAACTTGTGTCGCTCAAACAGCCCCCGGCACGCGTACTTGTACAAAGCCAGACTGTGGTAGGCATTCAGGATTTCCACTCGGTCCTCCACATTGCTCGCGCCGCCGCCCTTGTCCGCGGACTTTTCGATGGACATGATAAACAGCTTCTCGTAGGCCTCTAGCGAAAATTGGTACATCGGATCCACGGTGACCAAATCGTTCAACACGAAGTACAAAATCGCGGCTCGCAACCCGCACGGTCGGTAGTTTTCGCGCGCCGCGTCGATTTTTACCATCGTCGTGACCGCGACGCGCACCTGTTCCGTGACCGCCTCCGAGATCGTCTTCGACTCTTGCAGCGTGTTGATCAAGTTGAGATCGTCCAACAGCGACCCCTTCGCCTCGGACAAAAGCCTCAGAATTTCGTTCTCCAACTCGACCAGCCGGTTTTTCCCGTTTGCCACTTTCACGACGAGTTCGTTCCTCTCCCGTTCCAAGCGCGCCTCCTCCTTCAACACGACTATCCCCAACATCTGGTCCGTCAGGCCCTCCTCCACCACGATGAAGTTCACGATCGTGGTTTTCGTGGACACCTCGGGCGTGTAGTGCGGGTTGGACAATTTAGTCGTCAGGTAAAACTTGAAGTTGATGTTGTAATCCAGCGTGTTCTCGCCGATCTTGATCGACAGCGACCCGCCGGACGAAATAATGTTCTTGGCCAACACCGGCTCGAGCGACGGGTCCAGCTCCTCCTTCACGTTCTCCATCATGCACGGCGTGCCGAACTCGATCGCCCGCTCAAGCGTGCGCATGAACCCGGTGGTGTTGGGGTCGAACACGTGTAGCCCTTGTGGCCCCTCCATCTTTCGGATCCACTTGTTGCCCTGGTTCTGCGGGTCGATCATCAGCGCCCACCGCGAGCCTCGCGTCACCAAGATTCCGTTTTCGGTCGAAAACGCGTCGGTGGGCAGGCCCTGCACGTTCCACGTGCGGACCGCCGCCGGGTCCGCGAGGAAATCGACGAAGTTGAAGCCGTCGGTCACTGGAATTTCGTACTCCAACACCGGCGCGACCCACTTCTCCTCCACCAAAACCTGTCGGTACTTCGCGCCGAACGGTCCGGCGTAGGACAGAAACGCGGCGGCGATGGCGACGTCGCCGAACAGGTTGCCGATGTCGACATCGAGCTTCTTCAAAGATTCCTCCCACCGGATTTTCTCCCCCGCGAGCCCGTTCACGAGCTTGTCGGCGCGTTCCGCCTTGATCTTCAAATCCTCCGCCGTCTGCGTGATTTCCTCTTTTTCCCGGGTGGAATTCTCGTACAAGTCCTTCAGTTCCTGCACGTTCCGCTGCACCTCGGCCAGTTGTTCCCGCGCGTTTTCCAAAAACTCCAGCTTCTTCTCCAGCGCCGTCTGCGCCAGCTTCAGCTTCAGCCGCTTGGGTTCGACCTCGCGGGCGACCGCGGCGTAGATGTTCATGGCGTGCACCCACTGACACAACGCGCCGGCTGCGAGGGAGACTTTGGAAACCTGTGGGGGGGTGAACGTTGGGTCCTTGATGAACTTGTCGAGCTTTTTCAGCACTGTGTTCGGGATGTGGTCCTTGTCGAATTCCTTTAGTTTCTCCAAAAACCTCGTGTCGTTCAGTTCCGTCTTCGCCTGGTTCCAGTTGGCCGGCTTATCCATGATGGTCATCACCGCGTTCATGGTTTTCATCACCATCTCCGGCGGCTTGTATCACAATGAAAAATGCCCCCTCGTCCCCATATCAAAGCGGAAATCTGTGACGCAGACTTGTGGTCACAAGTCAGCTTTGCGATGCTAGAAGGCAAAAGATGCGGACTGTAGTGCTGGCTAGCGTGGGAAAGCTTTGCATCTCCAGCATGACAGGAGGCAACTGGAATTGGGAAACAGGATCGCAAATTGCTTGCAATTGAGGCCGCAGCTGCGTCTCTTGGCCTTCTAGCAATGCAAATTGATTTGTGTACTCAAATACAGCATCACAAAGTTCCATTTCGATATGGGCAGGGGGGATTTTTCCTTTTGATAGCTTGGCGTAGGCCTTCACTTCGGAAATGGACTTCTTGTCCAACTTGGCCAGGGCGTCGAGCGCCGCCTCCATGGCCGGCATCGCCTTCGCCAAATCCCGTTGGGCGTCATCGGCCAGCACCTTGGTTTCTGCGGCCTCCTTCTCGATACGGGCAGAATCCGATTCGACCTGACCGAGTTTCATTTATCCAGTACGTAGGTATTTGTCTATTATGGAAACATCAGGGTTTGTGTTTGTGACCAAGATGTGTCGAAACAGGCATTTATTTCAGCAGCACAAGCCTTTCCCTTTGCTAATGTTCTGTTATATAGAAGGCCACATGATCAAATACAAATAGTGAAAAAAATTATCTGTATGTAATGAACCTGTTTCTGCTGCTCATCGGCCGCCATTCGCTTCTCCGTGATGACGATGAGCAGATCCTGGCACTCCTTTTGCTTTTTCGCCACGATGTCCGACTTCACCTCCAGCTCCACGGCTAGCTCCTCGACCTGCACCCGTGCCTCGGACAACTTGTGCAACCCGTTCCTTAACTTGTCCGCGTTCCCCCCGACCGCGGCCTGCTTCTCTTTCAGCGTTTTGCAGTAGCCCTGGACCAGCGCCAGGTAGTTGGTTGGCGTCACGTAATTGTTTCGCTTCAGCTCCAGCAACATCTTGTCACTCGCCTGAATCACCGCGGTGTGCGACAGCCCGAACACGACCGCGAGGGGGTTTGCGACCTCCGGCTTGATCGGGTCCTCGCCCTCCTGCAAGAACTTCAAGGCGACCTCGGTCAACGCGTCTGGCGGCCACGTCAGGAACCAGTTGATGGTCGTGCAGGAGACCAGAGACGGGTACATTCGGCAGTAGTTCCGGAAACTGGACCCGATTGGGGACATGCAGAAGACCACGTGCAGGTTCTCGCGGACACACGAAACGAAGAACCCATAAAGCTGCTCCGGCGAGACGTTGCGCATGCTGTTTTTAGAAGTTGTGTATGTTTCTTTGAATTATGCCCAAGATCAACATCTAAATCAAGCTTCAACAACGTCATGCTCAGAGCAGCTACCTGCGTATGCGTAAGATAACATCGGCTCACATTCACGACCCATACGATTTTTGCCACAACCACATTACTACCCCAAAGCCTCCTTTGCCGCTTTTTCGCAGGAGTTTAGTACGCCGCTCAGCTCGTCCGCCGCGTACAGGTTCGGCACCTCACCGGACGACAGAACGTTTGACACGTCCTCCAAGAAAGACTCCGTAATAATCTCGGTGTCACTGTACAAAAAGCAAGTCGGCGCCTGCTTGACGCCCGCCTTGTCGTACACCTTTTTGATGTCCTCCCGAAAGGACGCATGCCGGTAGGACTTGTCGATTTCGATGTTAAAGCACTCGTAATCCGCGACGAAGCACGCCAGCCTTGTCTGGCAGTGCCGCCCGGACCCGCCGACACCGACTAATAATGCGTTCCCGCGGGGGAGTTTCAAAACCCGGAGAATTTTGCACATGTGCTCGATCGCGTCTTGGAACATGACGAGATTTAAGGGCTTCTTTTTCATGACCTCGTTGTAGTCGTCCAGCTTGATGTTGGAAAACGCCTTCAGCGCGTTTCGGTCTGTGATCTGGTTGTAGTCCGGCGCCTCCGAGTCGGTGTTCTGCAGATCCAAGTGCGCGAAAACGAGTTTCTGCCGCTTTTTCCCGTCGGGCGCGAGCTCCAGGTCGCTCACCCGGGCGGACAATTTCGCCTCCATCACGGTGTCGGCTAATTGGTCGAACTGCTCGCGATCCTGCAGGTTGATCAACCGGTCCCCGAACGCTCGCTGCGCCTCGTGGAACCACATTTTCACGATGGTGTCCTTGTCCTGCACGAGGTGCGGCTCCGCCATGTAGATGCCCTGGAAAATCTTTGACACGTCGCGGAGGTTGAACAAGTAGTGGCACTTCGCGGGCGTGGGCAGCATTTTGTCCACCATAATGCCATACAAGTCGATCGACGCGCCGACCAGCGCCTCCGCCAGGTTCTTCACGTCGTCCTTGAATGCGTGCAGCTTGTGCTGCGCCAGCGTCATGTAGATTCGCTTCACCTTATTGTGAGGAAAAATCTCCCCTCCCCATACCTGAAAAGGAACACTTCTGAAAATTTGCGCTGCTGATTTGCGGCCACAGATCGTCTCTGTATTGCAAGAACGCAAATCCAGAGACTCCGCTGCGTTTTGCTGGCACTTTGTAATGCTGTTGGGCCTACAGAGGAGACGCCTGCCTTGCGAGGCGCCTACACCACAATGCCACTGCTCAGGCTTTGTATCTGCCTGCAGTCCTCTACTGCAAGACAAAGCCGATTTGTGTACACAAATCGCGCATCACAGACTTCCATTTTGATATGGGGAGTGGGCATTTTTCATTTTGATACACCTGCGCCTCCGCCGGGTTCGCGAAGTTCAGCAAGTGACAGCAGGACTGGAACCGTTCCGAGATCACCGCGCGCCCGCCGCCCGGCGGGCCCATCGCCGCGCCGAGCTGCGTGTCCAGAATGATCCGCTGCGTTTGCTTGGCGCGGTCGTACCACAGCCCGTACCCCATCCACTGCCGGAGGAGCTCCAGCGGCGGTTGGGAGCCGAACGTGTCCTTCCGCGGCATGTTCAAGTCGTCCACGAACAGCAGCATCTTGCGGTTTCCGGGGGGGCCAAACTTGTTCTTGATTCTCTTCTCAACCTTCCCCTCGATGATCTCCTGCACCGCGGCGGCCGTGGTCTGCGCCGACATGTTGATGGTCAGGCTCGTCCACTCCACCTCGTCCAGGTCGTTCGCGATCACCGCCTGCAGAGCCACCGTTTTCCCGGTCCCCGTCATTCCGGTGGTAATGTAATGGAAGTTGTTCAGCGTCAGTTCGCGGCAGATCACCCCGTTCCGCACCGTGTCCACGGTCGGCACGATGATTCGGTGAAACGGCTCCCCCTCCTTCGGCCGGTAGAACGGCTGGGGCAGCTTCGACTCCCACAGGTCGAGATCCCCGTGCTTGTCGAAGTTGAGGAAGTATTCGTACACCGATTGGTTACTCGGCATAATTCTGGACTCAACGGTTCGCATTGCCTCGTCGAACATTTTCCTGGACTGGTCCGTGGCGGAAGCCCCCAGAGACCACACGCAGCAAAACGCGAACATGCGTTCGAAAATCTCCTTCTGTTTCCCGGTCATCGGCGGCTCCGTACCGTCCTTCGCCACTCCGCCGGGGGCACCCCCTTTGTCTTCGGGGAGCGAGTTCAACAAGTTGTCCAATTTCCTCGCAAAGCAGGTGAAGATGTTTGCGAAGTTCTTCACCGCCATGTTGTCCGTGATCGGAACGGTCTGTCCGAACGCGGGGCTCCGCCTTGCGTTCAGCAACGTGGGGAACCACTTCGTTGCGAGCTCCGCCATGTAGTCCCGCTTTTCCACATTTTCCACGTAGGTCCGCGCGATCCAGGACTGGTAGGGCGCGTCGAAGCCCATGTCGCTCGTGTCGAAGTACACCATCCCCGCGCGGGACACCGTCGCGGGGGAAGCGACCTTCAAGTCCTGCACTTCAAACAGGAGCCGCACGGTCGGCGGCATGGAGATACGGTCTCCGTTGATCAAAGTTAAGACCTTGTTGTCATCCAACACCGTGTTCATGGACTCGATCCACAGCGTGTCGACCGGGCCGTCGAGCAAAAGCCACTTCTCGTCCGGCTTTTCGTCCTGGCACATGATGCGCATCAGCGAGGACAAAACGCCGTCCATCCACTCCATGGTCGACAAGTCGTAGGCCCCGTACAACTCGTCCATCGTCACGGACTTCGGGTTCAGAATGTACGACTGCACGCGCTCGAACCCTTCGTGCTTGTCTGCCTTCAGGTTGCACTTCGCTTCCTGCAACGTTTTCCACGCGACCGTCTTCCCGCCTAAAGTGTTGCCCACCAACATGTTCCCGTGCCGAGTGACCTTGGTCTCGTAGGTGGAAATGGTCTTTTTGATGCTGTGGTCCGTCTCCTGGTAGCCGTTGGCGGTGAGGACTTTTCGGATGTACTCCTCGAGCGCGCCGTAGTCCGGCTCGGGGAGCTCCATGCCCGGGAAAATGTCGGACATCAGTGCCCAGTAGAGCGGCAGATCCTGCGCCACCCACTTCGGCGCGTTCATGTCGTTGATCGCCCGCATCAACAGCTGCCCCTCGGGCGCGTCCGGCTCCGTGCGCTTCAGCGCCCCGGCGCAGTTCAGCACGGACTTGATGTTACGCAACCCGAAATCGTAGTGGTCCTGCTTCGACATCTGCTGCTTCATCATGTCGTAGAGCGAGACCTTCTTTTTCGCCAAAGGTTTGAAGTCCTTGTACCCCTCCGCGACCAGCATGATCTCGATGATCATCGCGAAGTCGGGGAGCATCATCGCCACCGGGCGGAACAGGGATTTCAAGTTGTCCGGCAATTCCGACCGCCCCGCGTACCCCGGGTTCATGGTGATGAACACCGCGCACCCGCGGTCGAGTTTGATCCACCGCTCCTCGAAGAGGAAGGTGGACACCTCCGCCTTCAACGCGGCCTGCAGCGTCAAAATCTGCACGGCGACCACGGAGAGCACCTCCACGTCGATTCGGTTGAACTCATCGAAGCACCCCCACGCCCCCGACTGCGCGAGACCGGAAAACATGCGGCCGAGGGACTTGTAATCCAGCCCGTCGGAGCAGTTGAAGACGATCACGTACTTCGCCATGCCCTTGCCCAAATCCTTGGTCGACTCGGTCTTACCCGTCCCGGCCGGCCCCTGGGGCGCGCCCCCGCGCTTCAAGTGCATGGCGGTGGTCAGGGTCATGTAGCAACGATCCGTCATGGGCGTGACCACCAACCGCCCGTTGTTCCCCTGGTACTCGTAGCCGTAGGGACTCACCGTGTTCGTCTGCAGGACGTAGCACTGCGCGTTGCCCGGCGCCTCGTCCGGCAAATCGCGCAAATCGAACCGCAACTGCTGCAGCCACATGAAGGCCTGCGGGTTGTCAGTTTTCGTCTCCACCAACTTCGCCTGCACGTCGCGCGCGTGCACCTCGATGGTGATGAGCGCGACGAGCTTTCCGCGCTCCACGCGGGACAAGGGTTTCCGGATCATCTCCGTTAATTTCCCGATGTACTTGGTCTGTGCCTTCTTCAAGAGCTTCATGGCGTTTTTCTTCCCCCGTTCCACGGCCGCCAACGCCGCCTCGCAGTCCGTGGACCACGCGATCTGCCCGGAAGTGATCAGCAGCTGCCCGGGGAACTCCTTCACCCACTTTTCCTTCTTCATCGAATTCTTGGTGATGTTCGCGAGATGGGTGGTATTCAAGATTTTCCTTAAGGACTCCTTCATCCGGCGCTCCACGACAATCAGCCACCCCTCCACCGGCGGCTCGAGTTGCACCGACTTGATGAATTTCACCTTTTCCCCGTCCGGCGAGTTCATGCCCTGGGCCTCCCACGCCTTGGTCCCGCCGGAGGACTTCAGATCCTTTGCGGAGGGGGCGACCAGGTCCAGCGATTTGATGCCCTCGAAGCACTTCTTCAAGTGCTTTTGCACCGCCTCCGGGTCCTTGGCCTGGCCGAGGATTTCCAACAAATCGTCGTTGGACAGAAAGTAGAACCGGGGGAACAGCTGTCGCTTCTTCTCCAAATAATCGTCCAGCGACTTCTGGATTTTCTCCAGCGTCGCCGCGTCTTTTTCCAAAATATCGTACAAACCGGGAACCAGGCAACAGCGGTTCGCCACGGGGTCGTTGTACATATTCCCGAGAATGGTCGTGAAATTGTCACTCACCTGATCGAACATGATGGACTCCTGCGGTAAATGCGGCCGGATGTCCTCACTGCCCACAAAAATGTTCTCCAGATACATCCACGACTTCTGCACGATCCCGATCGACTCGCACACCTCGGAGATCGTGGCGAGCGTGCGCTCCCAGTAGTCGATGGCCTCGGCGAAGGGGATGTGGAAGGGCGACGACTTGAAGGCGGACAAAGCGAGAATGTGCTCCTCCAGTGCGGTGTTCATCTCCTCGGTCGGCTTCAACTTGTAGTAGACCTGCTTGTGCTCGCCGATCACCAGCTCCATCGTCCGCCACGTGTTCTCGATGTCCTTCACGCCGATCTCGATTTTCGCCTCCTTCCGCGCCTCATCCGCCAGCCGGGACACCAAGTCCTGGTGCGCGAGCAGGTTCAGTTCGAACACCACGGAGAGGGTGAAGTCCGGCCCGAAAGGGTCAAAGAACTGCCCGATTTCCTTCATGATCTCCTCCCAGTGGCGCAGTCGCATGGAATCGTGCCGCAGATTTTCGATCAGCGGCATCATGGACCGAAAGGTGTCGATCCCCGCCTTCAAAAACTGCCACACCGACCAGAACTGCAAATCCTTCTTCAGCCGCATCACCTTCTTCTGCGTTTGCCCCGCAATCTCGTCGAGATTTTCCACGTCGATTTCCGCGAACTTCGTGGACTGGTTCTTCTCGAAGAAATCCACGTCCCAGTTCTGCTTCAGCGTCCAGATCGTGGTGAGGAGCTCCAAATCGCGCTCACACGCCTCCAATTCCGGGTACTCCGCCTTTTCAATCCCAAACAGGTCTAATTTCGGGCCGTGGTCCAGCTCGGTCGCCCGCTTCGCCGCGACCTGGTCCTTGAAGTCCTGGATAATCGCGAAAGCCCCCTCGTTGGACAACAGCCCGTCCTTCGTCTCGACCGCGTAGGGGCACTGCTGCTGCAAGGTCTTCTTCAAATCTTTCACCGACTGCTTGAACGACGCGGACTCGCCCTCGAAGGCCGCCTTCATCTGCTTCTTCGCCTTTGCCATGATGGTCTCCGATTGCCCGAGCTTGTCGTTGAATTCCTCGAACGCCACGCGGAGGTTGTTTTTCCGCGCCGTCTCCTCCTCGGTGACGGTGACGTCGAATTCTGCCAGTTTTGCGTACATCGCCTCCACGGGCGCGATCCGCGCCTCCGTCTGCTCCAGGATGCCCTGCGAGGCGGTCAGCAGCGCGACGCCGTCGCGCAGCTCGTTCAGGTTCTCCGGCACGTGGAGGAGGATCAAACACGTGTCCTCGACTATGAGAGTGCACAACTCTCCCTCCCCCTCGTTTGTATGGCATGAACTACAGCAAGACAAACACCAGCACACGCGGAGCCTGTGCATCACAAGTTCTTCATGCGCCCAGTGTAGTACTGCTTGGGCTCCTTCCGGAGTCTGTCATGCGAACAGTGCCACAAGGCAGCACTTGTATTTGGGATTTTGCATGACAAATGAGAGGGACGGGGAGTTGTTCACTCTCATATCGAAGTACTTGTACAGTGCGTCCATGTCCCGGAGCGCGTTTTCGTTCAGCAGCCCGGTCAACTTCTTCTGCCAGTCCACGCAGTGCTCCGTGAGCGCGGCCTTCAGCTGCGTGAAATCGGTTTCGATAAACCCGATCACGGTCTTGCTGTCCTCCTGCAAAATGTCCATCTGGATCTCCTTGTACCGCTGGATGTCCGCCCCCGCGACGGACAGGGGCCGCTCGGTCCGCGCGTACCGGCGGATGAAGGCGTCTTTGTCCTGGGACACGATTGGCTGGTAGTTGGAGCTCCACCAATTCAGCCGCTCGCCGAGCTTCACGCTGCAGGCGTTGAAGCCCTTCAGCACTTCCTTCACGTACCGGATGCAGCACTCGTCGTCCTTCGAAATCGCCTCGAAAAACGTGGCGCGCTTCGTCCCGGGCGGCGGCGGCACGTAGTTGATCACGATCGCGTTCGCGCCCGCCAGGTCGCCCGCCTCCTCCAGCTCGGCCTTCTTCTTCGTGTCGCGCTTCGCCTTCTCCGCGTTCAGGTGGTCCCAGAGCCGGGGCACTTCCTGCAGCATCATGGTGGTGTCTTGGCACACCGTTTGCAGCAGCTCCTATCATATGTAAAACCTTCCCCACCCCATAGTCAAGTAAGTTGAAAACTTAGCAACACAAATCCAGAAGTTTTGGGAGCCACGCAGGACAAGTTGCAGTCCGCAGTGTAGTGCATGTTAGCAAGGACATCCGCATCACAAATCCATCTGCTCATCCTGTTTGCAGCATTACAAATGCCAAAACACGATTGGAAATGCCTGTCATGGGGAAGCGCATTACAAGCGCTCCTGTCATTGCAAATCTGCATGACAACTCTGGGGTGGGGACGTTTTTACACAGGATAGCTCCTTCAGCTGGTTCATGCTCGGGGAAAAATCCATCTTCCACGAATCCAGCACCGCGTGCACGCGGAACAACGGCGACGGCTCCTGCTTCGAGTCGCCGTTCAGGGTCCTGAACGGACGATTTCAACATAATTCTTATTTTTTTCGTGAAGATTTGTTCAGCTTGTGAAGGGTCTAGTACTTCTTGTGTTAATGCGACTACACAAACAACAACAAATGTAAAATTGAAGTATTAGTTTGAGTACCTTGACAAATCCTGCAACGAGGCTTTCGTCGTCTTCTTCAGTGCGTCCTCGAGCAAACGGTCAATCTTGTCCACGAAGCTTTATCGGAACGAAATTTTCTTGCGGGAAGACGAAGAGCACAAAGCTGTCATGCATACTTCTTACCGGGCAACCAAAGAAACTACAGGTGCATTTTGCACTCGGCATTGCACCAAGACACCGCATTCGATAGAGAAAGGCACCAAGTTTTGACGCTTGCGCCGTGCCACTTCAAAAATGACATTACAAACAAGAACAACTTCATGCACAACTCCCAAGCTGCAGATAAAAAACAAATTCAGCTTCGATAAATTTCGCCACTGCTGCTGAATTTCTGGCGGTTGGTTTTCGAAGAAGACGTAGGTGGCGAGCATGATGTCGCAGATCTGGGCGTGCGCCTCCCGGAACTGCACCCGGATCTTTTCCCGGTGCTGCTCCTGAATCAGGCGGAACTCGGCGTCGGTGTGGATGTGTTTGCGCTCGATGAGGATCAAAATCGCGGACGCGAACTTGGTCTTGGCACAGTACCGGATTTTGGAGATGTTTTCCTTGTAGTGCCCCACGTAGTCGTTCGCCTTGTGACACTCCTTCAGCGCGTCGCGCACGAAGAATTCCTTGACGCCGTGCGAGACCCACGTGTACTTCTGAATGCCCGGCCCCACCTTCCGGTCGAGGTTCTTGATGTGGTAGGCGAACAGCCGGCGCTCCTCCGGGGCGAGCGCTAGCAGAATACTGTTGTACTCGCGCACCACCCGCATCACGTGCTCGCGCGTGATGCGAAGCGGATCGCGGTGGTTCGTCGTGATGTCGTGCGCGTGGAAGGGGACCACGATGCCCGACCCCTGGATCTTCTCCCAGTAGTAGGTTTCCTGGAAGATCTTCAGCAGGTTCTTGTCGAAGTTCGACTCTAGCAGGGACCCGAACCCGCCCTGCCCCGGCGGCAGCGGCACGCGGCAGAGCAGGTGCGTTTTCAGCTTCTCCTCCAGCTCCTCCTCGCTGTTCTGGCCCAGCTGCTGCGCCACCCACTCCTGGAACGTGGACACGCAGAAGGACTCCAGCATCGTGTACATGTTGCTGTACTCCGTTTTCACGGTTTCCGTTTTCACCGGGTTCGTGCTTGGCAAATAGCACAAGTAGTTCAGTTCCTCGTACTGGGTCTGGATCCGCAGCATGAGCCCCCGCGCCCACATGGCCACGCCGCTGTAGGGGGGGTGCGCGAGCAGAATGGGGGCGGAATTTTTTCGGAACCGCTCGAATTCGCGCTTCACGTTGGAGATCTCCCGCACCAAGTAGTCCCCCACCTCCGCGGCCTTCTTCTCCAAAAACGCCTTGATCCGCTCGCGTTTGCACAGAAGGTAGAAGGAATCAAAGGTGAAAACGCAGTTGCTCACCGTGGACACGGACTCGAAGGCGGAGTTGATCACGTTGGTGTACATCACCTCCAGATCCTTCATCTGGTTCTTGAACGCGGTGAAGTCGTCGTGCCACTTCGTCGCCTTCACGTCCACAATGTTGTAGTCCACGTCCGCGAGCTTCTTCACTTGCTTCAAAAAGGCCGACTCAATCTCGAACAAGCTGCGGATGATCTCGCCGGCCTTGGCGCCGCCGAACTTGGGCAACTCGGGGTTCACCAAAGCCTGGATCTCGTCGTTGGTCATCTGGTCGGAATCGATCTCCTGGTTGTGGTATCAACTGCAAATATGTCTGGGTGTGGAAGGATGCAGCTTGTGATGCTGGATTTGGCTTGTGCAATGAATCTGTATTGCATGAACAGCAAAAGAGGTCCAATTTTTGCTATGCGGAGAGGGCATTCCTCATGCGGTATGAGCATCAGAAAGCCCTCGCAGAATCTCTGGTGCTAGGGCATGCATCACAGACCCTCTGGGTCATGCAAAATCTCCATGACGAACTCCTGCATTCTACTTCCAGAGGACCTAGACATATTTGCAATGCATATGTGGCCCCGCTGGCTGAACCCGGCGAACTGCAGCTGTTCCTCGGCGATCTCCAGCAGGTCGCAGTATTACAGTGAAAAGTGCCCCCCACCCCTGAAATTGCAAAAATTTGTGATGCGAAGTTTCCAAATGAAAACTTTTTGTCATGCATGAAAGGAGTGTGAATCTTTCTGATGCAGAGTCTAGGCGTATATAGCATCGCTTGCATGACAAGCGCCGCTCTTCCTGGGGTCTTTTGCAATACAAATCTTCGCTATTCACGATTGGAAACCTGTGACGCTGATAGATGCAAGAGGGCGAGTGTTTCATTTGGAAAGGTTTGCAATACAAATGCTTCCAAGTTCGGGGGTGGGGGCATTTTTCATTGTAATACGCAGCACCGCTGCACGTAGGCGTCAATCTGCGCGAAGATGGTGCCCTCCGTATCCTGAGTAAAAACGTACCCACACCAGAGTTGTAATGCAAATCTGCATGCCAAAAGAGTTTCTCATGCTGAGCCCCATGAAAGGCATTTTCTAATCGTGTTTTGGGATTTGTGATGCTATAATCAGCATGATATGCTAGGCCTGTGATGCTGCTTAACTACCTAAACAGGATTACATTACAAGGACAAACTTGTCATGCGAAACAGCCAAAGCTGGTTGATTTGTCTAGCCGATTCCCCATCTTGACTCTGGTGTGGGTACGTTTTTACTCAGGATACTCCGAGAAGTTCCAGTGCAGGGCGGGATCCGCCGTGTGCTTCTTGATGCACTGCACGGTCAAGTGGTAGGACTCCTTCCACGCTCGCCCGCACGCGATGGACTGCTCCAGCAGGTTCATACTGGACTTCACGTCCTCCAGCCGCGATTTCTCGTCCCCCGTGGCGGACGTGGAGCCGGGCTTCAGAATCTTGTCCACATCGATCGAATTCTGGCACCGCCGGATGATCTCGTTGGAGATCGTGCGGAGGAGGTTGGAGATGCGGTCCGGGGTGTTGTAGCTCGAGGACAGGTTCGCGATCAGCCGCACGATGTTCAACAATTCGGGCAGGAGCTTGGGGATCTCCACGGGGGTCAGCTGCGTCAGGTTGGTCGCGGGTTCCTTCAACAGGTTCAAAAACTGCAAATTGTCCTGTGCCTCCTTACTCCCGTCCTGGATGTCCTTTTCCAACGCGCGAAATTGGGGGAGATAGGAGGACTTAGCGGTTTCCAGCACCTCCAGCACCTTCTGCAGCTCCCGTGACTGGAGCTGCTGGTCGAGCCTATTTTTTGTGATAAGGCAAGATATTTACAACTACTAGCGTCAAGTTTTTGGTAGACTCGAGTCAGCAACATCCAACAGCACTTCTTCTAGAGGAAGAACTACTTAGAGCACTGAATGAATTTCATTTTCTGCGTCGAACGGAAAAAAAGAGCATTCTTCTCTTCTACCTTGACAAGTCCAGATCCCGTGCCCGCCAGAAGTCTATCTCGTCGAGCGGGCCCGCGGCCTCCGACTCCTGCGAATTCCCACTGCCGCCGCCGGAAGAACTTTCCTGCTGGCTGCTGGTCATATCCTACTGAAACGCGCCCCTATCATCCCCAGAGGACTTCATTGCAAAACTTCCCCATGGGGACATCCACCCGTCCCACCTTGCATATATACGCATCACAAGTTTTCAATGCCGAATCGCTGCAAAGACATGCGTTGCAAAAAGGCACAGCAATAGCAGCGCTGCTCGTGTAAGGAGTACTTTGCCCAAGAAAGAGGAATGAATCTGCTGTGCGCACGCATTACAACATACCATTACAACCTTTATGGAAACCGAAACTCAAACTACTTTGCATCGAAACAAATATCTCCCAGCACGTCTGGTGGGCAGCTAGAGCACTTTTCAGTTTCCTAGGTGACCTCCTTAATTTGCCGGGTCCAGTGGATGAGGGAGGCTTCCAACCGCGGCACGATGGTCTTGTCCTTATCAGAGGGAAAAATCCCCCCTCCCCATATCGAGACGAAGTTTCTGATGGTGGATTTCCGTACACAAATGCGCGCTGTCTTGCATTACGGCATCGCAGCCAGATCCTCAGCCTAAGTAGGGCCGTTTGGGTCTAGTTGTTTAGCATTACAAACGGCTGTCCCCTAGGCCCAACTGCATGCCCAATCGCTTCCGTAATGGCGGGGAAGCCTCTGCACTTGTCCTTTTGCAAGACAGACGTGATTTGTGGTCTCAATTCAGCAACACAAAGTTTCGGAAATATACCTTTTCGATATGGGGTGGGGGGATTTTTCCTCTTAATAGTCCTTCGCCACGGTTTCCACGTCCGACAGGTCGTCGGGTGGTATGTAGAGGACGGTCGCCCCGCGGGCCTGGTGCGCCACCTCGGTGATGCTGGCCATGAATTTCTGCATCTGCGTGACAAAGTCCTTCTGCACGTTCTCCGGCCAGTGAAAGTTGAGCCGGGTCATGGGCACGAACATGCTGTTCATGTTGCGCAGCAGACCCTCCACCAGGTCCCCGCGCACGTGGCCCGCGTGGATCTTTTCCTCCAGCGTGGTCGCGTTCTGCAACGCCTCCGCGGAAGATGACGCCGCGCCGGCCCGCTTCAGAAAGTAGGAAAAGTCCGTCACCTGCCCCTGCGCAATGTCCGGCGGCAGGGTCTCCAGCGGCGCGCTCTCCGCGGTCTTCTTGGCGGAGACCACGTGGAGCTGCAGCTTCTTGGCGCTGTCCTCCTCCCCCTCCTCCGGGGTCTTGAACCACACGAATAGAGACTTCGCATCCTATCAAATGCAAATATGTCTGGGTCTGGAAGAATGCAAGGTTTATTTTGCGTGACTCCTGATGTCTGCGATGCATGCCCTAGCATCACAGATCTTGTGAGGACTTTCTGATGCCTATACCGCATGAGAAATGTCCTCTCGCCGTGGCCAAAACCAGACCTCTTTTGCTGTTCATGCAATACAGTAGATTTTTGGATAATTATGCAGACGCAGCATCACAAGTTGCTTTGTTTCAGACCCAGACACTTTTACATTTGATACATCCTCGTTCTTGACAAAGTCATCCACCGCTCGTTTCTCGCTGCCAGTCCAGTGCTCCTCCGCCAAGAAGCCCTGGCACTGCACCCGCGAGCTGAAGAAATCCGTCGGCATTTTGGTGGTGGTCGTGGTTCGTTGTCCTCCCGCGAGCTAGAAGGAAAGCGAAAGCGGAGGCTGCTGCTCGATGGAGGAGGTTCTTTCACACTTCTTACCAGCGGATCCTCGCCAACTCCACGATGCTTGCGCGCCCGGTCGCGACGAGTCCTGCTCTTGTTGCCATGGTCGTGGTCGATGTGTAGTTCCCGCTACCTCTACTTTACGCTTCTTCTATACGAGGTCTTTCTCTTTCTCCTCGTATTCTATCCGGTTTAGGTTTGTCATTGATTTTGCTCTTCGCGTCGACGAAATTATGGACGTAAAGAATTGAATAGACATCCGTTCGCAACAAATTCTTTTTTTCGAACACGAAATTGGAGAAAACACGCTCATGATCTCTCACCCACATTTATCACACGCTTCGCTCCTCTGTTCAACATCTCGCTCAAAACAGTATAGCCGATCGTTCAACAACAGGGCCCGCTGCGAAGACAAGGAATACTAGCACGACAATAATCAAGCAATCAAGCATGTTGGTTTGAGTGTTCACTCACGACTAAGTAACCTCTTCACGACAAGCAATCCGATATACGCGAAACTGCAAGCTCTGCAGCGTTGTGCAGCACCAGGATAGCATGCAGAACACACACAACAAAGAAAGTCTGCACCGTCCCGAGAGGCGCGCAGTTCGTTTAGGTGGTCTTCCTGCTGTTTCGTGTTGATCGCAACTGTCATCTCTCGGAACGATCTGGGAAGTGTCTATTCCTTATCCTGTGCTGCATCTGCAACAGAAATTGTAGGTCCCACAGAGCAAGAATGCAATCGCCAGACAAAAATTCTCCCAGTATTTCTTAGACGAGGTGCAACGGAGAAATCAATAGTTTTGCATTTTCTCACTTCACCAGGTACCACGTTTGCTGGTCTGCAAACAACTGTACGGGTATGCTGAGCTTCGCCGCGAACTCCTGTACGCCCTTGGCCACTTCTGGCTTTTGGTTGTATTGCGGACCGGCGGCAATCCCGCCCGGCGCTACCAAATCCCACCAGTCATTGAGATCTCGTACGATCGCGCTGGCCGTCTGCGTATTGTCTATGTACCTACGTTATTTGTCAATTATCAAATAACGCAAGTGGAGACGAGAGAAAGTTTTTTTATTTTTTCATCTTGTTCCAATGCAGCTCTGCATAAGAATGCGACGTCCAACGTACAAGAAAAACGGTATCAGTATCGTATGGTCAACAAGGCGCAGGGTTTCAACGTAGAATGGAAAAGAAATATACAGTAAACTCGTTGGTGGTGAGCCGGGCGTCCCCTTGTAGGTGACCACAAAACTGTGGCTGAAGTCCCGCACGAAAGAGAACCGGTTCTCGTAGGGCTTCAGGTCGATTTGGTGCCTCTCAAAGATTCGCTGGTGGTCCTTATCCGACAGGTTGGCCGGATCGTCGTACCCCGCCCAGATATGAATGTAGGGATCCACGAGGTAGAGCCCTAGAGATTATTTATTTTTCGAATGGTGCATTTCTTTACTCCATCACAACGGTAGTACAGCAGGGGATAGATAAGTACTTACATCTGGTTGTAATACAACACTCCTCGCGAGCTAAAAATTTCTCCTTCGCACAAAGCTATATTGAAGTTGAGAACTTGCCGCACCAAAATCTTCTAAAAAAACCAGTCGTAGTACCGGGTGACGTGCTCCAATCCCTGAGTAATTCCATGGGCAAGGTGCTGGTCCCCACGCCGAGAAAAATGCCCAGTCCGTGCGGCAAGTTTCGTTGCAAATACTGTTTCAGTGTGAGCTGTCCACCAGCACCGCCGCCGTTCGCTGTAGAACTGCTGCCTATTATGCCCCCGCCAGGACTGGTATTGGAGACGGAAGAACTTAAGGGAGGCTGCGGCGGTGGTGGCTGCTCCGCCAGCAGATTGACGTTCACTGTGGTGGCTTGCGTTACCGTGCTTGTTGGCGGCGGCGAGACCGGCTGGTCTTTTGTCAGTTGTTCTAATTCCTGCAGTAACGCCTCGTCCTCGGGCGCCTGCAACTGTCGGCTTCGCGATGTTGAACCCGCCCCGGCAGTATTTTTACCCCTGCCACCGGCGCTGCCACTGATGCCGTACGGGGCACCACTTCTAGAGCCGCCCCCGCCTAAGCCTTCGTCGTACACGTCGTCGTCGTCGTAATCGCACCGGCACTCTTCTTTCAGCCGTTGTATGTACGAGATCTGGTACACCTGCACCCCCAGCAACGCCACAAGCACGGCCAAGAGACAGTCGATCTGCTGCATTTGTTCGCCGGTGCTGCTTCCTCTGGGCCTATCGATTCGGTTGTTCTGTTGCAGGTTTATTCTTCACCTCGGCGCGACGAGTCCGCTATCTTCACTTCTGCGCGTTGACGAAAGCAGAAAGATGTTGTTGAGAACAATCGGATTTTTCTTGTGTGCTCTCCCGCACCGCTGCCGTTTCAGTTTCACTAGTTCATCCAGAAGAGCGAAAAGACAAAACGTCGGCACAAGGAGGATGAACTAATATGCACGGGGTGGAACTACAACAAGTGGGCTTCTTCAATAATGCTCAGTCTCTGCGCCCATTCGCGACAACATCACGCGGCTAAGAACCTGCGGCTTCACCTCGCCCTGCACATCTATCAACGTTCATGCGGACGAACTAACCGTACTGCATCATGTCGATTTTTCCATGCAGTTAGTACTTCTGCGACAAGCGGCTTAAGACTCGAGCACGACTCGATCGGGTTTTTATTTGCAGTTGTAAATTACTGGATTTATTCATTGGAACGAACCGGATCTCGCGAATCTTGTGCGGCGACCACCGACTGCTTCGAACATAGACTTCTTAATCTCTTACCACGTTCGGATCAGGATTTCACAAAAACGAAAAACGCAATAGAATCCAAAGCGTCTGCTTTTCCGGAAAAAAAGCACGAAAATGAACGTGGATATCGATATTTCTATTTCTATTTCGTACGTCGACAAAGAAAAAATAACTAACCGGGAGAATCTTCAGTCAAGTTATGAAAGAATGTCGAACACTCGACAGCATCAGTGGCGGTCCTGGCCAATGACCAAGAATGTTCCGCCTGCAGTGCTCTGCCGACGTTTACCCATGAGCAGTACTGATTTTTTTCATTACACAATGGTGTTGCTTTTTTGTACACAATTTTGTTCCCGCGTGCTCCCTTCTTCATTCAATCCGCACGGTAGGAAAATTCAGCTACGTTTACATTTCAATTTCACAGACACATCAAAAGCAGGCCGCTTTTTCATCACACTGCCACCTTCTGAAACGCGGCAATCGCCTTGTCGAGTGCCTCCCGCGTTTCGCAACTCTTCGCCGTGGTGTTTGTATTCGTACAGCTGGAAAGCTTATTCCCTTCGCGTTGCACCAACTCTAGCTTGTCGGTGAGCCGGATCAGACCCGTGACGATCTCGTGGACCTCAGCATTCTCTACAACTTCCTGCCCACGATCTGCGAACGCGCTGCCCCCGACCTGCTGGTCCTGGTCCACGTCATCTTGCTCTTCTTCTTCCGAGAGCAGGTCCTCGTCGTCCAGGAAGCCACTGTCCTCGTCCATCGCGATCGCCACGATCGCCTCGTCGAGCAGGCTCAAGTGCCGGTCGTTCTGTAGGGCAAAGTCGTACAAAAACGCGTCGTCGTGTTCTTCGGACTTCACGGTCGCGACCCAGCACTGCTCCAGGGCGGCGATGGCGGCGATCAGGGACTGCTTTTTGCTTTGTTCCCGGGTCGTCCCGACTGCTGGTAGTTCCTCGACTTCCTCGGAGGCCTGGGTGGTGGCCGGGGAGGGAGCCTGCTCCTCCGCACTCGTCTTGCTCTTCGCAGTCGTGGGGGAGGGACTTCTGCTGCTGTGAGTTTATTTGCTATTACTTTCACTTCAAATAGAATTATTTCTTGTTTAAGAACATCTACCTCTAATTATATCGTTAGCACTACATCACTTTATTGTAGCAAGAAAGCAAGAGAATCTCAACGAAAAGATGGCGGCAATGGTGCCTCGTATGGTGTACGAAGCTACAGGTAAATGCTTGTTGTACCTGACGCCGCTGGTGTAGTTGACGACTTGTTCACAGTCCTCCACGTCCTCCTCCTCCCCATTTAGTTTCCCTTCGCACAACAGCTCCCTTTTGCAATCCCTGAGCTGCTTGACCTGCCTGAGAAATTTCGCCCGCAGGGCCATCTTGTTGCTGCGCGGGACGGTCGTCTTCCACTTCTGCAAGGTGTCCATCAGATTCCCCGCGAGTCTGCTCGCCGACAATTGCGATGAGGCAGTAGTAGAAAATGAAGCCGGTACTACAGGATGTTGATCTCCTGCGAAAACTACTTGTTGTCCCCCGAAAGCAACTGCAGCTTCTTCTCCGTTTATAAACCTTTCCACCGTGCTCTCCAAGGCCAAAAATCGCTTTGTCGCCTCCTCCGCGAATTCCCGGACCGCCTTCCGGAAGAACTCGTTCGGCGGGACGGCCGACCCGCTGCAGGTCACTTGGACCAGCAGGGTCGCGAGGAAGCACTGGTAGGCCTTCCGGAACTCCGCCAGGGGCTCGGCCAGCGCCTTCTCCCGCTCTCGCTTCGTCTGCAGCGTGTCGTCGCCGCTGGCGGAAAGCAGGGCGGCCAGCCGCCAGGTGGCGTGCTCGATGGGGACCGCGATCTTCTCGATCTCCTTCCGACTCATCTCCGTTTGGCAATGCGCCGTAGAGGAGGAAGAGGTCGCCGTCCCGAGTTTCGGTTTCCCCGCCTGCAGCCACTCCTGGCTAATGCGGCCCGGGGTCGCGGCCAGGGGAGAAAAAAATACTTGCGAGGACGGCATCTTATTTGGTGGGGATATTATCAAGCGTGCCGATCAGATGGTGGTGTAGTTTTCTTCGGTCTTCTAAGAAAGCTGCGTATAATAATATTACGTGGTCCGCGGTGTGGTCGCTAGGTAAGTGGGTCTTAAGGTGCTTTTTCCTACAAAAAAACCCGTGCGCGCAGCTGTGTTTTCGGTTTTCGGAAAAATATCAGTATTTCATGGTGCATGAAAATCGGGAAGGGATTTTCAGGATTGTTCTTTCTGTCGACGAAAAAAACCGCCATCAGGATCTTGTGTCGATCGCCGCATGGACCTTATTATTCCAATTCGATCTTTCGCGGTCTATAGCATCTCTGTACATTTTTTGAAGGGCTCCAAACAGATCCGCGAGTGAACAAGGACAAAACAGTTTTTTCATGATCCAAATTTTCGAAAGGTGAACCGGCACTCGAAAAAATCTCGTTGAGTAGTCGATTACTTCCCGGGAGTGGTAGAACGCCGCTTGCAGGAAAGAATTTGCAGGAACGTCCGCTCTGCAACAAAACAGATCTTGCTTTGTAAGAACCTCAAGCAGAAGTCCGATCATGGAGTCATGTTTATTTGTGCGAAAAAGAATACGCCCGGTGTGCAGCGATCATTTTTGTTTTCCCCGGCCAATCTTTCCTGCTCTCGCTATGACCTTACTACATACAACCTCACCTCGCTGCCATGACCTGCGCCTGCGCGCCACCACCCTGCCGCGCCCCCCGCTCCCCGTCCAGCCACGTGCCTTCGAAGACGCGGCCGTCACCGCCCGTGTAGATGCCCCAGCCGTGCCTCCTGTTGTTCAGCCACTGCCCCTCGTACTGCCCCCCGCCGGGGTACTTCTCCTTGCCGTACCCCTGCGAGATTCCGTTGTCCCACTGGCCGCGGTACAGGATGCCGTTGGTGAACTTGTTGCAGCCGTAGCCGTGGATCCCCCCGTCGCGCCACTGCCCGATGTACTCGCGCCCGTCGGTCCACACGTACCGCCCCTCACCGTTGCGTATCAAATGCAAATGTGTCGGGGTCTGGGAGACTGCGGGAGTTGTCATGCTAGTCTGACATGACTCTGAACTCTGTAGTATTGCGTGGCCGCAAAGAGCTCCTGTTTGGCTGTCATGCAAAAGCGCAGCTTCTCATGCGGAGTACGCAACTCAGAAGAACCGAAAAATTTGTCATGCTTGGCAGCGCATAAATACAGTGTGGTCACTATTCCCTTCCTTGCATGACAGGTTTATTCCAGACCTCCCAGATGACATATTTGCAATGCCTATTGCGCTTGTTGAACTTCCACTGGCCCTCGTAGATCCCGCCCTCGGGGTAGGTCTCGGAGGCGTACCCCTGCTTCTGGTCCGCGTGCCACTGCCCGTCGTAGATCTCCCCGGTGGAGTACACGTTGCGACCCTTGCCGTGCCGCTTGTCTTCCCGCCACTCGCCGTCGTAAATCTCGCCGGACACAAAGGTGTACTTCCCGAACCCGTGCTTCTTGCCGTCGCGCCACTGCCCCAGGTACACCGACCCGTTGGGCCAGGTGTGGTGCCCGATCCCGTTGCGCATGGAGTGCAGCCACTGCCCGTCGTAAACCGAACCGTTGGGATAGGTCTCCACTCCCGCACCATGCTTCTTGCCGAACTTCCATTCCCCGATGAACTTGCGGCCATCTTCCCACTCGTATTTGCCGTACCCGTGCCGCGTGTCGCCGAACCACGTATCAAACGCAAATATGTCCGGGTCTGGAATAAAATTGTCATGCTAAGGTGTGGATGACAAGCTGCAGACGCCAAAAGGGAGCTCTGCAACATGGCAAGTTTTTCACTGGCTACGCCTCTCTTGGGTCGTAAACCGCATGACAAGTCGCATTTTTGCAGCACGACGAACGCATCTTGCTGTATCGCAGCACCACGCATGATACGTCGTCTTTACTCTTGTCAGAACAGCATTGCAAATCTTGCAATCTTCCGGACCCAGACATCAACTTTGCCGCCGATACCACTGCCCCTCGTACCACTCACGGTCGCCGTACACCTCTTTTGCGCGGCCGTGCTTTTTCCCCTCCAACCAGTCTCCGTCGTACACTTCTCCGCCGACAAAGTGGTGAATCCCCTTCCCGTGCCGCTTGTCCTCTTTCCACGAACCTGCGAGGAGGAGATTAGATCTAAACGACGCGGACACAGAGAAATAAATGTATTGCAATTGCTGACAGCACGTCGTGCTAAACATATAACATTACTCGTGTCTTTTCTGATGTACAAAGATTAAGCCGACAGAATTATTTCTACCTTCGTACTTCGCCCCGTTCGGCAGCGACTCTGTCCCGATGTTGTGCTTTTTGCCGTGCTTCCACTGGCCTTCGTACCGCCGACCGTCCGGCCACACGTAGATGCCGCGCCCGTGCCGCAGATCCTCCTTCCACTGTCCGTCGTAGGACCCGCGGTCTTGGTACTGTTTCCTGCCCTCCCCGTGCGTTTTCCCGAACCGCCACTGCCCGCTGTAGAACTGACCCTCGGCCCAGCGGTAGTCGCCGTCGCCGTGCCGCCGGTCGTCTTCGTACTCGCCGTCGTGTATCACACAGAAAAAATGTATGGCAGGGCATAATGCTAAAACAACAACGTACAATTTACACAGAAAAAAACTCTGCTGCATGTCTCTCTCAAGCCGCTTGGTAAGGGCTCGCCCATGAGCAGAATTTTTTCCATTAGTGTATTTTTGCATTACGAAGCTGCCCTCCTCACCGTTTTTTTCTCTCGGATAATGTACCGGCTGCCGTCTGGGTATGTTTCCTTCCCCTGTCCGTTGGTCTTCCCAAACCGCCACTGCCCCGTGTACTCGTTGCCATATGCCCACACCTGCTTCCCCTCCCCGTGCTTTTTGCCCTCGAAAAACTGTCCGGCGTACCGGGTGATCCCGTCCTTTTCGAGCAAGACGCCCTGGCCGTGGGGTTTGCCGTCCAGCCACTCGCCCTCGTACACCGGTTTATCGGGAAGCGGCAGCGCCACCTTGTGCTTCACCGCAATGCCGTGGTCGGAAGGGATCCCCAGGCTGCTGGGGGGCGTCGCGGTGAAGATCTTCTGCGCGATGGCTTCCTTCTGCGCCAGTGCGATGAGGCCAGCTGGTGGTGCCTCCAGTTGCTGGTTTCTGCTGGAAATAAAATTACCGGATAAAGTCGCGCCGCTTTGTCCATCGCCTTGCTCGTCTTCTATACTGCTTCCTGCAGTGAACAGCGGTCCCCTCGCGTTGCAGATTTCCAGCAGCTCCTCGAAAACCAAAACTTCCTCGCCCGAAGGAATGTTGTAAACGCCATGCACCGGGTCCCGCTTCTCGACGGTATGAATGAGGAACGTTGGCAACTTCCTTGACTTTGAACTTCTAGTACAGTCATGGTTTACAAAAATGCAATCATCATCATCATGATCATCATCCACCGCTGGTGTCACTGTTCATGTTTTAGTAGAGTTCCTAGTCTTCTAGTTCATGCGGCGACTATAGACAAACCTGCATTTTTGCAGTTTGCTCAAGAAGATACCAACTACAACACCTATTTTCATTCTTCCGTATCCAAAATAGAAGAGACACTCCTTAACGTCGTTTGTGTGCAAACTGCGCAACACGCCGCGACCGTGCCGCTTTCCGTTCACCCAGACCCCTTCGTAGATCCAATCTTCTCCCCGCACGCGACCCACGCCGTGCTTCTTCCCGTCCGTATTCCATTGCCCCTCGTATAAGTGGAAGGAGGAGGATCCGCCTGCCTTGATGTTTTTGCTTCCCTTGACCGGGCTCGCCGACCGAGATGAATCCACGCCTTCCGTCGCCGCAGTACCCGTTCCCTTTGGGGGCTGCTTCCGCTTTAAAGGGGACTGGCTCGACGAGTGGTCTTCGTCTGCATTTTTCGCCGTCCACCTCACGCGAGGGTTAGCGCTGCTGCTGCTCGCATCATTTGAAGTCTCCTGCGCTAAATGATCCACATTGTTCGCATTCTCAAAATTGCCACTCAAGACAGAATGGCGGTCGCTGGTGAAGTCGAAACTGAGAAGTTTGTTTGCACCCCCGCCGGTGGATAAATTGGCTGTGCTGCTGGCCGGCGCCGACGTGGGGTAGTTTTCGACATTACTCTCACTTCCAAATTCGTCCTGCTGGCCACCCCGTACTAGAATCCCCACCACTTGCTGCCCTTGACTGTCCACCGCTTTTGGGGTGTCGCGCGTCGCCTCCAATAATTCCCCGAAGGACAGCTTCGCGACCTGCTCCAAATTCAGCGTGTCGCTGCAACTGGAGGAGGATGCTGACCTGCTGTCTTGCAGCGGCCGTCCGGCTGTTTCTTCCAGTCCCAATGAGATGTGTTGTTCACCGGCATCTTCTACAATTCCCTCGTATGCAACATTATACGGATCATTTGCAACAGAAGCGTTCCCATGCGAAGAGGACGCAGATCGTCCGGAAGACGACTTTAGCACTTTTTCCCGGCCAACCCCACTACCAACGGACGACGCGGAGTGAAACAGTGCCTCCGACCACTGGTTTGCGCCCGTGGCTCCACGCTCCGCGGCAGTGGTATCCGGCATCGTCGCGACCGAGGAGAGCGCATCAAATGCAAAAATGTCTGGGTCTGGAAAAATGCAAGTTTGTCGTGCTTGTCTGGCATGACTCGAGAATCTGTGTTGCATAGGCACGAAAAAGTCCTCTTACCTGTCATGCAAAAACGCAGCTTGCCATGCGGAACACGTAAGACATGGCAGCCAAAAAATTATTTGTCACGCATAGCTGCGTATTGCAGTGCGTCTATCATTCACTTTCAGCATTACAAGTTTCCAGACCCAGATATATTTGCAATCCATAGAGCGAGGGCAGGGGTACGTGCGGCGACTTGCAGGAAGGGGAGGATTTTATCTTGTTGCTTTGGGCCGCGTTCGAAGTAGAACTGGGCGAAAGTGCGGTCGTCGTCTTTGCGGAGATTCCGTTTTTGAAAAGCTGCTGGTCGTGTTGTTCTAGTTGTACTTCTGCTTGATCAACATCGGCCCCGAGAACATGCTGTCTTTCTACACTCCTCATCCCTGCGAGATGCACGTCCTCCCCGGTGGAAGGCTCTTCTGGCTCGGTTTCTTCGGTCAGTTTATTACAATGAAAAATGCCCCCTCCCCATATCACAACGGAAATCTGTGACGCAGGTTTGTGGTCACAAATCAGCTTTGTGATGCTAGAAGGCAAAAAATGCGGACTGTAGTGCTGTCTAGCGTGGGAAAGCCTTGCAGCTCCAGGATGACAGGAGGCAGCTGGAAGTGGGAAACAGCATGACAGATTACCTGCAATTTAGGCCGCAGCTTCGTCTCTTGGCCTTCTAGCAATACAAGTCGATTTGTGTACTCAAATACAGCATCACAAATTCGCGCATCTTCCGTTTCCGATATGGGGTGAGGGCTTTTTTCACTTTGATACAGTTCCTCCCCGGGCGCCGCTAAGGCTTCCTCGATTTCAAATTCCTCTTCCTGCAGTACGCGGCTCTCCGGGTGAAAGGCGGAAGTGTTGATGTTCACCACCGCGGCCCCCGTCAATGATGGTGATTGGGACACTAGGGGGTTGCTCGTCATCCCAAGAGTCGCACCACGGGGCTGCAGCTGCGAAGTGTGGTCAACACGACCTGTAGAAGTCGTGCCATCTTTCTTCAGCCGCACCCAGGTAGGCTGCTGCTGGTGCTGCTGGATCATTCCGGGCACGCCGATCCGCACGAGAGGCGGTGAGGCATTGGCGAACACGCGCGGCGGTGACGCGGTGAGAAACAGGTTCGTGCCGGCCAGCTGCTGCAGTTGCGCCGCACGGTGGGCGGTCTGCGGCGACAACTCCTGCGGCGGAGGTGGTGCACCAGGGTCTCGACGCCAAAAACGCGGCCATGCATGACAGATTGCAGATGAGTCCGCTGGGACATTGACATTGTCCCTCGTGGCCTTCTGGGAAGTGGGTTCTGCACACCGCAGAGGTCAAGGCTTATGCGGCGGGCAGCTTCTAGACATGGCCTGGGTGCCGTTCTTTGGCCATGTCTATTCGTCTCCCTGTGCTCGCATAAGAGCACTGCAGCAGCCGCGGAAAAGACGCCAAAAAGAAAGCGCTGCGAAGCAAATGCAATTAGGCAAGAAGGCGCGAAGGCAAGGGCGAAAGGACCAGGCCGAGAGCTTTGGCGCGTCTATCCGGCAGGCGCGTGAGCTCTCCCGGCCTTTTCGGCAGAGTATAGGCGGGCTGAGGGCAGCAGAAGGCGCATGTCTTTTCCCCTCGGCCCCACTTCCCAGGGCCTATTTGCGGACTTCCTTCAGCACTTTTCTGCGCAAAAGTTTGCTTATCACGGTCGAAAAGGGGCGCCCGGTGAGTTTTGGGGTGAATTTTGAAAAAGCCGTGGGCGAATTTTGGCCCAAGGTGCCTATTCAGAATTCGCTAACGCACGAGAAGCTCCGGGTTTTGGGGCTTCAAAAAAGTGTCGCCAAAACAAAAAGCCCCCAAATTCACCAAGAGAATTCCTGACCTGGGGGTCACGTCGAAAAGGCCTCGCTCCGGAGGCAAAAAGACACGTGGGGAGTTGTGAGCAGAGCACAGCAGGCGAAGCAAGCTAGCGTCCGCGGCCGAATCGTGCCTCCCCTTCCACCCGAGGCTGCTCCCCGATATCCAAGTCCAAGCCGAGCCAACCACAACTCGTGAGAGCATACATGTTGAACTAGTGCCCCTGTGCTCAGGCGTCGCCCTCCCTTTCGACAATTCCAGAGAGGAACTTCTCAGGCAGACGCGCAGAAGAGTAAGAGCCACCCGATCCACCTTCTTTGGTTACATACGCACTCCACAGCCCGGCGAGCCCCCGCAAGACCACCTCTTTCGGTGCTGCAAGCGCCACCACGCGACGAGCAGCCCTTCACGCTATGTGGGATGCTTGGGCTCGTGTGTCTAATACGTAGCGCGCTTCTCTTTTTTTTAAGTAAATGCAAGTCATGCAATACAAATTCACTGCAAATTCACCCTTCTGTATGCTAACGCCCGTCCAAGGCATAAAAGCATAATTAGGTGGCCGGTCTGCGGCGACAACTCCTGCTGCGGAGGTGGTGCACCAGGGTCTTCTTCTCCGTTATGGTCGTTCATGTTTTTTTTTCTTCTTTTTTGCGCAATTACATTGAATTTCTTTTTGTTTTACTGCTCTGTGCTTTATTTTTGCAATGGGAGGAGGTGGCAAATGATAAAGTACAAGTAGAGAAGAACGAAGCAACGAATAGCAGACGCGTGGAGAAGTTGTGCGAGCACCGACCGAAAATTTATGAAACAAAGTACTTATGCCACTACACCGACACCATGCCAAGTATGCAGGAGAGACGGTACCGTAATACTAAAATCTCAACTAGTTGTAACGACTTGTTGGGCCTTTGTCACAAAAACGACGACTATGTTGCCTCCTTTTGAGTCAGTACAGTATCGTTACACACAAGGTATCTTTAACCATTCGAGCATATCTCATGAGGACCTGGGGACAGAGGGTTCGTCGACCGAAGAGGCCGTTGACAGAATTTTCCACTGAGCCTTCGGACACAGTCACTACAGACGGTTGACTCACTTTCAGCTCGGATGTGATTCAAGTTCACGTCCAGAACATTCTGGCTACAAAAATGGCAGTGCGATGAATGACAACCGATTTCTTTTTTTTCCGACGTTGCAACAATGAAAATGCTGTTCGCTTCCCTTCTCGTTTTCCGCCTCAGTCGCGCTGTCGAACACCGTTTACTCTTCCTGCCACCCTCCCACGTTCTTGTCCACCGCCTCAGCGATTTTTTTTTTGTAACGACGCTGGAGCTAGATAACTCAGAAAAAAATCCTGGAACGACTACTCAAAATGTTCATATTGCTGCACACAGATTTTTTATTTTCGAGTAAATGGCGACGCCTGCCACTGGGTGTTCCTCGATTAGCATTATTGATGCGGGGACATGATGAATATTAGCTTACTAGTAAAAAAAAATTCACTGACAAGTGTAAATGATTCAAGGGCTAAAAGTATTAAGTCTCAATGTTGCGAAGGCAGATCCGCATGAGAGTAGTCCTGCGGCGAAACCAAATTGAGGTCGCAAAAAAGCGGACCGGGCGGGAATCCGCTGAGGTCATCGCAATATTGACAAGTAGGTAGTGGTTCTATTGACAACTTTCTAAAATGAAAATGAATTTGATATCGAGTCAAGGTGCATGTGAGCAACTGGATGCTCGTCTTTGCAAAAAATTTACGTACTTATCGTAACGTCATTAAGTAAGCAGCTCAGTTCAAATTTCGTGCACGAAAAAACAAAAAAAAAACCGAGTTAGTGGAAATTCTTGAAATTTTCGAAGAAGCTCAGCCGAAAAATTTTGACAAGTGTTTGGACCAGAAAAGAAAACTCAATTGAGGTGCGGAGTGGTCACAGCCTGACCTCCACTTACTTCCGCCCCTTTTTCGGGGGTTTTTTGATGGAGGCCCCGGGCGATCGGAGATTGGTGCTGTCGTCGGCCAGCACTTCCAGCGACGCGGCTCGGAAAGAGGACGAAGAGCTATTCGCCCTAGAATTGCCGCTGTTTCGTCCCTGCTCGCTGGGCTTAGTGAAACCCCCGGTCGGCTTTTGGACCGTGTTTTGCATCTCTTGCTGGTAGTCTGCGTAGGGCTTCTTTGTGCGCGGCTTCTTGCTGTGCGACGACGTTTTGCCGTTGGAAATTATTTCTCCCCCTGCTAGGACCGGCGTCACGCCGCTGATCGACGAGGGGACCCGCTCGACCGGGGGTGCCGGTACCCCTCCACTGGTGCCACTTTGGTGCACATTCAGCTGTCTCCCGTCCCCCGCTCCTCGGCTTGAACCGTCGAAGACCGAGTTCCGGCCGCCGCGATCCCGACCGCGCGACGGCGCCGCATTCATTTCCCTCTGCTCGCGCTTTAAATTTTCCAACATGGCCCGGGAGTTCTGGGCCATAGAGCTTTCATGCTGCTGTTGCTGCGCCGGGTCCGGAGGTGCTGATGCTGTTCCATTCCGGCCCGAAGACCCGGATTTCTTCCTGTTTCCGGTCGTCTTCTGGGTAGTTGACGAGGACTTGGCATGAACAGCCAGGTCCTCGTCGTCCGGAACATTGACCAGGCAACCGTTGTCGTACGCGTCGTCCATGATCTCGTAAGCGGCCTTCTTGTTTTTAAATTCGGACTTCGGATGCTGCTGCGCCCCTTGTTTGATGTTTCCGGCAAGAATCTGCTCTTTGTTTGCCTTGGGACTCACCCCCATCGCGGTTCTCTCCACAATATCAAATGTAAAAATGTCTGGGTCTGGAAGAATGGAACACGTCATGCTAAATCTAAATGATGCAAAAATCTGTGCTGCGTAAGTGCCAAAAGCTGTCTGCTTTTGACCAAGTTGACAGGGAGTTTCTCATGCAGGAAAGGCATGATAGAGACCTCAAAGAATCTGTCATGCTGGGTCTCGCATCGAGACCTCATGGGTCATGGAAAACCTGCATCACAAATCTTGCATTCTTCCAGACCCAGACACTTTTGCATTTGATACACAACGTCGTCGTCGCTGTTGGAGATTTTCTCCGTTTCCCGCTCCCGCATCCGCTTGTTGATGAAGTAGCCCGAGGCCAGGAGCAAGGCTAGCGCGCCGACCCCCGCTGCGACAAACACAAACGTCATGCTGCCACCCGCTTCGGATGCGGAGTCGGCTTGTGCTGCTTGTTCCGTGCTGGTTGTAACAAGTGCACCACTATTAGTAGTACCAATTCCGGAGTACACCAGACAGGCGTCGCTGGGCTCCAAACACGCGGTCCCGCACGGCATCTGGACATTTTTCTCCCGAAACGCCTTCCGCACGTGGTACATGTCCAAATTGTCTTTTCCGCAACTAGAGCACGTCTGCGGGAACAGCGCCGCCGCTTGCGCACTCTCCCCCATCTGCAAGAACAGCTCCGTCTTGTAGCTCAGCGCCGGGCAAAAGCTCGGGAACGAGGCCAGGGCCTTGTCGTAGTACTCCAGCGATTTTGCAAAATTCGGCGTCGGCCTCTTTCGAAACGCGTACCCAATGTCGGACTCGACCAGCGCGAGGCACGTGTTCCCCACGTTGTCACTCGCCTTGTACCAGTCAGAACAGGAATCGGGCGTGTGCGGCTCCACACACCAGAGATACTTCTGCGCCTCGTCCGCCTCCTGGTCGGTGGCAAATCCCTTGTTGTACGCCGCGCGGATCATGTAGTCGTTCGCGATCATGGCGTAGGTGTAGTGATTCCTATTCGTTTCCGGGTTGAACATGGCCCGCAAACTAGCCGTTTGCGACAGGTCCGTCACCTGCACCCGTAAGCGGTGCCCGGAATTGCACTTTTCACTCGAAGCAAACAAATAGCTCCCCTGGCTGGTGCAGTCAAAATCGGAACGGAGGAAGGAGACGCTGTTTTGCGCAGGTGTTTTGATCGTTGGTCGTTTACTCCCGTTCACGCCCTCGCTGAAGCTACACGCGATGTAGGCCTGCTCGGTTTGGAGGGCGTACAAACTTAAATTACTGCTCTCCGGCCACACGAACCGCAACCGCTCGCCCTTGTCGCAGGTGACCTACTGATACTCGTCGTGGTTCACGTAGCTCGTGCCGCTCCAGTCGAACCGGAGCACCTTGCGCTCGACCGGGGCGAGGCTCGTGGTCTTCACTTCCTGGACGGAAATCAGGCTCGCCTTGCCCGCCGCGCTAATCTGGGTGTTCGCGAGACTGGCGATCGCCGCGCTGTCCAGGGACTTTGCCTGCAGGCTGGCCGCGACAGTAGCGATGCTGGAGGACGAGGAGGAGCTGCCGGTACTGCCGGTTCCACTACTTCCACCCGCCGCAGTTGGAGATGATGATGAACTGGGGATCGCAAATTCAAAATCAACGACGACAGAAGTGGACACCTGCAGACTTCTTCTGCTCGTTTTTACATCAGGAGACCAATACCCTTCCCCGTCCTGACTGGTCCTAGCCCCGGCATGACTCCAGCTCTCCTTTCCACGATCATCACGGCCGCGAAATAACTTCCTCCGCCCACTCCCACTTCCGACCGAGACGCTGACCACCTCGCACGTCGTGTCGCTCCCCAGCTCCGCACTCAAGTAACTCAGCATGGAATCGCACATCGCTTTCGTGAAGTCCGTGTCTTCCGCTAGCGACGCCACGTTCACGTCCGGGGAGAGTTGCATCGAAAATTCCGGGCTCAACGCCAACACCTCCGCTGTTTCGACAACGGTGGCGCCGGTGGTGGTGACTGTCGTGGTTGTCGTCACTGTCACGGTCGTGGTAACTGTGGTGGTCAAAGTTCTCGTGGTAGTGGTCGTGGTCGTCGTTGTCGAAGTACTGGTCGTCGTGAGCATGGCCTGCGTTACTGTCACTGTACTAGTCGACGTACTGGTGCTCGTCGTCGTCGTTGTCGTCGTGCTGGTCGCGCACAACACCGTGCTGGTCTCCACCTGGTTATTGGCAAACGCGCACTCCAGTCCGCCGTCCGCTGCTTCCTGCGTCCGCGTGTAGGTTCGGGTGGGCGCCGTGCCGCCGTTACCAGCAGTGCAACTACTCCACGCGCTCCAGCTGCCATTGCACGGCGTCCCGCACGTTTCCGTGTTCACGTCCCCGTGGCTGGCCGGGCAGTAGGACCCGCCGCAGTACGGCACCACGCTGATCGCGTAGGTGCGGCTCTTCTGGCCGTTCGAGCAGGCGGAAAAGGCACCGTACGCCCCGACGCAGTCAACCGCGTCGCAATCGCCTTTGGTGGTAGTGGTGGAGGTGGTGGTGGTGAGCGTTGAGGTTGTCGTAAACGTGCTGGTCGTGGTGACGGTGGTGGCGCTTGTGGACGTTGTCGTGGTGGTCGACGTTGTCGTACTGGTCGACGTTGTGGTGCTCGTCAGCGTTGTGGTAACCGTGGTCGTCGTCGTGATGGTTGTCGTCAACGTCGTCGTGGTTGTGACCGTCGTGGTGGTGGTGGTGGTCGTGGGCGCCGGCGTGGTGGTCGTGGGACAGGTGATGCTTTCCGTCGCGCCGTTCGAGGTTGTGCAATCCACGCCCCCGTTCGCCACCACCGTCGTGTGCGTGTACGTCCGGGTTCGCTGCTCCCCGTTCCCCGCGCACTGCGCCTGCAGTTGCGCGGTGGTGTAGTCCCAGCTCCCCACGCAGTTCGTACCGCACGCCTGGCTCTGCGTCGCGCCGTTGCTGTACTGGCAGGCGGTGCCCCCGTTCGCGGGGTACGTGTGGATCATGTACGTCCGCGACTGCGTGCCCCCGCTGCACGCGCTCCAGCTGGACCACGTGTAGCCGCAGTGCGTCGGCGAGTAGTATGTCGGCGTGCCGCCCTTCGCGGGGCCGGGAAGCCGCCGGAGCGGCGCGCTGGGGGAGCGTGCGTCTTGTTCGGCAGCATGGTTTGAACCCTGTTGGTGCGCGGCAACGTCGATTGCTTGGTGGACGCCGCGGAAGGTTTTTTGCTGGTCGTGCCCGTAGTGATTTCCATTTTCTTCTCTTTCAACTCCAGTAACTAGTTGTACTCGATGATGCGATAAGGCAGCATCGCTAATTTTTCCGCTACTGGGATCAATATCATGATATTGACTACTGCTGCTACTGCACACAAAAGAAAACAGAAAAGCAGGGTAGAAATAAGCTACTGACGTCCGCAAAAGGAAAAATGGAAACGACATGATAGCAACAAAATGCCGATCCGTAAAAAAAGTAAGGGAAAAATGAAAAAAAGTTCTACTATACTGCAACGGTTAGGTCATGTAAGCAAGAGCATAGATACTGCACATGTTAAGATGATGGAAAAGAACTACATAAAGACCACATAGCTCCATTGCAAAAAAATTGCACAAGCAGGGGAAAAAAAGTTTGCACAGAAACCTACTTGCATGTGTCAACTACAGCTACACAACGAAACTGGGAAGGGGCCCTGTGAAAAGTGAGAACGAAATGGACGAGTTGATGAGAGCACAAGCGATAGTATCAATTTGGCGCCTTTTTGAAGGGCAGCATCTGACTCTCGATGCAGAGGAAAAAAACGAAAACGATGGGGAAGTACAGGGGGTACCATAGAGACGTAGTAGAGTAGTACCTCAACCGACATCTAGTTTCGTTTTTTGTCACCGACCCTGTATGTTGCGCTGACAGGACAAGCTAACTTCCTTTTGGACCGACAAGTACTGTTGGTGTTGGACTATGCACAATGCATTATTGTTTTTCGCGAACAGCGACTTGCAACTGTAACTGCGCAAATCCAATGACGTGTTGTAAGATGGCTGCGCACTTGTCGACTCTCTTGTTGTTCTTACATTATTTTTCATTAGATGTGAGCATCCGAAAATTTTCGCGCAATCGTTGTACATTTTAGTCTTCACAGTTCGCGCAGCCACTTCTAATTTGGGCATACAAACTTCGTTAGATTTTCCACTGCTTCGAAAATGTTTTGCTTACAGTCTTCTCGTCTGCGAAATAATTCGGTCCAGAATCATACGCGCTTCCTCCTCGTTGTCAAGTTGCAGCCACGAGATAGACAAGACTCTGCCACTTCTTGCGCTCGCCGGCCCTCCAGCTTCTCCGCAAAACTTATCGCGCGCAACGTGCACCAAGTGTTGCCCCAACAAGATCCTCTTGCATTGCGTGACCCCGTTTGGGCTGAACGTCTTCTCTTCTAAATCGTAGACAAAGTGCGAGGGGCCATCGACCTCAATTAGAACTACAGCTTCTCGCGACAACATCCCTCCTTGCGTATTTTGAGTACCGGTTGCATGATTCGACGGGCCGGCGGCAGCACAGCCCTCGTTCCACGAAACCAAAAAATCCGCGTCCAAGTGCGTTCCCGGGATGCGATACTGCCGCTTGATTGTCACAGCTGGAGTCATTCTCATCTCGATGTTGCGCAAGGGCAAGCGTTCCAAAACGATGTCCTCGAGTTTTTTCTTCACTTTCTCTTCCAGCAGAGAATCACTGCCGATTGTCCGGGACTTTTCAAACATAGTCTCCGCGCACCGTCGCAGCCGCGAAATTTCTCCGCCGCCATTTGCCCGTGACGCTAACAGCTCCGGAAACACGGTTGCTGCGCAGAAAAGCTCGACGAGGTCCGTGTCAGAAAATTTTCCCTGTTGATGCAAAGTCTGCACCAAATCGTGATAGTAAACCAAGTGCTCTTCCGATAGTAGTTTGTTCGGGAGCGAATTTTTTTCAATAGGCCGGTTTGTGGCAGAACTCTTCCGCACAACAACCGTCAACACACTGAGCCCCCACAGAAAGTTGCACAGCTGCGAACTCGAGAAGGCGTTGGCATTTGCGTCGACCGCGGTTTTTTGGCTGCAGAACCCCGGAGCAACGTAAACAAGGCGTTCTTCGCATCGTGGCAGGACGAAAATCCTCTTCCTTGCGTGCTCTACCAACTCATCCAGCCATGGTCGGAGCCAACGTCTTGTGTTCTCTTCTTCCTCACTGCCATGCTCGCTGAACGCAGTTGGCCCACCAGCTTCCGATACATCTGCCTGAGAAGTTGCATTAGACCACGCGCACCGCGAATTTTCATTCGTCCCCGCATCTTGTTGCATCAAATACGCCAAGCTCCAGACCACGTTTGCGACGTCCTGCGGTGAGAAGGTGTCCACGTTTAGCTGCGGCAGGACTTCGAAAACCAACTGTTTGTGATACAGTCCAAGCGTCGCGAAGGCGTGGAGAGTGATGATAACAGGTTTTTGTAAAATAACAGTAGCTGCAGAGCCGCACTTGCCAGGATCATTCAGCGAAGGACGGTCCAGCCGCGCTTCCCGCACCAGTGCATCCGCGACACTACTGAAGAACGATGTGTCAACAAAATCCGGCACCGGGGTCGCAAGTGACCTCTTGTGAACCCAAAACTCGTCGTCGACTTTACCACAACACGCTACCGCCCAGCAGATCGAGCTGGCTTCCTGGAGGCTTGCGCCGCGCGACGACGATGAAGCAATTCCACGTTTTCGCAAAACTGGTGGCGAAAGTGGAAAGGTAGCAACTGTGACCGGCGCAGCTCCTCCTCGTGCTTCTTTCAGGTACATCTGCTGCGCAGCTTTCAAAAACGAGTGATCAAAGTGGTTCACCCGCGCGCACGCCCAGCAGGCATTAGCGAAGTCCTGCAAGTTTGCGTTTTTGTGACAGCTGGTGTCCTCCTTGTTCCACCGTGAGCGTGGATCTAAGTCGCTCCTGCCCTCGGACGCCATAAGTGGTGGTGGTCCCGTAATTGTTCTCTCCTGCGAGACGTCGTAGCATGCCCTCAGCCGGTTCAAAATTTTTTGAAAAACTTGCTGATCCAAGTGTTGCACCGCCCCGCAGCTCCATAAGATATTGGCCACGTGTATCCTTCAGGAAAAGGCCAGTATGTAAAATGCGACAATGCAGAATGCAACAGATGACTCTGTCTCGCGTGCTGGGATGCTGCCTGATCGTGCATACGCAAACTATTTTTCGCAATTTTCATTTTTCTGCATGATAGAAGATAAAGTACGTAGCACAAGCCTGCCTCTATTCCTCCGAGATACGGTGCCGCGGCTGAAAAACCTCCACGTTGGGTAAAACCACGAGAAAGGCGTGGCGGAAGACCAGACGTGCGTTTTCGTGGAGGCTCGGTACTTTTCCCGTCGCCCACAACACGTTCGCGATCTCCTGCGGTCGCAGCTTGGGGAAGGAAAACAGCAGTTCCGCTTGCAGGGCGGACAGAAGTGCGCGGTCGCAAACCCCTTGCGCATCTATTTCAACACTTCTTCGCGCGAGGCAATCGAGCACTCTCGCTGCGTCCCGGCAGCTGAGCCGGTTTCGATAAGGCAAGTTGGCCGCTTCAAAGAGACCCAACCGTCGACCGATCTTTTGTTTGATCGCGGCGAAAGAACCACATGCGTCTCGTCCCTCTGCCCTCGTTCTCGAAAAAGATTTCTCAACAGCGGCGAGCTCATCCGCACTTGCACGCCAGGTCGCGGATGCGCCGATCAGACGCCGGACGAGGTCCGCGGCAGTTGCGACCGCGGGCGCTGGGTCCGTGGATTCTTGCTCGGTCCCACTAGAACGGGGTGGTCGCGCTGGAAACGACTGGCCAGTGCGTGCCGGCGTGAGGTCTGTTGCAGATGTTGAACCGAAAAGCTGTACTGAAACTGCGCTTTCGGGCCGCGGCGTGCTCTCGTTTGGCGCCGCATTCGCTTGAACTCCGAAATCCTGCTCCGCCGCACCCGGGCCTCGACGGTGCAACACCCGCCGCAGGTGGGCCGCGAGGTAGAGCTGCAATTCGCCCGAAGACAAGTACCGCACGCGATCAGCCGCAACGGTGCAGTCCCAAATGGTGACGGCAGATTCATCGGGAGCAGTACTGGCAGAGCTTGAAGTAGAACCCCTTGGGCAGGCTCGGTCGTCTCGGAAACCTTCCAGGCCGTGCTGCGTTCCACTTTCCGCCACTCCTGAATGCGAGAAGCACTGCTCGAGCTCCGAAACTGGCACCCGGCGCTTCGGCTCCGCGACGGATGTGACCCGGAAGACCGCGGCGACGCGCCGGGGACTGCGTGCAACGACAATGCCATTCTCTGAAATCCGGGGGCGGTGTATCAAAAGGAAAAATCCCCTCGCCCCATATCGAAAACGTATCCGTCTGAAAATTTGTGATGCGCATTTGTGACCTCAAATCCTGTCTGTCTTGCAAGAAGGCAAGTCCAGAAAGCCTTCCGCATTTTGCGGGCGGTTTGTCATGCTGTTTGGCTTAGAGCATACACGTTTGTCATGCTAGGCGCCTACGTCAAAGCCTCTCGACTGAGGCTTGACATATGCCTGCACTCCTCTACTGCAATACAAATCTGATTTGGGTATGGAAATCCAGCATCAGAAACTTCGTTTCGATATGGGGAGGGGGGATTTTTCCTTTTGATACGGTGCGTGAAACCCAGACGTCCGAGTGCGCCTGCGACTTTCTCCAAGAGCGCGCGATCGCTCTGCCAAGGCACGCGCGCGAGTTTTCCCGGCGGGGGTTGCGCAATGGTGCCATTCAGTTTTGTTTTGCCGCATATATGTGATCCATCTTTTACCTTCGGTGCAGAAGCTATTTGTGCTACCCCTCCTGCTCGTGAGTGCTCTCTTCTTGCAGTCGCACGGGCGCGGATACATTTCATACCGATGCCGGGAACTAGTAGTATACTTTTTTTCTCCTTGGGAATGCGTGCAACACGCTCACAGAGCTCTTGGATCAGGTAGCAGTGTAGCGACTCGGAGACCCTCGGGGGTTTGAGCATTGCCACGCAGCGCAGGAACAGGAACACACAAGGCGGAGGTGGCTCGCGTTCCCCCGGTTCTACCGAACGGGGGAGCCCGCTGCCCGATAGAGCGGAAGGCGGCGGCAGAATACAAGGGCTTTGACACCGCACCACGCCACGAACTTTGCGGGTGCGCTTCGAATGGCGGAAGCAGGGCGCTGAAGCAGATCACTTGTCTGCGCCCCCGGGAAAAAATGCGGCGCGCGCAAGCCGGCGAAGCGCGACCGTACGAGGGCCTCGCCCTTGCTTCGCGCACGCACGGGCGCACCGCAAAGCTGTGGCGGAACTAGGCGCGCAAGCGTCCGGCGCCACGAGAAGGGCAGGCCAAAATTTAGGACGAAAGAGCGTCGCGGCCCGCCGATATTACTGGGCCGTGCCTTCGCTGAAGCGCCGGAGGCCGATCGTAGGCGCACCGCCTTCCCAACTCTAAAACTTCCCGAGAAGCAGAGCGGGGGCGGCGCAGGCGGGAGTAGCGCCCGGGCGCGCGGGGCCTTCGGAACTGCGGCGTGGGGCGGGGACCAATCGGCGCCGCCACTTTTGGCTAGGCGGCGCGCAATTTGAAGGATTCCCCGCGCGCCCCCAGTTGCCCAGTTGCTTTGCGTCTTTTTTTCATCGGCCGAGGCCTGGTAGGTCCGCCTCTAGGGCGCCGGGCTCAGTTTGGCGAATTCCGAGAGCGCACAAGGGCGGCTCGCAAGCGAAGCGCAGTTAAAAACAGCAAAGCGCGGCGCCTTTTCAGCCGGGCCGCGCCCTTTTCCCCTTGCGGGATGCGGTGCAATTCGCGTCAAAAATGGCCGCGCGTTCGGGGGATGCGAAGGCGAGCCAGGGTGGCTGAGCCCCGCCCCTTGGAAGTGCGTGGGGCATCGGGCGCAAGCTAGTGCGGCAGGACGCGAAGGCCTGGCGCGCGGCGTCACGGCCAGCACCACCTCCGAAAACCGGAGGCCTGCACGGACGGCGGCGGCGGTGCCCAGGCCCCCAAAGCTGGCAAAGAATAACACTGATAAACAGCCTAGCACTGGTTTTCCAGCGGTTTTCCATCGCCCAGATCCAATCACAACCACCCACATGAAAAAGAGACTGCCTTGGGTAAAATCATGAAACTTTGTTCCTAAGTGGCTCGCTATGAACGACCAGCGCAACCAATCTAAAACGAGCATAAATTGGATCCATTTGCATAGTTTTATCCTCTCCTGACATTACACAACTCCTTTCCACTTAAATTGTGGCAAAATGCCCTACATGTTGGAAAAAAATTAAAATAAATTTTGGGAGATGCGGCCTACCACATAGTGGATATTCCAAAAAAATTAAGAAAGTATGAGAGTCATGACACCTTTTACAATGCATTTGCGCAGTTTTTTCATTTTATGCGGGAAATCTTTGTGACACAATGCAAATTCTTGAAAATTCCGAAAAATCAAAAAATACTGAAACTTATTATGGTTACAAATTAACACGAAAAGTCTGCAAATGGACAAAGGTTCTTTGTCCCAACTAAGTTAATTAGTCTGATTTGTTCGTTTGTGATGTTGATAACAATTGTGGTATTGCTGGGGTGCACACCACCAGCGCCACAAATTGTGACGCCTGCGCCTGTAAAATCGATCTTCTTACAGGCGCAGACATCACAATTTGTGACGCTGGTGGTGTGCACCCCACCAACATCACAATTGTTAAATTTGCCTAAAATTGTGAAGATTCCAAGGAATTGCACAGGCAATTTCTGGAAAATTTCACACATTGGGAAAAGTCAAAAAATTGCCAATTTTTCAATATGGTCAATAAACAAAGCCAACATGTAAAATACATTGAGACCAGATGTATGTAGCATAGTTTTATGATCCTTTTTAATCGGCCGAATTCGATTGGACCCACTGGAGCAGTATTTTCCCCAATTTTACAAAATTTGGAAATTTTACCAACAAGACCCATACTTATAGGGGTGATCCGGCTTAGAAGTGCGGCCGCTTCTGAGACTGTGTGGAGCACTTTTAAGGTATGCCCATCCTCTTCCGACCACGGAAAGCCGAGCAGAGAAACGCGGGCAGATTTGGGGTCGATTTTTAGGAATTCCTAAAATATGTAGCAGAGCGCATGGGCGGCCGCGGCCACAGGACCCCGACGTCCGATGTAGGGCCTTCTAGAAAGGTGTGTAAGATTCGCACCGGCGGGCTGCTTTGACCAGCGCCCGGCAACCGCTGTAGGCATAGTGCTTCTTTTCAAACGCCGGGCCCGCAACACCCGGCCCGGCCGGTTCCGGAAGCTCGCCGCGAGGGCACCGGTGCGGGCTGCGTCGGCTGCCGCCCGGAACCTGACGGAGGATAACGCCGGTTGACCATGTGTCCTTTTTTTACTCGGCCAAGGTGATGCGGCTTGCGCCGGTGGTGGCGCTCTCGATTTCTGGAAATCGCGAAAATTCGCCGCGTTGTCTTCCGCAGGCTGCGGCCACCAGTTTTCTTGATATGGCCAGGAAGAAGCAGCGCCGCGGGGCGGCGTCCTTGCGGCTTTGCGCCTTAACCCGCGGCCTGGGGTCGGCCAAATACGGGCCAACCGGATAGTGCGCCGTTTTCGAAACGTGCAGGAGCTCGCCAAAGCAGCTTGCGCGAGCGGGCCATTGTTTTTGGTCGCCGGAATCCGGTGAAAAAAGTAGTGCCGCGGCGTGACGCTATGCATGTGGTTTTGCGTTGCCGTTTCGCCGGCCTAGACCGATTGACTCGCGAGAATTTTGAGACTAGCACGCTTGTCACTACCGCAAATTCTTTTCCACGAGAGCCATTTCAAAAATAGCAAAAATAAAACCGATGACGCGCAATTGTTTCTCGTCTTACCAAGCTCTCCTGCAATGTCCGTTCGTTCTCAAGCACGTTGAAGAAAAGTTCGTTGATAATTTTTCGCACTGCGTGCGCGCGTGAGAGCCGAGCTGGAGGGCCAAGTACTCTTTTTTAGGTCACCTTGCTCTTCCACCATGCCGCATCTGGCAGTAGCATCCCAAAAGACAGCTAACTTTTCTACAGATGGGCGTCGTAGATGTATTCATGCTGCAAATGGTCATTTGTGTTAACACGTCTCCGAAGATACTAGGAGGTCGTATAATACTAGATTCGTAGACCGCGACCACCTAGTAGTGTTCTTTTCGAGAACCTGTCCCAGGACATTGTGAATTTTCCCTTCCTACGAGTAAAAACTGAATTTTAATAAAATGGACGCTGTGGTCGCCCAGTTTCCGGCTGGGCGGATCGACCAGCACGTGCTGCTTGCGGGGGCCGGCGGCTGCAGCGCCGCGTTCGCCGCCGTCTTGTGGATGACCGGGTGGCGAGAAAAGCCAGCTTCGTATTGGTACCTCGGGGTCGCGCTGACGGCGTCCACACTGGAACTCGGACTGCTGTTTTACCCCTCACTTGTGCCGCTGGAAGGAGCGGGGGGAAATAAGAGTACGAGGACTGTTTTTCCTTTATCGGTGGTTTTTGTTTTTGCACCGCAAGAAGAATTCTCTTCTTCGATGGTAATTGAGAAACGCTTGTGCTCTCCACGAGGCATTCCGCCAACAACTAACCCGAAAAATAACAACAGGCCAACTGCGGCACTGGCAGTTGGAGCTCTTGGCGTTTAGCGTCATCTGGTGCATCATGATGAGCATTTGCGTCGTCGATTCCCTCCTTTACATGCCGCTGGACATCTACAAACACCTGCGCAAAGGCGAAAAAATACCGGCGTATTTTTACCAAGTATACTACCACCACTTTCTGGGTATCGCCGGCATGTTGCCGCCCCTCTTCCTCTTTCAGCAGCTGAACGGCTTGCCATTGTCCGAGGTTCCGAGCGTTGATTCCGGGAACGAGGTCCAGGCACGGCTTCTATCGGATATCCACTTCTGCAACCGGTACGATTTTTGTTCATGTACTATTTTTCTGAAGATAAACTGCTGGCGTTTGTGATGCAGTTGCCGCCACGACTTGGCGGGAGGAAGAATTTCAATTTGCGCTGTAGAAGAGGAAACCAATACCTACTCAACAAATCAGGTTCGTTTTTCTTGCGGAATTTTCCACGATTTTTCTCCACATCCGCAACCTGCTGCGATTGCACGCGACGGAAACCGGCAAGCCCACCCCGGCGGTGCTCCGGATCGGCATGGGCCTGGCCTTCGCCTTCGCGTTTCTCCTGTGCCGGATTCTACCCACGGCGCACGGCCTGCTGCGATCGATCCACGCGTTCTCGCCGGAGTTAGTCGACAAATACGTGTACAATTCCTCCCCAGCCGTTCAGCCCATCAGCACCAGCATCGCCGCGTGCTACATTGGGTTCTCGTTTTTGAATGCCTACTGGGGCCGGGAAATCGTCAAGGGGATTGCGAAAACGTTTGGGGCGAAGAAGGACAAGCAGATGAGTGGCGAAAAAGCGAAGGCGGCGTAAGGAGCATCTGATCGGGCTAGTAAGATGTCGGCATTACAAAAATTTTCCGGACAGGGAAAAAGGAAAAATGAATTAGGAAATACTTTGTTTAGTCGCTACTTTTTTGTTCCTAACTGTAGTAATTTTGTGAAGACATAGAAATCCCATGTTATGCCATATGACATAAATGTACAAGTGCTCCTTCTGTACATCGTCAAAGACAGTGCAGTGGCACTATTGTGAGATGAAGCTTTCTATATTTTTGATATTCGCAGAATCAATCAACAATCATCATGCCTGCATTCCTCTACTACAACAAAATGGACTCGGCCAGAAAGAAATAAGGATAAATATCGCGACATAGACATCATCATCGACTCTTTTTTTGCAATCCACATCGCATGCGTCTACCAAGATACAACGAGCAAGTCGGAGCGGGAAAACGACGCGGCTGGCCGTCGTCTTGAAAACCGCTTCTGCTTTGTTCATACAGCGCCAGGAATTGAAAGTTGAACACCTGTGTCAGCTTTCACCCCGACTACTTCATCTTTTAACAACATCACACTGCAGTGCCCATCATCGTCTGGAGAGTAGGATACAATAAAAGTTGCCGTCAAGGATAAATTCGTTTTACGTTGCGCAATGAATCAAATTGGCAGCATCATCAACACCAAGCTTCTTCGTAGCAACAAAGAGGTGAGCAATTAAGCAAAATCGTTGTGACTCACGGTAATCCTGTCTGAATAAATTCGGTTGAATCGTCTGCAATCTTGTCACTCAGTATACTCTTTCTGGAAAATAAATCTGCTGCCTGTCATGTACCTTTCTTCTCCCAGCGTGGCGCCGTCGAGGTAATTCGCGTCGCTTGCAAACACTGTTGTGGTTGTCGTGTTTGGAAGCAAGATTTGGCACTATTTCAAGGTTTTACTTTGGTGCACAAACCACTTGGATCTGCTATTCTGAGTACTTCTAGCACCATTTTCTTCATAGCCGTAGTGTGAGGATGGTGTGCACCCCGACGAAACCCGACGCGATTGCGTTGCAGTCGCCGGAAATTTCTTCGCAGCTCCGAAGCGCCCCGCCGGATTCAGCAAAGAAAGATCGTGAAGAAGTTTCAAGTAGAAGGAGTGCGCCGCAAGTAGTTGAAGAACCGGCCGCGAAACGACCGAGGAAAGACGAAAGCGAGTTTGCAGACGCCAATGCCGATGCTGACGGTGACGTCACTGGGACAGCACCTGCTCCTCCTTCCGCGAAGCGGGGCAAGTGGCAGAATCAGTTCGAAGACCAGGCGCGCGAGGCTTTGGACGTGCTAAGCCAGGTTCTGGTCAGTTACAGAGCGACCAGATCCTCGTCTTCCAGGTCTACCTGTGCTGCGGTGCAAGTTGGGGGAAAGCTGGCACCAGTACCGAAGCCGGTAAAAAGTGCGGGTTGTATTCATGAGATGAACCAGGGGAGTAGCAATAGCGGCGCTCAAGATGAAGAGATCCCGGCGGCGGCTCAACATCCTCCGTCGGAAGGAAATGGAGATCAAAGCAACAATCAGCTTCCAGGCAAGGATGCCGTAGTGGCTGCCATTCCCCGGGACGAATCCTCGAAGGAAGATTTTGTCGCGGCCGGGTCGCAGCCCGGAACAGCCCTGCCGGCAGGCGCAGTGACGGAAGAAGGTGGTTGTACAGGAGCAAGTTCTTTGCTGCCGGTTTCTGCGTCTTGTTCCATAGCGGGGCCCACCGTTGCCGCCAGCAGTTCATCCACTTCGTCGAATACTGGTACCAAGGGCGCGAAAGTAGTTACTTCGACGTCCAGTGGCGAACAGTCCTCCGCTTCCTCGCAGCTTCCCAGTGCTGCGTTGCTGGAGCTGCTAAGGTCCGTGTTTCCGGAGTCCGCGGCACTACCTTACGGAGCGCGACACCAATCCCACCACGAGGTTTTGTATCCAGGGGGGAGTGGAGTTTGTCATCTCGATTCCGCCGCAAAAAAGTTTAACATCGACCGCTCCAACCAAGGCTTGCGAAAGCAAGACAATGGCAAGGAACTGCTGCATTGGGCTTGCGTACAACAGCAGTAGAGATTTATGTGCAAATCAGAAAGACGCCTGAAGATCATTCTGTTTTAGTTTTTTAGAAGAATCTGCTTTTCTTGAGCGACAAGGCTTGCCTTGCACAAAACCCAAAGTGTGGGAGATCTGATCCAGACTGCAACCGCGCTGCTGGTGGCTAATGGAAAGGACCTGGCGCGCCGTATTTCCTGTGGTTTGGCTGTGAAGACGGAGATGGTGATGATGATAATGAATCTTACTTCTGCATCAAAGTGCACCACTAGCGACATTGTGTCAAAATATGCTGGTGTGATAATTGAATCGATTTATTGTTCAACAAACCTCCAGGCGTCGAAGTGTGCGAGAAGTTCCGCGCTGATGCCGCTCAAAGCCTGCAGTGGGCGGCAGAGAGGAAAAACGAAACCTTAGCCGAAGAGGCCACGACGCAGGACAAACTGGGGGACGCGCAGCGACGCTTCGTCAAACACGAGCAGACGCTGCAGCACTGCCGCGCGGGGCAGAAAGCCGCAGACGCGCAGCTTGCGGCGAGTCGGGAGAAGTATGGGTTGCAATGCAAAAGTCTTCTGTACTGTTATAAGAATTTTTGCAGATCATAAGTAAGTACTTGAGCTTTTCTTTCTCGTTGGAGGCAAAAAGGTGATGCAAAGTCAATTACGAGCAGGACCAGGAGCACAGAAAAGGCCTTTGAAAAATGCATACGAAGCTCCGGAGCCTGCAGGAGGTGCAGCAGTATGGCGCCGAGGTTTTCACCGGAAGGGGACCAGCGGCTGCCTGTGCCGACGAAGCCCAACCGGATGATTGCAGCTGGAAGAATAACAGTGGAGAGAAGAAAAACGAAGAAAAACAACAGCCTGCTCTTGCTGTACCCGAAGAAATAAATCCCGAAACTACAAGCGGAAGCAACAGCGGCGGAGCTGGTGTGAATCTACCCCCGTCTGCTCTGGAAGCCAGAAAAGCAAAGGCACAAGCCACGTTGGTCGAAATTGGCGCGGACAAGAGTCTACGGGAAGCGTTGCAGAACCCAAGGGGCGCGTTTTTCGAGAAAGCCTATGAGCAAGCACAAGGTATCAGATGTGAAGAACACATTGAGGTAGGAACAAGAAGTACCAGTAGGGCGCTATTACAAAATAGATACTTATTTCTATTTGTGATTTATGCGACTTCCTAGAGCGTAATGGAGGAACCGTTTTACCACAAGACTCCATATTTTTACTTGGGGCGGAACTGCAAATAGATGTTGTCGCTGCGACATAAAAGCACTTGAGTTTCCAGTTCTGTCCATCTGATACCATGCCTGCTGGCAGCCGAAGTAGTGAAACTCGAGGGGAAAGTCGAGCAGGATAAAGCCGCTGTCAACATGCGAAGGGAGATGGCCACACGTATATTTTCATCTTTTTTTATTTTGTTTCTTGCCGCTGTCACGCTTTTTTTGTATCGCTTTAGCGCACTACTTAAGTGAACTACTTAGGGGAACTACTTAACCGAACTACATAACCACTTACGCGAAGCACTTAAGCGAAGCACTTAGGCGAAGCACTTAGGCGAAACACTTAGGCGAAACAGTTAGGCGAAACACTTAAGCGAAGCACTTAAGCGAAACACTTAAGCGAAACACTTAAGCGAAGCACTTAAGCGAAGCACTTACGCGAAGCACTTACGCGAAGCACTTAGGCGAAGCACTTACGCGAAGCACTTAAGGGAAGCACTTGAGCGAAGCTCTGAAGCACGCCACTAATGCACACCACTGAAGAGAAGGACTACTGAAGGGGCGCACGACGTAAGCGGCGCACTACTTAAGCGGCGCACGACTTAAGCGACGCACTACTTAAGCAGTAGCGCACCACTTAAGCGAAGCACGGCTGGAACAACGCACTGCTTACGCGAAGCACGACTCAAGCGAAGCAGCTCGCCTGAAGCAAAGCTAAAGCACGCGCTAAGCGAAGCATTCAAGAAGCGAAGATGAAGCACTTGAGCCACGGCCGCGGTGCTTTTCGTTTATTGAATCGATTTATGCGCTGCCGCACGCGAAAAAAAAACCTGAAACTCAGGCGTGGAAGAGCAAATTGAGGAGGCCCGCGCCGAGCAGGACCAGTTGCAGTCCGACCTGGACGTTTTATCCCGCAAAAACGAGCTGAATTTCCTCGCTTTGCAGCAGGCGAAAGCCACGCTCGACCGCTACGACACTCAACTGCAGGAATTGCAAACCCGGAAGAAAAAGCACGCCGAGCAGCGGGAAGCCTTTGACGCGAAAACGGTAACGGTTTTCGACTACCTGCGCTCGCGTGGCCGAGTCGGCGGGCAGGCGCAGAAGGCCACGCCCCGGAGCGCCTTGCGGAAGAAGGGACAGAAGACACCGGGCCAGACGCCGAAATCGGTCGGGAAAGTTGCTTGGTTGTAATGCAAGATACATATCCTCTCATAGCATGGTGTTTGTCATGCAAGACACCCTTCAGAACATGGAAACTCCAACGCCATACATCAAAACAGGTCCACTGGCCAGACCAGCAGTCGCGGCAGTCGTTGGTGCAAAAGCTGATGAGCCCGGTGCGGCGAACGCTGAAGCGGTTGTCTGGCGGCTTGCTGGACTTGGAGAAAAGCAGCCACCCGGGCGCGAAGCGACAGAAGGTGGATAAGAAAAAGTCGGAGAATGATGGTTCGGAAAGTGGGAAAAATGTGAAGCACAACATCAAAGAAGAATTTCACTACACGCCGGAACCAAGCGGCAGCGAGGAGAAGCCCCTGTGGAAGAAGCGACACGAGCACGGGGGGCTGTTGCCGGACGAGCACTCCGATGACACTTTTTGACGTCACTTAGGAACCTTTGAAATTTCACACCATTGTCTGACGCAGCGCAAATGTATCAGCGGTCGTGTTAAAGGTCATCGCGGCGCAAACGACCACGGGCAGTTATCAAGACATTGAGTCGTTTTTAGTGTTTGTCTTTTTTCTCAGGAATCTCCTGGGACATCGAGAGGACAAGAGAGCGAGAAGACTGAAGCTGCGTAAAGAAAGCATCTAGCGTCCGCGAGCTTTTTTCTGAACGGATTTTGCCGGCCACATACGAGAGCGGGAAGTGTAGCTATGAGGAGGCCCGCGGAAATAATCAAGAGTTTTCGTACAACTGTTGAGATTCAACTGTGCATATCGCTCTATATTAATTCCATGTGCCACAGCTGACTTGAATGGTGGACTAACTAGCAGATCATTCACTACCTGCGCTGCTAGAGTGAGATGAGGCGCGGCAGCCACATCAATCCAGGAAGATGCCAATACACCAGGGGGTGAAAGTAAATCCAAGACGCAGTGTGCCGGCAGTCGTGATCCTCTAGTGTCAATAGCCTTTCGACGTGAGGACGAGCCATGGAGGAGAGACGGCGATCCCTAGACGCCGTCCGGCGGCGGTCTATGGACGATGGAGGATCGTTATGAAACATGTGAAAGTCACAATTTTCTTCGTAAGAAAGCGGTACTGCTCCTGTCATGCGCGAATACATCCTAAGTACACATGTAACTAGTTATGCAGCTGACACAATTCGGCGTCGGCATGAGCATGGCGTGCAATTGCATGAAACTGACCGCTGATGGTAATTGAAGAAAGGTTGCTTATTCACTTCCATACTTGAAGGCGTTTTCCGAACGCAGAGGGAGCACCGGACGTACGATTCTTTTTCCGTTCTAGCTTGATTTTGTGCAATCTATCATATATCAAATCGTATTTTGCGATGTAGTGCTAATGTTTTTTTTGCATGGCAAATGTCGAATAAATCGAAAGGTCGTGCTTCGAAAATGGCGGATTCGCAGCTGTTGAATGCAAATTTCAATACCGAGTTGGTCCGCTATCCTGGTGAAATTGTGTTTGTCTTGTATGGAACAAGGGATCTAGTAGAGATGACCTTGTCGTAAGTAAGTACTCCAGCGTTTCTTGTGCAACAATCGCCAAGTTGACTTGCTTGGCTTTGCATACGTTGCGCTACGTTCTAAGTTTGTAGAACGTAGCGAGAAAAGTAGAATCACACCCTGAGGACCCGGTGTCGCTGGCACAGGAATCATTTCGCCGGGATAAGTGAACTTTCCGGCGACGAAGCAGTATTACTGCCTCGATGGAGTTAGGGAGCCGGCGTAATTCGAAAGCGCGGGGATCCGTCAGCATGGACCCAGCCAGGCGGCGGAGCTGGTACATTTTTTTCGGAACTGGGTTTACTTATCGGATGACACTTCATATTTCGATAGGTCGTTGATTATCGATGTCAATTTCAATTTTCTTGCCTTTGTTTCCCTTGGTAGGCGAATGTAACTGTCAACATTTGAACACCGCAGGTCAAGCTCAATCAACAAAGCAGAGCGACAGTATCTGGGCAAACACGCCTAGTGGTCTTGAGAACGAAAGTGTGTCTGTACTTGGGAAGGGTTGTGTTGTGCGTCAAACCATGTTCCCTCCGTCCGATGTAGCAACCGACCAAGACGCGAACTGTTATTGTGTATGGCGGAATCGCGATGCGCACGGACAGTGCGTAGTGCGATTTCTGTGCAGGAGGTCCTCGCATACGCATAATTTGTGCATGACGAAGACGGATTTTCTCTCGAAAAATAAGTTTCGCAAGACTTCCCAACCATAACAAGCGCAGTAAGATCCGGCGGTCGCCGATGTACCTGGAGTTTCGCAGATGGGTCGCCTCCATCCCGGATCCGCTTCTCGGGAGAAGCCACCGGTGCCCTTTCACCGGCCGGGTGCACTTGGAGCTGACGAGGTCGACCGTCGAAGTTTCGAAGGAGCTGTTGCTACTCCAGAAGCTGGAACAGAAGCAGCAGTCCGCGGAGGTTACGGATTGTAAAAATGTCTGGGCCTGAAAGATTGCAACTTGTCATGCTGTTTTTGGACTCTACATCAATTTGTATTGCATGACCAGCAAGAGGGGTGCGGTTTTTGCTACACGGACAGGGCATTTCTCATGCGGAAGGTACATCAGGAAGCCCTCTAAAAGTCTGCGATGCTAGGTCAAGCATTACAGGCATGATGGGTCATGAGAAATATGCATGACAAATCTTGCATTCTTCCAGACCCAGACACTTTTGCATTTGATAGAGGTGCGGCACGCACAAAAGCAGCGGCTGTTGCAGCGAAAGCAAGATTTGGAAAAAATTCCGGACTTTCACCTCGTGGATCTCTTTTCCGAGCGGGAAATCATCGGTGGCTTGCCGAACGAGTTGTGCCAGGAGCTCTACCTGATGAAGCCAAAACCCTTGCTGATGCGGACCTGGCTTTTCCACCAGATTTGGGACGAGTGCAGCAACGAGAAGACCCGCCTGGAGTGTATTCAGGAGGCCTTGCGAGTGCCGCTCCCGTTTCGAAAAGACATTACTCCGTATACTGATTTTCTTGTCGCGTTTTTTCTTTGCCCTGACTTTGTACTTAGAGTTTCGTACTGAACAGAAGAAGCTGGTGCAGAACATGTGGTAGACATTTTCGACGTGCTTGATGTCAGCCGACAAAAGTACGAAAAAGGACCTATTTTTAGTGACTTTTCAAACCACATGAATTCAAACCAGGTGGCAGGAATCGTATCTGCCACAGATGACGAACCTGAGTCCGGCGGTTTCCATGCTCTTCATGATCATTTTTATGGCATTCACGCAGCAGTTTTTCGCCTTGCTCATTGTTATGGGATGGGCATACAACAAACGGGCAACAGTGCTGCTCGTGCGAGACTTGGTGGTACCACCTCTTCATCTTGCATCGCAGGAATTCTTGGTCAAATGCAAATGCAGACTTGTAGAAGCAGGGCAATATTAACTTCGGCGCAATAATAAAACAGAAAAGTAAAAAGGCCACTCTACGTTGGTATAATACGAGTTCCGCAAAGAAAAAAGGCACTCCCTGCCTCTACGTTTGTTTCCATACCAGCCGACGTGGTGTTGGTTTTTTGCCTCATCGTTTCGATCGGGTGGAACGTGCCGCACTTTTTCAACTACGTCCGCCCACTCACCGCGCTTTTGAGGTATTATCTATGAATCTATTTTCCTCTAGCTTGATTGTTGCACCAGCACAACAGAGTGAGAGGTGCAATAAACTGCCATGCATTACAACTACGAGCAGAGTGTGTCGCACTCCTGTTTAATAGCATGAGAACAACTACGAGCTATGCTGGTAAACAGGCCTCTGACGTCATCATGATGATTCAGGTACCCGCTTTATTTCTACCTGTTTGCGGGGACGGTGACGCCAGTCGACTACCTGATGAAGGAGGACATGGTGGGTTTTTTTGGCAGTCTTCTGGTGCTCCTCTGCGTGCTGTTCGAGATCTTCGTCGACCTGTCCCTGATTCTGACCTGGAACGACCGCCGGCCGTTGCAAGTGCTGAAGGATTTGAACACAGACCGCGCCAGCGGCAGCACGCACGTCTATGTTGTGAACGCGGTGCCGTTGAAACGTATTTTCATAATCTTTGGTGCTGGTTTTACACCACCCGTTTAGAAAATGATTGATCTGATGTCCGGCGGCCTCGCCGCGCCGCATTTTTTTTCTCTAGTGTTGCCGCTCTGATATTCATATTTGTATTGCAAATTCAAATTCTGCAATCTTCTCCAGGTGGCAGCATGCAGCCGAAGTTTCCGAACAACGGGAGGAAGAGGAACAAGTACCACGAAGAGGTTGACGAGGACCTGACTGCCATCAAACTGGAAGACTGGAACGCGGACCCCACCCACATGATCGTGGCGGAAGTGCACGGCTTGCTCTGCCAGCTGGTTCCCATGCAGTTTGAGGACTACCGGCAGCTGACGAAGCGGCAGGCCGAGGGGGAGCTGCTGTTTCTGGAGTACATCCAAACCAACACCATGTCGTCGCAGCACCAAACGGCCCACGAAGTGGCCAAATCCATCGAGGCGCAGAAGGACCCCAACCTGCAGAGCCAGTACGAAGAAGCGCTGCGGGAGCGGCTGTACAAGGGCGTCACGTGGACGCTGCTGCCCGCCCCGGAGGGGCGTTGCGTGAAGCACGCACTGCCGGTCAAAAGAAGACCCTCGAAGGGGTACGCCGGCAGCAACGCCGGGGGACCGATCATTGACATGCGAAGGTCCAGTCTGGGGGGCGGATCAAAAAGTGTGCTGCGGTAAAAGAGTTGTGACGAATAATCAGTTCAAGAAACGAGCTAAAGTTGTAGAACATCTGAGCTGCTTAATGTTAATCAACAGGTAAAACTCAAAAGACCAAGAAGCCATTTGCTTAGCTTCAGATCTTCATTCAGAAACAAAAAATCAAACTTTTACAATCAAGAATTTAAATCTCAACGCGGGGAGAAGTAAACACACACGGTTTTGGAGGACAAGTAAACATGTACAAATTTAGTCAGTAAAGAGACCAACACTTTTGCAGCCTGCCAGCGCCACTGGAGCTACGAAAAACAATCATACATACTACGAGTACGCCTTCTCGCATAGGAACAATATAGTACACAGGGCTAGCTGTAGCTACTTTTCTTGGGCTCAAATTGTAACGCGTGGGTAGCTCGGTGCAGATACGGAAATCAATTGCACAGACGCATCAACAGTGTCGGGAGTTTGGAACTTCGCGCGAACAGGGCGGAATTTATTTTCCTTTCCTTTTCGAATGCGTAATCGTCCTAGTATCCCAGAGAGGATTATCAACATTTTGCGGCGCCCCTTTTAGGTCCAATGAGCTGAAACTAGAGGCAGTTGCCTTTGTGACGCTACACCATCACTTCGGGCATGGAAAGTTGGCGGTGACTGCCTTTTGCCGTGGGAATGTCGAAAGGCATAGAATTCGTGAGCCAATGTAAGTAACTCTTTGTGTTGCAACGAATTGCAGACGATAGCTCTGTTTCGAAGGGTGCTCGAAAGTCGATATTCGGGATATGTAAATCGAGGAGAGAGAAAAACAGAGAAGAAAAAAATCGCTTCTTGTCGTGGTGCGATTTCGCTTGAGTAACTTCAAATTTTGATGTGAGGAAGGAGGAGGAGCTTGATATAATTTCGTCGTAAACTAAAGAATTTCAAAGTTGTACATGAGTTGCATCTACTTCACATTGTAGCAGAAGAATCAACTTAGACATCCGGTTAGGGGATGAACAAGGCGTCAAAATGAAGAAGCTCACGCGACCGGGAAAAAACCGCTGATTGCGAATCTTAAAAGACGCACCCGCCGCTGCCCATGGTGACGCTTTTTTCCAAGCCCGAGCGGCGCGCGCGGGCCGACTGGTTCCTGTTTGACGGGGCCGAAGCCGCGCTGCCGGCCAGCACCCGGCGAATGCTGCGGCAGGAACGGCGACGGGCGTCCCATCTCCAAGGTGAACTGTACTTGTCGTCAGTGTCACCAGCGATCGACGAAACAAGTACCACCACGGCCGCCGCGACGCCAAGGTTGCGGCGCGTCGTGCTGCAGCGGTTTGCTGCGAAAGTCGAGCGCCAGGAAGACCGGGCGTTGTTTTGCGGTGCGGATTTCGATTCGACGGAGGAGAGTTCTTGTGCTGACGGGGGTCGTGGTGGAGACCAAGACCAATGCTTCCAGGCCGAGGTCGCACAAGGAGAGGAGATGGAGATCGAGCGAGTCGTCAGCGCGGAAGCAGGAGAAGTAGAGGGTTATAATTCTTGCTGGATCAGCCTACTTGATGGACTTTTGAACGGGAGCAGCAGGTGCACGTCCATCAAGTCGCCAACCTCTTCTTCTTCCAGAACAGTGAAAAAAAACGTCATTTCGGTCCTCACACAGAAACCTATCGAGGAGGAGATTGAGAAAATTTCGTTGCCCATGTTCCTCGTGCCCGCAATTCTTTCCTCGTCCTATTTTCTCTACGGGAAACTGCTCTTCGGCGCCAAAGCCAGTGGAGGTATAGATACGTTGGGTTTGCTTGTTGACGATGTTTTGGTTCTTCTCTTTTTGCGCTTACTAGAGCAGTCTCTCTTCGTCCCCAATTCATTTTTTGTAGAATATTTTTTCCCTCATCTTATCCTCGTCGTCCCTACAGCTTCACTCCTGATGACGCCGCCCCCAGCGCCGGCAAGCGGGCGTATCCAACAGAAAAATGCTGGCACAGTAGTTTCATAGGCATGCAAAGCTCTGTAATTGTGACGTCCGAGTCGTCTGCATTCTACAAGATTGACATGCCACTGCCGCAAGAAGAGCGACACCCTTCCGGCGATTTTGTCATGTCAACAACATCACAAATAGAGTGCGCAACCAAATATATTAAGTTCGCTAGTTCATACTTTTTTTCTGTACGATAGTCCAAGCCTCCGTTGCGGAAACCATCACGGAGAGTCTGTTTCCCGCCTTCAAGCACGACACGTTTCTGAAGCGCATTTGCATCTTGCAGCTCCTGGAGTACGCTGGGTCGCTGTTTCTTACGATGGGTTCCAACGCGGCCAACTCCCCCGCGGCGCAGCTGATGGGCACGAACTTCGCCCTGAGTCCGAATACCTGCTCGCTGTACCTGCTCGGCGCCTCCTGGGGCCCCTCGATCGCCACAGGGCAGATCTGGCGGCTGCTGACGCCCATGATGCTGCACGCAAACGGACTGCACATTTTCTTTAACCTCTTCTTCCAGAGCCGCGTTGGGTTCGGCATCGAGCAGCAACTGGGCACGAAGAAGTACTTCTAGAGTTGATTTTTATTGTTGAATTATTTTCAACAATTTGTATTTGATCCAAGCGGGACGACGGGAAGATGGCACCTCCGACAAAGTAACAGAATGAAAATGTTCAACAAAGTCTGTGCATTCATTTTCAACAAGCACAAAAACCAAGAATGTATTCGGAATAATGAACAACTACAGGCTATTCGTATCGACAAAAAAAAAATCAAAAAAGGTTCATGATTCTCTACCTCTTCTGTGGCTACTTCGGCAACCTGGTGTCTATTTTGGTGGACCCCTACAAGCTCGCGGTGGGGGCGTCTACGTCCGCCTTCGGTTTGCTCGGCGTCTGGTTCTCGGAGGTGCACTTGACCTGGCACTTGCTGTCCGAAGAGTCGAAGGGACGACTGTCCTTCTGGTTCGGCGGGATGCTGTTGGCCCTCGTGGTGATGAGCAACCTGGCGCCGCACCTGGACATGTGGGGCCACGTGGGCGGGCTGCTGGGCGGGTACTTGATGTCGTTGTGTCTGGCGGACATGAGCCCGGAGCACCGCCCGGTCTGGTACGAAACCGGGAAAAAGCTGGCGAAGATGACTTTGTCGTGGTTCTGTCTGCTGGGAACGGGGAAGGTGGTTTTCATGAACCCAACGGTGCCGATCCCGAACTGCGGGACTTTGTTGCACCCGAAAAACATCCTCATGTAATTTTTTGAATGACAGGAGGAGACTGATACACGCACTACAGCACCGTCCTGCTTTGTGCGAAGCCGTACCATGACACACCAGTACTAACAACCAATACAACTAAACCGTCTCTGTTGTTTGTCCACCGAGTAGATGAGCTTTTCAACATTACAATTTGTGAGCAAAGCGGAAAATGACCAAGATTCCGCCCGTATTTTCCTTATTTCTGCAGAGCTAGAAGAGCGAGCTTTTGTTTGTTGTTTCTGCATCCCAAGATGAAAAAGATGATAATTTTGCAGAGGTTTTCTGATCAATCAGCTTACAATCTTACCCCTTGCTAATTTCGATTTTGTTTGATACTGCTGAAGCAGATACAAGAGCGAATACTTTATTTGCCAGCGGAACAATAATCACGTTCCTTGCTCCAGGTTCAGGAGCAATAGTACCAAGTAGAAATAACTTCGCAACTTTAGTCAGGCAGAGGTGAAGCGATAGAACGGACCGAAGAAGCGGCGACCGGACGGAACTTGTCGCTGATCGATAAGACCACGAACTAACTTCCTAATCGCGCGGAAAAGATGTTTCATTAAGGAGTTAGGAACGATTTTGTGATGCAAGTGAATTTGCTACTGCCTGCATTCTCGTTTCAATATAGGATACATTCGTGCAGATGTCTGGTTGTGTGCACGCTTGTGTTGAATTTGAAGGTCAGCAGAAGGAAAACAAAGATCAGGCTTTTGAGGCGTCGATGATCACCGTAGAATTTATACTTGATTTTTTTGGCAAATGAACGAGACCAGATCCAGAGGTGACGAGGCTTGCTCTGCTACTCACTTAAAAACAACAAGTCGAACAAGATCGATGAGGAATACACACAGTTCGAAAGTGAGCAAGTTCGAAAGGAGAAGGGTCACAGAACGAAGCATAACAAGAAGATCCGCAGCACCATCTAGAGGATCCCCGGTACAATGGATTTATCGAGGATCAGCGATGGAAGGAAGTCAATCAGATCTGTTCTTGAAACAAGTGATTCTTAACTGCACGGACTGGTGTCGTGGCCCGGAAACCCTCTTCCTGAGGGAAATGCAAACCAGATCATTTCTCGTCGTGCTTCTTTTAAATAAGCTAGTGTCCTCCACGACAAGGGCTGGCTGCTAGACCCATGAGTTGATCGATCTTGTTCACTATGCGGATTTTTTTATCCCAGGCGACAGAAAGAAAGGTGGGATATTCGTGATAAAGTAGTTGGCGTTGACAATGAGGGTGTAAGTAGTTTTGTTTTTTCTTCATTTTAGAAATTATACCCTGAAGTAGAGTTTACGTTTAGCCCCTGGGTGTCTGGTATACCATCTGTCTGATCATGAAGGGGAAGAAGTCCGGATTCAAGGGAGGCTTGGGGAAGGCGCCCTTTGGAGCAGGGAAGAAAGGCGGAGGCAAAGCGAAAGGAACAGCTTCGAAAGCTGTACAGAAAGGCTCGTCCGCTGCAGCAAGTAGTGGATCAACCTCCAGTTGGCAGCCCAACGCAGCGATGCTAACGAGCTATATCAAGAATGCGTGGAGCGTGGACGAGATCCTGCAGATCTATGGGAAACACGAGGCGGTGCTGGACTACATCCACTTGTCGGCGATGTGGAACATGCTGGGACGGCTGGTCGAATCGTCGTCCAGTGCGTCGAGTAGTGATTCTCAGGCCGGCGGTGCTGCTGCCCAGGAACGGGATAGTGGGGCAAAAGAACAAGAGGATTCTTCTCTAACCACTAAGGAACAGCAGCTTCGTAAGTTGGTTTCGCGAACGCTGGACCTCGTGCAGAACTCGACGAAAATTCAGGCTCGACAGCTCTGCAACATCGCGCACGGAGTGGCCAAGAGTTGTCAGGGATTGGAACAACCAGGGTCGTCCTCGGAAAAGAACTTATTTTCAGTCCAGCTAATGAAAGCGATCATCGCGGCGGTGCAACCAAAGCTGCAGGACTGCACCAGCCAAGAGCTCGCGAACCTGGCCTGGGCGTGCGTCCAAAGGACGGATTTTTTTGACGAGGCGCTGTTTGCCAAGATCGCGAAGACCGTAAAGACCGGCTTCGTCCAGGGGGACAAAAAGATCACCGACGTGAAGGCCCAGGAGCTGACGAATCTAGCGTCGTCTTTCGCCACACGACAGGGGTTTCTTGACGGAGCAGCACAGCAGCCAGGGCACGGCAAAGATGTCAGCGATAGTAGTATTAACCTTCCCGGCGACAAGCGGTTATTTTTCAGCTACCTGGCGGAAGCGGCGCTGCCGATCCTGGATTACTTCACGCCGCAGGGTATCGCAAACCTGGCCGAGGCTTTTGCGAAAATGAACCATGTCACCGACGCGGAGTTCTTTCCCGCCGTGCGGAAACACTTGCTGACACCGCAGGGGCAAGAGCAAACGTGGAAACCGCTGGACGACTTCGCCCCGCTGGACTACGCGATTTTTGTCCGGGCGTTCGCGAAACTGGGACAGTTGGATGACGCGATGCTGCACGAGCTGGCCAAGCAGGTGGATTGGCATTTGGATACCTTCCCCGCGCAATCGCTGAGCAACGTGGTCTGGGCCTTCGCCAAGTCGGGGCACCTCGACGCCCCGCTCTTTGAGAAGCTGGGCAAACGCGCAAAGCTGCAGCTGGCAAAACATACTGTGGCTGTTGGAACGACTTCCACCTCTTCTACATGGAACCCGCAGGATCTGGCTAACGCGGCCTACGGTTTTGCGAAGGCCTGCCACACGGAGGACGCCGAATTGTGGGAACTGATTGCGCGCCACGCCGTGCTTCGGATCCACGAATTCAACGCGCAGGACTTGACCAACACGGCTTGGGCCTTGGCCAAAGTGGGCCACCCGCATCCGGAATTTTTCGAAACTGTTGCGGACCAGATCACCAGAAAGAAACCCGAAAAGAGCGCGGTCTCTACTACCGCCAGTACTCTTATTCCCCCTACAACAGCTTCTCTCGTTTCATCACTGACGCCCCCCCAGATCTCCAACCTCACCTGGGCTTTCTGCGAGGTGCGGAAGCAGGAGAAGCAAACTTCTGCCACTTCTAGCTGTAGCAAAATAAAGAGCACGGAATCTATCAAACTAAAACTTTACAAGCAAGTCTTTTCCGCTCTCGCGGACGCGACGATGCAGAAAGTCGAAAATTGCACGCCGTCCGAGTTGGCCAACCTCGCGTGGCAGTTCGCGAACTCGAACTATCTAGACAAGAATCTGTTCGAAACCCTCGCGAAGCCCGTTGCCAAGTATGCGACCGAGTTTGGCGAAGATGATTTGAAGAATGTGGAGTGGGCCTTCGCGCAAATCGCGAACAGCCGCAAGTGTGCGGACGTAGTAGCGCTGTTCCGGAAAAAGGCGGGCAAAAGTGGTCTGGCCGGTGGTCAGGACGACGCGGACGGAGGTGGTTCTCGTGTGGGCTCTGGTGCCACTGCGGAAGATGATCATGATATCCTTGGTAAAAAGTCGTGTACAAAATCAGCAGCAGCTGCACAACTCTCGCCTTCGGAGATCTCTGCCCGACTCCAAGAATTATTCAACACCCCGGCGGCCAGGGAAAAATACAAGTCTAACAAGGGGCCGCACATCCTCGTCGCGGGCGGCGGGATTGGCGGCGCCGCGCTGGCGGTGGCGTTGCAGACCTACGGGCTGGGAAACGTTACGGTGCTAGAGACGGATAAGAGCTTTTCCAGCCGGAAACAGGGCTACGGGCTGACCATCCAACGGCAGGACATGCTGCAGGTGATGAACATCAATTTGCAAAAGGATGACGCCCCCAGCACCAGCCACTACTCCTTCGACAGCGCGGGCAACATTCTGGGCTTCTACGGGGAGGCCTTTTCGGGTAGTGCGCAGCAGCAGCAGCAGCAGTTCTTGTCCCAGGAACAACAAGGTGGTAACGGTTGTTCGGACGGGAAGCGGTTCGTCCACATTCCGCGGCAGCAGCTGCGCCAGCGCATCCTGGAGCAGGTGCAGCCGGGGGTGATTCGGTGGGGCAGTAAGTTGCAGAGCTTCGAGGTAGTAGCTGCTGGGGAGAATCTTCATGATGGTTCTGGTTCTGCATCTTCTACTTCTGAAAGGACGTCGAAAAAAAGCAGCAACTCTCCTCTCGCCAGCAACCGACCCGCCCCCGGCACTGTCTCGGTGACGCTGACCGACCAAACGGTCCTAACCGCGGATCTACTCGTCGGCGCGGACGGGATTTTTTCCACCGTGCGCAAGCAAATGAAGCTGCGAAACGACCGGCTGAACTACTGCGGGTTAGTAGTGGTGCTCGGCATCGTCCACAAACCGTGCAAGCTCGCGGAGCGGCGAATTTTCGAAACCATGGACGGAACCACGCGGATCTACGCCATGCCTTTCACAACCAGCAGTACGATGTGGCAGCTGTCGTTCCCCTCCAGCGAAGAGGACGCGAAAAAATGGAGCAAAGACCCGGCGTTGCTGAAGAAGGAAATCCTCCGTCGCTGTCTACACTGGCACCAACCGGTCCCGCAGTTGCTCGCGCAGACGGAACTGGAAAATATGGCCGGCTACCCGGTGTACGACCGAGACCAGCTGCAGCCGGAGGTGTTGCGGGCCGCGGCAACTAGTACCGTCGACCCGAAGAAGGGGAGCGAGTCGCTATCTCCGGTCACGCTGATGGGCGACGCGGCGCACCCGATGACGCCGTTTCGCGCCCAGGGCGCCAACCAAGCGCTGTCCGACGCCGCACTGCTGGCGGAGACTCTCGCGGAGAGCATCCTGCGCGAAAGTAGAAGTAGTAGTCCCAGTGTACTAGCTGGGGCGGGGGCGACTAGTTTGTGTACAACAGCGCCGGGCAAAGATGGTGGTCATGATGTTAGTACTTCTTCACCTGCAAGCCAGATCACGGCCGGGCTGCTCAAGGCGCTGCTGGTGTTCGAGCGGAAGATGCTGAATCGGTCCGGCCGAATCGTGGAGTTATCCCGCGAAAAGGCAAAGGCGCTCCACAGCCCGCTGGCGTTGCAGGTGGGTCGGAAGGTGCAGCGGCAAAACAAGACCGGGATCGACATGCAGCAGGCGATTCGCGCGCTGCGGAAGAAGAAAATCGGCGCCCATTCCTGCGAAGGAACCGAGAAGAACCTGGACCAGATTTTGTTGGACACAATAGACGAAGACCGCCGCCGGGGAGGCGCAACATCATCAACATCCGCTGTTCCGGAAAAGAAGAAGAAAGACCTCAAGCGGGGAGCATCCGCAAAGACGAAAACCGCGACTGTGGCGGGGAAACAGCAAAAGGAAGCTTCGCGCGGTGAAAGTGTCGGCAAGGATGTCACCAACCAGCCCGCCCGGAAGCGACGCAAGGTCCTCGAAGACCCAGCTGAAGTAACGCCGTCTGCAGGTGGCGCAGCTTCTACTAAAACCGCGACCGTCAACGTTGAAGCCACGAGGACTTCGTCCACGGGCAGTTCTGAGGAGAGCAAAAATGCAATTCCTTCAGCCGAACTTGTGGCGCCCTCGGGTGGTTCCGCGTCAAAAACAAGGCTCTGGGGGTACTGTCAGCAAGAAGAAAACTGGAAGAAGTGCGACCACCTTGGGAAGGTGATAGAGAAAAATGGAGAAGAGCGCGTCCGCGTGCTCTGGAAGCACAGCAATTCGGTGGCGATTCTTTCGGGCGACTGTGTCCGGCTCCGGGGTAAGTTTGACAAAGTGGATAAAGGAAAAAAGGTAAGAAAAGAAAAAAAGAAGAAGAAAAAAAAGGGAGACAGTGGCTGATGAGACCCGCACAACCAAGAATTCGCAGTGCTTCGCATTATAAAATTGGCACCCCACGACATTGTGATATAACTACTTACAACGCAGTGCGTGCTGCTATCGGTTTTGCTGTAGACAACAGTCGCGAGGCACAGCGTGTTCCCATGTTTCTTCTCGTTTAATATTACCTCGTTTGAGTGGATGTTCGACCGTGCCAGACCAAGTAAAAAGCAGTTCTGAGGATCGTGACCGAAACTGAGTCTCTGTGTGTGAGTGAGGTTCACTTCTAACGGAGACGACGAGCGAGATCGCAGGCTGCGGAACACTGCAGAAGTACACGTCAGACAAAGAAATTTTTCCGACAGTCATTTTCCCATAGATGATTGACGTGATCGTGATCGATGGATATCTATCCGTTCTCTTGTGCCTCCTTGGATCAGTGTTTAAATTCCAAAACAGCAGAACCGGATGAATCTTCACACTTAATTCCTTCCGCAAAGCCATGGCTAACGAATAAGACCAGTGCACCCTAAGGCCAGCACAAAAGTACTTATTAGATCATGCTCCGCGCCGCACTGAATACCCTTGGGCTTCTGCACCCGGAACCCCCGGCGTGGGAGAGCGTTTCCGTGGCGCACCCCTCGAGCCAGAACAGCTACCTGCGAAAATTCGACACGCCCGTCCAGAATCCGGGGATTGTCCCCGATATCTGGAACGGCCCGAGCGTGTTTATGCCCGGGGCGGAGCCGACCACCGGCGGGGACCCCTACCAGACGGACACGATACGGGTCAGCATTGAGGGTCTGGATTTGCAGCACGCTTCCTCAGCCACAAAAACGGCAGTATTCCTCGGAGCCGCGGTGTTGGCGCCGTCGAGCTGCAGTTGTGTTCGGTTTCCGCTTGGTATCGTGGACAGAGGCGATGGAACGGAGGGGCAGGAAGACGAGGATCGAATAGAGGAACACCAGAATTATTTTGAGTCAGACGTTGATCGTGATGATCACAGTTCTCAACATCAAACGGCGCTTGCCGGCTGCTCAGGAATTGGAGACTGGCGGCGAAAGTCCCGAACGACGAGAGAACACCGAGAGCTGCTTTGGCGGAAGGAAGAAACACCGCAGCCTGGTCATACTGGGGTGTGGAGGGAGAGAGAACAAGTGCTGATATGATGAAAACCAAAATGTGATGGAGAACTTCCTAATAGCGAAATCGTCAGGATGAGATTGATTTTTTTCAGCGACGGCTTACGTGCTGCAACATTTTTGGGTTAAGTTGCATACGCCGACATCGGTCGTGTTCAATTTTGCAGGAACTGGAAAAAAAGATCAGCTTCCAAGATCATCAGGCAGGTCAGAAAAGCGTGCGATTCGGTCTCTTGGATGAAGGAGCATGAGCATCATCGATCTTCAGGCGAGTTCTTGTGCCTCCGCTAGCACACAAGATCCGATTCGGTAAAGGCAGACAGAAACTGCGAGATCTTCATCCGATGATCTGGCAGTAAAAACCCCTCAGCCCTCCCGGAGTCATTTGCATTAACCATGTAACAGAAAAACAATGTCCCAAAGTAAACGACAGCTCGCGGCGAACGCGGTCACGCTCCGTGCGGAAGCGTTGCTGAAGCTGTTCGCGGGCAAGAAAGGCCCGCCTATCAACAGCACCTTCACGTGGAGCAGGATCGCGCCGCACTTGAATTCCAGGGCGGTATGTGGCGTCATATCGACGGAGGAAGCGCAGAAAATTGTGGAAGCGCTCGCCCACAGCGTGGACTCCGGCGTGGTGTCGCGGGACGAGGAGGCGTTGGAGTTTCCGCAGAGCTCCTGCGAGGAAGCTGCATGGCGGCGAGAAATGTCAAATCAGGGAGAACCAGATGAAATAGAAATGGCACCCCTCCATCACAACCGACGCTTTAGTCCAAAACTGACGGAGCTCCGGCATCTTCTCGACTTGCGTCCGTTGCTCGAGACGGCACTGGCATCCGGGAGAGCAGCGATCGAAGCCGCCCAAGGAGGTGCTTATTGCGACCAACATCTAGCGCTGCACAGCAACGCTCTGCCGATCTCAAATTCATTCGCCTCCCCGCAGCAACTCGCCGATCTGTGCACGGCACTCACCGCGTTGGCGCGAAGTGGGATGGTGGGAACCTCGAAGATTTTTTCCGAACAAAATCAAAAAGTTGGTCTGGATGAAGGAGTGGATCTTCTATCGCCTTTTCTGACAGAAGCCATCCCAAGATATGTGGCCACGCACGCTACTTCGTTTTCGCTACCACAGTTCCGACGGGTTTTGGAGCTGTATTTTTGGGTCCCGAACCTTCGGACTGGTAGACCAGGGCAGCGTCAAAAGGACCTCCTGGCGGACGGCGCCAAGAACTCCTTCGCTTTCGCGTCATATCTAGCGACTGGCGGAAGTGCTTGCAACAGTGAAATAAAGGATGACTCGCCGGGGGCGGACCTCCTTCATTTGCGACAGATGTGCGTGCGGGTTCTGCAAATCGCCAAGGCTGCGAGTAGTTGTGCGGCACCTGGCAGGACAGTGGCGGCTTCTTCTGTACAAGAAACACACTTCGCTTCAATCGTGCGGAGTTTCGCGTTTCTCGGGTACGTGCGGGGAGCAATGGAAATCTTACAGGAAGTGTTGCACGTGGTACCTCCTGCGCAGAATAGTGCGGCTACAAAAAGCGGAGGCTCACTTGGAAGAACAAGAAGTGAATTTCAGGACAACGCTTCTGGAATTATATCGACGGCACAACATATAGATAGACTCAAGCCACTTCCATTCACCGCGTGGGTGTATGTGCTGGAGGCGGAGTTGCTATTGAAAAACGCGTACGACGCACAACAGAAGCTCGCGTTTCGTCGAAAATTTCCCTGCGAATCCTCCGGGAGTGCTTTTCTTCCGTCGAGCCTGCTATCACGTCCTGCCCCCGCTATTTCCGCGTCGGAGACCCTACTTACGCCTCCGAATAACAAGTCCCAGCGGGAGTTTCGGCATGAGTTGGCGAAGCAGAGAAAATGGCTCGCTCGATACGAAGAGAAAGTCCCGGGTCCGGATTTTTTGACTAGTCTTGCCCTATTACAACAGCAGATTTTGGACACGGGGAGGGAAGCTATGCTTTTGGAAAGCCAGTTTTTCAAGAAATGGACCAGACTGCTGGTTCTGATGGTGAAATTGGCAACGCGAACCTCTTTGAAAAGTTGCACACCAGTTTCGACGACGTCATTCCAGCCGCAGCCACATGTTCCCCAGAGGCCTCGTGAAGAAGCTGAAAATTATGTTGACAGCCACAGCGCAACAACTTCTACAGCAGGAGCGCCGGCCACCTTCCTCTGCTTCCGCGAGCTCGCAGGGGAGTCCGTGAAAAGGTTGGCACAAACGCCGAAGCTCGCGTTGCTCTGTCTCCGCCACGCAGATTTGGATCTGCCGAAGCGGCTGTGGCTAGTGGAAGAGTGTGTGCGGAAAAAGGCTCTGAAGTTACGGGTCGGGGAACTAATCTTGTTTTGCGAAGCGGCAGACCGGATTCTGGAGGAGATTGCCGCGTTCTTCGAAAGCGAAAAAAGACAAGGAGGACTTCATCTAGGGGGGTTGAAAATGTTAAACACCACCGCAGTAGATGTTGATACTGCTGCCGCATCATGGTCCTGCTCATCGCCCGTAGTTCTTTCTTTGGCAGGAGATGAACCTAGAAATAACCTGCCTCAACTCGATGCGGATCATCAACTTGTCGCACAAGAAGGGAGTCGTGAATTATGCGATCTCCACCAGTACAGCTACAGGGACAAAACCGACGGAAAAATCCAGGCGTTGCTGTTTCACCGCTTGCGGGCGCTGGTGGACGAGCTGGCTGCGGTGTACGCGACGAGGGAAGAGATCGTGCTGGAGAAGACGCAGCAATCGCAGTTGAACGGATTTTTCAACAAATGGCTCCTGGAAAAACCGTTTTTCCGGCAGGAAAGGGGAGGTCCTGTTCGAGCAAATGATCTCGTCGAAATAGACACAAGTGCAGAACCATTTTTTCCGTTGTCGTCGCCGCTGATGTAGTCAGTTCTCTTGGGGACAGGAAATTTCAGCGACCGGCGCACACAGTCCATGCTCATAGATCGGGCATCACTTCGAAGAATGAGTGGGCCCGACGTCTAGTTTCTTGTTACCACCTCCGAGCCACAATTGAATTTCTAGTACTTGTACGTCGGAGTAGAAGTTGTACTCATGCTTTCGCGAAGATTTAATGGCCCCACCGAGTTGGGTCTCTTGGTGACCACTGCTTCACTGGCATCGTATTTGTTTGAGTGCAGTGCTGGCCTGCTCGACATGGTGGCAATACTTACTTGAAATTTGCAAATTTTGCCGCGCCGTGGTCGCTCTAGGGAGATGAAAAGTGTGATGGACAAACAGTCTGTAATCTGTGCCGCGCCGTCCCTCCGTACGTGCCGATCCTCTGCAGTAATTTTGTCGATCTTGGTAAAAACGTGAAGCACCACGACCGCGATTAGAGCCAGTGATCTTGTGGACAAGACCTTTTTTATGACTGTCACCATCTACTTCTTGACGACTGGACTTTCTTATTTTGTAGCAGCGATGAAGTTCAAGAGTTCCTATTCCGCATGTAGACATCAAAGTGATTTTCTTTATTAAAAAGCCTGTCAGTATTCATTCGCTAAGATAACTCACGCAAGTAAGACGAGTACTACAATAGATATAGCATTTATATTCGAGCAAAATGGCGTCCAGTTCGGCGCAGAACCTGACGCGCATCCCCATTCCGCCAGCTGACAACATATCGGCGATTCGGTTTTCCCCGGATGAGAATTCCAGCGCTTTTGCCGTCGCGTCGTGGGACAGCAAGGCGTACATCTACCGGGCCGACCAGGGCACGATGCAAACGAAGTTTACGTGTCCCTTTCCCACGACCGACTGCTGCTGGCTGGACAGTACCAAAGTGGTGTTTACCAGTTTGGACGCGCGGATCACGGTCATGGACGCGCGGACCAGCCAGATTGTGGCACAGTTGGACCGTGCGCACGACAACGGGATTCGGGCGGTGTCTATCAAATGTAAAAATGTCTGGGTCTGGAAGAATGCAACTCGTCATGCTAAATCTGAAGCATGCAAAAATCTGTGTTGCATGATTACCAAAAGTCGTCCAGTTTTGACCAAGTCGGGAGGGAGTTTCTCATGCAGGATAGGCATGAGTGAGATCGCAAAGAATCTGTCATGCTAGGTCCTGCTGCATTCCAGGCTTCGTGGGTCATGGAAAAGCTGCATGATAAATCGCGCATTCTTCCAGACCCAGACATTTTTACATTTGATAGTGTCGAGAGTGGACCACGGGACGATCATAACCGGGTCGTGGGACCGGAAGGTAAAGCAGTTCGACATCCGGTCCATGAAAAACACCGCCACGGCGCCGGTCAGCGCGAAGGTGTTTTGTCAGGACATCACGCCCGAAGTGCCAGCGCTATGCATTGCAAATATGGCTGGGAGGTCTGGAATGATGTTGCAACTTGTGATGCTGCCTGTGGATTCTAAAAAATCTCTGTATTGCATGAGCAGGAACAAGAGGAGTCCAGGTTTTGCGGCGAAAAGAGGGCATTTGTCATGCGGGATAGGCATCAAGGCGCCCTCAGAAAATCTGTGATGCTAGGGCATCCATAACGGACACCGTAGGACGTGGAAATTCTGCAATACAAGTATGCATCCATTCAGACTACCCAGACATATTTGCACTCGATACGCGCCCTCCGCGTACAACGGGAGTTCCAGCTCCTCGTCCAGCCGAAAGCTGGTAGTCGTATGAACTGCAAAAGTATCGTACTCGTATAAATGCATTACAAATTTTCTCAGCATGAGAAATAAAATTTGTAATACGGATTTACCTTAACAAATTGCAATACGTATGCGAGTACGATACTTTTGCACAGGATAAGTCGGCGGGCACGACAAGAAAATCCACGTGTTCGAGCTTCGCGGCGGGTCGATCGCGAAGATAAAGGAGGAGGACAGCGCGCTCAAGTACCAGCTACGCGCCATAGCCTGCATGCCCGACGGCTTGGGCTACGTGCAGGGAAGCGTAGAGGGGAGGGCCAGTTGGGAGTATAAATTTCGTTTTATGCAGCTAGAAGATGAAGGCTTTTTATGTCAGCTTAACTTTCTTATGAGACATTCTGCACAATTAGTTGAAAAATAATTAGTAAAATGTATTTTTTGATTGTGGAGAGGCGCCGTACCGTCGGCGGAATGCTGCTTTTCCAGTACCTGACCTGTACTTGTAGTGGATCCGGTTTCTGGTAAGGTATGTTTTGGAGTGGTCTGATCATGTACTTACTCAGGCTCCGATCTGAACTAGCTAGCTAAGGTGGTGGCCACCCCATTCTAAAGAAGCCAGGGAGCCAGCGTCGCGGCCCCGTCTATCTCGACTTGAGTCACGCCCTTTCAGCAGCTGGTAGGCCGCCAACCTTCGCCGGGGCCCCGTCAGCATGAGTTGAGCAGTTTTGACAGCAATTCCTTATACTGGAACGCGAAAAAGCAATGATTTTCGGCAAGTTGCAATTAGTTGGCGCAACTCGAGAGGCAAAAAAAGGGCCTCAGAATGACCCCTCCCGGAACGCAGATACCCATCGTGAGTAGAGGTTCGCGGAGGGGGCTTCCTGGACCCCCTATCTGGGGGGGTCGTGAACGGCGTTCCCCGACGGTACGGTGGAAAACAAAGCATAGCATCGCGATTGGAACCCGAAACCGCAACCGGAACTGGAGACCTTGGCACAGACGGGGCCCCGGCGACGGTTGGCGGCCTACCAGCTGCTGAAGGAGGCGGCTCTACCCACCGTTCAACCCTAATACGCAGCTTCCTTCTGGGCTCCTCCCGCAGACTGGCTTCCTGCTTCTTAAAGTAGCTAGTTCAGATTGGAGCCTAGTTTCATATGCTATTGAAGCAGGTGTGCCAAGGTCTCCAGTTCCGGTCGCGGTTTCGGGTTCCAGTTTCGGGCTCACCTCGGAGCTGACAGGCTGCTAAATGCAGCCTCTTTGAGATCAAAAAATGAAATTTACTAATTATTTTTCAACTAATTGCGCAGAATGTCTCATATTTCTGAAGCTTGTTGCGTGCGACCCGTTCGTCAGCGGCGTCTATGTTTCCCGAAACCGGATCAATGTTTCTACCAAGCGCAAGCCGATTTCGTGATGAGCAGTTCTTCCTTTGCTAGACGCGCCCTTGTGTAGTGATGCACGGGGCATGTGGTAGGCAACAACTTTCGAAAAGAGATTTACCTGACGCGCACTGGTAAACGGATGAACGATCGCTGTGTATCGACGCTTGAGTCGCGGCTTGGCACGCGAAGACAGAAATGCAAGCCATCGTGATGAAAAAATTTACGCTTCCGTACCGACGTTCGTTGGAGTGGCGGCTAAAGTTTAATGTCGAAAAGAGATTTAACTGATTTTGCTCTTTCATGAAAGGCTCTAGCGATGCACCTAGGGGAATTCTACCTCACAGGTGGTCTACAGAGTTGGAGATCTCACCGTAAGTTAAGAAGTACCATTAGCGTTTCGTAGTTGAGCAGCAAATTATTTGACAGGATGATAACTTTTTTGCTTCCGTACCGGCAGCACATCGTTGTTGGAATGGCGGCTAAAGTTTTTCGAAAAGAGATTTATCTGAAGGAAAAAAATCGATGTTGTCCTCACTCGCGTAGCCACAAGAAGAGTCTATGTGGTGCTATTTCTAGGCACCGCAAGCGACTGCAGTTCTCTGATGCGATGCATTCCAAACGAAATTCGGTCCCATAGTATCACCAAACAAACATTAACAGTTACTTCGAACCGGACATGATACAGAAGAAATTTTATCACTTGCACAAAAAGTATCTACTTGCTTCACCGGGGCGGGAAAAACAAAAGTGCACGGATAGCATTTTTTGTGCGGGGTAAAAATCGAACAGGGTTGTAATAGTCCCAGATCGGCCCGGCGCGTCTCATTAACGTTAGATGTTAGAAAGCTTGCATGGCAAACACCGCTGTGGTGCAAAGAAGGCTTTGATCATGACAAACACCGCGTAGAAGGCTTGCGTGGACAATAAGACTTAACTTCTCCCGCCCCCCAGGCAGATACATTCATTTTTCTCACTCGATCCGCTCGCGTTCAAGTGCCACCGGGAGCAGACAGAGAATGGGATGGAGCACATTTTTCCCGTCCACGACATAGCTTTTCACCCGAAGTATAGATACTGCTGTGATCTAGCATGAAGACTCTGTCTTGCTTCATTTTTTTTTTCCACGCCACGGATTTTTTACACCGGACATTTGTACGTTTTTCGCGAAGCAACATACAATCGCCAGTTTTTATCAACCGATCCCCTCCAGGTGGCACACCTTCGCGACCGTGGGCGGCGACGGGACGCTGTGCATGTGGGACGGGCAGGCGAAAAAACGAATATGGAAGACGTCGAAATTCGACGACGAGATTTCCGCGTTGAGTTTCTCCGCGAATGGGCAGTATCTGGCGATGGGCGTCTCTTCCACGCAGTCCGTGGACGGGCCCAAAGAAATCTGGATCAAACAGCTCGCCGACCACGAGGTCGTGCCAAGGAGTCACCAGCTACAAAACCCTGCTCAAAGACGATGAAAAACGATGATTCATCGACGTACGCACGAGGAGAAGTATTCCACAAGAACATGAAACAGAAGCTCGCACCTTGCTTCGACAAAAAAATTTCTTTCCCGGCGCGGCCCGAGCTGCAGTTCCTGCTTCGGCTAATCGAGTTGGTGGGAAGTAGTTTGTGTCTGCAGATCATTTTGTTCTACTGCTACTAATGTTCTACGCCTGAAAGATCTTACCCGGGCGAAGCCGATGGGCCCTGCGAAGAGCTGTAGTGAAGAAAAAATTCTCGCCAGAAGCAGTACCGTTCTTGGAAATCGATAGTCAATTCGTGATGTAAAGGTGAAGATGCAAGGACTTCTGAACATGAAATCGGAGTAGGCATTGCTATGCGACTGCAACATCGTACTCTGTAGCAGTACAGCTGCTAGAATTTAGTACTTAATGTTGACAACTTTCGGGACAGTACACCAGTAAGTTTTAGCGAAATTTTGAACTAGGGAGGTCACCACTTCGTTTTTGACATTTTCGAGGAGTATTTGTCACACTAATGTAGTCCGTTTCGAAGTAGTTGATTGTAGTTGTAGGTCTGACTCAGGTAATAACACGAGGACGCTTTCGCTCTTTGGCACTAAACGTACACTAGTCAGCACTAGAAATGAAAGTTGTCAAAGAAGTTTGTTTTCAACACGACGCATATGTGCTTACTACTAAGCGTCAGCGAGGGCGACGTTGCCCCAGCTGCAGTACATGATATGCTGCTTTCCCCGCAACAACTTCAGGCCGGCATGAAGACTGCCGGAGATGGTGGGACCGCAACGACACGGGAAAAAACGAGGTAGAAAGCGAAGATGCGGCGCTGCCCGGGACAAGAGTGTAGTGTGGCGCTGGTATCGACATTATGGTGATACTTCTACCCCGTACAACCGCCTGAGAGCAGCGGCGGGGTGAAGTGAGGAGAAGGGCTACTGTCGGATTATAATAGTAGTAAACGGAAGAAAATCCCCCCTCAGGCGAAAGATGTACCTGGCGCAGTTGCACGTGGCGACGGAAGACCCGACGAAGGGCGTGATCCGGGCGGATTTTAAACCGAACAATTCCACCCCCCACCAGCACCCGCACTATGCGCAGCGCGTGACCTCGCAGGGCCTGCAGAGCCAGCTGGCGCACTGGCGCAAGGGGCTGCTGGACCGCGTCGCCGCCAACGAACCCCGATTGGTGCACCTGGAAGAAGTTGACCTGTCGAAGCAGCAGATCGGGAACCAGGGCTTCGATGCGCTTCTCTGCTTTCTGCGCGAGTTCACCATCTCGGTCAAGGTGCTCAAATTCTACCGGAATCAACTCGCGGACGCCGCCATGGACGCCTTGGTGGACTACCTGCAGGCGGTCCGGTCGCCCGTGCACGAGATTCACCTATCGGACAACTACATCACGGAATTCGGGCTCCGTTCCGTGCTCCGTGCCATCGCGGTGCTGCCCTGGTACCCGCGCGTCACGTTCCGCACGAATCACGCCCTCGCGAGTGGTCACTACAACCAGACGGAGATCTGTGTGCAGTCGTTGTATTTGCGCGTGAACGGCAACATGATCGACGTCCACCGGTTCGACGAGAAGCTGCACGACAAGCTCCGCGAGGTGCGCAACCGCACGGTGCCCAACTGGTCCGCGCGGACGAAGCGCGTCCCGCCGTCCTGGAGCCTGGACCAGTGGGGGAACTACCGGAAGGAGGGGCAGTGGCACCTGGAAAAGGCGGACGTGTATCGTGCGGAAAAATCCCCCCTCCCCATATTGAAAGTGCATCCTTCTGAAAATCTATGATGCAGATTTGTGACCACAAATCCTGTCTGTCTTGCATGAAGGCAAATCCACAGAATCCGCCGCATTATGCAGGCGGTTTGTGATGCTGTTGGGCCTACACCCTCGACGTTTTTGTTTTTCATGCTAGGAGCCTACGCCAAAACCTCTCGGCTCAGGCTTGGCATATGCCTGCAGTCCTCTACTGCAAGAGACATCTGATTTGTGTACTGAAATCCAGCATCAGACACTTCTTTTCGATATGGGGCGGGGGGATTTTTCCTTTTGATAACGTGTTTCGCATCGTCAGCGACCGGGACACCTCGTTCCAGAACAACAAGCGGCGGTACCTGCTGAAAGACCTCGGGTTTGCCCACGGCGACTTCGACTACGCGCAGGCGCTGCAGAAACTCCCGCAGGACATTCCGATGGTGATTCTGTTCCAACTGGAGCACCAATGGGACCGGCTGAAACTGGACAACATCCCGCTCGGTGCCGGGGAACTCCGGTTGCCGGATGACACAAAGAAGGCTGCTGGTCCCGTTGCGACTCCTGCAGGCAGTTCTTCCTCTGGAGTGGGTGGAGTCGTGGGGAGCAGTGGTAAAGGCGGGGATCTTCATCAGCATCTTCGTCCGGGGCGGAAGGAAAGCAGTAGTATAGAAGCGCAGCAGCTGCCCGGGGCGGGTGCACCAGTAGTAAATCGAAATTTGGTAGTTGCTTCCGCCGTACCCTCCGGAAAAGGAGGCTCGAACGCCACACAGCCCGTCTGGTCCCCGTTGCAAACTTCCGCAAGTGCTTTTTCCGCAGCGCCGTCACCTTTCGCTTGGACGTCTTTGCAGCCAATAACGACGGGTAGAAGCACTAATCCTCATGTTCAGATGTCGTCTTCGCAGCCGCGGACGACGACGAAAGAACTGACACGGGAGAAAGTTGCAACTTTTTCGGTCAACATCGAGCCTGATATTGTGTGGCACTTTCGCGGTGACACGGGAAAAGGCGAAAATGACGCTGCTCCTGATGCAAGTGCCAATATCAAGAAGAATACAGGCAGCTCTAGTTGTGCTACTTCAACATCCGCCGGACAAGACGGACAACGCCGACAGCTATCATACAGTGCGGGGTTGTTCGCGCGGCCCGAGGAAAGTAAAGATGTTGAAACGTCGGCCGCCGCCATATTAAAGGGCGTCTATCAAGAGAGCGGGCATCGAACCAGCAGTCTGAGCACTGATCTGACCAGCAGTCACACAACTACAACGACGCCGGGGTCCTCTTTCCTGACCGCCCAAATTTCGGCCGCGTCTTTTGTCCCGGGGAGTTCCTCCCATCCTGTTGCAGGAACAACAACAAGCAGAGGTTCTTCTTCCTCTTCTTCGGGAGGAGTAGACCGAAAGAACGCTTTCGGCAGTTACCCAGATGTGATAGCTTCGCCACAGCAGACGTCGTTCATGCCTGGGCCGCGAGCGGAGAATCGTCGAGACATGAGGTTGCACAGTGGCGGTTCGCATGCGCAAGGACAAAACGATCGATGGCCCCAGGGCGAGGGTGCAGCGGCGTTTTATTCGACCCAGGGCTATGATAATTCCTCTGGGACGGCGGGAGGTTACGGGGTCACAAGTACTGCCATCTCCTCTGGCGCCCAACACTACGAATTACCATACGTGTCCTCGCAACAAAATTTGCAGCAGCAACAACACCAGCAGCAATCGCAGTATTGGTCCTCCTGGGGAACTACAACATCATCACAGCCTCCTCATGCAGAACAAGCAGCAAATGCAAATCGAAATCTCTCGCAGCAGACGGCCAGTACGGTTGCACTAGCAGCTGGAGAAGCAGCTCCTTCGACAGCGAGCTTTGCCTCCTCAGCGCAGCAGCAGCAGCAGCAGCCGCAGCTTTTGGGAAGTAGAACGTCGCACGGAGCAGAGCAACTGGGTATACAACCGTCCCTGCGGCAGAATTTGCATTCGGCCTTTCACCAACCGCACACGTCAAGTGCTAGTGCCAGCAGTAATACAACTGGACGAGAAGGCACATCTTCAAGGTTGTTCTATGACCAGAACGGGAACAAGCGCTTCGCAGCGACGGGGCCAAACCCACATCAATTTTTGCAGCAGCGACACGACGACCTCGGTCAGGAGGAACAACAGCACTCACAATCGCAGCAGCATTCTTTGTTCTCCGATATGATGAAGCGAATGGAGGGTCGGGATAAACAAAGGTATCAAGTAGAACAACAGCAGGGCAAATTACACGCATCGACCTCAGGTACTACGACCTCTGCGCATTCCACGCAACAGAGAAATGATAGTAAAGCGACAGATCAGAATTATACAAGAGGACAGAATATGAAAGCCACCCAGGGTCGTCTCACAAAACCTGCACAGAGTAGTTCTTGCAACGACACTGGGAGCAGCCGCTCTATTATTCTTCCGGCAGGACTACATCAGCAGAACAGGACACCGCATTCGAAAGTTCCGTCCTTCCTCGATAAGCGCGAAAAATTTCCCTGCACGGCGGAGCTGCGGGTGTTGAGCGACGGCAATCTGCTGGACTTTGCGGACGACCTGCACTATTTTGGCGACAGCCTTTTCGCCATGGATCGAATCCACAAAAAACACCACAGCACCCCCTTCACATCACACGACTTCATCCCACGGCACGAAGATTATGAAAAAGCGCCAAATTATAACCTACAGAGATTGCAAAGCGAGCGACAATTATACCGCGAGAGGATCATGCGGTTGCAGGTTCTTGACCAGGAGATGGAGAAACTTTACTCTTTTGAGTACGACGAGAAACAGGTGCTGAAAGCGTTAATCAAGCAAGATTACGGCGAAGACTTGTCCGCTCGGAAACTTGCAAATGTCGTGTCCGATTTTCATCGCTTCAGCCCGCAGTTGCTAAAAAGCCTTGGACAGCGGAAAGACTTGCTGTTGCTAGCGAGAAAACTGGACGGGAATGCCGTCCGGGTCACACGGAAAATGGTCGTGGAAGGACAAGCGAGTAGTTTCTGGAGGGACTACGACGCGGAGCTTTTTGGCGATGACTTCGACGAGACGGAGCCCGATTTTCTGCTGGAGGCCTTTACTTGTTTGGCGCTCGGAGAAAAGTTTCCGACGGCAGATGATGAAAAAGGCCCGAAACGCGGACAGAAGCCGCAGAAACAAGCAGAAATAGATCATAAGGGCAAGGAAGCTTTTGGTGAGAAAGAATCGGGACAAGAATCTTCAGCGTGCCTTCAAGTTGTCGACGATTTGTGCAGCTCGTCCAAAAACGACAAACCAAATTTCTGTGCGGCCCGGGGCAAGGAAGAAAATGATCCTGCGAAGAACGAAGAGGAAGCACCGCTTGCTCAGGAAGTAGCAGATGCTTCACCAAAAGCAGACGAGCGCTTTATTTCCGGTTCTGGTCACGACAAGAAAAGAGAAACACAAACAGAGGAAGAAGCAACACCACAGGAGCCAGCTGCCCCTCCTCCAAAGAGCGTGGAAGTAGACCAGCGGAACCGCGAGACGCTGCACTACTTGAAAATGCAACTGCCCGAAGAGTTTGCGGCGGAGGTCAAAGAGCAGGAAGAACAAGCGGCGGCAGGGAACGGAGAGGAGGAGGAACGGCCGAGGAATTGGTCGTATTGATGAGAGATGTACCAGCCAGACTTCGACTCCAGCAAATATACAAATCGACGCAGATTTCTATTCCTAATACTAATTTTCAGAAGGCCAATTGATGTTGTGTACGACACTGAAGACCGGAGCGACTGTGTTTTTGGCCCAAGCGGAGGTGAATTTGTGCGCGTTCGCCGTTACAGGATAAGGATTGTGCATTTTCTGCTTCCTTTGCCAAGCACGAATTCATCGTCCACACAAGAAAATGATGTCTCTCGACAGCTGTCCTGTCCCTGTCGCCTCCAATGAAGGTGGATTTACCTGTCGTGAAATGAAAACATAGAGGACGGGCACAAAGTCAAAGTGCTCCTCGCGTTTATTGCGCAATCTGTATAATGGGAGCTTGTTCAACATTTGGCGACAACTTTTCTCCGTCTTTCCATGTCGGGCGTGGCAAGACGTCGTGTCCAATTGTTAGCTGACACATCACTTCCGCGTTCATAACTAGTTGTTCTTGCGAAGGTGTGGCTTTGATGTGCGTAGTTATCGTTTAAGACGGTTTGGGCGGGCTTCCAGGTCATAAGTATCATCAAAAACAAAATCGACGAAGAAAAATCGACGAAGCATCCACGTTGTTGTGTTGAATACCACAGAAAATGCTACAGTGAGACTCTTCTTTCATCTCTTGTTCCTTTCGGGAAATAAGTATGCGCTGTGGGAAAAATGAAAATGGTGAGCCCGTATCTTCGGAACGTGGCCAAAAAGTCAAAAATCAGACGGGCGGGAGCACTTGGTGGTGTTGAATATGGTCTTCACAATGATGTGCAAAATACTGTATTATTCTGTTGTGATCTTGTCAATGTGGTTCGTTGGGCTAAGCTAAGGAGTAAGTTTTTTGGAAGAACTTTTTTCTGTCTCGTTGCCGTTTTTGAGCAGTGCCTCATGCTTCTCGTGCTCATGGATAAAAATATTAAGTCCTCAAGAAGTAGGCGGCGCTGCAATAGCGCAACTCAGGCGGTGGTTGGTGTAAGTAATGCTGTTGTGCAAGAACGAACTCGAGTTGTAGCTCGTGCAAAAATAAAGATGAAAGGCAACGAACGTGAGTAGCTTGTCGTGCTAAGAGTAAACGCCTTGTTCATTTCCAAGGTTGTTTCTTCTTCCTTGGAAAAGGAATTACAGCTGTGGAGCCGCAACGCTAGCGCAGCACCGCGATTTCCTGCTGGACAAGCAACTCGGTCCCGCAGAAACACCGTTCAAGGCATACTTTTTGTCGTCGCACGCAGGAGAGTGGCGTTACACAACATCACACGGCACTTTTTCCTCTCGCGCAGAATTTGATCCAGCCGCGAGTTTCATTTTCCCGCCGTGTTGTGACGTTACTCAAGGGCTAACGCTGTCTTTTCTCGCGGTGAAGACACGAGTAGTTCGCAAAATAAGCAACAGATCGCGAAAACCATTTGAGAAACCATGCTGACCTCCAACTGGCAAACTGCGTCGAGCCAGGGCCCCTCGCCGCTGTACCGACCGCAACTGAAGCCGGTTCTGCAGATCCCCACTCTGGGCGTGCAAGCAAACACTCGGGGCGTGGTGGTCGGTGGTGGTGCCAACCAGGGATTAAAGCCGGGTGCGGGTCCGGCGGGCCACCCGCATCCAAGCACATCGTATTGACTGCTCTGTCGGGGCACAGTGAATCATTTTCATTTTGATGTCCTCAGGAAATGAAAGGGATGCAGCAATACGTAGTGCTACAGTAGACTACATGCAAAGTTCTTCAAATATCGATATGTAATGAAACAAAGACAAATAATTGCGTCCGTAGCATGAAGGTTTTCCAGGAAGAAACTACTCATCGATGAACATCAATCAGATCCTCCTCCAGCCACCTACCGCATGCTTCAAACGGGGCAATACTGGTCCAGCAAAAAGCGGGGACCCGGATCCAGCCCGTGCAAAACCACGGGCTGGTCGTGCAACAAAATGGAGCCTCCAGTACAGGCAGCAGTTCCAACGGCATCTACCGCTACTCGCCCAATCCGTCGGCCGCCACATTGGTTCCGCAACTCGAAACGGGCACGTCCTCAAGCAGTTCCTCCTCTTCTTCGATGCCGGGCTATAAGCAGATCTACAGTGCTGGTGCAAATGCAAATGGTACCGCGTCTGCGACCTCCACGCGACCGATTGTCGGGGGTGGAACCAGTCAAGGTCATCATGGGCATCATCATGCGTATGGGAATAATAGTAAAGCGGGGATAAATAAGATCAATCAGTTTTCTGCACCGCCGAAAGCAGGTACAGCAAATCAGGCGATCAACGCGGAGCAAGGGAGTAGTAGTAGCACTAAATTTCAACACCAGCAACAGGGGAGGACGAAGCTGACGATTCCGAGTTCCCAGAGCGGCAACAACATCTCAGACTCTCTGGCGGAGGGAAATGTGATCGAGATTCTGGGACGGGGAGGCCGGAGCGAAACCTACCGCGTGCTGCGCCCCCTCGGAAAGGGCTCCTTCGGCTGTGTGTGGCAAATCAAACGTGCGCTGGACACCGGGCCGTCCGGAAGGGATTTTGCGCTCAAAGAAATCCGCTGCATCGGCGAGAAGGCGTATGTTTTTCCTCTTGTTTCGATACGCATCATGCGTCAGTTTCTGCATAAAAATGATTTGAAGTACATTCATTCTAAAATCCTATATCACTAAAAGGTGGCATCATACCATCAAAAACCCGAAAAGGTATCGCCAGGCGCAGTTCGAGGTGGAGTTAATGCGGCAGTTGGGGAAGAAATCCGTGCGCGCCCCCCTGTGCGAAGAGTACGAGGTCCGGCAGGTAAAACGCGACGAGTGGCGGATCCGGGTGGTAATGTCGCGGCTCCCCGGGGAGCCGCTGGACAGCTGGATCGAGCGGGCCCGGGGCTCCGAGCGCCTGTCCCCCCGGCGCGGGCGGTTCTGGCGCGATTTTGCGGAGTCCAGCCGGCTGGCGTACCGGCTGCTGGCGCAGCTGGCGCCGACCTTTGAGCAGGTGGAGCAGAAAGCGCTGCACCGAGACGTCAACTCGCACAACATCCTGATTTCTTCCTGCACCGCGGCCACGACGTCCATGTCCTCCTCGAACAGCAGGGGTGATAGTAGTCAACACCAGGACGGTGCTGAAAACTCGAGTTCTGCGCGCACCACGGGCCAGCAAGAAATGGACAGCACGACGGCGGAAGAGGGCGAGCAACAGGAACACCAAAATGGCGGCTCTTCTTCGTCCTCCAGCGGCTCTTCTTCTGCCGGGGCCGTCGGACCAGTACTTCCCGCGGGTAGCAGCGCAGACCTCATCATGGAGGACACTTTGGGGGCGGCAGCCTGCATGGATTTCTGGCTGATTGACTTCGGACTGGCTGTTAACGCGAAGGAGTGGAGGGGACGGGACTACGGCCGCTGTGGCAGAGGTAAGTAGTTGATTGCGATCAGTGATGTGGTACTGGAGGCATGGAATTTGTAGCTTTTACTTTGATATATACCAATATGGTGCTGCCCAGTTGCAATTTTTGGCGAAGTTTCCTGAAGATAAAAACGTGCACTTTTATCGCAGGCGGTCTGTACTTCGGCGCGGGAGACCAGTTTGCGCCCAACCGGTCCATGTTCCCCACGCACCACGACGAGGGGGCGGACGGCATGTGGAAAGTGTTCGACATCGGCGGCTATCAAATGTAAAAATGTCTGGGTCTGGAAGAATGCAACTTGTGATGCTGCGTTTGGATTCCAGAAAAATCTGTATTGCATGAGTGCCAAAAGGAATGTAATTTTTGCTACGCGGAGACGGCATCTGTCATGCGGACTAGGCATCAAGAAGCTCCTCTCAAAAAATCTGTGATGCTAGGGCATGCATCACAGACATCAGGGCTCACGCAAAACGTGCATGACAAGTGTCACTATCTTCCAGACCCAGACATTTTTACAGTTGATAGCGGCGACTGCAAGTACTGGCCGCCGAGTTCGTGGAAGCAGTTCCTGTACGGCTGGAAGTACCTCCAGAATAGCAAGGACGATTGCCGCCAGTACCGCACTCGGCTGGACCACTTCGCGATGGGCATAACCTGCATGGAGCTTCTGTTCCATCTCTGCGATCGTGTGGAGGAACAGGAATCTTCGCGAACTGGCTTGAATTCTGCGTCCAGAACTAGCTCCAAAACCTCCTCATCGCACTCGCTAAACCCGGAGTCTGAAGTATGAGTGCACAACTACTCCCTCCACTGCGATTCTTTTCTATGTGCATACTATGATGACCAGAAAATCTACACTTTGTCATAGCCTCAGAGCAGTGGTTGCATTGTGACAAAAGCCCTCTACTGTAGTGCGACCTCCGTGGAACAATGGTCATGCAGGAGAGCGTGCATCTGTGCTCTTGGGTCTTTTGCGGTAGTAGCACTTCAGGTTGATGTCGTGGGGGAATCGGATTTGTGCACTCTGATACACAGACTGTCCGTCCTCCGTGCTAGCGCAAGCGATCCTGGATGTATACGATGCCTGGAAGCAATACTGGAGAGACGCGACGAGAGTAAGATTCGTAAAATTTTTTCGTGAAGAACAGCGATATAATTCCGGCACCTCAAGCGATCTTGCTGTGCATCCTCTCTACCACCACTCTTTGTTGCGTTTTGGTTTTCAACATCGGTAAAATAATTTATTCGCCCGCGTCAACTCATTGCCGCTTATATATGCAGAAACATGAGATGACCTGCAAAGGAAAGAAGCAGGCAACGCCACCCCAGGAGGCAGACATGAACGATCTGGCAGCACCCCAGCCACCAAATAGTCTATAAAAGCATCAAATAATATAGACTATTAGAACTCCGTAGTTGAGTAAACCTACCTACCTACCTCCCACAACCATTATGAATAAAATCGAACAACAGATCTGGCAGCAGCTGTTCGCGACATTCAAGGGCACGTCGGGCAAGGACTGGCAGCAGCTGAAGCAGCAATTCTGCAAGGAGAACGTTTCCCAGGTTTCCGCCAGCAACGTAACCCGGTTAAAAGCGCAGCTCCAAAAGTGTTCGCAGCGCTGCGCAGCGGATCCGGATTGGTGCTACTTGTCGGTGCTGATGTCGGTACTGCACGACCTGATTTCGGAGTGCGGTAGTCTGACCTGGCGCGACGTGAGCGGGAATCTGCGCAACGCACTGGCGAATGCAAGCGGAAATGAACCAGGCGACGGAAGTGCAACGGTCGACCCGAGTGGAGCAAATGGTGCTGTATCCAGTGCAAAAGCTTGTTCTACCTAATATCGGGCACCAGGTGCACCTCCATTAAGAAATGCATTTTTGACATCAAAGGACGGCCGTTCTTTGTAGGTCTGATAACCGTTAAGATATACGGCCATGATCATGTCAGGTGCTGGTCAGGTCGTCGCTCGTTGGTTATTAAAATATTTGCGGCACTACACCTCTTTTGCACCGGACAATATTCTACAAGTAAGCAACGCGCGGGTGCAGCTCCAACCGCGACAACACCCAGAAGGCCGTCACAGCGAGGACACCACCACACAGAAAGCAGTCAACAGCCGCTGGTGCAGCACAACAGTAGGCCTAATTCCGCGCATTCCTCGGATTCCTCTACTCAGCAGCAAAAAAACAACCAGAGGGAGCCACAGCACCTGCGCACAACCTCCGCCATTGACCAGCCACAGCACGTGCGCGCGGCGTCGTCGTCTCTCCACCGGGGCAGCAGCGTACACCTAGACCATTACTACGACATTTCGCCGCAGAAAGCGCGACGAAACAACAGCAACGTGACCAGTGGCGATAACGGCGCCGGCGGGGGCGTGGGTGGGTTTTACAGGTGATGGGTAAATAAAAAGGCTCTAGTATTCGCACCCGCGATGAAACAGGAGTTTTTGGGTAAAGGGTCTGCGGAAGTAGAACGCGGATAGACCTGCTGGATGCGAAGCGATAGTTTTTCGCCCGGCCGCCGCCAGTGGTTGCGCAGGTGCTGCACAGAAATTTTTTCTATAACCAAATTGATATCTAGTACTAGGCCGATGTAGTTCTAGTTGTTGAAACAGATATGCGCTTTTTTTCTTCAGAATGGTGGTGCCACAAGCGACTAAATAAGAAATCAAAAAGAAGTGTCCACCACAAGTTCGCGGAAAGCGATCCCGAAGAAGCGAAGTGGAAAAGTATCATCTTCAAACACTTGCAAAAAAGCACAAGAAGTAGCGAGCGTTTTAGTATCTCTGGTGCGCATCAACTTGGTGTTGATATGATGCACAGAGTTTTACCTAGGCAGATCAGAAGCTCTCCCCGAACAGCTACAACTTTTTTGTGTACAACTATGCTCGTTGCCAGTGCCATTTTTTTTTTCAAAATGTTCTCGGACAAACATCCGCATTTTTTTTTCGAAGTTGTCGCTGGTTCGATGTTGCGTTCTTTCTGCAGCATTGTGTGCGGTCTTCCTGTTAACTAAATGAATGTACAAATGCCTGATGGTTGGACGAAGCAACGCTGGTGTTGCGGTGACACAAGTTTGGACCCTCGGGCTTTGCAGTTGCACAAAAAAGTGTTGGAAAATAAATGCAAATTCCTCATGCATCAAAACTTGTTTGCTAATTGCAGCGTTTTTGCTGAGTCATGCGACTCACTTACGTTGTGCTCCTGTTCTTGACGTTGTGTTCCCACCTTATTCAAAACAAGTAAGTGATGTGTGGCGTGCCTTTGCGCTGCACCGATGGATAAAACAAGGTTGCAGAGCTTTTCCCATTGACGGCTTCCGTAAACCACAACGCAGGTACACGGAATTCGTTTTGTGCAGTCTGTACAACCCGGTGTTCGTGACAGCACGCGTGTAGCTTGTAGCTTCAGAACGAGTGCTCGAGCAGAGTGCGGCATTATAATCAAGATCTTTCCAAAGCAGCAGTCTACCTGGCAGTTTAATGTCCTGTTCTTCAGCTGCAAAGGTATACAGATTTCGCAAAAGCAGCCTACGGCTTCTAAGAGTGTCGAATCAATACGGAGTGAAAGAAATAAGCGCTTAACGAGAACATCAAAATAAAAAACCGCTCAAACACGCACCTAATTTATGTAGAAGACAAGAGAAATTTACTCCCCTGCACAACAGCCATCATCCCAGAAGAGTCAATTGCTACCCCCTGATATGGTTCTACTCCCCGACAGTTTTTTGGCTGAGCCAGGGAATTCACTAGTAGCCTGAGTGCGAAAAAAGAAGAACGTTATCTTTGAAGTAGATTCCGAAAGCTTGCTTTCCATTTAGCTAGAGATATTTGAATCCGAGTAATGTGCAGCCAGCATCAAGTTTAACTCTTTCTCTTTGAGGCTGAGGTGCTTCTCGCTTCTGATTCATACAAATTACTTAACGGAACAGAATACATCAATCCTCCCAGAACAATGCCGCGCGTTCAGTGTTATGTGTATGACATCTCACATATGAGATCGCAAAACGTCCAGGCCACGGAGTTGAGAATCCTTTTTGCTGTTGCGCAGCTTTGAATGGGAAACTTTCTTCCTTGCATGAAGGGCTAAAGCCACGTTCTTTTTCAAGGACGGTCCAGTCCAGAGACATGACGAACAACAGGTTCCGTGCAGTACAAAGTTGGAAATGTGTAGTACTACTGCTGAAGCACGTCGCAAAAGGCATGACACGTGCTGTCTCCACGGAACATATTTTTTGTTCGCATGTTAACAATCACTAGCTCTCTCATCTGGGGTAGGGGCGTTTTTTCCATTTCACACCGCAGGGAATGGCGAGGATGATGAGCATGCCGCTGCTGGGAAAGCAGGTAGAAGAACTTCTCATTTTTGCTAGGCGATGTCCACGTTTTGTCATGCATGCATAACTGATATTGCTCTTCAATATCGATTTCTATTGTTTGTGGTTGAAAAATTTTTTCCGAATTTCAATCGTTTCACCACTTGTCAGGTTGACATCATCCCCCACACGGGAATCGTCTGCTTCGGCTATCAAGAGGAAAAGTGCCCTCCTGGCCTTTGGTTGAAGGAATGTAATGTGTTTTGCAATGACAAAGTTTGTGTTTATTGAGTTTCAAACCAACGGAAATGTGATACCCTTTTGCGCTGCGACCCTGCGACTGTCTCTGGAATCTAACTGGATAGTCGTTTGTTACTTAGCAGAGCCACGGGGGGGCCCTTTTTCTTTTTCCGTCCCATACCACGAAAGAATACTTTTTCGGCGGCGGTGTTTGCGTGACAGCCGCGGGGCAGGCCATTCCCATGCGGCCGTGCGAGGTGCTGGAGTTCGGGGAAGCGACCAAAACCGAAGCGGAACTGAACGCTTTTTTGGCGGAAATTTCGCCCCGCTTCACCCAGCAGACCTACAACTTGCTGAAGCACAATTGCAATCACTTCGCCAACGAAGTGTCGAAGTTTCTCTGCGGTATCGTGATTTGTTTTCGACGACTTTGTGTGTACACAATTTTTTCCATCTTTTTTGCTTTTTCTATGCTACTTAAAGATGTTGCCGTCTATGAACCGCTGAGCGCCGAGTCATAATTACAGAGAATGTTTACAACGTTGACGAAACTGCTTCAGGTACTCCTGTGCCCGACCGCATAGTGAACGTCGCGGACGAAGTATTGGAAGAAAAATCATCGCGGTTCACATCCCATGCATGATTTTATTTCTCTTTTTGCACGAGGCAAAGCGAATGAATTTGCTAAGTATGCAGCTTATCCACTGTCTTTACATATTTAGGTACTTGAATTTTTGCGAAGGAGAAATAACTACTTACAACGGCTGCGATGTTGAGGTTTTTTAACTTTATAAAAAGCCTTGTCCACACCGCAAGGCCAGCAGCTCCGCGGCTTGATCGAGGGTTTCGAGACCCAAATGCGGCAGAATAACGCGGCCAATACCTTCAACCCATTCGGAAATACGAGCAGCTCCGTGCCAACACCAGGAGTTGTGCCCGGGACAGCACCGGTATGTTTCATGTTAAGCAGGATCATGTTGCGTGATGTATAATGGTGATAGATTTTCCGCGTACTTTTTTTGGGGTAAAAGAAAAAGCTAAGCCATAACAAGAAGATGTATTCATCTTCGCACTGGAGGCTTGCATTTCGTAAGTAGTTGCAAAGGTTTGCTTGTCAAAGACTTGATGAATAATTTATTCAGGCCACCTCCTCCACCGCGTCCGTGTCGTTTGACGATTTTGATTATCAAATGTAAAAATCTCTGGTTCTGGAAGGATGCAACCTGTGATGCGCATTTCAGAACACGCAAAAATCTCTCATGCATAGGCAGCAAAAGCTGCCCACTTTCTGTCACCAAAATGGGGAATTCGTCATGCGGGTTCGGCATTGCGGAAGCTTCTCGAAACCTGTGATGCTAGAGCTTCCATGCCAGACCTTCCGTGTCATGCAGAAACAGCATGACTCTCCCGGACCCAGACATTTTTGCAATCCATATCGATCGCGCGTTGTCCGAGGTGAGCAGCCTGTCGGACGCGGAGCAGAAGCGGGCCTGCTTTTTATCAAATGTAAAAATGTCTGGGTCTGGAAGAATGCAACTTGTGATGCTGCATTTGGGTTCCAAAAAAATCTCTATTGCATGAGCAGCAATGGGAATGCAATTTTTGCTACGCGGAGAGGGCATTTGTCATGCGGAATAGGCATCAAGAAGCCCTCAACAAATCTGTTATGCTAGGGCATGCATCACAGACATCAGGGCTTATGCAAAACATGCATGACAAGTCTCAGAATCTTTCAGACCCAGACATTTTTGCAATCCATACTTTTCCACGCTGAACAAGATGTGCAGCAACATCGTGGACAAGCCGAGCGAGGAAAAGTTCCGAAAGATTAAGATGGAGAACCCGGCTTTCAACAAAAAGGTCGCGGAGTGTCTGGGCGGGACGGAGTGCATTCTCGCCATGGGGTTCGCGCCCGAGGAGATAGAGGGGGTGGACTACTGGGTCTACGATCCGTCGAGGCTGCCGATAGACGCTCTGCGCATCTGCTGCTCGAAGCTCTCCGCCGCGGAATCCAAACTCCCCGCCGCACCCAGGCCCCAGCAGCTCTTATCGACTGAAAGTGAGCTAGTAGCATCCAAGGAAATGTGTATGTTTGCTATTTGTATAATCAAACCGGAACTGCTGCAAAAGGTTTGCGTTTGCCTTGCAGGTGCCGCAGATGTTGTAGGCGTAGCAGAGGGTAATTTGCCCACTCCACAATTATCATGTACTTATGCAGCTAGCTTCTTTCCACTTGATAGTTCCCGGGTGCAGCTGGGAATACTGCAGGAGGTTTCGGGGGAGCTGCTGCGCCAATGAGGTACTACCGTTCTTTCCCTATTTTGCTTCATCTCTAAGTACGACGTACGCTAGAGACAACGTCCTGAGTTCGCCATTTATTTTCCGCCAGACGCGAATCATCGAAGATTGTTCCTTTACTTGGTTCAACTTCAACCACACAGCGCGACCGGCGGGATGACAAATCCACTCCTGAACAACCTCGGCGGCGGGATGCCCGGTATGGGTACGCCCGGCGGGGGGGCACCCCCGGGCGGCATGGGGAACATCCCGCCCGGCATGGCGCAGCAGGCACAGCAGATGATGGCCTCCAACCCGCAGATGGCGGCGCAGGCGCAGGCACTGATGAACAACCCGCAGGCCATGCAGCAAATGATGAATGATCCGCAGATACAAGCTTTGATGAACAATCCCCAGGCGATGCAAAACATGATGAACATGATGGGGAACAATGGCGGTCCCGGGCGATGACGGTAAATAAAGATCATGCTGTGCTGTAGTGCTACTCCTACTTCTAGGTGTTAAAAACACGAAACACACGACCTTGGCCATGAAGCAAAAGCTGGAAGAAGATCCGGCGATTGCAGGCCACCTTTCCCGTGATGGCGTTCCTGCTGGAAACCTCATTCAAGAGTTATTGTCCTTCTGCATTTGGAAACGCAGGAAAAATCGAAGGTCTGGACACACATGTGCCGTTGCTTCTTGATTTGAAAGTTCATAACGGTGATGTTATTCGCAGTTATTTTCGTAGTTTTCCTGTTTGTTTTCCTGTGATGTTCCAAGAAGACATTTGCTTGGGAAAGAAAAACCAGAGACCTCGATGATCTTTTGAAGTCTGAGTTTTCTTTGGACTTCTTGCAAAGCCGTGACATTGAAAATTAGAGAAAAGTTAGGTCGTGCCCCGTCCCTTCGGGAGTATGATTGTGTTTGGAATTGTTCCTGTTTAGTATGCTTTTGTGGCTTGCAATTCATTGCATGTGCTGAAAGGGAGCAATTATGGCCTGCCACGTAGGTGAAGGAACAGAATTCTAAAGCCTTGATGATATGCGTCGTCAGGCTTCGCTCGTTTTCGTGTCTCGGAGTACTCGGTGTGGAAGTAAACGTAGCAAGAGAGATGGATCGGTACATGAGTGTCTCTTTGTCAAGGTTCTCGTGCACAAAAGGAAAGAAAATAGGAAAATCGCTTTATTGCTTCGGTGCCGTTCATTGTGCGTCGTGCAAAGCAGATTCGAGTTTTGTAGTGCGAATTCGTGAAAAAAAAACAAGAAGAAAAAAATTCGGTTTGTCCGTTTTCCTTTTCCCATGTCGGTTTCTTCTTTCCGGTCCGCGTTGGCGTTTCGGTTCTTGCTCTCAAAGTATTTCCGCACTGTCGGTCTGGCTCTTATTTTTTTTTCTTTATGAGAGGTGTGTTCTTTGTGAGGCGTAGCCGTACTTACGATGCGGCACATCATTCTTTTAAGCACACACGGGGCCGCATACTTTCAAGGTTGAAGGAAATGCCTGTCGCTGTGTGAAGGCAGAAGTACCACACACGTCCCCGCTCGCATGATTACAAGGATTCATACAGAACCTGACAGGTAAATAGGCAAGTTGATCCGCGTATTCGTGGTCTTCGTGTCTGCGTGTTCTCTATTGCCCCCACCGGTCTTGCTGAATCGAATTCAAACCTAAGTCGTAAAACAAGCTCGACGAAGCTTCTGCAATAGATACCACCGAATCATCTTAGAGTTGTGAAAAAGCAAATTACAAAAAGACAGAGAAAACAACAAACGCGGATAATAAGTTTGAGCTCTTCATCCCCTTCCTCATCTCCAAACTATAACTCAACCCATCTTGAGATTGAGTTCTTGCAATTTCCAAGAAAAATGGGCACTGCACGTGCACGACAAGCATCGGGTTGCGGTCGCTTTCCTCTGCGGGCGCTCTCTTACCTTTCGGCTGTAGCCACTTATCCCGGAAAATGAAACTGCATCAGAGGGATACTTGTGTCGAAGATACGGCGACAAATCGCAGGCAATAGAATCTTTGCAGGAAAGTAGGCAGCGTAGGTAGCAGTGTGTGGCTAAGTTGCATAAGCCTTAGCGGTCGTGGCTGATAATCCATGGTGTCTGTGCAATGGAATCGCAAATTCAAATTGATAATACTTTTGTGTGTTTTTGATTTTTATTGTGTCGAAATGAAACGCTGACGACGACGGGTCGGCAAGCCCCACTGATGCAGCTTTTGCGTGCGATGGCGCCAATGGGCTGTTGTGCCGCCTCTTTTGCCAGCTGCCAGGTGGTATCTTAACTTCAACGTTTCGATTTGTGTATGGGCGTCGTGAAGCGGTGTTTATCCGACCAAAAAGTGTGAATGGCAAGGGTTGAACGTTTTTGCGTAATGTTGCATTCGTGGCCTTGATGATGCACGTTGTTCGGGCCACTGTTTCTTCATCTTCGCATATAATGAATAATGCGTTCAGATACTCCACGCATTATTTATATTTTTGCAGAAAATCATGTTGCGTGACAGAAACAGAATGTTTTAGGAACTGAACGATTTTTGCACAAGACACTTGCATATAAGTAAGAGCCGATGAAATACGCATCTTGTTCTGGACCTGGAGTAGTACTTTTTGGCTGGATCAGACCAGAATCGCTCAGCAAGGAGAAAACGAAAACGGGGGAAAGTAAGAAAAAGGAAGCCCAAGCCCACAAAGTACAGGAAGAGAAAAAAGTGCTTCACTCCGCCGAACGACAACGACGTGACACGGCCGTTGGCGAAAGCGACCAAAAAGTATCGAGACAAAAGCCTCAGTCAAGTCAAACTGTGTGTGCGCATTTCTGTCATGTCGTTGGAGATGAGCGTCGTGATCCACCATACGACTTGTTCGGTACCTCGCAACAATGACATAATAAATTGCGATGCATCGATAAGTGCATCGTACTAGAAAAGGATACAAAGTGCTGGTAATTCGAGGGTCACCAGGTTTTTTTTCCTTCAATCGTGCTGCCGTTAGACATGACTTATGGTCTCACAAGGATACGATCACCAATGGTCGGAAGCCGATTTCACTCTTGGTCGTGTCGGCAAAGCCTGGGCCGCAGCGAAAGAGATATGGAGTTGGGGAAAGAAAAAGGTCACGGAGAAAGTCCAAGAATTTTCTGTAGTTGCTCGGAGAATTCAGAATGGAAAATGCAAGTGCAAGAAAAATCCGATGAAAAATCCGTATCACGAAATTGCGCTTTCGGGGGAAAAGCAAAGGTACACCAGCGAAGTCCGGGAAGATCGCAGTGTATCCAGACAACGAGGCCCTGAGTGAAGCAAATGCAAAGTTTGCCTGAGCTGCAGATGTGCATGAAGACTCCTAAATGTCGACGACGGGCACGGTACTTATCTGATACCGTGCCCGTGGTCGACATTTAGGAATCATATGCTATCATGGGTGCCTTTATAAGACTTCTCAGAAGATCGGCTTGCTAGTACTGTCGGCCTTGATATTATTGCGCCGGAATTGTGGTATGCGAAGGAGTATGACTATGAGTTGTATTTCTGACGGGGAAGAATTCCTACTCAGCTGCGATTTATACGACGATTACAAGAGATGAGACGCAAAGGGGGTGGAGTCAGTCGCGACATAATCTAACGCATAAATAAGCTGAACAGATACAGATTGCGTTCGTCGTCAAGCTCTGGCATGATGCCGCGCAAGTGTCCACTTTCAGTTTCACTCCACTCAGGGCTTTGCCGGAATAAGGGGGGCTGTCGCAGCCACCCAAGCTGTACCTCGGCGTGATGCCGCAGACTGATAAAGTGTCGTACGAAATTGGGCGTTCTGTGTTGCCCGTTTGTCGTCCCATGTGGCGACAGTTGATCAGACCGGAAGCTTCCTCGGGAAAGGAAATCAGTGCCGTTGTTTCTTTCAGCAATGTGCAGACTGAAACGCCCCACACGCCGTGGGCTAGACTGTACAAGGACAGGAATCTGTTACTGCAAGAGTCGCGTTGGAGTTGGCCGGGGTGGAAATCGTCCAGTCCTGCTCCGGAAAAATTGTGCAACGAACAAAAAACTCCCGCGGGTTTGAAGGTTGTCACGTATGACGACGATTTCTTGGAGGCGCAACACGACGAGAAATTAGACAAGGACCATCAGTGCTACGACGTAGACGAGAAATTAGACGAGAAATTAGACGAGGACATCGTAGACACGGGCGGCGAGATGAAAGTGAAGATTTCACACAAGCAGTTCTGTATCAGAGAATACGGAATGGAAAGGCGCAGCGCAACATTTTCCAGTAGGGGCTCTATCTACACAAGGCTCGATGTTTGGCTTTTTGCACTTTGATTTGGGGGGCATGAGGCAGAGAAGTACCGTAGGCAGCTCATGAAAATTGAATGATAATGGACGCGTCTTACGGTTACGACAGATGCTCGAAGCAAGCATGAACAGGGCTACAACTTACATTGACGTTGCAGTATTGTAGCTAACGACGCTCGTCAATACACTAAGCATAAAGTAGGAGCCCTTGTGTCTGGTATCGATGTTGTTCAGTGTGGCTCTGTGTTGATCCAAAATCGAAATACCGAGAAACAGCAAGTGTACACTACAGCCACACAGACTCAGCCTCGCTGGTGTTGCCTTGGTGCGATAGCGTCGCTTGGAATGGTGTTTGTGCAGTCTTTCCTGTGTATACCTTCCACAAACCTCTTCCGCCCTTGATGCTGGACGCAGCGGCGGACCAGATCTACGCGTTTTTGAAGCAAGGGAAGAATACCTATGTACATTGCAAGGCTGGGATGGCCCGTTCGGGCATGGCTGTGATCGCTTTTTTGCTGAAGTACGGCAGTGTGACGGACAAGTCGTCAGAAGTACCTCGAAAGCCAACTGTTTCGGAGGCGATCGCATACGTGACGGCGATGCGACCGATATGGAACCGATGAAAACTGCTGGAGTCAATAGAGTAACCACAGTGCCACCTCGCTCACGCAGCGAGTAGTAGCCACAGTAGTAGAAGTGCAAGCGTTTGTCTTTTTACTCTGTCATGAAACAGAAATTGGCTACGAGATTATGCTTGAGACCGGAACCGGATCTCCGCCTATAATCGAGTCTGCTTCGTATATTAATTAGTTTGGAGGTGTGACCTGTTTAGGTATCTTGCTGCAACGCCAGCAGTTGTATCCCCCTGTGATGCACGGTCGTTAAAGTGGCTTATAGCTGGGATAAGATTGAAGAATTGCTCGTGTATGACGCGATGCTGCGTTTGAGCTTGCCTCCCGGAGACCTAGCGGAGGATCTAGCGGAGGATGTAGCGGACCTAGCGGAGGGCGATAAAATTCAATGGTTGGCGGGCGCAGGGGACAAAGCGTGGTCAATCTTTTCTCTGGACGTCGATGCCCTACCAATGACCGACGGTGATGGAGGAGGACATCGTAGCGCAGATTTTTATGTCGCGTTGCAGTACCTGCTGCAGACCCTATTCGATGGGTTGGGCGCTTTCAGAAAGGAGCTCAGAGAACCCAATTCGCTGATACACAGCCACATTTCGTGTGTGCAAGAAGATAAGCGATTTTTTAAGTGGTTCACAAAGCAGGTAGGGGCAGCGATCGAGACTGCGCCAAGGCCGGCAGTGGTCAAGGCTGCGACAGCAAATGGCAAAAATGGAGACGATGATGACGATGATGCTTAACACGTTGATGGAGAGGACGAGGACGATGTTGGTGGAGAGGAAGAGGACGGTGTTGATGGAGAGAAAGAGGACGGTGTTGATGGAGAGAAAAATGAACCTCCCCGCTCTCCGGAAGAAGCAGAGGCGCAGAAGCTCTCCAGGCTCAAAAAGGCAAAGGCTGTGCTGCAAGATCCCATAATAGACGCGGATGCGAGGCGAAAAACCCTGACGGGCATCGTGACGCAGTCCAGTGGGAATGGTGGTCAAGCTGGGTAAGTAAGCTTCTTCTTGATTTGCAAATAATGTTCGAGGAACATGATAGAATAGGATAAACTTAGTATTCCTACAGAAGTCATCCTTTTCTACAAGGTTTGCACTTTCATTGATAGGCTCGAAATACCCGCTGGGCATGCATTATCATTTGTTCTGAGCATTTACTATAACAGTGCGGGCGCCGTGAAGCTTACGTTTGGCCCGCGCAAGCCTGCGCACGTGGCGAAGACCACATCTGACCCCGGCGAGGCAACAATCTCCGGGTTTCTTGAAACCGCAACGCCGGAGGACCACGCCGCTCCGTTGGATGCAAGCGTTGCTGCCGCTCCACCCGTCGCTCTACCCGCCGCCACGACTGCTCCACTGATCGACGACGAATCTCTCGCACCCGCGCCGACGAAGTTCTCGGAGCGGCGGAAGCCTGCGATCCTGCCAGATCCTGTTCCGCTTCCGCCAGCTGAGGATGGTTCGGAGGGTGCACTCAAATCGAACCCGGATGTTCCTGCAAAGACGGAAGAAAAACAACAACCCTTCGCCGACACGTCGCCGTCTTTTCCAGCCTGGCCGGACAACATTGTGGTGAAAAATGTTCTCTACTGCTCTGGTGCCCTTTTCCTGCTTTCCGTACTTCTGTACATCCTCTCGGGAGGACTGTGTACGTCGTTTCGTTCTGCCAAGCGTGTCGTGAACAACGATTCGGGGAGTAAGACCCAGTCCAAGCTGGAGGAGGAGGAAAGTGCCACGAATTATCCGCATGCCTCCGCTTCGAAGGCCGCTCTTGCGGGGGGCGGGGAACGCATCCAGCCATCCACGGTTGACGCGGACAGCCTCGAGGCTTCGGCAGCGGATCCCACGGCCGCAGCGACCGACACGAGCGCGGAGGAGGAAGAGCAAGCGGTGTTTATCAAATGAAAAAGACTTGCTTTCATCTTCCCCATTTCTGTGAGAAAGCCGAGGGCAACAAAATACACCAGGGAATATCGAGGATTCTATCTGCTACAGGGAGTGTTGTTAAAGTTACTTAATAGAACGAAGCGAAAACTAATAATTTGATGTCCAGGAGTCGGAGTGGGGATGGGAAGCAAGCTTTTTCAGCTCGACAGACCTGCAGTATTTCATCATGAAGAGCAAGGAGGCGCGACGTAGAGCAACGAAGTGAGGAGACTCTAAGTCGCGCCCGGTCTCCTGCTGAAGAGGACAGTTTACTACCAAAGCGCTACCAAAGCGCTCCGGCGCCGGCCGGAGCGAAGCAGAGACTAAGGTTTTATCGGGTTTAATGGTTTTTTTTTATCGGGTTTATTCAGGGTTTACTACTATGGAGCATCATCAAACTTTCAGGTGCACACACTCATATACAAACGACTTTTCACAACTGTTTGACTAAAATTTGAAGAATTTTTTTTGCAATTTAAAGTATGTTGTACGGACTCCACAATTAGATATTTTGCTGTCAATTTGTTTTCTTTCTTGCGCCAACATTGTAGCACTCTTGAAACGAAAAATAATGCATTTTGAATCAGAAGCCTGAGCATCATCAAACTAAAGTAAATATTGTATCTCCACCAAACTTTCTTTTCGGGCCTGGGCTGCTTGAGAGCGTGAACGACGTGCACCGGGAGTTTTGAACTTCCTCGCACGTCTTTCGGTTTTTTTTCTGCGTGGGGTTTTGCACCGATGAGCAGGCATGGCGTTATTTCCCGTTTGGCGACAGACTACCCTGTTGCGTGTACTTGCTGCCTTCTGGCTCTTGCAACGGAAGAGTCAGGGAGGTGCAAAAACGAGAGCAGGAGCCTGCGTCCTTACGGATGACGACACATGCCTAAAAGGAACTATCCGAATAAGACCCCCAAGCAAGACACTCTATCCATCGCTTGCTGTGGCTACCCCCATTGCCACATTAAGCAGGCGCCGCTGGAAAGAGAAGTGTGAAAAGGAGTGCGAACAAAAGTGTGGAAAGGGAGTTAGTAGTTTGAGGAACACGGGCCTACTTCATCACCACGGTAGAGCTGCTTAATTGAGTGTTGCAGCCACCCAACGGACTTTTCTGGTCCCTACCGGTAAGAACTAGTACTAACACAAAAGAGCAAGGAAGCAAGGTACTATTGTAGGTCGTGGTCCTTCAGTTACTATTTTGATTTACGAACTTTTTTAAGGAGCTCTTACGAGGGAGTATCGGACCACACAAAATAAACTTCACACGTAGTCCTGACGCAGATTAGGCCCGCTTTTCTCGGGCTCGGGCAAGAGCGCTGCCCTAAGGTTTGTACGCTTTAAGAATAATTCTCGAGCTTTCTTTCATAAGTGAATACTCCCCCCAAGGAGCAGGAATGTATTGAGCAGCACGAGACACTGGGAGTTTTTTTTTGTTGAGCAGATGAATGTTGCAGTACCCCTGCCCTGCGTGCCGGAAAGGTCAATTGGAGCTGGAGAGCGGTGCCGACGCGTGGCAGCATTCGAAAGTTGCCGATCACTGAGAAGACCACCCCTCCAACTTTTTGAAGTTTTCCGGCATCAACAAAGAAATACCAATCGAATTCCTGGCTTTTTGCAGCTGTTTCAATACATGAAAAAAAAACAAGCACCTCACTCCACTGTCACTCACTGCGAGTCGTGAACAAATCGCGACTAGATGTTGTTCAGCGTATTGCCATCGTAATCTGCAGATGATCCCGACGACGCGCGAAGGGGTGATAGGATGGCAAGTTGTAGAAATAAGACAGAGATCCAGAGTTATTTTACAACGAAACAAATTGGTGTCACATTAAGTCCGTAAGACGTTTTTTTCGAATGGCAAAGTAGTTTCACCAGGATCGGATGACGACAATGTTGACAGAAAGACATCTTTGGAGGCAACGGCATGATGTGGCGTGTTGATCACTGAGCAAAAGCACGATATTTGTCTGAGGTTTTTGTTTCTTTTTGAAACGACTCCTTTGCAGGGAAAAGAGTAAGTTGGCGAGAAAACTTATCCAATTGACATTGGTAGAACCGCTAGGATTATAAGTAGTAAGCAGTTTACCTACGGTAACCCATAAAATCAACGTAGTATGAAAACCGACGAAGAATGGCGGTCCCTCCTTACGCCCGCCGAGTTCGAGATCTTGCGTCTGCGCGGGACAGAGTTGCCAAACACCGGGGAGTACGTTTCGCATTTTACCAAAGCCGGCCACTACGCCTGCAAAGCCTGCCGACTACCCCTGTACCCGGCGTCGGCGAAGTTTCAGAGCGGCTGCGGCTGGCCGGCGTATAACGCCTGCTACTTCTCCACCGCGTTGCAGGGGTCGCACGTTTCGTACGTAAAAGACACGTCGCACGGGCGGACGCGGCTGGAGATTCGGTGCAAGCGGTGCGAGTCGCACCTTGGGCACTTGTTTCTGGGGCACAAGGCCGAAGCGGAAAGCGAGCGGCACTGCGTGAACAGTTTGAGTGTCCGGTATGTTGCGGAGGATAGTGGAGTAGTAGATGGAGAGGCAGAAGGAAAAACCAAAACAACAAGTGCTGCGCCCGACAATGCAGAAGTACGACAATTGCGTTCAGAATGCTTGGGAAAGTCCATTCCGCCGGAGTTACTCGCGGAGCTGGACGATTTCAAATTCGCAAAAGACGACCCGCGAAACAGGCCACTGACGTGCGGAAAAGGCAGCGATGAGGGAGCCGCCAGTTGTGCAGCAGCGGCTCCTCGAAAAGGCAATAGAGGGGCTGCGCTGGAACAGGCGACTGTCGCAGATAATGAGCTTCTTGATGATGTTGGTCGCGCTCCCCTTCGCGCTGATGGCGACGAAGTCAAGGTCGCCAAAACCCTGACCGCCCTCTTCCCCTCAGAGTGGAGCGCCGTGAACGAGAGAAGTATTAACGACCGTGAACAAATTATACCGAGCAAGCTGCACACGTTTTTCAGATTGCAGGGGTTTCTGAAGGGCGCGAAAGATAATGTGTCACCAAACTCGCTACAACATCCGGAAAGCGATGAAGGAAACATTGAGTTGACAGCGGAGAACCTTCTGCGCTATCTGGTGTTTGCCGACGAAAGGAAATTCGCATTGGCAGGAGAGAATGGTGATTTTCTGTTGCGTGTTCCACCGCAATCTGATTCTCATGTTGTTGAAGATACCAGCAGCTTTTGCGCTCGTCCTGCAGTTGCTTCACTTGAAGACCTTCACGGGAGCCGGCGCACTGGAATGGTTCAAGAACGCAGCGGACCCGAATTCTACGACCTAGCGCTGTCCGTCAAGCCCAGCACCATTCCCGGCGCGGGCCTCGGACTCTTCGCGAATCGGCGGTTCAGCCAGGGCGAGTTTGTTTGCGTTTATTTCGGGGAGAAGGTGTCCTTCAAGGAGAAAATCGAAAATAAAACCAGGAACCTCGACTACTGCCTCGGTGGGTTTGGCCTCTACAGTGTAGACGCGAAGAACTCGACGTGTGCTGCGCGGTACATCAATCACGGGGATAGTGCGGAAAAAGTGAATGTACGCTTCAAGTACAAGAGCTCAAAACTGTTAAAGGCCATTGTGGTGGTAGTGAAGCCGGTCGAGGCCGGGGCGGAGTTTCTCGTGGACTACGGGAAGGGATACTGGCGTGCCAGAACGTGTCCTACGAGTTCGGGTGCGCACAAGGAGGTAAAAGCACATCTCGAGCAGGGGGCTACGAAGGGCCATGCTGAAGAGGAGAAGCTTATCGAGCCGTGTAGATGATGACAGTCCTGTGATCACACCGTATCAAAGTCGTGCAGAGCCGCAAAGAGCAGAAGCAAGATTAGAACGCAAATCTTAGATGAACTCCATCAGAAACAACGACCAAGCGACCATTCCGAATGAATTTGAAGTTTCCGTTTCGGGCCTGCGATCATGCAAAAGTAAAACCGTGACGAGTCTTTCTAGTTTCAACTTTCAAGCTTGGGAGCTTTTCGAGTCGCTGTTCCTTTTTGTCCCGGTGCTTTTCAGTACACGGCGTCACAACTGTTTTTACGAGGAGGACCAGTTTTTAGGATCAACCACTTCACATATCGCGGACGCGAAATAGAGATCGCTATTACTGGCTTCGCCTCACTTTATGCTGCGTTATTCGTTCAAATTCAATATCAATTCAAAATCATGAAGGGGTCTCTCGTCGTCTTTTTGCAGTTGTTTTTTTCTGATTATTCTCCCAATCAGCTTTCGCCTTTCGCTCGCGGCCAGCTGGCCAGCAGCATCGATGCCACGGCGAACATCCGGAATTTGGACGCGCTTGATGAAACCGACGACCCGACGGCGAAACTGCCGGCCAGCGTGAAGGAGCAAGTTCTGAAACTGAAGCAGGAGTTGGGGGACGTCTCGCCCGGGATGGCGCAGCAGGCCCAGCACCTCATGGCCATCAACCCGAAACTGGCGAAGCAAGCGCGGGCACTGAGGGACGACCCGCAGGCCGTACAGCAAATGATGAACGATCCGCAGATCCAGGCAGTGATGAAGGACCCCCAGGCACTGCAGAACATGATGAACATGCTGGAAGAAAATGGCGGTCTCGCGGACCGGTGATTTAGTTTGCGAAATCATGCTGTGCCGCGCTACTAGGAACTTAACGAAAACATGATGAAAGAATAAGAACTTCATCACCGTGGCCATGAAACTGCACCGTGGCCATGAAAACGTCTCGGCCCTCTTCCTGCATAAATGGGAAACACAGGAAGAAACAAAACTCAAGATTCACATTACGTGCTGTTTCTTGATGTATTCCAAGGGGGGAAGTTAAGCACTCGTAGTTTTCGTTTTCCTGTTTGTTTTTCTCTGATGTTCCAAGAAGTAGAAGACACCAGTTGGAGTAGAAAGAAAGACCAGAAAGTGATCTTCTTCGAAGTCTTAGTTGCCAGGCAGATTTCTCTATACGAGAATCTGTCTGTCAAAGTTCAAAAGACAAAGTGAATCATGTCTCGCTTGTTCCGCATGTGAGAAAAGAATCTTGCGTTCCGAACTGCTCACGTTCAGCTTGTTAGATAGATGATATTTAGATGTGTTCTCTGTAGTAGTCAACGATCGCCACCTTACCTGGCGGTAAAGCTAGCAGAACGACGGTGCTACGACTTCGTTTCGAAAGGCAGAACTGCATGCACCCGCGTCCGGCTGACTACGACTTTTCGGTTAAAATGATGAAGGGTTTCGGCTTGCTTTTTTTGCAGTTGTTTTTTCCACCTGATGAGTGCGCCAATCGGTTTCCTGCATTCGCCCGTGGGCAGGTGGCCATCATCGACGCCGAGGCGGACATTCGGGATTTGGACGTGGGCGACATTGACGACCCCACGACGGATCTTCCGGCCAGTGTGAAGCAGGAAATTCTGAAGCTGAAGCAACAGTCGGAGTTCGTCGCGAACAAGAAAAACCGGGCCGACCCGGTGGACATGGTGTCGCAAATTCCCACCGGGAAACAGACGATGTGCTTTGCGGTGCTCAACCTGGAGTACGCCATCGAGCAGGACCGGAAAACCGGGCGGGGCTCGCACGACCTGGCGCAGCAGTGGCAGGGACTGCTGGAGACGGGGGGCACGGAGGCTCGCTTCTACGCCGTGGATCCGGACCGCATTTTGATTGTCACGAGCACCAACAGGGACCTGGAGACGGTGCAGAAGTTCGTTTTGAGTTACCCGGATATTGTGGACTTTTTCGAAGTGAACCAAAAGAAAGTCTTCCCCAACAACCGCTACAAGGAATTGGTGGACGACGAGGAGCGGAAGAGAGTTGGCGAGAAGCTAAAGTGGGGCGGACGGTACATTCCGGATCGGGAACAGAGGCCCAGGGTTGTGAAGCCGGTGGAGGATGGAGCAAGTGAAGACAAGGGGAAAAAAAGCCCTTCCGATGGTGGAACACGTAAGGAAGGCCGTAAAGCAACAGCAAAGAAGAAACCCGGGGAGAAAAGGAGAAGCAAAAAGAAAACCAAAGTACGGGAGGTTGCAAAGAAACCTCCGGTTGATGTTACTGTGTTGGAAGATGACGATGACGATGATTTGTAAACTTTCTCCGTGTTAGAGTTAGTTGTTGCTGACGCAAACACTTTATGAAAAAAGTAACGGAGGAGAAACAAATACAAAGCTTCGCGGCAATCGAGATGCTGTATATGGAAAGTGGTCAGTACGCTTTTGGCGCATGCATCTTCTTTCTGCACACACAGAGCACCATCGTTGCATAAAGCATGAAGCTGCGCTACCTGACAGCAAGTATCAGATCCGCGGCTTTTGGAACAAATGAATCGTGCACGACATTCCTTTGAAAGGATCTTCCTATGTACTGCAACTGGCTTGACGATATTCTGTGTTAGGTTCCTAGAAGATGAAACTAAGATCTTTCTGATTGCGACCTTTTTTTCAGGTTCATCATCTGATCACATCGTTTTCTTGATAGAGGAGACCACACAATATTTTCTTCCGACCCGCCCCGCAACACTTACTTATTTTGATTCTCGTGTAGAAGTGCAACTGCCACTGCGCCCTCTGTGGGCCGTCTGGTTTTCAAGAAATCCAAAAACAACCAATGGTCGCGCCCCCGACGTTGCCCGCGGACGCGCGGCTGCGCGAGTACATGACATCGGCTCCCATCTACAGCGGCGGCGGGGGGAGCACGAATCTGGTGGCCGACAGCACGATTGACGTGCCGGAGAACACCCAGATCGTGGATCTGGCCATCGACTACTATGGCAAACGGCTCGCGGTCTGCGGCGACCGGGTGATTTTTGTCTACGAAATCTCCACAGCGGGGGAGAATATTGTGTCAAAGTTGGCCACGGGCACAGAAGAAGCCAGACTGGTCGCCAGACTGGAGCACCCAGATGTATATGTTTTTTCTTTCTACGTACCTACCAACAGTGATTGTGATGCCTGCTGTGGTTTTGGGTATAGGTTTCAGTGGAAGATTTGTTTGGTGTCTCGACACGGCTAATTCTAGCAGATTCTCGTAGAAGGTAAATTGCACGAGTCTCCGTGTCCGTGGAAGTTCTCGAGATAGTACATAAACGAAACATAACAAAAAACGACAGGTAGCCGGCCCGTTGCAGCAGATCTGCTGGAGCGACCCGACACAAGGGACGATGATAGCAGCGTGCGGCGCGTGCGGCAGTGTGATGCTTTGGCGAGAAGGGCGGCCCGGCGACTGGTCCCTGGTGTGGCGAGAAAGGCTGGACGGGGCTGCCACAACTGTGCAGATAGGGCCGAAAGAGTATTGTGTTGATTGCGTGGATTACGATTATTTCTCAATGTTTATCTATCGATCGGATCTTATTGCGCATACTTAGATGCTGCATAGGACGGGAAGAAGAGGCTGAAATGAGACTCCTGATAATTGGAGGTTTGTTTGTCTCGACATCATGCGCCGCAGCTGCACGTGGAAGAGAACCAACCCTGAATCGAGGTAGACTTTTTGCATCGGATAATTGAGAAGATTTTTATTTTCGCAGATTCGGCTTGTTCATTGCCGCGGGTTCCTCCAGTGGCCTCGTGACCATTTTCGAGGCGCAAAACCAGACGGGCCCCCTAATGAAGATTGGCGTGCTGAAAGCCCATCAAAACGGCGTTTCCAGCGTGAGCTGGGCGGTGCCCGTCAGCCCGGCGACCCTCGCCTCCGGCCCTGCGGTGCAGGGCGGGTACATGATGCCCGCGCTGCGGCCGCGGAGACTAGTGTCCGGCGGCTTCGACTCCAACGTGAAAATATGGCGCTGGAACGCCGACGACAAAAAGTGGGTGGAAGAGGGCACTCTGAGCAGTAGCGGCGATTCACCTCCAGTGCCACCAAACCCCGAAGGAGACCAGCACCCGTCTGGAGGGGGCTCCACCGTCCCGCCCCCGACCTCTCATGCAGGGCCCGTGCGATCCGTCGCCTGGCGACCGAACATCGGCATCCCCTCGAATTTTCTCGCCTCCGGTTCCGAGGTATCAAATGTAAAAATGTCTGGGTCTGGAAACTTGTGATGCTGGGTGGCGTCTCATGATGAGGCCACAAATACTGGCTTAGCATGACAAGTTTCTGAGCTTCTAGGTGTTGCCTATTCTGCATGACAAACTGCGTTGCTGCATCACAGAAAAATGGAGCTCTTGGGTAACGTGCATGACAGATTTAGAAGTTATGCCAGACAAGCATGACAAACATGCATTCTTCGAGACCCAGACATTTTTACTTTTGATACGAGGACGGAACGTGCAAAATATGGGTGCAGACCATGGAGGGACTGAACTGGCAGAACAGCGCGACGATACTATGCATTGCAAATATGTCTGGGTCTGGAAGAATGCAAACTTGTGATGCGCATTTCACAGCACACAAAAATCTCTCATGCGTAGGCAGCAAAAGCTGCCCACTTTCTGTCACCAAAGTGGGGCATTTGTCATGCGGATTTGGCATTGCGGAAGCTTCTCGAAACCTGTGATGCTAGAGCTTCCATGACAGCCCTACTGTGTCATGCAAAAGCAGCATGACTCTTCCAGACCCAGACATTTTTGCATTTGATAGATACATGTAGAGAACAACCTCCCGGTCAACCGTGTCACGTGGTCCGTGACGGGGTTGTGTGTCTGCCTCTCCTGCGGGGAGGAGGAAACCGTTCGCATCTTCAAGGAGGACCTAGATAACCAGTGGCGACGCGTGGATCGCGCAGAATGAATGTCATTATCACAGGAGTTGTACCTACTTAAACTCAGCTTTGGTGCGGTGCTAGAATGGAGAAGATGCGCATAATCCTTCTCCAAGCTTCCGAGAGAAGTAGTTCTGACGTTCCCGTCGCTCAAAAATCGTGCGCGCAATAGAAAAAGAAAAACTGAGTATAATGAATTGATTCGCATTCTCGACGACCGGAAAAAAGGCCTCCGACGTCTACGCCTGTTTTACTTCGCTAGGACAATGATCACCCTGTTATAATCGCGAGACAAGACTACAAATGATTCACAAGAGAAGATGGATCGTCAGAGGTCCGTGCTTATTGAGAAAGCGTTTGTATTTTTCGATTTTGGCAATATCTTCATCTTGTTGACGCAGCAGGTGCTCCTCGTGATCTATTTGCATTCACAACGTGGAAAGATCTTGGATCTTCTGCACATCGTAGGCGAAGAAGAAAGATCAACTTGAGATCTTGTCAGGTCCGTCGAGATCTTGTGAGACGCAACGTTGATTTCAAGTTGAAGTCACACGACACGTGCGTCCGATATAATATTGCAGGGGCGAGGCAGCGGCTGTTCCTCCCCTCAGTGGCAGGCCTTCGCGGACGAGTCCTGCTGCAGACTGGTATGGATTTGGCGTTTTGATACATTATTTCTAAAATGAAACCAAACAACGCGATCGCGTTTCTGTACAATTTTTCAGGGGTGGACATGGAGGGGGACAGTTTGCCTTTTTGAGGCGTCTTTATCTCGCGCCGACTGTAGTATGTTTTGCTGTAACTATCTTAACTTTAGTATAAAATTATCGTGGACTTTTCTTTTAGTGGAAAATTAACAGTTTAACAGCATTAGCAAGCACTGCACGCTTTGCCGTGCAAATCAATTGACGTTTCGGACGACAGCACTCCTCCAAGAAAATGCCAGCTGTGACCCCCCGGAGCCCAGAGTAAAAGCATGCAGTTCCTCACTGCCGAAAACGAAAAGAAACCGTGCGGAAAGAGATGTCGCTTCACTGCGCTGCAGATCAGGAGGACGCCGCGTCATGCAGTATGATTTCGACCTCAGATGAAGGACAGCGCAGCAAAGTGGACGATTATAATTCTGGTGATGATATATCAAATTCAACAACGTCAAGACAGAAAAATGAGTACAAGAAGCACGACCAAGACAGGCAGACAGAGGGACACGACCAAAGTAAAAGTGTAGTAGCGACGACCCAAAGGAACAAGAACAAAACCTGTCGAACCCCCAGCACTTGTAGCAACCACACGGATACCACCGAAGGCACACCAAACAGAGTCGCGGCACAACTACATTTGGAAAATAGAAACAAGATCGCAGACAGAAACGCGGCTTTTCAAGCCTTTGTGAATGGTTCCCACTGCGAAGTAGTAGAGCAAGAGTTTTATCAACAGCAAGCGCAGGATTCACTGGGATGCGAGCATGAGGAGCTCCTGTCAGACGAGAAGCGAAAGAATCCTGCTGTCGGTACTGGAACCGCATCACAAGAACCACGGCGACACGACAGTACCGACAAGGGCAGGCGAGCGTCTTTCTGCAGCAACACCGGAGGACGAGGTTCTTTCGCGTACTTGCTCGCTGGCGACAACGAGGGCGCTGCGTCGCATTCCGCTAATTGGAAAGCGCAAGAAACAAGTCCGCTTGAAGAACGGCCATCCGCTACAGCAGAATGGGCAGCTGCACGCGAGACGTCAAGGACAACTGCAGTCGCTTGCTCCCCATCGAACAGGCCGCCACTATCCGTTCCGCCGCTACTTTTTTCTTCGCCCACCCACCAGCAACAAGAGCGCTTTCTTTTCAACAGTTCCTCGGCTACGCAAACTCTCCCGGACGCCGAGTTTCTGCCGCGGGTCAGCGATGACGCGCGACGCCCGGCCGCAACGGCGAGTTCGTCAGATATTAACAGTGGCTTTGAATACTACAACCAGCTGTTGGCACAAGGAGGGGACGACATCAACCGGAACGAGCACAACGCACCGCGCGGTGCAGGAACGAGCGCAACGCGGCACCGTGCCGGTTATTTTCTGGACAGACAAGGGGCAGCACCCGCGACATCAGGGCAGCAGCGTCTATTGCCACTAACGCAAAATAAAGCTGCTTCTAGTTGTACCCAGCCAGCTGGTACTAGAGGACAAAACGCAGAAGTAGTTGTATCAGAGCATGCACCAGGACCAGCTGTTGCCGTGCCACCCCTTCTGTCAGAAAGCAACGACGACAACACCGAAGGAGCCGAATTAAATTCCTTGCGCGACGTCAAGTCGTCGTTTTCGCTCGATGACGGGTCCTTTGTGGTGCAAAATCTGCTCGGCCGGGGGGGCACGGCGGAAGTTTACCGCGTGGTCCGCAACGGGAACTCCTACGCCATGAAGGTCGTGGCGGCCCAGAGCGAAGAGCGGCTGAGGACGTACCAAAAAGAGGTTCTGCTCCTGGAGCAATTGACAAGCGAAAACAGAAAGTCCGGCTACAGCCAGCACGTGGTGCGCTGCTTCGGCTCGCGCTACGAAGCGGACACGTTGCGGCTGTTCATTCTGCTCGAGTTTGCCGATTGCGACTTTCACAGTTATCACAAGGAGTTTTGGTACCTCGTGGAGAGGAGCAAAAATGTTGCGGGGGAAATAAATGGGAACAGGCTTGATGAAGAGGGTAGCGGTTGTGGTCCCGAAGTAGAAGAAGACCAAGTACACGACGACCGCAAGAAGCACCAAGAGCCGCCAAAACTGATTTTCCGCCGCCAGCGACAGGAGTTCTTCATGCCGCTTCGTACCATTCTCGAGTGCTTCCGCCAGATGACCGCGGCGGTGCAGTTTATCCATTCGCAAAAGATTGTACACTTCGACCTGAAGCCGGGGAATTTGCTGATGTTCGAGCAGAAAACGAAGATCAAGGTGTCCGACTTTGGCCTGGCGAAGGCGCTGGAGCAGGACAAAACGCACATTTCCCGCCACGGGCAGTGCGGGACAGCGCTCTTCATGGCGCCGGAGGCCTTTTTCCAGGGGGATCAGTATGAAAGTAGCATGAAGATGAAGCCGGGGACGGACATTTGGTCGCTGGGGATTATCCTGTACGCGATGATCTACGGGAGGCCGCCGCACGCGTACCTGTACAATCAGAGGGGCGGGGGGAACCGCGTCATGTTCTGCATCGTGGATGAAAAAATGGAAATCCAGTATCCAGACCGGTACGAAGTGTACAGAAACTTCCAGGGTGCTACGGAAATTGCACCCGCTTCTGGCAGCCACGAGGAGATGCAGCGGCCTTACGCGGAACAATTAGACGGGTTGAGGTTTGAACACCTGATGTACCTGCTGCAAGCGTGCCTGGAGCGCGAGCCGGAACGGCGGCCGACGGCGGAGTGCTTGCATCGTGAACTGGTAAGTCTCCAGCAGTTGGAAGTGAATCAAAGTGGCCGGCTTGAAACGAATGCTCACATGACTGCTGTTGAGGAGCTGATGAATCATTTTCCGTTCCAGCGTGCACCGATCCGCCCGATCCCGGGAAGCTCCGCCACCGTGTTGCACCGAAAGCACATCGTGAGTGGGAGAAGCAACAAGACGCAAAGCACGGGGCTGTCCGGTAGTTCTCCGGGGCAGGAGGGCGGTGTAGAAGCAGGCGAGACCTCTGTCGTGACGAGCTCTCGCTCGGACCGCGAAAGCGAGACGTCGGCGCTTTTGCAAAGAAACAGAAAAAACGGTGAGAGTCCTCCTGGCTGCACAGTAGATGAACAAGCGAACGAGGTGGATGTATCTTCATCCCATCAAAAAATCGGCGAAACAAATGAACGGCGGACGGCCTGTCCAGAAGTAACTTCCGCTGCGAAAAATGCTGGTGACGACGAGAACCTTGCCCTGGAAGACAACGAAGCTGGTTTTTCGTTTCCTCCCGGACGAGAAGAACAGATGAGACAGAATCAGGAACAGAACCTCGACGAAAGCGATCAGCTGCTGCTAGGAAATAAATCCTCGCTTGGAACGAGATCCTCTCCCCGTGGGTCGTCCACGACATCACCGAAAAAAGTCCGCAACAAAGTCCAAGAGGGCGACCACCACGAACAACAGCAGAGCGACAAATCGCGCACCTGCCTCTCCGCAGTTTGGTCGGTCATCTCGCTGCCCGGCGTGATCCTGGTGCTGGTGGTCCTGGGCGGCGTGGGTATGTCGGTGGGCATCGGCGTGGCCATGGCGAACATGCAACGGAAGAAAAGCTCGCGGCAGTCCCTCACGGTTTCTGGGTTTTTGCCGGGAACGGGGGACGAACAGCATCCAATGGGCGAAGCACACAATAAACCGGTGTGGACGGCAGGAGAATCCGGAAACGGAACCAGTGCCGGCATATCAGGGGGGCCGGGAAACAACCACGGTATCACTGCTGGATCTTCAGACGGCTTTGGAGGTGAAGGTGGTGGGGACTTTCTTCCTTTAGCGCCACTGCAACCTCCGCCGCCGTTCTTCCCGACGACCGGACCAGGGGCGGTAGATGATATAGTCGGCGTTCCGGGTCTTGACATTCCGGAGCCACCAGGAGTCACGGTGGGACCACACGATGCAAGAGCAGGTGGACAAGCGGTTGTTCGGAACGCGCAGCAGCAGGTCAGTCTCGCAGGAACGCGTGGACCAGGACCGCAACCGGGCGTGTCTGCAGCACGGCCACAGGCCTCAGCACCGCCACCGCAGCTGCCGCCACAACTGCCACCACAGCTGCCACCGCAACTGCCACCACAGCCGCAGCAGGTGCAAGCTACTATCCAACTCCCGCAGCCTTTCCTCGCACAGCAGCCCCAAGGAGGGTCTGTGCCGCAGCCGCCAACCAGCGGCCCGAACGTGCAAGTGGGCGGGGGAGAGGCTGGTGCGGTGGGAGCGATCTCCACGCCAGAAGCGAGTACAGGTGTTGGAGAAGAAGATGATGATGGTGAACACCATCAAGACGCGACAGCAGGTGACGAAAGTGGAACGACAACTGGTCCTTCCGCAAAAGCAGGCGCGAAGACGGAGGCACTAGCGAATTTTGATGTAGCACCAGCTGGTGAGTCCGAGTCGAGTAATCCTCCACCTCCGTCCCCAAAAGCGGGCCCGACGCCCGCCCCAAAGCACGAAGCACTCGACGGGCCTACCGAAGCTCCTGCGGAAGCAGGAACAGTGGCGTCGGCGGAGGTACTAGCGGAGGAATCTGGCGTGACGGTGTCTGCAGCTCTGGAAGGGGCATCAGCGGCGTCCAGTGCGGCTGTCCCGTCTCCAGCAGGAGAACTACAACTCCAGGAAAGTGATCAGTTGTCTTCAGCTGTTATCGCAACAAATTTTCCTCCCACTGCAGCACCCGGGAGTCCGGTAGAGGTCGTAGCTTCACCTGGGGACGCAGGGCCGTCTTTATCCAACGACGGAGATGAGGCTTTGACTGCTGACGCTGACCGCGGCGCGGCTAGCACTGGTTCTGGAAACGTTCTTCTTCTCCCGACGACACCTGTTTTACCAATGGGTGAAGAGCGAGGCGACGCTGGGCATACCTCCGCGGTTGTAGATGCGGGTAGTACGGCGCTGGCTACTCCTCCCACTGATCAAACGCCTGACCCGTTTTCTCCGCCCGTGAGCGCACGGCCAGTCACTGAAACGGGCACTCTTGGTCCGCAACCTTCTTCTGCAGCAGCACCTCCGAGCAACGACCTGGCGTCGAGAACCGGTTCTTTGACCCCGGAAGAAGCGGTTTTGTTCTACTTTGGGGACGAGGACGAGCGCGACCTGGAGGAACCTGTAGCGAGGACCGCGGCTGCGGGCAGTGCGGACGATTCATCTTCCGGGCAAGTTCATCCACAGCAGCAAGGGGCATCTTCGGGCAGCGCCGGAAGCGGTCAGGTTGGAAGTGCAGCGGTTGACGTTGATCAGGCCCAGACAAGTCCGGGGGAAGACGGGGAAGAAGAACAACAACACCGGCTGCAGAGGACGCGCGAAGTACTAGACATGCCCTCGTTCTTACCACCGCCGCGCGATCCTCTTTCTGCCATCGAGCTGACGGAACGGGACCTGCGGTGGCGGCGCGTAAGACGGGAAAGAAGCCGCTATTTGCAAGGCTCATGGCTACCACCTACACCCCGCTTGCCAGCAAGTGTGGTCCGCGAAAAGCTGGTGAAAGCAGCAAGGGCGAACGGAAATCAGACGAAGCACGTCGATGTCAACTTTATCAGAGCCGCGGAACGGCGGGAGGCGGAGGAGAGATACCGGCGAGCTAACACGCGGCCGCGTCGGGAACTTTCTCCTGCGCAGGAACTCGCTGATGCGGGTGATATTCCTGATGCAGAGCAGGTGATCACACCAGCGAATCGACAGAATGAGCAATCTTCTGACTTATACGCGCTCTACCCGCGACTGCAGTTTTTCCGGGACATGTTTGAGTTTGAGAGACCGTCGCTACCACAGAGTGAGCCTTGGGGTTGGAGGTTGCGCGGTGAGGAGTGGGAACGGCTCGTAAATGGGGCGCCGTTTGAGTTGCTGATGGGGCACCAGTTGCGCGGCGCCGCGCCGGACCGAGGCGCGCTAGTAGCTGCGCTTCGACATAACGGTGCCCATGGGGGGGAGGGACTACTGCCATCCGGGCAGACGCGAGAACACGACCTACTAGACACTCGTCTCAAGAAGCTCGGGGAGCTTTCCCAGCTCCTGGTGGCAGTCGCGGCACTCCGTTCCGGGGCTCGGGCATTCGGGCTGCACAGCCGCATAGTCGGCGAAAACGCGCGCTCGTTTGAGCGAGAAGGTGAGAATGTGCTACTGCTGTATAGAATGCAGGATCCGGAGGAAGTTCGGGTAGAAGAAGACGACACCGCTCCTGAAGCTGGTGATTTGGTGCCGCGGTCTTTTTTAACAACGTTGCTGGAGGAGATGCGGGACCACCGAAGGATGGCGCACAATCGCGGAACGGCAATACAACTTACTTCCTCCGCGTGGTCCCAGCGGAAACGACGGACACTCGAGGCGCACAGCCAAAATGGACAAAACTTTTCGGAAGCTCCCGCTTCGGAAGCTCGCCGGCTGCCGGAAGCGCTGCGTGCGCTGCTGCGCTTGGTGCGAACGAAGCGCAACGCGCTAGAAGCAGAACAGATCGGTTTGTTGCCGGGAACAGCAGGTCTTCGTTCAGAGGTTGAGCGGCAGAGGGCTGCGTTTGACCGAGCCTACACAGCGGCCTGCGAGTGTGCCGCAGGTTATGTCGCGGAGGTGTTGAAATCGCATTACACGACGAGAGAGCCTTCCACTGCTCAGCAGAGCAGTGACGGTCTTGCTACTGTACTACCAGCGCGTTCTTCTTTGGCTGTCACAGCGGAAAGGGATTGTATTTCGACGTTCCCGAGCCTTTTTGCTACCTTTAGCAGCGCAAGGGTAGTGGACTGGATAAAGGACTTTGCAAGATACGGGAGTGTGACCAGCACACGACCGGAAGATTCTGATTCGTTTATCCAAAGGGAAAATCTCCTCTCCCCATATCAAAAACGAAGTTTCTGATGCTGGATTTGCGTACACAAATCAGGTTTGTCGTGCTGGAGAGGACTGCAGACCCATAGTAAGCCTGAGTAGAGAGGCTTTGGCCTAGGCGCTTAGCATGAAAAACGTCCGCGCTGTAGGCCCAACAGGATGACAAGCCGCCTGCATAATGCGGCGGAGCCTGTGGACTTGCCTCCTTGCAGGACAGACGCGATTTGTGGCCACAAATCAGCATTAGAAGGCGCACCTCTTCGATATTGGGAGGGGGGATTTTTTCTTACGATTTCGTTGGTCGTGCCGTCAGGAGCTACCACTGCGGATCCTGGACGAGCTTCGACGCAGGAACAAAGCAGGTCTCATCTTCCCACAAGCACACTAACTGCATCAGGTGCCCTTGACTATCAAGATCTTTTGGAAACGACAGTTCGGCGCGAGATCTACCGTGATTCGGGAACTACATCATGGTTGCGTGATCTGCAGGACGTACTCACCGCAAACCAGCAACTGGCACTGCGTTCGTACACGCGAACTGTGCTCGCACGCGCAGAGAGGGAAGAGCACGACCTGCGAGACGCTGGTGCAGACCAGTCTGGGCTGATTGATCTTGGATATCGCATTGTGCAAGAGCTAGGAAGGCCGGATGAGGAGTACAGCAGCTACGTGCCAAGAAGAAGAACGCGACCTGGTTATTCTGAGTAAAAACGTCCCCACCCCAATCTACATGCCAAAAAAGTTTCTCATGCGGAGCCCCATGAGAAGCATTTTCTAGTCGTGTTTGGGAATTTTTAATGCTAGAATCAGCATGATATTCTAGATCTGTGATGCTGCTGAACTAGCTAAACAGGACCAGACTACGACGACAAACTTGTCATGCGAAACAACTAAAGCTGGTTGATTTGTCTAGCAGATTTCCCATCTTGACTCTGGTGTGGGGACGTTTTTGCTCAGGATACTGGTGCTCGTGGATCGTCTTCCGCATCTTCAGATGCGAGCCGTGAGGAGGAGCCTACCTCCTGGTGGTCGGTCATCGCTCGGAATTTGTTGAGGTTTAGTCGAAACTACGAGGTTCGAGAATATGATTCTGACCCGCCATCGGGAGCCGAGGGAGATGCTCCTCCACCCTCGCAGCCCAACTCTCCACACGTAGTTCGTCTCCGCACCCTTCCGCTGCAAAATATGCGCTGGTTTCTTGCAGCCTTCAGTACCGAATATGTCGACGGGATCAATGGTAGACGAGTCGTGTTGCAGTTTCGCGGGGTGGACTCATTCGGAGAAGACGCCACGGAAAATAAGTTTTCGCTGGTAAATGTTGCTATCCACTTTTTTTACAAGTGCAGTTCTGAGCCAGAATCTCGGGGTTCCATTAAGATCGAGGACCTGCCGCCTTTAAAAACCGCTTTACAGAAGAATGAAGATTCGCTCTGGGAACTGAGGAAACATGTAAGAATATTCGCGGAAATGGCGCAAAGTTACGGAAGTGAGAACCTCCCGTTTTGGCGTAGCAAGCACGTCGATGACATCCTAAAGGAAAGCGGCCCGCCGACCAAACTCTTCGGAAGGGATTGCGGCCTCGAGGGCGTTCGTAACCAGGCGGCTCAAGGAAACCGTCCGGGATCACCATTCCCATCAACAGGACCCGGGGCGACCCCTACCGAGACAACCTCACCAATCGGTCTGTGGGAAAGGGGTGTTTGTGCGGCTCCGATCGTGATCTGGGATGATTCCACTTCAGACTGAGGCGAACGTGACGTATTTTATAGTGAAGGAACTTCAGACAGAGCCGGCGCTCACCTCCGCGAAACGCAAGGCTGTGTTTTTCTTTTTTATTTTTCAAGCGAATGACTTTTTGTTTTTTCCTTTTTCTAGTTTCCCCTCCCCCCCATCTTCCACTTGCCAGTTTCACTAGCGTGTTATTTTTACAGTGATGTAGGAACCCAAAATAACTTCTTTATTCAACAGTCAAATGTCTATAGTACCCGAAGAACGATTGGATTTACACGCGGCACTCTGACATCCGCTATGTGCACTGCATTCATACATCAACCGTGGAAAATTTATTGTACTAGAAACTGTTTCTGTTTCACCCGTTTCGTTTTTACTTCATGAGAATTCATAATTAAACATACATACATACACACATGTCACAACCTTGACATAGCATGGTTCCCATAGCAAGGATGATATATGGCATTTTTTTTTTTCTGCCTCGCGATGAATCAATCTCGCAGGCGTAGAGATCTTCGAAAAGTGTTTTTATTTGATTGAGGTCGTGACAAGTGAGAAATATGAATACCCCGGATGTATCACGTTGTGGTTCTTCGTTTACCACCCGCCTGAAACGATTCTTTTGGTCTTGGATAGAACTTTTTAAGCTATCTGTTTCTATTTCATTTCTCCGACGAATTTTATTGCACGGTGTGGCTATAACTACGTATTGTTTATTTCTCATGATCATCCGGAATCCACAAAATGATCTCGGGTGAAAACATTTCTGGTCAGCCGAGTTGCAGGATGATATCGAGTAGCTCAAAAATCTTACATTAAATAGATGGATCAACAAGATGAGTTCTGAGAGTGAAGAAAAGAGTTCGGTCTTTCGGTCAGTGATTCTAATCGTGATCTTGCCACATCATTGTGCTCGGTGCAAATTTCGGGATGAAAATGTTAAATTGCACCCTTCCCGAGCACTCTTGTCTGAAATTAATGCTCTTGATCTGTATGAACATGCAAAATTCAAATTGCTTGGATCATACATAGTCGTAGTGGAGAGTCGTTTCTCCGCAGGAAAGATCGAATGAAAAATTGAAATGATGGCCTTGTATTCGTGTGTCAGAAATAAGTCTCACCTTTGAGTCCTCGGTCGACACTTTTCGTTCTCCCTGATTCCTGAAACAACAATCACATCCAGGTGTATAATTGTGACGAAGCGTGGTCTTGCTAGATATTTAACACCTTGAAAGGCGCACGTCCTTCCACGTATTTTTAACCGGAAGAGAAGATAGACCTCTCGTTCTCGATAATCGTGATTGGACAATTTTTACCACCCCGAGTACTTCCTTGTTACTTCTGACTGCGTAGTGGCCTTTGAAGGATTTGGACCCCTGTCTTGAACACGTACGCAAATATTTGAAGTTTTTTTTATATCGTTTGAAGTCTCCATCTCAACTCGTTGAAGTCATTTTTTTCTATACGACGAGGCTCAGATTCTGACTCAACTCTCCGTGTTTGTCTAGCGCGAACACGAGCATAAAATATTTGCTGGTAGCAGCTACAGTAGAAAAAGAAAGGAACTTTTGGAACCTGACCTCGTTTGAACATCCTCATAATCGTGTAGAAAGATCAAGAAGTAAAAGGTTGTAAACCCACCTCAAGTTCGATATGAGTGAAAATCTAGAAGTACAAGCTCCTTTTACTTTTACGAAGACACTGTATGAAATTTTTAATCGTGAAACTAAAAACCGGAAGAAATTATGAACAAAGTTCGTTCGATGGACTTTCGTCAGAAGTAAGAAGTGTATTGATCGGACGAGATGTCCTCTCCGGTGCATCTACTTCCCTTTAATTTTTTAAATCCCCTCACTGGCGAGCAGCACGACTGCGGCTCCTCTTTTCATGAAGAAACAGACGACCCCCGTGACGTCAATGTTAACGCGGGCTTGCTGAAACTAGGCCCCCGACCCCGCCCGACACCCAGAGCTGCCTCGGTGGAAGACGAGAATGAAGTGCGGGACGACGAAGATGCTCTTGTTGAAAAAGAAAATGGTTCCGTATCCCATCTTCAGAACGGAAGATTCCATACTTTTGAACCGAAAAGAAGAACACTAACAGGCAGCCGGAGCAGCTTCATGTCCTCTGTTTCTGCTCTTCCGCCGACTGCTTACGAAGGTAAGAGCTTCCGCCCGTCGGCCTCGACCTTGGAACAAGGAGCAGCTGGAGGTCGTGCACTGAGGATCGGTAGTGGAGGTGGTGGGGATGAAGATTTTTTGGATTCTCAGTCACATCTACTTGCTCTTGAACAAGATGATACGGCTCCCGGGCGGGTGACGACCACAACACTTGCGTGGACGCCGAAAAATCATCCGTATGAGAAACATTTGGAGGTGAAACAGGGTGCGCAAGAGGGTCTTCCTGGACCTCCCAGGTCAGAAGATGAAGAATTATATGGCCAAAACAAGAACGATCATGTTGATGTTGTCGCAAGCGCACCAGCAGTGGTTTTTGCCCACGTGGAGGACGACCCGCAGGCACCAGCAGTGCAGAACATCTCACTTCCACCGGTGCAAAATGCAATAAATGATGAGCAAGCTGCTACTGCACAGCGTCCACACGGAGGACCCCCGCCACCTCCCATAATCGTAGGTCCAAGCGGCCAGCAGCCTCCAATGGCTCGTCCCGATAATGCATCCCATCTGCCGGCAGAACATCATGATCGTCCTAGTTTCTTCCTGGAGAATCATTACCGACGCACGACCGCCAGAAGTAGAACCACGACGACCCGCGTTAGCACTTCCACCTTCGCGCTGGAGGACGGAAAAACCTTCGACATTTATGAGCTGCTCGGCCGCGGCGGGTCGGCGGAGGTGTACCGGGTTCGCCGGGACAAAAAATCCTACGCGATGAAGATTGTGAAGGCGCAGACCTACACGCAGATGGAAAACTACGCAAAGGAAGTGGTCTTATTACAAAACCTCACCGACCAGAACCGGAAAACGAACTACAGCGAGCACGTTGTGCGGTGCTTCGGCAGTCGGTGCGAGCCCGAAACGCTGCAATTGTACATTTTGTTGGAATTTGCGGATTGCGACTTCAAGGCCTTCCACGAGGAATTCTTGCCGAAGTTGTCCTCAAATGCTTCCTCCACCGCGAAGAGGCGACGGGAGATCCTAGAGCGGCGACGGAAATTGTTCAACAACGCAGGAGGCGGGGCAAGTTCCTCTGTGCGGGACGAAATTGGTAAGAACGACTCGAATCACCAACATTTCGCGGACGAGGTGGACTTCATGCCGTTGCCGACCATTCTCCACTGCTTCCGCCAGATGGCTGCGGCGGTGGAATTTATCCACAGTCAGAACATCGTGCATTTCGATCTGAAACCCGCGAACTTCTTGCTGTTTGAGAATCGGACGAAGATCAAGGTGTCCGATTTTGGATTGGCCAGGGTGCTGGAGCAGGACAAAACGCACATTTCCCGCCACGGACAGTGCGGCACCGCGCTGTTCATGGCGCCCGAGGCGTTTTTCCAGGGCGACCAGTACGAAAGCAGCATGAAGATGAAGCCCGGGACGGACATTTGGTCGCTGGGGATCATCCTGTACGCGATGATCTACGGGAAGCCGCCGCACGCCTACCTCTACGCAAACGGGGGGAACCAGAACCGGGTCATGTTCTGCATCGTGGATCCGACTATGGAGATCCAGTACCCAGATCGGTACTACCTGTACGGCGCAGAAGACGTGAAAGAGGTGTACGGGAGTAGTAGCAGTACTACAGGAAAAGACCATAACGGGGCGCTGTTCTTCTCCCCAGAAGATAGCGCAGGACAGAGAACTACAACTCCAGCGGGAGGAACAAGTTCGAGCACCTTCACGTTCGCTGGCTCGGCGGGTCGTGGGAACAAATCGCTGTGGTCCCATGGCGGCTCTACAACTTTTGACGACGGGGGAACAACAATAAATTACGACAGCAGTAGTTGTACGACTACAACAGCACAAGTGGAATTTCTCTCACAAAGTGAGAAAAACCAGCTTCTGTTCCTGAAATTTTCCCACTTGATGCACCTGCTGCAATCCTGCCTGATCCGTGACGCGCAAAAACGGCCGACGGCGGCGTTTCTCCGGGAGGAAGTGCTTTGTCTGGAGCAAGTGGAGAAATCTTTGCAATCTCTTGTCGAGTTTCCGTTTCAGCGCGCGGACATCCGGCCCATCTGGGGGAGTACCGCCACGGTGCTGCACAAAAAGCACATCAGCAAGAGCGGAAGTCTAGTGGAAGACGCGGGGCTGCTGACAGGTATGACGATGAGTGGGGAAGGAGGTGATAGTACTAGTCAGAGCAACGCTACGCCAGAATATATTAAGACCATTCCGGGTGCAGCCGGGACGACACCAGATGAGAACCCGATCGACGGGGTGGAGAAGAATTACACTGCGTCCGCACGCGAACAGTGGACGCAGGTTGCCGAGGCGCTCGCGAAATTGCACGACGACGATAATTTATTTGACGCTGCGGGGAAGGATAGCTTTAGCTCTGTGCAGAGCCCGCCGGACGTAGTACCAGGGGTGGACGCTGGAGCAGGGAACAGCCACGAGAAAGAACAGTCGGAGCTGCAAGGGATGCCTTTGTTGTCGGGCGGACACGAAAGAAGAGGTGAGGACGCCGATTCTACTGTTGCCAAAAGTCAAACCGCTCTGGATCGTAACGCGGAGCAGGATGATATCTACCACGACGAGGAGGACTGTTACGCAGCCGACGGCGGAAAAAGTACGGACCAAGAATCTGCAGGCTCAAACCCTTCTCTCTGGTCCTCGTTTTTCTCCTCGTTGCTCACGTGGAAGGCTTTGCTGGCTTTTGTCCTGGTTGCCGGGACGGTGTCGGCAGCGGCCGGGTTTGCGGTGTACACAGTGGACCAGGAGAGAGCGAAGATGGACACGCAGGACGGGCAAAGTGGCGGCGGAACTACAAAGTTTCTGTTTCCCCCACCTCGCGGTGGCAATGGCGATGGTGGTAGCGGTCTTTCTGGGACGGGGGGCAGTGGCGCTGGCGGTACTGGAAACGGTGGGGGTGATGCTGGTGATGATCACGACATCCAGCTCCAGCCGCAGTCAGGAGTAGCACCTGGGCTTCAACAGAACGAGCCACCGGAATTATTCCCCGGGATCGTGACCAAATCGACGCCGTCCTCGGGAGGTGCTGGGTCGTCCGCTTCAAGTGGTCAGAGTGGCGGACGGTCGCGGTCGCAGACTTCGAAGCCCGGCGGTAAAACGGTTCCGGTTCCGGTTCCCCCACCAAGAAGCCAGGCTAATCCGGGGCTTCCGCTATTGGGGCAGCGACAAGGTGAAACGAATGCTGGCGCGATTCCAGGTGTGTTTGCTGCAACGTCGACGAACGACGCCGCACAGAGCACTGCCGTGGGTGCCGCAGGCACCACAATGGCCTCTATGCCGACGAGTACTAGCGCAACGACGATTTCCATTCCGGGGCCGCTTGCGCCAGTCGGGTCTCAACCTGTGCCTGCTTTCCAGCTGAGCCCGCAGAGAGCAACTGGAGGCGCGACTACACCTAATTATTATAGAGGCACTGTAGTAGCACCAGCAAGCCCCACAGGAGATGGAGCATTCCCCCCAGGAGATGTACCAGAAGCTAGTGCCGCGGCTGCGCTGCATTCGCAAGCAAGCGTACACGGTGCGACAGAGGCAGGAGCCGTCGTTGCGACAGGCGAAAACCTGCCCGACGCTGCGGAAGTAGAAGTGGTCGTTTCTGGTGCGCGAGGTTCTTCGGAAGATTCTGGTAATGATTTTGCGGCTTCGACAACACCTGCGCCTGAAGGTTCCGCGGAGATGGGCCAGACACCGGCAAGTGCGAGTGGGAGTGCCAGCCATCCGATCTCGTCTCCTGCACATCCCAGCCCTCCCGCAGGCGATCTTCTTGCTGGCGCGGGTTATGCAGAGCCACTTTTGCCGTCACCGTTGACGGCTTCGCAGTCTGGGCATCTCGTTAGCGGAGGAGGAGGTAACACAGTCGCCAATATGACGGCTGGAAGCCCGAGTTCGGGTTCGCCAGAATCGTCTCCAACAGCGAGCACACCGGTGCAGCACAGCCCAGGCCTCTCGCCTGTTGCTGCCCCTAGCTCATCGTCTCCTTCAGGCACCACTGCGGGGCCGCTCGTCCCGGTACGGCATCCCGGGGGGCAGCAGCAGCAGGCCTTCGGAGCGGGAGGGTCAGGGTCAAGCTCATCCGCGTCCTCGAGCGCCGTTCAATTAAATCGCTTTGGACAAACAACGGCTGCTGGAACGATTTCACCGCCAACATGGAACTCCGACGACCTGGTTTCTGCAGAGAAGGTGAAGAAGTGGCTGTATCAAAATCTCAATCTTGGAAGAGTTGCACACACCGGTGGAGCGACGCAACACGTGCCAGCAGTCATTCAAAAATGGCACGGCGATATTTTCGACCGACCGCGCGGGAATAACTTTCTGGTCGGGCGGCAAGAGGGTGTTATGTTGAAGGGCTGGGAGTGGAGCAAGTTGATCTACGAGAAACCCTTTTACGTCCTGCACGACGAGCACATTTCGAAAATTGTTGATCCCCAGTTTGGAAACGGAATTGGAATGCAGCAGAGCAGCAGCAGTAGCAACAGCGGGACTTACAGCAGACCCACACTTTTGTCGAATCCACTACAGGACTTACAGCGCGCATCTCAGTTGCTGGTCGCTGTCGAAGCCATACGTAGTGGCGCGCGCGCCTTTCAGCCAGCCTTCGGAGGCAGGAAAAACGACGCAGCAGAAGGTTTGAACTACATTTTAAACGGAGCTGCGGCTGCGGGTGCGCGGGTGATTGAAAGGGAAGGCGACGATATTCTTTTGCTTTACAAAGTGCAAGGGCCGTTCCCGTTCCATTCGGGACGCGTCAGTTCTCGACTGTTGGGCCTCGTCAATGGCCAGCTCACGGACTTTACGTTTGAGGACTTTAGGGATATCCTGGAGGAGGAAAAGGCTCAATGGAACGAATGGCGTGGCGATTCCATCCGTGCGCACAGAGAAATGCTCAAAGCAGAGTGGAACCAGAAAGCTGCGTCGGCGGCGGGCGGCGCGGGGCAGAAGTATGACGACGATCAGGACCTTGCCACTGCATGCGAGTATCCAGAGCTATTGCGGTTTTTTCTACGAGTACTGTGGGTAAAATGGGAACAAACCTTAGACGGGGTGCTGCCCGAAGATGAAGAAACCGCTCGGGTCAGGGTTGACGTGGAAAAAAGCTTCGTGCTTGTAGCTGATCGCGCTACGTTTTACGTCACAGATCTGCTGCGCGAACATTACAGAATGCTGGAACACAGCAAGGGCGACGAATGGAAGAAATCCAAGCTGCGTGCGTTCTTTATTCCTTTCAGTGACATTGATTCCGGTGTCGGGTCGTCGTACTTGAGCTCTCCGGTCGTCAATGATTGGTTGTTGGATTTTGTCCAGCATCCCGGGACCGCATCTACGCCGCCGGAGCAAAGAAACAAGCCACACCGGGACCCTTTGGAGGCTATCGTGCGAAAACAGGTCTATAGAAACGTTGCTGTGGCCCTGCAGGAGGAGGGACCGAGAGCTCGCGGTTACTTTGGCGTCGACCTGCACGGCGACGAGCCGTTTTGTCTGACGCCACCCTGGCACTTTGGGCGGGGAAAGGAGCTGCTTGCGCAAGCCAGGTGGCAGGGTTCGAAGTTTCTTGCGAAACTAACATTCAGAAACAACTACGACCTCGAGCCCGAAGAGCTAAATGACCCAAGCCGGCCGGAGTTTCCTAGTTACGACCACTCGCCGCTGCAGTACGCCCTGGATCGCGCGCGGATAGCCTGCGGAACGGTATTGAACACCTACGCGAGGGAAGGGCGTCGCCGCAAGAAAGAAGCAGAGGGTCAGGTTTCCAGCCCGGATTTCGATCCGTCGAGGATAATCCAGACCGGGTACGCGATCGTGCGTCGCATGGGAGAGGAGAGTCGTAGGTTGGCGAATGAGAGCGACGTGGGTTTTCTGCCTCCAGATGCGGGTACGGATGACGAAGACGGTGGTATTAAAACACAGAGACAGGAGGAGAGTTCCAGTAGTAAACAACCCATGGAACAAGACTGGAAAATTTCCGTCGGGTCCACGCTGTTGGGATTTGTGCGTGGAAACGGAAATAGGTGGGCTTCCGAAGACGAGGGTGACCCAGACGACGAGACTGAGGTTGGTGGACCAGTGTTGCTGGGTACGGGTACTGCTACGCCAAGTCGTGGTGACACAGGAATCAGAGGCGCATCAAAGAAGCAGCTTTTCAAAATTCGGTTTCCGAAGGTTGTCGACCCTGCGCGGCCCCGTCTCGACAAGCATGTGTCCCTGTTAAAGAACATTCCCCTATACAAGGACTGGATTTTGTTCGACGTGCATTGGAATTCCTGGCAAGGGGAGGGGGGCGTCGAAAAAGGGTGCTTGTCGCTCCAATTCCGTGGCGTGGAGCGCCCGTGCGGGGGGAAGAAAGTACAGGACGACCCGTACCTGCGCGAGGGCTCTCGTTTTGGGAAATACAAACGGCCGAGCGATAAGGAGTGCAGTTTGAACGTAGTGGACATAAACTTGCGATTTTATTACGACCGAGTGGGAAGAGCAAACAACCCAGCACCTCATCAGCAGGAGGCTCTGCTGCGCGAAGACGAAAAAGCCACGGAGTCGTTGCAAAACCTGTTGGTCGGAAGCCACAAGTCGGTGTGGCACTTTACGAGACACGTGTCCATCTCTGCGTGCGAGCGGGTGGCGGCGTCACCGATGATAGACAAGACGAACAGCATGGTGCCGCGGGTCGACGACATTCTCCGGTCGGTGACCGGCCCAGACGTTGCGTTCGAGTCGAAGTATTATAATTCCGCCTACGGTGAACTTCCAGCTCCGTGGACCCCCTCGCAAGGGGCACAGGAAAGCGACCTTGGTGAGGAGCAGGCGTTGGGAGAAGCAGGTGGTAGCAGTAGTAGTAGCAGTGATCGGAAGAATATCTTCACGTTGAGCAAGAATAATGGAGCTCCTGCAGCAGCACTGCACGCAACGCAACCAGGTCATGTTGACAAAGTAGATCCACCTTTGCTTTGGACTTCGGTGACCTTCGGCAGGGAAATTATGTTCAAGCAGGACCCGCAGCCCACCGACTTTGAGTCCCCGGGTTTGAAGAGAAGAAAAGAAAGGAAAAACAGCGTTTCTTCCACCGGATCCGACAGTCCTGTTCGTCGTTTGGCGTCCGGAACGGATCCACCCGGTGAGGATTTGGAAGATGTCCACCGCATGCTCGGGTCAGGTCAGGGAAGCACAGCGCCGGGAATGAAAACCTGAAAAGGAAGCGTGGTCGTGGTCGTTCCCCGTGCGAGCTGCAAACACCTAAAACCCACATTCATACTAGTGAACCCCCCCAAGATTGTTTTTCGAAAATGACGAGGTTAGCATATAGATAAGAATCAGATGGTACAAATAGGAGCAAGAAAACACAAACAGATAGCTGGATTTTATTATAGGTGATCGAACTAAGACTAACAATTTTCTCTTCTGAATTTATGAACAGTAGCAGTGCTGATGCTGAATGACGAGAGGCACTAGCTACTGCCAGGCGTGCCACTACACCGGCACGGGCAGCATGGTGGATGGATAATTGCTGCTGAACATGCTCTTAATATATAAGGCCGGAGCTAATCATGGTGTAAGATTTCGTTATTAATGTAATTGTTGTGGTCCCCGAGCAAGCTTTGCCCTACCCCCCTTACCCTTATCTTTCTTCGAGTGGCTGAAATCTTATTGGTGTGATTCTTTTTGTGATAATGGTCTTATTTGAGTATGATGGCATTGCACGTTATTCAGTGCTTACCTCGCTCTACTACTGTGGAAAAGAGGAGTGAGGCGTATCTTGCACAGGTATCTTGCACAGCTACAGATAGTATGATCTTCACATCGACAGCTAGAGGTGTTGCCCAAGCATGCCGAATAAAACGGCCTCACACTACACAAGCTAGTACCACGTACCGACGCAGCACAGCGCAGCTGTAGCGACAAAAGCAGAAGACTACATGCATGTAGTAGTCTCTAGACCATGATGATAATGATGACATAGTCATTTCCCCAAGAACCCCTCGGATACAACGAAAAAATTGTGGAAAACATTTTAGATTCACGTCGAATTTTTCAGAAAACATGATTATCATGAACCCGGTATTGACCCCCCACAGGTGCTGGGGATCTCGATTCGGGCACCCTGATCAGGAGCTGGACGACAGAAATCACTCTGATGGAGTACCATTCGCCAGCTCATACAGTTCTGAACGCGTTTGTTGTTAACTTCCCTGAGAGCTGCGCATCAAATGTCGAGGAGGGAGATTGTTCGTAAAATGTTGAGTTTTTCGTGGTGGACGAGTTTCCGAATGAGTTGTGTTGAGAAAGTTCAGTCATGTTATCTTTACCTTGTCGTGAGAAGTTCGTGAACAAGATCGCTTGTCTCATTCTCGTGCAAGGAGAAAAGTGAGACCGTGACCGTCGAAAAGAAAAGAATGCAACGGTTACAGCCGGTTTTGTATTGTGATTGTAATGTATTGTGTGTTTCGTCCAACGGTGCACTGTCAAGTAAAAGAAGTCCGACAACACCTTCGAAGCAGATCTTTTCGTCCTTACGGGCCTAGCGTCTACGTAGTTGGTACTACATCGTTCTTCAAGAGAGCCTCGTTCGTTACCAGTACCGTTCTTCACGCCCCCCTCGTGGCAAGCCCGCGACCGTACGAAAAGGAGTCTACACGTTCATCCTCGTTGCAGTGTTTTATTACTAGACGTCCGTCGTATATTACGCCCGCCCCATGTAACTGAATGCACCAGGCAACTAGAAAACCCCCGATATTTCTCGCTAAAGATTTTCACTTCACGACAAACGAAAACACTAAACAACGACTTCGCATCAACTGGTACATTATTGCAAAGGAATCAAATAATTTTATCACCATTTTCCGTACATTACATTACTCAATTTTCCACGTACATCTACATTATCAACAACTATTTTCCTGCTCGTTGCACGAGCTTTTTTGAATTTTTCGAAACATAACACACAAAAATTTTGAATTGAAACTATGATCCAGGCGAAAATATTGATGGATCGTTTTTTTTCCGCGACGCTTTTGTTTGTTTTACATCCTGAGTAAAACTCAGTACGCTGTGAAAATGGCGTCAGGATCTACAGCAACCGCACCCAGTAATCGGCCCCCCGGGATATTAAACACATCACACGACCGGGAAGATCGACAAGAAAACTTTTCCTCGAAGCAATCCTTATCCGCGGCTTCAGGCGCCAGCAGGAGTTACGCGCCCACTTCCAGGTCGAACGGGGGCTCGAAGCAGTCCACCGAACAGAACAGACCCCAACGGCAGGAGCGGAACATCAACTATCGTTTCTTTGCGGACCCGGGCGCGAAGCCGGCGTACGGGAGTTTGCGACCGCGAACCGCAGCTCAGAAGAAGAAAGCGAGAAGCAAAAAAGCGAAAGAGAAGGAAGAGTTGTACTTGCATGGCATGCAGGCGCAACCATTTATGTTCACGCCGGAGATGAAACGAAACGTAAACCACGAAGAGAGTGGTCGTGGACGAAGAGAGTGTTGGACGAAGTCCAACAACAAGGCCAATAACAACACGGACAAGCCAGTTAATACGTCAAGCGATGACGCAACCGCGACCGCCGCTCAACGTGGGGCCACTGCTACTCCACCCGCCCAGCTGCACAAGAACCAGCAACCGAAGAAACAACCCTCGTCTCATCTTCAGCCCCATCGGCAGTCCGGGGGCTCCGAGATCCGGCGGGCGCCGGCGAGTGCGCAGCACGTGACCACGAAGTACGACGCGGCGCTCATGCAGGTCCGCCACAAGTTTCCGGACGTGTGCTGGCATTTTCTGCAGGGCAAGTGCACGCACGGCGCGGAGAAGTGCCGGTTCTGGCATCCGGGGGAGTCAGAGGTGGAGGCCTTGGTGGAGGAAGCGAACGATGCGGTGGGAAGTAAGAACGAGTGTTCTACTACTCAAGAGGCGCAGGCTAATTCAGCTTCCATGTTCTACGGGCCGGAGCCGCCGGTGGACCTGATTTACTGTCCGGACGCGATGAACTCTTCCTCCGCCAACGACGCACTTACGTCCCGCTTGGACACGTACAGCACTACCGGTGCGGAGCAGGAGGAGAGCAGTTCCCTGCACTCGGCGGGGGGACACACGTCGCAGCACACCACCTCCGCTGCGTCCGGGCGGAAACGGAGCAAAAGCGGTATTAGCTCTACTTCGGGAGGTGCTGGGAAAACGGCTGTTTCATCGTCTCTCGCGAGCACAACGTCGACAAGTGCTAGTGGGGTCGTCCCCGGGATGGGGCCCCCGATTTTGATGAGCAACGCCAACAGCAATCCATCCAATTCGATGAACACTGCTGGAAATAGTAATTACCGCTACCCAGTCGTGCCGGAAAATCTGCATCCCGTGGCGATAGCCGGGCGGGGCGGCGAGATCCGCGAGTTCAACCACATTCGACGCGACGCGGCGTACCCGGCGAGCCAGGAATATCAAATGCAACAATGTCTGGGTCTGGAAACTTGTAATGCTGTGTTGGAAATAGTGAATGCTTTGTAACGCACAGCCATGCATGAGAAATATCTGCGCTTCTTTGTGTTGCGTTTTTCGCATGAGAAACTGCGTTTTTGCATGACAGGCAAAAGGGTCTCTTCTTGGACACGCATCACAAACTTTTTTGTCATGCCAGACAAGCATGACAAATCTCGCAATCTTCCAGACCCAGACATTTTTGCATTTCATAAGGAAGAGCACGAGGCCATCTTGATGCAGCAAAGGCGACTCTGGTTGGAGCGACACTACTTTCATTTGGCCGCCACAAAGGTCGTGCAGCAGCGGCGGGCAATGCAGGTATGGAGATCTGATTATTATAGCGGTGGATGTTGTAGTTTCTACATAAATGTTGCGCATCAGAGATGAGAATTCTTAATGGCTCTGTATACTGGCTGTTGACTCTGCGCATGAAATAAACAAGCAACTTTGTCGTCGGTTGGCTCTAGATTCACTACAGTTGCTTGCTTACTATACTTAACCTCGCGGGATGATACTACATTCAACACAACTTTTTCCAGGCCCAAGCCGCGCTGGCGATGCACGAGTACTTGCAGCGAGCCGAGGTGGAGCAGTACGACAATGGTGATGGCGCTTCGCAGAATAGTACGTCAAACGCCAGTCCGTCGTTCGAGACGGAACACGATCGGGAGTACTACTACAACGCAAATAATCATCAACACTACCACGGCGGCGTCGAGCCGCCCACTGTTGCTCCCACTGCTGCGGCCCTCGGGACAGCGAGCACCACTGCGAACGGCACGACCAGGATTCCGCCGCTGTTGTCCGGTTCTTCTCCCGCGTATTATCGCGACCCACTGGCAGAACAGATTGCGTGGGAGCGAGCGGCACGGGCTAGTGCATACTCCTCCACTTCTACTGCTGCAACGGCTCCTGGAGCTGGACCAGGGGCACCTTATCTGCAGAAACCCGCTGAAAACGCAACTACTAGTGTTGTTCTTGAACAACAACAATCCCAGCACGACGATCCTGCTTTCCCTCCGGACCGCGCACTATTTGGCTCGGTGTTGCAGACAACTAACAAGAGACCGGCAGTCGTGACGGGCAGCAACCGTCTACCGCAACGGAACGGCACAGGAAGACCTCCTGGAAACAAACTGTTCATTCAGGCCGGGGAGCACGACGGTCAGGACGGCGCGATCATGCACCCGCCAGCAAACGAGGACCACGCGACAACATCGTCGTCCACAGGCGTGACTAGTTATAATCCGCACAATCAACGCACAGGAGCAAATTTTCCGGTACAGCCGCCGTCTCCGCCGGCGTTCCTCCGGCAGCAGTTGGAAGCGCGGTTGCGCGAGCAGATGATGGACAGGAACTATCCGTTGTATGACACGACGAGGACGCAGCAAGGAGCAAAACGGTCTTCTTCACAACTCGCACAGGGAGCAGCTTTTTCGCAGCAACACGATTTTCCACCGACCTATACTGCTTCTTTTCAAAAGAGCAACCTCGTGGTGTACCAGCATCCGACCTCGATGACGACATCTTCTTCGCGCGCAGCTGCAAAGATGAATAAAGCGGTTGTTCTTTCCGCTCCACCGGGGCTCGGGTCCGACTCAGAAGGGGAGGGCGAGGTCGAGCAGCATTATGGTGACCTCGCAGCTGCAGCAGCTTCGGCCACTACACCGACGGACCCCTGGTCTCGCCGAGGGTGAGACTCTTACATTTTCAAACATCAGCTTCGATAGCAGGAATTGCAACAGGCAAAAAATGAAATCACGTAAAATTATTTTCTTGAAAATGTATTATATGCACGACCTGATGGCCGCGTGGTTTTTCTCGTTTCTCAAAATGAAAGCGAGAAACAGAAATCAACTTTCCACTCGAAGAAGCTGCTGTGTGTGTAAAATAAACCGTTCGAATCTATTCCTTATCACGCATTATCATTTCATCCGGTACAGTAGATCGGAGTCTCTCGTCGGTGAATCGACACGTGAGTCTTCGTGATGATTTTGATGATTTCTTGTACATTAAGTTTGTTTTTACCTCTATTTAGTATTCGAAGTCGAAATGCCAAAATTCTCTTGTACATTATTGCTTTATCATCGACAAAAGATTTTGAAAAAAGAACCGACCACACTCTTCCACGTACATTACAACATTCTGCGGGCCGAAAATGTGAACTATTTTAGCGATTTAGAGTGACCCTAGCATGATCTTCTATATCGATAACGATAGTTTTTATTCGCTCCTGATAAGAGTCCGCGTCAGGGAGTTTATTTTCTTAATCCGATTTCAGCAGAGAACGTGGCCTAGTACCGACAGTATTGCGCAGTCGTGCTCGTGCGTGAAAAGAACAACCAGGACGAGGTACTGCAATATCCGGGAAAGTTCACGCTCCTCCTGAAGTTGAGACTTTTGATGGCAATGAAATATGTGTATCAAACTTTTTTTAGAAATAAACCGTGAAAAAAGAACCGACAACTATTCAAATTTTGATTCGTTTTACAACCGATTTTCCTAATATGCATGCCTCGATGTTATACTAAGTATCTAAAGTTTTTTATGATTCCTTTGCAAGTATGAGATAGTTTATTTTAGTAGTACAAAAGTGGTTTTCGTTTCGTTTGTGTATTGTCGGGAAAAAATTTAGCACTACTTCTTTAGCGGGTTCTTTCTTTTGTCAGGTGCGATTTTTTTGTAGATTATGAACAAGGTGCAGAAGTATTCTGGGGAAACTTTAAAGCGACGGCATTATAAGAAGAAAAAGTCCCTTTCTAATACATATCAATTTCAATCGCAAATACTGCAAGAAAAAGAATGAAAAATTCTCACGGGCGCAGTGCAAAGGCGGAAACTCGGAGATGACGTGCGCGGCGGAATTTTGTAGCGTGCTTTTGAAAGTCCAAATTGCTTTAGCTATCGCTATTCTCTGTCCTTTCGCGTCGCGTCTCCTTGTCTCTGTCGTTGTGAGAGCAATTGCACTACGTTTTTTAACCGATTGTAAATTAAGCAAATTTTTCTTTCAGTTTGATTGAGTACTGTTGATGTTACCCTTCCGTACATTATCAGTTCGAGTTTTGACACTCGAGCTAAATTTTCCCTTACCAACTTATTCCCCCCTTCAAGTAGAACATCTGGAAATACTAAGCCGAAGTGAAAATTTCCAATCAAGATTCAAGTACCAGGAGTGCACTCAGTACCGCTTTCGTTATCAACCCCGATGATGTCTTCACACTTTAGCTATAAAGTTCTTTTCTTTTTTGTCCCAAAAACTTAGAGTTATTTTCTCGTGGTGAAGTGAAATGTAAAATGCAGGAGGTGCAGCGACGCTCACCCGCCTAAGAAGTAAGAAGTGGAGAGCATTTTCGTGTAATCATAAAATGAAATTCTAGGTATACCGAGTGGGAATTTTGTGGTTCTTGGGTGATCGATGCGCATAAGCATGACAAAATCAACAATTTTGAACACACACAGCACTGCGGCATGAAACTCTTTGTCTTTGTTTTTAAAGGAATTTAACACTTTCACCTTGCTGCTACGAGTTGTACGGGTGCGTTTATTCGGCATACGAAAAGACCGCTATTTGTCGTTCGTTCTGTTCGGCCCTTTGGTACTGCTGCCGATTGCATGATGAATGTTGCTTCTGATGAGGGTCAGGCACCAAAGACGAATTGTACGAGTGAACAGTTGAGATCAAAAGATGAGAGAAAGTACGATGTTGACGATGATCTGCTTCGCAGCAGGACCGATTATTTGATGCACGGTGTGTGGACGCCGGATATTGATTCACTAGCTGGCTGCAGTCAACAGGAGGATCGTTTGAATTCCTCTGATCTGGTAACCAAATGCGTGCGCGCCGGCCCACGAAGCCGGCGCGCGCGCTCTGCGCGCTTGCGATATTGCTTAGCAAACGCAGCGCGAAGGCAGTTGCCGTTACCATATAGGGCAACCGCCGGGGGGCGTGAAGGTCAGGGAAATGGCCAGAAATGAAGCGGGAGAAGGGAAAAAAAGCGGACCAGATGGGAAAATGGCCAGGAGGTCAAAAATCTCGCAAAAATGGCAGAAACCAAGCGGGAGAAGGTGAAAAAAGAGCATTTCTGCGGTTTGGCCCACTTGATATCTGCAAAAGAGACGGAGTATTTTTTGCTCCGCCCGCTGGCCAGCTGCGTTGGAGCAGCAGGCCCGCGACCTGTCCGGAAGCAGATGGCAAAGAATTGCTTTATAACGTGGGTGGAAGCAATCGTCGGATTTTGTCCAGATCACCCGGGCCACTGGGAAAATGAGAAAAGATGAAAAATTGCGCAAAAGCGCAATCCCTCCGCAGGCTTCAAAACTGCCAGTCAGATGCGGGCGGTGAAAATGTCCAGGTCGCCCGGGCCACTTGGAAAATGAAAAAAGATGAAAAATTGCGCAAAAGCGCAATCCCTCCGCAGGCTTCAAAACTGCCAGTCAGATGCGGGCGGTGAAAATGTCCAGGCCGCCCGGGCCACTTGGAAACCAGAAAAAGATGAAAAATTGCGCGAAAGCGCTATCCCTCCGCAGGCTTCAAAACTGCCAGCCAGATGCGGGCGGCGAAAATGTCCGGAGCCCTTCGGCCGCCTAAAAACCTGAAAAAAGAGCGAAAATTAAAAAAAATCGAGAACCCTCGGCAGGCTTACAAACTGGCCGCCAAGGGCGGTCCGGCGGGCGCGTGGTCGCGCCGTGCCATCGCGATTTTGAAAAAAAAACCGCACTAGAAGCGGGCGGAGGGATGTCACAAAGTCCCCATTTGCCCTGGATTGTGGGCACAAATCCGGAACCTCCGCCGCGTCTGAAATGGCCGATTTTGGTGGCCCGGAAGGGTTCGCGGGTTTTCGGCCTTTCGCGTTCCTTCCTGGTCACGGGGCCAGTTTGTCACGCAGGGGGCTAGAAAGGATGCCCCGCTGCGAACTAGCAGACCGGATTTCGCATTCAATGCTTATCGCAGGAGCCTGCGGGGCGCCGCGGGCGACAGTAGTTGTCCGCGGCCCTTTAGGGCCGCGGGGAAGTGGTGGAGCCCGCGGCGGCCCGCAGGCTCCTGCGATAAGCTTTGAAGGCGAATCCGGAAGCCCCCGATGACCCGGGATAGAAGTGGGATTCTAATTAAAAAGAAATGGTGGCGGCAGTCGTGCGGCGAAAGCGCGGCCCGCTGGGCCGCGCTTTCGCCGCGCGGCTGGTTAGGCTTTCGCGCTGGTTAGATTTTCGCGCACGCATTTGGTTACCAATATCGCCCTCCGGGCGCGACCTTCATAGTGAAAGAACTACTACACAAAGAAAATGAGCCAACAGGCAAGCCTTCCCGGCAGGAATATTTTCACTTCCTGTCCGTCCGCCTCGTCACAGCACGAGCTATGGCAACATAACAATCCACAGCCATCCGCTCGGGGAGCAGGAGACCGCCCGAAGGCGTTGCTGGAGTCGATGCGAGCGCTGTCAGCCCGGGCGGCCGAGCTGTACGGGGCGGAAGCTACTAAGCGAGCAAGCTATTCCACTTGCACTGCAGCGGAGTATGAAAATGACGTCGTCTTTTCGGAACCTGTCCCGGAGTTTGAGCTACCGGATGGTGAGCCAGGGTGTGGTGCGCCGAACCTGCAGCATCAAAAGCATCCACAACAACAGGCTTGTTCTGCTACACCAAAGCCGCATTCCTCCAGCGAATTTGTTGTATCTTCTTCCTTGTCCCTAGTAGAGCACCTGCCCCCAGATGATGGTGGAGCTAGTGTAGCTCTTACAGCAGGTGAGTGCGACGACGACGAAAGCAGCCGTCTTTGGTATAATTCCTATTCACCGCAGAATGAAAAGCATGATCATCATCGACAGCGCATCGAACAGCGAGGGGACGAAGCTGCTCGTCCCAGCGGCGCGGCCGAACAAATGAACGCAGTGTCGCTGGGCTCCCAGTTTGCCTACGAGAGCGAGATCGAGAAGTTGAAACTCGAGCTGGAAACCAAGGACTTTACCATTATTTCGATCCAACGAAATTTGGAAAACCTCGCGATCCTGTCAAAGTCGGAGCGGGCGGAATTGATGGCGACGAAAAAGCTCCTGGTGAGCGAGGTGGAGAAGAACAAAACAATTACCGAGGAGTTGCTGTCTGTAAAGGAAGCGAATTTGGTTTTGCAGCAGAAAGTCGTGTATCAAATGCAAAAATGTCAGGGTCTGGCATGTTGCCGGGTTTGTTATGCATATTTTGCATGACCCAGGATGTCTGCAATACACAACCTAGCATCACAGATTTTTAGAGGGCTTCCTGACGCCTCCTCCGCGTGACAAATGCCCTCCCCACGTAGCACAAACTAGACTCCTCGTCTTGCTGGTCATGCAATACAGATTTTTTCAGAGTTCCAAAGTTAGCATCACAAGTTCCAACCTTCCAGACCCAGACATTCTTGCATTTGATATCGTGCGGCTCAGAAGTGAGATTCTCGCGGCGAACAAAAAGTGCTAAATAAGAGCAGGACGAGCTATGCTTCGCCCAATTTGTATGATGGAATGTATAATTACTATCTGCGCTCGCTGTGCTGTTGTGATGATGAAAGTTTCAACATATCTAGAGGCAGCTTTGTAGTAGATGGCTCAAAAAACAACTGACTCTCATCTGTCTTGTCCTTGTGAGGGTAGTTGTTCTGCTGCGAAAGTGGAAAGAAGTAGGATGATAACCTTAAACTTAATGAGCCTCTCGTAGCCCCCGACGTAGACATGTACAAGTCTCATCGTGAACGCCAAGGATCTTCAATGCTGGATCTCGCTCTAACGGTTGTTTCGTCACTAAAGACGTCGATCTAGATAGGATATTATGTACTTCATCGTTCTATCTTAGTTGAAGTGGAAGATCTAGGTACTAGCGTTGTCAACACCGATCTGTTCTGCACCGAAGACCTAGTGCTGTTGCAAAAGGTCCAAGAACCGGCGTCCCGTCCTCCAGAAGATCTATGTAGTGGATGAAGACCAGCAGTTTGATTTTAACTTTAAGTCGAAGTATGAAAATGTAGTGTCAATTTATAACGCGCAGCCCTGGTCGTGATCTTGTACTGTTTCCCTCATGTTTGAGTGCCACCTTTTATCTCATGAACATTATCTACTCTTATCCTTATGCATCTTTTGCCAACTTCGGTCAAAAACAAAAACAAGGGTTGCGTCGTTGCGCATGCATTTCTTTGCATAACTACACCACCACCAGTATTAAGTAGATCATCTCGGCCCGCTCTGGTTGCTCCGACCAGCTTTACAACGCTCGCAACCTCATTATTTCGAATCCGCCTTACTTGTGTACGTGTAGTGTTTTTAGCCCTAGCTGCATCTATGCTAGTGAGTGGGATTCCACTGCTTTTGTCTTCATTTTTACTTTTTGACCATCCTTATATATTACTTATCTATACTTTTCTTGGAAGAAAAATAACTGCAAAAAAAATGAAAATGAGTGTCCTTGCTTGGCCCCAAACTGAAGCAATTCCTGTCCGCCCCCGCTGGCGGGGACGGGTTGCTGGGCTTTTTCTCGCAATTCTGCAGTGGAATTACACGATAGTTTCACTGTTCGGCAAAGCCGTGCTGGGAAGAACACCTGCAACGACACCCAGTACCGAGCAAGCCAAGTGGGAAATGCAAGTCGAGCGCACATTGGACCTGCTGATCGACCCGCACGTCGACCACATGCAGATGTCGCTCGCGGCCCGGGGGCTGCAGAGCGGCCGGAATTTTGGGTGGAGTGACGAAACCGTGTTGGGCTCCCTGTCCCTGGAGGATCATCGCGGCGCGCAGAGCTTATTTCTGGAGATTTTGGAGGAACTGAGGAAGGCCAACCTGAGCGGCCACAGCGCGTTCACGACCCGGTACCCGCCCGCACAGGGGGCGCTGTTCAAGTCCATGGGTTACATCCTGGAAAAAGCTTGGAAGGTCCTCGCGGGGGCGGGCCAAGACGACACAAATCCTGTTCTCCCCCCGATGCACGTGCGGGTCTGCGGACAGGAGGATGAACTGCATAGTACTACGCAGAAGATCGTGAGAAAGTCGTCTGCAGCTACAGCAGCAGCTGACGACAAGAGAGCAACACCAGTCGACGTCGATCGTGCGCCACAAGTAGAGCACGACGCTGCGCGCTCCGCGTCAAAAGTGGACGGGATGACGGAACGCTTGGGGCAGTTCAGCCTTGATGCTGAGGAACAAAGCAGAGCAACGAAGGGCCGCCGCGGCCCGTCAAGTAGAATAACAACGTCTCCACAAGCAGCAGGAGCTCGATGTGCGCTTGTGAACGTACTGGGCGATACGCATGGGCACTTTTTGGACACGTTGCGCATTATCCGAGACATGGACTTGCTGAATCAAACGTCCACCCACATAGTGTTTCTGGGTGATTACGTTGACCGCGGGCCTAAGAGTATTGCGGTGCTTACTTTTTTTTTGTTGTTGGCCCAAGAACATGCTGTCATGCTACGAAATACAAGAAGTCAATGCATAGGAAGATTCGCCGTGTGGCGTCTTTCCATGATGACAGCAGTGCTGGGGGCTCACTTGGTGGTATACTATGCATGACTTGCCTCTTCGTTGCATTGATTTACATTTTGATTTTCCGTAAAATCACAACCGACCTGAGTACCGAACAGGCGATTTATTTTTACCCGCAAATTTTAAAAACCTGCCACCGCACAAATACAGGTGAGTCCCTCGCGATGGTGCTGTTTGTCTTTTACTTGAAAGCGCGGCTTCCCGACCGCGTGACGCTTCTTCGCGGCAACCACGAGCTCCCGGGGTTGAATGGCGCAGACCAGGTGCGGAACGACAACACGTCGAATTTGAAAGAAGACGTCTTTGCGGTGTTGCGGCCGAGCAGCGTTGCAAGTGTACTCGTAGGGAACAATTACAATTCATCTTCCTCTTCCCGAACAGCAGCTTCTGCGGCGCGGAGAAGATCTCCGTACGGACCGGATTCTTGGTTTTATCAAGCAGTTGGGTCGCACCAGCACCTCCGCACCAGCACCACCCGAGGAGGGCTTTTTCATGAGAGCGGCGATAACTACGTTCCCTTCTCCGCCCTCGGCGCGATGACCACTACACCTTTCGGAGGACACGACCACGATGGTGGTCCGCTGAGCGGCGATCTGCAGCGCGTCGAGCTGGCCATATCCCAGAGAAAAAAGCTGGCAGGGCATATTTGTAATTACTACAAGGGTGAACGCGCTCCACTCAGTATGGGTGTAATGCAAAAAGAAATACACGCAAAAATTTGTCATGGGTGGCCCCATAGCATGCTGTTTCGGATTTACAATACAGATTTTTTTGTCTATTTATTTTTGCATTGCAAATATGCCACGCCAGCTTTTTTCTGTGGGATAGGCCACCGTCTTTGTCGAGGAGTTTGTGTATCGAGAACAGATATCAAATGTAAAAATGTCTGGGTCTGGAAGGTTGCAACTTGTGATGCTGTCTTTGGAAGGTAAAAAAATCTGTATTGCATGACCAGGAAGAGGAGTTCAGTTTGTGCTACGCGGAGTGCGCGTTTCTCATGCGGAATACGCATCAGAAGGCCCTTTAAAAATCTGTGATGCTCGGCCAGGCGTTACAGGCGTCATGGGTTGTGCAAAATATGCATGACAAACCTGGCAACCTTCCAGACCCAGACATTTTTACACTTGATAACAGATCAACGGCTTGTTCGGCTATCTCCCCTACGTCGCCACGGTTTTCGACGAGGTACTTCTCGTGCACGCCGGGATTTCCGATTTCATGCCAGAAGTGAAGAACTTAGCGGGTGGGACGCAGGAGCGGGGGCGCGACAGGATCATTATATCCGAGGACGACGAGGACCGGGGTCGTGTTGTAGTTGACGGGGAAAATAAAACCTCTTCCGAAGTTCTTGTGGACAAAGACGATGCCGCTGTTGATGATGTGATGCTGACTTATTCTACTGCCTCGTCGGACGACGTTCCATCTGAGCCGTCCGAGTCTTGTCCTGCGGACGAGAAGGATGAATGCGGAAGGAGTTCTGCGGAGCAGGGAAAAGTATCAGCAGGAGGACCAACATTATCTTCTTCAAAGGCGGACACTTGCGCTGTGACCTCGATGGAGATGGATGTGGAACACGGGCGTGACGCGGAGATGACAGCAAAAGAAGACGTGCAGAAAGAAGAAATTTGCTTGAGTAGCCAGGGACGGCAATTGACCCCGTTAACTCCCTCGATGTTCTCTAGCGCGGCAAGCGCCGCTGATGTCTCCAGTGCAGCAAGCGCTGTTTTTTCGAGTGCAGCCGCAAGTCCTCGTCGGGTTGATGTGTCCGAAGATGAGATCTCGACGACTTCATCCGTAGAAATTCTTGCAAATAAAACGCAGCCCCCGACGGTATCAGCGATGATCCCTTGTGGGGGTCCTTGTGCAGGAGCTTCTTCACGACTCGATACAACTGTCACACCACCACAGGGTCTCCAAGCGTCGTTCCTTTCCACGCAAGTGAAGAAGCCTGGTGCACCAGCTGGAGATGAAGGCGAGTCCCCAGCAAGCGGCGGACTATTCTTGCGCCGATTGGAACTACATCACGACGCAACATCAAAGCCTACACCACATAACCCAAGCGCTAAGACCACAGACCATAATCCTGCGGCGCGAGCGCTGGAGGTGATATCCAGGCCGTGGTTCAAACAGTTCATCGACCGGACACTATTCACCGTTCTTGGACAACAGGACGAAGCTTACTGTTCCACCTACAACGCACAGATGTGGGACCACTGCGTCAAGAGCCGGTGGGACACCATGTTCACCCGCTTTGTGGAGCACTTCGCGAAGGGCTACGTGCAGGCCGAAGAGGAACAGGATGTTGAAAAACGTGCAGATCGCCTTGCCTCGTCATCTTTTCCTCGGCAGGATGAGCGACCCGATGACGGAGAGACCTACGACCGACTGCTCATTCGCGTTTTCCACCGCTTGCTGGAATCCTCGCTGGGCACGGAGTTCGCCCGCACGCGCAAGTTTTTGACCTGCTGCGTGCGCGAAACGTTCCTGTTTGCCGATCCGTGGGAAAATTCCCTCCATCGGGGCAAGTTGCTGCCGAGCAAGCCAAATCACGTCAAGTACGAAAAACAAGGAAATAAGGCGATGGAGCAAAAATCTCTATTGAGCAAGAGTGGATCATCTGTTTCTGGATCGTCACCATCTGTGACTCTATCGACGTCACCGGAACATCAACCACCATCACAGGGCCCGACACCTTCCCCTTCTCGAACCCCAAGGGCGTCCCCCGCAGGACCGCCACAACCGGCCCGGCCAAAGCGGGAATTCATAGACAAGTCAGTGTACATGAGCGAGATCCTCGGGCGAGCCGAGTCGAGCCGCCTGCGCATGATCAATGGCGGCTGGACGAGGGAAGTTACGGAAAAATTTTTGGAAAAGAATCAGCTCAAACTGATCATTCGCGGACACCAGCCTAGCGGTGAGGACAGCATCCATTTCCGGGTGGGACACGACGGGAAACTGATCCACTTGCTTTCCGCACCGGACTACTACAAAACCTGGGCACGGCACTTGGAACCTAGTCTGGCCACGTACATCACACTGCGGAGGAAAAAGTTCTCGAATGAAAGGAATTATTCTGGGTGTAATTTGGACAGTGGTGTAATAAAACCTCCAAAGCCACAAAAAATAGATTCGGCGCATCAACCTCCGGACTCTAGTGCTCCTGGTGCTGCAGGGCGAGAAGCAGCAGAAGTAGGGTACATCATCATGAGCATGGAAAAAGACGCAAACGAAGGGCTTCACCTTGTTGATGTCGATGAGAAATCGCGATTTTCAATTAATGGAGAAAAGAAACAACAACGAGATGTTGGCAAGGTACAACATGACGCAGGAGCGCGTACAACTGCAGTGCACGGACTGCATGGAGCTGCAGATTCAATGGAGGTCGGTCATAGCGCGTTATATTCGAATTTCACGACGCCGGGTCAGGTGCCGGAAGGCAGTGCGGAGGAGGCCGGTCGTGAAGCAGCACGAGACCTGATTGCAGGGACTAAAAAACGGTCCTCCGTGGTCTCATTAGACGACGAGGGCGACGTGGTAATGGGCCTTGAAGCAGAACGAGGCGGATCCGACAGAGAGAAAGGAAAAGAACCTTCCCGGCAAGAACTGGTCGACGCGCGGGTCTATTCGGAGGAAGATTGCCCGTCCGTGGAGAGCTGCGTAGAGGAGTTTCCGAAATTGTCTAAGCACGACCCAGAGTACCTGACCGCCGTGGCGAATAGGGCTGCCCAAGCTAGTTGTCGAAAGAAAAGAGCGGCCGCACCTGCGAAAAGGGCTGATGGTAGCTGCGACGACATCGAAAATGACAGACACCGGGTGTATTTCGAAAGCGAAAGCTTGATGGCGGACGTTTTCCCTAACGTTTCGAAAAGACGTAGAATCTTGGAAAAGTTGGAGGCCTACATGCACCAGCTGCGAAAAATGAACGGTAGGCTCAATGGCGAGAGTGATGAAGATGACGTTGTCAATGCAATAGGAGGGGATCATGTTGATCGTCGTCCAAAGCCTACCGCAGGTTCAGGTTGTCCACAAAGCTTGGAACTAAATCCGGAGCCAGTCAATAAGATCGCCGGAAGAAGTAGCAAGTCGCAGCTTTCTGTTGATCTTTATGTGTACCAGTCGGTCCGCGGAGGTTCCTCTTCCAAGCCGGCAGAAGCGCGGCCGACATGGAGCCGGCAACATTTCGAGAAAGAGATAGGGTTTGACTACGAATTCTGCGAAGAATCGCCATGGGCCCCTCCCTGTTTACAGGACTTTTAGCTCGATTTCATCTTCCCGTGTTATTGGTTCGGAACAGACCGCAACTGGTGCAACTTCTGCAATTTTTTTGTTGTCCGCCGTGATTTTCCCTCTAAATTCGATATAGTTTTCCGTGTGGAAGAACCCTGTAGTGCAATGCAAATGAGCAGCTACGGCAGTAGCCTTATCATTGATTTCAGAAAGTCATTGTCGATGTCACACAGAAGTCTTTTCTATGTGCATTAAAACTAAATAGATGTCGTGATGAATGAATGTGAATGTGCAAATAGTTTATCCAGTCTGATCATGAAAGGACGCTTTATAAGAGGAAACAGCGCCTCCCCGACCGGAAGTGCTTTTGGAAGCTGATGACAAAGAGGTGCCTTGAGGATGTTCTTTCTTCCTGATTCTTGTCGACGAAAAGATCCTTTGTTTCGTTTGGTCTTCTACTTCATCTGCTCTTTGTTCCTCTCCCGAACAAGCTCTAGAGATCACGCACCGATGCTCAGGTTCCCTTGTTATGGAAAAAGACTTTTGCTTCCCTTGTCTCTTAACTGGTTGACTACTTCACCTTGTGATTTAGAAAGTTTATGGTTAAGTTCTTTTTGATGTGGAAGTTGCTTTTTTTTTTGTTGCTTTTTTGCGTTGCCTTTTTTGGCCTCTGTTTGTGGGGGGAGAGAGATAAGTAAGTAGAAAAATTGTAGAAGCTGCTGAGTCAGGTTTTCGTCAGCGTTGTTTCGAACGGACAGGGCAACGAGGAACGACCGGGTTCCACCGAGAGAAAGAAGCTCGAAAATGCAGAACCTGGATTGCCAGGCTGTTGGTGACCACGGGACGACGGTGCCGGAGGGCAATAATTGTGGACCCGGCAAGACGAACCCTGGACTCGCGGGCCGTTCCGACTTTCTGAGCCCGGACCGAAGTAGGCCCGACGAGGGTGCTGGGGCAGCCGGTCGAATGGCTGCTAAATTTGGGCCATCGCTCACAGACACAGACGCGACTTTCACCTCCCCGCCGGTGAGGAATATCTGCAATGGAACAATGATATCAACACCGTCGCAAGAAAAGCTTGACTTTGCATCTACGAATGCCACCTGCACACCGGACCTGGAAGAGGATGTCGATGGTGAGTCCTCTCTACAACATCCTGGAGGCTCGAAACATCAAGTTATAACGGAACATGTTTTTGCAGCAGATTATAGCGGAGCTGATTTTTTGTCCGCAAAAAACGGAGACCGGCCGGCACCCGTCGTGCAAGAGCACAAACAGCCTTTGAACTGCAGCCAAAGTGCGCCAGTGGTCCGACAAACGAATGTATTAGGTGGGAGGAATACAGAAAATCAAGACGAGAGTCAGGCGATACTGGCTCCAACGGTGGTCCTAGCTGGTACCCGCTCCGAAGGCGGAGTGCTTGCGGCGGCGAGAAGTTCGTGTAACAACAACAATGCCAGTGCTCAAGAACTGCATCTTGTTTCGGGGCAACAATCACAGAACTGCGTTGTCGTGCCGGGAGCTTTATTGCCACACAGCAACAGCTTCACCAACATACAACAGCTAGCTCCACCACACAATGACCACGCGCGAGGACAAGGTGGTTATCACATGGCCCCGCAAGTGGAACCCGTAGTACTGGCGACCAGCCAGGCGAGGACCACGCCCGGCGGTTATTCATCCACTAATGCCGCGGCCGTGACATCACGACCATCCCCGAACAGCGACCTGGCACAGCCCCCCGCCGCGCTGGGTACCATGGAACAGCGCGGTGAACAGATGCTAGTAGCACCCTCCCAGGTGGTCGTGCCGGCGCTGCCGGTGCAGCAGAGGGAGAGTAGCTCACACCAGATGAATCTGTTTATGAATACTAGCAGTCAGCTCCTCGTCCCGGGCGGGTCGTGGAGGTCTACTACACCAGAAACAGTTCCACAGCTGCAGCAGACTCAAATAACGGCAGCAGGACAGCAAGAACCGCAAACAATAGTACAACACACGACGAACAAAAATCAAAATGCGCCCTTCATCAATATCGGTAACTCGGTGCCCCTACCCCCTGGCGCTTTAGACGGGCTACAGCAACCTGGCTGGAGGAACCAATTGGATAGCTGTGCGCCAAATAGTAGTGGTACAGCCGCGCAGAACTTTCAGCCGGGCGGGGTGTGTGTTGCTGCCGGGTCTTCAAACGGGCCGCATCAATGCACCCAGCAACAGGAGAATATACAACTACAGCAGCATAGTTGTCCAGAGCAACATTATAACAGTCTTTCCGCGGTAGGAGGTGTACAACTAGGCAACATGCAAAATCAGGCGAGGTCGACGTTTTGTAACCAAATGGAAATGCCAACGGCATCTTCGCAAGTGCAACAAAACCACTTTCATATTCAACAGCAACAGCAGCAGCAGCAGACTCCAAATCTCCAGCACCAACAGATGAATCTGCCACAACAACTTCAAGGTTATGTACAGCAACCCCATGATCACCCGCAACTCCTTTCCCCGCCTACGCAGTCCTCCGAAACACTGCAATCTTTCGTGCAAAAGCTCCGGAAGAGCGGCAACGAGGGCAACGAATACCTGCGCTGGGCGAGAGAGTCCGCGACGCTGGAGAAAGTGGAAAGAATCGCGTTTATGCTGCACCAAGAGGCGTTGAGATTGGGAAAAGTGGACGCCAGCTACAACGGCGTGGTGCGCGACATTGCCCATTTTTTCCAGCGGGACACCTACCGCCAGTTGAACGTCGGGGTGCCACACCAGGTGCCCTTTCTCGCCGAGCTGCTTCGCAAGACGCACGATGTGTCCACCGATTTTTCGTGTTACCAAGAAATCTCTGCGGTGGGCTCGGTGTACGACTTCGTCGAGAAGCTGTGCGCCACGAGAAACTTGAAGAGCTTCGACCAGCTCGGGATCGGCCCCGCCAGCTGCTTCCCGGACTTTGCGCCGTTTTGGAAAACCTTTTCCGGTTTTTCCGCTAGTACCACGCTCCTGGCCCAAACGACGACCAGCTCGAGTTGCAATAGCAACCCGATTATGAGCGGACGGGAGGACATTCCCGTGTTGAAAACCAACGAGATTGTCAAGCAGTTTCTGGACATCCTTTCCACCACGGGGCAGCTGCCGACGGAGGAGCAGTTGCAGGCACGGATTGGGCGGAATCGCGGGCTCATTTTGAACAACGCACTCTTCCCTCAGTTGTCGGAAAAGTTGCAGCGGTCAAGCCTCTTGCGCTTCTGCGCCGTTGAAGAGTACGCAAAGAAGGTGTTGGAAAAGGAAAAGGAAGCAGGACGAGGACCTTCTTGCACCAGCTTTGGGTCTTTGTTGCGCCTTCCGTCGTCGTGTTTGTTTCCAAGAACATCCGAAGATCATCGTGGAGACAAGGAGCAGTCGCCACCTCGTCCGAAAGGACCATCTATCGCAGGAACGAGAACTAGCACCCAAGCCTCCCTTTCCGACGAGCTGGCAGCCGCGCGGGAGAAGCTCGAAGCCCGGCTGCGCTTTGACATCGGCGATCTCTCCTTTGAAGCTGGATTGCAGTACACGATGACGCTGTTGCGACCGCTGTTGCCCCCGTTGGACAATTTGAATTTTAAAACTGAGACGGACGTCCAGCCAGGCGCGAGCTACTTGCGCTCGTCCGTACAAGAAGAGAGGCTCTTGCTCACCCTGGTCTCCTCTCTGGTGGCGGACGTCCAGGACAGGTCAAGAAAGAATAATGAAGATTTTGGTTTTATTCGGGCGACAACTGACGGATGTACCAGACAGGAAATATCAAAAGAACAATTGCTCATCTCGAGCGGTCCACAGGATCAAATTGGGCAGAAAAGTACTTTTGTCGACTGCAGTGGAACAGAATCTCACTCTGCGGTCGAAGAATCGCTGTGCCGAGAAGACAAGTCGCTGCTGATGGATTTCTGCAAGTTGCATTTAGAGGGCGTTTTCGACCGCACGGCGATGAGTTTTGCCGACCTGCATGCCATGGAGCGCTCGGTAGTGAAACGGTACCACGAAGCACAAAGGTTGCGGTCCACAAGTGCTGCAGATGACGCCGATCATGGAAACAAAAATCTGAAGGCGGGGGAGGAAAGTAACATTTGTGGAAATCGTGCAGAAACAAGCAGAAGTGGAAGCGATGGACTTAGAATTGGCTTTTTTGCACGGGCTGGTTACAGAAGTCTGCACGATTTATCTTCGACTTGCACTGTACCATCAGCATCGTTTGAACAGATAGCGAAAGGGCAGTCCTTTTTGTCCTTCCTCGCGGAGCACGGTGAAGAATTGGGTATGGAGCGACCTGAGGACGATACAAGAAAAAGAAGACCTTCACCAGCCGTCGGCTCAAAGGCAGGTCCTCCACTAGCAAACGAGGCGCTGGCCAAAAATCCGTCGAACTTGGCTCTGACATCAAGGCCCGAGCAGCCGGGGTCTTCGCGCGAGGAAATGATGAACGCGGTGGGTTCTTCAAAGAAGAAGAAAAAGCAAAACAAATCCAAGGCGATGAAAGCGATTTCGAACGGTGACAATAGTAACAACGCGACCAAGGCGGGGAAGGGGAAGACAAGTATTGAGCACCAAGACCAACCAGTGAACGAAATAAAGGCAGGAAGTGCTTTGTCTCGCGCGGTGAACTACTACGACGATGAAACAGGAGCTGCGTCTGCACTGGAAGCGATTCTGCATGACGCGTACAATAACCGAACAGATATTTCTTGTTTTAGTACGTCGACGTCGTCGCGCAGTAAGAAAGATGATGCTTGTTGCCCCGGCCGAGCCGATTCGTCGTCAGATTTCCTTCCTCCGGTGTGGTCCGCCGCTCTGCAAGCCCGGTTTCTGACGGAGTTCGGGACCCTGATCAGAAAACTTCTGAGTAGAACAGACATCCAGACTGCTCACGGGAATAAACGAAATTGCTGCCTCTCCCTCCAGCTACTTGGGGACCAGGAACGACTGGAATTCTGCCTCGGTACGGGTCCGAATAGCAGTTTAACTAAGGACACGACTGGGAAAAGTAGTTCAAATTTACCCGCAGCAACGATATCAATCTCGACCGCGTCGAGGAGGTCGACAAAAGAGCCAGAAGATCCAAAGCTTCTGCTTGCAGATGTCGACAAGCAAAAATGCCAAGAACAAGATGAACAAACAGATACAAGAGCGCAACATGACGTCAACGGCGAAAGTTCTTTCGCCGCTTTCGTGAAGAGCGTGCTCCAGACTGAGATTTTTTCGTCGCGAAGTTCATCCCGGTGGGATAAGATGTGGCTGTTTTTACCGGAGCTGGAGTCGATAAAGTTGCTCGAGGCAGAATGTAGTGGTCACCTTCACGACATCAAGGGCGACGACAAGTCCGCGACCACACAATGTGTGCTCCTCGCGCACAGAACGCGCTGCTTGGTATCGCACTTTCGGAGCAGCAGTACTACGGAAACAAGTGCGGAAACGGGCGGTGGCGCAGAACTTGCAGGAGGACGAGAGCAGCAGGAAAGCAGCAATAATGCGCAGAGGAGAACATCAAACACGACGCAACGGCCAACAGAAGGTGGCACATCAGCAACCGTTTACGATGCAGAAGTGGTTTGCTTCATCGGGGGAGGATTAACGACATTCTGTACGGAGGATTCTAGTTCAAGAACATCCCCGGCTGCGGTGACCGCTTCTCTCGCTACGACCCCGCGTACCAGATGTTTTCTCCTGGTGTCTACGAGAAGTGGTAATGAGAGCCTTGGAGGTGGTAATGTAGCAGACGCCGCTCGTGCGAACGGACAGACACCGGGGATAAAGGTATCCGCAACTACTGCTTTTGATCATCGCGAAGATGACCGCATGTCTTTGGCGTGGGAGCTGCAACCGAAGCGCAATTTCGGTTCTAGAACCAACAAGAACGAGCAGTCGAGAGGTTGTGAAGGCGCCGGAAGATCATTTCTTCTGGGGGAAGAAGCGGAAATTATTGCCCGCACGGGCTCAGTGGAACACGCTGGTAGAGCGGAAGTGATCGTGGACGAAACTGCAATAAGTTCTACTGGGATCTTCATCGAGGGCCAGAAATTTGCAGATAATTGTTCGCGGCTGCCAAACAAGTCGACTTCCACTCTATCACTGCTCGATTTTTCATCCTCGTCTGCGGCAGTTGGTAAACGACCACAGCCAAATAAATGTGCAGCGAGTGTCGGTAGTGAAACCAGGACACCACCTCTTCCCCCCTTCGTGTTTCACGTCGGCAGAAGTAGAATAGTGCGCGATGGTAGTTCGGAGAAAAGAAGACACAACGAAGGGGATGGTGAGCCACCTGCTTTTGAACGAAGCTGTGAAAGAGGAGGGGAAGAGCCTAGAGTACCACCGACATGCGTTGATTCCTCGACGTCCACGTATCATTTCGACCGTTTGTTGAAAGTCCTGGCCCACCTGTGCACCGACACCGAGTGGAAGACCATTTGCGCGCCGCGGATCGCGCAACTTCTGAGAGGAGAGCAGGAGGCGGTGGGAGCTACGTGCAGACGTGAAGTGTTGCCTGGGACGAGTTCGAGCGCAGCTGCAGTTCTTTCGCAGCGAGGACATGATCATTTTTGTGGATTTCAGCTCCCGGAGCCCTGGGACTTGGCGGAGCTGCTCGCCGGGGCGCAGGTGAGAGCGGGGTTTGTTTCTACTTGCGGTGGAGTTGGATCGAGAACGAATGTTTCCACTACAAGTCAGGACGAGGGTCGAATTCAGGTGCTACTGGGAGGATCGGACAACGAAGGGCTTTTTGGACATGAGCAAGACCTAGAAACCCTGTCGATTTCGCTGGACATGCGCTCCACGGTGCCGGTTTTGCCACTTTGGAATCAAGTTTCTAAACGCAGCGCAGCTGCTAGTGCGGGCCCATCTGGTTCAACGTCCTCTTCGTGTAGTTCAGCATCTCCGGCTCCGGACAATCGCGGCGACGGGAGCGCTTTCGTGTCCTCGCAAGACGCGATCGCGATTTCTTTGGCAATTACGGTAGCACCTGCCACGGAAGGTGCTGCTTCTGGTCGTCTCGAGGCGGCCGACGGCAACAGAAATTCAGTTTTGACGGCTCAACTCATTACCGCTGCCCTGCCGGAAGAGTTGCTGAAGCTTGCTGGCGTCCAGGGAAGGCTCTGCCTCTGCCGGTCGAAGCGGGAAGAGATCGTGATGGAGCAACTGGGAGTGGAAAAATTCGACTTTGGAATCGTGGAAAAGGTGCTGCAGTTTTTAGAAAGTGGCACAACGAAAAATTGTACGAAGCGTATGAATAAACAGACGGCAAGCGGCGCACTGGACATCAGCACGGAGGAACAGGAACGTCAAGAAGTGGACAAAAGTACCAGTCTTTTCAAAAAAACCCCAGGCTGGGCCGGGGCTTTTCTGTACGCGGTTAGCATATTCGCGGGGGGCAGCCTGGAACAACAAGAAGAGCATGTGTCTTCGTCTTCGACGACGTCACAACTGTTTTTACCGGAAAGCCTCTTGGACCGATTGCGGAAGCTGGATCTGGTTCCCGTCAGGCGTCTGGGCGGCAATTCGTTCTTCTGTAAAGCCACGGCGAACCACTTGAATGGCAATCACGTTGGGGTGTCTTCTTCATCATCCCACAACAACTCGCCCTCGACTTCGTGGCTTCGTTGGGTGGCAGGAAAACATACTACGAGTGAAGAGGAAAAAGATGACCGCGATGCTAAACCAGAACATGAGAAACTGTCAGAGCAGTCTGGGGAGAAATACTGGCGAAGGCAGAAACCGTTGCTGCTTTTTCCCACAGGTGCTAGTGCTGCTGCGACAACTTCCTGCGGCTTGAAAAATTCAGCAAATTCGTCGAATCGTTTTCCTTCTTCCTCCACTTCTACCGCGGCTTCGACGTCCTTTCCTTCAACGACCTACAACTACAGGAATGATTACTATGCCAACAACGTTCTTGGCAGTGGCGGTGAAACAAACATAGACAAGACAAGCTCCTATTCCGCCAATACCTCCGTGAACGAAGATTCGACAAGTCTTTACTTGTACACCGAAGATGCGGCGACGTACGATGCGTCGTCTTCTAACACATACACAGCTTGCAGTTCCTCAAGAACAGCGGCACAAGGTATAATAGCCGGGGTTGACAAGAAGAAGCTTTCGCTCCAGTCTCACCCTTCCACTCATTGGTCTGACTCTTGCACGACGTCGGTACCCAGCTCCTACACGTCGGCGTCGAACGTGGCGCAACCCTTGCCGCACGACTTGGAGTTTAGCAGAGCACGGCAACAACAGTCACGCAATGCTTGTTTCTCCAGGACCGCCGCCACGTCTCTGCTGAGTAACTACGACCAGAGCAGTTGTAGCATCCCAGTCGCGAAGTCGTCTGGTGAACAAACAGAGGATGACCGCGAGGATCATATGTTGACGCTGAGTACGCTGGAAAAGTACGAGTTTGCGCATGCCGTGCTGGTTCTGGACACGGATATTTTCCAGGCTTTCGAGACGAATTCGAATTTGCCATTGCCGGCGACAGAAAATCAAAGTGGTGCTCATGTAGTTGTCCCTCAGCAGGAGACCGACACAAGTGACGCGCGGTCGGCTTTGAAGTCGGTTCTCGCACGAGTGTACGGAGTTCAGGAACTTTCCGTCCCCACAGTTGCGCACTACATTCTCGACGAGTACACGCGTATCACCGAGTATCCAAGAAAAAAAACTGTGTTAGTGTAGGTGTCTTGAGGTGACAGCATTACAAATCTGTTCTGCATGTCAGACAAAGCCTGTCATGCGCAACTAATAAGTGAAAGCACAAATGGAAATGAAATAGGACTTCATGGTTGGCTAGCATGACAAGTGCAACAGGGTCGCACACTTTGCATGACAGACTTACACTTACACAGTTTTTTTCTTGCATACCGAGTACTGCGAGGCGCACAAAGACTCGCACGCCTCCCTGCTTTCGCCCGAAGCGAAATCCTTCATCTTCTTTGAGACAAGCGGAAGTTGTGTTGCAAGTTCGGAGGAACCAACGTACGAAAATGTCTTGGAACTGCATCAGACCACTTTGACTAATTCTTCTGAGTTTGTTCCTTTTCATCCAGGACCACTTCAAGAACATGTTCTGTCGTGGCCCCCGCGCGCCGACCGGGCGTACAAATCGATGCTGAAGTTCCTTCAGAATTTCTCGGATGAGTTAAAGACGCGGGACCCCACGCTCTGGAACGCGCTATTAGAGTCGCTCTGGCTTGTCTGCAAGGGAAACGAGAACGCCATTGCTCCAACGACCGAAATCCGCGATGACGTCCTGGAATACACGAGGAACAACGTGTACCAGCTGCTCTTTAGGGAGGACGAGAGTTGTGATATTTCCGACAGTTCTTGTGTGCCGGTTTCGCTTTTCGACTCCCAGTTTGCCCTGCCCCTCGGCAAAGGGAATCTGATGCTGGTGAAGGCAAGCAGACAGCACCTGCTGGCGATGGCGCCGCACAGTGACGACCGGGTGGCCTTGGACTCGGTTTCCAAAGTAGCGGACAAATTGCCCGTCTGCGTTGTAGATAGTATACTGGTGACTAGTTGTGGTACAACAAATCCTGCAGGTGGGGCCGGGCACGGACACGCAGCGCTTTGCGGGACTGGATATGATGATAAGTCCGACGCGCGTGGTCATAATGTTTGCAACAGGGGGGCTGTTGGGGTCGCCGAACAGCAGCAACAGGAACTCCGGTGGCTGCACGAACATTTGAACGTCCGCAGTCTTTTCTCGCCCGGGTTGACGGTCGCATCTAAGCGGCGGAGCGAGCTTTTTCTCAAAACGATTTTTTCCGAATTAGCCGTCGCCTACAACTTGGCATGTGAAGAAAATGATGACAACGGGGATGATATTGAAAAAGAAAACCAAAGCGCCCTACAAGAACATCATGTCTACGACACGCACTACTGGCAACCAGGGCGTGGTGGAAACATGGGCAGAAATGGAAGCAGAATGTTGACATCTCATCCTGCAGAATCAGAGCAGAAATCTGCGAGAATTCTCTGCGCGATCACGCAGTTCGTGAATTTTTGCGACCGGGAACTGAACCGCCTGCGAGCCGTGGCCTGCAACGACGACTACGTGACGCCGGACTGGTCTGCCATGCAGTCGTACTGGCGGTGTTACGAATTTGTGCAGCACGATTGCGGCGGGCTGTTTCTGGACTGTTTCGGAAACCTAGACCTGTTCTCCTTTCTCCGAACCATGCCTTGGTGCCCAAACGCGGTGGGTAGTTGTAGCCGCCGGCGGGCTTCCAGTAGTCAATCGTCTGTTGTACTTCGGAAGAACAATAGAAGTCGTCGTAGCGCCAGCAGCTGCTTCAGCGGTGCAGTTGCGGACAGGTTCTTGCATTCTCTGCCGGCAGACACCTTTACGAAGAATCGGTTCCTGCCCTTTTCCAACTGCTGTGCCGATTTGGTTCCGGGCTCAGAGGCAAACCGTGGTCTGCTGCTGCTGTCAGAAAATGAGAGGGAATTACGGAAGGGGCAGAAGAAAAGTTACGGTAGCAACAAGCAGATGACCGGATGCTCTAGAAGTTATCCGAGCCAACAAAGCACGAGCAGGAAAGATGCCCAAAAATATGCGGAAGAATCCTTTTCATCTCCAGTGCCTGTCCGGGAATACAAGCACCTCCTGCACCCGGACCTGCCGGAGAAATCCTTGCTCCTTTTCGCCTGCGGACTGCGACACCATTTGTCCTGCGCGGACTTGTGCGGCTACTTGGTGCGGTGGTGTATGACGACCAGCATTAATGGTAGAGGTTGTGCGCCGCCGTCTTCTTCAAGTAGGTCAGCAGCTGCAACTTCTACGTCTGGCATCAAAGGTGCAGCTTCTAAGATTGCAGGACCATGTTCAAAGCCCTGTGCGAGTAACACGAACGAAAACCACGAGGAGTTCACGACAACCGCATCAAACGATGCAACTGACGGGTCGTGTGCAGCAACCTCATTTGGTCGTGGACGAGGAGAAGTGCCGAAGATTGATTTGACGAGCACGGAACTACTATCTTTCTTCAAAAGTAGCGACAACGAGTACTACTACGAAACCACCCCGGGCTGTCGCCCACAGACATTCCGCAACGCGGAGGAAACAACGCCGGGAGGAGTGTATGGTATAACATGTGACCTGCTTGCTGCAGTGGAAAGGCAATGTCAAGGCGAGGAAAGCGGATTAGTTCGCAGCAATAGTAAAGCGGGAGGAGCGCCGGCTCTATCCTCCTCGACTGATTCTGCTTCCTCTGGTGCAGCGACATCCTCGTCGGCCGCGATTTCCTCGGGTCGCGACAGCAGCGATCAAGCTGTTCAAACCAGGACGAGCAGTTCCGCGTGCTGTCTATCATTTTCCTTCCGGCGCATGGTGCCGCAGAGGATGCAGGCCTTTTACCTGCGCTTGCACCAACTCGCGGCGAAAAACAGCGAAAACGCCAAGCTGGTCCACCGCCTTTTCGAACTTTTTCCCGCCATCTGGGTGCCGCTCGAGCGCAACTGGGGCACCAAGGAAAACAAACGGGTGACGGAGACCGTTTTGCTGGGCTCGTGGCACTACGCGCACGAAACCTTTCTCCACCCACCATCGCTTCCAGAAGTTCCTCCGGTTAGGCGGAACAGCCAGGAGGCGGTGGGCAGCAGGGCACCGGCTGGCCAGGACCGACGCCGGAACAACGGGATGAAAGAGTTTTCGATGAACGTCTTCGAACTGTCGATGAGCGGCTACCGTGTCCTTGAGCGCCACTACGACCTGGAGTTGGCGCCCTTTCTGTGCGAGATTGGTGCCAGGAAGGAGCCGGGGTTCCGGGAGATCTTGGAAACCTTCACGCTTTTTCGGCTGCAGAAAAGAAAAGCGCAGCGCGAGCTGCTGTTGGCTGAAAACAGTGGTGCGGGTTTGGGAAGCCTATCAAGCAGTTGTGCAAGTAAGTCTCCGGCGGACCAGCACGTAATATCAAATCCACCAGAGCAGGAAGAGCAGAGTAACCTCAAGCTCACTAGCGTCGATCTATGCGATGGGCACGATGTCAGGAGCCTCACTCAGCTCCCGGGTCGGTCTCGCGACATGTACCTGGACGACCACGGGCCCTACGGAACCCACAGCGTGTACGAAAACTACGCACTGCCGGCTTTTCGCGCCTTCGCACAGCAACACGGGGGTGCCCGGGCTCGGGAACACACTTTGTCAAGTGCTTTGCCCGTGGTCCGGGTGCGGAGCGGGGGGTTTAAGCCGCTACAGAGGGAAAATGAAAAGAAAAGTACGCCTTTTTCGTTGCCCTCGCGCTCTACTTCGTCCACGGGCCGCGTGAAGAGGTTGATATCCAGTGGCGCTGCTAGCGTTTGTGCATCTGCCGAGGAGGTGAACAAGCAACGACCTCCAGCAGCAGGAGAGAACAGCTACTTGCTTGTAGTGAACGACCTCGCCTCCGAGCCGTTCAGTGACAGCAGGAACGATCGTGGCCGCACCTTGTCGACGTCCTGCAATAGTTCTTTGTCTCGATGTAGTTCCTTCTCCTCCTCCGCGACAAGTACGCAGGAACGACGACAGCATGCAGCGTACGGAACTTTAACTTCCCCGTCATTAACTTCAACGTCCGACTTTTCCTCCTCCGAGGAACTCGCCCCGGATCGGATTGTCTTTGTGCCGCACGATATTGCGCAAATGCTGCGCATCCCCCGGCTCACCGAGGTCGCGCGCCCGGTGCTCCGAGTGCCGCCAAGACCGAAGCTTTTGTCCGTCTTCCTGCAGGCGAGCTTCAATCTGATCCTGCTCTGTCTCGAGATGAAGTACGGAAACGAGGTAGAGGACCAACTACAACATCGGAGAAGCCTAGTTGGCGAAAAGCAGGTCCACGGAGAAGGAGAACGAGAAAAGAGCGAACAACATGGTCCACCAAATCCTGCTTGCGAAAATACCGACGAGGATGTTTTTGATGATCCTGCTCATAAATCGCACGGCGCGACGAGCGTCCCCTTGAAGACAACTCGTGCCTCGGGTTCTACTTCTTCTTTCAGAATAAATTTCACGCGTCCCTGTTACGGCGTGGCGCGCTACAGCTACGACTGGCAAGCGAGTTGTACGGGTGTGCAAGGATTAGAAGCAGCAGCTGCAGTTCCTGGTGAACGTAAAAGACCGGGCCTCTTCAAGGAGAAAGAACGTAGACTTGTCCGGATCAATATCGGAGGGAACAAGAATGACCCCTACTTCACCGAGAATGATAGTAGTGCGGCGAGCCGAGACGATTTTCTATCTGTCAGGAGCATTGATGTCTCCTCGCAGAGGCGCAAGCAGCACGCGGCGCAAAATCTATCGTGTGAAAATAAAACTCCGTCACGACAAGACCAGGAACGAAGTTGTGGTCTTCAAAATGTTCCGTTCTTATTTCGGGACGAGGCTCGACGCTCGACCTCCACCCCGCACAGTGTGCGTTTGTTGGAATTTTCGCCGGACTGCGATGAAGATCTTGGTTCAACATCTGAACCAGGTGACCACGAGGATCCTCGTGGCGGCGGCGAAAGGCTTGCTGGGACGAGCAGCCGGTCCGGACGCGGTGATGAAGTTTTGGTCTTTGTGGTTCCGGAGCTTGAGGTTGTTTGTGATTCCGAGAACACAGCACCGACGGCAGCGCGAAAAGGACTCTCTTTAATAGCGGAAGGACGACGTTCTTGTGGTCCTGTCCGGCGCGACGAAGTAGCCGCAGGGTTAGATGTTGACAATGCACCAGTAGGAAATGGAGTGGAGGCTTTGTCTGAAGGAGATGATAGTACAGCAAACCTGTCTTCTAGCACGATGACTGGAGCTAGACCGCTAGTACAGGCGGAGCAAAATAAAGCGTGGCAAGAAAACCAAGAACAGCAACTGTTCCTTGCTGCCGCTAGGCACAGCGAGATTTGGACGCAAGAACTTGCAACGAAGGTGATGGAAAAGGCAATCGAAGTGCACGAGCGCCAGGCCGGCGCACGAGGACGGCGAGTGGTGGCGAATAAAGAAAGCAAAAACTACAATCTTCTGTCCTCCCACACACGGGGGCCGTCGATGTTGCAACTACGAACCGTCTTGCGGCACATGCTGGAATCGAACCCGCCACCCTATTGTATGGCGGTCAGGCGAAAGGCTGGTGGGGGTCCTGGGAATAATAGCGGAATACCAGCAGAACGAGAGCGGCGCCACGTATTGACCCTGTCTGACGACCTGCACCCGTCCACGACCGGAAATTGGTGGACTTGCTACGTGATATGGTTGCAGGAGTTAAAATCCGTCTTGCAAAAACACTTCCCGGAACAGGCAGACTTGTTCGAAAGTCACAGGTACAGCGAGGAGGGAGCGGCGTTCGCACGGAGATTAGTGGGGCCGTTGGTGAGGGACGCAGCGGTGTCTGGGTGTAGTAGAGAAGACAGACAGAAGGAACAATAGACGCAGAGGAAGTTGTGGACTTTCAAGAACAATAGTAGGCACTTTTCATCTTCTTGTTCTTCTTCCTCTCGAAGCGACCACCAGTGTTTGAATTCGAATTTATCGGCTTGCTTTTCTGCATGGTGATGCACTAGCGTCTTTACGCCTCCGCTCCTTGGAGGACTCCCATACAAATCATGACGTCCTCGGCTCAGCTTTGTATACAACTTGGGATCAACTTCAATTTTTGGTCTTGCACATTGTGCTGCAGTACTCAGTGGTTCCACCGCTCGCTGTGATGGCTGAGGTGCTCTTGCTGCTCGACGGCTCGCAGCTGATCGATTTGTTTGCCTGCAGGGAAAAACAAAAAGAAGAAGCTATGTTCGTCTGCTCTTTCTTTCTGATTCTGTAACCAGCACCAGGGCGTTGGGTGTGCAACGAGAGGGAAGAGGTGGGTTTACTCACGAAGGATGAAAAATGATGCAAGTGTTAATTAGTGAAAAAAGAAAAAAGAGAATAAATGCAGCCAGGTCGTGTTTCTTTCTTGCTCTCTCTTTCTTTCTCTTCGTATTAAAGCATAAGTATCAGTATGTCGCTTCGCTCCAAACGTTTTTTGAGGTTAGGTTTCTTCTCCTCTACGTCCTCTTGTAAATTGGTCGTTTTCACCGTCACCTTCCTACCTGGTGTCTCGTCGTCCGCTGCCCGACCAGTAGAGCCAGGTCGCGACGATGACGAAGATGGAGATGCTTCCCCACGGGCGCTTCTGACGGACGCAGAGTGGGCGGCGCACCAGGACTGCTTCCGCGCAGCCCTAGCAGATGAAGTAGGCGGGTACGATCTCTCCGCGTGCTGGCAGGGCGCCCGGCCGTTTGAGACCCAAGGCGACCCGCTGCAGTACAAGTCCTGGCAGGACGTAGTGGACGGCTTTTTGACCCCACAAGAAGCCAACTTCGAGCCCCATTTTGACGGCCACGAGAGTACAAGCGGGTTGCAGGAGGGGGTGCAGCCTGGCCACGCCCGGAGGGCTCCTGTTCGTCCGGCGGCTGTGGGGGATGACCAGCTGGGGAATGATATACAGACGGCAACGCCTACGCCGGCTCCTAGCGCGGCGAACCGTATGACAGCATGGGAGATGCGAACGACCTGCCCCTACTGGCACCGTGGCGTTGCCGTTATTCCGGTCGTCCATCGACCGGCGACTTCTACATCGCCAGAAGAGCAACACGCCTCTGACAGTGCTGCTCGCAGTCGCAGCACACCACAACATCAACATCCCGAGACACATAAAAGCGAAACGGAGTTCCTGTTCCAAGTCCGGGCTCCGTGGAAGTGGGCCTTCGGAGGGTTGATCGACCTGGGAGTCAGCGAGACCGTGGAGATTGACGAGCCGGACGAGGTTGCGGCCCATCGAGCGGTCCAGGAGGAGCTTGGGATCAATTTGCTGAAGGCAGCGACCCTCGACGACGACTTCTATGAGGTCGACCTCGCAGAACAACTACCCGATGCGCGCTCGGTGAAGAGCGACGCAATAAATGTCAGAAATGAAGCAAAATGCAGGCACTCAACAAGGATAATTTCAGAAACGAGCGGAGCCGTTGTGTCCGCGGATGCAGCGGAAGAGAACAGGAGCGACCAAGCCTGTAATTCTGTTCAAAATGCTGACGGCGCGGACACAAGCACGAGTCAGGATTATACGACGTCCAGTAGCACCAATCCTCTCCCGACGTCACCGATGCCGCGACAGTGTTGCCGCTTGGCTTTTTCATGGCGCGGCGTCATGCCCAAGATGCGGCCCTTCTGCGAGAAAACGCTGCTCACGGTTTACACATTGGGGAAAAGACTGGCCACGGACCTGTCCGAGGATGACGAGGTGCACAGTTTTTACTACGCGAATATGACCACGTACCTCGCACTTGCGCGAACGAGGACTGGATTCACGCAATTCGCGCCCTGGGTGCATGCGATATTGGGAAATTGTAAAGAAACCTGTGGGTTTGGATAGAATAGATTTGGGAAAAATGCAATACCGTCTGTCTCAGGAGACACACGAGTGGTTGCTGAACTCTCGATGGATGGTGTAAGCCCTGCACAAACAGGAAGGGAAATGCAAAAGGCAAGGAGTGCTGCAACGTGGCGAGTTCCTCAAGAATGCCACAAGCGGGATCATGAATCAATGATCTTCACATCTACTAGCGGTGGCGCTTCTGAAAGTAACTCGGAGCAATAAGTACATAGCATCGTTTCAATATCATGCGTAGACAAGCACCTTGCAGAGGACGAGAATGTGACGGGCGATGCGCAGTAGACACGGACCGACTCCCGGCAATGCCCCCGCCGATTGCAGTCCCTGTTCGAGGAGATCTGAGGGACGCGGATACAAGTACTGAATCGACTTTGTTTTGAGTACAAAGAAGATGGCGCCGAGGTTCTCGAGTCAGGCGCTCTTGTGGTAGGCACTTACTCGCCGCACCGAAGGTGAAGATCCAGCACTACATTGTTCACCTCGAGATCATCTTCTAGCTTCATCAGGATTGTAGAAGAAGCTTGTATGAAAGCAGTGCCAGTGTGTAAAACAAAATACTAATACTTCCTTCTTGTTTAAGCAGATCAATGAGATAGACATAGAGATCCAGGACCGCTGCTCTCGGTCGAGCTCGAGCAGCGAAAGTTTTTTGATCAACACTTTTAATCGTGCGGAGAAATCTTGGACAGGAAGAAACTCTTCGATATTGATTACCTTTCGCATGGTTCGGCTTCGGTCCCGTACTTCTGCATCACATTGTTTCTCAACTGCGTGAAAAAAAGGATTTTTTTGCCGCTGCCTCTTCAGTTTTCTAATCTACTTTTTTGCAACGAGTAAAGCAAGTCCAAGTGCAGCGCTTGTGTAACACTTTCACTGATTTTGGGAATAGGATTAGCTCGACATAAATGAGAGGAAACATCTTTTCAAATTGCTTGACTTGAATTTGGATTTGCATGCCCACGATCGGATCTCCTTCTCCTTTTTCCGGTTTTGGTCGCAGATATCGCTATTTCTGTCAGCAACGAAGAACTTCACCGAGCTCCTTCTTGTTTCCGAAAATTTCTGCTACACCTTTACCGGCGTACAGGACTAGCGTGCCATCCTGTGGGGAACTTCCTTTAAACCGCTTATCGTTTTCCACCAGAACAACACCACAGGAGGAAAGAATTACAGCTAATCTACTTCCCACCACACTACTTCCTGCGCCGCAACCAGGAGACAACATGCTGGAGGCCGGAGCAGTAGCTTCGTCTGCAGACTACATAGGTGGAGATGAAACTGGTCCGGATATACTTCAAGACAACCCCCTCGGAGTAGAGGATGGTGAAGGGCATTCCGAAGATAAACTGAGGGGTTACACGTTTTTCAAGCAAAATTGTCTCTACAAAGAGATGGACAGCTACTTTTCTCGAAAAAAGCCGGGCGCTGCCACACGTACTAGTTGTACAGGCGCAGAGCCAAACGAGAAACCCGACTTGGCCGTGCCAACTTATGAATACATAGCCGTGGTCGATTTCGAGTGCAACTGCATCCCGAACGGCAACCGAGACCCGGCCTGGGCAGATCCGAAGTGGCAGATTCCGGGCTTCGTAAACGAGGTGATTGAGTTTCCAACGGTGGTACTGCGAAGGAAGCAGGTCGCTGCGACGAAAGCGCAGCATGAGAACGAAGATTGCGAGGATGATTATATCGTGTTTGAGCGCACATCAACGACATCGGAATGTGGAGCAGATTCAGCTGAAGTTTTATCTCCGGAGGGAAAAACGCGAGACATTTTGGAGCCCGTCGCGGAGTTTCACGAATACGTCAGGCCCACCCGGTTTCCGGTGATAACCCCCTTTTGCACGCATCTGACCGGAATCTCGCAAACGCAGGTCGACGCCGCGGACCCCTTTTTGCGAGTGGCCAACCGCTGGCTCGCGGAATTCATGCCCCGGTTTCCGAACTGCTTGCTCCTCACCTGCGGCGACTGGGATTTCCGATCCTGCCTCCCGTCACAGTTGGCCCTCGCGGCGGCAGGCCAGTTTCCGTCGAAAAACAGAGCGCGGAAGGTGATCACACACTGGTGCAACGTGAAAGAAGCCTATCGTACGGCCCTGCAGAAAAGTAGTGCACTGGCTCTGATACCAGAAGACAAGTTCATATAAATTTGTGTGGCTCTACTATTTGCGTCATTAGACAAGAGACAGCCTGCTGTCTTGCAGAATGCAGTTTTTGAATCTGATGCGTCCAAAGTGCTAGCCTTCGGTTCGAGACTCGCAACAAAAAAGCCTGTCATACTGAACGGCCGCAATGACAATGAGCTTAGCTTTTGAAATTGCAAACCGCAGCACATTTTTTCTTGTACGACTGCGGTGAGTGACTTTTCTGCAGCATATACCAGCTCGCGTCGGGGCGCAAGGCCAAGGGCATGACAGAGCTGCTAGACCAACTGAAATTGCCGCTCGTGGGGAAGTATGCATTGCAAAAGCATCGCACTTGCTTGGTCTAAATCGCATGATTGACAAGTTTTCCGAAGAAGATGGAAAAAAAGACTTGTGTCGCGCTGCAGTTTAAAAGGAGGATCTGTCATGCCAGACACTAAGTGCGAGTGCGACATTTTTGCAGACGACAGGGAGCACCACTCGGGGATCGACGATTGCCGCAATTTGGCAAAATGCTGCCAAAAAATGATTGAACTATGCAAGAAAAAAACCGTGTTTGTGTAACTTTGCGTTGCGGGCAATGTACCACAGCTGAACTTGTCATGCTGGATGTGCATCTTCACAGGCTAGATTTCACGTGCTTCTTGCGCGCAATTTTTCTCTGCCATTCGAAAGAACTGTGTGATGTTGCTCATCCAAAAAAGTTACACTGATACACTTTTTCATGGGATAGAAACAATTTGGCAAGGACTGTTTCTTCTGCACATCCACGACAGACGACCGGGAAAAATGAAACGACGACACTGGGGGCGCGGGCGCCACCATGTTCATCTTTCCTTTGATGCGCAGCATGCCGATTCCGTTGCTGTTCATCCCGTTTCATGAGCCTGTTGTCGAATCAATTTGTAGATGTGCCGCAAGTTTCAGTTTTGTTGAATTTGAAGTCCGACTCATGTTGAACCTTTCGAAAATAAAACAAGTTGCCGAGCACGCACTGGCTTTACCGTGCTGCGCAATTGGTGTTGCGGCGAAAGTGCCCGAAACGCTTACGTAAATAAACTGCTCCTGTCCTTCTACTGCGATGGGATCCAGCATCTACTTGTTTTGCTGTGCCGTGTTCGGATTTTCCTGATGCACTGGAACAAATTGAAATTCGATTCTACGTGCAACAAGCCAAAGCCTACTTTTGGGACATACTGGTGTTTTCGAAACCCACCAACGAGAGACCCCGCGTTTTTTTTGTCGTGTCGATGCACAGAAGAAATCAAGATTTGTAATACTGGAGTTTCTACATCTACTTCCCGCCTAAGGCGGCATCGCATTGATCAAGATGGCTCACGTCGCCTCGTTGCTACACACTGCCCCCACTCTCAGTACTGCGGAAGCGGCTAGCGCGGCGAGGTTCACAGCACAGCTGCTTGACCCCTTGTCCGTCCCGGTTGTGAAACCGTCGCAGTTGTCCCACCTCCGTGTTGGCATTGATGGCGAAGGATTTCTGCGGGCGATCCTTGCAGGAGAAGCGGGGGGACGAGATCCCGCTTCGTCAGTGCTACCTAAAAGCCCCTCTTTACTGCTCCAGCTCGCGAAGGCGCTGCATCAAAATTCAACCGCGCTACCAGATTTGCTTCGGCACCTCGCGGCGGAGTTCTCAACAGCAGTTGCTCGGCTGTTGGAAGGGGAAATCGACCTCGTTTTCGTCTTTCCCACGCCCGTCTGGAGCCGGAGCAGACGCTTGGAGGGAAAGCTGCCGAGGAAGGGGAGCTCTTTTGCTTCTCCCGAGAAGAGATGGAAAAATGGTACACCGAATTTTGAAGGTGACACCACTGAACTCGTACAGAGCCGCGCACCGGACCACTATCGTTCAACAAAAACGCCTTCCCTGTCTCCGGACCGCCGTCGAAGGCTTCGTGAGAACCTCCTTGCCAGCGTGGATACCGAGTCGGGAAATGATCTGGAACTCGCCCTGGTGCTGAACACGATCGTGGCGCAGTGGGAGGAGGAGGAAACCGAGCGGCGGCGGACACGCGTGGAGTCCGCACGGAACCGCTTGCAAGAGTGCCTCGACGACCTGTACTTTCGCCTCTTCGACGCCCAGGGCGACGAGGCGGAGAAGAGACAATCGACGCGCGACTTGGCCAACTTCCTCCCCGTTTTGGACCTCCGCGATCTGGCCGAGCAAATTTTCGAAATTTTGGACGAGAAGCGCGTCCCCTGGCACTTGTCCCCGGAGAACCGCGTGGACGCGCAGCTGGCCTGGCTGTACCGCACCGGGCTGGTGGACGTCGTCGCGAGTTTCGGAGGCAGCTCAGTAGGAGCGCGGGACGATATTAACAGTGGATTTAGTTCATCGACGCCCCAGGTTGCACAACTGGTGACCCTCGGCGTTTATGACGTCTTGTACGGCACGAGTGGGAGAAGTCACAGTCACCTTGGTGGTTGCAGCACTCTGCTTGATATTTTGCTGCCTTCAAAAACAGAACAAGAAGATGAAGAATATCAAACACCCACAGCACCGACCCAGTCGGGCGCCCGCTACCTCTCCTTGACCGGCACACCCCTCCCGACGCTCGGCACGCCTGAGTTCACCTGGCGCGACCGGTTGCAGCGTCATCCGCACCTCGAGTTTCGGCGGCTTTTTGAGCCGTGGGCGGACTTCGTCCACCAGGATGCGTACGCACCGCGCGACCGGCCGAAATTCGTCGGCCTCTCCTTTGACGTATACTTACCCTGGCTCCGGGCGGTGTATCTGCTCTGTGTGGACAGAAAGAATTTCTGTGCTGACGACTACGGAGAGGCAGATGTTGAAGCTGAGTCGACATCTGGAGGCAGCAGTGGCTTCTTGACCTCAGCCGTCAACCTGGTGTCCTGTCTCCGGCGAGAGCGCGGTAGCCGGATCCGTGCGAGAGATCTAGCACGGGCGGTGCGCGATCCTTCGTTTCTTGCAAGGCAGAATTACGGAAAAACCGGAAAGATCTTTGAGGGAAAGTCGCCTGGAAGTCGTAGGAAAGAGGCGGCTCCCTTTGCTTCTGAGATGATGCGAGAAGGGGAGCAGCAAAAAGAACGGCTGGGGATTCTATCGCCCAACCGGAAGCAACATCAAGGGGCGCTGTCATCTTCGCCATACAAATCAATCGGCATTGAAGGGGAGGACAGTCCGACGAATTCTGTGGTGCTGGACACCTTGCCGTCGTCCAACGCGGCTAGTAATAGAAGTCCTGTGCGGAACTACTTCCAGAGCAGCAGGCGAAGACGGACTTCTACGGAAGGTGCAAAAGTGGAAGGTGATGATTATCATGACGACGATTCAGCCAACAGTGCTGGGGGAGAGAACGAGAAGGCCTTGAGTCTGAATATTGCAGGAAGTCCGGCAAGAAGCCGCACGACTCGTGCGCCGTCCACCTCAGGCAGTGTTTTTTTATCAACCGCAGCTTTCTCCTCGGCCCCAGGATGGCATAGCGAAACGAAAGATGCGGATTTTGGCGCGACCGCAAAAACAGCTGCTAGAGATACAAGTTGTAGTGCGGAAATTTCCAAACCCGTACTCTATTCCGTCTCCGAGCTGATTCACCGGAGCAGCTTAACATGCTCGCCGAAACGAAGAGCAGAAAACACCAGCATCAAAGCCGGTGACGCGAGGCAGTTCACCGGCAATCAGCTCGCATCTTTGTCTGCGCCTATTGTGTGGCAGAACGAAGTTTCCCCGGAAAATAAAAAAATGGCGACGGTGAAGCTCTATGCGGTGTCTCCGAAGCGGGGTCAACCGACGGAACTCAAAGTGACGAGAGAGGACCTTGAAAAAATGTTCACACCTACAAGTAGAAGCGGGAGCACCGGTGAGCATCAAGATTCTTGGCACGAGCGGGTACAACCCGCACGGGGTGATGAAAAGCAGGTGACGCACGGTGATCTTGGCGAAGACCGAGCTGCGGACCGTGTTTACTATCTCCACCGGGGCAGTTTCGGAAGTGGCACGGATATGTACTACCAAACGACTCCAGTGTTTTCGCGATCCGCCAACGAATGCAACGAGGACCACGACCTTTTCCTCGCCACCCGCCAGGAAAACGTGGACCGCTTGTCGAGTCTGCTGGGCATACCGTCCAGAAATTTGTCCTCGTCGCTGCGCCAAGATCAAGAGTTCCTGTTTCAGGACGACTTGCAAGACGAACAACAGCAAACAGAAACAGACACTGGCAGAAGTAGCTCTGCTTGTCCAGACAAACATCAATCATCCCCCCCTCCCTTCAACATCCACGAGTACCTCAAAGCGGAGGCTGCACTGCTGTTTCAGTCCGTCCACCGCTTCCATGCTACTGGCTCGTACGACTACGATTGCGGGAGACCAAGGGGCGAGGCCGATCGTTGTGCGGGGAAGGGTCACGACAACGACTACGTTCTCGCACCTTTGAGCGACTGCTTTGCCGACAACTGGCGGGAGCTGGTGTGGGGCAGCTTCCTACCCGAGATCCAAGATGTATTTCTGGATCAGAACCTCGATACGAATCGATGACTCATAAAGTTTCGAGAATGTGTATGTCAACAACTTCTACAACTGTGTTGACGTCACGACCTCTTCGGCTTTCTCGTCGACCATCAAGGTTGCACACAAGTTTTGGATGTTTCTGTTTTAAGATTTTGATGAAGCTACTTAGGCTGATTCTTGTTGCAGCCCCTCGGGGCTCCCTTCGCTACGGATCAAATTGTCCGCGGACGACAAGGACGCGGATGCCGTATTTGACAGCATCAGTATGTTCTATTTTCTACTTGTTCCGAGAAATGCATTTTGCTTACACCTTCACATCATTGAAGACTTTTTTTGTGCTTCTCTTGTCAAAAGAAGAACCTGTCTGATTAGAACCGATGCTTCTGCTTGCGCTGCTCTGATTTGATCTAAGAAAATAAATCCTGGTTTGTTATGTTGACAGTGTTTGCAATTACCGGGCGGCTCCCGAGCCATTGTTTTTCGTGCACGCGGAGCAACATCAAAGCACGCGCAAGTGAATGTGAGCAACCTACAAAAATTTATTGAACCATCATGACCAGTGGCAGCACGTCCTTCGCTTCTCGCCATGACGTTCCGGGTGGCATTTACCTTGACCGTTTCAACGTGGGTTTCTACCTAGAAGACGCTCTGTCGCGCGTAGCCACAAATGTAAACAACGCCGCCGGAGCTGCTGGGGGAGCTGCTACAGCATCATCCACCTCCGCAGCCGCAAATGCTTCAACTGACCACTTCGAGGCTTTCGCCGGCGCCGGAAACCCGCTAGCCCACAGCTCGGCATTGCAGCTGGAGCAGCAGCTGCAGACGCTCGCCGACTACTTTGGAAACGTGCTGGACGGGAAAACCATCAGCCACGAACACCACACTATCGCCTACCTGGAGGCCACGCCGTGGAACCGCCGCGCCTTTGTGAGTCACGTTAGGAGTACGGTGTTCGCGCGGCTGCGGCGGGACAAGGGTGCTGTCGTGAACAAAAGTCCACCATCTTCCGCGGTGATGGAAGCGGAAGAAGTAGAACAGCCACGGGAATTAGAAGACCAAAACCTTGGGGAAATGACCGGGCGTGAAGAGCACGCAGAAGACATAGACAACAATGAGGACGACGAATCTACAGCGGCGGATGTTGCACCATCGTCTGCTGACCCCGCTGCCGCTGCTCCGGACGAGGGTTCCGACGATTTGCCAGAAGCCAACACAATAAATCAGGACCCTGCAGCAAAGGCCGGTGTTGCGGCTGTCGTTGGTACGGCGAAAGGCAATGAAGGTCCGCAAGCTGTTGGGAATACCACTTCCGCAGCGGGAGAGCAACAAGAACCCGAGCTGGTTGATTTTCAGTGCACGATGGCGGATTTTCACGCGTTGTTGCAAGCGGTTTGTGCGGATTACCCCGCGGATGCAATGTGGCGCGATGTGCTGGAGTTGCTGCTTGACGAAGTTGCGGACGGCACGGAAGGAGCAGATCACGAGGCTGGAGGTGGTGCAACATGTGGAGATCCTCTTTCGCGCATCGGTGAAGGAAAGTTTTCGACCGCGCCGGAAACTCTGCCCTCAAAGGGCGCGGCGCTGGAAGCCTGGAAGCAGTGCTCCGGTGATGCGTGTTTACGGGCGCCTGTCCGAAGGTATGCTGGGAAAAATAGTTTGTTCTTTGGATGATAGTTTTGGTGCAGATGCAGATTTCATTGTTCAAGTGATCTCCTGCAGTGCGGTATTTCTTCTCGATCATCATAGACAGAAACACCATTCATGTTCCCTCCAGTTTCCGGTTTTCAGAGTTGGATCTTGCCTGGGCGGTTTGCTTTGTCTACCAGGAGTTTGTCCTGGACTTGCGAAACCGGTACCGCCAGACGCACGTGCTAGCGCGGTCCACGGTTTTGGAAATGATCCAGGATGCGCGGAAAAATCAGGGCGAGGCCGTATGTGATGGAATTGTGTCAGAAAGAATCCACGAGTTGTATGTGATTGTACTGGGCAGAGGTAGACGTGGGCCGCAACGCATAGCACGCCCGAAGACGGTGAAGCCCTTTTCTGTCACATCGTACCGGCGCAGCTCTCTTGGTCCGATGCCAACTTTTGCACTAGCGAATGTAAAGCAGACTGGTATGGCATGAACGTGTTTTCGTTTTCAGCATCACACATCGTATCAGATCCTTTCACACCTTCAGTTTGGTTTCTGACACGATTTCCGCCGATACTCCTGGCTGGACTACGATTTTGTGGAGCAGATTTTAGAGGATGGCGCAACGACCATCAACGGACAGGAGGTGGTATACACCTTCAAGGACCTGTTTTGCGGCATATTCATGCCCCAACTCGGCCCGCATTGCGGCCTGGACAGGCAATTTTCCGGCGTGAAGGAACGGGAAACGGCGAGTTTGATGCGACAGCGTCTGCTGGAGACGGCCATGCACGAAGACGAAGAGCGGCGACGGAGAAGCCGGGAGAAAAAAATGTCGAATACCCGAAAGAGGAGAACGCGGCGGAATTAGACAGAGCGCAAGATTTATGATTCTTACCTTCGACGACCCTACTGTATTTGCCCGGAATTCGTTACATTGTCTTCCTACCTTGAGTTCTCATCGCAGGGCCGAAAAGACTGGCTCCAAAGGAAAGATCGATGTGTGCAAAAGTATAAAGCGTCTGAAGATTGGAATCCAGCAGTATGAAAGGGAGATTTTTCTTGTGTACTTCAGAACGTTCGCTCGGCCCTTAACTTCAAAAATCATCAGTCTACCTGTCAGTCTAATAAAGGGAAGTCCGGAGTCGCGTCGGTTGTTGATCAGACAATCAGTTTAATGTCGGTTTTTAGGAGCAGAAAAAAAATGTCTCGTCGTGTTTCTCGTAGCACTTGCATCCAAAAGGTGGCGCTTTCTCTGACCTCGTGCGTCTCGTATTCGTGCCCTCGTATTGTTTTCGGTAGCTGTTCGTTCATCTCCATCCACTTCGTTCTTTTTCTTCTTTCGTGAACATACTGATGATTTACGTCTTCAACACCACATATCCAACGTGCATCACTTTACATACTGCCGTTTTGCAGATTTCAGTTCCCTGCGCCTTCATTGAGCGTTTGCTGAGACCCCGCGATTCCTTCTTTGTTCTAACCCGCACACTGCAATTTATCACTCTTTTTCCTGACTCACACGTATATTTTTGTCACAACATACGCCAGTCACTGCAACGAACCGCTTGTGTCGACATCATCCGTTGTCGTCCCGCCCGAGAAGTCCGCTTCTCTGTAACCTTTGGGATCCGATCGATACAACGAACTGGACTGCGAACTGGCTCCTTCGGAAGACCACTCTGGGTCCACACCACTCGTCACACAAACAAAAAGCACGGCATAGCGTTATCTGTGCCCGCCCCCGGCAGAACCATCGAAGCAGGAGTAGCTCATCACTACCGCAAATGGCGAAAATCGTGTGGAAGACACGTCGTGCAGGGTCAGGCAGCTACGGAGCTCGCCCCCCCGCTATTGCCCTCTTTTCGAATCATCTTTTCATGATCGCGCACTTGGATCATCCGCCTCCTTTTCTCGCAGTTGCTGTCGATGTTGCTCGCAACCGAAATGCAATTCCCGCGGATCGAGAAACGGAAGCGGATCTTTCGCCGGAGCCGGATGGACAAAAAGCGCCTCCGCCGGGACACGTGGCTGGGATGCCACGCGACAGGAACCCGGATCCCCCTTTTCAGCGGTACCCGTCACGCACGGAGTTTGACGACCAAGCCCCTGGGGAGGCGATTGCGATGAGGCAAACCCCGCTTGCGCCCTCCATCCTGCCACCCGATCCGGGCGAGGAGGAGGCCACGGGGGTGGGCAGTGGAGGTCACTCCGTCGGAGCTTTAGCTACGACTGCCACGAACTTTGCAAGCAACAACGATGGCGCACAGGCTTTTTCCTTCGTGCAAGACATGCAGCGCACGTTTACCTTTGCGGCTTCGTGGATGAAAAATCCTGCTGGTTTCGGAGGTGAAAAGTCGAGGAAATTGAAAGTGATCGTGGAGACCCCGGAGGAGAAGGAAGAGCGCAAACGACACCAGTTTCTTGCTTTGGAGGACCCGAATGATTCCTTGCTGCACAAGTGGTTCTTTTCGGAGTATGGTTGTCCCGACGGAGCAGAACAAGAGGGCGTCGAGGGGGCCAGTTGTGTTGGTGGTGCGGATGTGCCGGTGACAGAAGATGTCTTGCTCCCTGCCGCATCAGAGTCTACCTTCACGGAAAAAGCTTCCTCTGCGGTGGCCTCGGGAAACTTCGGGCGTATCGAGGCAGCAACGCAACGTGATGCACGGCAAGGAGAACAACGAGGTGTGGACAACGACGAAGACATTCCAAACGTGCTCGAAGATCAGAAGCGGAGGCGCGTGATGCCAAAGCCGGGAACTTTCATAGAAAAAAATCACGATACAGGCACAGAGACAAACACAAACAGTGAGTCCGTATCGGACACGGAGGGGACGCGGAGAAAGCTATCCGCGACCTCAGAAAGCTCTCTGGAGGGGCCAGATCCTGATGCCCCACCGTCACTGTCGCTGACGCAGATAAGCCCGTGGACCGGTATTGATGACATCATGAGAGTGGTGGCTTGCGTACGAGAGGCGAGGCGAATGAGATATCCCGAGCCAGCTGCTTCATCTTCTCTCTCTGTTAGCCGCGTTTTGCAAGAGTTAGAAAAGCCCAGTACAAGAGTGTGTAGTGAGGAGGTTGGTCCTCAGGAAATGGCAGAATTTCTGCTAAAAGCCGGAGGGTTCTTTGTGGAAGGGCATATTCTTGATCGTAACGACCAAGAGCTACGACAACGATCCGAAACTGCGCTCATTTCCTTCACAAGTTTCTGGGAAATGCTAGTCGCAAGCGACCGCGCCGAATACTTGTTCTGGGGCAATGCCATCGCGACTCGGACGTCTCCGCTCGTGGTGCCCGCCACCGCTCAGATGATGTCGGCAGAAGTTGCTGATTGCCCGGAGGACACCACGACTAAACAGGTGGGGAAGGAGACTCCCACTGTCTGTCGAAGAATAATAAGAAAAACTCCACCAACGGCAGCGAACTGCCATCAAACGACAAATCCAAACCTTGGTATTGCGAAACTTGCGCAGTGTCTCAGATACCGAACTATTCCTAGATCAAGTGAACGCGTGGACAAAAGACCAGGTCATCGCAGAGATAGAAAAGCAACAAAATCAAATTATGGACAAAGAAAAGCGCTCCGACACGACACCGATCCCGATCGAAGACGCGAATATTTGCGCCATTGATTTCGGAAGGTACCCCATCGAGGGTAACGCCTTGAGCTTGACCGTTCACGCTTCCCCTTTATCGGTGTGGGAGATTGTCTGGAACCATGCGCACAAGTTCACGATGGGTAGGGGCACACCCTCGCCGGAAACAGATTCTTGGGATTGGGGCGGCACAGATTTCTTTTGGACTGATCCCAACGCCGCGGGAAACTCCGAAACCAATGACGGAGTCAAGGCAACGGGTTTGCCTGAAAGGACAACGTTGCGCGATCTGATCGGCAAGTATTTTGTTACGTGGCACAAGAAGCGTGACGAGAAGAACGATGGACATGCGGGCGTTCAGGTGGAATCCTGGCCTCTTCGTTTTCATCTTAAACGTAGCGATCTGTTTTTGTCGAAGCCGCAAGAAACTTCTAGTCTCCACCTCAGCGTGGACTTTGACTTCGGCGGAGCTACTGGTGACGATACCTCGTTCTTCGCCGCCCGTGTTTGGATGGAGCCCTCAGGAGAAAACAACAGCCTGGATGATCCTGACGCGAGACGACTGTTCGTGCAGTTGACGGTGCGGGAACATGGAGGTTCTGGTGCGCCAAATTCGGGTTCGTTGGTCGGTGAGTTGAAACTGTGGACGGATGGCGGCGTGGTGAGCCAAGATTCTAGCAGCGATCCTGCACAGGAACACTCGACGATGCTGCCATCTTTTGTGCACAAAGACGTTCCTATTGTTGACTCAAACTCTGGCGTCGAGTCATCGAATGCCAGTCCAAAAAGCTTCGCGGTTGTAATGGATCAGCTCTATTCATCATCCTCCCCCACGTTTCCCGATCCCGATACCGACTTCAAAATCCCAGGTGCTGGCTGCAATGAGGAATTTTTTGAATCTATGAAATCAACTGACATCTCAAAGGGGGACCAGAGCGGGAGCAGTAGCACACCCTCCGAAGGCGAACTTGTTCGGCGCTTCATCAGTTCATATCAACCTGAGAAGCAGCGCGTCGGCCAGCCACCGTCTGAGGACTTGAAGACGTACCTACAGGCCAACCTGACACCGTGGGAGAAGGCGATGCTTCGAAAGCTAGCAACCGACCATCAGTTGCTAGCTTTGATGAAAGCATCACCTTCTACTCCAACTGTGGACGATCGGGATTGGCAGTCTGTTATTGAGGCAGCACGCGCAGCCCTGCGAGCTTATCAAGGCGTCGTTGCTAAGTACTTGGACAACATCTACGGACAGGGACGCGCTGGCACTGGTGCGGCAAAGTGGTGGGGGCAACATATGGAAGAGGAAATAAAAGCAGCCGTAAATCAGGTATTGCCAACAACACACGAGCAAGAAGAAGGCCCCACCACCACCAGCGGTGGCGCGATTGTAGGAGGAAGGGATATCGACAAGATTGTTAAAGCCCTCGTCCCATTATACAGCGGGACGAGATGCACTTACCTAGTGGAGGACGGCGGCAAGAGGGATCTGGCCTCATTTTTGCTTTTTGGGCCGGTTGCAACAGGAACTCCTCGGCCCAGCGTTCGCGAACGATTTTGGACCCTTCTCGCCGACAACACGCGCGTGCAAAATTTTGACGAATCTGCAAATCTCCGCGCTGCCGTTGCGGAAAACGAACTTCAAGTCACCACGATTAGTACGACAGAGATTGGCACAAAGGACGAGGACAACCAGCGGGGGGAAGCTGAACGCGGCCGGGCGTGGGCGGACGCTCTCGGACTCCAAGCGAAACCGGTTGCCATTTTCGATATTGGTGTTTTTCATGGAGCAGAAAGTGATCGTGCTAAACTGCATTGTACGGGAATCGTGACGCAACCTGGCGAATACGAGGTCGCACTCATTGTTGGATTGGCATTCTCAAACACCCAATACGCACCAGATCAATTGTTTCGAGCAGCTGTAGAAAAAGAAGCAAAGGAACATGCTGGTCCGTCTTCCCAAACACAAGCGCGCCCCCTTCGAGACATTTTGACGCGGACGGAAAGAGACCCGAGTGCGATTCCGCACTGTCCCGTGAAACACATAGCTATGCACGATGTGGTGAACGTATCTACACAGTTTATGCTTGCTATTCACAAGGAGCTGATGAAGATGCAGCTGACCGAGGACGAGCTATTAACGACCGAAGGCAGCACTCTTCGTCCATATGAAAGCGAAAGGAATAAGAGGGAGGCGTTCGCGGAAATTCTGACTATCATATCGAAAGACAACAGCGGGGACGAGAAGCTGGATGCTACAGGGATTGGGATCCTCGGAGCGATTATTAAACTGAAAGAGCTTGTGCTGAAGAATGCGCCGAACGTTGTTTCTTCCCAGAATTTGCTGAAGCAAATTAATAACTGGATGAAGTTGAAGGAGGACGAGGATGCGAGCCATGGCGATACCAACCTATGCAAGCTTGACTTGGCTTCTCGCGAACTCAGGTGGACGAGCCTCCCCAGTGAACCTGATGGTACTGACAAGTTCCTCGTCCTGCCTGTGGTCGTTTCTAGCGCTGGCCACGAAGCGCCGCAGGGAAAGTGAATTATTGTCGCCGGAGTGGTGATGAATAAAAAAAAATGCCAAACTGGCGAAATAACAGGCCAGGTCAGCGAAATCACAATCAGATATTGGAAAGTCGAATAAATTTATCGTATACAACACAGCACTTTTCTTTTTTATTTTTTCAACTTCGTTACTTTTGTATGGAGGATGGTCGATGCCGATGTGTTGTGTCCGCGAAATGGGACGTGCGCGTTTTTTTGCTTTTGATTTTACTATCAGGACGAAGAGCAATCTATCAAAGAAATGAGGAAGCTTGCTTTGTTCCGCACGTGTTCCACGGGTTCAGCTGATCATCCTTCTCAAGAGCACTTGTTACTGCAGGAGAAAAGGTTCCCTTCATTTTCACGCCACCGATCTGTACTTTCGATGAAGTAATTGTAATATATAAATTGGAATTGCGTCTTCAGTAAAATGAAATCATGGACGCCATTTGTGGCGCATGCTGGCATATAATCGTTTGAGATCTCTGTCCGTGGTCTTTGCTGCCGCCGATCACTGACCTACTGGTTTCAGATTAATGACACGAGACTTTCATTTCATTATTGTACGACGCAAAACCTATTTACTCATGCTTATATTTGAGTCTTTCTGATTCCATTCTTACTTCTTCAGTATGTGGGGAAGCGGAATTTGTCGGAGTCACAGCGCGATTCATTTCATCCGCAGCGGCATTATAGTCTGCGTCATAATCGCGAAAAACAAAAAGGAGTGAAACCCGGCATGTGGTGTGTGAGGTATTTTATAAGCAATCCCTAAGCATCCCTATTCACGTTCACCTTAAAAATCTCCCCAATTTTTCAGCCCTGTCCAAGAATAATGACGTCCCCCAGTAGCAGTGGCTCGCGGTCTTCTCCTAGTCCGAGCCGGAATAAGTACGTCCCCCCATCGCGGCGCTTTGCCGACGTTGAGCCCCTGCCCCAGGACGACCCGGAGAATTCTCTCGTGGTGATCGACTACGAACTATCAAATGTAAAAATGTCTGGGTCTGGATTCTGACACTTGTCATGCACGTTTTGCATGAGCCATGATGTCTGTGATGCATACCCTAGCAATACAGATTTTTTGAGGGCTTCTTGGTGCGTGTCCCGCATGACAAATGCCTTCTCGGCGTAGCAAAAATTGCATTTCCTTTGGTACTCACGCAATACAGATTTTTTTCGAATCCAAATGCAGCATCACAAGTTGCATTCTTCCAGACCCAGACATTTTTACATTTGATACGAGCCGATCTTCGCCGAAATCCACGCGTACTTCCGCGCGTTTTACACGAACCAGGAGTACTCCGCCCGGGGCCTGCGCCTCTCCGCGGAGGTGATCGAGTGCAACGCCGCGAATTACACCGCCTGGTGGTACCGCAGAAAGTGCCTGGAGAAGCTGCAAAAGGAAAGCGAGAGCAGAACTGGGAAGACGAACAATGGAGCGGCAAATGACGAAGTTGTTCTTGCGGAGCCAAACCTTTACGAGCAGGAGCTCCATGAGTTTTGCCGCGAGTGGCTAGAGCGGTCCACGAAAAACTACCAAGTGTGGTATCACAGGAAGTGGCTGATTGAAAAGTTGTATTTGTTACCGCGGCCAAGCGCCGATGAGAGACGCGGAGGAGATACAGGAGAACAAGAAGACGGGCAAAAAGACGCAAAGACGACCATTCTCCGAACCAATGCCTTGCTCGAGGAGCTGAAGCTGATGCGGTATTTGTTATTGAAAACTTCGGACCACAAGGTCTACAACGTCTGGAGCCACCGGCTGATGATTTTGCGCAACTGGTTTCGGGAGGACCGGGACGTGTTGCAGATGGAGCTGCAGTATTCCGAGGAAATGCTGGACCAGGACGTTTGGAATAACTCGGCGTGGAACCACCGCTGGACGATCAGAGAGGTACTCGCTTTTTGCCATTCGCCGGGGTCAATAGGTCTCCAGTGCGTCCCATTTGCTTAGGGGAAAGTACTGATTGAAGGTTTTTTTCCACTGACGCTCGTTTTCATGTTCTTGTTTCCATATTGTAGATTTTACAAGACAACTGACCTCAACTTTTGACAGATGCTCGCCAGCTGCCCGAGGCAAGCGACACCATCCTCCTCTTCCTCGACGGCGAACGGACAAAGTGAAGCCCGACCTCCTCTAAACCGAGAAGCGGAAGCTTTGCAGGAGTTGCGGTTCGTAAAGTCTCAACTGCTGCTCGCGGACAGGAACGAGGCGGCTTGGAATTACCTCTCTGCGCTGACGGAGGTCTCTTTTCCGGATCTGATCGAACCGGGTGATGGCAAAGAGCCGCGGATCGGCAAGTTCCTGGCCAAGGAAATCATCGACTTTTTCAACGAGAATAAGAATCGTAGCGGTGAGGTGGAAAAAAGTAACCCGGGAGCGACCACGATATCAAATTCAACATCCGAAGGACCAGCGAGCAGTGCGAGACCTGGTGGGCTGGCGCCAAACCTCTTCGCACTGAAATTCGAGGCGCACTTGTACCTGGTTCTCGCCCGGAACGCGATAAGGCTGCAGAAAGAGAAGATAAACGGTGCAGTTGGTGGAGGAGAAGAAGCAACATCAACAAAGCGACAGGGAGTAGAGGAAAATGAGCGACCACCACCCGCAGAGGTGACAAACGGAAAAATAAATGGCCACAGTACTACTTCAACTTCTAAAGCGGAAAGCTGCGAAATGCAAGTACTCCCTGCTTCGCCCACCGGGCAACAACAGCTCAGCCTCGAGTTGAGACTGCAGCAGGGGCTGAATTGGTCTCTCTCGCACTACAAGAATTTGAAAACACTGGATCCGATACGAGAGCACTACTGGCACTGGAAGGCAGAGTGGTTGCAGAAGGAATTTGGGAATTTCGTGGAGTGGCGGGTCCAGGTAGCAGGTGGAGACGGAGGCAGTAGTACTGGACGAGAGGAGGTCCGGCAAAATGGTGGTGAAAACGCGACAAATCTTGTACAATATCAGTGAAAATGATCAACAAAACGAAGACGTCACGTGTAGTTGACGCAAATGCTCACGTGGCTGTGATGTTGTGTTCGAGTGGTTTACGTATTCTGTTTTCGACGCAGTCGCGCTGCATACAAATGAACCAAAAGTATGACATCTATAAAGTGATTGAAAGTTGTAATTCTTGTATGCGCACCAGCCGCAGGCCCAAGCTGGTCCAATGCTGGCTGATGGCCGGGCTTTTGCCGTCCGCAAGACTGGATGCTGTTCTTACGCAAGATCCTAAAATAAAAGTTACAGCTTTTATTCGGTTCTCTTTTTTTTTCGCTGATCGTTTTTTTCGTCGGATTTTCTGCTACCATTCAAATTGTCGCTTCGCGCGGGAAAAAGCAATTTAAGTTTCGCGAGAGTAGAGGTGCAAAGGATATATGAGTGTCCGAGTGCTCGTAGTCGTAGCTGCACATCGCCGTTCTGATAGTCCGAGAGCGACGAGGCAAATTTTTGTTTTCGTTTCTTTCCTCAAAAGCTCGTTTTTTTCGCGTCGTGATCTCCCCTCGAGTTTTTTCGCACAACAAATCGCAATCCTATTCACAACCGACAAATACTGCGCAAGACGCCCGAGCGAGATTAGTGCTTCAAGGAACAAGCAGGCAGCTCTCGCCGGGCGGAGGTATTCAACATCGCGGCTTCGACGCGTCATTCCCTCCCAAATCGAAACAAATAGCTATCAACGTCGAAAAGCCGTTTCCTCGGACTTCTTCCCCGAAAAACTGCAGGAGCACTTGTCGTTATTTCCAACCAAAACGCATCGAAGTTGAAGTGTATCCCGTTAGATAGATTGATAGTTAGAAGCCAACTCGACGTACCTACTACTCGGGAAACACAAACAACCTCACAAATCCATAAGATGATTCTCCGCTGGTCCGTCCCGCTGGCGGCCTGGCTGGTGGTTGTACTGCAACTCCAAGCGCTACTGAAATTCACCCTCGCCGCGGAGTTCGAGTTTCCTATTCGCAATGGACGCAACCAGTTCTCCACCGTAATCGGCGTGGGAACGCCTCCGCAGTTCTTTCCCATGTTGCTCGACAGCGGATCGGAAGAGGTATTAGTTTATTACGTCTGCGAACGAACGCATGTTGTATTTGTAGCACGAAGGTTAAGAGAAATGCATAAAGCCGGACACGAGATGTAATGTACGTAGGGTAGTTATAGTGCTGTGCACCCTCCTCCTGTCATTGCGCAGGAAAATAACCTACCACAGGTCTGGGTCCCAGGTCCGAAATGCCGGGAGTGCGATGAGGATGGTAAATTTTTCAATCCCGCAGACTCCACCACTTTTGGCAACCTTCCCGAAGTGCAAAAATCCGCGGGCTACGCCTCGGGCGAAGTCTGGTACCATGAAGTTTTCGAGAACGTTACCTGTCCGGCGGGATCTCGGCGGGAAGAGACAACGTGCGCGGTGACGACGGGGAAAGTTTCGTTTTTGCAAGGTAACAAAGAGGAGAGCGTTTTTTTGCGCACGTCGATAAATGTTGTTTTACTTTGAGTACGTTTCTGTTCAACTCGGATGTTGCACAGGCATAAATGCTTCTGCCATTGTGTATTAAGCAGCGTCGCCAATTTAAAACAAGTTATTGGGATACTCATATTCGTTGCACCAGTACGCGAAATAATAGTCTAGTGGTGTCTGAGTCGTCTTCCTCTTCTCATGATGTGAAAGAAAAGCATAGTTTATGTGTGCTTGTTACCTCGAAAACCTTCACTGCACCCTCCTCCTCCACCTGCAGGTGGTTCTTCGTCCTGCGTGGGTCTCGCGAAACGCGCCAACGCCACGGCCACGACCGTGCGCCTGCCGATCGGGCTCACGGACCGCGAATCTATCAAATGTAAAAGTGTCTGGGTCTGGAAAAGTGGAACCTGTCATGCATTCCTGGAAAATCTGAATCTGTGTTGCATAAGCAGCAAAAGAGAAGCTTTCTTTGTCATGCAAAAACGCAATTTGTCATGCGAGCTAGGCATCAGAAGGCCTCTCAAAAACTTGCCATGCTTGACTGCCATTGGAAGCGCTTCAATCATGCGCCACCCAGCATCACAAGTTTCCAGACCCAGACATTTTTACAGTTGATAGAATCCCCGGTGTTTCAATCGATGCCCTTTGACGGAATCATCGGCCTGGCGCCTTCCAAGTCGAATTTCGTCGAAGCCTTGTACGAAAGTGGGAATTTGAAGCACCGCCAGCTCGGAATTTCCCTGCTCCCGAACGTCTATCCTCCGGCCCTGCAGAAGTTGTTGCGTCGTTGTTCTCTTGCAATTTTTGCAGGGTAATGCCTTATGTGTACTAGATGAATCCAGTTTTTCGTTGCTGACGCAAATCATAAGCTTTTGTCGTTGTCATGCGATGACTAAGAGAACGACTGCGACACAACTTTTGCAGTGCATAATTTGCAGAAGATGTTTCTCGGTGATATGGGGCCAGAAAAAGCGGCGAAGATGGAATGGATTCCGAACGCAGAACACGATGGGTATATACAATTTAGTACTGATGCCTGCACTTTGGCTTTGCAGCACGACAGAATTTTGATTTCTACTGCATCGTGTGCGTTTTGGAGACCCCTTAATATCTTGCAGTGTACGACGACAATAAATTAACTCTAAAGAGCACGACGCTAAAACTAATTCAAAACAAATTCAAAACGAATTCAAAATCACCGCTTTTTGTGTTTTCAAGATTTTTAGGCGTTGGATTGGTCTATCGTGTCCTTCGTTTTTCTCTTCCGAGGCAGGCGCTCCCTGCGCAGGCAGTACTTACGCGACATGAATTATTTTGGGTGACCGGGCCGCTGTGGAGGTATGCTGTTTGTCCACGGCAAACGCGTCGGCCTCCTATGTGTATGTCCTCCGGGGGGTAATTGATTTGGGGATTGGCGCATTGTCATGGATCAGCCCGCCCTCTGGCGCGTGTAGTGGTCATGAATTCTCCAGGCCGCACAGAGCGACGTCCACTCTACCTGTTGCAAAGATAACTGGCGCCCATGCCTGTGACGCAACACGACGGGCAAAGGGGGGGGGGGCACGGTGCAGCCCTCGCTTCCTGTGCAGAAGCGCTCGCCCTCCTATGCAGCTCGGCGCCCTTGCCGGGATTGCTTTTGGTTCCGCGCACTACGATTGGGAGCGTCGTTCTGCGCGCCCTCTCTCAGGGAGCAGTCGCAAAGATATCGACGGCGCCTGGCGCCATGACTCGCCGCCGGGTCGGGGTTAGGACACTGCCCCTTGTGCATGTTGTGAGTGATCGAGAGCCGCTTCTCTTTGGTATTCGTCAGGTACTTGGAACTTCGGGAGCAAGCTTCAAGGAAAGAGCTTTTTCTTCTCGATTTCAAAAGAAGTTCAAAAATCGTTCAGAATCCGTTTAAAATGCGTCCACCGATGAGGCTATTGGTTTGAACGCATTTTGAACGGATTTTGAGCCGAGTTTTGAATTTCGTTTTGAAATTGAGGAAAGATTTGAATGACGTTTTGAAATTGCCGAGAAAGTTGAAATACGTTTTGAAATTGCCGAGAAAGTTGAAATACGTTTTGAAATTGTGCTACATTTTGAATCATGTTTTGAAATGCGCCTCGTGTGTTGAGCTTGCTTGCGAATGTGGCCGCCAAGCTTGGCGGTTTTGGCGACAACATAAGGCTCACGCCATGACCCCACTCCCTATCTGGTAGCGGCATCGAGAGAGCTCGCGCGTTTGGTTTCAGATAGGCAGGGCCGTGTGGGACCCACGCCTGCCGGCCATGCTTGCGCTTCCAACCGGGAAGAAGGTCGCCCGCAACGCGAGGCGAATCCGCACTCTTTGCAGCGACTGTGTAGACGCAGCCACGCGCCACTTTGCCGCGGGCCATGCATTTTTCCCGGTGTTTCAACGTAAGCAGGGCCTCTGGCTGCACTCCCTGGGGCTTCAGGAATTGGGCTTCAAAGGCGTGCGCGCCGAGGCACCTGCAGACATCTCGCTGTTGCCCTCGCTCTGAGCCCCAAGAGCATTGGACGACCGCCCACAGGTGTTTGCTTCTGTGGTGTTGAATGGGCTGGAAATGTTTTTTGTCAGGGATGTGGTGTTGTGCATCTGGGTGTGTACACGCTACGAAGCCTTGACATTTTGAATTCGTTTTGAATTTGTTTTGTAATGAAATCAGCGTCCGTATACTTTGGATTTAACAATAAACACGAGGAAGCTATTCGCGCCCGTGTGCGGAATCGAAAAAATTCAAGAAAAATTTTCTGCGCCAGGTACTGGTCTGTTCCGAATGTCGCCCTCTCTTACCTGGACGCGAACAACGAAAAACACGACATTCCGGGGGTGTACCGGGTTGTTTTGGATTCTGGCTCGTCCGTGGCGATGATGACGGAAAGCACTCAGCAGATGGTGAAGTCTCTCGTGCCGTGCAAGTCGCAACTGAGTCTCCGCTTTTCCGCCACCTTCCAGCACGCGATCGACGTTTTCGTCCACACCCGCCGGCAGCACAGCAAGGGTTTGGTGCTGGGAGCGGACTGCAACCTGGACGTGATGGATCTCTCCGGGTTTCCGGATGACATGCTCATCATGGGCAAAGACTTCTTTGAGCAGGTGGAAACCTGGTTCGACTGGGACAGCGACCGGATCGGCTTCGTTAAGGCGTGAGGTGGACGAGGAGACGAAAGGGAGGCAAGGGGGCAGGATCGTTGCGGGTTTGGAAAGACATTCGATTACTACTTGTTTTGATTTGAGTGATGTGTTTCCTATTGTCGAGTTGGCTGATGTTGTATGCTTTTGTCTTGAAGAAATCGACTATTTTGCAGATCATTTTGCAGTCTATATTCCAGCATTTGTATGATTTTATACCGAATCCGAATGCCACAGTGGCACCTCTTTTCTGTTTACACCCTCGGACTTTTTAATGAACGAAACAACGAATCGGCAGATTGTATAGGCTTGAACGAATCGGCTTGTAGTTGAGCTTGATATTCACTAGTTCTTGTGTCTCACGACCTCCAGAGGAGTTTTGATTAATTTGAGCTAACACTTCTTCTTCTGCGTGCAAATTGTTCGCCGTGTTTCCTATGTTTTTGTTTCCTAGAATCATTCCGACACGGACAGTATTTCCTTTCCGTTTCCGAGGTGTTCCAAAATTAAAATTTAAGCATCCAGTCCACAACGTGTGTAGAAATTCAACTTTGAATTTTCAGCCAATGTCCACCAAAGACAATTTTGAGTTAGCAAGTTTCAGGTTTCTCACTCTATTGTTTCATTGTCTATATCAGCGGTGTCGCTGCAACGAGAACTCCTTTTTGCTACTTGAGTACTTTTGCAGGGAGCATGGACACCACGTTCTGATCTTCGCATCAGAATTTGCGTCTCACACGATCCCTGCATTTGTGATTATTTTCCGTGGCGCCATCATCTTCTCGCCGCTCTTCCTGCGAACTCTTACTTGAATCACTTGACAAACCGCAGCTGCTAAAAAAGTTTCACTCTTTGAAAGCTTCAACGGAATAAAGGAGAGGGGGTACTGGCGCATGATGTGGCCTTCGAGTCGACCTATGCAAAAAATCCGAGATGACTCCTGGTTGATGTTCTTGACTGCGCAATCTCGCGCCGTTTCCAAAAGAGAGTGCGGAAGCGTGAGATGTACGACGCAACTTCTATGTTTTTTGTTGATGCATGTCTGCGCTAGGTAGTTTACGTCGGTCCATTTCGCTGAGACATAACGTCTCCGAGTCGAGGTCGCTTTGCTAGAAACAGCACGTTCGCCAGCGTAAAGCACAAAAAAAAAATTATGTCGTCCCTGAGGACCTCGCCTACTGTGGCAGTGCAGCAAGCATTTCGCATTGTGCAGTACAATGTGCGGCGTTTCCTTACCCCGGCCGGCGACTCGACGGTTTCCCAAATCGCGTCGGCGCTCGCGCCTCTAAAGCCCGACATCGTATGCTTGAACGAGGTGGATCTGCGCAAGGACCCGGACTGTTTGACCTCCTTGGCCAGCCAGCTGAGCACCCTGCAGGGGAATAAAACGCAGTACGAGATTTCCTTCTGGGGCCACGTGAAGGAGCTGTACGGATATCCCACAGAAAAAAGCTGGCAGGTCACATTTGTAATGCAAGAATAAATACACAAAGAAATTGCGTATCGTAAACAGCATGCTATGAGGCCGCCCATGACAGATTTTTCTGTGTATTTATGTTTGCATTACAGATATGCCCTGCCAGCTTTTTTCTGTGGGATAACGGGAACGCGGTGCTCACCGCGCGGGAGACCTTCGCTGTGACCAAAGTGGTGAAGCACCACGTGCCGGGCGGCAGCTGCTTCTCCTTCCCCGCAGGCACAAAAAAGCTGAACGGGGAAATCGCGAAGGAGAACGAGTCGCACCGCATTGCGCGCGGCTTGCTGGAAGTGTGGGTTTCTTTTCGTGAGGAAACAGCTCGTGGTCGACCACGACGAGAGGGGACAGCACGGCCGGGGGACGGAGAATATAGCAGCCCGGAACTACATGAACTGCAGACCGAGCAGCAGAAAACTACAGCAACCGAAAAACCCAATTCCCCTGCGCATCCTGCGACGTCACTCTCTACTTCCAATAATCTTTTCCGGATCTTCGCAACGCATCTAGACCACATCGCAGAGCAGGAACGGGAAACGCAGCTGCGATTTGTTCGGGAGCAACTAGTTTCGCACGAGTCTCCCGCTATTTTGGTGGGCGACCTCAATGCGCTCACCAAGGCGGACTACAGTGAAGCGGAGTGGAGAACCCTGGAAGAGCGACACGCGGAAAAAGGCTGGGCGGCGCCGAGTTCCGGGTGCCTGGACATCGTTCTAAAAGAACAACAACAAAGCACGACGGGGGAAGAAAGCGGGAGCCAGCACGCATTATTTCCGAAGCTGGTGGACACCTTCGCGGCGTACCACAGGTCTCAAATCCAACACCCCCCGGCAGGATCCGTGCAACATGCCCACCAAGCAGATCTGTCCACTCTGCCGGCAGCACAGAAATTTTCGGCGCACGTCGGACACCCACTGTATCGGATCGACTACTGCTTGGCGAGCGAGGATGTTTCAGCCGTGGTTGCTACTGCAGCGGATGGCACAAAGAACGTCCTGCAAGAGAAAGCGGGTCTTGCGGTTCTAGATGGGTGGAGGGTGGACAGGGCGGAAATTCTTTCCAATATCCAACTGAGTGACCACTTTCCTGTTCTGACTGAATTTGTGCGGGATAGAGAACTTGTTTGGGATGATGTAGTGCAATCTGTTGGAGCGTCAGACAAAAAAGAAAAACCAAGTGAGGAATCAGGAAATTTAGAATTGCAGACGTCTAAAATATTTGCGTATCCCCACGCGGACAAGATCCACGACTATCGCGAAAGCTACCCAGGGCGACGTTGTTCTTGCAGAGCAATACGATACGTCTCACACACATGCCTCAGGCATGTGTATGTCGAGCAGATTCTAAATACTATGTGCTGACCCCGCTCGCGACGGTGTGTGGATCTTGTTGCTGATCGATCTTAGTCACGATCTGAGAAAGTGTTTAGTAGATTCCGACGCACGATAGTTTGGTGCGACACATTGGAGATCGACTTTTTTTGTTCCGGCTCCCTTTAGAAAGACGAGAAGCCTCAACCGAGTACTTACATACAATTCTAGTGCGATCTCCTTCAAGCAAAGATCCTCTGAGCATGCTCCAGGTTCTCGAAGCTCTAGCACGAAAATCTAAATTTCATCCTTTCTGCCTGTTGCTCTGATGCTTGCGATCCTGCTATTTTTGGTTCTTTTGCGGATGCGATCAAGATCAACCAGCATTCTAGGTGCACGTTTTGCCTGTTTTTAAAGAATTCCTACACCTGCCATATCGACCACAGGGAGGACCAGAGTTTGGTCAGGTTAACGATCTCGTTGGCCTGTAGCTCTGCGACTAATTCGGTAGGGTCATCATAGCCTCTCAAAAAGAACCTTTAGCTGTTCTTTTGCGACAAAAGAAGTGTCTTTAAATCTTGGATCGCGACAACCACATTACCCCTTTTTTGTCAAGATGGAAAAGTACCGCCGCAAAGCTCCCGTCAAGGAGGAGAAATCCGCCGATGACGAGATCCGGGTAACCGCCAAGGGCCGCACCGCCACCTACGTGTCCTACGCGTCCAAGCTTTTCAACGAAAAGAACATGGACGAGTATAATTCTTGCTGACGACAGAATTTTTTTTCCGGCGTTGCTACTATTTGGAATTAATTTTTGCTCTGTTTGGTTTGAACTTAAAGATATCTGACCTGTTGTTCGCATTGGTAAACAGTCGTTCTTGCGATTTAGATTCCGCAAAGAAGCAGAACTACAAGAACATGACCGAATGAAAAACTAAAATCCTATTTCCACAACATCACAGATTCACCCTGAAGGCTACTGGTGCCGCACTCGCCACGGCCGTTACCGTTGCTGAGGTCGTGAAGCGCCGCTTTAAGGGGCTTCATCAGATCACCAAGCTCGGCTCCGTCGAGGTGGTCGATGAGTGGGAACCGATTGAGGAGGGACTCGACCCGGTAAATAATTTCTTCCAGACATGAATGTTTTTTGTTTGCATCACGAGAGGAGGAATACATACCACCAAAGTAGGCAGTGCCTCTGAAGTCTAAATGACCCTGCTGGTGGTCGCACCTAGTCGCCCACTTTGCACCGTTTTCCAACCGCGCGGTTTTCGTTTTTGTGACAGGAGGTGGAAATGCAAACGACAAAAACATAAAACAGGTTACCAACACGCGTAACGTCAGCTTCATCGAGATTACGTTGTCCAAAAAGGAACTGGACAAGAAGAACATTGGATACCAGGAGCCCATTGACGAGTCCCTCGTTGAGGAAATCGACCCGGAAGAGGTATTTTGTTTTTGTTGTCTCAGCATTCATTAGCTGTATATGTCGGACAGTTACTCGCAGGCCATAAGAGGCGAGCAAAGTGTTGTTCTTGTTGTTGTGGGCCGACATCGACGAGCTCAAGCCATAGAAAATTTTGTGTTGTAGTACCACTCGGCACAGCGGAACTTGATGAGAGTAGAGAGCTTGTGAGAGATGCACGATAGAGCGTAGTTAGACATTCTAAAGATTTGCGCTAGGTGTACACGCAGCCCTGGCAAATTTAGATTGTTACCTTGCTGTTCTCAAACATTATCCCCAATCCCAAAATCCAACAGATGCTCCGTGGCGGCCCGCGTAAGGCTCGTGAGGAAGGCGATGAGGAGGGAAAGAAGACCAAGAAGGGCAAGGGAAAGGGTAAGGGCAAGAAGGGAAGCAAGGGCAAAGGCAAGGGAAAGAAGGGAAAGGGTAAGGGAAAGAAGGGCAAGCGCAGCAAGAGCGCGAATGACGACGAGGCAGAGGAAGAGTAGATGAGAACTGGAGTTGTTGTGCTTCGGAAAATAAAATGATTTTTGGTTTCACCCGACGATACATAGAGAAAAAGCTTTCTACGATCGACAATCCGATTGCAGATCTTGAGTTTGGTGATTTCCTGTCGCTAGGAGAGGCCATCCCATCTTCTAGCGCGGGAGTTATCCCTCGTTTTTCCTAGAATCTTCGACGATCTAAAAAGCATTCTTGTCTCACCGATACTTGATTTTCGACTTCTTTCGAAAATGATTTAAACTCTTGTTCACATAAACGCTTTGTTTTATCAATGACACTGATGTCTCACTCTCACGCACTCTTTGTCGTTTAGAAAGTCAAAACTCTAAAAAATTTGGAAGTTGGTACACATTTTTACTAGAGGAGGGGGGCAATGAGCTAGTTAAATTCTGGTGCATGTCTACTCGTCGTCCGCTTGCAGACCAGTTCTCGATCTGTCAACACCTGTTGCGGATCCACCCGGGGAGAAGCCTTCAACAGCGACGTGCTCCAGAGTTTTCTAGTTCAGAACCAGACTGCTACTTGTGCTTGTGCTACAACTAAATCGAGACGAAACAAACCACACACAAAACGAACTCAAGCGCGATGAGCAGCCAGATTCAAGCGCGAAAGAGTGGTAGTGGCTTGCTATGACAAGTTTAGGATGGTGTAGAAGGATGTTGTTATTGAGTCTCCGACCACACTGCAATTTGCGATCATTGTCAGCAGATATTTAGAAGTCTGAACACTTGTGACCCTACCGAAAATGTATCCGGAGTCCGAGGTGACCAGCTTTATCAACCGCACCTCCCTACCAGGACTGCTGAGTGGTTTTGGAATGTATGCAGTTTATGTCGGGGAAATGCAGCAAGGCGCCTCGAAACTCCTTGTTGCTTTTTTCGTGTAAATGAAGGGGCTGCTACTTTTTGAAATCCCGGTCTGAAAGGTAGACGACGATAAGCTCTCGGAATTCAGTTACTCATCTCACGAGGATTTAGAATTTAAAGATATCGTACGAATCGCAGGAAAGCGGCCGGGAATCGGAGCATCATTCATGTTGTGTCCTTCTACTTTATTTTCTAGTTGTAGTGTGCCCGCTATTGAACCACCTGAACTACACACGAAGAATCTGCGTCTGGCCGCTCTATGGACTGTAACCACAAAAACCACTGGATCATCGGAAAAAGGAAGCAGAGCAGCTCAGATAATGTATCCCTGCCCCGGGTACAGAAGAAGTAGCAGCATTTTACACTTCCAAAAGAAAAAAACGAAACGCCGAAGCTTGTCACGGCACGAGTATGTGGCAGCATTCTTGGAATTTTGGGAATGTTCGCTGCGACTCTTAGGAGCCGATGCGTTGCAATGTTCTTAAGCCAACATGTCCATACGTATTGTCGTGTTCGGCGTCACAAAAGGTCGAGTTGTTTTTGAGTGAACGGGAGTAAGTAAATACCAATAGCAATAACGGGGCTTGGCTTTGCGCGCCCCTCCAGTTGATGTGTGTCTGACCATCCAGCGGATAAGCCGGACGCCTCTAGGTCTAGGCACCATCCATTGTCCTCTGCGATAAAGATCTCTGACACCGATGAAAAAGCACATCAGCTTTTTTCCTGTTAACAGAAGAAGAAGGCCAGTGGAAGATCTTATGAGAACCTTTAAGGGTGGTGCGATTGTTGAAGTAACTTCCTTGGAGGAAAAGTAAGTCCGACGTAGAGAAAGAACATGTTTTCTTCGTTCCCTGCAACTGCCTGCTCGTCGTCTGCGTCTGGAGAGAACAATGGGCGCACCGCAAGTTCTTGTACCAGCACCAAGAGCCGGCTGCGCGACGTGTGGTATAGTATGTGCGACAATGTTAACGACGCCGTGGACGAGCTGGAGAAACGGATGCGCGAGCGCTTGACCGTGGAGAACGCGGTCTTTTCCGTAAAAAAAACCGGCCAGGAGTACGTGCAGTTGTTCAAAAAAGCCGCGGAGCTTGGGGTCGAGGTTTCCGACTATTTGCTCGCGGAGGAGAAGAAGGATGGGGAGACCACAGGAGGTACAGGGCAACGCGAGGAGAACACCAGCTCCAGAAACAGAATACCAGCGGCACCTGCTTGTTTCAGTACTGTCGAGGGGATAACATCTCGGCCTGCTGCTTCGGGCTCTGTGCAGGAACTTGCAACCACGGGCCAAAGTGGTCCTGCTCCACCTGAGCGAGTTGCGGAAGGGACCTTACGACCGTCACTGTCTCCACTTCCTTCAGACGCAGAACCAGCGCCACCGACGGTTCGCGAAAGAAATTCTCAATCGAGCGGACCAGAAAGAAGTTCCTCTGATGTTGCGACCAGCGAGCGACATTTTACCGCAGTATCGCACCATCAAACGATTAAGCCACAGTACTTGCAGGCGAGGCCGAGATCTTCTTCGCGCTCAGCGAGCAAGGAGGAATTCGTACCAGGTTGCAAAGTGCCTAGCTCCGGTCGTGCAGCAGGAGCTGTGGTTTCGGGTGCTAGTAGAACAGGCATTTCACCTTTCGCGCAGCAGCAGTTGACTCCGCCGAGAACCAGTTTGCGGCAACCCCGCCAAAGCTCCTGGTGGAGCGGGCGCAGGGGCAGTGGTGGCGCGGCCGCCGCAGGTGGCTCTGGTTGTACTGCTGCTGCCTCTACTTCAACGTCATCTCTCCGCGCCGCGTCGACACCGCACTACAGTGCAAGTGCTGGCGGATTTTCCTCCGGGGTTAAAACGACCAGCCTGAATCCGACGAAGATAAAGGAAAAGATCGTCGATAACCTTTCCGGAGTGACGCCTTACCAAAGGTAAGACGCACAAACTCGAGCAAGCTTTTGCTGTCCTTTTGTTGTTTTATTTTCAGATAGGAAAATCAAGAGAAAAAGAAAAGCGCTTCTCATCTCGATGATTTAGATTTTGTTTCGAACATTATGCAGATACGCCCTGGAATACGGAATCGGATCACCCGAAGCACTTGCCCAGGCTGCAAAGCAGGTGGAGCAGGCCGACTATTTATCGCGGATTCTGGACGATATGGGGTCTTTGGTCCAGAGAAAGCTGGAAGGCGATAGAAGATCTGGTTCTGCCACAACTTCTCGACATGAGCCTACTAGGAGCTGCGACGGGGGAGCAGAAGCGCCAGATGCGGCAAAGCGAACAGGGATGGTTGCAAGGGCGGAAAGTGGTGACCGAAACATTTTCAAAATTCCTTCGTATTATCGGCGAGAGGAGCAGGCGAGGGAAGAAGAATTTGAGGCAGGGCGGGCATTGTTTCCTGCAGCGCAGGAATGCTCCACAAGAAACAACTCGCTCGCTCGGAGTTGCGGGGCATGATTGCCAGCCAGCGCGCGACTTTGCAGAAAGGAAGATTCGATCATTTGGACTTTTTGTGTAGGAAAACGAAGAGTATAAGAACAATAAACCTAAACCTAATGATTTTTGCAGCCAATCTGCTTTGGCTTTGAGGAAACGAGCATGCGCACGTTGCTGGTTTAATTCGATCAAGACACGATGTTCGGAATTTGATCCCATTTCTTGCAAAGACGCATCTCGTTCTGACTTCTTCCTGATCTGTGGTCGAATCAAAAGTAGTGTTGGATCGCCATGATTTTTTCAAGCCATCTAGATCTAACCGATGCAAAACCAAAACACGGGATCATTTGGATTTCTTTCGTATCGCTTGAATTTTGACAAGGAGCGCAAGCTACCAAAAAACGTTGCAGAATGAAGCAGCTATCGACTATGTCGTCGCGCGCTAGCTCGAGCTCTCGCCGGTTCGTCGTTCCCGGCGCTACTACAACTGCCGACAGAAAACACCTTTCGTGGCGGGTTCTTTTCAGACGGGAGTTTCTTGGCTCACCAGACCACGTAAACGGTTCCTGTCGCGACCTTCGACACGCTGCATCTTCTGCGGCTTCTGGCAGCGTGATGATGTCAACGTGTAGCCGAAAGATCAACACAACTACGGCGATAACACCGACGAAAAAATCTTTCTCCACTACTACTTCAAGAAGATCTTTTTCCTCGCTTTCCTGGCATGACGAAATCGGCTCGCTGAGCTTGAGCGAGCGGCAGGAGGGGTTTCTGCTCTCCAAACTTCCCACACACATCACGGAACAGGATCTCTACCAACTCCTGCGGGGAGAGGGTGTTACCTTGGACGACATCTTTCTGGCCCGCTCCCGACTCGGTCGCAGCACCGGGCGGGCCGTGGTGAGGTGCGAGGAGAACATCCCGCACGTGGCAAAGATGCTCTCTTCGGTCTGGTTCGACGACCGGAATGCTTCTGGTTCTTCTGGCCCACCAGAAGGACACCTTCAAACACCCGCTCTGGCACAACCGCCTGAAGTCTCCTACCGCCCGCTGGATCGGCACGACATCCGGCTCTTCATCGAGCAGGCGGAAGCGCACCTCCGCTACAGCGACGACCTGCACTTCCTCGCACGCCCCGAGCACCTGTTGCGAACGGTCACTCTCCACAACGTTCCGCGCGCCTACGGCCGCCAGGACGTGGCGGCGGTGTTGCTGCAGCACTGCAGTGTGCAGATCCCGCCGGAGCACATCGTTTTCCAGATGAAAAAACACGGCATCCAGGGCGACATGTGTTTCGTGGTCTGCGACAGCGAAAAGCAGGCGAAGCACGTGATGGCGGCGGTGCAGGAGCTGGCGGTGCCCAAGCACGCCAAGTACGAAACGCTGTTCGGCTGCTCCTTTCTGTACGCCGATCGGAGCTGTTTGTTCTGGAACAACGACTAGCAAATGTGAAAAAGTCTGGGTCTGGAAAAAGGCAAGATTTGTGATGCAGGTTTTCCATGACCCATGAGGTCTGGAATGCGAGACCCAGCATGACAGGTTCTTTGAGGTCTCTATCATGCCTTTCCTGCATGAGAAACTCCCTCTCAACTTACTTGGTCAAAAGCGGACAGCTTTTGGCACTCTTGCAACACAGATTTTTGCATCATTTAGATTTAGCATGACAAGTTCTAACCTTCCAGACCCAGACACTTTTGCAATCCATAACGACGGCAGCGAGCAACTCGACTTCGAGCAGGAAAACCGTTACCAGGTGTACACGCAGGGCTGGGACAAAGACCTGTCGGTGGAGGAATTCACGTCCTTTTTAAACCACTTGAAATTCTTCCCGGAACGGGTCAGGAAGCTGCATTCCGTGCTCCCGTTGGCGGGAGGGGAAGAGAGATTGGCAAGAAGACAAAATATGACCGACTCGGAGGATCATCATGTTGGCCATGCTGCAGATCATCTTCATTCGGAGAATAAGCAAAGACCCCTTGGTAGTTGTGCACAAGACCAAGCACTAGACGCGGAGTCCTCATCTCTTTCTCCACATGTTGACGTTGCAGAGGAATTATTTCCCGCTTTCTCCTCCGGCCTCACGATGAAGGATTTCAAGAACGATCAGATAAACAAAAAAAGAGCTCCTGGTGCACAAAAATTCCTTCCCTCCTCCGGGTTCATTCTTGAGTTTTCAAACATGAAGCTCACCAAAGCCTGTTTCACGCGCCTCCGGAGGATGAAGCGGCGCTGGCAAATGCCGGCGAGCACGCTCCTGTACGCGTATCCGCGCACTGTGGACGTTATCACACAGAAAAAAGCGGGCAGGGCATATTTGTATTGCAAAAATAAATACGTAAAAAAATCTGCATTGCGTATCCGAAAAGCATGCTATGGGGCCACACATGACAAATTTTTCTGTCTATTTATTTTTGCATTACAAAGATGCCCTGCCAGCTTTTTTCTCTGGGATAGACGTGCACTGGGCGCACGAGAAGGTGTTTGCGGACGAGAAGGAACAAGACGTCGAATTGGTGGAGCCAGTGGTGTATTAGGCTAGAAGATTGTCTTTACGCTTCTTGTCGAAAGCAAAGCTTTAATTTCAACTTGAGAATAAAGAGTTCCTTACTGACGTCTCTGATTTTATTGCTACAGCGAGTTGTGAGCGAAAGAACAATGTTGATGTTCGTGTTGCGCGCATGACAATGAGTAAGTACAATAGTCTGAGACCGCTGCGATCAGAGTTACTGAAAGCAATCATAGTCTGAGACCGCGGCGATCATAGTCTGAGGCCGCGCAAGCAAGCAACAGGAAAAACTGAAAGTGCAAGTAGGACAACCTGCGAGCAGGCAAATTGTGTCCATCGCTCGAATTTCTATCGGTGTGGTGCCCCAAAAGTCCTTTCCAAAGAGACGGCAGTCGAGAGAGAGAGGATCTGGTCGTGATATCGTACGTATTACCGCCAGCTAGAATAGAACACGAGATGATCAACATCTGACGTAGATCGTCACAAAAATAGGAAGAAACGCAATAGGATTTGCACAAGTTGTAACAAGGCGCGAGCACCACGATTCATTCAGTGTCGAGGAGGATAGAGTTTTGTTGTAACGCTACACGCGCAAAAACGTTTTGAGTGCCCACCAAAACATTCGTCGAAACAAATTTTGACAAAAGACTGAAGAACAGAGTGTCCTCCCATAGTACCCATGATAAGTTACAAGGTCTTGTGCTACCCATGTCTACCTGACTTCACTCCCGCCCAATTTGTTATTCTTGTTCATTGCATTCTGCTCAACATGCGACGTCTTAGCTCGTATAGTCTTCCTCTCGTCCAGCGACCTAGACAGGCAGTTGCATTTTCAATTTCGTAGTAAGAAGTGAGTAGAACGACAGTAGAAGTACGACAGTAATAAAATCCTCCAATGCAACTCCAATTTTCAATTTTCAGAAATCACCTCGAAAACAAGACACGCACGCTTCGCCCAACCGCCAATTTGATGAATTTCTTCTACCAAAAATAGTGAGGAGCCGAACCGATCGAATAATTGGTGAATTACGATGTAACAGTCAGATATTCACTCAACTCATCGGAGAGAATAAGTCCTTCAAGGCTGTGTGATACGTACTTTCATTTGAATCGGAAGAACCATGCCGCCGAAGATGGCTGTCAAGGGCAAGGCGGCTGCCAAGCCCCCGTCGAGAAGCAGCAGTCCTCAAGCCAGTGGGAAAAAAGGCAAAAAACCCATCTCATCTTCACCCGGCAGCGCCAGCATGAAGAAGGCTCCATTACCGGTGAAAAAGAAAAACGAGAAGGCGTCTCCCAGTAGGAAGAACGCCCCGCCAAAGTCCCCCGGAAAAACAACCGCATCATCGTCGTCCTCGTCGTCTACAAAAGCCGCGATGAAAAAGCAGGCGAGTCCGGGAACGCGCGGGAACCCCGGAGGAATTTCATCTAAGAAGAAGGACCACAACAGCAATAAGCAACAGTCATTGAAGGCTATTCCGGAGGACGAAGCTGTGGACGAAAGCGAAGTTCCGGATTTGAACGCGCAGCAGCAGAAGGCACTGAAGAAGCCGATGAAGAAAAAAGGCGACACGACGACCGGTAGCGAGTCCGAAACCGGCGGCAAGAAACACGTGGGGACGAAGTTGCTGCCGCCCCTCGCAGAGTGCTGGTGGGAACCGAAATCCAAGAACTGGGTGGCGCCGCAGTCCAAAGAGGATTTGGATGAGGAGCAGGTCGACCACTGCGTGATGGACGCCTCCTGGGTCATCCAGGAAGTGCCGTCCGGCCGGTCCACCTGCCGACGATGCGGTGAGTTCATCGAAAAGGGGCTGTACCGTGTCGGGTACCCGGTGAAAGACCGACGGGGCGACTACTGGGCCCTGTCGCATTGGCTGCACCTCGGCTGCGCGAGCTACTCCTTTTTTCAGGACCCCAGCCTGTGCGAAACGATCTTCGACAAGGGGAAAAAGGCGATAGTACTACAGATAGCTACTGCTTGCTTTTTTTTTAGGCGTTCAATTATTTTGTGATGCAGAGTCGTTCAGACCGAGAGGGGAAGAATGAATTTGAATTTCTAGACTTGTATTGCATCAGTTGTAGATGGACCTTGTTCTTTTTCGCTACTTATACGGAAACATGATGAATATGATGAAACAACGTGAACGATTTATCAGACGAAGGACCTGTGCACGAGGGAAATGGTGAATTTCGCGGAACTGCCTGCGGCGGAGAAAACCAAAGCCCTTGCGGAGCTGCAACCGAAGGAAGAACAGCAGGAGGACGAGGACGAGGAGGAGGACACCGGCCCCAAGCCGACGATGCAGGTGCAGGGGCTGACCGTTCCGCTGCTCAAGTTTCAGCAGGAAGGGCTGCACTGGCTCGTCGGAAAAGAGAACGACGAGAAGACGAAGGGCGGAATCTTGTCGGACGAGATGGGGATGGGCAAGACGATTCAGATGATCAGCTTGATCCTGAAGCAGCGCAAGTCCCCCACACTGGTCGTCTGTCCGACCGCAGCGGTGTTGCAATGGCGAAACGAGATCCATCGGTTCACGAACGAGATCGAAGTGCGGGTGTACCACGGCGGCGGGAGGTCCGCGTTGCTGGATTTCACAGCGGACGATGTCGGGAAAATCGTGGTAATACTGACCACCTACCAGACTATGGAGTACGACTACCGACAGGTCATCAACGAGCACAAAGTGAAGTGCGAATACTGCGGCAAGGCTTTCCTTCCCGACAAGCTGCAGTTTCACTTGACCTACTTCTGCGGCCCGGACGCGCAGATGACCGAGGCGCAGCAGAAAACCAGCCGCAAGGAAGCGGTGGCGAAGCAGATGAAGATCGGGGGCAAGGATTCCGGCATCAACTTTGACCCGATCCACAGTCTGCGCACCGCAACCATGCAGGCGAACAAGGAAATGTGGAAAAATCTGCGGGAAAACGAGAAAAACAAAAAAGTCGGCTCTGGTGGTGCAGCCGCGTCCTCGTCTTCCAGTAGTACTAAAGCCGCAAATGGAGGTCGGAAGTTGATGATAGGCGGTTACGAAACCAACATCGACTTCGCGCCAGCAGCGAAATCTGCGAAAACGGGGGACAAAAAGGGCGCGGGGAAAAAGATGTTGAATGGAAGCACGACCGGAACTACTACCGCAGCTTCTTCATCAGGAGACAAGTCGATGAATAACAACATGCCCTACCTGCCGTTTCCGATCTCCGCGCTGCCGAAAGAAGCGCAGAACCAAATTCTTGGCAAATCCTCAAACCAGAAGGAATTGGAAGACAAAGCGATGAGTGCGTGGGAAAAAGTAAAGAGTAAGAAGATGAAAACTGGTGGCGGCACTACAACAAAGGAGGCGATGAAAACTAGCACAGGGACAACACCAAATTCTTCCTCCTCGTCTACCAACACCGGTGGCGCGTCCTCCAGTTCGTCGAATGATAACGACAAGAATGACAAGAGCACGAACGCTTTGGAGAGCCTGCAGGTTGTCCAGCCGATGAAAAGATTACGGGGCAAGACCGACATCATGGAAATGTCCGACGTGACGTCGGCCGAGATGGAGCAAGCGAAATTGAAGAGCACGCAGAGCCAAGCGACGCAAGGCTCGCCCTCCGCGAAAAAAGCGAAAAAGAGGAAAACAAGTATCGGATTTGTCTCCTGCTTCTAGTTCTTTTTTGCGGGACCCTATGCCTAATCCTTCGATGTGCGTTCGTTTATGGGTCGCTTGTGCGACGAGAAATTCCTGCATGTCGATAACAAAGTAAAAGAAATCTTACTCTTTTCAATAAACCACAGTTGTCCTCTCCACGAAAGCCGAAAAAGTTGACGGTGAGATGTTGGCCAACCTTCTGAAGAACAAGCCGCAGTACAAGCTAGTCTTTGAACAGCGGGTGGAGAACAAGCAGACCATTCAACTCGGCCCGAAGACTTTTTCGGTGGAGCTTCTCACGTACGCGTTGCAGGAATACGAGAGGGATTTCGCCGAACAGGGGAACAACTTAGCCAAGATTTTGATTAGCAAGCCGCAGTACGTACCCTTGTTTGAGACTCGATTGCAGAAACAAGAGGCTTTGCAGCTGGCCGGAGCGACGTATTCTGTCGAGCTGATCGAGTACGCGATGGAGCAGTTTAGACAAGACGAGGAGACGAAGAAAACTTCTTCTTCAAAAGCGATGAAAAGTAAAAAAGCCGGTGGTGCTGCAGTTCCTTCCGTGAAGGAAGAATTCCTAGTTGCAGACGACGATCAGGATGACGCGGAGGACGAGGGAGGGAAAACCTCCAAAATGAAGGGCGTGCCCACCGCAGCGAGGAGTCGAGGTATTAGACTGATAGTTTTAGATACAGCGAAAGATATGTTGATACAGCAGGGGTTTTGCATGTGCAGCTTGCTTGTTATTTTCTGCAACCGCATGACAAACAAGTAGACCTTCCGTAATAAAGTACATTCGGAATGCAGAAGTGAACCTATTTAATGATCAACTATCTATACAAATCAACCTCAGGCGCCGCCGCGGCCACGGCGAACAATAAACAAACCACAAAGGCCAATGCAACTAACCAAGACACCATTGAGGACGCCGCCCTGCTGTGCGAGCCCGCGGATGACGACGCCATCCGCGGGCCTCCGGGAGCCCAGGAGGACTTTGATTTTACCAAGTCCCCGCTGTTCAACACGGTTTTCGAGCGCGTTATCCTCGACGAAGCGCACCGCATCAAGACCCGCACGACGTCCACGTGCCAAGCCGCATTTGCGTTACAATCCAACACGCGGTGGTGCGTGTCCGGCACGCCGTTGCAGAACCGCGTGGGGGAGTTGTTCTCTCTGGTCCGCTTCATCCGGCTGAAACCCTTCGCCTACCTGTTCTGTCAGAAGAAGGGGTGCGATTGCTGCCTGCTGGACTTCAAGCTGAACGTGGAAGGGGACTACATGTGTACCAAGTGCGGGCACGGGAAGGGACAGCACCGGAACTACTTCCAGCAGCACATCACCCTACCGTTGCAAAAATACGGCAACAATGTCGGACTCGGGAAGAAGGCCATGCTGTTGCTGAAGAACGAGGTGCTCGCCCGGTCGGTGCTGAGAAGAACAAAAGAGGAGCGGAAGGCGGACTTGAACCTCCCGTCGTTGACGATCCAGGTCAGGAGGGATCAAATGTCCAAGGCGGAAAAGGATTTCTACCAGTCGATGTACATGCAGACCAGCACCGAGTTCAACACCTACGTGGATAAGGGAACTTTGCTCCACAACTACGCGCACGTGTTCGATTTGATCATGCGGCTGCGGCAGGCGGTCGACCATCCGTACTTGATTATCCACGGGATGGGGTCGATCGGCCAGGCGAACATGCCGTCCAAGTCGAACAAGAAAGAAAACGACAGTCGCATGGTGTGCACGCTCTGTCAAGACATCTGCCAGAAGCAGGTGATTGCGAAGTGCGGGCACGCGTTCTGCACGGACTGCGTCACCGAATACATCGAAGACGCGCCGGAAATGGAGCAGGGCGGCGTTGGCTGTCCGGCCTGCTTCGCACCACTCACGGTAGATTTGAACCCCGCAAGTAGCAACGACGATGACGATGAGGACGATGAGAACAACAATCCGAGCCCGAGCGAGGAAGAGTCCTCCGACGGGGAAAATAGCTCGGAAGATGCGGGCTTGAAATCTTCACCAGCTGATGCAACAAACGACGAGAACAATAATAAGAAGCCAACTAAACCGGTGAAAAAAACCGCAAAAAAGCAAACTTTCATCGACCAGATCAACATCGAGAACTTCGAATCCAGTACGAAAATTGAGGCTTTGGTTCACGAAATTCAGAACATCCCGGCCGACTCGAAGGCGCTGGTGTTTTCGCAGTTCATCCGGTTTCTCGACCTGATCGAGTTCCGGCTGAAGCGCGAGTGCATCCCCTGTGCGAAACTGAACGGGTCGCAGTCGATCCAGTCGAGAAACAACATCATCGCGGACTTCCACACCAACCCGATCGGGTCGAAGGTGTTGCTCGTCTCCCTGAAGGCCGGCGGCGAGGGGTTGAATTTGCAACGCGCGAACTACATTTACGTGATGGACCCCTGGTGGAATCCGGCGGCGGAATTGCAGGCCATGCAGCGAGCGCACCGGATCGGGCAGACGCGGCCCGTCATTGCCAAGCGGTTCGTATTGAAGGACACGATCGAGGAAAAAATTCTGGAGCTACAGGCGAAAAAGCAGGCTGTGTTTGACGCGACGGTCGGAAAATCCGGGGCCGCCTGGGGAAAACTCAGTGCGGAAGACTTGAAGTATTTGTTTACGCAATGAAGAAATGAACACCGATACTGAAGATTTTTATAGCATCTGACTCTTGTCATGCTCATGAGCATAACCATCCTTCCACGTTGATCATGTGTGCAGCTGTTTTCGATGTTGAATTTTATGGCGACAAGAAATGATGTTAATCCTTTCTCGCACGTCAAACTAACCTAAACAACGAATGAAAAGTGCAAAAAGAATATAGGGCCCCCTTGAGCAGATCAAGTTGAGCTTCTTTTATGATGCTTTGAGTCTTTGGACTTGAAGGAAGCGAATTTTCCATTGTCACTTATGCAATAAAAGCGAAAAGCTAAGCACAGAAGTTTCCGTTTCTGTTTGTGCAGATGATGCAATTTCCCATCGAATTGCATTTTCTTCTCCGTCTTTTAGGAAGTTGCAAAAAGAGTATCGCATTTTTTTCTGACCTCTCACAGTTGCTTCAGAAACCGGGACAATAACCACCAAGTTGTGACGGTAGTACCTTGCTCTGGAGTAGTAGGATTGAAACTATTTGAGGCCACCCGACAACATTTTTCGTCGTGACCTTTTTTAGTCATTCAAAACTTCTACTCCCTAAAAGTTCTGCTTTTAGGACAATGACGTCGACGCTCTACTAAAAATTCCACATCTAAAGTTCGTTCTGACTTAATATTTCTAGTATTCTGTTTTCCGAACTGTATACCCTTTTTGGCTACCAAGAAAATCAAACCTTCCTCCTGCTGCCCACAACACCCTGTCATCTTTCAGCGACCATTGGGAAGAAGACCCAGCAGCATTAGACGACAAAATACGCGACCTTTTATTTGGCGACTTTCCGCTTTTTCGCGACGCAATGAAGATAAGAAAAAAAAGTGAGGAAATTATATTCCGCTTTGGCATCGGCGACCGCGGCCAAAACTTGAACCTGCTATGCTTTGCAAAGTACTTCTTGATTGTTCACCTCGGGAACTAGTATTCGTTTTTGTTTCTTTCAGTCAGCACGCGTTACGTGAGATTCCACGTTGAAGTGGCGCCTGGTATTGTGAAGACCCGTGAATTACGTCTGTGGTGGAAATGCTTCGGATATATGTGGTATGCGCCGTATCATGCGAAAGTCAAAGTGTCTCTGTGTGCGCGTCGATGTCCTCTCTGCAGTGTGTGCATATCACACGTCGGTTTTTCTGGTCGGTCGGTGGTAAAATTCAACCTGTGCTGGCGTCTGTAATGGAAACGGAATTGACATAGATTGTTGTCGTATGCATATATCATGATTACTACTTTGTTCTATTTGGACTTGCAAAATTCGTTGCTACGTATAGATCGAGTACAACTTCCAAACCTGAACCTGAACCTTCTATCTTTGCTCGGGTCCTGACTTCACTGACATTCACCGTCTTTCGTAAATAAGTAGCATCACCCCGCCGGCGCAATTTGCGTGCACGACCGGAGGAAGTATTAAGTAGGTATCCGTACTCGAAAACCGGCAACACGCGATAAATATTACGAACAAGATTGATTAAACCCGACACTAGTACAACCCTATCGTTGTCAATCACCAGGCCCTGAGGCAGAAATCAATCAAGATGCTCCAGCGCGCGTCGACGTTTCTTGTCGGCACGCAGCAGCAGCGCCACAATTATCCAAGGAAAAAAGTGTGTAAGTGTAACTTTTTTGCAGGAACAGCATTACAGATTTGCTCTGCATAACAGAGAAAACCTGTTATGCGTAGCTAGTACGCGAAAACACGTATGAAAATAGCCTCTGATGCACATCCAGCATGACAAGTGTAACTGTATTGCAACGTCTGCAACACAAAGTTACACTTACACAGTTTCTTTCTTGGATAACAATCTCGCCGAGTTCAAAAAGGACGAACGGGAAACCGTGGAAGCGACGTGGCAACGGAAGAAGGATTATCAAATGCAAATGTGTTTGGGTCTGGAAGGAACCTTCTAAACTTGTGATGCTGTCTCTGGATTCTGAAAAAATTTGTATTGCATGACCAGCAAGAGGACTCCAGTTTGTGCTACTTACGCGGAGATGGCGTTTCTCATGCGGTAGAGGTATCACAAAGCGCTCTAAAAATCTGTGATGCTACGGCATGCATCACCGACATCATGGGTCATGGAAAATATGCCTGAAAAATCTAGAAATCTTCCAGACCCAGACATTTTGGCATTTGATAAGGATGTGGCGCTTTGCTTCCAGTCCGAGTCCTACGGGGACATCCACCCGTATGGATGTGTCAGGATCGAAATCGACAAAATCGAAAAAATTGTGACGCATGATAAAATGTAGGGCACTGAAGGCCTGCATCCATTGGGGAGCAGGCAAATAAAACCGATTGCAAGCCTGTTTCGGGGTATACAATGCGCCGCCAAAGTAGCATGACAGGAGCAGTCTTCTTTGCCCAAACAGCATGACAGACTGGCTTTGGGTGCCCAAACAGCATGTCATGCGCCTCTTGGAAACTGAGGCTCCAACTGATATCGATTTTATGCATCACAAGTTTTTCGATTTTGTCAATTTCGATTCTGACACTTCCATAACCCGCAGAAGGTGGCAATGAAGGCCACGTTCGCGGATGCGGTCATCACCACGCCCATGCTGACCGGAGTTATGGACGGAGTGAGTCAGTTGGAAGAATACGGCTACAACCCCATGGACCTTCCGGACGCCCTGTGCCGGGCCTGCGAAGAGCTGGCCTACCAGCAGCTCATGCCCGAGGAGAAAAGTTTGCACAGCAAACCGAAGGAAATGTATTTATAGCAGATCGGAGTCATGTTGGTTCCTACAGGACGAGCTTATTTTGCGAATGCGTTTACAACTTGCTGGTCGCCTCTTGCTTTAGCACAGTTTGTGAAGCAGGTGTGCAGCATGCGAGCGATCCTAGAAGTTAGTACCGACCTACAACAAGCAAAAATAGAAGTGCGACGGCATGTAGTTGATCAAGATGTTGACACTGTTGTACCAGATACAAGGGCCCCGTTTCCCTCCTCACCGACGCGTACGAATCAACTTCCGCCTTGGGCTCGACAACGATAATGCTGTGCGCACTGGACAACATGACGAAGGTGCACGGCAAGACCCACCCCATGATCGCGGTGTTGTCGATAGGAGACTGTGGCATGCTGTTGCTGCGCAGGAGTGCTGTCAACGCACCACTCGAGCGGGTATCTTCTGTACAACTGTTGCGATTGCGAACTTCTTTATGACTCTGCCTGTCATGCACAATGGGCTAGAGAGGACAAGTTCATTGGGGGAGTTTGTTCTTCATGATGCGCAAACCAAATGAACGAAAAGGTCTTCAACACCGATATGCAAAGGATAGGTGGGCACAAGCAAGCGCCTTTGCAGGTGGCGCGCGTCGATGCACGAATAGACGAAGACTTCGACGAGGACATAGCGCTTGAGGTACGATAAGGAGCACAAAGTAGAGGTTTTTGAATTACCAAAAGTAGCCGCCACATTAGTATGAGAAGCCTTTTATCGTAACGCTATTTTTGATGTCTGCCTCGACAAGGGCTCTTGCCTTGGACCTTGCGTTATCAGATCTATCTTCTCTCTTAGATCAGCTCACCTAGCGCATGCAATGCGTTTTTAGGGCAGCTTACTCAACAGCGTTGGTTTGAAAGCGAGGCGAACAACATGAAGTTGAGACAAAGATCCATACATAATCGGACGCATCAGGCTTCTCTGTTTTCTACACTTACTGGCATTTTTGTCTTTGTCGGTACCTCACAGCAGGTCCGATCGACAGTAGCAGCGAAAAAGAAGAAGATCTAGTTGTAACTGGTGCATCACGCCAAAAAAAAGGTCATTCAAGAGGGATCCGCAGTGCATTGCTTCACGGCGCATGAAGGCGACGTAGTGATAATGGGCAGTGGTATTGTTTTCTTGCTTGGCACTGATGAAATGTGTTCTGTTGCATGACAAGCTCTGACTCAACCTACTTCAGCCTCTCATTCTCAATATAGTCGCGTTGAAGTGATATTGTGGGACTGCAATGTGACCCACAGCGATTTTTGTTGAATAAAGACAGCGCTTGCTCGTCTTTGCGACTTGTACCATTTTACACCTAGAAAAATAGGATAGTGCGAAGAACCCCTTCAAATTTCGTCTAAGTTGTAGTATGAATTTCAGTAGTGTAGAAGTTACAGTTTAGAAGTTGCTAACTTTCTTGTTTGTTACTTCTCAGAAATGAAAAGTATCCGGGTTGGACGTGGAAAGAAAGACGCACAGTAGTATATCACTAAGCACGAAAGATATTAAAGCACGGCGAAAACCACGTATAGCGACGACAGCAAAAGTTTTATGCCATAGTGTTTTTCAGTGGTTTTTTGGATTTCAGACTTTCTGATTACATTTTTCGAGAAATACGAAATATTTTCGCGACCGACAAATGATTTTCTTTAACCTCAATCTTTCGAAGTTGTCAACCGCGACTCCTACAGGTTTAGAAAGTTGACAGTGCTGCTGAAAATTGAGGCTATACAGCACCCCTTTCAAGGTCAGCCAGATTCTACGCAGAATAATTATCTACTTTTTTATGCTCCGCCTCGCTCCGCCAGCGCGCAAGGGCAAGGCCTCAAAAGTTGAATGTCAAAGACAACCTTATTCTATCTTTCTTGCATGATTATTACTTAGTTTTACAATTTTCACATTACCAACTTCCATGATTTTCTGTGCGCTTTCTGTGTGCAGGAGATCATTGCAACAATTTTTTACGTGCTAAAGTGACTGGTCACTCGACGTCGCATCAAGTATGATATTGCCGTGACAGGCGGTACGCGATATCGAACCATTACATGATAAATCGATCGCCCTTTGAGAATTGTCTCCAATTATCAAAAAACTATTTCCTACGTCATTCCAAAATTTTTCATCGTGATTGCTCATTTTTTTTTCGTACACAACGTATCGATAATCCATTACTATCGAACGGGTCATCTACGACTCGGATGTAAATATTTTTTTTCCGTTTTGTTTATCGAAACCAAACACCCAAAGCGATTTGTCATGGTGACTCCCACCAGCAACGGTGACGAAACCAAGCCCGCGCGAGAGGGGAAGAGCGGGCTGCTGGAAGGCGCTTTGCATCTTGCAGCGGAACAAGTAGATGATCTTCATGTTGCGGAAGCGAGTTCGAGTTCGTCGACATTTCTGATCAACCAGGAACCGCATGACCGCAGGTTAGATTCTTCAGACCCGCAAGCTAGGACGGGAGCAGCAAGTGCCACGACGACGGGCAATAAGCGGCCCGCTATCGACGGTCACGATGCTCCGGGAAGAGGACCTTCGTCGCCGAAAAGGAGCTGTCAACCTGCTCCAGGCGAACAGGAGCACTTCAGTTCTTCTTCTTTGCTTTTGCACAAGGAAGACGATAATAAACTCGAGTCGTTTCAACATTTTTTCTCCACCGCCCTGTCTACTTGCACTTCACAGGACCACGAGGACCTCGACCAGCCGCTCTCTGAGGATGCGGAAACGACTACAAATGTGCGCGCAAGGAAAACGAAAATCTTGAAAATCGACGGGGCACAAGATGACAGCAGTGTTGGTGCGGAGGGGGCGCGAGATGGTGGTTTGATATTTGGATCCGTGGGTCGTGAAAAGGAAAGTGAAGATGATCCTTCTAGAGACAAAATCATCTCCAGTGTGGCAGTTCCAGTTGCAGCTGTCGTTCCGGGTGCTCAAGACGCGCTGCAAGGGGAACGGGTGGCAGAGATGGAATTGCACTTGGACCGAACAAACTCGTCGGGCGAAAAGGTAGCGATGGATAGCGACGGCGGCGTCCCTGACAATACTTCCAGTGATATCATTGCAGTTGAGACGCAGCAAGAGCGGGAGGATCGCGATGAATCTGTTCTACCTCTTTCCACCGGAGATGAAAATATTACCCCTTTCAAGAACAACAACGTGGAGCAAGGAGAAGCAGCTGCAGTCGAACCTCCTGCTTCACCTCTTTCTCCTGCGCCGGCTCCTATTACTTTTCCTTGTGTGGACGAGGTACCACAAGAGCCCGCTAACCTGAAAGAAGAAAAATCACGAGGCGGAGCTGACAACTCCGACGCGCAGGAGGTGGAGATGATGATGAATTACCCTACCCTGAAACTGAACGGGATAAAGCCGTACGTGGACAAAGCCAGCATCAAATCATGGTTAGGGGACGAAGTTTTGCAGGCGCTGGTCGGCGGTTGGATGCTGGAGGAAGGTAAAAACGAAAAAACAAATCAGAGCCATCTTCCGGAAGATGAGTCCTGCACAAATAAAGGTAAGGGGAAAAAGCACAAAAATAAAAGTACTAGCAAGTACTACAACAAGCGAGACGTGGACAAGAGGCCCCGGAAGATGATCCTAAACAACCACGCTCCTGTCACCCCGGATGACGACCTGGCGGGCACGGATTACCTGATCAAGTTTGACTACGACAACGACTTTTTCCAAATCGCCTTCAGCGATTTAAAAACGTGTTTGAAGACAAAGAGCCTCCTCTGCAATAACGGCAAGCCCTTCGTCGTGATTACCGACGCCGAGAATAAATACTGTTCCCAACGAGGACCCCAGACGAAGATGATGAAGCAGGCGAACAAAAGCTGCAAAACCGCGTCCGAGCGCGCCGCCCGCGTGGTCCAGCGGGAGCTCCCGCAGGCCTCCAGCCGGACGATCTTGCTGGCCATCGAGGTGGACGGGCCGATCTGGTCCCGGACAGGCGAAGACGTGGACCGTAAACTCGTACTGGACGTGATGAGGGAGATCCTCGAGGAAGAGAAGGCAGAAAAAAACAACGACCCGGACGACTGCACGACCGGTGAGGAAAAGCCGCTGCTCTTCCAGAAATTGCAGCAGGTCATCGAACGAGAGGGACTCAACAATAACGGCAAGGGCGAGGAGGTGGAACTACTACAGCAAGGAGAACTACAGTCCTTGCCTGTCGCGGGAAAATCAGTAGAGCAAGACCCCAGCAGCAGGGAAAATCGAATGCAACAACCTACTATGAAGCGCAAAAGCATCGCGGGCAATACCTCTTACCGTGCCGGGTTGGAAGGGGTCGTTACCGGAGTAGAAGTATGCGGTAAAAAAAATGCAGCACCGTGGTCCACCTCCAAGAAGGAGCAGAAGAAGACAGGTTCTGCTTCCAAAAAACAAAAGTCGATGAGGAAGAGCAGCGTTTTACCGGTCCCGTCACCCGTGTTGAAAAGGAACAACGGTGGTAGTTCCTCTAGTACAGCGACGGCGTCTTCTTCTACGGGGGCGGCCACGACGACACATCAGCTACAGGCTGGTGATGCAGCACAAGGAGATCAGCTTCCAGAGGCAGCTATTTCTCCGGGTGCTGTCGTCGCAGCACAGGGAGACGACTACAGCAGCGCTGCCGGTGGTCCGCCTCCGCGCCTCTCGTTCACGGAATGGTACATGATAAATTACGCCTACCAGGATTACCACAACGGGAACAAGTTTAACAGCAACATGAACGACGGGCAATTGCAGATCCCCGAAACCGCCACCGCTCCGTCCGAGGTTAGCCGCTTCAAAGACTGCGAGATCGTCACCACGGGATGGGACGCCACACCGAAAATGCCCGTCACTTCCCTCTCCGGGGATGGCTCTTCGTCGTATGAGCCGAAAAGTGCGGCGGGGACCATGAAGAACTCCGTGAATACCAAAGGTTCATCTTCGCCGGGGCAGCTGCAAGAATCAGCGACCCCAGGCTCGTCCGTAGTTTGCACGCCGTTTATGCTGGGCGCGGAGAGCAGCAGTCCGGAATCTGGGTGGGCGAGTCATGATGAACACAAAGGAACAGATTTCTTGCAAGAGATGCCTACCAGTTCCAGCGGCGCACCAGACGGAGCCGCCGGAAAAAATGGTGGTCCACTGCTCACAGGTGTTGACAAGATAAAGTCCCAGCAGAGCAGTAGTACCACCTCGACGTCGGATAGGATCAACGCTACGGAAACAGAAACGGACAAACTCATCAACGCGGCCTTTGCCAGTGCTCTGACCAATGCGGGCGGCTGTGGGCAAGAAAATGAACAGCAGAGCGGTGTGCGTTCTCACAAGAGCCACGCGATCTCTGCCACAACGTCCTCCCTGCCAGACGGTGCGTCAACAGCGGCTTTATCTGCTGCTACAGCCGCTAGTACAACCTCTAACCTCCTGTCCGAACTAGGTCTAGTACCGCAGACTGGGGGAGGCTCCCACGGCCCGGCCGCAATGTTGCAGTCGCAGGGTGTAGTCGCAAATACAAATGCAAACCTGCAGAACATGACGGCAAGTGAGGAAATTACCCAGCTTTTGTCGATGTGCACCTCGTCGCCGACGTTCGAAGAGCAGGGGCTGGTGATTCCTGCATCGTCCGCACCTCCTGCTCATCAAGCGAATGATCGACCTAGTAACTTCATGGCTGAGGCGGAAAAGCTCATCCTGGCTGCGATCGGGGGGTCAACATCTGCGCCCGGCGAGGAAAACAATGATCTTCACCATTATAAAGCTTCTGGGCCTACTACTTCGTGTTCACCTTCATCTTGTTCACAACTTTTGAATAACCTTAACCTCGACCTCGAAAGCCTGCTCGCAGACACGACCAATGGTCCAACGCCCATCACCACCGCGGCGACGCCGCTGGGCGCTGGATCTACTACCACTTCCAGCGGAGGTTCTTTTTACCCGAACGGCAGTCCGGGTGGTCACCATTGGGATCTTCAAGTTGGCAAGATGATGTCCCCTTCTGTCTCCGCGAGCTACAACAACGGCGACCACTACAAATATCACCAGTACGATTCGTGGGGGAAAGATAAGAATTCTTGGGGCTGTGGTCCTGCGAAGGGAATGAGTGAGAGCTATCACAGCTACATGGCTCCTGCTGCTGGAATGATGTTGAAGGGCGGGAAAAATAAGGACAAGCACAACAACTACAGCAATAATTGGGCGTTTTTCAATAAAGGGCACACCAAAGGCAATTTTCCTCACCAGCCCTCTGACGTTCTTTCGCACCAGCGACAAGTTTTCGGGCCGCCGAGTGATTGGTTTGCGGAGATGGAGAATGATAAGAATGACCGGAATAAACGGAATCAAAAGGGCGGAAACAAGAATGGAAACAATACCCGGAAGAGCAGTCGACACAATTTTGCGCCGATGGCATCGTCGTGTGCATCTAGATCTACTTCTGCGGCCGCCGACGCGAGTGCGAGTGGAAAGCAGAACGGAACAAACGCCAAAAAGGGGCCCAGCAACAACAGCGGCAGAAACAAAAGAAAAATGAACAAGAAGAAGTCTCGTACCGAGTCCGCGTTTACTACTGCATCAAACGCTGCGCCGCCGGAAACTGACGAGAAGGACCACAGTACCAAGGAGATCATGTTGCAGGAGAGTGAAGAGGATGTTGTGAAAATTAATCCAAGCAACACCGAGTTGAAACAGGACAAGCCAGTGGAGCCGCTTCAGAACAGCGAAACTACCGACGTGATGAACACAACTGCAGCTGTTGCTACACCTTCTTGCGAGGTAGAAGACGCAGCTATGAAAATAAACCCTGCAGCTGCTGACGAGGAGGGAACTGCTGGTGGTCCTCACGAGCTAAAACAAGACAGCTCGACGAATGAAATAGGGAGTGTGCTGCAAGATTCGCCCTGCAGCACTAGCCCTGAGGCAAGCTGCTGCAACACCAATAATATGTCATCTTGCGGCAAGAAGAGCGTCGTGGTCCTCCCGGACCATCTTCACAACTCGTCTAGTACCATTGCAGCTGCATGCGAGGACGCAGGACCACGACAAGGTCTCGTTGAGATGGAGGGTGTTTCTGCTGGGAAGGTGGCAGAGCGACCCTTTGCTCCTGCCACGACAGCTTCATCTGCAAAAGAGGAACAACTGCCCGAAGCAGCAGCAGAGGAGGAACAACTGGACAGCACAGAAAAAGCCGTACAACAGCCTGATGATGCAAAAAATTTTGTTGTTGAGGACAGTACTATTGCACCCGACAGTATGAGAACTTTTGCGAATGTGGCTCCTGGTCTTCCTGCTGTTGTCGAAGATGATATTGGTCGTGCTGCAGCTGCTGGTGGTGCTACCGTGGCCACGACCTCTTCTTCCCCTGCAGCTGATGAAACTGGGCCAGCAACCGCGGTTGTTCTACCAGCGGCGAAAGAAACCAGCCTTAGTGGCGATTTTGTGAGTTGCGGTGCCAGCGATCGTTCGCCAGAAGAGGAAGAGCCTGTAGATGACAGCAAGGAGATAAAATTTGAAGACGCAGCGTCGGAAGTCGAGACTCTTTGTTCCGGAGGACGCACAACGACAACTCGTCCTGCGCAAGGCTATGTCGAATTAGGGAACAAGAACACTCCAGAAGATCATGCTGAAAACAAGTCCTCCGCTGAGATGAGCATGTATGACGTCGTTGCCAGCACAAACAGTGCCAGTGTAGCCAGTGCAACAGTGGTCTCTTCTGCCGAAAAAAACAATTCCGACAGGAGCCTTGTGTCTACTAGTAGTACCAGTATCATCGCTACAAGTACAACTACTACCAGTCCGGACGTAAAAAAAGAAGCTTCCCGGGACCAGCAGGTGGACGGACCCACGCCGGGTTCGACGGGTGATGATGACTGCGCTGGTAGTAGTTCTATTGTGATGAAAGCTGAGCAAAAGGAAAACAAGGAGAAGCTGCTGAAAGACGAAGAGTCTGTAGAAGTGGTTGTCAAGGAATTTCATAAAATCGAGCGGGTAATTCTACCAGAGACGCCTGAGCGGGCGGATGTTTCGAGTGTTTCATCGAGTTGGCACCACAAGAAGAGACGTAAGTCGCAATCCGCTCCGAGCCAGGCAATCACCCGCGTGATCATCCCCGACGATGATGACGGGGGGAAGACTTCGCGGCGAATCGGCAATGCCTACACAACGATGCGGGAGGCGGTTTTGAACGGGCAGGACAAACACCTTGCGAAGTGTGCGTTTATTAACCGCAAACGAAGGAAACACACGGAGCATGAGGTGGCTCTTGTTCTTCACAACCAGGAAGCAGGAGCAGCTCCAGGAGGAGATGCAACAACTGCTAGTATTGACGGGGTGGAAATTATCCCACGAAAAAACTGTTTCACTGTGATGATTTTGCAGGATCTGCATCACAAGTTTGCTACACATGACAAAGAAAACTTGGCATGCGTGCTTCCTAAGGGAAAACACGGCGAAAAATCCAATGTCTTGCATGTATAGCAAAACAAACACATTTGCGTTCCCTTCTATGCATCACAAGTTCACAGTGAAACACTTTTTTCTTGCGATAGAAATACTAAAACAAGAACAGGCGAAGCAAAGTTTTGACGAGATGAACCAGGAATTCAGTGCAGCGAGCGGGAGTATTTTTTCCGAACAGGTTATGGATGTGTCAGAGTTGAAATCGACAAAGTTGAAATAACTTGCAATGCATAAAATGGATACCAGTTGGAAGCCCAATTTCTAAGCGGCGCATGACAAATTTCAGTAGAATCGAAATCCAGTCTGTAATGCTGTTTGGGTAAGGAGTACGCCTTTTGTCATGCTACTTTAGCAGCTCTATTTCTACCCCGAAACAGGCTTACAATCTGCCTCGCTTGCCTACTCTGCAAGACAGGCACTCTCTGCGTTGCATTTTATGCGTGACAAACTATTTCAACTTTGACGATTTCGATCCTGACACATCCATACAGGTTGAAAAAAGTGAAGAAGGTATTCCGGTTTCGCGGCTCATGTTGAAAAAGACGGCTAGCCATGATTTTTCATCAGCTTCGACTATCAAATGCAAAAGTGTCTGGGTCTGGAAACTTGTGACGCTGCGTTGGGAATAGTGAATGCTCTGTAATGCCCAGCCGAGCATGAGAAATATCTGCGCTTCGTTGTGTTGCGTTTTTCGCATGACAAACTGCGTTTTTGCATGACAGACAAAAGGGTATCTTCTTGGACACGCATCACAAACTTTTTGGTCATCCCAGACAAGCATCACAAATCTCGCAATCTTCCAGACCCAGACATTTTTGCATTTGATATCGACGTCCTCGATTGTGGGAGTACAAGAACCCGAAGCCAGTGGTAGTGCGATGGACGCGGACGAGGGCAACGTGAATAACAATAAAACCGAAGCTGATGCAGCAGCTGACAGTAGCGACAAGGCTGCTGCTCTCACTTTTGGTGTTGGCCAGGATCAGGAAGTAGAACATGAAAGCTTGTTGACCGGTATTAGTAAGATCATGAGCTGCGAAGATGTTCCTGCGACAGAAGTTGCAGAAAATTGTATCGAGATGAACGCAGATGCAATTTCACGATCTACAACCAGTGGAGCAGTGGAGGAGAAGGACCAGCAATTATCTTCTGCCTCACCGCTACAGAAGGATAGTACCTCCAGTGGCGAAAAAGAAAGACTGCCCGACACGATGGCATCTTCTACTCGGGATGCAGCTGCTGCAGATGAAGATGCGGAGCTCCACCCGAAGACCTCCTCAGAGACAAACAACAAAGGGGACAATTCTAGCAGTAAGAACCACAATCGGCCGTCCTGGAACAAGGGCAAGAACGACCACTGGAAATCCTGTTATAATAATTCGGACCACTTCAACATGAAAGGTAGAAACAACGGTAGAGATCAGGATTGGCACCGCGGCGGCACCACTTATGTTGAAAACAGCAAGAGCAACTACTACTTCCACAAGGGCGGCAATAAACACGGATACAACGACTATCTTCATTGTGGTCAAGGAACAAAGGGAATGAAGCAACATGAAGAAAATGATTCAACATCCCGAGGACGGGGCTACAACTACGGCCACTCGCCGTATTCCAGCTACAAGGGAAACAATTTTCATCATCCGAGCAGCAACTACAAAGGAGGTAAGTCTTTTTCCACACTAGCCAACTTCCCGAACGTTCACTATGGGAGAAAGAGCCCCTCGGGCCCCCCAAAGACGGACCAAGAACAGGAGCCTACCAACACGTCCGGCTACGGAGGGAAAAATAGCGCTCAACAGGGAGAACATCAACACCGTAACTATCGTCCAACCACGACGCCCCGACGAGGGCCGTATGCGCATGCCAAGGACCACTGGGACCATTACCGTGTTTTCGGTGGGAAGAATTACACCTACGACCACAGTTGTAATCATGACGGCTACTACTACAACAACTATCAGTCCGGCCGCAGGGGAACGCCAGAGGACTTCTATTACTGGCAGCGCCACAAAGGTGGAAAGGCGAACCGCGGCAAAGGGGAATTGAATATCTTCAAGGGCGGAGGGCATGAAGATTACCACGGGCAGCTGCAGCCGGGGGCAGACGCAGAATTTGCCGGCGATGGAGGCGCTTGGGGCGGGAAAGGCTCGGGAGAGAAGCAACAAACCGAATATGTGGATAATTACTGGCATACTCAGTACAATATCCACAGTAAATTTACCGTACACGACGACGTACTTATGCGGTTTGCGGTTTCTTTTTCTGCATGGAAAAACTTACCTTCTTCACTTCTGTTTAGAATGACGAGCGGCATGCTGCTCTATCTTGGCGAAATTTGTCATGCATTTTGTATGTGTGCGCGTGCGGGAAACTTGTATTGCATACACTACAACAACCAAGTTGCGGAGAACCAGCCTGACGAGGTACTTTTGGGCTTTCTGCGGCAACAAGTCGACAACTACCAGCACCACACCGGAGCAGGCGTGGCGATGCAAAACGTGGAGCAGCGTGAAGAGCAGCAGCAGACGAGTAGCGACCTGCAGCCTAATATCAGTAGCGCCCAGATGAAACAAGATCATGCCACAGTGCCTCCTCTCGAGCACATTCTGGCCGATGCTTTGACCCAGGCGGGGTTCGGTGCAGGAACGGGTGCTCTTTCCGAGGAGAAAAGCTGTGCTGTAGTGACTGAAACTGTGAACAACACACTTGGCAGCGCTGACAATCTCGCTGGTAGTTCCGTTGGCGTTGCCTCACCGGGAGCTGCTCCCGCGCGCGAGTGGTGGAGGTAGGAAGCAAAGCTACTTAAACCATAAGCAATTTACATGCTCATTCGCAATTATTTTAGAAAAGAACCAGACGTCCAATGTCAAGGCACTGTCTCGGCGTCGATAAGATTCATATCACCGTCAACGCAGACGGTAGTTCTACGAGATAACTACCGGTTTTTACCTTACTACTCAATCCTTATCCAGCACTTCTACGCGAGCCAGTAAAGGCTCTTCCTAATCGTTTCTCTGATACCTTTGCATTTTGAAGACCGCAATAAAAAAAAAGCGACGACGACCCCGCGCGCTTCTTTCGGTTTTCATCGTACTTTACTAAAGTTCTCAAAACAGAAACAAGTACTAAAGTAAAAATGAATGGAACTAGAGCTACTGCATCTGCCACCTTGGTCGAGACGTTCCAAGTGGAATTGCATGTCGCACATTCTACACCACGAAGAAATCAATATACGCAAAGCATTTTTAACAGTAGCAGTTTGTGATATAGAAAAAGACAGTGAAGACAGTGACAGGCAGCAGTCGATTCCGGTGTTGCTTCGCTGTCTACGCTTTTCCTTGGTGCTCTCGATTTTCTTTTAGGAAAAACAGTTTTTCGGAGACCGCCAGTACACGAATGCCGGATTGGATTTAGTGATCAGCAGACTCATATTTTTGTATGCAGTAATTGTGGTCTCCCGCAAGTAGAGTATGTTGATACACTTATTTTTAAACTTCTCTCCAACTACCGATGTAATCAAAATTGAGTTAGTCGAAACGGCGCTAACCGCAATTATAAGTCGAGAAAAAAATCACAAAAAAAAATAATGACCTAGAAAATATCGATAACGCTAGAAAAAAGATCATTTTCACTCCGCTGCAGAAAATCGCAAATTTTCATATCAACATTTTAGACGCCATTTTTTCTCCTGCATTTTGCGCTAACACTAGACACTTCTAACTATTGCAAAAAGGCTATTCAAAAACCTACAAATAAAGCAAGATCAAGCTGCTCGCAACTGAACTCCATAGAGTCAGTCGTGTGCAGATTTGATTGAAAAGTTTTGCATTAAATACTCGCAAAAAAAACAAAAAATGATATAAAAACCTTGAACGTGGTAGTGGTTCTACCCATAGTAGACAGAAATTCTCTCATAGTGTGACGGCATATAATGAAGAGTTCACGTCGTGGTACGTGGTCTATCTTCAGCAACAGCGTTTCACCTTCTTTTTGTTTTTGCTTGCTTTGTTTCGCGAAGCACGCATACTGCGGTCTTTGCTGCGTGTCATAGCATTTTGTGGCTGTTGCTTTCCGTTTGTCCACCTTTATTCGTTCTTTGATCGTCTGTCTCTAGAATCTTCGGAAGGTTCGTAAGGTTTGTTCACCTTCAGGCTTGTGTACAGCAGCGTCCGAAACTGTATAGTAAGAACTACATCATCATCGTCATCCCTAAACCTCTTCAGACGGCGTGTTTGACAACCTCTTTACCGAGGAGATCCTGTCTGCGGTCAACGAAAATTTCGTCACACCCTCGTCCTTATCAACTGCAACTATGTCTGGGTCTGGAAACTTGTGACGCAAGGACGGGAATGGTGAGCACACTGTCATGCGCTTCTAGCATGACAAGTGTTTCCGTGGCTCAGAGTTTTGTACTCCGCATAAGAAACTGCGTTATTGCATGACAGGCAAGCAGAGCTCTTCCTCTTCGAGGGCACGCAATACAGAGTTCAGAGTCATGCAAGACTAGCATGACATTTCTCAGACCCAGACAGATGCACAGTCCATAGTCCTCTTCGTCTGCCTATACCCCGCAGACGTCGGAGACGCTGAAAAAGACCTGCGAGGCCGTCGTGGCTGCAGCTATGGCAAAATGCGACGAGGACGGAAGGGGGTATGACTTTTTTCGTGAGAGGTGGCTTGTCTGTCGAGTCGTGCATCAAGAAGTCTTTTGCAGATAGAAGAACGAACGCAGAGGACAATTTTCGATTTGATAGGAGATACTTAAGACTGTGCGTCGTGCTTGATATGCATTTGCAATGAGTGTTGACCCCGCAGTTCTTGGGTACATCATGATTATGTGCATGAGAAATGAATAAAAATCGGCGCTTTAATATAATTTACAACAAATCTTCACCAGACTGGCACCGACGCCCTTCGGCTACGGTGGCAAGGCGGATGACACGACCTGCGTTATCGGGGAAGTGGTTGCCTACACCAAGTACCATGCCGACCTGATCCATCGCGCCAGGCGGCAGCGGAAGCTCCGGAAGTTTTACGGCTGCGTGCAGACGGCGTGCCTGCCGGTCACCTGTATCGCGACGGTGCCGTGCAAAGTCTGCTGTCCGGCGGGCGAAAGCGGGGGCGGGGGTAGTTGCTCGAAAGTGAAAAAGGAGAAAAAAGACGAACACGGTAAGTCCTCCTCCAGTAGCAGTAGCAGCAGTAGTACGACGGCGGCAGGACGACCTGCTCCTGGAGGGATATTGAGAGGAAAAATCCCCCCTCCCCATACTGAAAAGGCATGTTTCCGAAAATTTGTGTTGCTGATTTGAGGTCACAAATCACATTTGTTTTGCAAGAAGACTAGGGCAGAAGCTTCCGCCCCATTATGGAAGCGATTTGTCATGCTGTTGGGCCTAAAGGGGAGCCGCTTGCCATGCTGAACAACTAGACGCGTGCGCCCCTACCTAGCCTGGGGATCTGACTGCAATTCTTTCCTGCAATACAAAGCTGATTTGTGTACTCAAATGCAGCATCAGAAATTTCGTTTTGATATGGGGAAGGGGGGACTTTTCCTTTTGATAAGGGACTGATACTGTTTCAGACTCGTTTAGTAACCCTCTCGAAGTTTCCTCGTCCTCAACAGCGGGTGAGTACGGATTTGACTACAACAGTTATCAACCATACTCCTACAGCGAGAATCCGTTTCTACCGGCGAGTAGCTCCAGCTACATGATCGGAGGACAGAATTTTTTTGCAGATGATCCTGGAACATCATCTTCAAATGATAAGCGCGAGGCTGCACTTGCGAGCAGCGGGCAAACGGGGCGGGGCTGCTGCAAAAGCCACCCTGGAGCCACGATAGACCAGGCAGAGGAGGTGCTGAGCCAGGCGGCTTCGTCGTATTGTTTTATCGTGGTTGTTTGTGCGTACTACACCTAGTAGTTGTACCTGCATGCATCTACTTCGCACCATGCTGCTGATACTTTCCTTATTGACAAAATATATGATTTGCATGAAATCAACATTAGATAGGTTGACGCAAAAATCAGAGCAACATCGATCTCAAGCTTGTTCACCACAGCCCGCGTTACGAATATGACTTTGGCGACTACCTGGCGCCGAAGAAGGATAGTGACCCCTTTACCTACCAATACACCGATCCGTTTGCAACCTACGTAAACCCCTACGCCTCCTACCGATCGCCACTCGACGATTACGACTGGACCCAACCGGGCCTGCTCCCGGACGGTTTGCGGTCGGGGGTTTCGAGAGTAGACGAAAAGAAGTCGAGCTGTGCGGTGATGTAAATGCTGACGAAGTCGAGACTGAGATCGGAATAGGGAGAGGAAAGTGCGAACAGATTTTGTAGTATGTAGGAGGGCAGCTGTAGACTCTTCGTGTGCGAGTACGCAGCCTGTCTTCATCAATCTGTTAAGATTCCAAATATTTGTCAACATCTACACCAAATAAAAGACATGAAAACCGGAATGGTCGTGTTTCCCGTAAACGAAAATCACAATGCAATGCACTTCACGATAGGCATGAGTCGCAATTGAAACCTCTGTTGCGATTACTAACGTATGAATGTGCTAAAATTTCCTCTTGTAAAATTTCTTGAAGTATTGCCGACGCCGTGAACGTTGCAGAATATTTATCAAACATATATAAAAAAAAAAGAAGAATGCTAAATCCAACTTTCAGATGCACCGTGGCCGTGCCGGTAGACAGAAGCGAGACAAAGTCATGCTTTTTTTTCAAAATGTTTTGTTTGTAGAATATTTGCCGAGTGTTCTCTCCCCTTGCTGGGAATCACTACTACTACTACTACTAGTAGATCAAACGCTCCTCCCTGTATTCAACAACATGCACCATCTCGAATAAACATTATCGACAGAAACAGAAAGCCATTGTGTTTCTTGCCGCCTTATTTGTGACGTTGTTCGCCTTTTCCTAGATCACGGCAACGACTTGAGAAGGATCTCCACGACCACGCATGGTGCCATTCTTTTTTGAAAAAGCTGATCTTTGATTGTTTTGCGCTGTGCCGGGGGTGGCGATTCGCTTGAAATGAACCCGTTGCAGTAGAAGCGCTTCATGTATTCACAAATTAAAAATGCCAGCATCTTCGTCCCTAAATCAAGACTGATAGAGCGACAAAGCAAGAACAGTGCAACAAGGAAATAATCGTAACATGGCGAACAATTCGGATTCGCATGCTTTTCAAAATTTTCTCAACATCTTCAACACAGGTAAAGAAACTACCGACTCGGCCCTTCATAAGTGGAATATAAAAGCGTAACTACTTCGAAAAGATAAAGAGTTGCTTAATATTCGCATCTTCAGGAATAAATCTTGATCTTCACACACGAACTAGCTACACGACTACTACAGGAGTCAATCCTCTGTTTCATTTTGGTCAAGCCCGGGACCAGAGGTACAAGAAGTAAAAGCCAGTACCCCGGACAAAATGGCGGCCGCGCGATTGGAGGACGATACCGACGCCATGAAGCTCGTGTGGGAGCGCGGGGCGGACGGTAAGCTGACGATGGAGGCGAAGTACCAGGTGGAAAAGCTGAACAAAGAGCAAGTGATGCGGGAGAAAAAAAAGACCGGGATCGAAAAGAACCGCGAGGAGGAAGCCTACGTCACACTGGATAGCGATGTGGTCCTCCGAAAGAAGGCGAAAGGTATAGCACAGTGCTCAGTTCGCCTTGCTACAGTGCTCTACTCAAACTTCCCTTTGGGATTTTATTTTTCAATATAGTACAAATTTGTACAGTTCTCGATGTGATAGTGATATTCATGTTTCGATGGAAGACGATGACGAGCATGAACAACAATATCCATCGTACTTTACATGTTGTTTTTACGTAAGATTGTCTTCGTTTATTCGTAGCCTCTGATGAAATGCGCATAATTATGCAGGTAAGCTCTCCTGGCTCCAGAAAGCGTTCCAGGCTATGGAGGACGGGCGATTTACCCACCAGCACATTTTCCGCGTGTACGAAATCCTCGCCGCGCCGACCTTCGGCGACGATTGGCACTTTGCGCAGTCAAAGAAGGCGTTCGAGCTGCTGCAGGACCCGAACAATTTAGGATACTTCACTTACAACCAGCAAAAATTTCTGCAGTCCAACAAATTCAGGATACACAAGGAGCATGCGGTATAATTTTGTTTTTGTTTACTTTTTGTCGCTTGGTTTTCCTTTTCCTGCTCCGCTTTGATTTCGTGTAGAGGCTTTCTTTCCTGGGATTAGTTGGTTTATACCACCGGCGTGGTCGTGCGCATGACCTTCCTACGATGATAATCCTTCCTGTCGTAGCGAATCACCATACCTGAAGTGCACGAACTACCTTGGATGTACAAACTAATCAACTATGGGTTCAGCTTGTACTTATGAAGCGAAAATAAACAAAAAAAAAACAGGTCGTCAACCTGATTTCGTCCGAAGAAGACGAGCCGAATACGTTTGGGCAACCCCAGGGCTCTGACAAGCCCAAGTGGTTGATCCGGAAGGAGCGGCGAGCAAGAGGGTTGCCCTCTGACAGTGACGAGGACCTGCAAAAACCGCTCGTCGATGCGAAGAAACAAAAGGAGGCGGAGGAACGGGCGAAACGCATGCTGGCGGCGAAGCACCCCTTGGACGACCACTACAGCAAATTCCGGATTCGCCCCAAAAAGGAGGAGAAGGAGGAGGAGAAGAAAAAGACGACTAGGGACCGAGACCGCAGCCGGGATCGTCGCAAGGAGCAAAAGAAAACAAACGACAGTAGAAATCGCAGCGGTGGGAGAGGTACAACTACTAGGGACAAAGCTGCAACCACAAACCGTGGAACAACCCGGAATGATTCTCGTTCGCGGTCCCCCGCAGCGAGACGAGGAGAGAACAACTACTACAACTCTCGAAAGAGCAAGAAGGAGGATTCTCGTGGCCGAGCTGCGAACAGGGCCTCGTACAACGAGGATCGCACGAGAGGCCGCAGGAACAACGAGGACTCGCGCGGTCGGCCAGCGAATTATAAACACGACAAAGCGCCGCCAGCCGGAGCCGCTGCTCGCGGCGGCCGTAAAAATGACAGCCGGTCCCGCGGCTCGGAAGTAGAAAAAGAGACCCTGGAAGAGCGCATCCAGAAGCGGGAGAAGGAGCGGGAGGAGAAGAGAAAGCAAGAGCTGATCGAGAAAAAACTCGCGAAGCTGCGGGCCGAAGAGGAGCGAGCGAACCTGCCGAGTTCCTCCAGCGAGGACGAAGACGGAAACGAAAACGACTCGGACGACGACAAAAAAAAGGGGGGCAAGAAGGTGGAGCGAAGAGTCGACCCGGCAGACGACAACATGTACAGCTTGGAAGAATTCTGCGAGGCCTACGGCGGGACCCCGCAGCACCCACCCAGGCTGTGGACGCAACAGCGACACACAGCGTTTTTCTTCGCAAACTGAAGAGAAAATGTGTGTCGTGTATTTAGCAAGCGAATGAACAATACGTATACGGGCAACTTCTACAATCGTTGGCGCTAGCTAAGCTTTCGTCTTCTTCTATTAGAAACCTGAATTCTATTACAAAAAGCGACTCTCTGACTCATGATAAAATAACCAGGAACTTCTGAGTACTGCCCTCCTGCGCCGAGAAGCCTCTTACATCGGAACATGAGTGACTGGCGGGCTTTCTGTGTTCTCCAGTAGAGTTTCGTAAAAGTAATGAAGACAGTGACAGAACGTGCATGGTCAATAAGTACGCACATCGTAAATAAAAGTCTGTGAAGATCTTTTGCCACAAATAGGAAAAATGCATCGTCTCATGTCGTGAACTTGCCTTCGGTTTTTATCGTGAATAAGGGGAAACAGCTCGCTATCACCAAAGAATCGTCGTCGTGAATCGTCATCGCAAGGAACTCGAAAAATAAACTCGACGTTGGGCTTGTCGTTGTACAACAGACCACTTTCTTTTCTTTCTACTGATCTTACACTTACAAAAAGAATATACGAAATAATGCCCTGCTTTAGCAAAGATAGCAGCTCTCATTTGGGCGCTCTGAAAGTTGTTTCTTGTTTGTCACTTTTTTCCATCGCGCTAGTAAAAGTTGTGCCTCTACTAGTACAACTAGGCTAAGAAAACATGAGGATGCAACAGAAGGCCCATGTTCTTGAGCGCCACAGTGATGACGTTATCCGGTGGAAAAAAGCTTTCTCTCTTTTGACTCGTTGAAGTTGCAGTTGCAGTTGCAAGTAGAGCGAAGCAGACATTGCTTGATGCGCCTTCCAAGGAGATGCATTTTCGAACAGTGTAGTTGGTTCGCCTTCGCAGGCTCCCGTGCAAGAAGAATTATGCCACTGCGTTTGTTACGCTCGACCGACTGCGCTTTCGGCAAAAACTTCTTCAACAACGCGGCTACAATTCTTTAATTTGCATCTACTGCACCGCAAAGGCGATGAACAACAACAAGGCATATGATATAAATATAATTATTATAGCTTCACCTTCGGCAACTTCCAAGGATTTCGATTTGAATGTGTGCAAAAGTTTTTTCCACAGCATAGGTCTCGCCTCGCACGAGGTGGACGCGCAGGGTGACGTGAGCCACCACCTGGAACACACGGATGAGCCGGTGGGGGATGACGGGAGCATGGGGAAGTCGCGGGACGTGACCGACTTCTTCACGGCCGGGGACGTGAAGCCCGTGGATCCGCTGCGCCTCAAAAAGAAAACAGACCACGATGTGGAGTTCGAGGGAGATCTATCAAAATGAAAAATGCCCCCTCCCCATATCAAAACGGAAATTTGTGATGCGGGATCATTTATTGTGTACACAAATCAGATTTGTCTTGCAGTAGAGGACTGCGCGCAGATTGCAAGCCTAGGCTGTAGGGGCCTTTTGGTGTAGGCGCCTCGCATGGCAGACGTCTGCTCTGTAGGCGTTCTTACAGCGTCACAAATCGCCCACATAGAAGCGCGGCGGACTTTCTGAGTTTGCCTCTTTGCGAGACAGACAGGATTGGTGGTCTCAGATCTGCGTCACAAATTTTCAGGCAAATGCTTTTTCAACATGGGGAGGGGGATTTTTCCCCACAATAAGATCGTGAACTGGACTCCGACGAATGCCTCGATGAGGACGGGATCATCCAGAAGAAAGACGCTTACAACGCCGCGAAGCTGCTGCGGGACAACGAGGCGGCGGAAGCGGCCGCACTTGACACCACGACCACCACCACCACGACCGCGAAGAACAGTTTCGGGTCGCTGTCGGGGGGCTCCTGCGGCGTATGAATTGCAAATGTGTAGTCTGGGTCTCCTGGAGAGACGCAACGAATTTTTCTTGCTGAGTATGCATGGCCGACCGATGATGTTTTGTGTGGCGTCTACGCATGACAAGTTTATTTTCGCTTGGTATTTTTGCGAGTTCTAGTAGGTTCGACCGCTTTTTGCATGACAAACTGGTTTCCAGCACGACAAATAATCTGGCCCATCGTATGTAGTGAGGTCACGAACGTTCTATCCTAGCGGTTTTTTTGACATGCAGCACGCAAAACGACCGGCAGTTACTAAGCGGGCGGAAGTGTTTTTGGATATAAAAAATTTTCAATTATCAAGCGGCCGGGGCTTTGCCATCAAACAAGCCCGGTCGAAAGCTATCGATTCCCGCTTGATAAAACGACGCAGGGGAGCCGGCAAAAGAGGCGCCCTTCTCAGGCGCCCACCGCCTTAGTTTCTGGCGATTTGGGGCGCCCAAAAGGGGGCGCCCAAAAAGCAGCACTCCGAAAAAAACAGCGAATCCGCATAGTATGGGCCTCATTTTGGCCCACATTCGGGCCTCGCAAAAGAGGCCACCAAAATCCGCCACTTCAGAGGCGGACTGAAGGCCAGGAGATGCGGCATTTTGCCAAAAAGAAAACAAAAAAACAAAGTCCGCCAAAAAGAAAAAGCCAATCCGCATGCTATGGGCCCGATTTGGGGCTCCCAAGGGGCCGACCCTTGCGGGGGCCCTTGCGGGGCCATAGCATGCGGGGAAGGTTTTTCGATTCGAAACCAAGTGGCGGCCTGTTCTGGACCGACATTTTTAGCGACCGCCGTGCCGTCGTGCGTAACATTACTCACGATGGCATGGTGGGCAGAGAAGTCGTGCCATTTTTTGGCATGAAGACAAAAAAACCGCCATGACCTCAGTACCCCCGCGGACGCGGCTATTATTGGTATTCATGCATTTCAGATCTCGCTGTTCTTCAAATTTCGCATCACAGATCCAGACCCAACCACATTTGCAATGCATACGGCGGCTCCTCCGACGATCTTGCGTCCGAGGATACGGTCCTGGCGAAGAACGCGACTAAATACTCCGACTTGCCGAGTTATCCACTTCAAATATGTCTGGGTCTGGAAACTTGTGATGCATGTCAGTGAATAGAAACAGAAAGCACATGACTGTAATGCATCGCCAAGCATGACAAATGTTTCCGTGGCTTTGTGTTACGTATTTCGCACGAGTTACAGCGTTTTTGCATGACGCCAGATGAGCTCTTGCTGGCCACGCAACACAGAGCTCAGTGTTATGCCAGACTAGCATAGCAAATCTCGCAGTCTTCCAGGCCCAGACATATTTGCTTTTGATACGAGTTACGGTGAGAAGGGTGAACGCGAACTGGAGGACGACGAGTGCCTGGATGACGATGGGATTATCCGCAAGATTTCCGACGTACCAAGTGCAAATGTGTGTGGGTCTGGAAGCGGAAGATTGCAGAGTTTTGTCATGCCGTCTTTGCATCACACAGAAGGTCTGTCGTGCAAGCCCTAAGAAATCCATGCTTTTTCTTTGGGGGGCCGCAAAAAGTGACACGGTTATGCTGGTTGCGCAAGACGATTTTTTGTATCAATCAAGGCCTAGCTACATCACAAGCTTGCGTCCTTCCAGAGCCAGTAGACACATTTGCAATGCATACGACGTCCATGCGTTGTTGGACGAAAACAAGAGTGTCACCGGAACTATCGGGGGCAAAAGTATCGTACTCGAAGTGATGACCACAAAGAAACATGCATGTGATGCTGCTTTTGGCGTGACAAGTTGCCTTTTGCATCTACTTGGAAAAATTACTTTTATGCAAAATGTGCTGGTACTGGTGTGGTGCTAGTACGACTACGACCTTGCTTTTGTAATGCATAGAAACCATCGCGACCACCACCACGACTACTTCTACTATGGCGAGTTACGGGCGCGAGGGCGACTATGGAACTGTCAGGATCGAAATCAACAAAATCGAAATAGTTTGTGATGCATAAAATCGATACCAGTTGGAGCCTCAGTGTCCAAGTGGCGCATGACAAATTTCGGGAGTGCCAAAATCCAGCCTGTCATGGTGCTTGGGCAAAGAAGATTGCTCCTGTCATGGTACTCTGGCAGCACATCCTCTTCCCCTAAACAGCCTGGCAATCGTTACCATTTGCCTGCTCTCCAACGCAGGCCTTACGTGCCCTACATTTTATGCATTACAAATTTTTTGATTTTGTCGTTTTCGATCCTGACACCCCCATAGCGACCGTGAGCTCGACTCTGACGAGTGCCTGGACGATGACGGGATCATCCGTATCCTGAGTAAAAACGTCCCCACACCAGAGTTGTAATGCAGATTTGCAAAGACAGGAAGACTTGTAATGCGCATCCCCATGAGAGCCATTTCCAATCGTGTTTTGGAATTTTTGATGGTGTAAAAAGGATGAGCAGATGAATCTGTGATGCGGCTGCACTTGCTAACCTGCACTACACTGCAGAGTGCAACTTGTCATGCGTGTCAACCGGGGTGGCGGCGTCTTTGGGTTGATCAACTCACCCGAAACACAATGCCATTCCCGCAGTAGCACAGTCTGTTTATGTCATGCGTGACTCACAAAACTCCTAGGTTTGTGTTGCAAAATCTCCATCCTGACTCTGGTGTGGGTACGTTTTTACTCAGGATCATCCGCAAGAAAGCCGATGTCGATGCGGTCAAGGCGTTGCTGCCCCACGGTAATTAGTCATAAGTATTTGATTTAATGATAATGGCTTCGTCTTCCTCTTCTCTCGCATGAGCATGACAGATATTTGTGTGAACCACCGCGCGGATCACGAACTACGACTTATTTAATAAAATGTACTTATCTACCACCAAATGCAGGTAATAGCACCGACGCCTTCCTGAACGACAACCACGGCAACTTGTCCGCTGCGGGTATATTTGCCTTTATCCATTCTATCTAAGAATAAGATATCAGATCTATACCCACATCCAACCAGAAAATCCAGATGCGCCTCGTTTGCGTATGCATATTGGCCACGGTTTCTTTTTTTGGTTCCACCGACGGACAACCGCGTGCTTTAATCATCATTCGCTCCATGTATTCATGAAATTGTTGAACAAAACTTCAACGTGCACCAGGTGAAGCAGACCACGCCAAGGGTTCGATCGGCTTCAATTGGCAGGGCGGTGTGGGGATCGGCGCCGTGGTGGTGCTGTTGTGCCTGTGCTTGGCCTTCATGCTGCGGCGGCGGCGCAGCCGCCCGGCCGCTGGGGCCGCGGGGGAACCGACCGAGGACATCTACACGGCCTACGGTACCGCGACCTTGTATGGATGTGTCAGAGTTGAAATCGACAAAGTTGAGATAATTTGTCATGCATAAAATGGATGCCAGTTGGAACCCAGTTTCCAAGTGGCGCATGACAAATTTCGGTGGTCCCTAAATCCAGTTTGTCATGCTGTTTAGGCAAAGAAGAGCGCTTCTCTCATGCTACTTTAGCAGCTCGAGCTGTAGCCCCAAACAGGCTTACAATCGGCCGCACTTGCCTGCTCTGCAACACACGTGCCGCGGGTCATGCATTTTATGCATTACAAATTATTTCAACTTTGACGATTTCAAACCTGACGCTTCCATACCTTGGGGACCGCGGCGAACGCGGCCGACCGGGACTATCCTGAGTAAAAACGTACCCACACCAGAGTCAGGATGGGGATTTTGCAACACAAACGTAGAAGTTTCGGGACTCATGCATCACAAGTACAAGCCCGTACTGTAGTGCAGGTTAGGATGGGCTAACGCATCACAAATCCATCTGCTTATCCTGGTTACAGCATTACAAATGCCAAAACACGACTAGCAATTCCGCTCATGGAGATGCGCATTACAAATGTGCCTGTCAGTGCAAATCTGCATGACATGGCAAGTTGGCACAGTGTTTGCTGCTGCTGACCTCCGCGCAGATGTTCGCTTCGCTGCCAATGTGGGCCAAGCGCTTGGGGACTTACTTCCCTGCCCCTCCGTGCTCCTTTCGCGTCCCCGAGTCGATGTTGTCGGACTACTACTTACAAGCAACCTGCGTGACGCCGCGGTATGCCGCATTTTGACGAGTATGATTTGGAGATGGCCGGGAAAGGTAAACTTTTATGCTGCCCCGGCCGACAAGGCAGCTCCATCGTTGGCGGCGACCGTCCCGCCTATTGTCGTCCGAAGCAACATTCTCGACCTTGCGGCCAAGGACGTGGGTGTTTCGTGGCCGGTGCGCGACTTCGAGATCCCCTTCGACTTCAAACTGGTCGATGAAAAACTGTCTTTGCAGCATATCCGGAACCGCGTGAATGCGCGGTGTAAGACAATCCTACAGAAAACTACTAGCACTGGCTCACGCACCGGCGGACCCACTCCGTTTGTTGATCCGGCGGCATTAACGACAAACACAGGCGCATTCGATTCTGCACCTGTCTGTCAAGATCCCTCCGCGCGGGTACTCCCGTCAGCCTCTGGTGATGATGCTGGGCGCTTGGCTTCCCTGAAGACCGGTGTCGTCGTCCCTGTGCATGACAGTTCCTTCAGCTACGACCCGGCACTCATTGTCGATTCACAGGTATCGGTAGATGCCGCTCTCTGCGATATGCCTCCATGCGGTTTGGTGCCACCAGTTTCTGCCAAGGGCACGACGAGCGGCGCGACGCCAAAATCCCGGCAACGGGTTCGTGATGGCCGCGAACCTACCGCTGCGGCCGTCGCTACCTCCACCAAACGGAAACTGGTGACCACTGCTGGCGCTGCGTCCGCTACCACCCCCAAGACGCGCAAAAAGGCGAAGACAATGGCTGCGACCCCTGCCCACCCTGAGGAGCTCCCCCTGGCGCCGGCCCGGTCGTGAAGATTGTATTCCTACTCGGGCATGGGCTTTTTTGTGTCCGTGCTGATGATGCCAAAGGCTGTCTGCGACTACAGTCAAATTGGATAATTGTCTTTGAGTAACTTAAACCCAGAATATTCATACATGATTTTGCAGTTCTAGACACAAGCACTATTTTTTTTTGCTTGGTCATTTTGTCGGTACCAAATGTATATTATTCTTTGTTGCACGCGATGACCTGTTGACGATCTAGGACAGTCAGTGTGACTTATTATATGTGCTGGCTCTGGCTGGACAGTTCTACCACAGGCTCTCGTTCGTCCTCGAGCCTTTACAAAGTTCTGCCTGAAGGTGCGTGTCAGCGTGCCTGCTCTTCGATTCCTTTTTACATGCTGAAACTGCAGAGTTGAAAACTCACTTGTGCTGTAATTTGTCGAGACGCCGCAGCTGAGCTATGAGTAGGCGCGTGGGAGGTCGCGTTGTATGTGAGGCCAATGGACTGCACAGGAAAGTCGAGGCGTGACTCGAGTGCGGAGTGCGCCTTTTATCCATTTGTGTACTTTCGTCGTCCGGATTTAGCCAAAGTGAAAAACACCGCAGTGCCACATGATCTTCGACACCATCACAAGCGCAGCCGGCCTGGGCGGTGTCTCGTTCATGATCCCCTGCCCCACCGTGGTGTTCAGCTGATGAACCCTAGCACAAGGCGCTAACGACTTCTGATGGTATATCAAACCTGCTACTACCGCCGTGCCCTCCGTCGACTTCTTGGTGCCCCTACTGGACTTCCAGCTATGCATTCATCGACGTGGAGTAATGTATTTTAAAGTTAGGCACGGACACTGCTATTTATATTGTGGTTTGTCATTCTGTTATTTCTTGCATGCGCTTGATTTGGCTCTTCTTTTTGCCTCTGTCTGTCTCTTTGGTTTCGCCTTCGTCTTCGTCCCCCTTCTCCTGCTGTTTCTTCCCGGCCTACCTTCTTTTGCTTTTTTCCCCTCCTTCTTCTTGCTTTTCTTCTGGTTCGCGCTTCGTTGGCTTTGGCCCTCTCTGTGTCGTTGTGCGCCCTGCGCTCCTTCCCTGTCGTGCGGCCGTGTGGTTTCTCCCTTGCTTTTCGTGGCTGGTCGTCTTGTTCTGCTGTCTTCCTCTGTCGTTCCTTTTCGTAATTTTTGTCTAGCATGACAAACCACTACTATCCAGCAGTGTCTGTGTTATTTTCCACATCATATTATTCCCGGCCCTAGTGTATGAGTTGTTCTACCGCTGACTGCCTGGTGCTGGTTGCTGCAGTTCGTGCTCATCGACCTCGTGCGACCCTTTTCAACACCCTGTTGCAGCTACGCGCGATGTTGGACTGCTTTCTCCTTCTGTACGACCACCTGCGTCAACTGTGCGGATTGCGGGTGCATCGACCCCCACCCGGGAGTGCAGATGGTCCTGGCTTCGACACCACGATGTCGGCCGATCTCACGATAGGTCTGCTCGCGGTGCTTTATCCATTGCCTGCCCTTGTTCCACATTTTGCACTACGCCTGATCCCGATTCTGCTGTGGGTTTGCCGGCGAGGGCTGCTTCCGCGGGGCGACATCAACCTCGTCTACGACCAGTGGGGCTCAACCGACCCGCTCCCCCCTAGTCCAAAAATTCTAAGTGTAATAAAAAAAAAATTATTATTAGTCGTAATCACAGTCTGAGCTTTTACCTTGTGCTGCGTGGCCGACTTTATTTTTATTTACCTTAGCTCGGGGCCGCATCCCTGTTGCTTCCCTTCGCCTATTCTCGTTTTCAAAAAAAAATAAAAGTATTTCTTTCTGTTCTCGCTTGCAGTACATTGACTCACGTGTGGATCTATCTACCATTATTTTGCTGTGGGCCGCACCCCACTACTTATTTTGCCTACCTTCCCTTGCGGGCCGCATCCTGCTATGCTATATGCTTCTTGACCTTTATCGTCGGCGCCGGCACTTTTAGTTAGCTTTTGATTTGTCTCTCATTCGTTGTTCGGGGCCGCATCCCCTCTTTTCGTTCACCTTTAGCCTTTCAGCTTTGGTGCTGGACTTCGGGCCGGGTGTCCCTCGCATTTTCTTTTTTCTATTTCCTATTATTGTATCTATGATTTAACTTTTCTTGAAGGGCCGCATCCCTTCTAGTTATTTTCCTTCACCAGATCTACAGGTAGTTTATGCGTGATCCCTGGTTTTCCGACTGAGCACTGTTTTGCATGCGTCAGGAAAACCGCCTTGGGTGCTGTTGCACTGGAGGACGTGTTATATGTCTCGGGCGCACGTACATACTAGCCTGCAGGGACGGCGGAGCCGGAAAAAAATTGCGAAGTATGGTTGGTGGCGATAACAGAGTTGGAATATAGTGGCCGGGAGATGATGGTGATGGCACTTTGGTGTCCGCCTGACCCACCCTCCCTGCGTCTCAAGCCATCTGCGGCCATGGCACAATGGGGGGGCAAAGTGTGTCGCATTTTGTTTAGCATGACAACTCTGGGGTGGGGACGTTTTTACGCATGATAGGGACTCGACCTTCATCATCGACTCCCCGGTCTCGCAGCAGGGGTGAGCAGATGAACGGAGTCTCGGTGAAGTGAGACAGAGAAGATGAAGGTTGCGGGGTTTCTTGGTCAGGAGAACGTCCGGGGGTTAGGGTTTAGAAAAAGTTGATTGAAAAATAATTGCGTTAGAATGCAAGAGAACGAAGAGCAGAATATTTATAAACGAAGTAAAAGTGGTCCTGCGTCAGGTGACATTGAAGGTATCCCACTGATGTGCCCTTGAAACAACGTATCAATCTTGTTTACTACTACAACAGCAGACGAATTTCATCAGACTTCAACCAGAAAAAGTTGCACACCATTGAGAATTAGCCGTGCTACGAGATGTTTTTGCGCCGGCGTAAAACTAGAAACAGACGAATGGACAAATTAATAACTTTCTGGAGGTACATTTGTTTCTTACGATTATGTTTCACTTTCAGTTTTGTCTTGTTACAGCTATTGTTTGGCAGATTTTATTTGACTTTCACAATTGCATTTTCATTCTTGTACGATTTGTTCTTGTTGCAGAAAAGTTTCAACCAAGTTATATTGTTTTGCTTTACCAGTGTGTTTACCTCTAGCTCTACCTTATCAATTCGAGACAGGTGTCTTCGAGTACCGCTGTATATCACTCACGAGATGGGCAAACTACAAAAAACATCAGGATTTGGATGAAATTCTGCGCAGCTACTGTACACTTCGCAGAAAACAGTGTCTATGATTGTATGCTAAGTGGTGTTAAAAACAAGAATCATTCTAAATTGAATTCTTTGCCTGTTGTTACTCTTTCTCCTCTGTTCGTGTTCGCATCAGTTTTCTTTCCGCATATGACCATGTGCGCAGTTTTTCTGCCTGGAAAATAAAGAAACCAAAACAGAAATAGACCCAAGCAGACCACACGAGAGCATGAATACAAAGCTGCTGAAACCACGACACGACAACGACCTTAAAAATCATGAAGCCCCATGACCCCAGTTTTCCTCGTCGGTCGGGACTAGACTCCCCGTCTTTGCTAAAGAACCAAAAGCAACACTCTGCCTCCCTTCTGTACGGCGACGCTGAGGTGGGTGCGTATGGCGGCAAACCTTCTTCGACGACGGCCCTGGTCGAGGAGAATGACATCGCAGACACCTCTGCAAGCTCAATCGACCGCGCAACTTTGCGGCAGCTAGTGGAGGGTGATATTTTTGCAGAGGTGGTCTTGACTTCCAGTGGTACAACTACCAGCGAACAAAAGAAGCTGCCGTCACTCGTCCAAAGGCATTCGGACGTCGCAAGCAGATTGAGCTACGCGGCCAGAAGGAGAACGCAATTCTCTTGCGATTCCTCGATTCAAATCGCAGAATTCGAACAAGCTGCGACTAACAGCTGCTCGCGGACCAGCAACATGAGTTTAAACCGCTGCAGCAAACTAAACTCTGGCCTGCTATCCGGGAGTGGATTCTCCGTCTCTTTGGCAGCTGGTGCTAGTGGTGGTAATGCGAACCAGCCACAGAAGAATCAGGGCTACCCGGTGGAGCACGCAAAGTACGTCCTGAATCCGCCCAATCAGAAGAATCTCCGCACAAGTCAACAACAGCCGAAATCCTCAAAGATATTGCACCAACAGCATGGTGGTCAGGGAAACAACCACTCAGCATATGGAGATCAACAGCAGGAGTTGTGTGACCCCTCGTGTAGAAGTGCTAGACACGAGAGCAAGGGACATGGTCTTCAACCACGGACTGCTTCTTCATCCAAGAGTTCGTACACGCCCCCGACCGGGTCCCTGTTCTGGGAAAACCTTTCTTTCGCGGTTCCGATTCCGGGTTCGAAAACGAAGAAGAAGTTTCTGTTAAACAACTGCTATGGGGAGCTGATCCCAGGGCAGTTGACCGCGTTGGTCGGCCCATCCGGCGCCGGGAAGTCGACGCTGCTAAACATCTTGGCGGCAAGACAGGGGTGGACTGGGAAAACGGGACGAATCTGTTTCGTTGAAAGTGCTGGTAAGACTACAAATGCCGCTGGTCCTCCTGCTGGTGCAGAGATCATTAACAAGAGAACGAACATCAAGGAAATGGACTTCAACGACTTGCGTTCTACCGTCGCCTACGTGATGCAGGAAGATCATTTGCTACCGACACAGACGGTGAAGGAAACGCTCATGTTCGCTGCCCGGCTGAAATTAACGAAGAAGCAGAAACAGGAACATAATCAAAAAATGTTGACCCCCAGTTCATCTGGAACCAAATCACGAAGAAAAATCTGCAAAAACCTCCTACTCACGGAAGCGGAAATCGAGCAACGAGTCGAGGAAACGCTCACTGATTTAGACCTCCAAGCGGTGAAAGACGTCGCGATTGGCTCTGCGCTGAAAAAGGGTCTTTCCGGCGGCCAGAAGAAGCGTGTTTCCACTGCAATAGAGCTGCTCGGCAGGCCAAAGTTGCTGTTTCTAGACGAGCCGACCAGTGGGTTGGATTCGTTTTCTTCTCTTCGATTGATAACCAAATTGCGGGAAATCGCACAGAGGGACAAAGCGATCATTTGCTGCACGATTCACCATATCAAATGCAAAAATGTCTGGGTCTGGAAGATTAAAACTTGTCATGCTAAATCTGAATGATGCAAAAATCTGTGTTGCGTGAGTACCAAAAGCTGTCCGCTTTTGACCAAGTTGAGTGGTTGTTTCTCATGCAGGAACGGCATGATAAAGACCTCAAAGAATCTGTCATGCTAGGTCTCGCGGCATTCCAGACCTCATGACTCATGCAAAACGTGCATGACAAGTTTCAGAATCTTCCAGACCCAGACATATTTGCATTTGATTCACCAACCCTCCAGTGAGCTTTTCGACAATTTCGACCGCGTGCTTTGTCTCCGCGCGGGGGAGGTGCTTTTGGAAGGGTACAGCGGGAAGCGGGCGGCGGCGTTGCTGAGAGATAATGCGTACACTGCGACGTCGAAGTTCAATTTTCAGTCCACTGAGCTGCAATTATCGCCAACCGCATGTACGAGTCCATTAGTCACCGCGTTCGCGTCTTCTCCGAATGAGTTGAACCGAAAAACGGCGGCTTTGGGAGGGCTAGAAGAGGAAGAACAGCAAATAACTGACGGAACAAATATTAAAGCGGTTGCGTTCTCCATTGAAGGGATGCCGCTGGGTCGGGAACAAGAAGAAGCTTCTACAGTAGAACAGGATCGGGACGGAGGGAATAACAATGTCGAGATGAAAATATTCTCTTCTACTGCTGAGGACGAGGAAGCGAGCAGGGATGTTGAAGCCAATGACCATGTCGAGATGAAGCTCCAACAAGAACATCATCCCAGCAACCTGCTCCACGAACTGGAGCTTTCCCGGGAACAATTCTTCAAAAACATGAACGCAGTGAGACTCCAAACCGTTTCCGGCTTTTTAGAACTCATCGTCGGCCAGCCCATTCCAGAAGGCTACGGCACCTGTGACTGGTTGCTCTACCTCGCGCAGTCTTTTTCCAACGAGGAATTTCTGTTTGTCAGAGAAAACCACAAAGCGCTGTTTCTAGGGCTCCGGGGGAAAAAACACGAAATAGAGCAGTCGTTGGAGGACGAACTACGGAGGTCCTCGAGGGATTTGCTGGAAGAAAGTGTAGAAGTGCAACAACTACAACCAGGCGGACGAGAACAGCACAAAAATGCCGATGAAAGAACACCAGATCTCCTCCATCCTCTTATCACCAACCTGATATTCGTCCAAAATGATGAGCATGACGACCCGCGACCCGTGCGCGTGAGTGCGAAGGTGAACAATCGCGGTAGTGGTGGGAGTTGTAGGAGACGAAAGACAAGACGTTCCTCGACCGAGGACAAAAATGGCGGTGGGGGGAAGAGCAGCGACGGCGCACCGTCCTCCGACTACACTGACGACTCGTCAGACGAGAGCGAAGGGAACGAATCTTCTGTGTGGTCGGATAGTACTTCATTCAGTTCCGACGACGAAACAAACAGAGCGGAAAATAAGCTTTGCCAAGACAGCTCTAGTACTCAAGACATCGCAGAGGAGAAAAAGGCGTTACTCCAAGCTGTAGCGGTAGAAGGGTTTGATGCACAACTACGTCCGGGCTCCTCAGAAGTAGTCTCCACCAGAAGCTCCACCAAAAACGACGAGTCGAACGAGCCAAAAGCAGTGCAGGGCAAGAAACTTCTCGAAAACACCTCCGCAAGAAGCACAGCCTCCGTGGTTCGAGCAAAAAATACAAAGGGCAAACTCTCAACAGGAAAATCGCCAATCACCCGCACCAGCGAATTCAATCTTCTCCTGCACCGCGAGTGGTCGCACAGAACCCGAGACGTGAAGGCGATGGTGAGCAAGATGCTGATCCCTTCCATCTCCGTCATTATCTACAGCTTGGCGTACGCGAATGTTGCCCGGGAGCTCACTTTTGGCATCATGCGGACCTACGCGGACCCGAACAACCCCAATTCCGATTACTACGTGCACGGCGAGGGGGAATTTCGGGCGAAAATCCGGGAGTTGCACGGCCCGCTAGGCTATCAACTGTAAAAATGTCGGGGTCTGGAAGATTGCAGGAGTTTGTCATGCAGCTTTTCCATGACCCATGAGGTCTGGAATGCCGGACCTAGCATGACAGATTCTGTGCGATCTCTCTCATGCCTATCCTGCATGAGAAACTCCCTCCCGACTTGGTCAAGAAAACTGGACGACTTTTGGTAATCATGCAACACAGATTTTTGCATGCTTCAGATTTAGCATGACAAGTTCCAATCTTCCAGACCCAGACATTTTTGCATTTGATATAGGCCAAGTACATCTAGTCGTGCTCATGTCCGCTGCGCAGGCGTTGTTGATGGGAATCGCGGTGGAGCGGCCTATTTTTAACCGGGAGTTCCATTCGCAGCTGTACTCGGTGACGCCGTATGTTATGTCGAAGATCTTCGTGGAGTCGATTCTTATCTTACTTCAGTCCGCGTGGTTGCTGTTTCTCCCCTACGTGTTCTGGGGGCTGTGCGCGAACTTCTTGCTACTGTGGGCGACCATGGCGTTCATGGGATTTTGCGGCATGGCGACGGGGCTGATGCTTGCGACCATGAACGTGAACGCGCCGGAAAGAGCGTTGCTGTGGGGACCGGTGTTTCTGACCGCGATTCCGAGCTGTTTCTCAGGTATTTATCATGGACTGACAAATGTGGTGGTCCTGTGCGAGAATTATATATACCTTTAATTTTACATTCGATCAAGAGACTATATATGAAAAAAAATGTTCATCTTATCAGGTTCGTACCGTCCGCTCGAGGACATGCCGGCGTATCTCTCCTGGATGCAGTGGATCACACCAAGCGGGTATTTGATCAAGCTCATCAGCTATGTGGAGTTCGCGGCTATTTCGAATTCGATGGCGAAGCTGGTCGAGAGTAGTTCTAGCGAAACAAGATCGGATTTTCTCCCATCAAACGCTCCGTACACTATGGCGGAGATTCAGGATATGTACACCGGCGCGTTGAGACGGTATTGGGCGGGTATGGAAGTGACGGACGATTTGAATTTTGTCATCTTCAACTGGGTCTTTTGCTTCGTGCTGCTGTTGGCGTTTTTGGTTTCCTCTGTTCTGTTTCTGAAAGTCAACAGCAGGACGCTATACTGATCGACGAGAAATTTTGCTTTTTCATTTAGGCTACTTGAATTTTCCGACTCCGACAAGTATGGCTACACTAACCATTATTTGCTACGAAAATTATACAGCGCCGATTTCGTTTTCGATTTCGATGTGATTTTCGCTAAAAAAAAACTCATGTAATGTTGAACACCAATTGTCGATATTTTTGTCAAACGCAAAGAAGATAATTCACACGATTACATGACACAGATTGTCGATTGCCAAACACAATGAACGTGCTGCAGTAGTTTCGCATCCTCCTCAGCGCATCCTCCTACATAAAGAGGCTTTGTCTCTTCATCAATGATTTCCACGTTTCCAAAATGCAAGGCGAACTGGTAAACTTCTTCCCGGTTTGAGAACCGCCTTTGGCCAGTATTCCAATGAAACTCAAAGAACATTTTCTTTCCCATGCTATTCTACTGCAGAAATTCCTTCGGTTTATTGTCTGCTTGGCTTTGGCCAATGTGTTGTCTTTTGTTCAGCGTTTTTTGTACTCGTTTTTTCCCGTGAGGTTCGGCTTAATTTCTTCTTTTTTTTGCATCGACGGGCAGTCTTGAGTGACACGTGAGCTGTATCGAGTATATTTTTTTGCTTCCGTGACCACTGCTTTTTAATTTTTTCTTGTCGATGACCCTTCCGCTTCCCCAAAACAGCATATGCTCTGCACTCCTCAAAAGGAAAATTTTCAATTTCAGTTCAGCAGGAACCCTCTGACAAGACCAATACGGTACGATAACAAACAAAGCAGAAAACTCGGGGGAACGACTTCGATTCTCTCTACTTCTGCCAAGTACAACTGAACCTATTTTCTGTCCTAAAAGAAGACGCTGCTGTTGGCCCACCTCAGGTCAACATTGAAGAACAAGTAAACGGGAACTCGAACTACAGATCAAAAACCTCCGTAGCGCAAAAATAATGGCCACCCAGTCGCAAAACCTCAAAGCGGGTTTTATGGATGTGTCAGAGTTGAAATCGACAAAGTTGAAATAATTTGTCATGCATAAAATGGATGCCAGTTGGAACCCAGTTTTCAAGTGGCGCATGACAAATTTCGGTGGTCCCTAAATCCAGTTTGTCATGCTGCTTAGGCAAAGAAGAGCGATTTTCTCATGCTACTTTAGCAGCTCGAGCTGTAACCCCAAACAGGCTTACAATCGGCCTCACTTGCCTGCTCTGCAACACACGCGCCTCGGGTCATGCATCTTATGCATTGCAAATTATTTCAACTTTGACGATTTCAAACCTGACGCTTCCATAGGTTTTAACCGCCGCCGGTCTTCCTGTAGCGAAGACAACTGGGCACGGTTTCGTGTCCTCTACTCGCATATCAACTGCAAAAATGTCTGGGTCTGGAAGAANTAACCGCCGCCGGTCTTCCTGTAGCGAAGACAACTGGGCACGGTTTCGTGTCCTCTACTCGCATATCAACTGCAAAAATGTCTGGGTCTGGAAGAATGCATGTTTGTCATGCTTGTCTGGCATGACTCTTAAATCTGTCATGCACGTTACCCAAGAGCTCCATTTTTCTGTGATGCAGAAACGCAGTTTGTCATGCAGAATAGGCAACACCTAGAAGCTCAGAAACTTGTCATGCTGAGCCAGCACTTGTGGCCTCATCATGAGACGCCCCCCAGCATCACAAGTTTCCAGACCCAGACACTTTTACATTTGATATCGCAAGAGCAGCTGGACAGGCTGTCGTTTGTTTTCGGTGAGTTGGAAGCTGAGGATAAGCTGGAAAACTTCATCAAAGTGGACTCCCGGTATGATAGGACGTTGGCATGAGAGGATTCATCTTTTCACTCCACACATTTTATTGCTGCAGCGCTGGTTTCTGTTTTCATGCAAAATTTCATTTGCATGCGTTCACAAAAGGATTACATTGTTGGAGCGCATGACACCAGAAATGGTCCAGCAGAACCAGATGCTGTACTAAACGTCGCATGTTGAAAAAAAATATCAGGTTGCAAATGATTGGTGAGCGGTTTTTTGGCCAGGATCTGGTCCGCGACATGACCCGTGAAATGGTGGACGCCGTGCACAAAAAGACCGCGCAACAAATGGGGCTGAAGGTACATAGCAGTTTCGTGTATCACAGAGATGATTTTTTCATCGCATGCATGCTGCAAGAGGACCCACCAGTATGCTGAATTCAAACAGGCTGCATAACTGAATGATCATATGATCTCGTCGACTTGCTCTCAGCATGACAAACTCTACTTCTTTCAGATGGACGGCAGCGAGGAGCAGATCTCCTTTGAAAATTTCCTCTCCTTCGTCCACCTTTTTACGAAGAACATGCAAGACGCGCACCCCTGGAGGGGCTACGCGAACACCTTCGCACTGAAAGTGCAGGGCGCCATGAAGGAGCGGGGCGCGCAGCCGGTTTCCAGCATCTCGGAACTGTCCGAGAAGAATCCGGAGGCAAACGAAGACTCGGATGACGATGCGGATTTCGATAAAGTCGCGGAACTTTCCAAGTCCCGGGCCATGCAGCGGGCCGCGAGGAAAGACGGTAGCGAGATTGCGGTCAAGACCAGTGCGTTGTTCAAGGTATGTGATTTTTTTTCCTTTTTACGACAAGTTTTGATCCAATTTTGCAATGAATTTTCGCGTGGAACATGCTGCTATTAAGCCCATCACAACTTCTGGCAAATTGAAATTCCACAACAAGAATGCATTGGTCACACGTACACCAGGTTCTGAAAGACCTCGGCGTTGACACCAACGAGAACCAGAAGTGGCTGCTCCGGGAGATGCAGAAAATTGACGCTGACGAAACGGGCTGGTTCACGGCGGATCAGATGCTCTCGCTCTTCCGCGAAATGGATGCGTACTGGGAATCCACGGAGCGCCGCCAGCAGGTCGCCATTATCGACGAGACGGGCTATCTGGAGCGGGATGTGGACAACCTGAAGGCAATTTTCAACGAGTACGCCAAGGTTGAGGGGGAAAGCAAACCCCAGCTGGGCGTCGGTACTGAGGGTTCTTGAGGTTTTGCATGCTGTCGTGATGTGTGGTATGCATGACACAGACGGATTCCGAATGACAATGTTGTAATGGAGAAATGAAATACAAAACAACTATGTCATCTATCACAGCCGAGTTCCGTGAGTTTTTCCGCGCTTTGCAGATGACGCTGCAGAAGAAGGAAACGGCCCGGCTGAAGGACATGATGCACCAGTGCGCCCGCGAGGGGAACGACACCGACCGGATCGACTTTCCGGCCTTCTGTCTGTGCATGAAGAAGTTGGAAGCGGAGGATTTTTGTGGGTTGAAAAGCATCATGGGCCGGAAGGACGAGGTGGAGACGGATTTGTCGATCGCGACGCGGCAACTGTCCTACTTTGAGCGGAAGGCGCAGACCACCCGCGCAAGGGGGTCCCCCGCGAAGTAAGTCGTAGGAACTCTATGGTATTATTGCTTGGGGACGTGATGTTGATGACGGTACAACTTGTGTTCGAGTTTACGTATGCTTCTGATGTATGTAGTCCTACAATCCAGTTTGAGGTTCATGCGTCATTCACATGAAAAAAGTTTTAAGTTTCGGTTTGTACTTCTTGTAGATACGTCGTGGTCTATTTTGAAAACGATTGCATAGTGATGGATCAGACATAGGCAAATGTAAAGGAATCAGTTGTCCGAAAGAAAATTGGCATGAAGAAATCGCGATTGAAAATATTTTTTTAGTTGATTTTGCTTGTAAAATATGTAGGATAAGAATGTGATTCGCACAGTCAAAAATGTTGCGAGACACGTTACTAGATAGAATTGTATACTCTAGGATGAAATCTAGTGAAGGTCATCGATGTCGATCGTTGGTGAATTGCCAAATTTAAATTTTGACTACAAGATAGAATGAAATTCTTGCAAAAAGAAACATAGAAGATTCCATTGGTCCATGTAAAAAACAAGGGAACATCAACGCGCAATAGTAAATCAATTTCGATGCTGGTACAATCTCCGAAATTGTTACCTTGAGAACTTGTTGATAATGAGCGTGTTACAACAATCGTCCCACATTTAGGTCATTGTGCCTTCCGTCGTTCGTGGTTTTTATGGTCAGGTTTCTTCGTTCAAGGAATTTACGTCGTGGACTAAGTAATCGTGATTTGTTTCATATTCTGATCGTGTTATTTTTCGTCCATATCATGATCGTGCGTTCAACTTCAATGTGATGTCGTATCAAAAAACATCGGTGCTTACGTAGAATTGGTTGTTTCGTCGAGCACAAAAGTTTTCCCGTTTTCTCAATACAATCGTCACAGCATGTCCACCGCCCACAATGATGCTCTCCGTGGATTTCAACCTGTTTTTTCCTTTAAGATAAGCGAAGTTGTTTGCATGATCACCATTGTCTTTATGTGAAAGCATACACGAGCATATTCCACCATATTGCACTTTTTACACTCGTCTACTCCTCACAATTATGTCCGCCCCAGCCGAGGACCCAAACAAGGAAAAGTCCGCTGCGGACGCACTCGGCGGTGGCGAGGAGGGCATCGAGCTTACGCCCGCCCAGAAGGCCGCCCAGGAGATATCCAAAGGAAAAATCCCCCCTCCCCATATCGAAAAGGTATGTTTCCGAAAATTTGTGTTGCTGATTTGAGGCCACAGATCACATTTGTCTTGCAAGAAGACAAGGGCAGAACCTTCCGCCCCATTACGGAAGCGATTTGTCATGCTGTTGGGCCTAAAAGTGAGCCGTTTGTCGTGCTGAACAACTAGACCCATACGCCCCTACCTAGCCTGAGATTCTGGCCGCAGTGCCTCTCTGCAATACAGACCTGATTTGTGTACACAAATCCAGCATCAGAAATTGCGTTTTGATATGGGGAGGGGGGATTTTTCCTCTCAATAGGAGAAGGCGGAGAAGGAGAGGAAGATCAAGGAGAAGACGCGGACCGCGGTCTCCGACACGATAGACGACATTATGGAGGGGGTCGCGGAGATCTACCGGGGCGTAAACTACGTGATCAGTGAGGTACAGAAGTGTGTGAGCGGGACGGTGTACCCGGTTAAAGAGTTCTTTGTGGGAGACAAACACGAACGTTTCCGGGCCGAAGCGGATAACGGCGTCATAGACGAAGCTACTTTTGAGATGGCATAGTAGAACGAGTCTATCTCCATTGTTCTGTTACTTTTCAAAGTCGTGAAAGATTATGATCGTGTTGAAATAAAATCAACGGTCGAGCTTAGGAATTCCTTGACAGTATCGAAAAGGCGAGGCTTATTGTCGTCCTCCTCGTCCAGTATTTCCTCGTGATTCGAGTTTTCTCGCTTTTTGTTCGACCCGGCTTCTTTGAGTTCGCATCAGTCTATTCAGGTAACTGGCTGATCTTCCGGAGGAGAAGACCGGGGCTAGCTACTGGAGAAGAAAACGTAAAATGCAAAGGCCGTTTGTGGCCGTCGAGTGTTTCTTTGAGTCGCCATCTGAAGATCACGGAGCCTGTACTTCGTTCAACCATGAGAGAGAGTAATCTTGTCACGAGCAAATATAACCTCTCAAGAATAGGTACTGATGAAGTAAGCTATGTGTAGAAGTTTTTGCACTGGCACCCCTAATCTAAATCTATCCCGGCTTTGACTTTTTGAGATACATACTAGCTTCTAGAAGTTCTAGGCACCAGTACAAAAAATGTCTTCCTCCGCCGATCGAAATTGGTGGTACGCAATTATCATCTCCCTGTCCTCGGCCTTCCTGACCAACACGGGCTTGATCATTCAAAAATGGTCCTTATTGCAGAACCGGGGGCAGGAGTTCAAAAAGCAGCCAATATGGTTTCTCGGTCTTGCGATGTTTCTTTTGGGTCAAATAGGCCACTCCGTCGCGTTCGCGATCGGTCCGCAGTCGATTTTGGGGGCCCTGGCGCCGTTCTGCTTGGTTACAAATTTTTTCGTGGCGCCGCCGCTGCTGGGCGAGAAGGTGACAAGGTAAGCAGAGAACTCGATATTAGTTGATTGGCACCAGCACTTTTAGATACTACTCCGCGTTTGCTTCGTTCGGTGCTTACGAACAGATGCGAAATAATTTAATACGCACGACATGAGAAAAATCAAGCCTTCTTTATGTCGCCCACACGTCGTTTTTACAGGCTCCACTATGTTTCTGCCTTCTTCATCATGTCGGCGGTGGTTATCATCTGCAGTTTCAGCATCGAGCCCCGGAACAAAGACCAAAGATTCAACAATGCTCTGGTGATGCACAACGTGTCGCAGATCCCATTTCTCATCCTTTTTGCGTTCAGTATCACCACGGTTGTGCTGAAGGGGTCCCAGATCCGAAGGGTCCTGCAGGAAGACCAGAAAAGAAGAAAGGAAATTTTGGACGCTGAAAATAACGGGAATGAAGACGCTGGTAGAGCTCCTGCAGGCAGTACAACTAGTGGAAGTGCGATAGAAATTCCAAGCAAATCCTCGTCGTCCTGGGAGCTGCGCGCACCGGTCGATGATGACCATTTCGTGAAAACAGGTGCAGCCGGCCGAGCAAGCGGGCGCGGGCTCTTGAGCGCCGGCCAAGAAAACGGCATCAAAGGCGATGGGCTTGTCGACTCTGTTGACCACAGTGCTGCGGCTGTACAACAGCCAGCATCCTCTTCGGACATGAGAATGGACAGCCTGCATCATTCGCGATCTACATCGTCAAATAATAAAGCATCCAACGCACGGTCTCCGTTTCGGAACAGTATGACGAATGCGGCGAATCACGAGAACACTAGTGAAGATAGAACACGATTCTCGAAGATAGAAAGCTTAGTCGGGAAACAGTTTCTCACGGAGTCCCCGCCGTCCACCCGAGCCTCGTCCACGACGAGTATGAGCAGTGAGAGTTTCATGGCGGAGATCGAGCATCAAGACCCGTCGGCTACAACTTCTGCTACGTGTTTTCAAGTGGAGGCGAATAGAGGAAACGCGGTCAAAGATCTATCCGATTATAGCAGTACTACAACAGGCTCAGGCACAACTACAACCGGTACCGGAGGATTTTCGCAGCACAGCACATCAAGTAGTATCGCGACAGGCACCAGCACAACAGCCGCCGGCAGTTCTTCCTCTGTTGTAGGACCGCCCGATCCAGACCCGTCTGCTGCAAGAGCAGGCTCAACAACCACATCCAACAACTGCCCTGGGCTTCCAGGAATCAGCAACCTGCAATTTTCCATCGTGGCGGCACTTTTCAGCGGGATGTCCGTGACTTCTGCGAAGTTGATGTTTGGGCTTCTCGCATACATCATCGAAGACTTCGCGGCCAGGAATAGCAGAAGTCACGACCACGACCCATCGGGTTCTTCACCTTCTCACGGTACTGGCACAGGAAATGGAGAAAACACAATACCAATGTACCAGCAAGAGAACAACAACAGCAAAAATAACTTCTTTGTTCTCATCGGCACGGATTTGAAATTTCCCCCCGAGGTGTTCACGATCATGCCCGCCTTCGCGATGTTCCTGTTCTGTGGCATTGTGTGCACGGCGATGCAAAATCTGGGCGTTTTCTACTACGGCGCGTTGCAATCCTGTCCGGCGTTCTACGGCTGCACGTTCGTTGCCGAGTGTACGTACGGTTTGGTCTTCTGGCAGGAGTACCGGTTCTATGGGGCTCGAAACATGTGCGGGGTTGGGCTGGGGTACTGTCTGAACGTGATCGGGATTTTGATGTTGACGCAGATCACCGCGGTGGGACGGGGAGAGGAAAAGGATGATGATCCCGTGGTGGACGAGAGGAAACAGTCGAAATTGGAAGTGCTGGTGGACAAGGTAAAAATATTTTTTCATTTTGTGGAAGTCGCTCGCGCTTGTTGATTGACGCGCAATCGGATTTGTTCTTCTGTATCTATCTGTCCAACCGGCTCATTTTTGCATGACGAAGTTGAGTCGTGCAGCATACGCTTTGGCATTGGCTTTGCAAACCGCTACGTTGCAAGATGAACATATTTTTTATTTTTTCACAACATCATCAACATGATCAGGCCGTCGACTGGCTCTGCTCTTCTATGCGGCACCGGAGGTATCTTGCAGCCCGGGAACGAGAGCTGTTGATGAGTGGGGAGGGGATCGACGATCTACATTTGTGCTCCTCACCGCCAGCCCCGGTACATCGATCGGCGACAGTGTGATAAAGACGTTTAAATGAAAGAGCAAAAACGAATCGGTTGAGTGAGAGCAGTACTCGCTGTCTCACGACTTCTACAGCGGCTTTTACTTTGAATATATGTGTCTGCGTCACTCAATGTCAGTGGGTGCTTCTTGGAGGCGACTTTCATTCTCTGCGTATGCTGTTATTCGTCTCACAGTATATTCCTGTATAGTATGCAGCTAAGTGTTGATATTCATGCAAACCAGGAGACGGAGAATGGTGTTGATATTCATGCAAACCAGGCACAATCAACATGGTCATGGACAGAATAATGAGCTGTCAACTTTTCCGGTCGAAAACGAAATTATGATTTCATCGTAAACAAACTTTTCTCATGCGAAGCGCAAGCGCGTTCTTTTGAAATCCCCTCTCCTCGCTTGTTGGTTTACCACCAACACCATCAAGAGTGATGCGCGTGCTGTTCGTAATCTCGTTCTTCGACAATAGAGAGAGAGATGGAGTGGCAAAATCCCACACTACTCGTAGGGGCTTAGGAATGTGTTTATGGATATTAACAACATAGGCAGTCAACAAGAATAAAAGGTTGTTCTTGATGCAACGGTTTTCTCGCCCTCGAACAGTCGTCTCTTGCAGGTCTCCTTCTTTTTGAGGGGTTCGCTGTTGATCAATAACATTATCTTCGTAACAAGAACTATGCCGAGACTTTCACCCAAGCTTGAAAATTTTTTTCATCCGAAGTTAATATATTGAGCTTGAATGAAGTTGAACTATCAATCACGCACATGGTTTTATTCGACTAGTGGTAGCGACGAAAGAACGCAACGTGCGAGCTACTTGGGCGGCTCCTCCGGAGGCGAGCCGCGGGCTAGATAACCACCACTTCCTCGCGGAGTGCGTCTCTTCTCCCGACGGTGCGGTGGACACATACGCTACGACACCTTCCTCCCCATCCTCTTTGCAGTGCCATCGGTTTTCCAGATCCAGACTCTACCATCACCAACTTTGTGCCGATTTCCATCTTCTCAGACACAGGCGGGCTTACGCCCTTACTCAGATTTCAGGCTGCTATTATATAGTTTGCACTTCCAATAGGGAGGCGTCTCTCACTGCTCTTTATCATTGCAGCGTGATCTGTATGCTGATGGAAATGCATCACAAATGCGGTTCTCCGGGCGCGACGATGAAGATCTTCGATGAAGTGACTGCTCTACCCGGAAGGGAAAAAAAATTAGTTCTAAAAAATTTAGCTTATGCGATCAACAGGCTCGAAGATTCGTCTTCGGAAGTCAATTTCAGCACGCCTTTCATTAAGTCCCCTAGGGTCTGGTCTTCTAATCCAGGCGGTAGAAAACATTTCGTGCTTGGCTTCTAAACGAGTTTTCTTGCCTCTCGGCGGTAGTCCGTCTAATAAATAGTCCCAATTACTAGGTGGCGCCGCTTGTGGCTGTCACGAGGTGGCTCGCACCTCCCCGGAGTGAGAGAGGGTTCGTTACCGGGTTTCAGTACCTTCCGTCTGGCCTGGGCTCCTGGTGGCTGCTTCCACCGTCGGGGAGCATAAAAACACTAAACATAAGTCATTGGCCACTGGGTCTCTGTGACGCCGTGCCTGCGCGCACCATCAGAAGTGCGTTGGTGCCAATCGTGTTTCCACGTGTGCCATCAGAAGTGCACCGAATCACGAGGGTACTACTACTACTACTACATTTATTTTGTAGCCTATCTATGCAGTTGTAGTTCTTGTTCTCCCCCAGCCATCCTGGCAAGAAGTGAGTAAAATGTCCGCCGAAGCCACCAGTTCGAACAACAATTGGCTCTACGCCATTTTCCTCTCCCTCTGCGGGTCCTTTTTGACAAATCTGGGGCTGGTCCTGCAGAAATGGAGCCTCTTGAACCGCGAAGGAAATAACGCGGTACCAAGCCGTGCGGCACCGGATGAAGTAGCGAAAAATGCACAAGGAAATATTAAGAACACGGACTTACATGGCAAAGCAGATAGCGTTCTCGAACAGGACTTGAAGCGGCAGGCGAGCAGCATTCTGAAACAGCCGGTATGGCTCCTTGGTTTGGCGATTTTTCTTTCCGGCCAGGGCCTGCACGGAGTCGCGTTTGCCATCGGACCGCAGTCGATCTTGGGGGCGCTGGCACCGTTTTCTCTCCTGACCAACTTCGTCCTCGCGCCGTGCATTTTAGGGGAAACACTGGTATTGATACTGCATAATTTCATGATGTTCCACCTGTTTTGCCTGCTCGTTTGGCTTCATCACTGAGTGATGCTTGTCGCGTGCTACATCCCTTCTCAACGCGGACAGCACTTCTTACGTGAACACCACACCATGATAATCTATCAGATCCGCCTCCATTTCTTCGTCGCTGTCTTCCTAATTTCCGCCACCGCGCTGATCTCGCTGCACAGTATTGAGCCACCGGATGAACACGCGCGCAACGTGGACGCGACGCAGCTGGCGGAGAATTTCCTACACCCCCTCTTCCTCAGTCTCTTTCTCGCCTGCGTCGTGTTGATTGCAACCGTTGGTGTGCGGGTGTTTCGAGAGGTTCTCAACAAGGAAAGTGGTCGTGTGCAGCCGCAGGCTGCTACGGTAGTGGGGGAGGAGAAGTTCTCGCCACCGGTTGTAACAGTGCTTGTTCCTGTGGAAAAGAATATCAGTGAACAAAACGCGACGCAGCAGGATTTAGGAACGCCTGAGCACGTGACAACATTGGGCCTGCCAGCGTCGGCCATGCGGATCAAGAGCAAAGGCGAAGTAGAGGACTACACGCCGGACAAAGTAGTTTTACGAAGCACTTGCGATTTCCTAGGCGGAGTCGCGACGGCGTACACCTCCCCGGACCACTGGGTTGCGAATTCTTTCAGAACAAGGACCACAGCACACGCAGCCAGGGCGGAAGAAAGTTATCTCGGCGGAGGTTCTACATCTACTAGCATGTTGGCAGAGCTGCATGACGAGAAAGACAACAGCAGTTCAAAGACAGCTGCAGTACAACACAAACATCACAGCAGCTCGTCCAATTTCCTGACAAGAAATTTTCATGCTTCACACGGGGGAAAAGAACTGAACAGCCACTGCTCGTGGTACATGAAAAGTATCGTGGAGACAGTTCCAGTGGAAGCAGTACGCGCTCGGGCGCATCGTTGTTGTCAGATACAGAAGATGCGGAGGAAAACTACCACCAGGAAGGCAATAGACAAGTAGAAGGAGAAGCTGAGCAGCACGCAGGACCCGCAGCAGCAATAGCAACAAAGGACGACGCTGGTACAACGACACCTGTCCCTTCGTGCCGCGCAGCGCGCGACGAGTACGGATTTCATCTCGGCACTCGCGTAGATGTACTACCGGGCGTTCGAAGTCTGGCAACACAAAACCCTGTTCGTGATGAAGTCGACGGCGATCTAATGTTTCCTGTGACACCGGGGGCGCCAAAAACGAGCGCTGCAACAGCTAGTGCTTCATCAATGGTCTCAACTGAGCTTTTTTCTGCACGCGGAATAAAACCGGAACCGGTTCTTGCCAAATCTGAAACAACGTTCTCTAGCACTGCTCTTCTCGGCCCGCAAACGTCGGTCGATGCGCACCCAGGGCTGGGCAAGATCTCCTGCGTCCAATTCAACTTCATTGCCGGTCTGCTCTCCGGCTGGAGCGTGACCAGTGCCAAGGCGGTTTTCAGCCTGTTAGCAACCCTGGTGCGGGCGGAGCAGCTGTTTCGCTTCAGTGACAGTACCACCAGTGCCAATGGTGGCGCAACTCCAACTGCAAGCGCAACCGAGAACAACCTTGCGTTTTTGCTCGTGACCGTCACCTTCCTCTTCGCGGCCGTTTCCTGTACACTGATGCAGAACCTAGGGATCTTTTACTTCGGCGCGTTGCAATCGTTGCCATCTTTCCACGGCTGCAGCATTCTGTTCGAGTGCAGCTACGGGCTGGTGTTCTGGCAGGAATACGGGTTCTACGAAGCGCGGAACATTGTCGGGGTTTTCGCCGGGTTTTGTCTGAACTTCGTCGGAATTTACCTGCTGTCGCGCATACAGATTCCGGTGAAAAGTGAGGAGCGCTCTTCTGGCTTTTCGGCATCCTCTTGTGGCGACGAGGCGACCAACAGGAAAAACAGAAGCCGAGGAGAGGAAATAGAAGATCAAGTGTAGGACAGCAACTGCGAGTTCGTCTCGAAAGTGAGTGACTACTTCTCCATCTTGTTCTAAACGCTCCCCGTCTATCCGTCCACGGGCCCTGTGAATCTGTCCTACAACAAGCACAACCATGATTTTGAAGATTTGGATTTTCGGGTACAGTCCAGCCGCAACCAGGGAGCCCCTGACCTTTTCGCTGAGGAGTATCTTTGCCCAGCTGGCGACTCCGCTTTCCGCTCGCACTGCCCGGTTTTCAGATTTTAGAAGGCTAAGTACGTCTTTCATATTCGAGATGGTTGGCGAAGCAGCTACCTGGCTCGCCAGTAAACCGCGAATAAATTTAAAATAACAAAAACGAGCCTCGTTTTGGTTATCCTATCGACATTCATATCATACTTCTTTTATCTTCCCAACGGGGTTTTGGTGCGACATGGGTCATATTCGTAATGAAGTTGTCAACACAACGAGGAAAGTAGTCAGAGATTGTCCTCGTTCTTTAGTCAGCGTGGAATTTATCTTTTTGTGGGTTCTTCATCTTCTCGACCGGGAAACTAATGAGAGATCAGCGACAGAAGTGTCACTGCGGTTGATTTTCCAGGAAATGAAGATTTTGCCGTCGTACATGGTCACGATATAATCGGAACTGATAGCACTCAGACCGGCTGATGGGCGTCTACGCTTCTTTAAATTTTTTGATTGAGAAGTTGCCGGGTGTACTATACCATTGCTGTGCGAGCTACATAACATTAACAGGTATGTGACAATATTTTTATCACAAGTTCTTGTACAAGCAAGTAACGAATGATTTAGAAGAGATCACGATAATTTTTGGGATTCGGGAGAAATAACTGCTTTATAATAACACAGATATCTTGGCTTTCGTTACCTTGAAAGCGGGATGCAAATCTTATGTGGGCATTGTCCAAAGTACCAGCTCATTTAAAGATTGGACGCTCCCAGCAAAGCGTTCGCCGAAGTACGAAGGAAAAAAGCATCCGAGTTTCATGTTCAGGCGTTGGCAACATTTACTGTTTGTGTTTCCGGTGACGTTTGTTCTTTTGTCTCGTTTTTTCGTTGTTCAACCTGGTTTACGTGTTGTCCTGTGTTTTGTGTGCGCGTCGTGACTTTTTATGTCCCGGGAGAAAAATCTAAATTGCGGTCCTGAGCGGTATGCCGACGAACGCCCCTTTACCAATTTCTTCTTGTGTCTCACTAATTTTTACGCCGCAGAGTGAAGATAGGTCAAGATTTTGTTCGAAGGAATTCATTGCACAGAATGACGACAACGACGGTCACGGCAGCGCCGGTCAGTTTTGGCGGCGACCCGGTGATAGAGTATACGAAATGGAAAGAGCCGGTATGGATCGCGCTTCCGGGCACCATCGCCGGGGCGCTGGCGCTGGTTTTCATCGCGTTTCTGCAAATGACGATAAAGGGCCAAAAGATTGGCGCCGACATCGGCGTGCCAAAGTTGGACAAGCTGGCGGCACAGGTACGGGATTGACTTTACGAGTCAGCGTTTTCGTGATAACCGTCTGTAATTTAGTTTTATTTTTTTGCTTCTAACCGGCTTCGTTGTTCTTGATTCCGCTGGCTCCAACATCGATGCGCTTGCTGGACATCAAAATCAAATCGAACGAAGATGTAAAATGAACGCACAACTGAAGGTGAAAAGCGGCTCCAAGGCGTTTCTGATGATCGAGTACAAATTTCTCGCCGTCTTTGTCTTCATCCTGGGTATGGTCCTGCTGGCCCTTTTCTGGGCGGAGCCCATCTCTGATAGCTCCGGTCTTATGGCCCAGAAGAACCCCGGAACGGACGGCGTGCGTGTGATGGGTGCCTTTTTTGTCGGGGCAATCCTTTCCGGAGCGGCTGGCTGGCTGGGAATGACTGTCGCCACTGACGGGAACGTGCGCACCGCCGCGGCTTGCGCGTCTGGTTCCATGAACGACGGATTGAGAACCGCCTTTACGGCAGGTTCTGTTATGGGCTTCACCGTCGTCGGCCTGGGACTCTCCGGGTTGAGCCTCATGTTCTGGGTGCAGACGCTCGACCGTGATCCGGTGGTGGTGATGGAGATTCTCGCGGGGTTTGGGGTCGGTGCAAGCTCTATCGCATTGTTTGCGCGTGTGGCCGGCGGAATCTACACCAAGGCGGCGGACGTCGGGGCCGATTTGGTATCATGTGTGAATAGTAAAGAGGAATGGAAGTGTGGACAGGCTTTTTCCGGAGAGAAGGAGATTGTGCAAATTCTACATGATGTAGGTTAAGGTTTTCGGTTGTACTTTGTTGAAATAATGCATGTCGTCTTTACATAAAAAGTTCGCGAATAAGGACGAGTGTTGACAACATGAATTTCCTCAGGTCGGCAAAGTCGAGGCCGGTATCGATGAAGACGATCCACACAACCCAGCAGTGATCGCAGACAATGTGGGCGACAACGTGGGTGATGTGGCCGGTATGGGCGCGGACTTGTTTGAGTCCTACGTGGGGAGCATCATTGCCGCGGCTACGCTGGCCGGAGACACTCCAGTTCTGATGGCTCTGCCCTTCGTCCTCGCGTCCGTTGGCATTTTCTGCTCGTTCGCCGGTTACTTCATGGTAGGGACCAAAGAGGAAGGAAAGGGCTGGGACGTGCATCTCGGAACTCTCATGTGGGCACTGGAAAAGGGTACAAACACAAATCATATTTTTTAGATTAGCTGGGTTGGTGTAGTTGTTCCTGTCTGCATGTAAACAAGTGGGCCGCGTGTTTATTTGGCAAAAAATATAAGAAGAACGAATCCGTGAGATAGAAACTGTGAACCATTTTTCGTTGCAGCAGATTTGGGTCCAAACATTTAGATTTTGTGCGTCGCCAACAAATCTCTAGGTATGTACACTGCGGGCTTTTTATTCATCGGGCTCGCCGCCGTAGCGATCTTCTTGATGTTCGACAATGCGGAGCAGGGCTGGAGGCTATACGGTTGCATCTTGATTGGCTTGTTCTCCGGGATTCTCATCGGTAAGGTCACCGAGTACTTCACGAGCTTCGACTTCTCCCCGACCATCTCCATCAAAAACGCCGGCAGGACCGGGCCAGCAACGGTTGTCATTCAAGGTATTTAATGGTACTCAAGGTGTTCTGTTTTTTGTTCTTGCATACGTCTGACGTTCAGAGATACTTTCAGAATAAAGGCGCGCAAGCACCACCAAGCCGCCGTTTAGGGCTTGACTTGTCGATTTAGTTCCCGATGCGCAAATGATTTGCATGAAGCTCGTGCCGTGCCAGCGAAAAAAAATTCTTTATATCATTGACTTCTACAACGTTCTTGCAGGTATCGGCGTTGGTATGATTTCCTGCGGTCCGCCCACGGTCATTCTGGTGGCGACGATTCTGTCCTGCGCCGAACTGACCCCGGATGGAGTCGACCCTGCCTACGGCGTGTCGATTGCCGCGGTGGGTATGCTCTCCACCCTCGGTATCACCCTGGCCACGGACGCCTATGGCCCGGTCGCCGATAACGCGGGCGGCCTCGTCGAGATGGCGGGATTAGACTCCTCCGTCCGCGCAAAGACAGACTCGCTCGACGCGCTGGGCAACACCACCGCTGCCACCGGAAAAGGGTTTGCCATCGGTTCCGCCGTGCTCACCGCCCTGTCGCTCATGGCTGCCTTCATATCGCATTAGAAAAAGGTTTCACTGTGGCGATTTTGCGTGCAGGAAATTGTGTCGCCTATGCGCTGTGTTGGGATTTGGGTTGTGGAATTTGCATCATTGAAGCAGTCCTCGTGCATGAATTTAGTACTACCCATACGCGCTTCCGAACGGAAGACAGTAAATAAACTGTGCATCACAAGTTCATCACACAGTGAAAGATTTTTTTTCGCGATATGTGAAGCAGAAAGTTCAGGGCAACACGATAATCATTTTTGATATCAGCGATGCGTCCACCATGGCGGGCTGCTTGTTCGGCGCGATGCTTCCATACCTGTTCGGCGCGCTGACCATGATCTCCGTCGGTAAAGCCGCGGCAGAAATTATCGAGGAGGTAAGAAGGCAGTTCCGGGAGATCCCGGGCCTGAGAAACGCCATCGAAAGAGCAAGCCGTGGCGAAGAAATCCCGCCGGAGGAAGACGTCGAGCCGGACAGCGACCGCTGCGTCGCGATCTCCACTGCGTCCTCCGTGAAGGAAATGATCGCCCCAGGCGCCTACGCAGTCTTGGCCCCGTTGTTTGTCGGCTTCACAATCGGACCGAAGTGCTTGATGGGAATGTTGGCAGGTAGAAGATTTGAATATCAACTTGTGTTGAGTAGATGTTTGATTTTACTAGAATTTTCAAATCGCGTCTGTTGAGTTTAGAATCCTTTACTGCAATTGCGAATCACACCCAGTTGCAGCAGATGCCTTCCGCACTGTTGAGTGTGCCGCAGACACATGAAGGTTCCTCTAGTGCTACTTCGTACAGCACCTAGCTGACCATGATGATATCGTAAATCCAAACTACAGGCAGCATCGTTTCCGGGGCCATGATTGCCATCATGATGTCGAACGCCGGCGGCGCGTGGGACAACTCAAAGAAGCTGTGTGAGAAGCTGAAGATCAAAAAGACAGAGCAAGGAAAGGCCTGCGTGATTGGCGACACCGTCGGGGACCCCTTCAAGGACACCAGTGGGCCGGCACTGAATATCCTGATCAAATTGATGTCCATGGTCAGTTTGCTCATCGCCCCAATCATCAAGGACAACAAAGATTACGAGGACTGGTATATGGTTTTGTTTTGCTACCTTCTAATCTAGAGAGGGACACAATCGCAGAGTGTAGATCTTCTTGACGAACCGGAATTGACGGCAAATTATTAAAAAAAATTAAAAAATTAAAAAACCTACTCTCAGGTGGCTGGGCATGGTGCCCCTGGGTGTCTTCGTGATCATCACGGCTGTGCTCATTTTGCAAGGTGTGCTTTCCTTCAAGGATCCGCTCGAGTTTGCCCCGCCATCCGCCCCGCCCACCCCGACCGCGGAAGGCGTTCCAGTGGAGGGCAAAACCGCGGAATCTGTTCCGGTAGTTGTTGGCTCCACTAGTCCTAAGAACAGTCCGGCAAATGCCTTGTGATAAGTCCTTTTTTTCTGTGTCGGATTAGATTTTTTCATGATGCTGATACAGAGGCGAGAACGTGGTTTTAGATTCATTCCACGCGGCCCTGACGAGAGGGAAGAGTGTTTTGCTACAATGAGGAGGCGAGTTTATAAATTCGAGCCCAAGACGATGACGTTACGTACGCTTCTTGGCGTTGTGTATGAAAGTGTAAGGTTAGGTTACAATTCAATTTTTAGTACGAGAGAATTTCATCGGAATACCGGTCGGAAAAAGTGAGGAATTATAGTATTTAGAGCGACAGAGAATTATCCGCCCGCACAATCGATCGGGAAATGCAGCTACGCCATACGTAGTACAAGATCCAATTTATGTCTGCGACTGATATTATGAAAGATCCGACATTGTCGAAGATGCGTAAATACCTGGGAACTGGTGCCAAATTTGAGCGCCGAAAAATAGCGCTTCATTTAGAAAATGTACCGAAGGATAAGCCCGTGCACAGATGATTGATTTAGACGCCGCAGATTCAAAGAATTACGGCTAAGCAGCGTCGCTCTCCCTGCGGAACGCACAATGATTCCTTTACCTCAGCGTCACGTGAATACAGTCGGGCGTTGTGCAGTTTAAAATCAAATCCTGTACTGAAATTCGTTTCACTTCAGGGCTCAGCTGTCACATGCGACAAATACAAAGCACGCCGCGCGCCGTCTTTGCTTTTGTAGGTCAGTCAGTGGCTTATTGCGTTTTGCGTACTGCGATTATGTTCTATGAGGTGCGTTTGGGTGTTGGGGGGAAGAACGAGAGCGTGCGAGATGATCAGAGTGTATGTACTTCATTGTAAACGCACACGTCTACGATTAAGGAAAGATGCCACACGATTTCATCGTCAAATAATAGGTTGTCGAAACCCCCGCTGCACCCGCTGAGGGTGATGCCGTCGCAGCTGACAAGGTTGAAGTGCAAGTGCCGGCAGGAGGCGACGAGGGGAGTCCAAATCAGAGTCAGGAAGCGTAGGGCAACATTGTTCGTTGTCTGGAAGGTTGGTGGATTTGGTTGTCGTTTCAACTTTTAGTTTCCGTAGTTCTCTTGTTACCAAAGTTCTTGTATTTTCTTTGTATGAGCCGCTGGCCGCTTGGTAGCGGCCCTCACCTCGTGTGTATGAAAACTTTTTCATTGCGTGTTAGATGCAGTAGTACCAGGTGGAAAGATTTTGAGTCCTTCGTAGTTGGGTCCGAGTTTGTGTTGGAGAGCAGTACGAATTATTCTGCAAGGGTGCCACACTGCAGCTCGTTCTCAAAGCATCATCATCAAAAGTTTAAGACTATGCGAAAATTTCAGTATGTTGTAGATCATCGTGTGTCATCTTGTAGGCGCATGCAGCTCTTTCCGATACGTCGTTCAACACCGGCTAGCCAAAGGCGCAGTCGCGAATCTCACTCAAGTTTTCAAAGTTCTGAGAAACAAAAAACCGTTTCGCACGTTGCAAATGAAAATGTACATAGGTAAACGAAAAGCAATATTTGTGGCAAACACAATTTGAAGATCTGCGGAAGGGGACGAGAAATGAAGACAAGCTGCTCGAAGAAATAGGATTAAGATGCTGGCACAGATTTGTTGCGCTCCAAGCCTGTGCTCAGCAGCGTTCTTTTGTTCTGTTAAGTGAAAGGAGTCGTGTTGATTTAATGAGTGCGAGGGGAACTTCATCTTCATCCTATCTTCTGTCATGAGATAGATGACGAGGTGGGCGAATCCAAATGAGACAGTAGACCTTAACCTGCAGCGCCGAAATACGAGGGTACTCTGCCGCCCACGTCTCATCAGGGTATTTGGTTTGTCTTCGGCGTCGTGCGCCTTTGATCCATTGGATGGAGGTTTAGCTCCTGCGACTTCTGGTCAAAAAAACTGAAACAAAGCCACGAATGAGCGATCTCCTCTCATCCTTGCTCCGGCGTACTGGCCGAGAGCGACCCGCCCCGATTGTAACTGCACACGTGAAAGAGACTAGTACGCCCGGTGGAGGACCTGCGGAAAGCACGAAGCTGAAATCTCGAAAAGACCGGATCGAGGCCTTTGTGGAGGCCCAGCGCGGGGTTCTGTTCAACGAGGACGACGCGAAGGAGGTGGAGCAGCATTTGATCGAGGGAAAGCGTACAACTCGTTTTGCACTTTTGCAGGGCAAGCTGTTCCATTTCTAGCAGGGTCGTCACGTACATGTTGACAGGCATATATCTGCTGCCTGATGCTGACTAACTCTTCTTCCGTTGTTTACTTCTAGTTCTACACAATTTATTATCAGCTGTCGACGCTCGACACTTGGTGATTTCGCAGCCGCTCGGGATTTCGTCACAGAGACTCCGGAGGTTCGACATCACGGCGTCAACTTCTCCTGTGAATGTCAATGCGTCCACATCTGAAAAACGGTCTTCTATGTCCATTGCCCTGGCGAAAGCGGTGGAGGAAACACGACGCGAACGGGCGGGAAGAATGGGCGCGGACGTTGAAGACGAAGAAGGTCATACGAGGAAAATGAATAGTGGTACTAGTGGTACGTGTGATCCTACTTCTGCCACGGGTGGTCCAACACTTCTGCAGGATGACATTACCACGAACAGACATCCGCATGGTGGGACAACTACATCTCCAACGCAGCAGCTCTTTAGTAGTACGGTGCGGAAAAGCCGGAACAGTTTGTTTTGCCCAGCCCCCGTCGCTGAGGAAGAGACTGGGGCCAGTTCTAGCCGTCGCGGATCCAGTGCAGTCTCAACACCTGCTGGCGCGACATCGACATCGGCAGGACGACGGGTCTCATCGATGAACAAACCATCTTTGGCCGCACCGGGTGCTCCACCACCGCCGCGCATGACGCTACCCGCCCCGTCCCCGCACGGGGGACAGCCGGAGTTGCACTCAGCAAACCTCCCGGAAAGCGTGTGGAGTATGTCACGACGCTTGTCCCAAGTGGTATTGTCTACGAAGCGGCCTAGCATGATTGTACCGAGGCGCAAATCGCAACTTCCGGTGAACGTTAATGGTTCATCAGAGGAAATTTTTCAACAAGCGGATCAACATCAAGCAGCAACGGGTTGTAGTAGCAGCCGTCCGGGAAAAATGAATAAAAACGTGTTCCAGGTCGTCGACAACAGCAGCAAACCATCGAAGATAGAACTAGGCCCGTCGGAAAGGGCCACCGCTGCTTCTACCTATTCCGGATCTACTTGGCAGCCAGGACCGCATGCTGTGAACAACTCTGTTGAAAGCAAACTGCGGCGACCCAGTTCCATCTTGAAAACCTCCACCTCCAAAAGAACCACGATCGCGGGCGGGCCAGGTTTCTTTGCGGAAAAATTCGCACTCGACAGCAACGCTTCTGTCGAGGGCTCCATTGACGAAAACACGGCAAGAAACAGTGGGAATAGAGGCGGAATACTGGCTGGTGGGGTTTCCTCGTCATTTAGTGGAGGTGGAGAGATACAACACAGCACAAGTACAACAACTTCTAATGCTGACAAAACAAAGCCGCCAGGAACTACAACTACTGCGAGCAAGAAAGTGCGCGCGAGCTTCGCAGTTCCCGAGCAGATCCCGGGTTTCAACAACAGATCGAAACGAAAAATCTCTTTGCTACCGCAAAACACAAAAAGCCAGCTCGACCCGAGCACGAGACGGACCATTGCCGTCGCGCCAGACCACGCAACCTTGCTGAGACACGCACAAGCGACGAAAAACGAAAACGCGATTTTCCAACTCGGGTTAGCAAGCTTCCGGGAAAGTTTGCCCGAGGGGTCCTCGCTTGGAGAAGAGGAGGACAAATTGACGTCGAAATTATTCATCTCCCCAGAGCAAAATAACCAGCAGAACAACAACTCGGTTCTTTCCAGCCCCGCACCAAGCACCCCGCAGTCCGGCGTCCGATTATCCGTTTTGCTCGACGGGGTCTTGAAAAGCAAGGAGCAGAAGGACGGAAATAAAGTGCGGAAGTCCGTCGCGATTCTGCCCGGACACAGCGAGGAGGGGGACGAGAACGGTGGTGGTGGAGCATCGTCTTCGAATACTAAGCGGAATTTCCTGCTCGCTGGCGGAGATATGAAAAAAGGCAACAATCTTCGCGGGCGCGCGATGCCGCGCCTGTCGATTTTTGCGGAGTTTAAGGCGGACAACACGGTCATGTCGGCGGTTCGAAAGAAGAGTTTGTTATCCGGGATCAACATCAATGCAAATACCGCGGGGGCCCTCGGATCTGCCGGACCGGCCGCGGGAACGGGTGCTATCGGGATGAACCACGGCTTGAAATCGGCGTTGAAAAACAAGGGTTTTAACCGCTCCATGTCCATTTCCATCAAGGACGAGGAGGACGCGCGGCAGCAGAAGGTAAAAGCGGAGTGCAGCAAGGCGGCGCTGGCGCAGATGAAGCGGTGGCTGTTGAACAGCATGAACCGAACGTTCGTGCAGGACATCTGGCAGGGGTGCAAATTGCTGAATCCCTTGGACAAGACTCTGATCATCCAAGAACGCTCGAAGAAGATCAAAAAAGTGACCGAGAAGCGCGTCGCACCCTTGCGGTCGAGTTTGAAGAAGGATAATTCTCTAGGCAGTCGGGCGAGTGCGAATATCAACGGCGGGACGAGTAGTGCTGCTGGTGCCACGTCGAATGCAGGTGGGAGTCTTGTTTCATCCGCAGCGAACAGGAACAGCAGCACAGGTGGTCTATTGAATTCGAATTCGAACAACAGCTCGAATCTTCCGTCGCCGACGTCGAACTCGCAGTATTACCTGCAGAATAAGTTCACTTCCTCAGCAACTTTGTCGAATAACAGCACGCCGACGTCTGCCATGCTGTCTACGAGATGGATGAACGGGCATGGTACGAATGGTACCCGAAGGAGCAGCAACATGACAAATTCCAGTATCGGATCATTCGGCGGGGGGAAGGGGGCGGTCCCTGGGAGCAGCGGCTTCGCGGGGCTGGTGCCGGGGTGAGAAAGGTGGAAGCAGATGTTAAGAATCTCGTAGAAACAAGTTTCTGTTGTCACATGTAAAATGCTAGCTACTTGTACTTGCTCAGGCTCTTGATCAAATTTGTTTACCGACGCGGTAATGCTGGAAAAGCACATACTCTGCGTAGTGATAATTAAGAAGTGTCATAGTACTGCGTCGGCGAAGACGAGGACGGACTCACTGCTGTTATTTCTTTGGCGTGCGTTGCTGTCACATGCTTCCTTGTATGATAGAGATACCACAAAGACAAACTCAGCTGCAAGGGCTTCTCGAAAATTTGGCATCTCTCCAATTATACCGTAGTATACCATAGTAATAGTTTTGTTGCATCGCAGCCTTGAAAATAGTCACTTCGTAAGTGGTGATGACGTGGGCGCCTTGCGTAATCTGATCCGCTCGCTCTGTTCTTCTGAGCGAGGGACTCACTAAATCTGTGCTCGTGGTTGATATTATTTTTTGCTCTTGCTTTCAGTGAGCGTAGGCCCGGCGAGTGAGAGAAACGAGACAGGAAGGCGCGTCGTGTTTCGGTTTGCGTGCGCCCCGCGGAGCACGCAGGCCAGGCCGCAGCCGCGCGCGTGTCGTGTCTTTTCGCGCGCAGCCGAGCCGCGGCGCGCGGCGTTGCGCAGGCGAACCCCGCCATGCTTCCGGGGGCGTGCGGTGGTGCAGCTCAACCCCGGAATCGATAACATCTTGCCGGCCGAAAGACCCAAGCGGGTGGGCGCCCTCGATCGGTATCGTCGGAGAAGCCTCAACAGCGTGCGCAGTTCGTGGCAGCCGTCGCGCGGGCCCGTGTCCTTTCTCAGTTTCCGGCGCCCCAGTCGCGCCCTCTCTCGGTTTCCGGGGCCCGCCCCGCCCGGCGGCGCCTTCGTGCGCGGCGGCGGGCCGAGCCTCCCCCTTCGTGGCGCTGCGTTTTCATTCCCCTGCGCAGTTGGCTGTATTGGCCTGGCGCCCCCCCGCCCGATGGGGCGGTCGGTGCGTCGTCGCTTCAGCACACAGACGTGGGCGCCAACGCCTCGCCGGAACGGGACCGTAGCGCCGCCCCATTGGCCACCAGCTTAGGCCAGCCACTCAAGCAGCCCCGCGCCCCCCACATGGGTTGTTTCTCCCCGGAACCCGGGTGTGTCTGTTTCGTGTGGCCGGCTGGCCGAGCGGCGCCAGCGGGTGTGGGCATGGGTGGCAGCCTTCCCTTGCCGGCTGCTTGTGTGTCTGCAGACATTGGTCGGCCGGGTACTAAATTTTCAACTGGGTCAGAAGGCCACGCGGCAAACGTTTCATTCTGAGTGAATTTTGCGTAGTCTCGTTTGGTAGCTGAGCAGCGGCCGGCAGGGTGTGCTGTCGCACAGTGGTGTTCGTGTATGGTGCCGTCGCAGGCATAAGGATTTGGGGCACGACCCCGAGGAGGTCTTCCGTGTTCCAGTTACACTAAAAGCCAGGTACGCAACACATAAGACGAAGGAGCACGGTCTAGGTGTCTTTTTCAAGGGTGGACAAGTGGTCTCTTTCGAATAGCATTCAGTGCTTTCGTCGCGGCTGTACACTTCTAAGTAAACTTCGCCCTACCTTCTGACCATGACAACCCCTCCCAAATCTCCCTTTGAGGGAACCGCAAACCCGAAGCGAAACAACACCCGGAGTCCGCGGCAGCCTGATGACGATGTCGTGCAGCGCATGTTGCGGCAGGAGCAGACAAACACCTTGCAGCACCAGGCGGCAGGAGGAGCACAACAAGTCGCAAGGCATGTTCCCGTGTCACTGCAAGGAGATCGTATAGAAGTAGATGCCGCCGCTAGTATTTCCCCGACGTTGCTGCACGAGGACAGCCATAAAAATTCTACCAAGCACAATGTCACCTCCGCAACAGTACAGACAGCGACAATTCCCCACGCGAGCTGCAAACCGAAAACCACGACCGCCGTCTCCTTTATCCAGAGAATCAAGCAAACCGCTTTCCCCCTACCAAGACGAGGCCACGCCCGGTCGCCACCGGCACAACCAGGATCGTCTTCAAGATCGCCCTCGCCTCCGTTTTCTTCTCCGAAGACGAAGAAAGCGAAGCGTAGTGGTTCACCTTCACCAAAGGCCGCGACGGGGTATGTCAGCAGCACGAACGACGAGGTGGACGACAGCGACGCGAGCAACTTCCTCGATAACGACAGCGAGGATGAGGATAACGTCGTCGCGCCGGAGACGGCCAGGTGGGTGGTGGAAAAGTACCTGATGCCGCTGTTCGAAAGAATCGGCTTGTTTCAATCGGTTTACAGTGGGAAAAATCTTTCAGGCGGGGGCCTTGCTGGACCGGCTGGTACCAGTGGCGGACCAGGAAAGACTGCTGGTGGTGGTGGTGCACCATCGTCAACTACATCTCCCACGAAAATAAGCAGTGCCGGTGGAAATACGAAGAACTTAAAAACCGCTACTACATCTACTTCAACTTCCGGCGTTCCTTTACTCGACGAACTTCGCCTCTCCGACCGGCTGTTGCACAAACTGCAAGAGTACCGGAAGAAAGTGGCGGTTGAGACAAACTACTGCGCGGCGCAGGAGCGGGAAAAGGAACAGCAGATGGAAGAGGTACAAGCGCTGCAGAAAGAGTTGAAACAACTCCAACACTGGGTCGCGATGGACGGCTACCGGCGGAAAGCGGAGATGGAAAGAAATTTGTGGGAGAAAAGGGGTTGCGAGGAAAAGGAGATCCAGTTGGGCGAACTGTCGGAGTCGTTGGCTGCGAGGGTCAAGGAGAACAAAAAGTTACATTTTCTCGTCGACCAGCAGGAGCGGATCGTCTCGCAGCAAAGATTTGTCGTGGCGAAACACCTGCGGGCGGCCAGTTTGGCGAAACTGAAAAACGACGTGTTGGAGGGGGAGGTGCGATTTTTTGTGCGTGTTTTGTTTGGATGCTTCTCATGTTTTATTGACTTCCGTATCCGTAGGTCGCCTTGTTTGCTTGTCTGATGGATGGGTCGTGTGATGTGTATCATGTGTAAACATTCGGTGCATTTACATCAAACACAGATCCGGCTGCTTCGAAATTTCAAATCGAGCAATGCGGCTGCCGGCGGGTCAGCTGCTACAGGACACGGCACCACGACAGCAGGCGTGGTCGCCGCAGAGGGGGCTTCAACTTCAGGCGGCACAGGCATCCGCAATAGTACCGCGTCTGGCGCCGTTGCAACCGCTTTGGGACGAGGAAGCAGCAGGATTTCCGGCTCCGCTAGGGATTCCACCACAGGTATCAAAAGGAAAAATCTCCCCTCCCCATATCGAAAAGGAAGTCTGTGATGCTGTATTTGCGTACACAAATCAGCTTTGTCTTGCAGTGGAGCACTGCAGGCAGATACAGAGCCCGGAAAGGGGTGGCCTGAGGTAGACACTTAGCATGGCAGACGTCTGCTCCATTGGCGCAGCAGCATTACAAATCGCCTGCGAAATGCGGCGGAGGCTCTGGCTTTGCTCTCTTGCAAGACAGACTCGATTTGTGACCACAAAGCAGCATCACAAATTTTGAAAAGCACGCCTTTTCGATATGGGGCGGGGGGATTTTTCCTCACAATAACAGGAACATCAACTCCTGCTGCTCACTTCTCCTCGAGCCTCGTTCCCCACATCACGGACGCAGACTTGGAGAAGCAGCAGAAAAAGTTCGCCCAGCAGCTGTCCGACCAGTTTCAGGCGCAGGACGAGATCGAGCTGAAGTTGAGCACGCTCGTGTCCGACAAAAACAATTTAGAAGCCGGCAGAACCGCGCTGATGAAGAGAAACGAGGAGCTCTTACTGGAGAAAGATTCCCTCCTCGAGGAGGAAACCGAGCTGCGGATCGCTTTGAAAGAGCAGTTGAAAGAGGCGCTGAACGAGAAGGACACCATGCGGAAGGAGCGCGACAAGCTGGAGATGAAGGTGAAAGACCTTTCCGCCGACCGGGACACGTTGAAGCAAAGGCTGAAAAAATACCGCAGATTGAAGGTGGACGAACACAAAACCTGCAAAAACTGCAACAAGGAGTACTTATCAAATGCAAAAATGTCTGGGTCTGGAAGAGTGCAAGGTTTGTCATGCACATTTTACCTGACTCCTGATGTCTGTGATGCATGCTCTAGCATCACAGATTTTGCGAGGGCTTCCTGATGCCTATACTGCATGAGAAATGCTCTCTCGCCGTGGCAAAAACTGGACCTCTTTTGCTGTTCATGCAATACAGATTTATTGCGGAATCCAAATCCAGCATGACAAGTTCCAACCTTCCCGACCCAGACATTTTTGCAATTGATAGTACTCGGAGCAGGACAATTTCAACTGGTCCTGCCGCACCCACTCCAGCGAGTACGGGGGGGAGATGTGGTGGTGCTGCGGGAAGTTGGGGAAGGACGCGATTGGGTGCAAATTCTCGAAGCACGAGTCGAAAGACGAGGATGACGACTTGGACGAGCAGGATCGGGCGGAGCGCGAGGAGCGGGAGAACAAGACGCGGAACGCGAAGATTAAGTGCTACAGCTGTAAGGAAACGGGGCACATCGCGAAAAACTGCCCCAAGGATCCGAATTTGCGAACGCTGTACGACCCCGTGCCGGATCTGAACCGGATCGAAGTGCTGGCGTTGAGTCAGCAGTTACGCGGGAAGAAGAAGAAAGGAACTACAATGGGCAGTACTAGTAGTTCGGCTAGTGGGACCACGAGTGGCAGCAGTACTTCGACACAGGACGACGACGCGAGCAGACAGTTGAAGTTATCGGAGATCGTGACGAAGATCGACAGCAAGCTCGGGTTTGTGAGTACGATGAACGAGGAGGACCTAATCATCGACGACGCAGTTCTGGACGACGTCGTGGACCTGTGCGCGAAGGCGCGGGAGAAGTTTTACGCGCAGTTTCTTTTGGAGGAGGAGGCGAAGCTGATGAAAAATCACAGTGAGGAATACTTCAGCTCCAGCGAAGAGGACGAGGAGGAGTCCTCGGAGTCGGAATCAGAGTCGGAGAGTAATTCGGAAGCAGACGAGGACTCTGAAGATGAGGACGGGAGTGGCTCGGAGCACGGGGACGGCGGAAAAGTGAATCAATCAGGAAAAGTGAAACAGAACAATTCCGGTTCGGATAACGATTCGGAGAAAAACGATTCGTCTTCTGGCGGTGAGGACTCGTCGAAATTGGACGGGGGGGATTCCAGACGGTCATCAAAATCCGAAAACGGGAAAAATTGATGAAAGTGAATGCGAAAAAATCCTAGCAGCTTGCACAGGAAGGGTTTTGCAATTCTTGGTACAGCGCATAAGAAAAGAGCACGAAGAAAAAACATAGAGTTAACAACGACATTTGAGTGAAGTATCCTTTACTGTTTCGTAAGACGAACGCCCGGCCTTGTAAAAAGATCTGAGCAGAAAATTGTAATAAAGTACGATGGGAACAACATGCGGATTTGTATTCCGAGATACCCTTGTTGAGCAGCGCAGCCGCCGCATACCAAAAACGCAAAGAAAAGTGTTCCGCACTGGTGGCTACGAGATGTTGGAAGAAGATCTGCAAAGCTATCCGACATGAAAGAAGATCCATTTTGAAGAAAATTCATTTTGCTAGCTGCCGTAAAGAAGTACATACATGTTCCACGCCAACACATAGAAGAAGTTTCAATCGAATACGTTTCTCTTCACCTGCAGTTATTTGAAAAAAACAACGTAAAGACTTTCCCACTAGTCCTGTAGTCGCAGAGGCCGCTTGTATGACGATGTGACTCTTCAGCAAACTTTTAGTTTTTTGCTAGGTAAAAAGTGGCAGTCGTAGCTTGATCATTTTTGTCAACATTTTTCTTCGAAGCTTACAGGAGCAAGTCAAGAAAACTAAACTACAAGATGATCCACTTTGCCCTGCTGATCAGTCGGCAGGGCAAAACCCGGATGAAGAAGTTTTTTTCGCCGGTCTCGGAAAAAGAGCAGCTGAGCATGATAAAGGACATCAGGAATCTCGTCCTCTCAAGGCCACCGAAACTCTGCAACTTCCTCGAATGGAGAGAATACAAGATTTGCTACAAAAGGTATAAAATCTATCGACGACTTCTACTTCACAGATGAGCAGTAGAACTACAACACGCACCACAAAAATCACGTTACAGCGTTGATGATGTTGTAGTGCATGATAGTAAGTAGATGCTTTTATCCATCAGGTACGCAAGTCTGTACTTCATTTTCGCTGTGGATCCGGAAGATAATGAGCTCCTGGTGCTGGAGGTCATACACCATTTCGTCGAGTGCCTGGACCGATATTTCGGCAACGTCTGCGAATTGGATCTGATATTCAACTTTCACAAGGTATAAATATGCGATGTGTTTCCTATGTTTCTTTTTCGCCCGCCAAAAAGGGGCACGGTTAACAATTTCTCGCTTTTTTTCAGCCGCCGAAATGAAATGGGAACTTGATGCACGGGAATGCTGGTACGATGAAACGACTCTAAAATTAGCACGCAAAAAAATCAGGCCTACTACATATTCGACGAACTGTTCATAAACGGGGAGCTGCAAGAGACGAGTAAGAAGCAAGTTTTAAGGCTAATTGCCGAGCAAGACGCCATGATGGAAGACAAAAAGGATCAAAAGAAGCAAACCTCAGTATTTGGGATTCGATAGCACATGAAGACCCCACGGCGTGTGTTGCCATACTGAGCATGATGATTGATGCTCCTCCCCCCACCCATGTCAGCGACAAGGAAGCCCCAGAAACAACATTCATCACACAGCGACAACCTAGAACATGTTTGGGAATAGTTCTCATCTAGTCTACTACGCGACAAGGACAAAGAAAACGTGGTGACGTGTGCCGAGGAGGGCGGCGTGTTCTACCGCAACTTCTTACACTTGCGGTCCGAGGTCTGCTCGTGCCAGCCGAGGATGTGGATTTCTTCCCAACTTGTCAGACTCTGGCAGGCGGAATAAAGATCTTGATCTGTGCAGGTTTTCGTTTTCGTTGAAGGGTCGACCTCCACACGATTTCGTCCAATACATTGTTATGCTTATGGAACTATTGTCGTCTTCGTGCATCATGTGTTTATTTCAAAACTGCGTGTAGTTGTGCTTCGTTTGTCTTCGTGGCAAGAATAAAACGCGCTTTCCCGCGTAGATCGTACCACATTTCAGATTCGTGTTGATCTCGTGTCGTTCTCCGGTTCATTGTAGTTTGCGTCCGAGTCCTCTGTGTTAGCATCACAATTGTCGTGAAGAGTACAGTCCTTGTGGCCACGGTATTACTAGATCAACTTGACGAACAAGTTTCTTTACACGCTTTTGCTGCAGATTCTGGCTTCCCCTCTTCCCGCCCTACTGAGCACATTATCCCTGACCCTATACCCACTCACTGTAACCGTTTTACATTTACTTTATTTGCCCTCTTGTAATCGCCCCCAAGGCCTTACGGAGTTTGGGGGCGTCCCAGGCCCTCCTCTCCGATAGCATCTCTAGTATGAAATCACCCTTACAAGTTTTCCCTAATATCGAAAACAGTTCACATCGCTCGTCCTTTTTCTCAGAACGTCGATGTGAATCATGAGTAGAGCTTAATCTGAACCGAATCAAGATGGAGCGAAAAATCGGTGTTGGTTTATTTGCCGTGTTGCTTGCAGCGCCGCCATAAACTCTGCTTTGCAACCAGGCGGTTTCTGTATTTGCTGTCAAAACTGCGGGAAATAACAAGATGCAGGGGCAACTTGCAGGCGCAGGGACGAAGTTTCCGTTCGGATCTTCGGCAACGGCGCTGTGCAGGAGAACATCTGTGCTGGTTTTTCTTGCTACAGCTTTTGTTCTGTACGTCGAAGATCCAGCGGTACTGGCGTTTTTAGGGAAGAATGGAAAGACCGGGCGGGACCTATCGCCTCGTGCAGCGCAAGAGCAGGACGACAATAACAGTGCTGTCGCGACAGATGATGTGAGGCGCAGCGAAGATCAACTTGTTCTTCCCAGCAAGAGACCGCTGCTGCGGAGAAGAGGACGGAGTACGGGAATGTTCCAGAAGACGGCTGCACCGATTTTTAGAGACGAACTGTCCGAAGAGCACAACTCGCTGGGCGGAGCTCCGGACTATCAGACTGCCCCAGCAGCAATCTCTACTGCAGATCCAATCTCACCGTTGCCTCTATCCAGTTTTCTCAGAAGCAAAAAGAAAAAGAAGCGTGTGCACCGACGTGTAGGGATAGAAGCAACAATAAAATCTTCGAACGCGGCGGATGAAGGAGATGCAAGTGTTCTCGTGAATCCAGCATCATCTTCAACACGAAAAACCGCAGAAACAGCACGACATGAGGACAGGAAAACGGTCACACCGTTCTCGGCGGAACAAGTAGAGACCAAAAATGGATCGCGGAATTATGTCAACAATAAGCAAGAGACACATCAGACATCAGACAAGAAGAGCCAACTGGAACTACATGTGACGACTCCAGAACAAGAAGACATTTCTGACATTGCCGAAAGCAACGTAGCAGCACGACCGGAGGCCAAGCCGGGAGGCACGTGGGAGTGGAGGCCAGCACCAGAGGAGGACCACGATTCTGCTCTAGGTGAAGAACAAAAACTAGAACAAGTTGGCGCAACGACAAACGAGTGGAATGACGAAGTAGTTTCGACTCGCAGGGACGAAGATGAGGACAAAAAGAAGGAGGAGCATATGACGTTTTGGGAAAAGCTGAAGGTGAACTGGATGACCTGGCTGTTTTGGTGCGTACCCTTCGTCATCTGCCTTGTCTTTGCCGGCTTCCTTGCCAAGGTCGACGACGACGACGAGAAAACCCTGGACGACGAACTCAAAGACGCAACGCGGCCTGCGCCAGTCCACTTCCACAACACTTTCGTCGATGGTAATGATAGTACAGCGGCCCCCGGAGGACCACCTCCCGGTGCTGCAGCTTTAGCTGCCGCCGGGTCGACAGCAACAGCATCCCTCGGTCGTGGATTCGATCTGGCGCGGCTCGGGGGAGCAGCTCTGGGGGCCGAAGGTGGTCCACCTTTCTTGGGAGATTATGCAGTGCAAGCCGACGGAATTATCTCGGATAAAGACCGCGAGGAACAACGGTGGTCTACGCGCACGTCAGGTGGTTTCGGGGAAGAGGGCAGCGAGGCTGAGGCTTTTATTAAGGACGACGACGAAATAGGAATTGTACAGGGCGACGCGGTCGACGATGCGAGGCTGATGTCCTTCGCTGTAGGTGCCTTCGCGGACGACGACCAGCAAAAGGAGAAGACGGGGAAGAAGCCTATGAAGAAGGTTGTAAAGTTGAAAAATCGTGCTGCTTCCCCTGCGACGGCTGCTGTTGCAGAACAACACGATAGTAAAAATACCGCGTCTGCTGGGTCAAGTAGTACTGCTCCAATCGTCCCGCATTTCCGGCCCAGATCGTCTGAAGCCGACGATAGAAGGGTTGTACTATCGCAGGGCAGTTCATCGGGTAATGTCGTGAGAGCGTCGATTTCTAGTGCTGACAGTACAACTTCTACTTCTTCTGGGAAGAAGAAGAAGATCTTGCTGAACAAACAAGAACAGCAGGCAGCAGTGCAACAACCCACCAGCATTGGGAAAAGATCTAGTAAGAATAGCGCTTCCACAATGTCGACGGAGACGGGAATATCAACTTCTGGCGGAGCTGCATCATCAACATCAACACGGGCCGCCTCTAAGGTATAGGACGACGGTGCGGGGGCCCCGCGCTACCACGCGTCAAAAATGTCCAATGACAGTGGCGGGACATCAACGCGGCTCGCGTCCAAAGTCTCCAACGACAGTGGCGGGACAATTCGGCTCGCGTCCAAAATGTCCAATGACAGTGCTGGCGGGGTCGCGCGGTTGGCCTCCACGACCTCGACAGACAGTGCAGGTGGGGTCGTAGCGCAAACCGGTAGCACGCGTTTTTTGTCGACGATTTCGGAAGACACAGCAGCCAGGATGTCTACCGCCTCAAAAGCCAGCAACGATAGTGTGGGTGGTGGTGCTGCTGGGATGACCACGCCGAAGGTTCCGAAGGGAGCTGCGAAGAAACAGCACCAGCTGCCCAAGATCTCGGAAAACAGTGTGCCCTCTGGAGTGTTGCCTTCCGCGGCATTGTTGAGAAGTAGTACTATGAGTAGTACTAGTAGTACTGGCGCGACGGTGGAAAATAAAGAAAAACGAAAACGGGCGGTTTCCAAGGAAAGGCCGAAGAGACAAAAAACGCCTGAACAGGTGGGACCTCTTGCCTCACCGGGCGCCAAAGCCGCTACAAAAAATGTAATGCCAAAGTAAGGGACGACGAGGACGAAGATCTATCTGTATCTTCACAGAGACATGATAGATAGACGTGCGTGTCTGTTACCCACCAGAGGTGGCGTCGTATGCACGTGCCGCATGGAGCGGCAAAAATCTTACGAACTACCCCGAGATTTTTCGTTCTCCTTCCTTTTTGATGCACCTTGATTCATCATGCTCATGCAGACTCTCTTGATTTTGATGAGGCGGAGGCCAGTCCCGTTGTCAGCCGGGTTCGGTTCCCGGCCTCTATCGAAAGTGTGTGTTAGTGTTTGTGTTTGAATCACTAGCGAAAGTTTGTGAATTGAACCGGAAAATAAAGACAAGCTGCAAAAAAATCTCTGAAAAACGAGGGTCGTGAGAGATAGAGGAGTGAGAGTTTTTGTTTGCGTTGAACCTGAGGGAGTGACGTGCAAAGTGAGTGAATGGGTCACAAAGGAATGAGTGAGCGCAAGCGAGATGTTCTATGAGAAGGAATTTGAGGCTCTACTTGTCAAGTGGTATCATAAGGTTTCTCGCACTCGGCGGAGATCGTACGATCACGAATTGGCTTTGCATGACGCAACTAGAATAACCGCTCAGCGTGCTGAAGTTGGTTTCTTTTTTTCCTTTTTTTCGGACGACCACTGAGGTTTAAGTAATGCTAGATGTATTTCAAGAAGCGATCTTCCTCTTCGCACAACCGACATCCCACTCAAACGACAGGCAACGAAATTAATTTACGAAGGGTTTTCGCGGTTTGTTCTCTGCTTCTCGTTTTCTGCCTTATGATTTCTTGAGTTGTTCCGAGTTTTGCTCGACCTGCTTTTAATTCATGTATGTATGTAAGATGTTTTTTTCAATATCAAAAGACAAGTTGGTTTTGATATGGATGATGAGCACCATCAGCGACGCGGTCGGACGCTCGGTGACTACTCTGGAAGCAAGTGACGCTTTTTGCCAACAACTCTTCGGCGCCTGGCGCGACTAGCAGGTCGTCTTTTCGGAGCGCGGCAAAAACCCGGGAGAATTGAGTTTTGCACATCTTACGGGAAGATATTATTCAACCGAGCGCGGTACAACGAACTACCACACCAGCACTCCGTGCAGCCACGACGAGCAAGATCGCAAGAGACCATGACCAAAATAACCGCATTGACAGCTTCACTGCATTTTTCAACATGACCGCATCTTCTTCTACTCCTTCAAATTATAGTACTGCCGGCCACGCGCACGCCACACCCACCTCCTACAGTGGCGTCCCGTCCGACCTGAAAGTGAAAGATCCGCAGTCCTGGAGCGGAAGCGACGTCGCTTGTTGGTTGCAATGGCTGGGCTTCGGTGTCGGGACCATTCCGAGGCATCTGGACGGGCCAGGGTAAGACATTAAGTGTTTTTTTTCTCGTCATGCAGTCGCTCGATGCAGTTGCAGTACTTGTTTTCTACTACTTCCGTCTGAAATGTATCATGTATTTGCATGTTCCTATCGCTTCTGACATTGCAATTTTTTTTGATGAAACTTCTGCAGTCTCCTGCGCCTAGTAACCTCCGACGGCCGCGGCGAGAACGGTCGTGGCGACGCCTTCTGGTCTCGGCTGAACGGGCGGGAGAAATCGATGCTGCGCAGCGCCATTGCGCCGCTCTTGATGCAACAGGAGGTTGAAGTAGACCAGGGACAAGTAGACGACGTGGAGGCTGGTGCGGCAACGAATAGCCCAGCAATGATGAACCGCGGGGGGCATCGACGTGTGGAGAACAAGCGCGATCTTGGTCCACGACCTCGGGGAACCACTACGGGTACAACCACAGAAACTACAGCTTCAGCCGGATCAGAGACCGATAGCGCGACAGGTCAACATGGTCGTTCAGGCGACCACGACGACCCAGAACGAATAGAACAACACATGAGTCATTTTTCGACGAAGAACTTGGCAGGAGGATCTCGATCTTCAGGCTCCAGAGCAGCTGGCGCCCCCGGCGATTCGAGTGCTCTTAAAAACCTGTCAAGTAGTCCAAAGCGAAGTAGGAACAATGTTAATCAGAACCAGCAGGGCCTACTTTCAGCGACTCCTTTATCCTCTGCAAAGAAGAGCCGAACCAAGAAAAAGCTGTCGCACTCCCCCGACGCGAAACTTTTCCGGAACGATGGGACCGCGACGGGGCACAGGACTAACACCAGCGTGGCGGCGCTGCAAATCCAAGCCACGAACCCGGACTCTTTGCTGCTCCGGGCCATCGAGGGGCCGTTGGTGGGAGATGGCCAGAACAGTAGTAAAGACTGCTCTGTTCGGCTTTATAGCGAGCGGATGCGGCAGCAGTTGTTGGCTCATCAAGAAGGAACTACAACATCGTCAAGAGCAAATCTGAAAAGCTCGATCACAGCGGGCCGACACTCCGGGCAGAATGAGCTGGTGATTCCAGAGTCTTTTGTCAGCCGGAAGCACTTCCGTGTGTTGCACCAAGACAGCGGCCTGGCGGACGAGGAGGTTACTTCTACAACTAGCCCCTTGATCTCCTCCTGCGTAGACCCGCTGGACGGCCACGACGATTTGCAAGATCCCACCCATTCCTGCTTCTCCCCTTGGCGCGTGCAGGATCTGGGGTCGACGACCGGTACCTTTTTGATGATCCGGGACCAGATTTTCCTCAAGGAAGGCATGACGATTCAGATCGGCGCTACGGAGCTGCAGATTTTTTTCGTGCCGAAATGCGAACTGGAAGAAATCTTCGGCAGGCTGGAGGACGGAGAGTTGACGGAGGAAGAGGAACTGCAAATCTTCGAGTCCGCCTTGCGGGGAGGCGGGGGCAAGAATCGTACAACAAGCAGTGAACAATTTACTCCTGGCGGATCACGAGATCAACCGCGTGACCACGTTGAGGACGAGTTGACGCTTCTTTGCTTTGTGCAGTCCAGCACAGCGGAGAACTTCAGCATTGCCAGTTCCTTCCGACTCGCCGACTCCGACTCGGTTGTTGAGCTATCCGTTGCGGGATCTTCTTCTTTCTCGTCTGGTGGGAGTAGTGTAGCATTATCCACCCTCCACGGTGGGGATGAAAGGCAAAGAGGAAGCAGAAACTGCAAAAGAACCGTCGAAATCGTGCCCAGTCGCACGCTGTACTTGACCAATGCGAGGAAGAATCGGGAGAGGGTGATCACGATCGGGCGCGACCCAACCAACGTTTTGGCAATCCAGGACAAGCAGCTCAGCACGTTTCACGCAAATGTCCATTTGGTGGTCGGAGGGAATACGAGTACAGAACGTGCGACGCGAGCGAAGACGAGGGAGACCGTGGAAGGGAGAGGTACGTTAGTTTCTCTTTTCGTTTGTTCGTTCTGCCGTGGTGTGCAAGTGCTGTGTATGTGTTTGACTGCGACACGCAGCGGCTCATTGAAGTAGGTAGCTGTCATGCTTTATTTTCACGCAGAACAAAACGAAGACACAATAGCACACGCACGACATATTAGTAGACAAGTCACAGAGGAATTTTTCACATACGATTTCTTTCTTTTCCCCAGGTTCTTCACCAACCCCGTCGACCCGATTCATGCTTACGGATCGCTACTCCACGAACCGCACCTGGTTGCGGTTGTCCGAGGACGGACAGGTGTCCGACCCGTTCGTTTTCCGAGTGGGAGACGTGCTGAAAGTCGGCAGCTCGCTCTTCATGCCCTTCGATCCGGACCACCTCGTGCAAGAAGATAATTTCGGTGCTAGTATTAACGAAGGACAACGTGAACTTACGGATAGGGTACTACTTCTAGATGGTCGTCGTGAAAACAACAACAAATCCTCGTCCTCTTCCTCCTTTCTTCACGATTTGGTGTTGGAGAGCGAACGGGAGCTGCAGGCGAAAAACGACGAAGATTTGGACTTTTTCTACACGCGCAGAATGGAAGACGAGCGTGGGGAACTGCGGGAGTGGAGCAGATTGGGGGAGAAGGACGAGCACGCTGTGCTAAACAGCAATAATGGGAAGAGTAGTGCTGACATGAACGCAATATTGAACGCGAGGACCGGTGGGGGAGGCGGCTCGAGTTCTAGTTCTAGCTCGTCGTCTTCCAGCACGACGCGCACAGGGCCACTGGATCAGCAAATTCATGATGGTAGAGCAAATTATCCGTCAAGTAGTTCGAGCTCGTCCTCTTCATCAGCAACTACAGGGTCAGGCGAGAGACCCCAGCACGGGAATGACAATGAGCCACAGCAAGAACCACAACCACAACACCCGCCCTACGCAGCTTCTTCATCGGCTGCCGCCACCTTCAACAGTCGCGTGTCCTTCGCAATCACCTCGGAGCAGTGGCATCTGGAGCAGGAGTCACGGGAACAGCAACGCCTTTGGGACGAGGCGAAGCGCCGGGCCCTGTTTGACGGGATGCAAGAGGAAGAAAATTTGCGCGATGTCGTGCTGGGAGACGAACGAACTACAAATAATGGTGCTACTACAACCTCCGCGTCAGCAGCACCATCGTCTGTTCCTGCAGGAGACGGTCCTCCGCGGCCTTCGAGACCAGGAGAAACGGATGCGATTGGGACAATCAATGTTCCGTCGGGGGTCGTCCATCCCCTCCCCCCGACTGGAGCGATAGCTTCCTCCTCTACAACTACCTCAGGCACCTCCGCAGCTGCGCTGGGTGCGAGCCCGAGCCGCCCGCGCAGGAACAACAATTACGGAAATAACAACGGCCAGGAGAATGCGGTGAACATTCTGCGAGGAGTCTTGCCCGACGTGATTCTCCCGCCCGACGACTACGCCGACAAGCTACGGAGGTCCCGGATCGGGCAGCGCAGAAACATCCCGCCCGACGACGTAGCCAGAATCGAACGAAATCAGATGAATAGTAGAGGTGCAGGAGCAACGCCGGCCTCGGCCAGTGGTCGTGCTAGTGCTTCCTCTTCGCGAGGAGGTGGCGGCAACAATTTTCTGACGCAGTTTCAGCAGGATTTAGAGGAGGACGCGAACCGAAGGCGTCAGGAGGAAAATCAGCGCCGAATCGAGGAGGAAAGGGTTCGCCGAAGTACTTCTAGAGCAGGAATCAACAACGCGTCGTGGTCAACCTCGAGTGCCGGAACTACTACACAACTGGCTGAGGAGAATTATCGCCACGAGGATTCTTCAACAGCGCGGAACGCGCATCAGCTGCACGAGGATCGTGATTCCGCGTGGACAGGAACAACTGCACACGGAGGAGGTGGAGGACCACGAGAGGTGCAACATGATGCAACCCCGACAGTTGCAGCTACTGCGAACACGGCCCAAGTAGAACAAGAGCCCCCGCCACCACAACCCCTTCCGGAAGATGATCCCAACCGTATCGTAAGGAAAAATCCCCCCTCCCCATATCGAAAAGGCACGCCCCAGAAAATTTGTCATGCTAATTTGTGACCTCAAATCGTCTCTGTCTTGCAAGAACGCAACCGCACAGGCTCTGCCGCACTCTGTTGGCGGTTTGTGATGCTGTTGGGCCTACAGACTACACGTTTGCCATGCTCAGCGCCTAGCTCAAAACTTCCCAGCTCGGGCTTGGTATAAGCCTGCCGTCCTCTCCAGCAAGACAAATCTGATTTGTGTACGCAAATCCAGCATCAGAAACTTCGTTTTGATATGGGGAGGGGGGATTTTTCCTTTTGATAAACCGCCTAGACCGGCTTCAGCAGCGGGAGGATGAGAATTTGTGCAAGATTTGTTTCGATGGCGAGCTGAATTGCTGTTTGTATCCGTGTGGGCACGTGGTTTGCTGTCAGAAATGCAGCAAGCAAATCACAGAATGCCCGGTTTGCCGGTACACCATCTCCGAAGTGATAAAATTGTTTCGAGTGTAGGATCATCAGTTTGAGTCTGATAAGTTTCATCTCTGAATTCAAAAATGTTTGAGCAGTTGCTATTGCAATTGGTCGTGTGTTTCGCTTTTTGTAGAGCAAAAGCGGAAGAAATTATCTATTGCATAATTTTCGTTGGGCCGAAACAGCGTTAGGGTAGCTTCCCCGGAGACGGAAGGTTTTGTTCGTATAGCTTTCTCTTTTGTTGCGCTAAAAGGTGTTTTGAAGAATTAAAAAGCGGGTCTGTGCTTGGCCCGTATGGATCATCGCCGAGGCGACGATGACGCTGGTAACGATCACCAACATGATCTTCAAAGAGTAAGGAATTTCGACTAATTTTTGTGCATCGCAGAAGCAACGCGGACGTGCGGCTTCTCAGATCTGGTTTCGGGTGACGGATCCACCAGATCTTGTTTTTGGTTCTCGAGTCATCTGGTGGCGAAGGGTCATGTGTGTGCGACGTACTTGCTTAGTTTAGGAACCGAGAGTGTCTCGGCTGACGCAGATCTGCAGAAGGCTGCATCAAGTCCTGCACACAGGATCGAGGCGATCAAGTATAATAAGTAGGCCCAGTCGGCCGAGGTCCACACCCTAGTGATTGATGCAATGACTCTACTAAATCCGTATTTTTGTACAGCGAAAGTTCTTAGAATTTACGACATATGAAAGAATACGTGCAATATGCGTACGCATCTGCGCTTGTTGGTGGTGTTAGTGTGCTCCTGGTGTGAGCGTGACTTGCTTTTTTGGACGAGCAATCAGCTGCTAACGGCAGTGCGAGCGGATCTTGACCGCGGCGATGATTGGTTAACTTCGCTTTCGTCTGTGTTTACCGAAGGCGGCGGGCTGGACGAGGATGAGACTGCCACAGATACGGTCCAAAGGAGCGCGCCATTGGCCGACGAGGCTGAAATAAAAAGTGGCGAGAACTCTAACACTCACACCCAGAGAGTACACGAGTCAGCATCACAACTCGAAGTGCAGCAAGCAAAGCGGGGACGAGAAGATAAGGGCTCAGCGATCGCACGAGAGGGTGCTGTTTTTTCATCCGCGCAGCCGGTCGTTGCCACCTCGCAGGTGGTACAAAAAAGCGCAGCACGACCAGGAGCTTCTGCCTCTCCCCGAGGATACGACCCTCCACCTGCACGGTCTATGCCTGAGTTGGTGTCCTCCGCGCCCGTGCTCGGTGATGACGATTTTGGCGCTGCGCTGTTGGATGTCTTTCAAGCCGGTGGAGACGATTTGTATGCGGGATCGGACGATGAGGAGGTTGATGCGGAGGGTGCGGCTCCGGCTGCGGACCACGAAGTCGTTTCTGTGGTATCTCAACAAGATGCTGCATCAATAACTCCAAGCACCGCGGAGAAACGGATGGAGGCAGCCGCGGATCATCGGGCAGCGCAGAGTAGTCGTGGTTCGAAACAAGAGTCACCTGCTACTCCCGGTGTTGCGGGGGCGCCGGTGTCCTCGGCTCCGGAAGCAAGAGGAGCTGCCTCGTCGGAATCGAGCGGAGGTGGCGGGCCCGCGAGTCGGACAGAGGAAAAGCTTTCCGGCGTTGCCAGCACTTCTGTTACAAAAGAAGCGGCAACAGCAAGAAGCAAAGATACCATCGTGAAGGTGAAAGGTACAACACTTACAGCTGCACCTTCTGGAGCATCTCCCTCCGCCGGAGCTGCAGCTCAACCGAAGGGATCAAAATCCTCATCCACTGCTAGCACTGTACAAGTGGCGCAGAAGGAGCGAACCACCATTAGTACTACACAGCGCCAGCAGCTGCGGGAAAATCACGGAAAGAACAAAGCCACCCCGAACGCGCAGCCAAACACAAACGCAATCATTTTTCTGCCCACAGCCGATATCAAGCTGATCGAGGAACAGGGCAAGGAACTTGCGAAAACCGACAAGGAATTAACGCCGGCCTACGCCTGGTTGGTCGACGAAGTACTAAAGAAAACGACGACGCTGAGTCCGGACGCGGCTTCGTTGGTGAACGACTACGACAAATTGATTGCCTCCAACGACAAGCTGGAAATTGCGACGGGGAACTTGCTGGTGCAAAAAGTGCTGCAGCACGAGGAAATTGTGAAGCGGAAGGACCAGCTGATCAACCTGGCGGCACTTTACCAACCGCTGGTCGATGACTATCCGAACGGTTTCTGGCAGGGAGCGGGTGCCACTGCGGGTGCGGCCGCTGTGTCTACTTCCGGCGGTGAAGGAGATTCGCTCGTCAATTCTCCAGAGTTGAGGAAGGTCGTGCAAAATTTCGCGGAAGAGCTGCTGAAAGACTTGAGAAAAATAAACGCTGGGACAAGTGAAGATCTTGGTAAGAATTCGGCAGCAGGACGAGCCTCCTCTTCATCCTCTGCACTGCAAGAAGGATTGCATCACAAAAAGCACCATGAACTACTACATCAGAAGAGGAAGCTCCATAAGCAGAAGCGGCGCCTGTCGCTGGCAAAGGTGATGCGCAGAGATTTGAAAACAGAGCTCGCCACCCCGACGATCGGGCAGCAGCGGTCCAGGCTGAAGGAGGTGTTTGCCTCGAATATCGCGAATCCCGTCTCGACGTCCGAGTTCATCAAGAAATTTCAGACTTCCGAAAAGCTCCGGGCCGTCTTCGAACAGGAATTCGAGTCCGATAAAGAGAACGCGCAGGACCTCGAAGATTCCTCGCCCGGCAGCGGGAAAAAGTTGCTGGACCCCCTGCGGCAGAACAAATCCAACATGCTGATTTTGTCCCTAATGCTGGACTTGATCGACGGCCTGGATACGACAGCCCCAGGAGGTCTGATCGACGAGAAGAGCAAGCAAATTCTGAAATTCGCGGTGATGCGGGTCTTGTACGGGCTGTGGGCGACGGTGTTGTTCGCCATTTTTGACAAGTCCACGGCGATGCCGCTGCGGACGAAGCGGGTCTTCTGGATTGCATATCTGTGCCGCTTCAAGAACATGCCGGACTCCAGCGACGCCTGGCGGTTTCTGCGCTGGGTCACGCGCATCCCGTACCTAGGTGTGGAGGAGCGGAGTGAGGGAAAGGATATGAAGGACATGTTGGCCGGGCTGGCAATCGGGTCGGGAACTGGTGCTAGTTCGGCGAGCTCGTCTGCTTTGCAAGAAGCGGTACTAGCTCACGGGACCGAAGAGGCGAGAACGGCAGATTCATCTTCAGGGTGGGGACACGATCACATCAGCAACCCGCACACGAGAGACGACCACATCAGCAACCAACACAAGCAACAGAGGCACGAAATAAATCAAGTGCACCAGCACCACCACGATCCGAAGCACGACTCGTATGAGGAGCTTGCGGAATCGTTTCTTTTGAAGCGGCAGCACAAGGAAAGCGAATATGTCGGAGGTAATTATGATCCGGAGCTCGCAAGTAGAACTCCATCTCCAACACAAATTTCCTCCTCTTTCGTCGAACAACACCATCATAAAACCACGAACAAGCGGCTTGCTTCCTTCGCAGATGACGGTCCAAAGCGCACCGATCCGGTGCAGCGCTGCGGTGCGAACTGCCACTCGACCGACGTAAGCGAAACGCCGGAGGACATCAGGGAGCACAGCGCCCACGCGTTGTTGCTACAGCTGAAGCCCGTCACGAACTGCGAGTTGGACGAAGGGCAGACTGATGATGGGTCATCTAACGAGAATGTTTTTTACGCGGGCGACGGGGACGACTTCACCAACAGGGTGTTTTACTACACGGAGCTGTTGAAGAAAATTGCAGCAGGAAATGGCAAAAGTAAAAAGCAGCAGCTCCCCCTCTTCCCGAAGAGCAGAACTACTGCATCTTCAGGGGGGATAAATAGCCCAATAAATAACTTCGATAAACAAGGATTCGACGCAAATGCCCTCGCGTCGCAGTTGTCCACCGCCTTCACGTTGTTGCCGGAAGAAACGCGAACGCAGCTGCACGCGAAGCTGGAACAGAACGCGTTCTCGTCGGAGAACGCCCCGAATGGGCAGCGCGAGGTGGACAAAATTTTTCCGTACGCGATCGAGCTCTGTTTGCACGATGATAGCGAGATGGCCAGTTTGAAGGAAGTTTTGGAGACAAAGCGCGCGGAACTGCTCTCCGGGGAGCAATTGGATAAAAATAACGCCAGTGCCTCTAGTACAACGCGGACTTTCCGGCCGGGTGACGCCGTGCTGATGTGCGGAATTCCGACGGAGAAGGCGAGCTACGCGTCCGAGGAGAACCAGAGGGCGGGGAGCAAACTGAATAACAACCAAGCACAGCTCCGGATATCAAATGTAAAAATGTCTGGGTCTGGAAGAACGCAACTTGTCATGCTAAATCTGAAGCATGCAAAAATCTGTGTTGCATGATTACCAAAAGTCGTCCAGTTTTGACCAAGTCGGGAGGCAGTTTCTGATGCAGGATAGGCATGAGAAAGATCGCACAGAATCTGTCATGTTAGGTCCTGCATTCCAGACCTCATGGGTCATGGAAAAGCTGCATGACAAGTCGCGCATTCTTCCAGACCCAGACATTTTTACATTTGATACCGGAGGTGGAACGACAAAGAAGGGGAAGATGGGATGTGGGAGGTAGCCGTGGCTGCGGGGAGCGACGCCGGAGGGAAAACAGGCGACAGTGGAGACGAAACGGGGTTACTCCCTTTGTCCTCCTCTTCTTTCGCCGAAGAATCTTCACTCTTGGATGCAAGTACAAGAACGTCGAAGAAGAACAAGCTGGACCATTATCTGGTTCTCCCCGATTTTTTATACTCCGTCACTCCGGAATTGGAGCACGACTTCGCGGACCCCTGCGCGGTCGTGGACCCTGCCAGGGGGTTTTCGGAGTTGCAGATCCAACAGCAAGAAAATCTACAAGGTTCTGCTGGAGAGAAGCCGGACGAGGATAAAAAGGCCGATGAAAAGGAAGATCAAAAGAACAGACAAAGCGGTTCGTCGGCTGATAGCGTGCAAAACCCTTCCCCGGTAAAGTACTCCCCGACAGATTCAGACGCGGAGAAGCTGGAGAAGGCGGAGCAGGAGATCACTCACTTGAAGAACGCTCACGCGCGGGAGCTGAAAAGGATTTACGACGACCAGAAAGACCAGGCCGGCGCTGGAGGTGCATCATCTTCTGCGTTCGGTGGTACTTATAGCGGAGGTGGCTCGAAGAACCCGGCGGTGAAATTTGATCCCACTACCGGCGACGTGAACGAGGGCAATTGCCAGCCGCCGACGAAGGATTACGAGTCGTACGCGCAAGACGTGGAGACGACGCTGGAAACCGGGGCAAAAAAGGCGATCGAGGCGCTGGAGACGATGGATATCAAATGTAAAAATGTCTGGGTCTGGATTAAGAATGCAACTTGTCATGCTAAATCTGAAGCATGCAAAAATCTGTGTTGCATGATTACCAAAAGTCGTCTAGTTTTGACCAAGTCGGGAGGGAGTTTCTCATGCAGGATAGGCATGAGAGAGATCGCACAGAATCTGTCATGCTAGGTCCTGCATTCCAGGCCTCATGGGTCATGGAAAAGCTGCATGACAAATCGCGCACTCTTCCAGACCCAGACACTTTTGCATTTGAAGATAATGGAGGATTTGATGCGAAAGTTTCAACACTTCGCGGACCAGCTGGCGGAGGAGGAGAAGAAGGCGCGGCTGGACATGCTGAATCCAAAGGGGGAAAAGCAATCCACCAAGTCGGCGGCCGCGTTCGCGAAGAAACAGATCGCGAGCATGCGGCAGATATCAAATGTAAAAATGTCTGGGTCTGGAAGATTGCCAGGTTTGTCATGCACATTTTGCATGACTCCTGCTGTCTGTGATGCTTGCCCTAGCATCACAGACTTCGTGAGGGCTTCCTGAGGCCTATACCGCACGACAAATGCTCTGTCCGTCTAGCAAAACTTGGACTCTCTTTGCTGCTCATGCAATACAGATTTTTTTAGAATCCAAAATCAGCATGACAATGTGGATTCTTCCAGACCCAGACATTTTTACAGTTGATAGCAGAGCCTCATTTTCGAACCCGAACTAGCGGTCACGCCGGACGAGCAAAGTAGCGCGATGCTCGAAGTCCTTTCGAACACCGACGAGCTGCAGCAGCCGGCGCTGCTGGACGGATACGAAAACGATTTGCTTTATTTGTGAAGAAGAGATAACTTGATAGCTAAAGCTAATAGGCCACAGCGCATGAAATGCGAATTGCTACACGTATGAAATATTTCAGTGGCGCAGGAACATTAACTACACAAGCAGGGCAGGCATCTTTTCCGACTACCAGATGCCCATGGCGGTGTTCTGGTAAGATGGACAAGATCAAAATTTGCATTCTGGGATCTTTACTCCAAAACCGAATTCATGGCGGAAAATGGAGGTCCAATCGATCTGAAGATGCTCTTTGAAGAAATAGAGTTCACCATGTCGATGATCCCCTCAGTTCTCTCTGATCTTGTGATCTTGAAGATCAAACCAGAATGAATGATCTCTCGTATCATGTGAGCATTTATTTCCCACCACAGGTCCACACCCAGCGACATCAAAATTTTTCGTCAAGATTCGGAAGCGCCAGTGAGACTCAGCGAGGAATACATGACCCCTTGAGGCAACCTGTATTTTCTCATATGCTCCGTCGGCTGGTGTCTTCGCGGTAGAAATCTTGTTTTAGTCTTTCCGCCCTTCTCGATCGCAATTTTTACGAAAAAGCATCCCCGTGGTCAATCATGCCTACCGCCGCGGATGTAAGCTCTGGAGTGGGCGTGGTTACCAGCACGACTCCGTCTGCGTCTTCAGCCGCGAAAACGCTCGACACAAGTGTGACTAAACGACCAACCAGTGAAGAGGCGGAGGACCAAGAAGAACACGTCCTGACCGCGACCCCGCCCACCCCTCCGACAGACGCAATGGACGAACAAGCGACTAGGAAAGCTTCCTCGGAGATGAAAGAGGAGGATAAAGATGAAAAAGGATCACGACCACGACAAGCATCCGCGTCTGTCCCTGACAATCCTCCTGTGAAGAACACGAGACCTTCTGTAGTTGCACCAGCTAGAAGTAGTACAACTTCACCGCAGCAGCGCTTGGAAATCTTGAAAGCGTGGCTGGCCGAGAAGAAATGCGAGTTGCCGAATTACCTGGAAGTCGCGTTCACAAAAGAAAAGGGGATGCACATTCGGGTGAGGGAAGACTTGGGGAAGTTTTGTGATCCTGCTTCAACCACCTCCTTCGAGACCGACAGCCCTTTCTTTGCGAAGATTCCGGCAAATGCGATTCTGTCGTGCAATGACCTCCCAGAGTGCTGCCGGAAGCAGCCGCCAAAGGAGCTGGAGAATTGGTCGGGCGTGCAGGACCTGTGGGTCTTTCTGGTCATGGTAAAGACCGGACGGCTGGAATCAAGAGAATACGGCGGGTACATCCAGAGTCTGCCGCCGATTGTTTACGGGGCAGAAGGGAGAAAAGAAGGTTTTTCGGGCGAAGAGGAGTTGAGTAAAAACAAGCAAGGAAAAGTCCATCACGACGACATGCAGCCGGAGGCGAAGGTTCGAAAGATTTGCACTGCAGCGTCTGGAGGAGCAGGAGCACCATCACCACCACCACCTTCTGAGGACCGCGATGGCGCGACTGGCATGGCTAAAAATCCCACGCCCGCTGGTTCCTCTTCTACCAGCAGCACCTGTGACTACGAACAAAGTGCAAAACCGCAGATAAACGACCACGACCCTGACTCCGATTTCGGCCCCGACGACCCTACGCACTGGAGCACGGAGGATTTGCACCAGTTTCTGCCGCAGACGAACTTGCTACTGGAAACCACCCGGCTGGTCGAAATCTTGAAGTGCCAGGTCGACACCTTCGCTTTTCCCCAGTATGGGATTTGCCTCGAGGAGTGGAAGTGGGCACGGTCGGTCTACACGTCGCGCGCGTTTACGGCGGCTTTGAAGAAGAATTCAACTTGCCCGGTCATGCTCCCCCTGATCGATGTTTTTAACCACAAGGCGGTGGATAACCCTGTTGAGGTCTGTCGCTATTTCGAGAACAAGGCAAAAGAACTGCAAGCATCGACGACGGGCGCCGGGCATCAAGAAGACCAAAATCAGGCAGCTGAGATTTCGCCCGCGGTGCTGCAAGAACTGGAGCAACCGTCTTCCTCGCAAAGGAAGAAACGGACTCTGATGGGGTGTTTATTCGACGAGGATGTTGTAAGTGGGGATAAAAAAAGAAACGAACAAAGTAGTACGGTGGAAGCAAGTGGTCGAAACACAGTCCTATCAGCCAAAACTACTACAGAAGACGCGGACGTGGTTCTGTGTGTGAAGCCTGAGCAAGCCGATACTTTCGAGCTGGAGCTCCAGCCGGGCCAGGAAGTTTTCAACAACTACGGACCGAAGGGAAATGAGGAGCTCTTGCTCGGGTTCGGCTTTACAATTGAGAATAATTGTTTCGACTGCATGCAGCTACGCGTCACCGTAGAGGTGAAGGAGAAGGCGAAATTCGACCAGATTCTGCGCAAATTTCCGAAAGCTTACTGTCTGTCCGAGGAAGGTGAAACGCAAACGACGGACGAACGGACTGGAACTGCAAGGAACGACACCCGCAGCGATTCCAGTAAGTCGAGCACCTATGACGGGTCGAAAAGTTCGCAGAGACCCAAAATCCTGAAGGTGGAATACCCGCGAATTTCCGTCGGGCCGTTCTTCTTGAAGAAAAGTTGTGGGCGGAAGATGGAAGCAGGTAATCGTGGTGAGAACAACGACTTGCCACGACAGGCGAACGCAGGGAGACTTGCGGGAGAACAACCGGCGGAAGGAGGAGCGAGCACTGCGATGCAGGCTTCTGCGATTATCGACATCGCACGGCGAGCAGCGGAATTTTGGATGTTCTCGAAGGAAGAAGGCGTAGAAGCGTCCCCGGCTTCGTCAGAAGGAAATGTCGTAAAAAGTGCTGCAGATGACGACATTCAGAAACATCAAGTCCAGCATCCCGATACATTTGTGCTTCCCGTTCAGACAAACTCACGCGCATCAAAAGCGACGGCTTCATCTTCCTCATGTGATACCACCCGAGAAATCCCCCTCGCCCTCCTCGCTCTTTTTCTCCATGTGCACTACGACAAAACGCCCAGCGACGGCGAAGGCTGTCCCGTTGGGGAGGCGATTTTCCACGCCTTCGAGCAGCTGGCCCAGTGCTTCTACGAGAAAACAAAGAAGCTGCCGTGCTTTGATGAGGCAAAAACAGCGCAGGCAGAAGAGACGCTTGTTCATTCGAGCGAGGAGTTCGTTCTGCGACGGCGGACGGGAAACTACGTCGAGTTTCTGAATAGCAGTCCGAGCGGTGGAGAAGCTTTTAACGCAGAGGGAAAAGATCATAATTTGGATCTCAACACAACAAAAATGGCGAAAACAATAACCGCGAAGAGAAGGCGACGGGCGGAATTCGCCTCGACGTATGTGCACGGGCAATGGGAGTTGGGGTTTGGCGTAGTCGAGGAGTTGAAGACTGTCGGCAATATTTTGGAAGAGTTCTATCTGGAACAGGATGGGGCAACACCGAGCCAGGTTTGTCAGCTGTTTGAAAACGCGTTCGGAGGTGATGCTCGGTAAGAGCCGCAGAAGCCGCTCCTACCAAAGGACAAGTTTCTTCACAGTCATGCCGTCCTAGATTTATTCTCTTTCTCGATAGCGACAAAGAAAAACGACCAGAAAGAGAAAGTGCTGAATGTAAGCTACTGTGCTGCGGGAAGCGACTAAAGTCAATAAATTTATGTGTACGACTGATTTTAAGACTCGTGCAAAACTTTTGTGTTCAAGAGGCTTAGACACAAAGAAGTAACTGAAGATCGAGGAGAAGGTGGAAGATCCGCTAAAAGAAGTAAAGGTCAGTTGCGATGAGTCCGTGATCCGGAGGTGGACAGTTGATGTATACTTGAAGGCGTCTTCGTACTTGAAGTTGAAGGCGATCAGAGGCTGCCAACACCGTGGCTTTCCGTGCGGTTCGTTGAAGGCATCGGCAGGACGATCAAAGTGATCCGTTCAAGTACTTTGCCTATAGCGTAAATTTCAAACTCTGGCATGTTAGAGTATTATCTTCGGCATAGCCTTAGCTTTCGTACGAGCTGTTTGTAGTTTTTCCAACTAGTAATATGCGTCTCTAGTACAGAAAGAGAAACAGTTCTACTACAGAAGCAAAGTTTTCTCAAGCAAGTTGCAGTTGATGTTTTACCACAGCAATCATCCCAAAAAGAGTCTTTCCTGTCTCCGGTTTATTGGCTTACCATTTTACAACAATCTGCACACGAACACCGCACAGCTTTTCCCAAATTTCATTTTGAAACCTGCTTCATCAATCCCAAAAATGGCTGTCGAGCACCATCCGGCGTCCCTCCGCAACCGCGGACCGATTTGGGAGAAGCTCGAGCCCTATTTTGTGGAGTTGCTTTCCTCAAAAACAGAAAGAGCTTGTTTGCCTCTTCGTGTTCTCGAAGTTGCTGCCGGCACGGGGGCGCACGCGGAGCTTTTTGCGGAGAAATGCCACGAGATTGTTGCGAAAGCGGAACCGCGCAGCACGCCAGCAACAGCTGCAGGCCAAACCGCAATGGTATTGTATCAGCAGACCGAAAAGGACGAGGGAATGGTCGCCAGGATCTTTGCACCTCCGCCAAGTGCGGGATTTAAAGAAGACGGGTCAACATCAACTACTTCCGTAGCCAAGGGCAATGTGGTGGTCGCGGAGCCAAAGGTGTTGGATCTGTTACAAGTGGAAAGCTCCTCACTGTTTGGAAGTGGCGCAACTGCAACAACACAGGGAGATGACAGTGCCCTCACAAGTATGGCGCACCCGTATGACATCCTCTTCGCGTGCAATTTCACGCATATCAGTGAATGGGAGGCGACGGAAAACTTTTGGAAGAAGGTTGTGCCAAAAACGATGCTGAAAGAGGGCGGGGGATCAAATAGTGCCTCTGTTCTTGCGGCGGGAGAATCCTCCAAAGTGGTTCTCATCTACGGGCCGTTTCGACGCAATAATGCCTTCACGACAGAATCTAACCGGGATTTTGATGCGGATTTGCGGCAGAGGAACCCCAGCTGGGGCTATCGCGATGTGGAGGACGTGGAGAAATTGGCGAACGGAGCCGGGTTTCTGATGGAAAAAATCCACGAAATGCCCGCGAATAACTTTTTGCTGGTTTTTCAAAGGGGCTTTGCGGGTGCGCCCAATGATGTGCGGGTGAAACTCTAGGGATGGAGTACCCCTCGAAAACAAAAATGGAAGATGTCGCGACAAGAACGAATAAGTACAGAATGACGGAAATCTATGTTGTGGAAGAAACTACAGAACCAGGGTCGCTCCTCGTTGATCTATGCGCCTAATTTGGTTCTCCAGGAGCAGCTAGTGTTTCAACTTCCATCTGATTTCTCTCGACGTTGAAATGACTGTTCAACGAATGTTTTGCCTCGGGCGTACTGCCTCGTGAATTATTGCACATCGTCTTCAGAAGTTGTTTTTGAAGATATCCAAAAGAGCGCGGTGTTTTCTAGCGTTTATTGTCGTCCGCTTCAACGAAAGCAGTTCCAGTTGCAGTACATAAGTTCCACCCACTGCTGGCGATGCCATCACAGTAGAGCTGCGATGAAACATGTACGTGACAATGTTGGGCCCAGCATCCAGCACAAGGATGACCTCCACGTCCGTCCGCCGGGCCTGCTTCTCTTCATGGACACGGGCTGCGAAGCGGCGTCCACGGGTCGCGCAGACGAACGACTACCAATTTCCTGCTGACGGAACAACCGGAAGTGGCGTTGATGCAGGAGAAGTGGCAGCTTGTATAGCTAGGGAAACCAGCACCGCTGATGAAGATTTGCACAGCTACAGGAGGGCTCCGGTGGACGACAGCGACCACAGCATTTTTGACCAGGATAGTCCGCGCTTATGCGCTAGACCGAATGATGCGAACGAGGAACGACAGCCACAAGGATATAATGGGGAGGTATCCTCAGCTCCGTTGGAGAATGGACAAGGCAGCACGTCGTCACTTCCTTTCACTTTACCCGCCACCCCCTCTGTTGGCTCCACTGCTGACCCCCGGCGCGCCTTTTGGCGGAACAGCGTTCAGACTGCACCAGCGGGTCCAACAATATCTCTTCCTGCTCCAAACAATTTACCGATGAAGAGGCACAAGCAAGTGAGTCCCCTGTTCACCATCCAGTCCCAGGACCATCAAGTGTTCGATCAAAACGGGCAACCACGACAAGCCGGACCCGATCTCCCCGTCGACTTTGAAGACCCGTTCTACTCCACCAAACCGGTGTCCTACTGCACGCTGGGCGGCGCCGCGTGGGTCGGGCACCGGGCGCTGCCGTTTCTGCTGGAGCGGCTCTCGAAGCACGGGCCCTTCGACGAGGTGTCCTGGCAGAAGGTTTTGAACCGCGCTTTCATGATCCTGGACTCCTTCACCGCGCGGGACACGATTCTGCTCTTGAACGTCTTGCTTCCCTCCAGTTCGTTCATGCTCGGCTGTAGAAATGTGGAACAGGTGGAGACGATGTTCGCGAGAAATCTCGAGGGCTCAACAGCATGGACAACACCTACTTCGCAAGGTGGACAGCAGATGGTTGGGGATGCAGCAGAACCGCGACGCCGCGACCAGGGTGCCGCCGCCACTGACTTGCAGTTTCTCCCCCGGCTGCGCGCCCGGGTGCAGAAGTTGGCGAGGCCAGAGACCAGAACGGCGAAGCTCTGTGGGTCGAGCGACCAGCTGATCGCGAAGTTGTTGTTTGTACACTTGGAAAAGTGTGTATTGCCAGCGGCTTTTCTAAATGGAAGAGAGTTGCCGCAGATGTACTACGAGGATAAAGCTGTTGCCCCCGTTGGCGAGACAAATTCTCGCAGCACGAGAAAACCGCCGCGAAATAGTGTTGACCTTCACGACGATGTCCTCGCGAGAGCAAGGGTCCTCGACGCGCAGCGACGGCGAATGCGTGACTTGGTTGGGATCGTGGAGGGAGTAGAGGTGTTTTGCTTTTTGCACAAGAGAAGAAAAGCGGTTTTTCAGCAGAGAGGAGCTTCTAGTAGAAATCTCTACGCTCATCTCGATGATTATCCCGGAGATGCTATCGCAAAAGACGAAACGGACGAAAGATTCGAAGCCCTTGCCTTTCAATTACAAAAGGCTGTGCTGCTACATCGCCATAGCCTGGACCCCACGCAGCGCAGTTTCCTGCTCCGACCCGGGGGCTTGTTTCTGGTAGCAGAAGTTGGATCTTCATTGTCGTCAGCAGCGTTCTTGACAAGGAAATGGCAAAACTTCGAAACCACCATGCGACTTTTCGAGGCCGTGTTTCTTGCTGGCGGAAAGAACAGAGCCAGGAATGCTACAACAACTGGTTGCACTTCTGAAATGGGACGAGCTTTATCAAGTACACAGAACCCTGTGCAAGGCCGCACCGCCGAGGAGGTTGCGCAACTGCTCAATTGCTGCGCTTCCTTCGTTGAGTGGAGTTTCGCGAGCTGTGACGTTTGTCTACCAAACCACCACAACCTACAGACTTTAGTGCAACGGTGTCTAAACTCAGTTGATTTCTCGAAGATCGGAATTCATCTTGCGGACTTTCCTGCATCTTCCGGAATACTAGATACTGACAGCTCTTGTTCCCCCACTTTGCTCTCCCCACTGGCAAAGAGCATCAATGCCCTTAGCCGGCTTTTCCTCGCCGCGAGCAACGATGGAAGGGAGCAAACGGAGTTGGCAGCGACAATCCTCACGATGCATGCCTCGCCGCTTTTGGACAGGCTTGCGGACACGGTGGAATCGTTGACTTCCCGTTCCCGAACAACTCCGACAGAGAACCTGAAACGGGCAGTGAACACGAAAACGCTAGCGACCCTGTTCCGGGGAGCCAGGATTTTTCTAGGCGGAACTTCTGGGAAGCCCCCAGAGCGCCCACGGTGTGCTGAACTCAGTGGTTCTGCGTCTCCGTCAGAGCAGGACAAGGATGTTATTGACACTATTGTCACCGCTAGGCGTACTCCTCGTGAAGCTGGAGCACAGCGGCTGCGAGTCCAGAAAGCCTTACTGCAATGCCTGCACGCATGTGACTTGCGGTACCAGAAGAATCAACTCGCGGTGATCTGGGAGGCAGCGAGCAAGCTTTTTGGTATGGATGAAACTCTAGGCAACCGGGTCGGCCGTGAGCAACTTCATCTACGGGGTTGCTCCGTCTTTAACTCAAATTCAGAAACTAGAGCGCAAGGAGAGCAGATGCCGGATAACGAGCCCGACATCGTACAGGCACTCAAGAGCTTGTGTTGATGAAATGGTTTGCTTAGCTCTAGATCGACGTCTATCCAGTCCCACTCAATTCGCTGCACATTTTTCGGCCGCGTCAGCCAGAATGACATTGACAAACTGGTCTATCCTTATTTGTTCGTTTTTTTTTTGATGCGAAAGCCAACAGCGATGAGAATGAAGAGTATATTTTCTATGGGTCGTCGACCTCGACCGCTCAATTTTTTGGTCAATAAAACGTCGAAAAAAGGAATCGTGCGAAAAACGTGTCGTTTTTTTGCGAATGAATCATTTCGTGTCGTCTGGCTCTGGGTTGTAAATTGATGTGAAAGTGAAACACAGCAGCATGCAATCGTAATCGATCTACCAACTCGTTCAGCCATGACTCCATCGTGATTTTTTTTTTCGTGCAGTTTGTCCCCTCAAGCTCAACTCGTACCTACAAAATATCTCGCTCAGAATCGTGTTTTCTTCTCGCCGTTCCGTCAGTAAGGGATTTTTTTTTGTTCTTCACAGCCGTCAATAGTGTGTGTCCGCGAGCTTCAATGATCGTGGTTTTCTTCGTTATAATGTTATCGTTCTTCCACCACCACCACTCAGGTAGTTTTTTTTTTACAGGAAGTCACGCCGTGGTGTCAATCCCCACACGAGCCAAGAAGTACGTACTTCTTCTACCACTCAAGTAGTGCTAGGGTCACATCATCCACGAAACGTCCTCCTCTCATAGGTGCGAAGAGAAAAGTCCAGACTTTGATTGAACAAGAAACATTCAAATGGGAATTCTCTCTCTGGTAAAAATGCCCACCCTGCTCGAGACGAAGGACGCAAGTCCGGCGACCGCAGCCGGCGGCCGTGCCCGGAACCGCACGCCGATGAAAAAAGCAGGAGGTTCTTCCACGCCGATGAAGAAGGGTGCAGCGTCCCCAACGGCTTCGCCGAAGAAAAACTCATCAAGTCCTACGGTGGCCAAATCCCCTGTTTCCAGCACAACTTCTTCCGCTTTGAAGAAACGGCTCCAGCGGGTCCTGTCGAACGTGGACGGCGACCTGGAAAGGTTCCGCGCCAAGGGAGTGTACTGGCTTTGCGCACCGCTGTTGTTGGCTTGTTTGCTCTACCGCGTGTTCCTGATGCACCGTGTGGTTTCGCTCCCAGCCGCGACGGTGGTCGCCGACAAGGGCTCGCTGTGGTCCATGCTGACCTTCACGAAAACGCCCGTGGTGGTGGTGGAGAAGGGTATTGGGTTTTTTTGGATTCATTTCTCACAATTATTTGAACTTCATTCACCGTGAGTCCGGCTCCGGTCGTCGCGGTTTGGCATGCATATACGTGCCCTTTCAGAGAAGATTTAGACCGAAACTAACCTGGTTAGTATCGGTGTAAATCTTCTCTGGTCATCAGGTTTTGAACCACAAACGCAATATCAATGTCAAAATTCAACAGCTCTCCTCTCCACCTCCCTACTCAACGCACTGGCTCTCACTTTGGCCACCGTTTTGGTCGCCAGCAATTCCATTCTTCGCCTCCACTGGCCCTCCAGCTACGTGCCGGCCCGCCAAGTCGATTCCGGGTTCCTCAAGTCACCGATTTGCGCCCGGATGCTCGCAACGGTGTGCGAGTTCGCGTTCTACAAGCTCGAGGCGCACACTTTCGGACTCTACTTCTACAGCTGGGATGAACAAGGGTACTTAAAGATAAAGTTTGTTTTTCGACATGCATGGATAGAACATCAATACAATACGCAGAGCAGCTAGAGCTACGAGTACAACATGACTTTTAGAAAAATGACACGTCCACCAATTTGTGTCAAATGACTATCCCAGTGCCTTCCACGTCGGCGTCGTTGGCCTGCTCTGCACCGTCGGCGAGCTGCTGTGCTGGGCGCACTTGCTGCTGCAGTCGGAGCTTCTCGGCTGGTTGGAAGACAGCACCTGGACCGTGCTGCAGATGAGCGTGCTGTACTTGACGAATTTCGACGTCACCGCCTGCGTGCTGTTGCTCCCCTACGTGCTGCACATGGAGTTCCTGCTCCTGCCCCGTCAGTTTTCCCGGGTGTGGGCGGACTTGGTTGCGGAAAAGAAGTGGAAGAACAACTGGGCGGGCGTGAAAACGCATTCCACACCGGACGCCGACACGCTCTCCTGGATGACGACCTCGCTCCTGGCCGCGCCGGTCTTGTTCGGCATTCTGCTGTGCGTGCCCGCGAGCGCAACATTTTTGCCGCTGCAGGAGGACTTGGTGTCATCCACGCAGCACGGCAGCCTCACGTTCGCTCTGCAGCAACTGCTGACCTTCTTGGCCCTGACGGCGGTCAATTTGTCGGTGGCGCTGGTGATGGGCAAAAAGCACGAAGCCATGTCGCTCGTGCACATGGTGCTGCGAAAGTGAAGGGACAAAGTTGCATCTCTTTTCGATGAGGACATTCTTGTTTTTCGAGAAGTGATGAAAAAGTAGGCAGCTGCAAGTGCAACAGATCGTGATTGATTTTGCCCGCTGCTCTTCCCGGCGTTTTCGAATTGTTCATACAAACATGCGTTTTACTAAAACATTTACGTGAATTTCACATTTAAACAAGCATTTTTACCTTCATCTGGGATACTGCCGAAGTGTTTCTATGACACTGGCGCTCAAAAGTCAAACAGTCTACCCGTATAAATTTACCACCCAGTCTTCGATTTTACTTTTACCAGTGAGCTGGCACTTTCGCAAAATCCTGCGTATGGTGCGGTCACGTGTGCATGCAGTATCTTTCTTCCCCCACTTTATGTCAAGCCCAAGCGTCTATTGTTAGAACATTGCATCACCAGTTAGTTTAAACCTTTCAATTTCCTTTATCCAACCGTAATTCGCAAAACCACAGCTTGCAGTGTGTGACAACGAGCACAGGAGTCCGTTCCCGTATGGCCACACGCTTGCTGCTGGTTCACCACGAGAGTTCTTGTTTCTTTTCAGATAAACGTGAATCATTTTCATTTTTACAGTCGTGGTGGAGCTAAGCCAAAGCCATCATTATCCTGGGAAAATTTTTATGGAAAGTACTTCCCCGTGCGCATCATATCCTGTCCATTTCTAAATCTTAATCACTACCACCCTAGCATATGCATCGTAAGAACACTGTACAAAATTTTTGGAAGCAGGCTGTAAGATGAACGCGACGTCTTCTGTGAAGACGATAAGTACGACGTTTTCAGATGAATACTAACTAGTATCTTTCTGAGAATTAAGTATCCCAATGTTGCTTTTCATGGCGACCAAATTTGCACACTCCAGTGACTGAACAGTCATGTACTGTTCTCGACAGATTACGATGTCGAGAGAGGGAATTTCTTTCAAGCCCAATGAGCAGCGACCGCGGTGTGGTAGCATGAGTAGATTACAGATGATGTAGTTGCACACGTTGCGATACCGAGGTGAAAGTGAATAAAGAGACGAAAGGGACGAAAGTGATGGCGAGAGAGTGAGCAGGGAGCTGGTAGACCGTTGACGTAGATGGCTTTGTTTTGAGAAGTGTGCTCTCCGAGACTGTTGCTACTATGCTGTTGAAATTTTTGAACATATCTAATTCTTCTGTGTGTATGTCTTGGCGCTCCGTCTTCTCTATCTTTCTCGCACCACCGCACTTCTAGCATTGTGGTAGCAGAAACCAAGACTGTCGTTTGAGCGACTTAGAGAATACAAGACCAAAAAAGTAGAAGGCACCATGTCCTCCTCTACTTCCTCCTCCTCTTCCAGCCGGATTATAATGACATCTTCACAAGAACCTGCTTCAGCTTCAGCACCCGCCCCGCCGCCGCCGGGGTACTACAGTAATCATGACGCAGCTGTCGGGACGGCTAAGTCTCACACTGCATCATCTGCCGGAATCTCCTCCCCGCCCCTAGTCGCGTTTTCCGCAGAGACGCCCTTCGCCACCTACATTGTCTTTGGCGTTGGCATAATAGCAGGCTTCTCGCTGCTGCTGGCGATAAACACCATGAGCTGCCGGGAATTTTTCAAGATGCAATTGTACTTATATATTTGTCCTTTTTTCTCATGTTAGGTGTGTATGAGATTCAACGCTTGCAAAACGTTTCTGCCGCCCGCATGACCTAACAACGCTCGCTGCATTTCTTTGCTGTTGTTTTGATGTTCCGACACAAAACCCTTACTCACAGCCAAACACACCTGTGGGGCGGCATACTGGGAACTTTCGCATTCCTCGGGGCGATGCGCATCGGGTTCGAGCCAGCTGCGGGTATGACGGCAAGTTATCTCATCTTCACCATTCCCATGATGCATTTTTGGGGTTTTCCAAGAAGACAAATGTTGATGTCGACAGAGGATGGTTCCAAAGTGGAGGACAAAGGGGGAGTAGCTGCGGACTCCACTAAAAGTAGAACATCATCTTTGAGTACGAGCAGAAGAACGACACGACAGTATTACAACAGCGTCATTGCGGGATTCATCGAACACCTTCTCTATTTCATGTACTTTATTTCATGTTTTGGTCCCGCCCTTGTAGGGAAGGGAGCCCATGTGCTCGGAGCACAAAAGTACTTGGTCTGTCTTTAGGACCCAGCTGATGCCAGGACCGACTGGCAACGCGCTCAGAGTGAGACAATGCATCCGCCTCAGCTACGCGAGGCCTGTGGAGCATCTGGCCTAGTTCGGTCCGTGGAACGCTCGTCGCAGCAGGTCTAGCTCGCAGCTAGACCATCGCGCGCCGCCTTCAGCGTCTAAAAACATTGCCCGCGCCCCTGTAGCCTCCCCTGTGGCATGCCCGTCGCATCCGATCGGTTGCGTGTGCAGCCCCGGAGCATACGACAACGGGACGCCAATACAGGGCCACGCAGCGAGCGCGCAAAGATGTGCGAGACACGAAGGCCCGCGACTGCCATGCGCCTCCCTGCCACCTAGCAAGCACCTGAAAGCCATGGGCCCGCGTCCGAAGGATTGGGCTGCGCCCCCCATCGCTCTTAATTACGCGCGTTGACGCATGCAATGCCCTCGCAGGGCTGGTCCCTGCGCCTTTCCCGTGCGTCCGCGTCTGCCCTCCGGGTTGCTGCCGTAGAGGCTGCCCTGGCATCGGGGGGCCTGCTCGTAGTAGATTCCCCCCCTCCTCTCTCTATCTGTGGAGAGATGGAGCAGTAGCATCCGCTAGAATACAGGATGCACGATGAACGCGGCACAAGGCTTGTAGCCCGCCGCCGACATTGAAAGATCGTGGCAAAATCAATCAACACGACGCTCGTAGCGAAGACGCATTGATGCGGCCATCAGGAGCATGGATATAGAGCCCGCCGGTGCGCTCTAAGTCGCCCCCCCCAGCAAAGGGCGGCCCAGGCACCTCCAGGATCCTTGTTCACCTCTTGCGGCGTTCGTCCACATCACGAACGCAGAGGGTTCCTTCACACCCTTGCTCGCCCGTACTACGTTGGGTGGATCGCTTTCCGGGAGACAGGGTCAAATTTAGAGCACCGCAAACCTCTCGCAGAGCCGCGTGGAACGTGTATGCATGTGTTTCATGTTTTGGAGCGACCGGGTTTGGTTTAGGTTTCAGGGTTTAGGGTCCCACCTTTATTTCATGTTTTGGAGCGGTGCTTCTCTTACTCTTTTTTACGTTTTGGTTTCGCTTCCAAGCGATATGTGTCAACTACATGGTTGCTAAAAGTAAAAATACGATCTTCCTTGCCACCAACATCAATCTCATCCACAGCGTCTTCCTCGGGCGTCAGAACGGCACGCAATATTCGGACATGCGGCGGGCTTTGGAGCAGGAGTTTACCGTTTTGATGACGGCCTGGGTCCTGCCGGTCCTACCAACCATTTCCGTCGACACCATGCTGAACAGCTACGTCACGCAGCAGTCCGCCGCGATTGATTTTCTCGCGGACCTGTGCAAGCGCCCCCGTGCGTTTGGGGAGGAGTTCCAAATGTACCAGCTTTTCGAGGGTATCAACCACTTTGCCGTGGTGCTGGGTGGCTTGGTGATTTTGTTACTGGGAAGGAACCGCGACATTGTCTTCGGGTTGGCGCCGTCGAACAAGGAAAACACGTCTGGCTGGGGCGTCAAGCGATTTTTCTGCGGAGGGGCCGCCGTCGTGCTGTATGAATACGGTAGTTACTTACATCAACTTGATGTCCAACATACAAATGAAATTTGTTGATTTAGATAGTGTGTGCGGTATGCAAATGTGGGAACTAACAAGCGACTCAACACTGGATGGCGCGATGTTGATTTTTCACGACGACGACGTGAAAAAAACAAAAAGGTATTCTTTGCGAGCTCCTGCTCTACGGTCCGCAGTACTTCTGGATGCTTACAATCAACCTGTTCAACGCGATCTTTGACTCGCCGTACGAAGTTTCCTCCGTCGAGTACAAGGCGCTAGTCGCAGTGTCCTCCGCCATCGTCTTCGTGCACCACACGGGCTACTGGATCGACACCTGGGCCACGATGGAAGTCTTACGGAGTTGGGGCTTCAGCAGTTTCACCAATTGCGACGAACTATTTCTTTCAACAAATAATAAGACAAGTGTGGTGGAACGGAAAGCGGTAGGAGCTGCAGGAGCGAGGCCGAGTGATTTGCAAACAAAAACTAACACGGGCGATCCAACTGCTTCCGCCGCCACTGAAAACAAAAAGGCGAAAATCACTTCGCCAGCGAAGCTGCAGCGAAACAAAAGTCCTTCGCCGACGAAGAAGTCGACGACATCATCGCCGATGAAAAAAGCGCAGAAGTAAAAACCTGGAAGGAGTTCTTGAAGACGACTTAGAATAGATTTATCGCACGAGAGCCGAGGCAACTCGGTCTATGGTCTACAGTAGCAGGATGTTCCAATGCCATATTTATGGATTGATTTCTACTACTAGGTTTTCTGGAGGATTGTTTGTTAGGGGAAACAAGGTCTATACCGATGTTTTGATGAACACGAATGTACTTGAATGCGAATTCCTTTGCTCTCTGTGAGAGTGTATCAAAATGAATCCGGTCATGTGGCATGATGTTGACTTTTTGCAATTTGAACTTTACTATTCGTTCTTGGCTTTCGGGTAAACAAACAGAAAAGTCGTAAAACTTGATTTATCGCGCTCGTGGTAGCAGGGTGCGACTTCCAGGCGGGAGGTTGTGACATCAAGAACGACAAGTTAAGTACTCTTTTTCGTCTACTTGTCGCTGTCGCACTCGCACCGCGATACTAATTCTAATTCACGGATGATGAACACAGCCGAAAAAATATATTTTAAGCACGCTGTCATACGTAGCGCACGCCTAGATTTGATGCTACGTGTAAATGAGTGTGTGTTGAACTAACAATGAACTAGCATGTTGAAGATGTACCTCTGTAAGTACGTTTTTCTTTTTTGCTTCCGGATTTCGATTTTGATATAAGTTGAAGCTAAAAGTTGAAAATGATGGTCTGTGCTTCGTAAGAGATAGCGAGTGAAGATTTGCGACCTGACAAAGTTGACGCGCAGGACGAGCTTCCGCGAGAAGCAACTACTCTTCTGAAGATATGCGAGAAATGACACGAGCCATGCCGACCTGAAAGATAATTTTCGGATTTGATGGCGACGCAAGAAAGAAAAGTGAATGTTCGAAACATGGAGTTCGTGTGCACCAATGCAAATGCGGCACACAAGTAATTTGGTCGTAAGTCGTTCGATTCGTTGTCGTTTTCTCGAGCCTCGATGACATTGCGAATGCGCAGTGTCCTCTCGCCATTAGCTCGTTTCATTGTCTTCTCAATCGCCATCGCTATCGCCCTCGTCGTTTCTTTCACAGTTATTTAGTCGCAATCGATCCTTCAGAGAGCAGTATCGGCGAACAAGTAAATGTGCGCCGCGGCTGTCCGAGCACACCATGCGGACGAGGATGATCGTGCTTTTGCTGGCCTATCTTGCTCCTTCTTCGGGACGAGAACAGGCATAAAATTTGTGGATCTTCAGTTGTGCTGTATTGCTCAGAGCGACATGCAGTTCGGTTCTTGTCCTGTGGAGAAGTACTTCCTTTAGGCCCTTTGGCGAAGCCACAGCACCTGGTAAAAGTACTTTTTAAAAGAGCAACAGCAACAAGATCACTTTTGGAGTAGTCGCTAATCTTTGGTTCTTTTCCCCACGAATGATAATAAGCCGCTGGTGAGGACCTCAAAAATGGCTCGCCGTACCGCGGACTACCTCTTGTCTGCCCCGCCTGGTCAAGGCAGCGGAGGACCAGCGTCCCAGTCAGGTAGCGAAGCGGCGCCAGCACAATTCGCCGCGGGCTCTACAAGTACTACGGGTAGCAATACCAGTTGCTCCTCGTCCAGTACTTCCTCTGCCGGTGTCCGTCTGTACGACCCATACACCAGTTGGCACACCTGGAGTTTTCAGAAACGTCGCCCGACATCGGGCACTAGCTGGAGGCAGTTCACGGGGTTCCTCACCGCAGCGGAAGGTCATTTGACTTCTGATCTTTCATCTTCCCTCTCTGGAACAGTTAAGAACCCTTTGAACAAGAATAAGAAGCTTCTGGAAAAGTTTTTGTTCTCGGTGCCAGTTGTTTCAGGACATGCACATGAGGACCAAGTTGGAACCCGGTCCTCTTTCGCGGAGCAGCACCAGGAGGAGAATTTTTCTGGGGCACTATCAAGTTCAACATCATCCAGATCGAGAGACAAAGACACAGATTCTTCAAGCAGAACCCCTACTTTCTCTTTTCCGAACCTGCACTTTCACCAGCTCACCCTGAAGTACAGCTGTCTGCCCATTCTGTACATGGACAGCCGGACGCCGCCCCCCTGGGAGCAGGTCCGCAGCATGCAGTTCTTCGACGAAGACTGCCAGTTTTACCACAAGCACTACGTAAACAGCAACTTTCTCGTCGCGGCGGTGGGATTAACACAATTTTTCCTCGGGGAGTTTGTCGTGGGCTTCTTGTCCTGTGTCACCTCCGCTATGGGGCTGTACGCCGTCACGCCGGAGGGGTTGACGACGGGAGGCGGGTTGCTCTCCTCGATCGTGGTGGTTTCCGGAATGCAGGGCGCGCTCCAATCCATTACCCTGGCAAACGTGTTGCTGACGCTGAAGGCCACGTCGTCGAAACACTCGCTGTTTCTCCTGCCTTTCTTGAAGTTCACCTTCGTGTTACAGCCGCTGGCCTCCTTCGCGGTGATGTACACGGGCTTTCAACTGTTGAAAGCGGTCCGGGGCCGCCTGTTCAGCTGGCAGCCGCCAAACATTTCCACGACGGGGGGTGCGTCGTCCCCGGGGATGAATCCGGGTTCTCCCGGCGGCGCAGCGGGCGAGCAGAGCGGTGTGCTGGCACCGAGGGAGCCGCCGTTTCAGCCGTTCATGGGACATGGGTAGTGATGTAAGTCTAAGTGGTTGAAATCGAAATGCTACAAAAATGACAATGGCGTAGTTGTTGGTTTGCTCCATTACGAGCTACGGGTGTATTCTTTGCGTGTAGAAGATTTCAAATTCTAACTACAGTCTGTGCTGTGCTGCGAGTCACAAAAGGAACTAATCTTTATCAGGTTTCAGATCGGGTCTGAAGAAGAGCGACAAAACGTGCCGACAGACGAGCAAACGCAAGCCGCGGCACCGCAGCCGCTCCAAGAACGACCAGTGACAGAAGTTAACGTAGAGCTGCAGCCGGAAACCGCTCCACCAGAGGAGGAGGATCGACGATCGAAAGCCACGGTGAACGAAAATGTGAAATCCGAAGCGGAGGACAAGTACGAAGTGATTAAGTCCGATCTGGACAATGTGCCCACGATGGAGTAGATAGATGGTCGTGGATTCTTCAACTCGATACGCTGTGCACGACCCGCCTACTATGGATGTACCTGTACGATAGAAAGTAAGACTGCACGGGCACGTCCATGTCAACACCCAGGGGATGCAGAAAGTGAGTTCCTCTACTTCTACCTCGGGTTGCAAGCGCAGCCTCATGTTGTGGAGGGCCTTGATCTTGCAAAATCAATGTAGTTTCGACGTAGACATTCATTTTTCTATTTGTAGACCGCTTAGGCAAGGCTCGTCTGTGTACCAAGTAAAAGAGAAACAGATGCAAGCGGGACGTATGAAAACAGAGACTCCCTCACTTTCAGAAAATGAACACGGTTCAGAAACGATTTGTTTCCGTGACAAGGCCGTAGGACAATAGACGAGCCAGACAATCAAGAAATGGAGAAATGACAATATCAAAGTCAGCGAAAAATAACTACTTTTGTCGACTCAATGCAGTCTTTTACCGCAATTTTTTTTGTGGCTGGCAGTCTCAGTAGAGTTCGAAACCTTGGAAATTTTTAGATACGTAGTGACAGCATGAGAACTAGTGCTAGAACTGAGTCCGGGTGGGCGCACGGCACTACATCAAGGAGCTGAGTGAGAACCGAAGTGCGGGAACTGTATTAGGTAAAAAAAAAGAGACAGTGCAATGATCCGCGTCGGAAGAGCCGCATTACGTAATGTAGTCAATGAAAGCGCGTGTAAGAAGTTGCGAGACACCTAAAGCACAAGAAAAGTTAAAGTAAATTTTCACCATCTTTTTTCAAAGCCACATGTCGCGAGCAGCCCGAGTACTATGTACCCTGGTGGAGTGCGTTGTCGTGTGCGCATTGTGAAGAATTACAGGTCGCTCCTACCACCGACGCCGAGCCGCGTTGCACCCGGAGCCGCGAAGCTGGCTACCGGAACCGCACTGCTTGCTTACACGCTTTGGTCTGCGACAGAATCCACACCCTCGGCGTCGTCGTCGACGAGACCGAAAGATCCCAATAGCGAACAGCGGACAGCAGCACATGTTGGCAACTGCAACCGAGAGGATGCCTGCAAATCGGCTCTGTCAATCGGTATCGGATGCGGGTCAGGTGGGTCGGGACCAAATCTACTACGAAGCAGCTCAATCTTGTGCGAGGAAATATCCAAGGAACAGAAGATACGGACACAGCACGACGACGTCGGCCATGGTGCAGCAGGACTTTGCATCTCTTCACGACATCAAGAAGAGACAATGGGTGCGGAGACCACAGAGCATACGCACCAGGGATCCGCGGCCGCTGCATCAAATCAGAGAGAGGTTTCCTCAGCAAAAGCGTCTCGCCCCAAGTTCGCGGAGCGAAGGCCGCGGTCATTGCGGGCCAGCCTGCGACACGGGGCGGAGTTGCTTCGTCGAAGCAACCCTCGCGTCGTGCACTGTAGCACAGCAGGCGGCTCCACAACGGCGGCTTTTGCAGCATCAGGCGGACCACGGGGGGCTGGAAGTGCAGCAGATTCTTATGCGCTGGACCCTACGACCTCCCTGGTCTTTAATATTACGCAGAACGACAAGAAGAAGAACAATATCCTCTCGATGTACAAGAAACTTTTGCACAGCACCTCCGAGTTAGCAAACGCCATCGTGAGACTAACGCGAAAACTCTTCCGCATGACGACCCGGTGCGCGACGATCTTCTTCAATTTCGCGCCCCTGTTGGTCTTCAGTGCGCCCGCGGCCTTTTGCTGGCACCAGAGCAGCTCTTACCGCACGACGTGGTATTCCCTACTGCTCACCTGCGTGGAGCAATGCGGCCCGGCCTTTGTGAAGTTTGCGCAGTGGGCGGCCACTAGGCCAGATTTGTTCCCCGATCAACTCTGTTTACACCTCTCGGAGCTCCATTCCCGCTGCACGCCGCACGATTTTGCGAAGAGCGAGGAGGTGGTGAGGGGAACGAGCCTGGTGGTGGGGGACGACAGCTTGTTTGAGGGACAACAAGAACCCTTATCGTCAAAGCTCCATTTAGACCCCCACGTCGTCGGCTCCGGCTGCATTGCGCAGGTGCACCGCGGGACGTGGCAGAGTTACGGAGAGAATTTGGATTTTTCTCAAGCAGATGAAACAGGCCCATCTGTGGTCACGACTTCGATCACGGCCCCCTTCTCCTCTCCGAGGCGCGTCGCGGTGAAAATCCTGCACCCCGGGGTGCGGGAGACGATTGCCGCGGACCTTGAAATTCTGAAGGCGCTCGCCTGGGCGGTGGAATACTTTCTCCCGTTTACGAGGTTTATGGTGCTAACGGAGGCCGTGTCGCAGTTTTCCATCATTCTGTCCGCGCAGACGGATCTGCGGAGGGAGGCGGAACACACGGAGCGCTTTCGAAAGAACTTTGAAAACTACGACAACGTGCGGTTTCCGGAGATCATTTTCGCCAGTAAGGATTTGCTCGTCGAGTCGTTCGAAGAGGGACTACCCATGCAGGAGTTGCTGCGCGGGTGGGAACAGGTACAGGAGAAAAAAGCTATAACAGATCGGAGCAGCAGGCAGGGCGGTAAGGTGTTGTCTACGCCTGTCAACACAAGTACTTCTACGCAACCCGCGAGGACAGCGGCTGCAGTTTCCCCGCCCCGGCGAGCAAGCGACGAATCTGCACAGCTTCACCTCCCACGAAAGCAGCCGGACGCCGGCCGCAGCATAGCCGCGAATGCACCACCACCGACGTCCCTAGACGAACAGGAAGTTCAGGAGGTTTTCGCCCGGAAAGCCTCCGCAGGCCGTTGGTTGAATTTGTTCTCGTGGCAGGAGAAAGAGGAAAAACTGCTGGAGCAACACTACAGAAAGCAGGAACATCAAGATTTTGAACATGAAGATCAAGTTCTTGAGCGACAACAAAATACCACTAACATTCTCCGCCGCAAGTCCCGCTACAGTTCAGACTTTCTGCAGAAACTCTCCTCGCTCGCGTTGAACGCCTATTTGAAAATGCTCTTCACCGACCGGTTTGTCCACGGGGACCTGCACCCGGGAAACATGTTTTTTATCAAATGCAAAAATGTCTGGGTCTGGAAACTTGTAATGTTAAAAATGAATGATAGACGCACTGCAATACGCAGCTATGCATGACAAATCTCTTGGCTGCCATGTCTTACGTATTCCGCATGGCAAACTGCGTTTTTTCGTGACAGGTAAGAGGGCTTTTTCGTGCCTATGCAACACAGATTCCCGAGTCATGCCAGACAAGCATGACAAACTTGCATTCTTCCAGACCCAGACATTTTTACATTTGATATTTTTCCAGGTGAACCGACACGGCGATCCGGAGTTGATCTACTTGGATTGCTATGAATTGCAAATATGTCTGGGTCTGGAAGGTTAGCACTTGTCATGCTAAATCTGTGTTGCATGATTACCAAAAGCTGTCCGCTTTTGACCAAGTTGAGAGGGAGTTTCTCATGCAGGAAAGGCATGATAGAGACCTCAAAAAATCTGTCATGCTGGGTCTCGCATTCCAGACCTCATGGGTCATGGAAAACCTGCATCACAAGTCTTGCATTCTTCCAGACCCAGACATTTTTGCATTTGATAACTGCGGTCTGAGCATCGAGTTGAACGCGCGCGACGCGACCAATTTCAACGACTGCGTCTACGCCTTGCTACACGGCAACCCGACGGACGCGGCGCACCTCATTGTGAAAAGGAGCCCGGGAGATAGAAATCTGGTATTGATAAATGATCATGATGAAAAATTTCAGTTGAAACTACGAATCGTATATCATCTAATGCTTGAGCGACAAAAATGACGAAAATGTTTTAGTACTTGGACCTTGCAAAAATGGAAACAAACTTGCAGGTTCGCAACGAAGCGGAGTTTGCGCGAAAAGTGGGCGTTTTGATCACGGATTTCCGGCAGCCCAACAGCAAAATGCACGTGGCGCACGTGACCGGGAAGTTGCTCCTCTACGCCGGCCAGCACAATGTGACCTTAGAGAGTTCCTTTGTCAATGTCGCTTTGTCCTTGGCCGTGATGGACGGCCTGGGCCGGCAGCTCCGGGAGGACTTCAACATTTTTCGCGCCGCCACCCCCTTCCTCGCACAGGCCGCGCTGAGGTACGCGCGGGGGTATGTGGAATGAGTAGAAGGAGAAGGGACGGATTATGATCACTCTTTCACTTATTTTTCTCGTCGCTCTTTGTGCTGTTTGAGTTTGATTTTCTCTACTGGTACGGCTTTTTTCTACGATGGGTCTATGAATGAGCGCACTCGACGCAACTTGGATTCCAATCGATGCAGGATAATTGCGGCCTCGCGAAAGACCAGAGACCGAGCCGCAAAGTGTAATGACTTTGTCAACACTTTCTCGAAGCGTAGTTTGAGAGAAGAGTAAGAAATTGATGCTCTACGTGCTGCTCATCTACTTGGATTCTTGTTCGGTAACTCTAACAACTGTTCCCTCGTCGTGTGTGCAGTTTCCTCTGGTCGGTCTGTGCTCATTACCGGTTGCTGAAATCTCGTGAAATCGAAATGCGTTGCACTTCGGTGGAAAATATCGTCCGTTGGTTCTCGTTCAGTTTTGCCTACGTACCTCGTCCTAGTGTGTTCCATTTCGTGACAAGATGAAATAAGCGCAGACCCTCAAGTAGCTCGTCCTTCCTCCTGTTGCTTTCCGTCGGTCCGTCTTGGTCGTACTCTGGTCGTGCCGCAAGTCGGTTTTCGTCGTGCAAGAAAGAAGTTTCTGTGACAATCGTATGGGAGCTGTGCGTGCACGTTTTGGTTGAAGTTTTCGTGGCCGTCTTGCTGTGTTTCACTTTCTTCGTCAGACATATATGTTGTCACTGGAAAAAACTACTTCGTCACTACTACGCTTCCAGGCTACAACCTCCAGATACCCTGTCTAGATATTTCCACCCAGGAAGAAAAAAGCTATGACTCCTCATCTCTGTACATTATTTTTTCGTTTTCTGCCCAATTAAAATTATGGTAAATGCAGTATACAACTCTTCTAGCCTCAGCTTCATCTTCACCAACTTTTACTGCGACCCTTTGGAAAGAATTTCGTAAGGTGTCACCCGTTAAAAAAAACCCATAGCTACACCATGACGGACCCTACCCCAGCCAACGCAAGTCTGGCGGCGGATTCGCTGTTAGCCGAAGATGGTCCGAACGAGCAGGACACCGCGGACCGCGAGCGGGAACTGCAGTCCAGCGTGGATCTCGAATCCTCCGCGAACAGTGCGCGGGACGACCGAAAGGACACGGACAATGCCCGGCAAACGGCCGTGCTGGGCAAACAGTTTGTCGTGTCCGTGCCCCAGGAGCTGCGCGACTTGCAAAAGCCCTTCGCGAAGGCGAAGCAAGCGGCGGCCGCTCGGGCCTCGAAGAACCGGACCTCTACTCTCTTGAAGAACAAACAACCCGCCGCTCTTCCGAAAAGCATGACCAAGGGCCCGGCGGACAAAATCAGCTCCGCGATTTTGACCAATAGTTTGCGCGCCGAGGAGCCGGAGGAGGACGAGAAGGAGAGATTAACGCGGATCTCGGAGGAACGACAGCGGCTGCTTGCGTTCAAGAAACTTCGGGAGTTGATCGAGCCCGAGGGGAAGCACGAGATCGCGCAGACCGACCACTTCGGGACGATCTACCAGGGGAGGAAACGTTTGCAGCAGTGCGACAGCATGAAGACGATGCGGCCCCAGCCTGGCCACAAGATCTCCGACCGGCGGGACTACACCCATGAGGGCCTCGGCAGGAAAACCGTGTGCTGGAAGACCGAGGTGGACCCGGGGATGTACAAGCCGCTCGAGTCCGTCGGCGCGCACCCGACGTACGACGGCATGGTCAAGGAGATTGCCCAGATCGTCGCGAAGTCGAAACAAGAGGAAATCAAGGAGTGGAAGCGGAGAACGCTCCCGCCCTCTGCGCGGGAGTGGGACTTGTCCGTCCGGGGCGGGAAGGACCTTATCGACTGGAAGGGCCCGCGGGTGCAGACCGTTGGGGTGTCCGAGATGGACCGACCGGCGATTTTGCGCGGGTGGCTGCCGGTGGAGAAGTTGGACTTTTTCCTCTCGGAGGACAAGGAGAATCAGGACAAGTACAAGTCGCGGAAAGTCCAACTAGAAGAGCGGTCGCAGGCGGCGCTGGAGGCCGCGCGGTACCGGGAAAAGCGGGAGCGGTGGCTGCTGGAAACGCTTCGGAAGACGAACGCCTACCGGGGGGAGGACGAACTGAAACCGGAGCAGACGTACATGCCTTTGGAGACGGAGTTCGAGAACGACCCGGATTTACTGCCGGTGGTGAAGTACTTGAAACTCGTCTCCGACAGCTACAAAAGGGAGCAGGCGGGGGAGGACACCGCGAAACACATCGTGAACTTGTCGGATATCCGGGAGTTTGAAGATTACAACGACAGCAAACTCGGGCTCAACGACATCCAGAACGAGCAGGACCGGAAGTTGTGGGAGTTGATTCAGAAAACGAAGAACTTGCCGAACATGGTGAACGCGAAAAATCTCTTCAACGAATTGTCCAAAACCCACCCGGGCGGCACCGTGTTGGCGGTCTTGGCCGAGGAAACGAAGCGGATGAAGGTGAAGGAGGCGCACACGCTGCTAGCCGAGGGCAAGGACGGGCAGGACGGCCACGAACTGCTGCTGAATCCGTTGCGGAAGGATTTTTCGCGGAAAAACCCGCTGCAGGTGGCGGAAATGGCAGAAAACGAGGAGCGGGAAGCTTTGTCTCTGTCCCGCGAGGCGCTGATCGAGCGGGCGCTGAAGAAGGATGTGATGCAACTGCTGCTGAACATGGAGGACGAAGAAACCGCGGAACAGCAGCGGGAGAAGGAGGAGGAGGAGCTGGCGGGGAAAAAACTGGAAACGAAATACGACAAGCAAACGAAAAAATACAAACTCGACGTGGTCGACAGCCGACACGTGGCGTCCACGTTCGAAAAGCGCAAGGACCGGCCGGAGCCGCCCAAGAAGGTGTCGGCCGTCAAAGTCTTGCTGGGCCAGGAGAGCAGGAGCAGGTCGAGGTCCCCCGTGGTAACGCTCATGCCGGGGGAGAGGGTCAAGCGAAAATTGGAGGCTTATGGTACTGTTTCTATTGGTTCTTCCGTTGTTATAAGAAGTGTAGTCTCACAACGCCAAGGGCTTCTGTTGATCTCGGCGTTCTGCCTTCCTTGTGATGCCTCCGTGCGGAGTTTGCCGCTTCTATATTGCAAGTGCGTGAGTTTTCGTTTTCCACTTGGCTTGCAAGCATGCGAAATTTTCATTAACACGAATTCGACGAATTGAAATCAAATACACGACCAGATTCCTGGAACACTGCCCCTCCGGGCACCGGTCCCTCTTCCGCAGCAGATCTTAACAAGGGAAGAAACGAGGACGACGAGTTGCAGAAGGTGAGTAGTTTTTTGAAAACCAGTCCCTATAGCAAGCCTCTTGACGAGGAAAACATGGAGTCCAACGTGTCCGCAAAGTTGACCGACGATATGCGGGCGCTGTTCAAAAAGCGCGCCATAGACTACAACGCGGGCGCGGGGAAATTGCAGGAAGCCTCGTGGAGTGTCGAGGACGCGGACCTCTTTCAGCAGAGCATGGAGGATTTGCAAGCGAGCGTGTTCGACACGGCGAGTACGGCTGCTGGTAGAACCAAGCTGAAGAAGGATAGCAAGGGAATAGATTCTGGCGCAGCAAGTTCTACCGGCGCAGCAGGGACGAAAGAGAAAAGGAAACAGAAAGGCACCTCCAGTAGTCCATTATTGCAACTCCCGGTGTATGACATCGACCAGGAGATTCTGCAAGTGATGGAAAACGAGCTCGATAACGCCAACTACATGGTTGAGAAAGCCTTCGGGTCCTCCCGCCAGAATTCGAAAACAGCCGCGCAAAGGAGTAAGAACGCGGCCAACACCAGCGGGTCCCGCGTGGGGCAGGATTTGTTGTGGAATCACATGCTCTCGCAGTCCTCCCACCGCGCGCTGCACCCATTAAAACCCCCCGCGCTGGAGATGCAGTGGCCGGCTTTGGACGAGGAGCTGCGCTGGCTGATCGCCGGAACCGATAAAATCGGCGACTCCGTGGGCGAGTACTTTAGCTATTTAGGTGCGAACAGCGAGGTGATGGTGGGAAGTAATCTGCTCGAGGAGAAGGGGGAACCAGGAACGATAAAAAACAATCCGAATAATTTTAATTACGACACCGTGCTTGCCATGGGCAGCACCAGCAGCTCCGGAAATAACAAATCCAAATTCAGATCCCTCGAAGGCGACCACAGCGCGCAGGCGCCGAGCATTCTGGAGCAAGCGCGACAAGCAGCCTTCACGGCGCAAGAGAAAATGGCCGCGAGAAATGAGAAAAAGGGAACATCAGCTGCTTCTAGAACACAGCAGCCGGGGAGTTTCACCTCGATAAGGAGTTCCGCGGCCGAGCGGGAGGAACAGCGAGGAACTGTTGGGGACGAGGATGAATTTATTGGAGGGACAATAAACGAAGGAGCAGATGAAATGGTTCCAGACAAAAATGACGAGGCTGTTGTTGATCAGGCTGGTGAACAAATAATGCGGGAATCCCGTCAGTCGCAGAATGACACGCTGGACGAGTTTTCTGCGGCCTCTGTGAATGTGAAGCCGTTGGACGACGAGGAAATAGTAGAAGAGGGTAAAAACGAGGGCGTAGTTGCCGCGCCAGATGTTGGTAGGACGTCCCCAAGTCCTCGTGGTGCTGCTCTTGTTGAAGGCACTAGCGCAACGACCCCACCACGAACAACGACTTATCCCCAAGACCTCACCGAGGAGGAGCTGAAACAGAAATTGCAGGAGGACATCGAGAAACGGCGCAAGCAGCGCGAGCGGCAGAAACGGCGGCAAAAGAAAAAACTGGCGGGCGAGCAGGTAAGTGGCACGAGTGATATCTCCTCGGACAACGAGTCCGGTCGGGAGGAGGACGAGAAAAAACTTTCCCCGGAGGAACTGCGGGCGAAGCGCCGAAAGAAGATCGAGGAGCAGAAGGCGGCGGCGAAGATCAAGGCGGAGGAGGACCAGAAGAACCTGCGCGAGAAACTGCTCCGGGCGAAAAAGCTGTGGGGCCCGAAGGTGAAGCTGGCCCAGCAGGCGGCGGCGTTCAGCGATTTACTAAAAAAAGAGAGGCTCTCCGCGCAGTCCGTGGGCAGCAGCGCCCGGTCGGAGGGAAGTGCGATGATGAAGCCGAAAGTCGCCGGGGGCACGGTCTCCTTCGGGGCCAAGGCGTTGTCCGAAAAGTCGCGCAGCCTGATGCAGTCCGTAATCAAGTCGCAGAGCGAAAAGCAACGCGCACCTCCCGTAAACTTCGCGAAGGCGGGGAACACCGCGGTCGGCGACGCGGCCGTGGGCGGGATTAATATGGCATCCGCGGCGCAACCGAAACAGAAAATGCAGTTTGGCTCCTCCAGGATTACCAAGCACATCGCGCTTGCGAAGATGAGCAATCCCCACACGCCCCATTTGGACAGCAGCGATGGCGAAGGGCCGGGAAGTTAAGGGTTGGTGCTCCTATGATGTTGACAAAAAAATAATCATATTGTAGCTGTCACCAGCTGGAGAAAGATTCGCACAGATCGAAATTTTTCCTAGCATGTTTCGTTCAAGTAGGAAGTTCTATTCCCCGCAAAGGACGATCGCACTTTCGCGGGTATTTTCGTAGTCGAGTAGCTAGTGCGTGCTCCTTCTTTTCTTTGCAATTACTCATTTGAAATGGAATAGAACACTATCCGCGTACTTGGTGGACATCACCTCCGTTTGTTTAGTGTCTTATTGGGTGAGCGAAACTTTTTTTGCGGAAATTCATTAGACTGACCAGAAACTGAAGCAGGGCAGAACGCCGTACCTGTAAATGTCAGTGCGACGGCATGACGATGTGAGCCTAAATCTAAATTGAAAGAACTGGACAGGTCGTGGAGTAGTTCCAGTGTGCGGCGCTGCCCAAGTTGTTCGCAAGATGTTGATGTTCAAGTTCAGCTTCAACTTCAACTTTGCTCTCTTTGTGTTTATTCCAGTGCTTTATTCCGACGAGCTTGGCTTCGATTGCGATGAAGATCACGCACCGTAGCTGGTGTTAAGATGCAAAAAGGGATCTTAGCTAGGCGAGTAGAACTAGTACAGGAGGAGCCTCGGCTTTACTTCATTCTTATGAATTGGTGCGTTTTCTTGCGGCGACGGAGTTTAGTCCATTTTCCGTATGATCGTCATGTTCATGTTTTTGGCAACAATAGCAATACCGGCAAAAGTCACGCTTCAGCTTCCACGAATTCAAAAGTAAAACGGTGAAATTAATTGGCGAAGTTGTGTTTGTAACGGCCTTCCAATTCCAAACTTCCACGACAGGGACAAAAAAGAAGAGACGGCTCTAAGACATTGAAAATTTATTGTGAGATGCTATTTTTATAATATAAAAATAATAATAATATTAACTTATTATGATTATTCGCAACCGCTATCACTAACTAAAACTAAGTACTTGCAACCCGACGCTACTACCGTCGGCCCGCACCCCCCGTCGCTAGCGGGCCACTACGATATGGAACATGGCGCGGCGCGGGGAAGAGTCTGGGGGAAGCTGTGAGGCGCGAATAAACATTGTTTCTCTCCCCACACATCCTAAAGTTGATGATTCAGACTAGTCATAACCTTCAACACTGGTCGTCCGACCTTGTTGAGCTAGAGGTGATATTTTTCGAGAATATTCACGCGACATTGTACATTGACATTGGTTCAGTTTTTACAAGGTTCATTCAGTAGCAATAGGCATCGTAGGAAGGAGCCCAAGCGTCCTCTTTACCCGTGATATTCCTTGTGTACTTAAGTACGACCACCCCAGGCTAAGCTTACGTACTTCTTTATATTTTTTTACGCGTTTACATTTATTCTTTTAATTGGTTTTACCTATTTCTTGCTCAAACATATTTGTACGAATTTGTGCTCGATTAAAGCCTAAACTTGTTTCTCCTGCAGCTAAAAACCATTTCCGACGATGAGGCTTTGCTGCCTCTCTATCTTTCTTGCCGCTTCTGTTACGCAAGCCGGAACGGTGCGTGTGACGCCGCCGCGTGACTTCAGTCCGGAGGATGCACGACAGCTGGCGCCGTCGGCTCCGTTCGACGACCCGGATGCAGCAGCTCATGCGGACGCAGAGGGCCGCGCGCCGCCGGTCATCCCCGACGACTTCTCTCCGGACGGGAAGATGGCCCCGCGCGCTCGTTCGCGACCCGACATCGCAGCGGGCGCGGATGAAAAAACATGGCAAGCGCAAGGTGCATCTTCTGGTAGTAGTTGGTGCGACCTCCGGGACAACAGAGCATTCGTGCCACAGCAGGACGCGGTACATGGTGTCACCCGTGAATGCGACCCACCGCCGTCACCCCATGGCGTACACCAGCAGGACGCAGTACATGGCGTCACCCGTGAATCGCTGCGAAATCTTTGCTCCGCGTGTGACCGGCAAGACAAGCATTACAAAGATGCCACGAAAAACGGGCCGAACTCACCGGGGGCTGTGCATGCGCATCCACCACCACCAGAGCAGGAGAAGGCATCGTCCACTTGTCGCGCTTTTGAGTCGCGTGCTCATCAAGAACGGGGAGGGATGATCAGTGCGGGTGTAGCTAGTGAAGAAACGCCGGAACTACAACACTTCGGCACCACCCGCAGCACTTCTAGATCTTGTCCACAACTTCAAGGCTGCAGGGAAGGCACGACATCCGCAGCCGTGGCGGCGCCACAAAAGAATTGCCCCTCCGATGCTTCTCTAGCCTCTGACGGCCTGTTAGGTTGCGGTGGTGTTGTCCAACCTGATATTCGGCGGGGCGCAGCGGCCGAAGCCGGCAGTGCGAACGCTGTAGTGTCGCTTGCTTCGTTTGATGACGCGAACGCGGAGACGGACGTGGAATGTTGTCCGGGCCAGGTTCCCTGCTACAACCATCTGGGACAGCTGGATCGGCCTTTTCAGCCTGCGGCAACGGGACGGTACGACGATCCCTTGGCAGAGGTTGGAAAGTTAAAGTCAGACGAGGCGAAGCTGCTGATGCAGCTGAAGCAGCTGAACCTGAAGGACAAGCAGCTGAAGATGCAGCAGTCAGACGAGGCGAAGCAGCTGATGCAAAGTCTTTACGAAGCAGCTGATGCAGAGGATGGCCGTTTGGTTCGCAACGTCGCAAGCGCGCTGCAGAAGATCACCCTGCCCATGGAAATGCAGGACTCGCTAACGCTGGACTTGATTCAGCCGGACCTTTATTGGCGCAACGTTAGTTACTACACCGAAACTCATGACCCGAAGCACGGCATTTATCGCAGGCCGAAATATTGCGAGGACAAGCGACTCAACATGTTTTACTTAACGAGCCCGACGTCGATGCCTCTGAGCGAGTATTTTGCGCGGTTCCACAATTACTTCGACGCGAGTGCGGAAAGCTACGTTATCGCGTACATCTATCTTGACCGACTGCGGGCGTCGCTGACGAGCGTCGACCCTCCCGGAAAACATCGGAGCCACCGCCTGAACAATGCAAACATCTACCGTTTTTGGCTTGCCGCAATCACACTGGCTTCGAAGTATTGGGACGACCGATTCAACTCCAACAAACGATATGCCTTAATCGGGGGAGTGCCGTTGAAAGAGTTAAACAAATTGGAGTGGGCCTTTTTTTCCCTGCTAGATTTTAACATCTGTGTTTCAGTTCCTGAATTCCAGCACTACAAGCGGGCTTTCCTAAAAATGGATACCAACGAAGCCGCTGCTCTTCAGGCCCTGCACAGAGTAGAGGGTCTGCAACCGCTGGATTTCCCCGCACTTGATCCCGGGACAGATTCGAGATTTGCAGCGGAGCGATACTTAGTGCGAAATCTCCGAGAAAAAAACAAAAACCGAAAAGACCAGCCGCCGGGTGCTCGATACATTCAGTCAGTTGAAGATATTGAGTTTATTTCATCTGGTGAAGATGAACGGAACGGGAACCACGTGGAGCAGGAGGAGCAGGGGGTAGGAACAAGATTGCGGCAGGCCCAGGCAACAGGCTCGCTAGGCGACTGGCGGAGTCGCGATGACCGGCAGCATGAAGGACAAGGACCACTGTGCGGAACTTCGTGCAGCGCGACTGCATCGGGGACGTTAGCCTGGTCGGCCCCATCTTCATCTTCTACGCCAGAACCGAGCCGCACCATTCAATCTAAGCGATGGCAGGCCAAACCGAGTCTGGAACTAGTAGACGACGCACAACACCCCGTGGGGCGCAGACTATCACCACGACCACCCGCAGTAGATAAAAGACGTTCGCGACCGGGTACGCTGCATCGCTACCGCGGCACCAAGGGGCCTCGTACCGGCGACATGCGCGTGATTCAAAACGCAAGCACCTCAACCGGGCCAGATTCGGCTTCAGACGAGAGGTCCGATACCAATTCCAGATCCAGAAGGATCAACTACTCGAGTTCCGGTTCGACGCAATCTCTGCCCCCGGGAGTGTTCCCACTGACGCTGAAGAACTTGAAGGAACACACACGCCTCCTGTTCGAGCACGCATTCCGAAAGGGGCCGCATGAGGGAGAAGATGACAATACTCGTGCGGTACTACACGACCGTTGTGGTAGCGGTTCGGCGATAGCGAAAAGCAAAAGATCGCGCAAGGGCAAACTGTATGCGATCTACCGACACAAAGACGACGGAGCCTGGTCGTGGTCTCCCGACTGCCTGGTTGGGAGTGACCTTGAAGGCGCTGCGGTGATTGTCGGCAGACGAACGCGAACTGATTCCTCGCGAGAGTCTTCTGCGCACCGTCTGGGCTTCTGCATGCCGCAAACGAGCGACGACTACAGCAACCGACCGACGGATGTGTGACTGTGTTACGGCTGGGCCTTGAGCAGGGAAAGGGACTGTGCGATTCTACATATTTATCAAATTCACCCGTGTGTTGTTTGTTTGTTTGTTTGTTTGTTTGTTTGTGTCGGAAGACAATCAACAACGCAAGAAACGCGGGCGATTTGAACACTGGTCATCTTTGAGTGAAGGTGTAAATAGGCCCTGTTTGAAGGCGTTTCAAGTTGCAATCAATCTGAATGGTACTAACGTACAGCCTGCGGGTAAACATTCAAGTTTTGGGGTGCTTCAAATTCAGACTCGAACCGCCACTAAAATCAGATCAACAATCGTTGATCATCGCCATCAAATTTACATCGTGATTTCGGTTAGACCTCATTTTGAATCATCATCAGTTCATCTTGATTTACATCGTGATTTCAATTTTGCATTGCGGAATCGGGTTGGTTGTCAAGATCGATTTACGTCGTGTTTCTTGATCATGCCTACATTCCCCCTTCCGAATCAATGAACATGAAATCATCTCGAGAAATCTTTGATGTGGTGAATTCTTGTGAAATTCGCATCAATAAATCCTAGAGATTACTGAAATCGACAAAATGAGCTTTCGCAAATACTTCATTAGCTTTTCTTGACGGAGCTTTGAAGATTTGAATGTATTTCTCTCCTGGAAGTGGTTTCGTCAATCCATCCGCTAGATTGATATCCGTGTTAATATAACACAAGTCTTTTCCGTAGTCTCGTGCCAGATGTAGTCGAAGACTCATGTGCTTGGATCTTTTCGTGGCTACGGATGTCTGACTCAACGCAAGCGCGGACTTGTTGTCGTTGAAGATCAACGGTAGAGATCCTGACTCCTGTTCTGGAAACCAGTTCAAATATCCTTGGTCCATCGTCATCCTTACGCAGTCATACATCGCGCAGTACTCGGCTTCCATTGTTGACGTAGCTCGAGTCGATTGATGTTTCGACTTCCAACAAATAGGAACTCCGCGTCGATATAAGATTGCGCCGGACGTGGATCGGAAACTTACAGAACATCCAGCGAAATCTGCATCGCAGAACGCAATGGCGTCTCTGTATTGATTCCTTGTTTTCTAGCTCTGCGGCTTTTGTGTAAATTTCTTTGAATTTCTTTTCTTGTTGCTTGTTGTATTCTAATCCTTGCGATTTGGTTCGATTTGGTTCCTTTCAAATGCGCTAGAATACGCTTGGCATCTTTTGCCGTTTGGTCGGTTGGACTAGCTACCTGCGTCGCTACTTTCTGTATTGCGAATGCGATATCAGGCCGGGCAACGCAACTGAGATACAACATTCCACCAACTAGCGATCTTATCGGAAGTGTGGAATTCGACGGCGAGTCCAAGTCTGCATGGGAATTTGGTAAACATGGGGAAGCTACTGCATGGCAGTCCTTCATGTGAAATTTCTCAAGCAGCTTATCAATTGCATCTTCGCAAGTGATTTTCATGACTCTCTTTTTCGCATTGAAGATCAACTTTGCGCCTAGAAGGTCGTGGATCTCATTGCCTTCTTTGTCATATTCTGCGAGAATTTCTTTTCCTGGGAACTCTGCTAAAATTGCATTCATTTCTGCAGCGACGAGGTCATCGTCTTCACCTGTGGTGATGTTGTCATCTACGTAAACTGCTAGCCAGAGTTCTTGCTCTTTTCCCTGTTTGTCTTTTGCAAATTTCTTGAACAAACCTGGTTCGTGTTCGGATACAACCCAGCCTAACTTCTTGAGTTTGCCAGCATATTCGTCATACCAGCGGCGTGGGCTGATCTTCAGACCGTATAACGACTTTAACAGCCTGACAACATCGCCTTTTTCTTTGTTCTTGCTCCAGCCGTTATGCTTGGGCAGGCGACATAACGCGATCTCGTCACCTAGACCTGCACGCACAAACGCATTGGAAGTATCGAACTGTCTAACTTTCCATCCGTGTGCTGCTGCTTCAGCAAGTAAATACCTGTTTGCGGCATGGCTCACAGTTGGGCTGTATATTTCTCCTTGTAGAGATAGCCTTTGCCTGTTTCCTAGTGCTACTAGACGACACTTGTAGCGTCCGTCTCTTTTCTTCGTGTAGATGCAAACCGTCGGGATAGTTTCTAACTTATCGCCCATCTCTTTGATGTCTTCTGCGGTTGCATGCCTCCACGTTTTCGTTTCTTCTAGCGCTAGGCGTTCTTTTGTATCTGACTCGATCCATTTGATTGCGTCAGGACTTTCCAGACGCTTGGCCCAAGTGTGCTGCAAGCCAAAGAGGTAAGGAGTTTCGTCTTCCTCTAATTCATGACGAATCTGGAATATAGCCTCTGCTTCTTTTTCAAATTCCATTGGTAAATCTTTCAGTAAGTCAGATGACGACACAAGGTTGGCTTTTTGTCTTTTCTTAGCTCGAGGACCACGACTCTTGCCTTTGTCGTTGCGTTCTTTGCGCTTCTTTTTGTCCTGGCCTCGGCCCTTCTTACGAAGTTTCTTTCGTGTAGGTCCTTCAACGAGGATCCTAGGCGCTTTTTGTGTCTCATTATCTGCAGCATCAGCATCAACTGTATTCGACTTTCTTTTCCGATTTCCATTCTCAGCTTTTGCTTTCTGTTCCGGGGAGTTCTCAGGCGCCTCATCTGAAAACATATCGAGCCAAACCTGATTAGGGTTTTGCTTTTCCTTACCCCCTTCCTCAGGTTGCTCACCCCCTTCGAAACTCTTGCCCTCGTCATTTTGGACGTTATCCTTTGCATTATCGGAATTGCGCTTGTCCGCATCTTCTTCATCTTTCGAACGATCGGTCCTCGGAGCGTCCTGACCACGACTGCTTTGATCGCGATCTGCAGCGGGCGCATTCGGCTCTTCGAGCTGTGAACTATCACCCAGACGCGCCGGATTCGGAAAATCAGTCGTCAGCTTGTCAGCGTCCGGCTTTAGATCATCTATTTTGCTGACCAGCGCTGATTCATCAAACTTACAACATTTCACTTCGTGAACTCCGAAACGGATTTTGGAGCTTTTCTTACGTCGACCATCTGCAGACCACATGCCTACCAGGTATGTAGAATTTTCTTGAGCGTAGCCCAGAAAGATTCCACGGGTAAACCGGTCTTCAAGCTTCGACTTCTGTGAGTGATCCTTCGCGTAGACCAAGCTTCCGAACCGTCGGAGGTACTTGATGGAAGGTTTTCTTTTGAAGCGTTTTTCATATGGCGACTCGCCTCCTTTGGCTGTCGGGGTTCGGGCGAATATGTGTGAGAAAGTGCGAGCTGCATAACTCCACATACGTTTATCAACTCCGACCATCATAGCTCTTACTCCGTTTTGGTGAGTTTGGTTGTATCTTTCAACTTTCCCATTCTCTTGCGGCTCATATGGGGCTGAAGAGTCAGTATGAATCGGCGGGGACTGTGTCTGTGCTGTCTTTTTCCAAGTGCTATTTGGCTCCTTGAACTCTTTCGCGTTGTCGGATCTCACTCTTTTCGGTGGTCCCTCTTCATTTATCCAGACCTGCAGTTTCGCGCCTGCTTCTGCTTTGCTTTTGCAGATGAAAGAACGAGGCCAGCTGGTTGCTTGATCGATGGCATTCAAAGCCCATCTTTGCGACCAGTAGTCAGGTTCCCAAGGTCCAGTGAAGTCAAAATCAACTTGGTCAGTGAATTTCTCAACTTTGTAGCATTCTTTCTTTACTTTTGCATGTTGCGCGCCTTTGCTTTTCGCGAGATCGCAGGCAGGGCATCGGACTACTATTCCAGGTAGACTACGATGTCCAGCACGCTGATGATCAAGAAGCATTTTCTCAGCCTTTGTCATCATGGTAGCCTCGGTCTCGATCTCTTCGCACAACAAACCTTGCTCGCCAGGATCTTCGTTGAACCCAAGTGCCACGGCCGGCAGCTTGGTTCCGATCCCTTTGTGGAGAAAAGTTCTCTTTCCTGTTTTCCTACTTTGCAAGTAGTTGCCCCCTTCGTCGAAAGCAACCCTGTATCCTTCTTTCTTAAGTTGTTCGACACTGAGGAGAGTCTGTGGAAGGAATGGATGGAATGTTGCACGTTTGCAACCAAGTGCGTTTGGTTTCAATGTGCCAAAATATCCAGGGCCATCCAACTCCTTTCCGTCTGCTACAGTTATTCGCACTGGATTACTTTCGTCCCAAGATTCGAAAATCTCTGGTCGGCCCGACATGTGACTTGTTGCGCCACTGTCGCAAATTGCATCATCGACACAATTAAAAGCTGTTTCATGATTTCGGTGCTGCTCGTCCTTTTCATTCCGATACGCATCGTTCGCCTCGCGCACCTTCCTCAATACTGATTCGCGAACGCTGTAGAGGTGTGCGAGCTTTCTTGCTGTGTACTCGGGCGAATGATTTTGCTCGCTTTCTTTTGTTGCGATCGAAAATACTGCATCTATTGACAGATTGCATTTTTCAACTCGTTCGGTTTTGGACGCATCCGAAGCATGAGATCGAGGATATAAAATCTTTCTGATTTCGCGATCGGTCGACTCAAGAGCCTGGACTTGTTGTATCAAATTTGCCATCTCAGGAGTTGCAAACTGCTCAACCAGCTCCAGCTCTGTTCGTTTTCGTTTTCCTCTCAGCTGTCCCGCTGGACCAGCTGCATCATTGGTACAAATATCATTTTCATTCTTATCGAGATTCAATAATAAATCATCCATATCGATTAATGATGATGAATCTTGATTCAAGATGTCAGCCCTGTTGTCGAACGCGCATTCATCTTTTTCAAACTGACTCGTAGTCGTTGGTGCATCATCGCCAAGCTGTGGCTCTTTTCGTGGGGGGTTCTTTTGGGGGGGTATTTTCGGTAAAAATTTAGTTGAAAAGCATCGAGAATAATTCGTATTATAACATCGAGTTTTCGCCAGCCGTAAGAATAGTTTTCTTGCTTTGTGTAGTTTGTGTAGCAAGCTACTTTTCTTCGAGACGCCATCTGTAGATCAGTGCTTCCTCCCCTTCTTTCCTTTTCCCTTCTTACCTCCGCCCTTCGGTTTGTCGTTGCCCTTGCGAACAGTATTCGTGTTGTTACCCTTCCCGTTGTTCTTGTTGGAAGATTGCTTATTGACCTTGTTGCTGTTTTTGTACCAGCAGTCCTTGGCGTTAGTTATGGGATTCCGAATTGCAATTCGAACATCACTTGGAATCTCCTGCATAATTGGCCGCATGACTGTCGTCATTACCACCAGCAGTCTGATTCACGGCCAAGTTTGGATTTTGCGCGATCAGATTCGCAGCGGCCTGCTGGATCAGATTCGGCATCTCCTTCTTAAACATGTTGGACAACATTTGCTTTTCGCGATTCTTCTGAACGTGATCCGGGTGCGGACCATGCTTGCTGCGAGAATTCTTGTTGCGGACCAGATTAGCCTTGTGCTTCGTGGTCTCTCCGTTGCTGGAGTGAGCACGTTCTTCCTCGATCATGTGATTCTTAGTTTCTTCGAAACTAGATCCATCCGCCAAGGCGCGCTTGTTGCAATCATCGAATTCCTCACGCATGTTCCCGAAAGTGCAGCGGTGCCTCAATTCGTCAATAGTGATTGATCCGCCCAGTTTCGTCATCAGAGACTTGAGCTGTTTGTCAACATGTTCGTCCACAGTTTCATCTTCTCCCTGCGTATTGTTGAAATATTCCTTAATCAACATACGACGGGCACCGGCGGTCTGTGGGTTAGCCTTTTCCTTAATCGCGTGGATCAAGGTGACTACGCACGCGGCAGCCCCGGGCTTTTCCTGAACCTCTTGCGCTTTGGCTCGGGCTTTTCCGGTTAAGGATTTGAATGCTGCACCATACAACTTTCCATAAGCAGAGCGGACTTCGGTTGTGTAAGAGGGCCAGAAGTCGTTTTCGTGTTTGCCATCAGCAACCCATTGGTCACGGGCTAACTGATCAACCTCATCCCACTTATCAAGAGCGACCTTTCCTCCCAAGTCCTCTTTGAACTGTGCTCCGATGTCAAGGGCGAACGCTTGAGCGATCGCGTATCCCTTGAATGCAGAGAAGTCCTTTCCTGCCTGTCCTTCGTGTTCCGCGTCGTAAACCATTCCGACGGTGCCGGAAAGGTTCGGGCGACTCTCGTCATCCGGCGCCCCCATCATTTTACGATGAGCACGCGCGTCGCGGCTGTAGCGTCTGTCGTACTCGGTACACGCGTGGGCGGCTACCTGTACAGCAAATTTGCAATCGAATTCAGATGGTACGCAGCATGTCTAATGCGATCATCTTGTTGAATCACGATGCAACTACAGACGTAATCAGACTTACACTCACATTCCTATTTTCAAAAACCGACGTAATTTAGTGCCTCTTCGTACCCGGCTGTTGGGTTCTTGCTCTTGTACCAGGCTGCTGCTCGGTACGCAAATCCGCCGTCCAAACTGTAATAGTTGTTATTGACGGGGATTAGCATGCGAGTTTGTGTCTCTTTGTGCGTGTTCGCATTCAAAATTTCCAATGATGAAAAACAGACCGAAACAGGTACACTTTTAGTGCCTTTCCTCTTCCTCGCTCGATGCTTCGGCAAAGGTCATGCGCTTCGTAGCATGCACCTTTGGTGGCTTTGTCTCTCGCTTGCACCTGTATAGGTGTATTATTACAAATTCTCCAGCCTCTGACCGTGTATCGAAGCACGATAGCACAGCAGCAAATCACCAATGTTGGCTGATTTGAACTCGGTGGCTGGGGGTTATTTTGCTAAAAATTTGAACTCAAAATAACCAAAAATTTACTCAAAACACTACCAGAAGTTCTCTCACTCTGGGTACCTTTCTGCGGCTCTTGGTGTGGCTGTAGTGTTGCGGGGGGACCAGTCTTGGTAGTTGTTGTCGTGTTGGCACTGGTCGTGTCTTGGACTTGGTGTCAGCTCAAGGCTGTGCGTTAGAATGTCGGAAGACAATCAACAACGCAAGAAACGCGGGCGATTTGAACACTGGTCATCTTTGAGTGAAGGTGTAGATAAGCCCTGTTTGAAGGCGTTTCAAGTTGCAATCAATCTGAATGGTACTAACGTACAGCCTGCGGGTAAACATTCAAGTTTTGGGGTACTTCAAATTCAGACTCGAATCACCATAGTATACGCTAAAATCAGATCAACAATCGTTGATCATCACCATCAAATTTACATCGTGATTTCGGTTAGACCTCATTTTGAATCATCATCAGTGCAGCTTGATTTGCGTCGTGATTTCAATTTTGCCTTGCGGAATCGGGTTGGTTGTCAAGATCGATTTGCATCGTGTTTCTTGATCATGCCTACAGTTTGTTTGTTGGTGAAGGTTTGTTGTTTGTTTGTCCGCCGACTTTCGCGACATCAACGACATTTGGTGCCGCCAACTTGCACCAGCTCCAGCACAGGAGGACCTCGAGTACTAGCCTCTGCACTGGAAAAGTGAGATACAACTTACTTGGGGAGATTACAACTTTACGCATCTAGCGGATAACGACCCACCAGATCACAAAACGCGAAAAAACGTACAACGTCGGCGTCTCTCTTTAGACGAGAGTATTGAAGAGTTTGCAGGACGGAGTATGATGTGTGAATTTAGATGTATGATGTGGATGTGCTCTCTTCTTTTACTTCTCCAGACAGATAAGCCTGAGCTTTGTGATGTCGAGACAGGGACTGCGGAAGGGACTGCGCCTTTTCTGATTTTGCGCACAGCGATAGCTCGCATTTGAATCGTATTATTTTTTGGCCATACGCATTCACCTTTACAGTGCACGAAGTGAGTCGATCGTGTGTCGACTCGCTTTGCTGTCACACAACTGATATCGATCCCCCAAGGGGACAGCTCTTTTTTGTTAAGAACAAGCATGACTTCCGTGAGGTATCAGAGACGACTCTGTCGCAGCTTGAGTATTACAGTTGTACTGTCGAAAATCTTTCGTCGCAGAAACTCCTTGATCCTTGTTCTTTGGGCAGCTCGTGCAGCAGTCGAGTGCTCATCCCCCAATAATTATAGCGTAAAAAAAGTGCACTGCCTTTACCTAAGTGCTTGACCGATGTGCAGTTTAGTCTTCAGACTTATCGTCTTTTGTTAGTTTTCATTCTTTAGGAAAATAAGACACGAATGTAAGCTCGAGTGCAAAGCACTTGTATTTTTGCATGCTATGCCATCAGTCTTCAAAGTCAGTCTCGGTCCACCTCCTCCCGTGGTCCAACTTTTATTTTTGCATGACGTTGGAAAAGTGGCTATTTGGCATCAGAAATTTCTACATTTGTATTGCAAAAATCCACGGTGATTGTCAAGGCGTAAGCACCGTCCCTCATCATATAAAATGAATTGCAATAAGTTGAGTTTTTATATCTCTTCCTTGCATGCTTTTAGCGCTTGCTGATCCAAAATAGGCAGCCGCGCTGCTAGATGAAAATAATCTTGTAAGCGTGTTCTTCTTCCTTTCGTCGTACTGGTTCTTCATGAGAGAAATTACCGAGAGATAGTGGTAGCTGCAAGCTATCTGCGTTGCAGCCGCGCCCATTCTTCATCTTCCGCACGAGTAAGTAATAAAAGGCTGGAGCCGCAGATCATGATCGATCTGTGCACCGTAGGCAAACGGTGCACAGGTTTAGGCCGGTGCTTAAGGCGCCAGTGAAGACGTTCACAATTACCAGCTGACCACAAGAATGCTTACAAACGAACACTTGCTCGCCCTTCAACTTCGCCGTCTTTAGGTTCCCCATGCTCCTTCTTCCGCTCTTGAAAAACGATTTAACCAGCGATCTAGGTGTGCTTTCCATATTTATTTTAATATGTTTTAGATTAGTTTACTTTGCTATGCTTATTGTTGTACTTCTCTCAACATTAGCAGTGGTCAGTGTGATCCGGTTCCTGATTGTTGACCTACCTCATGCCAGTACAGTTCAACATGCTGCATTGTCGTCTTCGTAGTTGTGAAGAGAGAGGTAGAGGAGGAGGTTTTGATGCGGAGCTCGACGACGAGAGGAGAGTATGTAGTTGTATAGAAAGGTACGACTACGAGTACGACCCGTTCGTTCGAGTGATGTTTTTCAGGTTGTTGATTCTTAGTTACTTATCGTTAGAGAAGATGCGACTGCGACTCGTCTGCGCCTGCGGTCGAGATTTTTACGAAGAAATCTTTTTATCTTGAGAAAGCCAACAGCTGAGTCGACTTATACCGATACATGACAGCAATCCAAATCATGACAATGCCTAAATTAGTATTGACTACGACGAAGACAGCGCAGATTTTTTTTTTGAACACCGCATTTTTCCTGTTGCGATTGCTCCGCTTTATGAAGGACAGCGTATCATGCTCATGGTCTGGCTCGTGCGGCCAGCCTGCACGAGCAGTGGAGGTCAACACACGACTCTACTCATGCTCGTCCTGCTCTTGGTCTGCTCCTAATACATAGCTGCTGCTTGGTTGCAGCACGACTTGCTCCTGCTATGAGCAAGTTGAGTAGTATTTTTACAGGCAAGAAATAAACGTATTCCGCGCTGAAGCAGTCGTTCCAATGAAGACGATCCGGCATCTGGGTCGTGGAGCCTTCGGGCAAGTGCGGCTTTGCTTGTTAACCACAACGTCTTCAGCGAAGATAAATGTAGACGAGACAGAGTGTACCTCAGCAACATGTTCATCTTCGTCCACGAACAGCATAACAACTACGACAACCAACAGCTGCCTACAACCCGGGGCATCAACTACAGAACAAGCTCCCATAGTACAACTAGTCGAACAGCAGATTTTGGTCGCGGTCAAGTTAGTCGACCTCTCCGGCTTGTCGAAACAACTGAGGAAGCGCGCGCTGAAGGAGGCCAAATTGTTGCAGAAACTTTCCAGGCACCCCAACATTGTGGACTGCAAGGACGTCCTGTTTTCCGAGAAGGACGTTTTGCAGATCGTGTTGGAGTACGCAAAATGCGGGGATCTGCACCAACACTGCGAGAAATCCGGCCGGTGCAGCGAGGCGAAGGCGCTCTGCTGGGGCGGCCAGGTGCTCTCCGCGCTGGCTTACTGCCACGCCAAGAAAATTCTCCACCGAGATTTGAAGCCGGCGAACATCCTGCTGTTCCCGCTCGGCCGAGCGAAGCTGGCCGACTTCGGGGTGTGTTTCGTCGGTATAGAACGCCGAGGTTTTGTCTATTGGTCTTTCTAGTCTAAATCGTGTCGGCCATTTTGATGAACAGAAATCTCGCTAAAGGACATGAAAAGTAGAAGTTTTTGCTTTGTTCACTATACAACGGCTAGAGCCAGTACATGAAGTTTTGATACGAGCGATAAAAACAATAAAACAAACCACCTTTCAGGCGACAGCACGAGTGGCAACACGACCAAGAGCAGCGGTAGCAAGGCTGGTCATCTGCAACACCAGCGCGGGACTACGACGAGGAACGCGCATAACAGCCAGAACACGAAGTCCACCGTCCGCGCGAAGACGGTGATTGGGACGCCGCACTATTTCGCCCCCGAACTCGTGAACGGTGAGGAATACGGCCCGGCTTCCGACATGTGGAGCTTCGGCGTCTGCCTCTACGAGTCCATCGCGTTTCCGGACCGCCCGTTTACCGGTACCAACCTCGCGGCCCTGGCGTTGAAGATCTCCAAGGCGGTATCCTATGTAAAAACTTCCCCACACCATAGTCAAGATGGGGAATCGGCTAGACAAATCCACAAGATTTGGCTGCTTTGCATGACAAATTTGGACTCGTAGCGTTGTGCTGTTTGAGGTAGTTCAGCAGCATCACAGATCTAGTATATCATGCTGATTGGAGCATGACAAATTCCAAAGCACATACAGAAAATGCTTCCCATGGGGCTCCGCATGAGAAACATTTTCAGCATGCGGATTTGCATTACAGCCATGCGGTGGGGACGTTTTTAAATACGATAGGCGGATTGGCAGCGGCTGCCGGACCACGTCGTGAGCGGTGGTGCGGTGAACAACGTGAGATTTCTGCTGGAAGAGAAACTGCTGCTCGAAAACCCGAAAGCGCGAATCCGGGCGGCCAAGGGCATGGCCGAAATCGAGCGCATTTTCAAGGAGGAATACGGAATCTGTGCCGTGAAAAAGAGTATCAGTAAAACCCCTGCAGCAGCTCCTGCCAGTGGCACCAGTGACACACCTGCTGGGCCTGCTGGAAGTCGTCCGGAAGTTGGAGGTCGTCCACCCCTGCTGCCTGCTTCAGGAACAGCCTCATCCAGCGTGCAGCAAAGTGAAGTTGTAGGTGAAGACGGACTTCTACCACTAGCTGCACCAGATGCAGCAGCTCCCGCGTCCTTCCCAACATCTAGTACAATTTCTACCGAACTGCCCGCCGACGCGGAGATGATGAAGAATACAACTGCGACATCATCAAGTTCCTCTTCACTCGAGCGCTACGCGTTTCTCGATCCGGTCTTCTATCCGCAGCTGTGCGACTGGCGAGAGCTGGATCACGCAGCAGAGGACGAACAGGAAGAAAAAAATTCCGGACCCCTGAATGGCCAGTCGAGCGAGGACGACGAAAGCTGGGGCGACGCTGAGGAAGTCAAAGAAGAGGAGGAGGAGGAAATAATAGAGCCACAAGGTACCAATGCCACGACCTCGGAGGCGACGCTTGATGATGTGCCGATGCCCGGACAACATCTACAGAAAGATCAGGAGGAGGGGAGTTCTGCTGGTCCTGATGCTCTAAAAGAAGAAGTACATCAGTACCCCGGGGGCCGCGACCAGCTTCTCTCAGAATCAAGAAACGAGGGGGATGGACAAGATGACAATGGAGATAATGTTGCCGACGAAGAGGCCACAGTGAAGACCACACTGCGGTCTTTGCCTATCGGAGAAGTAGGACAATTACGACAAGACCATCATCATGTGGAAATGCAGTACAACGACGAGGATCCGCGGTTTTTAGAAGGACCAGCTAGAAGAATATCACCCGCCGATGATCTTCAGGGAGGAGTGAATCTACTAACGGCGGAGTCCTACGATCCGAACAGGCCGATCACTTTTAACATCACAAGCAACTTCCCGAGCGAGGACACCCTGGCCTACTCGCCGTCGAATCACCTCCCCTCGAACAGTAGCAGCAGCAGCATCATCGTCATGCACGAAGGAGGAGAGCAGCTGCTGCAGGGAGCGAGCGGCGTTGGTGATATGAAACCAAAGAAATCTCCTTCAAAAAGTCACGCGATCATGGCAAGTGCAGCAGGACGAGCAGCGCCGCAAGAAGCACAACGGGATGATGAACCGTATCTAGATGTTGAAGTTGAACAAAGCGAACGATATCTCTCTTCAGTTGGTCCACGTGCAGCTGCTTCGTCTGGACGCGCTGAGGCGGACTGCGGGGGCGGTTCCGGCGGTGAGTTAGTTCGTCCGGACTCGTCGTTCACATCAACAATCTTTGCAGGGGAGGTCGATGATCAAGAACATCAAGCCGCGCCGGTAGATGAAATGAATTCTGAACATCATACGGCCCTCGCCGACCACTTACGAAGGAGGAAGAGAAGGGGGTCAGCGGACAACTATTTTTCGGGTGAAACTGGTGAGCCCGAAACTGTACCCAGAAGGACGACTACAGCCTCCTCCTCTCGCCCCCCTTCGCAGTCTTCCGGGCCCACGAGATCTCGGGCAAACAGCACCAGCGAGGGAAGCCACATGCAGCTGCCAGAGGTGATCGTCCGGCGGGGTAAGACGCCACCAATGTCACAGGGGTCCACGCCGAAGATCCTCGGAAGTTGTACAAGCGACCGAGATAGACTCGTGACGCCACCAGGTGGAGGGTCTGTGTTGCACTATGGCTGCTACAGCTCCAGTGGGAATTGCACGCCGGCGGGGAAAATGGACAGCACGCCGCCAGAAGCTGCTGCTGCTGCACTCGATAGCTGTTCTTTGTCAACAAGAAATCCTCGCGGGAAAGACAATATGTCCAGGGTCACGACGCCACGGCCTGCGCAGCAGGTGATACTGGAGAGGAAGAAATCCAAACCCCTGAAAGCGCTTTCGCCGCCGAAGCACAGAAACCCCAGGGCAGTGGTTCCGATTTCGTCGTCTTCCATTTCAGGGTGTTCCTCATCTACTGGAAACAACAATAATAAAAACTCGTCGAACGGCAGTCAGGTGGGGAACAGCCAAGGCGATAGCTACTTGCGGAACTACATGGCCAGGAAGAAATCACAGGAAAAAATCAACAGTTTTGCTGGTGGGCCGGGCGGGAACAAGATGAGACTGTCGAAGGACCACGCGGTCAAGAACCGAGGAGAGCATGCAACAGACCGCGACCGAAGCAAGAGAAGAACGGCTGAAGAAAAGTCGTATGCTGGGGTAGTCGTCGGTACTGGAGGGTCGTCCTCCAGTACTAGCAGCTCTACATCTCTATCGTCCAACTCCAAGCATGGCAGAATGAAAGCAAACGCGAAGGACGGCTCGACATCAAGAGTGACGCCTCGCGCAGCCAGCACTCCGAGCGCATCAGAAGCCGGGGTCAGCGGGGCTGGAGGTGCTGACGAGTATCAACCCGTCGCAGCAACGAAGGATGTTGAACGTGAGTCTGGTCGGCAAATGTTCCCGTCGCAGTCCCACGTGGCTTTACCCGCCGGGAGTCAACATCTTCGCAGGAACCGACCACGCGCAGGCTCCTCCGGCACTACCACTTCGGGCGACGGCACGCCGCACACGTGCAGTAACCGATCCAGCCGGAACTCCACACTCGACGCGGTTGCAAACAGGGCCACGAATGGAAGCACCAATTCCACTACATCCACGACGACAAACAAGCGCCGGAGCTCTTTCGTGGACCGCATGCGGCAATTCAATAATTGTGGCCAGGGCGGAGTGCAAGAAGGTTCTTCCGCTGGGGGAAACGACCGAATAAACGCGATCGAACAGACCAACTTTTCCACGGACGAACCTTTACCCAACCCACGGATTCCCAGCCCCGCTCCCCCAGTGCCGCACCCCGAACCGACGGTAGCCTACTCACCAGAAGCATTTTCAGCAAACCCCGTGTTTCTGAACAGCGGGCGGCACTTGGGGATAAAGAAGAAAAAGACGGTTTTGGTGCACGATGGGAAGGACTTTTACCGCATGCTGAACACCTCCAGTGTGGATTCGCCGGGAATGGTGAACGACCAAGAGAACATCGACAACTTCCTGAATAAGTCGCTTACACAGCTCGGAGGATCTCTATCCGCGGAACGAGGCGCGGTAGAATTAGAAAGAAAAGAGAGCAGTCGGGACGAGCACGACGCTACTATTGCTATGCGTCAGCATTTCTATTCGCACGACGCTGCGCAAGACGAAGTTTTCAAGATCCGGATTCAGGACGAAGCAGAAGTAGTACATGACCCAGAGGACGATGAACAAGTTGACTTCCAGCAGACGCAAAAGCTCTCTTTGCCCGGCGACCTTCCGCCGGATGACGAGTTGCGGCTGAGTCGCGAGAATGGGCTCCTTGCAGACGGTTGTTCTTTAGCAAAGAATCCTCTGGAAGGTGATGTTGAAAGCGATCCTTTCCGCGTGACGCGCGCAGCCTGGACCGAAGATGCACACCAGCTGAATGCGAGCTTGAAATACGTGGTCGGTCGTGGCGGGGAACCTTCAGAAGTCCATGCGGTTTTCGGAATAGGACAGCAAGCAGGTGAAGGTGGTGAAAGTATGGCGAGGACTCCGGCGGACGAAGCCCATGGCGTTGCAGCCGGAGGTAACATAGACCGACTTTCAATAGTTGTACAAAACTTTTTTTTGCATTGTTCCCGAACGATGGTACTGGGTTTCTTTGTCTTTGCTTGGATAGGAAAATATTGAACAACAAACTCAGGGCCGCTTCTCTCAAACGCGCGCTCTCGGCCACATTTCCTGGACATGCAGGCCACACAGGAGTCAGCTGTCACGGTGAAAATCACGCCAACCTTCGCATCTCCACTGGAGGACGAGGACGGTGAAGACGGTCGCGCGCCACCTTGCAGAACAAACACAGGGCCTCAGCGCGTAATGGCGCCCGACCCAAGTCCAGCCACATCAAACCACCCACAAAGCAGTATGGCTAGTAGCTCCGCAACGGTAAAAGACAATTGCTACTCAAGTGGAACAAATCTTGAGCAAGAACGTCCTCCGCTTTACAGTTCCAACGACTTCTACACCTCCAGAGCGTCCACGACGAAAACCGCGAGGAGGCGGGTAAACAGTTCCTTACTCGCGTCCCTGAGTGCGGACGATGAGGACGGCGAGCAGGATGATGACGAGCTGTTTCTCGCCCAGGTGAACGCGGGCGAGGACTTTCAGCTTGTGTTTGAGCGGAAAACACCATCGAACGGAGACAACGCGAAGATGAAGATGAACCAGAACAACCAAGGGCAGGCTGGCTTTTTCACCAATAGTACTGCTGAACAAAACGAGAACAGGAACATGATTTCCGCCCCGGGAGGACATCTTCAGGGTGGAGCCTTCAAGAATCCAGCCAGCGCAGGGGACGTAGATGCTGAACATGAGGAAACTACGCCCATAAATCTGGAGATTCACTCACCGCGGATAGCGCAGGGAGTGGAACCGCGTGCGGCTGCTGGTCTGCCAGCACATCGTGCCCAGCACACTGGAGGTGCAGAAGAAGATCAGCTGCTCGGCGGCCAGCAACGGCCAGGCGGTGCTACAATCGAGGACGATGATGAAATCCTGTCCGACAACAAAACTGCTTCAGAAGATGAAGATCCTGAAGATCTTTGCTCGGAGTACTCCGACGACTTTGAAATCGAAGAGGAATCAAATTCCTGTGATGTAGCTGCTGCACCACACGATTCGGAAAATTTTGTGAAGGTGCAGTGTCGCGACCAACTGGATTTGAACCTGAATTCGCCGTCCATGTGCGTTGTTTTGTCGGTGGTCGACCGGGTCAAGAACCCGTTTCAAGACCAGGGAAACATTTTTGCCCTCACGTCGGTGCCGGAAGGATGACACGACCAGGAGAGGCGATTTTTGGCGTACACTAGAATTAAAAGGAGTATACGGAAATCTTAAATTTTTTAGTGCCGAACTTGTCAGTCACGGTCACCATTTTGCTTTTGATACAAAGAAACGAAAGTCTACGTTGGATTGTAATCTAAATTTTTTGTGTTGATGACCTCGTCCTAGTCGGAGATGTTCTCTGCTCGTCGCGCACATTCAGGAGCAGAACTTCTCACCCAAAAACCGTTTTTTCGCTCGCAGAACTATACACGCTTTATTTTACGCTGAAGCTACTCGTAGGGATGAATTCCCACTATCAAAAGGCTTCTAGCAGTACAACTACACTCTGATAAATTTCCGGCCATGTTGAAAAGCACTGCACGAGCTATGGCATCTACGCGAGTGTTGATATTCTTTCATGCCTTGTTTGTCTTTGTCCTCTTTGTCTTTCGTCTTTTCTTCTCGAAGTCGTTCGTCGTCGTTCTCATGAATGGATGGTAGCATGAGTAATTATGAATCCATGACACTCGGACACGACATTGGACTAGACGTACACTTTTGCTTGTGTCAGAGGGAGGAAAGAGAGAAGCCGATATTTCTCAGTTCGCACGTGCGGTGACGTTGCAAGAGGCTGTAAGAGAGTCTGTCGCCCTGTCGGTTTTTTTAGGCCTGATTCATTCTCATTCTCATCGCTTATCATTCTTATCGTAAGTGGCATTTGGCTTTCGTGGTTTCAGCCTGCGTCGTTCGTGCATGGCCGCAAGAAGTGCAAAGTCGCGGTAAATTAAACTATCAATCATGTTAGTTATCGAAGCAGGAACAGAGACATTATTAACATTTGCATCGCACTAGGCCGCCGCCGCGTGTAGTATCATGACACAAAAAGTAGTTAAAGTTGATGTTACTGTAAGATCATGTTTCTAAAGCCAGCGTTTGTCGTGCGGTACTACGATAAACTACAAAGAAGTCATGACGTCGGAATACCTGATCGATATCGACGTCCATTCCCTGTTATCAAATGCAAAAATGTCTGGGTCTGGAAGGTTGCCAGGTTTGTCATGCATATTTTTTTATTTTTTTTTTATTGGCCCGCTATTGTGCTTTTTTTCATCATTCGTTATCTAATTTTTTCAGCGGACGGGTGCGATCTCTGAAATGTGAAGGGTGCGACACAATTCACATACCAGGTTACGCGGGTATACGGCAGCTTTTCCCGATTTGTACCTTTTCGGCTCTTGTCCTCTGGTCCTGCACTTTGGTTTGTCATGCATATTTGGCATGACCCATGATGCTTGTAAAGCATGGCCTAGCATCACAGACTTTTGGAGGGCATCCTGATGCCTATTCCGCGTGACAAATGCCCTTCCGGCGTAGCACAAAATGAGCTCCTCTTCCTGGTCATGGAATACAAATGTTTTTAGGATCCGAAGATAGCATCACAAGTTGAAACCTTCCAGACCCAGACATATTTGCAGTTGATACCTGTACGGGATCCGTCCGCCGTTGGACGAGAAGGGCGACCCCCGGAGCACGGCGTTTCTGAATCCGTACGTGGTGGTGAACTCTCTGCCGCATTATGCAATACAAATTTCCTGTACATGCACAAAACGCATGACAAATTTTACTAAGTTGGAGCATGCCACTTGTCATGCTGAATAGGATTGGAAGAAAAGTTTGTCATGCAGAAACAGCATTTGTACGTGTGCGGGAAATTTACTGTGGATACGCATCTGCAGGAAGAGCGGAAAACGGACGTGCGCAGGGAAGCGAGCTCCTGCATGTTCAACGCCTATTTCGCGTTATTGGGGCGGTTATCCCCGTTGGAATTTCAGGAGGAAGTGATTCAATTTACCGTGATGAACGAGCTGAGCTTCATTGACAAGGCCGTGAATCTAACCACCTCCGACGAGTTGGTGGGCACGTTTGTGGTGGAAATCAACAAGGTGTGGGCAACCGAGCACAAAAAACTCGAGAAGCAGTGGTTTCCGGTGCTGAATCCGGAGAGACTGGACCAACGAGGCTGGATAAACCTCTCCGTCCGAGTGTTCACCGCGAAGGACGCGATTCCGAGTCGGGCGGTCGTGCGAAAGAGGGGGAAGGTCGGTGGTCGAGGTGCTGGGACGAGCACAACTAGTAGCGGAGATAGTTTTTCAGCTGCCGGGGCTGGAGATGATTCATCCTCGTCGTCTGCTACTTCGAACAGCAAATCCGCGCAACAGCTTCGAGATATCAACACGCGGATTTCTCGGATGCCGTCCGAGGCTCGCGTGCAAATCGCGCAGCTGAAGATCCTGATCCACCGGTGCCAAAAGTTGTTCACCCCGTTCCAGACCGTTGAGTGCAACCCGTTTGTGGAGTGCGCGCTCGCTGGCTTTCCGAAGACCATTACCACTTCGGTGAAAGAAAACACGGTGTCCCCCGTCTATGGGGAACAGCTGTGCTTCCCGTTTGTGTTGTCCCCGTGGAACACGACGGTCCGGCTCCGCATTTGCACGGACAACGGCCTGTTTGGGGACAATGCCTGTCTCAATAAGATCTCCTTCGACGTCACGCCAGTGTTGGAAAGTGGAGCGGTTCCCCCGGTATACCTGTCCCTCTTCTCCTACCCGGTGGACTGCTTGGAGTACGCGAAGAAGTCGGAGTCGTACAAGCAGAAACTGCTCGAGTTTTCCGATATCTACCAGTGCATCTGGGGCGGCAGAATCCTAGTATCGGCTGTGCGGGAGCCCATTTTTGAGAACGCCTCTACAACTAGTACTTCACCGGGCAGCAGCTACAACTCCTGTGCTTTTTTCGGCAAGAAAGTTCTGCCGGCGCACGAATTGACTGCTGTGGGGCTGAAGAAGCAAATGCTGCGGGTGAGTCTGTACCAACTGGATTTCCTGATGAAGGACAATAGTCACAATTCCGATCTTTACTTCACTGGCGGGCACGACCTTCCTTCCGAAGATCTGGAAATCGTGTTTGAATTCCACATCGGCACGCGGGTGGTCTGCTGGCCAAGCTACTACGCGGCGGAGGAGGAAAGTGAAAATAACCTTAACTACGACGATGAGGACAAATCCTTTGTCACCATCACCTCGCTGCCCCCGTTCCAACGGAAGAAAAACCTGACTTCGATCACCTTCGACGAAGCGACGGGGTCCGTACCCGGGTTCGTGGTAGAGAAGGACGTCAACACACCGCTCTACGTGTTGGTCAGGTTCTTGAAGCCGCCGGAACAAGCTGTGAAAAGTCATCACCATGGCAACGAGCATCGAGGAGGACATCACAGCAAAAATCATGCTAGCACCACTAGCGACGAAGGAGCCACCGATAAACTAGCTGCACAGCATCACGATCATGACGAAATACGTGCGGACCAGTTGACGTGCGCCCTGTGCGGCCAGGCACCGGAGGCGCACAAGCTCTCTTCGAGCACGCACGGGGATTCGCCTATGCCAACCTGGATGGATTTCTACTCGGTGCAAAACGTCGGCGAAATCGGCGCTCGGGCGTTGATCGCAGTTTCGGTTGAGGAGCATGTTGTCACAGCGAAGATTAGTAAAAATGTTATGAATAATTATCGAGGTGGAGCTGCTGTGGGCTCGAAGGACCGGAAGTCTTCTTCGACCGATCGAAGTTCACCAACTGCTGGTGGATCAGTAAGTCCTACAGCTGCACCGTCGCCTTCGGTCGTAGAAAAAACCAAGCATGTTTACCATGCGGTTGATTGGGAAATTTACGTGCTGCGCGTTTTTCTCTTCCAGGGGTTCCACTTTCCGGAACGGGACCGTGGGGCAGTTGGACCACGAAAACGCAGGTCTTCTTCAATGTCGTCTCAGCGCTGCATTCGAATCTCTTTCGGGACGGAAGTCCGACAGGTTGCACCGGCTACTTCGGGAGCAGCCACAAGTGGAAAAAGACATCAAGCGGAGGACGAGATGAATAACGAGGCAACTACAGATGGTTCCCGCAATTTTAAAACTACAGAGCTGGAGGTGGCGCACCATGAAAGTCAGCATCCTGTTTGGAATGAGGTGGTGGAATTGCAAACCAAACTTCCGACTGATAGAAGTCTGTGGCCATATGTCCGGCTAGATGTCGTTGACGTGCCAGTCTCACGTGCTTCACAGGGTAGTAGAGATCGCGGGCATCATCATCACGACACCGGCACTTCGTCCGGCACCTCTAGTACTCACGAACAGAAAATCCTGGCTCGCGGCCGCATTCCTGGGGAATCGTTGCCGATACAATACCGCGGCATGCCATTTTGGATGAATTTGCGGCGGAATTCGTCGCACTATCAAGGTGAGGTGCATCAGCTGGCCGAGGTGCCGTGCAGAATGTTGCTGGCTCTGGAGTGCTTTCCGTTCAACAGTTTCTCGCTTCCGAAGCAGATTACAAGCGCTGTTCCTGCTGCAGGTGGACCAGCCCAAGAACTACAGCTGACTGTGCCGCAGTGGAACAAACAAGTCGACAAAGTTTCGACGGGCTACTTTCCCTGCGACGTGCGGCTCTTCGTGCTCGGTGTCCGACTGTTCACGGAGGTGGGTAAGAGCGCAGAAAGTAGGTCATCCGTAGGAAGTAGAAGAACGAGACTGAAGGGAACAAGTGCCGGGAGTGCGGGGAGCTCTCAAGAAGTGCACTTCTCATCTGCTCTCGCGACGACGACCCCCGCTTGCCCCTACCTCGAAATTTGTGACAGCGACAATAACGTGGTCGCGCGGTCGACCGTGTGCAAGGATGGGTCGAACGGGGGCTTCAATTTCAACAACGAGTTCAAGTTTTCTTTGAACTTGTCCCGGAAACGGGCGGTACAGGATTTTCTGTCCCTCACGCTGCGCGACGCGAAGCCTATGCTTTCTTCGAAAAGACCGGGGGAGGTCCCGGTGCCGGAAGCGCTGGTAGCCTACGACAGCGAAAACAAAAATAACCGGCGGTCGAAGAAACAAGAATCACCGGAGTTGAAGCGGCGGAGAGTTGTGACGGCGCCCGGGCACAGGACTTCCTCGACGACAATGGGTTCCAAAAATTTCACCTCGCTTGTGCGGGAGCAAGGCCGACAGTCGCAAGTAGTAGAGGAAGGAGCGATGGTTCTCGAAGGGCGGTCGGATGATAATGTCGCTGATGGTGCAGTTGTGCACACGAACGAGTACGAGGGGGAGACTCGAAGAGAGGATCGACCAAATGTGCCCTCGACTGGTGCGCCTCCACGGCCACAAAGCAAAGCAAGAGCAAGTGTCGCAGGGTCTGACAAGGGGGACATAGATAAGAAGAACGGGGATGAAGGTGTTGAAGAGACAAACGTGCAGCAGGAGCAGGAGAGAGAACTGGCGGACGTAGTAGTAGATGATGTAGATGTAGATCCTGCAAGGCGGCCAGGGGCACAGGCACAGCTTGATGCACAACAAGGCGAACAACAATCTGCACCACCCGCTCCACTTCGCTACCCCTCGCCACGCGATGTTGCGGGCTGTCACGAACAAAGCACAACAACTTTCGGAAAGCTTTTCGCGGAGCAATTTCAGCAGCACCAGCAGAATAGAGGTGATCACGGTGTGGACCTCGATTTGTCGCTAGATTGGTCTTTTGACTTTGCGGATTCCTCGGCGTTGGACGAGAGTATGTCCAGCCCGACACGACAGAAGCTGTTCCACCAACAAATGAAAGCGAGGCGGGCGGACGCAGACTGGGCAGGAGCAGTTGGGAGCAACACCACTAACGCATACGATGAAGGCGGTAATTCCGTTCATTACATAACTGGGCGTCCGCACACCGCCATTGGCATTAACCCGTTGGTGTTCTATCCGGAAGGGGAGCACTTCGCAAGTCCAGCAGAGGGGAATGCGAAAAATTCTGCAAGTGGAGGTGGTTTCTTCGACAATTTCACAAACCGCCTGTCAGAAGTGGGGACGTCTTTTGGAAATCTGGTCGCGGGCTCGCCGGATCAAGGGGAGCAAAGTGTGTCCTCTGGCGGGAAAAAGACACAGAACGTCGGGAAAGCGGACGAGAATCGAGACGACAGTGGAAGTGCATCCTTTGGGTTTTCCGTTTCACACGCGGCTGACATTCTCAATTCCATCGTCGGTGGCGGTGACGTTCCGGAGTCCGGCACTAAAAAATCTGTGCACCACCACAGTCATCGGGCGAGTAGAAAAGGCAAGAACGACGGGGAACACGACCCGTCTACAACTTCCAAAGATCATCACCGCAGCCGACGTGCGCACGTCACGTCTGACAAAAGAGCAGCCGCTGGTCGAGGAAGTACTTCTTCCACCAGCACCTCTCATCACCATCACCACCACGGAGCTGATTCGTCCAGCAGCAGACCAGCGCATATCGAAAGCGATGAGGAACTCAAATTTGGGAAGAAGCTTTGCAGCGGTCACATTCACTTGAACCCTCACTGCCCGTGGTTCAGCGCGGAGACTCGGAAGCGACTGCGAACGACTTTTAGCACGGTAAGAGAAGATGATAATGGCCACAATGCAGACGAGGCGGATTTTTCCTCTAGTAGTGAGGAGGAAACCGATAATTTGCTGGGGTTCGGCAGGAACGAAGGTTCGTTCTACTGGAAGAGGGTCGTGGCTGGAGGACGAGAGAGCAACATGATTAAGGGGCAAAACGAAGCACCTGGATCTTTAGAAAATGATGCTGAAGACGTCGAAATCTCGGATCGCGAGAAGTTTTGCGTTTTGATGAAAGAGTTCGCGGAAGGAGCAGATGCAAACCCTAACCCATTCGGAAATAATACGGCAGAAGAGGACCACGCCGGGGACGATTTGTTTCGCACGAGTAAGCACAAAAGTATGAAGGCGGGATCATACAACGACCCGTCGTCGAGGGTGATTACAGTGGTTGAAGCTGACGATGCTGGTGCTGCCGGCGATAGCACAGGAAAGGATTCTTTTTTCTTGGAAGAGGATGAGTACAGGGCGAGAATGTTGAGATCATCTTTCACGAGAGGCACTGAAGCGACAGATGTTGAAGACGAGAAGGGCATCAACAGCGTCGAACACGATGGTGAAAAAAATGCGCAGACAACAGCTCCTGGAGCGCGTAAAAGAAGAAAAAGTAGTACAGACCAGATGACCACATCCGTCGATAAATCGGTCAAAAGGCGCCGCCGGTCCTCTTTCGCCGAAGAAGCGCTGAGCAAGGCAATTCTTTTGCCAAGTAAGAAACTGCTGAACACAGCGAAGCGCGCGGTCCTGCCGCAGGCCTTTCGACAGACCAGGAGGAAAAAGAAGCGGGAGGCGATTCTCAAGGCGGATAAAACGGTTAACGGGTTCAAAGAGGAGTTCGAGTGGAAGCCCGTCGAAGCGCACGAGGATTTCTTGGTGCCAAGCAAATTGGAACAGACGCTAGAGCCGGACGGTTGGCTGTACGAGAAGGCGGAGCTTTTCGTCGTGAACGATTTCGGCGAGACCATCGTGGCCGGCGTTGTGAAGTATTGTCTCTGCGTTTTGCCAAAATTCAAGAAGGATTCTACTGCTGGAAGGAGAAGTAGTGGTAGCTCCGCTGTCGAACAAAAACCAGTAGAAGAAATACAAGAGCCACCTGTGGGGACGACCGGTGGGGCAAGAACTTCGACAGTTGTAGATGCAAGTCCAAGTGTCCTCGTTTCAGGCGACTCGTCTGAGGACCACCCTTCCACCGGTTTTCTGAACCGAACCAACAATCTATTCAATTTGCGCGTGAATCAGCTGAAGAAAGAGATGCAGATGGCCCGGAATCTGCTGATCCGCATCTACGTGCAGCAGGGCGATCTGCTGCCTTACGGCGGGAAGAACTTGCAAACCAGTCTGCAACTTGTTGGGGATCACAGCGGACTGCAAAATGTTGGTGGCGACCGTCCTGAGGACCACTCCAACAACCACTTTGCGTCGACGTCGGAGACCCTGACGATGCACACACCCGAATACCGGAAGGCCTTTACCCTGACCGACTGCTCGTTTCCAAGAAACGCGTTGGTGCGCGTCACGGTGTTGGAGCACACAGAAGGGGACAGTGCCGGTGGTGACAATGGCGGTGGTAGTTCTACGGGTACCAGCATCGGAAATAACCACAACTCTATCGAGCTGGGGTCCACGTTCATTGACCTCGAGGACCGTTTTTTCCATTCCAGAAACCGGCAGAGCATGCGTCTGCGGCGCACCGCGCTGGAGTCCCGGCCGCTGCACCCCGTCGGCTACAGCAGTCGCGGGATCTCCACCGGAAGATTGATTCTCCGGGCGGAGGTGCTAGCGGAGAGCGACGCCGGGGTGGCAGAGCTTCTAGCCGCAGCGTCAGTGGAACAGATTTCCGCGAGTGCGGGCGGTAGTAGCGGTGCGGGCACGAACGCGAAGTCCCTCGCGGACCAGATCGAGGAGCAAGCGAATTCGGTGAAAAATGCCGCCAGTGGGTTATTTGCGAGTGTGCGAAACAGTTTACCAACCTCGTTGACGGGGGGCGGAGCAGGAGCCGCCGAACGAGCCGCGAGCAATAGCAACCAAGGCGGGGAACAAGCTGCAACCGAGAATCCAGACGGAAACAATACTTCTTCATCATCTGGTGCCGCCGGCGGCACTTCCGCATTGACGAATGAAACGATGCTGAAGAAGAACGGCGAAAGAGTGCAGATCCGGTTGGCAATCTTTGACGTGACGGACATTTTGTTCGGCGAGGGCGTAGAGGGACAGGACAGCTACTTGAACCTGAGCGTGACCGCAAAACTCACGCTGGACGACGGCAACACCTACGAGCAGCAAACCGACGTGCACCGGCGGGTGGCGCCCGGCGGGCGGGCGGTTTTCAACTGGCGGCTGTGTTTCGATGTGGTGTTGCCGTTGCAAAACCCGACTCTGACACTGACCGCGTTTGTGAATAACCTGGTGTTCGCGAACGAACCCCTGGGGGAAACCTTGATCGACTTGTCCCAGGATTTGGACGAGGCAAGAGAAGTTTTGCTGGAGCAGCGGCAAAACAGCGAAAAACAAAGACTGAAACTTTTGTTCGCGAAGTCCCCGGTTTTCCTCTACCTTCCGGCCTACCCGGGCAAGGTCCGCGCGGTGGTCAACACGGAGCTGCAGATCTGCGGCTTCAACGAGCAGAAAGTGGGGCGCGGGCGGGAGAAGCCCAACATCAATCCTTTTTTGGACCCGGAAGACAAGGAGCTGCAGGCAGGGAGGCAGAGTATGTTCACGAACAACGCGTTCGTGAATACGGTGGTGGCGGTGGCGCGGGGGGCCTGGACGGCGGCAAAATGGATTTTAATCTTGAAAATTTCCATCGCAGTGATCGGATTCGTGTACGCCACCATCATCACCATGAACCAGGCGGGGCTGATCAATCGGGGAGGGTAGTAGTGGAGTACGAATTTGATGATATTTTTAGCCACATCCTTTTCAAGGACTATGAATACGTCAGTTTAACATCTTCAGTGCTGTCGTGTATACTTTGCCTTTACTTTGATGAACTGCTACTGCAACTGATACTGGAGATGCCAAGCAACCGTAATCGAGTGTAGTATACCAGAGCAGGCAGGACGCATCATTCTCTGTCTGATCTTCGATTTCAGTATGCCTCCGCAGTCGCCCTCACCACATTGTCCCATCAGGCTTTGCTGCCTGTGGTGTGTGTAGTCACTGAAAAGAATCACAGTGTGTTCGCTTTCCGCTGCTGTCCGCGCGCAGCTCATCATGCGCAGATCTTCAATGCGAAAAGTTTTTAGTTTGCATGGTGGACAGATAGATATCTCCGACACAAAGATCATCATTTTGGAGCTGTTGATATCACGCCAGACAAGAATAAAAATCGCAGACGCAGTTCTCACAAAGAAATCTTTTCGCCTTTTTTCGGTCCCTTTTTTTCTGTCCAAATTATTGTTTCATGCGCGCTTAGGAATAGAGATAGACAGATGGCTTATAGTACTTATTCCGACTCCGATTCATTGCTAGTAGAAACAGATATGACTTGGTGTATTTCAACTCAACAGTAGGAGTATGTTTTTGCCGATACGCTGGCACACATGCACGTAGTATAGTTGTAGACAAGGATTATATGTACCAGTACAACGAGTAGTCGCAGTTGAATGTTGTCACTTTTGCTCAGACAGAGGCAAACGTCAAATAATGGAAACACAAAGCATATTGATGACTGTTGTTCTCCTGTAGCACCGTCTGTCATCTGGGTCGGAACGTAGCCTGTGGAGCACACTTGTCCTTCTTCTGCAAGAAGAAGAACCTAGTAAGTAGGGTCACAACGACATCATCACGATGAAAATAGCGTGCAGTGGTCCCGACGTCTTCGTTCCCGGCTCAAGAACATCACGAGAGCCACCTTTTCCAGCGACAGCGACACGGTCCTTTTCCTCCACCGCGTCCACGTTTGATATTCCTGATGCCAGCCAAAAAAGCACTAAGATGTCTCCTGCTACGTGTACTACCCCCTCGACCACGATGTCCCCCTCTTCTTGCTCCTCTAGAAGAAGAGCAAGGCCAAGCGGAATAAATACGCTCCTGAAAGTAAACATAAACCCCTTCCGGAATAAGATAGCGCTTTTCCTGTGCGCAACAGCGACATTTAACACGGTTCTGTCTATACCTCGCGACAAGCCGGAAGAATTTGAGGAGAAGCAGAAAGCAAAAAGCGGCAAAAAGAAGAAACCGCCGGGAAAGAAGCAACGTACTTACTTATTTTGATGCGAGACAAGTTAAAGTTAGAGTTTGTAATTTCGTTTTCGTCTACTTGGCACTTAAGTTTGTGCTTATGGTGTCTACAAACAACTGAAGCTGTTTTCTCTACCGGTTCCTTCAACTCCACACTAAAAAAAAAGCTCAGTTTTCCTTCTTTTACACAGATGACCCGGCGGAACCGCGTCCATACTGCACGAAGGACCTTACCTTCACGCCTGACGAATCCGCCATGGACGTGCAGGTTTTGGACTATTGTGTGGAGCACGCTCCCTACACCTGCTGTCGCAGACCACATGTGAACCGCATCCGAAGCAAAATGAACGAACACGCCGTCAGCATGATGAAAAGCGAGCAGTACTACTTGGTGGCTACTTTTTTCTGAAGGCGCTTGCAGTTGTTGAATAAATCACTTGATACGACTAGAAAAGAAAGACCTGATGACGTTGCTAGGTTACACTATGATTTTAGCTGCTGCATCATGTCAGGCGTTTTGAGTTTTACAACCAACTGTCTACGGTAGGATTAGGTGTAGGACCACGACCAAGCAACAGAAATATCCAACCCCGCTCAGGTGCGCAAGCCTGACCCGGTCCGTGCTGTGCAGCCAGTGCGACGGCGACGTGGGCACCGGGCTTCTGTCTGCCACTGGTGCCATCCACATGTGTCCGACTTTTTGTGAGACCTGGTACCAAACCTGTCGGGAGGAGTATTTCGTCGGCAGGGCGAACAACGAAATTGTGCCCTGCAACAATGACGTGGGGTGCGAACCCGTGCAGTTCATGGTGCAGGACGCCCAGGACTTTTGTGAGTCCGCGTTTTCGAATTTTCACACCATAGAGGTCGCCAACCCAGCGGACGAGCCGGATCTGTGCTTCGACGGCGTTCCGGCCAGTCGGACGAAAAAGGGGGAGAAGGTAACATAGTTGTGCGAGAAAATGATCTTCATCTTCGTCTTTCGTGTGAGTATGCTTATTTCATCAGCTTCATCAGGTGCAGGTCGGGAATAGTTAGTTTCTCAGTAGACCGCAGAAGGAACTTCCTTATACGGTCTCAAGGAACAATGCACATGCAGCAAAATCATGAAATAAACGTGATGAGAGTTGTTAAAGTGATGTATGACAAGAATTTACTGGCCCAATGTTGATTCTGCTTCCTGCTCTTGTTTAGCATGACGCCCGAATATGTTGAAGTATTCTATCAGCGAGAAAACGAAAGCACATACACAACCAAACAGTGGCCGCCACAGACCCGCACCAGCACACCGGCCTACTACGACACGCCTCTTTCGGGGAATTGGTTCGTGCGGATGCACCAGCTGCTGTACCGGCAGTTGCTGAAATTTTGGCGGTGGATGCTAGTCAACGTCCTGCTGCCCTACGGCCAGTACCTGCTTGCGATCTTTCTGATCCTCTTTACCGTGTTCCTGCACCTGGAAAAGCGGCACGGCTGGCCGCTGTGCCTGGCATATCAAATGTAAAAATGTCTGGGTCTGGAAACTTGTGATGCTGGGTGGCGTATCATGAGGAAGCCATAAGTGCTGGCTCAGCATGACAAGTTTCTGAGCTTCTAGGTGTTGCCTATTCTGCATGACAAACTGCGTTTTTGCATGACAGGAAAGTGGGGCTCTTGGGTAACCTGCATGACAGATTTAAGAGTCATGCCAGAGAAGCATGACAAATCGCGCATTCTTCCAGACCCAGACACTTTTACACTTGATATGGCAATCGCGGAGACGATCGGCGTCGTCAAGGTCAGACGGCTATCCTGAGTAAAAACGTACCCACACCAGAGTTGTAATGCAGATTTGCAAAGACAGGAAGACTTGTAGCGCGCATTCCCATGAGAGCCATTTCCAGTCGTGTTTTGGAATTTGTGATGCTGTCAACAGGATGAGCAGATGAATCTGTGACGCGGCTGCACTTGCTAACCTGCACTACACTGCCGAGTGCAACTTGTCATGCGTGACTCACAAAACTCCTAGGCTTGTGTTGCAAAATCCCCATCCTGACTCTGGTGTGGGTACGTTTTTACTCAGGATAACGGCACGGGGCGTATCGTCAGCGGGGCGAGTCGAGGTTGCTACGTTCCACGGCGGATACAGGACCGGATGGGGTAACAGGTGAACAGGGCACCGGCGGAGAGCCGGAGCCAGAAGATAGCGACGAACAAGTAGGCGAAGAAGGGGTTCTTCACGGTCCTGGTAGTGCAGGAAGCTCGAGCTCGAGCAGGAGGGCAGGTGACGGTGAAGATGATGAGAACTATCGGAGCAAGAAACTTGTACCTGTGGACGGCGCTAGTAGTGTAGCTCCCGGCACCAGTTCTAGCTCCTCAACAATCCGACCTGGCGCTGGGGAGAAAATAGAAATGATGATGACAAAACGAACGAGTCCTTCTGTCAGTGGCGGGGTACTAGGGAACAGCTGACACTACTCAGTTAGCGTGCGGAAGTGCACCAGAATTTGAAACTGCACTACGTGTAGTTAGCAGCGCAGAGTATAAAAATGAAACTATACAAGATTTTGAACATCATTCAAGCGACATCACTCTCTAGGTCCTCCGTAGTTGTCTACAGCTCTTCATCTGGTGCCCTCGAGATAAAATCCAAGTCAAATCATGGAAAACACAGATTTTACCTCTTCAGCATTTTTGGAGGTGTGGTGTCCGAACGGTGTGTCTGGGGACAGCGCAGGGCTCTTCTGTTTTCATTGTTGCTAATCCGGAACTCGTTGTCGTTGGTCGTGCTGACACGAAATTTTGTTTGGCTTTGATGCTTGCTCCTCCATTAAATTGTTTTATGTTTTCGCTTCCTACAGCCAATGCCAATCGCATGGTGATGGGTTTTTTCGACATTTTTGTGCCCCCTTCAACGATAAGGAAGACTGGAGAGTGAGAGACGGAGAGAAATAAAGCGGCGTTGAAGTCGAGTTCTTCAAAAGTACAATTATTGCCACGCAGCTGCACTATCCGTAAGTGGTGCTTCAGCTTTCTAACTACTTGCTCACCGGCTGACCACGAAGTACTAGATATCCACATGTCCTCCCTCTTCGCCAGTGCTCTTGGTCGACGTGGCCCCCGCGGGGAGCAGGAGCTGACAACCCTCCAAAAGTGCAAGCGGCTCTTGATGCTGCCGTCGATTTTTCTGGCGAAGGTTCTCGGGATCGGACCCCGGTTAGCGACGTTGGAAGAGCCCTATTTGAGCCTCGTGCTGAACCTGTTGCTCTTCAGCTCCTATGGAATTCCGATTGGACTGGTATTGTCCTACTGGCTCTACGGGGATCTTGTTTTCACCTACGGAATACCGATTGTCGGCGTCGCGCTGCTCGGGTACGGGGCCAATCAGTGTCTGGACTAGTAGTAGTCCTCAAGGATCCGCATCCGGGTCCGGAAGTGAGCCTGTATATGGCTTAGTCTACTTCCGCTGCAATTTTATTTATACATTGTGATTTTCGATTGGTTCCAGTATACGTCCAGTGTTCGAGTCCCTGCCGCACCTCGTCGTCAAGAACGTCACAACAAGCCCCAACAATGTCCCGCCGTATCGACATCGATCCAGACCAGGGCGGCAGCGTCCACTTTAGGCCTGGGCTCTCCAAAAGCCGGACGAGCATGCGCCTTGCGGAGCTCTCTTCTTCCGCCGACGTAAAGACGTTTTGCGTGGAAAACGTGGAAATATCCGGCGGAGACGTGGTGGCCGCTGGTCAACTTCTACATACGTCCGCGAGCAGCAGCTACCATGCTCCTGGTTCCAGTGGACCAGACAACAGCGACGGTCGTCGAGAAGAAGTGACGCCGCACGTCGGCCCAGAAGTGGACGGCGGCGAGAAGGAAAAGACACCAAGAAGAAGGGGTGAAATAATGGTAGAAGAGGAAGCTGGATTCAGAACCTCAACCTCTTCAAGTAGACCACCGTCCACGAGCTGGCGCGCTTTCGAGGAGGACGTGTGGACGGAAGAGCATTTGCAGTACGGACAGCTGTATGCAATGCAAATGTAATGTCTTGGTCTGGAATCATGTGATTGTGAACTTGTGATTCCTTTTTTTTATCAGACACAAACTTCTTATGCGTGGACAGCCAAAGTACGAAGTAGACCAAGTATTGCCATCAAAATGCAGGTATTTTTCATGCGGGATACAACACATGGACATGGAGAGTCTATCTGGAAACCTGTGACGCTAGTATTGCTTGCATCCCAGAGCTTCTTGGTCAAGAAAAAAACCGCGTGGCAAGAAACATGTGGACTCATTATGCAGACCCAGACATGTTTGTATCGGATAAGCGGTTCAAAACCGTGTTTCTCGAGTCCATCCCGGCCCCGGTCGGTTATTTTTTCTGCTGGCTGTTGGAAAATAAAGCCTCTGCGCACAACCGGTTCGTCATTGACGGCGACAAGGTCGCGTTACTTGCCGCGGAGCTGACCGTTTCGCCGACGATGTGGTTCGTCATTTTCGCGCTGTGGCTAGCCGACACCGAGGGAAACGAGGAGGAAAAAGTGCACTGGACAGACATCGCGGTGCTGGCGCTGCTTAAGCTCTACCGCTTTTTCGGCATTGCTTTGAAGTACGCCTACTTTACGGACTCCGAGCTCGCCTGCGTCAGGGGCACGCAAAAGTACGGGGACAAGGGTGTCGTCTACCGGCGGCTCGGCGGCGCGGCCTTTCACGACGATATTGGCACGGCGGCCGCCGACAACCTGGAGCGGCTCTTCGAGTCCTCACTGCGCAATTCCTGTGTGGACGAATACCTCACTGCGGAATTCGACTTCGGTGGAACAAAAACTACCAAAGAGGAACTGCATGTCGATCATCAACGTACAGGTACAGATATTCCGGCGTCCGAAACTAAAGCCAAGCAGTTCGCCGAGAAATTTTTTCGTCTCGCGAACGAGTCTTTGGGGAGGCTGGAGGACAAGGAGGCCCACATTGCGCACACGAAAACGCTGACCGCGCCGTTTCCGCCGCTTTCGTTCGAGCAGATGCAGAGCTGCAAGTACGGGGACGTTCGGGAGCTGTGCTGCGTAACTAAACCGGAGCTGCAGGCTTTCCAAGAAACTGCCCGGCTCCCCGTTCGCATCGCCGCCTACGCCCTGCTCTGCATCGCCTACCGGGCGTGCCCCGCTCCCGCGGACCTTGGAGTGTACCTCATCGGTGCGGCGATCGTCCCCTTTGCCCGGTGGCTCGCGATGGACCTCTCCCCCTTCGGGGAGAACGCGTTGACCAAAGTGATTTTCGGGCTGCTGATTTTCCAGAAGTTCATGATGCTCTTCGTCTTCATGGGGTTTCTCTACTACCCCTACCTCGACGCGCACCGCCGCTGGCGCCTGTCCGCCCTGATGTTGGCACTGTTCACGAAAAACAGCAGCGCGCGGGCCCGGTGTGCCATTGCATCAAATGCAAAAGTGTCTGGGTCTGGTGGAAACTTGTGATGCTGTGTGGCGTATCATGAGGAGGCCACAATTGCTGGCTCAGCGTCACAAGTTTCTGAGCTTCTAGGTATTGCCTATCTCACCTCCAGGGGGGGCGCGCGGACCTCGCTTGCCATCTTGTTTGGTCTCGCGAAAGTTCCAGTTCCCACCTCGCTTGCCATCTTGTTTGGCCTCACGCATAAATGTTTGCATGTTTCAAGTCCTTTGAAAACTTTCATGGGCTCACGCACATCCGAGATCGGGGGGGTGGGAGGGGGTCTCCAAGCCAGAAAAAAAATTCCCCCGAGTGTGAATCGGGAATATCAAGGTGCCTATTCTGCATGACAAACAGCGTTTCTGCATCACAGAAAAATGGAGCTCTTGGGTAACGTGCGTGACAGATTTAAGAGCCATGCCGGACAAGCATGACAAACATGCATTCTTCCAGACCCAGACATTTTTACATTTGATACATTGACACGTTGGACGACGCGGAGACGAAAAGGCTGTTGCGATTTTTGCTCGGGGAAGAGGAAGAGTTGGCTCCTCCAACTACTGGGAAGATGAAAGGGAAGACAGGTGGAACAACACTTATGGAGCAAGCACCTACGTCGACCACGCCAACCACAACTGTGAACAGCAGCAGCACCTCTGCGCTCGCAATAGTATCTTCGTGTCAAGCGCAGATTTCGTCTGCAAAGGACGTGAAGGCGTTCTGGGTGCTTTGCCGAATTCTATCCCCCACCTTGATGCAACAAACGATGCTGCGGTATAACTGCGGGTTTGCCGTCCTGTCCATGCTCTACTTGCTCGGGTGCTGCGGGCTTGTGATTCTCCAAGTCTCCACCTCTAGCACCAGCAGATCTGGCGGAACGACTGCAGGCGGCACTGGTTCTTCTACGTCTGGAACGACCTACGAAGATGCAGCCACAAGTTCATCAAAAGTCTACTGGCCCGTGATTTTCGAGGTCGCGTATATTTTCGTATTCGTCACGGTCTCCCTCCTGGCGACGATTATGTACGGCGAAAGGTGCAACCAAAACTTCAAGCAACTCGCGCAAGCCTGCCGGCGACTGGGAATCGAAGCCGGGGTCAGGCGGACGGAGAGAAAACGCAGATTTATTTCTACGTTCTCTGCTGCAAGTGGGAATAATGTTGGTGCCCCACCAACATTAACCGCAGTCGCAGACGAAGAAGTAGAAACCGAGCTAGAGTTGGTACAGACCCTTGCCCCTGAGCTGGCGGAAGATTTGTCTACGCATTACGAACTGCTGCCGCTGCGTTTCTTGTACCAGAAAGCGGACCGCTCCTTGGTGAACGCTCTGTACGCTTATGTGTCTTTTCTGGTTTCGGCCGTTCTAGCTGCCTTGATCGCAAATGGACACTTGGACTTCCTTGGGAGTGGGGCTTGGGGCGAGTAGTCGCGGGAGGTGAAGATTCACATGCCGAAAGATGACAATCATAGTTTGTTAGGTATGCTACTCTGAGCTGTCATCGTGGATTGCGGTTGTTTTTGTAGCTTTCCACAGCCGCGAGTAGATGCTAGAAATACATTGGTTTCGCTGTTAACAGGCCGATCGTGGCATTGCTGGAGCTGCTTGGATATTCAAGACAAGCGAGCAAAAGCATGAGGACTGCGACCAGAGAGAGAGAGCTGAGGCGTCCTCCACCTTCATAAGTTCGCGAAAATGTACTGCAGATATTCGCTGATTGTTGCGCGTGCGGACAACAATCATGCAATGTAAAAGCTTAGCCTCAACGAGTTCTAGTTCACCCTGCTGTAGTTACTACAGCTGGGGCGGGACTCTTGTTCACGTCCTCTTGTTCATCTCCGCAGATAATGTTGCAAGGAGCGATGACAACTAAAAAAAACTGGTCTTGGACGAATGGGAACAAAAAAAAAAGAAAATGCGCAACGTGAGGAGCGAGTAGAGTTAGAGAGTTTCTTCTAGATGAACACATGTACTTCATCTTCTTCACCAAAGAAGAAGACAGAAGCTGATGTCCAAAAACTGCAAAGAACAGCAAGAAGGCAATTTTGATTTTCTTTTTCACACATGATACCTTTCTTCTATTTTTTCTTTGTGTTGTTCTTTTTGCTATGCTGGAAATGAGCGGGGCATTTCTACTTCTTCAAACGCACACCGATCATAATCCAATTAGGGAAGGAGCTGGGACCACTAGGAGGGACGACGACGAGAGACGCGAGACCATCCTCTTGATGGCCTCTTGCATCCAAAAGGGAGAGTGAAAGATGTAGCTGCATGCAGAACCGCAGCCAAAACACGAGGACGACCATGGAGCTCGACTCCCCGAGCAAGAGGTCATCTCCCTCTTGCTCGTCCGGCATGGCGGCTCGCCAAAGATGCGACCCTTTAGTGCCCGGGAGAAGCGAAAGTTCGGCTTCAGAGAGGATGTGTGACCCTGGTCCTGAAGTCGTTGTAGATGATCGTGATGGCCGCGGCAGCCGCCGGAACTGCAGCCAACACCGGCGGCAAGTATCACACGACGCTCAGAGTGTCGCAAGGGGGTTCGATCGACGAGAAATTATATCACTATGTGGAGACTACAGCCCGATAAAAAGGCGAGGCGCCCACAAGGGCGATGGAAGCGACATCATTCGGAAGAGCAGTGCAAAAAACGATGCCGAGCCGCGCGATGGTGGAAGAAAGCGAAGTAGATCAGAATCATTGTTGAGGCTGACCTGGAGGAGGAAGCGGAGGCGGCGGCCTTGGCGGGAGAAACAGGAAAAAGACGTAGAACAAACTGAGCACGACTTTGGAAATAAATGCGAAAGTAAACATCGTCGTGCTTCAACCCCATCATCTTTCTTCGAACTACACGAACAACACGACGCTTTTTACACCGACAACCTCAACATTATGAGATCTGAGGTTTTCGTAAGGAAATAGTTGATCGTCAAGTGTGGGAGTTGTCTATGGTAGTTCGTAAGTCGGGGCTGTGAGCATCCGGTCACCACACTCACACTTTATTTTGAAAAGCGAATGACACATTCGCACGGCGACCTTGTCGTCCGGCATTGTGGCAGCTCCTTTTCGCGTTCGAAATCTGCACACCAGCAGCTTTTCGTCGCCTTTCGTCGTCTCGGTTCCTTCGTCGTCGATTAAGGTCCTGTTGGGCATTCGCACATCCGCGATGCACACACAGTTCCGATGATCTCTGATAACATGTCAGAAAGCCATCGGTTCGTTATGGACCATGGTAGCCTTCGGCTGCAGCTGCCACTGTCATTGGAGCGCACCCCGTGCGCGCCATGCATAAGTCTGCAACGCGCCCGCGTTCTTGGCTCCTGTCTGGATCACTGTCGCGTATTTCTCCAAGATCTGTGTTACATGGCCATTTCGTTGATCTTGCGTGATTTTGGTTAGTTATTGCATCGTGCTGTTACCGAGACCACGCGATGCCCCTGCTTTCATTCGGTTCACTGCTTGTAGTTTCACGTTTGAAAAAGGATCTACACGATTTACTTTCCCTCTGCCCTGCTGGCGAGAAGACAGAAATTCGTGTTTGGACACAGAACAAGATGGCTCTGTCGTTATCCGCTGCAGATCTACTGCAGATGCAGCGCATCCTCTCCTCGTGTGCCAACGACATCTCGTTGCACACGCCCGTCTGGTGTGCGTTGGTGTACGGAAACCTGTCTTTGGAGACGGTCGCCAACCTCGTCGAAGCTCACGCTCAGCGCGTACAAACAGCAGGCCCGCGTGCGTTCACCATCATGGATGACGAGCACCAAGACCCGCAAATTGCCAGAGCCAACTGTATGGCCTACAGCCAGGAACTGCGAGAATCTAAGTTGCGAACTACAAACGCTCTGCTGGTATTAGTTGTGTTTCATTGTATCTTATGCATGACATACTGACGCTTTTTTCTTGCATTGCTTTGTAATGTACATTATCATCAATTCTTTCAGGAAACGGTGAGTCGCCTGGCGATGGGGGCAAAGCCGTCCCAGAGATTCAAGACGTTACTCTGGGAGTTTCCGATTATCTTCTTGCCGCAGTTTGCCTCCGCCAAGGCCTGGAACCCGGCCTTCGCCGACTGGTTCTTAGGTCAAGCCCCCACCGAACCCGGTGCGGTGAAATTGTTATCTGAAAGATCCGTGGTGTCGAACATGACAAACGATACTTTCAATGAGCCGCTGCAGCGCAACGAACAGCGCCTGCAGTTACAAAACGAGAACTAGCTGAAAGCTAGGAGCAGAACTCTTTAGATTTCAGACGAACATGTCTTGTGATACGAGCTGACGCTAGTAGGTCTTTCCGAATGCGAAAGTTTGTTGATTTACGAAAAAGTCCGATTCAAAAAAGCATTTGTGATAGCTCTTTTCTCGTGGGTTATGATCGCACTGTGTTCTACTTTTTGACGTCCTGTACACATGCTTTTTTAATTTTTTCCTTTCGTCTTCCTGTCGTCGTCACACAGAACACGATCCTCCTACCTCTTCATTTGTATTTATGTGCAATGTGCAGTTTTTACTTGAGTGCAACCAGCATTCGCTCACGATGTCTTCAAGATGCGTTATCTGCTTCTCCGGCACGATCGCCGATGCCGATCGTGAGTTGTTTTGCTCGGAAGCAAGCTGTGCAGCATGTTCCTGCATTTGCTCCAACTGCTACAAGACGAATGGAGGGATCATTCTAATCGACGAGTTCGGCAGCTACGATTTCCAGACAAAAGTTGGGAAGTGCAAAGCCTGCAAAAGAACGAAGACACTCTCGGACTCCTCGAAAGTCAAGGACAGGATCGATCAGCGAGCGGGCACAGCAGACGTCACTCAGCAAGTGATTGCAGCCCACCCGTGGTACGCAACCTTCGCGGCCACACCAATCGACCTGAAGGCCAAGTACTACGAAACTCTCAAGCGCCCCCCGGTCAGAAGATCCCAGAAAATCGACAAAGACCAAGGCAAGTTCATGATGAAGTTGTTCGCCGTGCACTTAGCAACCACCAACGCGGCAGCACAGGTATATCTTGTTTTTCTGGTCATGTGATGATGTGGATGTTGCATGTCAGTTTTATTTTGATTCTACATTTTGACCTCACAGAGCTTCATCGACAGTACCAACCAGCAAGATATTCCCAAGTGCAGTTGGAAGAACATGATCTTGCCCCCGGCGGGTTCCTTGTACGAGTTGAAGCAATACCTCCAGACACTGATAGACCTCTTCCCGAACGAAGAGTGGACTATCCTGGCCCGGTATTTTCTATGGCCAGTGACATACTACGAACGAAAATCGGCCGCGTTGACCAAAAACTCGATCGCGCCCAAGAAGCTACCGCTGAATTACAATTACCAAATGTACGTATATCCTGTTTGTTTCGTCCGATGCTTCCAAACTCTCATTCGTCGTTTGTTCATCTTTTGTATTCTGCCATGTCTTTTGCATATTCACGCTTGAGTGAGCTGTTTTGCTAAGTAATGATAAAAACAAACTCTCCGCAGATATTTCTTCATCAAAGAATTCGCGGCCCAGCTCAAAAACAAGTATACCACATCTCCAACCGACGAGGGATTTTACAATTTAGAATACGCGGCGGCCATGACAACGGCAGCGTGTGATAATTTGTGCAAACCAAATATCATTCAACGCATGATGCAACTGGGTGGAAATCTCATGTCTATGATTGGCGGCAACAACAAAAATCGAGTCCCGGACTTGGGACAACACCCCGGTGGTGGTGCAAGCTCAGAGCAGCAGAAGAACAAAATTGTGTACGACGAAATCAACACCATCATGAACAACGCACCCAAAACGACCGCGGGCGGCTTAGGTGCACTGGAGGCTGCGAATGCGAAGAGTCCCACGATTCTGTCTACCTGGATGTCCCACACGCAGAGCTGCGTCAACTGCATCATGGCAGGCAAAGGACCAGGCAACCACCACAAGGACGGCCAGCTGGGCTTGAAAGCGTGCGCTGCATCAGGAAACATCTGCTACATCAAGTGCCCAAAGCCGCAGTGTGGTGGTGAGGCGCACTGGAACAAAGACTGTCCCCTCAAAGGAGGAGGCAAGGGGAGCCAGCAGTTCCAGCAGCATGGAAACCAGCAGCAAGGTCTAGGTGGTAATATGTTGCGTCCTTTCCCAAAGGCCCCACAGTTTAACAATCAGGGCGGGAAAGGGGCCGGTTTGAAGCGACAAAAAAACAATGGTGGAAAAGCTTCAGCTTCAGTGTATAGCAACCCTTTCGGACAATAATCAGTCTGCAAAACGTTTCTTACGATTTTTTTTAATGATGAAATAGAAGTCGCAGCACCAACCCGATAATCTACACAGGAGGTTACGAGCAGGTCGCAGTGTTCTTCTTTTTTCGTGTTTTGCGTCCTTTTTGTCCTTTTAAGCATCAGCTGCTTATTGAGATCTCCAGAGCGCATCACAGATGCTACACCCCGAGTGATTCCGAGCCGAGCGATAAGCTCCTTGCGATTCAGTTTCGTACTCTTACGTCTTGCCGCTTCTTTAGTGCGAACAGGTTGTAAATACAACGATGAATAAGTTCATTGCAAATAATGCGTGTCACGAAGCCCTGGGCGAGGACGTCCTGCGGCGCGAGCTACAAAAGCTGGCAGAGCAAGCAGCGGTTGCAGCCTCCCTGAAGGAGCTAGCAGGCGCCGACAAGAAGTCAGCCACGAAAAGCCACCCACAGTTGAGCGACGCAGCAAGACCATCGCAGCCATCAAAGCGAAAAGCCCCAGATTATTACAACACCATCATGGACGCCGTAGAAACTGAGCTGGTGCAAGTGGAAGACTGGCATGAGCAAGCACTTGATGAGTTCAACGAAATCATCCCAGATTCCGGTTTTGTAACAGCGGTGTCTTCTCCAAGCAGCCAGCACAAATTCGCTTCCTCTGCTTTTCGTTTGGCGGGCATCCACGAGCACATGGAGAAACGGAAAGAAGAAGTTAAAAAGCCGCTCGACGCATTACTGAATTTCAAGCCCGTCAGCAGCAGAAGTTCGTCGAGCGCAGCGTCGTCTTTATCAGTCAGCTTCAGCATGGCTTCGTCGTCGTCGTCCGTGAGCGATGCCACGTCTGATTCAGTTGCACTCATTTCCAGACCGGGCAACATCATTCTCTCAACGCCGACTCCGTCAATAGCGAGCGTGCTACATTTTTACCAGCAAGCAAAAGGAAAAGCCGTTGTAAAGTACAAGCCATTCTGTGAAGACGAAGTGACTTTCGATTTCGAGATCAAAGCGTCGAACAACGGCATATTCGACGCGTTCCCGCTATCGAACCAGGCGGCCGAACTCCTGACTGCAGCCACCGCAGAACACGCGAGTGCGTCCATCACAGATGGCACTTCGAAAGGATACTCGGCAATTTTGTCTAAAGTTGTGCCAGCAGTAGCAAAAGAACTCGGGTTCGTTTTATGGCCCATAACCTCTGACGCCGAGGCCACCCTCATGTTCGTAGCGTTTGCCCACGTCCACGAGATTCATAAAGCCTACAAAAACAAAGAGACGAACCGGATACGGTGGGGCGCTTTCCTGCAGCTAAGCGCCGCGTTGAACGCCTTCAACGCCTCCCGGGTAGAGCTCAGTGGGTACACGACGAAGAACAGAGGAGCCTTTTTCCAGAAGCTGTGGAAAGGGTAATGTTGTTCTTACTGCTCGAAAATTTTCTCTTGCTACTGCCACAATTATTTGTGCCACATAATCATTTCCATATGGATATATCATAATGATAACATTTTCAGGTTCAAGAAAGAAGCACACCATGGTGCCCCGCTAGACGCAAAATGGTGTCCATCCACGACCGAGATGTTGGACGCGTACCACGCAGAATGGGATCACTGGTCGCAACACCATGGACACCTCCTGAAGGCAGACAAGGAATGGTCCAAGCGTGCAGTCCTGAACATGTCATCATCAGACATCAATTTAGTAATGCGGTTGCAGAAGCTGACGATGGTAGTTGTCGCTTTCTTCTGTGTAAGAAGAAACGATGAATTGCGCGAGCTGAGGGTGAAGGACGTTGCCGTAACATGCACAAACGGCATCTCGCCCCAATTTGCAATTTTTGTAGCGCACGCAAAAAACGACCAGTTGTCTCAGGGCTCAGAAGCCTGGGTACCATCATACTTTACAACCCTCTTAGGAGCTTACCAAAGGTTCGGCAGGGCATTCTTCGACGCTGTTATTGGCAGAAAGTGGTCGCCAAACGACGCTTATTTTTTTGTAATCGGTAACGCAAACATTAGAAATAGGGGCGGGCAGAAGAGTAGCAAGGACGGCATTCGCAAGGATGTGAAAACATTCTTCGAAACGGCCTTACCAGATGTAGCCCCAAAGAAGCCGATCTCACTCCGCAAAGGTGGGGCAAAACATTTTATTGCCCACGACGCCTCGCGCAGATTAGCATATCACCAGGGCGGCTGGAGAAATTCCTACTGTTTAGATATCCATTATGCGCCCATTTCCAGCACAGAGCTCAGGAACATGGTGAATATGCACGAGAGCAAAACCATAGATGATTATAACAGTGTCTTAGCCCTCAGGAATCTCGACAGCGCGCATGCGTCCTTCGTACACGATGACGACGCGATCAAGTTTACAGCTTGTATAGAGAAAATAGCCTGGGGAAAAATCTCACTTTCGAATTTTCAAGAACTCTGCCCGAGGCTTTTCGCACACGTAGGTGAAGGCAATTGTGACGTGGCGGTCTACGGGAAAGTACTGGACTTCATTCAGAATTGCGACGAAAATCTGTACAACGTAGTTTAGCATTCGACACACAAAAGGAATCACACCCTGATGCCCACGCACAACATGGACATTCTTGTCTCGCTTTGTTCTTCTACCGCTTTTTCGTCCTTCCTTTCTTGTCTTTACTGCTCGAACGACTGCACGAGAGTAAAAATCTTTGACGAATAATAGACTAAGTATTAGCAAAAATCAAATCAAGATGGAACGACCGTTGATGCACCTTTCTGGCTGGCGCTTTTGGGCCCATGTCACGCGCATTTTCGTACAGAAGTGCTGGATTCTGGTACAGCGCCTGTACAATGCGCCTGCACTGTTAGCACGAGCCGCTTACGACGACAGTCGTTTCGACTTTGAATCGTTTATGCGCACTTACCGGTCCGCACAGCACTGGTGCTACATCATTAAGTTCTACTCAACGTCCGCGGGAAGAGTTTTGATTCTGTACATGCTGATCGAACTCGGCCTCATCAACGGCTATTCCCTCCTGTGTGCTAGCGTGGCATACTTGGTGGTGCAGAAGGCCGAACACTGCCGGTTCTATTGTTATTTTTTACCTGTTTTCGACATTTTGCCCGAATTGATGTATTTAGCACCCCATATTCTGGCTACCCGACTTTCCATTTGTCATACATGTCAGAGCCGCAGTAAGTGGTATGGAGGACGCTCCTGTGCCATTCTCTAGAGCGCCCACACACGTGATCCACACGCTCTGGGGTAGCCCCCGGTTCCTGGAGGGAAGAAAGCCTAGAGCACGGTCCACCCTGCGCACGGGCATTTTTTGCCGCCCTGCGAAAGCCCAGATCAAATGGGGCACGACGATACGATCAAAAAAATTGGAGCACAAAAACGGCTAGTACAGCTGTCACCAAATGCCTCTTTTAGTGCTTTGCCTTTTTTCATCCACAGGGACCTTTGCCACGATCAGTTTTTTGATAGTCGGATTTAGGATGAATCTTGAACATATCGATTACTTCGTCAAACAGCCGGTAGACCGGCAGGCGAAGTCAATGTTGATGAACATCAAGGACTTAGGAAAATCTGAGCAAAATTCGAAACAGCTGATGGAAGTCATCACCGGTTTCCGCTGGTGCATGTCCAAAAATCTCATTGCTTCCAAATCCTCCGACCCCGACAAGTTACGTTCCACGTGCGTGACTTTGTTGGATTGTTTGGAAGCAATTGCTTCCCGGCAGGCTTGCCAAGGGAAACTCGCGGAAGCGCTGGCGTGCGCGATGGACAGTGTCCATAGCCATCTAAGTGAAATTTGGCACTATCCGGCCCAAAACGAGACGATGCAAGGAAAGAAGTGGAATTCTTTGTTGCAGACCCGCAATTTCGCGCACACAGCAGTAGCAATGTATCGCGAGCATCGCGACGCCCCGCCGGCGGAAATCGCCAAGATCTTCAACTTAGAAAAGATGAAGTTCAAGAAAATCCGGATGTACGAGCTTAACCTGCGGAAAGAAGGAAAAGAATTAGCCCGGTTGAATGACAAAATGCTGCTGGAATTGCTGCACCCGCGGGATCTCCCGGAGCATTTGAAAAACAAAACCAATGACTCCTCCAGCGAGTCGTCGTACCCATCAACCAATGATGACTAATTCAGGTGCATGGGAAGATTGGTCGGAGCACAGATCGCCGCGAGGAACTTTTTTAATGCTCATGGACGAGCCATCGGACGGGCAGTAGTGCGATACCTGGAATTAAACCCAGAGCCGGAAGGCAGCCTACCACCGAGCCACCACTCGTCCGACAACGAAGTTGATGTGAGCAGTGAGAGCTCTGATGAGGAGATTGTGAACCCCCAAGAACCTGTGTTGCGCCCACACATCGACTGAACAAAAACGATCGTGAGCATCACTTTGAATCTTTGTTGAAAAAATATTCTCTTGAGTAACCTTTTTCGATACACAAAGAACAATAAAGTGGAATCACCCGATGCAAAAAAGTGCAGGCAGTCAGAAAAGACAGCATTCTTATTACTTTCTTTTGTTCATCGTCGTCGTCTCTATTCCGAAAAACTCTTTCTTCTTGTCGCGTTTTACGCATCACAGTCATCTTTTTCAATTCACATTTAGGCCGAAGAGAAGATGTATCAAGTAGCACAAGAGTTGATCAGGCGCTTGCCGAGAGAGGAGAGGCGCTACCAGGATAACATTCACAGGAGTGATAGAACCTTAAGAGCACAACTTGCGCTTTGCTCTGATAAGCAATTATGTACAATTCAAACTAACTGGATAAACAAAAATGCGTGGCTACTTTCTCCCGAGGATGTCGCTCGCGGGCGCGTGCGTCAAGACCTCAGAGATGCATGCGCCGACGCGCAATGTTGTCTAAGCAGGTCCAATATTCTCGCAATTATTGAGCACGAACGAAGAAAGAGAGACTCCTTTTTTGTTTACAGACCAGACACAGGATTAATAATGCGAAACCCCTTCTAGATGCCTCGCATCGTGTTCCGGGTAGCCATGTTTTGCGGCTACGAGATAGGGAGATCCGCAGCCCTAGCCAGAGTGCACGAGCAAGCCGATCGTCGAGCCGCGAAGAAGCAAAAACGCGATGAGAAGTCGTTTTGCGGCGTGCAAATAGGCAGGCTGCCAGAAGTGCACATTCCGGCGCGGGGCACCACGAGAAAAGTGGTCGAAAAGGATACAGAGCGGCAGTACAACGAGTGCTGGGAAGACCCCAGGCTGATTTTCAAGCCGCAGCCACCAGCCGCAGTCTGGGATCAGCATCTCCCGCAGCCAGCAAAGCCGCCAAAGCATTATCAACATGAAATCGACGAGATCGACCTCTCCCGCCTGGTGGCGCCAACCAACGTCTATGGTGACCCGTACGCCTTCACGCCAATATCACCGTATTCGATTGACGACTATCGCAAAGAAGGCGCACCGATCACGAGAGAAGAAGTTAGGCCGCTGCTGGCGAAGCAAGATGGCCCAGAAGATAGATGGCGGAAAGCAGAGGATGACCAAGCCTTTGAAGGTCTGACCATCAACCCAGCAGAATGTGTCCGCTACGGCCTCGCACCAGAAGCACTCAGAAAAGCATGTACCGGCATAAAGTTCAAGCAGATCGCAGAACACCTCGACCCCGTCGTGTGTGAGAACTACCCAGCAGCCAAACAGCACCCGGAAGTGTACAGCGGTGAGTTCAAGCGGTTCTTTGAGGACAAGAAAATAATTTTGTACGACGTCAAAACCCAGGAAAACGAGGAGGGAGAGCAAGTCCAGTTCTGTGACTACCCTCCGGACCTGACTTGTGTGCCAGGAAATTTGCTTTTCCAACGCGACGACAAGATCAGAGTCATCAGCGATTATAGTTCAGAATGGGCGCTCATCAACCAGTCGATTTTTTCCACAGAAGTAGACTACAAGACGTACTGGGACATGTTCTTGCACTTGAAGCCGAATTCACTAGGCAGCGGAGTTGATTTCAAAGATTCCTTTGGTCACTGGCTAGTACATGCCCGCTTCCGCAGGATGCTTGGAATAAATTTAGAAGCCACAACACAAAAAGGTGGACATTTATATTGCCCATTTGGCATCGGACCGGCTCCTGGTGGTATCGAAAAAAATCAGTGCCCTGTCCTTTGCATGATCAGGTCCAGCATCACACAGAGCACTGATTTTTTTCCTTGCATACAAGAAAATGATTTCTTCGTGAAGGCCTTCCTAGCCGCGGTGGCGCGAAACGGCGTAACATCGCCATATCTCGACTACGTGGATGATGTCCGCTTCATCACCAACCCAGTGAACGGACGGCCGAACTACGACAAAGCAAAGTTTGACCTGGAAAGAGCGGTGTACATCTTGACCAAGATGGGCATCAAAATCCACCACAAAGAATCGAAGCTAATCCAGCCGTCCACAAGCTTCCCCTGGCTGGGCAACGTCTTCAACACCGACCCGAGAGTGTGCAACATCATCCTGGACCCAGCACGCAGGGAAGAGTACCTTAAAGCCGTGAGGGAATTCAAGCAAAAAGGCAGGAATAACGAAGCGAAGGCACGCGACGTCGCAAGCATCAAAGGTAAGCTTGGATCGTGCGCACTCATCCACCCCAGAGGTCCCCTGGACGAGCTTAGTCGTGTGCTGGTGCAGTCGGGAGCGCCGAAACAGTGGGCGAAGCTGAACAAGCAGTTCAACCCACAGGTGACAATCAACGAGTCGGTGTTCGACGACTTGGACCTCTGGGAAGATTTGCTGCAAGAGGACCACGCGAGGCAGATGTTCTACAACGGAGAACAAACGTTTATTTGGTCACGCGAAGTGCTCGCCTTTGGGAAAGCCTTTTTTGCATCCTTAAGTAGCAGCATGTTCATAGGCGTTTACATGGACGCAGCAAAAGGAGACATCGAGGATTGCGACCAAAGACGCAACAGAGGCTGGGGCGGCACAGTGTCAGACCAGTACTTTGCGGGCGACTTCGATGACAGCGTTCCAGGTACATTTGTCTGTAGTCAAAAACTACAAAAAATATGATCTTTCTCCTTTTCGCCCGAATTGATGTGTTTAGCAACCCATATTCTGGCTACCCTGTTTTCCATTTGCCCCTACGTGCAGAGCCGCGTCGGTGGTATGGGGGACGCCCCTTTCGCCTAGTATGGTCGCCACTCACTACCAGCAAGTTCGGGGTAGCTACCCGTCCGTCTGGCCTACTCTCCCCTGGACTAGGTCCACCACGCGCACGCCCAATTTTTTCTCGATAACGCAATCAAAGTATGCACTCTTCGCTACCACAGAGTCCGCCAGCATCAACGAATTGGAGTCCTTGGCAGTACTTCATGTGTTGGAGGCCGCGCGAGAGAAGCTAGGGGAAGCCTTTTTTCACAAGAAAGTGGTGTTGATCAAGACAGACAACCCCACCGCGAAGCGCACGACGAACAAAGGTTCCACGTCAACAACGATCTTGAAGAAAGTCACGCGCGACCTCACCGCTTTCGCTACCGCCTCAGGCACAGAGATAATAGCAGGAAAAATCGCCGGTGAGGAGAACATCATCGCGGACGCCTTGTCACGTCACGAAGCCCACTTGTTCGCGTTCAAAGACCCCTTCCCCAACAAAATTCTGTGTAAGCGGTCATGGAACATGGTGATGCGGCATTTTCCAGGCCTCGAGGTCGATTGTTTTGCAGATCAGCACAACCACCGGTTCGCAGAATACTACTGCGCGAACAATCATCCATTTGATAATTTTGACCTGTTCTACGAGAAACGATCGTGGTGGTTCCCACCAATACAACTTGCAGTAGTAGCCGCCCGCTTCTTGTCGAATTTCATGAAAATCCCGATGGCACAGAGACCGCGCTTCGCACTGATGTTGCCCATGATCAACCCCATGTTCTACAGTCTTGCGGCGAACTTTACCGGAATCTGCACCTACAAGAAGGGAGCAAAAGTGTTTTGCACAGCACATAACCCGCTGGTCTTTGGAGCCGAGGAAGACTGGGTTTTGCTGTCGTCTGTGTCGTTGCACTTTTGGGGAATAGATAGAGAAAAAACAGAGATAGGCTCACAAATTACAAAAATTCTACAAAAGCCTTACTTCCGCCAATTTCCTGAGTTAGCCAGAAGTAGACTTAGAATCAAGGACATTTGTGACGCCAAAGAGCATTACATAGTACATATAACATGCTGTGTCCCTTGCAAACCTAAAGGATTAGCAGCGCAGTTATTTGCGAGATTTCCCCTGGCCAACCGCTACTCCGAACCATACTCCGCAAAACCACTAGGACAATGGGAGTTGATAAGTCGAGTAGTAAACATTTACGCGATGGCATGGCCAGGGGCGCCTACATCCCCAGGAACGAGAATTCCTCGTCCTACAGACGTTGTACCAGAAGAAGCCTTTACTGAAGACGATTCAGCAGAAGCCCGACTGTATAGATTCAAAAACGCACTTTACGACTTCATTTTATCACGTAGCAAATTCGACACTGTAGCAATCCCTCTTAAAATCGGCCAAGGCTCCTGTGCTGGTGCCACAAAAGACTATTGCGCAGTCGTTGCGAAAGCTGTAGACGTTGCCTTTCGACAAGGAACAGATGTTGCAATTTATGAGAAGCCGTACACACTTTGATTGCCTTCACACATTTTATTCTGGGATGCCTTGGAATTAGCGCACAAACTACAGGTTTGTAGCCAGTGCTCCATATGTTCTACATGCCTAGAGTACACAGGTCCTACCAAAAGATCTATTCCTCGTGGGAAAATACGATCTAAGATCTCGTGTGTGTGTGACGGGTACTGAGCTTGTGCGGTCGCTCAGCAAAATAACTTACGAACCTCTTCTCAACGACAACAATTATGAGATCTGAGGTTTTCGTAAGGAAATAGTTGATCGTCAATTGTGGGAGTTGTCTATGGTAGTTCGTAAGTCGGGGCTGTGAGCATCCGGTCACCACACTCACACTTTATTTTGAAAACCCACCCACCCACACCAAACGTGTTGGCTCTGGGCTTGTGTTCGCCACACTCGGTCAGTTTTCGTATACCAAAAACCATAGATAGCTCCCTCTCCCGATTTGTATAAATCGTTCAAGCCACTACCCGTTTCACACGTGAGCGCACAAACTACAGGTTTGTAGCCAGTGCTCCATATGTTCTACATGCCTAGAATACACAGGTCCTACCAAAAGATCTATTCCTCGTGGGAAAATACGATCTAAGATCTCGTGTGTGTGTGACGGGTACTGAGCTTGTGCGGTCGCTCAGCAAAATAACTTACGAACCTCTTCTCTACGACAACAATCCGCCCCCGTCCGAAAGCCAGGATACGACGAGGACAAGCAGAAGTTTTTTCCCGACACCATAAAGCCGAATCGGAAAAAAGAAGCAACAAAGGATCATCATTTTCAAACGTAGATGATGAACCACAGAGGACGGTAAGAGGAAGCAATCCCGGGGTCGCTCAGCAAGAAGATGTGATGAGCAGGAGTCCACCATCGTCTGCTACTCCTGTACAAGAACGACCGTTGGTGGTACCAACCCCGGGCTGCGTTGCTGACTATCGTCCTGCAACTAGCTCTGGTTATTTTCAGAGCTCACCACGAGCTTCGGGCACAAGAGCACTTTCCAAGAGCTGCACCAGCAACCATCCAAGTGTAGCTTCCGCGTCCTCATCCCCTAGAAGTCCAACTCGCGACCACGGAGATGATATCGATCTCAGTTTTCCGGGAGCAGAGACACGACCTGTCACAAAAGCGGAAACACTAGGATTTCAACGGAGCAGCCCCCGAGTTCATCGTGCAGACAGGGCGAGATCAATTCCTGCTGTGCCGTTGCCAAGAAGAATAGAAGAAATGTGCTTGCGTCCGGACACCAGCACGAGGAGAACAGCGCCATTTTCATTTTCATTCCACTCCTTAAACCAAAAACCAACGACAAGCAAGAAGCCTTCGAGCTTGAAGAAAGGCTACTGTTTCCTCGCGGCGCTTCTGCAGTTCTTTTTTTCCACGACTTTTCTTCTCACAACCCCGGTTGCAGCCGAAGTCGGCCCAGCGAAGCCCCCGATTCTGATCTCGTCCGACATCGGCAGAATCGTTCTTCGCTTGGACCCACCGCGAGAAGCGACAAGTTGCGAGGTCGACATGGACAATGGGCAGGGCGGTGCGCTTTCAAATTTAGTGCACGCCGGGAGTTGTTTATGAAACACGGAAATTTATTTTTTAGCATGGAGCTTCTGCTGTTGTCCCTGGGCAGCTGTTGGCCCTATGGTGTTGTCCCTAAATCTGAAAAATGGAGAGCAGTGCCGGTAGAAGTACTGCAGCGGCACGTGTCTTTTGCAAAGAAGAGCGTACCTCTGCGTGCGCCTGCTCTCACTGTCACTTTGCACCATGCGCTTTTTCTCTACTGCTGAAAGAACTTGAAAAAGGACGACGCGGCAGATGATCCGCATGAATTACATTTCCCTTGCATATCTGTTGGACCAGATAGAACTGAATGGCTTAGCGGTGGACCGAAACTACCGGTTTACCATGCGGGGAAAGGACGCGGTGGGGAACACGGGGCCGCTTTCCAACATGGTTTCCTACGTGTCCGCTGGGGTGCCGGTGTACACGATTGACCAGAGGCCCACGCTCACCAAAATCGGGGCCGTGGACGTGCGAATCGGGTGGCAGATGCCGGACGAACGGGGGTCGCCCGTGTTGGGGTTTGTCGTCATGGAAGACGTGAACAACGAGAATAACTGGAAGGTTCTCTACAACGGCACCAGCAACCCGAACGTGTTTCAAACCGAGGTCCGGGGCCTGTTACCCGCCTCGATCTACCGGTACCGCGTGTACGCACTGAACCGCGTGGGCACGAGCGGGAACTCGGAAAACACCATTCAGCTGGCGCGGATGATGGCGGCCCCGGACTCCCTGGCGGAGTCCGTGCCCAGCACGGCGCAATCCAACGCGGAAACCCTGGTACGGGTCCGCTCCGTGGACCCGCTGACCGGAAACGTCGAGACGCAAGGGGACCGGTTTTACATCCTGTCCGTCCAGAACCCTTGCGAACTAGACGTGACCGGACAGATCTGTGTGCCCGTGACCAGTGACCACCCGAAATACAGAACCGAGGACCTGCTGGACACACCCGTATGCTGCATGCCTTCGATAGACAGGACGGACGGATCGTACTTACTTTTGGATTCTTTTGTTTGTGTATGTTTTTGGAAGTCATGATATAACATGGTGACGATAGATTGCACATAAAAAATGCAAATGCTTGCTTGTGGTTGTGTAAGGACACGATCACGAAGACGTTCTCGTGACCAAGCGATATGCTAGTAGAACTTCTGGAAATTTTAGCCCATTCAAAAAAATCCAGCTACGATATCACCGTGACGCTGATGCAGAAGGGGCTTTTTTCGCTCACCGTGCAATCTTTGGAGCTGGGTGGTCTCCTCGGGCAGTACTGGGACAACCAGTGGTTCTACGGGCTGCCGATCGAGACGCGCCAGGACGGCAAGGTCGACTTCCAGTGGGCCGGGAACGCGCTGGCGGGCTACGCCTCCGACTTCGTCTCTGTTCGATGGACGGGTTACCTGGTCCCCGAGTACGACGAAACCTACACCTTTTACGTGGAGGCCGACGACTCCGCGCGGCTGTGGGTGGACAACGTGCAACTCTTTGACAAGTGGAGCGAGTCCTCGGCGGAGTTTTCCGGTTCCATCGCGTTGCGCCGCAACACCTACGTGCCCATCCGGCTGGAGTACAAGGAGGTCTCCGGCAACGCCACCGCTCGGTTTTCCTACGCCTCCTTCTCTACGCCGCGCCAGATCGTGCCCGAAGACCGGCTACGTTCTGAAAACAAAAGTGATTAGGTCGCCGGCTCGTAGAAGCAAGCATTCTTGCATGATCTTCACAGATTTGCATTTGCTTTCTCACCCGAATTCGAACCTGCTGCATAAAATGTTTCGGCGGGTCAAAAAATTGTCGTGCAAAAATTTGTAGTAGTGGTAGTGCGACATCACACTACTTTTGCAATGCATAGAGGCTGTACAAGGCACTGTACATCAACGGCGTTCCCACGGACATCGACGTTTCCGTCGGGATCGTCGACGCGCGCCGGTCCGAGGCCTACGGCACCTACCTGTCCGCGGTGAACTGTGGCGTCGAGCGGTTTTTTTACATTCAGGCGAAGGATCGGGCCGGAAACAACATCAACACCAACACCGACAGTTTCGAGGTCGCGTTTGTCGGGCCCATCGCGTCGGCGAACCTGGTGGTGAACAGCAAACCGGTGAACTCGGACGCGAAGGACGGTTTGTACATCGTGTTTTTTCTGCTGCAGGTCCAGGGGGAGTACGAAGTCCGCATCACGCTGGGCGGCGTCCCGTTGGACGGGTCGCCGTACAAGCTGATCGCGGGCGCCGGGCGGGTGTCCGCGGCACAGACGGACGCGACCGGCTTGGGCACGACCCAGTTCATCGCCGGCACGGAGCAGACCTTCGACGTCACGGTCAAGGACGCGAACCAGAATGTGCTGGACGACGCCACCCTGGAAGTGACCGCGGCCCTGGAGTGGCTCACCTACGTGTCGGGCGCGCCGGGCGTGCAGCTGACGGACGACACCACGCTGCTGAACACGGAGTTTGGGACGCAGTTCTTCGGGCGCGCGATCTACCAGGGCGCCGGCGTGTACCGCTTGACCTACATCGCGTTGCGAGAAGGTTCGTACAAGATGTACGTGAAGGTGGCGGGGGTGAACATCAAGGGCTCCCCCTTCTCCCTCCGCGGCTACACGGCCGAAACCTACAGCCTCGTCCGCGCGCGCAACGAGGAGGTGCCCTACGCGCCCAAGTGCCGGACCGCGGCCAACTCGCCCCCCGCGAGCCACCAGGCGGGCACCGACCTGTCGGTGCTGGTGCAGCTCCGCGACGCGTTCGGGAACGCGTTGACGACCCCGATCTTCACGCCCCCGACGGTCACGCTGCAGACCATCCCCATCACGGAGCAGGTGGACTCCCAGGTGTGCTCGAACTACAAGGGCTGCAACGACGGCACGAGCGACGTGTGCAACACGCTCCGCGGGGTGTACGAGTGCCTGATCAAGCCGACCTTTGCGGGGAGCAACCGGTTCGTGTCCATCAAAGTGATGGACGTGGACGTGTCCCGCATCGATGTGGTGGGCAACAAAACCGTGATCACGCAGGGTCCCTTCCCGATCAACGTCCTGCCCGGCACGGTCAACGCGGGGAGCTCCACGCTGGTGGCGCTGCCGCAGAGCTACATCGCGGGCACCGTGCAGCCGGTGTTGCTGCAGTGGAAGGACGTCTACAACAACGAACTGATCGCGCCCCCGACACTGTCCAGCTTCACCGCAACCATGGGCGGACAACCGGTCACCTACGTGAACAATAACAACGGAACGTACTTTGTTTTATATGTGTGTCGGCAACAAATCTGATTTTTGGGACTTCCGTATGGTTTGCATCAGAAGTTCTACTACACTACCTAGTGCTTTCAACTCTTTCATCAAGTAGTTCAACGTCATGAGTGCACGACAAGTCATTTATTCGAAAGAACGCTCTAAAACGAAATCTATCTAATACTCGCATTCTTTGGCAATAAAAAACTACTCCTCCTCGCCCCAGGTACACCCTGATGGTGGGATCCAACAAGGCTGCGTCCAACGTGACGCTCGAGGTTGTCGCGGACGGGAAACAGATCTTCCAGTCCCCCGTCACTGGCCTCCTCGTCAATGCCGGCCCGCCGCACGCCGAGGGGTCGCAGTGCTACGTGCCGGCGACCATCGAAGCTGGGACTCCGACCAAGTTGCCCTGCGACGTGAACGACCGATTTGGGAACCGGTTGACGACCCCGGGGTTGTTTGTCCTTGGCGAGGCCCGGTTTATGCAGCCCCCGTTTTACACCATGGAGAACCAGGCGGCTTTCAACCAGGTCAGCAAGCAGTACGACGTGTTGCTGACCCTGCAAGCGCAGGGCACGTACTCCCTGGTCACCCGCCTGCAGGCGCCAGGGGGTCTGCTCGCGTTCTACTACCGCGCGCCGGGTTTCGAGAGCCTGATCGCGCTGGCCTCCGACACCAATCACAAGGGCGACGCAGTCACGGAGTACACCCAGGTGGACAAGCAGGTGAACTTTGTGTGGCCGGGCGAGCCGGTGGAAAATTCCCCGGAAGATTACTTCTCGGTGAAATGGACGGGGATGCTGCTGCCGATTGCGACCGGCACGCACGTCATCCGAATCGAGGCGGACTACGCTTGCGCGGTCATGATCGACGGCAAGATGGTGATCAACCGTTGGACCTCCACGTCCGCGGTGTCCGAGCGCGCGCAGGTGTTCCTGACGCAGAACGCCCCGGTGCCCATCGAGGTGCACTACCGGCACCAGGCGGGCACGGCGTACATCCGGCTGTACTGGTCCTCCACCGGTTTCCAGGACCAGCTGATCCCGGACTACTGCTTCCTCTACCCGCTGAACATCCTACCGAAGGACACCACGACGCTGTGCATCCCGGCGGAGGCGTCGTCCGTCTCGTTGGTTTGTATGCCGCGGGAGGGCGTGCCCTCGTTGACGGACGACGGCTTGTGCTCGATTGACGTGACCAGCGCGCAGGCGGGGACGCAGAACACGTACTACCTGCACACGAAGGACGCGTTCGGGAATTTAAGGTCGTCCGCCTCGCAACTCCCCCTGTCCGGGTACATCGACACGTCCCCACCCACCCCCCTGACCTTTTACCACCACGCCACGGTCTTCGGCGTGTACGAGGTGGTGTTTTCGCCCTTACAGTCTGGCTCGGGGAAGCGGCTGTATGTGACGATCAACAATAATAACTTGCAGCAAATCACCTACGTGAACATCTTCCCCGGCGAGCCGAGTCCGACGAACTCCTTGCTGGAGGGCGACGGGTTGAACGGCGCGCAAGCGGGGTCCATGGGCCGGTTCAACGTGACGCTCCGCGACAGCAATAACAACCCGACGCAGATTTCCGAGGGGCAGGATGTCGGCACGTCCCGTCCGGAGATTCTGTGCTACGACATGGGGCTGGGTGTTTTTGAATGCCGGTACGAGTTTTTCATCGCGCGCACCTACGAAGTCCAGGTGTACGTGAACGGGATGTCGGTGAACGCGAAGCCGCCGGGCATTTACCCCATCATCATCACGCCGAAGAATGTGGACCCGACGTCCAGACGGGTGTACTCCTTTTCCCACACCACCTTCTTCCAACGGATCCAGCGCGACAAGTCCTACCGGGTCACGTTCGCCGCAAAGGACGAGTTTAACAACAAGGCGAACCAGGACGACACGATCCAGATGGTGTGTGAGGCCGCGGGCCGGCGGTCGGTGAACACGATTATCAACTCGGAAATCATCCCCTTCGAGGTGAAGCAGCTCGAGGGCTGGCCGGGCGAGTTCGAGATGAACTTCAAAATCGACTCGACGCACGTGACGGGCGATTACCAGGCGGACTGCTTCGTGCTAAAGCAGGGCGGGATCAACGGGAGGTACTTCAACAATCTGTGGATGCAGGGCAACGCGTCTGCGCTGACAGTAGACTCGCAAGTGAACTTCAACTGGGGAACCGGGCTCGTTTCCGGCGAGGCGGCGGACATGGTGTCAGCCAACTTCGACGGGTACATGTCGGTGCCGACGGTTGGTTTCTACACGTTCTACCTCACCTTCGACAACTCCGCGAAGCTCTGGATCGACGAGAAATTGGTCGTGTCCAGCGACGACGCGGGCGTGATCCAAGTGCAGCCGATCTACATGACCTTGGAGCGGCTCTACCACGTGCAGGTGATGTTCCGCGAGGTGACGGGCGACGCGCGGCTGATTTTGGAGTGGGAAAACCCGACGGGCGGGATCCCGCGGCAGGCGGTCCCGGGCCAGAACTTCTTCCACAGCAAGCTCCGGATCGGAAACTTTCCGAAACCGTTTCTGGTGTGGGACAAGCCGGGTCCGCCGGAGGCGTTCTACCGCGACAACCCGTACTGGAACACGGCGGAGTTGCGGTGGATCCCGCCCTTGGATTCCGGCGGCGTGAACATCATGGGCTACCGGATTTTCCGGAACGGCGGCGGTGGAGACGACAACTTCATGCTGAAATGGTCCTCGGACGACCCCAGTGTTTACACCTGGACGGAAACGGGTCTGGACGCCACGACGTTGTACAAGTACCGGCTCGTGACCCGCAACGAGTTCACGGAGTCCGACCCCTACGAGATCACCATCCAGCCCGCCATTCTGCCCACCCGTCCGGTCGCGCCGCAGCTGACCGGCGCGGAGACCATTTCCGGGTCGTTGGTTCTCAGGCTTGATCCGCCGGTCGGCTACGACAACACGGGCCGCTCGAAGATTCTGTTCTACGAGCTGCGCCGGAACGACGGGCTGGGCGGCACCGCGGACATCATCATGCAGGGAAACGTCGACCACGATGCGTTCAAGGACGTCGGGCTGGACGCGCTGCCGAAGACCGTTACGCTCTACGGGTTGATCGTCGGCCGCACCTACGTGTTTCAGGTCAAGTACGCAACCGTGGTCGGCTGGTCGCCGTTCTCGTTGGAGATGCAGGCCCGGTGCTGCGAGTTCATTCCGCCGCAGGAAGCGCCGCAGAACTTACGGCGGCACCCCACCCTGTGGCAGACGGACAACGACATTTCCATCGAGTGGGACCCGGTCACGGACATTGGGTCCACTTCCTTGACGGCCTACCGGGTCTACCAGGACGACGGCACGGTGGAGACCACCTGGGACACGCCCAGCGGTGACCAGACGTACCTGTGGCGTTCCGGGTTGATCGCCGGCCGGGTCTACCGGTTCGCGGTGTCCGCGGTCAACGCGGCCGGCGCCGGCCCCCGGTCGGAGCGGGTCACCTTGATCGCCTCCGACCGCCCCGGACCGCCGCTCTGGTACCCGGGGACCGAATCGATTTTGTCGCAATCGCCCACGACCATCCACGTGAAGTGGCGGGCGCCGACATACACCGGGATTGCGGGCATCAGCGGGTACAAGGTGCTTGTCGACGACGGGGCCGGCGGGCCGATCACGAACCTGGTGTACGACGGGTCCAAGCAGTCCTCGGTTCTCGAATACGCGTATTCCCCCAAGAACGCCGACGGCTCGACCGCGTTGGTCCGCGGGGCGACGTACCGTTTCAAAGTCGTCGCCGTGAACCCGACGGGGGATGGCGGGATGACGATTACGAGTTTGGACGTCTTAGCCGCGTCGAAACCGGGGAGGCCGGGCCGGCCCTACGCCGACCCGTACCAGACCTCGATCAAGCAGATCTATTTGCTCTGGACCGCGCCGGACGACAATGGGTCGCCCATCATCGATATGGAATGCGAAAGCATCGTGCTTGCTTCTCGGACGAGTGCCTGCATGTTGACAAATCTTGATAAAGTGGACAAATCTTCAGTACACGCTCACACTGGTTTATACCAGAGGAGCCAAAGATTTGTCTTGCACGATTGCACTTTCTTACTACGAGCATTGCACTTACTACGAGCAGTAAGTACGAAACTTCTTTCAATGCATACTCGACTACGTGATCGAGCGGTCGGCGAACCAGGGGCAGACGTGGACGGACTTGACCGCAGCGGTCACCGGTTACACCAACACCTTCTGGCTGGACGACGCGGCGATCACTGCGCAGAAGAGCTACCAGTACCGCATCTACGCGATCAACGAGGTTCAGACCCCGGTTGGCGTCGTGTACTACTCGCCGGAGTCCACCTTGGTTGCGGCGGCGGTGCCGGACACGCCCCGAGTCTGTACCAGTTCCGCGATTCTCCCCGCGGGGTGCGCGGCCGGCGGGTGTAGCTGCGAACTGGCCGCGGTGGCCTCGACGGAGACCACCATCACGGTGGCGTGGGCGGCCCCACCCAGTACCATTCCGGTGACCGGTTTTTTGCTGTACGCGAACGGGGCGTTGCTGTACGACGGAACGGGGAACGTGGGGCAGCTGGTGTACACCCTAGCGGGCGGGCAAACCGGCATGATCTACGATTTCCAATTGGAAGCGATCTCCGACGCCGGGGTGTCGTTGAGATCGTCCCAACTGTCGCGCGTGTGCGCCAGACGGCCGTACGCGCCCGATCCGCCAACTTTGTACTCCGCAACGAGGTCGGTGATCACCTTGCAGTGGAAGCCCCCGACCAACAATGGCGGCACGCCGGTCACCGGGTATGTGGTGCAGCGGTCGCGGGTCGACGCGAACGAGTTCGGCACGGTGGACTGCATCTACGGGTCGGGGAGCTACATTTCCACCCTGCCCCCCGACATGCACACCTGCGCGGACGACACGATCGCGAACGAGGTGAAGTGCCCGAACAGACTCTGTAAGTACCGGGTGCTGGCTTTGAACGGCGTGGATGACTTGAATCTCTCCGACGTCTCCGGGTTCACGATCTTCAAGGGCGCCGACCCGCCGAACCCGCCCCCCCTGTCCGCGATCCAGCGGGAAGACCCGACCGAGGCGACGAGCATCAAGATCTTCTGGGGCGCGGTGATTTCGGACATCGAGAACGGGGGCGACGCGGTCACCGGCTACCGGCTGTACGCGAACACCGGCGTGGACGACGTGCCGCAACTGATCTTCGACGGGCTGGGCGCGCCGTCGAAAAGGGAGTTCCTCCACGCGGGTTTGACCCCCGGGCTGCGCTACCGCTACCAGGTCTCCGCCATCAACCGCGCGGGGGAGGGCAGCCGCAGCTCGGTCGCGAAGTTCCTCGCGGCGGTGAACCCCATGGCGCCGTCGAAGCCGAAGTTGCTCCAGTCGACCGCAGCGTCGGTGACGATTTCCTGGGACCCGCCGCCGAGTTTGGGCGGGAGTTTCATCACGAAGTACACGGTGTGGTACAACGACGGCGAGGACGGCTCGCCGCTGTCCAACAAGATCGAGATCTGTAACGGGGCGAAAACCGACTACACAATTGACGGTTTGACGAAGAAGAACGCCTTGTACCAGTTCCAAGTCCAGGCCCACGCCGCCTGCCCGGGTGACGGGCTGATGCCGCCGGTGTGCGGTGGCCAAGGGTACGACACCACGGTGTGTGCGGGAACCAGCTACCTCTGTCCGCCCTCCACGGACTACTGCACGCTGCCGAGTCCGAAGGGCCACATTTCCCGGTTCTACACCGCGCAGTCCCCGGCCCCCGTGACAAACTTGCAGATCCAGGCGAACTCGTTCACGAAGACCTCGGTGATCGTCCGGTGGTCCGTCACGGATACGGTGCTGGACAAAATCCCGATTACCGGCTTCAAGATGTACCGCGACGACGGGCTCGGCGGGGACTACATCCACGTGGACAGTCTGCCCACGTCCAGTTCCCTCGGGGCGTTCTCGGACAAGGTGTCCGTGACCGACTTGGGCAACCAGTACGAGTTCTCGAACCTGGTCACCGGCCGGTCGTACCACTTCTACCTGGACATTTGCAACGGCGTCGGGTGCACGCCGTCAAATGTTTTGGGCCCGGTGCCGATCGCGAGTGTGCCGGGCAAGCCCCCGGCGCCGACGTTGCGGTCCTCGTCCGCGTCGCCGATCCCGAAAATCGAGTTCAATCTGTTCTACCCGGTGGACAACGGTGGCGCGGCCATCACCGGGTTGCAGCTGTACAAGGACGACGGGCAGAACGGGTTGCTGTCGCCCTGGCTCTCCGTCGACCCCAGTGTGTCCGTTTACACGGACACGAACGTGGTCGCGGGCAGGACGTACCGGTACAAGGTAGTTGCGTTGAACCCGGTCGGGGAATCCGTTGGGTCCGTTGTAGCTTCGTTTCTAGTCGCGGGGAGGCCGACCCGGCCCTTGGCGCCGACTTTGGTTTCCCAGTCCAGGGACTCCATCACCGTGAAGTGGCTCGCGCCGCCGGACAACGGAGGCAGTGACATTACCTCCTTTACTTTGTACCGCAACGGCGGTATTGGCGATCCGGTCACGCCGGTGTTCAAAGGCGCGGCGCTGGAGTACATCTCGATGAACCTTTTGACCTTCAAAAATTACCGGTTCCAGGTCTCCGCGACCAATCAGGTCGGGGAATCGGATCTTTCCGAAGCGGCGGATTTTTTGACGATCCAGCAACCGGGGCAGGTCGGGACGCCGGTCCTCGTCGACTCGCTGTGCGGGACCACGGCCGGCACGGCACAGGTTCGATTCCGCTGGACCGCGCCGCGGGACACCGGCGGGTGCGCCATGGAGAAGTACGAAATTCTGATGGACGGAGCCCTCGCACCGGCGAACGGGCCAACGGAAGTCGACGCCACGGTCACCTCCGCTTCGTTCACGGGTCTCACCTGTGCGTCCCGACCCAAGTTCACCGTGAAGGGGAAGAATTGCCTCGGCGTCTACTCCGGGGAGTCCGCCGCGCTCTTCGTCCCGATTGCGTCTCTGCCGTCGAAAGTTTTGAACTTGGAAGGCGCGCCGGTCGACGCGAGCAGCATTCGGTACACGTGGGACAAACTGGTCGGGGAGATCAACGTCGGCAGCAAAGATCCGAACGCGATTCTCGGGTACGAGTTGTGGATGGACGATGGTCTCGGTGGTAGCTTTTCCCGGGTCTACGACGGATTCTACAAGCCGCACACCACGGAGTACACGGCGGTCAAACTCGTTTCGCGGCGGATCTACCGCGCGTACGTGCTCGGGGTGTCCGCGGCCGGACAAGGGCCGCCTTCCGACATCGTGTACGCGATCATGTCCGTCGAACCCTCGGAGCCGAGAAATGTCGACGTCAGTGCGGCGTTAGTGCGGGTGTCCGCGAACAGCACCGCGACGGTGGTCTCGGCGGACACCGTGCAGGTGTCCTACGACCCGCCCCTTGCGGATGGTGGTGAGCCGATCACGAACTACATCGTTCAGTACGCGATCGAACCCACTTTCAGCAACTGGACCACCGTGCAGCCGAACCCGGATAACACGCAGCTGGCCGTGGAAATCGCGCAACTCCAACCGAGCAAGATTTACCAGTTCCGCGTGGCGGCCCAGAACAACGCCGGGATTTCGCCGTATTCGAATGTGAAGGCCCACATTGTCGGCACGCCGCCCACGCAGGCGCCGCAAGCTTTGTCGATCTCCGCGTCGACAATTTCCTCGCTCACGTGGAACTGGCAGCCGCTGGACGTGAACTTCCAGGGTGGTGCGGCGTTAAACGGGTACCGGCTCTACATGGACAACGGGCTGAACGACCCGTCGTTGCATCTGGTGTATGACGGTGTTGGTGCGCCCTCGGTGACGCAGTTCACGCAATCTGGCCTCACCTGCGGTCGCTCGTACCGAGCGCAGGTTTCCGCTCTCAACTCGATCGGCGAGGGGCCTTTATCCGACGTTGCGACCGCGAATTTAGCGATCACGCCCACCCAGCCGGCGAACGCGCGGGTGGTGTCGTCCACCGCCTCGCAGGTGGATTTGGCCTGGGACATCCCCTTCGAAACCGGCTGTGCCATGATGGAGGGGTATCGGATCGAGAGGGACGAGGGCAATGGCTTCATTTTCCTTTCCGACACGAATGCGTCCACCCAGGCGTTTTCGGACTCGACCAATCTCACCACCGGCGGCATGTACATCTACCGCGTGTCCGCGCGCAACGTCGCTAGATCGCAGTACGGGCTGTACTCCGACTACATCACGGCCTACGCAGCGACCATTCCGGGGTTGCCCACCAATCTCGGGTTCGCCGGCGCCACGACACGGACCTCCGTTTCGGTCAAGTGGGAGCCGCCGACTTTGGACTCTGGCACCCCGGTCCGGCGGTACAAGGTGCAGATTGACGACGGTCTCGGGGGGGATTTCTTCGTGGCGACCGAAACGACAGCGACGTTCGCGACCATTCGTGGTTTGACGGCGGGCCGGGCGTACCGGGTCCGAGTCGCGGCGGAGAACGACGTGGGGATCGGGTACTACACTAGCCCGATCTCCCAAGTCGCCGCGCAACTGCCCGGCGCGATGGACGTGCCGCAGGTGCAATCTACCGGCGTGGCTGGGGAATTTCAGGTGTCCTTCCTCCCCCCGACGGACTACGGTGGGGTTGCAATTCTCGGTTACAAGGTGTACTACGACCAGAACTGCGAACAGTACGACGGTTCGACCGATCCGTCCACCACGTCGGTTGTCACCTTATGCGAAGTCGGCAGGACGTACTCCATCACCGTGCAGGCCAAGAATGCCCTCGGGTGGGGTCCGCACAGCAACCCGGCGGTGCGCGTGTGCTCGATTGAGCCCGCCGCGCCGACCAGCATCGCGTTCCTGAAGTCCACCCCGATGTCGCCTTTGGAGATGGTGGACACCAGAACACCATCTTCCATGATTCTGTCTTGGGAGGAACCGCTGGTGACCGGCGGTAGTCCAATTTCCGTGTACAACCTGTACCGGGACAACGGCGCGGCGTCCGGGGTGTACTCCTTGGTGTACCAGGGCAACAAGCGGGAGTACGACGATAGAGGCTTGATTAACGGCAGGAACTACCGGTACTACGTGTCCGCGATCAACGGTGTCGGGGAGTCCCCTCGGTCCCCGATCTTCACGGCGGAGATGCGGTGCGCACCGAGGAGCATCTTCACGGCCCCAGTAAGGAAGTCCGCGACGGAATACAGCGTCACGCTGCGCTGGTCGGAGGTGGTATCTGATTGCGGGGCGATGGTGACATCCTACCGGGTGTACCGGGATGGGCATTTGATCTACCCGATTTCCAACTACTTCACGCAAGCGCCGGTCGCGCACGCCTGGTCGGGCTCCCAACATTCCGTTGTGGTGGAGTTCCGCGCGAATGTGGACGGGAAAGCGTGGATCAACGTGTTGCTCCCGAACCACGTGCTGACCGCGACGACCGAGTCCGTGAAGAAGGGAAGTGTCGCTTTGGGTGCCAAATCCTGTAAGTACGTGGGAGACAGCCCGTTGACGATCTCTGCCGGCGTGAACATGGTAACGTTGAGCAATTGTAACTTACCGGTGTACTCCACCTCCCCTCTAATCTCCTACTTCGCGGCCATCGTGTACATTGAGTCCAGCACCGGCTTGGAGTCCGACGGCACCCTCGCGCCAGCCTCGCAGTTCCCGGTGGAGCGGCCTAGTAACTCGTTTCTGGTTTATCCGACGATTTCGGCCATTTCGAAGGACGGGTTAACCTTGTCCTACACCACCGCCGCCGCCTCGGGGAAGGTCTGGGCGTCGATCGTGTCCGAAGCGAACAAGGATTTGGTCACGGTGGAGAACTTGAAAGCGTCCACCCTCTCGCAGGGTGACAGTACGAACTGCACGGTTTCCGCGGTGTTCGTCGCGGGGAATAAACCAACAACCAACACTCTCACACTCTGCGCGATGCTCGGCGACACGACGTACTACGCGTATGTGTATGCGGAAAACCAGGGCTCGGGGATCAATAAGGGGACTTTAACCGAAGCAATCGCCTTCAAGGTGGAGCCGTCCAACAGCTTCGCGGTCATTCCAGCGCTCCGCGAAACCGTGATGGGCAAGCAGCCGGAGGTGAGCAATTTGGTTGTCGGGTTCACAGCGACTGTTCCCGGTACGGCTTACGTTCTCGTTTACGATTATGCTTTCGCGAAGACCATCACCAAGCCGATGGCGAAGGCCGCGACCGACACGGTTTGCACCGGCACAGCAACCATCGGGGCCGGCGCAGATCTGGTGGTCGGGAACGCGACCGCGACGAACTGTCTCTTCACGGCGAATGAGAACTACAAGTTGTATGTCTACATCGAGGATGTGAAGGGCGAAACGGATGGCACCGTATCCCCCCTGTCCTTAGTCGTCGCAGCTTCGCCTTCCACCACGAATTATTTCTCGGTTTTACCGTACGTCGCGAACATGGCGACCGACGTGTCTATCCAAACGATTACGGTGAAAGTCACGACCTTTGCGAACGGGAAGGCGTGGGCGGGCTTGGCGGAGGAGATTCTCGGGTCCTGCATCAACATCCGCTCTCTGCGCGACGCGGGGGTACAGCAGGTCGGTGCGGTGAACCAGTTGGTCTGCTGGAAGCAGATGTTCGACATTCCGGGTGGCGTGGAGTCCACGGTGTCCTTGACGAACTGCAACCTCCGCGGGTCCAGCTCCTACCGCTTCTTCATGTACATTGAGGATCTGAATTTCGTCGCGGACGTGTACACGGGCGTGTTATCGCGACCCGGTCTGCCCATCACCGTCCCCGCGAGCAACGGCTTCTTGCAGCCTCCACAACTCACCGCGGGCGGGGTTTCGCCGGACGGCGTGGCCTACGGGTTCAACACGACGGCCGATGGGTTTGTGTGGGCCATGATCGTGCAGCAGGAGAACGCGGACGTCATCGACATCGCCGCGGTTAAAGCGGGGATCTTCGCCATGGGGGCCACCAGCTGTCGGGCGATCGGCGCTTCGGCCAACGCGACGGACTCGCCGATCACGGTGACCCTGACCGGCTGCGCGCTGAACCGCCAGAAGCTGTACTCGACGTTTTTGTATGTCGAAGATTCCCGCGGATTGAACGACGGCGAGATCGTCGGGCCGCTTTCCCTCACGATGGAAGACTACAGCAACAACTTCCAGCCGGGGGCTTACGGGGCGTATCTAGTGGGCGACCCGTCCGCCGACACTGTTCGAGTAGCTTTCACGACCAATGGCACCGACATGGTGAGTGGCGGCAGAGTTTGGGTGGCGGTGTACCCCGCGACCGCCAATAAAGTGGGCCCCGCGGAGCTGAAGACCAACTTGCCGAGCATGGGTGTGAACAGCACGGCGTGCAGAGCGGAAAACCTGCCCGTGACGAACGGGCAGGAGACTTTTGTCACTTTGACCGATTGCGCGCTCTCTTTGGGAACGGTGTACGTGACCTACGTCTATGCGGAGGACATTCATGGCCGGAACGACGGGTTCATGAAGGCGCTGGAAACTGTTATCCCGGTTGGCTTGTCGAACAGCTTCACCGATTTCCCGACCTACGAGAACAAAACCCTGGACGGATTGGTGTTCTCCTTCCAAGCCGCGGCTATGAAGGGCAGTTTGTTTGCGAAACTCGTGTCCACCACCGCTGTGGGGACGGTCGGCTACACGATCGCGAAGGCGAGGACCGCAGTGGATGCGCTTGGTGGCAGTTTATCTACCGCGAACAACACCTGCATGGTGTTGGGCCAGGCTATCAGCAACAACGTCGAGCAGGTCACGTTCACGGGCTGCAACCTCGCGTCTGGTTCCTATTTCAGCCTCATTGCCTACGTCGCGGACGCAGACGGGCATTCCGACGGGACGCTGTATGTCTCGCAGCCGATCGAAGCACCACCGTCGAACGGGTTTACAGAGGGGTACCCGAGCTTCCACGCGATCACGCCAATGGGTTTAACGGTCCGCGTCCAGGCCCTGTATGAGGGAAGGATCTCGATGCTTCTGGTGACGAAAGCGGCGTACGATCGGAATCCGGTGCTGATCACGAAAAAGAACATCGCGCTCGGCTCCTACTCGCTTGGTGGAAACGGATGCAGGAAGTCCCGCTTGGTGATTGACAACAACGTCCAGAACATCCCCTTAGCCGGTTGCGGGTTGAAGCACGGCGAACAGTACAAAGTCATCCTCTACGTGGAGGACTTGACCGACCCGGACGGGGGCCAACTGCTCGCGGTTGACTTCAAGGTCCCGGGCAGCAACGTGTTCGAAATCGCGCCGTTCTTGATGGGCACGCCGGTGCCGAGCCTGATCAACATCCAGACGCAGCCGCAGTTGAACGGGCTCGGTTGGGCAGCGATTTTTACACAGAAGGAGGCGGAATCTGTGTCGATCTCGAAAGTGAAGGGCGGTTTGGGTAGCATTTGCTTCATGGGGAATCAGCCGTTGACCGGCATGACGAACTTCACCTTCGCGTTCACAAACTGCAACGCCTTGCAGAGAGACGTGACCTACAAGGCGTACGTCTACGTCGCGGATACGAACGGACGCTTAGACGGCAGCATGAGCGCCGCGATTGACATCATTTCCGCTTCGAATCAGCAGTTTGACTTGCGGTCTCCGCCGCATATTGTACCGACCAGCATCTCCAGAACTGGTGGGACTGCGAAGATCGTGGCGAAGCTGGACATCGAATCCTACTACTACGTGATGATCGTCGACCCGGCTTTTTCCGACCAAGTTTCTGTTGCATCGGTGAAAGCGGGCTCCGGCGGGAATTGCGCGAGTGGTGTGCAGCACATCAACGCGGCCCCATATACCGCGGAGCAGTCCGTCGTGATGTCCAGTTGCGGCCTGCAGTACGGGAAGACGTACAAGTTATTCGCCTACATAGAAGACTCAAGTGCAAACAACGGCGGAACGCTTTTCGGGCCGGCTGATGTCGAGATGGGGCCGTCAGACTCCTTCCAGATCCGGCCCTACATCTACTCGACGCCGACCACCGCGGGTTTGACCGTGAAGATGCAGTCGACGAAAACGAGCGGGAAGCTGTGGGGCGTTTTGACGACCAAGGCAAACGCGGCGGTGACAACCACCGCGCACATCGTCCGGGGGTTCACCACTGCTTACAACAACCAGGCGAACTGCAGAGTAAGCAACGTCGCGATTGCCTCCTCGTCGTTGAAAACAACCTCGTTCAGCTCTTGCAACTTGGCCGTGAACCAAACGTACGTGGTGACCTTTTACGTGGAAGACACGCAGAACATGTACGACGGGCAGCTTGACACGGTGGAGTTCTACCTGGCGGATCCGACGCCGTCGAATACCTTTACGAAATACCCCGAAGCGACGGGGACCCCTACCGCAGCTTCTGTGACGATCTCCTTCCAGGCGACGGCTGCGGGCTTGGCCTACTACACGATTGTGCGGAACACGGACACGAGCAGTTTCGACATTGGCGCGATGAAATTGTTGAACTCACCGTTGATCCCCGGTTTAACCAATGACTACGACCAGTGCAGAGGGAATTCGACGATTGGCTCTGGTGTGACCAGTAAGACGCTAACCAACTGCGTCTTGGCGGCGGGGACGGAGTACCGGATTCTCGTGTACGTGGAATCTGCAGCCGGGAATTCCGATGGCGAACTTTCGTCCAACGGCGGCAAGTTGCTGAAGCTCGCGTTCTCGGGCACCGTGTACCAAGCGCCGGTTCAGCTGAACGCGACGGGAGACGCGGTTGGGTTCTCTTTCACGCCCGGCATTTCGGGGAAGGCCTGGGCGAGAGTCTTTCCAACCGGGTACGATGCGACGGTGGCGGAGTTCAAAACCTCCACCGTCGCTGGATCCCAGGCAAGGGGCGATTTCACAACTTGCGGGCTGCAATCCCTGTCCGTTACCGCGATGGAAGTCACCGAGGTGTATCTGTCCTCTGGTTGCGAAATCCCGGCGGGAAACGGGACCCATTCCGCCTTCGTCTACGTCGAGTCCAACGCCGGGGCGAACGATGGGCAGGTCAGTTCTGGCGCATTGACCGTCGCGTACAGTTCCAAACTCGTAATTCCCCCCGTGATGCACGGCACGCCCACCGCGTCAAACGTCTACGTGTCCGTGACGCCCACGGTCGCGGGCCGCGCCCGGGCGATCGTCGTGGAGCCCACGGCGGTTGCGAACGTCACGGTGGATGACTTCTTTGGCACGTATTCCGGGGCGACGTCCGGGTACGCGCTGTGCCGCTCTGCGGAATTAACGGCCGCGCTGGCGGAGGAGGCGAACAAGCTGGTGGTGTCGAACTGCTTGCTGTCGCACGAACGGACGTTCGCTCTGATGGTGTACGTTTCCGATGCGACGGGGTCGTACGATGGGTACTTTCAGCAATTAGTCGGTGGGTTCAACGTGACCGCTGGGACTTCCAACCTCTTCGACAAATACCCAAAAATCACCTCTGCCGTGGTCCCGAATGGCTTCACGATGACCTTCACGCCGCAGAAATCCGGGGAGGCGTACTCCATTGTCGTGGAGTCGGTCTTGGAGAAGATGGTGACGCCGCAGTCAATCAAAGATCGGTCTTTACTGTCCCCAACGTCTGCCGTCAAGTGCTTCACCAACGCCGCGGCGATCTCCGAACTCGTCCAGGAGACCTACAGCTATTCTTCCTGCAGTTTGCAAGTGGGACACACGTATAAGGGGTTTGTGTACATCATCGGGAACTACACGAGCGGGTTGGACGGAACCCTATCCCCAGCGTTTGACATCGAAATTCCGCCCAGCAACACGTTGACAAGTTACCACTTACTCTCCCAGCCGACCATCACCGACGTGTCTGTTGCGGTTCTGCCGGAGAAGACGGGGAAGTTGTGCGGCGCGATTTTCCCGCTGACCGCGTTTTCCGCCGGGTCGACGCTCCTCCCCGTCCACACAATCCACTCGGGCTACGGCTCGCACTGCTCGGTTTCCAGGACCTCGGTGACCGCGAACACGGAGTTCACCCTGGGGTTCTCCGGCGGCTGCAACATGACCGCTGGGGTCACTGCGGCTCTGGTTCTGTATGTCGAGGACGGCGCGAGCAACGACGACGGCACGCAGTACTACTTTGAGGTGACCCCCCCGGTTTCAAACAACTTCCTCGTTCCCCCCTACAACCCAGAAGGCACGAACGCGACCTCCGACGGGTTTTCCTGGAAGTTCGCGGCGGCGAGAACCGGTAAGTACTGGGCCATGGTCACGATCAAGCAGGCGGCAACCGAGCCGCTGCCGCAAGCAGCGGAGATCAAGGCGTTGACAGGTGCGTTCGGCTCCTTTGGCTGCCGGAAAGTGAACGAGGCGCTACCGAGCTGGGGGAGCAGTACTACCGGGTTGATTTCCCTGGATTTCACCGGTTGCGCGTTCACAAAGGGGTTCGCCTACAACCTGCACGTGTACGTGGAGGACGCGAACGGGAACAATGATGGCACCGTCGCGCCGCCGGTGGAGCTCCACATCCCACCATCGAATTCCTTCTCCGTCGACCCGTATCTGTCTTCTACGGCGATCGCAGATGGTGTCACCGTCGAGTACCAGGCGGCGGAAACGGACGGGAAGGCGTGGGGCGCCCTGTTCCCGCTGGCCGCGTACAAGTTGGCGGGCAATGACGTCGACAACAACTTCAACGTGACCGTTGCCTACCTGAAATCCGGCGCCTACGCCGCTGGCGGGGAGGGGTGCAACAAAACCGCACTTGCCATCGGGAACACGCGGCAGTCCTGGTCGTTCTCAGGTTGCGGTCTCGCGCCGCAAACCGACTACAAACTCCTGATCTACGTGGAGGACACTGCTGAAGCGTCGGACGGAACGTTATATGGGATGACGATCAACATCGGCTCCGGCGCGCGGTCGAACTACTTCGTCGCCTCGCCTTCGATCTCCGCGATTACGAAAGACGGAATCAAATTTCGGTTCTCCACCGTCGCGCCAACGGGGTACATGTGGACCGCGGTGATCGCGGAGCAGCAGTCGTCCCAGGTCAAAACGTTCTTGGACGTGAAAGCCGGGAAGTTCAGCCAGGGCGGCAACAGCTGTAAGCAATCCGGGGTGGTGGTCACGAACGTGTCTCCCTACACCGTGACGTATTCGGACTGTAGACTGGCGGAGGGGACGAACTACAGGCTCTTCGCCTACGTCGAGGACGCGTCGGAGCAGAACGACGGCGCCGTTTCAGTCACGAACTTCTACGTCGAGAAAGTCGCCATGCCAATTGCGGGCGATCCGCTTACCCGGGAGTTCACGGACACAAATGACGGCGCTGGTTTCGGCCAACTTCTACCAGGTACCGCGCACTACTACCACGTGCGGGCGGTGAACAAGATCGGCGTCGGCGTGAAGTCCGCAAAGTCGAATCTGGTCTACGTGGCGGACCGTCCGGCGACGCCGCAACCGCCGCTGGCCTTGCACAAGTCGTCGTCGTCGGTTTCCCTGTCGTGGCTGTCCCCGTACAGCTCGAATTTGCCCGTGACGAGCTTCAACCTGTACATGAACGCCGGGGACGGGAAGGATGTGTACACGGAAATTTACCGCGGGTTGTCTTCCTCCTACGCGAAAACCTCGCTCACGACGTCTGGGAAGTACAAGTTCCGCGTCGCGGCGACCAACGCGGTCGGCACTTCTGATCTGTCCGACGCGGTCGAAGTCACCCTGTGCGCGATCCCGACCGTGCCGACCAACTTGAAGATCGTGTATCGGTCTTCTGTGTTGATTCAGATCAAGTGGGAACCACCGTTAGTGGTCGGCGGCTGCCCGGTGGAAGCGTATATCGCGAGACGAGATGGTATTCTGCAAGCGGAACAACAAACGACCGAGTACTTCATCGACCCCGCGGCGCCCGGGTCGGTGTACAAGTTTGCGGTGCAGGTCAGAACGGCTGGCGGCAGGTCCGCTTTCACCCAGGAAGTCGCGATTGTCGCCGCGGAAGCACCGGCGAAGATGACGACGCCGGTGATCGTGTCGGCGGATCAGTTCCACGTGAAATTGGACTGGAACGCGTTGGCAGCAACTTCCGACGGCGGTTCGCCGGTTTTGTTCTACCGGGTGTTCCGGAACAACGGTTTAGGCGGGTCGATCTACGTTCCGTTCAACGACACGGCGAACGGATCCGGCGCGACGGAACTGACCCTCTACACCAACGCCGGCTTATCCGACTACTTGGTCGCGGGCCGGCAGTACTGCTTCACGGTAGCGGCGATGAACTTGGTCTCGTGGACCAACGCGTTGAACGACCAACTGCCCCGGCAGTCCGACCCGGTCTGCGCGTACACCGCGGGCGCGCCCGACGCCCCGGGCACGATCTTCTTCCACCGAGTGACGAAGGGGCAACTCACAGCCTACTGGCCGGCGACGGTGGATGACAAGGGCGCGAGTGTCGATTTTTACGAATTGTGGATGAAAACGGCCGCGACCGGACCGGACTACGCCATTGTCGCCACGAACGCCGCGGCGGACTTGGACCACGTGATCGAGAACTGCGAGCTGGGCGTCACGCTCTTCTTCAAGGTTCGCGCGCACAACGCGGTCGGCTGGGGCGGGTACTCGCCGGAGGTTGAGGGCACGTGCGCGACGGTCCCCGACCAGCCGCTTGCGCCCCGCCGGGTGAACTCGACGAGGACGTCGATTACCGTGTCTTGGGAGGCACCGGTGAACAACGGCGCGACGATCACCTCGTTCAAGTTGTACCGCGCGACCGCCGGGGGGCCCTTTGCCTTGATTTCCAACGCGCTCATTACAGAGTACGTCTCGCTAGGCCTCTCCCCCGGTACGGAGTACCGGTTCCGGGTGTCCGCCGTGAACAACGCGGGCGAGTCCGCGGTTTCTGACATCATTCTCATCAAAGCCGCCGGCGTTCCCGGCCCGCCGACCGACATCGGCTTCACGTACGCCTCTCGGTCCGGCACCGTGGTGTCCTGGACCGCGCCTTTGGACGACGGCGGTGCGCCGATTACTCAATACCAGGTGTACTACGGATTGAACAGCGAATCCACGTTGAACCGCCTCGCCTGGACGGGCGCCGGGACCGCGACGGAATTCCTGACTTTCGCGAGCGGGAATCGGTACAAGTTTCAAGTTGTCGCGCACAACGAAATCTCGCTAAACTTCGGGGTGTCCGGCCTCCCCTCGGCAGTTGCAAATTGGTACGCCGCGGTTCCGCCGGGGGCACCGAGACTGTTCCTGAACGACAGTTCGATTGGAACAATCACGTTTGAGTGGCTTCCGCCTCTGGACGACGGGGGCGCGACGATCACGGCGTTCAATCTCTTCATCGACGACGGCGCGGGCGGTCCGGTGGCGAAGGTGTACACTGGGCTCGAGACCCGGTTCACCATTTCGGGGCTCGCCACCGGCTACACGTATCGGGTGGAACTCACCGCGGAGAATCAGGCGGGCGTTTCCGCGCCGTCGACGCTGAACGCGATCACCTGCGACACCCCGCAGGCGGTTCAAAGCTTCAAGATTCTGTCCCGGTCGGAATTGGCGACCACGTTCCAGTGGGTACCGCCCTTGGAAGTGTCGCACTGCCCGATCCTGGGGTACATCGTGCAGGGCGGGTACCCGGCGAACAACATGGTGCAGATAGGAAGCACCGACGCTGCGGACTTGACAACGTTCACCTACACGCACCCGGCGCAAGACGAGTACCGGTACTACACGGTGTCGGTTGAGAATTTCAAAACGAAAAATTCCCTCGCGGCCGGCATCCCGTACGCGCCAGCGATCCTAGCCTTGACCGCCGGCGCGCCGACAAAGCCCCTGGACGTGAAGGCGGCGGCGATCAATTTGACAGACATTACGCTGACCTGGACGGCGCCTCTTTCCAACGGGGGATCGCCGATCACCGCTTACTACGTCTACAAGAACGACGGACAGGGAGGCAACGTGTACTCCGATGCGCTCGGGACGGGGCAGGTGATCACCACGCAGACAGCTACTGTGACCGCTTTGACCACCGGGTACTTCTACAAATTTCAGGTGGCGGCGATCAACCGGGTGGTCACCGACAACCCCCTGTCCGATGTTACCCCGCAGTTCTCCGACCCCTTCTCCGCGTTTATCGCGGTAACGCCGGGCGTTCCCGACAAGCCGGAAGTGATCAACGGAACCCGGACGCCGAGCGGGATTACCCTCAAATGGACCGTTCCGTTACTCGCGGACGGGGTCACGGAGGACAACGGCGGGCAGCGGATCACGGGATATCGGTTGTATCGAGATGACGGCGCGACCGCGGTGCCCAACATTTTGATCTGGAACGGGGAGTCGCAAGCGAACATTTTCGAGTTCGCGGTCACGGGCTTGAACCCCGGAACGGACTACGTGTTCGCGGTCACGGCGCTGAACACGGCGGGCGAGTCGGCGAAATCGGAATACCTGTATTTCTCCGCGGGACAGGGCCCGTCGTTCACGAGTGCCCCCAGCCGAAATCCCACCGTGCTCCCGACCGATTCCAGTTCCATCGCGCTGCAGTGGAACACGCCGGAGAATTTGAACAACCAGGTGGTCGAAATGTACAAGGTGCTGCGCGACGACGGGGCGTACGGGGATTTTGTCGAAATTGCAACGACCACGAACCGGAATTACACGGTGAACTTCAACGAGGTCGCCACGGCAACCAACAACACGTATCCGAATCCCGATTCGGTCTTCTACCGGTTCGTGATCCAGGCAAAGAACGCGGTCGGTTGGGGCGTCTACTCACCGGTCTTCCGAACGCAGATCTGCGGGAAGCCGAGCAATCCCGAGTCGTTTGAGTTCAAAGATTTCACGGACGACGGGGTGACGCTAGTCTTTTCCGCGCCGACCAACGGCGGTTGCTCGCAGCCCTTCATCACGAAGTACAAGATCTTCATGTATCGCCAGAAAAAACTGCTTCACTGTATTAAACTTGTAATGCAGAAAATGCACTGCGCAAGTGTTTGTCTTGCTACACATGCAAGACAGTGGGTTTTTAGCTGCGTTTTCCCGTTGGAACCTTGCGTGGCAAATTTTCTCTGTCATGTAGAACAAACTTGTGATGCAAAACGTGCAAAATCCTTACAGTGAAATACTTTGTTCGTGCGATATCATGAAACAAGCCACCAACGCCTACCTCCAAATCTACGAGGGCGGCCCGTCGGTTTTGGAGACGACGCTCTCTTCCTTAACCCCGGGAGAGACGTACCAGTTCCAAATTACCGTGTCCAATTACGACCAGACCTCCGATCCCTGGCCGCCAAACAAGATTTTGACCGTGGGCGCCCCGCCGCAGCCGCCAGGCATCCCGACCTTCGACGCGACGGCCGCGGATTCGGCGGTGATCAAGTTGAACTGGGCTGCCGCCTACTCGGTGCTGACCGTTTCGAAATACGAACTCTACTACGACAACTCGGTCGTCGGCGCGATCGACCAGTTGCTGTATTCTGGCACGGACGTAACCTTCACAAAAACCGACTACACGCCGGGCAACGAGTACAGGTTTCAAGTGCGGGCGGAGAATTCGAACGGCTTCGGGATCCGGTCGGGGGTGGGGACTTGGTACGCGAGCAAAAACCCCTTGGAGCCGAACAATATCGCGTACTACGCGTCCACCAGGACGACTTTATTGATTTCCTGGGACCCGCCGAGCATCCAAAACGCGAATGACGCGCCGCTGAAGAAGTACGTGATTGGCTGGAAGGACATGACAGCGGGCGGGGAGGAGCAATTCCTAAACGTCCCGCCCGCGGCTCGCTACGGTGGCCCGACCGACGCCTTAGTCACGGGAAACACGATTCAACTGCGGATCCAGGCCTGCAACATCAACGCTTGCGGGCCTTTCACGTCCGTTGTCAATCTAGTAGTCGGCGGTCTCCCCGAGAAGCCGGACCCGTCGACGGTGTTGAACTCGACTACAAGCGAAATCACGCTGCAGTGGTCCTACGCGGGGAAGGATAATGGCGGGGTGACGATCAACAAGTTCGCGGTCTTCGTCTCCGGGAACGGCGGATCCACCTACAGCCTCGCGGGCTACACCCCCTCCGCCGCGGAAACCTATTTCACCTACGCTTGTCCCGCTTCCGGTGCGACGTTCTACTTCAAGGTGGCGGCGATGAACGGCGTTGGGGGCTCTGCAACGAGCACCGGGGCGTTCTCTGACTCCGTCGCCCTAGTTTGCACCGGGCCACCGGCAACCCCGGCAAGTCCGACGCTGACCGGTTCGCAAGGTTCCATCGTCGTGGCTTTGTACAACCCGTCGACCTTGCAACTGAATGGTGCGACGCACACGGGCTGGGAAATCCAGATTGACGACGAAAATGACGCGGACGATGTGTTCGAGGTGATCGCCTTCAACGACGCCAGTTCGCTCTCCTACACCTACACCAACAACGTCACCACGGGGCACAGCTACCGTGCGAAGATCCGGCTTTGCTCCTCCGTTGGCTGCTCCGCGTTGTCCCCCGTTTCCTCCTCGGTCAAAGCGGCCTCGGTCCCGTCTCCGGTCGACAACGTGCGGGCATTGGCTTCGGATGACGGGTCGGTGACCGTGGGGTGGGACTTCACGGGGTCGAACGGCGGGTCGGTGATCACGGGGTTTTTGGTCTACGTCGCGGACGCGGACGGGAACACGTACACGGCCACGGTCTCTGATCCTAACACGAAGCAGTACGTGCAACAGTGCGCGCAAAACGGGTTCAATGCGGCGAGGTACAAAATCTTTTACTTCTTTTCAATCGTTCCATAGAGGGAGGTGATATGTGATGAACATGAAGAAGAAGATGAGTTTGATGTGCCCCGCAGATTCTGTTCTGTTCGTCACCGAATGAAGGCACTAAGCATTTACTAAAAAAATCGAAAACCACAGAAAATTCCTTTTCTTCAACGTGGCGGCCCAGAACGCGAACGGCATTTCGGGTCTCTCCGACACGCTAGCCCGGCGCTGCTCCCAAGCCCCGGCGACCCCCGACACACCGACCTACGTCTCCTCCACCGCGACCTCGATCACGGTCTCGTGGCCCACCCCGGACATGCACGGGGCGCTGCACTTGTTCTCCACGGTGTTCGTCGACAACGGCGCCAACGGGGCGTTTGGATCCATAAAATTAACCGACATCACGCAGTCGCAGTACACGGCAACGGGTCTCACCAGTGGTAACACGTACCGTTTCAAGGTCGCGGTCACTTCCGAGGCCGGGCAGTCCGCGGAGTCCGGCATCCTGTCCGTCGTGTCCGCGACTGTGCCGGGGAAGGGGTCTTTGATCAAAGCAGCGTCGACCAACGGGGACATCACCTTGACGGTGCAGCTCCCCGAGTCCACCGGCGGATCACCGCTCACCGGGTACAAGATCTACGAGTCCACCGACGGGGTCAACTTCAACGCCGGAACCGCTTTCACGGACCTCACCGCCTTGAACTACACGAGGCTCGGCTGCAACTTTGGCAACAACTACTGGTTCCGCATGACGGCGACCAGCGGGGTGGGGGATTCTCCCTTTTCCGACTACATCCGCGTCCGGTGTTCCGCGCCGCCAAACACCCCGACTGCGCCGACGTTGGCTTCCTCCACGAAAACTTCCATCACGATCGGCTACAGCTACGGGAACATTGCAAATCTCAACAACGTATCAAATGCAAATATGTCTGGGTCTGGAAGAGTATTGTGCTGCTTGTGCATGTTGACACAGAAGGTATGGCATGCAAGGCCTAGCGTCACAGGTTTTGAGCCGGCTTCGCAATACCTCATCCGCATGAAAAGCGCCGTCTTTGGGAGGTGACAAGAAATGAGCAACTTTTGCGGTCCATGCATGACAGATTTTTGTCTGGTATGAAACGCGCATCAGAAGTTTACATGTTTCCAGACCCAGACATATTTGCATTTGATACAACGCGGTGTTGCAGGGGTACACGGTTTACATCGACGACGGGAATGGAGGGCCGTTTTTATCCTACTCAGTCTCGGATGTCACACAGCAAACGTACACGTTTAACAACCTGGTGACGTCTCTGCCTTATCGGTTCTTGGTGCAGATCATCAGTGACGCTGGGACGTCCTCCGTCTCCCCCGCTGCCACGTTCTATGCCGCGGCGAAAGCGAATAAGCTGCCCGATGATTCACTGTTTGTCTCCGCGAGCACAGCGAATTCGATTACGCTCGCGTGGGTGCAGCCGAGCACGTATTTTCGTTTGTGACAGTTTCGATCGTGGTTTTATTGCGTTTGATTTCTTGCTCGTTAGTTACAGTTCCTGCAAGCTGCACGTTGACCACAGACTGCATTCATCTTGTTCCGAATGCGAAAGCTAACACATGATTATGATTCATGGAAACAAAAACAACAGGTACGACAGCGGCGGCGCTCCGGTGACCAACTGGCTTGTGTGGGCCACGTCGGACCGGTATAATTTCCAACTATGCATGGTAAATATGTCATCTGGGTTTCCGGGAAGATTGCAAGAGTTCCAATGCTTGTCTGACATGGCCGTAGATGTTGTGACGCATGTCGCGAAAGGAAGCGCGGGCATGTCTATGCAAAAATGCGTAACTCCCGGCTCCGCAAAAACTTGTCACGCTTGGCTGACTACTGTATGTGTTTGGGGTTTGCCTTTGCGGTCTAGCATGACAACTTCCCGGACCCAGATGACATATTTGCATTTGATACCAACTCGGAGAGAACAACGCAAACATTCGAACCACTTCCGGTGCCGTTTTCACCGGCACTTACGTTCCCTGCGCGGTCGCAAATGCGTACGTGTTCTTCAAGATCGCTGCCTTGACTGCTGCGGGAGTTGGGGAGTACAGCGAGGGTAGACGATTCCGGTGCTCGCCCAAGCCGGACCGACCGAGCCCGCCGACCCGGTTGAGCTCGACGGACACGTCCATCACGATCCAGTTTGCGCCGGGGAATTTGAACAGCGGGATCCACTACGGCTACGCAATCTACGTGGACGACGGGCAAGCCGGGAGTTACACGAGGACCTTTGTCGCGGACACAAGTCAGACCACGTACACCGCGAGTGGGTTAACGACGGCGTTAGGGTAAACCAAGGATGGAACAACTTTTTTTTGTCCAGTGTCTGTGAGGGGATTCTTGCTAGTTTTGCATGGCAATTTTTATGCCTGGCAGCTCCACACATCACGCTTTCATTTTCTCGGTTTTTATGACAAAACAAACGTCAAATGAAACACCGCATGAAACAAACAACAGGTACCGCTTCCGGATCGCGGTTGTTTCTGAGGTTGGCGAATCAGATCCGTCTAACGCCGCGACCTTCTACCCGGGAAGCAGAGCGTCCGCTCCCAGCCCCCCGTACTTCATTTCCTCTACTGCAAATACCCTGACTGTTGGTTGGACTGCGGGTGCCAGCTCGGGGGGGAATACGATCATTTCTTGGAGGTTAGAGGCATCCAACACTCTGTCGACGTTCCCGGCGACCCCGGCGGCAACGACCGGGGCGGTCACATTGCAGGCGACGGTGCCGTGTACCAACATTGCCAATCAGAATCTGGTGCAGCAGTACGTGTACTTTCGGGTCGCTGCAGAGACGAACGCGGCTTTGGGATACTACAGTCCGGCGGTAAAAATTTGGCGTGCCGAAAATATTGAAAAGCATGATAGCGCTAAAAAAGTAGAAGAGGTCGTTTTTTTGTGAAGAAGGAGACGACACCAGAAGAATCAATCTGCATCTGGTATTAAAATCGAAAAGACCCGAAGATATAAAATCAGGTCCGTCTTTTCTGCGCCCTCGCGCCCGCGAAACCCACGGTTTCTGAAGAGAAGGCCAGTTCCAGTACAAGTGGAATTAAGCTCACCTGGGTGGAAGGCGACCTTTACCAGGCACAACTCCTCGAGTACAAAGTGTACGCCAACGACGGCCTTGGTGGGGATCTGAAGCACGTCGCCACCGTTGCGGATAGTTCACAGAGAAACTACGTGTTCGCGCCGGCGATCGCGAATAGACCCTACAAGTTCAAGGTGTCCGTCGTCAGCTCGGTCGCGGAGGGAGCTTTATCCGACGAGTACACGGGCTGGAGTTGCGGGTTGTATCAAATGCAAATATGGAGGACGTGGGTCTGGATAGGAGTGCATGAAAAAGTGAAATAAAAATAAAAAAAGTTATGCATCTTTTGAACCACGCAGATGGTGCTCGTCTAGAAAAATACACGCAAGAGCATTTTTACGGGTTCAACATTTGCGAAGGCTTGTTGATGCCTTGTTGTTCCCCGCGTGAGGATGAGAAATGTGCACTTTGTTATAGAAAGAAGTGCTGCGCAACTACTTTTGACGTACTGAAGTCAACAGCATCACAAGTTGGATGAACTGTTCCAGACCCAGATCGATATTTGCAAAGCATAGGTTGCCGAACGTGACAAATTCGATTCCAACCGTGAAAACCGGATTGGTGGTCGGGAATGATTTCCAACTGTCTTTGCAGTGGGGCGCGCCAAGTGAAGATGGGGGTTGCTCGGTAATGGTTACTTATGTCTGTTTTCGTGCTATCCTACTACTGCTAGCAAACGCATGCGACAAGAAGTTAAAGTTTTGTCATGCTGCATATAGTACTACGGTTACACTTACAAGTACAATCATCATTCATGGCGGAATAAAAACCTCTATGTATGATCATGATTTCCGTCAGGTTCTTGGTTACCGCGTGATGAAGGCCAACTACCGGCAGACGCCAACCGGCACGGAACTTGGCGACTCCGTTTACACCGATGTGCAGCCGGGCGGCGGTACTCCGGATTTCGACCTGGATCCAACGCAGCTGACCCTGATGAGTTACAGCACGAATATCGTCGTGGGCAACTTCCACAAGTTCAAAATTGCCGTCGTGACAAATAAAGGAACAACAGAAACACCCGAGCAGCTGATCAAGGTAAATGAGTTGAGGTTCTTTTTTTCTCATCTACTGCGTTTTTATGTACGACCACCAGCAGCACCGGATTCAATTTTTTTTTTCGCTTGAGTCGATGTCATCAAACAAGAAATCAATGATCTACTTATCATGATCATGACCTACGCTTTAAGAATTATGGCCACCTCTGAGTTTCTTTCGTATACGATCTGGATTTTTACTTCTCCTAGCATTCGGCGTGGCACATTGTGTGCTGAATACTTACAACCACTGATCTCACTTCTAGAAAAGTAAATGCATCCTCATTCCACTGAAAAACGACCGGGGAGCCGCGTCTCTGCGTTTCTTGTGATCAAACAGAGCCTGGCATTGCTCCAACGAAAACCCCAAACACTCTCAGGCCGCCGGTACTCCGAACGCCCTTGCCTCCGCACCAAGTCAAGACGTGAGCGGCTCTGGCCCGAACCAGATCAAGGTGACATGGGGCATTGTGCAGAACAACGGTGGAACCGTGATAGGGTATGAATTTAGGTTGCTCCTGTGTTGCCGCCGTCATGAACGAATTCCATAAAGCCATGCACGACCAATAAGCGACGACAATTGATTCATTGATTTGCGTTTGTGCAGCTCTATGATCTGTAGCTCCACTACATGCACAACATACTGGCTTCAACTTCAATCGCTTTCGCATGATGACTAAACCGTATGATCTCGGAAGTGCACCTCAGTTTCAACTTTTTTGAAACGATGCCGACCGAAAAGTCCAACACAGGTAAGTCTGAAAATGAAGAAATGACACTGATCAAGAACATGAAGCAGTTAAAGCATGAAAATAAAAAAAGCAGTTAAAAAGTTAGTACTCATCACTGCAGCACGTGCACGATTCATCGTTCATCCGCATGAGGAAAAACCAATTTTTATTAGGCACGGCTTTCTCGGCGAGTCGTTCTCTTTTTCTCTGAAAGAGGAGTTTTTGCCGAAGATGGCCTTGTCGAAGACAAACTAAACGAATTGGAGTAGTCTGAGATGTTAGAAGGAAAAAGCTACATGATCGTCTTAAAGAGCAAAGACAAGCACTGCTCGTGGTAGACCTGGCAGACAACGTTCTCTTGCAGTTTCTTCAGATAGCTGAAAGCGCTCTGCTGCTGCGTCAATCGAAATGAAATTTATAGTCATTTTTCAATATTATTAAAACTTTATTGCAGTTACAAGCTTTACCGCAACTCTGGTGGCGCGTCGTCCATTTCCGATGTTGCAGACACGACGTGCGGTATGGAGACCTCGCCCGCGCCCCAGTCCTGCACGGTCACCGGTTTGACCTCTGGTTTGAACTACCAGATGCAAGTTTCCACCGTGAACGAAGTCGGAGAGTCCGGCCGCTCACCCACCGCTTCCGTGTTCGCAGCTACGGTTCCGTCCCCACCGACCAACGTTCAAATCTCCGCCGCGACTTATTCCCCTCCCTCCCTCACCATCGTCTGGGACCCGTCCGCGGATCAAGGTTCTGCGGTCTTCAACTACGAGATCGCGATTTCCCTCGCCGCGGTGGATCAGCCGCAGATCGTGTCGATGGGCGGGACCGCGGCGGCACCCTGGAACTTGCTGTACCAACCCGCGTACACGGTGGCTGCGACGGACATCACGCCAAACCTCGTGGCGATATCAAGTGCAAAAGTGTCTGGGTCTGGAAGAATTCATGTTTGTCATGCTTGTCTATCATGACTCTTAAATCTGTCATGCACGTTACCCCAGAGCTCCGTTTTTCTGTGATGCAGAAGCGCAGTTTGTCATGCAGAATAGACAACACCTAGGAGCTCAGAAACTTTTCATGCTGAGCCAGCATCTGTGGCCTCATCATGAGACGCCACCCAGCATCACAAGTTTCCAGACCCAGACATTTTTACTTTTGATAGGCGAATTCGCAGTACAAGGTGAAGATCCGGGCGTTCAACTCCATGGGCGCCAGCGCCTACTCGACGTACACATCGTATGGAAGTGTCAGAATCGAAATCGTCAAAATCGAAAAATTTGCGATGCACAAAATCGATGCCAGTTGGAGCCTCAGTTTTCAAGTGGCGCATGACAAATTTCGGGACCACCAAAATCCAGTCTGTCATGCTGTTTGGGCGAAGCAGACTGCTCCTGTCGTGCTACTCTGGCAACACATTTTACACCCCTAAACAGGTTTACAATCGGTCTCATTTGCCTGCTTCCCAAAACAGGCCTCGCGTGCCCTACATTTTATGCATCACAAATTTTTCGATTTTGTTGATTTCGATTCTGGCACTCCCATACCTCGACTTCGGACGGGTACGGGTACGCGGTTTCCCCGCCGACCAAGATCACCGTATCGTAAGGAAAAATCCCCCCTCCCCATATCGAAAAGGCACGCTTTTGGAACTTTCTGATGCTGATTTGTAGTCACAAATCGCGCGTGTCTTGCTACAAAGCAACTCCACAGGCTCCGCCGCATTATGCAAGCGGTTTGTGATGCTGCTGGGGCTACAGCGTCGACATTTGCCATGGTTGGCGTCTATGTGAAGACCTGACTTCTACCCAGGCTCGGCATATGCCTGCAGTCCACTACTGCAAGACAAGGCTGATTGATCAGAAGCCTCGTTTTGATATGGGGAGGGGGGATTTTTCCTTCTGATACACCGGGGTGCAGAGACACGAAGATACGGTGGTCACCAACAGCACGATCAAAATGCAGTGGAACCAACTGCCCTTCACGGAAACCGGGCGTGGCGGGTCCCAAAACGCGGAGATTACCTACAAGGTGTACGGCGATCAGGTGGACGGGAAGCAGGGGACGCTGCTCGCTACGGTGGCGCCGAAAAATTCCGGCACGTCGGCGACCAACGAGTACGAGTTCCTGCAGGTCACTTCTGGCCAAGTCTGGTACTTTGCGATCGCGGCCAGTAACTCCGGGTTCTATGACTCCGAATTGTCCGACATCATCCGCATGAAGGCGGCGCTCCCGCCAGACAGCGTGAAATCCGTCACGGCGACCAGTGTCATACAGTCAAATGTACTTTTTCACGATAATGGATTTTCATTTTTTTTTTGTCGTTGTAGGTCGGTGCAAAGTAGTAAACGAATGGAAATTTGATTCCATGTTGCATTATGACGAGAATTACTTAACAAGAAACCACCAAAATGCTTCTCACTCAGGTTGTCCTCACGTGGGTGCCACCAGACAACGATGGTGGTGATACGATCATTGGTTACCTCGTGAGGAGCAACCAGGGCCTGAACACCTACATCTCGGTCGACAACACCATGACGTCCTACACGTTCACAACGGAAGACGCCAATGCCGACCGCGCGTTTGACGTGCACGCGATTAACACCGTGCAGAAATCCGCGGTATTGACGGTCACAGTGGGTATCCACCAGTGTCTGGGTGGCTGCACGCAGGCCAGCACGGTGACAGTGGCCGCCAGTAGATAAAAGAGGGAAAGAAAGTGGCGATCATGATGTCGGTCTGGGGTCATGGCCGTGGGAGATTTTTTAGGTCTCAAACATAATGTGTTGCAGATGTATTAAGGCAGCAGCACACGAAATAATAAAAGCGGTTTCAATTATTGATTGCACGGCGTTATTTGCGGAATGTACCCAGCTTGGAGTTGTGATCAGATTTGTTTATCATAATTTTATGCAGTATGTCGATTTTTTCTTTTTGTTTGTCTTACTTTTTTTCTCAGATAACAGTGCAGCAACGCAGGTCGTCAACTAAAAGCAAGATCTGTCGTGGCCAAATAATTCTTTAGTTTCTAGCAATTTACCTATCTGCGAACTTGTTTCTAAACTGGTTTTTTTCTTTTCGTACTTTTTTTCACTTTTACATTTAATACCTATCCAATGTTGTAACAACCTATTTCCCTTGTTTTCTGTCAGGACCTGGGCCAGCTTTCGCCGGGGACACGCTAAGCGTATTAAGGAGAGCGAAGAGCATCTCCATTGGCACGCGAAAGTCTGATTTCACTTCTAGACTCGAACGGCATCAGACTTATTTCTCACCGCACCCCGGTGGCGCCAATGAAGATGTCGTGCGATTTGGGGAACCTTCTCCTTAATTCTGTTGAATAACATCGTTACCGGCCGAGAATTTGATGAGTATGCTATGGATTACAAAATTTCAAAATGCTAGTGTCTTCCGGCCGGCCTTGACGCAAACTGACTACTAAAAACCTCGCGGTAGCTGGGGGGCGTTCTAGTCTTCGGTCTAGATCGTCGTCCTCTACCAGGCTTGTACTACCTGAAAGGAGAACTTCGGCTAGGGCAACAAGATAACACCAAGCAGCATCCGCACGCAGCATCCGACCCGAGAGTAGTCAGCCGGGCCATTTCTGAAGGCGCTGCGAGGTGGGCGGAGAGGCATCACGCTAGCAGTTGGACGGGAGCAAGGCCAGCGTTCTTCTGTGTGATGTTCGTCGTATACTGTCCTGCCTAGTTCACCTATGTAGGTTATCTCTCTCTCTCTCTCTAGTGAATATGGTTCAATGCATGAAGACAAAGATTATCAGAAACTTCAGTGTGTTGATATGAGTTAGTCTGAAAACATTTCTTACAGAAGACATCGGATAGTTGGTCATGGCAGTCGCAGTTTTTAATCAATCTCTCCTGGTATTAACGCCAGGTGCGGTCAGTCGCCAGAATGAAAATTTCTAGTGTCTTTGATTGACCGAAATGAGACGAAAACAGGATCCCAGGCACTCTAGATTGCAGGCAGAAATGCGACCTTGTCTCGATAGATTTTTGGTTTCGATAGTTTTTTCTTTGGTCAGAGCTTTGTTTCGGGAATTTTGAAGATAAAAGAGAAAGAGATATACACCTGAGATTTCACGCCGTGTTTCCATCTCACGAATAGATCAAAGCACGATGAAATACTAAATGCAAATATCACATTGGTAAAAAATACAAGAAGCAACGCCATTGTGAGAAGTTGTAGGTGCCTGCTAGCGCGGATGTTTGGTGCAGCACGTGGGTTGTTCGCGAGGAATTCGCGCGTATGAAAGGGCACTCGTTGGTGTGCTCCTTTTACTTTTTTTTGACCATCGCAGTGAACACAGCAGAGGCGTCTCTATAGAATGTACATCAAAAAAAGTGATCTTCACACACGCACGACAAGTTACTTAAGAAAAAAGGTGTACTATGCTATCGGTGTTGTCGAACATGTGTTATTTAACATGTGCGTCCTCGACGTAGTGGTCCGTCAGATGATACATGTATTGGTCACAGACACAGACATCGTGACATCAGCACAATAGTATCAATGTCATGATTTCTCGCGTCATCTTTTTCCTCATCCTCCTCTCGTCAAAACAAATTGTAGACGAAAATATTGATATTCTCGTTTTCAAAAGAATCTCACGCCCAGGTCCCACAATTCTCGCTGAGTTTTTGGATGTTGTTAATCCATAATTTTCGTACTCGGTTTTCGACTTAATTCGACTTAATACTTCTGGTTTTGCTTTTCGTTTTCCGAAACCGCAAGAACCGGAAAGGAAAAAGGAAATCCGGTATGTTGCGGGCTACAACCTCAAAACGAAGATATTCACAAAGCACTACCGTTGTCGCCCCCCCCCCCCGAGAGTCCTCTACAAGATTTTTGAATGACGGACACAACTTGCTTCTACAGAAAGCACAGCTATAACTGGTTCACGTGACAACGAAAAACAGAAACAAGTTAAAGCAGAAGTCATGATGAACATGCAGGAGCAGAAGGGGATGAACGAGATGTGTCGTGTGCGGCACGACCAGCACGGAGGTGACACTGACAGCCACGACCCGGAGGAGGGGTGGAACCCGCAGGAGTGCAACAAGGACGCCGTTGTAGTTCCGCAGCCCTCGTCATTTTCGCCGAGGACGCGACCGAAACAAGGAGGTCGCTCTTCTTTCATCGGCAACGTGGTTGGTGCTTCTTCTAGTTCTCTGGATCAACCTTCGCCGCGAGCGGCGGGTTCGAATTTTGTCGGGAGCGTGCACGAAGAAGAGAAGCAAGATCATGCTCCACGACGAGTTGAAGTCATCGCCACGACCACTGATGAGAGCAAGGGCGGCAGAGGCAGTGAGAAAGGTACTGTCCCGGCGGCAACTCCTCGAACTAGAAAGCCGACGGGAAGAAACGGCACCAGCATAGGGAAAAACACGGGTGCCAGCGGCAGTGCTCATCGTCAAGCTTCTTGTTCTGTCGCCGCGGCGCATCTTCACAGAAAGCAGGAGCACGTGGATATCAATCAGGAAATAACCGCGAGGACTGCGACCACGACGGGTTCATCGAGCTGTCAAAGTAAGAACTTATCCTGTGCGAAGCCCAGCCACAGCCTCCTATCTGGGGAACTCTCCCCTCCGAAAACGCTGGAGTCGTTTCTGGGGAGTGTGATGCAGCAGCCGGCGCCCGATTCATCTTTTGAACCGGCCGAATATCACCACCTCCACGAGGCGGCCAAGAAGACCACGAGCCCAGGAACCGCTCTTTCGCAGAGCCCGGCTAGCGGTGGGTGTGAAAGCCATGTCGAGCAGGATGTCCTGAAAGGTTTGTCACCAGAAAGAGAAAACAGCAATAAAAATGTTGCTGACATGACTAGTGAAGTAGAAGAGGGCACCACAAGGACGCAGCAGCTGGCTGGTCTCAAGGGCAATCATTTTAAGGAGCTAGATGCCCCCGCGCAACAGGATATATTCTCTGAAAATCAAGCAGCAGAGGGTCCTCAAAATGAAGACCAAGTTGGTCGACGTCCACACAAAATGATCATGCCCCTGAGCGTGAGCGGTACAACTTCTGACCCTCGGCCGCAAGTTCCGGCCGTTCTACCGGACATGTTCTGTGCTACACCGTTTTATGCAATGTCATCTGAAGAAGAAGAAATAGAAAACAAGAACAACGCGGAAATTGAATCGGATTCGGGACATTCTGACTCGAGTGGTGATGATTTGTGCAAGATCAAAATTCCAGACCTGGACGAGTTTGATGACCCAACGCCAACCGCGGGACAGATAAACTACAACGCGCAAGAACCGAAGCCGGTGGTTTCCCTGCTGGACCTGCCTGACGATTTGATCGCGGATCAGATTTTCACGAAGTACCTGAACCTGCAGATGGTTTCTCGCTGCGCCGCGGTGTGCACGCAGCTGAATTTTGTGGTAAAGCAGTTCTGCCACCCTTACCTGGAGATGGAGGAGCTCCGGGTGCTGGCGACGCTGCGACCCATTCCGGAACTCTGGATGCCGATTTTGGAGGCGAAGCCCGTGCGCGGATCAACATCCTCGTCAGCAACGTCGCTGCTTAGCAACACGCCTAGCAGCACCTTTACCGGTGTTTCTGACCAGCACACCAATGTCAACAACGCTTGGGCGCGGCGGCTGCGGAAGGTGGCCACGGGCCACCAGAAGCTGAATAAAATCTTTAAGCCGTGGGAAGTTTCAACATCTTTTATCGAGGGCAGTACGAACGACAAACACGAAGAGAGACCCGCTGCAACTTCCTGCCCTCGTCCCACGACTTCTTCCCTGGGTCAGAGTCTTCTTTTCCTGGAGAAGTTGGCGGACTCCATGAGCTTGGTGAACGAGCAAGATAAGACCCAGCAGGTAGAAGTTGATTACCTGCGGCGCATGGCGCTCCGCCGCGCTGCGGTCCGGACGTTTATCCGCACTTGGATTGGCGGAATGACCCTGTACGCAAAAGCGTACGAAAAGCATCTGCAGCCTAACCAAAAAAGTGAAATGGAAGGGCATTTGATATTTCCGCATCTCTCGGCCCGGAGCAGAGTAAAAGTCGCGTGTTACGGTGTCAACGTCCTCGAAGGCGAAGAAGATGAGGAGCAAAACATTGGAAATACGCATAGCAAGAATCTTGAGAACAAGGAGCGGCCAGCGTTCCACAATGCGGTTCTTCTTTCTGAAGAGAACGGGAAAATCATCTCCACCTCTTCTTCGAATATGTCAGGCGGCCTCGATATGAGGTTTTCACCGTTGCAGGACGTAGTTCTGAAGCTGGAAATGGAGAAAACAGTAGTCGGTCGTGCAGGTGGTGTGCCGCACGACCAAGCCGAACAAGAAATAAACACCGGCGGATTTACATCATCATCTCCGTTAATAACATCGTCCTCTTCTTCGGCTGTTGGTGTTGCAGCTGAAGATGCCCCCGCGGTTACTAGTAGTAAAAAACCCCCTGCTTCAAGAGCTACAGAGCAACTCATCGTCCGCGTTGGTATTTTTGAACACGATGGTTTGGCAACACCCTCTACTTCCCGCGAAAATAACATAATCTCTCATGATGCGCATTCCACCTCCGCGTCCGCTCCCGAGTCTCTAACTTCCACTGCGCACCTACAGCAAGCGGAGAAGATGGTGTCAGCACAACAAAAGAAGAATTGGAACAACAATTTCTCGAAGAACAAAACTTACATTTGCCCGCCTTCGGCCCAGGAGGATTCCTTTGACGTTGCTCCCGCCGGCACGGGAGCATTAGGCGGAGTGAAAAGGAAAATCGGAGAGGACAGCGGCAAGTCATCTTGCTCCGGCAGTTCAGCTGCTGCTGGTGCTAATACAAATTCTAGCGGAACAAGAACTACGATGAACATTGCAGGAACCACGACCACGATGGTTGATGTTGATGTAGATGGCCAAGTCAGAAAGGACGTCGAGAACTACAATGATCAAGCTGGAACAAGTACAAACTTAAGCTACATGCTTGGTTTCACAGACGAAATTGGGCCAGCCGGCCTTCCGTTTTTCGCGCAGAACTTTCTCCAGATCCAGCTTTCCGCAGTCAAGGAAGCAATGAAAAACTTGGACGCGTTTTGGGATCGCGAATTGGCGCAGTTCGTTTGCGAGGACAAAGGTTGTACGAAAGCGAAGCCCGAACAAATGGAACATGTGCTACAGTTTTTGCTCCTGCAGCAAGAGGAGCAGGTTCGCGAGACGCCCGCATTATTTGTGCTACCCCAGAGAAAGGTACTACAGGCAGGTCAGATTTGTAACGCAGAAATGAACACACAAAAAACATATCCTAAACAGCATGCTATGGGGCCGCCAGCGACAGATTTTTCTGTGTATTTGCTTCTTGCATTACAAATATGCCCTGCCTGCTTTTTAGTTTTTTCTGTGTGATAGATACCCACCAAAAACTACGTGCAGGAAGTGACGCAAGCCTACCGTGACTGGTTGCGGGAGAAGCTGGAGCTCCTTTCGAGTGAGCGCCTTGTAGATATGGCGTTTTCAAACGTTACATTCTGCTGTTACATGAATTTGTCATGCAAAAGTACCTTAAGCCGGCAGATGATCGAGCTGCTTCGCATGACAAATTTCGAAAGGGCTAAACAGCACCTAAATCTGCGCCAAACTTGTAATGCAAAAGGCGCAATCTTCCTCCTTTGCCTTTCACATTTGCCATTTTTGCATTACAGATCCACGTAACAGTTGAGAATGTAACATTTGAGAACTCCATAGTAGACCCGAAGGAGAAAGAGGAGTTTTTCAAATACGCCCAGGCGGTGTTTTTCCGCGAAGCGGACTATCTGCATCGGGAGTCCGCCGAAGATTTGGACGACGTAATGATCCGGGCAGCGGCACCCCCGCCGACTGGATCATCATCGATTGGAACAACTCGAGCCGATACGAGTACTGCCTCGAATAACTCGACGAACAGAACTACAAGAGAGACGAATTTTGACTACGGATTGTCGGCCGATGAATATATGGAAAAGATGAAGCTGGAACAAATGGAAAAAGCAAAAGAAACTGCTTCGGCTGCCGCTGCAGAGGAAGATGAAGAAATTTCGTCGGACGGCGACGCAAGCGACGGAGATCACGGGGACCAGGATGAACGCGCACAACTTCCAGGTCGTGCTGGAGACGATGAACAAGCATCGAAGCCAGCGAAGAAGCGTCCGAAAAGAGCCTCCAACTTGGGGAAAAAAGAGCAAGGGGGTGGGGAAGTCGATGTTCACACCACGACGACACCGCACAAAAATAAGATGACTGATTGGTACGACGAACGAGGACACCTAGGACAACTGTACGAAAAAAGCATCGCCTTGTGCCGCAAAACGTCAGCCTTTCTTCCCAACCTGCTGCTGCTCCTCCGAAACAATTTTGTGTACACCGAATGGACCCTGTGGGCCGACACGGCTCTCAATCTTGCCGAGCATTTGCGGTTGACCACGGCTTTAGAGTTGCTGAAGGAAAAAAGTTCTAGCACCGCGAACTATTTCTCGCAAGCCGAGCGGGAGCGGCTGGCAGCGCTGCCGGAGCAGATTGCCCGGTTCGAACAAGAAGTCAACCCGGTGTCGGCGGAGGACTGCCTGGCCCGGGCCTGGTTGATCTTCTCCATGGCGATTGATCCAAAGTCGTACGCCGATCGCAATGACGCTTTTCAGTTTCACGCGGTCTTCCAAGTTTCGCCGGAAAAAGAACGCGGCTTGGGGGTGAACACGATGAAGCGAGGAACTGATCCTGTTCCGGCTTCAGGTTCAGGTTTAGCTCCCTCCGCTCCTTTGTCTTCGTCATCCAGATTCATCCAAATTGGTCCTGAAACTACAATGGTGCCCGCGGCTAGTAGGACCACGACGACCGGAGGAGCTGGTGCAGCAAGTAGCATGAGTCAAAACCCCGGGGGCGTGATGGGCTACAGCCACGATCTATACGGAAGAAATACCAGCAACCCGCCCCGAACAAACAGCACTATGACACCGACACCAAGCGGAACAAGCGCGAACACCAACCATGATTCGGCTTCCGGCAGCCGGGTCATCTCAAGTCATGTCGTCAGTCGTGAAGATACTGCTCCGGCACGGCAGACCGGCACCGAAGATACCGCTGCCGTCACGACAACCGACGTGCAGCACAGTCCTCAAGAGCAACAACCTCCGCCGCAAGAACGTGTGGCGTTTCCAGATGAAAATTACGACGACGAATACGACCCGGAAGCGGAGACGAAATACATGGAATGGACCTACCAGCAGGAAGAGGAGTACCATTTTAACGTGGTCACGGAAAAGGTGAGGCTGCTGCAGAAGTTTTTCATGGAAAACAACTACCGAGGGTGTGAAAGCCACCTGTACTACAGCGTTCAGAACTCCCTGTGTCACAAAGTGGTTGACCTGCGGCGGGGGAATCCCATCGCCTTGTGCACCTTCCTGGGGAATTTGGCATCGCAGCAGGGACTTCTCGTGGAGTACCTGCCGCACGTGCCGGGCCACGTGTTTATTCGCATTGACGGCTACTGCGCGTACGAGGAGGTTTTGGGTGGAACTGGGAAGGAAAACAATTTTCATTCCAACAACAATTCTACAACTCCCGCGGGAACAAGAATAGCTGGGTCAGGAGCGAGGTCGTCCGGTGGAAATAACATCAATCAGAATATTAACTTCTGCCAAACGGAGCAACAGGTTTCGCTGGAAGCGTCACTTAGAGCAGGACTTGGCCAGGCCACTAGTGATCATGGTGCAGGCACTGTACAACTACATGAGGACGGCGACGGAAACTACATGAAGCGGAGAAAGAAGCTGCAGCACCTGCTGAAAATGGAGAAGCGCATTTTTATAGATCCACATGACCCCAACTGCAGAACTTTCGCGAGCGCGAACGATATCCTCCTGCGCGTATTAGTGGTATCGTGCTCGTAAGTGGAAGTGCATGCATGAAGACCTCCACGACACGTGGCAATCATATGCATTGTGATTGTTTTTTATTCATCCTACCGTCTTTTTTGAAGGAGATTTGGATGCTCGACAAACTTGCTATCAAATTCCAAGTCCTTGAATGGTACGATATCATCTTTGCATTGCATAACTGAGCTGCGGGAGCATTTGTTGCGGCAGTGGGGCTTGCTGTTTCAACCGGCGCTGTTGCAGTTGAAGATGCCCAAAATCATGCAAGTCCTTCTCTGGGTGAGCCGGTTATGATAGTGCAGCACAACTGTCCCTCAACATTCCGCCTGCAGGTGGAAGAGCCTAAAAAAGAAAAAGAGCGTTTTACTCCTGCGCGGGAGATGATAAGTATTACATTCGAAATAAGACTTGTTTTTAAGGCAGCGTCGCGTTGCTTCTGTCTCGTCCTTTGCAGCTATTGGAGATATTACCATGACATTTTTGAAAACCAACGGGCGGAAGAGGAGGCGGCTGTGCACTTTCATACCAATTGGTAAAGAATCTCGGAAATTGCGACGACAGCGGGGGCTTTATGCGGGAGGCGCACGCGGTCGAAGATATTGCCTCGCAAGTGCACACGGGATTAATCGCCAGGTTTCAAAACGACGAGCGCCTGAGGGGCTTTTAGGGAAGAGGTTGGGGAAGATGTTGAAGATGCTTCTTGTCGCACCTCTGGTCGAATTCGAACCAGCCATGGGCTTGCACTTCTGACGTGTTTTGGGAAATCTAATTGTGTACTGTAAAGCAACCACAAAACCAACTCGAACTCTGGGCGACACCTATCACGTAGTCCAGGGGATTCCTACAATCAACGAATCCTATTCAATAGGATTGGGAATCAGAAAGAAGACAACTTAAAAGCCATGATTGTGTGTTTTCGGATTGTTTAGTCTCCTGAGGCTTTTCGTCGCTTAACTGTAGTATTAGAAGAAAAGAAACATTGCATTTCGTCAACGTATGGTAGACAAGACGATAGTATAGCGACTTTGATTTTTGGTAGATGAAAAGAACAAGAAGAAGAACTAAAAGTCAACGCAGCAAGATTCGGATGGGCATGTCACGCTTGATCAGGCAAGCAAATGACTTTCAGGTACGTACTTAAGTACTACGTCATGCACAGGCTTGAGTAGTGCAGTGCAGGCGCGATCATAGGATCACCTGACACGACTACAGTTTATTTTGAGGAAAACACTTACCTTAAACTTGATGACATTGACTGGCTAGAAATATGTGCGAAGCGCTCTTAGAGGTTCACCTTTTTGTTCTCGTTTCAGTTTTATGGTTCGTTAGGAAGGTAGGGAAAAGGGAAAAGGGTATGAGCAGAAAGAAGCGACCTGATAAGTACAAGAACTGATACAACAACACGTATTGTTTGGCGCGATGTGGTAGGCTAATTCTGCAGAGTTTGGTTTCGACGAAATGGTTGAAAACGGCTGTAAGATGAGAAGCTGTGAACAACGAGAAATACTCAGTCAAGCATGGTTGCACGAAATCTAAAGACCACGACATTAACGGCATGGCCTTGTAGTTTCCCGACAAGAACGAGATCCTGTGAAGATCAAGGCACTACTACTCCGAGTACTACATGTACATTCGGATTCTATAAAAGGCTCCCCCCAGCCTGAGCAGGCTTCCGGAACTGGCAGCAAAAGCAGTTTCACTTTGTCTTTCTTCGCATTTCCACTCTGACATTAGCGATGCAACGGCAGATGGTATTGCGTTTTGTAGACTGGTGGCGCCGCGGTGTGATGATGTTTTCAGATACGGGTACGTAGGCTTTGTCTTATCTTATGGAAAAAAAGCAAAAAATGGAAAAAAGCAAAAAAAAAAATTCATCTACGACTCGGCTTACAACTCCTACTCCTGATGAATGTAACTCCCTTGACGCGGCTCTTCCTGTCTAATATCAATATCTGCAACAGTGTGCAGTGCCTCAGAGCTGCACAGCGTCGAGGGGAAGAGCAGCCATATGGCTTCATGAGTGGTTTCCTCGTCTGTTCTTTTTTTCCTGTGGCCGCCCGATGTCAAAAACAAAATCAAATCTCCGCAGAAAAAAACTGCAGAAGAACTGAAGATGAAGTTACATCGTTGATGCTGTAAATGTTTTACTGCGAATTTTCAAACTTCGTCTTCATCCGGTGTGATGAAGTTTTTGTGTCGTCGCCTGTCGATCCGTCAACCGAGTCATTGTCTATGCCTCTTGTCCTCTTCGGTTTATGTTGTGATGCCACTTGTTTTTTGCAAAACGAACCGTTGCCTTCTGCAGCAGCAATCATCGACGACCGCAGCGATAATTAGCAAGTTCTGCACGAAGACGCTTCAAAATGCGAGTTAGCCAGTACAGTTTCAACGCAAGCATCTCCATATGGATGTCTCCTGAAATTAGAAAGCTTAAAAGAAATAAGGAGTGCGAAAAATCGTGCAGCTGAAATTTTTGTTTTTAACAGTGATATTATCTACGGTAAGGAAATAGCTCATGTATACCCTCCCGGACAAAACACATCGCTCATTGCAATAAAAGCCACAAGACTAATACTGCTTCTCTAAATAAGTAAAACTCAAATTTAGCGATAGCGTTAGCGAATGTGCCCGTACAAGGCTTGTGATGACAGAGGCTTACTAGTAGAGTGCCTGCCTAGATGAAGACTTCGACTAGCAAGGACATCCTGACGACCTTGATCACGACTAACTACGCAAAAACAGAAGGCATTCAGCATACTACGGTAGATGATCTAGTACACATCCATAATGAACGTTGTAGCCTTCCGAACTCGCCTTGATGAATTTTTAGCAGGAGGTACCTCTTTCATTCAGTATTCGCATCCAGCTCACGGCTACACACGTTCTTGAAAATCCTATCACATAGTGCTAAGTAGTTTTTCTGTTTGTCAATCTCTCTTGCATTATTAGCGGTCGCTCAAAATTCGCGAGTGCTCTCTGGTAATTGTCGCCTTGTAAGTATATGTATTGCATTTGCACTAAGACTGACAGGCTCTTCACGCAGCACAACAAGAATGCATAACTATGGTATTATCGCGAACGAATCGAAAAATCTTCCTGTTTTTAGTAGGGTCTTCAACGGCGATTTTTCCAAAATATGGCGAAAACAAAGTTCGGTCTGTTTGACGTGCTGTCTCTCATCTGCGTTGCTAGCCGCATTTAAAATTTATAACGACCAGCGATATTGTGCAAGTGTAGACATTTAGTATGCCCTTTTTGATCGCTCTTAGATTTTAGTCAGTAAAAGTTAGTCAGTATATTAACTCCAGTTGTGAAAAAAGTCGCAAATTGCCGCAAAGCTGCTGTCACTGCTATTGATTCGCTGTTGCCCTCTGAGAAATTCAAACTGTCTTGCGTCGCTTAGGAATTGTCGTCGTCCCGCACTGCAGTTCTGCCATGAGGACCTTGGTACCTGGTCAATATCAACCGTGGCGGAACAAATCAAATCGCTTTTTTTCCGAACCTTTTCGCTTAGAAGTCATTTTCAACTCATCGTGAATCTACCATCTTGAACGAATAAGTGAACAACCACTTCGTTGATTCATCTTGATGTGCACATTTTCATCAATCGACATAGTAGGGAACGAACAGGTGTAGAATTCAGGAGATTATACCGTGAAACAATAAATAGAAACAGCAGGTCGGTGAATAAATTGAAGCATCTGGTGACTCAGACTCGAGGTCGTCGGTCTAGGAGTTAGAAAGAGAACATAAAGGTCTCTCTATTGTGCCTTCCATGCACCACATTGGATTTGTCTTTCTGCAACAAGTTACTCTTAAAAATACTTCACTGACACATAATTAAAGTTTTCTCGCACGACGACAGAAGATTCCTTCTTCAGCGAATCGACATTGTGTAGGCAACTGCACTTTTTCCGAAAGAAAAATGGCGGCTGTCTCTTCGTCTCTGGAAGACAGCGAGCGGGGCGCCGTCGCGTTCCGCCACACGGTGGTGGAAAGCCTGCTGCAGGTGGCCGAAGAAATGACTATGTTAAAGTACGGGCGAGGATTGCCGACGGACCAGATGCGGACACTCTTGCGTACCATGAATTTCCTTATTTTGGCAGTACTTTTCGAAGATTTGTGATGCATACTGCGATTTTTACCATAACCATTGCGCATGCATGCGCTAAGAGTAAGATGCAAGATGTTATGCAGGTTCGAAGATGTTGATGATGCGATGAACATGAGTTCAACTCGAGTTTCCTAGTACAAAAAAGAAAAAAAATACAAACAGACCTCGAGCAGAACCGCAACGGCTCTACGCTTGGTGACGAAGATGTTCTGTTTGAGAAATTTGCGATTGGCAAGGGCATCCAGGAGGTCGTTGACGCTTACAATGCAGTGGACGGGAAATTGCTCTTGCCAGAGACCGGGGAAACCTTCAAAGTACTGAATTGTGGCTCGTCGATTTTGTTCAACGTAGATAGCGCGATAATGCAGCCTTGCAAGGTCGTTTGTTCACTCATCCAATCTTTTTTCCAGGGTAGTTTGCCCACCACGATACACTCGGCCACTTCCCTTCGGTGATAGAATTTATTTAGAAAACAAGTGAAGCTGTAATATGTTCCAAATTTTTTAGGTGAAACTCGCCGCCCATCGGTGCAATTACGAGGAGCTTCTCACCTTTGCGGACAACCTTCGGGGCGACGCTTTTGCGGTGTGCTCCATCGCGTCGGATGTGGATACCAGTGGGAGCATGAAGCGGGATTTGTCATGCTCCACTACATCCGCTAGCTCGACGACGTCCACTCGAGCCGCCACGGTGTCTACAGGCCCGGGCGGAATACCGACTCAAAGGACAAAGCACTGCAACGCGACGCTGCAAACTAACATGATCGCCGAGCAACAGGTCCAAATTATGCAAAGTCAAAGTCAAGGTGCAGCAGCTGCCCAACAAGTAGGAGTAGCTGCTGGTCAACACGCTGCGCACCAACAAAATTCCGTACCGTCATCTTCTACTTCGCAGAGCCCGAACCTGAATCACCCCCTCCAGCACGACCAGGTGACACAACAGCAACAGCACCAACAACCGCTGACGACCAAGCAACTGCGCAAGTTGCAGCGCGAGGAGCAGCAGCGGCAGGAGGAACTGGAGGAGCTAATAGAAGCCGAGAAAGTGCACGACTTGGTGTCCGAGGTGATTGAACTAGTGAGGTCCACGGGCGGGGACGCAAGCACGAAGAACAGCAACAGCTCTTCTAGCACGAACGCGAACACTAGTAGCAGCGAGCCTGGCACGAACAGCTCTTCGAGAACCTTCCACGAGATCAGCCCCGTGGCGCAAGAAGCGTTAGAGACCGGCATGGTGCAGCACAGCGGAAATCATGTTGATCAGCAGCAGAACGCTGCTTCGGCCGCAGGAGGTGGAGCAGAAAATCTAGATCTGTCAACGCCGATCACGTTTGACGACATTGGTTCCAGGCCGACACAAAGAACCATCGCAGGGAGTGCGAAGCTGATGGTGCAACAGCAACAGCAAGATGTGCAGGGCGGGGGCTTTCTTGCGCCGCAGAATAATGTTCCGCCACATCATTCGGCTGCTGGCGGGTCCGGCTCGGGTAGTTCTCTTCAACACAATATGGTCGCGCCAGCAGGCCAGCAGCAACATCATAGTAACCAGCATCGTCGTGGCAATGGCATGCTTGCGCCGGAGAACGTGGCGGATGCGGTTGGCTTCCAGAACGCGCAGGAAGGGACTGGGTTGTCCATGGGGTTTAACCCCTTCCTCCCGTCGAAACTGCAGCCGCCGGGCAACATGCCGCTGCCCCCGATGCCCATGTCGATGCCCCCGGCAGGAGGAGCTGGTGGCGCACCGCCAATCCCGACGCAGAGGACCAGTGCGGCCTCGCAAGCGCTCTTCCCAGACCCGTTTAACAAAGGCGGGCATCATCTTCCAACGCACCCGGCGCAGCACCACCCGGGAGGGGTTTCTCCTCCTTCCGGACCATTTCAACATCACAACAGCGCTAGTACAACAACTCTCCCACCGCCTGGAGGTGTCATGCCACCTGCTAATATGTTGCACCGTGGCGAGCAACGAGAAAGGCGTCATCGAATGCCGGGTCCCTCGCAGATGCCTCCGCCACCGGGATTGCCGCCGCCGCCGGGATTGCAAGGAGGACACCAGCGCCAACACCACCATCTTCCCGGGAGCAGTGGCCCGGGAACAATCATGAACCAACACCCGCCCCACCAGCACATGAACCATCAACAAGCAACCAGTAGCACGCCGACCCACTTTCCCATGCCGCAGCGCCCAGGACTGCAACATCCACACGCTCTAGACAGTCCGCCCCCGCACTCCGTGAGCATGCCGAGTCCAACCTCATCCGGCGGAATGAGCATGCCCCTGCCCAGTCCGCCGTTAAGTGTGATATCGGAAAGTGCAAGAACCGACGCACAGATGCAAGGGCAAGGGTAAGAGTTTGAATTCGTTCTGTTTATGTTTTGTCTTGCTTCGTGCTATTGGTTCAGGTCGTTGTGGATTATTTAAGGAAAACGAATTTGAAGCAACTATAAGCAGGCAAGGATGAAACATGTTTGATATTGCTGTGTGAAGATGGATGATATGAGCGTTTCTTGCATTGACATTGAGATCATCATCTTCCACTTGCAGAAAGAAAAACCGAATAAACAGCAACTTCGTCTTAGCCAACAACCCGCAGCATCAGCACAGCCTGACACCCCGCACGCACTTGGACCATCCCGATTCGGGAAGAAATCTGTATTGCGTTTTGCTTCTTGATGGATCTCGATCTACTATAGTAGTTGTGATTTGTCAGGAGAATGTTCTGAAGTTAATGGACAGGTACGTAAGGACGAGCTTCGGCTTCTGTGCAAACTCCCACCACGGAGAGGACTTCTTTTTCTTGTAGTTTGGGTTTAGGTCTGTCCATTTGGTATGCCGCTAGTGGCCTGCCGATCGGTGCGGGGGTGCTCTGTTTCTTTCAGAGTTGTGGTCGGACCTTTACTTGGTCCTCCGGAACTTCTTTGGGGATTCGACGTGGGGCTTCCTCCGGAGCTTTCTCCGGAACTTGCTCAGAACTTGGGTAAGAACTTGCCCAAAACTTGTCTCGGAAGTTGCCCAGACCTTTTTTTTTTGGCATTTTTGGCGCATTTTCTTTTCTCGTTTCACGGTGGGACAGCCAATTTTTCGGTTTCTCTTTTACGGCTCACGAAAAAAGCTTGCGCAAGTTCCAAACAAGTTCTGGGACAAGTTCTCGGACAAGGTCTCAGACAAGGTCTCAGACATGTTCCGGGAGAGTTCCGAAGTGAGTCTCGGGGCAAGTTCCGAGCAATGAGCCTCCGGGGAAAGTAGGTTCGTTGGTCCGGAACAAGGCCCGGGGCAGGCTCCTGCGCAGGCGCTCCGCGAGCAAGCTCCTCGGGGAATAATTGCGGAAATAGCTAGCCCCGCCAAAGGGGCCACGAGGGTGGTCCGGGCCCTGTCTTTGTCGGCGAGAGTGTTTCGCACCGTCGAACCGAAGTGCCGGTCTTCGGCACCGCCAGCGGCCGACGTGCTCTTTCATGGGAGCGTCGCCGTGGTGTGATCCGGTTCGGGGGCCTCGCAACCCTAAAGCGGCCAGAGGGCCACTCCGGGGGTTTTTCGGTTTGTGAAGGAGGGCGGGCTGCGAGGTGTCACGGCGTCGGAGGTCGCCTGGGTGTTGGCTCGGCGCAGCCAAGCCTGCTCCCCTCTCGGCGCCCGGCGTGGATGGGCCGGCTCCAGTCGTCGGGCGGGCCCGCCGAGGATGTTTCTATCTTGTTGTCATCGCGCGCGCCCCCGAAGCGCTTTGCTTTATCGCATTCCAGCAAACGAAGCCGCATGCCCTCGTGTAACGCGCGTTACACGATGGCGCTGTCCCTTCATCCTATCTCCTGCTGCGCTGGTGTGGCATGCTCCCGGCTGTAGACGCGCTGTCTCGCCACAGGGCGACACTCGCTCTCGCGCCCCCCCTCCGGTGCAACACCTCAAAGAAAGGCCTGCCTTCTTGTCGTGCCCACAGCCGCGAGCACGGACAGGCGCTCGGCTGTGGGGGAAGTATGCCGCATCGTGCTCATCTTCGGTTGGTGTGCAAGCGTGTTGCCGTAGCGTTTGGCCGTCGTTTAGAAGGTGGTTCATCTTGGTGCGCTGCTGTCTCGCACCAACGTGCAGCCGGCATCCACTTGAGCAGTATAGACCGGCGGAAGGTTGGGCCCCCGTTGCCTGGAACCCCGGCGCCCTTTTGTATTGCCCCAACCGGAAACCGGCCCGACAAGTTCTGCGCAAGTTCTGGGCAAGTTCGGCACCCCATACATCTAGACCCATGCTTTCGGAGTAAGCCTGAAGTTAATGGACAGGCACGTAAGGACGAGCTTCGGCTTCTGTGCAAACTTAAACCAGCCTACTAAACTTTGAAACCAAAAAAAAACAGCCCCCCTTCCGCCTACGGTCCAACCCCGCTCCACCGGAGTGTAAGCAAAGCGACGAACAGTCATCCCTACGGAGTTGTTGTGCCCGGTGGGGGGCCCGTGATTACGCAGCGAAATAACCCGGAAGCTGCTGCTGGGAGCTCCTCCTGCGCGTCCTCCTCGTCCAATGCAAGCTCTTTAGGAACAAATCGGCCTAGCAAAGAAAAAGGCTCCTAAACGCCGACCAAATGAAAACAAGACGGCAACTAACGGGGCAGAAAAGCACGAAAGGGCGGCCCAAGAGCGCCCCGGCCTTTTCAGGTTGTGCCCCTTCTACCCTGACGCGCGCGCCCTCGTTCCGTGTGCCAATTGGCGGCCTTCGGTGGCACCAGCGGGAGCAGCGCGAATGTCTATGCGCGGCTGTGCGCGCATGCCTTCTGGGCTGTCCGGCCACCGGCGTGCTGCTTAGCGACTATGGCGAGGACTATTTTGCGACAGGCACCCTCAAAGCAGACGCGCCGCTTTTTGACAGGCACCCTCAAAGCAGAGCACGAAGCGCCCGGAAAAGGGAAAAGAGGCCTTTTCCTGAAACTTGGCGGCCCGAAGTTGCAGAAAAAGGCCTCCAAATGATTGCCGCGAGCAAGTGCGCGCGCTTGGTCTGACTTGGCTTCTTTGGCTCGGGCGATGCTTCCTCGCAATTGTTGGGCGTGCAGCTGGGGGCGCGGTTGGGTGCAAGCCGGCTTCTTTGCTGCGATAGCTGCGAAGAAACTGTTGTCTGAGTCTGGCCCGAGGGGCCCGGTGACCTTCCGCCCTAGGCCCTCGCATTTGTGCCTGGCCGCTAACTGAGTCCTTTTCTGGCAACTTGCGGCTGGGAACTTGTCCAATTTGCGCGTCTTCTTTTTGTGTTTCTTGGTGTGGGCTCTGGGGGCAAAAGAAACACCTCGAAAGCGCCACTCCCTATCGCAGCCTGGCGCCCCATGGCCATGGTAGTGGACATTTTGAGCGCGCTTCAGAAGCCACACAGTTGCTAGGCCGATTTCACTCCGAAGCTCTTGCGGAACGAACCACCGAAACAGAGCTTTTTCCGCGCAGAACAAAAGCAATAAATGCGTCGGGTTTCACACGATCCACCATCTTCCAGATCACGTTTTGCAGCAGGGAACGACAAATAATTCTGCGAGCAAAGACAAAGTAGACCACCAGATGACCCCGGTGGCCAATCATAGCAATACGACCCCAGGCGCCTCTAGTACGACCAACACGCCAACGAACGGTGGAGGAGCAAACAGCCAGGCCTTGACGAAGAAAGTCCGGATTTACCAAGCATTGTCGGTCTACCGGATGAGACATTTCTATGGCGTTCTCAAAAAATGTTACATTCTCAACTGTTACACGATTTGTCATGCAAAATCACAATCAGAATTGACACGCTCAAGCTGCTTCGCATGACAATTTCTCGAAGAGCCAAACAGGCTGAGAATCTGGGCGGAATCTGTCATGCAAGACGCGCAAGGTCATCCCTTTCACCTTTGCCATTCTTGCATGGCAAATTTATGTAACAGTTGAGAATGTAACAGATGAGAGCGCCATAATTTCTCTACCGACGTGATGCTCGGAAAAAACATGGCGGGACAGAACGCACTCGTTGGGGAGCAAAAATGCTCCTACGTCATGCACAACGGAGTGTGCACGGCCTGCATGACGAGCTCCACGGTGTCGGGGGGAAGCAGGTATAGTAAATTGCGTGGAGAACTGCTGTTAGTAAACAAAAACAAGTGCAGCTATAATCAAGAATGCTTCTGTTTCTGATGCTGTTGTGTGTTGAAAGTTGTTGTAGCAGGTCTTTATTGTGGTGGTGCTCATACACACACGCATGAAGAATTTGAAGTCTTAAAGTTAATGTGAAACAAATGCCAGTACCAGTAGACCTCAAAGAATTTCAATGCCGCAAAAATCGACCAGATCTTCGTCCTCCACCACTTCTTTCTCCTCCCGAACGAAACTCACCAACATTTTTGACATCTCCGACCCGACGACGAAGGCCGTCGTGGAAATCACACGGCAAAATTGGATTGAGGCGTTTGTGATCTTCCCGACGATCATCGGCGTGAGCAAAGCGCCATCCCTGAACCTCTCTGCGGAGTGGGATTTGGTGAAGAAGGTCTTCGCGTACGCGTACAGCAAATCCCAGGGCAACCAGCACATGCACTTACTGGGCAACATGAACAAGCAGAAGGTGCGGAACATCGCTTCCCTACCCACGCCGAAGTCGAGCGCGACCAACATGGAAATAGACGTACAACTACAACAGCATCAAACTAGCAGCTCCTTGCAACTGCTAGCAGCGACGTCCACTGGTGCAGGTGGAGCTGGTACACAACCGGTTGTAATATCCTCCACTGCCGGAACGGTCGAGGAGCAGCGGTCGGACATGATTCACGACGAGGTGCAGCGGGTGCTGCAGATGGCGCTGGCGAATGAGCAAAACGCGGCGGAAGCGAACAAAGCGAACAACAAGCAAAACGAGGAAGAGCTGTACGACCCCTGTGCCATGCCGGATATGCGCAATTGCGCTGTGTCGAGTAGCAGCAATTCATCCAATTGCGGAGACGATCCTGCTGTAGTCGCAGCCAGTCAACAACATCTCAGCCTGAACTTGAACACGGACATCAACATGGCTGCAGCGGGTCAGCATGTTGCAGACAACTCCGCGGCTATGCAACATATCTCGGAGGCCGACATTCTGGCGCACCTGCAGAAGTTGACCGGGGCGCCCAATATGTTGACACCGGAGGAAATGAACGGTAACAACCCGTTCAATAATCCGGTGCTCCCCAGCTTTAGCTAAGTTAGAAACGACAAGTACCTGCTTTCAACCGCACCTTTATCTAAAATGTACCTGCTGAAATTGATGAAAAGACACGACCAATCGAAACCAGTTTATCAAAATTTTGAGTTGCTAACTTTGTTTGTATTCACCATTGAAAACTTTGAGTTTATCCTGCTTACTTGATGCCCGTTGGCGAGAAGAATTGCGACACTATGAACGTTAACCATCAAGACATTAAGTAGCCTTGCTTTTCATGTTCTCCACCCCCCTATTTCATTCTAGCTTTTTTACCGAAACTGCCTGAGTGTTTCTACTTCTACGTTCAAATAAACAGACTGCTGCGACGAGTTTCGACGCATGCCTTATACCCTTTTACTATACACCTTTTGCTCCTACGCTGCCGCAGCTTGCTACATGCCTTTTTACCTGCGTTCTTGCTTACTTGGAAGTATACTGTACGACACGACCTACCAACGCTTTTTTACGAAACACTGATACTCACTTATCTCAGACGACTACGACCGGATTTTTCTACTAGGACTGTTTGAATTCTTGCCGTTCTTGACAATGCCATCTGCGGCTTGCGAACAAAAAAAAACCAGGTCGTGAAGATACTGCGGACAGTGGAGTCAATATTCCGTTCCCAGAAAAACCTAATTGTCAGGGTCGCTCGACGCCTCTCGGTATGAAGATGATGAACACGCCACAGTGTGTGCTGTGTTTGTTTTTTCTTTGCTCCTCGCCTGGTTCGGGTCATCTGGTTTGCGGTCTTCGCTGTTATTCGGTTCGGAAATTTTCTCGGTCAAACTCTGCTCTTTTGGATTTGACGGTCTTTGTCGTGTTTCTACGTGGTTCTCTCCACCGGTTTCTTGTACTAGCTAGTGGAAAGCACAACCAGGAGTTGTTGAAACCCGAATACTACGCAAACATCAAAAATATCACAACCTTCTCATGACCATGTCCTCCCCTCCCTTCCCTCCCGGCTCCGTCTCCCACACGCTTGCAGTCTGGACGAAATCCGGCGTCGCGGCGGAGCAGTTAGAACCAATTTACAACGAGTTGAAGAAGTTTCCGGAAACCATGCCCGAGTATGTTCTCTCCACCTCCACCGGGACGACTTTTACCGACGCAAGGTCAGACGGCGCAACTTGCGGGTTAGTCGTTGTTCTGAAGGATAAAGACTCCTTACCATTGTACAGAGATTGCGCAGTGCATCAGGATTTTTTGACCCGGTTTTTGCCGCTGGTAGAAAAATTGGTGGTGCTGGACTGGGTGAACTGATGAAGACATTGCACGGTATGATAGTGAACTGAAGAAATTATTTGCGATACCCGTATCACCCGTTGCTTTACGTCTCCAACAATTACTTGCTAATGCGGTCTGATCAGAGGTATTGCTGCGTTCAAGTTTGCAAACTCACTGAAAGAAGGATCATATTTTCGGTGAAGATGTTTCCGACGAGTGGCGTGCTGACGATCAAATAAGAGATTGTATCATTACTTAGATAGAGTAAAAACAAAAAGATAAAGATCCAAACTATCGCCGACGCCGATCCCCCCGATGCCGATCTTCATACAGCAAGCACGCCCGATCACATGAAATGAAGTGCGCTGGTCAGCATCTGCATTCGGTTGTGAATGAGCACAGCAAGGGCTTCCATTTTGTTCTCCAAAATGATACAGCGACTACGACATTGTCACGAAGATAGTTACTGACTTGAAACACCTCTTCTATTCGACTTATTTTGAGGACTGTAGTTGTTGTTGTATCTTCTATAATCCTAGCTAGAGTTCAGCGATCCGCGCGACAATTTACTTACGCGGTAGAGCTACACCACCACAACATCACCACGATTTGAAGTTGCTATTCCGAACAACAAAAAAATGCGCGTCTTTCTCGAGTTTTCCGTCGGCGACCTGACCGTCTACAACCAGGAACTGAAGGAATTCACGCAGTTTGCCGACTTTGTGAAGCAACGCGGCGCGACCTTCGGTTGCCCGACCGACGCAAAAGAACTCGACGAGGAGCAGAAAGAAATGCTGGCGGAGGTGATGCGAGGGGAGGTAACCGACTCGACCACAATAGTGAGAACGACGGAACCGGTTTCCCCGAAGATAGGGCAGGTGAAAATCGACTTGAACGACAAGGAGTGTCCGAAAACCGCGGAGAATTTCCGAGCGCTCTGCACCGGGGAGAAAGGGATTGGGAAAGGACACCAGAAGCCGCTGCATTTTCTGAACAGCACGATGCACAGAATAGTGCCGAATATGTTTCTCCACGGGGGCGATTTCACAAGGTTCGACGGCAGCGGCGGCGACAGTATTTACTCAGGCAAGTTCAACGACGAGAAGCCGGGCTTGAAGTTCAAACACGACGTACCAGGGTTGTTATCCATGGCGAATAGCGGGAAAAATAGCAACACGAGCCAGTTCTTCCTCACTCTTGGTGCGTGCCCGAAACTAGATGGGAAGCATGTGGTTTTCGGCAAGGTTGCGGACGAGGAGTCGCTATCGGTTTTGAAGGAAGTGGCTCTCAAGTGCGAACCCGACGCCGCGAAGGAAATGCCCGGGAAAACTGTCACGATCACTGGGTGTGGGGTTGTGTAGTAGACAAAGGATTGCAGCATAGTAGTAGCTGGTTGAACTCTGACTACTTCCGCGACACAACAACCCGCGACAACCAACATATTCTCAATTGTCCAAGAACTGAAACACGCACTTCAATTGAGGAAAATTATTATCTCAAAAAATGGAATCTGTAATGCGTAACGGCACACGTGGGCAGTTTTGCTTTTGCGCCACAAGAAAAAAGATCATTTTACAACTTCGCGATGATATGACGAAAGAAAAAATGAACCTAGACATCACAAATTTCAACCGGAAACTCTTTTACTGCTGTGGAACCTTTTCTGGACGCTGACAGGCAAGCGGGTCGCATATCGATAGGCTGGGACTTCGGTTCCGGTTTAGGCTAGCGCTCAAGGCCCGTAGCGATAATTATTGTGTGCGAATTGGAAAGAAAAAGGAAACAAGGAAAAAAGAAACAAAGGAGATTTATTTTGGGATTGAAGTGTGTTCTATTTTGTGTAATTACGATTACTACAACCTACACCATGACCATTGTAGTCAAAACACCACATCAGGAGGTATACTTCGTAGCGTGTTGTTCTTTCCGCATAAGCGCATGAAATTTTAGATCTGGAAAACAAAAACTTTTGGCCAAAGAAAAGAAAGATCTTGCATCACCAACGATCGAAATGTTTGAAATTGGGATCAGAGTACCACTGCGGTACTAACTTAGGTGTACCTGTTGCTGGCACGTGTTGTTTGACGCTGCTCAAGACGATTCGACTGACATCCTGTACTAGATCTGTCAAGACGCAACAGCATTTGCTTTCTCATCCACAATAGACAGGACAAAATTGTGAAGCTGTCTTCTGAAAAACGAATCCTAATTTTATTCCACTGGGAAAATAATAAAGAATTCCCTCCTGTTATACTGCATAATTGTGAAACCACTTTCATTGTTAGTGAGCCTCCATTGTGGCTCTTCTCGACGATATTTTTGGTTCGGGTACATTGGTATTGACTAAAAATTTTAATTTTCAAGAAATAGGGGCAACAAACATGGCGCAGGTAAACCCCGCGGCGTCTATGTACGAGATCCCGCACGACCAGAAGCTCCCAGTAACGGTGATCACGGGGTTTCTTGGTGCGGGAAAAACCACTCTGCTGAACCACATCCTGACGACAAACCATGGCATGAAATTCGCGGTTATCGAGAACGAATTTGGGGAGATCGGTATGTTGGAGAATTTTTCTGTACTTGTGTTGCGTTTTCTTGCATGATGTATGAACCTCCAACTCGCTTGTGCTACCCGTTCTTCTTCTGCTGTCAATCGCAGCGCGACCACTTCCACCTTTCGTTGGTTGCTGACATCAATCAACGTGAATGACAATGAAATTAATAGGACTAAGGCCTTACTTGACATGAACTACAGGCATCGACACCGACCTTGTCCAGAAGAAAGAGTCACTCGCAGAAGAGGTGATCTCCATGGACAATGGATGCTTGTGCTGCACCGTAAGAGAAGACTTGGTCAAGGGGATCAGAAGAATTCTCAGCCTGGGAAAGGAGCTCGATGGTATTTTCATTGTGTGATTCGGTTTCGGGTAGATGCTTTTGATTTTGCATGTCGAATGACAATGAGTGCTGTTTCGTTTGTTGTTTTTCACTTGTTCACTTAAAAATTCTCGGACACGCCGACGTACAGCTTCTCACTTTTTTGAAAACAGGTATCATAATCGAGACTACGGGCATGGCGGACCCGGGCCCTGTTGTGCAGACGTTTTACCAAAACCCCGACTTGGCCAGGAGATGTAAAGTCGACGGCATTATCACGGTCGTGGACTCCAAGCACGTAAAGCAGCACCTTTTCAACACCGACATATCAGAGGGCGCGGTAAATGAGGCGATGCAGCAAGTGGCCTTCGCCGACAGAATTCTGCTGAACAAGATCGATTTGGTAGAAAAGAACGAGCTCACCCAGCTGAAACACGACTTGAAAACGATCAACAAGGTATAACTACAAGCCTACTAAGTAGGTTGAACTGGAGTTTCAGTTTCAGCGCTGTTTCCGCATGACAAAGAACGCGTACTTATATATAAAAATCCCTTCACTCATCGTGTTGCTGCATTAGAAGGCAAGCCTCCGCAACTTGCAGAAGAGGTATAAGCATACTATGTAGCAACATGCAACCCACCAGCATCAGAAATTCTCCCATCCCAACAGCTCGCCGACACTATTGAGTGCCAGAACAGCAAGGTGGACCCCAAGATGCTGATCGGCATCGACAAATTTAACCTCGAGAAGGCCCTGGAATTCGACCCAGATTTTCTCAAGGGCGCCGAAGGGCACGAGGACTGCGACCACGAGAACGGCGTGTGCGATCACGAGGACCACGGGCATGGGCACGGCGGCGAGTCCCATGGGCACGGCCACGGGGCAGAGTCCCACGGGCACGGACACGAGTCGCACGGGCACGGGCATGAAAGTAGCAGCCACGGCCACGGGCATGGTGAGAGCCATGGGCACGGACACGGCGAGGAAAAATTCAAGCCAACAACGAGACACGACTTGGCGGTCAGCAGTGTAGGGATAAAACTCAAGCCCGGGGAGGACATGGACCTCAACAAGTTGAGACGTACAGATTTTTTGTGAGAAGTTTTTGCTTTCTTCTTGCAGGTTGTGTATGCTGTGCTGAGCTCGCGGTGGCGTATGTTGCTTATCGTGGTGCAAGAGCAGTTGTAATTTTGACTACACCGTGGTGGAGTAAGTATCTCCAGAGAAAGTTTTTCTTGCCGAAGATTAGAATCGCATGTCATGGTCATCGAAAAACAAAACAGAATGGATCGGCGAGCTGGTCCAGACCAAGGGCGAAGAGCTTTACAGATATAAGGGCATCCTATCCGTGAAGGGCTTTGACCAAAAGTTTGTATTCCAGGGCGTCCACATGCTCTTTGACGGCGACTTCCAGGGCGAGTGGGCAGAAGACAACGAGAGCCGTACTTGATTATAGAAGATTTACAGCGTTTTTGTCAGAGTGCATTTTATGCTACTGATTCATCAGATGAGTTGTACAGTGATGGTGTCGATTGCTGGCATGTTTTTTAGCGTCCATAGTACTCCCACGATCATGGTCGAAACGAAAATTACAACAGGCGTCTCCAAGTTTGTCTTCATTGGCAAAAACCTGAAGCGCGAGGAGCTCGAGGCTGGCTTCCGCAAGTGCGTGTGCGCTCCGCTCCGATTCAAAGTCGGGCAGCGGGTCCAGGCCAAAGTCCGCGACGGGTGGAAGGAGGGGGAAATTATCCGAACCTGGGACAACGGGAAACCCTACAGGATTCGAATTGTCGATAGCGGAGTCGAGGTGTATGGGCCGTTGGATGACGACAGGGTGGTCAGACCCTTGGACTACGTCCCGCCGACCACCGCTTGACTATGAAATTCCGAAGCGACTTCTAAAATGAACGACGATCAAGCCTGCGCGGCCCTAGTAGGAAGTTCTGATGACGTGTAACATAGGATTTGAAGGTGATAGTGATATTGTTCTAGTACTACAACAACTCGCGCATTAATGTATGGCGGCCTCGAGGAACAGTTACAGGAGCATACGGCTGGATAGGAGACTACATCAAAGTTGTATCTCTTGACAACATACGATGGTATGAGATTCAGCGATACTACTTGCAAGCTACGCCTTAAATTGCCTCGCAAACGTGGTTTAAGGATCTGTTTTTCCAGGAAATTTGAGATTGCTTTATTTGCGTGCAGGAAATTATTTGCGTGGGCGTGGGCCCGACGAGTAGCACTCCCCACAGGAGATGAGCAGGCTTGGAATGGTTCAGAATTGAAACGAATGGCTGCTACGTAGATGACCAAGACTCGAGGTTGTAATTTCACTGTACTGACTATCATGAAAGAATCGAAGAGAAAGACTTACGAACTTCTGTGTGAATGAATACTTGCCAACATATGATTACGCCCTTGCTCATGATCTCCCCGACAAGGAGATGAAAAGTATACAACACTTTCAACATCCGTGTGGCTATGCGAAATAGCGTGTACGGGAAAGCAGTTGATTCCTTTCGAGAAGACGAAGACGAAGATGAAAACCAGTACGCAGAATGAACGAAATTGACAAATTATCACGTCGGCCCTGGCACGTCGAAGACGACCTCCTCGCGCAAAATAAGAAAACCACGATACCTTCCGAATCTCGAGGATGGACCTTCGTGCAACGAGCCCTACCTCCTCCAGGATTGCTGTGCAAGAGTTCTGCATGATCATGTGCCTTGGTGTTTAGCCGGCGTGTGGTTTTGGGCGTTTTTGGCCAAAAGTAGGGCAGAGCCGCTGAATTATTTGAAGGTGTGATTATCCAATTCAAATGAGGGACGAGGGCGGGACAGAGGATGAATGTTGAGACAGCACGGCGCATACCATGCAAATATTGAGACTTTGTTTTCGATCCGACAAATGCGAAGTAGATCACGCTGCACCTGATAATAGCAGTAGCACGTGCTACGAGTGCAGAACACGACTGCTGTCCGATCCAGTAGAGAGGTGGAGGGACTGTACTGAAGCCGATATTTCAGTCGGCACTGTCATCTTTCGAAAAAAAAAAAACGCAGGAGGAGAATATGGACGATACTCAAACTTTGAACTATAGTTGGAAATCACGACAACTTTTATCGGCTGCGATGCCCATTGAAATTATCATTCAGCGACCCTGAACTTCTATACTATGCTGGAGTTACAAGCTGAAGCATATTTGAACTGATTTCATTTTTAGTTGTTGTGATCGTAGTACAGTTGACGTTATTTTTGAGTTCCACTCGTAGTATCCAAGATGGTATTACAGCTACAGACTTTGAATGTACAAGAATAGTAACCAAGTGTGATCCTACTTACGGTCACGACCGATTTTCATATTATGTAAACGTACCCGCGCCTATCTGTATCTATTTCGTCAAGATCAAGAACCACAGAGAAAATAACTCCTACAAAGATGATCAAGGTAAACGTGAAGAAGAACAGCGAGAAGGATTTAGTCGAGCGGATCCGGGCCTTTCAACGCAGCACCGAGAACGGCAGTCGAAAATGCGCGGACTGTACGCAAATGGGCCCGACGTACGTCTGCTTTTTGGGGGAGGACTACCGGGTGTTCGTGTGCACGAGTTGTTCCGGGGTGCACCGAGAGCTGAATCACAAGGTGAAAGGAATATCCGTGTCGAAATGGACGCCAGAGGAAGTCGATGACATTGTGTCCAAGGGCGGAAATCAGGTGAAAAGCGTTTGTTTTTTTGATGCGGCAGCTCTTTTTTGCAACGAGTCGTGATGTCCGTGCACCAGGATCGCAAGTGCAGTGCAAATTTTGACGCGAGCCTGCAGCTTTGGTTTTTCGCTACTACAAGAAAATGAAAAGCGAGTTCGTATGCGTAGCATGGATGTAAAAACCGAAACTGCGAAACATCACAGCGAGCTGCAGGGTATTTCTCTGCTGAGTGGAACCCACGAGACTACCCGGAGCCTGACTCCGGGGATACCGCGAAAATCCGGGAGTTTATCCGGCTCAAATACAAGGATCGGAGGTATACTAGCTTGTAGTCTGTAGATGTTTGCTTGTTTTCCTACTGTCAATGGCTAAACATAGACTCGAAGCTTTGCATGAATAAAAGAACGAGAAATATGTCAAGCTCATCCACTTTCTCCACTTCAGATGGATCCCCCGGGGCCCGAGCCACCACTCAAGCAACCGCGGCTCCTACAACAACTCCACCCCTGCTCACGCATCGCGCACGACCGGCAAGTCCCCGCGCTCTTCGCCCTCCAAAAATCGGCAGGGAGGACAGGTGGTTGACGATTTCGACCCCAACGGAAATTTCGGCAGCAACACTGGTGGAAACAACGACGCAGATTTCGGGTTTTTCCCCTCAGATAATAATCCGCCTCCACAGCAAACAAACACGAAATCCACTTCTTCGTCGGGACCAGGATTTAATCCCAACTCGAGGACGCCAAGTAAGCAAAAGAAAGTTGGCGGGGGCGGGGGAGGTGATTTCATGGACGATCTGCTCTCCATGGACATGTCGTCAGCGCAGCCGCAGCCGCCTGTTGGAATGATGATGCAGCAGCCGCCGCCGCCACCGAGCGCACCCTTTCCAGGAGGTGGAAATAATGCGGTGTTAGGGATGAACAACAGCAATGCCAATGCGTCTAATTTCAATGCGATTAACAACATGATGGGGATGAACATGAACACGCCGGCAACCAGCTCAACAAGCGGGATGAACAATAATATGAACAACGCGGCAATGGGTAGCATGAATATGATGGGGATGAGCACTGGCATGCAAAATAATCCAATGGCCGGTGGAATGGCTAACATGGGCAACAACATGATGGCCCAGAACAACATGCAGCAAAACCAGAATAACCCCATGGGAAACATGGGTTTCGGCGGCACACCGCAGCCGCCGCCACCGCCTCCGAGCAACATGATGCAGCAGCAGCAGCAGTCCTCGAATATGAGTGCAATGAACAACATGAACATGATGCAGTCCGCTCCCGGTTTTCCCCAACAGCAGCAGCCCGGCTTTCCCCAACAGCAGCAAGCGACGCCAAGTGCTGGCGGCTTTGGATTCCCGCAAAGTTCACCCATGCAGCAGCAGCAGCCGCAGCAGCAGCAGACTATGCCTGGCGCAACTTCTATGGGAGGAGCGGGCAGCATGTCTGCAATGCAGCAGATGCACACGACGCCACAGATGGGCGGTGCAGGAGGTGGTGCAATGATGCAGATGCAGCCGCAGCAAAGATCATCTCCACAGCAGCTCACAAGCAGCGAGCCCATGATTGGGCAGGGCGCGATGAACATGGGCGGCATGATGCAGCAGCCGCAAATGGCAGCAGGAGCGCAGCAGCAATTCCAGCAACCTGCGATGTCTGCTTATGGCAGCACCGCTGCCACCAGTACCCCAACCCTGCAGTTCCCGTTAGGCGGGCAAGCGGCCAGTGGCGGCCTACCAGCAGGATTTGGCGGCATGCCAGGAGTAGGTGGACCACAAGCAGTGATGAAATCCCCTTCCTCAAAAGGCACAACCGCAACCGTCGGCGGAGCAACGAGCTCGAGCTCTTTGGCGGGTGGGGAGGATGTGTTCGCCGGCTTGATGGCGGCAAATGCGTCGATATTGCCAGCGCGTGACTTCACTAGGATACGGAACCCGTACTCCGGCATGTTCCAGGATCCGGCCATACAGAGTACAGATTTTGATCAAGAAAATGTTTCGTGAGTTTTGATAAATGAGGCACTTCAAGACTTCTACGGTTCTCATTCTCTGTATGCAGGGGAAACAACGCCACTTGTCTTGTTGTAGGTTCGATAGATACGTTTGACCACCACTCATGACGCCACTTTGCTGCACATTTATCAGGTGGCAATCCTTTCGAGACAATCAGTGTCCCTTCATTGACCGAAGATGCCGTGAAACTCCTTTCCGCCGACCAGTGCCGTGAACTTTCCGCACGAATGACCCAGCAGATGCAACAACTGCAGGAACATATCCAAATGCAGCAGGAGCAACTGGCAAAGCAGATGAAAAATAATCCCTTCGTGCAGCAACCGGGAGGCGGGCAGGCCGGGCAGGGAACTACTTCTGGAAGCTCTGCGAATAAGTTGAGCCCGGGCGCCGGCCTGGGGGCGATGGTAATGATGAAAGATCATGGAGGCAGATTTTCAAAACGTTTTTCCACATTTCGCTTTCCCATGCATCTTTTCTAGCATACAACGTTTATTGTCTGATGGTGATGCCTCGTGATATGCACGAAGAACATACAAATGAACACAAAAATACAGGGAGTCCCTGGCAACACTGGGATGAACCCGTTTCTCGAGGCCGCGTCTGCCGCTCCACAGCAAACGGGCGGTGGCGGTGGAAATCCGTTTTTGGATATGGGCGGCCCGCCAAATTCTATCGCGACCAATACAGGTGGTGCAGCAGCAGCAGCCAACAGCATGGGAAATCCGTTTGATTTGTTCTCGTGATGAGGATGCAGTAGTGCTGCACTTTACGCAAGACTATGATGACTATTCACGCGCGACTTTCTCAATTCACTCTCATCTTGACTATTGTACGTGATTCACGTTCATCACGACTTGTACTTCTTACTGCGGACACCATTGTAAAAAAACTAAAGAATAAACTGCAGTACGCCACTACTTACAAAATGTCACTCCACCTAGTGAATGATACGATAAAGAGGTGCTCTGTATTACCCCGTAGCTAATCGCTTTCGGCGACGACTACTTCCAGTTCTACCCACGCGTATCAGAAAACTATCTTGGACCACGACACTCCTGCTAGCTTGAATGAAACCACCGCACAAGCGAAAATCACTGTACTTGTAACGGGCGCCGAGGAGCATATTAATGTGACCCGCTGCATTCAGACACCGGGATGATTTCTTTAGCGGTCAAGTACTTGCTGGCACTGCGAAAAAATCACTTGCCGCTGTTTGTTCGACGTCGAGCGATGGTTTTGCTCTCACGTGGTGTTTCAGTGCAGAGTTTTGTTACAGTTGCACTGACTCGAGTCTGCCTCATATACTAAGCTACGACAAAAAGACGCGAAGGGCGGGCGCTTGAGACAGCGCCCGCGCTGTTTTGGGTTAATAGGCGAGGGGCAGGCCGCTGCGGTGGGGGAAGGCGAAAGCGCTGCCCGCCAGTGGCGTGCGCCGGCGCGTCGGGCGTGCGCGACGAAGTAGCGGCGCCGCGGGAGCGTAGCGGCGCGGCCCCGGGGCCGTAGGCCATCCATCGGCCCGGCGGTGGTTTGTTATAGGCCGCCCCGCCTGCCCGTCTGACAGGGGGGGGCGCCCTTCGCTGATTCGCGAGCCCCTCTGCGTCCCGCCCGTCCCGTGTGGGGAACGACTCGCGGCAGGGCCTGGAGGGACTAGAGCAGGTGGAAGGGCGGGGGCCAGCGCCCGAAAAGCCCGTCCGAGATCGTGTGGACCCCCAGAACGCGGCCCGTTTCTTAGCGAAACGGACCGACCCGCAAGTGCGACAGGCCGGCGCAAAAGCGAGCAAGCAAGGACAAGGCGGACCGCCCGAAGGTTTCCCCGGCGCCCCCGGCCTTTCTGGCGAACCGCTTGCGCCGAGCCGGCTTCCGCTCCCTCTTTGATGCGGGGGCCAGCCCGGTTGTAGACGCCCCGTGATTGTTTGGGGGCGCTCCGGGTGGCGCCCCGCCCGGCGGCGGCTCGCGCTGCCGGGGCCCGCGGGCGTATTAGAGGGGTGGCGCGAGGGGGCGCGGTCTATGCACTCCGCCCCCGGGCGGCGCCGCCCCCCGCCTCCGTGTGTCCGTCCCACGGGGTGGCGGAGGGGCCCCGGTGCCTTGTTCTATCTTGGTTCCGAAGCAGAACACGAAAAAGCCCGTGATGAAGGCCATGAAAAAGGCCGCGTCTTGCAGGAGTAACGAAGAAAACTTTCGAGCTTTGTCCCTTTGGCGAGGCCGCCGACCTCCCCGCCTTAGATAGAAAGAGGGCAAGCCGGCGACGCCATTGGCGAGAGCTTACGCGCTGCGGTTGTTCTTGCCCCGCTGTGGCTTTCCTCCTGGCCTGGCCCGGTGGACCCTGCCGCCCGGCCTCTGCAGTGTGGTGGCGCCGGGTTCGGTGGTGGGGGCGGGGGCGGCCGGGCTCCCGCTTTTCATCCAGTATGCGGGGCCAGGTCGTGCGGGGCCCCCCTCGCCCAACCACATGGCGCCCCCCCCGTGTTTGTTTATTTCGCGCGCGCGCGCATGAGACGGGCGCGCTGGCGCTGGGGTCTGGGCCACATTCTGGCGACCTTCGTTCCTTCGCGCGGCCATGGTCTAGTGGCCCTTGTGTTCTTGTCCTGCGGCAGGTCTTCGGCCTGGTTTACCAGCCGCGCGCCATTTCTTCGCTCAGTGCGAGGCCCGCCCGGCGCGATTGGTGACAAATTCAGCCGCCCAGCTCTGCATTGGTTCTGATGTTGAGTTGTTACAACAGTAGCCGTGGCGCTTGCGTGTGGCAATCTATTAGTCGCCCCATCTTTTAATGGTGGGCGCTTCATGTTCATTCTGCATTTTGGTGTTGTTGCGCCCTTCTGTTTGTTGCCATCCTGGCTGGTAAGGCGCACCAGCGCGCACTTTTGAATATATAGCACACGCAGTATTGCCTCTGCCTGATGAGTGGAGGACAGAGCCAGCTTGACGTGAGGAAGTTGAAGGAGCGAGGGCAGCGAGGACCTTTTTCTGTTCCAATCTTGGTTTATATTTAATGAGAGGGGGATGCTATACTAAACCTAATCCTATCTACTGAAATTATATGGAAAAGAAAAATCATTGCCATTCAATATCAAAGAAATAGTAAGGAGGACCACGCGACTTTCCGGTAGAGAATTTCTGTTGCCAGACGAAGCGCATCGGCCGCATAATGGCGATTCACAGCACCCCGGAACCAGGCCTCTGCAGGCTTCCCCGCACCACAACAAATGCAAATCGACCCACAACGAGGACAACTGCAAAGTTGTCACGACCTAAGGATAGAACCTCTGCACCCCCGACGGAAGTACTTTCCAAATCGAGGACGTCCGGACGTCCCACCCAAGCTGCACCTGCTATCGTGGAAGATGCGGTCCCCTTCGGAGAGTTGCTTCCCCGGTATCGCGTCCGAACACCCACGTTACTGTACAACCGGCCGGGAAGCGTTGGGTCAAACGCAATCGCGGAAATCGGTGCGGATGTGGTGGTCACGCAGTTGTACGACAAAGAAGTCTCCTTGGAAGGAGGGAGTAAGCAGGTACAGAGGGTCTTTGTGTTGTTGCATTACTCTAACCCTGCTATAGGTTGAAGATGATGCGGAGCAGCTGGTGCGATTGTGTCGATGGTTCAATTTCATGCATGACGAAACAAGCGTGCATGAATCATGTTGACTTTGATATGTCGTTTATTTCAAACAACTAGATCCTTGTCTATGTCGATCCCATCGCCGGCTGGGTGCACGCAGACCAGATCACGCTGTTACCCCCGAACTGCTGGCTGAAGCCGGTTTTTGGAACAACCTCGCACAACAGTAAATCGTCGGACAAGATGAACCACAATACGAATGGTGCCAACAAATCAACGTCCTCTTCCTCGTTTATGAAGTGGGAATGGCAGAAGTACAAAGTTGAGGAGAGCCGCAAACTGAACCTCTCCGTCCTCGCCGAGATGGTGATCTTGAACCAAAAAGCCTACGATGTGGAGGATTGTTTTGCGAACGAAATCGTCACGAGACTGCCCGGGCCGCTGCGGGTGACGAAGTGCGGAACGGTCCGATGCTTGTTCCTTCGATCAGAAGTCTCCTTTGCCGTCGGGTGGGCGTCATTGGACCGCAGCGCCAGGGGAAAACCGCAGTTGGTGCAGGAAGTAGTGGAGGAGGGAGAGTCAATACAGGAAGAGTTTGTCCTCGGAGGGAACAGTAGAGAAACAGAATCTTCCTCTGTGATTGATGAATTACAACAGGATGATCACTGCCATGAAGAAAACTCGTGTGAAATAAAAAACCGAAACGATTGGCGGAAGCAGCGGTTAGATGAAATCCAAATCGTGCAGCAGGAGCACAGAATGAACTCCCCAAGCTGCAGCAGTTCTCGGAGATCTTCCCGACAGGAGTTAGAAATCGGGCCGCTGGTTTCCACCGCCCCAGCCTTTGTTCAAGACGACCACTCCTGGGGCTGTTGCGGGGTGTTTGCGAAGACCTTCGCGTCACTGCCATCGCCAAAGAGAACCTCCTTGTCGCCGATAACCAGAACCACGGGAAAGGGAAAGACGAAGGACGGCCCTGAGAGCAGGGCGGCAGCATCGTCTTCCAGTTGTAGCAGTTCGTCACCTAGAAGTCATTCGAAGTCCGACGTGAGTTCGAGCAGCAGCGAGGAGTCGAACCGAGAATGCGGGTTGGAAGAGCAACTCCGGGCTGTTTGTGCGGAAGAAGAGCAGGAGGACGTGATTTCATCCGGCGTGAAGTTGCTGCCATCTGCTAGTAGTGTTGCTGCAACATCTTCTTTTGGCACTTCGAACTTTGCTCCGGCTGTGAAGAGGTGGAACGCGGCATCGGAAAGTACTAGAAAAGTGGATGTACTAGCAGATGAAGCTACATCATCAGTCGTCTACCCACCGAACAAGGATGCCAGCAATCACGACTCACCACTAGAACAAGCTCAAAGTAGTAGTCTCGTTTGCTCCTCCACTGCCAGCTCTAGTTCCGGGAACACGTTGATGCTGCACGAAAATGTTGGCGTGAAGAACGGAACGCCAACCGACGAAGAGCCATCCACGACCTGCGGCACGCCGACGTCGCCCGGGACCGGGACCTCCTGCACGTCCAGCTGCGGCGCAAGTGGAACTGCTTCAAGCAACAGCAGCGCGTCATCTTCGCTAAACACGCCACAGCAGCTGCTGGCGCGAAACCTCCGGGCAAAGGATCAGGGGCAACCAAATTTCTCTTCGGATTGTGGCAGAGACGATGGGATTATTGAAGAAGAGGTCTGCACGAGCCTGGATGACAAAATTCTGTTCTTCCCCTCCGAAAGTCTGTTGCAGGCGAGATTGAGAAACCAGCTGGCAAATGTGAAACCGGTCTGCAAGGTAAGTGTTTGATTTGGCTTGCTGTAGTTCACTCTCAACATGTGGTCGCGCACTTCTATTTCTTACATAGCCATAAGTTTAGAGTTGGCATGAAGTAGGAATGAACTCCGTGTGGTGGTTCTATCTGCATGTGTGACGCGAAAAGAAAAAAACAACCTCCCAACGACCAGGTCTGCTACCTCCACGTGGCCAATGTCGCGTTTGCAAACTGTGGACACGTGCTGTGTGCCGGCTGCTCGTCGGCAAGCAATGTGTGTCCGATTTGTCACAAAGAGTCACTAAAACTGAGACTGCGCTGGGATTGACGCGGATTCTTCTACCATGATGTAGGAACTGTTTTTAAATGCCTCAACGTCACCGAAAGTACAACAAATGCAATCCTACCAATGAAGAATGCCACAATCTCGTTCATTTTTATTCACGCTGGGGACTCAGGCTAGCAGTAAAAGCTTCGCTGAAAAACCCAAGCGCCGTACATTATTTCACAACAGTTCTGATGTGTAAGTGTATGATTAGTTTCTACTAGGTCAAGGTTTCGCTTTCCACAAATAAATGAATAAACAAAGAGCAGCCCACAAATCGTTTTTTATACTAACTTCCAAGCAAAATGAATGCATCAGTTTCGAGAAAGCTTCGCTCATTAGTTTTTTTTCTTCGCTTTGCTTTGTTCACCAGTGGTAGCAGGAAGCCTGCGGTTGGACAACTCAGCGAGTTTAAAATGTGTAGGATGAAGATGTTTCATTTCAAAAGGTAGAAGTTGAGGCTTCTGCCTCTTCGTGCCAAGCACACCAAATGCCCATGACATATTTTTCTCAAAATCCAAATCGTCTACGAGTGGTACGCAACAGCAAAATGCAAATGCACTGGCTACATACCTTAATTCAACGAGAAAAACTACCAAGATAGAAACCCGCATTTAATGACCCCTTTTATTGAAACCTTTTTTCTTCTATGCTTACGCTTGATGCGCTACGATATTAAGTAACAAATTTGCTTCTCTATGAGTTTCACTCCAACTCCGCGGATGATCCCACGTAGTCTCGGCGAAAAGCTCTGAAACTAAACCTTTACTACAGAGCGTCTCGATATCGCGTTAAATTCAGTACAAAGATGAAGATTAATTTCAGTAACAAAAATTTTTCAGGCTCTGAGGGAGTCCACAGCCATATCCTCTGAAGAAAGCTTGAGCAAATGTTTACGAACGAACCGATAAGCCAATGTGCTTGATCTGCGAGAAGACAAGGGCCCACACTTAAGTACTGAGTCTTCATATACTCACAGGACGCAGAAGTGGAAGTGTCATGAGGCTAGTGATGGCCTTTCCACTACTAGCGCTGTTATATTTGATGTTCGGAGTGGGATGGTTGTGGATCCGTGCCGCTGGCTCTTTCTGAGCGAAGCCATGGCAGCGGTGTTCTGCTTGTTATGTCACTACATTCTGTCAGCTGGGTGTTGAAGGTGTTCGGCAGCAGGCGCCCCCAGGGGCCGCGGAAGTTCAGCAACCCTCGGGCCCCCGACGGTGGCGAGCGCCCGCGGCCCCGCTGGGTTACGGCCGGAAGGCCCGAGGCGCCGACTGAGCTTGGACATCGGCGGCGTCAGTCCGAGACGGTGTCCCCACAATCCTGCGGAGTTTATTCGTCGCGGTAAGCTTCGAGAACGCGAAAGACGTCACGCAGAGCGAGCGACCAGCTGCGTTAATAATCTGACACGAGAGGGAGACAGCATGAGAAGCCGAACGGCCCTGGCGGCTCTAGGCGCTGAGCCAGGCTGTGGAGCCTCCGCGGAAGAGGCGCAGGCCGCCAGATGTTCGCGTGGGTGGGGCCGCCGGCAGAGCGGGTGACGACTGCAAGGGCCTTCGCGGCCCCGCCGTGGAGCAGGGGGGGGAAGACGAAAATCCGCCCGGTTTTCGGAGGCCCCGGGGCAGCGGCCGCGACAGGGAGCAACGAACGTAGGCAGGAAGAGCAGCCCGCGGGGCCTAACCAGGCGCCCGCGAGCGAACTTCGCTGGAAGGCAGCCGACTTGGCGGGCGCGATCCGCAGCCTGCGCGGAGCAGGGCCGAGACGACGGGGATGGTCCGCCTCGGGCGCAGAGGCGCGCGCAGAAGAGAAGCGGCGGTGGGGGCCTATAATTTGGCCCCTCGCTCTAGTGCCTGGCTAGAGTAGAAAGGGGCGCGCGCGCGCCGCGCCCCGGCGGTCGCGCGCCTGCACTTGGTGGCCCGGCGGCCCGGGTGGTGGCCCACAGAAGGGCCACGCTTTGGCGGCCCCGGCCCGCCGGGGGGCGGCCTCGCGCGCCCGCGGGCGCGTGTGCCTTTCTTCGGGTGGCTCTTGCCGCGCGGGCCGATTGCATGCGCCCCGAGAGCTCGCTGCAAGCCCTCGCGCAGCGAACAAGCTCGCGCGCTCCTCTTCTGCGACCCGGCGCGGGAGCACCAACTTGCCTCGTTTCCCATCCAGAGCTCAAGAGCTTCCGGCAAGGCGTGAGCGCTCTGGCGGTTGATTCATTGAAGCCGTGCGCGAGATCCTTTTCGCAGGATTTCGTGGGGCAGTCGGAGGCTACGAGCTGAGTGCATTTCTTAGGCAAAGAAAACGAAGCCACGAGATGAAAAATGGGCCGGCAGGCATCCGCTTGCATGCTGCTACAGGGGCTCGAGCGATCGAGGAGACGGGGACTTTGTTGACCGACCGGGGGGCGCGCGAGCTTGATCGTGGGGGGCAGGCCGGCGGGGCTTCAGAAGCCTTCTGACCCCCCCCGCAGATATGTGGGGCGCGCCCGCGCGCCTATAGGCCTGGCGCGCGTAGCGAAATCCCTCGCCCCCAAGCCCGCCCCTCGGTGGCCTTTCCGCGCCTTTTTTATTTTTGCAGGCGCCGCCCCTTTTCGCGGTTTTCCCCTTCTGGAGGGGGCGCCGCGGGGCCCGCGATTCATTGGGCAGCCGTCGGGGGCCGGCCCGCGGGAGAAGTCGTGCGCCCGCAGCCATCGCCGGGCGCCCTGCCGGCGCGGGGATCGGCCCGCCCGTTGCATTTGGCCCTGGCCTGTGAAGTAGAGCCCCGCCCTGCTTTTTCAGCAAGCATTTTCTTGCCTGCGCCTTGTCCACAGCCGGGCGCCCTGCCACCCGCCCTCTGGGTCTTTCTTTGGATCGTTGTGGCGTGTCGTTGAGCTCGTTTCGACACTCCCTCCCTTTGTTGGGTTCGCTAGCCTTCGTGGACCGCAGTCAGGTGTTCGCACGGAATTCGCCGGAAGTAGCAGTTTTCACCCACGCCGGACGGACCCGCAAGCACTTGGCGGGCTGCAGCGAGAGGAGCTGTCGGAGTGCTGTGGTTTCGCAATTTCAGAGAGACTCATCTCTCTGTCTCTGGGATTGATGTTTTTTTCTGGACGAGGGAGGTTGCACGTGACATGGAGAGCAGGATTTGTAGTTGCAAGGTGTGGAGCAGGGAAGATGATGATGAACGGTCAGGACGAGGTAAGTCCAACGCTTGCTCGACAGAGAGTCGCGAACGCGCAAAATTTAAGTTTAAATATGTCGAGGAGCCATCACATTCTGGAGGACTGTGCACGCAGTGTTTTTCTGGAGAGTATGTCTGATGTTTCCTTTCAGGAAGAATAATCTGAGAGTACGGCTCAAATCACAACGATGAAGCTGCGCCGTCGTCGCGATGTTGCAACTGGTGCAAAGTAGATCCTGAGCTCACTTTCGTCGTTTTCGTGAAGGTTGAGACATCGCAGCTGGTCGAACTAGTCTCGTCAATTTCTGCGAAGCGAACGACCACAGCCGAACCCGCAGCCATGCTTTTCGCCAGCAGCGGTAGTACCTCCGCCGGCTCCTCAACCGGGAAGCTGAACCGCTGGTCTTCGTTGCTTAATTGGATTCTCGTGGTTTCCCTGTTCTGCTTCGGCGCCTTGACACATTACCACGACCAGCTACGAGCGAGCGGAAACCCTGCGGGCGTCTTGACGTACTTTTTGAAGCCGAGAACAAGGCCATTAAATAAGGGGTATGGAACTTCTCCTACAGAAGAGCTAGTGGTTGCTGGTGGTGGAGATGAAGATGACCCCAGCAAGACGAGAAAAGCGAGGAGATCGCTGTCTTCGGAAAATAGACCAGCACTCGCCGGGGTGGCCAGCGAATTTGCCGAAAACGCAGAGATCGAGGTTATCAGCGACAATGGAGAGGACGAACTGCGGCTATCTTCAGAATTATCTGGTGAGGAACGCATTACAGCGTCTATGGTTTTTTCGGGGCTGTAAAAATATTGGTTTTTAAGTTTTAGATAAATTAATATTATTCCGGAACGTGTGTGTCGGGAGCGGCGTCCCCCTGTCGGGTTGGAGCGGATCCGGGACGGGCGCAACGCGGCGGCGGATTTTCGGCGACAGGCGACGCCCGCGAAGACGGCATTTTTGGACAGAGACCTCCCGGCGCGGTGTTTTTCGGACCATACAGGTAGAGGGGGCGGCCGGTTTCGGACGACAGACACAACCAGTGGTGCAATATTTTTTCCAACACACACATCCGGCGGGAAAAATATCCGTCGATACAGGTTTTCCTGTAATTAATTAATTTCTGAGAAACTGAGTTTCTGAGAAATTAATTAATTCCTGGAGACCTGTGTGTCCGCTTCAGGTAGAAGGAGGTTGGTGATGGTGGCGCGCTACCTTTATTTGCCCAGCTTGCGCAAGAGCCTGCCTCCAAGCCCAACTCGTTGACAGATCCTCCGCTTGGGGGAAGCGACGGACCTGGGTTTGCGAGGCCGCCAATGGCCGCGCCCTCAGTCATCTCCGACTGTTTGCCTTTTGGTTGCGAGTGGGCAAATCATCAATGCATGATGGAAAAATCATCAACCAACGGAGAATGGGGTGGGCAAATCATCAATGACAGGCGGACATCATCAGCCGGGCAATGGTAGGGCAAATCATCAGCCAGGCAGGCAATGCATAGCATGGGGAAAAAAATCGGGTGGGCAAAGATCACCAGCCCAGTGCGGCAGCCTGCCAAATCAAGGCCGGGGCTGTTCGTCAGTGCGCCTTCGGTGGCTATGCGGTTCATCAGGGTGCTATGGGCCAACGCCAGGGCCTGCTCCCCCCGCTCGCGCTCTGCCGAGGATGCCGGATTCGCGCGCGGGGGCCGGTGCAGGCGTCTTTGCGTGAAGGCTGCAAAGGCCTTCACTTTTCTAGGTCAGTCCGGCGCGGGCGAATCCTCCTGCGCGTGCTGGGCGGGAAGTGTGCGCGCGAGCGCAAAACACCAGAGCGCGCGCGAGCAAATCTGTGCACGCGCGGTCGCGGAGGCACAAATCGACCGCACTCGCGCGCGCACCAACCAAGCCGCAGCCAAGCCATCAGCCAACGCGCACGAACGTCGCCTGCTCGTCGCCAACTTGCCGAAGCCAGGGGCGAGTATCAGAGCGGCTCGGCGCCGTTCCGACCTCCTTATAGCGGAGCGCCACACAGAGGCGATCCGGGAATTAATTAATTTCTCAGAAACTCAGTTTCTGAGAAATTAATTAATTCCCGGACTGTGTGTATTGGAAAAAAATAATTTGGACAACATCGTGTGTGAGGAAAAAAATATTTGATGGCTGTCCTGTGTGGATCTGCATGTGCCCAGGGTGTGTGTGTGTGTGTCTGCTATCAGTGCTTGTTTGTGTTGAAATTAATTCGCGAACTGATGCACATGTGTGGAAAATTTAATTAACGCAATAGAACACATATGCTCTTCTTAATTTTTACAACCATTGAAAACAAAAATCATACACCAGGTCTGGGGACTTTCGCCGCTCCCGACACACACGTTCCGGAATAATATTAATTTATCTAAAACTTAAAAGCCAATATTTTTACAGTATCGTTTTTTCTAATCAGGTACTAGAACGATCACGTCGAAGATGATTCTTGTTGTGTAGGGTCCGTAGCTCCTTTGTGGTATGTCTTGGATCGCTGTTGTTGGCCGTGTTCTTCACACCTCCTGAAAACAAAAGCAACACTTCTAGCCTCACCATTATCCCGCTCTCTCCACGAGGAGACCGGCGAAGAAGCGGCCCTCCACGGCGAGGCGCGAGTATGGACGGTGATAACGCTCTTTGGCCTCATAATCGTCATGTCCATCGGCTTCGAAGAGTTTCAGCATGGACTGATACATCATTACAAGGTATTGTAGTGCGAGCGATATTAATGAAAATTAATTTTAATGATCATGATGCTGTTTGTCATTCGCTGTTTGTCATGCCAGTATGTTCTTGCAATGCGCATAACGACCAGCACCACACTCCGACTCTGCTCAAAACTACAGCACACCGGGCAGACGCAGATGCTGAAGATGATAGACGCTATGTTTAAGGAGCTCACCATCCTCGGCTTTGTCGGTCTAGCGCTGATGTGCATCGTGAAGTCCGGCGTATTGACCGCTGCGGCGGTGATCATTTTCGAGCACCACCACCTGAAGAAGCACATCCACCAGCACGAAGAGGCGATAGAACACTCCGAGGGCGGGGAGATTGTACATCACCACGAGGTGCATTATGATAGGTTGTTGCTGGAGCGGAGTAGTGGCTCAAGTACGAGCGGTGCTGGTACTGTTGTTCCTTCCGAGCCGTCATCACCACTAAGGCAACTACACGGAAACTTTCACGACCCAATCGCCGCGGAGCTTTTTGAGCTGTTTGAGGCGGTATTGCAGCAGTCTTGTGTTGAATGTTACGTCGAAGATGCTAGAGGCGGTATTGGAGAAGTTTGCACATAGATACGACACCTGAGTTTTATTTGTTCGTGCAGAGTACAAATTAATAAAAACAAAAAGAACAAATCGACTTTGACCACTTACTACAACAGGTTCACATGATGATTTTCTTCGTCATGGTCGCTTTCATCGCCTTAGTCGGCTGCCTCCTCATTCAAAGCGGTATGACCAGAACGAAGTTCCACCTTTGCCAGAACCTCCGACCAGATCAGAAGCTGACCTTGAAACAGAAGCTGCTAGGGGGGCCGACGCTGATTCAGGTTTAGAATTGTTGGAGTTACACAAGCATGTTGCAACTGCAAGCCAACGTCGTGGAAAAAAATGCACTTCATCTGTATGTGTATGTTTTCCCATTAACATTGCAAGCTTCCCACAATCGTCCAAAAATCAGGACACCATCGAGTTCCGGCTTTTCCAAAAAGAATTTTTCCATCCCTTCGACACGAAGATGCAGAACCCCGAGGCACACCCCGCGTCCTTTGATTTCTGCGAGTACCTGGGTGTCTGCATGGCGGATTTCGTGGTGAAATTGGTCGAAATCCCCTCGGTGTCCTTCGCGACACTGTTCGTCTTACTTCTCGCGGCAAAGCCGGCATTTCGGATGGAGAGGGAAAATCGAGAAATGTTCATGCTGTGTCTAGCCTGGGTCATCTCCGGGGTGTTAGTGGGTGTGGTGATCTTCGCACGAAGAATATACTACGAATTGCTACCCATGGAATACAACCCGACAAACGCTTTATCACTCGCCTCCTATAGCATGGTAGGCGCGACCGGGAAGCCGAAATATCAGACACGGACCTACAAACGTGGTTCGGGGAAGCTGATTGCAATAACACACGGTATAATTTGCAAATGATCATTTTTGATGGAAGCTTTCCATGCATGAACATGCTCTAAAGCTAAGTAGTGTTGCTTGTCGTGCTTTATTTATTTTGAACGGAGGGCGAAGCAAGCGTAAGCCACGTGTAATGCATGCAAGAAGTAGGAGACGAATAACAATGTAACGGTCACTAGTTGTACACCAGGCACCCGCGCCCCGAATAAGCAGGAAGCGCTCTTCCCCTTCTGGCGCAACGGACCCGAACTTCTTGCTTTCACGTTGCAGATCGCGTTGTTTCTGCAGGCCATCATGATTTCTGTGTACCTGGTCCACATCCTGCCCGAAGAAACGCACTGGTTCCAGCCGGTCATGCAGTTCGTTCCCCTACTGTTTTCCCTTCTCGTCTTGTGGCCTTCAATATGGAATGCAAATATGTCTGGGTCTGGAAGATTGCCAGGTTTGTCATGCTTGTCTCACATGACAGCTGAATCTGTAATGCGCGAGCAGGAAAAAAGCCTCTTGCCTGTCATGCAAAAGTGCAATTTGCCGTGCGGAAATCGAAACACGAAGGAGCCCAGAAACTGGTCATGCGTGGCTGCGTATAATTGCAATACGCCCACCATTCACAAACTAGCATCAGAAGCTTCCAGACCCAGACATCTTTGCGTTTGATATTTAATCCTCTACCTCTTCACGATCATCACCTCGACCGGAATGATGCAGCAAGACGAGATTGTCGAGGAGATCTCGCGAAAGGTGGAAGCAGCGCAGTTCAAGAAGTACTCGACGTTAATCACGGAACTGGAGGCGTCCGCCTTGGTGCACCAGATTAAGAATCTAGACGACGGGAAAGTCGGTCTGAACACGGCGTACGAAAAGTGGTTCACCGGGAAGTTGACCGAGTTCCACATGACCGTGCCCCGGGAGCAGCAACACCAAATCGCGGAAGTGTTCAAAACCTGGGATAGGGACATGAGCGGTGCGTTCGACGAGGGGGAGTTGTCGGGGTTACTGCAGTCGCAGGGACGATCGCACGCCGCGATCGAGTCCATCCTCCGCCAGTGGCTGTTGTCCGGGGTGTTCCGGCCGAGGATCGACCCAAAAACGAACAAGGCCGACGACAAGGAGGTATGCAAGAAAAAAACTGTGTTTGTAAGTGTAAGTGTAACTTTGCCTTGCAGACGCTGCAATACAGTTTACACTACTTGTCATGCCGAATATGTATCAGAGGCTATTTCAATGCGTGTTTCCGCGTACTAGCTACGCTTGACAGGCTTTCTGTCATGCAACACAAATCTGTGATGTTGTTCCTGTAAAAAAGTTTACACTTGCACAGTTTTTTCCTTGCATAGGAGGAGGGGGTGATGTACAGCGACGAGTTTAAAGTTTTCGTGTTACTAGAGCACGAGCTAACCGGCGGGGATTTCGACGAGGATAGGCTAGAGGGATGGTTGTCGCAGGTTTTAGACAAGAACGGTGACGGGTCGGTTTCCGTTCCGGAATTTTTGGACTCCCTAGGCCCGGTCTGCAAGGCGGCGGACATTGATCTCCCTGGGGTGGCGAAGATGTTCAAAATCATCGAGGCGAGTGACAACGAACAGCAGGAAGTGGAGGAAATCAGCATCGCGAAAGTTTTGATCTGGCTGAAGAAGTATGCGATTCAGAAGCGGAAGGATTCGGACGGAAAAAAGCGGGGCTTCATGATGTCCGGCGGGGGCGGGGATGCGCACGCCGCGAATGACCGAACAAGAGTCGCTGACGAGGGGATGGCCGCGCCGAAAGCGGCGAAGTCACCCAGCGGAAAGGCCGGGAGCCCGGCGGTGAGTGGCGGAACCAGTGCTGTTCCGAAGGCGGCGGGGCCGGGGACCGCGGCGGTTAAAAGCAACTGAGGGCGAAGCTACTTTGTCGTCTTTTTCAGTTCTTTCGGCGGGCGAAAAAATCATCGTGCGTTTTGGTATTCGCGAACTTCTCATGACTACTGAGCTTTTTTGACAAAGTGATATACAGTGCAGCGCGGCACAAAAATGGAGAATCCATGTTAGCTGCGTCTGCGGCCGCGAGTGAAGACGCGCATTTATTTTCCAACTGACCTCTCGATCGAAAAGAAAAACGTAGAATCAGAACGAATGTTGGATGTAATCGAAAAACACAGACCTGCAAAAAAGATAGAGAGCCGAGACGACGTACTGCAATGTTGATGGAGCAGTATGCGCACGCGCTCTGAAAATCAAATCAAACTTTAAAAGGATGAAAAACCAAAAAAAAGTTTCGTGGCCGCCGTTGATGAGGCTTTGCTTTCGGATAGAAAGATTCCCATCGAACTCAAGTGGACAAGCATTCTTGGCCTTGAGGACGCTGTTAAAAATGGTAAAGAAAAAGATGAAATATGAAAAGAAAAACCACATCAACCATAGTTAGCCGAAAGATTCGAAGAAAAAGTAAAAGGAAAATAAGCTAGTTTTTCTAGAGTTCCTGGCGCATCTTCTGTTCCCCAGCTATGAAAAAATCACGAAGACTAGCGTCAGTACTTTTCAACATCAATTATGGCTCTCCTTCTTTATCTTTTCCGATCTGAGTATGATGAATGCGAAGACCACACCGGACATCAGAATAAAACGCAGGGTCCAAAAGAAACTGAAAGTCCATTGTGCCAGAAGGAGTTTTGCTTGCATTTCCGCCTGAGTTTTAATTTTGCAGATCAAGTTGTGCTGAAGGACAAGGACTCGATCCGGAAAAATTCGCATTAAAAAATAGGATAGAAGAAGAAGTGTCTGATCAAGAACAATATCGATCTAGGTTTTGATGTACGATATATTTATTTCCAAATAGTTTAGTTATCTCGATCTCGAAGATAGAAGACCTTTCCCAAAACTATTTCCACACATCGAAAGAGCGTACGAAATATTTGGTGTTTGCCACAGTAAATTAAAAGTAAATCATGACGAAGCTCTCCTTTTCCTCTCTCCTTCTGACCTCATGCAACTTCGCTCTGACTCAACTTTCCGTGCTACCCCAGAGCGCCGAGGGTGCGGGATTTGGCCGAAAGAATGGTGCAGGCGGACTGTTGCTGGCATCATCTCGACAAGAGCAACACCGCGAGCAGCAGGAAGAGGAAGGAATAAAGTATGCAGATTTTCCTTTTCCCGTCCCGGCACGAACGCCAAAGTCTACCTCGCAGCAACAGCGGCCGGTAGAAGCTACGGAACTCGAAGCCACGGCGGAGATCAGTGCGATTCTTCTCGGTGGAGGGGAGCGCGGTCATCTTCAGCCGGGAAGCGATTTTTCGTCTCCGCGGCCAACTTTTCATGGTGAGGGAGTAGAGTATGACCTAACACGATACTACAGGCAGGTTTGCTCCACTCCCGACCCCTATGCGGGTGCGCGTCCCGGGGCTCCGCCGCCCGAGCTCAGCTCCGAGCACCGTGCTGGACGGGGTGTGCATTACCACAAGCACGTGAGTAGACATCTTCGCAAATCATCAAATAGTCCAGCGAAATCAAAGTCAAATTCGCACGGCAGCAGGAGGGGGGGACGGGAGCAGCAACCGCACCAGCGCGACCATAATATTCAGAGGGAAGAACTACATCCGCGGCAATATCCGCGACATCCGGTCGTCCCACCCGACTGTGCTAAATTCTTCGCAGCCGCAGCGGCAAATCGAACTGCGGCTGCTAATGTCCAATTACATGGCGCCGGCGCAAATGCGACGATTTCAGAAGCGGAAGTTGCCGCTGGCACTCCGGAGGCACGGAAAAATGGTGATCTTCATGTGCGGGACCATCTGTACGCTGAAAAACCTGAAATTGCAGCTGAAGGAGCGGGCGCAGGCCCATCTACATTAGGCGAAAGTATCAAGGTACCGGAAAGGGAAACTACGAGCGAAATAAAAATAATTTCAACGACGCAAGACAAGGAGCGCATCGAAGGGGCCGAGAGCAACACAAAGGCCACGATGGGTACGGACGTAGCAGATTCTGTAGATTTATTACGTGACCTTCATCTTGCGGATGGGTTCACTGAAATGGAATTCAACCGAATCAGCGAGAAAAGAGACCGCAGGGCCTCGCACGCATCTACTGCGGCGAGCACGAGTGCGGGGAGTCCGCCGTGGGCAGAAGAGGCTGCAGGTGGGCGGGGGGCGTGGCCATTTTACTCGTTCTCCTCGGATCTAGACGCGGACAATGATGAAGAAGAAGATATAGATAAAGATACCGATCCAGAGGTCACTAAAATCACCGCATTGTCGTCCATAAACGCTCTTGGTTCGACGGCGCAAGAGCGGGAAGAATTGGTAGAAAGAACAAGCGGCATATTAAAGTCGTCGACGGACGGAGGCAGCAGCACAGAGCTCCTGCCGGTTGACGACCATGATCATGACCCGCAGCCTAGCCCCGAACAAGTACCGGAAAGCGAGGCGGTTGTTTTGCTTGATGACGATGACACAAAATCGCAGGTCGCGAACGCAGAGCTCGTTGCCATGTTCGGCGATCTGCAGCTGGACCACTGCGAGTTTGATTCACAGGAGTCTTCTGGGCGGGAGCCTGTCAGGTTTCATCATGAAGAAGCGACAAATAAAGCACCCGCTAAAGAAGAGCTCGACCACGGCCCTCTGTCTCGTCCTTACTACAAACCACCCCGCCCTGCCAGTGGTAGAAATAAGGCGCGGCCCCCGACGGACCTGCGGGTGAATACAACGGCACCAGCTTGTTGTAGAAGTAGCTCCTTGTTTCCTGCAGCAGACGCTGGCTCTTCGCCGGAATCTCCCGAGGAAGATGCTGAGATGAAAAGCTATCTGAATTTTCCCGAGGTGTCGCCGCAGTCCACGCGAGTCCCGTCCGCGTCCCCTAGCTCCGCTGGCGGGAGTCCAAGCGTGGTCGGCCCTGTACTGGAAAACGACGAGCCGGTGGTGCCGGAAGGAGAGCACGGCGGAGAAGGCGGCTGTGAGTCCGTGTTCAAAGATTTGCACCGGGCGCCGCCAGCCGTGGCGGAAGATGCAGGTCATGATGCAGACGAGCAGACCCGATTTAACGCACTGTTGGAGGAAAGTTTGAAAAGTAGTTGCTGGACGGTTTCGACGAGCTGCAAAGGCACTAAAAAAGTAGATACGAAAGGAGCTGCCTCCGCTAGTAGGACAACTGCTGTCGGAGTCGGCGCGGAGGCGCCGGGGCGTAACGATAAGAATGACATCGGTAATATGGCATCCTTGTCTTCCTCCAAGGAAGACAACGGCGAAACGCATCCGACAGCTCCTGCTGAGTCGCTTCTTCATGACGGAAAAGAAATTCTGCGAGGTGCGAAACAAGCGCCTCTTTCTGTGCTATCGCGAGGACCACGGGAGGATCATGACCAGAAGGACGCAGAACCTGTTATCATAGGCGTTGCGAGGCAAATTCAAGACCAGGATCCGAGTCGCAAACCACTCCTCCAACGAGAAAAGGAAAAACCTTTTTCCTATGGCAGTAGGAAGGACCATCATCAAGATGAAGTGAGCACGAGGAGCCGGAAATCCGCCGGTATTGTGCAAGAGCATGAATCAAAAGTACTAGAGACCACAGCAAGCAGGACCAGGAGCAAGCCACGAGGTACTACTTCTCCACGGCGCGCAGCCGTTTGTTCCCCGCGGCGGCGGCGGATCAGTACTATTCGCGAAGAGGTGCTGAGTCCGCAAAATAAAAAACCTGCAGGCCCCGCCCGCATGACCCTTCGTGAGCTGACTAACGGGGAGGTGTCGTCTTCATCCTCTGATGACGATGTCCAACTCCTCACACAAGTGCCGACATCCCAGGCGCTTGACGAAGGATTTTCCGCTAGTATGAGAAAATCTGCACACCTGCGATCACCAACAAATAACGAAATTAAAATTGAACACGAGAAGAGAAGACAGGTTTTGATGAACAAAATTGCAGCGCCGGCGTTATTATGGATTGCAAATATGTCTGGGTCTGGAAGAATGCAAACTTGTCATGCGTACTTCAGAACACAGGAAAATCTCTCATGCATAGGTAGCAAAAGCTGCTCACTTTCTGTCACCAAAGTGGGGGATTTGTCATGCGGATTCGGCATTGCGGAACCTTCGCGAAACCTGTGATGCTGGAGCTTCCATGCCAGACCTTCTGCGTCATGCAAAAACAGCATGACTCTTCCAGACCCAGACATTTTTACATTTGATAGTTATCGAAAGAGGATATGGCCTACATCACGCGGAAAGTCGGAACCTTATCTGGCCGTCTCAGTTCCCCCGACAGCGCGTCGCCGCCTCCACTTGCTCGCGGCCACAGGAGAGGCAGTAGCAGTTCGAGACATCACAAAAGGAGAGGCGCATCGTCTTCGGCGGAAACACGTCCACATGATCTTCGCAAAGCTGCTCCGTCGCTGAACTCTGTGATGGAAAAATGTAGTTCGCAAGAGCCACCTCTAGTACAACTCAGCGAAGTAGATGTAGACTCAGCTTCCTCTACTGGTGTAGAAGTACTGCGGCTCTCCCGCAGTGCGGGCGCGGTGAACCTGGATGCTCATTATCGGGCGGGTCTAGATCTAGTACAACTTCGTGACAGAGGCGGGACGACGCCGAGCGTCCAGATGAAAAATCCTGTAACTGCGGAGCTCAAACGCGAACAGCGTTTGCAGTACGTCGAGCACATGTGCAGCTCAATTCCCGGCACAACTAGCGACGTTGAGGTGCTGTACTTCCACTTATACGAGCTGCAAAAGTTTGCAAAGACGCGGCTCCAGGCACTGGATACTCTCGCACGGTTAGCGGTGCGAGTGGACGTGGCTGCGGTGGAAACATCTCGCTCAAAACGTCACGGTAGAAGTAGGAGCGCGAATAAACGCGAAGGACCAACATCTCAAAGCTCTAGTGCGCCTCTGATTTCTCGCGCCGCGCTGGCTTTGACGCTACTGCATAACCTTGTGCACGAGGAGATGCCCGCGACCTGGAAATTTCGTGCGCAAGGCGAGGAATTACTGGAGGCGGCAGTGGAACGGTTGAGGTCTTTGAAATCGGCCGTGGCGGAGTCGGTTTTGGAAGTGTACGAAGGGATGACGGCGCAGAAAACAAATGCCAAGCAAAGTAAATTAATACGCCCAACATGGTGATCATTTGTGGGCCCGGTCGAGAGGAGGGACGTAGAAGACCACGGCGCTCGAGCATCAGACAGAACGAAGACTTGGCGCGGCGTGGATTTGGTGCGCATCTTGGCTTTCTGCTAGATAAAAAACGGGCAGGATTATATGCTAGTTAAACTACTGCCACACCTTGATGTACTAGGCAACAAAAAATCCAATGAATAGAGGCGGTATTCAAAAAATGACGATCGAGGTTGTTCTGTCACAGGCTTTTGTGACCATGCATAAAAATGAACTGAAAATAACCTTCTCAAGAACTAATTAAGGACTCGGATGAATTTGTGACCAAGGGTCTTGACGGCCATATTCGAGAATATAGAAGCTTCAGTGTTAGTACATCAACCTCAATAACCTAAAGATATGCTCGTCCAGCAGCAGTCATAAGAAGGACGAAAGTTGTAATAATGTCACGTCGGCAGCATGTACAATATACTTTTCCTAGAAACCCCCATGAGTACCAAACGATTTGCAGCCTCTTGCCCTTACCATAAAAGTTATATAGACCTAAAACACCGATCGCGCTTCCCACATCGGCCTCCAGCTAGCCGTCAAGTGACATGCTGAGGACCAGAAGAGCCTTCACTGCGTTGCTTGCTGTATGCTCTCTCTCATCTTCCGCATACTTTTGCTTTGTGTTTGTCAAGTTAGTACTTAGAAGTTCACAAGCCGGAGGCTATCGATGTAGTGGTTGGAGAAAGAATTTTTATTTGAAGGAGGCAGTTCTTGTCGTTGGTTCGCCGGACCACAACCACTAATTACGTCGGGTAGAGAAATGACGATTTGGCTTCAGTAGCGGTCTCCTTCACACTGACGGTGAAAAACGAAAAATGCAAGTGTTGCAAATATCAACCGTTGCGAGGAAGACGCTACTGCACAATGTCAATCTCTCGTGGTTTTTCATACAATAAAGTAGGTGCTATGTAGTTTCGCAGAGTTTTGGCGCGTGCTGGAAGTATCAATCTATTTAGGGGTTTCGTAGTGGTAGCAGAACAAGTCAGAATCGCTCCCGTCTGACCTTCGGTGTAAGGTCTCTTCTCATTGAGTAAAATGACGGATTTTCTGTCCACTTTTTTGCACTCTCTCATTATGATACTTCCACTTTTCATGAATAATGCGACCCACTGGCGACATGGATGATGTAGCGCAACGACTTACCTGCAACTACTTTCATCTTGGTTTTTTTTCCATCAAAAAAGCGTCGGCAGTTTTCAAGAATGCATACAAGAGAGCGCACAGCAAACAAGCGAACCGACGCGACTGAAACATCAAGTTCTACCAGTGTCTATTAGTACTCGCGACGAAAACTTATGGTCCTTTGGACTGAATGCTTTGCTTGTTTGGATCATTTTGACTGTTATTTTGCAATTAAACAAAAAGAAAAACAAAAAGACTGATGTTTTACGCTCACTACCTAGTAACTGTTGTAATACTTATAAATGTTTTTATCGATTAGGATTACCCTTTGGTTTGTTGGAAACGCTTTGCACTTCTATCGCACAGTGCCGCTTTTCGTGGTTGCTGTATCGGTAGGAATTAAATGCAGGTCGTGAGTGAGTCAACGACCTCTACTTTTTTAGAAATACGAGCATTCGTATTGTATCCATCTGTCTCCTTGTGTTTGTACATTATGTTGTTCCTTTGCATTGCAAGCGGCAAAAAACAGAAAGGCTTACCTGAATAAAAGGTCATGGGTTATCTTGACTCGCAAAAATAAAACTTCGATGCTCTGCTACCCTGCGTGATGGAAGTATGCACAACTTCAAATCTGCAGCCGCCTTGCCCTTGCGGGTTCGTGTGAGCGCTGCTCGCCTTTACTATGATCGCGGTGTTGGCTGTTCAAGATCAGCTTCAGAGGTTCGTGGATTTTCACTCTGAAGACTTTGAGTGGACCGATAGTTGTGGAGTAATACCGTTTATTGGAACATCAAAACTGTAACTGCCCTCGGTAGCAGCGAACGTTTTGAGCGGTATCATTCAGACGAACACATATAAAATTCCGTCTGAGTGGCTACAGTATCATGTATGTGAGAGACAAACGACAAGCAACATGATGAAAGATCATCATGTTTGTTTTGGGTACGAGCTGTCCGCTGATACAAAAACCAATGTGATCGATGATGAAATTGAAAGAGCTTTTTGCGTGGACCACGAAGCTGCTGAGAAAAATCAAAATGAAACCATTTTAACAGATGAAGAACAATCAAGATGTTCGAGTCTCCGTTGTCGAAAGTGTTGCTCCGCCGAATACAAGACGGGGACCCGGAGTTGCAGGTGAAGAGAGGAATTCTGTTGACCGACCAGACACCGAAGGACAATTACCAAAACGGAACAACGGAGGATGTAGGCCCAGGTCCGGTTTCGTTTTTTGACGCTGGGCGCGAAGAAGATTACGACTATGCTGGGCAGGAAGGGGAAGATGTTGGTGCCGAGATCGAGGGAGAGGACGGGGAGGGAGACGGGTACTACGCCTACGAGGATGATGCGGTAGCAACGGAGGGCAACGCCAACGGCAAGTACGTCCGGGCAAAAGAACCCCCTCCACTCTCCGACTACGAGGATTTGCTTCTCCACGTGAATGAAAACGTTCTACCCCCACTGGGGTTCTCCGTGCAAAAGCGCAGCGCGCCCGGTACCAGTACATTGGCGAATAAAGGCCGTCACCGCGCCCAGGCAGCTGGAGGCCCTCTGTACCTCGAAGTTGTGACCATCGAGAAGGGTTGGTGGGCGTACGACCACCTCGCGATCGGCGATCTGCTGATTTCCGTGGAAACGAATCGGGATAGAGTTTCTGCGGATTCTTTGAAAACGGTGTTCGACTGGGAACTGATCCTGCACCAACGCCCGTTGACGCTGTTTCTCCTGCGGCCGCCGGGTGTTTTACCGCCGGGGATTGTGGAGCAGGAGCGGGCGCGGTTGAACATGGTAGTGGGGCCAAAGTTTGGCAACATTTTTGGAGGAACAGCAGCTGGAGGGGAAGGAGCTTCTGCCCAGCTGCCAGGAGATTTCCAGCAGCGGCACTTGAAAAAATCCCTCACCGAGCTCGCCACCGGAGAGCACGGCGCGCCAACGGAGCTACTGTTGAAGCAGATCAATTCGGCGAGCCGGAATCTGGTGAAAACGAGAGCGCTGGAGTGGGGGGTTTTGGACCAGGAAGATGAGCGTGGAGGTGCGGGTGGTGTTGTGTTGCACGACGAATTGTACAATGACGACCGGCGAACTACAACTACCCGCATGAAGACAATAAACGATCGTCGCCATGTGGATCAGCAGACGGCTTTTGAAATGCAGCAGGCCCTGGACCAGGACCGGGACCACTTTAACCGCGAGGGATGGAAAATTGCGATGCGCAGGGAGCTCGCGGAGGCGAAGGACCAGCTGAAGTTTTCTGTCAGGAGCACCGGTGGTGGTCGTGTAAACAACCTGCTAAAAAACGACCCCGCGGAAGTGAATGACCGGCGGTTTCGTTTACTATTCTCCTCGGAGCATTTGGAAGAGAGCAGCCTCGGCGTTCCTAATTTGGACGAAAAGTACGATACCACAATTGATGACCGGACTGTGAACAACCCAACGTCGCCCCTCTTCCACCCGGAAATGTGGCGGGCCGCGACGAATCCAGGAGGAGATGAAGAAGACGAAGCGGTGGCGGATTTGATAAACCGCTGGGCGCCGAAAAGCTACGCACTGAATTCGAGAAACACGAGCACGACCAGGCTGCCAACCTCGGCGTTGAATGCGCTTCAGCGAAACTATCTGCAACAGAGTAATTTTTTGTACCAGAATCAACAAACAGGCTCAGGAGGCCCAAATGGAAATGAAGATGCAAGCGGAGCAAGAACCGAATTCGAAAGCATCCTCTCCCGGGTCAAAGACTTGCGGGAAGACGGACTTGCGGGACGGTTGAAAGAGGCGGAGGAGAATTTGTCAAAAAAGTTTTCGACTTCAAAACGTGAAGACTTTCAGAAGTACTACACTGAGCTTCTGGAAATCGAAAATGCGGAGAAGCTGCTAGCCCGGACGAAGACGAACTACAGGGGCGGAACGCGTGCGATAACCCAGGCGAAGACCAAACAAGCTGCAGATCAAAAATCAATCTCGGCGCAGGACAAAACCCTTGCCATCATCCAATCTCTGGAGCGGCTCGGCGATAGGTTCGCGGAAAGGACTGGTGGGGCGGGTAGCAAGGGGAGACAGAAACAACAAGACGAGGGTGACGATTTTGAAGAAAAACCGACCCTGACCGAATCGTACAAACAGGCCGTGATTCAGGAACACGCGGAGTTCGTGGCGGAAAAAACCGCCACGGCGGTGAAGCAAGTGATGGAGCAGGAGCAGCGGAAGCAGCGACTGGAGAAGTTGCAGGACTCGATGCTGAAATTGCAGCAGGAGCTGGAGCAGCAACACGAAAAAGCGGACTTGATTCAGAAGCAGAAAGAGAAGGTTTTCGAAGCGGAGAGACTTGCGATGGAGAAAGCGAAGCTGAATGCGGCGAGTGCTTTGATCGCGAGGAAAGCGGTTTTGAAGAAACAGATTGACGGAACGTTAGCGGAATTGCGGGACAACAGTGTTGCGTATTCTGCTGCTTCTGGGGGACAAAATTTTGGAGCCAGTGGCCATACGACCGCCGAGGCGATCAGAAATAGGATGAAAGCGCTAGACATTGCTTCCGGGAAACATTACAAGAGGCGAATAAAGGAGTCGGAAAACTATGCAGAGGACGATTTTTCCGCATCTTCAACATCCGGGTACGACGAACTACAGCGAGCGGCAGAAAGAACAGCAGACGTCGAAGAAGAATTCGACTCCGAGGCAGAATTAGTAGGTGTAGAGGACGATGCGGGAGAGGATTCTGAAGCAGAAGTACAGGAACTCCAAAATGCACAGCCAGGACCTCATCAAGAAGAGAACCAACTTTCCCCGGACTACGTCGTCGGCGCAAGCGGAAGCAGTAGTGAACAAGACGATGTTGAAGAGGATATCAACTTCGAGCAGGATGAGTTCCCCGACACGCCGGAGCCGTTGTCAAGTGAAGCCGGGGTGAGAAAAAGTGAGGGCGAAAATGACGAAATCGAAGATGCGGAGGATTTGTTCGAGGAAGATAATTTAGCAGGTGACGAATTCGGCGACCAAGACCAGGAGGCCGAAGACGAGTATTTCATCGACCAACAAGATGATCAGGACGAGGGCGAAGTGTTCGCAGGCTCGCCAAGTAGCAGCAGTAAGGGATCGCTCTCCTCAAAGGTTGTTGGGAATAGAAGCCCGCTGTTTTCGAAAATCGCTGATGTGGTGGTGAGGTCTGCTTCCCCTTCCGAAAGGAATAGGAAGGTAAACTTCCTTGTTGATGAGCCTGGCGCAGCGAATGATGAAGCAGAAGATTTGTCTGAGGCCGAGGATCGATTCGAAGGGGATGAGGATGAGAAAAGTAGCAGCAGGCTTGGCGGCTCGCCGGTTGTTCATGGAGACGAGGAGGAGCATGAAATCGTTGCGGCTGCTGCGGTGATCGACACGTCGAGCCCCGCCGAGCAGCAGAAGCGTGCTCAAGTTGCTACTGATGGAGTTTATGCTGAGCGTGTTGCAGCCACAGGGGACGTCGTAAATGCCCCTGAAGAGGAGGAAGCTCAAGCTGCTGCTCAACTTGAGGTGGAGGAGGGCGATACTCTCATGGCTGAAGAGGAAATTGAATACGAAGACGATAGCAGCGGGTACCCAGAGAGCGTTTCATCCGGAGATGAAGTGGAGAAACAGGAGGTATTGCAGCGCGACGTGCAAATCGCAGGGTACAACGATGCAACCGAAGAACAAAACGACAGCTACGGAGGTGAAGAGGAGGAGGAGCTCGAAGAGAATGAAGAGTTAGAACCAGTAGCACAAGATGAATCCAACCAAAACGAATTTTCTGCACCGCCGGCGCTACCTCCAGGAGCTCCTGAACAATCCCAGCAGCCGAGCAATGTTTTCGCCTACTACGGAAATGAAAGCGGTACGACTAGGCACGCAATCGACCTCGAGAAAGAGATGAAGGAACAACACCTCCTCGAAGAGCAATTCTCTGCACAAGCGCACACGTCGACCAATGCGGCAGAAGTGACGAAGACCGATGTGAAAAATGATTCAACTCACCACTTCCTCTTCACGCAAGATTTACTCCAGCGACATGGAAAAACCGCCGAGTTTCTGAATGGAAAAAGACTAGAGACCGACATTAAGAACCTGCAGCGTGATTTAGACCTGTTGTCGAATGACCAGTCGAATTCTTCTTCTCATGAGGACGACCTGGAACCACCAGCATTTGCGCGATTTGCGCCTCCGAGGAGGCAGATAGAATTGCCGACGAGGACGCGGAGTCTAAGAGGTAATGGTGATGCGGACCCGCCAGCAGGATCGAATTCTACTGCCTTCACTCCAGGAAGCTCACTGGCGCAGTCGAGCTCCACTGCTTTTCTGCCTGTCGTTCGAGGGCATGTAGTCGAAGAAGGTACCGGGGCGAGAAGGAACGGGACGCTAAATCCAGAACAAAAAAAGCAGGAGCATTCCGCTCCTGCTGACGACGAATCGGAATCTTGGTCCGCGTGGCGGGAGCGGGTTTTGGACACGGTGGACGATTTTGCGTCAGGGCGACTGTTTTCTTCGTTGACGAGCGACTACGCTTTGTTTGGGAACACGAAGATTTTTGCGGATGAATCGCCGGGAAAGGGGAGTTCCGCCACAGGGGGATCATCTTCCGAGGAGAACAATGGATCGGACTAGTGCTGCGATGCAACGACCGATGATAGATAAAAAACATGTTCAATGTTAGTTTATGAATGTTTGTAAGATGCACGGAACAAATACAAAAAATTCGGCTGTAGTTTCATAGTAAATGGCAATGAATTATGTAGTCGCGTTTGTGTACGTGAATGTTCCGAGAACCTGTAGATGAACTCTGTAACTTCTCGTGGCTTTCGTCCGTTTCGTCTAGTAATGGAAGATTAGACCATGATCACTGACAAAGAAAAAGTCTAGACGGGTCGAGGCCACCTCGCAATAGTGCCGTTTCACGCCCACGCAGACATCGATTGCTTGTTCGTTCGCGCAGAGAAGTTGACTGAAATCTTGTGCGTTCATCCTGGACCGCGAAGGATGCGCTGTGAGTGAGGAGAGGTTCTTGAAATATCGTTTGTTCCTGCATCCATCGGAGTTCCTAGTTTGTCGGGGGTGGCTCCCATCTATCGTTTAGGCATCTGGGGCAGTCGTCATCTTCATCGTATTTGCTTCACCCATCGCATTCGGATTTTCGCTTTTAGTTCTCTACTACGAGATCGCTTTCGTTATCGTTTCCTCATCCTCGCTTTTTTCGACCCCTTCGTGCCTACGCTCGTTTATCATTTCGTGTGTTGTATAGTATTCGCACCAACTTCTAAAAGTATAAAATGACCGGAAGCTGTCGTGGACGTTGATTGAACATTTGCGACTTGTTGAAAATTGTGAAAATATCCTGAGTGCGTACTACTAATGTAACGACGCAGCAACGCTACAGGCAAAATGCTAGCTCAAAGACCAGAGGGCCAGAACGAAGACGACTCCACGACCATGAGCAGCCCCACCCCAGCAGTTCCCACCAAGCTCTCTGTCGGCATCCAGAAGCTGAAGAAAACGTTTTTCACGCCAACCGTCGTGGCGACGGTGGTTCTCCTCTGGGTCGTGGTCGTTTCAAAACTTGTCGTGGACAGGATCGAAAATGCGAAGGGTGTTTCTGGAGCAGCGTTTACGTTCAAATGGCGAGAACACGAGCAGCACTCCGGAAAGGAGCGTATGGCAGCACTTTCTACAAAGACAAATCTCCGCAGCGGCACGACCAATTCAGTGGCGAGCGCAGCAGCGGAGAAAGATTCGCAGCCTGCACCGGACTCATCCACATCAGAGCCGTCTTCTTCGTCACACCCCCTGGCCGCGGTTCTGTCCCTGCACCCCTCTAGTGCAACCCGGAAGAGCATGACGAGCGGTTTCAAGAAGACCAGTTTTCGAAAGCCGAAACCCGGTGGAGGTGCAGCTGCTGCAGCGCCAGTGCCGGCAGCCGCGACTGCGTCGGAAAGTTCGCGGCTCAAGGCCGCGATTGACGAGAGTGGCAGCATGACGGACGCAGTAGAGGAGGGTGCCGCGGAGAGTCAAACGACGAGCTTCTCAAGCAGCTTCTTGGCGCTGACGGTCGAGACGAAGACGACCATGTCGGAGAAGAAATCGAGCACGGAGAGACCCCCAAGCCAAGGTGATGTTGACATGGTTGGCGACGAAAAGGATACAGAAAAAGATAGAAAAAACGCACCACAATCAGCAGAAAAGGATCAAGCCCCTGAGTCAGCACAACGAGAAGCATCGAAGACGAATGCAGATGACGAAAGCAAGGAAGCTGGCGACGACGAGAGAAACAAACCAGGCGCTTCCGGAAAGCCCCAGGCCGCGGCTGACACCACCAGCAACATTCACAACAACTTCATTCGTGGTGAGAAACTTGCTCTCCTGATTTTCTGCGTCGTGATTCTCTTCGTTGTGCTCCGAGAGCTGCAGATGAAGATTTCCGAAAAGTTGAAGAGCTCCGGCCACGCAGCGCTGCTCGACGTTTTGCGCGCCAGCTGCTCCGCGATCTTTCCGTTCACGATTTTGGTGTTTGCAACTCTGATCATTCTGAACAGCGACAGTCACGCGTTTTCACATTTCAAGTCTAGAAATTTTCTCACGAGTGCCACTTCGGGAGAACGGGTGGCAGTTGACTCAACGACAAACGAGGCGTCTGTGCCTGATGTCACCCGCACGATCATTTTCTTCGCGACCGCCTTCCATGGCTTTTACTTCTTCATGGTGTTTGCGGTCTTGCTTCTCGCCACGAGGCAAAACTGCGAGTGGCGGTTGGTGGAACAGACCTGGGTCCCCCATCTCTTCGACGAAAAAATGGGAAAAGCTACCCCTGTGAAGGACTACGTGTCTGTCAAGAGAGTTCTGGAGTATCACTGCACGAGACGGGAATTCTTCTACCCGTATTCCCAGGAACTAGTGCTCGCGGACAGGGGTGACAAACAAGGAGGTGAAACTGGTGCTGGTGGCGGGACAAATTCAAGTACAGCGTCTCCATCAGCGTCACAACATCTGAACCTGCGGCCCCACCCCGAGGTGTTTCCCTTTCACAAGTACCTGCGCCGGCATTTGATGCAAAATTTGCTGATCGATTTGATCCACATTCCGCCTTTCTTACTGCTCCTGTACGGGATCCTCTTCACGCTTTTGGCCGAGCTGTGGCAGAAGGTAGTAGCCATGATTGCGGGGGGTGCCACAGCCGTTATCGCCGGCAGCGGAAACAACAACAGTGCAAAAACTTACGTGAGCGGCAGGGTTCTCCTCCTCGACATTACCACCCTCGGCCAGTTTCTCATCGTACTCACGCTGTTCGGCGTTTACCGACACCTCCGGAAAGTTAACCGGTGGCTTTTGCCGACGAACCTCCCCCCACAGGGGAATAAGAACAGGAATAAAGATTTTGATGAGTTCTATTGGAACAACCAAGCACAACAGCCGAAGTACCTCACCAGGCCCTTTAAAAAGATCCGGAAGACGGCGATGTGCGGCTTGGCGAAGTATTTTCATGGCACCATCCATCCCTCAAAACACGAGAGCCTGTTTTGGTTCTCCCGGCAGGGACCCCTGAACATTCTGCAGCCGCTGCAGTTGGCGTTCTGGTTCCAGATCGTGTTTTACGCGATCTGCTTAACCCTCGCCTTGTTTTTCGACAACACTGCAGCCGGCGGAGCGGTGGATGATCACGAGAAGGACTACGCCGCTGCCCCGTGGTACACGTTCCCCTCCGCTAGTTTTCACGTGCTGTGCCAACTATTTCTCGTCCTTGTCAGTTTGCTGATGCTGTGGCCACTGATCCTACCGCTGTGGACGATCGCAACCGGAACGGGAGAACTGTTAGACGAGGAGGCGATAGACGCAGTCGCGCTCGAAGAAAAGGGGCGGCTGGTAATGAGAAGTTGCCATATTATGCGTTTCATAGAAGTAAAGAAAGATAGCAGCTTTGTTTGTAGTTGATCTCTCCAAAAAATATTGTTGCCCAAAGAATCAACCATCGATAAAATTGTGAAGGATCACGGTCAGAAAAATAATCATCAGGTTTCCCTGTACAAGCCTTTGGCCGGCGAACTGCGCACCCAGGCGCGTCTCCGTGCGCTTCGCAACATGGAGCTCGACGAGTATGAGGACTGGCGGGCCGAGCAGGAGCAGAAAATCGAGATCGCAATCGACGGGCAAACCGCCGAGACGATCGCCAGCGCATTTCAGGAAGTGGACGAAAACGACTACGCGCCCGCGTTTTTGATGCTCGGTGGCGGTTTGGTCACCGCGGACGAACAATTGGCAAATGAATTGGCGGAGAATCTTAGGGAGGAAAACCGGAGCCGCCGACTAGGATCCGAAAATTTTTTTTGCACGAGCACACAAATAGTTGCGTTTGGTCGGTATGAACCCTGGGGCGGCTCAAGTCATCGCTTCGCATTCAGAAAGTACAGCGACTGTGCGAATTCCCGCCAAGAGGCGCAGTCATTGCCCTAAATTGTTGCGATGGCAGGGGGCCCCTTCAGACAACACCCAAAGCATCAGTAAAAACTGGGCGCCCGCAAGTAGCGCAAGCACTTGCGCCACCTGGCTGAGCTGCCTCATAGTGGTGGCCGCCTCGGCCGCGGACCCCGCCCCACCGTTTGCGCCACCGGCTGCCGGCCAAGCGCGCCGCCCCGCGCGCGCCCCGCCCCCGCAGGGCTTTTGCCGGCCGCCTCTACCCGGGCCCATGCTGCCGTCCGAAGGTTTGGGCCCCTCCCGAGATTTCCCCGGATCCGGGACAAATCCGGGATGTTTTTTGGGCCAGATATTTTCCAGGAATTTTCGCCAGATTTCGGCCAGATTTGACAAGGATTTTGTTGGAATGTAGGCGGGGGACGACTACAAAATTTGAAGCGGATTTGCCGGGGATTTCGCGCCAATCGGCCCCCCGGAAGGGGGCAAATCCTGGGCCAAACCGGGGAAATTTCCGGGAATTTCCGGCCCTCCCGGATTTGGGCCAGATTTGAAAGGGATTTATTTTGTTGGACTGTAGGCGGGGGACGGCGTGGAAATTTGGCCCGGATCTGGCCCCGGCCCGGACCAGGCCGTCCCCCGCCCCAGCGCAAGTCTCCCGAGCTCTTCCGACCGGGCCCGCTTCCGTCGGATGGTGGGGGGCAACCAGAGAAAGGCCCACTCTTGCCAAGAGAGGCAAGACATGATGGACATTGATGGGCAGGACATGTTTGCTGGCACTTTCAAACAAGGGCCGCCAACATCGCAGGACGATGATGGCGAAGATTGGATGTAAAGACGATGAATGAAGGGGAAAAAAAGGAAAGAGCTATGACCGACCAAAAACAACTATTTGCGTGCTCGTGCAAAAAAAATTTTCGGATCCTAGTCGGCGGCTCCGGTTTTCCTCCCTAAGAAACTTATCAAATGCTAATATGTCTGGGTCTGGAAGAATGCAACTTGTGATGCGCATTTCAGAACACAGAAAAGTCTCTCATGCATAGGTAGCAAAAGCTAAAGCTGCCCACTTTCTGTCACCAAAATGGGGAATTTGTCATGCGGATTCGGCATTGCGTTTGCGGAAGCTTCTCGAAACCTGTCATGCTAGAGCTTCCATGCCAGACCTTCTGCGTCATGCAAAAACAGCATGACTCTTCTAGACCCAGACACTTTTACATTTGATAAAACTGCGGGAATACAGTGCCATTTTTGCAGAGAAAAGACAGCTGCTGCCATCTTCCGCGGACGAGGAAGATGGCACCGCGCGGAAGAGTAGTAGATTGTCCACAGAAGTGCAGGTCACGGTGGAGCTGTTGCTAACCGATGTGTTGCTCTTCCTGTGTCTAGAAGTCGACGAATTTTTCCCGGATTGCTACATACCGATATTAAAATCCTCGCCCTCGTCGTCGTCCCAGGTGGGTGGACAGAAGCAGAAGATGTCAAAGGCAAAAACCACGAGGAACCGAGACGACGCGTTTTTGATGCAGCATTACCTGCAGGAAGAAGTTTTATTCACGAAAAATAGCAGTAGTGAGAGTTTTTTCCAGGTTCAGGAACTGAATTTCTCCTCTTCTGCCACCCGGGTGCAGGTGGAGGAGCTCGGGTTGGCGCTGCAGCCCGTCTTGACGAAGTGCAACCTGACGAATTTGCGCGACATTGACCGCATTTTTCGACTCGTGCAACCACCTCCGGGTAGTTCGATGCAGAATGAAGATTCAGCTGTTACATTCGGTGGGGACGTCGAGCAGAACAAGAAGTACGGCTCCTCGCAAGTAGCGAACTGTAGTCCGTATTTGATCTACACTCCGTCGACCATCAGTGTCTCTCATTTAGCCATGTGGTTGACGCAATTTTTGAACAACGGTGCGGGTCGTGCGAGCAAACTGTACCAACACGAGGACAGTACGTCGATTGCAGCAGGAGTGGTCCCAGGAACTACGAACAGGCAAAGCAATTCCAACCCGTTCTTTGGCAACATCAGGAACAACGACCAGCAGTTTTCCCTGTTCAGCTTGTACAATCATGGGTCTGCAGCTGGTGGTGACAACACGCCACCCTTGCCGCCCATCCAAACCAGGGGCAGCGGCCGCAGCCGCCCGCTGGTGCTGCCCCTCTCGGCAAACAGCTTGAACGGCGGGAAGTTACCCTCCATCCCGACGCCGGCAATGAGCACAGTGTCCCGGGAGAAAGCACGGGCAAGACGCAGTTCCGTGGGCGGAAGTAGGACCAGCAGCGCCTTACAGTTACAACCAGGGGGGATGTTAGGAGCAGTGAACCAGCCGGCTGCTAGTACTTCTTCTTCATACGGCTTTGATACAACAGGAAATGGCGCAGGAGATGATCAACTTGTGGACCCGACAAAGCCCATACGGGGCGTCCCAGCAGTTAGTGGTCCACCGGAACAAAGTAGACAAGAGAAAGATCCTCTCGATCCACCGCTGCCAGTCCCTGTTGTGGACTTTGGCGGCAGTCAGTCAGCGGCTGTTATTCCGTCTGTCGTGATGAAGCCCGGAGGTGCTTCATCTTCATCTTCCACAAGAAATCCGGCCTTGAAGATGGAGGCCGTGGTGGAAACGAGTGCGGCAAATAAAGTGGTGGCGCCCTCGTTGCGTGACAACAACCGCCGTCGGTCTTCCGCGTTCGCAAAAGCCATCACGAATAACTCGGCTACTTCCTCCCCGAAAGGTGTGAATCCAATTACTTCTTCTACTACCGGTGCAGGAGCTGGAACTCCAGCGTTCAGCTCCACATCCTCCGGCGCGCCAAAAACAGTCAACCTTCTCGTACCAGAAGCAGACCAAGTGCCAACAGTCGTGCCCGGAGCGAAAACAATCCGCGGCACTTCGTCTGCCGTTGGTAGCAACATCAACGCAACTACCTTTTCCAATCGTCCGGAAAGCTACGCTATCTACACGCCGGAGCCTAGCAAGGGCGCGGCTAGTATCCCACGGGTGGATCTGTCGGAAAGTAGCAGGTCGTCGGTGGTGCCGGGCTCCAGTGGCAGTAAGCAGAGTGTTGGGAGCAGTGGCAGAGGACAGGCGAACACGTCGGAAGAAGAGACCACAACCACAGCAGCGGTGCCGAGGACCGAAGTGTAGAAGTGGAGCAGAGTTCTTATTCTTCATCTCGAAGGTATGTCCTCTAGCGTTTTGGAATGTGGTTTCAGATTCAGAGTGGAAACATGATACTATTTCCGATAATATGCACAGGGGCGGGCGCAGAAGATCATGCGCTCGTCTTCGTTGAAAATGAATGAAAACGCAACAACACGACTTATACTGGTGTGTTGCAGCGATAGCGAAATAAAAGATGAGTATAATCAAACACAATAAGAACAAATCTTCCATCGTGAGAACGTGATTTCGCCATCTTGTATTCAAAAGTCGAGAAGCGCACCGAGCAGCAGCGCTTTTCAAGAAAGAGGACATTATACTGAAAAGAAATACTATGTATAGCACTGAATGTATAATTTGATGTAGCAAAGATAAGTTTGAATTTCAACAACTGTACGAATCACAAACACTAGATGTAGATACGCGACTCAGGTCGAGTAGACCGAGTGTCATCGATCAACTAACAACCGAAGAAAAAAACGAATGTACAAAATTGACGTCGTGCAACAAGATATCTTGTAAAGCACTACTGTAAGGAAAATAATGCGCCAAAAAGACGCGACCGCGACTTGTACTTTTTGCGTGTACGCGAGAGCCAGAACGAGACGCAGATTAGTTGTAATCGTACTTGGAAGTAGTTGACCACCAATGTCGATGTGATTGCGTGAGGACGCTGCGGCTGGCTGGAGTACCAATTTCCAGCGCCAACTTGCGAAGCCACATCCACGCTACATAATCTTCACTGTAATAAATNCTCGATGACCCGCTCTGGGAGGACAGCATCACACTCGAAAAGGAGTTTCGCGACAACCCGACGGCGCAGCGAAAATCGGAGAAGCGGCGGGAGGAGAATCGGAGAAGCAGCGAAAATCGGAGAAGCAGGAATTTTCGCCAGATTTCGGCCAGATTTGACAAGGATTTTGTTGGAATGTAGGCGGGGGACGACTACAAAATTTGGAGCGGATTTGCCGGGGATTTCGCGCCAATCGGCCCCCCGGAAGGGGGCAAATCCTGGGCCAAACCGGGGAAATTTCCGGGAATTTCCGGCCCTCCCGGATTTGGGCCAGATTTGAAAGGGATTTTGTTGGACTGTAGGCGGGGGACGGCGTGGAAATTTGGCCCGGATCTGGCCCCGGCCCGGACCAGGCCGTCCCCCGCCCCAGCGCAAGTCTCCCGAGCTCTTCCGACCGGGCCCGCTTCCGACCACCCGCTTCCGTCGGATGGTGGGGGGCAACCAGAGAAAGGCCCACTCTTGCCAAGAGAGGCAAGACATGATGGACATTGATGGGCAGGACATGTTTGCTGGCACTTTCAAACAAGGGCCGCCAACATCGCAGGACGATGATGGCGAAGATTGGATGTAAAGACGATGAATGAAGGGGAAAAAAAGGAAAGAGCTATGACCGACCAAAAACAACTATTTGCGTGCTCGTGCAAAAAAAATTTTCGGATCCTAGTCGGCGGCTCCGGTTTTCCTCCCTAAGAAACTTATCAAATGCTAATATGTCTGGGTCTGGAAGAATGCAACTTGTGATGCGCATTTCAGAACACAGAAAAGTCTCTCATGCATAGGTAGCAAAAGCTAAAGCTGCCCACTTTCTGTCACCAAAATGGGGAATTTGTCATGCGGATTCGGCATTGCGTTTGCGGAAGCTTCTCGAAACCTGTCATGCTAGAGCTTCCATGCCAGACCAGACCTTCTGCGTCATGCAAAAACAGCATGACTCTTCTAGACCCAGACACTTTTACATTTGATAAAACTGCGGGAATACAGTGCCATTTTTGCAGAGAAAAGACAGCTGCTGCCATCTTCCGCGGACGAGGAAGATGGCACCGCGCGGAAGAGTAGTAGATTGTCCACAGAAGTGCAGGTCACGGTGGAGCTGTTGCTAACCGATGTGTTGCTCTTCCTGTGTCTAGAAGTCGACGAATTTTTCCCGGATTGCTACATACCGATATTAAAATCCTCGCCCTCGTCGTCGTCCCAGGTGGGTGGACAGAAGCAGAAGATGTCAAAGGCAAAAACCACGAGGAACCGAGACGACGCGTTTTTGATGCAGCATTACCTGCAGGAAGAAGTTTTATTCACGAAAAATAGCAGTAGTGAGAGTTTTTTCCAGGTTCAGGAACTGAATTTCTCCTCTTCTGCCACCCGGGTGCAGGTGGAGGAGCTCGGGTTGGCGCTGCAGCCCGTCTTGACGAAGTGCAACCTGACGAATTTGCGCGACATTGACCGCATTTTTCGACTCGTGCAACCACCTCCGGGTAGTTCGATGCAGAATGAAGATTCAGCTGTTACATTCGGTGGGGACGTCGAGCAGAACAAGAAGTACGGCTCCTCGCAAGTAGCGAACTGTAGTCCGTATTTGATCTACACTCCGTCGACCATCAGTGTCTCTCATATAGCCATGTGGTTGACGCAATTTTTGAACAACGGTGCGGGTCGTGCGAGCAAACTGTACCAACACGAGGACAGTACGTCGATTGCAGCAGGAGTGGTCCCAGGAACTACGAACAGGCAAAGCAATTCCAACCCGTTCTTTGGCAACATCAGGAACAACGACCAGCAGTTTTCCCTGTTCAGCTTGTACAATCATGGGTCTGCAGCTGGTGGTGACAACACGCCACCCTTGCCGCCCATCCAAACCAGGGGCAGCGGCCGCAGCCGCCCGCTGGTGCTGCCCCTCTCGGCAAACAGCTTGAACGGCGGGAAGTTACCCTCCATCCCGACGCCGGCAATGAGCACAGTGTCCCGGGAGAAAGCACGGGCAAGACGCAGTTCCGTGGGCGGAAGTAGGACCAGCAGCGCCTTACAGTTACAACCAGGGGGGATGTTAGGAGCAGTGAACCAGCCGGCTGCTAGTACTTCTTCTTCATACGGCTTTGATACAACAGGAAATGGCGCAGGAGATGATCAACTTGTGGACCCGACAAAGCCCATACGGGGCGTCCCAGCAGTTAGTGGTCCACCGGAACAAAGTAGACAAGAGAAAGATCCTCTCGATCCACCGCTGCCAGTCCCTGTTGTGGACTTTGGCGGCAGTCAGTCAGCGGCTGTTATTCCGTCTGTCGTGATGAAGCCCGGAGGTGCTTCATCTTCATCTTCCACAAGAAATCCGGCCTTGAAGATGGAGGCCGTGGTGGAAACGAGTGCGGCAAATAAAGTGGTGGCGCCCTCGTAGCGTGACAACAACCGCCGTCGGTCTTCCGCGTTCGCAAAAGCCATCACGAATAACTCGGCTACTTCCTCCCCGAAAGGTGTGAATCCAATTACTTCTTCTACTACCGGTGCAGGAGCTGGAACTCCAGCGTTCAGCTCCACATCCTCCGGCGCGCCAAAAACAGTCAACCTTCTCGTACCAGAAGCAGACCAAGTGCCAACAGTCGTGCCCGGAGCGAAAACAATCCGCGGCACTTCGTCTGCCGTTGGTAGCAACATCAACGCAACTACCTTTTCCAATCGTCCGGAAAGCTACGCTATCTACACGCCGGAGCCTAGCAAGGGCGCGGCTAGTATCCCACGGGTGGATCTGTCGGAAAGTAGCAGGTCGTCGGTGGTGCCGGGCTCCAGTGGCAGTAAGCAGAGTGTTGGGAGCAGTGGCAGAGGACAGGCGAACACGTCGGAAGAAGAGACCACAACCACAGCAGCGGTGCCGAGGACCGAAGTGTAGAAGTGGAGCAGAGTTCTTATTCTTCATCTCGAAGGTATGTCCTCTAGCGTTTTGGAATGTGGTTTCAGATTCAGAGTGGAAACATGATACTATTTCCGATAATATGCACAGGGGCGGGCGCAGAAGATCATGCGCTCGTCTTCGTTGAAAATGAATGAAAACGCAACAACACGACTTATACTGGTGTGTTGCAGCGATAGCGAAATAAAAGATGAGTATAATCAAACACAATAAGAACAAATCTTCCATCGTGAGAACGTGATTTCGCCATCTTGTATTCAAAAGTCGAGAAGCGCACCGAGCAGCAGCGCTTTTCAAGAAAGAGGACATTATACTGAAAAGAAATACTATGTATAGCACTGAATGTATAATTTGATGTAGCAAAGATAAGTTTGAATTTCAACAACTGTACGAATCACAAACACTAGATGTAGATACGCGACTCAGGTCGAGTAGACCGAGTGTCATCGATCAACTAACAACCGAAGAAAAAAACGAATGTACAAAATTGACGTCGTGCAACAAGATATCTTGTAAAGCACTACTGTAAGGAAAATAATGCGCCAAAAAGACGCGACCGCGACTTGTACTTTTTGCGTGTACGCGAGAGCCAGAACGAGACGCAGATTAGTTGTAATCGTACTTGGAAGTAGTTGACCACCAATGTCGATGTGATTGCGTGAGGACGCTGCGGCTGGCTGGAGTACCAATTTCCAGCGCCAACTTGCGAAGCCACATCCACGCTACATAATCTTCACTGTAATAAATACATAGTGGTTAGCTTAGTTTTTCTTTGCTATCGGTAAAAACAGGTGGCTGGTCGGCTTAACACTCACAGCTGAGGAAGAAGGTCGGTTTCAATTGCCGTGCAACTCAAAGAATACAGTTTTACAACTGTGGAGATTGATGTCGGTAAACGTGAACGTGAATGTCGTGCATCTGATTTACGTTTTCCTTTTCGTTCGCGACTTCTGTGACGGACTTCTTTAGCGGATAAAATGCGGCGAGGCAGGACACATCCTTCGGTTTGGAGTTTCTGTCTCCGAAGAAGTGTGGCATCGGTTCGAGAGTTGCATAAAGAAATCTTTTAGTCGCTTTCAAGTTGAAGATATCAGATGCCAACATCGGTTCGTTCACTCCTGATCTTCCTGTTCGTCCATACTTCACCGGCATTTATTTGCGCGCAAATCATTTACGGCCAAGTTCAAATATTAACTTAAGCGACTTTATTCACCACCAGTTTCTCTGCTTTATTCAGGTCCTCTCTTTCAAATAGAAGCTAAACAAGAAGTAGAGGAACCCTCAGGCTTTTTGTTTTTTGTACAATAAACCAACACGATTCTCTTAATTTTCCTGCAACAAAACCACTCGTTGTCAGTGCCTTTTGTTCTTTTGTGATTCTCCTTACCCCTGCTCGTGGCGCGAAAAAGCATGGAAGCTACAACTGAAGAACAAGTTGCTGACGTCATGCAGCAGGTGGCTCACGACGAATCTGCGCCTGCCATCGAAGGTGTACACGCGGCCCCGCCAGGACGCAGGAGCAGGAGCTCCGCTAAGACGGTTTCCACGCTTGGTGCAGCGGATGAGGAAGTTGACAGCTACCTACCGCGGTCCTTCGTTTGCTTCACTTGCCGCGGATACAACGGAATTGCGCTAACCCTGCTCTCCATCGCCTCCTTTTGCCACTTCATCTCCATTCTGTGTTGGCAAGGCCACTTGAATGTGACTGAAACGCTATCCGATTGTGAAAGACTGAGACTAGAGGTATCACCATCTTGGCCGGCATCGAAAGAACTTGCAGCCTGCATTACCTTTTCTCCCTTGCACCACCAGCGCACTCTCTCTAGTACTTTACGCATTACATCAGCATAGATGTACAACTAGAATAACCTTTTGATGGCGCTCAGATAGATGGCGATAAAAAAGATTTCCGTTGCATAGACCTGGTGGACGGGAGCGACGTATGCGAGCAAGGAGTACAGCTATCCGCTGAGCTACGGCCGCGTGGTGCTGGGAGGCAGTGTTGAGAACAGCGATTCCGATGCGGAGTACGGGTCGCAGTTGGACTTTATGCAGCAGCGAAACTTCTACGAAACCCGCGTGTCTGAGCTCTACGGAATCGACTCGGCCGGGGCCCAGTACGTGGCCGAGCACCTGGACAGCTACTGGTTCGAAAAGCAAATCGGCACCAAGCAGAACGATGGGGACGAGGTTTGCGCCACCGCTACCGGTTTGTTCTTCGCCGGATTCGTGTTTTATGCAAGGAGAAATTTTCTTGATGTTCACCGTGATTGCATATCACAATATCTATCACCTATTCGCATTTCTCTGAGTGACGAGACCGCGAGGTCGGAACACTGCTAGGCCTAGGGTGGCGTCTCTCGTCGATGCATTCGCGTCATTGGAGCTCCCGGGGGTCGAGGTTGTTGTATAAAATGTGAGCGGAACAACAAAAAATTTTCCAATTTGCATACGTTCGACATTTTGTGCACCGCGTTCATCGCGCTTGCGATGTGGAAAAACTACCACCCGAAGGACGACGTCGAGACGCCGAACTCGCACCGCAGCAAGATCGCGGTGGCGGTGCTGACCGTCTTGCTGCTGGGGGGCTTCGCCTGCGCGGTCGCCAGTCTCGGCTCGTGGCAGCGGTGCTGGGACAAGGTGGAGCTGGCGTTCAAGTACCACATCAAGGAAACCACGACCAAGTGCGACAAAAACTTGAACGCCGCGTGGTGCACCGAGCTGGGCATGGGCACGGAGGAGTACACGACGGCCTCCACCACGTGGACCTGGGGAAAAAACTGCCCCGCAGGCGGTTACAAGTGCACCCACATCACCAGCGTCAACGGTGCGGAGCCCGATGCCGGGTACATTTTTCAGTGCCTGGCCTGCACATTCATGATCCTGGGCACCGTAGTTGCCGTCGTGGCTGCGTTTCACCCGCCCGACTGGGGACCGACGCAAGAAGATGCCTACGATTTCCCGGCAACCGGAAACAACCAACCGGGGTTCGGCACCTCCCCAGCGTTCCAGCAAACCGGCGGAGTCATGGACCACTACGACTACTACCCGGCGCAGGAAGGCAGCCGCCGTGCTTCACAGCGGTACGAGCCAGGGCGCGCGTCATCGGCTGGCAGGAAGTCGCGCTCCCCGCGGAACCGTGCGCAGGAAATGGAGCTCTTCCCGCAGCACGCAGCCGTGCGAGCAAACTCCTCGCAATTCAGGTGACCATTTCTTGGAGGTAATCATGCTCATGCAGTTTTTGCTACTGAACATGTTCCGCGCCACCACTGGAGCTAAGTGGCGGAGGAACAACTCTGGTTCATCAATCTGAAGTTTGTACCTGTGAGGTTCGGTCTGGTTCATGCCTTGTTTGAGATGCTTTATTCTACTGTTTATTTCTTTTCTCCTACTTCTGCATCAAAACCAACACCAACAACGCTTTTCTTCAGGTGAGTAAACCTTTGTAAAGTATTTGTTTTTGTTGACTGACTTTGAGCTATAAATCCTTCGTATTAACTTGTATCGTGCGGTATTTTTTCATTTGTATTTGAGGTAGGGCTTGCTAGGTTTCTATGTTTCCAAGCAGCTGCAGCTGCTCAGTCGAATCGGTCTGGCATTTAATCGCAAGGCCTCCTGTACTTTTCGCCCCTTACATACCGACGATTGACTCCTGATTGCTACTGTATTTTTTACAACCTCTACTGACAGAGTCGAGTTACAGATTGTTGTACGACTACGACGCAAATAAGTACGCGCACCTCGTTTCTCATATTCATCGTGTTGCAAGGAACAGGAAATATCATAAACTCTTACTCTACTTTCTGTAGCATCAACATCTTCTGTAGTTCTTTGATAAGAGCCTAGTACAATAACGAAGCTTACTCAACATCTGTTCGTTGTGGCCTTCTCTCAGCGTGAGGGGCGTATTTGATGTTCGAATCTTGTCGTTGTAAGGGTCGTGCCCGTCGGTGTGCCTCAGAATTGATCTTTAACTTCATCCCCGTGTATGAAAATGAATCGTAAGTCCTCTCTCGTCGTGGTTTAATATTAATTGCTAGTACCGGCCACAAGATAAAAAAAGAAAGCATGATCAGGGTTCCCTTCTCTAGTTGTCCAGTGGTCGTTGTGTTGGGTGGATAAGCATGAACGTCAGGAATCGAAGATTTTCTTTTCTCGATTTGCAAGAAAGCAACTTCGTCGGTCGTGGAACTCAACGGAGCCTTTGGAAGAAGAAGCACGTCTATTTGTGGCGCGTGTAAATGCTCTGGCTTCAAGCACCACCGTCGTCTTTTCGCTTCTCTGCTTCGTCTGAAGAAAATATATAAAAGAACAGCGCCGGTTGTATTTATTTGAGAAAAAAATTCTTCCTATTTTCCTTGAAACTCAATTTTTATTCGCTTGGCAATCTACCGAGGAACAAGTTGAAGGTTTTTTTGAAAACAACAAATTTCCAAGAAGTTTCTCAAACCTAAAAACAAACGCTTTTTGTCAACAATACACTCACACGGCACCAGTACACCAAGGATCGAGAATGTATCTCCAAGATCATTATTGGCGTTTGAACTCGTGCTTCGACGAGGGGCAGGCCGAGCTGAACCGTAATCTGTCCGAAGTCCAATCCCTCGACATGTTGATCCGGGACCACCGCGCGAAACTCGGACAGCCCATGAAGCCCTCCATGGCCCGGACCTACGGCCGGTTTGGGGGGTTATTGCCGATGGAAAAGCCGGAGGGCGGCGTGATGGCGCAACCGGATTTCTTGCAAGTAAAAGTCGACGAAGACGAGGACTCGGAAGACGACGAGGATCAGGCGCGTGGTGACCATTCCGGCGGGGAAGATGACCACGAGGGCAATGAGAACACGATTTCCGGTGCCCCCGAAACGTCGAAGTTCACAAAAACAGACGGCGGCGAGAGTTCGACGCTGAAGAACAGTACTACGAGCCGATCGCAGAGTTTGTCCGAGGAACAGGGCAATGAAGATGGAGAGAACAGAACCGCGAAAAAGAACAAAAAGCTGACGAAAAAACAGCTTGCCCAACTTGGGTCGCCGGAGGACGACGCCACAAACAGGTTAGGGAAGTACTCGCCAGACGGATTTTTGGGAAACGTGGTCATGACGGCCCAGGATTCCGTCGACGAATCGACCTGGAAGCAGATGCCACCCAGTGCGTACGAACGCTTGGCGAAGGACTACTGCAGGGGTTTGGCGGAAAGAGAAATGTTAAACCGGCGGTTTTTTGACCCGGCGCAGAACCAATCCGAATTTCTGTCGCAGGTGCTTCACTCAATCGACGGGACCAGCTTTGATGCGGTAGTAATAAGAATAACCAAGTTGAAGTTCTTTTGAATTTAAGCTATCTCTAAAGGACAACAAGTTCGCTTGAAAGCCATCTAATCTATCAAATCTTAGTCACCACGATAACCGAACAATTACTGCCCGCCACGTGCCAGCTGATTTACAACTACATGCGCCGCACCAACAATGCTGCATCTACTACTTCCCTATCATCTTCAAGATAAAGAAGAGAAAAAGATGAGACTGACAAAGAGCAAATCGAAATCGAATTCCACATACAACAGCAAACTTCCCGCGAGGACAGCAGCATGGTATCCACCCTGATGACCTCCTCCATCATCGACGAGAAGCGGTCACTTTCGCAGGAACTCGATGACCCGCTCTGGGAGGACAGCATCACACTCGAAAAGGAGTTTCGCGACAACCCGACGGCGCAGCGAAAATCGGAGAAGCGGCGGGAGGAGCGGAAGGAAAAGGAGAAGAGGAAAAGGAAGTTAGACGCGCTCGAAAAAGCGGCGAATTTGGTGACCTTCGCGGACGAAGACGTTGAAAACAATACCGCAGACGGGCATATCAAATGTAAAAATGTCTGGGTCTGGAAGAATGCAACTTGTCATGCTAAATCTGCAGCATGCAAAAATCTGTGTTGCATGATTGCCAAAAGTCGTCCAGTTTTGACCAAGTCGGGAGGCAGTTTCTCATGCAGGATAGGCATGAGAAAGGTCGCGCAGAATCTGTCATGCTAGGTCCTGCATTCCAGACCTCATGGGTCATGGAAAAGCTGCATGACAAATCGCGCATTCTTCCAGACCCAGACATTTTTACATTTGATAAGGCAGCTTTCCAGGACCACCTCCAGCCGCGGCACCACCAGCGGAGGTGGTGGCGGTCTCGGGGCGGGAGCGGCGTTGGGGGGACTGCTCCGAGCGAAGAATCTCGCGAAGAAGGCCCGGGCGAAGTCCATGAGCCGGCAAGAAGCGATGCTGCAGGCCGGACCGGGCGGCCAGCACTTCCCGGTTCCGGCCCACATCGCGGCGGGGATGAATAAGGACCGGCTGGAACACGAGCACGTCATGCTGGGCACGGAACACCCGGACCGCACCACGCTGCAGTACCACAAGGCGCAGTACGGTGGCGGGGATCTGAAACTGTTCGGCGGGCTGGGGCCGAACCTGTACCGCGCGCCCAAAGACATCCCGGCGCAGGCGGCGCGGAAGTGGGTGGTGAACGAGCAGAAACTGGAGGAATTCTCCACCGGATCGTCAACGTTATCCTTGCTCGCGACCCGGCCGAAGAAGACCCACGCGCGGTACCTGAATCGGTTGATCAAGTCCCGCGACCCGCAGAAGTTTAAGATTTTGCCGGGGCACGAGAATCGCCTGGCGGCGGACATTTTGGAGGCGGTCGAGAAGGTGAAGGAACGGGTGGAAGACGGGTTCACCGAGCCGGAAACCAGCATCGACAGTGTGACCGGGATTGCGAAGGAGAAAGAGGTGATCGACTTGGAGCAGAAGGCCGAGGAGATGCTGCAGAAGGCGGTGCGGAAATGCGTGCGCAAGTGGACGACGGACTTGGGGATCCTCGCGACGGAAGCGGTCGGGTTTGAGGACATGAGTCAGTCGACGTTGGAGTCGGTCACGGAAGAGGATTCGTCGTCCGCGGCGGCAGATTCCAAGACCGGGGGATCGAAAAAGGACAGCGGGGAGGAGAAGGAGGGGTCCTCGGTGCTGTCCGAGGACGGAGCGGGGGAAAAAGAGGGCAGCAGCGGCGGGTCAAAGGCGAGCTCGCAGGCGTAAGAAGTGCTTAAGTACTAGAAAGGGCGGATTGCTGGTATATGGATTTATCAAATGCTGGAAATAACTCGCAGACAGCAGACACTATCTGTGTGTATACCTGGAGTGTAGATGCTCGAGTAAGTTATGCTGTACTCTTTGATAATTGGTGTCGTTGGTCCGTTGGTGTGGGCCGTCGAATGGAACGCGTCACGCTTGTACACATTTCGACCGCCCGACTTCTTCCATATGTTTTTGCTTTTGCGAACACTCACAATCCACACGAGAAGAACCATTCCAATTGCAAAAATCGCAAAAAATATTTCAACGAATTTGATGTGGTGGCGCGTTTGTTTCGCAAAAAATTGCAGCGACCACCTGTGACTTTGGCTTCGATTGCTGGCGTCTTCATGTTTGTGATAAATGTGGCTTCACTCACCAGTGGTGTTCGTCAAAGGATCTTCTGAAACACATATGCATTGCAGCCGTCATCTGCGTCGGCTCGAGAGTTTTAAGGTTGTTAAAGATCATGATCGTCATGGTTGTCTGAAGATGGTCGTGTATGTGCACGTGATATTAAGAACGCCAAGAGACCAAAAGGACAAAGTTGTCTAAGATTAAGAACTCAAGGACATTTTCGGGTACTACTACTAGCAGTACTACACAATGAAAACAGCCTCAAGAAAGTAATTAGAAATGCTTTCCATCTCAACACCCCGTCTCCGTCTGTGGCTGTGGCCTCACGCCAGTAAAGATTTCAACTGCCACGCGTGGCCACACCTTGGACACGCCCTGCGATTCGCGCGAAAGAGCAAGAGGATACCAATGTGGAAGCTTGGGTGGGCGACTGGACTTGGCGAACGGTACATCGGACAGATCGAGAAGGGGTTTGCGGTGCCCACCGAAGTGGAGCACTCCGTGTTGCGACAGAGTCTCGGGGTGTCGCTACGAAAAAAGAATTTTGCGAAAATGGATAAAGTACCTTGATGATGAGTTGAAAAAGTAAGGTTGGTTAGTCCTCACTGATCGAATGCGATTCCGATTTGAGTGCAACAGCAATGTGAAAGAATCAGGGCGAGCAGGACGCCTCTTTAACGATGAAACGCATGAAGCTATTCGAAAGAGAACCAGAGCAGCGCGTTGCTCCTGACGGCACTCTTTCAGAACGTAGAACTAGAAACCATGAAAATAGCTGAGAGGGTGCGTTGTTCATCTTCCACACTAATTGACTCAAATACTAAACAAAGTTTTACACAGTCTGCCCTGTCTGCCACTCTTCGTGTGAACAGTCCTACAGGACGAGCACTTTCTTGCATAGTTTTTGCTAGAGCTCCTGCCGCTTCTGTCGCTCTCATAGAAGTAGAAACGTTGACCCTTTCGTTTCGGAACCACAGCTAAGTAAGTGCTGAATTGTCGCGTGAATGAAAGTCTTAAAAGTAAGTAGCTTGTTGCGGCACTCCCTCCGTCCTCCAGAAAGTCCCACAACTATGGATGATATTTCTTTTCCTTCTAATAATGACATCAGGTTGAGGTTCAGGTTTACTCGTCCTTCTCTTTACTCATTGATTCAAGAAGACTCAACTTCGGAGGAGATGACGAGTTGATGTTGATGATTTGGTTCTTTTGCATACAACACTACACTACGTACTGCCAGTGAATTAATCAAGTTTGAGTGTATTTTTCATGATAAAATCGCGGATGGGAATTTGTGTCTGTGCATCACCTCTCTCAGTTGTTTGACTGAAATTCGTGCCTTCAGTACCTGACAACGGAAAGAGATTGAATTTTCACAAGATGGGTGGCTTGCTCGACAAGCCATGCAAGGAAAAGCAGACCGAGAGCGGGTCCGGTCTGGGCATGAAATATGCCGTCAGTGCCATGCAGGTTCTTTTGATATTGCAACGTAAGCACATGATACAGTTTTGAATTTTGACGGAAATTTCTCTTCTCCCTCGCGATGGTGCGCAAAATGTTGCTACTGGGCAATCTGTCATGTGTAAAGACAAACGAACTGTTCAAATAAACGGACAAATTCAGGGTTGGCGAAGAACCATGGAGGACGCACACATTGCGGACTTCACGGCCTTTTTCCGCGAGAACCCCGCCGCCCTCTTCGGCGTGTATGATGGACATGGGGGTAAAGACGTGTCGGAACTTGTCGCGAAAGATTTCGCCAAAGTCTTCCGCAACCAGCAAAACAAGGTGGCGGACCTGGGCGAGGCCTTGCAGGAAACGTACCACGAACTGGATAGAATAATGAACCGAGACATGGCCTCCTCGACGAAATACGGCGGACAGGGCTGCACTGCGGTCACCTGTGCGATACAAGGTAGAGATGGGACGAGTTTCGCATCATGACAGATATCGTGTGCGATTTCAGGATTGCATACCCAACAAAGACAAGGCACGGTGTCTGTATGCAATCTTCTTTCTATGAAGGTCCCATAGATACTATTGCGAAAATTAAAACTAACCAATATCAGGCAAGAAGTGCTACTTCGCGAACGCCGGTGACTCCCGTGCGATAATAGGGACGAAAACAGGAAAGGTCCGCGTCTTCACGCACGATCACAAACCGAATTCGCCCCGGGAGAGGAAACGAATACAAGAAGCTGGCGGGACCGTGGATTTGATGCAGGGGCAGTACCGGGTGTGTCAGAATTTAAACTTGAGCCGGGCCTTGGGGGATTTGAGGTACAAGACAGCGCTAGACGAGACGGGCCCGGACAAGCAAGTGATTGCCGGTACAAATTTGTTTTTCCTGAAAATAAAGGGCGTATTGTGACTTATTCGACTCAATGCAGTGCTGTAGGTAGTTGCAAAGATGCTCATTTTCCAAAAATGAATGAACACGAAGCGAAAATAAACGAAAACTAGGCCATGCTGACATCCTTGAGTGCACGCTGGAGCCAACCGACGACTTGCTCATACTTGCGTGTGACGGCATCTGGGACGTGGTCACAAACGAGCAGTGTCTCGCGTTTGTCCAGAACTTCCTGCAGGATGACCACAGCGAGCAGAACCTGCGAAGGTGCGCCGAAGCCCTGCTGGAAAGGTGTTGCAGTCCGGATTCGAACGTACTGCGACTTAATACCTAACTTACTAAAATGGGCTTCTGTATGGACTAGCTCCAAATTATGCGACGAAATCAAGATAGCGATACATAGGCTGCAAATCATCGATAGAAATATGCGTCCGTCGAGCTGCCATTTGATATCCACCTCAGCAAAAGCATCTTCATTCCTGCAAAAAAAAAAATCGAAATCTACAGATGAACAGCCTGGGCACGGACAACATGACGGCTTGCATCGTCAGCCTGAAGCAGGGCAGTGGCTCCGAGAAAAAGACGAAGTTCACCGGCCCGCCGCAGCTCAAGTTCGAATTGGCTAAATCTGTTAACTTAAATGATGTCGAGGTTTACAGCTTGCTTGACACCGATCTCGTTTCTGAGGACACTGTCCCAGATTTGTCTAGCATAGTACCCACAGCAAGTTACAGCAAGAGCGACCCCGTGTTTCTAGCTTGCGTGCAGCAAGTCAGGAAGAGCAAGGGGGAGCAGTCACTGTTAGTAATCATGACACATAAGTCTGGAGAGAAGAAGAGGGAGGGGGTAACCGGGCCGTCAATGGAGTATGTGTGCCTGCCCGGAGTGGCGCAGAAGATTACACACTCAAAAGCCAGGCACGAAATCCTGGTTTACTGAAAATTTTTATAGTGTTTTTTAGTTCGCGTTCGCCTGTAGCTTCGTGACAGAATTTAGCCAATCGAAACCCAAACCCTTGATGCTTCCGCAGAGGCAGAGCTACGGCCGTAGTTCTGAAACTGAAAGAGTAGCGCGGAAGAGGAGGACATAAAAATCGCGGTAAAGCTGAATCTGCACGCTTATGACGCTCCTTCTGGATCTGTCCTCTGAGTAGAATAAGAAGCCCGTATCTTATTCTGCAACAGCACCGATATCATGCACTTACATACTGGCACTTATTTGGTGTTTTTCTTGAGTGTCTGCTAGAACTGGAAGGAGTACCCCTAACCCTATGATGTGACAGGTGTTAGTGTAGTAGCTACGACACACTGTGGGCGTTTTCTTTTCTTGCTGCGCTCCGTGAAGATAAAACTGTGCGACAGCAAGTAGAAGTACGTCGAAAGCGACCTCCTTTTGCAGGAGTAGATGCGACATGTTGATGCGTATCGAAGATACAAAGTCTCTTGCTGGTCGTTGGCAACTGTGAATAAGTGTAGTCATGCAATAAAAGTGAAACCTTCTTCTTGATCCTATCAGGGGCTGTGGTTGCAGCGGCAGCGATGCAGGAAAGAAGCCCGAGGGCCGGGCCCGAAGACAGCGCACAAGCAGTCGGCTCTGACGGCAGAAACTGGAGCAAGCCGGCGTACTAAAAATCTTGCGCTCTTCATGCTCGTCTTGTTCGCGACCGGGAAGATGAGATAGTGAACGGGCAAGAGCATGAGCATCCGCATTTTTTTCCTTTCATCGTAAGAGGGACCAGAGCGGCCCTACAGCAGTACTAGGTCGCAAAGTTGCACTACTGCCAAAATTTAGTCCTGCACAGGAGCGAGATGAAGCACATCGTGAGCCACCAGGAGAGATCGAGTACCTTATACGTTTCATTTTTTTTTGAGTCGAATTTCTCGAGAGTAGGTCGTCCTGGTTTTCTATACAAATACGATCTAACGCTCAGATTCAGATACTTATGTAGGTGGATTGTGCAGGAGATCGTGACGCACGTAGTTGTAACCGCGACGACATGTTCTTTACATGAACGAAAAGATCCTGATCATGAATCATTATATCACCAGGGGTAGCTGCAGCGTCAGCGGGAGGTGGGAGACCCGAAGAAGTGGGAGCACCAGCTACACGCCCGGAGAGCGACGACGTACCTGCAGTTCCTCACAGAAGATCTTCCAAAAGATGAAAGTGCCCCTCTCAAGCTTAACATCAACGCCTGCGGGTCTACTACTCCTGCTTACCGTCCTGACAAATCTCCTCCACACGGCGACACCAGTTCTCGCCGTCGATCAGAAGGACATTACGTCCGACATTGACAAGGTGATGCGAGACGAGGCGAAAATCCAAGCCGCCCACGCCGAGTCCACGGTGAGTTCGCACAAGCATCAACTCCCCCGGTGGGGCGAGCGCGGGTATTACACCAAACTCCACAGCATCGTGGTCACCGGTGCGGAATTAGAGCCGGAGTTCAGCCGAGACAACTTCTACTACAACGTGGTCGTCCGGAGTGCGCGGGACCGCTTTTGCCACATCATGCCGGACCTGGCGTTTCACCATTTTCCGCCCCGGTACCCGCCAAAACTGTCGCTGGACGGGATCGAGCACGTGTATTCGTCGCTGGAGCCGATTCTGATCCCATTCCATCTGAACGAAACCAACGCAGCTTTGGACTACACGGCCGAGTTGCTGGTCTCCGATCCGAAGGACGAGTACAACGCGCACACCTACTACTTGCGCATGCTGCAGGCACCGGCGCCGGATCTGGTAAAAATGGTTCGGTCAAAATGTAGAAGTATCGAGCAGTTTGCTCATGGAAGTACACCTGGACGGAGAAGTCATGCCTCTGCTAGAGTCATGTCAATTCTTGCGTTTTTATGTCGGTGTATATAGAGAGAAAAAAATAAAAAGCCGCGTCACCACAGCTCCGCCTCACGTCCGTGTATGTCTATTCGCAGTACGGGACTCTGATCCAGGAGTCGACGAAAACGAAAAAACTGCACAACAAGTTTCTATACGTCCTCTCCACGCTCCACGATTACGTGGACATTTACGCCGAGTGCGACCCGGAAACGCCCTACTACAAGTGGGACGGAGAGATTCTTTCCCCCGGGTACCCCTATCGGCAGTACATCCGGCACCCCGTGGAGCACGTCATGGTGTCCTGTGCCTACAAACACCCCCGGTGGACCGGCGGATCGGAAATTCTGCGCACATACCTGATCAAGCTCGAGAAACCGGAAGCGACGGATTTAGAGTATTTATGTTTCGATACAACCAATAGCGCCTCTTTGTGGTGCGGGCTATGGCTAATAAGAGGGCACACAGCTTGTGCTTGAACTTCTAACTGCATGACTCCGAAAATAAATTCTCCTCTGACATGAAATCGAATCTGCAAACAAGCACCTTCCCCACATCAACAAACATATCAGGTCTGTGAAGTTCAACCTCCAAACTCCCGCGGGGCTCGGTTCCTGCGAACAGAAAAGAAACGGCGCTTTCGTGTGCCGGCAGTTCACCTTTCAGGCGACCTTGATCGCGACCTTATGGCGTTCTCAATTTACATCCTCAACTGTTGCATGAATTCAATTTGTTATGCAAGAATGGCGAAAGGGAAAGTGAGAGGAGGGAGCTTGTGCGTCTTGCATGACAGATTTGGTACAGATTTAGACGCTGTTTAGCCATTCGAGAACTTGTTATGCGAAGCAGCTTAATTGGTCATTTTGCATGACAAATCATGTAACAGTTGAGAATGTAATGTTTGCGAACCCCATAGACCTGGAACGCGACGTGTGAGATCAAAATGTACGACTCGCACGACCACGAGACGAAACTGTTGAACGGGCTTCCGACGATTCTGCAGCAACCGAACGGGGTGGAGGAGTTCAAAATCGTGATGCACGGCGGCATGGGCGCGAAGCGGACCATTCCGCTGGAACTGCAAACCGACACAAAATCATCCCACGACAAGTGGTTTGGCGCCAACATGGTCCGGATTGATTTGAGCAAATTGGTGGTCGTGTCCCCGATCATGGGAGAGGGGCATTGCATCCACGACCCGGAGGACAGAGCGAAGATCTACTGCACCACGCACTTGCGAAAAGTGCACTTGATGGTAGTACGTCCTTGCACCTACATCTTTGCGCGTGAACAGAGCCCTTTACAATATAGTGCATGAGTTTTCCAACACAATAAACAATATAGAAGTGCATGAGTATTCCACCATGCTGCAGCTTCTGCAAGTATCACGGGATCGACCCCGCCAATAAATTATTTCCTTTACGACTCGTCATCAACAGGTCATCTACGGCGAGCCTGACGGGATTACCGCGGAGTTCCGCCGTCCCACGCAGGAGAAACTGTGCGACGTGCAGTTAGGATTGCCAACCGACCCGATTTCCGTAGCAACGGGGAAGCAAGGAACGACGTTGATCCTGCAAGTCTACAAAAACGGCGAGCCTTATCACCACTACACGGTGTACCTCCACACCACGGTGCAGAAGGACCAAAAGTTCGACGAGTATTTAGCCACCGGGCACTTCTTACCCACCGCGAAATCGGAGCAAAACACGGAGCCGCCGAGTGAACGGGAAAAGGAACGGTTGGAAGCGATCCAGGCGAGCAGCGTGATGGGACAGATATCCCAGAAGTCGGCTACAACTTTGAGACGGGTTTTGAAAGGTGGAGATGATGAAGACCATAAGGTCAGCGACGAACAAAGTAGTTCCGCGTCACTGAGGACAACAGCACGTGAAGACGACCAGGACCAGCAAGGAGCGAAATCAAGCAGGTGGTGGCAATCAGGAACGCCAATAGCTCTCCGCGAAGCCGTCATCTCGTGGTGGCAAGCGACATTTGGTGGGAAAGAAGCATCAGCTTCGACGTCAGACCATGCGAGAGGTGCAAAGAGTGACGCTGGTAACGATGTTCGTCCTGCATCGGCATCGTCCACGACCGGCAAAATTACAACATCTTCCGAGCTGCAACTCGAGGAGACCAATGATCCCAGAGAAGACCCTGAGGAGCAGACCGAGAAACTGAAATCGATCATGCAACGCCTCGGGATGGTAACAAAACAGCCGACACCTTCACGGGCGAAAGACGAGGAAGTACAAGTAGATGAAAGTACAACCACCGGCAACCTGGAGAGTAAACCTGATACGGCTGAGCAAGCAAAGACGAAACAGGCTAGAAGTGCACAGGTAGTCAACTATTTGGAGCACGAGGACGAAAAACCCGACTCGGATGAGGAAGATGATGAAAACCAAGAGCAAATAGACCACGAGAAGCAAGATGAAGATGATAAGATCAAGCGGCGTCAAGGAGCAACACAAACAGAACGAGAAGGGCTGCGCTACACTTCTGGTAGTACTGCATCTTCACCATCACCGGCGATGGAGGAGCAAAAAAAAACCGAGGGGAACACGCAGGAGAAGAACGACGGGCTCGAGGGCGTTGCTGTTTACATCTAACAAGCGATGAATCTGCCGTAAATAAAAATACAAACGTCTAGGCGAAGATGCCGTACAGCATAAACAAAAACTACATGTCGCATTGATGTGAGTTCGGACAGCTGAGTTGAGATCACTTCCGTGGGCGTAGTGGTCAGCGTCGTGCTCTTCGCGAATCCGTGTCGGCGTCGATTCATTCTCGTGACGGTGTGTGGCACAGAGAGAGTCAGAATGAGATTACTTGGCCTGTTGGATCGACTTCCGGAGTGAAACCATGTTGCGTGCAATTGGTAATGATCCACCTGGTCTTGACGGTGTAGTTACTACGAGCCGTATCTTACCTCGACAACAACGTTAGATAGAAGCGCGCGATCTTTTCCGAACTTTATCTACGCCCCGATTCGTTTTTATCATACCGTACACTCAATGGCCTCTGCCACTTCCGAGTTCGTCCGCTGCCTCGAGTCTTTCGGCGACGCGGTTGGGTTGAACAACCAGATCAGGAATTACGTGTACAAAACGGACATCCGGGACTTGAAATTCTTCTGCGCGGACCCCTACGTCCCGTTTGAGGGCGGATTGCCGGACTACCTTCACCCTGAGTTCGAGTTCGCGTACCCCGTGAAAAACGCACATATTATCATCGAAGACGTCACGGACAAAAACGCGCCGATTCTGCACTATGACGCGAACTTTCTCCAAGACGAGCCGTCGAAGACGATTCTCGGCGACGTCAAGCCCAGCGACGGGGCGCAGACGGAGTTTTTGCCCTTCTGCGCCGCGGTGGGGAACCCGCGGAGGATACGATTGTCGACCAAAGCGGACCCGTTGGAGGTTTCGGACATGGGTCTTGACGAAGTCCAGGAGTACAATCTGTCTTTTTCGGCTGACGAAGCCCACGTCTGCGCAAAGCCACCCATTCCAACGCCACCCGAGGGGTTTGCGGCGACGGGGGAAATGAACGGGCACGAGGAGTCGAAGGCGGAAGGAGTTGTAAACCCCGTCACCGGGGAGACAAATGACAAGAAAGCGCTGGGGCTCCAGGGCGAGGCGTTTCAGAAATACTTGGAGGAGCACGGGTTTTCGCACAGCACCACGATAGACGAGAAGAGTGCGCAACTGGAAATGCAGCTGGCGGACGATAAAGCAGTGATACGAGAATTCGAAGACGAACCCGTATCCTGGACGCAATTTGATGCCAGGCCGACCGTCATGGCGTAGGGAAGTAGGCGGGACGTCTGGGAACTTCTTTGTTTCTGTAGGATTGTATAGATTGAGACTTAGACTTATCCAGAGACAACGACCTTGGTGGCGCTCATGAATAGAATTTTGAAGAATCTTCGCGTTCGCACAGAGTACTTTTGTGAGCTTGTAGTTTTGGTTATACGACCCTCATTGTTTCAAAAAACCCGGGACAGGTTGTTTCCAGATCAATAGCAGAACTTGTGATGATTGCTAGGCTATTTGTATTTTCGCCTTGTTGATGCTGTTTCAGCAACGACTTAGATCCTTCTCCGATTGCGTCTTCTGGCAAACACAGATGAGCAGGCTTTGCGCAATTGAGAAGGTGATTCGTTCTAGAAGTAGTAAGCTCATCGTTGTGTCGTGCGTGCTTGGGTGTATCAGACATGTGAGAGATCATATTATTGATCGAGAACAAGGAGAGTACCAAAACTGCTGCAATCAGGCTCCACTGAGCGATTCCGATTCCGTCAAACGAGAGAAAAAACTTGCAGCTTGCTTGACCCCACGTGTACGAGTTGAACAGCGCAAATTTGGATTTCGGCCGTGTTGAATAAAATGCTCGCTCTTCATTTTGTCTTTCTCTTTTTCTCGTCGTTCTGGTTACTTCACAACTTCGAAAAATTCAACCTCTAGCACAGATTGTTTGCTCTGTATGTAGTTTCTTCGCCAGAACGAACAGCTGTTGACTCCTTAAAAGTCATCATTGTTCACCCTTCTTGGTGAGAAACAAATTTTGGAAATAGCGACGTGATTTCGATTCGACGATCTTCTTCTTATCAACCGTTGGAATACGAGCAGTTTTCATCTGGCCGCCGGATTCCATCTTGAGCAAAATTTCCACAGTCTACTTTTTGCAGCTGTTGTCTTGGTCTTTCACGGGAACGGAGACTACACCGGACGAAATTTTTGTGGAATGGGCACTGTTTCTTCCTGTTGACCGGGAGAACGAAAAAGGACGAAAAGAAAGCGTGCAGTACACGAACAACAACGACCAGGACGAAACACAGCAGGAGGAGTGGCCAGCCGAGGTGGACGTAGTACAGCAGGCGACAATGTCTTCCTCGTCCCGTCGGTCCAGCCGACCGTGGATGCAGAGGTTCTCTTCCGCGCTGGGAATGGGCGGCAACCAGCAGAACCAAAACCCCGCAGCGACGGCGGGAGCAAATGTCGGCGGCGGTCAGAACTTTTCGCCATCAGGAGGTGGCGCGGGAAATGCGCAGCAGGACGAAAACGCCATGATGGGCAACGATGACAACATGTATGATAATGATAATTTGTTCTTTTTGCACTTGACAAAAGAAACTATATCAATATCTACTGTATGCTGACGCGAGCTCTGGCATGACAGAAAAGAAAATCATCTTGTTCGTCCTCTAAATCAAAAATCACAGCACGCCCTCCCCGAGGACGCTGCAAGACTTGAAAGCCAAAGAGTACCGCGTGAAGCTGACGCAGATTTTCAACGGCTTGGCTATGGCGAGAAAAAGCTACTTGAACCACGCGGACGAGAACTGGCAGACGTTCCTCGACCGGGTGCAAGAGGCGTACGAATTTTTTGAAGGGGGAAAAACACCGGAGCGGAATTATCGAGACTCTTTCACGATCGAGAACTACCGGATGCTGTTTCAACGGGAAAACTTTGCCTACCGGGACGACGTGTGCCGCGGAGTGAAGCGGATCCGAGACGGGATGTGGGTCAACGGGGAGGAGGTAAGTACAGTAGAGTTGAGTTCTTCTCCGGGCAAAGCGCTATGCACAACTTATGGTGCCTCTTGCACTTGCAAAAAATGATACGAAGAGTAAGTTTACTTTTATTCCAACATCAAGAACACGTCCTCACAACGAAAGGTAAAATTCCCGCAGAGCCTGGTCGATGAAGGGTTTGAGTTGGCGTCCAGGGGCGAGAAACTGATGGACGTGGTCTTTATGATTGACGACATGGAGTTAAACCGATCCAGTATTTGTCCTAATTTCTTTGTTCGTTTGCTTTTCGAAATCTGCAGTGCATGACAGTAGCAATGTTCGAATCTTCCGTGTCGGTCTTGCCAAAAATGCAATTGCGAATACCGTAAGGATGATGAACTTCTCGTTCTTCTTCTGGGTATCATTGAAGTGCAGAAAAACATAAAAAAACACCGCAGTGGAGCAAGTCCACCCGACCACCCGGGCTGTTGCGGTAGAGAAATTCAAAATCGCCCTGCGAATGTTCGACACCAAGTATGTGATCTTCGAAAAGAACTACATCGAGGCCCTCATTGCCGTGGAGAAGCGGAGTCGTATTATAGTTCTTTGGGATTTTGAATCATGCCATGCCTCTGCCTGCGCGAAGTAGATTGAACCCCATTAATTCTGATTCTGATTCTTGTTTTCGTCCACAATCGCATACCTACCACATTAACGCCACAGGCAACCTAGTCGAGACGATCGCGAAGCAGATTGTCACTCTGGCGGAATCCGGGGAAAAAGTGAACCAGGAGCTCCTCGACCACATGGCAGAGCTGAACAAAAAGTCTCGGGATTGCTTCAACTGCCGGTACGACTACAACATCATGCGGACGGTGCTCACCAAAAGTTACGAGGCGAGCATCCACGAGCGGCTCTGGTATCTTTACATAGAGAGAAGAGTAGTTGTTTATTGTTTTGGCCAAATTATTTATCGCCATGTGTTGTAATCTTCTTGCTCTTGCATCGCAGTACCAGCAGTCGTGTGTGACGCGTAACAGGACGAGCCACAACGTCACATGAATGCAAATCAGGTACCTCCCCACCGAGTTAATCGAGCGGTTTGACGACATTTGTGCCTACCTGAAAGAGTTACAGCCCAAGATCCTCCGCGTGCACCCGAAGTTAGAACACAATCCGGGGTTAGTGCAACGATTGGAGAAGTTCCACGACACGTATACAACTGTTTGCATTTTGATGCTCGTTCTTTTATTGCATATATTTTATATGAATCGGAGATGATTTTTTTTCTGTGGTTTGACATTTTCGCATATAGAAAGTATGAAAAAATGGTCAATTTCGTCGAACAAAAAATCTCTTCAGCTACGGGCGTGTGTGCGACTGGGTGAACAACGGAGAGAATCCCATGTCCCAATTCTGCCAGTTTCTCGATGAAGTCCTGCCCACCAAGAACATCCAGCTCGACGGGTCCGTGGATTCGATTCTGCTCATTCCACGCCTTTTCTGCCTCTTCGCCTGGAAGCACCGGGTCCAGCTGTTAGATCCGGAGATCGACGTGCTTTCCCCAGTTCTTGGGGCGGTCAAGAATAAACAAGAGCAAACAGTACTAGATACAGACGAGCCCATGAAACAGCAACTACAACACGATTTTGCGACAGCGACCACAGTTGTAACCAGGAAGAACCGGTGCGATTCCGCCGCCATGAGCGTGGATTTCGAGCAGGACCAAAACATGGACCCCGCGAGTCCGATCAGTACAACGGCGGAGGAAATGTCGGTGTCGGTTGGGGAAACTACAAACGAGAATAATTCCGCTTCCAGTGGTAGCTCAGCTTCGAGCAGTAGTCCGCAGGATCAACATCATGTGAACCACACAACTACACAGCCGGCTGTAGTAGTTCCGGTGTCGAAAGGGCCACTGGAGTACATCCAGGAAATGATGACCGGGGCGATGGGGAATAGTAGCGGCTCTAGTGGAAGCAACAGTGACGCTAGCTGCAATTATCAGGACCAACAAGTACTACCCGAGGACCACGGATGGACGGTGGTTAATGGAAACACTAACACTGGTGGTCAGGAACAACAACAACAACAAACATCTTCGAGCCAAACTTTGAACAGCAGTACGACACCAAACTCTTCCCCCGATGTAAAGATGTCGAAATCTTCTTCCACGGCCTCGTCCACTTCGAACTACACGAAACCGACGAGAGCAATGATCCGGGCACTGAAACGGTTGATCACGGAGTTGCAACCGGAGTTACTAGTGGATTTGAGTAGGTCTCTCTGCCGGGATGATCGGATGCAGTGGGAGACTGCGAGCATGCAGGATTTAGTGCAGGAGATCATCCTGAACGGGATCGATTCCCCGACGCCCTCGGATCTGTCGAAGGAGTGGGAGGTGCACTCGATTCAACTGCAAAGGCACAACGCTAGTGCCTGGAACGCGTTTGTCAGTGTGATTTTACACGAAGACCCAGATGAGGAAGAGAGACGGGCGAGACCACGGTTACCCAGCGTGTAGGAGAAGCGGTTTCTATTGGTAAGGAGACGCGAATACTTTATTTAGGATGTTGCTGAACTACTTCCAGAAGAATTCAAAATTTGTGACGACAATTTTGAGGTAAAAAACAAACATTCTAAATTATGTAGCTGAACTTAAGGTGGTCGTCGTGAACTTCCTCGTCTAAAAACTCTCCCCGATCCAAGATCAAAACGCTAGAACTTCGAAAATTTTTGCCGCTACAATTCTGCATTCGTTTTTGATTTTGATTGACTGGGTAACTACGTTCAGACTAAGAGCCAGTAAAAATCGGGCTTGTGAGCTAATCAACAAAAAACTAGAGAAAAATCAGACACTGACGAACCGTTTTGAATTTTCATTTTCTCCTCCGCTTTGACGAATGGTGTTGTCGGACGCAGAAGATCTAGCAACAATATATAAATTTAGGTTTTGACGACAATTCTGCTGCGCCCTAAGAACTCAATAGGAGTTCTTACGCGACAACAAAGTTAGAACATAGTCCCGGATGAATAGGCAGAAGAAGCAGACGCAAATTTTTGCCGACCCATTTTTTTAGAACTAGAAGAATTGAAGATGAGATTTCACGTTAATATTTCCTAAATCCTAAACCTAGCGATGTAGCGACTCGTTTGCAATGCCGTTGCAGCTACCTCTTTACTTTTTAATAAACCTATACGATAATTTCAGTAATGACTTTGACTACAATCACCCCACTGCAGTTCCTTTGGAACTTTCTACACTTCTATTACTCATAATGCCCAATCCTACGACTGCTATGCATCTCATAGCAGGCAAGTTCTTTCGAGCTTATGTCAATTTCACACATTTCACTTTCAGTTTCTTATCGCAGTAAAGAATACAGCAAAAGATAACCGTTTCAAATGTTACTCGTTTCGAATGCACTTGCGCTAGAAATTATGCAATGATCTCCTGCACAGCGGCTTCTGCACAGCTGAGGACCATTTTTAGATGAGCTGGAAAGTAGGTAGTGGCACAAACGCCGCACAGATGAAACGATTACAAGAACGGATAAAGATGCACAGATATTTACAGCACCAAAAATAAGATTGTTTCGAATGACAGCTACGATAGAGTAAGCAAGCCACTACTGATAGTGATGCGCGTCTTACAGAGCTCTGAGCAATGAAGATACAAAATGCTCACCTTCTTCTTGATTTTTTGTAATATTCCACCGGTTTCTATTTGTTGCCGCCTTCTTGCAAAATTTACAGATTTTTATGAAAAGAACTTTTATGAGCTTGCTTTGTTTCAGTTTGTTTCACGTGACACCTTTTTGTCACCACTTTGCGATGCATTTCTTGCAGATGCGAAGATCTTTGAGAATACAGGCCTGCAAAATTTGGTTTCGGGGAGAAAAGGAATGCGAAAAGAAGAACCCAACGTGCTGATTTAATGCCGCGACTTTGTTCGAATGACAGTATAGTTTCAGTTTCTTTAATGTCACTGGAAATGTATCATTTTCCTGCACAAATTCTTGAGGTTGAGACTATGATGACGACAAATGCAGCCTGCAAATAACTGTTTTTTATGAAGAAACAAAACGGATAAATAAAAAGACAACTTTCCCAGAATTGGACCGGCCCCTCGTGAGCGAAGCAGAAGCTGCTCAGTCACTCATGCGTTGTATGATGTTCATGCAACCCTCGTGGTACACCTTTAGCTGGAGGACGTGTGCAGCTTGTTGATGAAGGTCGGTTTTTTTTTGCTTGTTCTTAGTTAAGCGCGCTTTCGGTGCAGCGAGAAGATTTTTGAAAAGGCGGATGAGACGTAGAATTGCGAGAATATTGAGGCGGAGTCGATAAATACATATGTCGGTCGTATAGTTTGTTTCTCTGTTCGTGTAGTGTGGAACGTGCATGACAAACAAGGCAGTTCCTGTTGTGAAGAAGAAGGAACACCGCAAAGAAAGCGCAACTGCGATTCCTTGAAAAGTGTAATTGGCGTTCTTTACAAGCATGACAGCCCCTCTACCCAAAAAGAAGCACTAACCCACACGATGTTGCTCTGCCCATACTTAAAGCATTTTTTGTAAATAGTAACGAGGATGTTTACCTTTACGACGACTACCTGCTGCGCGTGTGCCTGCAGCACCCATTGATTTTGTAGCGATGCTACGAGAACTACATTAACAAACCTAAACCATGAGAATCCACATAAGTGTACCTGCAATTGCAATAGGCGTTTTTTCTGTGTAGTAAGTGTAACCAAACTTCTAGACGAGTGTTAGCTGAAGAGCTAGACTCGTACACGAGAGTCGCATAACAAGCAAGAACCCAGTATTTGCAATAGAAAGAAGTCCTACCACCTTTAGTTCTACTCCTACATAGATATTCTAGATTACACTTTTTGCTGCAACGACGTTCGCCATTCATCAAATATTTTCGATCGTGAACTAATACTCCTCCTCCTATTTTCGATCGTGAACTAATACTAATTTATCATTTCATGTTTCGCAGTCGCAGCTGGGCGGATGCGGAGGTCCCGCTGCTTACGCCCGCTGCAGACCGAGGACAGAACGCAGCTAACTCTAACTTTTCATCACGCACAAACTCGCCCGTGAAAGAAGATAGCGCTAGTGATACTTCTATTCCACCGACGAGGAAAATATCAAAATCTTTCAGTATGAATCCAATCACCTTCACCATGCTGAACAAAACGTCGTCGCTGCAAGGGCAAGAGTCATCTTCTCGTATTATTGGCGGAGGAAACGCATTGATTATCACGTCCGCTTCATCAAAGACAAAGAACCACAACCAGCAAGCTCCATCCCCGATGCATCTTCTGAGGCCAGTCCGTAGGTCGGATGGGTCCTTTTCGCTTTACGACCAGCGGCATGTGGACGCGACGCAGACCTTTGCCGGGAAAGAGATGGACGCGAAGAAGTTGTTGTTTTTGCGCGGAAAGAAACTGATCATTCTGGATCTGCTCATCATCGGATTGCTGGCGTCTTTGATCTATCAACTGTAAAAATGTCTGGGTCTGGAAGAATTCATGTTTGTCATGCTTGCCTGGCATGACTCCTAAATCTGTCATGCACGGTAGACAAGAGCTCCGTTTTTCTCTTTCTGTGCTGCAGAGCCGCAGTTTGTCATGCAGAATAGGCAACACCTAGGAGCTCAGAAACTTGTCATGCTGAGCCAGCATTTGTAGCCTCGTCATGACACGCCACCCAGCATCACAAGTTTCCAGACCCAGACATTTTTACTTTTGATATGATCGTCTTCCCTAAAACAGTAGGTGTGCAGTTTTACCAGGTGTACTGTGGGTTGCCGATTTTGGGTTTGCCACTGTCTATTGCGGTGTGGAACAACGCAGATCTGCAGGAAGAACTGGCGAAGGAAAAGGGAAATTTGCTGGACGAGAAAAAACAACGTGAATTAGTAGAGTCATACTCTGCACAACCAGGAGGCTCTTCCGCCATTGGACCTCCTACTGCAAGTCCTGCACCTGGAGGTGCCAGTTCTGCGTCTCGCAGGATTTTGCTTGAGCAGTCTACTCGCAGCGCCGCCCCTGATGCAGCAAAAGAAATAGAATATCTTTTTGGAATCCGATCCACAAGTACAAAATCTTCAGTGAAATGGAGCTCGCGGCAGCCGATCCGCGCTGCAGCGTGGCGAGCCGTGGAGCTATCTAGCTACTTGCCGAAGCAGCTACTAGGTGAGCCGGAGGAGGTTGCGAAACAAGCGACCAAGCCGATGGGTGAAGGTGCAGAACTTGATGTTCCAACGGCTGCAGAGCGGGCGGTGTCAGATGATGATAATATAACATTGGCCGCTGAAGAAACAGCGCCGGAACATCAAAGACAGCTCGACGAAACATCAACAAAAGACCATCCACCGTCGAGCCAAGAAATCCTAGTTCCGGAATGCCTGATCAGCGACAATGACTACTGGTGGCCTCTTTTTCTTGCTTCCATCATCCTGTGGCGGTTTTTCGTGCGGCTGCGGGTTTCCTCGAAATTGGAAAAGCTCCGGTCCTTCCGCACGGCCAGCAGCTTATCATTTAGTGGCGCCAGCGGTAGTGGTACCACGTCGGTCGCGAAGAGATTGGAGAAGCAATTTTCCGCTTCGGTGATTGAGGAGAGGAGAAGCAAGACACAACAGTCGAAGTACAGTTTTATCACGAGCTCGCCATCGCTCTGCGACGTGGCGTGGTACTTGGTGTCTGGATGCGGAATGTTCGGCTGGATATGGCGGAGGGTGTTTGGCGGAAATGGTGATGAAAATGCGACTACTAGTACAACAGCACCGTTACAAACAGGAGGACCACAACGAGGTAGTAATACAGGAGGAGCTCCGGGGACGAGAGTTGAAGCCGCGAGCAACGTATTGCTCCAACACTCTAGCATGAGCGACGAGAAAAAATTAAAGCCGCAACTCACGACACCGATACAACAATTAGAGAAGTCGCCGGACCACAAGCCGCCAAATTGGCGCGATGAGTCGCCGAGCCAGCTGGAATCGGCCGCAACAAGGACGCTGCTGACAGACACAAACCTCGCTCTGGTGGAACAAGAACAGCAAAATCGGCAAAATGTTGCGACAAGAACTTCGAGCAATTCGTTCGCTTGGCCCTACGGCGCTTCGGCCCCGATGCGGGTCGCGGACGGCGAAGCGGACTTGGTGATTTTCGGTAGCAACCACGGCCTAGCGGTGAGCGCCTTGGACGTGTTGGACGTCATTGAGCAGCTACAACCGGACATCATAGCGGTCGAGTTAGACGTGAAGCGGTATCTCGGGTTGTCAACCCAAGCGGACATGCAGGATGTGGTCGAGAAGAGAGAGCTGAAACTGAATGCAAATTCGACAACTTCTGCAGCGCTGCCAGCAGCTGCTGCTGCACCCATGCAAACTTCCGTAGCAGCTGCACCGAAGGACTTCTACACCTCATCAGCAGGATCTACTGGTGCTGCTGCCTCTCAAGAACACGCGCAAAACCACCAGCTCCTGACCGATAGAGTTCAGTTTGAGCAGTTGGAGGATGGTTCCGGCACCGCGAGGCGATTCGTCATGAACCTCCCTGTTGCGGAGTGGAATTTGCTCTTGCCAAAAGAGACTGCGTTTGACACGAAACCTGCGAAGCTGACGTTTTGGCCACCGGAATTGGAGCAGGCCCTGCAGCAATGGGGAGCGGATGAGGGGCAGAGGAACATGCCATTCTATCGGAGCAGTATAGAAGAATGATGATCTTTCCCCAGTTGATGTAGTTGTAGTTATGCTTCGATGTATTACATCGGCTTGATGAAGAGATGCATTTGTTTCCACCTACTGTGATGTACAGTGACAAAAAATTTGTTGTGCTCTTCATGTAAAATTTGAATCCAAAACAGCCTACGCCTCCTCCGTCTCCTATTTCGACCGCCCAGTCGAAAGAACCGCGCGCGTCTTGACCACCCTTGCCAACAGTTTTGTCGTCGCCTTCCCCGGTTCCAAGCTCCATCCGAGACTTGTGGTACACTCTCTGGAGAGCGCCGGGGCGAAGGGCGTATTGCTCTTACAGTGTGAAGAAGACACAGACTCCGGGTGTAACAGTTTGGAGCAGCAAAAGAGAAACAAGGTGCTAGACTTCTCACCCATACCAAAAGCGAAAGTAGATCATGGGACTACACTATCAACAGCAGAACCAGGACCACAGAGCCAAAATCGACCTGCTCAGCCAAACCTCGACACAGACTTCGTCTTTGCGAGTTTTCCCAAGCCCTTACCGAGAAAGCGCAGCGACGTGGTCCACGACTTGCTTTTTTGCAAATCCACCGCTTGGCGCACGGAGAATCCCGAAATCCCGTGCTTTTCGCTCCCGGACTCCCAACTTCTCCTCCAAATCGCGAACAATACTAAGTTTGACTTATCCGCGGTGAAAATGGTCAATTTGAAACCAGAAACAACTACGTCCGGCACGCTACCCAAGACCTCCTGGGACGTCGTCAATATCAAGCAGTACCAGAAGGAGAAGCAAAAACGCCAGCAGCGCGCGAAGGAGAACCGTAAGCGGCAGCTCGCCTTCGCTATCGCGCTGTGGCCCGCGTCGGTGCTGTACTTCGTCGCGGACTTGTTCGGGATCCGGGCCGGCCAGGAATTCCTCAACGCGGGCCGGGTGGCGGAACTGCTGAAACGACCGCTGCTCCTCGTCGACAGTTCCGACGAGGTGCTGGGGACGAATTTTATCACGAGGTTCCTAAAAGCCCCCCTCCAGAACGTGTTTTACGCGCTGCTCTTCTGGCTCGCGGTGCCGCGGTGGCTGTTCCAGTACTGCCTGTACCCCACGTATTCCGTTGACATGTATGGTCTGCTGTTGACGACGTTGGGCCGCGCACCCTTGCTCGCGTGTCTCGCGCTGGTGGTCGCCTGCCAGTTTGTGTCCTGGGTGATTTCAATCTTGGCCTTCGCGATTTACAACTACGTCTTGCTGTCGCTAATGAGCGACAGTGGTTCATCATCTGCGAAGACAAGAAAAGCTGCGATGTCAACGGGTTCTCCCAATGGAGAACTACCAGACCAGACAACGTCGGCGCCGTCACTGAGCGATTCCGCCGAGGAGGGACCGCTCCAGAATTTTTTCAACACGCTGCTGTCCGCGGACGTGATGGTGACGCTGTTTCTCTTTCTCGTGATCCCGTCGTACGTGCACATTATGCTGACGCAGCGCAACCAGTTCATGTGCTACAACGTGCTGCGCTACTTGGAAGAAACAAGGTTCGCACCCACTACGATTTCCGACGAGGAATCCGCGTCCAGTACCACCGACGGGGCGCCGGAAGCGGTGACAGATCTGGAGATCGGGTTGAACGCCGCGCCGAAGCGCAGATTGGTGTTGGTCTGTGTGGGCGCGGCACACGGCCCGGGTATGATCGACCTCTTCCAGAGCGAAAAGTCGTTCCGCAAAGCCGTGGCGAAGCAGGGGGGAGGAAGGGGAATGGCGTCGAACAGGAGACCACATGCGGTGACGTTGACTGGTTCTGGTGTAATGAACGCAGCGGCGTCGGAATCACATTCACAGCAAGTTCTAGAGAGACCATCCTTGGGACCGGTGTTTAGCGCAACGAGCACGAGGATCTTTGGAGGTGGTGGGCCTGAAGATGTGACCACAATCTCGACACGCTCCGGAACTGCAGGTGGAGGGGGCTCATCGACCGCGGATTACTATCGGCTGGTAAACAGTCCGAGGGCAAGTTGAGGAGAGAAGTAAGGTTTCTCAAGATGATCAACATGGTGCAATGAAAGATCGTCCACTCGTTTAATTGTTTAGGTACTTCTGGAACGGGAGGAAGATTGCTGCAGAAAATAAACGCATGATGGTGCTCATGTCCTCTTCTGCAACTTGATCATATGAGAAAGACGAGGATGACTCAAACGCACGGACAAGCTCCTTCTCAACATGACTCGCTCGATGTGAAGCAATTAAACAAATTGAACCTTTAACGCATACTAGGCTACTGGCGCATCTTTTTTCTCGAGTAAGTACTTGGTCGTGGTGGATGTAGGTCTAGGTGGAGACGTACATCATACCCCTGCACCCGCGCTACAGCTGTGCGTGTTTGATGTCAAAAATGTTCAGCAGTGAGTGTTCGACGGATATGACTTTTTCTGCTTCCATGTGATGTTTTTTAGTGCCCGCGCATGCAAATGGGATCAAAAACGTCCTCACTGATAGATTTGAGAAATCCCGGTCCGCGGGAAATGCCGCAGGGTCTCGTGGCACGATTTTTCGCACTAGAAGTTGAGTTCGTCCGACCGAAACGCAAACTTGAGAAGTTCCGTCACCCCTTTATCTTGTTATTTTCAGCGAAGTCGAAAATGAAGTCAGACTCAGAAATCATGCTCAGTAAGTACTTGTGTCGAGTACAATTTGAATTTTCTAGAAGAAAAAATAGGAATAGGTAAATTACGGCTACATATTTGCTGAAGATTCTGTCAGTAGAGTATGTAACACATGCTCATTTGTGTGGCCACGGGTAGAAGTTTAAGGGTACGCACTTAGAAACGCACGACCATACTCGTAATCGCATGGCATCGACCACATCCCCCGTCATCGTCCGTCTGAACGGGTACCTTGTGGACGTGACCGGCTTTATCGACCGGCACCCGGGCGGCAGGCAGAAAATTGCAAACCTTTTTCGCAAGGCCGGACCTGGTAAAATCCCCGACGCGTCCCCGGATTTCAATTCACACTTTGGCAGTACAACAAACACCATGCGAAAAGCGGTGGCAGAATTCGAAAGCGAATGCAAGCGCGCGGGGGGAGGCAGTTGTGGCGAAGAAAACAACAAGGTGCCAACGGAAGTCAGGTTTTCGGGAAACGATACTCGCAGTCAACCGTACTCAGGGAGCGTGTTTATAGTCGGGAAAGCATGATGAAGAGGACAGCGATCCCATTTTTCGTGAACATGTACTCAAGAACATGAAATACCTGCACGCAAGTGGTTTTTCTTTCAGTACTAGTACTGTTGTGTTTGGAGTGCTCAACATCTGAAAAGCAAACACGTCGCAGGCCCAACAGCCCCATGAGGAGCAGTTGGATGAAAAGTTATCTGTCACTGTCGGCCTTTATTAGGGCATTTGCGCAGAGAAGTAACGAGTTTTCTACACTTCTTCAGATAGAAGTTGGGTGGATGATTGAGTTCTCCTCATCGTCCTAGCGATGTTGATTGCAGAACATGGCTAAAGAAAGGTGTTCTCTGTTGCTTTCGGCAGACAAGACAACATCACGCGCGAAAGCGCGGCACCACTTTTTGCTCTCTGTTTCGCAACAAAAGCCGCCTTTGTTCTACTTCTTGCAGCTGATGTACGTTTCATCTGCGAAAACGTGCTTAAGTTATTGATCCCATTGCGTGTCTGTCGTCTTGGTTTTCGTTCTTGGTTTGGTTCTCTTGATCATCTTCCGGAACAAGGTCGTGCACTTGTTGTTGAGAAGTGTACCAAACGAGGCATAGAAAAGGCCTCACAACATCAACCTGGTGCAATCAATGTGAATCTGTGATGTGGTCGTGTTGGATTATAATCCAAGAAACTACAACAATTAACTTAAATTAGCAACGTCTTGGAACAAAGACACCTCCGCAGCACGAAAGAAGGTGAAGGCGGGTACCAGTTTTGATCAGAATGATTCGGGCCGTCGCGGGTCAGGTGTCCGCGGCGGGGGAGATGCATTTCGCCCGGACCCCACCCAAGCCCGCGAAGATGCAGTCATCTTCGCAAAACGAAAGGAAAAACAAAAAGACCTCGTCAGGAGGAAATAAAATGCATTCCGCGCGAGGGCAGCACCAGCCAGGGATGAACAAATTCAATCCGGCTTCCAACTGCAGTACGGCGGCCCCAACACCCACAGACCCCTTCCAGACCAACTGCTTGCTCTCCGGCCGGGGCAGCGGCGAAACTAAGTAAAGAATTCCCAAAGATGGATGATGTTGAAGATGGAGATGATGATCACGTTGAGCTTTCATTTGTGTATCATGATCAATCTGTTGGCGTAAACTCCCCTGGAACTCCATCACTAGGATGGTGTCCGCAAAAAGTCGCCAGAAGCATTCCAAAAAGTTGCCGAAAGCGTTCAAATCGATATACAGCCTTCCAGCCTCTGTTTCACCCACGCCACACACGATGGCCGCACCGAAGGAAAACTACGACCACCCGAATACGCGGATATTGAACCAACAACCAGGAAGCGGCACGACCCGGTCGCGCGGCATGACCAACAACAAAACGCCCCGGTCCGGCAGTGGCACGCCCCGCAACGTGCGGGCGTTGGTGCCGGATGAGCTCGTAAACCACTTACTGATGCTGGAGAAGGAACGTAGGCTCAACGAGGCCTCGCACCAAGCGCATATGGCGTTCTCAAATGTTACATTCTCAACTGTTACATGAATTTGTAATGCAAGAACGGCAAAAATGAATGGGGGAATCTTGCGCCTCTTGCATTACAGATTTGGCACAGATTTACATGCTATTTAGCCACTTCGGAGATTTGTCATGCGAAGCACCTTAATGGTGGCGAGCTTGGTGGCAAATTTGCATGACAAATCATGTTTGTAAAAGTTGAGAATGTAACATTTGAGAATCCCATAGCGCAGATTCGGGACCTGCAACTCCAGGAACAGGAACGGGGCCGGAGTCTGAACCGCGCGCAGAGGGAACTGGATCGGGAGATTAATGCGACGAGCAAGGAGGTATCGATGAATGATGAAGATGACGAGAGCAGCGTACTTCGCCGAAATCGACGTGCTCGAAACAGAACAGTGCATGGCACTTGCAGAAGTAGAACATTCTTGCTGCAAAATAAAGCACATGACATCAACTTTTTCAGGTCCGTCGCCAAGACGCGCACGCGTTGAAGGTGCGGCATGACTTGGAAGTGCTGGAACGGACCCGGGAAGCGAAAATTCCTATCAAGCAGAAAATCGAGCAGAAATTCGAACGACAAATGGAGGAATTGGTGCACAAACACGAACGCACCGAACAGAAATACGCAAACCAGGTGGCCCGGGTTGCGGAGTTGCGCGGCCGGCTCAAATACCTGCAATACTGCAGAGAGAAACTGAACGGGGAAGGTATTCATACAAAATGCTGGGGATTGGAGCAAGGCGGTGGACGAGCTGATTTTTTTTGAAACTTGGGCATGATGAGTTTGATTCGGTGTGCTTCATGTAATAGCATCGGGTATGTCTGACTCTGAGCCATTCCTTGACCACGAAAATTCATGAAGGTGTTGTCCTGAATTCCAACCTGGTTTTGACTACCGAAAATGGCACCGCCGTCGTGCCGCCGCTCACTCCGGAGGACATGATGCACCTGGAGAACGAGGCGAACGAGATGCGATCGCAAATTCAGCAGCAGGATGAGGAAAATCTGACACTTTTGAAGGAAAACGCGGAGCTGAAACTGGAACTGGTCCAGCTGAAGCAGCGGATTGCGGATTTGGAAGGAGAATTGATGCAGATGAAGATGAAAAACGAGGCCAGCACTGTGCAGGATATACTGCCAGGTACTATTGCAGCTTGGTAGATTTACTATATTCAGGTCTATGTCGCTTAACATGGACCTACCTTGCAACATGAACCTTTGTTCGGTATGAACATTGGAAATTTCGCCGGCTGCGTCTCACGCTCGAACCTACCCGCTACTCCTGCAGGTACCCTTTCCCATCGTTCCGCGCGCAGTTCGATCGACATCCGTGGTGGATCAACCCGAGGCTCGCAGGCCACCGGACGGGCGCTGAAGACGGGGCGGACGACGGAAATGCAAACATCTTTCATTCGGAAAACCACGAGTAAGGGCTCTGAAGAGGGAGAACAGCAAGACGCGGCTGAGGAGGTAAGGAGTATTTGTATTTGTAACTGTACTAGTTTCCACTGCGGCGTAGTGTGCGAATTGGACTTGCTGTGGCATGCTCGTTGATGATCGTGTGCATCATATTGAACAGCTGAATGGGAATATTTTGACGCTCCGAAGAGAAGTGCAATTTTCCACACTAGGCCATCAACTCCGGCACCATCCTGGAAGACGCTCCGGCTGCCGTGCCTAACAACGAAGATTTAGCTAATCTTGGCGCTGTGCTCGAGGATTTGGACAAAGACGCTCCCATGACCGAAGACCAAATGCGCCAGGACCAGATCCGGCTACGCGCGTCCGCGCCGCCCACCTGCCACATCGGTCGGGCGAACTACAGTGCGGGGTCGTTGGAAGAAGAGACGGACGTCGTGGTGGGCGAAAATGTTTTAAATGTAGGGACCAACCCGACCGGCCTATCCAATGCCCGGAACACGGCTCCGGCGAGAGCAAACAATATCGACAGTGCAGGCAACAAAACATCAAATTCCGACGGCAGCATTAAAAAACCGAACCTGCAAAAACTTTTCCGCAACACGCGCACGAGCAAACCGAGACAGCCGCCACCGTTAGAGACGATCATGTCCAGCGGGGAGACGGAAGAGCACAGCAATTCTCTCTCCCAGCAAGGCAGTCGATCCCGCGCATTACGGAGGGCCTCTGCGACCAAAAAACCGAACGTGAAGGCTACTGCGGCTCTAGGGAAGAAAAGCGAGACTGGAAAACGATCGTCGGCGAAGAGTGCAGCGAGAAGCAGCACGTCATCCAACACTGGCGGTCCGGCGAAGCAAAGAAAGACGAAGCAGGAGAATAAAAGTAGTACTTTGATGTCCGCGGCTTCATCTCCTTCTCCAGCCGGAGAGGTAGAGAAAGTTGAGAAAAAAATAACTGAAGCTGCGAAGAAGGAGCTAGCAGCAAGAGAAAGCACGACTTCTGTACACGTCGACCCCCCAGCGGCGGCTCCGGAAGTGCAAGCGATTCCTTTTGCTGCAGAAGAGTCTGCGCAGCCCGCCGCGCCGCAGACGGCGGTGCCACCGTTAGTGCATTCGGAGTACCAGGACTGGCCGAACTGCAAACGTTTAGAGGGATCTCGGTCCTCGTTGAAAATCAAGGAACCGGGGGAGCAGAAAGGTGAGTACGTACTACAAGAATGCTTCTACTCTTTTTCATTTTGAATTTGATAAATTGATTCTCTTTCTTGGAGTTTGACCTGAGTTAGTACCTGTGCCAGGACCACTCTTTTCTCGGCTAGATTGCACGCCATCTTTTCAAATGGAACAAAACACGTATTTTCGCTGGGTTTATAATCACAGCCCCCGCGGAACAGACACAGAAGCGCGAGGCAGCCGCTGCTTCCTTGTCCAGAAAGAGCACACAGCCACTGTTAAGTCCGCCAGCCCAGGTGCAGGATACAGCCCAGAAGCAGAGGCGAACAGGAGGGGGCAGCTCCTCAACGATCGGATCGGCACCGTTGACGCAGCCGCCTCTGTTGTCCGCTCCGGCTGGTGGTGGTGCTACGACCACGATGCCGGCATCTAGAACGACATCCCCCTGGCCCGCTGCCACACCGCGTGACAGCGCTTCACAGCAGGGCGTCAGCCCGCGACCGCCTCAAAACAGTGTTGTTCCCGGCGCAGGAGGGGATGAGAGGCACCCATCGGTGGTACTTAAGTTTACGGTGTTGATGTGCACAACTGAATTTGCATCTGTTGTTTTGCATCACAGACTCTAGTACTCACTTTTCCGTCTCATCTTTTTCGAAAGTTCGAACCACAAAATGACAGTTGAACGGTATCTGGACCGCGTCTCGTGTGGTATCGGAGCGCGTGGTTTCCAAATCCCCCAGGCCGGACCAGGGCCGAGTCGTTTCCGAGCGGCTGATCAGCACGACGCAGCTAGCCCCTCGAGTAGTGCAAAACAGTCCGGCGGTGAGCCCCAGGCCGCAGTTGCAGAACCCACCTGGAGGTCGTGCTGAGGAACAGAGCAGGAACAGTACGGGGGGAGGAAAGAACCTGGGTGTGGTACCGCCGGCAAAGACCAGTGGTATGTGTTCGGAATTTTTGCGCCTCCTTTTATTTCCACTTGCATTCTGTTTCTGCGTAGAGCTGCTGGATGAACATACTAGGGCTGCTGCCATGCTTTCCCCTTCCGAAAATGAAATTTGCCTCGAGCTAGAGGCGAACATAAGGATCGACTTAGGAAATAGACATGACGTTCTTACTAGTAGACTTGCGTATCTACGAAAAATCTTCTCCTGATATTAAGGCACCACCCTCCCGCCCAGTCCGCGGCAGCCGCCCGTGGTCCCGGTTTTGTCTCTCCCAGCGAAAAAGAGCTCCCTGCAACTCCCGTCTCCCCGGTTGTCGGCTTCCACGTCCCCACTGTTGCAGCCCCGGATGACCACGACGGCGAGCAGCGGACTCGCAACGGGAACTGCAGGACAACCACCACCTGATCATAACCTGCAAAAAGAAAACTACCGCCGACTTCTTTCCTACCCGTTTGATTTCACGCACGCTCCACCGATTGATGTAGAAGCTCCAGCAGCACCGTCGCTCACGGAAGGGGAGCAGATCGCAACGCGGGCATTGACCAGCTCCGCGATTGAAGAGGCTTTAGCGAATCACCTGGTCCAGAACAACAACGGGAACGACAGCAGTTTAGCAGTGCAACCCGTGCTGAACAACAGTTCACATCACGACACGACGAACCAGACCGACCAATTTGGCTTGATGAACGGGAGATCTTCTGCGAGCTTGTTCGGGATTGAACCGGGTCGGGAGTCGCCCGACCTTGTTGACCACGATCAAATTACAGTACCAGGGGAGAATCAAAATGGGTCTGCTCCTTCTGGCGTATCTTCATCTCCAAACGTCGAAAATAACGAACAAGAAGATTCCGTGTCCGCGCAGCTTCGTCGGCTGGAACAGCAGTTACAGCAAGAAACGGGTCTTGTGAAGAACGGTGTGACCGACGCCGATCAGCAAGATTTGTTTCAAGTGCAATGCGGCGAACACCACGCGTGCGATCGGTTCAGACAGGTGGTGCACAACGTGACCGCGAAAGCGTTACGAGAGTACCGAGTGAACCACCGAGTCTCGCTCCGGGGGTCGCTGCCACAGGCTTTGTGCCGACCAACGCTCCGGGATCCGAGAAGCCGGGACACGTCCGTGTCACGATCGCCGGACTTTCATTCCAGCCCTGACTTAGCCAACATGCCGCCCGTGCCGGAACATGAGTAAAATATTAGTGGCTCCTCTGTTGAGTCGATTGCGATTTCCATATGAAACAAGCCCCACTAGATTCGAAAAATCTAAATCCTAACCCTGTATACTAAAGAAAGTGACCTGTCAATGTCATAATTTAATCGTGATCGTGACTCGGAATCGAATTCGAAGCATGATCATTGGCCAGCCGTCAATATGAAACAGTTAAGTATCCTGCAATACAATGCTCCAGCCTGGTAAAGGTAAAGTAAATATCAATCAAAAAACCATTCGTTCACACGAAGCCGTAGACTCAAAGCGCTTTTCTAGAGTAACGTAGAAGATAAAAAGAAATGCGTACGTTTACGAAATCGCCTTCCTAATAAATATGGAGTTGCACAAGAACTTCGATTATGAATTACGCTTGAAGAGAGTGCTGCTGAATCCTTTTGATATTGAAATTGCCATGCGCATGCCTCAGAGGAGAAAATGAAAATGCTAACGCTACACCAGCGAGATGTTGCTGTAGCCACGCCACATCAACACCAGTAAACGCGAAGGCATTCATCTAGAACATAATGACAATATTTTATCCACTTTTGCGTAGCCTTTTTTGCTTTTCACAAAAAGAAGAGGAACAGCCAAAACTTCCATTCTGCAGTACCGCTGTGCCATTGAGGTTCCCATCGTTCATTAACGCACGACGAAAAGCTTCATTCAATACTGCGCATCACGACCTTCTTGCTGTAGTGTCCTAAAGCAGTAGCCATCAATAACGTGTGTACATGGTCGTTACTAAGACTATCACAGGTGGAGCGAATCCAACTACAGGTTTTCGTATTTCCAAGATATTAGAATAAAGGGTGACAACTTCTGGATTGTTTGTTGGCTGTCGTTGTTGTCTATGTCGGACAGAAGGGGATCGGGAGGATCCCAGCAACTCAATACAAATGCCTTTTCGTTTTCATCTATAATTTCGCCTCTGGACGATCGAACCAACGTGAAGTTTTTATGAACCAAGCCAATTCCAATTTTGCTTCACTTTGTGCTTATCGTAAATGCGGAGGAGCAGTGTGTGGTTGAGTTTCGCAATTTGTTTTTCCCTTTGATGTTTTGATGCCGTATTCTTATTCTCGTTCGTAGAACAAGCAGTACGCAGCTGAATTTCAATTCGTGGTTTATTTTTTTTTTGTATATGAGAAAAAAAAACAAAAAGTAGCAATTGTTGATCGTGTGCTGGCTTTTATCTTCGCTGAGAAGGACGAACCGGCGAGTAAATTCATTCGGGTTTAGTCAAGCGAGTAAGTTTTGTTGAAGCAGCTGTTTCCCAAAACTTACGTAAATGCCTTTTGCCATTTATGGAAAACCGCTGCAGCACCGATGATGTTGGTGTAGCGACTCGGCTGCTAATCAGTTATTGCGAGGGCGTCGAACAAGAAATGAACCGAAAGGGAAGTGGCTGTTCGTTTCATCATTCGGAAAAATCAGCACGAAGTTACGTAGTTCTGCGCCAGGGTGCTTGTCGTGTGTTGATGAAGGATGTTGATGTTCCTCGTGTTCGAGTTTTGCAAAACAGTAGTTGCATAGCACGCGCGCCTCAAAAAAGTAAGGCGTAGCACAAGAAACGAAAATTTGTGGAAGTGATGATCTGATCAGAAATGGCCTCTTTCCCTGGACCTTGGTTGAGTCTAATATGGCAATGTATGGATCCGCATTCATCAATCGGAATCTGCGGTTGCTTGGCCTCACAAACATGGCAGAGACATGAACGCATTCGCTCGATGATCCAATTTCAAAGACCGCGTTTGCGAGTTTGATGATCAATATTAAGAAGTGTCGCAGCAATGTTTTTAACTTGGAGCGAGAGCAGGGCTCTAGTGCTTTGATCACTTTCCGTCGATCTTGATCCCTGTCATGCCCCTCCTCTCCCAAATGTTTTTGCTCAAGGAGGAAGTTTTTCTTCCCATTTTCCATAGTTGTGTGTTTCCGGTGCTTTGATATATCCTCTCTAATGAAGACGAAGATCGATTTCAAGTTGTCTTGTTGTTTCTCTGACTGTATTATGTTGGTCAGAATGGTCGGCATGCCCATGCGGATCGATTAAGTAGTACAGCCTGCCTGTTTAGAGCAGAAGCACAATTCGTTTTTCCAAACATCCCGACGACAGGACAAAAAACACAATTAGATTTAAATTGAGATTGACACACAAGGATAAGCGATTTGGACTTCACTACTAGTTTCGTCTTGCATATCTTTGTCTGTTCTTGCTAGCGATTATTGTACTTGTTTACGCTAATATGCTACCGTAGCCTGAAAAATTTTCGCGACATTTTTCCTGCGTTTTATTTTCTGGTATCTAATTTGGCGAGGTGTCAAGCTTGTTAGTTTATATGATTTCAGATATCATCGCGAGGCCGGCATCGGTTTGAATTTATTTGCTATTGCTTTACTACATTTTTGTTTTCTATTCCAAAACCATGGGTCAAAGCATCTATCTCCCGGCGGCCAACAAGGAGAAGGAAACCGCTGAGGGGCAGGGAAAAGGCGGGAGATGGCGGTTCGGCTTCAGTGCGATGCAAGGTAGAAAAGAATTGCAAGTGGATAAGAACGACCCACACCCGATGCTTCTACTTTTCAGGCATGACAAACCAATGCTGAGGCGCCAAATAACGTTTCCTCTCGTCGCGCAAAAAGTACTTGGTCTTTTCAGCGTGATAGTTATTCATCCTCGATCGAGTCTCATTCTCCTTCTCAGGTTGGCGTCGTTCAATGGAGGATGCGCACATTCATCTCCCGGACTTCGCGGACAACCTCGCACTGTTCGCCGTCTTCGACGGCCACGGCGGTGCCGCGGTAGCGCAGCTGGTTGCGCAAAAATTTCCCGAAATTCTCAAGAGCCAAGAGGCCTTTGGTGACCAGAACTACCAGGAAGGTATAAAGGGACGTTGCTGTAGATCTGTAAGAGCTTTTCTTATTGTGCTTGTCCTCGCTTTCGCATTGAAGATTTGACTGCGTGATCCTGCTACTGAAAGGTAGAAGCAGGTTGCATTATGGCACTACTTGCCTATTGTGCATGACAAACAACAACATCAATCCAGCCCTCCGAGCCGCGTTCATCGCGATGGATAAGTACCTCGACTCCGCAGAAGGGCGAAAGGAGTTGCGAATCATCGGCGCAAAGGCGGAGAAGGAAAAAAAAGACGACGATGACGACGTCAGACATCGAGGCAGCATACTGCAGCAATTACTGGTAAAAGACCACCACGACCTATGCCTGCGCGTTTTATTTACGTGTGGATGTGATCCTCTACTCTTCCGCTTTTTTTCTTGCATGGTATTGTTCATAAGCATAACAGACCGTTGCGTCGACGTGTCTGTGTATTATGTATCAGATGAACATTTTCAATATCCAATCCAACATGGTCGTGCTAAGTTGTTGTTGTAAGTATGCGACTAGCAATAAATCCTCGATATATGATCAATCTACACTCAACCTCATGATCTCCTTGTCCTTTTACAGCGCGACCAGCAAGTTCTGGATGAGGAAGACATTCTGAACGCCAATTACCTAGAGTACGGAGCCGACGAGGAAGATGAGGACGGTATCAAAACACCCCCGGCGGTCACCGGCATGCCCCCGGCACAGGTGATTGCGTTAGAGGACAAGAAAAAGAAGAAAGATGTTGTAGACATAAAAATAGAGGAATCCGAGTCACTATCAGTATCACCACAGAAGAACGGCGAAACAAGGCCTACCACCAACGGTCCAATCATCGAAGTCGGCAACGGGCCGGCAACAAGCTCCTCCAAATCGCCAAAAGATAAAGAGAATGAAAACAAGGCGATCATCGGCCCGGCGATGCCACCAAACGGCATGATTGGCCCGGCCATGCCGCCGAATGGGAAACTGCCGACCTCATCGGAAGAGGAGAAGTCACCCGGGAGTGCTGGTGCGAAAGATAAAGAACCAAGGGAGAAAAACGCGAAATCTCCAGGTGGTAGTCGTGGGCAAGAACAACTTCCGCTTGACAAAACTGGTCTCGACTTCGCGAAAAGCATCGACGAACTGACGAACCGAACCTCTTTGGAACAGGACGACGACGATATTGACGACATTTTTGTCATGAACAAAAACAAAACCGAAGCTGCCGAAGCGAAAGCAAAGAAGGAGGAAGACAGCGACTCCTCAAGTGGGGACGAGTTCTTCATCGGCCCTCAGCCGCCGAAAAAAGGTATGGATATGAATTAAGTTCTTGCCTTGCCTAGTAGCGCATAGTTGTACTTGAGTAGATCTATTCCTGCCTCCTGCTGCCATTATGACGAACTGGAATGAAGCCCGCCTGGGTGCTGCTCGTCGTGCTTCATTGCCACATCGTATGCTATCAATGTTGTTCGTCCGCTCTGCAGCTTGGTTAAGCTGTTTCAAGAAAAAAAACCAGGTCTTAACCCCGATGACGACGACGATGACGACGACGACCTGAAGGTGGAGGACCTGCTTGCCGGGGTATCCAGTGCAAATGTGTCTGGGTCTGGAAGGATACAACTTGTGATGCTGTCTTTGGATTCTCAAAAAATCTGTGCTGCGTCGCCAGCAATAGGGGTCCGGTTTGTGCGACACAGAGAGGGCAACATTTCTCATGCAGCTTAGTCACCAGAAACAAGCGTTTTGAAAATCTGTGATGCTAGGTCATGCATTGCAGGCGTCATGGGTCGCGCTACGTATGCATGACAAACCTGGCACTTTTCCAGACCCAGACATATTTGCAATGCATACGGGGGTCTCTTCGACGACGGCCCGTCGGGCATTAACCCGGAATCCCAGGGCTGCACGGCGAACGTCGTCCTGCTCCAATACGACGACAAGATGGACCAGATGGTCGCTTTTTGCGCGAACGCCGGGGATATGAACTGCAAAAATGTCTGGGTCTGGAAGGTTGAAACTTGTAATGCTAGCTTTCCATAGCTAGAAATGAAAATCTGCATTGCATAACCAACAAAAGTCGCAGCCTCTTTTGTACATGCAAAAACGCAGTTTCTCATGCGGATTGCCTATGAGAAAGCGTTCTCTAAAGTTGTAATGCTGGGTTGCATTCGGAACTGTTTCCATCATTCACATTTTAGCATCACAAGTTTCCAGACCCAGACACTTTTGCGATTGATAGGGGACTCCCGGGCGGTTCTGTGCAGACAGGGGGCCGGCGTGCCGCTTTCCTTCGATCACAAACCGACCAACCCGTCCGAGCGGGAACGCATCCTCGCGTCCGGCGGCACGGTGTCCGAAGAGGGCCGGGTGGACTCAAACTTGAACCTGAGCCGAGCCATGGGCGACCTCATCTACAAGGACAAAGCACTCGCGCCAGAGGCGCAGCGGATCTGCGTCGTGCCGGACGTCTCGGTATATGGACAGTTTTGGAGTCTTCATGCAGATTGATCTTCGCGATCGCGATTTATGTCACAAACAATAAAATTTTAAAGTTCAATGATTGTAGTTGCAGAAAATGAAAAAGGACGATCATGACGATAATTCTTGTATCGAACCATGACAGGTAACTCACCTTTCCGGCGACGACAACTATCTGATTATCGGATGCGATGGGATTTTCGAAAAACAAAGCAACGAATCCCTCGTCGCCTGGTGTAACGACCGGATCTACAAGCACCGAGCGGCCAAGGGCAGCGGCGACGCGGAGGTGGACGTGGAGTTGAACGCCGTTTGCTCCGACTTTTTGAACTTCAACGTCGCCGAGTCGCCGTCAACAGACATGGGCGTGGGCTGCGACAACATGAGTAGAAAGAAGTTTTCTCAATTTTCTCTCTTTTTAGTTGCTGTTCGTTAAACATACTACGTAGACGAGCTAGATTTATACGAAATTCCGCATGACAAACTCGCAAAGATCTTGCGTGCAGCCAAACGAAACACACAAGAAACGATCAAAAAACAGGTATGATGATCGTCCGTCCTGTCCCCGGCGCTCCTCTACTCGCCGGGCGGGCTCTTGCCGCCGCAAGTGAGCAACAGCAGAAAGAAACCGAGAACACAAACTCTTCCGAGGAAAAATCCACTTCCGATGTCGTGGTTGCAGCAGCAGCAGGAGGACTGTCATCTGACGGCGTAGCTACAACGACAAACACAGCATCGAAATCCCCCGTCGATGCAGAGCCGGAGCCGAAGCGGTCGAAGGTAGAGGTCGAGGGCGCTCATTCGACCAGTAATTTGTCGTCTCCGGCGGCGTCCGCGGTCTCGGAGAACTCCGACGCAGACAGCACCTCGAACTCCGAGAAAACCACGGACAGCATCAATGCGCTCACCTCAAACTTGTCCGTGGAGGATAACGTTCCAGCTGGGCAGGATTTTGGTGCAGGCAGAACCTGTACAACTTCTGAGCAACTCGTCCCACCAGCAGGCGCAGCTGCAAACACAGCCAGCGTGCTGTGCGGAACTGAGACATTAACGTCCGATGCCAGCAGTGTCGTCGTGATTAAGACAACACCTCTTGAGAGCAAGGTAGAAGAGCAGTCGGAGCTGTGTTCGACGGCACCGTCCACTTGTTCACCAACATCAGCGACCGCTGCAGTTACAGCAACAGGGGGGGAAGAAGAAGACTCATCTTCGACCGCCAAGAAGATCAAGGAAGCAGTTGAAGCGATTCCCCTCATTGAGACTGCGGCCGCAGCTTAAGGGAGGTCCGAACAACGACCATGGTCCTTGCTCTGGTGGTGCTCCGTGGCTGTCTCCTCTTTTTTGGCCCAGTTTATCGAGTCCGTCATATTTCACGTCGGTCTGCTACATCGACCGAAACAAGATTGCTAAGCTCCTGCAAATAATACTTCATTTTTCTCACCACGGCTTGTTTATAGTAATCAATACCTCCTCGTCCTCCACGACTTTGCGCTATGACCCCGGCGCGACGAACGGTCACGTTATGTTCACAACATCTACCCATACTCACCCTCCTCCGCCGACGCTGGCGCCAGGATGTTCTAGTGCTTCTATTCAAACCAATTCCGGGAACAGGCGCCCAAGAAGATGAATGGAATCCATTTTACAATTCCAGGAGTCCATTTTACTATTCCAGGAGGTGCCAGGGTGTTCTAGTGCTTCCATGATTGAAACCAATTCCGGGAGGCGTCCAAGATGAATGGAATCCATTTTACATTCCAGGAATCCTTCGAAAACCGATTCCAGGAATCGAAGATCAATGGAACGCTGCCTGAGAACCTGCCATCTAAGTACCTGTTTGGGCGTGGTCATCAAGAGCAGCTCCTCTGGCTAGTAGTGCGCACCACGCACTCCACCTGCTCCAATTGCACTACTTATAGTCCATCATGTCCTCCAGCTCCAGCTGTGATGGACAGCTGCTGCAGCACAGCACGCTGGAGCGTCAAGATACGGCGCATGAAACTCGAGTTTCGAGCAAACTACGGGTGAGAGCATGGGTCGTACAAGGTGGTCATGTTTTCACTTCCATCAAACCGGAGCTACTGCATTTCGCATTTTGTGTTCCTCAGAACCCAATTCAACCTTTGAAGCGCAGCATCTTCCCACCAGCATAACCACAACTACATCAACCACGTCACGAGAATTTTTTTCTGCTGACGTTGATGTTGAAGTTCCTCGCAGGTTCGAGGTAACTGGTTTGGCTACCGTAACGTTGGCCGCGCGAGGCACTTCCTACTTGTTCGCCTTCTTCACCTGTGTCGAGGATGATATGAGGGGGCCGTAGTCCTCTGTGATCCTGTAGACGAGCGCTAAGTATTTGTGTTTCGTTCAACAGTGCCTCAAAACTATAAACTTATCTATCAATAACGATGGATTTTGTCCGCCAGGGGGAAATGTTAAAATGAAATGATCATAAATTTCTGCATGAAGATCCGGATCCGCATGGAGTAAATGGATAATGGTCCTCCGTCTCTCTCATATGTTGAAGATCGCATAATATCTACTATGAGTGGGAATCATCTACTTGACCGACTCGACGAGTTGTTCTTCACCTTCAGTTGCAGTAGGACAATTAGTACGGATATGCCACACGACCCATTTTGAAAGAAGATTCAGATTGAATATTTTTGGTTATGTATGTGAGTCGCAGATGCTGGATGAAATTAAAATAATCTATGATCAATTTTTTCCTTGTGGTTCAGACCGCGGCTGAGGAGACATTGTCCAAAAATTTTCTAGGTTAATGATGTAGCAAGCCTTGTTATTTTTTCGCATATGAGTAGCAGTAGTCTAATTGGCAAACAAACCGAAACGAAAACCAGAACATCAAAAAGAATGATGGAAAAGCGTTGTGTGTGCACCGGAATACGGTATTGTGCGCATTGTGAGGCGCCCGAGTTTCGCGCTTTGCACGGAATGCTGGCACCAAGATTGCTTCTGGAAGGTGAAACAGACATCAGAAGTCCACCACATAATAGTGGCGCCTCTATAAACCACACCGCCGATGTTGAGTCTGGCGAGAAAAGCAGCAAGCGTATTAAAGACCAGGCAGAAACTGACACAGAGCGGTGGCAGGCAGCACAACCGAGCCGGCGGCACCGGCGGGTTGGGCGGCTCGAGCAAACCGCGGACGGTTCCTTTCTCGTACGGTTTGCATGTGAAGATGTTGTGAACCCACGCCGTCGAGCAACCATTCCACGGAGCGAAAGTTGTAGATCCACAATAAGCACCGCAGCAAGCGCTCGTAAAAGTGGCGGTCGTTCTTCAGATTCTGAAGATGCTCTAGAAGTCGATGAAGAAGCTCGCCCTCTTCGCGAGGGCGACAACAAGCAAGTCGTCCAAGCTGGCGATTATTTCACCTGCTCGCTGCGCAGCTTGGGGTTGGACGACTGTTTCCAGATGATCCCCGACTTCTTAACCTCCGAGGAGGAGAGCGAACTTCTGCACGTCATGTTGTCGGGCCCAAACGTTCAATTTGACAATACTTACAACCTAACAGCTGTGGCAAAACCTGGCCCGGCATCAAACATAAACTCTGGTCGTCGCGGGATGCCAGCAGCAAAGCCAACAACTGAAAGAAACGCCCGAAATCCTGCTGCTGGTGTAGTGCCTCTCGAGCGGCGCGATGTGGAACTTGCCGACGAGGAGTCGTGCACGGTTGCGCCTCTGATATGGACACGGTCGCAGTCCGGGCGCCAGAAGTGCGACTTCGGGCCCAAAATCAATTACAAGCAGCAAAAATTTCAGCTGAAGGGCTTCAGGTGCACGCCGGAACGTCTTCGCGACACGCAGGCGCTGACGAAAGTGAGAGAATTTTGCCGCATTTATGGGGCGGCGAATTGCAGCCATAGTCCATCCTCTAGCCCTACTTCTTCAAGCAGCACTTGTTGGCGCCAGGCCGATGCTAAAGCACAGGAGGAGAAACTTGGCAAAGAACAAGTTCAACTTGAGGCGAACAACCAAACCAGTTGCGTTGCATCAACGACCGAAAATAAAGCAGCGTCATCGCCTGCTCGTAGTCCTACATCAGATCCAGATGGCGTTTCCACCTGGGCTGCCCTCGTCGCATCACTCACCGGGATGTCAGACGGGAAGCCGCTTCTACCGCAAGACCCAGCGAAGGCAGGCGCGCTGACCGGAGCAGATCGTGGAGAACAGCAGCAGGAGCCGTGCTCGTCGGACGAGCAAGCTGCACCTGCTGCGCACCCGACCCTAGCGCAGCTGGCGGAGCTTCCGCTCAACCCGGCGGGATGGTTTTTTCAGCGATACGAAGCGAAGGACAAAGCGAATTTTGACCCGCATATCGATCACACTTGGATTTGGGGCGACAGAATCTTGGACTTGAACCTCCAGGCTGACGCGGTGCTTTCCTTCTTTTCTCCGCCCGGATTTCGGTGGGGCGACTGTGAAGATGAAACCGAAGAAGTACACATAGACCAAGAGCACCACAAGGTCGAGGAAGACGATGATCCTGGAGTCCGCATCGACGTGCCGCTTCCGCGCAGGTCGTTGCTGGTGTTTGCCGGAGCGGCCCGGCACACCTGGGAGCACGCGATCCTTCCGGACACTTACGGGACCGAAGGGCGCGTGAGCCTGACTGTGCGTGAACTCAGTAGTGGATTTTCGCAGCTGGAGCAAGGGCAACTCTGCACGCACCTGGCGACGGAATGTACCGCCGAGGATCAGGAGCTGTGTCGCAACAGCTTGGCAAAGCTGCGGGAGTCTCACCGCCCGGAACTTGGATTTTCACACAGCGTTACTCGAGGAGGAGCGTGATGCCGAAACTCTCTCTGTTTTGAGCTTTCTTCGCGACTACGACAGGCACTGCACTCTATTGCGTCTCCTAACAAATTGGGGCTCCGCCCACGCGAGAGCAGAAAAAATAGAAAACAAGTTTCGGCGACGTATCAGCAGTGTTCCCCCGTGGCCTCTTGCTTTCCAAGTCTAAAATAACCACGTTGCATCCTTCAATTGAAGTGCATGCTTTTGTTTCCACTAGTACAGCGATCATCTCGATCTACTCTTCCAGAGTTCCGGATTCGGTATTCTTTTTGTCAACGATCTGGAGGATCTCTCTATTTTTATTCGGGTTTGCGGCGAAGCAAAGTTTTTCACGCCTCTTGTTGAGTCTCTGTCTCTCTAAGGGATGCGGATTAGATCCATGTTCACAATCCTGAGTCTGTCGGGTGCGTCACAAAAGGTGGTGGATCCGAACACATACGAACAAAAGAAACATGTTGCTGCCTGGTGAACTAGATCTGGCAGATGAAGATCTTTTCCTTTCTCATGTTCCGTATCTCGTGACGGTGCGTTGGAACATGGCGATTGCGTGCAGGAGCCGCCCGCTAATGATAAATGAAAATGAACACTCGATGACACAAGGAAGCTCGCTCCAAATCCAGCGAATACACAGCGACAAAATACGAAACATTCAAAAAAGTTTGTTTTATTTGATGACTTTTTTTTTGCTATTGTGGAGGATCAGGATCTATATTTACCTGCTAAGTACAACCTACATTTGCATTTGCGTGAGTCGTTTTTCTCATAGTTGTCCTGACAACTCTCCATCATCCTAGTGCGGCATGTCCTCTGCCTATACTAATTATTTCGGGAACACAAGTAGTGCAAAAGTATCGGAACGCAAAAAGAAGAAGAAGAGCAATCGCTCTCCGCGTCGTGCAGAAGAACAGACTGCGTCGCCCGGAGCGTACGAACAGGAACATAATAGTAATACAGGATCTGAGTCCCCGTATTTCTATTTGTTCGACGAGAAACACACAGAAGCGGACTATTGCATCAACGGGACGCTGAGGTGCAAGGATTCCGAAGACCGCGTCTTGGAGAGCATTGACGGCAAACTAAAGACTCAACGCTACCAGATCCACCCGCAAATCTTCACACCGTGGCGGGGCAGCGACCGCTCCACACCTGCGTTTCTTAGCTTCGAAGAGCACAGACACAAATATTACATCGAGCGCACCAGCGCGTCTCATCGGAAGAAGGAAGAGTCAGCCTACGACGAGGACCACAGGAGGAGCAAAAGCGCCAGCGCGCTCGGGCAAAGCACCATGTCTTCGGGTGGTCTCTTGTTCGGAACCGGTAGCGCCGCGGCGCCGACTGGTGGTGGTCTCTTCTCCACAGGCGCTGCACCATCAAGCGCGCCTGCTGGAGGCGGGCTGTTCGGAAATGCGAGCTCACTTTTCTCCGACGCCGCCAAGCAAGAAAACATCTTCGGGGGCGGTTGTCAGCAGCCGCCGGCTGACAAAAAAGAAAAACAAGGAGGTTTGTTCCGAGGTCCTCCGTCGCCCGCCACTGGCAAAACCATCGATGCGAGCGGCTTGTTTCATGCTAATACAAAGACCAAGGAAGACGCTAATACAGCAGCCCCCTGTTCCTCCGAGAAGCAAGGCGTGGAAAACAAGGGCGCTGACGCCCCGACGCGGTCGCCAACGCCTGACCTGATCACTCCGAGTATTCCTGACACTGATGACGAGGACGATTTGGGATCTGACAGGGAAAAAAGCCAGAAGTGCTTTGCCGGGGCTGACAAGGGCAAGAAGCAGGCCGCTGAAACGAAAAATGCTTGTTCCACTGCAGCATCTTTGAACCCGCAGCAAGCCCAGCTTCTGAAAAAGACCCGCATTCTCGCCGCTTCCTCCCACGGCGCGGAGGGCCGCCGCTTGCGCCGGTTGCTTGGCCGCTTGGAGAAAGGCGAAAATGTGTCTGGTTCACCGGGAGCGCAAAATGGTACTGGCCTCAACAGTACTACATCCGAAGAAGATGACGCTCGTGTTCTCCACTACCTGACGAACAACGAGGACGAACTGCTTGAGTTTGTCGCGCAAGTGAACAAGGTGTACCAGGAGAAACTGAAAAAGCCCGCGCCGTTCATGACGTTCATCCTAATCGGCATGCAGTCCGCCGGGAAATCCACCATCGTCGAGCGCTTCCTCCAACGGGTTATCAACGTGGTGAAGGAGGGCACCGGCACCCGCTGCCCACTGGACATCACCTGCATCCACGACGCAAACGCCATCGAGCCCGTGTGCGAGCTTTCCGGGTGCAAGCAACCAGGGTCCAACGGCGTGAAACTTTCCGTCGAGGACGTGTTTCGTGCGGTCACCGCGCACAACTTCGCGCTCGCCCAGGCGGAGAAGTTTTCGAAAGATTCTTTATTCCTGATCGTCCGCAGCAAAAACGTGCAGAACATGCGGTTCGTGGATTTGCCCGGTATCATTTCGAACAAATCGAAGGGGATCGACAACCGCGACGACATCAAGGGCATTTTGAAGGCGGAGATGAACAAACCGAATTCCCGGATGTGCGTGTTACTAGAGCCGAAGGAGTTCGCGACCAACCCGATCGTGGATTTCATCGACCAAACCATGTGCGGTCGGGAGAATTGGGTGGACAAAGCGACTTTTTTCATGACCAAATTCGATATGCGTCTCGGCGACAGCCGGACCGGGAGCAAAGCGAACGCGTTTTTCCAGGAGTTCCGTGACAACGGCGTCGTGCCCTTCATGGTCATCACGCCCACCCTGCCGACGGAAAAGTTGGATCCAGACGAAATGTTCAAGCAGCGGCAGGAGTTACTGAGTAAAGCGGATCAGCACGAAAGCGAGGAGTTCCACAACTGGGTCTGTCAACACCGAAACTATTTCGACACGCACCCGGAGGACGAGGAATTGCTGCCTTGCTACAAGGAGAAGATGGGGTTCCGGTCGGGGGTGAATGAATTACGGGAGCAGATGTTGGCCGATACCGCGAAAAGACTGCCCGAGGTGTTGACGGAGATCCGGAAGCAGCTGAAGCACTGCGAAACGGAGCATAAGTTATTGCGGGAACGGGAGAAATACAACGACCCGCAGGAGTTGCGGTTGATTGTCGCGCAGGTCTTGCACAAATTAACGGATCGCATCTTCACGTACCTTGACGGGTCTCTGGAAATCGCCATGAAGTTTCCGGACAAGCTGCAAACCCTCGAGGACGAGATCATCGAAGAAGACCAGTCGGACTGGGCCAGCCGGGAGTTGAACCACTTAACCGAGGAGGAAAACCGGTGGCGGGACTTTATTGCGAAGGCCGCGGAGGAGACGGGGGAGTACCCGGAGCAGGTCCAGCCGGAGCAGCCGTTCCTCGGGGGGAAGCAGTACCAGCGGGCGGTGCAGTTTTTTCGCTGCAACATGATTGACCAAATGCCGGAGCCGCACAAGCTGAAGCAGTACGTTCCGATGGCGACCGGGTACCTGCAGGGGGGGCTGCAGCGGGAGAACTGGGAGCGGGCGATCGTGGAAATCATCAAGCACTGCGTGAAGCAGGTCACCCACCCGGGGATCAACTTCTTCGTGAAGCACGTGGGAAGCATTTTCCGCAGGCTGTTCTCTCTCGCGCTAGACGACATCCGGAAGGGGGAGGAATTTTCCGCGACCTTTCAATTACTGCCCGCGACGGTTGAAAATTTCTTACGGAAGGAGTTTGACACGATGCTGTGGAAGCTGATGCAGGCGGCGACGGAGAAGACGCAGTGCTCTCTGGAACCCATGTACACCACGGTGAACCCGAATTTGCCCACGTTTGTCACGTCGACCAGCATGGGCGAGGAGGCGCTGGGCGGAAACGAAAAGGAGGAGGAAAAACTGTACGTTTGGGACGTGAAACTGCAGAAGTACGTGGAAAAACAGGACACGAAAGCGAAGAAGAAAAAGGATAGGGAGCCGGTTTGGCTGGAGCAAATGACGAACAAGGTGTCGGCCTTGTTCAGCGGATCGGGGGCGGTATAATTGGAATTACTTGTTTTCGAGTTCATCGTGGGGGCTTCTGAAAGACCAAAAGAAAAATTTCGAGGTAGAAGAAGAACAGATTGGTATAAACAGATCATGCAGCGCTGCGCCTTTTTTATTTTTGCAGATTAAGTATAAGTACTTCTTCCAGAAGGTCTTCTTGCAGGTCGTACTCGTAGAAACCTGTTGCGCCACGTCGTTTGAATAAAATTAAAATTTCACCAGTACGTTATAATCAAATCGCAACTCCTATCAGGAAGCCAAGAAGTTTCTGCAGCAGGAGAACCTGCAGCGTGCGCAAACGCGGAAGGAGTTCCTGTCGGACAAGAGAACCGCTATGATCACCAAAACCGAGACCGGGGAGATTCTCCAGCGGTCCTTCGAGTACATCGCGGCCTTGATGGAGTTCAACTTGGTAACGCTCGAGTTCCAGTTCAATCACTACCTGTACCAAGGTTTTAAAGATGCTTTGAACGACCAATTTTCCTCCCGCTTGATCATCGAGTGTGACTTTTCGAAACTCGTAGACCCGGATCCGGACGTCAAACGCCGTGCGGAGGACTTGGAAACGCAGATTGAGGGGTTGCGGACGAGCTTGCAGCACGTGGCCAGGATGCAGGACAAGCTCCGGGGATAGTAGGGGGGTCCTCGTTCTACAGGAGGCGAAACAATAACAAACTTATTCGAGACTGGGTTCTTCGTTGGAATGCAAAAGCAAATGATGAAAAAGCACAAGTGTGTAAAGCTCTGACTAGAACTTTTTTTGCTGTTGAAAAAATCATGTATCGAGATCGACTGACACTGACGCTTCCTCAGCTTGTATGAAGCTGAAAGTCGAAGTTCGTGTAGTTGCACGAACGCTATTCCTATTGATCGTAGTACGCTGATATTCCACTCTCGTCTGTGTGAAGTTAAAAAGTGGACGACTATGATAAATTCTTGTTGCGAAGCACAAGACTGCTACAGAAGCAGATTTTTTTCCCATCAAGCAATGCTATCCCTATCACTATGCAAAGTGATGGGTAGAATCCTATTGCAAATGTACGCATGTTGGCACTGACACAGCGGGTGCAACACGATAAGAAAGTCATATCCATACCGATTCGTGCACGCGGGCCCATTGATTTCGAGGCGCATGAATAAATTTGAGCCTTTTGCTTCAATCATATGATTGATTTCACACATCGTCCCTGCAGCCGCACTTCCTTGTTGTGATAGAAAGCCGGATCGTTTTTTCGTTTCATTTGCGGTCGTTCCAGCCTTCATCTGTTGATTTCGTCGCGTCGTACTTCAGTCGTACTTCGTCCTCGTGTATTTGTGTAGTCTTGGCGAAATATCATGAAATCGTACCTGGTGTTGTCGTTCTCTCCTTTGCGAAAAGGTAAAGGAGGGCAATTTTTAGTTAAATTCCATCCATTCATCGTAGTTTTTTTTCTCTCCAAATGCGGTAGGTTTCTTTTTATCCTGATGTCGTTCTCCGTCCATCCGTGGTCATTCCGGACTCATAAAGACACAGGAAGAGTGACAGCAGGCCCACTTATTTGTCGTAATTCCTAGAATTAGTACTATTTTGATTTTCGGTTTTGATGGGAAAGAAAGACATCATTGTGCGCACCTCAAAGGATTTTTTCCCGCACAATATGCGAAGCGACTGCGACCCGCGAGCTCGAGCAGAACCAGAAGCCACTTTAACTTCTTTTCACTCTTATTTTTTTAGAGCGATAAGAGTTTTCTTTTGGTACTGCTATCTTGTATGTAGTGAGGTCACCGAACGGTTCTAACCGGGGAGTTTTTTTGACACCCAGCCAGCAAAACGACCGGCAGTTTTCAAGCGGCCGAAAGCGTTTTTTGACATAAAAAATTTTCAATTATCAAGCGGGCGGGGCTTTGATATCAAACAAGCCCAGTCGAAAACTATCGATTCGCACTTGATAAAACGACGCAGGGGAGCCGGCAAAAGGGGCGCCCTTCTGAGGACCCCACCGCCTTAGTTTCTGGCGATTTGGGGCGCCCAAAAAGAGGCGCGCAGAAAACGCGCCCAAAATCAGAACAGCGGAACAGCATGGCACGGCCGCGATTTCGAAGCATTTTGGGCGGCCGCGAAAGCGGCCGCCTTTTCGCCGGTTTCAGAGCCTGGGGAGCTTTGCAAAAAGCGCCGGCGTGAAAAATAAAAACGCAAAAGAGAAAAAGCGCGCCAGACGCGCAAAGCCAACCCGCATGCTACGGGCCCGATTTTTCTTCGCTTTTTGGGCGCCCCCCGTGGCGCCCGGATCGGCCCCATAGCATGGGGGCTCGCTTTCGGAAAGGAATTTTGGAAATGTGCCAAAATTCGCGACGTTTCTCAAGTGACCGCCATACCGTGCGGCATAACGTTACTCACGGCGGTATGGCGAGCCCAGAAAAAGCAAAGCCGCGGCCAAGGCGGCTGTCGGAAAAAAAACGCCCACGACCTCACTACCCCCGCCCCGGCGGCTATATTTGGTAGGAGATTTTTCTACTTGTGCTTATTCTACAGCTGAACCTGAAACGGCATTATTGCAAGCGGAGAAACTCGAAATAAACACGAACCAGGAAGACTTGCGCTCTCGCTCTGAATCTCATCATCTCGACGGTGTTGAAAACCGTGCGGGTCCAATTTTGTCTCGTCGTGATGGTGCGCGCCAGCTATTGCGACCGCAACAGCAGGAACAAAACGAATCACTCTCACTTCCGGATGAAGCTGCGGAAGAAGTCCAAGTGCTCCCGGGGACGAAGAAGAGTAGTAGTACTGCTGCCACTTTGTCAACAAAAACAAACGGCGCGAGGAGCCTCCTCGAACGAAACAGACAGGGGAATACGAAAACGAGAAGGAAAGTTGTGAAGAAGAAGCTGAACTTCTTGGAACTGGGAAAACAAGAAACAAAAGCGCAGCACCAGACGCACTGCGTTGAGGACACGCGCGACCCTGCAGTGGCGTATCCATTATCTTCAGCACTAGTACCAGCATCAGCTGCAAAAACCGACGCGCCAGCGATGACACTAGTACCAGCATCGGCTGCAAAAACCGACGCGCCAGCGATGACACAGGGGGTGAGTGTGGAGAATGAAAATGCGAATCCAAATACTTCTCCTGGCGCAACTACCTCCACCACGACTGCCGCCCCCTGGCTGCGCAAATACCGGATGAAGTGCCGCGCTCTCGGGACGGAGAAGAATCTGGGGCAGTTCGACGTGACAGCGGACAAAAGTCAAGAAGCCTGCGAGCGTAGCTGCGGAGAAAAATCCACGTGTCTCGCTTACGAATTCAATTTCAAAGCCAGCAAATGCGAGCACCACTCGAAGAAACTGACGCACGTGGCCGGGGAAAAGGGCTATCTTTGCGCAGTGAAGAATCCGCACCCGACTGCGCAACAAGGAAATAGCGAGCTTGCGTATTGCAAAGAATCGAATCTGGCGAAAGATGACAACACGGAGTACAGGATTACAACGAATGGTCAAGAACTACAGCCAGAAGATGATGCGAGAAATGCCTGTTGGGTGCGAGACATCAGTGGCGTGGAAGACGCGAACACCTGTCGGGCCAGTTGCAGTGTGACTGCGGGCTGCGAGGCGTACAGTTACCACACTAACAAAAACTGCAGATTGCTTCGCGGCTTCAAAGGTGAAGTCGAGGGTACTGCTAGCTCGGGTTCTTCTACAACTTCTTCTTGCAGCATCGAACGAGTAACACACAGCAAAAACGGGTGGATTTCGGGGCTGTGCTACAGCAACGCGCTGTGTGGAAATCGATTTGATGGCTCGACGGAAAATAAAAAATGCGCTGCAGGCGAAAAATTCCTTCCCGACGCAGCCTGTGTCTTCGGCACATGGGAGTCGGGGTGCAACAAAGTTTGTTGTAGTCCAGACGAAAAGCGCAAAGTCCGGGTTCTGTTCGTCGGGAACAGTTTGACATACGGCCACAGCTTCAACGATTATTCGACAAATTTTCCTCGGTATGTGTACGAGTTCGCGAGCTCGTTTGGGATCCGGATCGAAACCGATGAAGACACCATCGGGGGGTGTCAGGTGCGAATGCACCTACCCGCCATTCTGGATAGCAAGGAAGACACGAATCGCCCCGATAGCTACAGCTGCAAATGCCATTCCGATTTGGAGGACAATTTCTGGAAAAATATGGACGGTGCCGGCCCGCTTGCGTGTTGCCAGAAGGGCTTGAAGCAGCAGGAATCCGGGTACGACTTGATAAGCCTGCAAGATCACAGCGCGTTGGGGGGCTACGCCACACTGGCGAACGACTTTTTAATGCCCTCCGTCGAGCTGTACAAAAACCAAAACCCGAAGGCGCAAATCGTCATGCACATGGTTTTTTCCCCCAACGATATGAGCAGCATCAGCGGGAACGAATTTAGCGGGTGTCCGGGATCGAAATACTGTTGGCGAACCTACGTGCCAAACGACAACTGCCGTCTCTACCCAAGCGGGGAATACGCGGCAGCCGCGTCCAAGGGTTTGACTTGTTTCCAGTACAGTCTCGCGCGCGGCTACCTGCACGGGCTGGACCACGGCGCCGCGATTGTCGCGCCGGTTGGGTTGAGCATGGCGTTTGCCCGGGGTTTTGCCGCTTTGGAAAATGACTGTGACGACGTGATGGATCGGAGCTTTTGGACGCAACATGTGAAAGAAACTGAAGTACTAGGGGAGCAAGCGACTAGTTCCCTGGCGGCAGCTGATTTTGTGAAGAAACAGCTAGCCGACGGGGACTACATGCGAGAGAACGGCATCAATAAAAGCGTTTCTCCGATCGAATCCACCCCTACGCCATTGGGCAGTACGTCGCGGCAGTGAGTTGGGTCAGCACGGTGTTCAAGCTAGATCCGACGGATTGCCCGGGAAACGCGTCTGGCGGCAGCGGCCATTGCGGGTGGAAACCGGACGACATCACCTCTTCGGATGCAAAAAAGGTACAACAAGCGGTAAAAGCCAGCCTGACACTCGAGGCGACTGGGACGTTTGACCCATGCGTGTTTTGGAAGAACCGCGCGGACTGTGGGAACGTTGGGATAGGTTCTTTGGAAGGGCCGGGATGAGATAAGGTTTTTCTGTGGGAAAGCGTCGATATCGGCAAGGATAGTGATAAGCTGCCTCGAGCAAGCGAAGTGTTGCTCTTGCTTCGCATATTCAAATTCCATTCGACTGGACGTTATTTGAATTGTTTTTCTGTGCACAGAGGACAAAGGGAAGCACGTACTCTCCGCCCTGTAAGTGAATGCAGCTCAGACCACGATCTTCAAAATCCAGATCCTCCGCTAGTGTAGGAGTGCTGAGGATTATATCAGCTTCTTGCGTTTGATGTTCATCTTTCCGAAGAGAAACAGAAACATTGGAGGTCGACCTGGCGGCGACCGCCGCTTCTTCGAAGCATGGGGACACAGCAGCTCGCAGAAGTTCGGGTGACTCCTCCACGCTTTGATGCCTTCACGTTTTGAAGAATGTGGATAGTGCGTTAAAGTGGAATCTTTCTACCGTGTCAAACAATTGAATCAGCAAAAATAAACCGAAATCGGGTCGGTAGAAGCGGGGGCCGCATGTAGTGACCTTCTGCTTCTCCTTTGACGGTCGTCTTGTGCATTCCTTGTCGTGCCAAAATCTCAGCGTAGATTTCCTACTTCTAATTACTTCTAACCACAAAGACAAACTATGTGTATGTTCCCTGGAGATTGGCCCACACCCAGTTCCAGCTTGTACTCTGTTCTGAGTCCGTGCTTCTTCTGGCCTTGCCGGGTAGAGCAAGCCACCAAGAAGAGGAGCTACGCTTCGGTAGGAAACAAAGTTCTTCAAATCTTAATCTTCATCTTGAACTTTCACGTACTAGTCTTAATAGGCGAGTAGAGCGGTCTACAGACTTCTAGTTGCGGTAGTACCTACGCAAATGTATTTGATGTTTTGAGATGCGCTGAAAGAGAGGATGAACGTTCTTCGTTGGTTGAGTTGTCTCAGTGGCATTCATTTAGCCCCGCCATCTTCTTAGGAGAGAAGGAGGCCTTGTTAGGGAGAAACAGTTTCCGTATTGGAGGAGACCGTGATTTCTGTCACGGTGACTGAGTTGCGTCATTCCTGTGTGTCTTTGTCTTATTTTCGAATTTTCCATGAAATAACATACAAAAAACAATGTTGTCGCTCGTAACACAAACACAGCTTGTTTTCGTGTGTTTTTTGCAAATTGAATTTCTGGCTACCCACTCAAGAGGAATTTTATTGCGAGCAGCATCCGGAGGACCTGCGCCAGCCCCTAGCTCTAGCTCGACCTCGGCAAGTATCGTCTCGCTTCCACCAGCACAAACAGCGTACGTGTCTGTACTGCAGACAGAAAGATTGAGAGAAAATCTGCGGGAGAACAATCACGATCAGGACGAGCTTGTTCGCTTCTGCAAAAATCACGTCGAGGAGGAGGACCACGACCGAAGAATAAACCGGCCTAGGACCACACTCACAAACCCCAGACCAGCACGAGCGCCGTATTTGTTGCGTGTGGAACAGGACCAACGCGAACCGCCGTGGAGGCCGTGTAGCGAAGACATCATCATGCAGCTGGATCGCGCCAGCATGCTGGGGAGCGTGCGGGAACGGCGCTCGGAAGAGGCCCTGGGTGAGAATTCAGCTACGGGGGGCGGGAGCAGCACGACAGCACCAGCCTCGATGAAGCCGGGATCCTCGTCTTCCAGCAGGCCAGCGTCCTCCACTACCCAGAACCGCGGCGGAAACAGTAGTGAACTACAGCAGTTGCAGGCAAGCGTGGGCTCGACCGCATCCAGTTCGTCATCCAAGAATTTCAACGACCAAAACTATCAACATACCGCTGGTACAACATCAGGTGATAACTACAACAAAAACAACCTTATTGCGGGTGACAGCAGCAGTGCAGCGACGCAAAACACCAAAACTTCTGCGTCCTCCTCTACTTACGCAGGAACTACACAGCAAGGGATGATGGGAACAACAAACCATCAGCCCACAACTACTTCTTCGTCAAGCAAGAATTACAATCCGGAGGACAGAGGAACTACAGCGCACCAGCAGCAGCAAAATCAAAATCAAAACCAGAATCAAATACAGAAAATACCAAATCAGCCTGGAGGGGGTACTAGCAGTGGGGGCAAGCAAGAGCTTTCCTCCTACGCCTTCTTTGCGAAGTACACGTACACGACAGAATGCGCGTTGCTGGCCTACAATTTTCACGAGATTGTGAATCAACTCGGCATATTCGAATTCTTCACCTACAAACACGACCATCGGCTGGTCTCGGTCACACTGGCATACCTGTTCTACAAGTATAAAGCAATGTAGTTTAAGTTTTGCTTTACTGGACTCGATGATGATCATGTTGTGACAGCAACTTGTTTTAATTTATGCACCATCGGCATGGACAATCTTCTACGTCGACTTCCTGGGGCCATTTTACCAGCCCAACCTCAAGTTCACGGTCAAGCTGTTGCGTTTCTTACTAATAAACCCCAGGTACCAGATCCACCACTGCGACATGGCACTAGACCTCGCCCTGACCCTGACCTACCTCGAAGACCTCTCAGCCACCGAGCTTCTCGAATTCCAGGACGGGGATGCGTTCAACGTGATCTGCTACCTCGCGTTTCTCGCGCACGTCTTCAACGCGGACCGAACCATAAGGCTGAAAGACTGGTACCACGAAATCGGCTGGCGGCACTTCAGCACATTAAAGAAACTGAACGCGTTCGTGTTTTTTCTCTTTTCCAAAGTCCGGAAGTTCAAGCTGCAAGTGTCGGAGAGCAGGGTAAAAAAGTACATCCAGAAATTGTGCTCCGTACCCGCAAAAGCGCAGCAGCAGGGGTAGGCGGGGGGTTTTAACGTATTTGCTCGCGCACGTTTGTTTTGATATTGATCAGGAACATAGATAGTATGGTAGACAGTCACTCGCTCGCCTGAAGAAGCGAGCACATCACAATTGATTTCCTTTCCGCGTAATTACTCTAGCATCTATAAGTCTTACTTTTACTAGGTTTTTATCTTCGTGGTAGTGCAGCTGCACCACCATTGGACGTTTGCATTTTTGGGACTACATCTTCAGCCACAATATTTTCACAGCCTGTTCTTCCTGCTACACCCTCAGCATGACAAAGTCTGATAAAGATAACAAAGTGCCTTCAAAAAACCCACTCAAGTGGTCGCTCCGTGACAGAAACCAGCATAATGAATGGCGCGGCGTGTCGCGTTCTTGCGCTTTATGAAGTTAGCGCCTCAAAAATTATATGGACAAGACCGGGCTCCAGCGTGTTCTTCACTCTCAGCGTGCGGACGAGTAAGATTATGACAGCTTTATACGAACGCAGCTTTGGCTTTCATTGTCATTGAAAAAAAGATCTTGATTTAGGTTCCATTTTTGATGATGATGACGTCTTTTCAGATAAAGATCCCGCACAGCATTAAGCTCTCGTCGCACAGGAAGGCTTTTTTTCTTTCCATAAGTTTCGTTGTCGCGTAGAATCATCTCACTCGGTCTAACTCTACCATCTTCAGGTCCCCATGTAGAGCAGCAAAGTTTTAGATCCTTTTTTATTTTGTTTGGTTCCATTTGTCGATAACAACATTAACTGGCCGCGACGATGTTGCCGAATGGGAATGGAAATCGCACTTCAACAACTACTTTTTCTTTCAAGTAGAGCTGCTGAGTCTCGCGCCCGTCAGTGGCTCCTACGCACCATCATCAGAAAGTCAACAGTATTGCTTCTTCAATCATAGCTAAAACAATGTTGGCCTCCAAGGCGACAAGCAGCTCCTCTTGCGCAGCCGCGTCGAAGGCGGCAATGCGGAGCATTACCCACCTAGCATTTTTGCCTGGCGTGGCGCACCAACTCGCAAATAAGGCAGCCTGCGGAGGAACTTCTACTGCACGGCAACAGCTCTCTACAGTCGCGGCCCTCTGCAGCTCGCCAGCATCGCCTGCGTCTTTACTAGCTGCAGGAACGAGGACGACGAATAAATGCCGTGAGGAGCAGCCCTTCAGCCTGCACAGCCAGGCGAGAACTCCCGCCTCCGGCAGTACAACTACAACGACCCGGCGGTTTTTCGCTGCTGGCCGCTACAAACCCCCACACGAGATCCTCGGGGTCGGCCCCAACGCCACCGCCGACGAAATCAAGAAGGCGTACAAAAAAAAGGCACTACAATTCCACCCCGACCGAAACCCGGACAACAGGGAAGCGGCGGAGAAACAATTCAAGGAAGTTTCGGAAGCCTACGAGGCACTGACAAATCCGTCCAGAAGCAGCGGATGTATTGATTTTTGTTTTTTCCTTCCTAAGAAGCTTGCACTACATTGATGTTTTTTCCGTCCTTTCTGCGGGATTGCTCGTGTGAAGATGGATCGATAAGCACGAAACGAACAAGCATAAGATGTTGTGCAACAACCTGACCCCTTTCCGCCCGCGGAAAGGGGGGTAGACGCCCCTCCAGGTGGGTGGCACCCCCCCCCCCCTTTCCGCAATCGTCATCGGCATTAAAAAAAAATCGGTATTGCCACGACGTCGGTATTACCGATCCCGCCATAAGAGGGCGCCTCTTGAACTGTTTGCGCGGCGGGCGTCCGGCCCCTGGAATGTTTGCCATACATTAAGCCACAAGCGGCCCGGAACCGGGCGCCGGCGCGTTTCCCGCGACTACACGCGGCGCGACCGCGGCATTCTTTTGGGCGCAGAGGGCCCCCTGCCTGTGGCCAACCAATGCGCGCAGCACCTCGATCGCCACGCGGCGTGGCGGGCGCGCTGGTGCGTGGTTGCGTGTGGTGTTGGAAGGGGGAAAGGCGCTGCAAACAGGCCGGCCCCGTTGCTTTGTTTCCCTTCCTCCTGGGCAGGCGCAGGCGCCAGGCCAAGTCACGGGCCGCAGAGGAAAGCCCCCTGCCTGCGCTCGCCAGCTAGCTCGTGGCGCCGGAACCCCATTTCGTTAATTTAACTTTGCTCCACATGAGGCGCCACGCAAACCAAATCACACTAAGCCACCCGCGGGCGCCCCTAGAAAATGCCGGCCAAGGGAGCACACGCACAGCCCCGCTCCCTGACCTGCCAGCCTCAGCCAGTACATGGCGGGGGCAGCGCCCGCCCGCGCAGCGCCACCTGCCCCCATGCAGCGTTTGACAGGAGAAACGGGCCCCCCCGCTACCTCATACTTTTTGTCGCCGGCGATAGCGAAAGCGCGCGCCGCCTAGTCATGTGGGGCCGGCGAGGGAGGAGGGCAACCTCCCCTGCCCCGATGCCCTCGCCGCGCGGGGGGGCCAAACCATGCACAGGATTCATTGATTGCGGGAGAAGAGGCTGCTAGCATGGCCAATGGAGCGCTGCCGGGCGTTCGGTGCGGCAATGGGGCGCGCACACGGGTCCACGTTTGCTTGGGTCGGCGTGGCGGCGCGACACAAAAAAGGCCGTGGAACGGCGCCGCGCTGCCGGCTTGCAACGCACCCAGATGCGGCCGCCGCACCGGGCGGGGCGGCCGGCGCCGAGCCGGCAGGGGCCGCGCCGCCCCAGTCCCCCCCCCGGGCGCGAGAAAATAGCATCCCCCCGCACAACGCTGCGCCCGGTGGACTCCTTTCTCGGTTTGGGCGGGCGCGTCGAAGGTTACGCGCGCAAGGGCGGGGCATTCTGGGGGGTGTCGTTTTGGTTCCAGCGTGCCTCATAAGCTGTGGGGGGTGGGGGCCTGTGTTTGGGGGCCGGCCCATCTTAAGGGCGCGCGGGAAAAAGGGCGAAGAATGCGCGTCGGGCAAGCGCGGCGTGGCTCTCGTTCGTGGTATGCAGTTCGTTGCCGGCCGCCGCGGCAGCGGGGCCCGGTCGCTTGCAGTCTTGCGCACGCTTGCGACGTCTAGGTTCTTAGGTTTTTTGGCTGTATCTGGTCGCGGCGCATGTGCGTGCGCGCGCTTTCCGGCTTTGGCTCTGCCTTGCAATTCACGCACGATCGAAACTTGCGCGCGCGAAGCGCGCGCCGCCAAAAGAATGCACTCGCGCCGATACATCGATCGCGTGCGCGGTGCTATGCCTTTCGTTTGCGCGCACCCCCCCACCCCGGCCGTCTGACTGGGTTGCGAGCGTGCCGGCCCCGGCTGCTTGGCTTTCGGGTCTCCTTGCCGGAAGGTGGGTGGGCCCCCCCCCCCTTCCGCCGGCGGAAAGGGGTCAGGTTGTTGCACAGCATCTAACAGCATGCTTGTTCATCTGGTAATTGCTCTTGTTGAAGTCGCTTATAACGATGTTGAAGTCGCTTGATACGTACGGGCTAGCGCAAAATAAAAATTTGATGGTCCTCGTGCCCTCTCTTGCCGTTTGCAAAAACGAAGTAGTGGACAAATACGTACTGAATTAATACAACCAACATCAGTCGGGAGCGGGGCGGACCCTTCCGGGCAAGGCGGTTTCCACCACCCGAACCACGCGGGCGGAATGCCGCACGGCGCCCGGCAGATGACGCCAGAGGAGGCGGAGAAGATGTTCCAGCAGATGTTCGGCGGCGGGTTCTATCCTGTGTAAAAACGTCCCCACCCCAGAGTTGTCATGCAAGTCTGCATGCTGAAAATGTTTCTCATGCGGAGCCCCATGAGAAGCGTTTTCCAGTCGTGTTTTGGAATTTCTCTTGCTCCAATCCGCATGATATACTAGATCTGTGATGCTGCAATAGCTCAAACAGCACTACAATACGAGCTGAAATTTGTCATGCAAAACAGCCAAAGTTTGTGGATTTGTCTAGCCGAGACCCCATCTTGACTATGGGGTGGGGACGTTTTTACATAGGATAGGTTCCACGACGTGTTCAACCGTATGTTCCACGGCATGGACGAAGCGCCCTCCAACATCGTCCGTTTGAACGACCGACTCTCCGTCCTGGGCACCCGGCAGCAGGTGGAGCACTACTGCCGGCAGAAGAAAATTTCCACCGACAACGACGCGCTGCGCGCGCGGTGTCTGGGGAAGACGGGAACCGTCGTGAAGATGGATCCGCGGGACAACACCGTGAAGCTAAGGTTCGAAAGCGTCGGGGACGCGTGGTTTCCCGCTGAGGTGTTGACGAAACAATCGAACGGCAACGGGGAAGATGTATTTCGAAACGCGCAAAGGTTTCAGTCCTTCGGAAACGGCACTGGGACGAACCTGAATAATCTGTTCGGCGGCGGAGCGAATTTGAATAGCATGTTTGGGGGCGGAATGGGTGGGGGAGCCGGTGGTCCTGGCTCGTCTGGTGGGGGATTTGGTAACAGTGGCGGAGCAGCATCTTCGAGGTCCGACGTCATCGCGGAAGAGACGTACACTCAAGTTGTGCAAGGGGCAAATGGGACGCCGCAACTGAAGGTGATCACGGTCAGGAAAAAGCGTGACGGGACCACAGAGAGAATCATTCAGACGCAACCGATATGAAATGTTAGTTTGTATCGTTGTCGCGGCGTGTTCCTCGTCCAAGGGTAAAGGAGCAGGACGTGGGACGACCGACAGTGACCTCACAGATGACCCCGAAAGATGAAGCTCGTCATTCATTGTTGAACAAAGCGACTGTCCTCTTTTTACTCGTCGCACATTCGCGAACAGCGACAACACTAGTACTTCTACTAGAATACAACCAGCATAACAGTGAAAACAAGTACAGCACCGCTCTGAAGTGAACTGATTGAAGTATGTTGTCAATGATTAAAATCAAGGATCTTGAAACTCCGAGGCGTCGCAACCTCCAGATCAAAAGGATGAATAGAATCGATCAAGAAAAAATGAAAATCATTCAGAGTTTGCTCGGTCCAGAAGCCTTGTGACAGGCAACTTTCGACGAGATCCCTCCAGTGTGCGAGGTGATCTCCTACCAACCTTCGGAGGTTTGATTAGGATAAAGACCGTCGTGAGGCCAACCTATTTCGTATACGTTAATTGCTTATAGTCCTTATGTTGCTTGCTCACCTCCTGCAGGTCGCTTGTAGCTCTACTTTTTTTTACTTCAATAAGCTCAGAATCAGTACGAGTACTACACTAGCACAACTTTCCTATATCAGTAATAAAGTTGGCTTGTAGGAGCTTGGTGACATAATTTCCCGCTTGGCTAAGGCTAAATTTCGTTAGAATCACTACACGACCTCCTCCATAATTTTGTTAATTTCCACGACTACTTCTTAGTTTCGGCCTGGCGATTTTGGTCCAAGAGACCGCCGGGCTGAAGAGTTGAGAAAGGAATTGAAGTAGAATGTTTTCTATTTGAATTTCACAATTTTCATGACATTCAAAATTGAACTTCTGACGACACCAAGAACAAAAATCGTTCCCGCGCAAGCGACTGTTGTAAAAACCGGGCGCCCGCTGGACGGCAAGAGTCACCCGGTAAAAGACGATCTACCACAGAGGCTGACGGCGCGGCGCACTCCTGTTCGTTGTTAGCGACTCTGTGAACAAGTTGTAGGATCGTTGTAGTACCTGTTGCTCCTGGCCCCGGCAGTTTTTTTTTTACGGTGACACAACTACGACAACATGATACCCCCTCGACGTGGTCACACCAGCTTAAGTCGACGAATGGAAGACGGCCATGGTGCAGCCAGCTGCTCTTCCCGAACACGAGCCACTACGAGAACATCCTCGTCTTCTCCTCCTGTCAGAAGAAGAAAACAAGCAAGACGAGGCACGTACTTCCGTGTCGCCGTCTCTCTCCTCACCTCCACGGCGAGTCTCTTCGACAGAACTACACAAACTGTAGAAGCGAAAAAGGATTTTTATGCCGAGTTGGGGGTGAGTCCGAAGTGCCGGAATAAGGAATGCGCGGCGGAAATCAAGAAGGCCTACCGGAAGTTGGCTCTGAAGCACCACCCGGACAAGCAGGACGTGAACCTGCCCGAGAAGAAAAAAAAGAAGAACTTGTCCAAGTTCCAGGATATCAACAACGCCTATGAGACCCTGTCAGATCCAGAGAAAAAGAAAAAATACGATGAATTCGGAGAGGACCCGAGCAGACCAGGACAGGCTGCAGATGGCAACTCGGGTGGGGGAGGGCCAGGTGCGTGATGCTGTAGATGTTGATCATATGACCTAGCTGCTTCCTGTATATGTATACGAGAGCTAAAAGTTGTAGAGCTCTTGCTCTTGCACTGTCGTGATCTTGTTCACGCATGAAAATTACCGCATTTTTTGGCGAACTCCTCGAGTAATATCTGCTCGTCTTATAACTCACCACAGATCCTTTCGACATTTTCGCCCAATTCTTCGGCGGGGGGCGACCCGGGGGCAGCAGTGGAGGTGGCAGCTCCTTCACCTTCAATATGGGAGGCAGCGGCGGCAACAAGGGTGGCGGCAAACAGCAGCAGAAACAACCAGAAAAGCCTCTGTAGTGATTTCAGTTTGTACTTTGTTTCGAAACACGGCTGCAGATGAATTGGGCTCTGCCAAAGCGATGATTGAACACGACGGACTCAGAGAAACTTCTCGATGCAGCAGCAGCACTTTTTATTTCTGATTGTGAAACTGAAATTCAAATTACTATATCCAAATTATTCCAGGTACGACGACGAGGATGCAATAAGTGAAATTCAAGGCTTCGAGGATTACACGAACAATGTGGCCGGGGCGAAAGACCACTACGCCGAGCAGTTTGTCATCAAGTTTTACCAGGACGGCCACCAACCATCCAAGGACGCACAGAAAGCTTTTGTCAAGCTCGCAAAAGCCTACGATGGCGCTGCGAATTTTTACGCGGTCAGCTGTAGCAGGCACAAGCGGGTCTGTGAGAAAGCGGGCATAAAAGGAAATGCCCTGCCCAAGGTGAAATATTACGGCGCCGGGGAGGAAAATCACGATACTTTCAAGGGCGCCAAGAACACCTACGACGCCATGCGTAATATTGTGCTTATTTGATAAAAAGCTCTCCTGATAATTTTTCATGTACTTGTACGTGCGCTCCTCTTGCGTAGATGTAAATTTGGATCCAAGCGGCCGGAAATAAGAATTTTACTCTGCACTGCAGGCTGCTGGTCCTCATTCATTCTCTTCTGCAAAGGAAGTTTCCCATCGAAAATCGAAAAAATAAACAGAAAAATGGCTGGCGAAAGCGCTCCCGGACAAGACAGTGAGGTTGAAGACGAAGGAGGACATGGAGAAATTCATGCAGACCGACTCCGCAAAAGTTATACTCTTCGTCGAAAAGCCGAACACGCCCCCGAGACTCACCTTGCTGAGCGTTCAGTTTGGGAAAGTGCTGATAGGTAGAGTGTAGTTTTGATTCGTAGTTTTGATGCGTCTCAAAAGTATGCTGATTTATCGATGTCGTGATCTTCTTCCGCTGGCAATTCAAGATCGATGACAGAGAGATCTTCTTGCAGCTTTTTTAGTGCAAAAATCCATATTAAAGCGAAACAAAGCGTCCCGACTTGCGGATCATTCATTCCTTAGGCGTGTTCTTGTTTGCTTAAACCTGAGAGCCCCTACTTGATGACCCCACGACCTTTCCAGGTGTGTTGTCCAAGAAGGAGGCCCCGAAGTTGTGGAAGGAATTCGAGATTCCGAAGAAGCAGGAGCTTCCCGCCTGGCTGAACGTGCACGACAAGACGTGGTCGCCCAAACTGCCGCGTGACGAGATCCCGATGTACCTCCAGGATGTGCAGAGGCAATACCGCGAGGAGATGCTGACGCCGAAGTTTGACGAGCTCACCGTTGAGTACCTGGACTCCGGGAAGTGCTCCGCCAAGGACAGCAACTACTGCCTGGTGGTGGTGTCGGACCACATCGGGCAGCTGCAGAAGATCTTCCTGGAGGTGGCGAAGAAGCTGAAAAAGGACCCCGTGAGGATAGTGTCACTGAACAACAAGACGAATACCGCGATGAAGAAAAAGCTGTTTTCCATAACCTCGCAAGTCGGCCACGAGGACCCGGCCGTGGTGTTGTGGCGCCCGAAGCGGAGGAGATGGAAGAAGTTCGAGGACGATTTCCTGGAAATGTACTCAAAGGGACAGGACGTCATCGTCAATGGTTTAGTCACGTTTGTCCGCGACGCCTTGGACTCGGGAGCGGCCCTGCAAAATCGACACGAGGAGCTGTAACAAGTCGACGTCCCCGTCGTGGGGTCGTTCTTGACACACAGGAGGCTGTAATGGGACGGAGAAGAAGGTGCTCCTGGGCATGGTCTCACTTCTGGCGTCGGGAACTGTAGGCTTACAGTACATGATTCCACTTCCACACTCCTCAACATTAGGACGGCGATCATGCCAATTGCGGTGCTTAAGGTTCTCTGTACCTGTTCCATCCAGCCGCGCCAGCACGACTTATTTGTGTCGTGTGTATACACTTTTTGGTTGAAGACGAAACTACTTTACACATCTTCATGGCGGTCATACATAGTTTTAAAACTACCCTTATGTTATCGCGACTTCGTAGACCCTTATCGCGCTTTATTTTTTCTGACCCACCTCCCTACAGCAACATCGCTCCCACTGGGAGACATGACAATGTAAACACGGTCTTCCCCCCGGCCGAAAATGAAAAACAAGCAATGATGAAAACCAAAATGAAGCCGAGAACGTGTGTTCTCTCGTTCACGACGTTGAAGCATCACAAAACTCGCAGCTGTGGCCGCGTGTTCATGTTGCACTACGCGAACAGCCGGTGGTCCAAAATCCTCCTCGAACGAAAAGAATCCTGAGTGTTCCTGTCGCAGCCGATCAATCTGGATCTCGATAAAACTACAAGTTTTTTGTTGCCACGCGCCAGGAAGTTTGTTTCCTGATCTTGGCAGCGGACCGAAACGAAGATTGAAGATGGATCGTCTCACAACTCTGGCGGGCAGCAAACTGTCTTCCTGTGGGTGGAGATCAAAATCCAGCTCCAAGTCGACGAGGTGGTTCTGGTCCCTTGATTCAATAAAAGAAAAAGCTAAAGGTAAAGTTTAAAAGTCAAAGTCTCCTTCTATACTGCGTATTAAAGTGAGGATCGTTTTGGAAGATAATACAACTCTCCATGTGTCGTGAGTCAGTAAAGTTCTTGGCGCTCCTGCCCGAGGATCGGCCTATCCTCGTTTTTGAAGCTGTCTGTGATGCACGATAGATTGATTTTACCGTCAATCTGCCATTAACTCTTAACTTCCTTTAGGTGTATGGGCCTATTTTTGAATATCAAGCAAGAAAGAACAAAGAACAATCGAGAGGAATCATCTATCAATGTGAATGTTGTCGAGATCGCTCCTGTATTGAAACTGCGCTTCATGATGTTGATGCTGGTACTAGATAAGCCCCCGTGCTAGCGGCTCGCTTTTTTTCATCGGGTCAAATTTTAATTTAATGGAGAGATGATTGAATTCAAGTTATTTTCCAAGCTGATGCTGAAGCTTCCCCGCGTAGCCAATCGATCTTTGATTGCGAATTGTTTTCAGGGCCCCTATTGTGCTGATTCCGCAGCCACCGCTGCTAGGCTCTTGAGCACCCTGGCTACGAAACGTCAACTACTAGGTCATTCGTTTTCGCCCCACGCCCACCCCCATTCGCTCTAGCGTGATACTCACCTCCCAAAATATTCATTTCGCGGCGCATAGATAAGTAAAAGTAGCTGATCATGTTTTTGTGTCCATGTTCTTCTAGAGTTGTTCGAAAATCGCCCTACGCTTACGTTATTTCATTTGATCGAAACGCAGGAGTATCGCCAGTCTTTACAACCACAATACCCCAACCCATATGACGCACCCACGACAAGTTTTGTAGCGACAGTAGATAGAACAAGCGGCCCGCCCCCGCGCACCATGCCGAAGCACAAACAGGGCGTCACCGCGAAAAATATCGCGTCAAACCAGACTGGTTATTACGGTCAAAACAACCGCTACAGTGCGAGTGGCAACAAAAATCACTACAATGCTAGTGGTTACAACACCGGCGCGACAGGAACGTCATCCTCCTCCACCAGCGCCGCCACGGAGCGCGGGCGGTTCGTGCAGAGCCGGTTTCGGTGCGCGGTCTCGGAGGAGACCTGTAGCTACGAGGATGTGGCTACCTGTTTACTGGACGTTGACTTTTTGATCGATTGGCAGCACGTGCGCAGAGTGGACGTTTTAGTCGACGCGAGTAAGCCCCTGGTTTGCAGCATCTGCTTGGAGTCCTCCTTTCAGGTCCCCCGGATTACCAGATGCGGCCACTGCTTCTGCTACCCGTGCGCAACCAGGTATTTGCTCCGCGACGAGAAAACCGGGAATTTGCAGGCAAACCTCGCGAGTGCTGCGATGAGTGGAATGTACCATAGTACAAATCTGAATCATGAGCCGGGACGAGGTGGTCATCAGCTGAATAACGCGCGAAACAGCAACTATGCAGGATCCACCTCTAGTTCCAGCACGACAAATCTTTTGACGAATGACCTTCACAGACTGTACAATCAGCACGGCGTTGCCAACCCGGCTACAAGGAAAACCGAACTTGGCCGGAAGTGCCCCGTGTGTAAAGAGATGTGCTACTTGGGGGATTTGCGGCCGGTGCGGTTTCAGTACTGCAACATGCAGGCGAACAAGATGAAAAAGTTCGTTCGTGTCTGCAAAGACAAGGAGCGGCCGGGGATTACCTCTTTCGCGCCCATAAAGGAGGTGGAAGAGTATAGGGCAATGATTTATGATTGCAAGAACACAGCAGGAGTCACTACTACTACACCTTGCGTCGAGGAAATAAACAGCCGTCATTCTATCGCGGAGAATTTCAACCACGAGAAGCTTCGGCAGCTGCCCACCGGCCTCCCAAGGGAGCAAGTAGACCCGGGATGGTATTTCTCGCGGCTGATTGTCACACCGGAGCAGAACCTGGAGCAAGAGCGGAAAAACGATCTGCTTGGGTTGCTGAAGTTGTCCGACAACTGTCGAAAACTTCGACCGGACAACAACGACACCTTCGCCGATACGGAAATGCTGCCGTTTTTAGACTTCTTGATCAACCAGGAATTGCTGCACTTTCAGAAGTTTGGCATCACGACAGTGGAGGAATTTCTGAACGCCAATACCCTTCCCCGGAGACCCGGGAAGAGGAATCTACAGCAATTGTATGAGGACATAGTTTACGATCGGAAGCTGCACGAGGTGAGAATTGACATGGACGCGGATATCATGCAGTTTACGCAACGTAAAAATGAAACAAGTTGCAAGGATAAAGACGACGACCAATTATCAGTGGAAGAGCAGGCGGTAATAGTCACAGCGGACGATGTTTTGGTCGAAGAATCTGTAGAAGAAGAGGAACACGAGGAACCAGCAGCGAGTAGAACTAAAAACGCAAAATCACCCGCAAGGCAAATACCCGTTGTCCTCTCAGATCGATCTGATCCGCTCGCCCTCGCACTTCCGAGCAAAATGGAACTTAGTTGTAAAACGCACCACGAAGACGTAGTGGATCCGAATCCAAATGCCAAAAATCTCGAGGATAACGACGACGACCAGTGGTTTACCGAGCGTAGCAACATCCCCTCCAGCAGTTCCAGTGCCAGTGCTGTTTCCCCCGCCTCGCCAGGAGGGACAAGACCAGCTGCTCGCGTGAATGAGCTTTTTCAACAGAACAAGCAAGAGAAAAAATCTAGTACTGCTCCTGGAGCACCGGGGACAGCAGGTGGAGGAGCACAACTACTAGCAAAACAAAAACCGAATCATGTCAACAACGACGATGCCTACTACTTTTATCAGGCGTGGGATTCGCAGCCGGTGTTCGTCGCGCCGTTTTTCCTGAACATCCTACGGCACGACAAAAAACTTCCGTATGTTCTGGACGTTTCCAAGATCTCCCACGACATCGACTTCGAGAATAGCCAGCATAGCGTGAACCACCGGCTTTTTGAGCAACACTCCGACTGCGTGACGGCCGATACGAGGGTGACGGTGTCGCTTTTCAAACGACTACCGTTGAAGCTCGAGCTCTCCTTGACTGAGTTTGACGTGCAGCCCTTCGTCTCGGAAGCCACCTACCAGCACTTCAGCGGCGAACTGGCGAGACGGCAACACGAGAAGCAGCGAAACAAGAAGCGGCAGAAGGCGGACGAGAAGTGGGTGCGGGAAAAGGCGAAAAACGCGGACGAGAAGCTGATGGAAGAGCTGAAGAAGCGGTCCTGGATGGTTTCCCCGCACGCGAACTTTTCGAATGCCGTGCCGACCGCAAGCGACTTCGATCTGTCGTTGGAGGTGAGTAAAAAGGTCGCGGAGTTTGAGGCCAGGACGAAAAGGAAGATCGACGACGAGGAGTTGGCAAAAATCATCTCCGCGCACGAGCTGGAAATGGAAGAGAAGGCGAAAATCGAGGCGCAGCAACGGGAAATAAAACGGCAACGGGAGGAGGAGGAGAGAATGAGGAAGGCCAAGGAGAAAGCGATGAAAGTGAGAGACGCTTGGGGCAGTTCGGACGAAGAGGATATTGCCGATAGTACAGGTGCTCATCAGAAATCAGTTTTGGAAAAGATGCTGTTCGCAAATAGTTCCAGCGCCGGAGTAGACAAAGGTCGTTTGAAGTGGGAGAAAGATTTGAACACAGAGGGGGCGACAACGATGGCGCAGAAGATTCGGGAAAAGAAGATAGCGGAGAACAAGAAAAAGAAAGAAGAAGAGGCGAATCAGAAGTACTTCCCGAGTCTAGCCGAGTCGCTGGGAGGGAACAAGGGGATGGTAAGCCTAGGCGGGAATAAAACGGGAAATAAAAGTAACACAAAAGTGACGCGATCAGCCGTTTTTGGAGGAAACAAGGAACCGCAACCAGCCGCACCTTCAACCTCTAGCACAGGAACAAACCCTTCATCCGTTTCGAGCCCGCCAGCAGGAGCTCCTCCTGGCGCGGCAATAAATACTAGCGGGTTATTTGGCGCTGGCGCAGCTTCCTCACCTGCGAGCAATGCCGCGTCTTTGTCCGCGCCCTTTTCCCCGGAAATGAAGTCCAGTAGCAGTGGTGCAACTTCTGACGGCTTTGGAGGTCCGTCGTCCCCGACGATGCCCGCTAGTTGCACGGGAACCTCCCCACACCTCGCGGCTACAGCCGCACCGAGTGAAAGTGAGGAGCACTCGGCGACGGGGGCAGCTGGCGCGACAAGTGCAGGAGCGGGTCCTCCAGGTGCTGGGAATATCAAGAGTGGCAAGAAAAAGAAACCTCAGAAAATCCGGCTGTTCGGATAGGTTGACTCTTACCTCTGTGCGACAAAGGACATAAAGCTCGTTCACTCTTCATCAACATGATTTCAAGCCACAGGTAGTATATGAAGGTAAAAATCCTGAACGTAAGTACACATCATAAGAATCATGAACGCGACGCTGCCGGCGTGCTAGAAGCGACTTATCTTTTCCAAGAACGTTGTGCTGAAATGAAAACCAAATAGCAAAAACAGAACTCATCTTCAGTGCGTCTTCTCTAAAGCGAAGCCTTTGCCTTTACGAGAAAGCTCGTTTTAAGTGTGTTCCTTGAACGAGGCAGTGCACCATAGTCTAGACTTACTTGAGTAAATCCGTTGTAGGCTCCTCTTTGAGCGCCTCCATCGGCACCGCAGTCGCAGGCTGTGTTGCCTCTCAACGAAACAAAGCTCTCAACGCGGGCGCGCTACAAGGACGCGCTGTCGCAAGCAGGACGAAGATCTCCACATAAAAACAGATGACGATATCACGAGGACAAAAAAGATCCATACATCTGATTCCGAATCATCGGAACCCAAGCGCAAGCTCCTGCATAAGAAGACTACACGACATTAGTTGCATGTTGACACCTCTCTGTACTAAGAAGGTGAAGGCCGATTATATTTGATGTCTACCATCAGCGGCACCTAGTTTCACTTCCAGCGACATCAACACGACGTCTATTGTGTCATATTTTTATAGCGACCTTTTAGAAATATAACCTTTCTTCTCGAACCACTACGACTACATTTCGTTTTCCGGATGTAGGCTTTCACTCTCAACATTCTGAACCATTTCTATTTCTCTTGTTGTCTACCTTTCGCGTAGTGATACGAATCAGGCGAGGACACAACATCATCAAAAAGCACGATGTCCTCCGATCCGCCCGCCAACCCACCCACGACGGGTGCGGCGGCGGACGCACCGATGCCGCAGGCCGCGCCGGCTAATGATCTCGAGTCCGCGGATATTTGGGGCGCGGGGAGCAGTGATATCGTCGATGACGATTTGAAAAAGTGCTCACCGGACGAAATCAAGCAGAGGATACGACTGTTAGACAACGACATTCGGGTGATGCGGTCCGAGTGCTCCAGATTGAACCATGAGGTAGGTTGAAGATAAACTGGCTTCAGCTCGTCCTCTTCAACAATGAAGGACCTTAACCTCTTTCTATGTTTATTGCAGATGATGAAGTTGAAGCAGCGTGTGTGTGTCGTAGTCGTTGGTTACTAGCATGATGGTTAGAAATTTTTCCCTCGTATGACAAGTCTGTTCTTGTTTCAATTATGAATTTTGAGTAGTACCTACTTCGCACCTACAACAGCTGGCCACCATCACCGAGAAGACAAAAGACAACAAGGAGAAGATAAAACTCAACCGGCAACTCCCCCATCTCGTCGCAAATGTTGCTGAAATCCTGGACCCAGAGGCAGTAGAAGAGGAGGAGGATCAGGGCGCAGCGCAGGAGGTACTACAGTGCAGTAACTTTGCATTGACAGAACTTTCTCACTTGAGCCAAGTTGTGCATCATGGCAAATATTCACCTAGGCCTGTTGTAGTCGAGGCAGATGAGCAAAAGCTTTGACTTTCATGATCTAATGAAAACATCAGACCGACAGCGCAAAAGACGGCAAGTCACTCGTGGTGAAAACGACAACAAGGCAAACCATCTTTCTCCCAGTCATAGGCTTGGTCGAGGCAGAAAACCTGAAGCCCCAGGATTTAGTCGGGGTAAACAAAGACAGTTTTCTGGTACTCGACAAACTTCCACCAGAATACGACTCACGAGTCACGGCGATGGAGGTATTGAATCATGTGCCACCTGCTAGTACAGGGCGCTCGTTTGCATTGGCAGTTGCCTCTTGGACTCGTTGATGCAGAACAAGATGACAACTGTAGGTTCATCTTACGTTTCATATCCATCATTCCTGCTTCTTGAGGCACGTAAAATTATCAAAAAATGTTGAAATTCAAATCTCCAGGTCGACGAAAAGCCAACAGACAACTACAGCGACATTGGTGGACTAGAGAAACAGATCGAGGAACTGATAGAAGCTATTGTCCTCCCCATGAAGCACAAGGACAAATTCGAAGCCATCGGCATCACGCCACCAAAGGGAGTGCTCATGCACGGCCCCCCGGGAACGGGGAAGACCATGATGGCGAGGGTACAACTACTACAACAGACCATAACCATAAAAACAGCCATCATCTACAGCATTTGGTCGTGCTGAGCTTTTTATCGATCATTTTTTTTTTTTTTTGCTGCAAATGCAAGCACACCGAAATTTTCATTATGTTGACATTCTCAGCTAGAAGACAAATCTATCCCAAAATAACAGGCCTGCGCGGCAAATACCAACGCGACCTTTCTCAAGCTCGCCGGTCCGCAACTCGTCCAGATGTTCATCGGTGACGGCGCAAAGATCATCCGCGACGCTTTCGAGCTGGCGCGGGAAAAAGCACCAACAATCATTTTCATCGATGAGTTGGATGCAATAGGTATTCTTCGCTTGTGTTGTAGTACTAGAACTAGTTTTCGGCATGACATTTTTAAGTATCGTATCTTTATGCTGAAGATTGTGTGTTGCTGTGCAGTGGCTGCGCCACTGCTCATCAATCCATCTCCACCACTACTTCTACCCGTTCTCAACAGGTATGAAGCGTTCTGGCGGTGGTGAGCTTTCCGGTGTGCGAGAAGTGCAGAGAACAATGTTGGAACTTCTCAACCAGCTTGACGGCTTCTCAGGGAACGCTGACGTATACTGAGTTTGTTTCTTATATTCATTCATTTTCATCTTTTCTCTTGTTCTTGCACGACGAGGACCACGCACGAGTTAGTGGTGCGTCTTCAACTTCATCTCGAACTACAAGGACAATACCAGTTACATAAGGTCCTCGTAGAGAGGTTTCGCATGAATGTCCATCAACATGATGATGATCTTGCTCGTCGCGTCGCAGTAGGTGGAATACATATCAAACTTTCTCGACGCAACGACCTGACCACTGCTAACAAACTTCAGGTGAAAATCATAGCAGCGACCAACAGACCTGATGTTTTGGATCCCGCGTTACTGCGGTCGGGTCGGTTGGACCGAAAAATCGAGCTCCCGCACCCAACAGAGGACGGTCGAGCCAGGATTATGCAGATCCACAGCCGGCGAATGAACTACAACAAGGACGACGTCAACTTCCAAGAGCTTGCACGAATGACCGAAGATTTTAACGGTACTGATGAGTGCAAGAATTCTTCAAAGCAAGAATTCAAATGCGAAATTCGGACGTTTATTTCCACCACCAGCTTGCATGGCAAACGCAAATGAATTTTAGTTTTACGTGAAGATGAAAACTGAAGAACTGGAAACTTATAGAAAGGCACAACATTTTTACCAACGCACGAAGACACGACGAATTCAATTTCGAAACACTAGGTGCGCAATGCAAGGCCGTGTGCGTCGAGGGGGGTATGGAGGCTCTGCGAAGAGGCGCTACAGAGATGATGCACGAGGATTACGTGCAGGGAATCAACACCGTGATGGCGAAGAAGAAATCCACGCTGAACTACTACGCGTAGGTGGAGGACACGACTCGGGGTGGAGGTCGCTGGAATTCCTCTTCCTGCGGTTCGCGAAATCTCGTCCTTGCGATGGAAGTCCTCTGACTGCAGCAAGCACGACAACGACTGCGACAGCACGCACGGCAACGACTGCGCATATTAGGGAAGATCGCTGCTGGCAATGACCACAGGGTTCTTTTGAGGAGTACTGGGAAACAAAAGACTTTGGGTATCCCCCAAAATCGAAAACAGTGGTCGTGTTGTGGTGCCCTCTTCTAAGCAGCAGTCGCGACATCACATCATCCTTGCCATATTTTTTCAAGTCACAAACACTCTGAGGATCTGAGGACACGACTCACTGGTTCGAAGGGTGCGCTGTGTTGGAGGCCGACGTTTTCGCGTGGTGTCCTTCCGGTCATTGCCCACGCTCCTTCTTTGACAGCGCCACCCCCGACGGCAGTACTAGGCTTCGCTCACCCTGATGGCACGTTGGAAAATCCATTCTGCGACAGTAATAGTCTTTCATTCTTCAAATAAGCGAAGATGAAAAGTCAAATTATAGCGAAAGAAGTACAACAAGAAATTGAAAGTGATTGATGGCGAGGACGGACCTACGGTGCCATTTTTTGTGTCGCGCTGTCACCGTCGCGATGTCATCTTTTCTTTGGAGAATACTTCAAGATCGGCGCACCATCAAAGTAGTTTTTGTCGACTTGCGTTCCGGCCGTCATTTTCAAGTCCTTCCTGCGTTCGATCGAGTCTTGTTGATCCAAGTGTATGGTCGTTCGCACTTGTTGTAAAAACATTAACATATATCGTACTAGCCTTGGCCTCCGTGTAACGAACTTAACACTAGGAACTCGCATCACGTAGCTAACTCTTCCTGGTGTAACAAGACCGCCCCACCACAAAAGCCCCTAGCTAGGGAGCGGGGCGGGGGAAGATTGGGGGGGCGGGCCCCCCTGCGCTCCGCCTAGCGGGCGGGAGGGTGCGAAGCGGGGGACCCCTGTGTTACCGCAGGGGCGAGTGGAGCGGGCCCTCTGCCTAACCACGAAGAGGGGCGGGGGCCCCCTGCGTTCGTGGCCTGCGCCCGCAAGAGCGGGGGGTGGTGGCCCCCTGCTCCCTCTCCCTCTGCCAGGGCGGGTGCGAAGCGGGGGCTCCCTGCCTTCCAAGCGGGCGACCGAACGGGGGGGGCCCCCCGGCGGGTGGAGGAGAAGGGCCGGCGGGAGGGAGTTGGGGGGCGGGGGCCCCCTGTGTTCCTTGGCGCGGCTGAGAGGGTGCGAAGCTGGGGCCCCCTGCGCCACCACGGACGGGGTTTCTTGGGGGCCCCTTCCTCGCCATGGAGAGGGGCGGGGCGGGGGGGGCCCCCTGTGTTCGCGGCCTTGCTTTTGCGGCAAAGCTTTGGGATGGGGGCCGCCTGTGTTCCCCCTAGCTTGCAAGCAGGCGGAAGGGCGTGAAGCGGGGGCCCCCTGCCTTCCCTAGCGGGCGACCGACGGACCGGCCGGGCTTTGGGTGCCATGCGGGCGGGGGAGGGTGGAAGTTGTGGGGGCCTCCTTTTGCGACAAACGTACGAACCAAGGTCGGGGGGGTGGGGGCCAGCGGTGGGCCAGATATCGACCGGGCGGCCGGGTCCGAAGGAGGGAAGGCGGGCCGGCGGGGGACCCGAATTGGATCGCTAGCCCCCCGCCCCCAGGCGCGTGGCGCATATGAGAGCCCCCAACCATCTTCCTCATGCCGCCGCGATTGAAAGCTAGCGCCCGCGCGTCGCCCGGCCCTTTTTTTCGCGACGGGCTCCGGTGGCGCCCCCCTTCCGGCTCCAAGCAAGGGTCGGACGGGCCCGGGCGCCGGTCGGGTCCGTGGTTAGTTTGTCTGGCGCTGGCCTGTTTCTTTCGGATCGCTCGACCGCCGACCCATGTTGGCCAGCCGATGAGGTGAGCCCAGGCAACAAAGGGAGCCCGGCCCGCCCGCCTTGCCGGGCGCCGCGCTAAGCTTACTGTCCCGCGCGCACGCGCGCCGCCCCCGCCCGGACAACCTCACATAGCGGAAGTACCCGGGGGCCCGACCCTTATTTTGGCCGCGGGGAAAGCGCGTGGCCACCGCGCCTCGGTATTTGGCCGCGCAAGGGCCTAGGAAAGAAGGCGGGCGCGCCGGAAAGCGGGCGCCCCCCTACCCCACGTCTCTTTGCCGCGCACCCACCCCACGGAAGGGCCCCCGGCCTTCTGGTATTGGACAATGGACAAAGGCAAACGAATCCGCGCAGCTTGCTAAGCTTTTTGCTACTTTGCGTGGATGCAGCAAAAGGCCACGGAAGGACTGGCGCCAGGGCACGCCGCCCCGGCCCTTTGTTTTCTGCATGGCCCGCCGCGCCATCTCTGCTTTATGTTATTTCCCCCTTTGTCTGTGCATCCGATTGCGCGCGCGCCGCCCTTTTCGAAGCGGCGGGCCGGGCGGCAACTTTTTCCGCCGGCCTTCCAGATCACCGACCTCGGTCGCGCGTTCTTTGCATGCTCCGCGCGCACGTCCGGGGCCCTTCGTTCCTGCTCGAATGCAAGGGCGGGCGGAGACCTGCGATTTCAGTTCGGGCGGCAACTGGCCGCCCGTGGTAAAGGCGGGCGCGCCCGCGGCCGGGCGGTCCCGGTAGCCCTGTCCTAGAGAGGCCCGCCGCCCTTTTTTATTTTAATTTATTACTCAGCTTATATTTATTCCTTTTTTTTGCCGCGCCTTTTTTTTCCCGCAGTGCGGTTTTTAGCAGAGGTAATCTGGCGACCCTACCTGGGGGCGGGCGTATTGGGGGAGGGGGGCAGTTGGGGGCAGGAAATTATGGGGCAGGATGATTGCAGGATGCGAAGT